TCGGCATCTTTAGGAGATAGTTAAGGAACGTTAGGATTCTCTGCTTTAAACCCTCCTAGAGGGCGCTAAGCTTTCTATAGTATTGGATTGCTAGACCTCCCTATTTCGTTAGGCGTTTATAGTAGTTATAGGCTACTTTATCGACCTTTAGTGGAACTACCGTGAGATCTTACTCGGTTTTGAACCTCTTCGTGGCTCCTACACTAGCGCCTATCTTAGTAGTATCCTACTTAAGCTACTTAAGAAGCATCAAATTACTAATCGTGTGCTTACGATTACTACCGATAATGTATCGAATAACAGTATATTACTAACTACTCTCGAAGAGGCTATTTCGTCTCTTAAGCTTCTAAGTTATATACCGATTATTTGTATACTATGTATTGCATATATTATACAGCTTAGTCTAAAGGAGCTTCTTGGTTAGATAGATATAAACCTATAGAATAATAGGGAAGAAATAGAGTAGGCCGATTAGAGATATACCGCCCGTTAAGAGAATAGAAGGATTGTGCAAACCCTTAACAAAGTATACTACCCCCTCCTTTTTCTACTATCGTATCTCTATTTGATACTAACTATATAATATCTTTTAGGTTCGTAAAATTGTAGTCTATATCAATAAAAGCCCCTAGCGCCGCGAGAGCTTTATTAGACTTTAGACAAAAGAACCGAAACTTATACCAATACAAGATATCCGAACACGCTAGAATTCTATATTTCTTATGCTTCGACGTATACGTCGGCTATAGACTATATTTGATGGATTTTGTGCACAATTTAATCTAACTAATATAAAGATAGATAAGGATAAATGGCGATAGGTTAATTATTTACTATCAATCACCTATCCCTTCTTTAAGTTCACTTTATCTTTATTAGCTACAACTAATATAACTATCTATAATATGTTTAGAATCTATAATACCTTATTTACTTATATTAATAAGGCAAAGGCGTAGCTAGCACGAAAGAAAGTCGGGTAGAAGAAAGTAATGAAACTAGCGCTCGAGTATAGGCGCGATAAGCTTACGGAGTATTATAGCAAGACTAATGATATTCCGAATAATCTCTATACAATTAGGACTATCTTAGGCCCACGAAATAAGCTTAAGTTCTTCTTAACACTAGAATAGGAGAAATACTAGGCACCGCGGTATAAGGAGTCCCTCGAGACTTATATCTAGCCTTACCAGAAGCGCTATATAGAGGCATAGATAATATCGAGTTCCTAGTCAATAAGTAACGATATCTCTGATATTGATATACTTCTAAGACCTACTACCTCTGTCTAGTTAAGACCGACTACTCTAGATAAACTCACAAGGTATCTTAGAAGTAGTAAGTTTAATATCCCTCTCTCCTATTATATATTAAATCTTTGTTTTTGCTAACTTTATATCTCTCTAGGTACTATCCAATTAACACCCCTAGTCTTCTAGAAGGCTTATAAGGCAGAGTATCCTATCTTAGCAAGCCTTGCCCGAGATATCCTTATAACTCTAGCTAGCGGCTCTAGGGTAGAGAGACTTTTTAACTCTGCTCGGGATATATACCACTATCGCCGGGGCTTATTAAGACCACAGACTATTTAGGACCTAATGATATTCATATATACAACCAGATTTAATATACAGTCTAAGTAGCTTGCGCTAGTGGATAAGTTCCTCTCTACCCAAGAGAAGCATTCGAAGAAGGAGTAGGATAATGCTGAGCAAGAGGATAAAGAGTTTGATCCTATTAGCGATAACGAGGAAGATCTTACAATAGAAACTTCTGCAGAAGTATCTATTAAGCAGCCTAGCCTACGAGCGCTAGGGAAGAGAAGGGCTATTAATAATGATAAGATCCCTCTACCTGATTTTGACATTCAGAGGCGTTCGTTAGGGCGTATTCCAAAGAGACTGAGACATGATACGGATTTTGTATATAATTAATAGATATAAAGGACAATTGATCCTTTCAACATGAATCATGCACATAAGTAATTTCTAGAAAAGTACTCAAAATTTCTGGAAAGAATACGTTTAGGCTATATATAACAAAGTATGACAGTAAAATACTAAAAAATACTAATAGATTCTTCATAAATTATGTAAATCACGGGGTTCTACATGTTTGTCCCGTTTGTAGGACCGCAAGACCGGACCGGACCGCAGTGGTGCGGTCCTATAAAAGTTGGGACCGCCCAGCGGTCCTGATAGTAAGGACCAAGCCCTGCATGGTCCGGTCCGGTCCGCGGTCTGGTCCGGTCCCTTGCGGTCCTTGCCGAGGTCTAGTGACCTATAACCTAGCTATATGCTATCATTGCCAAGTTATGTAGACAAAGGGAACGGTATACATGCACAGAACAATCTAAACATAGAAAATGGAAGCGATAAAAGCCATGAAGTGAGGAAACGTCGTAATCGCTGTCTCTAAGCCTCAACACTTAGGACATATGCCTCCCTTTTTGAGAGACTGGCCCATATGCTGGTCCTTATATCCACCGCAATTTGTCTTGTCGCATAACGGCTGAGGATCATATTTTGTGATGACGTATTTAGGCAGTGCAGTGCAATTAACAAATTTAGTGGTATAGACAAATCGAGTGCACATATTGATGATTTCTGAGCGGGTCTGGCTTATGTTAGATTAGGGTTAAGATTTGAGCGATTGGTAAGTTATAGAACAGCGGTATTAAATAACAATACAATCACGGACGGTTTGGCTTGTAACTGGTAATCTCCCTGATTAGACCTTCTCTATAAATTCCTCGCATCTCTTCTCGTCGCCCGCATATTCACCATTCTCAAGCTCCATATTTTGGATTTCAGCATTGAAATGAGTCATTCGCTTGGCAAACTCCTTCTCCTCATCCCACACGAAAAGGCTCTTGCTGGCAAACAGGAAGTCGATCTGCTCAAGTGTGCGGCCAGCAGTCTCGGGGAAGAAACAATAAATGAGAGGAATGTACAAGAACATGGCGGCACCGAAGACGTAAAATGTCTGAGAAGAAAGAAGTCAGAAATTAAAATATGGGAAAGGGAGGAAAGAACTAACCTTTTCTTGGATTCCGGCGAACATAACGGGGACTAGCAGCGATCCAGCGCCGTAGCCGACTGCCCAACCCGCAACACCAAAAGCGTTACCCTTAGCGCGCAGCCATGTCGGGAAAATCTCGGTCGGATAAATGAAAGGAATCATCAACCAGGAAGAGCTGAAGACAGCCACGTAGAGGAAAACCATGGCAGCAGCTCCGGTTCCGTACTGTTCAGCCTTATCTGGGTTATTGACGGCTCCACGGTTCAGACCGCCACTGGAGGAAAGTCAGTAAGAGCAACGCCAAGGGCAAAATGCATTGGTACTCACAGAGTAAAAAGAATTATACCCAGAGCGACCGCTCCCCAGTAGAGGGTCCTGCGACGACCCACTCGGTCTAACACCATGGCAGCGACACCAGTTCCAAGGATACCGCAGGTCATACACAGGGCAGACAACCAGTTTGATTTAAAATCATCAAAGCCAGCAGTGCGATAGATATTGCCCGAGTAGATGACGACCGCCGCGATACCCGTGCCATATTGCATCATAACCTGGAGCCAAAATGCCAACTGGATACGACGGCAAATGTGAATATCCCCCGAACCAATGCCCAAGAACATTTTGAAATAGCTGGAGCTTTGCGTCTCATGTTCCATCTGCACGACAGCGACGATTTCGCGAATTTCTTTCTGCACATCCGGGTGGTCGCGGTCACCATCTCCACGAAGCTTGGTGATGATCTCGAATGCCTCTTCGTTGCGTCCATCCTTGATGAGCCATCGAGGCGATTCAGGAATGAGCAAGGTTCCAATGACGAGGAAGCAAACTGGGATCACTTGGCATGCAAAGCAGAAGCGCCATCGAAATGTGCCACCGGCGTAGTCGGTGAAAGAGGTGGCAAAGCCAATCCAGGAAGACAAGGAAATGCCTCCGAAGTTGGCGAGGAAAGTCAACGCGATCATTTGACCGCGATGACTCGCTGGAGCCAGCTCTGCGGTCCACGAGGGAGCAATAACGATAATGAAAGAGACACCAACACCTGCAACGACCCGGGCGCAGAGCATGTGCGTGAGATTCATGGCACTTGCCTGAAGAATAACCCCGACAAGACACCAGAGACAGGCCATCCAGATCCCTTTGATACGTCCGTAGGCATCGGAGAAACTGCCGGCCCAGAAGGCCCCGAGGAGAGCGCCGAAATAGTACATGGCAGCGATGCCACCCTGCAGAGAGGGCTTGATGACTTTACCATGCTCATCGGCGAAGCCCATGCGATACTGCAGTTGTGATATTCGATTAGTTCACTCCTCCATTTCTGGTCAGATCATGGTTCAGAGGACTGCAGTACATACTCCATATTCTGGGGCGACATTGACAGCGCCCATTACACCCTGGCTCATGCCCTCATATGAAATGGCAATGGCAGAGACTGTAGTGATCAACTTGAGCAGTCTAGGTCCAGGGACCGTCCGCCAGAATCCTTTCAGGGTCATGTTGGATAGCAGTGAATTAAGAGGGGAAACAATGAGCAAAGACAACTTGCAATGGATAGAAAATGTATAGAAACCAAGAGAGACTCAACCCTATTGATAGAGAAGGGATCATTTTCGTATCAGGGACATGGGGGATGTTTATAGACCATGAGTAGTTCCCTCACGTAGAATGGATGATGATAGAGATAAGATTAACACCAGCAAATTCTCATGGTTTCTTATTTCTCCATGGGTCGAGATGGAACTAAACTCTAAATTCAAAAGCCTCGGGGCGTGTTTGCCTCTTTCAGATTCGCCTCCACCTCCGCAACCCCAAATCCCGAGTTCTCCATCTTCCCCACAAGTCATAACCAACCCTTTTCTCCACTTGATCCTGTTTACTCTCTGATCTCGTCTCGAGATTTCTTCTTCCAGACGGACTTCACTCAATCTCGCAATAAACTTATACTAATCTGGATTCCGGTAGACCCCAAAGGTCTCAACATGGGAAAGCTTCGCTCCAAAAATGGATGGTTAGTCTTCCCCCGCAAACTTTCCTTATACTACACGAGCTATGCACCTCGGCTATCGAAAATTGAGTGGAACTGTGGCTAGTCCAGATCTACATTACTTGCCTTCGGACCTTTCTCGGGAAGTTTGCCAAGCAGAACTATGGACTGCGTGACCGTTACCGACAAAGTGTCCAAACTCCGTCATTCATCGCGATTCATTGCTAAGTCCATCACAGCCTAACTTGCCGGAAGAGACATGTCAAATGTAAGCCATTGAAAAGTTCAATGTAGGCTAAATGCAAAACTTACCTGAGAACAGGCGACCAAGTCCAGCCGATCTGTGGGCAATGCCAAAAAAAGAACCGGCAATGTCTACGAGAAGACCCATCCAATCGCTTCAGAATCAGGCCGTATCAACCAAGAAAGGCTAGGAAAGACCCCAAGGATGCTCCTGGCCATGATCGTGATGAAATGCCACACCTTCCGGAACATGGAATTGCAGACGGAGTGGTTGCTAATGCAACCAGCCCTGAACGCACCACCAATCCAAGTTATGCCGAATTTCATAACCACCAACACGAAATTACCTCAGTGACATCACCATACAACACTCAAGGATCTACTATCCTGCGAGAACACACCAGTGGCTCTGTTTCCACGCCTCTGGTGGCATCCTCAGTCAACAATACTACCACATCTTCTTACTTCAACGTGGCTGGAATCCAGATCTCCCAGCTGCTCCAACCGGACTCGTTGAGTCCATGGTCTCCGGGTTCGCACGCAGGTGCGATACATGCAGGGTCTCCACTGACTTACAGAGAAGCTTACCTTGTACATCACTTTGCCACGCAACTCGGGCAATGGCTTGACTGCACCGATGCCTCCCGTCAGTTCACTCGGAAAATCCCCATCCTGGTCAAGAAATCGCCGATCTTGCTGTATGCTGTGCTTTCTTACGCGTCCCGGCACGTCGGCGATGCCGAAATGGCCGAGCAGGCATATGAGCGGTGCGTAGAACTACTGATCCCCTTCCTGAGCTCGGAAACGGTTGCCGACGATGACATCTTGCTGTGTACCATTGTCATCCTGCGGGTGTTTGAACAGTTAAACGGTAAGTCCGAGAGAGTTTCGAGCCATCAGAAGACGCCCAGGCTAATCTCTTCGGGGGCTGAAACAGTCATGGTAACTGGTAGCGATCAGGAGCGTCATTTAGCCGGCTGCTCGGCTCTGCTCCGGGCATCGCAAGGACGAGAGGTGGACCCCTCGGCCCCGAGGTTGCGGCACGCGGCTTTCTGGGTGTATCTGCGTCAGTGCCTGTACAATGCTTGTGTGCATCAGCAGTCTCCCAATGTGGATTTGGACTTGGTTCTCATCCCCCCTCCGAGCGGAGGTGACCCTCTGAGCAATCTGAAGTCGGAAACAGCATGGGCCAACACTATGACTTGGATCTGTGCCACTGTGGTACACTTCTGCTTTGGGCCAAGTTATCCTGAACCTTCTACCAGAATGTTCCGATGGCAAGAGCTATCCGAGGCCGTCGATAGCTGGATGAGCACCCGACCGAGTACCTTTGATCCAATCTGGTATAGCGAAGCCGTTCCGGGCAGTGGAAACCCTTTCCCAGAGATATGGTTTACGGCGGACTGGCATAGTATGTGTTCCAGAAGTCCTATACTTTGCGCTGTCTGATGTACTTTGCAGTCATGGCATTCGGATACTATCATCTTGCCTGTATGCTCTTGACCATTTACAAGCCATCGCCTAAATTTGCAGTCAGAGGGGTCCATGGCACAGCTCGTGAGTCTGATGTAAGCTCTGATTTTTGCTGTATGAATGAGTTCTTTTTGACACCATCAGATCCGGGTCATGAAGCACGCTCGCGCCATCTGTGGTGCATGCAACAGTTCCCCTTCGACGGTGCCATCGTTGATCACGCTATGTCATTCCACCTTTATTTGTGAGACCTTTCCCGTCTTTTTCATGTAGGATTCAGTTACTGACATTCGACAGGGGGTCCCTTGATGACAGATTCAGCAGAAAGGGAGGAACTAATGATATTGCTGCGAGATATGGAAACGAAGCATGCGTGGCCGACGAGTTGGATAGTGAATTCTCTAAAAGAAGAATGGTCGATAACGTAAACTCGTCCACACTGCCTACCTAGATACATCAGGAAATAAAAGGGAATTGATCTATGCGACAGAGGAAAATCATTGGCCTTCATTAAATGATATCACGGCATACTTTCCGTTTTGGATCCAGGCACCATTGGGCGCCTCCTCATTCAACGCATCAACCTCCCTCTGGGTCGGGACGCCAGCACAAACGTCAGACTTGTTCGTGCGAAGGGCCAAAATCTTGATGCTGCTCTGCTTTCCAAGGGGACCCAGGGCCTCCTCGTACGTCGTGGTATGAGGCCACAATCCATCCCTGGTCAGTTTGCGGTAGTTGAGGTCGCCCTTGAAGATGACCAGATAGCTGTTCTGGAGCTCCTTGAGGAGAGCAGGTGCCTTAGACGGCATCTCATGGAACGAGAACGATGTCGTCCAGAAAGGGTCGCTCGTGGTCGTGATCGCGCCCGACTGGAAGAACTTGAGCAGTCTCGGGGTGAGTCGGTCGAGAAACTCGCGACTTGGGAAGCAATCGGACGAATCAAGATGCTTGAACAGTGACTCGATATCTGAGGGAATGACATCGCTGACGAACCACGGGGATTCTTTGGTATGCAGTCTGACAGAGGTAGCAATGCCGGCGTCGAGCAGGTAAGCGGCATAGAGCACATCGGTAAAGAGCTCGAAGCCAGCATTGTCGAGGACAATGTCAATCTGGCGACTAGACTGACCGGCAGTGCGTCGAAGATACGCCCATACGTCGTCCGTGTCATTGTCGACGATGTTGCGCTGGCTCTTCTGGATGGCATCTCGGCCTTGCAATTGTTGTAAGTCCTCCAGAGTCAGATTAGCGAGGAGTGACAAGTCTGTGGCGTTTCCCCACAGGGCGACCTCCGTCATCTCGATAAAACGCAACTTCTTAGCCTCTTCGTTGCTCTCATCTTGGACAAGTCCACTTTCGGCAATGGTCTGCATGTAACGGCTGGCGAGCTCCTCCACGGCAGCTCTTGACTTGATAAAGGTAGAGTCTTTTTGGCGCCTGAAAACATCATAGTCCTGCCAGTATCTTGAGGAGTTGAAGATGCCTTGGATACGTCTGGTGGGATTTTCAGCGCAATTCTTGGATTAGTTCTTTGCAACAGCAACAGTCGTACCTATACATGTAGCACTCTCCAAAGAGCCAAGGGCAGTTGATCCAACTGCACTCGCCAATTGAAGCCAACTGCTTGTTCCACTCTTGAACATCGGGCTTGCCGTCATCTTGCAGGAGTCTGACGCGTCGTGAGTTTCTGCATTTCAGCGCTTGGAGAAGACGTACGTACGTAAGGGCATAGTTATTTTTAATTTCGTTCTTGATGTCCTTGAGGGCAATCTGAATGGCGATGCTCTCCACTCTTTTCTGGTCGTCAATATCCTCCATGGCGGCTGTCTCGCCCATATCGTCCACGGTGCCCTGAATGATTTTGGCCCATCGGGTCTCGGCCGTCTGTTTAGCCATTGACCCCTCATCCGAGGTCCAAACCGAGCGAATAGCTTTCATGGTGGCGGAAGGCATGATAATGTGATTGTTATAAATTCGACTGGGCAAGGTCAGGGAAGCCGGAACTGCAGATTCCGGAGACTCTTTAAGTATGTTTAGTTAGAGAAAAATAGCACGGATCATCCTCATCTGGTCAATGGAAAAGAGAGGGATGCCCTGACCAGCGCTCGGGATTCACTCGCCATCCCCATCCCATCCATGAAACCCATCCACACATATACGATCTTCTCGACCAATGACATGGGATGCAGGGACCGGAAATGGTCGCATAAACGGCCTGCGGCTGACGGCTTAAACGGTTCTCCACGTTTTCGCAACTCCCGGGATGTGCCGGTCCGTGCACCTCGTCTCGAAGATACCCAATTAGGCAATTCTGGCTTGCTTCTCGGGCTCGGTCATGGATCTCGCGAAGCCCATCCCCGAATCTGCCCTTCTCGGCATTCTGTCTTGCGCATGACTTCGGCAATCAGGAATGATGGGGGTATGTTGTTTGCCCAGCACGAATTGGGGTCGGGTTTTCAAAGGTATATGAAGTGGTTCTTCGCTCCTCTGGATTACAGTTGGAATCAAAGTCATCGAATTGCATTACGAAATGGTCACTTCAGTTGGATTTCCCGAGCCCAATGGCTCTGCTCACGTCCACGGCACTCGCCGTTGTGTTGCCGATGGCACCCTCGACATCACAGTTATGGGAATGAACAGCGGTACGGCCATGGACGGCATTGACTGCGCCCTGGTTCGTTATCGCCAGGCTTCACCTGAAGCTCCTTTGCACATGGAGATCCTCAAGGTACGACGGTTCTCTGAAAGTCGTTTTTTCCAATCAACTCTAGCGGAACTGACAAATCGCCCTAAAACAGTACGACGAGTTCCCCGTTCCGCTGGATATCAAGAAGCCCGTCCTCACCATGCTTCGCGAAACAGAAACTACTCCTTCCCTCATGTCCCAGCTGAATGTCCAGCTCGGCAACATGTTCGGCGAGACAGTCAAGCTCTTCTGTGAGAAGCACAACGTACCCATCGATAGCATCGACCTCATCGGCTCGCACGGCCAGACCATTTGGCTTCTCTCCATGCCCGAGATTAGTGAGACCCGGTCCGCCTTCTGCCTCGGCGAGGGAACTATCATGAGTGGCTTGACCCACATCACTACAGTTACCGACTTCCGCATGGCTGAACAGGCGGTCGGCCGCCAGGGTGCTCCTCTCGTCGCCTTGATCGACGGCCTCCTCCTTCATCACCCCACTGAATGGCGCATCTGCCAGAATATCGGTGGTATCGCTAACCTCTGCGTCATTCCACCGGATAGCGAGGGCGGCGTCGATGCCATGGTCGACTGGGACTGTGGCCCGGGTAACATGTTCATCGATGCCGCAATGCGCTATTTCACCAACGGCGAGATGGAGTATGACCGCGACGGCGAGTGGGGTGCTCAAGGTACCATCAACCAGGCAGTAGTCGACAAGTTCCTCGGCAACAACAAGTACTGCAACCATCTGCCCCCCAAGACGACGGGTCGTGAGACCTTCGGTGACAACGGGGCCCAGGAGATCATCGACGAGTGCTTGGCTCTGGGCATGAGCAAGTACGACATCATCGCCACTATCACCCGCATCACCGCCCAGAACATTGTCAAGCAGTACCGCACCTTTTTCCCCCGGTTCAACATCGATATTGACAAGATCGCCGGTGTCTATATGTGCGGTGGTGGTGCCCACAACCTCAACATCATCAAGTACCTCAAGGCGCAGCTGCCAAATTCGAAGATTCTCAGTCTTGATGAGACAGGTATTCCTTCCGATGCCAAGGAGGCAGTTTCGTTCGCTCAGCAGGCTCTCGAGGCTATCCTCGGCCGTGCTGCTCTTGTTCCTATTAACAGTGACACGCTGACTCCGAATACCATCTCGGGTAAGATTGCTCCGGGATTGCGTTGGAGAGAAGTTATGGCAATGGCAGTGGAATTCGGAAAGGGTCAAGCCCAGTTGCCGACGGTCAAGGAGATGATAATTGACCGGCCTTACACCGAATGGAAGCCTTAGAAGGATGTGGAAGTGCAACTATTAGTTTGTATGATTAATGACTTGCATACAAGGGTATAAGAATGTAATGGTTTTAATATACCATTTTTATCGACTTTGAAGTATATTTTCTGGTTGGATGGCTCTCCATCCCGTTCTCACCCCGTTCTCACCTCGGTCACCTCGGTCTCCAGAATTCTCACCCATATCACCAACACTCACCCTAAGACAAATTTTTTCGCCATTTTAATTTTCAAGGCGCCTTGAGAATTGGCCGCGTACTATATGTGGCTTAAGTACGGCTGATCGGACGGGAAGCCCTGTTCTCCACACCCTGTGGTCGTATGTACTAGCCCAACTATTGAGTTTCACCATCAAGCTAGTTGAGAAATGGGGACTTTCGACCACCAAAATTTGGTTTCATCCCTTGCCCAACCGTCTGCAACACATTTGGCAGGAGGAGCAGTGTCCCCACCAATCAATTCGTCATTGCCCTCTCCAAAGATCATCACCGTTGCATCCTCGGGCTTGAAGGGCTTCCACTCAGGTCTCTCGCCGTACCGACCCGAGATAGTATTAGGATCGCCCTTGGTAATAAAGCTAGTAAGGTAAGCATGAAGCGTACCAGATAACTCTTTCTGAGATTTCGAAATGTTCGTGATGCCAGCGTTGTATGTCTCATAATACATGTTATCGCCGTGGTTGGCACGACCAACAACTGTTCGCGGAAGTGCCCAATGATAAAGATACACAGGAGCACCCTGGGATGACGCAAACTCTGCAGTTTGGCGAACCGGCGCAACATAGGCGTAGTGAGCATATGCAGCCTCGATACGTTTGTATTGCGGACCGAGACCCTCACCCTCCCTGGTTTCAATATATGGCGAAGATGGATCCACTAAGGGGTCGGGATAAAGCTTCTCAATAGTATCCAAATCTGAAGATGAAAGCTCCGGGAGCAAGTTCTCCCAAAATTGACGGAATTGAAAGGCCTTCGACATTTGCTTTTCGACGTACATGGTGCCTTCGTTTCCGTTGAAGCCAGTCATTATAGGGACTTTGTTCCAGGCCGTGGACTCCCATGCATCTAGGGGCTTGCGGGCGATTGTGTCACCATCAATTACGGGCTGGAAAGCCCATCGCAGCGAGGGATTGTATTTGTCGAACACGGCTGTTTGGGCGTTGGTCACGGTTAAGCTTGGCAATGAACGCAAGAACTGGAAGATCTCGGATTCAGGTAGATCAGCCGGACATCTGACTTCCTTGAGGAAATCTCCGAATTGTTCTTCGTGGACTTTCGCGTTGTAAGGGCGAACGGCCCGCGAAGTGGGGGCGCCCGATTCGATGATAACACGGTGAAACAAATGGGAGATATTCGCGTTGTGATTGAGTAGGAGGTGGCCAATCTACACCTTTTCATTAGTACAGTGGTCTCAAACATGTTGAGAATCGAGATGCTTACAGAGTGTGCCCCTGCGGATAGACCAAATAGAGTGACATTTCCCGCATCACCGCCAAAGTGGCCAATGTTCTCCTGAACCCACTCCAACAGATGAATTTGATCACGCAACCCCAGGTTCAACAGTCCCTCTTTTTCAGAGAGGCTCGATGGGAGAAACCCAAGAGCGCCAATGCGATAGCCAAAACTTACGGCCACAAACGGTTCTTCAGACCACGCTACCATAGACGCGGTGTCATGCATCGTCGCTGCTCCACGGTTGAAGGCACCGCCATGGATATAGACTGCGACTGGAAGCTTCTGGGTATCTGCCGCACCGGCGGGCCTGAAAACATTTGCGGTCAAACAGTCTTCGCTCTGCTCCAGTTTTGGCCCTCCCGATAGCAATGCTTTGCCTGGGGCCGCGGGGCCGTACTTGGATGCATCAATGGTGTCCGATGAGCGCGCAACTTTCACTGCAGGTCTGAATCGCCGGTCTCCGACAGGTGGCAACGCGTATGGCACACCCAAGAACGCCTCCACTGTCTGTGGGAAATTGTCCTTGAGTTGGGTTCCAACTAGCTGGCCTTGAGCCAGAGTCACCGAGGGGGGCTTGCTATCAACTGTCATTGTCTATCTTGCTAAGTTCAAAGCCAAGAAAGTCGACAAGATAACACTTGGATTGGGCTTCGGTGGTCTGATATAGCACCGTTGGGGTCGCTATCTATTCGGGCCGCAAAAGTAGAGCCGTGCGGGGGAAGTAAACCAAGTGGAGACACGGGATGTTTATCTCTGAGACAGTTAAGGTTGTCTGATATGAATCAGAAGGTTTCTTATCACTTCGGCGAGAGTCCGAATGGCATGCCCAGCGATACTCCGCCTCCCATTCCCGTTTCTGGAAAGGCAAGATAACGCGAAATGGTCAAGTTTAAAAGGCCCGGGGAGACTTTAGCTTTCATATACGAATAAAGCCTTTGGAATTCTCCTTTACATACCTGAACACTTCCATTGGCCAATTTGCTGACCACTCTCATGGATATCACGAAAACAGAACCCGTGGTAGACTCTGTTGATGAGAAAGCCGTCCAAGTCGGCATTATCACAGACCTCGACGAGGGTGAAATCTTCCTGCGCCAAAATGGATTCACCAATGAAGACGTCCAAGGTTTATTAGACGATGAAGCACGCAACAAGGCCGTGGTCCGCAAAGTAGATCTTATTCTGCTGCCTTTGCTTGCAGGAACATACATGCTTCAATACATCGACAAATCTGCACTGGCCTACTCCGCAGTGTTTGACCTTCTCAAGTCGACACATATGTCAAGCAACCAATACAGCTGGCTAGCCAGTATCTTCTATTTCGCGTACCTCGTTGCTGAATACCCGTGGAATATCTTAGCACAGAAGACAAATCTCGCTAAGGTCGTCTCTATGAACGTTGTCGCGTGGGGCACTATGCTTATGATCACTGCATCTTGCTCTTCCTTTACTGGCATGGCTATATGCCGCTTTCTCCTTGGTGTCTTCGAAGCCCCAATCACGCCGTGCTTTATGATGATTATCGGCATGTGGTACACACGGTCCCAACAACCATTCCGTGCTGGCGTCTTCTACAGCTGTAACGGAGTTGGCGCTATGGTCGGTGGAGTCCTCACATTTGGTATTGGCCAAATTGAAACGATTGCCGTATGGAGAGCTATCTACCTTATTCTTGGAGCTATTACTGTTTGCTGGGGTATTGTCATGATCTTTTTTCTTCCCGACGACGTCGTCTCTGCAAAGCACTTCAGCTTGGAAGACAAGGCTCTGCTTATTGGCCGCGGACGCCTTGGTCACACTGGTATCATCAACCACCAGATCAAGTGGAATCAGATCCGCGAGGCCCTGGTCGATCCGCAGGTCTGGATATTGTTCTTCTTCACTCTATTTAACGAGGTCGTCAATGGTGGAATCGCCAACTTCAGCAAGCTTATCATTAAGGGCCTGACTCACGACTCACTCACTACTGTTGCACTGGGTATTCCATTCGGTGCATTCCAAGTGGTCTGGGTTTTGTCAGGAACATACTTTGCATCCCGTTTTGCCAATTGCCGTACCATCGTCATGTTCGCGTATCTCATCCCAACTATCATCGGTATCGCTCTCATGTGGAAGCTAGAGCATGCCACCTACAAGGTCGGCGTGTTGTTCAGTTTCTACATCGTCGGTGCCTACGTCTGCTCCCTGGTCCTTGCCCTGCAGATGCCTGCCACAAACCTTGGTGGGTATACCAAGCGCTCCACCGGTGTCGCACTCGTATTCCTGGCATACTGTGCTGGTAACATCATTGGGCCCCACGCATTCCTGGCGAAGGAAGCGCCAGTCTATCAAACCGGATGCAAGCTTCTCCTTGCATGCTCATCTGCACAGGCTGTTCTGACTGTCTGTTTGCGCTTGTTGTTGACGCGGAGAAACAAGCAAAGAGATGCCGCTGCAGCTGCTGCGATTCAGTCCGGTGCTCCCTTGGAAGTAGATGAGTCGGTTGATCTAACGGATTTCGAGGTGAGCCAGCGGCCTTCGATTTGGACCTGGACAGCTTGCTAATGGATTCACAGAACCCAAATTTCAGATATGTGCTATGAATCATAGTCTAAAGTTACAGTAGTTTATGTGAAGAGCCCTGGCGTTCCTGCCGAAGATGTCTGTTTAAGCCTCGTCACGGTCCGATGCCTTTTCCCGCTGCCACGTATGACCAGCATGTACCCCAGTGATTAGGGTAGCGACACAGAGTACAGACTTAGTAGCTATCGCTTCAGGCGCTCTCAACACTGTTGGAGTCAAAGTTGACGCTCTCAACCTTGACCCACTCTGTGTGCCAGGTAAGGCCACCATCGGAGGTGGTGAAGCCATCATCGGTGACACCATCAAGGGCCATGACCTGGTCAAACTTGGTGTCTGCCTCGCTCAGGGTGACGGTCAGGTTGTTGATGTCTGGCCTGTGTTAGGTCATCGCCATGTGGGTCTGACTGGGAAGGGGAAGACTTACAGTAACCGGCGAGTGATCCACAATTGCCAGAACCAGTGTAGCACTCGTTGCTGGAGTACAGGTACTTAAGGGGAGAGTTGAGAGCTGAGGTTGCTTGTTAGTCGAGCCAAGCTTTTAGGGAATCTGGATTGTTCACTCACCATCGCTTTCCTTCGACACTACCTTACCGTCCATGGTGACGGTTTGAACGACCTTCTTGTTCTCAACAACGACTGTATATTGGAGCAAGAATTAGCGATGAATCCTTGCTGGGATGCTTGTATGCTTGAGCAACTCACTTTCAAAGTCCACTGCAGTGTTTTTGGGGACAGTCACATAGGGCTGACCAAGCTGACCGGCTATCAATGGAAGGAAATTTCCAGTCAGTTAATTCTACTATATAAAGAAGTCAACGGTTGAGTCCTCTGGTTCTGCTTACATGGGGTATAAGTGCTTGCTGCGACACACCACTCATCAGAGGATGCGGAACAACCCCTATGTTATATCCATGGTCAGCAATCTTCTTTCTTTCATACGGAGGTATCTCGTTGAATCTCACATACTGAGACTCCTGGTTCAGGGACCAGTTGAAGATCGGCTGGTAGAGATTTGCATTTTCGTCGCCGGCAGTCGAAGAAGCGCCAACCCAGACAGAAACCCAGACTTCATCTTCGGTGTTGGAGACCTTTGCGCCGGAGGGAACTGTAGGAGGAACAATAGATTCTGTTGCCTTGGTGATGGCCGAGTTTCCTGAAGGAGGTCCGGGGTAGAAGAGACTGTTTCCGAAGTTACCAGGTGTCGGCGTCGATGGCCATTGCCTGCATGGCGGATATGAGAGGAACAAGGGTGTAGCTGTAACGCATTTTGGAGGACCGGAGGAGGACTGGGGGTTGTCCTCTTTGGCGCCCTGGCATCTCAAGGAGATCACCCATACTCCCCATGTGGTGGATATAGTTCATAATGATGAAAGGTCCCAAGTCTGAGGGGCTCTCCTTTGCCTCTACCCAGCGAACGATGGAAGGCACCGGGATTGGAATTTTGTTTGAAGTTTTTTCCAAGACATATTGCATGATAGAGGCTTCACTGCGGACCTTTTCTTCAGGAAACATGACAGCGCCGGGCAATGGGAACCGTATAACAGCGCCGCGGTTGTTGGTGAACTTCATCTTGAAGCAGGTATTGAAACCGCCTGTGTTAAGAAATTCGAATAGGGTCCAATCTAGGTCGCTGAATTCTTCGGAGAGAATGACTCTGAGCGCCCTCACAAAAGCGGCGGCAGCTAAGATAGGAAAGCCCCACCTGGCAGAGGAAATCTGTTATGTAGAGAGACCTATTTACGTGGGGTCCCTAACGGGCTCTACTTCTGAATCAGGGAATATGAGTCGATAGAATATTCTATACGTACAAAGGAAATTGCCTTCGCGCATTTGTGTAAGAAGTTCGCACCAGCCAAGCCACACTTCATGTTCCTCCAAGCCACTCACCGCGAACCCGCGTATGATGATTCGCGTCATAGCCAAGACAAGTGCTGCTACTCTCGATTGGGTATCATTTTCAAGTAATTCAATTAGTTATAAGATTACTGATTGAAACATGTGCTTCTTCCGTTGGAACCAGGGAAATTTTGTAAATGCATCACGACATGAACCTTGGGATTTCATACAGAGTCGGCCTCATCCAGCGCCCCACCGAGCGTGTTGAAAATGAAAATAACCTCCCGTATACCAATCTTCTAAGGAGATATCTTCACCCAGATGCCAGAAAGAGATATTATCAGAAAGAGATATCGACTCTCTCTTAGTCTCTTGGTGGTGGTGGGTCCCAATGAACGGTGTATGAAGAACGTTGCATATATTGTCCGGCAGATCAGCACAGGATCGAGTGTGAGGTACGGTAGGCATTCTAGAATTCTTACAGAGGGAGCTCACCTCTTTGTAAATTGCGATAGGTATATATATTTGAGTGGAAATGATTTCAAATATCTCGAAGCAGTCTGTCCGTAAACCGATGTGGAAGCGGGTACGCCTCGGAAAACTCTCGGATGACTCTCGGAGTTGCAGGATCGTTGATGGGAACTTTTTAACGCTCACTAGGATTGGAGAAGGCACTATTGTTATGATACTTGACTTCATCTGGTGCAATTCACTTAGAAATTCCAAGTTGGCCTGAAGTTTCAAACATGGACAGGTTATGTGAAAGAATATATTGACCTACGATTTGAGCACTTTGTTGAAATTGATGTCTATTGAATGTGAGGGAAGCATTTATGTCAAGGCCGACGAGGCTGTTTCAGACTAGTCTGTCTCTCAAATGAGAGAAAAACCCTATGTAAGAGAGAACTCTTCTCCTGATGATACTTTACATGGTCGGTCTAATGCTGATTGCTATGAATCTCAACACACTTTGTTTGTTGTCTCGGAAAGATGAGATGTTTGCAAGAAACCATCACATATTGTATACATGGCATTAAAAGCCAATATTCAGCTTCGGTGTCATAGTTCTTTGATTTTGACTCTTTTTTCGTCTTGAAGAACTGCCGCTCTAGTTTTCAGAGCCACTAAGGTACCCGAAAAGCGGAGAGATTATATTGCCACAATGGTTCCCCCACTCCCCCGTACGAAAGGAACAGGGTGTCCACTCTGACGTAGGGATAATTGTGTGGCTGGGCACTCAAAATCTGCAATCTGCAATCTGCGCTGGGATGCGCGACGCGGGTCTGAGGTTGCAGTTGTTTGTGATCTTTATGATCGCCATAGTACCTTTGAAGCAACCCCGAGACTTTCTCTACTTGGAATTTTGCTCTAACAAATCTCTAACTGATACATGTCAAGATTGGGATATGACGTTCTCGGACAGTGGCTGTGCGCCTTGGGGTTCTTATATTAAAAGCTTCGGTGTTTGTTTGGACATATATCATATCACACAAACTATCAATGCATGGAAAGAAAGCTATCAAGTACTGGGCTATTGCCCGGGTGATCGGAATTTAGTGGCAACCGTGTGCTGCCGAGTGGCTCCCGCATTGGCCGCGAAAAGTTTTCGGGTTCGGGCCCATCCCTTTGAAATCTTTTCTCCTCTCTCCATCCTCCACCAAGGCTTCAAGTGACCTTAACTCTCCTCTCCTCTTTCCCTTTTATTCTCATTCTTCTTTTTTGAAGCTCTTCATTTAAAAATGGCCGCTCCTACCGCCAATGCCCCCCAGATGGGCGCCGCCGACTTCTACGGCCGTATCTCCTTCGCTGGTGCCATGTATGTCCGGATAAAACCTCAGGAACATCAAGAACACGAGAACTGATCTAAAAAAGGTGTTGTGCTATCACTCACGGAGCCGCCACGCCATTGGACGTGTGAGTCATTCATCTGAAGCGATTTGGGGCGATTTGAAGCTATACCAAAGTGTCGCAAACCAAAATGGACCAATACTGACCGAGTACGATAATTAGCGTCAAGACCCGTATTCAGCTCGATCCCGTCACCTACAACCGCGGTATGATCGGTGGTTTCCGTCAGGTCATCCAGAACGAGGGTGCTGGCGCTCTCCTCACTGGCTTCGGTCCCACCGCTGCCGGTTACTTCCTCCAGGGTGCCTTCAAGTTCGGAGGTTACGAGTTCTTCAAGCAGCAGTCTATTAACCTGCTTGGCTACGAGAACGCCAAGAACAACCGCACTGCTGTCTACCTCGCCTCCGCCGGTATCGCCGAGTTCTTCGCTGATGTCGCCCTTTGCCCCCTTGAGGCCACCCGTATTCGTCTCGTCTCCCAGCCCACCTTCGCCAGCGGTCTTCTCCCCGCTATGGGCCGTATCATGAAGGAGGAGGGCATTGGTGCCTTCTACTCCGGATTCGGACCCATCCTGTTCAAGCAGTAAGTCAATGTTGGGAATTTTTATGTCGGCCGCATTTTCGCTAACCCGCCTACCTCAGGGTCCCCTACACCATGGCCAAGTTCGTCGTCTTCGAGAAGGTCTCTGAGGCCATCTACGCCCAGTTCGACAAGAACACCCTCTCCGACGGCTCCAAGACCGGTATCAACCTCGGTTCCGGTCTCGTTGCTGGTCTCGCCGCCGCTGTCATCTCCCAGCCCGCCGACACCATGCTCTCCAAGATCAACAAGACCCAGGGCGCTCCCGGTGAGGGAACCGTCACCCGTCTCGTCAAGATCGCCAAGGAGCTCGGTATCCGTGGCTCTTACGGTGGTATCGGTGCCCGTCTGTTCATGGTCGGCTCCATCACTGCTGGTCAGTTCGCTATCTTCGGTGACATCAAGCGTGTCCTCGGCTGTGGCGCCGGTGTTGAGATCGGCAAATAAATCACTCGAGCATAATAGAGTCTGGAGGATAGTAGAGACTTGCCTTAGAATTCCCTTTGTTTTACGCTTTGTCCATCCCCCACACACGATGTACATTACTTTGTCTCAATTTCTTTCAAGAACAAGCTCATGTTATTGTCACATTATCAATTGTTCCCTATGCATTCGTAGGTTGGAATCTTTGATGTTGATGTTTTGATTTGACAGCGATCAATCCCCGTGGACGTGCTGTACTCGTCGATTCGTGTAACGAAACAAGCCCAACAACTCATAAACCAGTATCGCGGCCAGAATCCATTTCCCTCGACGAACGAATGGTCTCCGGTGTTATGTCCATGTCCCTCGCCCTGACACCTCCATCTTTCTCGGTCTTTTCAAACACACCCAAAAACCCAGAAAGATGGCTCACCAGGATATTCTACTTCTGGCACCAAGAAGCAAATTCTGCCAAGCTCTTCCGCCGAGTTCCGACACTGGGACTCCTCGGACAATGGAACCCCCAGGGAGGCAGCAGTTGCAATCGAAGTGATCAAAATGAATGAAAAAGGCCTCTTGGGGTCTGAACTACCATATCCCCCAAAAGGAAGAAACTCTGGACCACGAGGAACATAGTTCATTGCCGTAGTGTTAAAAGCGACATCATACTTCAGCAGTTTCCGATGCGGGATCATGTTTCTCAAGACTACCAAGGAATCTTCCGGCTCGATGGGCTGATGACTGATGGCAATTTATTGCAGAGAAATCATTTGTGCATGAAACAAACTCCAACATCAGTATCACCGGACGGAAAAGGATGCAATTGGATGTTTGCAGACCCATATACTACATAGAAGTACGTAAGGCTTATAAACTCTATGTCCATGCTTTTAAATCAAATAATGCCTAGAAGATACAAAATCTACACTCGGCCTAATTGGGGGCCGTAAGAGCAAATAGGGTCCAAACATGGTCAAATGGGGCTCTTCTAATGTTTCCCTATACCAGCTAGATACTTTCTACGTTGGATCCAACTTACGATGGATGGTGGACAGTCACGGAAACGTTGATCTTGAAAAAAAAAAAAAAAAAAATCTGACTGGTCAACAGCGGGCAATATGAGCTTCAAACCGATTTGTAGCCTCCAGCAAATATACATGATAAGAAACGAAAATAAAGTAAACGAGCAAGTCCCTCCCAGTATCCATGACACGATAAGGCAAGCTTAGAACTTTTTACCATATGGCTCATAGGTGACCGATATTTCATCAGTTCTCTCAATACCAGCAGCCCCACGAAGAATGGTTTCGTCGCTAGTATTGTTTTTTTGGTGCTTCATGACGGTAGTTTGGTATGCGCCACCCTTTTTCTCGACAACCGATGCGCCAGGCCCGGGGATCGAAAGTATGCCATACTTCCGGCCACTTCCATACAAGGGCAGCTTGTAGGAACTGTTGCCACCATTGCTGCTGTCCTTGCCGTCTTTTCCATATCTGATGCGGATGTATAGAGGTCGAAGAACGGGGATTGTTGAGCACATGATAGTCACGGTACTCTCGGTGGCGGACCAGATGAGCATTGGCACAGTATCATCTTAAGTATGGTCAGTGGTATTCATAAGGAATGAGCTGGAAGCAACTCACATATGTACTCCGATGCGTTGAGCCCTGACAGAGCTACGGTGCGAACGATTCCACAGACTCCAGCGCTAAATTGGCTCAGTCAGGAGGATTCTCAATATTCTGGTAGTTCTGAACTTACAAGACTCCAAGACTCAAACCCAACGCCACGGTGATTTTCTCTTTTTGTTTCATATTGAGGTCCCAGACAACAAACCATGGAAGGATCGCGAAGGAGAAGTCGGCGGCAACGAACCATGCTGAAAAGAGGTATAATCAGCATTGATGGTCTAGTCTTTACCAAGTAGTAGGGTACTTACAGCCAACAGTGTAGCCAACCTTAGAAAAGTCCAGCCAGCATGTTCCCGGAACTGAATGATTCCAGCTTCTCTCCACCGGAGTGCATTGGACGATGACGGTGATACTGGCAAATAGAGTGATAAAAGCAGTGATTGCAAGGCATACCCGAATAAACCAGATCTGAATGCGATTTCGAACGATGCGAAGGAGGAACATTCCCACAGCTGCTTTTCCTACCCCAATGACCATTAATCCAGCCACTTGACTGAACAGCTCATACTTGACTGCTGTGAAATAGATATCTTGGTTCCCAACATCAGCAAGCTTTTGTCCAAGACCGTAGCAGCTTGCCACAGTGACGAAGACCGTGTAAATGATTTGAAGAACCTATTGGGAGTCAGCTTTGAGCACAAAAATGGAATATACGAGTCATTTACCAGTGAAAGAATGGCTAGATAATCGTCGGCACCAACTGCGTTCAAGATGGACTTTCGTGTATAGAGTCTTAGTCCCACAAAGACAGCAAAAACAACGACTTGAACCCAAAGCACTGCATTTGTCATAGGTCCTAGACCCCCGTAGACACCCATGTTGAATATGATTGTTGTTAAATCACCAAGTATGTGAGATGATCATTGAAATGATAGAAACTGACAGCCCCCAACTAGAACATGAGTATGAAGCCGAGGGTATTAGTATGAAAGTGTTTCTGATGTGTAAATTGGTCAACATTATTTCCTTCTCCTGGTGCGGAGCAAAGGTACGCTAGGATGTGATTATTGTGTCCTTCACGAATTTTCTCATACTACCGATGAAAGACTTGAAAGGTACGAGAGGCCAACAGTCTAGAATTGTGACCTGTAGGGTGGCATATGAAACACCCACGGGCTCACGTCGGGCTGCTGCCAGGGGCGTCCCACGGGCTTCGGAATATCCATTTGTGTATAGCTTACGCGGGTCAGCATCGACCGCATCCGAGCGCCCCACACGAGTAGGCCCAGGAAAAGATTGACAGGTCACATTAGCCAGGGTGATCATATAGACCCCGTATGCATATTGGACGGGAAACGTACATATGTGGGCCTGCAATTAAGCTACTGCTCAATATAGTAAGATGCGGGACCATGGCGGACGGTGTTTCTGACAGATAACGGCCGGAGGTTACTTCAAAAGCGATGTCTTGCCATTGGTGGCTGAGTGAATTGCATACGAGAGTCAAAGTATTCCCTCACATTCGACTGACGTAGAGGATACGTTCGATCAAACCGGAAAGGGGGTCAGCTCCCTTTGCCGTCAAAAGACACCGAGAGCGGAGAATGAACATGCCGGGAGATGAACGGTCGTGTTGTTGACCAATGTATCGGGATTCATGCAAACACACTACCGTTTGGAGTATGGCACTAACCATACAAGAATAAGGCAATCTCGTTGGCCAAGGTCATACCACGGCCAGGAATGGAAAACTGAGATAGATTTCAATCTGCCAGAGCCTAGACTCTTTGCTGATCCGACCTAGCTCAAAGAGCACGAGCTGTCGCCCCAGATGCTCTCCCTATTTCCGCTTCCCCGGTTATGTGGATCTGCAGTGGCGCCACCAAAACACAGCGATCCTTTCTCAAACTTGACAAGGGAAGGTTAAGGACCCCTTCGCTTGAGTGTTAGTTCAATCATATGTGATCGCAACCATAATTCTTCTACCTGTAAGGCTGGTGGAGCGATGATGTGGAGAAATTCTCCGCTCTAGAGACGGGGGGGCTGTCCGCGTTTGGTATGGTGCCAGCTGTCAGAAAAAGACACCAAAAAGTAATAGACGAATAAAATCCAGATCGAGAAAAAAGGTTCCGGCACTTGAAACGCCCGTCTCCTTTCCCATTATACTGCTTTTTGTCTATGATACGTAAAATCTAGCAGTGTTATCTCGCGATTGAAGTAGGCTGGCATCGAGCATTTTCGGAAGATGAGATGTTGTCAAGTAGATTAGTGTCGCTTGATGACACCAGAATCGAATAGAGGTAAAGACCAGACTCACTCTTCGCACATGCCCTACATATTGGCTTGTCGATCAGAACGATAGTCACTGTTGTTGCTTCATCAGAGACGAGAAAACATTGATATATCCAATTGCCCCACAATATGGAATGCAACTCTCCGGAAAGGGGCATCCACATATATTCAAGCAAGCATAAGGCAGCACGACATTTCGATCTATCTTCCCCACTTCGGATGGCGGGATTGAAGCCGGATCGAACGGCTGGGCTGTACGGCACGTTCAGACCTTGGCGTCCTAGCGCTTCAATCTCTAAAAGCACTTTTAGCTCAAGGAAAGTCCTGCGCATTGATACTCGGCTAATGGTGAGGGGTTTTCATTGTGGAGTTCACATTAGATTTGTCTCCATGTTCTAATTGGGCAATTGTCTATCCATTGGCGCTGCTAGTCAAAGGATAAGTCCTGTGAGGTTCCACTCACCATGTGGAAGCCATGAATGCTATGTCATCTGAAATTATATATAGCTATCTGTCGTAGCCTGCATGCTGCTCCGGTCTTGCATGATCATTTTATCCACTCTCCTGTACCTGTCACAAACACATCCTGTCCAGCCCGAGTCCGATCTGAGCAATCCGAAATGCCTTCAAAAGTACCAACTGAGACTGAACAGATTATCAGTGCTCTCGATGCGGTGGAGCCTGGGCTGTTTGGCGGAAATGAGGTAGAGCGTCTCAAGGTACGCGCAGCAGCTCGCCGTCTGCTCGCCAGGGTGGAAACGCCTTACGAGCGCGCATGGGGTTTCTGCTTTGAACACCCTGCTGTCTTTGCTGCTTTACAGACCTGCATTGATGTAGGCCTATGGAAATCTTGGACTGGCGTGGGAGGTGGCAAGAAGACCATCAACGAGCTAGTGGAGCTCACTAGTCCAACTGTGGATACAAATTTGCTGCGTAAGTCTAAATATCAGATATCATTTGCCTCATTGCTCTGACATGACGGAAAAAAAAGGTCGCCTTTTCCGTTTACTGGCCGCGTTTAATGTAGTTGAGGAGACATTGGAAGACACATTCAAACCAACTCCCTTTTCATACGCCATTGGTGACGAAAGTACCAAAGTTCGAGCATCCATACAAGCAGCGTACGTATGGTATACTCTGCAAATATCGTCACTGAGCTAATAGATCCCAGCACAAATCAATATATTGCTGCCGGTCACAATCTGCCGAGATATTTAGCTCAGATCTCCTACAGGGAGCCGACTGATTTTGTTGAAAACAACCATTCAGCCAGCGACCCAGATGGATTGAACTTCTTTGGAAGACTGCAAAAGAGCCCCGATTGCTTTGAGGCCTTCACTGGTCACATGGAAGCCTGGACATCATGGAAGACCCCCTGGACTAAGGTGTACGACACCACTCGTCTGCTTGATGGCGCTAAGCTGGACGATGGCTCGCCACTAGTAGTCGATGTTGGCGGAAACACCGGAATCGACATCTCACACGTCCTTGCCAAGCACCCTGACATTCCCGCTGGGGCGCTAGTCCTGCAGGATCTCCCGGAGATTATTGCCAACGCACAGGTTGATGAGAAGATTACGGCCATGGCCCATGACTTCTTCTTGCCACAGCCTGTCAAACGTAAGACATATTGAGATACCCGTATTGAATCCACCTATTGACATTTGAAATATAGGGAGTCGTGCTTACTTTATGCATGCTGTTCTTCACGATTGGCCAGATGACAAGGCCACGCAGCTGCTGGAGAATACCAAAAATGCAATGGTAAAGGACTACTCTAAGCTTTTCATCTACGACATTGTTCTTCCACCAACTGGAGCTAGTATTAGTCAAACAACTATGGACGTGGAGATGATGTCGTTGCTATCCGCTTCCGAGCGTACACAAGATGCGTGGACGAAGCTGTTGACTGATGCCGGTTTGAAGATTGTCAGATTCTGGCCTGATCCCCAAGAGTATGAGATGGTCATTGAAGCAGAAATTGCATAGATCCAATATGAAACAATGGCGTTTGAACGTTGAATTTTCTAAACGCAGCGATCTCTCAATTGAATGTCCTAGACTTGTATAGGCTCTTCACTTGTATAGAAATTGACAGGCCAGAAGAAGAAGAAGAAGATAGGAAAGGATGTTTCAAAGGAAAGGGAGTATTTCTGATTAAAAAGGACAAACAGTGCCCAACAGATATCATAGATATCCCAACTTTCATATTGCATTTTCTCCATCATCGTGAAATATGGCTGTCCCCATTCAGGCAGGTTGAAATATTTCTCTCCAATGGTGTTGACCAACTGATCAATTTGTGCCATTTCTTGATCGTCCATCACGAAACAGCTTCGTAGATTTCCAACGATACGCGCCGGATTGACGCTCTTTGGGATAACACTCCCACCCTTCTTCACGCCCCAGCTGAGCAGCACATTGCCAGAGCTACATCCTCTCCTATCTGCAATATCACTCACAATGGGGTCGGTGGTACTTCCACTACCACCAAGTAATCCAAACGCTGTTTCATAAATACCCTTTTCAGTACAGAGAGAATTCAATTTCTTCTGGACATGCAAGTACTGGATCTCTGTTTGATTCACAGCAGAAACGAGTTTGCAGCTTCTGGGCAATTTCTCGAGGTTCATGGTCGAGTTGGCAATACCAATCGCCTGGACCTGCCCAGTTGCTAGTAGCTTCTCCATCTCGTACCAGGTGGCTGTGAAATTCCAGCCAGGTTCATATTCGGTCCAGTCTTTCGTACCATATGTTTCAGGTGATACGGTTGGCAGTATTACAGGCCAGTGCATCATGTGAAGGGCAGGTTGCAATGCCGTCCTTGCAAGCCTTTTCAGCTTGAGCAACAAGGTTTTGTAACTCTGTCGTCTCTCTTGATTTTCCGTTGCTTCCACAGAGAGTACAGTTGCGCAACACATATAAGCAATAGATTGGCAATTCCAGTAACGCAATTATCGCGACCACAGCAAGACAAGGAATAAGCCGATCTGATGATCCAGCATAAGCGGCGAACTGCTCATGGGTAAACTCCTGCTTGATTCTGGTCCCCTTTCCACCATTTCCGCACGTCAACTTGACTCCAACGATGTTCGGGTGTTGCGCGAGCTCGGATACTGTGTCGGTGTACATATTTATGCCGTTGCACATTGCTGGGGACTGTTTCGCGTTAGAAGAATGATTCAACTCAAAGGATGCTCCTCGTGAGGACTTACACTGCAGACCACCGCGGGTAATGCTGTCGTGTCAGCCACATCCCTATAGAATCCAAGAATGGCATCCTTAGTAACTGCCCTGGCCCAATAACTCGGTGGAAGCAACAATCCAAAATTCGCGCCTGCATTTAATGCATCCTCTGCGAACTTGATCGACTCATTCGTCGATTAGCCACTGATTCCCGCGACGACAGAGGTCTAGGCGACCGAGATGAACAGCTGCTTTTCTGGCACCTTGGACTAATTCCTTCCCTTCTTCGGCGGACAAGAAACCCGCTTCCGCAGTGGTTCCGGTTCCGCAGCGGTTCCTGTTCCGCAGTGGTTCCAGCAGGTACGAGGCCATCAACACTTCCGCAGAGGAGGTACGGAAAGAATTGGTATGACGCATCGTGATCGATTTCTTATCGCGGTGTTGGTTCACAAAGCGAGATGACAGGACAGTAGATCCCTGGCGGGATGGGTGTAGACTTATTTGCGACAATACAAGTTACTGTGAGATGAAGTCGTTGTATGGCGCTGAAGATGTGCGAACACGGTTATCTGTTCTTCCTTATACCTCACAAAATACGCGACAGGGCCCCTCATAACTCGGCGAGTGTCCGAGATCTGATTTCAAGAGGCGTCAGTGAGGGGAACTGCCCCAACCAAAGCAGTGGAGAGTTTCCCGGGAACACGATTTGCATCTGCCGACAAAGAGATCTCAGCGAATGAAATTGAGGTTATTTGGTCAGTCTGGGGCACAGGGATCCCCCGCCTCTTCGTTTGTAAACTCGGGATATTCACCGGTGTCCTCGTAACTCTGTCATCCTGGTTTGTTCTCTATTAAAACCATGACCAAGCGCAAGCGAACCGTGACCGATGAAGATCCGGAAAATTTGCCGGCCTCAAATGCTTCTGACTTGAGGGAGCCGGCCGTCCTTGACGTTTTGCCGGGGATTACCCGGAAGATCACAGCATGTGGTGCATGTAGGAAACAGAAGGTATGTGATGAGTCGAACGCAACTCGAATCAAGACCAACAGGGATAGATCAAATGTGACATGACCAATGGTGCACCCTGTAAACGGTGTCGTAGCCGCGGTCTCAGCTGTGTTTTGAACAAAAGTCTGCAGTCATTAGTTGAGGAGGTCAAGTGAGTAATCCCCTGCTCGCATTTCAAAGCTATTCGAGCTAAGCTCATTAATTACCAGGAGCACCGCGACTCTACAGAGTGATATCTCGGGGGTTCACGAAACACTAGACAATATCTGCCAACACTTGAACCTTCCTCGACCAAAAGCCCTGCTATCTTCATCAACTGGAGACCCGGTCGAGATGGGCGAGAAGAGAAATGAGAATGATGATCTAGAGCGAGATGAGGAAGACTTGGAGGGCTGCGAGATCTCTCCACCAGATACCCCGTCTGCTATCCATGCTCCCATCGATACATATCTCGATATTGCCAAATTCAGGAGTCCGGGATCTTCTGAGAACACGCCACCAAGCACAACGCGCCACAAGCAGCACTCAGCACCTCAAGACCTTGTCAGCAAAGGAATAATTACCGTTACGATTGCAGAGATCTTGGTAGAACGATACTTTGCACGTCTGGATCCATATCTATATGGGATATGTAGTAGGTACCAGAGCCTTCAACAGGTTCGTTCTGCATCTCCAGTGCTACTTGCTGCTATCTGCACAGTATCAGCATTGCAAGATCCTCAAGGGCAACGTGTCTACGAGGTATGCAATCGCGAATTTCGCCGTCTGGTGTCGCGGTCGCTGTTTGAGAAGCATGATATCGAACACATTCGTGCATTATGCATAAGCTCGTTCTGGCTGTCGGATGCATCAAGGATTCTGTCCAGTGATGCCATTCGTCGAGCAGCTGATATGCGCCTGCACCGCAGTTTCGATCATCTCTCGGCTCCAATAGATCATCGCTTAGTGACCAGCATTAATGGGAATATTCAGCCCCTACACGACACTGCAGCACGACAAGATCGTGTGAGGCTCTGGTATCTGATATTCATCTCTGATCAACACCTTTCTATCCTTCACAATCGAGATCCGCTCCTCCGTAGTGACAAAGAGATTGCCTTGAACGCAGAAGCATTTCTTGCACGAGAAGACACCACAGACTGTGATGTGCGCATAATATCTCAAGTATCTCTACTCGTCATAATGAGTCAAGTTCGCGACCTGCTTGGATCAGACCAAGAAACACGAGTGCCGCAGTCATTATCGAACCAAATCACTCACTATTCTCGCCAACTCGACCGATGGTTCACCAAGTTCTCTGCACTCTTCAAGCCAGATCCGCGTATCGGTGATTTTCCCAAACGCGGCCTACAGCTCCACTACCACTTCGGAAAGCTGTACCTCGGGCATCAAGTCTTCAAAGGCTTAAACGGCGAGACCATACCACCATATTTCCTAACAGCAGCAAGTATGGCCCACGAAGCCGCTGTGGCAATTTTTGAAATGATCCTCCATGAAGATCTTCAAAAGAGTCACATTGGAATGCCGCATTATTTCCATATCATGATTGCGTTCGCGGGCCATTTCTTGCTGGAGATAACTCAGAATTACTACTTGCAATTGTCATTCGCGCCTGGTCAGAACTTCGAGTTGATTCAAAAGGTGCTTGAGTTATTCCAGGATACCCCCGCTGTTCAGCAGCATCCAATTTGCAGAATGACTCCGGGGTTGACGAGGAAATTGCGTGAGTGCGTGGGTGTGTTGCATGGGAATGGGCAGTTGGTTTCGTCGTCCATTGGGCATTCTATGGATTACACTCATAATCCTGCTCATATGCCGCCGCCGAGCCCATTCTCATTCCCTGGCGAGTCACTCGTTACTCCTGTCGATGACTTTTTGTTGGCAGAATTTGGGCAATTTACGTTCCCGGGAATGATGTCTAATGATATTTGAGGTTAAAGTGAATGATAAAACGATTCTATAATTGGTCTACGGTTGCATTGCACGCAAATGCCCGATCCCAGGCATGAAATGAAAATCCCCTTAGTCCCAACATTACAATCTCGGTGGAAGTCAAGTCTTTGATGTGAAAGCATATGGTGCCAAAGGTGATGGCGTCAGTGATGACACGGCGGCTTTGAGCAGTATCTTTTCCATTGCGGCCAAACCCTCATTGATTGTCTATATTCCGTATAGTTTATATGTGATCAAGGATACCTTGAAGGGATCTCGTGTCATTGGCCAAGCATGGTCGCAAATTATGGCCACCGTTGAAAAGTTCCAAGATATCGAAAAGCCTCATGTAGTGGTGAAGGTTGGAGATGCCGGACATGAAGGAATTATAGAGATCCAAGGTCTGTTGTTCACTGTTTCGGGGCCAACCACTGGTACAGTCTAGGTGGAATAGAACATCTCATGGGTTCACGAAAGGTTCGGCAGGCTTCCGGGGTAAGTCAAAAACTTACACCATATTTACTTGAAATCGATTTTATCGGCTTCATAACCAGATTCGCATTTTCGAGTTGGCGGAGCGAAGGGCTCCAAGCTACCGACTGTCCCAAAAAGGCTGCTACATTGAACAAGAACTGGTATTGCAGCTTCACTTTTGATGCATATCACTCCCCAAGGCATCCGCATACTTCGGAAATAGCTAGGCTTGGACAGCTGATCATAATCTTGACGATATTTCTCAGGATCAAATCGATGTGTATTCCGCTCGGGGTATACCTAGGGCTTGGGTCCCACCTGGCTATATGGCACTGCATCTAAGCACAATGTGCTATATCAGTACCAGATTTTCTAACGCAGAGAGTCGGAATTTTTGTTCAAAGGTCTGTTCATACAATTTTGTCAGAGTTATTACATCAGATCTTTTATGTACTGGTGGAACTATTGTGGAAGAATATTGGCGATTAAGTGTAGCCCGCATGCCGCAGGACACATTGCATTCAACTATTTGAACTATCTGCAAGATGTCGAATGGATACATACGGGGCGGATTAGATCCAGCCTGCAGCACCAATGGAATACTACACCGATGAGATATGACACATAAGAAAGCGGATGCATGGTGATATGCACCATAAGACAATGTCCCGAGGGACTGCTCAAAAAGGAAAGTCTCAAATCTAGTTGCTTGTCCAGCAACAACGCAGAAGACAGAGAAGAGAAAACCAACCTTGTACTTCAGAGTGAGGGAAGGTTCACTGTAGAGAATGGCAACTCACAACCACCGTGAGTTGGATGATCACTTCTTGTGATAGGACTGCAGGATCAGGTCGGAGACCTCAGGCAATTTGACGACGTTCGGATGGATTCTGTTATCAATTCAAACGGGGACCAGCCCCGGCGCGGTGGGTATGGCAAAGGTAGGATCGAGGGGGTACGAGGAGTTGTTCAAGCGGGAGTGGCGGCATGGCGTTTCGCAGTTACTTCTGACGAGCCCTGAAATCGATGTTGGTATTAGTGCTTCCTAGCTGTGGGAATCCTGGAAGGTTGTCCTGCGGGACGTTGGATAGCGGATTCCGGGATTGGTCTCATGCCAATTGAGGGTCGTCTCGCTTTGTTCTGCACACTTACGTCCAACTGGCTGATGTTTCGTTTCTGGCCGGCTGTTTCCGTTCTCTTGACGACCTTCTTCTTCGGTCGGACGGGCTTGACCTCACCAGGCTCGAAGACATCGTCGGGCAAATCAAAGCTATGGGGGTTCAGTTGAGCTCATTTCGTTGGAGATGATGACGATTGACTTACTTGCGGGTATGAGTGACGGCCAATTCCATGACCTCGGGCTGGAATCCTGTCCACGAAGTGCAGTTGGACTTGAAAATGTTCGCATCGGTGGAGATGTCCAGCTCTCGTGATTGGCCTGGGGGAGTTAGAAAGGTTACATAAGGGTAGTGAAAGAGTTACCTGGTTCGAGAGGCTTCAGCTCCAATCCAATGTAATACGTGGTGGTGTAGACGGTGTGACCATCGGGCTCGGGCTTAGTCTGGCTTTCGTTGGGCTCCGGGACCTCTGCGTTCTCGAGGGTGTTCTGGATGGCAGCTTGGTGAACCGCATCCTTTGTCTCGTCAGTCATCTCAGTTTTGGTGCCCTTAGCCTGGTACTGTGTAGATCCATTTTTGACAGCTTCCATCTGTTGTTCGTTGGCAATAGTATGAATTCTTTCGAATCCCTTGGGGAATGGGTGGGCAACTGCAATTATGGGCTTGCGGTCAAGAGCTCCGACAAGGTGACGCAGCTTGGACTCCACAAGACCTGACCAGGCTGACTCTGCCTCCTTCGTCTTGCTAGAGGCAGTGATGCTGATGTAATACTTGTAGTCCTTGGTGAAGAATGTGTGGCGGGTAAACAGGTCATTCCACGAGAGTTGCTTCATAAAGATCTTGTCCACCATATCTCCTCCTCGCTGAAGCTCCCTTAGGATGACAGCCTTCGTAGACAAACTGATGTTGTGCGTGGCACACATGGAGGGATATGCGGGGGTGATAATGGGCATTAGGTGGAATCGATCGCCGTGATAAATCTGACATTGTAAGCGGGTGATGTGGGAGAAATGCGGGCTGTCTGCGCACCTTTGGGTTCCAGACTTTCATCTGGAGCGGACCATCCTCAATCGGCTTCAGCAAGACGGGCTGAGGCCAGCTCCACTTGTTCATGATCCGGAAGAACTTGCCTACGATGACAGATCCGCTTGCTTGAGGGTAGAGTTGGCAAACTCGAGCAACCAACATAGCCCACGCGACACCACCAGGGAAACCCACGATGTTGGAATAAATGGCTCGTCCTTCAAAAGTCAACTCAATCCAAAACACAACACAACACTTCTAACGAATCACTTACGTTGGGCCCAAAGCTTAATCGCGCGCAGCGCGAGACGGAATGTCTTTTGCTGAGGCACAAGCTCCAGGATCTCATCCGTGACACGAGTTCCATTCAGCGACCGCACTTCTCTCTCGTCCAGCCCTCGCAGATAATCATTGTTCTTCAGGTCCAGATTCATCGGGATCGCAGGAATAATGAGGCGCGCGAAAATCAAATCGATGCTGATTCCACATAGTTCGAGCTTGATGATGGGCACGAACGCATCGGGCACTGGTGTCATTTTCTCAATTGCACCTTCGCTGGCCATTCTTTGGAGAATCGGAGGAAAATCGGAGAAGAAATCATCGATCAGGACATGCTTCGGTCCAACAACCAGGGTATCGATATCGGATCCTGCCAGCATTGTGGTCAAATAACGAACGACGTGTCCATCTGGCGCTACAACTTACCTGGTCCATAAACACCCAGGCGATAACTTCCATATGTGAAGATTTTGCCACCGGAAGCCTCGACGGCAGCATTCGACAGGCCCTTCTTGCGACTGACCACTTGCACGAACTCCACTGCGACGCGCTGCAGTAATTGAAGGACTTGCTGTCTATCTCGGCATCAGTTTGAATCCTTTCTGGCTTCCTTCTCACAGATCTGAACACACCTTTTCTCTGTCTCAGTCGGGAGCTCAAAGTTGTTCTGAGCCTTGAGCTCCGCAATCAGATCGTCGTTCGCCGCAAGCTCGCCCGGAGTCGGCAAGACTGTCGATATCGGAGGGGTAACACCCCACTGGCGAGCGGATGCTGCGGCCATCGCAATTATGTATCAACTTTCGAAGAAAGGATTGGTAAGGACGGCGTTAAGGTAGGGATTGCGTCTCCGAAGGTGAGCGACGATGGAAGAAAAAGAGCACCGCAAATGGATGACGCCACGCTTGAGGAGAAATTCAAATGAAAGCGGTTGAGCAAATTGATCTGGCGCACGCGACCCAGATTGAGTAAAGAAGGGAATGACAAGATTGCACCGACACGCAAGGTTCGTCGGCGCTTCCTGGATCACGCTTACTCAGGCGTCACATGATCGGTATGCGTGTTTCATCTGAATGTTTATGCTTCTACATTCATACATCATCAATCTGTTCTATTCCTGATTATGATGTTCACTATCAACCTAACATGTTCTTGATCTTGTAAGTCAGAGAGCTGATACTATCCGGTCCATTGTCCGCGAAGAATTTTGACATCTTCTTGTCAAGCCATTCAACATCCTCCTTGCTATCACCTGGACCTCCTGCCCAGTCTTCATACTTGATTAGCTGGTTAGGTCTTCAGGGGGGAAATAGATTGACTTACGCCCCCAGATTGAAGGGAAAATATCCAGTGTCCCAACACCGGGCTTCATACAAGCAACTTCATACTCCGAATCCTCCGGTCTAGATCGATGACACAGTCAGTTTGATCAGATTGAAGAGGCGTCAGTTCAACATACGGGAAATAAAGATCAGTCTTGCCCGGCAAAACAAGCGTCTTGGCTTTGATAGATGCCATGGCCTTTTCGAAATCGCCGTTATACGGCTCCTGCTGTGAGACATCTCCATTTTGCCAAGTTTGCAACATAACCAGCAAATTCTCCGGGTCTAGCAAGAAAATGTCAGATTTTGGAAGAAAATTATATCGAACCCAAACATACCTTTGGAACAAGCCCACTTCTCCCAGAAGTTGACCATGAAATCCTCGAGACCCTTGTATCCGAGAGCAGTTTCATGCAACTTGTGCCGATAAAAGGCCTGGCTGAAACCCCTGCATCCATGTATCAGAGATAATTCACACTATCAAATAGCCAGGGCACCTACCACCCAGCATAAACCCGACCCATAGCCTTCAATCCAACATCCTTCTCCTCATCCGTCCAGGTGAACGCCTCCGCGGTCTCCCTGACGCCAAGCTTCCCAGTCCCAGCAGAACGAATCTTCTTCGCCGCAATAAGCGAGCTCTTCACGCCCTCCAGGAAGACCTGATTATGCAACGATGTCTTCGCCGAAGTACAGAAGGGAATGACAATATCCATAAACTCCGGATACTGAGTGGCCCACTGGAATGACTGGGCACCACCCATGGACCAACCGACAACAGCGCGCAAGTGCGTAATATCGAAGTGTTTGGTCACGAGCTCATGCTGCGCTCGCACATTATCGTAAAAAGAGACCTTCGGGAATGGACCTGGGGCAGGCTGGTTCGATGGGGAGGAGGATTGACCATTACCGAATAGTGCAGTGACAATGATGAAGAATTCCTTTGGGTTGAGGAACTTGTCTTCGCCGATTAACCAGAAATTATCGGAGATGGCTATTACATCTTGTCAGTATTTCTGCACAGTCAAACACACCATGCACAATATTTAATTGTCCTGAATAGCATTTACCTCCTGAGAACCAGCTTGGATAGACAATTGCTGGAGACTTGGGATCACCAAATGTTTTGTATGCGATATGAGCATTGTCGATCTTCTGTCCACTCTGCAGCTCCCAGTCGCCCAGCTGATAGGTTTCGTATTCTTCAGGCATAGCCAAGGTTGTTTCTGTCTGATATTTGAGTTAGAGTGAAGAAGTTGCAATGGTTCACATCGGAAAACATGATATGCAGATGACCTCGCTTTTATAGTTGGAGATAACGACCCCGCTCCTCCGCACGGCTTGAGTCGGAGCTGTCGCATACTCCGACATTTGTCATGAGTGCTTGCTACATATCCTGAATAACGGTCTGGCTTGAATCTTCGGTGAGATTGTATTCGGCACGGAGGAATTCATGCTTACCTTGACTAGTGGGCAGTTCCCGATCACTTTCCGAGCTAGAAAGACCCCACTTGAGGTTGGTGAGCAACAATTTTGGAGAGGTTTGATTATTATAGACTTTGGTATCAGATCTTTATATCTTCTAGGATATCGCAAGCTATCTAGAGCCTTGCAATTTCTCGCTTGATATTTGGCCGACTTCATGTGGGATCTTCATCACCCCCTTACCATAGCTCTATGCAGCTCAGCTTATATGCTAACCCAAAATAGGAATTTGGAAAGCCAAGCTTCAAACACCAGACGCTAGTGGAGAATAGAGAGAGTGTTGATTATCAATCAAGTGGGATACCGGGGATGAACTTTGTGCTGACGAAATGTATATATCTGCTATATCTATAAGCAAATTTCTAAAGTCCCCGAGCAACATAACTTATTTACACATGATGTCACTCATCCTGCGAATATAAATACTGCCGCAAAGATCTAGTACTGAGGCCGAGGAATCTCAATAACCTCTGTAGTGCGACCGTAAGTGATACCACCAAGCCGACTAACAGGCTTCAAAACACTCAAGTCAATAGCACTCCTCTCCTCATTAATGGCATCATCTCTCACCCAGAAGCGAACACCCTCGACCATAGCCATACAACCAGACTTCTTCCCAGGAGTAGCGCGACTTTCAAACTCCTTAATCTCAACCAGCTTAGCCTCAATCGACAGCACAGACTCCTTAACACGGGCCGCCTTGACAACAGCACTAGGAGCCTGGTGCAGTCCAGAAGTCTCCCACTCAGAGACACCATAGGGAGCATTGATACAAGTAGAATTAGCCGCCTCGATAAAATGCTCCGAGATAATATTGACCACGCATTCCTTCGTCTCAGCCAAGTTCTTCAATGTGTCCTTTGCCTTCTCGAACGAGCCAGAGAATCCAACGACGAAGAGAGGAGGGTCGTGGCAGACGACCTGAGAGTAACTGAACGGCGCCAGGTTCGTAGACTTGCCATCAGCAGACCGAGTACTGATCAAGGCAATGGGCCGAGGCACCATTCCTGAAATGAGAAGCTTATAGTTGTTCACAGCGGGCCGACCATCTGCATTGGGGTCGATCTCGACGTGGTTCTTCTTCAGACTTTCGCCGTTATCGTTTGCACCGTCGCCATTCTTCCAAGTGGGGTTTGGGGACTTGGTATAAACGATTTCGGCGCCCTCCCGCCAGTCTGGGCGTGCTGCTTGGACCTTTTCGAAGTCGGGGTGGCTTGACATGTTGTGTGTTTGGCTGAAGGGTCGAGAGGATAGATATGGGAATTTGGATTGTGTGCGATTTGCTAGGAGATGTTTTGGTCTGGGGATTATAAATCAGCTGTGTTTACCGTTGCCCCGCGGAGCTTGAGATTGGTGCGCATGGTGGGTGCTTGGGGTTGTTGGGAGGGTATAGTGGCATTGAGTTACTTACAGCAAGTTCAAGGAAGTTATCCGAGTAGTTCGGTAGAGAGATGTCGGTAAATGCATGAAGACTGGAGTTGAATGTGGTGGAAATAGCTGCACCTTGATTCCTTATCGCGTTTATCGGCATGGTAATGCCACGGCATATTAGTGAAAATGTAGATATTGCCACGCATCTTAGTATTCATGTCTTGATACACCATGCGTGCCCTTATGCTCTCCCCTTTCTCGGGCCGATTGCTATCCCAAGCGGGAATTTTTTTACGCGCACCACGTCAACCGGTTAAATGCATCGAACTTTCGATTTACTTTCCGTTGATGCTATTATAGCTCTATGCACATTTTATGTAAAGCCCGGCTCACGAGAGCATCCTTGTTAGCGAATATCCAAGACTTGAACAAGGGTTCAGCAACAATATAAGCTTTGCAGAACAATCAATGTATAAGTTATATAATGACGTCTAGTATACATTTTACAGATACTCCTGGGGATATCTAAGTCCCAAAAGGGAACGTGGGGTGGTCTCCGAAACACGGGCCCCCAGATCCCCCCGGAGTTTCAATTCCGGGGCCTCGGAGTTGATGCGACAAGATCTTTACCATACATGCACCATAGTCCACTGTGGCATCATACAGGGTATTCTTGCCGAGACTAAGTATCAAAACGACTAGAGCAGTTGACCCTATAGACCACTTAACCCCCACGAGCATGTATGGATCGCCCCACCGGGCAAATCCCATGACCTTCAGATTTGTCCCTGAAGGCCTAAACGAGAGGTGGTTACTGTGTCCAACTTAGCGGTCAAGACCCCTTTGGAAAACATCGTGAGATTCTGGGTGGCGTAGTCCCCCTCTTCTCCAACTTTCCTCCTCTTTATCCCTTGTCATCTGTCATTTAACCCCATCGTATTCGCCCACCTGATGCAGTTGTCGTCATTGAACCCTGTCCTTCTATCGTACCTCCCCTACCTTTTAATCTATCCCACACTCGACCCTCGTCGCTCCAGTTGAGCCACTGCGCGCCGACCGATCGCCCCCCTTCGAACCTGGGGCAAACAGAAAAATACCCAATGGGTCGAGATCACGGATAAAAACCGGCTCGCCATGAGCCCCCCTTCTCCCAAGAAGAGCGGCAATCCACCACCGCGCCAGATCCGCTTTGTCGCAACCGACGGCCAGCCGCAAACCAAGCGCCGTCGAGTCAACGCCGCGTACGTGAACAGCCCTGGGCCTATATGATCTACTCGGCAACCTCCGAAGACTGACATCACATGCGATCTACTTTTAGTTGTCTCACATGTCGCCGGCGCAAGATACGATGTTCAGGCGAGCAGCCAGGTAGGACGCGCCAGCTGTCCTAGTCGATATACCGTCGCTGATGGATGTATGTGGACAGTTTGCAAGACGTGTTCCGATTATAAGCACACGTGTCTTGGTTATACCGATTCGACCGCCCATCTGCGCACACAGTCCGATTCTACGAACCGTGCTCCGCCGAACTTGTCCGGGCAGAATGGATCTAGTCAACGTGTTGCCCGAGCTGTTGAGAGTTGTTCCCCGGAGCCGACCCTGCCAACTATATCGAAACCTGCTGTGGATAAGTCGCCCAAAAACAAAGCACCGGACGGAAAAGATACCTCTAATCGAGAGCCATCGCGAGCGAACAAGGAGTTGGACACACAAGCAGCTGTTGATAGCCCTCGCAGCAGTGAGTTGGAGATGCAGCTCGGTCACGGCTTTGATCGTACTGACTTGGATATTAGGAGGGACCTCTGTGAGCTCGGGGAATCGCACCCATGTCCCATACTTTCGATACTTTGGACCCACAGCTATCGTGCCTGGATTTAAACAGATGGTTTGCTTTCCCTTTGATCTATACGGCATGACAGCTCTCTAATCAATCATCAGGTTGTACAAGTTCGAGGCTCTCGCAAAAGTAATGCTTCAATGTCTTCAGGTGAGTCAAGATTTATTTTATCCCATAGTCTGATGCATGCATGGCCCGGGAATAATGTTACTTATGTTGATATATAGATTCCCTCTCTCCTGTCAGAAGCCCCAAAACTTCCGGTATTACAGCTGGACCGTCAGCCCCGGTAGCAGAGAACCGTGATAATCGCGACGCAAATACGATCCCATTTTACGACCGAGACGATACGCTCCCCGTTTCGAACCTTGTATCCCATCTATGCGATCTCTTCTTCGCCCACTTGGGTTGCAGTTTTCCCTTCCTACAGCGCGACAGATTCCTTCAAGATCTTAAAGATAAAAGAGTTGATACCATGTTGGTAGATGCGGTGTGTGCATTGGCTGCAAGATTCTCACCGCACCCTTTACTTGGGCCACCGCAGGCCCAGCCTATCGATAATTCGCAACCACTACTAGACGACAAGAAATGGGATCGGGGTTTACCCTTTGGTCACCGGGCAATGAGCGCTTTGGTGGATTCCTTACCGTGCCCGACACTTTCCGCTGTACAAGCTTGCCTCTTACTGGCATATGAACAGTTCGGGTCAAATCATGACAGTGGTCTGTGGATGTACTTGGGGATCTCCATTCGAATGGCTCAGGACCTTGGTTTGCAAAAGTTTCAAGGATTAAAACACAGCTATGGTCAAAGTGGAGTCACACCAAGTGAAGTTATGACTGGGCATGCAGGCAAACTTAGGGAAGATCAGTACGATGACCTTGATGTGCACCATACACCGAAGACGACGCCAAAGCCGTTAAGCGCAGAACGGGCTCGGGAACGGGAACGAGTTGATTCTTTTTGGAGCATCTTCTTTTTGGACCGAGTAATCTCATCAGGAACCGGACGACCAGTGACCTTACGCGATGAAGATATCGAGCTCTGCTTCCCTCTTCAATCTGAATCTCAACTACCGAACGGGTGGCCTGCACCCTTCCCGCCGCTCATTCGTATTATTCATCTTTATGGGCGAGTCACCGATCTCATCAACGGGATCCAGGATGTCAAGCACGTTACACCGGATACCCTGAAAATGCTAGCTGGGATGGAAAGCGATCTTACCGGTATCTACCAGCGGTTATCCCCAAGGCTTCATTTTAACGCGGCCAACTTCCAGGCCTATGTCAAGGCCAAGGAAGGGACTAACTTCATCCTTCTCCACTTCTGGTTCCACACGCTTATTGTCCTGCTCCACCAGCCGACGTTGCTTAACTCATTCGGTGGGACCATCCAACACCTCTATCCCAACAGCCGAGAGCTCTCCATGTCATCCGCCAAAACGATCGCCGATATACTTTCATTCTCGGAGCTTGTCGATGGAAAAAGCTTCATTGGTAATCCATTCACAAGCCAGCCGATGTACATTGCGGCTTGTGCATTCCTTATGGAAAGTGCATATTATGCATCTCCGTCGAGCTCTGGATCACCTCCACCGCAGCCATTATTGACAAACCAGTCAAGTGGATTTGTTATGCCTAATATGGAATCATCGAATGGGACAGAACGAAAGTCTACCCAAAAGCATATTCTGCTAGCTTCTGCTGCCAAGGAGAACTATCAACGATGTTACAAGGCCCTGAAAGCACTTAATACTTACTGGGAAGGCACTGGTTATATCTTGACAGTGCTGGATCAGAAGGCGAAGGGCATTGTGGACCCTCTTCTTTATACTGTAGAAGATATGGAGAACGCTGATGGGTTTGCCCCAGGACAGCCTGTCGGACTGGGACCTTGGCGGACAGGCAAAACACCGGCAGAATCTAGCTTTGATCTGGAAAGAGCAGGAGTGGCTAATATTCCATCTGATGGGAGGTGGTCACCACATATTGATCCAAGTCAAGGTATGGTTATGTGACAACGTAGTATGGAATATTCACTAACTCACTTTTATCTACAGCAATTGGATGGGCACTTGCAGGAGCTACAGGCTCTGCTCAGCCGAATCTGAGCTTGCTCTACCAAATGCCAACAACTCAGAATGAACATTTTCGCAACAGGCCAACATACTCGTCCCAACATAGCCACAGCTATCCTATTCTCTCCCCGACTGCCGGAGAAGGCCCCAGCTCCTATGCCCAACCTCTCACCCAGCCTCAGGGACTTGAAAAGCACACATCAGCTCTTCAAACACCGAATCCCAAATACTCGCACATTCCATCCCCAAGCCTCGGCAACGAGCCCTACTACATGAACCTGGATCCAGCATACCCAGAATCAAGCACCCAAACAGCGAGACCACTCTTCCCCAACCTCCCATCGTCCCAAATGGAAACCCAACAATCCTACAATTACTCGATACCTTCAACCGCGGATCACTCAAGCAGAAATCACATGGGCTCTCGCGGTCCTGACCTCCACCCAACGATGAATACAGATAATGGGATGATGATTGGAACCCACGACGTCGATATGAATTCCCTCCACCACCAGGACTCTTTCCCTTTTGCAAATGGCGAGATTCTGCCCTGGCTGGAGTATCTCCCACAAGATGTCCTCAGCTTCTTTGGAGACCATCAAAATTACCCTCTCATGAGCCCTGACGATGCGACGCCACGGCCTCCATAACGTTTGATGTTTGATTCTTCGTAAATATTCTGTATTTTTGGCGTGCTTGCATTTTGTGTGTTCAGCGATCGGTGTTTACTTGTTTCTGTCCTCTTTTGGAGGTATGTATGTTCTTTCTGGCGCCTAGTGATGATATCCTTGGGCAGCACTAGATCGCCTTGGTTTTATATTTATATTATTGCTTCGGTTATCGTCTACAATCAACCCGACTTCAGCGCAGTTGACCCAATCCTTGAGTATTGACCTCAACACGTGGAACTAAGTATAACACTTCAATGTGGAGTAGCTGGTGGCTTAACGATCGACCTGTCATCCGTCGATCCGTTGCCCGGCACAACGGGGCGGTGAGCCATTGTCAACAGTGTCCAACATTGACACCTAACGTTAGCATTCACATTCATGCAGTGAACTCTTGTTTCACTGTGGTCTAATCTTCAAACTCTACACAGCAGATAGCCTCACTATCGTGCAGCCGCAGTGCATGACAATCCTATGGCGCGGTTAAACGACGATAGTCAACACGACACATCAACAGACATACTAAGCCCGCAACCATTCGCACCGCAAGGCAAAGGCTTCCTCGTTTCGTCGCTCGAATCAAACCACAGCAATTCCCAAATGTCCCACCACGACTATGAATACCACTCCTCCTCATCCTCAACCCGCCACTCAACAAGCGACGTCTTCGGCCACGAGATGGACGACGAGCTAGAACATCTCAAGTCCAGAACCTCGAGTCGCTCATCGCTCTCTTCCATCCCAGCTTCTGTTCTTATCCACCCAGTTGATCGCATGAAGCAAATGAAACAGATGCCCGACATGGATATCCACGAGAAAATCGCCGGCTACAACATGGAAGAGTCCGAGGCTAGCTTCGGTGATTTCAACGAAGTGCCCGCTAATATTCGCACTATCCGACAGCGCGAAGCGGCATTCCGGAAGCCGAGCTCGGTTAGAGCTTTACAGATGCACACCGAAGACGAGGCTGACGAGGACGACTACTTGACGCCGCCGCGCCGAAGGGCAGGTCTACGTTCGCCAGGCTCCTCCCCATTAAAGCGCTCGCCCTATTACTCACCTAATGGATCACAAACCAAGCCAAAAGCCAAGAAAGAGCGAGAGCGCGAGAAGGATAAAGAGAAAGAGAAAGAGAAAGAGAAAGAATTCCCACTAGTCCTACTACACTGCACGCTTCTCCCACCATCAATCCCTGTACCAGGGGCCACAGACCCTCGGAACCAAGACATTGTCGAGGAAACCCTACCATCGGAATACTGGAAACGCTGGCGCCGCCTGCAAGACAGAGTAGGATCAGGCGTTCTCCGCGATAGAGGCGTCCTGATCTCGCACCCAGAAGATCTATACGACATGCTCGAAGAACGACTCCTTGAAAGCCTCGAACTGCAACGCCCGCGCCTTCAAAACGGTCATTTCCTCGGCCGCGAAGAAAACGACACAGCCTCCGAAGGCGAAATGTCCGATATAGGCGAAAGCGAAACAGACGGCGAGCAGGGCGATGCCTGTCCAGACTGCGGCAGCCACGTCCGTCACGGGGATAGTAATCGTAAATGGGAGATTCGCGTCTTTGCCGCGAATGGACTTATGCGCGCCGGTGCTTGGGCTGCTGCTTGGCGTGACATGGAGAAGGTTGATGTTGAAGTCGGGCTCTGGTTACCGTCTGATGTTAGGCGTGCGCTGGAACGGAGGTTGGGAGAGGAGTCTATGGCTCTTACGCATGCGCATACGCCTCCGCAGTCGCATTCGCATATGCATGATCGGTCTATTTCGATGTCTACGCCGCAGATGGAATCGCCTTCGCTGCTTGATGCTGATAATCGGATTATTCCTGAGATGATGCAGTCGCCTATGCCTGGGCATCTTCGTTTGATTTCGGACGCTGGGTCTTTCCAATCTGAGGCTGTGCTTTCGAGGCAAGCTCTCCTTGAAGGCAGGAGGGATTCTGTGCAGGAATTTGGACTTCAGGACAGGAAGGCGGGTCAGCAGCAGGATCAGCAGGGACAAGGACAGCATCAGGTTGCCCTGAGAGTTCTACTCGTTAATTACCTTCGTGTGCTTGCTGCTGACCGGCGCAATGTTGCACTTGTCTTGCTGAGTGTTCTTGTTGCTTTCCTTGCCATTGGTTCTGTCCAGCAGCAGCTCTCGCCGTCTGGTGACATCCGGCCCCTGCCTCGGGATTTGGGGTACGATGTGTTGGAGCCTTCAGTCGCTTCTAGCTCCAGCGTCGCTGTGATTCCGTCTGCCGCTGTGGCGAGTCCGGTCGAAGTGCACAGTACTCCGACCTCGAGCTCTGTTGCTTCAATGCCGACCGCCGACTCTGCGCTTCCCGCTGAAGACTCGGATGAAGATGTTTCTTTGGAGTCTGAGCCTGCGGAGCCGGTAATCCCTTCCACTGAATTGGCTGCGCCCACGGCGTCTGCTGAGACTCTGGTAGAGCCCGAGGTTCTTGAGACACCTGAACCCCAGGCTGAAGAGTCTCTGGAATCATCTGACCCTTCTGTTGATTCTGCTGGAGATTCCGCTATGTCTACCGAGGCCGCAGAGACGGCGACAGCTGTCGAAGTCCTTGAGACACCTGAGCCTAAAGTCGAAGACCCTGTGGAAGTATCTGATTCTCCCGTTAATTCCGCTAGTTCCACCGGGTCCTCTGAGATTGTCGACGACGCTCAGGTTGCCGAGACCGCTCAACCTGAAACAGAAGACGCGAAGGAATCCCCTTCTCCGGCCGATTCTGTTGGTCCCCCCGCCGCGTCCATCGAACCCACCGATCCCCCTCACTCCCAACCAGAGGATGTGGAAGAAGATGATGAACTAGTTGACTCTATCAAGTCTGCTACTGTAACCGAAGAGCCCGAGTCTGCGATTGAACCCCCGACATCGGAAAGCACCCACTCCCAGTCCGACACCGATGCCCAAGAACTACCTTGAAACTGAAACATCTCACGACCATGATTGGAATGATATATAGCGATATGCTTGGAATTATACGTTGGCGCCTATTGATATAGCCATAGCCTCTCATTTATGAATTATGTACTTGCCGTCGAAGTGGATCTGGATCTATTAGCGAGTCTATGAAATGTTCGTATAAGAGACTTCCAATTATAGTGCGTGGGGGCCCTGCTCCACTTTGCCCCGGGGTCCTCCAGGGCTCTTCTCGCTTAGCCCCATATATCAGATGCAGATATTGCAGTACACTACATTGATATTACAAGACAGTTTACTGGTAGAAAAAATAACCTCGAAGAATTGCGATTTTCAGAGTACGGATATTCACACGGGTATCACTTGTGTCCAGCCCAGGGGATCACCAAAGAGGCAGGGGCAAGGCAAAATAATAAATTGAGCCCTCTACATCCCGCACAATGTAGACCAGGAACCCAAAAAAGAAAAAAATCCGGATTGGCTCATCGATTAGTCGTAACAGTCGTTGAGAGAACAAGTTCGATTTTGTAGGCATTCACAGGGGTGGAGGGGGTATGGGATCATGAGGATCGAATTTTTCCCGACCGTGAGAGAGAGGTAGTCACAGGTCACAGGAAGTGCAAATCAAAGAGAGACCCGTTTAGTAACCGCCGTTACCACCACCGTAGCCACCCTGCTGGTAGCCACCCTGCTGCTGGTAGCCACCGCCGTAGCCACCGTTGCCGCCACCGTAACCGCCACGGCCACCGCCGAAGCCGCCGAAGCCACCACGGCCACCGCCGCCGGCGCCACGCTCAGTAGCCTTGTCGACACGGATGCGACGACCGTCGAATCTGGAAGAGGAGGGTTAGTAAATGCTTGTTTCAGGGATGGGGGAGGGGGAAGTGGGGCATTGGACAGCGTAGCTGGGCGCTCTCGCAAGCGCGACAGCACAGGGGTGGAATTGGAGGTAAACAAAACAAAGACAACAGTCAAGGCAGTGATGGTCAGTGATGGGGGAGAAAAGGGGAATTGTAGCTTACTCCTGGTCGTTCATGGCGTTCATGGCTGCGGTAGCCTCATCATCGGAAGAGTAGCGGACGAAACCGAAACCGCGGCTGCGGCCAGTGTCACGGTCCTTGACGACGGTCTAAGAGTAAACAAGTCAGAATGGACGCGATCGGGCGGTCGCATGGGCAGAAAAGGAAAACTTACAGCCTCCTCAACGACGCCGAACTCCTCGAAACGCTGGCGCAGAGACTGGTCGTCAGTGCCCCAGGAGAGGCCTCTGGAAACGGAAAACGGTCAGTACTGGTTTCACGAAGGTTTAGATGAACATACCCGATAAAAAGCTTAGACATGTTGATAAAAGTGAGTGGTTTGGATGAAGGAAGAGACAGGAGGTTGGGGGGTGTTAGTGTGAAGAGGGGCATAGCCGAGTTGGATCTTAAATATGGCCTCCCCCCGGGCCGGAACAACATCTGGCCAGATCACGAGTCCTGATTTTTCAGGCGAATTTTATTTTTTTGCTTCTTCTTTTGTTGGAATAGTTTCATTGTACTTTAATTGTATGTTTTTTGTTCGGCATTGATCTTGGGGCGATGTTCGGTGTCGTCGTCGATCCGAGCTCCCCGTGGAGAAGCTGGAGAAGCTCCCCGTCGCCGATTCCACGTACAATGACGCTACTACTCAATGTTACTGAATACCCAATAGGCCAATTGGTCGTTGTAATGCTGAAGAGCTCGCACAGCATAAATAACAATGTATAGCATGTACCGTCTACCTATCTACTCCGTACCCCGTACCTGATCAGATACACGTCGGCGCCATCTTTCTCCGCCCCTCCGATCTACATCACCCCACCTTTCTTCTATAAAATCCCCGATCTGACAGCTCACTCTTCCACCATTCTACCCCAACTCCATCCATCTAAGCCCCAAGTACGCACGTTAGATCAGATCAATATGCCCGTCATCCCAATCACTAGGTATGTAGATCAATCTCCATTCGCCAAAAAAGGTACTGATCCCCACCAGCCTGGCCGAGTTCAGGGAGAAGATTCTTGAATCTGACGAACCCGCCCTCTTGGACTGTTTCGCCGAGTGGTGTGGCCCCTGTAAGGCGATCGCGCCTAAAGTCGAGCAGTGGAGCGAGCAATACCCCGAGATCAAGTTCTACACCTTTGACGTGGACAAAGTGCCCGATCTCTCTGCCGAGCTTGGTGTGAGAGCCATGCCTACTTTCATGCTGTTCAAGGATGGTCAGAAGTTTTCTGAGGTTGTGGGAGCTGCTCCTCCAGCTATTGAACAGGCTATACAGTCTCTTCTCTAAGGGATCCTGTTCACACTACAGCCCTCTGTTGAGCGTTACGCTCGTTACCCTTCAAATTCTACAATACTAGATGCCCTTAGTGAATCTACGTGACGGCATTGATTTCTCTATTACGTGCATTATGTAACATGGTGAAGTCATGGACAAAGTGGTGCCCAGGTGTGGTCTCCACTCTTACCCAGCCCCCAAAACGTTCAGGTTTCGGTCATGAAACGACGATAGCGGCGACGACATACAAATTTCCATTCTGCCCTATAACGGGAAATTCTAAATATCTGCGATATCCGCGACCAATTGCTCTCAAACACAGATGCATGATGACTCATCGACATCTGCTCGTTGGCCTGCTTGTTACATACCTACAGACAGACCCACGGCTTATCTAGATCAATACCAAGGAATTCACGAAGCCAATGCCAGCGACTCCATGTCCTGTTCATAAAACCATGATTACCAAGCGACATTCACTGACCTCCTACCACGATACTAAAACCCATTCCCATTCAAGTAATTCGGCGGAACAGTAGGCCAAGTATCAACCCCATCCAACATAGCCAATGCCATACCCCCACTTTGATGAACCTGGATATGACAATGCATCAAGAACGCGCCAGGATTAACAACCTGATACCGAATCGCGAGCCAAGTCGGGCCCTGCGTGGCAGGTGGCGTGTTAGATGTATCGCGATACTGAGGCGTAAGCAAATTAAAGTTACCAGGGATAGCCTGAACAGCCTGAGCAACAGTGGAATAGTTGAACACCCCGTTCCCTTGTCCGATAATGAAATGCTTGTTTGAATGTTTGTGGATTGGGTGTGGTGGTTGCACGGGTGTGGCGACTTGGATGATGAGATCGACCCAGGTATCATTATTCGTTTTGATAACCAAATTGCTAGGAATTGAGCTCTGGTTGAAGAGGAGAGGTTGTGATTCTTCTAATTCCAGGCCGTAGCTGCCGTTTCCTAGTGTCCAGCGGTATGAAGCGCCGAACCGGTCAACGTTTAGGAAGAATGTTCGGGCGACGGTTGTTGATGGGACGAGAACTGGGAAGGGGGTTACGAGTGATTCGTTGAGGAAGATTGTTCCTGTTGTGGCGTTTTGGTCGTTGATTGTTATCCAGGGATTGGAGGCTCTGTTTAGTTGTGAGGTGCCTTGGTATCGGAGGATTGCGGTTGTGTTGAGGATTTGTTGGACGCTGGCACTGACGAGACGCACGGTGTAGTCTCCTCTTGGTTGGGTGAGTGGCACTAACACGGAGTAGCGGTTTGAATTTGGGATTGTGAGGGCGTTCACTTGGACGGGGCGGATGTAGCGTCCGTCGATGGCGTATACCCACATGACATGCTCGTCGACTGAGAAGGTGAGTTCCAACACGCCGGATGCACTGGTCAAGTCCCAGCTCACGAACTGCTGGGAGGCATTGACGTTGAAGATCTCTTGGGGTCCTTGAGATGGTGTGCAGCCGGAGAACATCGTAGGAAGAATTGCACTGTAGTTGTGTGGGAAATTGCCCTGTGCAGAGGTGAGATTTGGAGGGAAACATCTGTTAGAATTGTCAACATTTCAGTTCACCACATTCACATGGAACTACTCACGCGATATCCGTCAAGCTCTCATTACCCAACGCACGCCTCTGAGCCTCCGTAGTTAAAGCATCAATCTGCGTAGGCGGAAGACAAGTAACAGACCCTTTGCCATTGATGAGCAAAGCATTAGCACAATAGGAATCAACACCAGATGCAACCTCCGCACTCCAGATCTGTTCCGAGGTAAGAAGCCGCCAGTCCGAAAGTAAAACAGAGCAACCATTCCGTTCGGCGTTTATCATAGCATTGAGCTGACTGGTAATGTTCGTAATGAGGCTGAACGGCTTTGTCACAGAGGCTGAAGGGGCAATATAAATCGGACCGTAAAGACCATCTTCGAGCGAACCACGATGATGCGCATGATAGAAGTATGCCCCGTAGTCATTTGCTGTCCACCTATAAAGGAAGGTAGTGTTTGGCGAAATTGACCGCTGCGAGACGCCGGGGACACCGTCGGACCAAGGTGTTCCAATCTGTTCAATTCCTATAACGGTTCAGTACTTTCCACGGCAAGTATATAAAGAGAATTAGACACACCATGGAAGTGGACAGTAGCATTAAATGGACACCGGTTATCAACCAAGAACTGAACATTGTCGCCTTGATTAATATTCAGTGGAGGACCGGGATACTGTCCATTCATGGCAATAACCGGCCTGGAAACTCCGGCAACGGTTCTATTTGTCCATGACAAAGTGACTGGGAAGAATACCGTCGCGGCAGCTGCCCATTGGCTGAGACATATGAGGATAATGGACAAGCCTCCGAAGGAGAGCTTCATAGTTATTGGTGTATATTAGTCTTGCAAAATGTGTTTATATTGTCAGACCTGCTGTAAAGATCATACTTCCCTAAGGCTTCTTATCCTTTTATACGAGCTCGCAGACTGATGAGACACCATATGAGGATATGCATCTCAATCTCGCCCGATGTTTCTCTGTGCCGATTATCAACATTGGATGCAGAGTGTCCATGGAGTCGCTTTCTTGTGAGCTCGTAAAGACGCCAGAGTAAGACCACTATTCCCGTTGGTTTTGTCCAGGGCCATTGCAGCCTCTCAGGAGAGCTAGCAAGAGAAAGGTCAATCCGAACATCAATATATCGATCGAGGATCGTGGGTCTTCACTTACGACTAGACCAATCATGCCCAGTTAGAAAACGATAAGGGCCTCTCGGGACTCTCTCATTTCCGGCAAGGGGTCCAATTCGCACCCGAATGACCAATTCAACCAACGAAGGGCTGATGACGACGTCCATCCACATATCGGGGAGATGTACCCCCGAACAATATATTGGCAGTGTTTGAAGGGTAAGCCTGCAAGTGATGTGGGCTGAGCTCAACAGCACCGGGGTGATCTCATAGCCCTAAGTCAGATCAGAGCGGGGACTTTATGCCTCGGCATGATACCGGAGCGGGGCAGAGCCCAATGAGGCATGACGAATTTGAAGGTTCCGTAGCCACGCGAGCGCCTGACTCACTTCGGGATCTGGGTGGATTGCATGTCAGGCCAATGCGAACCAATATTAATGGTTGCAATAAAGAAATGTCGGTCTTGATCATCGTGGCTTGGGAGTCAACCAGTCATCGTCTCGACCAAGGAAAGCAGGTTCGGCAGAAGGCCTTAATCCGGGCTTAGCATGGACGCCACGTGCCTAGAAATGGAACAATGTACACAATTCTTCGGATGAATCAGAAGTCACAATGCGTCCCCAGGCTGGGTGACGTGTGTGCAAAGGAGATGGGGGGTGGCTAGGTTGAAAATTGAACTACACTCCGCGAGGATGGGATGTGGGAGTTTGGACTGGACTGGGAAAAAGGAATGTGTATTTAATTGTAGTATCATCGCCAACATTGTGATATCAAATTATATGCCATGAAAATGGAAATGAATCAAGCAAATTCGTAACAGGTAACTTTTACTTGCTATGCACAACCCTGCGTAGGTTAGAATAATAGCCATGATATGGCTCAAAACTGGCTTTGGTGATCGATAACCCCGGAGAGGTCAGGCTTGGATGCATCTGAAGCAGGGGCGTGGCACTCTTTGGAATTGAAGATACCGACCGGATGTGAAGAAGGAACTTCACCCATCAGCGTCTGAGAAGTGGGCTGGCCAAGTATATCTGAGTTTGGCCATCCCTGTCCCCCAACCACTTTGTGACAAACATCGTCATCTAAATTCATGCCTTCTAGATCATCGGGGTTGATTTCGCCATAGCTGTCATTGAGTCGTTGGAGGAACTCTGGGTCAAAGCCCATTTGGACCAAAGGATTGGAAGACCCTTCTCCCGGCATGGATGAAGTGGTAGGAATGCTGGTTGGAAGACTGGCAGGCATACTACTGCCCCAATCTGTGGCAAATGATGGATCGGCGCCTGTTGATATCATTCCTGCACTACCAGCGTAACTACCAGAGAGACTTCCTCCACGGCTAGGCCCGGCGGATGAAAAGCCCGTTCCGGGAAAGGCGGGGCTGCGGAGACCCGGGCTAGAAACTGCAGGGCTATATAAGCCGCCTCGACATACTGTTCGCGCGAGGACGTTCAACTCCCGGGGTGGAGCTCGCAGGCCGCCATGCACTGCAAATGGGGGCTGCATGCCTAGGTCGTCAAACTGGATAGTATCGTTTTGCACAGCTGTCTCCAGCCCACAATCGCGTTTGAGAACATTCAACCAGACGATGTTGTCCGCACAGGTTTGGTTCCAGGGATCATCACATCCATAAATCACACGACGCGCTTCTTCTTGGAGCATCGTATCTGAAGGGACCAGGCCTTGTGCTTTTTGATTGTGAATGTATGCAGCAAGTTCATGCGAGAGACGCTCGTAGCAGTTGGCATCATTGGGAACGGGGAGCTGAGGTGAGGTGCCATCCCCTTGGGCTTGTTTTGTGGCCCATGGATCAGGACTCCTCCATTCGTAATCAATCATATATGGCGGGATCGCATTTTCGACGCGAGCTTGAATCAAAGGTTCAAAGCCCCAATCCCCTTGCCAATGAGCCATCACAGCGCCATTTTTAAAGTGGCATGCCAAATGATCTACTCGATCTTTCCAAGTCTGGAAAATAGAACCACAGAAGCCGCAACGGGATTTGATCTCTGTGGTACTACTTTGCCATTTATCCATGCACGGTTGGTACTTGGTATTATGCATCAAGCGGAGGTGTTGGTTGAGATGATCCTTCCGATAGAATGTCCTTTCTTGCACTGTCTTCTCCTGGCAGCTGATGAAGTTATGAGTCTCTAGGTGTTCTCCATCTGGGTTAGATGCCGAGCAGAAGACGCAAAGAGGTATACCATTCTGTTCAACTACTCCACCATGAGGAGAGCATGTCCATTTATCCAAGATAAGGTGCATGGACTTTTCGTGTCGTTGCCAATCATACTTGGCAGGGAAGGAATCAGTGCAGAATGTGCATTGAAATGGACGAGCAGATTTAGCCTTGGAATGGGCTAATGTGTTGGCAGGTACCGAGGCCTTACGGCGACGGCGACGTTCTTTACGATCCATTGAGCCCAATGAAAGGGAAGAACGATGAGAGAACGCCGAAGCAAAGGAGAGATCAGAGAGGGATGACCGACTAGTATCCAAACTACTGGCCGAGGCGGTGCGCAGTTTATGTTCAGAGCTGGCATGGCTTGACTCATTGGTACTGGACCCAGGGCGACGGGGCCTCACGTGACCCGATGGGGCCCGGCGTGGACGTGAGGGATCGAACGGGGGATTTGCCAAGGCACGGGTAATATCGCTGATCGTAGCGGCTTCGTTCTCGGGAGGAGAGTACTTCCAACGCTCCAGAGGTGTCATGAGAGATATGTCGACGGATTGTTTCTTGGGAATATCCACGGCACCGGGAACGGGATGAGTGCTGTCGGTCGAGGAACGCACTTTGCCGCGTCGTCTGGCGTTTGCTAGCCAATTGGAGATTTGAGTTCTGGTCAAGCCAGTATCTTGTTTGAGACCATCTCTCTCCTGTTCGGTGGGATAGGGATTCTCGTTATGATCTCGCAACCAACTCTTCAGAATACTGATTGCTTTCCGAGAGAATCGAGGGCTGTTTTTGCGGGAGCGTGCATCAGGATCGTCCGCATATGGACCGTATGAGACAGATTTGAGAGCTTTCTTTCCTGTAAGGCTGCCTGTGGGAACATAGGCGTTTTCAGACACACTGTGTAGGGTCTGAAGGAACTTGCCAGGCGTTTTGGCATGTGTGAAACTGCATTCACGCCAGAGAGAGATACAGCAAGTGCAGCCATTTTGCATGACACCACGCTTGGCAACAAAGCAATCCAGTCCCATTCGGCGACAGAAGTCGCACGGTTCCTGGGCGCGGAACATGGGGTACACCCCGTCGGGGTCAAGGGGCTGTCCGACATACAGATCAGGGAACTCTAAAGACTGATCTTGGGCCAGCGAATTGAAATTGGCCACTTGCTCCTCGGCTTCATCAAATTCAATATCAACGGAGGCGACATCGTCGTCTTGTTGAGTAGAGCCATGAGCTGACGAGGCGCCCTCGAAATCGAAGTATTCCATGCTGAAGAGCACAAGTTCGGTGAACTTTTGCACCAATACGAACAAGAATGAAGAAATTCTTAGGGAACGGAGAGTGGAAGGTGGAAGAATCGGTCTGCTGAAAACTGCCCGAAACCGCAACCTGGGTCCGGGGTAGACAGGTAAAAGGATTAGTGGAGCACCGCCATAGGCCTAAGATTCGGGGGGCCGCTCAGAAGGCAAATTATGCGGCTTTGAAGCATGATCATGTGGGACCACGCGCACATTCGTATCCGCATATGTACATCGGCATGGCCGGCCAACAATGGGTAGACGGAGAAAAGCAGCAACTCCGACGAGGATGGGACGTGCTGCGCGCCCTTCGAATGACAACGCTAAGCCTATTTCGGACTAGCATACGCCCATGCCAAGACCCAGATCAGGCAGGAATGTGTCATCGCGATATCGGACTATAAGGATGAAATTTGCTTCTTTTAGCTTATATCATAGCTTCTTTAGCTTTGGTACAACTAATATAAACCAATTCCCCAGTGAGTTTGCGGCAATAGTTCCTGCCTTGCACTATGCAGTCCTATCTCGCGAATACGAGATCACACGAGCGAAAGTATCTTCATCAGCTCCGTGCTACAATTGTCTTGGATCGTTATGCGTAAACTTTCGGGTAGGCTAAAGCACTATGATATCTATGAGATCAGGCCACAAGCCGAGTATTCGGAAAGCTAACACGAGGTATGAGTATTTGAATTGTTGGATTTTACGGGCATGTATACCAACTTTTCAAAGTACTTTGAAAAGCAACAAGATCCGACTCACCCGAGAGGTTAATATTGGAACCGTACCAGTGACAATCACGGCTTTTTCTTGGAAGTAAAAATAATGATAAAGCAAGAAATGAGACAGCATATCCGACAACAACAACAACAACAACAGCAACAAGAACATACTGTAATCAGGGTAGGTTCTCCACAATATTGCGTCTTCTGAAAAAGAAAATAATAGCAATGATAATACTGTAGCAATAAAAATCAAATCAAAGCCTCTTCATATAAACCGTGCTTTAACCCAGAAGTCGTTCAAATCATCTTTCGTATATCTACCAAGCAAATCTCTTTTCGCAGATCACCCTCCCTTTCGCTTCTGTGTGGAGAAAAAAAATCTAAAGTTCACGAATCGTGAAAAGAAAATAGTGATAAGGAAACCTTTTTTGTTTATGCAGCTGTATGTAACCAAATCCCTTGTCTACCAGTTTGCGTCTTGTCTTGCAATTCTCAAAATACTTATAAAGCTCACGAAGTGGCCCTAGACAATTTTCTGCCTAACGGATTCTCCCCGAAACCTGGTCACAATGATTACAGATGACATCCAGATTTTCGTATGCCGGAGGGCATTTCTGCAAAATGCCCTCCCGAGCATGCCAGTGTCTATATACACATGGTCAGCCACCAACTGTCGACGGTCACTGAAAGTATCCATGTCAATATGAAAGTCTAGACCTGGATATTACATAATAAAGAAACGAGAAAATGCAATGGCGATAGAAAATGTATCTTCTTTCGAAGAGATAGCATGGATCTATATATGGAAACAAGTATTAAGATATCCCACCAGCTGAAAGGATGTGGAAACGTTGAAGAAGTTTACAACAGCTCACGATTTATGACATATAATACCTAAGAAATTGCTCGAATGATGAGCTTTACTCCAGTTTGACCGCTGCTTTAGCTCTGATAGCTATGCACATAGGCGGTATCAGCGAAATGAAAAATCGAGAATAGGAACCAGTGTGGCTATTAAATGAAATTTTTTCAAAACCAAAGGAGTCCCGTATAAAGCCTCTTCTCTACCTCCGCCGCAGCACCCGAACCAGAAGTATAACTTACCTGATGCTCGTTTCTGGCGGCAAGAGTCACAGGCCAGGCGGATATTAAATGATGCCACCACTTGCCAAAATAAAATTAAATCGATGGCCATTATTCGACTACCAAGTTATAATTGAAATGACTGAATGAGATAAAACTCCAGTGGCGAGTCTTTTTTCACATGTCAGTGGTGAGCGCATGTATCAAAAGGTCTCTTGGTGCAGCTTGGACGGACCGCCGCGCGCACCCATATTTATGAGCAGCAGAATGAATGCAAATTTGAAAGTAAGCTGGAGGCCTGAATAGTGCAAAAGATAGTTCCTTTTAGAATCCTCCTTTGAGCTAAAAATACGGTATTTATCCTAGCCCCATCATATCCGCGTCGAGGAGTCTCATTCTGCGGCATTGAACCTCCCCTCTCCTCGCGGTCCCCGAGAGTCAAAAAAAGCATTCGAAATGGTAAGTAAGTGGTAAGTAAAAGATAATTTTACTCTTATTTGTCAATCTCGCTCATCTTTTTCGCAGGTCGAACCAACTCTTGAGAAGCTTCCATTGAAGCTCCTCTTCGTACAGAGTAAACGGGTATCCATTATTGATATATTGCTATCAATGAAGACCATATGTATTCCTCATTAAAAGCCCGCCCGTGCCCGGTCAACCGTTGTCAAGCACTCCGTCCTTTCCCGATATAAGCAAATCATCTTTGAAGCAAGTGAAGAATCTGATCAAAGCCTTCAGGCTCTTTGATCCAGTGTCCATCAACCTCTGCGCCAGAAAACTCGATATATTCAATGTTTGGCATAATTTGCCGCATAATCCGTAATGCCTGTCGTCCAAGATCAACAGATACCCAGGCATCGTCTGACCCATGAATTAAAAGCACCACAGTAGAGAAATGAGAGCTCTCTAGGATTTGGTTGAGCTGTGATAACCCTTGAGTGAAAATCTTGTCAAAGAAGAATTCAGAGACTATGCGCTGTGCCTCAGGGGTATAGTGTCTATCAAGGGATGGCTTGCAAAGCAAATCCTCCAATTGTTGTGCAAATGGTAGCCATCCACAAAAGCCTAGCAGGCCACCTAGTGAACCTTGTAATCTTCCTGTACAGACTGCAGCAAGGAAAGTCCACAAGGCGGTTGCCATACCTTGGCTGATACCTCCAAGGTAGATATGAGACAGTCGCCCTTCAAGCAGATTGGCTTCCTCTTCGATGACATTAAAAATGTGGTAGACTGACTGTGTTAGTCCTTCTTTCTGCAACTCCTGTCTTTCATTGATGTTGCCCAAGGAGTAGGCGTCAAACCAGGAGCAGATGTCTTCTTGAAATGTAGTACTGTATCGGTCACATGAAGTTGGAAAGACCCAGCGATAATAATTAACTCTTTCTACCAAATATGGGTAACTATGCTAGGCGCGGGTGGGCATTGAATGAAATTTGGGCAACAAAGCTAGTTCCATTCGGCGAAGCTCAGGTTATGTGGCTTACGCACGGTCACCTGTATTACCCCACAAGATACTCTGCGACATTTAGACTGGCTGATCCTACACAGAATATCCAGCCGTTTGACATTGTCTTAGTCGTTCTACCACCCAGAAGCATGGCAGACGAGTTAACTTATCTTGTTGAATCTGCCAGAGGATTAAGGTTTGCTGATAGGATGACTGGCCTGTCTGAGTCAGACTCCCATGGCCCGAAAACAAGTCATATAGCTCTCTTGAAGGAAGCTCGCACGCTGATACAATCTGCCGAAGCCACTACCTCGGCTGCGCAACAATTCGTGTCCTTGGCTGAAAGCAAACATGCACAGAGAGACGAGGACATTGCGCGACTAAGCTGCCTGAAAAGAAAAGCCAACGCTCTTGCAAGCATTGCAGAGAGTTTCAGCGATGCAGTGGAACGCTATATTGTAGGCTATTTGACCTCGCTTGCGGGTCTGGGGACAGTGGAGTAGGACATATTGTTGCATTTCAAATAACGCATTGAGGAACACCGTTCAAAGTGTGCTCAATAGCACCATTAGGGACGGAAAAACTTTGTGGGAGGCCTTAGAGATATGCTAGAGCCAGGCTCTTGATCCCTCTGGCCCCTTGCACTGCGACAACTACTTCGTTCCCCGGGAAGAAGCCAGCCTTGAAGGCCCCTATGACCCGGACTCCGAAAGCGAGGACTACTATGTTCATGAGATCATGGACAAACCGAGTTAAGGATCTTCGTTCAAAATGGTCCAGTGAGCATGCCACTAGCCGGCTCGAGATACAAAAAGCGTTCAACATGGCTACATCATGCTTCAGCACGTTTGATGCCCATGATATAGCATTGTTGCTATTAACATTCAAAACCCGCGGGCTTCGGGGTTCAGTGACAACAGGTACGCTTCAATACTCTAAGGTAACATTGGCTAAGAGGAGTTTTTTTGGAAAGTAAAAGAGCGTCAAACAAAACCCAATGATTCCGGTCCAGATGAGGTCCAACGATACATGAAGATCGCTGAAACGATGATGCCAAGAGATCGAGACGGTTGGAATGCTTTCGGTTGGCTACTTGACTCCCACCTCCTTGAGACGGTTTTTGAATGCCCATGATCGTTATTCAACTCATGTTCTACAATTGTTAATGTGCAGTACCTGGGATAGGGAGAGACGTAGGAGACCATTCTCAACTTAAGCAAGACCAAAATCGGGAATGTACAATATATAGTAGGGCTATTACGATCTGACAACTCACCTGAGACAGTGGACCAATCTGCAGCTGATGACGCCGATCATCAACATTAACCTATGAAAAACGCCCAGATCGAGGGGGGTATGATTATTAGGGCAATTTGACATTTCACTGAAGGGCTCGGTTCATGTTCTAATTGAAATCGAAGGGCTAAAATGATTCCGGATTAAACTTGATGAGAGAATTTACCATCATGTTAGATATATGAGGCCATCAACCAGTATACCCGGTGAGAGAAGTGTTGTGTCACTCTCACTTTTGCATCCCGATCTCATGATCAAGAAACTGAGATTGCATCAGCCAAACGTAGTGCTTAGATGAGCAAGTAAGTCACTCAGTCAATTCTTTTCTCAGGTTGCTAGAATATAAAAGAAGTACTACCGGAAGATAATCAATCTAATATGTCCTAAATGTGAGATTCATAGAACGACACGGGAACAGCGACTGTCACGTGCATGGACAAGGCGGAAAAGCGGAAAAGTCTCCGGACAAACTGAACAACATCAGTGACCCATTTTCGAGAGGTTGGCTGCATTGAATCGTCCGCTCCGCTTGTGCTAGTCGGAAATGGCCAGCGATGCACGTAAAGTGCGTAAGGTGACACGCGCTTGTGATGCTTGTAAAGCAAAAAAGAAGGCGTGTACCGGTACGCTTCCTTGTGGCCCTTGCGCGCAGCGGCGGCTGTCATGCACCTACAATGCGGCTTACAACAGAGGTGTCGCTGTGAGCCCACTTTCCTCCGGCCATCAGCGAGGACGGCCAAGCTCTGTAAGCTCCAATACAGATAGAAGCCAACCCCAGACTATAAGCGTTTCTCGATATCAGCAGTCTGCAACAGAGACCCCTGCCGAAAGCTGGGGCCAACCACCAAGCCCTCACAGGTCTCCGGCCCTGAATTTTGCAAAAAATGCACCAGGCACCCCTGCCAACCTGCCAAGTGAGCCAAGATCGACGAACATTACTCCACAGTACTGGGGGCCAATCTCGGCACATTCGTTTCTTGGCCGCGTAGTTCAAAACTTGCCATCAACACCTTCGAAGCTGTTGGCCCAGCAAAAGAATCAAATTTCATCGGAGGAGGAGTCAATTTTTTCTTTCGGGGACCGGGTCGTTCCCAAAATCGGCCCAGCCGAATTCGAATGGCCCACTCGAAGAACCGCGGACATCTTAGTCCGACGATATTTTGACTTCGCATCACCAACTTATCGAGTCCTTCACCAGCCAACAGTTGAGCTGATGATTCATGATCTCTTTCAAGGCGGTAACTCTGTAAATGAAAACACATTAGCGGCTGCCTCCCTGGCAACTCTACTCCTGATATTCAGCATTGCGACAATGTTTCAGCCAGATTCCGAAGGGCATATCACAGATGCTGATACGTCTGGCTGGCAGACAAGTGAAACATATTATACGCGAGCAGATTCTCTTCTATCGCATGAAACGGGTGCGCCAAGCTTGCCCTCGGTACAGGCACGCTTCTTGATGGTACTTTATCTTTTAAGTTCGTCACGAGCTCATAAAGCATGGTTCACATTTGGTACAACAGCTCAACTGATGATGGCCCTGGGCTATCATAATAAACGGTCACGGCTGGGAACCGATCAAGAGGATCTGATACAAAAGGAATGTCAACGCCGCATTCTCTGGTGCTCATATACATTGGACAAATACCTCAGTGTTATTTTAGGTCGACCCCGTCTTTTGCAAGATGAAGATCTGGAAGAAGACCTTCCTTCTCGAATCAATGATCAAGATCTAACCCGAAGCGAAAAGAGAATATCTAAGCGGGATTGTTTAATGGATGCCCCTGTGTTTCATACCGTGCTGGCTCGCATTCTCACACAGGCTGCTAAAGAACCCTATGTGGTCACAGGCGTCTCTACCAAAGAACAACTTGATGTCATTCGCCTCTTTTGTGGGAGAGTCGCCGAGTGGCAGGCCGAGTTACCGGCATTTCTGTCTGGCATCATACAGCCCGACAGCTTAGTCCCTGGATTGAGACGCCAACTCACGGTTCTGCAGCTAGCGCGGTATCACGCATTAATATTCATTACTCGACCTCTGCTGCTCCGGAATTATGGTCAGACTTGGCCTGAATGCGAAGCAAATTGCCAATACTATCTCAGCTTATGTTTGAAAGCGGCACGAGATGCAATTGAGTTGATTCTTGCCTTTGTCCAAGAGAAGCAGCTATTTCAGTCTTTCTGGTATTCTCAATATATTGCGTTCAATGCATTATCGATAATCTATCTTTACCTGATTCAAGTTCAACGCGGTCGGATCTCGCCAGTCAATCTCCGCTTCGTCTCAACCCAGGATGCCCCTTTCGACTCTCCATTGGACGAATCCACGCTCTACAGTTTATCAGAGACCGCACAAGGTCATCTCGCCGATGCAACGGTCCGCAATGCACCGCCATGGAGATATAGCGTTATCCTACAGGGTCTGCGCCGAGAGTTAACAAAGTTGTACCCGTCCGCCCCTGTTCATTATGAAGTCTATGCTAACATCCACAGCAGTCAATACGTTACTACTACTACCCGTGAAAACTCGCCTTCTACTGCACATCAGCGTGATATGATTGCTTTTGCGCAAGCTGAGCAAAATGAATCGGCTATGCAAGATATTCTACCAAGACAGGACGGCGGCGTGCCAGACCTAGACAATGATTCTCATTCATTTCTACTTGATCCGCAGACCGAAATACTACTGGACAATCTTGCAACCGATGAGGACTTGGTTCTTGATTTCTGGCCGCAGTTTGATAGCTTGCCTATCTGTGGGTCTTCTATTTTCTCGCTCTAGTTGACCGTTCTGACCTCTTCAGCTTATCTTGGCTAACTCGCATTCGATCATCGCCGATCATTCGTTTTAGCTAAGTGCAAAGGGCTGAACTACTGGACGCTCAGTTATGAGGATGGTTCATTGTTATTACCAGCGTGCAAAATTTCTCTATTTATCTATTCTTGATACCCCTCAATCAAACCTACCAAATATACTTGTATCGCGTCTGGCCGTCTTGCTCCTCCGCCTTTCTTGATTTCATATTCAGCAAGTGCAGATAACCCGCCAATACAAAAGAGAGCCGATGCCTCCCACGGCAAACGAAGACAAAGTGATGCCACCCGGGCGATATTGTGGTGAGTCTTTCGTGGGGAAGAAGTAGGAGCCATAAATGTTGGACGAATTGCCAAAAAGGTTCACCAAAGCGTATACAATGGCTCGCTTCGTTCGGGTACGAGGAATTGTGCTAGCAATCCATGCCTGCACTACACTAAACGCCGAATAGGAACCGGCGCACATGAGAAACATACCGGTGTACCGCACAGCAGTGGCTGTGGACGAAATAACCCTTATGTTGCCCACAATGTCCACAATGTCCACACAGAGAGGCCAAGCAATTAGAATAAATCTTCGGTCGGTGCGGCTTGCGATCAGGGAATTTCCCAGGGCAGTGAAGAAGCCGAAAATGTATACGGGAGCGATAATCAGCAATGTGACATTGTTACTGTACCCTAGAGTCTTGGCAATGGTCTGTACTGGTTAGAAACAAAAACATGTTGGCTGGGTTGCGGCACATACAGGGAAGAAATAGGTCCAGGTCTGCGAAGAAAGCTGACAAACTTGAATAAGAACGAGCATCCAGGCTTTGGGATCGATGAAAGCGTCACGCAACGCTTCTTTAATAGAGCCATTCTCGTCAACTTAATCGTTGGCTGCACGAGTCAAGCGCCACTCAGCCAAGCGCTGCTCCTGTTCGGTAAGCCACTTCTGCTTGCCCGACGAAGGGAAGTCGGGCAACAGAGCTACTGCGACTAGGCCAGCCACCATGGTTCCCGCGCCTTCATTCATAAAAAGCCATCTATCGTGCCGTCAGTCGCACACTCACGTAAATAGCTTGGCGGAGGACAAACCTCCATCCTGCAAGGCCTCCCTTGCCATCCAACCCAGTTATGATTCCAGCGGCTAGCAATCCACCAAATCCGTTTGCAACTGTATTTCCACAATAAACGATCGCCACACGAACAGCGATTTCTGATGGTTTATACCAAGAACTGATCAGTAGCCTGTGTGATATGCATTAGCAGATATACATCATTGTGAGACCTTTTGAGGTATAACATACAGCGCTCCGGAGAAGAACGGCGACTCCACAAATCCAAGGAAGATTCGCACACACATCAGCCCCGCGAAGTTCTTGGTTGCTGCAGTGCATAAAGAGATGCCTCCCCAGATGAAGATGGTGGTCGGGATATAGCGGGACGGTTTTAACCGGGATAATATAATGTTGCTTGGGACTTGACCCAAAAGATAACCGACGAACTAGAAATTATGGTCCGAGTCAAAGTCCGCTTGTTTCGTTTGAATGTGAATTTTTCACCATTATAGCCACTCCAGTTTGATATTGAGTATCTGAGAGATTCAAATCCACTTGTAATCCTCCCAATCGTGCATTGGCGATATTCGATCGGTCCAAGATGTTGAAGATGAATAGTAGGAACAACGCCGAGATTAGATGAAAATCGATTTTTCGAACCACTAGAGCCGAGTTAACATTCATTCTCTCGGGAATTGGGTAAAGAAACAAACATACACTTGTTCTCTATGAGTCTTGTTTCTTCATCAGAAAGGCCCTCGAAAAGAATCTGCTCTGTGTCTAACGGCTTGGAAGACTCGACGTGCAGCGATGATGTTTTGGGATCAACTTCTGACATAGTGAAGTCTGTTTGTGTACACACATTGAACGAAAAGTGCCAAAAGTCCAAAGGAAAGGGAAATGGAAGACGTCTAATGCAGTCCCCGAGTGAAGTCTTGCCAAGGGCATGATATACACCTGCCCCGGATTATGAACCGAAATCAACATGCGCGGGATAAGCATTGAAGCGAGCCCCAGAATCCCCCCCCCCCCCCCCCCCCCGGGCTTCTCCGTGATGTCTTGGCCGAATTGCTCAAGCAAATTGCTTGAATGAAGCCAAGGAGCTTGTTTTCCTAATGATTTTGCCGCCTATACAGTGTTTTCCGCCTTATCCGTACGTAGACCCACTCCTCCGTTTCCGACAGATCGTTGATCTTGGAATACGGGACTACTTATTTGAGTTGGGTGACAGTTCCATTTCATCTCTCTTTCAAAATCACTCTTATCATTTGAAATCAAAAAAAATGACTATCACCACTCACTTCACTCTGAACACTGGCGCCAAAATCCCGGCTGTGGGGTTTGGAACATGGCAAGCCAAACCTATGGAGGTTGAGAATGCCGTTGAGATTGCGCTCAAGCAAGGGTACCGTCACATCGACTGTGCCGCTATCTATCGCAATGAGAAAGAGGTAGGAAACGGAATCCGCAAATCGGGTGTTGCCCGGGACGAGGCCTTTGTTACTGGCAAGTTGTGGAACACGAAGCATGCCCCCGGTGACGTCGAGGCTGCTTTGGACAAGTCCTTGACAGATCTGGGCCTTGAATATCTTGATCTTTATCTTATGCATTGGCCTTGGTACATACTCCTTTCTCTCTCTATTCTTGTATCCTCCGAGGAAGAGGAATGTATCAACGAACAAAAGCTAATTGAATGTCATGTAGTGCTTTCAAGGGCAGTGATAAATGGTTCCCCCTTGACAAGGATGGTGTGTTTGAGCTAGCAGATGTTGACTACATTACAACCTACAAGGCAATGGAGAATCTGCTGGCAACTGGAAAAGTACGAGCTATCGGAGTTTCAAACTTCAATATTCGTCGCCTGGAGGAGCTGCTGAGCCAAGTTAGCGTGGTACCCGCAGCAAACCAAATTGAAGCCCACCCATATCTTCAGCAGACAGAACTGCTGAAATTCTGCCAGAGCAAGGGAATCATCGTTGAAGCCTACTCGCCGTTGGGAAACAACCAGACCGGGGAACCCCGAACCGTTGACGACCCACTTGTCCAAGATGTCGCGCGTGAGGAGGGTCTGGATTCGGGTGCTCTTCTTGCCAGCTGGGGTGTCCAGCGCGGAACCGTGGTTTTGTCGAAGAGTGTAACCCCTTCGCGCATTGCCTCTAACCTTCAGGTTCGGGGATTGTCCGAGCCTGCTTTTGCGAAGCTCACTGCCTTGGAGAGACACAAGAGGTTCAACTTCCCTGCTATTTGGGGTTATGATATTTTCGAAGAAGTGGGTGAGGAGGCTGTCCGCACGGCTGCCTTGGAGGCTGGCCCGGCAAACAAGATCAAGTTTGTCGTATAGACTTGAAGTTTCGTTTCTTTTTCATGTATGTAAAACAGATTTGGACAAATGAAAAGTATACACCGCCACCTATTTATCTTATGCATTTTGATATTGATAGGTGTAAGGCATATAGATCAAGATTCGATGGTCGAATAAGATAGAGATAGTAGTTTTAATCCACTGGCACATGTATGCTATGGTCCGATATATCTTGGCTTAATATCAGGCTCGTCTTCGTGGCAATCTGCAATTCTGAAACCGGATGGGTATCAACGTATCAAAGATTTCTAATACATGGCACATACATTAGGTAAGACCCTTGTGTTCTTTCGTATTAGCTACAAAATGAGCTTCGATTCAAACAGCAGATATATAGTAGGTGCCATCAGGTTGCATAGCGATCCATGGAGAACTTTTAGTATGCCTAGGTAAGCTTGATCTTCAATCTAGCTCGCATTGCGGCTCATCCGCGAAAAGGGTTCAAACTGGAATTTTCCGAATAAGTTCTCCGAAGGAGATGCCGAGCCCACCGTGCCGGATCAATATAAGACATGCCTACCTCGGTAACTGCAGAGTCGTTGTAGCAACATAGTTCTTAGTCGGATTCCATTTGATCGACGTCACTTGGGCCCCCACGCGACAGTATCCGATAGTTCACTATTTAGTTTTCCGACATTTCCGACACCTCCGTCGCGGGGCGGAACCCCATGTTCGTCACAGTTCGGAGATAACAAAGATGAACTTTGGGAGATAAGATGGATGGCTGGAACATTCACTGCCTCAAAACCTGCTGCTTCCCCAGGTTTCAGCCGCTTGCTGTCCTTTCAACTCAATTCAATCAACATGGCAGTCGTCACTCTCCAGACGTCGGCATCACAGCCACTATTTTCATCAGCCGAGCCAGCGAGCTCAACGTCCTCAGCAGATATGTTACCAGTTTCAACCGAGCGAGACTTCACAACCATCGATGGACTTTTGCGAGCACGATCTGGTGGTCACTTGGCAAATGAGTCGATTGTTGCATATCCATCATCGGGAACTGACTTTGACTACTACACACCTCGCCAGGTTAGCTTTGCGTGCAAAAAAACCCAGCCAAAGAACTTTTTCACGGCATAGTGTGAGTCATATTTGCTAACTTCATATTATGCAGTTAGACAATTTTGTCGAGGCGGCATCTGTCACCTTGTCCAAAGTGATTCCGCAGCGCCGCACCTCAGAAGACCCAGTCCAGGTGGTAGGTTTGCTCGGTCTATCTGACTTTGAGTACATGATCACTCTTTTGGCTATTTCCCGCCTGGGTCATACCGTGCTGTTGCTATCTACACGGATTGCAGAGGATGCATACGTCAGTTTGGTAGAAAGTACCTCTGCCTCGTCTCTGATAGCCCACCCTAAATTCCAAAGTATTGGCGAAAAGGTTGCTGAACGAACCAAAATTGTGCTACATGACGCCTTGTGCCCTGAGAAATATGACGGCTCTGCTGCTAGTGTGACTAAGTTGCCATCATCTAATCTGGATGGTACCAAAGAGGCCAGCAATATTTGTTGGGTTAGTAATGTTGCGCTCGCGCCGAAATTCATTCGCTAATCTCTTCATATAGATCATTCACTCAAGCGGATCAACGGGCCACCCAAAGCCGATCTATCAAACTCACTCCGGTGCTCTACGAAACTATGCCAACAATTTCGGCCTCCGAGGATTCATCACATTACCACTCTTCCATGCCCATGGCATCAGCTGCCTCTTCCGCGCAATTCACTCGCAAAAGCTAATTTACATGTACAATGCAGATTTGCCTCTGACAGCATCGCATCTCATGGCGACTCTACAAGAGCACCAAGAGATCCAGGTGCTTTACGCGGTTCCATACGCGCTGAAGCTACTGTCCGAGTCTGAGGACGGCTTGAGGGTTCTCTCACGCCTGGAACTCGTCATGTTTGGTGGCTCCTCCTGTCCAAAGCCCATCGGCGACACTTTAGTACAGAATGGAGTCCGCCTGGTGTCTCATTATGGAACCACCGAAACAGGTCAACCGATGACATCTTTCCGAGACCGTTCGGACTTGGACTGGGACTACGTTCGCCCAGGTCCATCTTTGCTACCATATCTTCGGTGGGAGGAGCAATCTGCTGGAATCTACGAGCTGTGTGTTCTGGAAGGCTGGCCCTCCAAGGTCGCTAGTAATCGCCCCGACAACTCATACGCTACCAAAGACCTTTTCGAGAAGCACCCAACTACACCAAATGCCTGGCGGTACTATGCCCGTCTGGACGATACTTTAGTTTTGGAAAACGGCGAGAAGGCTAATCCGCTGGTCATCGAGGGTGTTGCTCGGAATAACCCTAACGTTGCAGAAGCGATCGCCTTCGGGGCCAACAAGCCACGGCTTGGCATGTTTATTGTCCCAGCTGAGAACAGTTCTACCCAACAAGAGCAAGACTTGGTAGATCTGATTTTCCCAGCAATTGAACAATGTAACGCCGAATCTCCTGCATATGCCTACATGTCGCGTGACATGATCCACTTCCTGCCAACAGACGCCGTCTATCGCAAGACTGACAAAGGAACTGTTATCCGCTCGGCCTTCTATCGTGACTATCAGTCACAGATTGATCAGATCTACGATGTTGAGGAAGCCAGTGGAGATCAAGTTTGTGAAGGCGCCGCCCTGATTAAATTCTTACGAGAAAAGCTCCTTGAAGTAGCACCATCCATCGAGCCAGCCTCATTAGAAGAGAGGACAGACGTCTTCGGCTTGGGAATTGACAGCTTGCAATCGATTCGACTGCGAACAATTATATTGAAGACCCTTGATCTTGGTGGTCAGAAACCCTCTCAGAACTTTGTTTTCGAGAATCCATCGTTGCAGGCTATGGCGGAGGCTTTGATTCGCATGCGCCTAGGCGAGACTCTGAAGAGCGAGGTACCCGTTGAAGAACGGATGTCAGCGCTCATTGAGAAATATAGCGCAAACTTCAAATCTCATATCCCAGTTTTTCATGAGGATTTCGGTGAACACATCATCGTCACTGGTGCGACAGGTTCTTTGGGTGCTCATGTCGCGGTTCAATTAGCTCAGTCCGATCGTGTCAACACAGTCTACTGTCTAGTTCGGGCAAGTTCTGCTGATTCTGCGCGTCGTCGTGTCCAGCAATCTCTGCGTGCACGAGGCTTATCATATACCTTTTCCCAAGTTCACGAACGGAAGATTATCGCATTGCCAGCTGACTTGGGCAACTCCAACCATCTGGGTATGGATGAATCCTGTTATAAAATGCTGGTTGAATCAGTCACAGGCGTCATGCATTGTGCCTGGTCGGTAAATTTCAACTGGTCTTTGGAGAGTTTCGAGGGAAGCTGCATTTCGGGAACTCGACACTTGCTGGATCTTTGTTTGCAAGCTCGCCGACCCTCCCCTGCAAAATTCTCCTTCTGTTCCTCAGTCAGCACGGTTGCACGGACACCAGGTCATTGGGTTCCAGAGGCTCTCCCCGAGTCCCTCAGCTATGCGCAACAAATGGGTTACGCCCAGTCCAAGCTGGTAACAGAGCATATCATCAACCGGGCTGCCCACCAGACGAAAATGACTGCACGTGTACTACGAGTGGGTCAGATCATTGGTGATACCGTTCATGGTATATGGAACGCTACTGAGGCCATTCCTATGGTGCTCCAGACAGCACAGACGATCCATGCACTGCCTCAACTGGATGATCTCATCTCATGGACACCGGTCGATATCATTGCCAATAGCGTTATAGACCTCACACTGGCTCCGCATGCAGGAGAGGTGGTCAATGTCACAAATCCAACTTTGAGTCATTGGGCCCGAGATTTGCTGCCACTTCTGAGACAATCAGGCCTGGAATTTGAAGAGTTGAAGCCGCGTGAATGGTTGAATCGTCTTCGCAATTCGAACCCTGATCCCAAAGCAAACCCACCCATCAAACTTGTCGAGTTCTTTGCGAGCAAATATGACCATGACCCACCTAGTCGGGTTCTTCTCTACAGTACACAGCAGGCACAAGCCGCTGCACCTGCTCTGCGCCAGGCTGGTGGTCTGACGGCCGAATTAGTGACACGCTATATCAAGTACTTCCGTACTCAATGCTGGACGAAGTCTAAGCTCTCAAGTCTCTCAGTTCGGTCCCGGGAAGTGGTCTTTTTGACCGGCCCATGTGGATGTGGTAAGAGTACGGCCGCACAAGCATTAGCACAGCGATTCGATATTCCCATCATCGAGGGAGATGACTTGCACTCGCATCTGTCGCGACAGAAGATGGCCAATAGCATTCCTCTGGAGGATAGTGATCGTTGGGCCTGGATCGCCCATATCTGTGGCGCGTTGATGGACAGGTTGCAAAATTCAACTGCGCCTGCCATTGCTGTTACCTGTTCCGCGCTGCGAACTGTATACCGCGATGAGCTACGGAAGCTACCTCAGCTACTCGATTTCCCCGTCACAGTCACTTTCATTGCCCTCTCCATCAATGATCAAGCTCAGTTGAACAAGCGCCTCGTTGCTCGTTCTGCAGCGGAGGATCATTATATGCACTCGACAATGGTTGAACCACAGCTTGCTGTCCAAGAGCCTCCTACCCGCTTGGAGAATGATGTTATTGTGCTGGATTCAAGCCAGTCAAAAGATCGAATGATTCAGGCTGTGGAAGATACTGTGCAGCGAATCCTGGAGCTCTAGCTTCTTATGATGAATTCCTATTTTCTACTGTTATTAGCTTTCCTATCACACCGCATTAAGTGACATAATTGCATACGTTACCCTATGTTGCGCAATACTAATTAGTCAAAGTTCGGAGATGTAGAAGAAGGGGAGAAGAGACGCTAAACCTGATATGTTTTGGTGCACGTACTCTGCCTGGGATTGATAGTGATCAAGTCACCTTTTGGCATTAGAATTCCATAAGAGCTCTTGAGATTTCCGTAGCTCCCATTCGGCGGTGGTGTGATCACCTTGGTACATATGTGAGGTGTAGGAGTCCTGAGACTACGTAAAGAGGGTTCAAGGGCAGAGCTATACGCGTTCGTCGCGTGGATTACTTGGGAGCATTCGATATCACCACGTTTACTTCTGACGATCCATTTCCCCAGAGAGATTTTGGACTTTGATTTCGGTGACCATCGTGCTTGTTTGAAGATTCAAACCGGTCTCGAGGTTGTCACGCAGTAAATACGCCACAAGCTTCCAAGGATTCAGGGTTGAGGCTGGCCAAACCTAGCAGGCTTTTGCGTCTCTGATCTGAGGTTTCCAGTCTTCTGTAAGTTTTTGTAAGCCCAAGTGTTTGATATTCGTACCACGGCTGCAGCCTTGGGGCCGTGAAGGACCTGGATCTTTCCACCTATCTACCCTACCTCAATTACCATACAACTTGACTTCAAGTCAGATTGGCCTTGTGACTCTGCCGAGAATGATTGGCGTCCCGATCGGTGGCCTAATTGTAGGCCCAATAAGTGACTGGTGGATCGTGTATCTTTCTCGTCGACGCAATGGGGTTTACGACCCCGAGATTCGTCTATAGTGCATTGTTCCATTTCTCACATTTGTGCCTGTAGGTGCACTGCTGTTTAGTATTAGTCTAAATAACCATCTGCCTTGGCCTGTCATTGCCGTTGGGCTAGCATTGTACAACATCGGTGTTGCCCCTATCAACACCATCATGATGACATACTTGACTGATTCGTACATAGATGTATGTCAACCTTCCAGTGAGGGCGTTTCTAATTGAACCTTTCTTACACTAAAGACAGATTATTGGAGATGCGGTGGTCGGTGTTAACCCTCTCACGCAATACTTTCAGTACTATATGTAAATACACTTTCACCATAGGTTGCCAAGATAGGACTTGAAAATGTTTTTATCGTTGTCCTTGTTATTGTTTACGTCTTTCTGATATTCATTGATGTTTTCATTCGGTATGGAAGGACTTTTCGACAACGCTCTGCTTCCCGATATGAGTACTATGCTGCTCGTCAATATAGAGGGAGAGATATTTAGGCACACCAAGGGTCATTTGTTTTCTGAGTGCCATTCATAAATCCTCGGAAAGTCTCTCGATAATAATAGCCTCGAAGCAAGTACGCCTTTTTTTTCCCCCGTTGCTGTCGCCCTACTTGAGCCTCTATTCCATCTTTTTTTTGCTCATTTTCCAATGTCTCTTGATATTTTTATCGTGGACCAAAGTAGGCCAGTTGAATGAGAAGTCTGAAGGCGGGGTTTCATGGATTATGCCTGATGAGTTTAGTTCGGCATGTCGGGAATTCGGGAATCAAATACGCGTGAATGTCGAGATGTTGGAAATTCCAAGTTGCAACTTTACAGTAACTAAATTAAACTAAGAGATATAAACAAGTCATCAGTTGTTTACCACTTTTCAACGTATGGACGCAGATCCAATTCAAAGGCAAATGTCGTCCGTGGCTGAGTGTGCAGATACCAATACGAGTCCGCAATCTAAAGCGAGTCAGTGACTATTCCATGATGCAATAGAGAAAAAGCACTCACAGCATCGGGACTCAACTTTCCGTCCACATGTTCATTTGCCCACGCCTTGGTGCGTGGGATATCAATGATACCATCAATGATGGTGTGGGAAACATGCACTCCCTGTGGCCCAAATTCGCGCGCAAGCGACTGTGCCAATGCGCGGAGAGCGAACTTGCCCGAGGCAAAAGCAGCAAAGTTAGCCGAGCCCTTAACGCTCGCTGTAGCTCCGGTGAAGATCAGAGTTGGGGGATACTCGGACGATTCACGAGAATCCAAGAGGAGCGGGAGAGAGCGTTGAGCAAAGTTGAAAGCACCTTGACTAATTCCACAAGTTAAAACCAGATTCCGGAATTGACATACTTTGGATCACAACGGAAGTAAATTATATGAGAAAAAGACATACGCTTGAGATGCAAGTGCGATTGAGTAATCCTGCTCTGTAAGTTCAAGGAATGGCTTTCGAACAAAGCCGCCTCCGGGATTGAATACCGCAGCAGCTACCTTGGAGGATGGATATTGAGCTGCAATCTTGTCAAACGCAGCATTGACACTTTTCGAGTCGGAGACGTCAGTGCTAATGCCAAAGGCTTGGCCGCCACTGGCATTGATTTCCTGGACAACTGGGTCAAAGTTATCTGGATTTCGGGCCAAAACAACAACAGAGTATGTCTTAGCAAATTTTTTGGCGATCGAGGCACCCTTTAAATCTTTTTAGTACAATGTCTCTGGTGTGGCGGGGGTGTATCTATACATACAGTACCAGGGCCAACGCCAGCGATAATTGCGAGTGCCTTTGAAGCCATAGTTGATATAAGAGTGAATTGTTCACGATGAATGCAAATGGGAATGAAAGCAAACTATATAAAAGTCTCGGGCAAATTACTATTGCCGAAGCTTAGAAATGCAGCGGGGATTGATCATCAACTCGGCGGATGATATCATCTGCAGGGAATAGGGCTGGCAGATCCTTGCCGAAGTGATCACAGCATAAATGAGACAATTAAGATGAATAATCGCAAATTCAGAGTCGGTTTCACTAAAGATACCTCGGAATATTGGTTAAACCAAGCTCGACTTCTGCCTCAGGCACTTATCGATAACAGCCTGAGGCAAGAATTGTCTTATCGATAAGACAACAAATTTCCCAAATGTTCGCAACCCGACAACTCCTTCTTCACAACCCATCATGGCCGACTCTGATTCTTTGTTGAGCGATCTGTGCTCCATATGGTATGTCTTGATTCATCTGTAATACGCTCCAAGCTCAAGTCTAATCCAATCCTCTTACAGCCATGTCAACCCCCCAAAATACAAATGCCCTCGATGCTCAACGCGCACCTGCTCTCTTCCCTGCACACGACGTCACAAACTCTGGTCGCAATGCTCTGGTGTACGTGATCCTGCTGCATATCTCAAGCGCAATGAGTTAGCTACAGAATCTGCATTCGACCGCGACTTTAATTTCATCACGGGCATCGAGCGCAACCTCGAGCGAGCAGATAGAGATGCCGATAATCGCGGTATCGATCTTTCGCGCAGTATCCAGAGCGATGACCCAGGCGATGGTTTCCAAGATCTGAATGCTGGGCGTAAGAGGAAACACCCGCACCAGGGCCTTGTCAAGGGCGAAGCTGGTTTCTTGCGCGCTGCCGAGGCTGGGGGTGTCAAGGTCATTCGTGCCCCAAAAGGAATGTCGCGCAATAAGCAAAATGGGTCAAGGTTCAATCCTAAGTTAGTAGCAATTGTTTTGAGATTGCTGGTGGATGTTGTGCTGACTGAAGGGTTTTAGACATAAATCTCTTGCCTGGACTGTGGAGTGGGTTGCAGGTGATGGAGTGAAGACCGTTCGGAATGCCATTTTCGATACATGCACCATCTCCGAAGCTTATGATCGTTCTATTTCGCGTTCAAAGGACCAAAGTGCTTCCGAGTCCGTCAAGGAAGCGAAAGAAGACCAAAAGAAATTGGATTCCTCGAATATAGCCAAAGAAAGCGGAGTTACCGACACACCCGGTGAACCTGTCACTGCTGCTGCCGAACTGGAAGATACAAAACCACCCCAAGCTGCGGTGCCTGAGTCAACAGAGATACCCGCAGACACAACTACCGACGTGGTAGAGCAGCCACTTCAACAAAGCGCCACTCACCGCGATCTCTACTTCTATCTTCACCGTCCAAGAACTACCACCAAAAAGCCAGTTCTAGCTCCACTGTCCCCATCTTCAATTCTGAATGAAGTCCTCCGGAGTCGAACCGTTCTCGAGTTCCCCACGATTTATGCTCTCCCCGATTCTCCAGAGACACTTGCAGGACAAGAGACCTCTCCATTTATTCTGGAAGAAGAGTATCTCCGAACTGCAGGACCGGAAGAGATTGCTAAATCAACGAGAAATGACGGGGATGATGCAGCTGGAGATGAAAACCTGTCCGATTCTGCTGTGAAACTGCAAGATGTCGATGAGAAGCGGGTGCTTGAGGTCTTGAAGCAGGATCTGTTTGAGGAAGTCCCTACAAACTGAGTCTTCGGGATGGCTGTAATTACTGGATAGAGCCAAGAAGAAGGCATATTTACGATACCCTGAAAGATAATTTTCTGTAATAATATTCAATTGCATTTCTCTCCAATCTCGGAGTTGTCACATTTCAATTACTCGGCCTGATATCCCAATTAGGAAACCACATTCACCTCACTTCCCCGGCGATTTTTCAATACTTCGCACTTCACATCTTTGGCATTTCATTGTTTAGACCACCATGCGAATCCACATATTTTGCCTTGCAGCTGTGCTTTGCTTCGGTACGCTGGTCTCATCTACTTTTCAACCAACCGGCACAACACCACCGCAGACGCCTTTTAAAAAGCGTCCACTAGGGTGCGATTGTTTCACTGTCTCCGGTCCTGATCCCGGGTACTTTCAGCACTACAAGCTCTGGGACTTTCGATCGGTCGATTTGACAAAACATGCACATCTCAATCTCACAACACCTCTTCCAGGCAGTGATGGGGACTGGGATGACGATGACGAAGGTGATGAAGAAGGACATAGCATAGCCTTCACCACGGCTCCACCTGATGGCAACCAGAAGTCGGATCCCAGCTCGCTAGTCTTCTTCAAAACAACCTTCGAGCGAGATTGGAGCAGTCAAGACTGGGAGCGCCAGCGCTCGCCGATAGCCCCAGTCTACATGGTCAACTCAAAAAACAACGTCTTTCTTACCAAGGATTATGAGCGGGAAGACCCTCATGCAACTTACCTTGCTCTTCGCACCACCCGCCATGACAACTACACATCCACAGCAGAGATTGAAACCCGCGTCCGTAATATTCAACATTGTTCGCTTCGTGTCCGACTGCGCGTCTTGCCCGCGAACTTCATCGTGTCTCAACCACCACAGCCAAGAGAATGGCCACCGCGGAACCCACAAAGGCATGCCATTCCACCTTTGAATAATCGGACTACGATGGATAATTGGACAGTTCCACTTCACGAGGGAAGCCCACCCCCAGGCGCATGCGCAGGCATTTTTACCTACCACGATCGCCTCTCTGAATCGGATATCGAGATACTGACACGAGACCCAATACATCGCGTCCGCTACGCCAATCAGCCAGACTACGACCCAGTCGCCGATCGGGAAATCCCTGGGGCAAGCACGGTAGCAGATCTCCCAGTCCCATGGACAACATGGGCCACGCACCGTCTGGACTGGCTGTCGGGCATGTCACGATGGTTCGTGAATAGCCAAATTCAAGATTCCAAGACTTATCGAGTTCCTGAGCTGGAAAGCATGATTGTGCTCAATCTTTGGAGTGATGGTGGGGTATGGACTGGCGACATCAAAATTGGCGAAAGTATATACATGGGCATCGAGTACATCGAGCTGGTTTACAATCGCTCCACCGATACCACTTGCCAAAATGCATCTTTCTCGCAACCTGATGAACATCTAATGTTTTCTTTCGCAAACACTTCCATCATTGATGATCATTCGAGCGACGAGAATTCTTCGGATGAAACGCTCGTTTGTCCCCGGGGAAGACAGGGGCGGAAATGTCGAAAGGAGAGGTACAAGGATCGGCCTCATAATGAATTCTGTCAGAGATCGTGCTACATTGATGGAGGTGAGCCTTGGCATTCTAGGTGAGCTTTGTGCTGTAGTCTGTTTTGGGCATTCTTATCCTGTTGGGCACTAGCGGGAATTGGCACCATATGTGTACTGTATTCCTTATCCAGTAAACAGAACAAGTGTTCTGAATTGAAGGCCCCTATGCAATTCCAAGTATACAAGATGAAGCCCAAGTTGATATTGACAGGCCCCACCGATCTGCGGGTATACGCCTTGGCTGCCTTTTCCGGACTAGTGGCGATGGACCATCTCCGATTTCCTCCCACAACTACATATAGAATCTGCAATGTCGAAATTAGCAGAACATGCCACTGGTGCTTGCTGGACCTGTCGTCGCCGGCGAGTCAAATGCGATCAAGTAGTTCCAACATGCCACAAATGCACCAACGCGGGGCGCATTTGTCTTGGCTACAATGAAAAGCCCTTGAGATGGACCAACAGTATCGCCAGTCGTGGCAAGCTGATGGGCAAGACTACACCAAGCATTAAGACACCTGGGCCTTCGATTGCAAGATGTCTTGTCGATCCAGGCTTACAAGATCTATCCCCAGCCAAGCGGGGTTATATCAAATATTGTACGTATCATTCTTCAATGTTTAACACCGGAGAGACTTACCTGAGGTCCAGTTGATCTATATTGCTGTGCAGAAAGCACTTTATTTGATACTACACCAACCAATCCTTTCAAAGAATTCATGCGCCTCATCCCGTCGAGTCCGGGACTTCTTAATACGATAATCTCAATTGCCGCCTTACATCGAGCCCAGCGAGCGAATACGTTACATATCAGCAGTCAGATCAATTCGGATACAGGAAACAAAACAGACCTACAGAGCCAAATCACTACGCCACAGCCCTCCAAGCCATTCTACGATGCCTTACTACATAAACAAGAAGCGTTATGTCATATTCGAAACGAGTTTCAAAATCCAAATGTCGCAAACCACGACGGAGCAATCGCCGCCGTATTAATGTTCATCTGGTTAGAACTAATGGACTCGGGACGAGACTCGTGGCGATATCATCTCACCGCACTGCGAAACATCATGCAAAAGAGTCTGTTCCCGGTATTGGAAAACGCAAAAAGCTTCATGTCCACGTTCTCAAGTTCCTGCGAATACTTCGAAATGACATATGCAATGTATGTATTACCTCAACCCTCACCCTCGCCCTGAATACCAACCAACCAATCCCCAAACACAGTTTCGACATAATAGGCTCAACATTCGTCAAACCAATGCAACCCTCCCACGCCTACCAGCCGCTCTTCACAAAAATGTCCACAATAGACATCCTCCAACTAGCCGAATCGCAAACCTGGATCGGCTGCCCAGCCGAACTCCTCTACATAATTTCCCTAGCAAAAACAGTCCCCCAAACAGCCGAACAAGGCAAATCCCTAAAAACACACTTAACATCCCACCTAACGAGCTTCTCACCGCGACGCTGGGCAATCGCCGGCCCAGATATAGCCCGACTAATGCCCCGCTACCATTTCGCCTGTGCGTACCGGGACGCCGTCTCTATATATATCTCACAAGTTACATTTGGGTGGGTTGGATGCGAGTGGGAGGTTGATTCGAGTGATGGTGGGCTTGAGGTTGATCTTGATGCGACGATCATGCATCTTAAGGAGATTAGTCCTCATGATGCGTTTTACAAGGCGCTTGTGTGGCCGGCTTTTGTCATTGGTGCCGATGCTAAGCTTGAGAAGCAGAGAGTTGCTATTCGGGAGGTTTTTGGGCGTTTGTGGATTGTTTGGAGAGCTGGGAATGTTAGTAATGCTTTGAGAGTTTTGAGGGAGATTTGGATGAGGGGTGATGAGGAGTTGTGGTCTAAGCCTTGGATTGGGTTCCTTTATGAGTGGGGGGCTGATTGGATGTTTGTTTAATGACGGTGTTGCATACAGTGTGAGTTGGTACTGGGAATACTATCGTAACTTCGAGTATATGATTCACGTGGAAACAAATTTGAAGGTATTGCAGGTCCAGTGCATTCATTGCATTAGAAGTACATACGTAGCTCTGGGAGAGCGGTAGGAAATATTTGATACAGACAAAAAGACAAGTGAACGCCATGAGCCAATGCAGAAAAAAAAAAGCTGGGAAAACCACGAAGGAAAAAAGGTGCGCCGGAGCATCGTTCTTTGTATCAACGAAGTCAATGCCGTAGTGACTGGGGTATCATTCATATTCATTGCGGACATTCAATTGAAACAACTCCAAAAGAAAAATGAGAGTTCTTTCTCGGTCTTGTTGTGTTGTGTTCGCCTTGTGCGCCGAAATCAGGTGGTGTCAATTGTTGCCGATAACGCCTGGGAAAAGATGATGGAGGAGGTATGTGATTCGGGAGGTGAGGGGGATAGAGGGCAGGTGAAGACAATTGGCGGAGGAGCCAGAATCCACGTTCTCAGGCCAATGGATAAGACCAGTAGGACTGAGGGGAGGTAATTATGGCGGGGAGTATGTGGGGTTCAGGGCTTAGAGCAGCAGTACTCCTGTGGCTTTATCCAGCGGAGTGAAGTCGCCGTGAAGCCCTCCATTCATCAGCTCAGCGACAATCTTCCTGCGGAGAAGTTGTGTGTGACCTGGCCCGAAAGCAGTTGGCTCAACACCGATGGAGACTGCCTTGGCATTTGTTAAAAGGAATACACCGCAGTCACTTCCATTGTCTTGTTGGGAGGAGACCGACGGAAGTGTGGTCCATTCGTCCTCTTTGTATTTTGAGCCGAGCTCGCCTGCAAGCCATTCCTTGATCCTCTTCACCTGGCGAGCACCACGGGATCCTAGAGAGTCAAAGTATTCTATCGTGCGATCTGCTGGCCGAACAACTATTAGAGTCCAATGACTCGATTCGTGAACTGGGATGAAGACAGTATCGACATTGAGTAATCCTTCACCGCCAATCTTGGCTCGGTTAGCCCATCGTCGCACGCCCTGGTAACCCTTATCGCGAAGGGTGGAATAGAAGAACGTGTTGAAGGCGTGGAAGCGCGGTTTTTCGTTCGGCTTGAGGTTCCCAGTTGATTGGCGAAGATAATGAACAAGTAGCGGGAGGTAGGCATTGATAATTTCATCGTTTAGCCAAGCCAGTGGTCGAATACAAGTGACAATGTCCTTTGGGTAGAGATCATCGCCAGCTAAAGACTTTGCGACAGCCTGACCCTGTGCGCTTTGACAAGCACGTTGTAATTTGTCGAGCCAATCCCATGAAAGGTCGCGCACTGGAGGACCACGCGGGATAACTCTTGTCGGACGTCGCGAATCACGTAACCTGGCCTGCCTTTCCTTCTCGCGTTTCTCCCATTCAGCCGCGTAGACTGATGCAACGCGGTTGGCGGGTATGTCCTTTCTTGTGAGGGAAAATAATTGTACGGCCGAGACGGGTCTCCCTAGATCTAGAGATTCGAAATCTTTTGTCTGTTGTTCCCATGGATCATCGATGAATGTACGAGGTTCTGCGGCGCGCTTTGGGATCTTCTGTGGGCGGGGAGATGGCGCCGCCTGTGAGCGTGGAGGGGTGGGTGGGTAATATTTCGATGGTCGAGGGTGGAGATGTAAACCAAGATCTGTAGTAAGTGATGGGGATCCGAGAGAGCCTATTTCCATCGACTCCAACTCCATGGGCGCAATGCCCTTGCCCTCTGGAGTCTCGCCATGAGGATCAATTGGCGCAAGTGTCGGTGACTCGGGAGGAGTGGCTGGGAAGGATCCCGGAATATGCAGGCTGGTGTAATCTACATTTTGAGAGCAGGTAAGCATTTACATGCGCGTCTAAGATGCATCCCGAGATCCTCACCATCGTCGTCGCCAAGCGTTCGCTTCTTGGGAGCTCCAAAGGAAGGTGGAGTGTCAGGCGCGGACTTTGTGGGTGTGAAATAGGAGAAGCGTGACTTCAGTCGAGCCCAGCAATGCCCCATCTTGATGTGAGCCGGAGATGTTCCAGCTAATCGAAAGCGAGGGAACCTATCGTCTAATGACGCGCTTTCAGATTGCGAGGGTGGCGGTTCAATGATTGTTGTAGATTGCGCGAGAAGAAAATGAGAGGCGAAGTAAGGAAAGGTCACAATCCATCATTGGGCATGACTGGCGGAGGGAGTGGTTTGAGAAACCAGAGTCGAAGTCAGACAGTAGAGGTTCATGAGAACCATATGAACCGACGCGGTTCCCTTTCATCATTCCGCTGACTCAGCCTGGAACATTTCCCGAGGTTCATTGTCTTTTTGTTTCTTTGCTCTGCTTCGCTATTGTTTGTCAATTGTTGAATCATTATTGAATAGACCGATGTAATCTACTCTTGATCTACTATATATAGACAAATGGGTTGTTCTTTTAATTTGAATTCCCTAAAGAAGTCGAAACCAGTTCCAAGGCCTGCAAGCATGTGGGCTTTTTCCTTCGTAATCCGTAGTCATCGCGTTTGCCTACGTTAGCTTCTTACAAAACAATTATCTAGTATGGATGCATATTGGTAGGCATTGTGACCGGAAGTTGGGGAGCTTGTACATTCTTATGCAACAAATAGAGGCTATGAATACCAGTTGCGATGCTTATATACATGGACAGGGTAATGTCTGAGCTGACGCCTTCCAGCACAGCCCGCTGAACTGGAAGCAGTCTGGGAAGCTGCTGGGGGTGAAGGAAAGGGTAATCGAAATCATAATGACCTGATTCATAATGATACATTCATACAACCGGTGGGACTCCTAGCCCGACTAGGTCAAATAGTAGGGGTGCGACCTCGATAACAACCCAAGGAATACCTAGAAGCAATGGTCAGAAATTGTCTTATGAGGAGCCTTGGGTTTAAACATACCGGCATACACAACCAGTTTGGTCACGACCTCCACATCGTAACGAACACGGGGTTTCTTAATCTGGGAGAAAACCTCCTCCTGGTCCCGTTGTTCGGCCTCGAGTTCTGTTTCGATCGAGAAGTCGGCCGTGGGGAAAGGCGTTATATCGGAGCTGACGTCGACGGCAGAGGAATGAGGACTGCCCCTACCCATCATGCCTTCGTATTCCCCCAAAGTTGTCGCCTTTCTTGACAGTGGCGTCCCGTTTGGCCTGGTTTCTCCCTCTGCAACTGGAGAAGCACGATTCCCACCAGATTGACTTTCACGTCGACGCTTTTCCCTGTATGCCAGGGTTTCGTACGCATCAGCCTCTGACTGAGGACCGACAGAGATGGCTCGGCGGCGGGGATGGCGCATAGTAGTAATGATGGATGGGATGTCGGAGAAATTAGGGAGAACATCGTGGTCCTTGAGGTTGGATGGAACAGTGGTGTATTTCCTACAACGGTTAGAAACAACTCACCCCAAAAAGAGTTTTGAACTTACGAAGCAGTCGTGAAGAAACGTCGAGGAAGAAGAAGTCCAAGCTTCTCTAGAGTCCGGAAGATAGGTGGTAAAATGCGGAGCAAAGCGGGCTTTGTCACAGTCCTCCAGGCAAATACGCACAGCACACCCAAAACGAGACGAATGACGGTATTAATCCATCCCACGGTGTAGAGGTCATAGGGGATCGACCCAGCAGGATATCCGTCCCAAATATCGGCAAAGTGCCACGAGGATACGTCCACGCCGAGCATGACTCCCGCAAATGCAACACTGTCGTCAAAGCAGGGACAATCATCGGCTGGCTCAGGATGGACGCGGACCAGAGATATGATCAAAAGCGCAAGCAGAGAGATATCCTTCAACGATGCAGACACAATAAACTCTTCAAAGGCTGGTCCATAGTGGAACTGAATAAGACCAATACCGGCACCCAAAGCACACCCAACCGTACAGTCCAGCATTCCATGCATTCCGCAGTACAGACGGCCTAGAACAATCGATACCACGTACATATAGGTAACGCATTGGAGAAGGAGCGTGACTTGCGCACTGAGAGTCGACTCCGGCGATCCGAGCAATCCCAAGGCGTAAACCGCTACCGAAACAGCGTTTGTAGAATGCGTCGAGGGGAATCCATATTCGAGGGCTGCAGATCCGGACATCGTGATGCGCTGAAGTGGGGGCGACAAAGGTCGGGGAAGACATAGCAAGTCTTTAATAAAGCCGCTGAAAAATACGCCCGATGCGAGGATATGTACGAGTCTAGAAAGAGGATCTGTTAATCCCCGGCCTTCATTCGGCGATGCGACTCGGACAAAAACACATACCCTCTACCCATACTCGGGGAGCCGCACCAAAACAAGAACGGTAAGAAGACCATGAAGAACGTGTGGGTACCGAGGTTCGCCGTGAACGCAAAGTACGAGTCAAGCGTAGGTGTACGGACTTTCTCCTGCACCCAGGCAAGGTATGGAGTCTCATATCGAATCAGCGGGATGAGTTGCTGTCGCGGCCAATATCGCCAGAGGGGTAAACGGTTCGAATCTATGTTGTGAACGCGCGGGGTCAGCGGTCATTTCAAATGGAAGGTAGAGGATCTGCAGATGCGATAGGGGTCGCATACAATGGTTGAGACTCTTCAGCCCAGCATCAGGCTGGTCCGACTTGTGACCCATGTTGTGTTATTTATGGTGTCGATTCCATAGATCGACAGACAGTTGTCTGCCGATAGGGTTGAAAAGAGATTTAGAGGGGCCGGAGCATAAGGAGCGAATAGAAGTTGGATTAAAGCAATAAGATTCGAGGTGGAAGAGGTTGAGATCATCCTCCCCTGGCCATGTGTGGGCTTAGTCACCTATTATCGCCGAGGTTGAACTTATACTTCGAATGGTAATTCAAAAGGCTTTGATCCTATGTGAATTCTCTTGCTTATTATCTGCTGCAGTGCGTCTTTACAATGCTGTTGGCGATCTATCCTAAAAAATTGGCAAATATATTTTCGGCCTCCAGTTTGGTGTGAGGCTATTGACGAATACCATTGCAGCGACACTAGCACTAGCACTAACACTCAGCCTCTCCCCGTAAAGGCTCAGCTGAGTTCAAATTGATGTAAGATTCACATGTACAATGAAAGCAGACATTCAATTGGCATGGAAGCACACCCAGTTGTTAGGCAGCACATTAGATGCTAACAGCCCTTCCATGATAACCTGTAACCTATGTGCTTGATTAAACCAATGCTCCACAAAACACATTATAGTAAACTGACTTTCATTTCCCGATCCTGAGAGTCCACTGTGGGATACTTTATATCTACTGGTTGGATATGTGGGCTCGGTGCGAGGTAGCACCCGCAGGATTAGTACATGCATGAGATAGAGCCTCCCTTCGCTTATAGTACCTCTAAGTAAAGAGCTATAACCTCATTTTGATATATAATTCAACTGATTAGGTTGCCTGTGGACCTAATATATACAGCCAGGTCGACCTTGGAAGTGGGATACCTTAATCCGGTAATATGTATATAGGCCGATCCGGTTCTGGCGAGCTGAAAGGTGGGGAAAGAGGCTTGAGGCGGATCCTCTCCAAGAAAAGAAACAGGATCGGAGTAGCCGTGCTCCAAAGTGACAAGATATCAAGACTTTCATGAGAAGCGGAGCCGTGGCGTCATCACGACACGGCCGTTGCCATGGCAGCTCAAGTGTAAACACGGGTCTCGCCCTGACAGACCCTCTATCGACGATCATCATCGAGATCTTTTAGATCTGTCTATTCTCCTTTCCCCCTCAACACATCTCGAAAAAAGCTCGTCAACTTGTCAACTATCACCTGTCAACATTCCCACACGTCAACCCGCCAATACCTCATTTTACCTGCAAACGAGGGACCACATTCCACGTATCCACCTCTCCACACCATGAGTGCCATGTACGAGGACCAATACTATGCAGCTTCGCGCCGCCGCTCTCTTGCAACCCCTCCTCCATCCTTGACACCGCGTCACAGCAGAGCCCGTAGCGACAGCGTGCGAGTGAGCCACGGCACAGCCAGCACGAACACCAGCTTTTCCAGCGGACGGATGTCCGAAGCAACGAATATCACCCAGCCGCCCTCCTTCTCGAAAAAGTTTGTAGTGGTTGGTGATGGCGGCTGTGGAAAGACCTGTCTATTGATCAGTTATTCCCAAGGTTACTTCCCAGAGGTAAGTCAACAACACCATATGCATTTTGCATCCCTGATATTGACAAGAATGCAGAAATATGTTCCTACGGTATTCGAGAACTACATTACACAAACCACACATCGGGCTTCCGGCAAGACTGTCGAATTAGCACTCTGGGATACCGCTGGACAGGAGGAATACGACCGTTTGCGTCCACTGTCATATCCCGAGACGGATCTTTTGTTTGTCTGCTTTGCCATTGATTGCCCCGCTTCATTGGAGAATGTTGTTGATAAGGTGACTCACTGATTCTAATCTTTCCCCCCAATTCATCTAACCTGTGTATAGTGGTACCCCGAGGTTCTTCACTTCTGTCCTACAACCCCAATTATCCTTGTCGGCCTGAAGTCCGACCTGCGCACCAAAAGAACCTGTATTGAGCTCCTAAAGACCCAAGGCTTGACACCTATTACACCAGAGCAAGGCCAGAACGTGGCCCAGCGGATGGGGGCAACATACGCCGAATGCAGTAGTAAGGAGATGCGTGGTGTGGACGAAGTCTTCTCCAAGGCCGTCGACTCAGTGATTTCGATTGAAGAACAGGGCTACTCATCACAACAGCCAACAAGCCGCAGCGGTCGCAAAGAACGTAACAGCACCATGCCCTCAGACGGAGGCCAACGACCCGGCAAGAAAATCAAGAAGCGCACTTGCAAAATCCTGTAGATTGACTCTCCAGGAAAGAGCTTGTCTTCCCCACCTCCTCTTCCATTCTCAACCATCCTCTTACTTTTCCCTTCTCCCCTGGCCGGACCACAAGCCTGGTTGCTTCGTCGGCTTGCTTGCCTAAGCGTCTCGAATGGTGACATGGGGCAAGCTGGACAAAGCTAGACATGATTTTCGCCCCCTTGTCTGTGGGAATACGCTGTGCGGCCCCTACGATGATCTCGAATATTTCTTTTTGCTGGAGGCTGTTTCCTTTATTCCATTGTTTCCCTGTCTGTCTCAATCCTGGCCTTTTCTTATGATCCGTGTCCCTTTTGTTTCAATTGATGTCTCTCATGACTCGGGTCTTTGCCGCTTTTTTATTGCCATGCATGGGACTGGTGTTCTATTTCTGTAATTTGGTCTGTACTGTTGGCGAAAGCGACCCCTATGTGTTACTGAAGCAATCCATTTGATTTCTTGTTCATTCTTCCCCGAGTAGATGTTGTAGATGTATCTTGTGTTTCGTCAATTGGATCGTAAACGTAAACGCGTCGATAGAATTAAATATGCTTTGCAAAACAGCCTAGCCTTTGTATCGGATTGGTTACTAGGATACTGAATCAGCTGGGTGGATCATTTCTTCTGAAAGGCCAAGATATAAACAGCCGATGCTATCCTACTATATAGAATTCACCAACAACCATGGACGGTTTTGTGTATATAGACCCTAAGCTATAGATTCCAATAGAAAGGTGTCTAATATATCAAGGAATAGCTAGGGTTAACATCAACCAAAAATTACCCCCTACTTATCTGTCTCGCAGTATATAAGTACGAAGAATATGGAAAGACTCTGTGAGATATTTAACAAAGAAGGTTGTCGAAGACTCGATCTCTCTAACCACGTGAGCGCTGTTATGTCATAGCAACATCTCTAAAAGGCTCTTCAAGTAGGACGAGTAAATGCCGCTGACTTGATAACTGATTAACCGAGTCGCTACCTACACCTCTATTTCTCTAGTAATTCTATATAGTGCCTTTATAGCCAATTTCGATTAAAGGCTAGAGAACAGTATCTACTATTGATCGACCAATAGTGGACTATCGACTTGTACTTAGATAGTAAGCCAGAGATCCACTACATACTTTCCCGCAAAGCCTGTTTTGATAACCTAAGACATTAGTCTCGATCTTCAAACTAGCCTTATTAATGAATATTCTAACAAGAGAGTCCCGCGCGATAGTGAAATATACCTCAAAGTTCGACAATATCGAAACGAAGCTAATATACACTTCGAGAATCGATAGCTAGCGCGGCTGGCACAAAACAAAGCTAGGCGGTTTCGTGGACATCAGTCTTATCCGAGCGTTCGAGCTACTTTTGACTTGTTACTTATCTTGCCCTCTTTGGTGATATATAGAATGCAAATTAGATCTCTTCCGTAGGCTCTAGCTATTTGCTGCGACGAGGTAAGATTATCTAACTCTAGAATAAAGCGATACTGGTTACGTTCGTAGGAGATATCCCACGCGCTAACTAGGCTCTTGCAATATTAGTCTTTACTCGTAGGACACGATCGTGCTAAAATGCTCAAAATCGAATTATATATGGTGGAAAAATTGTAACTCCTAGCACCTAGGGTGTCCTCGAAGGACAGAACCACCGTGAAAGGCCTTTTACACAGTAGCGAAGGCTTTTCAACCTTCACAGAATCCGAACGAGCCTCAATTTAGAAGCGATTGAAGAAGACAGAGGGCATAATTCTATCTCTGTACACGTTCTTCAAAGATCTATGGTACCTAGAATCATGTGCGAACTATATAATATAACTTATCATACCTTCTAGATCTTTCCTAACCATCAGAACCGCTATATACGCAGCCTTTCTGTCTTTCGATCCCACCTATGCGCAATTCCTGATACAAATATCTAAAGCTAGATTTCGGTCTTATTCAGACTCCTAGGGTGACCTAGCAGAACTTAGGTATCGATAACTCTGGCTTTATGCCATACGACACTACCCAAAGCTATTCAAAAAGCCGCCGAAGAAGGACCAATAGCTGATATTAGCTCTAGATGAGAGGCTACTCTATACAAGCGAAGGACGTGCCACAACGTAACAGGTTTTAAGATACGGATCATGTGGGTCAATGATGCAACGTCAAGGTATTGAATTGAATTATATCAAATAGAGTGTATGAACAATATGGACATACGAATTGACTCGGACAATCAAGATTCTGCAGCAGGAGTAGGGAATCAATCATTAGAAGAGAGTTGCCTGGTCACACAAGAAAGAAACCCAACGCCCCAGTAAGGCCTAGCAAGCAGGAGAGACCCGCCACCGCCAATGGTTGTGCGGCACTCTTCTTATCCGGGCACTCGGCGGGCTCGTTGAAGTGGAGATCGCAGTAACTGGCCAATTTAGAGGCCTCCATGCTGGCGAGCGTGGTCTTGTCAATTTGAGTCCGACAGGGATTTGTTGAAGGAGTCGGGGAGGCTGCCACAACGGCGCATGTATGGTTGGTGTATTTACCGCCCTCCCAAAGTGCGCTGCTGATGGACTTGGTTTTGTCGGTCACATTGATCGCCACGCCTGGTTGCCCGGTACATGTCTTGTTGGCCGTAGCAGAAACGGGGTCCAGCTTTGGGGCAGAATTGCTGGTGGTGAACATGGTTGCCTTGGTGGTGCTGTTGCTGATCACCTCGTTGCTATATTCGGGTGATTCCACGTTGCAACTATCCCAGCTTAGGGTCCAGAGTACGCTCCAACGACCCTCGGTGCTGAAGGCGTTGCTATATTTGTGGGCAAAATAGGTTTCCTGGTTCGTCCAGTTTACCCAGTGGAGTTCATGCCACAGGTTGTAGACTTTGTCGCCATCCTCGTCCCTTAAACTGTAACTGATTGAGGGGTTTAGGCGTCTCGCGCGCTCGGAATTTTTGAACGCAAAGACAACAGGGAACGTGTCGTTGGGCGCATATGTTTCATTGCGCGGAAAAACCAGATTCACTTCCAGTACATTAGAAGCGTTGATCACAGTCCCCAGACAGGCAGCGAGCATCCAGATCGTCGTTGAAATATGCATGATGAGGGCAAGTCAAACCTTCGAATGTGATCGCGGAAAGATGGGAGCGAGAAAAAACCCCGCAGATTTAGGACAATCGACAAAGCAGGGAACCAAATTGGTAAACAGTGAAGGTAAGATGAACAAGAATATTGGGGACCAGCGCTCAGATAGACTCCGAAGGCAATTAAATGGGTGCAGGGGTTGAAAGACCATGTGAGACCTTTAATCCTTGCCCGCATACAAGTGGCGGCTTGGTAGCTCATGGTTCTATCACCAACTGGGCTAAAGACCCTGGAAGTTTGCCTCTGCAGTGCGCTGGGCAGCGTGGATTTGGGGCCGCCCCCTGCCAAGCCCTTGGCTTTCGGCTTCCGTGGCCAGTTGCAGCGTAATAGTGCCTAGTTCGAGTAGTCATTTGCCCAAAGCTAGAGTGCTAGGTGATAAGGTGTCTTGAGGAAGCAAGACGCTAGGTTGCGTGCCTGTGATGGCGGACTAGAGCTAGACTATAGCAAACTAAATAATCATGCTCCCGTGACAAAAGAATCTCGAATAAACCTAGTGATACCGATAAATCACATCAAATATATCTATATCTAGAGTGTTTTTGTCCTTCGTTCGTCGGGGGAGTCTGCGCTTAGCTAGAAATAGACTTACGAGAAACTTTTCAAGATTAGTATACTCTTCTAGGGACGTAAGGGATATTGCTTACTTGTCGTATCTATTGATAGGCATCCTTACCGACGCGGCGATAGGCGAATAGCTCGAAGTATTGACAAAAGCGTCGCTAGTATTTATTATATGACTAAAGTAGTTTCTTTCGTGATATTTTGAATATCTAGTTAAAAAAGTTTATGTAGATTGTCTAATCCTCCAAAAGAAGAAATTCTATATAATCCTTATTTGATTGAATACAAAATCTTTTCTCGTGTTGTTCTTAATTATAAGACTTTTCCCGACTAAGTGAGCTATTACTTTCGCTAATAACGTTCGACGATAGCGATACCTTCTATAGTCTTTAGCTTAAACATTGGAGGGAGCTATCTAAGACTACGAAAATGTTCTAGTCTAGCTCGAGTTTCCTCGCAAAAGATAGGATAGGTCTAGTATCGGTGCTTAGCGGGGTAAGCCGGATATTTAGGCGTAGGTGCTATAGATATAAGATACAAAGACCGGAGTAGGAAGCTTATGTTGCGGGAAACGACAAAGTCGAGGTCGTCTCGAGGCGTGGGCAACAAGGATAAGAGAACAGGAGGTGCAAGGAGGTAAGGCGAAGCATCTTATAGGCGCTCAAATAGACCGGGCAAAAAGGGAGGGTACTCAAATTCAGCTGAAAGGGAGCAAATTTCGGCGTTGTTTTGGTCGCTAGTGGAAACGAGGGGAACAACCGTGCAAGTCGAGCGTCAACATCAGGACTGGAGGATAACTAATATTGCTGGGCGGGTCCATAGGTCCTCATATTCTAGTTGTAAATTTGAGGGTTGCGTGGTATCTAAAACATAAAACAAAACAGCCTGACGCCGAAGCCCATGCAGACGAAACGTAAACAATCATTGCATGACTGTCGACTCACCCTCCTCGGGCTCCTGTTTAATCTCTGACTTGACCGCTACATCGCTTTCTCCGCTGACTTTCCTCTTTCCATTGCTGTTCCCATTGGCATTGCCACCCTCTTCCCCCTCCTCTTCTCGCCGTCCCATAAAGTTCTCAAATTGAGACCATAGAGCTTCCACAGAGCCGAACTCATTCCCAACCTAGGAGAAATCAATGAGCAAGATATTTTCTCAAAGCAAAAGCCCTTCCATCCAGGTACTTACCGCAATAACACTCTCCAGATTCCGATTCAGACGGTTGATATTTTGAAGAACCTGCTCCATACCCTGAAACACACAAGTTAGCACCAATAATCCTACCAGCGGTTGTGCTAAAAATAGAATCAAAAGTTCAAACCCACCACTGCAATTTCCCGCACTAATTCCTCCCGCTGCTGCTCGAAGACAGTCGGGGACGCGGCGCGTCGACCTGAGCCCGGTGTTGACTGGATCCAGGCCATATCTTCGGTATTATGAGAATAGAAGTGTAATTGAGAGTGTTTGCCACGGTCCAGACGAGATAGGCGCGACTGGTGCGGTCTGTGGGTATTGTCGGCAAGTTATGCCACGGGGAGACACGACGGTTCAGAGGCGTGGGGTCTGGTCGGTTGGCACGGTATTAGATATAGCGAGGATGGATACGAATGCGACCGGGTTCGAGGGTTCGGTAGTAATCTCCGATGGTAGTGGTTGTTCTGTGGGGGATGGTGTTTGATGAGGGAGACGTTGAGGTGGGGACAGTTGATAAGAGATTTGGATATCCGAAGTAAACAATGACAACTACAGACTGTACAACTCCAACTACATCACACGTCATTGTCAACGCAATGATTCTCAATCAACATATTTGAACCTCGGTCAAACTGCATGATCAAGTCGCTTTACCTTTTGTGAAATGATCAAGGTTTCGAGCGATGATACATTTCATTGATCCAGACGGACAGACTTTCAATATTTATTCTCAATAGTATCAACTAGTTATGGAGCGAGATATGACATCCCGTCGTGCTTATCTGTTCCTTGATATGTGCTGCCGGGGTCTTCATTTATCGCAAAAGCTGCACGAGCCAGTGCAGAGAAATCAATGCAGCTTTTTTTATCACAGTCGGTCTTGCCAAAGGGATCTCGCGGTAACTTATTACAATTGGACGGCTTGGTGAAAAGAGTGACAGCTCACCAAACTTGTCAAGAAACTCAGAGAGTATTTTGCAGGTGTAGACGTAGAGGGCATCAGCCGATTCTCCGGGGTGGGCAGAATCTGGACCTTTATTGGGTGAGAAAGGGAGTTCAGTTTGAAGGTTCGTGGATTATAGCACTTGGTCCTTACCATCTTCTGTCCGAACCTGAAGAAAATTGTCGAGAATCAAGTTTCCATTGCTGTTGCTGCTGGAGTTAAGACTGCAGATGCTTTTTCTGTCAGAATCAAGTTTCGCCGCTCCCCCCCCCACCAAGGCGCGCATTCTGAGCTGTCCACGCTTTATGTTCTCTGAGCATCATTTGGGCTATCAAGTAGAACCAGTACTATTTACTACGGAATTATTCAAAGCGTTGATTAGATGAAGACGCCACTTTAATCTCTACAGCTGCCATTTTGTCGCGTTTGTCAACCAATACACGTAGTGTTTTGCGAGATGTGAGATCAACATAATCGCATCCCCTAGCTACATTCTCACAGTCACATATGGCGTGGCTCCGGAGATGCTAGTTGTATTTGTCATTTTGTTGAACCATGGACTAAATGTCATTTAGAAAGATTTTTGAAAAGCTCGGCTTTTTGGCTTACTTACTTTAGTCGTCGTGAGGCCACGTTTTAGTACTAGGCAAATCTAGTAAATGTATCGGGATAAATTGGTCGATCCATTGAAGGAACGAACTTCCAGCAGTTTCAGCATCAAAAGTAGCATTATCGCTAGGCTTAAGCAAGCCATCCATACGTAGGATAGAGATCTGTTGGCTACCGTCCGCGATCTTCGTCATGGAGAATCTCTGTAGCGATAGATTTTGTCCCAAAAAGATCCAAACAGACTTCCAAAGACCATCTTCATGATCTGTAGAGGGTATGTAGGGGGTTAAAGGGATGTAACCTCGTCCGGGTGGTAGTTGCCCAGCTGGTTGGGCGTCATACGGAGTTGAGGCTGAAGGGTAGCCTATTGGGGTTGTGGGGGAGGCTGAACTCGGATTGTAGGTAGAAGAGGTTGGATTCCAGGCAGGGAACGTTGGAGTATAGGTAGAGGAACTTCGATTGTAGGCTGCTGAGGTCGCAGAAGGCAGAATTGAAGGTGAACGCTGCCAATCTGGGGTTGGCGAGTACCAAGGTGACGGATGGCCCGGCAAATTGATGGTGAGATGCCTTCTATAATCACCCCGAAGAGCGTGAAAACAGTGAGAGTCTCTTTGGCTTTTATAAGAAATGACTTTAGATCCTCGGAATTGATCCGAGTCTTACGGAGCTGGAGCTCTTTGAGGCGATTGAATTGGAATTTACTGGAAAGGTCTTTGAAGCAATAGTCTGCTTGTCAAAGAGAAAGAAGTCGGATGGGGGAATGCTGGGAATGGTAAAACCCCGAATTGGTGCGGTAAATACGCCCCTCCTACTACCCACTGAACCGGTGATCCACCTCAATGAAGCGTGAACATTGATATACGCCATGCCTGTCCTAGCTAGGTCAGATAGATCCCGCAGAATGGCATATGTGGTGTTTGGCGGCCAAGGGTTAATATCATCACGCGTGTACGGAGTAAGCAGTGGACCTAGGATCTATCAACTATTCCATTGGAGGGCGAACTATTGCGGACATCTCAATATCTGGGTACGGTGGATTCAATCCACCCCTACGAGTCCCTTCACATCGTAAGTAAGTAGTTTTGCTATTTCCTCACAGAAAAGCCATTCCCCCACAGGTCTCGAAGGAACGGCTTCTCCGGAGAGGTCATCTAACTTTCTGGCTCCTGAACTCCCCAGAGAAAAAAAAGGTGCGAGCTTGACAAATATCGTTGCTATCATGATCAAATGACTCTTTGGGAAGGGTGTTCTTCAATATGTATAACAAGGTCAAACAGATCATGCTGGAGAATAACTTGCATAGCTTCGTTTAAGCCGAACCTCGATATTGAACACAGTAACAATTAGATTGTTTTCACCACCTAATGGTCTAGTAAAGTCGATCAAATGTAATTCTCAGGATAGACCAATTTCATCAGATATAAGATGACCTGCTCTTTGTCAAGGTATGCAACAATTAAACGACTTCAAAAGCAAAAAGTGCCAAGACGTACCGGAAATGATTCACAAAATCCGTATTCAATTTACATCATTAGCACTGCCTCAATCAGACGGAGCCAAGCGGTCAGCAGGTCCTTGAAAATAAAATATAAACCAGATACATAAAGTGAAGCACGAAGCAAACAACCAAAAAAGCATGACCATCCCGAACGCTGTACAACAACCCCTTATCAAATACCCAGCAGCATGCACAAAACCAAAGATCTATCAAGATCTAGATGCAAAAGTACTTCGCATTTCGCACACAAAATTCTCACCAGGCGAGTACAATCCCAGTCCAAGCCCGAAGTTCGGAATGGACCGGCGCAGGGGCCGAGACACCGAGATCAACCAAGCGAATAACAACACCAGCTAGCAGAACTGCTGTGCCAGGTTTGTCTCAACCGACAGCAACAAAGACAGACTTTACATCTGGACCCTAGCTCAAGTCCATTTCTATTGGAGAACATGCACCGAGGGATTATGGTCGTACAAGTGTACCACTCCGAATAACCCCTCCTCACTAGGGTCCAGGGTCCACACGGTAGATCTGCTATTTACATGCACATGTACTCTATGGTGCACGGATCACAAGGGCAAGGAGGAGTAGTCACAGCTAATTGGGGATATTGGGACTGTTCAACGGTGTAAAAGTATCCACGACCCGTTGGATTTGGTATTTGCCAGGTACGGCGGTGAGGAATGGTGGCTAGATGTTGATGTGGAACATGGAGGATGTAGTGTAGATTTCATTGCGTTGCGTATTGAGTCTTGGGTATCAAAAGTAGAGCTCAGGTTACTGAGAAGCAGCGAAAAGCATAAGTCAAAAAGGCAAACTGTAGAAGAAGCAAAAAAAAAGGATATGTGTAAAAGTATGAACAAGAAGTGAAAAATCAACACCATTCCCGAAGTCGCCGACTCCCTTCAAGTTCAGTTCAGTCTCTTCTTTTCTTCATTTTTGTGAGGCGGTTTCGTTCTCTACATGTCCACTGGACATCAACCGAACACTCATATGCAACACCAATCCAGAGCAATCCATTCCATTCCCAAGCTAAATCCGAAGGGGGGGGGGGGATGTCCCAAACATATCAACCGGACCAAAAACAGGCCGGGGCTAAACCCCGGAATCGCCCACTTCGCTTTAAGTTGGACTTCATTTCATTTCATTTCGTTATGTCGTTTGCGAACGGTCTGACACCGCGCCGCTATTCAGACTGCGTTGGTCGATTTCCAGAACCGAGCCTAACACAAAACCAGAATCCATCACCGCATTCAAGTCGTGCATATATCCGTAACTTCATTTTCGTAGCACATGGCAGGAACAAAGCCTTCCCCAAAGAAATGGCTTTGATAGGTAAGAGGCGGTGTAGCTAAGAGTTGCGACGAGGCTGCACGAGAATATTACTCAGGCGCTTCCAGCGCGGGGTTGGCGAAGCCGAGTCGCGACGCATGGATTTATCACTTGGCTTTGTGGAGGATTGTGTAGAGGAGCGGGGCCGACTGCTGATAGCCTCGTGATCGGCGAGGACATCTTCCAGGCGGACGTCTGAGTCAGACATGCGCGAGGTATCCTTTGGATCCAGGATCTCGATGAATTTGGAGGGTGTGTCGCGCATTTTGGAGTGGAATAATAATACGCGAACGCGAACACTGTTTTGTGTTTCGAGCGAAGGTGGGTGGAGGTGGAGTATGTCTAGAGAGGATGGAGGGGTCACGAGGGTGTATGCAGGAAGCAAGCGCGAGATGAGACAAATAGCGTTTGCAGATTTAGGCTTGCTGCAGAGTTGCGGGGTATATAACTTGTGAAGCGAGGGAAGATGAGGAAGTAAGATGGGGGAGAAGGATGGAGGAAAGAGACTTTAAAGGGAATATCGGGACTGTACTCCGTAGGGGACAGAAAATGATTTGAAAAAGGAAGGATATGCAACCACTCTCGATCCCTGTAGTGGACCCCGGGTGAAGATCAGGGGAGACAAGAAAAGATGATTCGATAGTGCATGTATAAGATTCGTAGACTGAAGATCGGACCTAAGTTGGTTGATTTCGATATTTAGTATCAAACGATGTGTAGTAGTTAGTGTACCTGGCGCATTGCCCTTATATCCGAGACTCAAAGTAGGCAGAATAGACCCCTCTGCATTCTGCACATGCGTGTAGGGTCATCTCCACGGACTACGTACCCGAGGCAATGCTTTGGACGCCACCAAATGTTGATCATCGCCCCCATTAGCTGCTCCACCAAAAACCACTGACCGTTAGGGCCTGGGGTGAAGAACCCTTGGGAGGCCTGAGCTAAATGTGCCCCCCCCCCCCCCCCCCCCCCCTTTACAATCTGACCGACCTACTTCTCTCTTGACCCCTCCGATGATCACAGTGAAATTCCCTCAGGCTAGGTCAACGAGGCTTAGCGTTTACCCTACAGTAGTTCATTGAGTGCAGTAGTTCACAGTAGTTCCCAGTAGCCTGATCACAATCCCCATGACGTCGGAGGCACCCTCATACATACCTACATGTCATGTCCACTACACCACTATGAATCTCAGGGTGTTCGTAAGCGGGTGATCGGCTTCTATAAAAAGAACGCCGCCACACACACAAGCCACTCACACACTTGTACGCATGTACATGTACAATACTTGTACCATATGAGCTACCTTCTATAAGCCACCCGCGCCCCTCAACGCGAAACAGTCCACGTAGTCCTGTTCGCCCCTACTAGGCACTACTATACTATAACAACCTAACGAACCAGCCAACAACCAACACCCAAGTGGGCCACCCAAACCAACGCCTCCATCTCCACCAGGAATGAAATGCCGGTCGGCGGTGGAGAAATGGAAGATGAAACCACGGGTGCCATTCGACATTTAACCTATGGCTGTTGTCAGTGCGGTCGCTGTCTACGTCTGAGGTCTGATGTCCCTGTTTCATGTACAGTATAGGTGAAATGTGGTGGCCACATTGATCATGTTGTCAACTGGTCATCTCATGGCTTTTGATATGGCGTGTGTACGCGCATCCTTGATAGCATCGGGTAAGGCGATTGGGTTGTATGGATGATCGGCTAAGTTATTTTTCTCACCGACTTCTTTTGTCTCTAGTATGTGGGTTCTGATTCTGTTGATCGGCGCTGGGTGTATTGTATACCCGGATTTCGCGGATCTTGGTGTTGTGGGTGGTGGCCACGTATTCAAACAATCTTGAGTACGTTTAGGATGCCATGAGCGGTGTTATGGAAATGATGTTTGGTGTATCTATCTATACGGGGATAGAGGTACGTGCTTGAAGTAGAATGGAAGAAGTGGAAGTGGAAGAAGAGCAACACAGGCCATACCAAGTGTCTTGTACAACAGCAGAGAAAAAACAGTAATTGATTCGATTTTGGCCAATTGGGACCATGCACAAAAACCACTTTGAAAAGCCAAAGAAAAACGCCTCGTGATAATTGAAAACAGTGAGCCTAAGCCCACCCAGTCCAAAGTGGACTTCGCCATATCTCCATCTCTATCTGTGTCCGCGTCTGCGTCTGTGTCTGTGTCCATGTTTGTGTCCGTGTATGCAAGAGCTCTGACCCCGGTCGTGCAGCGTGTACCTGACGGAAGAACAGAACATTTATCCCTCTGGTCGGCCGATACACTTGTCCATGTAACCTAAGCAATCCGGCGGGGAGTTGACAATTCGATATCCAACTCAGCGGATGTACAAGTCCAAGGCCGACAAGCGCGAAAATGAAAAGAATAGAGGATGTCGGATTGATTCCCCGACAGCCCACGACACGGAGATCAGGCAGTTTCGTCACACTTCACATTCAAACCTCGCATTCCAGACTTCAAACTTCAGATTTCACACCTCGCTCATGCAACGCATTGTATGTTGTATTGCATTGCATCCCCATCCCGGCTAAACAGGTGCGACAAATAATTATTTTAACCCGAGATCCGTCATCTCGACACTATCCGCGGAGCCCATCCAGAGGATGTTGTTGCATCTAATGAGAAAAAGAGTTAGCGATCCATTCCAATCCATTACTCTCCAAACAAATGCTCCCAATCGTAATAGGGCAGGAGCAGACACGAGCTAGTGCAGTCGCATACCTGATCAAAACAAGACCCAGCGAACCGGTAGGCTTCCCATCGATGAATTCTTCTGTATCGCGCAGCAAGACGTTCATGTATGAATCGATGCTCTCGAGCTTGCCCTTGTATTCTGTCTGGCCCCACTTAAGGCGGATGAGGACTTCAGTGCCGACGCTATAGAGGAGATATTGTTAGCATTGTTACTTGTTGGATGCGACAATGGTTTCAAGATGTGGTGGGATCTGAGTCAGGCTAAAGGTTGGGGCTGGGGTTGGATGGGGCCGCATACCGAGCCTGTAGGAAGGGGCGGGGGTTGAGTGGTTGAAACTGTAGAGCTTTATTAGCAATTGGTTTACTCATGATGAGAGGTGAGGGTGTCATAGAGGTATGTTGTATCTTTTGAGCTTGGGATTGGGGTTCAGGGCGAGGGGAGACGTACGCTCATTGTGACTGGGGTGACGCACTCTGAGATGAGTGGCTAGATTTTGTGGCTGGGTTTTCGGGATAGAGGAGAAAGGAAGGGAGTCGGCGATGGGATCTTTCACGCCGTTTGGATGTGCTGGTCGCGTGGCTGCGAGAACATCGGAGTCGGCGACATCGCGAAAATGTGAGCTGGTCGGGCGGTGATTCTCAACCAATCAATAATCGGTATTCTACACCGCTTTGAGCTGCTTTGTAGAAATGGCAGTGAATTGCTTCTGTGTTTAAAAAGAAGGTGACAAAGAGGCGAAATGCTAGTTTACATGCTTCTTTAACAAGGTTTCAAGCCAAGGAAGACAGTTTAGTAGCCATTCGGTGGCTCGTTCTGTCACCGTGGACATATATCGTCCTTTTGCATCATCATCATCACCCCAACACCACAGCTTAAAATCATCCCCAGGCACCAATAATAATACAAAAGAAAAATTCATCTCAGCATCATAGATTTCTCAGCAACTTTCGACCACACTCAAGCCGACTTGGCATCGTGGCAAGCTTCTTAACGGCTAACCTTCCAGGTCAGCTCCTTGATGCTAACCTCCTCACCCTTCTTCTCGTCATAGTCATACCACTCGCCCTCGAGAAGGTCAATTCCCGAGAAGGTAGCGGTAGACTCGGCAGCCTTGGCTTCCCAATCACCCTGAGTGGACAAGTCAGCAATTAGTGAAGAATCTTTCGTTCGTAGTGACTCACGTCAGGCTTGAATTCAATGAACTCAAGGCCACGGCAGTCCATCTCAATGATCTTCTGGGAGTGGCGCTTCTCCTGGGCTTCATAGGCCTTGGGTGCGTTGAGGATGGATGCAGAATGGGTTTTCTATAGGTGGTCGTTAGCCGCGGAAACATGAAAAAGCAGGACTGATGCGTAGATGATGATCCTCAAATGCCAAAAGGAAAATCTTGGAGTAGCTCTATATTTAAGCAGTCAGAGAAGAAGGAAAAATCAAACTCACGGTGCAAAGACGACACTTCCACACGAAGTTAGCCTCACCGCGACTACCAGGGATCTCGTGAGTCTCCTGCAAAGCAAAACATGAAGCAGTCAGTAAGCCACCCAATCAGACACGAGATATGAACAGCTCTTTTTCAGAACTAGTACATACAAAACGATTGAACGAAACCCAGTTAGGATGCGTCTCATGGCAAGAAGTGCAAGAGACACGGAAAGTGTAATAGTAAGGGTTCTCCTCTGTATCAGTGGGCTGAAGGGCCGTAACGCTAAATCAAAACATTAGCGGATTGACTCATTAAAAAAACATTTGTGAGAGTTCTGCCCGCACGGCGTTCTTTGTGTTGGAGTGTGGCGGGGATGTGTCGATTATAGCAGAGAGTTGATGGGTTGAATTGGGGGGCGCGGAGGGACATAGCAATGACTTACCCCTCTAGGTCGGCTTCCAGGGTCAGAGACAACATTTTTGGATTTGGGCAGAGTGTTGGGGGTTTAGAGGTGTGGTTGTAAAGATCGTCTGCAGATGCGGGGTGGAGATGGAAAGGTCTTTAGATCAAGGCTTGGCATGTGACTTTTTTGAGGTTTCTGGCTTTACTAGCTACAAACAAAGGAAGGATATAAGTTTTAAGGTGGATGATGAATACTGAAGAGAAAATCTATTCGTATGTGAAATTTGAAAATGAACGCCAGTCATGCTGGAGCTGTCGCTCCCAATGAACGAAACAAAGCTATATACATCATGGAAAAATATACACTCTCATAATCGTGAAATCAAACCCTTACAGACGGCTGGCCTGCGAGTCCTGGCCCAGAGGCTTGGTAGAGAAGGTACCGAAGAACTCATTGAGAGCGTCGACAGTGCCGCTGCCTTCAGCCAGCTGGACAGTGCAAGCAACGTGGCTGTCAGGGCGAGTGACAACGACTCCACCCTGCTCAGGGTTGAAGCCGAGCTTCTCGTGAGCGGCAAAGGTGGCCTGGGGAACGCGGACATCGGGAATGTCATCGGCGTACAGGTGGTGGTGGTAATCGCGCAGGATCTGGGGGATGGACTCGACATCGACGGTGTTCTTGGAACCGGCGTAGATGACAGAGAGGGTGAAGAGCTTGGAGTGGGGGTTGTGACGCTCGAAAAAGGAGACATCGGCAATGTCAGAGCGGCGGTAGGCCGAGAGGAACGAGCGCTCCTTCTCCAGGTTGAGGGCGAAGTCGGCAATGGCCTTCTTGCTCTTGGTCTGGTTACCGGCAAAGACGAAGATACGGAAAGAACCATTGGCGGGGACTTCCTGCTCAAGCTCGACAAAGTTGGAGTCTGCAAGACGGGTGACCATGGTAGGAGTAAAAGCACGGCCAGGAGTCAGGTGAACACCGGGGATGTTGAACAGAGGGGACTTGGCGGGGTGGCTAGGAGACCAGGTGAAAATATTGGGCTGGTAGGCCACTCCATATCCGCTGGTGAACTCGCAAGAGGACTTGAAGGTCTTTACGAACTCATCCTCCTCGGCGTTGGTGCCAACCTTGGCGTGGCTGGCCTCGCCAACCTCACCAGCATTGGGACGGCGCTTGGAGAAGAGAGCGGCGTACTTGGCGTCGAAGTTCAACAGGGTCTCGGCGATGTCCTTGCGCTCGCTCTCGTAGGTGCTCAGGATGGAGCGGTTGGCAAAGCCAGACTCGACAGCGTGGAGCTTCCAGGCCATGTTGAGAGCATCGTGGAAAGCAGTGTTCATACCCTGACCAGCCTTGGGGCTGTGAGTGTGGCAAGCATCACCGCCCATGAAGACACGCTCGTCCAGGGTGTATTTCTCGGCAATACCTTGACCAATGGGGTAGACAGAGTACCACTCGACGCGGTCCCACTCGATCCAGTATGGCTTGAGAATGTTCTTGGCGGTCTGCTGGACCTCCTCGGCGGTGGCAGTCTTGCGGGGGTTCCAGTCGGCGTCGGTGGAGGAGGCGATCTGAACGTAGAGGCGGACCATATTGTCCTCGCGGGGAATAACCATGATAGAACCGGCATCGGAGTGGATGGTGCACTTGGTCTGTTTAACAAGTTTGTTAGTACATTTCATGAAATCGAGCTTGTGCAGATGCTTACCTCAATATCGGGGAAGTTGGTGCGGACAACACCGTCCATGACACCCCAGACGTAGGCAATGGGATCCTTGTGATGGATCTTGATGTCAAGCTGCTCACGGACGAAGCTGCGGGCACCCTCACCACTGAAGAGGTACTTGGAGCGGACGTTCTCAATAACGTTAGTGTCGAGGCACTTCAGGTTGACCTCAACGGGGTAGTCGGCGTTGGCGCCATCGTTCTTGAAGCCAACGATGGTCCAGGGACGTTCAACCTTGGTGCCAGCTTTCTCGATCTCGTCCAGGAAGACACGCTCGATCTTACCCTGGTGGACGAGGGTGGTGAAAGGATAGCGAGTGTCAATGAAGCGGGGGCAACTGGGCCAGCTGCCAGTGCGGCCAATACCGGATCCGTCGGCCTTAGGGTCCCAGAAAGCAACATCGTAGACCTTGGCGGGCTCGAAAGCCATGATCGAGCGCTTCAGGCCAAGGTTGCGCAGGATCTCGGTTGACCGCGGCTGAATACCATCAGCGCGACCAGTGGCAGTCGGCACTGGACGGTTGTCGATGTGCTTGACCTTGTAACCCCATCGTGACATACACAGGGAGAGGAGCAAGCCGACGGGGCCGGCGCCCACAATGACAATGTCGTAAGTCTCTTGGACCATGACGAAAGAACTCAGTTATCGGGTGGTTTTGTGGTTATGTAGATGTGATGAGTCCAAGAATATGTAAATGACAGAATGTATTCACAGGAGTCACAACGAGGAGAAAAAATGAGGGCCATGGCGGGACTCTATATACTGCGCGGAAGCTGGGGTAAGATTGGATCACGGAGAACATCCACGGCATTCAGAATCGGCTGAATCGTGGGGAGCACCGGTTGCAGGGCTGCGGGAACCAATCAGCGTGAGGAGAATCGAGGTTACTGTAGGTTAGTCAGCACAACACAAATAATGTGGGGGCAGACAGGCTGTCTCTCGCAGTGCACCAAGTCATAATGCCGTCGTTGATCGCCGAGCCGTGCTTGTCGCTGCAGGGAAGTTCGTCTCCACCCGGAAACAACTTCGGTATGTGGAGTGGGGCACGTGATGGGGCTCTCGGCAGGTTGGCCGGGATTTACTTCATCTTCCTCTTTCCCGGCCCTAATTCCCTTCTTTTGATACTCGGAGAAGTTACTGGCCATCTTCCTTCACACTCATTGGCCGCTGGACGTCCGTTTTAGCCGATAGTACCTTGCCGCCTCATCCACTGGCCCCATATCTGGTAGTTTAACCTGGTACTTGCACAGCGGAAAACCCGAGGTTCCCTCCCATGCATTAAAATGCCTCGTCAACTCAGTTCATAATATGAAATTGAGTCATTCTCAGATCTATCCATGGCAATTTGCTCAGTCTCTTCAGTTCAAGCGCTCGGCAAATCATGTATTCACAGTGAATCTATCTTACAGACTGTCTCGCTCTATATCTTGATGCTTCGAGGCACTAAATTACCTTGAGTAGATCACCCCGCCAGATTAATTCCCACTCAGAGTATCCTCTAAACCCATTACATGTAGTTTGCCCCCAAGCCTGGAGTGAACCCCCATACCGGATGCTCCGGATAGCCAAACGCCTCATGTCCCCGGGCTAACTGTTTTTCATCAACAAGAATCTCGGTATAAGGAGTGGCAAGCAAGTAACGTTAAGCACTTTGGTACAGTTGACACCTCATCTGCCAGGCACCAAGCAGCTCGACCTCGGACATGGGTTATTCCGTGCCGAACTATATCGACGACATGCATTCCAGATGAGGCATTGGACACGAGAGAGCAGCCCCAGAGTAGGCCATGTGATATACAAACTATAGCTTAGTAGCCTTGTACTACCTGCTATGGTAAAAATATTCCCCATTATCACGAACCAGGTTTGGCAACCTTGCCGGGCGTTATACACAGAGGGTACAGCGATTGATGTCCAAAAAAGACACTTGTGCAAGACAATTACCTGATTATTCAGAAAATACCACTGGTTGAGAAATTAATCACATACTGCCATTTTCTGGTGTTAGCCTCAGACAGTGTCACATGGGAAATCGGACATGAGCATGTTCATCCTATGGGTTGAATTTGGCAGGTGTCAGTGCGGGGGCTGGGAAAAGATGGTAATTCATTGGTTAAAAGCTGAATGACATCAAGCTTTCTTTTTTCATTGTTCTCCATTTATCGTTGATTGGTCCGGTTCCCAAATTGAACATTGTCGAATATCGTTTTTGATTTTCCCTGCTCCCATTGACAATGAGCCATTCCGAACTGATTTGAGCGACGTGATTGGCCAAGCCACAATTCTACGACTCACCGTGCTCTGTCGATCATCTCAGCCCTAAACCAACCAACCACAATAGCGTCATGTTTGCACGACGGCCCCGATTGAGAGTCTGAATGAATCATCGATAGCATTTTTGTGCTATTGTCATGGAGACATAATCAAGCGGGTTTGCTTTTGCTTCATTCACATGACTGTTCTCGTTTCTTCTCGCGATCTTTCATTTCGCCTTCGCCTCTTCAATCCTTCGCATATCTGTTCTTGCGACTTCAGTCGCAACTTTGCTCTATCTCTGATCCCAATCTTTTCTGGATCCCCAGTCATATACCACGACGTCCGTGGTATCATGTCCACGAAAGCGTGGTACAATCGCAATATGCCCAATATCAAACACCGCGCCACTCCTGAGGAGACTCTTCAATACTATCGAGACATGGAGGAAGAGGTTGGCTCCGAGAGGAGTGCCTGGCGCAAGGCCAATCGAGCTCGCTTGGATGGCTCGGATAATTACTACATTTTGATGCAGGCTACGAAGCATGAGTACGTATACCATGTCGTGATCCGATTGGAACTCTGCACCAACACCATGAATAGGCCTCCCGTTTACCATTCTCTCTCCAAGCCAATCGGCAGGTGCTCTTCGACTCTTTCGTCCAAGTCGATTATCGAGTATTTCATGTCCACCGAAGAGAAGCTCGACTGCGACAACACCACGTCCACCAACAAGCAACTCAACTTCGTTCATGAGCAGCTTGTAAAGATCAACCTTCATTCCAACTCTGCGCCAACTCCCACTGGTCCTTCCAACGCTGCTACGACCTTCCACCTCGAGGCTGTTGTTCAGCGCGCTCAGGGCTCTATGAAGCAGGATTTCTCTGATCGTCTTCGTCTCAACCCTTTGCATGCTACAGTCAACGTCCAAGACGAGATCGTCACGGACGAGGATGATAAGAGTGATATCCCTTTGCTGTCTCGCGAGGTTGAGTTGGACGGCACCTGGAAGTATCTCTCCCCAGACGGTAGCATCTACGACAAGTACAACAAAGCCAGAGTAAACGGTGGTCTGCCGCTTCGCTTCTGGATCTCTCGCAATGCCGCTGATAACCTTGATCCCTCCGTTCTCAGATCCATTCGCTCTTCCAAGTTTGACCTTGCTCGTTTCGCGTCTCTTGATGGTCCAGCTTCTTTCGATGATCCCGCTTCTCTCAATGATCCCGCTTCTCTTAATGATCCCGCTTCTCTTAATGATCCCGCTTCTCTTAATGATCCCGCTTCTCTTAATGATCCCGCTTCTCTTAATGATCCCGCTTCTCTTAATGATCCCGCTTCTCTTAATGATCCCGCTTCTCTTAATGATCCCGCTTCTCTTAATGATCCCGCTTCTCTTAATGATCCCGCTTCTCCTCCTGCCCCTAGGACTATGAAATGGGAATGCACCGATGGTCACCGTTTCCGTTCTTTCGAAGAAGCCTATTTCCACGGTCAGGTCTCGCGTGAAGTTTATCCAGAACCCGAGTCTGTAACTCTATCTTTTGACAAAATGTATGGATCAGACGATGAGACCGACGACTCTATGAATGTGGATGTTCATAATGACTCTGACAAGCCTACATTTTCCACTGTCCAACCCGCTACTCCTGTTGCTGGTTTGAAGGAGTCCGATGATGAGACTCTCGTCGGCATCGACGCTGCTGCGAGGGCTGATTCTCGTACTGACACTGGCAAGCCTGCTTGGACAAACATCGACGGTTATGTTTCGCCTGGTTTCCGGCCCTCGACTCCTATCGGCGGTTGGAAGAAGCGGTCTGACGACAAGAGTCACGACACGGATGCGAATGTTGATAGTCTGGGCAGACTTGCTCATACTCGCGTTCTCCGTTCTGCTTCTTTTCGGCATCGTGCTCCTTCTGATTTTAGGAAGCCGGCTGGGGATAGACCCGAGTTCGATCTGAAACAGTACTCCTATGGCGGCCCTGGATTCAATTCTCCTGATAATCTGGATGGTGCTGGTTCTGCTACCCTCCGAGTCCACAGTCCTCCTGCTCGCGGCTGGAAGGCTGAAGCTGATGATGCTCGCGACGCTTACGACTATTCTGGCTACGGCCTTGACGGTGCTGCTTCTCCTGGTCTCCGCTCATGTACCCCTCCTGCTTGTGGCTGGAAGTTTGAAACTGCGGAAGCGATGTATGCTTGTTATGCGAATGATCGTCCCAACAGCTGCGTTGTGCCTCCGCTTACTGTTTCTCGCAATGTGTCTGGCAACATGTCTTCTGAGGCTTGTGTCAACCAATTTGAGCGCTCTGCTGCTCCTTCACCTGAGGTTTCTTCGCCGGATTTTTCTTTCGCTGAAAAGTCGTCTGCCGGCTTTCCTTTCAATGGCACTTCATCTGCTTCGGGCTGCGCTGAAACCCGTGAGGAAGCCGCTCTATCGAGTGTTGGGTCTGCTGTCCACTCCGAACAATGCTGGGAGCCTCTTATGGACGATATCCAGGGCATGCTCAAGAAAGAGCCCAACATAGACTTCAAGTGGACTGCCAATGTTCCTGTTCAACTCACCAATGGCCAGCAGGCATCTTTTCATGCCCCCCTGGCTGCCAAAGATACGCGCAGCTGTGCTACTTCCGTCGTGGACGATGTCAAAAGCGACACTGCCGACGCCGCCTCCATCCATGATACCAGCATGGGCTCTGATAGCGATGCTTTGCCCCCTCGACACTACAGCAAAGACCTCTTCGGCAATAACGGTTGGCTTGATCAGACCATTATCGCCAAGACTAACAACAAGCGACGAGTTAGTTCGGGCCTCAAGGGGCTGGGACAGACTATGAAGTCACACATCAAGGATCTGGTAAGTAGATCATGGCTCATCGATTACGATTGTTCAGAACTAACAATGGTTTGACAGACTGGAGAGCCCAAGAGAGGACGTATCTCCACAGTCAATCCTACCATCGCCATCGAGATCACGGCAGCTCTCTCTCTGAGCATCGAGACGCAGGTCAAGCTTTACGCTGAGCTCGAGTACCTGATTGTCACTACCGCAAACCAATTCCTGATGGACGAATATTACGACGGACACATTTCTGATCTCTCAATCCGCCGATTGAACAAGGAATGGATCTCCAAGAACCGTCCTGGTGTCCCTCAGTTCTGCTTTGACCAGTCCACCCAGCGTGAGCTTATCTTCGCCAACCGCCAGAGCGTCAACTTTGGCGGCCGTGCCTCCACTCAGCCCATGCTACTGCACTCAATCTTCAGCAACTGGAAGGCAGTTTGCACCGAGACAAGTGTTCGCTCTTTCTGTCTCCCAGATTCCGCCGTCCGCAAGCACTTGCGTGACATTGAGGGTATCTTGGAACTTCTGCAGGCCTCCCCCTCCGTTATGGAGACCATGCAGATCCTTGCCATGCGTACTCGCGAGGAGATCCTCCAAGTCCGTGTTAGTCGTACTGCGCGCACATCCTTTGGCTCTAGCGATGGCCCTGACACAACCAGCACCCCCAGCACCCCCAGCACTCCCGGCGCAACTTTGGACACTATCCTTCGACACACTACCATGAATTCTTCGGGCTCGAATCCTTTCCGTACTCCTCGGATCCCCCAGTCGCGCCGTCGTCAGAATTCGCTGAATTCGTCCATTCCAGAGACACCTCTATCTTTTTCTCATAATCACGCGGCTACTTTTGAGCGTGCTGGATGGCCTGCTGAGTTTGCCATTGACCGTCGCCATCATCAGGTGGCCTTGCAGGCTAAAACGTCTCTCTTTGATGGACTTGCACTTCGCGATCGTGAGCGTGCCCGCCACTGATGGGCGTCTCCGCATGGCAAAACCTAGCCTGGATAGCCAACATCCTGGACTTGTACGTGATGATCATCATCACCGCTATTGATTTGATCTCAGATGTTTCCATCACCCAGTCGTTTTTTGTTCTTTGATGCTGACAGGTCCCCAGTACCTCGGTTTCTCAATTCCACAATTCTTCTGCTGCCCGTTCCTTTTATGTTTTTTTTAATTTCTTCGTTGACGATGATCTCTTTATGAGCATTTGAAAAATTAGTTGGTCACAGTCTTCACAATATGCAGGATAGCCGGAAATCAATGAATATCACTCATGAAAACTTCGTTCTTCGTAGTTTGTAGATAAACACGTGGGTCGACGTCATCGGCTTATCGATCACGGGTGTTCCAAGTTCGTCACCGCTCACATTTTCTATCTCTCTCAATTCCTAACTCTCCAAAATCTCCATATGCAATCTTCAAGCGCGCGGGTGTTTCCGATCGCGTGGTGGAGTAAACACACAGGGCCCCCAATGACCATCTCTACGACCCGCGTTTAGCACCATCGAAGATCTGAGTGGAGCTCAGCTGGCGTAAACAGCCACCCTCACAATGACGGGCCCGATTCACACATACGGTCAAAGCTGCTTGCTATCGGACGACGAACCAGATCTTGCCAGTTTCCAGACATGTCCCGATCCACCAGAGATCCGGGCGCAGTTTTTTTACGTCTCATCGTTGCCAATCGATGACCCACTAGCTGCTCTGCCACCGCCGGCTAGTCAAGGAGCTGGGAGTGAGAGGATACCACCCAAGCCGTTCTCTGCTAGGGATAATATCGCCTTGGAGGATGCTTGGCGCGATCTACGGGAGGTGAGGAAAACCAAAATCGCGGGACAACATGGGTCCAGGCCTCCAACTTCGAAGGGGCCTTCTGGAATAGCTGTGCCAGGTCATGAATCGGGGTCAAATATTACAAGTCGCCCTAAGTCTTCCAGCCGAGAAGATCCTGGGTTGATCGGCAGCAGAGGGAGCACTATCAGCAACACTCCTTCATTCCCAGACGATGTACCTTCACGAAATCACAAGTCTCAGCTCACGTTTGCGACCGGTTCTGGAGTGCGCTCTCATCCTTTCGGAAAGGTAGACCGCGTCGGATCATCACTTGATGATAGCATGAAATATGATACCCCTGCAGCTATCGCCTTTGATCAGAAACGGGCACGTTCTTCCTCTGTGAATGAGTCCAGCGCGGCCAAGAGAAGAAGTAGCTCGACTTTGGAGAATTGTGACGCTGGTGACGAAGAGATTGGCAGTATACACGCCAATCGTTCTCGCGATGCTAGTATCAGTGGCTCGCCTTTTATACGGGCGTCTACCTCTCAGTCTCATACACCACTCGGTCGGTCATATGAGTCTACATTTTCGAGGGACGGAGGGCAGGACTGGCAGGCCGAAGTGCGAGTCAGCAGTAGTTCTCGGGGCGCACCAAAGCCCTCTGGTCTCAGAACTACTGTGAGCCTGGATCAACTGACGCAGGACTCGCAGAGTGAGAGAACAGAAGAGCCAAATACGCAATCAAAAATCCCAGTTGGTGTGTCGCGGCTTCATTTGGTTGAACTGCCGAAACTCAAGGTACAAATTGTGTCCCTTTTTGCTCTAGATGATACTGACACTCTGCAGATGAAACCAATTTACTGGAGCCCTCTGCAGGACATATCGACTGTCGTTCGAGCTACTTGGTTTTACAGGAACACCATGTATCCCGTTGAGGCAGATCTTGCAAACAAATTGGAAGAAGGATACGTCTACTTAAAGCCTTGGAGTGATACCTGGCAAGATGAGCTGAATAGCTGTGTGGAAAATGGTGCGGATGCTGAGATGAAAATTGTCCATCCATTGTGGACAAAGGAAGAACAGCAACCTAAAACTGAACCGGACCCTGCTCCTGGTAATCCCGAGTTGACTGAGGCAGATGATCTCTTGACATTTGACAATAATCAAGCCGCTGGCGGCACTTCTCTTCAGTCCGAGAACATAAAACCTTATCTCACATCTAGTGCCATTTTCGTCGACGCGGCCAACGCCCAGATCCTTCGACCCAGCCTACTTCCTTCCTCCTCGAGGGGACGAAGACCTCTAGGGGCAATCAGGAAGGGGAGGCAGATAGGGATACCGGTGGTACGAGGCTTCAATCGAAAGTTATGGGAGCAACTACACCCATCCAAGACTAATCCCATCGATGTGCGTCATTACATCCGCAAGACCCAATCCCGGAATCCTTCTGTTCCAGGTGAACAAGTATGCTACGCTTGCAAGATGGAAGAGTCACGGCCACCTCCGACAGACTTGGTACTCGTCATCCACGGTATCGGGCAGAAACTTTCGGAGAGGATGGAAAGCTTTCATTTCACACATGCCATCAATGCATTCCGAAGAGAGGTTAATATGGAGCTCAATAATGAACCTGTCTGGCCACATGTGCGTCAAGACCATGGAGGAATCATGGTACTTCCTGTGAATTGGCGCACAAAGCTGTCACTGGATGACCCCGATATTGAAGCAGGTGTCGAGGACCCGACTGCTAATAATTTCTCACTGGACGATATCACACCTCAGACCCTTCCAGCCGTTCGATCTCTGATCAGTGACGTGATGCTTGACATTCCGTACTATCTCTCGCATCACAAGCCAAAGATGGTCAAGGCAGTTGTCAGAGAAGCGAATCGCGTCTACCGCCTCTGGTGTAAGAATAACCCAGGGTTCCAAGAAAATGGCCGCATACATCTTCTCGCTCATTCCTTGGGAAGTGTCATGGCCATCGATATTCTCAGCAATCAGCCAACGCATGTGCCTCACTTTGACTTTTTCGATACTGCACTGCACAGCGATATCTTCGAGTTTGACACCACAGATCTGTTCCTCTGCGGAAGCCCTGTTGGTTTCTTCCTCCTTTTGAATAAAGGTAAGTTGCAGGATTCTGATTCTTGATCGTGTATCTAACACCCTACAGCCAGCCTCCTGCCCCGGAAAGGTAGAGATAAGCCAGGTAGTGACGGCGATGATAGATTGCGTGGCGTAGCCGGTGAACAAGGTCAATATGGATGTCTCGCAGTGGACAATCTATACAACATAATGCACACAACCGACCGTAAGTTCAAACCTCCACACTCCCTCTACAAAGATCCTAACAAGGGATCACTAGCAATCGCCTATCGCGTCAACGCAGCAGTAGACAGTGACCTATCAAACTCCCTAAAAATGGCATCAATCCCCAGCTCCAGCTCAACATTCTGGCAATCCTTCGGCAGCGTCTTCCGCTGGAGCACAGCACCAACCTCATTTCTCCCTTCAACGGTGCCAACACGACCAGCAGCCGTCTCAAAACTCCCCTCAAACGTCGAGCTTGAGACCCATGACTTCAGCCGCGAGGAAATTGCCGAGAAACGAATGCTTCTCCTGAATGATAATGGCCAGATTGATTATTATCTTTCTGGTGGTGGGGGCCCGCTGAGTATCCAGTACCTTAATATGTTGAGTGCGCATAGTAGTTACTGGACTCTTGGGGATTTTGTCAGGTTTTTGGTTGTTGAGATTGCTAGGAAGCAGGGGCGTGAGGGGACTTTGCTTGCTTTTCGAGCTGAGAAGAAGAAGGGGTGGAAGTATTCTAAGGGCGCTATTTGATTTCGGATTTATGGGCTATCTACCATGATAATGAGGTGTTTTGCTTTGTTTTACCGGTAGAGCATCTAGCATTGACTTATTGTGTGAGTTAAAGGTAGAAATACAATTCTCGAACACATTTGATTTGTTCCCATCTCGGCGCAATATGTGTTCCCGTGATCACCTTGTCACATCATCAAAAAGAATAAAGTAAACAAGACCAAATGTATAAAGAAAACACAGAAGTCATAGAAAATAAGTCAGAACAAATCAACAAATTGGAGATCCAGCCCCATACATGCACAAATCACCTACAACGTTACTAACAAATCAACCTAGTATCAGAACCATGCACATCACCCATCAACAAAGCCTCCACAATCTCCCCCTTAATCCCAACACCCCTCCCAGCACGCAAAACCACCAAAGCATTAGCCTTAGCCAGACTACCAACCTTGGAGCTCCGCTGCCCAGCCCCCTCAACCCCAGTACTAGTCGCATACAGCCGCCCATCAGATCGCGATGCGGTCACAACAGCACGATGATATTCCGTACGCTTAGGATCAAGCGGAAAATGATGCGTCAAGACAACAGCCACGCGCGGCAGACCAAGCTGTGGTGCGAGCCATGGTCTCGAGCTAAGAGCTTGAGAACTATGACCTAGGCCCGTGAGTTTGTGCAACGAAGGCAGGACGAAGAGGTTGAGAGTGACGAGGGCGGAGGCCGGGTTTCCAGGGAGTGAGAAGATGAGTCTTGACTGGCGTTCAGATTGGGCTGTGTCTGCATCGCCGGTTGGTTTGAAGGGGACTGTCGCGAAGGTAGTTGGTTTGCCCGGTTTCATGGAGACGCGGCCGAAATGGATTGTGCCGCCGAGGGAACGTTCGATGGTCGGTTTGAGGAGATCCAGCTCGCCCATTGAGACGCCGCCTGTTGTAACTATCACGTCGACGCTTGCTGAGGCGCGGCCTACGCCGCGCAGGGAGTCGCGGAGTGCAACTTCTAGTTCACTAGCTGGGGTGTCGCGGGCGATTCCTAGATCAATGGTTTCGAATCCCCATGATGTTAGGCAGGAGATAAGAGATGGGCGGTTTGAGTCTCGAATTTGGCCGCCTGTTAGGGGGCGAGTATCGTTGTGTTCGACCAGCTCGTCGCCTGTGCTTAGGACGCCTACGCGTGGTTTGCGGAAGACTTTGATGGTCTTCGTGCCTGTTGAGGCTAGAAGGCCGATCTCTCCACCTACTGGGGTGATTAGATCGCCTCTGGCAAGGATCTTCGAGCCTAGTGAGACGTCGCTGCCGGGTTCGCGGACGTTCTCGCCGGGCTCGACGTCGTCGGTGAGGATTTCGACGGTTGCTTCTTCTTTGCCGTCTGGTGTGCAAGTGTCCAGGGTAGTGTCTTCGACCATAACTACAGCATTTGCGTTCGGGGGGAGAGGGGCACCAGTGGTGATTCTAGCGATGGTGCCTGGTTGCAGTGGCTCTAGGTTTCCACCGACATTGGCATGTGTGATTGAGGCTACAGGGAAGACGCCCTTTGTGGACGGGCCGGTGCTGTTAGAGTCTGGTGCAATGATGGCATAGCCATCCACGATACTAGCTCGGTATGCTGGGACAGCCTCAGCGGCGTATACGTCTTCGGCAATGACCGAGCCGATTAAGGAGGTTGTCACTGGGACTTCGATGACCTCTGGGTCGGGGGTCTGCTCGTTGATTCGGCGTAGTGCTTCATCTACAGACAGCATTGGATATGGAGAGGACCGGTAGCGCCGGTTAGGGCCTGCGTTGGGGTCATTGGACTGAGGTCTTTCTGAAGGCGATGTATGTGCCTTTGGGACCTTGTGTCCGTGACCGTGATCATGGCCATGATGATGGTGGTGGTGCTGGTGCTGAGGCTTGTTCTTTTGAACACTGACACCTGCCTCTGATTCCAGCTTTGCCGTGCCTCCAGCATGGAGGGTCCGTGAATTGGCACCAGCAGCCTGCGTGCAGGCATGTGGCAACAGCTTCACAACGGCGTCAAGGTTTTCCATTGCTCCTTTTGGGGATCCGGGTAGAGTAATAATCAAAGATTTCTCACGAACACCTGCAACTGGTCTGGCCATCATAGCAACTGAGCGGGGGTTAGCAGAAAGTAAATACTCGGGAGAGGCGCCAGGCAACGCCCCTGATGTCACATACAGGGAGTCACTTTCAAGGAGGCAGCAATCATGCCGTGCCTACAATCCTTGGTTAGTTTACTAGCGTCAAAGCGGCCAAGAATACCGAGGCGACTCACACTAATCCGGGGGCATGGCGTTGAATCAGGGGGTACACTGCCTGTGATGTCATTTAGCACGGACAGCGTCAATTAGAGACAAACACTTACCTCCGGGGTGTTATCCTTGATTGCGAATCCTGTTCCTCCGCTGAGCAAAATGAGGTTATACCAATTGGGGCCATCAGCCCACTCGCAGACGCACTGCTGGATCTGGTCCACGTTATCCGGGACGATCCTGAATGCGGGGGGTTCCCACTTGCCCTCAGCAGCAAAGATGGGCGTCAAAGCATCGACAACCTTGTCGGATGCGGGGTTCGCCGAGGCTGTGTCGGAGACAATCAGGATTGCAGCTCGAAGTTTGTCCATGTTGTGTTGTGGTGGGAAGTGGGGTGGAATGGCTCTTTATTAGGGAAGTTATCGGATTATCACGAGATCCCGTACATTTCTAGTACGTCAATTAGGGCAACTCCCGAGTTCTTTATACTCTGAGTACTGGCTATAACTACCCAATTAGGTCTGATACATGTCTTACGTCAAAGCTAGTAAGGGTAAGGCTATTTCTCGGTACTCTTTACTGTACACTTAATCTCCAGATGCAATTCACCCAATAGGGCTCTACGCGACCCCAGACGCCCCAATGCGGTGTATATCGAAACATGAACTCGAAACAGAAAGTGAAGCGAAATTGTGCGGGGTTATATGTTTCCCCTGGCTGTCCAATTTTGAATCTTCTCTAGAGAGAAGATTCACAGAGAACATTCGACTTACGCTGCCTCCAATGCTGAGGCCTTCTGGGCCACGAGAAGCCCAACAATGAGACCAAATAGACCCAGGACTGAACTGAAGATCTCAACAACGAGAATCTTGACGAACCTGGAAAGAAATAATGTAAGCAAAGATCCCGGTACCCATATAAAAGGACACGGAATCACTCACAGACTGGGATCGGCAGCATCGGCTAGAGCAGCACCACTTCCGTTGATACCAACGGAGATACCGCAGATCAGATTGCAAACACCGACAGTGATTCCTCCCCAGAAGACGGCGTATCCGGTGTAGTAGTTGCTGGAGGTGTGGATTGCGCCCTCGGGGACAGGGTTGAGCTTCGACGAAAAGACAATGGCCATGATGACACCGTAGATAGCCACGACTTCACAGAAAATGATGGAGATCAAGTTCTTGGTACGGATTCGGGGGGCTCTGACTCCACCGCCGACGATCGATGAACCTGTAAGGAAGATACCCCTAATGACAGGCATTTGATTAGCATGGAGAAGCTGGTATGTGTATGCAGTGATCTGCTTACCATGCGGCGCCGACAACTGAGCAGCCAATACACATGGCGATTCCGATATTGGCCCAGGCATAGGGAGACACCTCCTCAAGGAAACGGCCGACCTAATGCGATCCGGGTTAGACAACAAGTTCACTGTAGGTTGCGACAGAGATTGACTCGTACATTAAAAGCTTCTCCTTCACCATGGAAGAGCATGTCTATTCGAAATGCATTAGCTGCCAGATCGCATCTTGGGCCGCAGGAAACGTACAAAGTCCAACCACAATAAGGGCGGTGGTGGAAACGCCGACCGGATAGAGGTAAGCCATGACGACCTCTGAAACTGAATGAGAGGCAAGGTATCGCGTTTCAAGATGGAGCTGTGAGGGAGATGGGGGACTCAGTGGCCGGACCGGATTAACTGCTCCGCTCGGGCGGTGACAGCGCGCTGTGCTTCCCCAGACATCTTCCTCCTTTGTTTGTTATGGGAGACTATCGTCTAAACCTTTGATACCTTTGTTTCCTGTGGACTGCTTGCACATAGTTTATTGTGTGATTCTTGACCATCTTCCCGTGGTGGCTCCTTCCCCTGACTTTCTCGCGTCCAACGCCTCCTCCGTACAATGGCCTCCTCCGGGGTTGGGTCGTATTCGAACCCCTTGAAGAAGTTCAAGTAAGTCTTAAGAACTCGTTATTTGAAGTGGAATGGATTGCTAACATTGATATCTAGACTGGTGTTCTTGGGCGAACAGAGTGGTAAGAATTCATCACTTTACACCTTATCACCATAGGCCTTGGTCCATGAGGGAGGTAAATGAACAGAAGATCTGACATATACTACAGTCGGAAAGACCTCATTGATCACCCGTTTCATGTATGACTCGTTCGACAACACATACCAGGCCACTATCGGTATCGACTTTCTGTCCAAGGTATGCCATACCCCGCACAGGCGCTCATTTACTTGTTTCGCCTCAGAAGAGTGTCTGTCTATGGATTGTTACTTAATCTGTTTCATTAGACCATGTATCTTGAAGACCGAACCGTGCGCCTTCAGCTTTGGGATACCGCCGGCCAAGAGCGTTTCCGTTCCCTGATTCCTTCCTACATCCGAGACTCTAGCGTTGCCGTGGTTGTCTATGACATTTCGAATGCGAAGTCCTTCCAAAACACCCGAAAATGGATCGACGATGTCCGCGGAGAGCGTGGAAACGATGTGATTATTGTGCTCGTAGGCAACAAGACCGATTTGAACGACAAGCGTGAAGTTACCACGGCACAAGGCGAAGAGGAGGCGAAGAAGAACGGATTGATGTTTATCGAAACCAGCGCAAAGGTCGGACATAACGTGAAACAATTGTTCCGGAGAATTGCCCAGGCTTTACCAGGAATGGAAGGCGAGGCCAAGCAGGGCGAAAGCCAGAGTACATCCTCACATTTCATTTCTCTATCTTGTTACTTGATACTAACATATATCCCAGTGATCGATGTCAACATCAACCCCAAGGAGACGACCAACAACGACGGCTGTGCCTGTTAAGATTTCTCACGTCCATCCCGCACCCCAGTGCCTCATCTCGATGCCCATCGAGCCTGTCCATGATATTCTACCATTTTCGAAGATGTACATGTTTCCTCTTTTCTTTCTTGCTCCCGGACAATAGCGCGTGTGTCTAGATATTTCAGTACCGATTGCGGTCGCGTCCACATCTTTTTCTGAGACCTCGGAAGGAGATAAGGTGTTATGATTTCCGTTCTACCAGCATCATATGTGTTTCTTATTGCAGTTCAAGTTTCTTCGCTTGACTTTCTCTTGGGAGGTCATCTGTTCGCCGTTTGGCAGCATGGGCTAACATGTCTGATATCTTTTAATTGACGAAGCTGTACAATATGGCATTTCCTCGAGCTAATGTAAAGTATTAACCGTGATGACAGAATTTGTTTGTATGGATACTGCAACATGTCAAGTTCAGCTCCATTCGTCAGTGTTTGATATTTAATAGCATCGCAATATCCTGTCTAGCGGCTAAACGAACTCCCTAGACAAGTCTCCCTGCCCGTGACTTCATCGACGTGCGTGATGAATTCTTCCTGTTCTGCAATTTGACACAATGCAGCTAGTCATGCAGCATCCTCGCTCCATGTATATCTGGCGATCATTGTTTTTGGGATATCGGGGACATCAAGTCCATAGGATGGATACAAGCAGCGTCGGATTGGAAAGTCTATGGATGATGCTCTGCCAACTAAAGGAGCACGCAATACATCGGGGTTCTCCTACCAGCGAGTCTTGAACCAAATGCCGATTTTGCCCGCGTCGTCGTAGGCTAGAGTGCGTCAAGCCATTATGGTGTTGTAATTGAATTCTTGCCTTGTAGAAGTGTCGAGGAGCCTTGTTGCTCCAAGTGGGATTGTGCTGATTATGTAGTTATTAGAATGCTCGACTACATTGTTGACGACAACCGTGAGGGAGTCTACTCGCCTTGATGGTAGTCACGCGGTTGAGCAGTTTTTGGCGATTTATGCAAAACTTTCAGAGGTCCATGAATTAATCGCTCAATCCCGTCGTTGATTTTGACCCAAGAACCAAGAGGAGCAGCCGTGAATATCTAATATTCGGTATAGATTCTTCCGCCTGCGCGTCCAGCTGCTTCCAGGGTTTCAAAGTCTATATCTAGGCTTTGCAGTATCGGAGCTAATAACAATCCTGCTGCTGCTGCACCAATAATGCCAATTTTTAGTGGTGACGGTTGTTGGCAGCTTTGGTTGCATGGCAATGGCGGAGGAACAGGAAGAAATGAGTCGTAGAAACCTGTGCGAGATGTGACAAGATTGTATACTACCAGCTCTAACGTCGTTACCTAGACCTCCCTTAGGTCAATGGAGGCCTTAATTGAACATTATCTTGACATATGGATACGGGACGGACGTTATAGTATTAATTTTCTTTTCGAATTTCATAAACACCAGCTAAATATGCATCATACTCCATAAACTTTTCGGTACGTCACTCAACACGTTTCGAGGGAGACTCAGGCTCCTCGACATCAACTTGAGCAACCCGCTTTCTCTTACCAGTAGAACGTGAGCTGGACTCCGAATCTTGTCGCACAAATCCAGATCCGTCATCGTGCCACTCGCTAATCTCCCATTCAATCGAGGTAGATTGATCATCACTAACTCCCTTGCCATGTCGAGATCGCATCAAACGACCCAAACGGCTTCCTTCCACCATCTCTTCAAACCAGGGGATACCCCTTGTTGTGCCGTGTTGGAAGCTTCTGGAGACCTTTGGCTCTTCGAAGGAAGGAATTATAACTGAAGATGGGGGAGTCTCTGCGGGAGCTAGGGCAGACGAGGTCGAGACACCAGCACGAGGGGCCTCTTCATCAAAGTCATCCGGAAGAAGATCCAGGTCATCCAAAGCCCGCTGATCCTCAACAAGCAAGCTTCCAATAGCAATAGACATGAAGTTTGACTCCTCTCGCGGCTCCTCAGTCCAGAATGTCAATGGCGTTCCACAGTAACCACAGAACACCCGCTGAGTCTGGGGAGCATGACGGGGCGAAAAGCTGCGACGGATGGAGGAGTGCGATTCATCCGGGAAGAAAGATTGAGTATAAGACTCGTACCAGTCGAGAGGCACGCGCAGCCATGCCGAAAGAGGTGTGCCGTGGAATCGGCCTGTTTCACATTAGTCTTCGCCGGGAGATCGACGGCTAGCTTGGGATAAGTTTCACTCACGGTTATCTCGGCTGCTGTCGAAGTAAACCTCGGCATGCTCTGTTACATCGTCTGGGATATTGATTTGGTATTCATTGCGACCACATGAGCATGAGCCGCGCAGCGGCTCGTAGGCCATTGTTATACAAGGTACCGGGGCGCTGGTGAACTGGGCGAGACTGCGATAGTTATGGTCAGGATTGGAGAGAAGCAGTCAGCCAGTCAATGTCTGAAATTGGCAATGCCAATAGTCGAATATGAGGTGTCAAGTGGAACAAAATTGAAGGAAGAAAAAGCAGGTCGAGTCCAGTGGACCTCTATGACGTTTAAAGATTGCCAAGACATTCCCGCTACTCCGCACCTTATCGCTATCAACTTTCGTACTTCGCTCTCGTCTCTTCTCGTTTCTTCCCTGCACTCGACTTTGACAGTTTCGCAATCCAACTTCTCGAACGCCGTATACCCACTTCCGCGCATTCTTTCCGAGCATCGATTCTATCTCATTCTTTCAACTTACAACTTACCTCCTCGTATCCGAGTCGCATTAATCATGAATCACGATGATGGCGATGACCGGTCATCGTCCACACCGAATGGTACATCCAAGCAGTCGGTCCAAGACAAAGACAAGCCTCGTCTTACCGACCAAGAAAAGAAAAGCAACCACATTGCCTCGGAGCAAAAGCGACGCGCAGCAATTCGCGAAGGCTTTGATCGCCTAACAGAGCTGGTCCCTGGTCTCGAGGGCCAGGGCCGAAGCGAGAGCATTGTTCTACAGAAGACGGTGGACTTCATTCACGTCAAGCTCCAAGAGCGACACGACCTCATCGCCGAAATCGAGAGCAAAGGAGGCCATGTGGATGATTCTTTCCGACCTTCATGATCGCTTTTGCCGGGGTTGTCCCTGTGCCCTTTCGCTGGTCGAGGGGGTCGGGGGCAAGCATGTGCCGAGGTCCGCTCATTTTCAGGAATCCCCACGCCACACGAATTTCTTTGCTCTCTTCGTTACAATAACGAGACGAAAATGATCTGCTTGTTTCCTTTTTCTTGGAATCTTGATCTTTATCTTCGATGTCATACCTATGTGTTGTTACTCGATATCCTGCCGTTCTTGTTTGATTCTTTCTACCCTTTTTTTGGTTCCTAATTGTCCTTTTTTCTCACCTTCACTTCTTGTCTCTACTTCTGTTGTAACTTCTGTTGTACATCGAAACTTTTCCCGGGTACCAGAATGTATATGGTCACGGCTGTTGCTGAAAGCAACTGGGGCGTTAACTCGTTGGCTAGCTTTGAATCCATTTCTGCTCAGCTCTGAATGAGCCACTCTCAATTTGACTCAATTTCAGGGGATTTAGGACATCGGAGCCATTTGAGCCCCGAATCCCGTGTTTTGGTCGCATCACATGTATCATCAACCCAAACGTATAATTGAGGTAGTCAGTAGGTGCTTTATTTACCTGTGCTCTGGAAATACAAGTTTAAGCAAGCCAGATATCAATTTGAACTATATAATGCTATTCAAACAATGACCTCGTAGTGCATGATGTGGACATCGTCTTACCGCCCACTGAACTGCCGAACTAACCGGACAAGCTCCAGCGAAAGTTGCCATTGACATTGACTGCACAGGGATACGCAGATCCTCGAGAAGGGACTCCCAATTGAACCATTGTATATGTCCCAAAAAAACCCTCCCACTACCGCAAACCACCTGCCCGCAACACCCGCAACAAGGAAGACATCACCCCGCATCGCATAAGAAAGCTGCCCGCATCGACCACATCCCACCACAACCAAAACCCGCAAAATGACAGACTCGAAAGAAGCCCTTCTGGCCAACATGGACATGAACGACCAAACCCAAGACCCACCCCCAGCCTACGACCAACCCAAACCAAACCGCCTCCCACGCCCACCACCCCTAGGCCTCCCAGTCCTAAACAGTCTCCGCAACAGAAGGGTAATCCTAGCCTCTCAATCCCCACGCCGTCGCCAAATCCTCTCCTTCCTAGGCTTCCCAAATCTAGAAATCATCCCCTCAAACGCAGACGAAGACCTCCCCAAAAGCCTCGGACCCTTCGAATACGTCCTAGCAACAGCCACAAAAAAGGCCCAAGCAGTCTACGCGCAGGAAATAAACAACGAAGCAGCGGGCGAACCAGCCCTTATCATCGCAGCCGATACTATTGTCGTCGACCTATCAACCGGCACAATCCTCGAAAAACCCCGCTCAGAAGCCCACCACATGACAATGCTCCGCTCCCTCCGCGACGCGCGCGATCACAAAGTCTTCACGGCGCTGGTAGCCATGGCGCCGCTTGCATCGGCCCGGGACCCGGGTTATGCGCTTGAGAGTACGGTTGAGGAGACGGCTGTGCGGTTTGATGGCGATGTTACGGATGAGTTGATTATGGCTTATGTGCGTACCCGTGAGGGCGCTGATAAGGCGGGTGGGTATGGTCTGCAGGGGCTTGGCAGTATTCTCGTTGAGAAGGTCGATGGGAGTTATGATAATGTGATTGGGATGCCGCTCAAGGCTACGCTTAAGCTTATTGAGACTGTTATGGCTAAGGCGGATGATGAGGAGGGCATGCCTGGAGATGGAGATGAGAGTGATGATCTGGAGTGAAGAAACCTTGGTTTGAGGGGGGTTTATTTGGGAAGGGAAGGCAGATTGTTGTTGGCTGATTATTGTGGTTATGACTCTTTTTATATACATTTGCATCACAGTAACGCTAGTTTAGATAGAGAAAGAAAGCATTTATTGGACTTGATACAGATTGGATGTTAAATTCATGCTCAATTGGGTGTATCTATTTACTTTATTTTGTAAATAACGGAATTCAGTCGATTTATATATATCTGCTATAATCCAGGACATTGGCATGCAACATGGTTTAAAGGGCAAACTATATATTTCTAGCCAGACCCAGTTATTGAACAAATCAGGTACATTGATAGTTAATCCTCAAATCACCGACATCTATACAGCTTACATCGAAACAGCAATCCACGATACAATCTACAACCAAGAAAACCAGAATATTCTCGAAATAGGGTTACATTCCATATTTTTCTATAGCTGAAACCCAACCCGACCACAGCGGGAAATCAGCACCGACCAAAATCGGGCCCAGAGACAAACACGAAGAAATCAACGACATATACAGAGGCCAACGGTAAGGCGGAAGCGGAACGCCTGGATAAACCAGAACCAAAGAGGTTATAAAAAAAAAGAGAAAAGTAGCGAAAGGAAACTAGAAAGACAAGCGATGCAGCACATCTATGCAGTCCAGATGCGGCGCAGAGCCTCGGTGACACCGACGTCGTTTGTCTCGAACTCGTACAGACCAACGGCGGTGGTGAGGGTGAAGGCGCGCAGGAGCCAGTTGCAGAGGGAGCGGAACTTGGGGACACGCTTGGGAGGGAAGTAGTCAACAATGGCGGCCCTGAAGGTATTATGTTAGGTGGTTGTTCGTGCTGGCAGATCTAGGTCTGGAGAGGAGATCCGGGGATGGAGTCTTACTGGAATCCGATGTGGGAGTGGGCGACGATCAGAGAGCACAGGATGGCGTCCATGACAGGGTGAAGAGAGCCGGCGGCGAAGGGAGCGATGGTGAGAGGGACGAGGCCGACACAGACGGCTCTGTTCGGAGTTAGTTTTTGATTCTTTGAGTCGTTTCTCTCCGGTTTTTCGGAAGGGTGATTCGATGTAATGTTGCTGCATGCGAAGGGAGTACGAACCTCTCGAAAGTCCAGTGGTAGCTGCCCTCGGAGGGGTGAGTCTCGGGGATGGGAGCAGGGTCGTTCACTGTCGCATTGTTAATATCAAGGACGTAAGGAATAGCGGCATCGCAGTTCGATCCGAAGCATTCGCCGAAAGCCGCACGCTCAGCAGATTGTAGAGAATGTATTGATGCTGGCGGTTTGGCTGGTCGAATACCCGTGAAAAGCGTGGGTGGGATCGGGATAGGCAAGGCTCGGAAATCACATACGGGTTCCCTCAACGGACTCTGGTAGTGATAAACATATTAGCAAGACTGTCACAATACCAGGTGTCTCCCATCCATTCCGATTCTCTCAATTCTCCATTCTCTCTGTAGCAGGGCCTACTTACGAGGCAATGGGGGCAGGATCTGCTTCTTAGCCGAGGCGTGGAAAGCCACAACCTGCGACACACCGACATTCTTCTGGAGGAAGGGCCGGGGAGCGAGAGTCTGCCTCAGCAAGGACGAGCGCGCAAAAGAAGCCATTGTGTGGTGTATGGAGGAGAAACAACGTCGCGGATGAAGTTGGAGGCCTCGGGAGTCCAAGTCGGGTATGTCATCCTATTACGGGTCAGGTGATTGGTCGACGGTCCGCCCAGCCGAAATTGGCCGATGCGAGAGAAACATTTAGCCCGATTTACTTCTTCACTTCTTTCCTTACTCTCTCGTATAAGTGAGCTATGCTATTTCACGGAGCATGTGACTACTGATTGCGATTATGATAATTTGCTCATTTGCATGATATTCGCAGACTTTATTTATTTTGCCTATGGCTTGTCTACTATCCTAGCCGAGGTATTCAATACCAAATCAAATCCAATCCAATCACATTTTGAAAAGTTATGACGCCAATCTCATTATCTCATCAGTCTCATGAGGCACTCAGAACTTGAGGACAGCCTTGCCCATGTTCTTGCCGTAGAAGATACCAACAAGACCCTCGGCAGAGTTGTCAATGCCCTCAGTCTCGTGGATAAGCACCTTGAAGGAGCCATCCTTGATCCACTTCTGCACGTTCTCCTGGTGCTCCTTAGTGTAGACATCACCCATGCCCTTGTCACCAACAATGAAGCCACGCATGTCAATACGCTTGACAAGGACGTTGTGAATGTTCTTGATGGGGTAGGGAGCAGCGTTGTACTGGGAGATGAGACCGCAGACGACGATGCGGCCGAAGTTGTTCATGGCATCAAGGGCAGCCTCGAGGTGCTCGCCACCGACATTCTCGTAGTAGATGTCGATACCCTCAGGGGCGAGACGGGCAAGAGCGGCAGAGGGCTTCTCGTTCTTGTAGTTGAAGCCACCGTCGAAGCCGAGAGTCTTGGTGATGTACTCAAGCTTCTCGTCGGAGCCGACGGACCCAATGACGCGCAGACCCTCATGCTTGGCAAGCTGGCCGACGAGCTGGCCGACAGCACCGCTGGCGGCGGAGACGAAGATGGTCTCGCCCTTCTTGGGCTTGCCAATCTCGTACAGTGAGGAGTATGCGGTCAGACCGGGCATACCAAGGGGACCGAGGAAAACACGGATATCTTCGATTCCGAGGGGGTTCTCGAGCTTGCGGATGCGGATCATCTCCTTCTCGCTGACGGCGACGTACTCCTGGACGGCAACATGACCGATGATGAGGTCACCCTCCTTGTAGGTGGCGTTGTTAGAGCGGACGATCTTGCCAATGGTGGCGCTCTCAATGGGCTTGTTGAGCTCGAAGGCCGGGGCATACGACTTGGTCTCGACGGGGCGCATGCGGCCACGCATGTAAGGGTCGAAGCTGGTGTAGAGGGACTGCAAGACGACACCATTGTCGGGAGCGGCAACGTTGGCGTCATAGGCACCGGACTCAACGGCCAAGTGCTCGCCAGGGACAGGGTAGCCCTGGGGAATGGACTTGAAGACGAGAGCCTTGTTAGACATTATGAAGTAATTATGATGTGAAGAGTGAGAAGTAGGAGATAGAGAAAGGAGTAGAAGTAGAGGTATAGATATGGATATTTGAAGAAGAAGAGAGACAACAAGCTCTTTTATACGAAGCTGTACCAAGCGGGGCAGTCTATGAGCCGAGGAAGAATCCAAGATCTCAACATTTTATTATAAAGCAGACTGGGCCCGGAGAAAGTTCTCGAGAAGGTTATGCTGAAGCTGTAGATCCACTCTCTGCAGTTTCGGGTTCAGTTCGGCCAATTCTGACTTGCAGATTGCTATGCATAAGCTAAAATGTTCATAAATCCCCACTATTCCATGGACTCAAAGCAAGACGGCGGCAAAAGCAGTGAGGCATTGGGGCATAACTGTGGCAACGGGACCCTAGTGGGGATCGGATGAATTGAATACAACTCAGACCGACGGGGAAACTCCATTCTGGGCAGGACGACCGTCCCTCGGCGCTTTTTTCAAAGTTGAAAACGTCGATTTTTAAGCACGGAGTAGCTTACCGCTTCGGGAAGGAGACTTTGCTTGGAGGGGTAGATCAGTTGAATTCTGTATCAATTCATGGGAGTATAGGCATAGGCATAGGATTAATTGACCTATACAGTAATATACTTGATGTCATTATGCGGACTTTTCAAGGGTATTTAAAGGGTCCATGACAGTGGTGGCAGAGGTAGCATATATTAAACCTTGAAATGAAGTCATCCAAAATTATGTATTAGTCATGCCCGGAATGGGAACTATGGATATCAACGTTCTAAATAGGACTGAAAATCTGGTGTTCTTCAAGCCTTGCCGGCGAGTGCGCCTGGTGCCTTTTCAATGAAGAAGTGCTTACCCTTGATCATCTTGACCATGAAGCTGAAAGGCACAAATCCAAAGATTTGACCAGTACCACCAGCTTCACCCACAGGCACCACCATCATAATGTTGTCACCTTGCTCAAAGGTCTTGATAGCACCGGTGCCGATAATATCGGCTTTGAGGTTGGCCGCTGCCACATGTGCCTGCTCCATGGCCTTGAAACTGAGACGCATAGAGTTGTTGGTGATATCACCAGCAGCAAAGATGGGCTGTGATTTGCCATCGCTGGACTGCACACGCATCTCGCTGTTGACCGTCACCCAACCATCCTTGTCGAGAAATTCGGCCGGGATAAAGCTGTTGTTGGGCACCACACCGGTGGTGGGAATATAAAGATCAGCCGAAAGCTTATCGCCGCCTTCGAGAGAAACAATCCAACTTGACCCGTCATCAGCGGGGGTCTCTACACCCATAACCCGCTTTGAGGTGACAATCTTGATCTTCTTCTGCTCGAGCTGCTTGCGTGCGGCAGAACTCGCTGATGACTTGAGCATAGGGAGCACGCGATCAGTGGCCGAGACCAGCGTGATCGAGACCTTGCCCGCATTACCACTTGCTTCCACGGCTTCAGCAAGCTCACCAGCCAGTTCCACACCAATGGGTCCTGCGCCACCGATGACGATCTCCTTTGCTTCAGAAATGTGTCCCTGGGCGGCCTTGATCAGCTCCTCCATACCATCGGTGTTCGACTGCTTGAAAGGGATCGAGGTGCCGGTAAGCGAGCCTGACGTGGCCGAGGTTGTGCTGCCGGATGTGATGACAAGGTAGTCATATGGTACTGCTGCGGACGCACCGCCGTTCGAGTTCACGGCGACAGTCTTGGCGTTTGTGTCGATAGCACTTGCGGTGCCTGCGATAAAGCGAAAGGCATCAGGGCGGTAGCCTGCGAAAGATTCCTTGATCGGAAGCAGATATTGCTCCGCATGGAAGGCCTTGGGTTTGGCGACGATACGTGGGGCGGCGATGTTCCAGTAGAAGCTGGTTGAAGGATTGATCAGCGTGACCTGAGCGTCAGACACATCACGAAGTATCGAGTGAGCAATATGGAGGCCCGCATAGGAACCTCCGACAACAACTACATTCACAGGGGCCATGGTGTAAAGTTGGAGTCTTGGAGAAGGTGAGTTTGTTTTGGAAGTGCGAGGAAGGGTGATCTTATATGTCTTGGGCTTATCCCGCGTCTATGCAGAGCCTGCTGCAAGGTCTGAAATGTCAATACACGTACTTCCTCAAGTCTTCCATGGATGGGCTGGACGAATTTCCACTGGTTGGTCAGCATCTTCTAGTTGGCCCCAGGGCTTCGGGTGATGTCCGCTGTGGCTTTTTCCTATTTGCCGCTTTTACACCTTCAAATCTGAGGCGCTTAGGTTCCTTGAGTATATTCCAGTCCGCCACGTGATATAATACACGTGATGTCATTCTATACAGCTTGAAGGTATTTGACGCCTAATTGATGATCTTTGAATGCTGTATTCGTCAAGTTGTAGGCTGAAAAGGTAGTGCCAATCGTTTGAAACTTAGCAAATATGCACCACTACCCAATATAAAGACAAATATGACGGGTGAACTTCTTGGCAAGACAAGGATACCTTATTTTGTTCAACACATATAATGGCTAGACCTGGCTACTGCTGTAGTAATGTCGTCAATAGCCAATAAAACCTGCAGCAAATTTACATAAAATCACTGCAGATACCGTAGTGCCCACCTAGGCAGCCTATGAGATTAGGAAATCCCCCATTTTAGTCACAGTCCGGGGTACAGAAGCGTGCTGAATTCTACTGACATAAGGGCGGCAATCGCTAGACACGAACCAAAATGCTTGTACTAAGTTTGAGCGCCGCAAACCGAATCACCATAAGTCAGCATTGGAAATCCATTTGAGCAGCCGTGAAGGTATTTCCAAGCGGTTGTAAATTGTAGTTTTGGATTGTTTGTCTAGTTTGACTAGTATCATGAGTTTGCATTACTTGGCATATTTGACATATTTGACAGTCTGACTGTTTGGCTAGTTTGTTCTCTTTCCGTACCTTTCCTTGTCAAAACACAGAGCCATGATAAGATGTAGAGTCACGCACGTTATTATACTTCACAACCTGTGTGAATACAGTGTTAGAGGTATACCTTCATCACATAGCATTCATATATCCAGTCTACTCTCTGGAGCAGGCATGGCATCAGCACTTTCCATCCGATATAGTCCGAGGTCCAGACTCGTATCTTATCGATAAGACCACGTGACTGTGGTTATTTTTTGCGGTCTCCTGGATCGCCCCAGTTGCAATCTGCTTTTTTATCATCCCTTAACCATATTTTCCATCATCATTCAAAATGCTTGGAACACTTCGCCGATTCGGCGTTTCCAATGCGCTCCGCGCGTCTGCGCCTCGTATTAACTCAACGAGATGGGCTTCCCAGCTGCCGAAGATGCACGCTCCGTTGGCGTCTTCTGTCCTGACGAGGTCGCTGCACTCTTCATTCCCCAAATTCTCTGCTGTTGCCCAAGAATCCGTCGAGACCGAGTCGCCGAAGCAGATTCAAGATTTCGCGGAACTCGGAGAACAAAACCTCGTTGACAGCACTATTATCAAGAACATCACCCATCCTTCCCGGATGAACCTCAAGACCATGACTGAGGTGCAATCCATGACTCTTCAAGAGATCGTGAAGGGCACTGATGTGTAAGTTTCGATACATTTGGGTAATGACCCGAGATGAATTGATTTGCTAACCTATCATTCTTTTAGCCTTGCTCAGGCCAAGACAGGAACCGGAAAGACTCTTGCTTTCCTCCTTCCCACTCTTCAGAATATCCTCAATGATCCCGGTGTCGACGTTTCCAAGGTTGGACGTTACTCCAGAACCGCTCCCTCCGAAATCCGCGCTCTCATCATCTCCCCTACCCGTGAATTGGCCGAACAAATTGCTGTCGAGGCCAAGAAGGTCGCCTTCGGCACTGGCCTCATTGTGCAGACTGCTGTTGGTGGTACCCAGAAGCGTGCCGGCCTTATGAAGATTCAGCGTGAGGGCTGCCATCTGCTCATCGGTACCCCGGGTCGTCTTAAGGACATTTTCTCTGACCCTTGGACTGGTGTCGCTGCCCCCAAGCTCAACACCTTGATTCTTGACGAGGCAGACCGTCTGCTTGACCAAGGTTTCGCTCCTGATATCAAGGAGATCCAGGGATACCTACCCGATCCCACCAAGATTGACCGCCAGACACTCATGTTCTCTGCTACGGTTCCCCGTGAAGTGATGTCTCTGGTGCGCCAGACCTTGAAGCCCGGATTCCAGTTTGTTCAGACTGTCCGTGAAGACGAGGTTCCCACCCACCACAGAGTGCCCCAAAAGTGCGTCTGGATGCGTGGTCTTGAAAACGGAATGCCTGCTCTTCTCGAGATTGCCAAGAACTACGAATCCCGCCGTACCAACGGCGAGGACCTCCGTCCTTTCAAGGCCATCGCTTATTACAACTCGACCGCCGAGACCAAGGCCGCGGCCGACGCTTTCAATAATCTTCGCCGTTCCCACAACTTTGGTAAATCACCTATGGGTGAACTGAAGATGCTCGAGATCAACTCGCGTCTGACCCAGGCCGAGCGTACTCGTAGCGCCGAGAGCTTCCGCAGATCCCCTACTGGTATCCTGTTCTCCTCGGACGTGACTGCCCGTGGTATGGATTTCCCCGACGTTACCCACGTCATCCAGATCGGTGTCCCTCGTGACACTGAGACCTACATCCACCGTCTCGGTCGTACTGCCCGAGCCGGCAAGGAAGGTGAGGGTTGGCTTCTCATCCATGATGGTGAAGAGGGAGTCTACCGCTCCCGTCTCGGCCGTATCCCCATGCAGCAGGATTCTCTTCCCGCTGCCAAGGCCGACATGTCCCAGGCGACTGCCACCTTTGAAACCAATGATACCGTCAGCCAGATGAAGGCCGCCATGGCCGCCGTCGGTATGAGCCAAAAGATCAAGTCGTTCATGGGCCAGCTTGGCACACTTACTGGTAACTTCGACAGCAAGAGATATGCCATTCAGGCTTTGAACCAGCAGTTCGTTGACGGATTTGGCATGGCGTCTCCCCCTGAGATCAACGCCAGACTTGCTCAGCAGATGGGTCTCAGCAGAGTCCCTGGTGTCAACATTGGCTCCGGCAGCTCCCGGCCCGTTCTGGATGAGGATGACATGTTTACTCGTGGCGGTGCCTTGAGCTCGTCTGGCCACCGCAGTCCCTCTCGCTATGGTGGCCGGGGTGGCTTCTCCTCTCGTGGCGGTGACCGTGGTGGCTTCTCCCGTGACGGTGACCGTGGTGGTTTCTCTCGTAGTGACCGTGGTGGTTTCTCTCGTGACCGTCGCGGAGGCTCCTCTTACGGTGACCGCCGTGGTGACCGCGGCTCATCCCGCCCCCCTCGTCGTAACATGGCCGAGTTCGACTTTTAAGGGCTAAATCGGATTTCGATTTTTACCAGTCACGTTTGTGGCCCCGCTGCTTTTTATACTTGCATTGGCGCCAGGAATGCCTTTTATGGGTTCAGATGAACGAAAAGTGAAAGGAAGAAGCAATCATCGCATCGGGTGGCGTTTTGTCTCTTTCTTGAATTGTCTGTGTACTATACACCCTTGCTTGGGTGCTTTGTCTTTCTAATTTAGACTTCTCTCCTCTTGTCTTATACTCTGTCACTGTTTTGCGGGATTTCGTTCTGGATATCGAAAAGGTGACTCGTTTGATTCCATGTACAATATTTCAGTTATCAGCCTTCATTATATCCAGGAATTCGTTTTAATTTATTGAACAAATTCATTATGAACAGACCATGAACAGATAGAAAAGAAATATAATTGTAACTAGGTTGACTAAGGTAGCTTCTAACCAGATCCATTTTGGAGACATCTAAATCGTTGAGTATGCGACAAATAGAGACCTTATATCACACACCCCAAGTATATCGAATATGAAAGAAACAATGTGACATAAACAATCAAACAGAAAAAACAAGAGACACTTATTCCCGGGCAATCATGTGATCTCTAGCAGGACCAGTACCAATCCACTTGACAGGGACACCACCAATCTCACGCTCAATGAACTCGATATAGGCACGAGCATTGGGAGGCAGATCCTCATAACGAGTAACACCCATAGTGTTAGACTTCCAGCCAGGAAGAGTAACATACTCAACCTCGATCTTCTCAATAACGTTAGGATCAGCAGGGAAAGTACCAGTAGTGCGCTTTCCACAGGGCAAGCGGTAAGCAACGCCGACCTTGATCTCATCAAAGTCATCGAGGACGTCGAGCTTGGTCAGGTTCAGCGCGGTGTAGTGGTTAATGGCGTGCGAGTAGCGGCACAGAACGAGATCCAGCCATCCGCAGCGGCGGCGACGGCCGGTTGTCACGCCGAACTCACGGCCGACCTCCTGCAGCTTCTCGCCATCGGCGTTGAGCTGCTCGCTGGGGAAGGGGCCGGAGCCAACACGCGTTGTGTAGGCCTTCACCACGCCAATCACGGACTTGATGCTGGAGGGGTTCAGGGCAAGGGCTTGCACGGCGCCGCCAAGGCCGGTTGAGGATGAGGTCACGAAGGGGTATGTGCCGTGATCCAGGTCGAGCATCAGGGCGTTGGCGCCCTCGACCAGGGTGTTCGGCGAGTTCTTGTGCTCCTGCAGGAACTCGAGCTGGTCGACGATGTGGGGCTTCAGGAGGTTGCGGTATTCCTGGGTTGAGTGTTAGCAACATGGTTTACGTGCGAGTTAAACTTAATGATAGGCTTCTTAGGTCCTCATTCCGTCCCAATTGATCTTGGATCGAGGGGTTACGGAATTCGTGATCCTGCATGAAGCCCCCTCTGAGTCACACATACTTTGAAGCGATTGATCTCATCCTCGACATCGTATTCGATGTCTCCGTAGCGCGTGCGGTAAGCGGTGTCGAGAGTGCGCAGCTTGCGCTCGAAAGTCTGCTCATCGAGGATCTCGCCGACGCGCACACCACGGCGCGCAGCCTTGTCACTGTAGCAGGGACCGATACCCTTACCGGTGGTGCCGACCTTACGGCCACCGAGACCCTTCTCCTCGAGACCATCGACAACAGAGTGCAAGTCGAAGCAGACGTGCGCGCGGTCAGAGACGAAGATGCGCTGAGCAGCGCCCTTCAGGCCCTTCGCCTCGATGGCGGCCAACTCCTTGAAGAAGCTGGGGACGTGGAAGACGGTACCGGCACCGATCAGGTTGATACACTTTGGTGAGACGAGACCGGAGGGCAGGATGTGGAAGTCGTAGGTGACGTTCTCGTGGACGATGGTGTGACCGGCGTCTATATTCAATCAAAAGAAGCGGGTTGGTCAGTCTTTGCCCCGCGCTCTCGATGGCCCATTTCGAAACCCCGGGGTGGAAGGATTTCAATGCATAGAGGGGTGGAACGTACTGTGGCCACCAGCTGCACGACAGCACAGCGTCGCCTGCTGCGACAGCATGTCTGTGATCTTTCCCTTTCCTGTTCTCTGTCAGCGGCCATCTCCGCGCTCGGGGCTTCTTCCCGCACCTTCATCTCCCCATTGACTGCCTAGAACGATGGAAACCATGATTGCTCGATTGACAAGGTAATTGCTCGGTCAAGAATGTCCGATTCAGTACTGTATCCGTCAATTGCGTGGTGGTGGGGGTAGAAGAGAATATGTCCGGAGCCGATAGCGGGGCCAAGAGATTTGCCGGTGTGTCTTTTCTTGTTCCTGAATTGGGGCGAATCACACACCAGAAGATGCTGCTGCTGAAAATTGATGCTGAAAAATTCTGTATGCAAATGGCTAAGACCTGTCAATGCTCTTTTTATCACAGTGAGTCAGACCAACTCAACTTCCCTCCGCATCCGATCTAGCGGGGTGGCGGGGCGTGCGTTTCAGCCTTTGGTGCCTTTGTGCCTGAATGCCTGAATGCCTGAATTTTGGTCCAGCCTCGGGCCAAGAATTAGGGCAAGGGTTTTGTACTTCATCTTCGTTGCAGGGCATGAGATTGTGCATATACTGTGAAATGGAGAAGTTATTGGAGGTTTCAATTCCCCCAGATGTTAATACCAAATTATATTTGGTTCGAGGATTAGAGACGACCTCCAATCGAGAACTGTGCAGAAGGTACACTACATCCAAAACACACTTTATGAACAAAACCAGAGTAGTTCACAAAGTCTACTCATCCGGCTCCCAGGTAAGTGCCCGATCCTTCATTGATTCCAGTGTTTCCTCCACAAGGCTCTTCATCACCTTTTTCTCCTTCTTATCAAGCAACGCAACCCTCTGTTGTCATATATCATCCGCAGAATCAACGGGACCAAAGAAGCGAGAATTAAGCTTCGGAATAGTTGCGACCTCATTGCGAACCTTTTCTTCAGGGAACATCGTCACACCTGGTTGCGGAAACAGAATGATTGCAGAGCCTCCATACTTGAATATCATCTGGAATATAACGTTGTAGAACCCTGCCTTGATAGGGTATGCGTGGCTGCATGTTGATAAAAATAAGTATCGTGGTGGAAGGTGGGAGAGCAAGTCAAAGGACTAAGGACAATGAAAGATCATGCGCCTCACCCCAAGCTATAAATTTAGCCTACAACAACCAGTGCACACGCAGGCTCAACAATATGAGACAGTCTCAAAGTACAAAAATAAAGTAGATCACGGGTCTCCGCAACTTACCCAGCTTCCCCACACCTCATTTCCTCTCTTCTCAAACCACAACCCAACCATGCCCCAATGCAGTTCCCCAGACACACATCCCTAAACTATGCAATGACCGACTGGCCCAATCCGTCCCATTCCCATTCCCACGCTTATACCCCCTCCGACTCAACCGACGCGCTCGCCTTCGCCTCTCCACTCGGCGCCGCAAGCTGGGGCCACGATGGTTTCTCCCACGATCCAGGCTTCCTAGCCTCGCAAGAAGAGCTCCGATGCATGCTATTTAATATTGCGCACTCGGCTGCCCCGACCCGTGCTCCAAGTCCTGACGCGGATGCTTATGCGCGGGATGCGGCACAACGCTGTGGGAACGATCGGGCGGCGCGTCCTGTTCTTTCGAATCCGAGAAGGATTGAGTATTTGAAGAATTATGTTGGGCAGGTTGCGCCTTGGGTGTGTTCTAATTTTTAGGGGGGCGTTGAGACATTTAAAATGGCAATTGCTGATGGGATTGTAGCTTGATATGTTTGATTCGCAGTGTACCTTTCGAGTACAGATTCCTGCCTTGGCACGCTCGTTTCCTGCGCTGTTGAACGCCATTCTTGCTATTTCTGCGAGGCAGATGGAGAGGAAGGAGGGCATTCAGGATTCCTTTGATAGTCTCGAGCTTTATCAAGAAGCAATCCGATTATTGAGTCCGTTGCTACAGATGCGGGATCCTAAGGTTGTTGCAGCCTGTGTGCTCCTCTGCTGTCTCGAAATGATGTCTGCGCGTGCGCAGGATTGGCATCGTCATCTTGAGGGATGCGCGGCGCTTTTTGATTCTTTTGAGATCAATGGATTTAGCACTGGCCTTTTGCAGGCTGTTTTCTGGTGCTATGCACGAATGGGTAAGATTCCGTAAAACTTAAATGAGAGCTCATTGATGGCTAACTAACTAGACGTTTGTGGTGCGCTTATCTCTGATGGGACGCAGAGCACGCTCCTTCGTCCTGGGAAATGGCTGGCGCCTGGTTGCCATGTAGATGACGCCGCGCAGATCTTTCAAGCTGCAAAATCTCCGGATATGCACGCCAACTATGCCGTATATCTATGCGCAAAGACATGCGAGCTGGTAGCAGATCGTACCCAGTTTGTGGAGCTGGGAGCGAAGAATAACTGCACCGGTGAAGCCTTTAATCGTCGTTGGGTCCGACTTTGGGATGATTTGCAAGACTGGATGGAAAAGAGACCGTCTGAATTGCTACCAGTTCACACTACCACGACCAAACCGTTTCCACACATTCTCTTCATGCAATGGGCAGCGATTTCGTCGAACCAACTGTATCATACATCATGCATTTTGCTGCTCAACATGATGCCAAAATCTATCAAGTTGCAGCCAGCACCCGCCATCTCTGCTTTATGGCACGCAAGGCGAATTTGCGGTATCTCGCTGGCTAACCCGCACCAAGGATGCTTGAACAATGCAATTCAGCCACTTTGGATTGCAGGGCGTCTCTTTAGCCATGTCTCAGAGCATGCCATTATCATTGATCTAATCCGCCACATTGAAGCCGAAACCGGATGGGGTGCTTGCTGGCGCATCAGAGACTTAGAACTTGCCTGGGGATACCAAGTCCCTCGTCTAGAAAGGTCTAGCCCGAGGTATCGACTTCCCGTACCTGGGTGATAGTGACAGGCAATAGGTGATAGAGTCAGATAGACACTTGTCTTTCATGTCTCATCAAGAAGACCCCACTCGGCTCGCAGTCCTTGCAAAGAGTCATGGGTATTCCACCCCGTCACCGTGCGGATACGATTAAAGCCTCGCAGCACCTCCTGCTGTTGCGACTCATGTGTCATTCGACGAGCTGCCACAAAGAACGAGGCCAGGAGGCATGGATCCCAGCATTCCCGTCGGTCATTGTGGAGAGAAATACTGCAGACCCGCTGCGCATGCCATAGTGGTGACATGGCAGCAGAATGAAAGTCAGTGATCCGCGCAGTACGCGGTCTATTATGCAACAGTATGAGCATGGCTGTATGGTATAGCTGGTTGCCGAACAAGCCAGCCCCGTTGGCAAAGAGAACAACAGGGAAGCTCCTCTCCGGCCCAGCCAAACGGTCATTCAACTCTAATTCCAACATGGGTTGAAACTCCTGTGGTCGCTCTTGATACCATTGCTCAAGCTCCTCCACTAGCTGCATCCATGTGTGCAGGGGAGGGCAATCTGGGGAGATGTCATCATTATGTATGAAATGGATTGCTCTTGTGCATAGCCATAAAGGTCGGTATGCGTAGTAGAAGACCATTTCATATGGATCAGCTACCATATCTAATTCGGTCAGATATGGGTATGTTGGCGGCATGGGTACCTGCACATCATTATCACTCGCTAATGCGGTTCCGACATCTGCGGACACTCAAAGTTATTATGATTACCAATGTGTACCAAGACTAATGAGAACCCATACCAAGTCTGGCAAAGAGCCAATATATAGCTGCATTGAGGTCTCTGCCGACTGCGTGTGAACTCAAGGCATTCAAAAGACTAGTGTTGCAATGTCTTTCTCGCGTCCACGCAGCTGATATATTTGAAATAGAATCCATCACTCGGTCGAGAGCATCAAGAAGAGCAAAGTTTGTAATATTGTCCTGTATCTCCTCCTCATCAAACGAAGGAAATGACCGACTTCCTTCCTTGCGAGGGTTTTGCGGGTGAAGCTGATGGAACGATGTTTCAGACAGGTTTAGAATCGATTTCCAAATGGCGGGCGAACTCATCGCAATCTGGAGGGCATTTATTCCAAATGATTGGCCCAGGTCACATATATCCAACTGTCAAGTCTATTGTCAGCGCTCGGCATTGAGTCTCCAATCCAAGGAACCTTACCCAGGAGGCTACTTCATAGCGATAGTGCCGCAGCAGTGCTTGTATCTCAGTAGGCGAAAGCTCATCTCTAATTGACCTGGGAGGATGCATAGGTTGTGGAGAAAAGGCCAATCGACTATACGACAAATGGGACGACATCGCAGAGCTCATCAGAGGAACTCCTTTAGGAGAGGAGACCGCAAAGCCCGCGATCCCCAGATCAGGCTCATTCATGCTAGTTCCTAGCGCCAACAATCCCGCGACGGCTGATTCATCCTTGTCACTGAATACTGCCGTGGAAGGCTGTTCGTGCGCAATATGAGACACCGGCTTCTCTGACCAAGACGGCACATCTTCGTTTCTGGGCGCATGGCTGCGCGGGTTTGAGTCGGTTGCCTCCTGCGACTGCGACGGTAAATCGGTATGAGAGAATGTATCGTCCATCTCATTATCGTCGGCTCCGGCTTCAGTTTCGGTAGTATCCTTCTGCGGCTCTTCATTAATAAACTATAACAACAATTAGGTCTGTTTTCCCCGCCTCGGCATGCCAGTAGACCTACCCTGATGGCTTCGTAACCTGCAGATGGAGGGGCGACCTGCGAAGCCTGAATTGTGTGTGCATTTTTTGACAAAAAGGTCAACTGGGGACCGTATTGGCATTGGAAATTGCGGTCAATGCAGTTCCGACATCGCGGTTTGCCCTCGTCGCCTATACTCCGTTAGCTCGAAGAATGTTCCACGAGTATACAGCAGGCATACACTTTCGCCGGCGCACTCGACAGCGCATGCATCCAGTGCGACATCGCGTCAGTCGACTTTGTCCTGGGCGGTCCGGCATGGCTGTGAAGTTGCGAGATGGTGCGGAGTCGAATCAGGAAGGTCAACAGGGTGAGTTCCAAATCGGGTAATTATAAGCACTTCCATGTGGGGCACCAGACATGCTTTGTCAGCGGATATTGATCTGGCAGTGCATTCATGCTTCAAGTATACTTAATCCCTCGATATCCATGAATTCAGATACACTGACTACTCAATACTAATCTGAAACCAATCATATACGCTATGCAGAACCACCGGTCAGACCTCGACTTTTCTTCCACTCGTGCACGATTCCAGCGTATGCCGATGGCTTATACACCCCAGTGAGCTCGGTGTAAACACCTCCTCCGAGTCGGTATGGATTCAAACCCAAGTCACGCATGAGCATGTCATTGTACTAGACAAATGTTAGACCATGAGGGCTTAATCTATTTTCAGGAGTAACCTACCAGAATAGCATCCACTCCAAGTCCACTCCCCGTCAATGAACCGAATACTACATCCTCAGAGATGGAATTTTCCATTGACTTATCCGAAAGGGTTGGAAAGCACAGCGCTTGGCTGTTTGCTGACCCCGTGTCACTAGATGAGTCCAACGCCCCTGTAAGAAACGCCGCTACCCACAGGGCCTGGACCTCAGCAACAACAGCAATTGTCGACGACAAGAGCACACCAAGCGTCGCGAAGGAGCGGTCGCCTTGTGAAACCAGTTCTGGGGCCACCATCCGGCGGAACAGTCGGTAGGGTAGTAGCTTGTGAGATGCAGTCCATGACGGGGGACGGCGATCTGCAAGGATGCATTTCGTCGCGTTCAAAGTGTTCCTGACCTTCAATTCAGAGTGACGGTCTATTTCATCCCAATGCTCAATGCTTTCTTTCAGGCTTGCACCCAAAGACCCATGTATTATCTCGGGCGAGGTTGATAAGGCTTGATCTTCGCGATAGTCCTGAGGCTCCGAATCTACTAGGGCAGACAACCCAAGATTCAGTCGGAGGCTTGGTGGATAAAATTGGATCGGGACTATTGGCTTATAGCCAGTAGCGTGAACGACTAGGTCAACATCATCAATGGAAGTCCCATCTGACAATTGAACCACAGCCTTGACGACAGAGTCTGTGGTTTCCTGTGAGCCTGGAACGCCAATGCTGGACACCGCTGCTCGATAAACATGCACATGCGGCAATCTGATTGCCTCCCAGAGATCTCCTTGATTTGCGATGCCAATGCCACAGGCACAAGAAACAACACTAGAGATTGTTAGTCAATGCTGTTTTCAACAAAACAGCGTGAAAGTGACCTATTTTCTGGACGTATCTTCTCCATCTTCGGATCTGATCCATATTGCGCGGTTTCTTCTAAAGTATTATCAACAGACTTCCAGAAAATCCGAATCCACCATCGACCCAATGGATTGCCATGGAAAAGTCGTGTCAGCCATGCCCCTTCCCACCGAAACTCCTTGAAAGAGAACCGCTTCGGGATCTTGTACCAGCAGGGGGTCAGGTGGCTAAGCAATCTAGTACTTGCTGCCTTATCACTTGCAACTGTGTCGCCATTTGGGAGTGTTGATGTCGGAGGTACCATCCACGAAGGACCTGCGCCTCGATCGCGAATAACCCAGTGCACCTGGATCGGGTTGTTTTGCGTGGATGCTAGACGCAGTTTCTGATCGTTGCGGTGTAGGGTAGCGAAGAAATGCACCAGATCAAAAGAAGATTTTGCACCTCCATATATTGAAACGGACTTCAGCTCTGCGTAGGTAGGTTCTTTGCTTGGAAGGCTGGAAAGTGAAGGCTGGGGGTTTCCCAATGGCTGATACCCCAGGTGTTCGCGAGCCCAGCTTCCAACATCCTTGGCGTGGATAACTGGAGCTTGGCTGTCTATATCTGAAGATACTTTCGTGTCCGGTAGATTTGGCATCGATGTTAAGCCCGTAGCAAGGATCAACTTATCACAGAAGATAGTGAATCTCTGAGTAGAGTTGGGTGTGATTTTGGTGATGTTCAGCTTCCACTGCTTGTTCTCCAAACGACTGATGTCGTCAACCTGGGCTTCGTTAGAGACGGGGTAGTTTAAAGTCAACCTAGGGGAATATAACCATCAAGTTCAATCGAATATGTCTCCGAAGCTTCCATTTCTCAACCCACGCACGGAGATATCGGTTAATCTTCCACCCTGCAATGAACTGATCTTTCGTGCCATCGCCATTATTCTGTTCTGGAACAACATCTAAAAGAGCAAGATCACTGAATTCATATAGTCCATATGAATTCTGGCTTAGCAGATTTGGGTATAGACGCTCCTCTGCCCATGTGCCTCCAATATCCGACGCGGAATCAATGACAAGGAGACGGTCGGTAGCATCTTTCGCGGGTGATTCCTCTGTTGCTGTAAAGCATGCGGGAATCTCGGCGATGTAGTCTTTGCCATTCTCTGTGTCGCTCTCGTAGGCTCCAACGACTTGTAGGTATGTCTTTGCCGCAATGAGACCGTAGAGACCTGGCTGGTAAGCGAAGCTTCAATTGGAAGATGAATTGTACACACCTGCACCGACAATTACGACGCGCGCCATGTTTATTGGGATGAAAAGTAGGGAGGAATTTTTGAAATGTTCGAGGACATGTTGATGTTAGGACAATGAATGGGCAACAATACCGCCCGGACGAGATTCTTGATATTGTTCTTGTGGGACCACAATTTAGTCCGAACTCACAACTGGTCTTTTCCAAAAAGGTACTTGAGACTGAGTGGAAATATAGGTATTCTGATTTTAACGCCGGTTGCTGTTTTGTCTACTTGATTTCCTCTACTTTCTGGCGCTTTCCGTTCTGGTCAGGCCTTGCCGTTACATAACCAAACACTCTGCCCTAATTTGAGTATAGCAACGCACGGAACCTATGTTTCTTTGATGTTTGTATGTTAGGGCCAGAGAAAGCATCACTATTGAAAAAAGACAAATCTTGAATTAATACGTAGCAAAAACTACTCAATGACAATCAAAAACCCAAACACATTGCAGCTCCAATTGTCTCTCAATTCCAGACCGAGTCTGGAACTGTTACAGGCTCCGATGGAATGAGAGTTGACACCGATACATGTGGCCAAACCAGTCCGTCAAATACTAGATAAACTACTTGAGAATACTGAATCTGTATCGAAGTGACATTGATCGTCCTAGGCGCAGTGATATCATGCGGCGGGTTGACGAGGAACACCGGCGTACGCTGGTGTGCTGGTGAAGCTGGGGAGAGTTTCATAGGGGGTTGTCCGCGTTTGAAGATTGGAACTTTAAGCTCGTGTTGCATCGTCTCGATCCAAAAGGTCGCATTCATTTGGATTGCATTGGCATTTGGAGTTGTGGCGGCGGCGTTGCCTTCTAAGAATGCGATGTTTGTTGTTCCACCACCGAACACGGGAGCTGGAGGCGCCGTGGATACCGTGAAGGCTGTGTTCTGGAGAATGGTCTGTCCTTTGATGGCATTGCGCAAAACTGTGTTTGGGTCATCCAGGGTGTCTTGGGTAATGGTGCCGGTAGCAATGAACTTCGAGAGATCCTGTGGCCGTCGAAGAGAGGAGACAATCGAGACATTCAGACTATCAATCGGCACTATGGCACCACCACCAGTGGGGAATACAGCCAAACTGGCTGGTGGGATCTCCGGGGGGCCTGAGAAATTTGAAGTAGGTGCCAGGCATTGAGCATTGATTGTTGTGCCATGTGGAATGGACCCCATGCGGACGAGGGATTCGCCAAGGACTGGAGTATTGTTCGTGGGCGGGACATTCATCCACAGCCCAGTCTCAAAGTGAATGCCAGTGGGAGAAGCATCAGCCTTCCCATTTTTCTCATTTGTCACATCGTTGACAGCCTGTACATAAGATACGCCGTTGAGAAAGATGTTGCTCTGCGACCCAAGCCCGCGGTTAGGCACAGCACCAAAATCTTCAGAGAAGGTTATTGCGTCGTCTATCAGATTCAGCTCCAATATGTTGTCGCGGGGAAATGTTGTCGTGTTCGGTGGTCCGCTATGCGGGCGAAAGATTGTGTTGAAGCCTGTTCCAGTAAAGCTTCCATTGAAATTTGCTAGCACACCCAGCCGCGATGGTAGTATGGGCCCCAGCACTTCCCCAAGGAATTGAACAGGCTCAATCTGGAAACCAGGCGGGAGAGATATCGCTGCCATATTGTCACAATTTTCAGATAGTGCCAATGAAGGTGATTTTCTATCAGTCAAAATGGGACAGAGTGGATGGTTAATTATAGAGGATATAAACCGTTTCTGTATGGCATGGAGGGTGTTGAATCCTATTTAGAGAAAGGTCATCAGAGACGCACTAGCGTGTCCCATGTCACTCGAACATTCCAGTGTTGACCTGTGGCTAATCAGATGCTGTGGTTTGGATAATTACCTGGCGTTGAGATAGTTCGTTTTGCTGGTCTGAGCACTTTTGATGCCACAATAGACTTTTACGACATGTCAGATACCGTGGAATGCTAAAAATGCCGTTTCAAAGCAACTCAGTGATGTAAGGGTGGAATGAGCACTTCACAACGCAGAAAATGTTTAGAATGTGTAGGCGTTGGCATGGCTCAATGGGTAGGAAGTCCTAGCCGAGGTGATGAATGTAAGCCTGGAAGACAAACAGATATGATAGGCTAACGAATAATTTAACACGTCCAACTAAAAAGGAAAGAGAGCCAAGCAATCTTGCCCAAAAATTCAGGAAATAGACAGGGAATAACGCATTTCACAAACGAGTGGCCATCTCTAAAGCACATAGTAAATGCGATATACTCAAGTCCTGTTGTAAACGGGGATCAACTCGGGCCCCCGCCGTGGCCCGTTGTTTCCGAAGGTCTATAGGGCTCAATGCTAAGGAGCGACCCTAGTATAAGATTTAGCACGAAACACTCGGAAGTGGCTCTCCCTTGCTCAGGGGACATGTGGTCCTATGATAAACCACGAGAAATTATCTTTGTTACGAGAAAACACGACATTAACTTGATTGGCCTGCTTTCTGTTATACTTGTGCCATGCATACTAGGAATTCGACCTGGAAACTTTGTAAAAGTGAACAATGTGTAACCATACCCCATTATTCCCCGTACAGCAATGAAGTGGCTTGTGATGGTCAAATATCCGGCAAGCAGGACATAGTCTGCTGTGCACACCGTGATATAATGTTCCAAGTATTTCAATTGGACTTCATTTATGTAAAGATGACGTTTGAGGCATCTCCTGATTCGTGAAAGTAGCTTCTTAGAAATGGATGCTGCATCACACACCCGACCGAATCGATTTGTTCCGAACAAGACAGCAGAGCGCCAGTAAAGTGTCGTCGTAAATCAACTCCGATGATAAAGGCATGCGAATAGCAAGATGTGCGATGCAGATGTCTGTCTAGGCATGCGTCTCCATGAGATGGGCTAAGTATTAATTCTTTTCGGCAGATTCTTTGGGATTTTGGGCCTTTCTTGACTTTAGCTAGAAGGTCGCCAATGGTATCGTACGGATCGCCTTATTCTTCCGGGATTCATATTATCCAACCCGAAACTACTAACGGATCGAGATCTTGAAGTAGTATGACACGCATACAAAACTCGGAGATGTTATACGGATGAAGAGAGAATAATAATGAGACTAAGGGACTTCCCATCCCGCCATTCCGACTCGGAGTTCAACGCAACCCTGACATCTATATCCTCGATGACCCATGGTTTTTACGTACAGCATCGCTCTCCGTACTCCTTGAATGAGCCCTACTTTACCTTGAATCGTCTCGCATGATAGACCTCAAGCGATCTCCTCGGGAAAATGGAAATCCAAAGCCACAAATTGGGAAGCCTTATACTCTGGGAGTAACAATCGAGATCACACAAAAAGAAAAAAAAACATCATAGCAGCGTACGAGCAACTTCGTTCAAAGTGTAGAAGGAATTGTCCCACCTTGGATCAAAGAGGACTTCTTCCAAGTCTTTCTTGTGAGCCTTCTCTTCCGCGTAGTTGAGGGGGGTCTTTCCAACTGAGTCTCTGGAATGCATGTCCAATACGTCTCTCCATTGAAGGAAATCTACAAGTTCCTTGTTAAACGCACCATGAGCTGCCCCATGGTGCATAAAGGTCTTCCCATCAATATCTCGAGCTGCTGGATCCAGGCCACAACGGAACAGACATTCAAGAATCTCAGTGTCTACTCTCCTGTGATGCATGAGGAGGTGCACCAAATTTTCTTCGCGTCCGTTGACCCATAGCGGATCAGCACCCTTATCCATAAGCACAAAGAATATGTCTCCCCGGAATCCTAGGTGAAACGATCCCACGTAGACACCCAGGGATGAGTTCCCTTTTGTATCAAGTTGATTGACGTCGCAGCCAAGCTCTAGCAGAAATTTAACCATTTCGACACTGCAGTAGATAGATGAGACATGATGGTGTAATGGGTTTCTGCCGTGATGATCTATCGAATGCCAGAGCGTCGAAAGTGCGCTATCACATGCCGTTGACAGGAACTGCAAGACATTCAAACAACCACGCTGCAGTGCGTAGTGGAACGGACTCAACCTGTGGCTGTCTTCCAGCCAGATATCGTGGCCTTCATCCACAAATTTTCGGACGACCTCTAAGTTTCCTTTCTTGCTGGCAAGGTGAAGACAGGATTGACCAGATCCGTTTAACCGTGAAATATCAGCTCCTCTCTCTATGAGCTTGCATAGAATGGACAGCGCATAATCTTCTCGAAAGTCTATCACATGCTGAGGGTAATCCCCAAAAGCATTAGCCATGTTGACGTCGATGGTTTCGCTCTCGAGGAGTGTGTTAACAATGTGTGTTCTAGCTTGATCGATGGCTTGATAGATATCAGACGCTTCCTCACTATCGTGGTCCGTGATTAATTCTTTCAAGAACTCAATGGCGTAATCACCGCATTCCCATACATCGTCATATCTACGATCCAGGAGGCGACACCTGATCGCAAGATGGAGCGGGGTATCACCAATATCAGATTGAGCATTTGGATCGGCCCCTTGTCGAAGTAAGAAAGCGGTTATTTCTGAGCATGCGTTCAAAGAAGAGAAATGTAGCGCTGTGAGGCCTGATTCTAGATTCAGTCCAGCCCCCTCTCTCTCGTCCTCGGGCCTCATTTGCGTAAACATGCTCACAGTTGTACGTCCAGGCCACGATATTCTTCGAATTCTAGCAGTCAGATCGAAACCATTCTGAAGAAAGACTTGCGCAAGCTCTTCATCGCGGTTCCCAATTGCGTAAAGGAAGGGTGTCATGTTATACTTGTCACAGTCGTATGGGGAGACCCCAGCGTTCAGGAGGAATTGGCCTATTTGGTAGCCACTGCCATGAACATTCTTGCAAATAATATGGAGGACGTTCTGGTGGTCGTTATTTAGCGCTCTGACAGACGCTCCAGACTCAACTAAAAGCTTTATGGCTTCGAAGTTTGAGTATTGGGCGGCAACAAGTAGAGGTGTTTGTCCCTGTGCATCTTTATCTTCCAGTCCATTCTGAGAGGAGGATGAGATTAACGGAATAATCCCCCAACGAGCGGCAACATGAATAACAGAGATGCCTGTATCCAAATTCGCCAATGAGCCTCGTTTCAGGTGGTTGTAACTTTCGAGCCACCATTTCCACGTCCCGAACCGGTCTTGGAAAAATGCGTCGTGCTCCTTTGGAACGTTGAAGTCTCTTTGAGCTAAATTTGCATGCTCTGGCCAGTGCAGCACTGAATAACCAAGGAACCCATGGCTAGGCTTCAATGTTGATATGTCTATGCCTAGCCGACAGTTTTGAAGAATGACTTCAATGCAGCGATACGTCAGTGCATAGTTTGAACCAGTAGGATTGATCCCCTGCACTTCCATCGTTAAGAATTCTAGCACCGATCTATGCAACATTCGCACGTGACCATTGTCAACAACAATCAACAAATGGCACAAGTCGATAATGTCTCTCGTGAACTGGACGCGACTACTTGAATCCGTGTCAAGATGTAGGCGACATGCTTCAGCTATTTCCGCTATTGTCAGCGGTCGCATTGCGAATGCAACAATCTCCAAAATCTGTTTGATCAGTGGGTAATCATCTGGGCCACAGGCTTCGGCGGATATCACGGCTGCATCGAGCAGATTCCGGTACAAAGAGTACAATCCTCGTGGAAGAGCCTGTAGCCTCTCGATAACTTTCCTCGACTGCACCAATCTCAGTTCGTTATGAGCTATCCCGACCCAGAGGAAGGTACCATCGGCCTTCTCCTCAAAAATCTGGCATACTTTCTGTGCAACAGACTCAGTGTAGTTGTTCCTCCTTGCAAGATCCTTCACTTTTTCCTTGATCATAGCTTTAAGATCCCTTTTTATCTCTTCAAATGAGCCTAGATCGACATATGTGAAGGTGGATAGGCGACTCTTGAGCTCGGGATATGGACGACTGATGAGCAAAAAGTGCAACCTGGATGGGTCTAAGCCCGTCGAGCCTGCTTTGCTGAACGACTGGTAGATTTGATGGAACAACATTTCCTGTGACTCAGGTTCGCATTTGTCCAAAGCATCGATGATGCAGTATATCTCAGGACCAGTAGGTGCTTGCCCAATATCCATCAACACAGCCCATAGGGAATCAAATGAGGCGAAAAGAGCTTCTCTTCGGACGTCATATTTTGACAAGACCCATTTCAAGAAAGGCGGGTGCTGAGTAACGATCTGATATATAAGACCTCTCAGTATGGACGTTGCCTCTCTCTGGCGTTCTGAGGTGGCTTCGCAAAAAAAGAAACACAGGACATTATTCCCGTCGGAAAAATACTTTTTATGTCGTAGTTCCTCCGCAAGTGTCATGGCCATCGTCGACTTGCCGATTCCGGGATTGCCATACAGCCACAAAACGTTTCGCTCCAGATCATCATTGCCTTTGTCTCGCCGAACCCAAAACTTGAGCTCGTCTGACTCCAAGAACCAGCGGCAAGTCCCTGGGGTGCGATTTCCTTTTTCTCCGTTTCAATGAGTTCATATCTTCATTAGGATCAGTGATGAACAGATGCGCTAAACACGTTTTTTCCATCTCCGTAAAATTAGCGCCTATGAAAAAGTCAGTTGATGGGGATTCTGCAATGTGATGACCGCGTACCTTGATCTGACATCTCTATGTCTTTCACTTGCGAAAGAACCGATAGTAGTGCCTTTGCATAAGCAGCTGCGGCAAGAGCTGCATAGCTCTGCCACTCTTTGTGCTTGTGGGAATCGCAGTAGTCACAGATTCCACGTATGACCAGGCATTGAAGCTGATCCATAAGTCCAGCCGCTTCCATTTCAAAACAGAGTACGGGAATGTCTTCGGCAATAGAGTCTCGCGTTCGAGCATCCTTCATAACTCGATTACCGGACGCAATCAAGCCATAATGAATCTGTGGTTCGTGACTCATACGCGATTCACGCGAGACAAGCTGGGTTTTGTCGCATGACGAGCAGTCTCCACTACTTTCCTGGTGCTCGTACGTCGGGCGGAATAACCAGTCTTTGTCTGGCGAGGAAAAGTGCTTCTGGTGACGCTGCAAAACACCAGACATTATCTTGCCAAGCGGAAACTCCTGCAGCATATTGTCGCAGCGTATCTGGGAGACAGCGGCCAGTAGAGACTCGTGTGGTTTATTGAGTGAGCCCATACGCTGGAAGTAGCCCTGCTGACACGTTTTCCCATAGTCGTACTGGACCACACCGCCATATGTCCCCGTGGGCGTGCTGACGACCACATCACCTAGACGGATATCAACATTCTTGGTAGGCACCCCCCTCCCACTCCGACCATCAGCCCGAACTTTATGGAGGGGAAGGTTTGTCTCATTTGAGTCACCACGGACGTGGCAGAAGTTGTCCCATAAACACCGGATGGCAGGCAGACGACTACTACATTAAGCCCACTCAGACTCCCAAGCGTGTAGATATTGCGGTCAGTCGCCGGTTGGGGAAGCGGGTTGTGAACATGATCGAGCAAACTCTTCGCAGCCGCCAACTCTATCGGCAGTGCACATATCCACGCGAGCGTATAATCATTGAGTAAAACACGTTGAGGCGGCTTTCTGGACATAATGAAGGAGACTGACGCAGATTTTCAATCGCTTCCCGTTGCAGAACAATTTTGTAAGAAGAAGAGGGAGGCTATGATGAGTGAGGCCCTCGGTTAGGAGGAAAAAGAGGGATCGCAGTACTACGAGGCTGGCCAACAAAGGCAGGGAAGACTGGGTAAACAAGCGACCCTTCAGATACGTGGTCAAGTCAGCGTCGAGTATTCTAAGTAGGGTGTGGCGACCCAAATATAGTTCGTCCGTAGCCTCACCACATGAAACAACTGGGAAATCTACACTTATGCATAAGATTGATTGTATAGTTGTAGACTTATCATATGCATAGCCGCTGGCAATTTGCCGTTGTACGGTTTTCGGTGATTTGTAGCCAGTCAAAAATATCGGCCGCGTGAGCGCCTGTGGATAGTTCATCTCCCAAATTCAAAATGCTCAGGTAGCATATCTTTAGCCGGTGCAAATGACCGCGAGGGCTACACTTCGTCCCCTCGAGAGCTAAGCGCCCTGTGAAAACAGATAATACACATCAACGGCTTGCGGACACGTGTTCCTATACTTGGCTGGTCGTCATTGGACAATGCACAATTCTTATTTAAGTCAAGTGCCGAGGCTGTATCGAGAATGAATTTCACATCTGCATGGAAAACACTGCAAGAAGTATGTATGAGGTGAGCAGGTGAGTGCGTAATAGACAGGGTGAGAATCACACACCGTCGCGCGCTTGCCACACTGACTCTGCTTAGCTGAACGCTGACACAATATCATCATTGGCCGGTCTGGTTCGATCTGAAACAACCCGTCTTTTTTGGCTCATGCTACCCGAATGGGCACTATGAATGGGCAGGGGCCGGCTCTACCTGCAGAAATATAACATGCCGATGGCATGTAATGCGAATGACCTTTTACTTCCACCCCAAATAAGCCGTGTCTGGTGCTCATGTGATCTCAAAGTTTTGATATACATGTGGGGTGGACTTTTTGATACGCAGCGTTCCTGGCTCCATGACGACGATGCTCAACTAGGTCATGACGTTTCCCATGGGTGTCAGGGCGTGACAATTGTGCGTACTTAGTCAGTGTAGGTATCGGTCCCAGGCATGTCAGCCTAACGGCTGACAAAGTGGTCTTTTTGGCCTAGTTGGTAGATGTGTATTGACCTGAGTGCATACTATTACAAGGGCATATGCAATCCAAGGGGCCCTTGATCATCTGTAGCTCGCCAACCGCCGGGTTCCAGAGCCGCACGGTATTATCATCAGAGCCGGAAGCAAGTAGTCGCTGTTTAGGCGAAAAAGCCACTGATTGAACCGAACTAGAATGGCCTTCTACTGTCTGCTGTAATGCACTAGTCGCCGAGTCCCAGAAGTCCAATCACTTACAGGCATTCACGTTGTTTAAAACCATACCGGCAGCATTACAGTGGCTCGGGTCAGAGACGGTCAACAGTGGACTGGATGGTATGGGGCACCTGAATTTGGAACCAATGATACGAACCAGAGTGGGAGAGCCCTCGAAAGAACCCGGTCTTCAGTTATGATGTAGGTGTACTAGAGTCATACTTATTCTTCTTCTTCAGCTAAAGTACCAGACAAAATCGCTTCAGATTATACCTAGGAGACCAGCCGGTTCCTCTGAGCCCTATCCGCTTATCACAACCAGATTCATCCACGCAAATCAGGTGGTATAAGCAGAAACCCGAGTTCAGATGACTGTAGTCATCACGCAAATGTACATTCCGTTCTTTGGCTTTTTGTGAGCGTTCTTTGACCACCCTTTTCGATGCAGGCCGTCGCTGATCGTGGATCTAGGAATAGATACGTCGAACTCATCTACGAAGAACAGTTCCATCTCAGAAAGCTATGAATCCGGTTTCCCAAGCAAATGGTCGCACAAGGCCTCTAACATGACAGGACTGATGCTTCGCGGCCGTCCGGCTTTGATGGGAGGAGCTTTGAGGGTACCGAAAAGCCGCAGGGTTGCCTGGATCCTGAGGATTGCGCGTTTGCTGCAGTCAGCAGGTTGAGCCATCTGGGAGGTGGTTAATTCACCACTGCTGATCATGTTATGGATAGCTCAAGCGTAGATCTAGCAAGATTTGGTGCCATGGCTCACTGCGCCACTATTATGGTCAGTTGTCGAGAAAGCCATGTGTGGTGCGAACGCTGGTTGTAGGGCACCGAGGTAGCCGCTGTCTTGGTATGACAGGTCGCCTGCAGACGGCCATAGCTATCTATGACGCAATAGTCATCATTCTCATTGATGCTGACTACGACTGAGAATGTACTGCTGTCGCTCTGATCCCCACGTTGGCAACACTGTCGACAACGGTGCGGGTTGCTTTTCTCTTCCTTGCCAAACGTCTGGATCGAGAGTGCGAATTTTAGCGCAAGGTGGCAGTCGGAGTCCGTAGTCCTCTGGAATCCCTTCCTCTTCCAGTCTCTCGATAACGCGAAGCTGCTCAGGATTCGCCGCTTGACGAAGCAGAGTCCAAAATTCTGCGTCGGACACTTGCCACAACACCTTATCATCCACAGACCCTGCCTCTACCAGTTCGCCTATCACCCGGCCCGTCCGCTGACACATGTCGATATGGGCCGGACTTGACCAGACATCTTTGTCGACAGTGATGTATGCGCGAGAAAGATTCAGCGCTACATGGGGATCATCCAGAACCAGCAGACGGCGGGCCGCTGTAGCACTAGGAAACGCCTTCAGTGAGCCGACAACCCTGCTGGCGTCTTCTATGGCAAGCTTGTCGAAGCTGACGGCGTCGCGTAAAGCATAGTCTAGGCGATCGGCACACAGTTGAGGCGATGGCATCTCCACTAAAGGGAACAGTTCTTCTTCGAAAACCTTCTGGGTAATCGCATGTCTGGCGAGGATGTCCGGCAGCCGCGACGTCTCAAGATACCGTGTCTTGTGTACCTCGTGGTAGCTTCCTTCCCCAGGCTTGGAGAGAGCGTAATCCATGACGTGACTGAGGGTGGTATGAGAGATGTCATGGAGAAGAGCAGCGACTTGTTCTTCAATTGTGGCACCAACTCTTCGCACGAGTATAAATGCACCGACCGAATGTTCGAGCCGTGTGACTCGCGGTGTCAGGCCCAAGAATCCAGTGACTCCATGTTGGCAGATGCCTTGCAGTCGCTGCACCTCCGGGCTTTGAAGAAGCTCTACGAGAACTGGCTCATGGACCAGTTCCTCTCCGTATATCTTATCTCGGATCAAGATGCTATGATTGTCGATGAGCTGCTGTGTCTGGAGGACGCCAATACTGGTGGGAGATGACATCTCTGTTGGATCAACATGTATTGACAGAAGCATCCGAAGCAGGATGATTGGGAAAAGTATGTGCGGGGTCGAGGAAGGAGCGTGAGAAAGGTTGAGGGATCGCAAGCGCCATTCAATCATACAGCAAACGGGGGCAGTGCTACGAGCGAATGGCCATTGAACGGCTCGATACGGACTTGGCGTTCGAGGCTTTTCACATGTGCATGATCCAACTGGACCATGTTCAAACTGTCATTGGGTACCTAGAGGCCTTCGGAGGGGTAAAAATGGAGAAAATTGGTTATCTGCCGTCGTGCAGCAAAGTGCTGACGTCGCCCTAGAAGTCTGCTGGTGTACCTCGAATGATATGTCCTTATGGATCGAGCATCGGCGGGATGGGTAATATCAGGGATGCACGCTACGCCAGTCTAGGAACGGGCCGCGCCGTGACAGTTCTGGCATTCCAAGAACCTGCAGTTTTTTTTTCATCTTTATTACAAAAGAATTTAGCATAATTAACGTGATCACTAATCTAGGTCAACTAGACTTAATTTATTGCGCTATAATAGAGCTGCGTATGAGTAGGATTGATCCTGAAAACATTGGGTAGTCATGTTCATAATCAAGATATTATGACGATGACACTTGAACTGTGGACGGCAAGTACAAATACATGCTCCGCTGGACCGACAGAGTGTTGACGAGAGGCCTAGTGTACAGAACTCACGGCTAGTAGCTCCTGGGAAATGGACACCAAAAGTAGTAGTAATTAGATCCATCAATGAAACACTAAACAAATAAGGCATCATAGTTAAAACATCCCAGTCTTGATACATAGACTCTTTGACCTTTCGACTTTTGCAGTCCCACCTTTTGCTTGGAGAACTCTCGTCGCCAATTTGGAAGATGGGCTTTATGCAAGAATTCGATTGAAGGTATCCTGCGTATGCTTCCAAACGATCTCAGGGAATCCCTTCTCTCGGAGTTGAGTCATCAGAGATTGATTTGTCGCGTCCTTGCCGTCGTAATTAAGGATATAGGCACCCTGGCCGGAGTTCTTGGGGGCAAAGTTAGGCGAAGTCGATAGCCATGTCTGCCATTCTCCACTCTCCTCGGCCGAAATCGAGATGGGCTTCGACAAGAACCCAAGGATTGTACCCGCCACAGATCCCATGCTGTTTTTCAAGAGCGGTGTGGCCACAATACCCGGGAACACGTGAAGAAAGCTGACAGATGGGTGTTGCGACGCGAGAACCTCGAATGCCAGCGAGTTCATGGATGCCGGGTAGCCAGTGCTGGCAGAAAGGGAAAATTTCTTTGTTAGGTCCAAGTTGTCTTCCTCAATCATGATTTCTTTACCACCAGCCAGAATGCTGATTACGCGAGGACTTTTTGTGGCTTCGAGGGCAGGCAGGAGATTCTCGATGAATCTCATGCGCGAGTAGTATCGTAGCATGTGGTTGGCATCGATCCCCGCAGCCGTCTCTGTGTTTTGGTCGAGGTATCAGCCTGTGTTCCGTGGGTACGAGATGTCCTCGGGCCTGTGAGACGGCTTCTTCTTCTTACCATTTTTGCTGAATGCAAGAGCTCCAGCAGAGAGAAACAAGAGGTCCAGACCTTCAAATCGAGTTTTCAGTTCCTCGCAAGCTTTGTCCACGTTGCGAAGGTTGGAAACGTCGACAGCCTTGAATCCATAAGAACCATTCGGGTTGGCCTTTTCCATCGCTGCGACGACTTGAGCGCCAGCAGCTTCGTTGCGACCGACAATATAAATAGTGGGTTTCATAACCGCGCCGGCCAATTTGATGGCAGTGTGTTTTCCGATGCCACTGGTACCTCCGACAAAAAGGGCCACTATTTCCGGCTTTGCGGACTTCAGAGCCGCATTCCATTCACGGATTTGCGCCAAAGTCTGAGCCATCTTAGCTGTATCGATGATGATTGTGCTTCTGAGTCAAATAGTTTGTGTGTCGTGAGGATGTTGGAAGGAAGAACGTCTTAATAGGAAGATCAAGAGAGCGGTGCTTTTACTGCCATCCCGGTCTAGAACATGATTAGTGAGCGTCTACCGTCTTCGAAGGAACTATGTGGCAACCAGGATACCGCTAGTGAGAGGGATCGTGCCGTATCACACAATTTTAATCCCCGGAAAACTTGTCCAGCCAATCCTCAGCTTCAAGGAGATCTAATGCTCTCGAGAATCGGTCCATTTGGCTCGTGAGTACTGGCTTGTACGTAAATTCTACAGCACTTTGAAACTGTCGAGGGAGGGCCGAGTCGTCGCGCTTAACGTAACTCCGCCTTGCTTCGGCTCAATTTCAACGGTGAAAATGGAGAGATCACCACGCTAACCATTGGCTAATGTGACTAGCGTGCGGCATTCCGCAGTTGTGGGGAACAGCAGGACACTGGAGACCCACTCCTCACAGGAGCATTGTCACTAAGACATCGAGATCGCGCGCTCATTAACAAAAAGAGCAGTCTTTATAATTCTGAAAAGCCTAAATAGCTAATGAGACCCTACCCTCGTATTCTGCATAGTGGAAGGTTGAATACGAAGGGAAGAAATGTTGACGCATAAATGACGCGGAGTGGACCACTCGTGTACATGGAACGTGCACTCGATTGCCGAATAGGTTATTCATCGAAGAGCGGAGTCGGAACATTGTATCCATGACATAGGGACAAACTACAGTACATTCTGCCGAACCACATCTACAGTATAGTAACCCAGCAGTTACTATCTGCCTAACAACTCCAAAAGCTCCGCCTGCTCACGATATTTGAGCGCCTAGGCGTAGCATGGCATCAAGAGGGGTTCTCGGAAGATGAACCATAGCCAGTCAGACCTTAATTCAATCCAACAGTTGGGTCGAACGATCTAATCTTAAATGAAATCTGCTACCAAGCAAAGCGCAACATAGTGGATTCAGGCGCTGACGTTGCTATTGTATCGATCATTACGCCATAACAAAGACAAGGTATGCAAAGCAGATGAATGTAATTATAAATAGCTAACATTATTGCATCGGCTCGCGATGCTGTAACACCTCCTGCTCAACGTGACAGTCCTGCCAGAAAGTTATTTATTTGTTAACGCCAAACTTGCAGGGACAAACTGGTTAATCTTCGCGAGGATTTCATCTGTACGAAACGGCTTGTGGATGATATCGTCCATCCCAGCCTCGAACATTTCCGATTTTTGTGCCGCTCTGACATTCGCTGTTACTCCCAAAATTGGAACGTGTCTATCGCTGTCCTTCTCAAGCTCTCGAATGCGCTTGGTTGCGGCATTACCATCCATCACAGGCATTTCTATATCCATGAGAATGCAATCGATCTTGTTGTTCTGGAACTTATTCAAAGCCTCTTGGCCATTATTGGCCTCCATGATTTGAAATCCTAGTGATCCCAATTTCCGAGAGAGGATTCGCCTGTTAATGATGTTATCCTCAACCACGAGTATGCGTCGACCGGTATTTGGTTCCTTGTGGCTTTGGTGGCTTTCACTATTGCGAATTGTTACTTGCCGCGCAATTTTATCAGTATTCCTCGTTCTTTCGTCCACGGGGCCTCCTCTTCTCAACTCATCAATCTGATTCAGTGGAGGGTCTTCTGGTATCTGTACGTCTTGAGTCGATTCTTCAACCTCGTACAATTCCCGGCCCAGCGCTTGGATGTCATGGGACAACTTGTCCACGTCCGAGACACCAACCTTGCCAACGCCCTCTGCACCGGCGTGTATAGTCTTGCGCACTCGAAAGAAAAATCCAAATGTACTTCCCTCATCTTTCTTCGAACTGACACCAATTTCCCCGCCATGTAGATGACACAATTTTCTACTGACGTGGAGGCCTAGACCTGAGCCGCCATAAATCCCTTCTGTCCTTGGGGTAGCTTGGTTAAATCTCTCAAATAACCGCATCTGGGCATCATCATCGATGCCGATACCGGAATCTTTAACAGCGAGCATAATGTACGCGAACTCTCCGTCACCCCACTCAGGCGAAGCTGTCGTATCAAGACCGAGCGCAGCCTTGCCTGACGTGAAAAATACAACGTTCGGAGGGTATGAAGAAGGACGGTCTTTTGAAGCACCGATTGAAACTCGAATTCTCCGCGCATTTTCACACCTGGCAGTGAATTTTATTGCATTGGAGAGAAGGTTGATGAGAACCTGGCCCATACGATCAACATCGGCCATAACCCATTCAATTCCGCAATCCGCATACGAAACGTCGGCTTGATAGTCGAAATGTATGTTGTTTCTTTGCAGCTGCGGCCGAAAAAGAGAAAGTGGGCCCGCAAAATATTGATTTGGTTGGACACTCCGCGGTGATAGAAGCAGCATTGATGAGTCGATTTTCGAGAAAGTAAGGACATCATCGAGAATCCTTTTCTGATGGGAGATACACAGAGAGATGGTCTCCGCTGACTCGGTGATACGTGAAAGGAGCGCTTCGTGGTCTTCAGTCTCGCGTGTTTCCTGAAGAATATCCTCGGTGCAGTGTAATATCGCGGAAAGCGGGTTCCGAATCTCATGGCTAATCATGTCGATAAATCGCTCTTGATTCTGTCTGTGTTCTTGTGCGTCTTTGGCAAGCTGTTTTTGGTAATACTCTGCCCTCTTCTCTGGTGTGATGTCCGAGATCGTGACGATAAATCCGCCATGGGCATCAAGGCCAAACTCATGACCATGTGCAAGAAGAGGACTCGAAGTCATCACACGCCACATATCCTGATTCCGAGTCCGGTATTCAATGCGTAGCGCTGCTTTGGTCGACAAAGCTTCGTTGAACCAAGTATTAACCCGGTGGACGTCGTCTAGGTGGACCGATTGCAGCAAGCAATGTGGAAACTTCGCGTCGGAACAGGCAATCAGCATTCGGAAACTAGAATTCTGGGAAACCAGCTCGTAGTTCCTATTGAGGATTGCTAAGCCATGGGGAATGTTGTCCGCCAGCTGTTGCGCAGAAGCGGTCGGGCTGAAATTGAAACTCATCTGTGCAGACCGTTTAGCTTTACTTTCCACGAAAGGATATCGTTACCATGGTAGCATACAGTGTTCTAACCTCAGCGCTCCAGACTCGGGGCTTCAAGTTGAGCTGAACAAATTTCTTGTCTTCAAGGATTCGAGCAAATGATGACGACGCAGTACAAGGCAGTGCGAATCCGGCTGTCCCGGATTACCGGAGTTTCAATGATCCGAAGCCTTCAAGAAATTAATCTGATATCAGATAATCATTTCTCTTGCCATTCCTTGACCACTTATCATCTTTACACTTCACCTGGTTGACAGGACGTTTATCTGATGGAATACAAGGTTACCTTCTACAATAATGTAACATGTAAGCGAGCGCCGCACGCAACCGGACGCCGCACCCACGCGTACTTCTCGCGTTTTCTTCCAGCCCTCTATTTTCAACAACCCACTATGCCACCAATTCGCTCTCAAAATTTTCAAAAACAATCAGAGCAAGAGGGTGGGATACTATTAGCTATCCAGTCTTTTCACAATGGAATAATATGCTCTATTCGTCAATTGGCGCGCAATTACAATATACCCGACCGAACGCTCCGCCGCTGTATATCCGAGGTCAAAAGTCGTGTTGAAATCCACCGAAACGGCCGAAAATACACTATTTTGGAAGAGAAAGCTCTAAAGAAATAGATACTCCTTTAGGATAAGCGAGGAATAGCGCCTCGGCTAAATACTTTACGAGGGGTAGCCAATTTGCTATTAAAAGCCCGCCATAATAGCACCTTAATATAGTCGGCGAAAATTAGGTCTACAATTTTGTTAAACGGCATGAGCTTATAACTCGATTCTCACGTGCGTACGATTATCGGAGGGCTTAAAATGAGGATTACAATCTTATATCAAAATAGTTTAATTGCGCGAGGAAGACACTATATAGAAGTATAGCATTGTGGATAACGATATCTAATACTTCGATAAAACTAGATTCGCCCTCGGCATGACTATCGCCGCTAGAATTGTTACAAAAACGTTATACGGACGGAGATTTTGATCATAACCCGGAAATCGAGAACAAGTAATAGTTATTGAGACTATAAACGCTAAGGTGTTGCTATTACGCACGACTAACTGGTCGTCGCTATGTTAGAAGAACCCTGGGTTATACTTGCCCGTGCTTCTCTGTCTTCCGACGTCAACAATCTGTACTCTCATCCGTACCGCTGCCCTCGGGCCGTACGGGCTAAGTCCTTTGAGTAGCTCGCCTACTTCTTTTGTCGGACCCCATAGAGTATCCTCCGGAGAAGCTCTTTTTCTTCCTTGTTCTTCTTTCATGTCACTTGCCTGTATTAAAGAACGAGTATTGTAGTATTCCTTGGAACGGCAAGTCGTAGGCCGGAATCGACGTAGTCTTTACCGTCACCCAGTTTGGTGTTGTACTGCCTGGAACTGGCACCTGTCTTGGCGGATTGCCCTACCTATCACATCCAAGAGCTAGAACCGATTTGGGGATTACAATTTTGACATAGAAAGCTCATAGAAATTTATGTTGACCACGCCAAATCCGCGGGAGCGAGTGAGTGGTCGGCCCATGAAGTAGAGACAAGCTCCAATCTAGTTAGCTCAGGCATCGATCCTTTGATTTTTTGAAACCAGTCGTGCCAATTGTACGGAACGCAAAGCTGCAGTCGATTCCACTCTCGACCTTCCAAGAGTCTTTCCCATGGTTTGAAGAGCATCTTCCCCTTTTCATGGGTATAGAAAAGCTCTTGAGCCTCACAGGGCGGCATTTGAAGTAGCACACGTAGCCGGAGCACGCCGCGGAAATTCTTCTCAACTAACCCAAAGAACGCGTAATAGGTTTCCATCCAGTCCTCCTCAGCCTGCCCAGGGTCCCAGAAGCCAACAACAAACGAGATGTCCATAGATGTCATAAGAGATGCACAACGTGGTGCCAAAATCCTTGATATCAGAAAAGGGGTGTCCATAGCCTCGTTCATAACAAAGATATTCGTCGCATAAAGAACTTCCAATGCTTCTGCATATCTGTACGATAATAAGTCAATGCTCTGACAGTAGAAGGATACTGACTTACCCAGTTTGGCAACATCTCAGCCACTCCACGCCGCCAATTTTGGGTCTCGGGATGTGCATGTACCCCTCGCGGCCTGAGATCGAACAGATATCCTCAATGGTATCATTGATGAATTTATCCGAATATTCACAAACAGCATGCCACCAGCGCCAGCGAGGCTCGCTGTGCGGTTTCGGCGATGGCTTTCTCCAAAAATACCGAATATGCACTCGCCGGTCGCCCATAAGCTCGAGGTATATCAGCCTCCTGATCTCCGCCGGGAGACGAAAGAGCGGACTTTGCTGTTGGGAGCTTTTCTGTCGAGCTCTCGGGCTGCGTGGGCGCTGTTCTGGTTGGATCGGTAGCTTCCATCGATTGAATATATCGCCGTTGATCTCACAGGTGGAATCCCAAATTCCTATTGCGTTTGGGGAACATTCTTTCAGTGTCGACCTGAGCTCTTTCGGCGCTTTTTTTTTCCGCTTGAAAAGTTTGTTGAAAAAATGGGGTGCCATGGCGGTGGAGTCTGGAATAGCGTGAAGGGGGAGCGGTGACTTTATATGTACCTGGATGTGGGTGGATGTCCCTGGTACGTGGCAGGAGCACTTCCACGAAATTGAGGGGATTGAACCCACAAACCCTGAGCTCAGTGGGATATCCAACGGCCCCCAAATTTAGGATTACACAAGACAAACTCTAGATCTTGCTTTTTACCTTGTTCTTTGAGCTACAAATATTCTCTTCTAGTCCTGTAGTGGCACTGGTTTCAATGGCAGTGAAAGAGCCTTCCATCGCCCCCTAAATACCGTCTAAAAATACTAAAAGCACAGCATTTAGAAACCGTCGCGCAAGCAAAGGTAGTTCGGATAGGCGGAAACTCAGTAAGCCTCCTTGGCCTCCAGGGCTATGTTTCTCAGGAAGACACAAGTCGTTTCAATCTTACCTAACTTTCACTTAGCCATTACTCTTGCCTAATTTTTAAATAGAAATCGGTGAGTCTGTCTGAACTGGCCGCCATGATACTCTTTATAGACCATAATAAAAGAGGGCATCTTTTGGAGAACTACATCTGTCAAACCGCCTGCGGCATCGCTGGCTCTGAAACAGGTGTTATATTTATCATATTTATATACATATTTACCAAATAGTCTGCTTCAGCTATCTCTCAGTGGACGGGAATGAATATATTTTAGAAAGGTAATAGACAAGAGTTATTGATACATGGCGATTGATTAAAGATCATATCTATGTCCTGGAATATACATCCTATTCCTGTGGCATTGAGATAATTTGCGATTATGTTCACCTTACCATGGTTACGACAGTAGTCATGATTACTGAACGGGACTTGTACGATTGGCGTATTACTTACGGATTAATCCCAGGTCAAGGTGGCTCGTGCATGGTCTGAATTGACATCGTGAGCCCGATGAATCGCGCATTTACATTGCGAATGACGTTTTAGGTAACCCATATTATTGCTTGAATAGAAATCAAGTGTTGTCATTGATCGTGAAGCCCATACGAGCTCAAGTTCCTCTACTTACCTTGGACTCAAGCCTCTTCTAATTCGCCAGTTACCTCTTCCCAAACGTACTCTGCTGCAACACCATCTTTTTCTTTTACTGTAAGCTCGGTCAAAGTACAAGTCAATGCCGTCTTTCGTCTAACAATGTCCCTCTCATGCGGCTTCAAGATGACACCAAGACCAACAGACAGGACAGCCAACGTCCAGAGATTCCCTGTCCCTCGATGCGACCACATCTACCCTCTTTGGCCGAGGATCCGCGGAAAAATCGTTGGAAGAATTCACCTGCGCAACTTCCTAACCAACTGCTTTCGATACGGGGAGACCCGGCTCCTGCAGCAGCAAGGGTTTATGGAACTATGGAACTCTTGTCCCGCTAGACGAACCTGTTGAAAGTTGGCCGTGTTATACAGAATGGAGGAATTTAAAAACACTGTTTGCTCTCCCTGTTCTACAAATTTTGAGTGTCCATGCCTGCAGTGTTGTGTTAACCTTTTCAATTTTCTGAAAAGTCTCCAAGCTTTCCAATGGAGAATTTATCATTGCGCTACGCATGGACGCTGCGCTTGGACATTTAATATGCGGAGTGCAAATCTAGAAGCACAAAAATTATCTTCGTTTCCCCGTTTAGAACATCGATGTTGTGACTGTCAATTCTCGCGTCAAGAATGGACGGCTACCAGCTATGCATGGTGGGGCTGACATGGTGTCCATTAAGACCTATAGAATTGCATAAGAGCCTACCATTCGGAGGACTGGCTAGATATCCAGAGGATAACTCAGAAGTCTTATTGCCTTCTTCTTTCTCACATTCTCACCGTCTGATAAACAATATAGAGGAAAAGCTTTCGCACAGCATACCCGAAACGGCTAAGCGCGGGCCCACCTCCGTTGGGGCTGAACATCCAACGATCTCCAGTACAGTAGTGAATGACTTAGTCCCTCCTCAACAACGCCATGGTATACTGCGGCAAGCCAAGCAAAGGATGTGGCGAGTGCCGAGCAAGAAAGATCAGATGTGACCAAAGCCGACCGGCGTGTTCGCAATGCATACGCGCCAAGCGAGACTGCCCAGGCTACAGGGATCAACTATCGCTGATGTTCCGCGACGAGAGCAAAGAAGTAGTACGAAAGGCAGCGGGGTCAAAGAAGACCGAGCGAGCGCCTCGCACTGTATCCCCAGAAGGGAAGACCGGGGCTGTTGTTGTGGAGCCGGAATTCAACTTCAATGTTCTCCGACGATTGGGGAGTCTCCCGGTGGAAGTTCAACCATCGCAGGATGTGGAGACGACGAAGTATGAGGCGATTTGTTATTTCATGCGGTCGAATGCTATTCCTGGTTCTTTCTGGACCAGTGATCTCGTCTCTAGGTTCCTCTTGCAGTCTGGGGGTCCGGCGAGTCAGAGGGCTATGCAAGCCAGTGTGGTTGCTACTGCGACCGCTATGCTTTCCCGTGTTCGGGGCTTGCCTTCGCTGAAAGATGTGGCCCACAGGGAGTATGGGTCCGCTTTGAGGTTGCTAAATACCGCCCTAGCCGATATTGATCAAGCGAAGACGAATCAGACTCTGGGCACGGTCGTGCTGCTTGCCATTTATGAAGTAGGTTTAGGGCCTCGCAGATTGAAAAACGCTAATTGGCTTTAGGTTGTTACGTCAAGGTCTCCGGAAGATATTGACAGTTGGACAAATCATATCAATGGTGCGACGGCCTTGCTTGATATACGTGGCACTGACCAGCTCAAGACCGACGCTGGTCTCAAATTATTCTTGCACCTGCGATATCAGATCGTAAGTATCGACAACCAGCCATTGGTTTCATACTAACAATCCATAGATCATCAGTTGTCTACAACGAGATGCCCGAGTCCCTGAATCACTATTTGAATGTACCAAACTCACCATGTTTCTCCGCCCAGCAGAAGCGCATGGCAACCGCCTCGTAATGATAATTGGCAAACTATCCAACCTACGTGCCGACATAAGAACCAAAAGATTCAACAACGAACGAGAGATCATCTCAGCAGCCTCAGCCATCGAAGCCGACCTAATTGCATGGCTAGCCTCACTACCCCCAGAGTTCAACTACACAAGCCACACAAAATCGCCCTTCGACTTTTCATTCCAGCACCGATTCGGAGGTCTATCGCCATACGATGGCCACTACCACGTCTATCCTAACCTCTGGGTCTGCAACTCCTGGAACCAATACCGCAGCGCACGAATAGTCGTCAGCGAAATCATCCTCTCGCACATCCGCCAAATCTCCACAAACTCATCTATATCCTTCCTCTCCGAAGAGTTTCGCCTACAATGCAAGGCACTCCGCTCAACAATTAGACGACTGGCGGTGGACATCTGCCGCGGTGCACCCTTTCACTTCAACGCGCATGGCGCAGAAAATTCGCCTAATATTCTTCCGCCAGAGAGTTACATCGGTGGGCTTGTCCTGTTATGGCCCTTGTTTGTTGCTGGTATTGTCGAGAATCCGTGCCATGGTCTCCGCCGTTGGGTTGTGAAATGTCTCGAGATGATTGGCAATACGATGGGACTTGACCAGGCGCTTGCGGTTGCTGATATTATCTCTGCTGATCCTGGAATTCTGCATTCTGTTACTGAAGAGGAAGATGGGCTTATTGAGGAGTCGAATGTGCCGGATTTGACTAGTCGGCTTCCTGTGCCTCTGTCCAATAAAGTTATGGGAGAGGAGGTATAGATGTTTTGGTTTATGTTCCTTTTATATCGCTTCTGTTGCTTATATGCAACGTAGGTGGTGTCGGGTCATATCTCACCTGCATAAATTGTCGCGTTACAGCCAGGATCTAGGAGAGCCTCATTATGGAATGACGAAATATGTCTAGCATTAATAAAAGGGAAAACAATAGCGTCATATCCTCCAGTGACATTCCAGAAAAGTTTAACATAACCCAATAACCTAGGCTACTCTACTTCATACTTCGTGTCGAACAAATCGGGCTGTGCGCTCCGCCAGGAGGCGGGGCCGGGCTGTGTATCAACTCCGCCCCAGCCTTGTACCCCTCGGCACCTCATGCGGTAACTAATGCGGCTCTTTCGAACATATACACATTTCGTTGTCCAATCGCTCGATCAGATACCAGCAAGTTCAATATCTGACGGTATCCAGTTCTGGTTAGGCGCAGGTGCATGTGGTATTCCCACGTTATGCCCTACATGGTACATACCACGTTATGCCCTACATGGTACATACATACCCCTGCCAGTTCCAATAGGACTGCCGTTAATCCCGAGTCTGGAGTCTGCCTTACTGTCAATAGTCTGACAATCTTAAGGTTTGGACGGGGCATTCCTGGGACTATATGACTATATAGTGTTTGGATTATGATCATAACCCCGCCCTGGTGCCCAGTATGCCTTGGCCCACGTTCGCATGATTTTTGTCCTAGGCATTGCTGTGATACTTTGGTTATTAGTTCCACAGATATGAGGCCGTGTTCAGAGAGAGATATAAGGAAGGTGGTATTCCGTTGTGTCGGATTTCTTTGTTAGGCAGGACCATATTTAGACTTGTCTTTGACTTCAAGTCTTTTTAAGAGAGATATAGTCGGCTTTTCTACTTTTCAACTATTCAACTTCTATATACGTTTCGCAGTCATGAACGTTTTCGAGAAATCACCATCCATGTGGGCATCTTTTGCCTCACATCAACGTTCATCCCGTCCAGCGACACAGTCACGACCAGAACCCGCTCCGAAGAAATCATGGCGATTGAGATTCAAAAGTCCAGTCTATACAGCCAACACCAACCCCAACAATCGAACAATCGACCTCCCACCGCCCTACACAGCAACCCCCATCTCTCCCCGAACCACACGCCACCAAAACCACAACCAACCCGACCAAGAATCACCCTACAGCTTCCTAAGCACATTCGACACAGTCTTCCTAGTAGACGACAGCTCAAGCATGAAAGGCCAAAACTGGAAATCCGCCGCCAACGCAATCGCAGCAATCGCACCCATCTGCACAAGCCACGACCCGGACGGAATAGACATCTACTTCCTGAACCAGCCAGCTGCCAGTAACGCCCACTACAACATAACAACACCAAGCCAAGTGCATGAAATCTTCACAAGGGTCACACCACGCGGCGTTACACCCGTCGGGAAACGTCTCAATGATATCCTAAAGCCGTATATGGCGCGCGTGGAACGGATGCAGGCTGCGCAGGCGAGGAACGGGGCTAGTGATATTGATGACCGGTTCTATGTACGACCGGTGAATATCATTGTTATTACTGATGGGGTCTTTACAGATGATGCTGAGAGTGTTATTATGGGTGTAGCGCGAAAATTGGATTTGATTGATGCTATTGCTTGGCAGGTGGGCATTCAGTTCTTTCAGGTTGGGGATGATGAGAGTGCGAGGTTGTATTTGCAGGAGTTGGATGATTATTTAGGGGGTTGCCGGGAGGGCTTCAGGGATATTGTTGATACTGTTCCTTGGGCTGGGGGGCTTTGTGGGGAGGGGATTTTGAAGACAGTGCTTGGGGCTGTTAATAAAAGGTTGGATCGGAGGGTCCTATAATTTTGGCCGTTTACTTCTTGTTTGTTGGCGATATGTTGGCTGTTACTGTTGTTGTGTTTTGAAGTATACATATACCCCAGTTTCAGATGGTCGCTCAGGGGTCAGTTTCATGGTTGTTTTTCTAGCTGCCTGCTATTTCAGTGGATTATCCAATCATCTAGCCAATCACATATCTCCTGGGCTGTTTATTCTTGGCTTAATATGAAACTGACAGATCAACAGTAATCTCAGGAACCGCCGCTGTGGAGTAGGCGAACACATCCCTACCCTATGAACCTATGATTGTGGTTGGTTCAATTAGCTACTATTAGCTGCAGTAGTCCCCTCTGGTGTGTCCAATGGGAGGTTCCTAGCCGTTGTACGCCAATCACGTCGTTTCGGCACTTTAGTTCCCTATGTGATACGTGATATTCCCAGTTTCCAAGCTAGGAGTTCCTGTTTATTTCTAGAATAACTTGTTTAGAAGAAGGTAGAATGAGCGCCACCTAATGTAGCAATTAAATTTATTACTTGTGCGCACCTTGCGTGGGGATCGACGAAATTCGGTTCAGGTGGATAGGCAAGCCACGATAATCTTCGCCGAAATCCGTATTTTGACTGACAATTCCCAAGAACAATTAGCCCTCAAAGTTGGTTTGCACTAGTTGAGACTCCACTCATCACCGCAATTTGTTGATCGGCGAAAGTCATCATCCCCGCGCCGATCTTCGAAAACCTCATCTCTTCACTTCTTCACTTCTTCACTTCTTTTCATTTCAACCCGCGATTTACCATTTACCCTTCCACTCCTTTCCGCCACGTCAACTTACCTCTCTTACCTCTGCATCCTCTCTCGTCTCTCTTAGCGCCGGACCCTCAATACTCGGCGCGTGCATCTCCCGTCTCCGATTGGCCAACCTTGTCGCCCTGCACTGCGCCTGGGAAATTGACCCATCGCGGCTCTCAATGGCAAGCTGGAATTACAGCTGAAACGTCGTTATTCTTAGACCTGTCAAGCCTGAGACGTCGGGGCTGCCTTGGGTCTGAACTAGTCTGCCCGGCTAGTTCTCTTATATGAACTGGTGTTTGCGACTCGACTTCCTTCCATTGTCTTTTTGCATCGTGTACAACACTGGGTGTTTGTCTTTTAGCTTTTGTTTTCTTTTGTTCTGCATTGTTGCGCCTGTCTCTCTTTGATTTCTCTTTCTTTTGTACCTGCTTTCTTCAGCTTTGATCTGCGATCTTTCTCTCTCTTCCCTTTTATTGATTCATATTGCGATGACCTCTAACACCCTCATGACTTTCCTGCTGTGAGTGTCGCCGATCCAATTGCATTGTGCCTTCATACTGACTCAGTCTAGGATTACCAAACCTGAGGTCCGGTCAGTCAAACTGCTCGGATCGTGGGATAATTTCTCCAAGCAATATGTGATGGAAAGGGACAAGCGCGTTGGCCCGGGCCACTGGAAAGGATGTCATACCTTTACGGATATCATTGGCGACGGGCCTGACAAGACTCAATGGCGAACCGGGGGTCTCAAGATGGGAGGCACCTACTGGTACTATGTGAGCCGGACCACGTTTATTGGTGAAGGAAGCTAACCGAGACAGTACCTTTTGAATGACGATATTGAATATTATAACGAAAGAGAACCTGCCACCACAAAATGTCCTCTGCTTCCCGGGCAACCGGTGAATGTGCTGAATGTGCCCATCATCTTACCCGATAGTCGGTCCCATGGACGCTCGGGCAGCAACAGCTCCCTCAAGTCTGAATACCGAACGATGAACCCGGAGGACAAGTTCATGAACCCGCGCAAGCCTCCACCGCAGCCTCAACCAGTGCGTCTTCAGACTTCCACGTCCGTGCGTCGCCAACCGAGTCCAGCGCAGGCTGCCACCTCCCCAATTTCTAGCATGATTCACAGGAGCAAGTCCCAGCCGAACAGTGCCACTCGCAGAAGTCATACTTCGAAGGACTCGCGTTCCTTGTCTCCCCCGAGAGCACGGGCCCTTCGTGCTGCTCTAGGACAACCCAATGGGACAGAGAACCGGGCACCTGAGACATGGCAATCAAACAATGCTTCAAACAAAATTGTTGAGACGCGACGCAATGTCCCTGGGATCAAGATTAGTGCCGGAATCGCAATTCCCTCCTCCGCAAACTCGCCTAACAAGCTGGGCCCTTCGACCATTCAAAGTCGGCGCGCATTGAAGACCGGAGATGGATCCCCGGGTCGCCTTCTCACTGTCCAGACGCGCCCTGAGCATCGTGCACACAGTCCTCCGCGTGTGAACGGCAAGAATGCAGCCTATGATGAGTCTCATACTATCAGGGAGGCGCTGGAAGATATTGCAAACTCCAGCGACTTGCCAACACCAACCAAACCATTCGCCAAGAAGGAAAAGAGGCTTCCAACACTGCCGAACTCTCCTTCCTCCGTGATGGACGAAGCCGTCCGTGCCATCGACGAAAGAGACCAAGCCATGGACGCGGAGGCTCTGCGCAGTCACTTCTCTAGCATGACAATGACAGACGATTCTATCCACTCTCGCTTCATCCCAGAACGCAGCCGATTCTCGGAATGGAGCACTGACACTGAAGCCGACGACTACAACACACCGGAATCAATGGTTTCAACCTCGACCTTCAACCAGGACTACAACTCCGAAAACGATGCCTCAGACGACCGATGGAAAACCCCCGAACTCTCCCAGTCTGGCGATGCAGCAATAAACACAGATCCCAACACTCCCCATCTTACCGTCCACTCCAAACCCTCGTCTCCGAACTCAGCCGAAGGCGAAGGCGACCTCCCCTGGAACATCTCCCTCCCTCATCTCACCGTGTCTCTATCCTCTCCCAGTATCAACGGCTCAGGGCTGGGTATCGAAGGAATGGACGAAGTGGAAAGCAACCCAAAGCGCCACGCCGCCCTCTTCAGCGCCCTCGAATCAATGGAGGCACTCGCCATGTCCCGCAGCCCCGATTCATCTCCCATCGTCCTTCCCCAGGTCCTGCATGATTCAGTCTCTGAAAGGAACCTCTCTGGAGAGCGGAGACCCAGTTATCAGGCTGAGTCTATTCGCTCCCGACGCAGCAACACAGATTTCCAGGCTGGTAATACTACCATGCAGGAGTTGATGGATGAGCTCAGTTATCTGAAGAATATGATCCAGGCTGAGATGGATGGCACTCCTTTCTAATGGACTGCTGTTTTTATATTTTTACATGTACTCTAGTCGCTCGTTTTGTATTCTTATTCTTGTCCGTGTGCTGGTCGCCGGGGCATTACTGCATACATGTATCATTTAGCTATTTGTTTATAGAGATGGAATTCTATGAAGTGAACAATTCATATTCAAGAAAATCGATTGACAAGTCATGAATAAGTAAAAAGAATGTAGAAGTGAAGTCCCAATCCCATACAAACACCAAACAACGCGCCAAGAATTCCTGTATCCACCACCCGCCAACAGCAACGCAATTCTACACCAACACCCAAACAAAAAGAATGGGCTGAATCCAATTCAGCCTCTAGACAAAAGGCAAAATGGAAAAGGGTCCCCAATTAACACCCGTCGGGGAAAAATCCCTACCTGCAAAATGCAAAGCCGGCGCCGTGTCCTACTGTCCAACAATGGACCTGATCGCGCTAGCGACCGAAGACGAAGAATTACGCGTCTTCCGCTTGAACGGACAGCGCGTATTCGGGGGTTCATTCGGTGGTGATCCGTATCTTGGCGAGGACGAAGAGGACGGCGAGATTCGAGGGATGGCGTGGAAGGGGAATGGTACGTGTGCAATTCAAGCATCCACTCCAACCCAATCCAACCATGCACCCAGGGCATGTAATGCTATGCATGTCTATTCTGGGATACTATTGTTGTTCAAAAGCTCAATGCTGATATCCCACTCCAGGCCGTCTTCTCGCTGTCGCTTGCGGGGACAACACTCTCCGCATTATTAGCTCTTATAGCGGCAAGACCGTTCACCACTATGACACCTACAAGTCCACCAGCGAGGATTCTAAGGACGTACCCTCACAGCAGCAGCCTGTCCCAAAGGCAACATGTCTAGGCTGGGGCATGAATTTCACGGATAGCAAAGCAGCACAGCGACATCTCTTCGAGTCAGCGGGCCAGATCAGCGTCGATGACCTCCTCTCGCCGGGAATCCATCCATCAAAAGCGGCAGCTGTGCTGAAGGCTGATTTACCGCGTGAACTTGCGCTTCTGGATGTTGAGGGCTCGTTGCCGAAATTGAGTACGCTTCCTGCTACGGGTGGTGAGGATGATGTTTTTAGTTCGAGGGCTTCGCTTGATGCTATTTTTCATTCTGGGAGGGATACTAATGACTCGGTGGATGTTCTTTCCGTTGGATTTGATGATGGGAGCGTGCATCTCCGGATCTTTGATTGTTTTGAGATTGGGTCGTTCCTTGTTGGGCGAATGCCTGGTGTTGCGGGTTCTTGCTCGGTTTTGAGACATGCTTCTCATCCGCTGAGTTCTACGCATGCGCTTTTGGCTTCGGCTATTGATGGTGGTGGTGATGAGAGGACTCTTGAGCTTGTTACGTTGGATCTGCGATTCATTACCAAGTCTGGGAGGTATTTGTCTCTGCTGGCTTCGAAGACTACCCAGCTTCAGAATTTGCTGCGGTATGTTGGGCAGGTGCAGCGGCAGATTGAGCTGGAGTGGAAGAATGCGCAGGAACTTCCTGCGCGGTTCCTACGCAGTGTTAATGAGGACTTGCAAGAGAAGTGTCAGTGTGATTTCATCACTGCTATCTATCATCTTGTTGTTACTGGTCATTGCTATGAGCCGATGAAGGAGTTCCTCGTTGATATTGTCGGGGAGAGGGTATGTGCTTTGGACAGCGTGGAAGTGCTGGGGCATTGACTAATGTGCGAATAGGGACACAAGCGATGGGACAAGGCTGTTGCAGGCGGTTACGAAAACATCCGCCGGTTGACGCACGAGTGTCTTCTTCCCGCCCTCGAACGCAGTCAGGTACTGCTCAGTCGACTGGTTGGGCTGTCCAAATTCCACAAGCTTAGTGATGTCCTCGGACTGGATACGCCCAAGCTAAACGCTATTGTGGAAACACTCGACTGCCTCCACCTCCTCGCTCACCAGGTCCTCATCCATGCCAATGACGAACTTGATCAGTTCGGTGCTTTCTCTAGGTGGTTCCGCCATGAAATCAATATCCTTAACAGCGAGCCTCTATCGCAGACCCTAGAAGAGTTGCAAGATAAAAGGGATCTATTCGACGTCCCTCCCACTGTCAAATACATCACCGGTGCATTGACAAAGAGTGCGCTGCGCAACTTCATCCGCCAGCTCCCCATGATGGGACCTCCTCCCCCTTCCTCTGATAAGTGGCTTCCTCTACCAGACGGGCATGACAGTTCATTCTACGATGGGTTCAAGTCTCTCCTCCAGCAACAGCGGGTGGCCCAGGAAAAGGGAGGTGACGGTACCTCGATCGACGCACCCAAACTCAACGATTTGACCAGGCGTTTGGGTGTACAATTCGAAAAAGTCTTTGGAGATATCGCCTTGACTCAACGAAGAGGCATTCTACACCGCTCGCCTCTCACTCTTCACTCTGACTGTGACCAGGGAGTTATTGATCTTACTGTCTGCTACGAGGACCTGGAGGAAGGCCATCCCTGTTCTATCTACGTTGCTACCAGGTCAACAATGTCAAAGTACCAAGGTTCGTTTGGGCACCTTTCCTCACTTGATTACATACTAATACTTCCAACTCCAGCCTACATTTACCGAGTTGTCCTCGACTCGATTGGCGGCGTCAGCTCCACAAGAAGCACATCAATTGCAACCATCAGCCTCGAAGAAGGAACAATCCGCCAACTCCAATTTGTTGCCGACCACACCCTAATGATCCTCTGGACAAACAGCAGTAAATTCCTCATCCCTCAAATTCACGAATCTAATCTAACAATTGAAATAGGGGGATCCCACCTGCTCAGCTTCCCCTTCCAACCCTTATCCGCACAACAAGCCCCACCACCTTTAAACCTCGACTACATAGAGTGTGAAACCACACCATCCTCCCCAAAACCCTCTACACCAGCTACAAAACTCGATCTGTCAGACTCATCTCCTCATGCGGAGGTACTGAAACATATCTTTGCTTCTACTGGACCAAAAGCAAAGCCTGTGCATGTTGATGTTAACGGGAGGAAGGGGAGACGTGCTGTCTGTGCTCTGTATGGGGATGCTATGCGATATGAAGTGTTGGATTTGGATGCTGCCATTGATGAGGATGAGGATGAGGAGGGAGAGGAAATGGGCAGTGAGGAGGAAGAAGAAGAAGAAGAAGAAGAAGAAGTTGATACTGAGAATTAGTATTATAATTGTGGAACTTGGTTGAATCATGAGTACCTTATTCAACTATGTCACCTTTTGTACTATGTACTTGCCCTTGTGGCCGGGATAGACCCCGGGCGGAAGGCCTGCTTTGATGGCAGGGACTACTGTGCCACTAGATACAAAATAGTTCTTTCTAGGAAAATATCTCTCTCATGACAAGCTTCGGTTTTATACTTTTACGTCGCAGCAGTATCATTATTAAGTCTCAAACTTATACCGGTGGACAGTCCGCTATATATATATATAGTGGGGTATGAAGTCATTGTGCGCTACAGTATTGCGCAGATTCACCATTGTAGCCCAGCCTTGATCACGACTTTGTTGCAGGGTATAGAAATATATTCAAGGGTCACTGTTATTATTTTAATTGTGACATATAAATTATCTCGGTGTGCTCTGTCACAATGTGGCTAGCGCTAGGCCCTTATCTAGTCTCACCCCATGCATATATAGTGCGTCGATCCATAGACACACACCAGTAGACAGGGTCGAAAAAATAGTAAATCGAAATTGATGTTATTAAAGCATAACCTGCAAGAAATACAGAGCTGTCCTTTATTATTATTCTAGAGGCTTCTGTTTGGATATTTTCACCCCACCGGTGGACTCGGTCGCTGGGGCCACAGATGTCTCTAAGGAGAAAAATCAAAACAAGCAAGCTGGAGGGGCTGCCCCTCCACGAACCATTCTACACACCAGGGAGTAAAGAATGCAATACAACTACCATTATAGGGAATAACCCGTATACTGTAAAATAGAAGAAAGAAATGTAGTATAAAAGCCTGAACCTCAATAGGATCACGTGACACATGACTAAACCCCGCACCCAATCAGGTAGAACTTCATCTCTCCTTCGAATCGCTTTTTCTGTCTCTTCACTTTCTTCACTATTTCCTTGTACTCCAGATTTCCTTGTTTGAACTCTGGGCGTGCACTCAAGGCACCTTTTCTCTCTGCTGTCGCGGAAAGACCTATAGTGCATGCCGCCTCATATCCACAAAAACATCCGTCCCTTCCTCCCACTCAACTTCCACATTTCTTCTCCCCCCCATCCAGGACTTGGGCTTGATTTCAACGTGCCCTATCTTTCTTTCCTGTTTTTCTCATTTTTTAATAACTTTTGCACACCATGGATGCTCGTCAGGTGTTGCAGAGCACCCTCGCGCCAGGTAAGACCCCCAGCTCCATCGCAGATTCGGCCTCGAGTCGCGCTGCGTGATGAAGATTTTTTTTGAGAGCTTCCCTTGCTAACCGTGATTCTCCCCGAAGATGCGGCCGAGCGTACCAATGCCGAACAACAACTCGCCCACGCGGCGGAGGTCGACTTCGTACGTTTTCCTATCCCCCAGTGGTCTCCGGTCTCCCTGCGATGCGAGGGATCCCTTCCCCGGATTAACCTGAATGCTAATATTTCCGGTTCCACAGGCCGTCTACCTGATCACCCTCGGTCAGGAGCTGGCCAACGAGAGTAGCCCAGCTCACATTCGTGTCGCTGCCGGTATTGCCCTGAAGAACGCCTTCACTTTCCGGGACCAGGCCAAGCTGCGCGAGGTGCAGCTCCGCTGGGTCCAGCAGATCAACCCCGAAACCAAGACACAGGTTAAGGAGCTCGCCCTCAAGACTCTTCACTCCCCCGACGCCCGCGCTGGAAATGCCGCCGCCACACTAATCGTTTCGATTGCCGCCATCGAGTTGCCCCGGAATGAGTGGACGGAGTTGATGAACATCCTTGTCCAGAACGTGGCGAGCGGAAACGACGCCCTTAAGCAGTCTTCTTTGACTGCCATCGGTTACATTTGCGAGTCCCAAGATCACGATCTCCGCGCGAGTCTCACAGCACACTCCAATGCCATCCTCACTGCCGTCGTTCAGGGTGCTCGGCGCGAGGAGCCCAACATGGATGTCCGTTACGCCGCTATTGCTGCCCTCAGTGATGCTGTTGACTTTGTGCGGACCAACATGGACAACGAGGGAGAGCGCAACTACATTATGCAGGTTGTGTGCGAGGCCACCCAGGCCGATGAGGTCCGTGTCCAGGCTGGTGCCTTTGGCTGCTTGAACCGTATTATGGGTTCCTACTACGAGAAGATGCGCTTCTACATGGAGAAAGCTCTGTTCGGCCTGAGCATCATGGGCATGAAGAGCGAGGAGGAGGAAGTCTCCAAGCTTGCTATTGAGTTCTGGTGCACTGTCTGCGAGGAGGAGATTGCCATTGAAGATGACAACGCTGAGGTATGTAACTGATGATGAGTGCAATTGATTGAATACTGACCTTTTTTAGGCCCAGCAAGAGGGTGTTGAGGCTCGTCCATTCTTCGGATTTGCTCGCGTGGCCACCCGCGAGGTTGTTCCCGTTCTGCTTCAGGCTATGTGCCGACAGGATGAGGACGCCGGTGATGACGAGTACAACGTGTCTCGTGCCGCTTACCAGGCTCTCCAGCTCTACGCCCAGTGTGTCCAGGGCGATGTCATTCAGCCCGTCGTGACCTTTGTCGAAGAGAACATCCGCAACGAGGACTGGCACCGTCGTGATGCCGCCGTCGCCGCTTTCGGTGCCATCATGGAGGGCCCCGAGCCCAGCGTCCTTGAGCCTCTGATCAAGCAGGCTCTGTCTGTCCTACTTGGTATGATGCAGGATGACTCCATCTCCGTCCGCGACTCCACTGCTTACGCCCTGGGTCGTGTATGCGACTGCTGCCCCGAGGTCCTGGACCCCGAGGTTCACCTCCAGCCCCTTATCTCTTGCCTTTTCAACGGGCTTGCCAACTCCCCCAAGATCGCCAGCTCTTGCTGCTGGGCTCTTATGAACGTCGCAGACCGCTTTGCCGGTGACGCTGGCTCGCAGACTAACCCTCTGTCGAAGCACTTTGAGGACAGTGTGAAGTCCCTACTCACAGTCACCGAGCGCCAGGACGCTGACAACCAGCTCCGTACTGCTGGATACGAGGTTCTCAACTCCTTTGTTCTCAATTCCGCCAACGACAGCCTGCCCATGGTTGCCACTCTTTCAGATGTCATTATCCAGCGTCTTGAGCACACTATCCCCATGCAGCAGCAGGTTGTCAGCACCGAGGACCGCATCCTTCTCGAGGAGATGCAGACTAGCTTGATCAGTGTTATTCTGGCCATCGTCCAGCGCTTCGAGGTTGAGATCAAGCCCCAGGCCGACCGCATCATGAGCATTCTGCTCCAGGTTCTCCAGACCCTTGGTCCCAAGTCAAGTGTCCCCGATGTTGTCTTCGCTACCGTTGGTGCTATTGCCAGCGCTCTTGAGGATGACTTCATCAAATACATGGACTCTTTCAGCCCCTTCCTGTACAACGCCCTCGGCAACCAGGAGGAGCCTGGACTCTGCGCCATGGCCATCGGCCTGGTCAGTGACATTGTCCGTGCTTTGAACGACAAGGTCCAGCCTTACTGCGACTCCTTCATGAACCTGCTCCTCAAAACCCTCCAGACTTCGACCAACCAGCTGAAACCTGCTATCCTTGAGACCTTCGGTGACATCGCCCAGGCTATCGGAACCAAGTTCGACACCTACCTGGCTGTCGTTGGTCAGGTTCTCCAGCAGGCCTCCAGCGTCACCACTAGCTCTGACCTCCCCTACGACATGGTGGAGTACATTGTCTCCCTCCGTGAGGGTATCATGGATGCTTGGGGTGGTATTCTCCTGTCCTACAAGGGCACCCCCTCCATCACTCAGCTGCAGCCCTTCATTGAGTCCATTTTCCAGCTGCTTCACATCATCTCCACCGAGAGCAACCGTAGTGAGGGTCTGATGCGCTCTGCCATGGGTGTTATTGGTGATCTTGCTGATGCTTTCCCCAACGGTGAGCTTGCTGCCTACTTCCGCAACGAGTGGGTTACCGACCTTGTTCGCGAGACTCGCACGACCAGAGCTTACAGTGAGCGGACTATCGAGACCGCCCGCTGGACTCGCGAGCAGGTCAAGCGCCAGGTTAACATGAGCACTGGCATGGCCTAAGTCTCCAATGCATCTCAGCACCCTGATCGAGGCGTTCAGCACAGCTTCACTTCTTGGCAGACCGCAACTCAACTCGGAGGTGTTGAAATGTGACAGGCCTTTAACGCGCTATTTTGGCATCTTGAGGCCCGCCTCTCGGTGTCGATGTATGCAGACAAGCCGCCTGCACGCTCGACGCCGGCACACGTGAGCCGTTCGCTATCTCACCCCCCAGAAATCCCCCTCCCCCTTCCCAGCACAGGATATGTATTTATCCACCCCCCTGGTCCTGAACTTTGTTTCCCCTGACCCTTTGCTGGTGCTACTCCCCTTACGACATACGCGCGAATGAAAGCCAGTTACCCCTTCCCCCATTTGCCCGTCCAAATTTCTTCTTTTCTTGATACAACCCTTTTCACCTACCCGTCATTTTTCTACTTTGTTTTTAATTAGACAAGACCCCACCCCCATCGCATTTTATAGCATTGCGAATCATGTAGCCCAAGATTCATGTACTCCCCTCACCAATTCCCAATTCCTGTCCTCGCAATCACAATCATGTATCCCCTCCCCATCATGTCACCCAGAAAAGAGTCATCGTCATGAAAAAGCTGTCCCTGAGTACCTCTTCCTTCTTCGTATTCTCCCTTCGTCCACCATGGCTCATTGAAAATTATGTATAGAAGAATAGTCTGTGGATTCATTCGCGGATACTTAAGTTAATGTACTAATCAGTTAGTAGGGTCAATGTAGTTGTTTGTATGATTTCCGCTGTTGTATGTCTTGATAGTGTCTCAACAAATTGAACTGAGTTCTAGCCAGTATTCAGCCATTATTGAGCGAGTACTGGATGGCAGTATGTTGACATAATTAGACATAGATGAAGATGTAGCCCAAAGAGGAATTGTGCGTCCTGAGGCAGAATACCAGAATTATCACCACGTGATTCATCCACGATAAGGGTTGTCACGCGACTAACCCTACGGGCGCACGACCCGAAAACCAAAGTTCGACGATTTCCTCACTCTCCTCATCACCCAACGGACAGTCTTTCGAGGTATGTACCACTCCCCCCCCCCAACAGCCTCTCAGCTAGTCTGGGAGTTGCAATCATCTCTTCTGGATCTACTTTGAGAATTACAGATGGTTCCAGAGTCAGAAAAGACAGAAAAAGATGATACGCAATTCCCAAATCGGCACGGGCTGAAGAACTCCTTGCAATGCAGAAAGGGGCACTCTTTGCGCTCGAGGACTACTGGTGGCTGACTTAGTTTTGCAACGTGAAAAACTCGCCTGTCGGGTGGGTCTTTCTGTTGCAGTTTTTCATCGAACAGATACCTCATAATCTTTCTTTAATTTTTTCGATTTGAGAATCTCGATTCCAACACCGCCAAAATGGTCAAGACTTCCGTCCTCAACGATGCGCTCAACGCCATGAACAACGCCGAGAAGGCTGGCAAGCGCCAGGTCCTCATCCGTCCTTCCTCCAAGGTCATCGTCAAGTTCCTTGCTGTCATGCAGAAGCACGGTACGTTACATTGGTTTCGTCTTTTGTCCTCTTTTGTCCTCTTCTTTTCTTCTTCTCTTTCCTGTCTTGTTTCTTTTTGTGCCACTTTGACTTTCTGTCATCCGGCTTGATAACTAGGCGGCCGGTCTCAACAACCTACGACGTCTGCCTTTTAAGTAGCCGGTATATTGATCTGTGAAGATCTTACACGTTTTCAAAGCGCTGTTATGGCTTTTTCAGTATTTGACGACTTTTAAATCTTCGCAACATACTGACATCTTTCTTTTCAGGCTACATCGGCGAGTTCGAGGAGGTCGATGACCACCGCTCCGGCAAGATTGTCATCCAGCTCAACGGCCGGTACGTACCTCATACTATCCCATCACCTTTCAGCATGATTGCTAACTCCATTTCAGCCTCAACAAGTGTGGTGTCATCAACCCCCGCTACCCCGTCCAGCTCCGTGACCTCGAGAAGTGGGCTACCCAGCTCCTTCCCTCCCGTCAGTTCGGTTACGTTGTCCTGACCACCTCCGCCGGTATCATGGACCACGAGGAGGCTCGCCGCAAGCACGTTGCTGGCAAGCTTCTCGGCTTCTTCTACTAGATGGAGTCAAAAAAAGAATTGAAAAAGTTCTTGCTTTGACTGGTTTTGCATGGCGTGGTTTTACTGGAATCTTGGGAATGTAATCTAGTAGCTGTGGATATTATACCCCCATTCAGCTCTTTGTTAGTTTGCAGAGTACATGGTGCGCTCGTATTTCCAATGCTATGTGATTCCGGTCTGCCTTTTTTTCCCTGGACATTGTGAAGAGAGAGTAGATATCCGGGCCGAGGTTAGAGTTCACCGCCTTGGTCAGTCGTTGTATTCTGCCCTTCCCCCGCGAGATTGTTGTCAATAGTTCGACGTTAAGGAACTCAGCCAAGATGCCTTTGGATACGATTTATCTGACCCGTCATGGTGTATGTGCTGCCCATTCATCGATATGTAGTTTTGACATTAACCCCTGCAGCACCGCCTCAACTGGACCATTGACTTTCGCACCGGCACCTATAAGGCCCAGTTCCCTACGCCGACAGGGAACCCAGCAGACCCCGCGCTGACCTCACATGGCGTTCGGCAGTCACACGAGCTGGCAGAGCATGTTGCTGCTCCTCAATTCCATCCTAAGCCATTCCGCGTCTATTCAAGTCCATTCTACCGCTGTCTGCAGACTATCCAGCCCTCCGTGGAGGAATTGAAGCGGATATCTACGCAGTCTGGAAATAGCCAACTTGCAGACCTGAATGTTAGGATTGAAAATGGATTAGGGTGAGTATATTCCACCACCTCTCCTATACTCTTCCCCTCCATTTATCCAGTTAAGATAAAGTATAATAACAAAACCCAGAGAATGGTTCGGCGCAACAAACTTCTTCGACCACCCTCCGCATCCAACCTCCAAAGAAATGAGCACCCACTTCCCAACCCTGATCCCAGAATCAAATGTGGGAAACTACAAACCACTCCTAATTCCCTCCAGACGCGGCGAGACAATCAGCCAACTCCATAACCGCGTCGCAACAGCCCTCCAAGGAATTATCACCGACATAGATACTGAAATTGTGGCCCTAGAAGCGACGTTACCCCCAGACCAGCGAACCAGCCAATCAGTCTTGATCTGCGCGCATGCTGCACCACTTATTGCCATGGGTCGTGCGTTGACGGGACGTATGCCTGATGATAGTTCTGAGGAGGATTTCAATGTTTTCACTGCTGGACTGAGTACGTTTAAGAGGCGAGGGAATATGACGCCTGCTGTTGAGGGTAGTTCTTATGGACCAGAGGGGGAGAGTGCTCTTGCTGAGGGTACGAGGTTCGTTCGTGCTTCTGGGGATATCCCGGATTGGAAGAATGGGAATGGTGTTGCCGGGGGTTGGGATTGTGTCTCGAATGGGGATTGTAGCTTTTTGAGTACGGGTGCCGAACGTGGATGGTAAGTTTCTTCTTCTTCCTTTTGACTGCTTTCTCATGACGCTGATCCTGATGATCTATACAGGCATTTCAATGGCGAGGAGTCTTTCGATACTGGTCCTATGGCCCCGGCTTCTGAGCCGGCGCCGAGTAAGACTGATACAAAGTTATGAGCACTGCAGCGTTGACCACTGTGCATTAGATTAGCATTCTTGTTGTGATTCTATCGTATCCCACCTTCCATAGTCATGAACCTATACTAGAAGCTATATCCATCATTTCAAGCATACCACCTGACTACATGATATGAATATGAAAATGAACAAACGACAAACATAAGCACAATGTAACCTCTCAGCCAATCCTCCCACCAGTAAGTACCCCCAACCAACTCTTCTTCTGATCCTCATACCTAGCAAGCTCATACAAAACCCCCCAAACCTCCCGATTCGGCTGATTTTCAACCGGGAACCCAAACTCCAGAATCTCACTCTCATCCCAACTCCCAGGCTGCTCAATATAATCCCCCCGTGAACTCCCTTGCAATTCGCACATCCGCTTAGCACCCGCATCTCGCAAGATCCGTATAACATCCGGGAAACCCTTATATGCCTCCGCTGCGCGTGATGGCGGGCCTTGATGGTCGTCGTAGACAAGGTTTGCTTCGAGGGCTTTTGTGCGTGCGTTTCCGGCTTTGTAGGTGGCTAGCTTGCGGATGTGTGCGCGGCGACTTAGTTCGGCGTGGTGGAGGGCTTGGTCTAGGGGTGTCCAGGCTTGGGGTTTTGTTTTTGAGGAGGGTGAGTTTGAGGTTGAGATGGGGTTAGTTGGGTTATTGATTGATTTCGTTAGACCGAGGATTAGAAGGAGGGATATTGTTTTGGGTTTGCCGCGGGTTGCGGCTGCGAAGAGGGTTTCGTTGCTGTTTGCATGGGGGAGATAGTGTGTTTTGTAGGCTTGTTCGATGTTTGGGTTGAGGTGGCTGAGGAAGTTGTTGATTAGGTCGTGGCTTTCTTGGTCGGTTAGGACGATGTTCTCGGCGATGGAGTAAAGTATGTCTCTCCCTTGGTCTTTGAGGATCAGGGGATCGGCGCCTTTTTCCAAGAGGAAGCGACCTCGTCGTGCGGGACTGAGCTTTGTTTCGAGGGCTATTGATAGTGGGGTTTCGCCTCGGCGTGTTTTTCCATTTATATTTGCTGGAGGGGAGTGGTTCAGGAGGATATTGCATGCGTTCTCGAACTCGTCTTCTGGGTGATAAATTGTTGTCAATAGATGGAGAGGAGTTTCCTCTTCGAAGCGGTTGATAATGTCGATGGTTGGCATGGCGTCGACTATTTTCTGTAAAGTCGGAATGTACGAGTTGGGATAGTCCAGACGTGGTCCGATGATGGAAACCCATGAATGCAGGACTGTATCTCCAGCTGACAAGAGTGATTCACTCAGCTCAGCTCCTGCTTCCAACAACGCACATATCATGCCACTATCCCAGACTCCTAGATCGGCGGCTGCTGCGATAGGGGTCAGATATGGATATCCCTTGTCTTTGGAGTTGATGTCTGCTCCAGCATTGACCAAGTCTTTGACCAAATCTGTCATTTGTGCCAGATGGTTCTCCCAAGTTCCGTGGCGAATCCAATAATGCCAGTGATGAGGCAGGTAGCCATGTCGATCGGGGAAGTATTTGGTGATGCTATGCAATGTATTTCGTTTCATCGAGTTGACCAGAGTACCATCCGCACCGTGAGAGATCAGGTATTTGGCTAGAGTAGGCTCTCCAAAGTATGCTGCTAATGCAAGCGGAGTTGTTGATGCATCCAAGCCATGGTAAACTACGTTGATGTTGGCACCGAGTGAGATCAGAGCATCCATAGCTGTAATATTGCGGAAAAAGCACGCCCAGTGGAACGGTGTACCGTGAGGAAGTTCAAACGGACTGATGTGTTAGCAGATTGTTCAGACAGAGAGGCAAAACATACTAATGAAGGATCTGGATCTTCTCTGGGAATCCACCGCTGTTCTCCTTAATCACAGGCTCCATGACGGAGTTCACATCTGCTCCTTTTTCAACCATCCGCTTTGAAATTTCGTTGATTGAAGCATCTGGGACCATAAACAGCCAATGCAGAGGAGTGAGCTTCTGTTGAGTCTTGCAGGACGCATTTGCACCACGGTCAAGCAGTATCTGAATCACTTTGGCATGGCCTGCCTGGAATGCCTTGTACAATGGCGTCTCTCCATTCTTATTCTCCACATCCACTCCCATTTGTGCATTCAGTAAGCTCTGCACGGAGCCAATAGACCCAAAAGCAGCAGCTGCATGCAAGATTGTGTTGTCCTTGCGATCAACAACATCACCTCTCTTCCCTCTCCACTCCAACACCTTGTTCTGGATGACTGCAGCCTTAACATCTTTATTCCCCAAAAATGCATCCGAACAGAATCCTCCGTTGGCTCTGAACTGGTCTTTTGCCTCTTCAACTCTCTTGTCAAGCTGACCAGATTTGGCAAAGAAATAACCCTCAGAAACAGCCTGCAGCATCCACTCATCCAAGATTTCCTGTGTAAATTCTGACCTTTGACCATGTGCTTCCATAATTTGGGCATAAACAGCCCGAGCAGGTGAAAATCCTGTCTTTGCTGCATCGCCCAGATAGTTCAGCATACGATCAAGATAAGAAGGCTTCTGTCCAGTGATTGTCTGCGCCATTCCAAAGAGAACGTCTCCCGCAAATGGAGGAGCATTGCCTTCCTTGCTAAGCGCATGTTGCTCTTCGAGCTCCGTGCGGATACTCTCGTCAAGTCTGTACCAAAACAGCGGGCCTTTGTTGTAGACTGGGTCAATGATACCAACATGACTGACCGTGGAGCTTGTTTGGATTGAGGAAAGCCTGGAACTATAGGTTAGCTGAGGTACCGAATGAAGGACGAGTGAACATACCAAGATGCGTATGTTAGCGTATCTGTCTTCAAAAGAGTTGAACTTGGAAGTGGCCGGTTTCGAGGATCCTCGGTTAGTAGAGTCAGTACTGCCTTGCGCAGCTGCATGTTAATAAGCGAGGGTATATCTTTCAGGCCGTTGAGTAATTGAGAAGTGCGATCAGAGATCTTCCTAAAATCACTGCTCAATGCCGGGGCATCGCCGTTGCTTGTAAAAATCGACAGCAGTACCACTCCGAAGCTATAAGCATCAAACTTGAACATGAACTCCGACGAGAACCCTCCAAATCTCGAAACATCACCATTCAGCACCTCAGGCGCCAACCAAGCCGGTGTTCCTCGATAATCATCCAATGTAAATTTCCCTTCAGGTGCCTCGAGATCAACACAAACTCCAAAATCACTCAGCTTAGCTTGGAAAGGCATATTATCGTTTGGGCCGACAAAGACAAGCACATTATCCGGCTTGACATCTCCATGCACGATATTGAGATTGTGCAACGCTTCCAGTCCATTTGCTACACCCAGTGCAAGCTGATACTTGACTCCAACACTCCTTTCCTCAGCAGAGAGAAAATCACCCAAAGGCATGAGCGCTGCTTCCATGAATAACACAGGAACAGCGAGATCCGCAAAGGGGAAATCAAACCCCCATGCTAGAAGACTGGTGATATTAGGATGTGCGCGCAGAACCGGGTTGCAGAGCGATAGGAGCTCAAGCTCCAATGTCTTTAACTGGAGGCGATAATCGTTGCTTGCAGCGAACCGTTGTTCAGCTCGACTTGATAGCGGAACATTAACGCGTTTGATAACCTCTCCTTCAAAAATGGGGTCTTTGAAAACGGTGAATTGTGCGCCGGAGCCGATCTTAGTCGCTCGAACCGAGAGGTTGACTGCTTTCAAGAGACGGGGGCCGTGGATACCCGTTTGAGAGAGGATGGTGGTGAACTGGGAGAGGGTGCTGAGGACTGAAGCTGAGCCGTTGCGCGTTGCCGTTATGGCGGATTCTAAAGGGTCGATCCATGATGCATCGGAAGAAAAGTTTAGGCTTTCAAGGTCGAGCTCTTCGAGGTCGGTGGAGTTGGACCAGGGCTGCAGGGATGGTGAGAGGTCATCTCCATCTATGGCGTAGTAGTTGTCATCTTCGAGAGAGTTGAGAATATCGTCGTATTCTGCCATTTTTCTTCACTATACAAGTTGATGAAACAGAGGAGGAAGAGAAACCATGAAACAAAAGCCAACGGCTGACAATAAGCAGTGGGTGCAGCGTGCCGTAGTTCAGCCTCTAAAATTAGCCCTAACCTATCCCACTCTTAGTGCTGACTGCTGATCCCCGCCACGTCCGACTCCTGACACTTCTCCTCTTTTATTATATTTATTTTGACAGCAAGATGGACTTTTATGGTACGGCAGTGACTGCTATCACTCAGGTATACCAGGTCACGGTATTCATCCAGGGTGTCATCTCCGACGTCAAGGCATTCGATGATGACCGGGCCGAGATCCGCCTCAAGCTGAATGTCCAGCTATCGACCCTTATATTTTTCAAACGCACATTCTTCCATCTGGAACATGGGCTGATGATTCCAGGCAAAGTAGACCCTTTCATCGCTGAAACAGTGGAAGGGCTACTAGTGCAGATGAGAAAGACGCTGGCCGAGTATGAGATTATGGCATCTAAGTACGGTCTTGTGGACGAGGAGTACACCATTGAGCCCGAGAAGCCCAAAGAGCAAGAGTCGCTGCTTGAACGGGCAAAGAGCAAAGCTAAATCACTCAAGCTTAAAGGGTATGATTGGTCGCTCTTTGACAAGAAGAAGCTGAATCACATTCTGGAAGCGTATACCAAGTGGTCTGAGGATCTGCGCAATCTAATGCAGCACATGTCGCAAGAAACATTAGCCAAGCTAGCCGAAGGCGACCAGCAAGGATTGAAAAGCAGTGGCTTGGAACCGGTGATGAAGAGGCGTCTGCTGGCTGAATCCAAAGCGCCAGCGGACTATCAAAGTTTAACGGGAACTGTGACTGAGGAAGGAAATTCAACAGGCGGGTTCAAACTAGGAAAATGGTCTGTCTCAAAGTCGGAGGAAACACAAGTGATTGTCGAGTACCACGAATACGAAAGTCTTCTCAGACAAGAAGATGAACCAGAAGAGATCAAAGCGCTGAAAGAGCCTATCCGGAACCTGGCCTGGTTGCTCCAAAACACCACATTCTCCAGCACATCGTCCGATTTCCTTGATCAGCCCAAGATCTATGCGCTGGAATGCCTCGGATTTATCGATCAACCCACGGAAGAGCGCAGCGTTTTTTTATACAAGCTCCCATCCGAGCCAACAGGACCAGCATCACTGACGACTCTCCACGCCTTCATAAATGCAATTGACAGCACAAACAAACGCCCAGTGAAGAAGCCCTCATTAAATGACCGCTTCAGCATGGCGCACAGTCTCGCCCTGACAATCTCAAATGTTCACGCCTCAGCCTGGGTACACAAGAATATCTGGAGCAGGGGAATCCTCCTCTTCCTAGAGACCTCAACGGGAGCTAGCACCTCAGGACTCTACGAGCATCGCCTTTCCGCACCAACAATCGGACAGAAAATAGTCTCATACCTCAGCGACTGGGGCTACGCACGCTCCGTTCAACAAGGAACAGACATGCGTTCCGACTTCGAAGTCGAGCCTAATTTCTACCGCCATCCAACCCGACAGGGCCGTCCCACGCAGCAGTTTAGTCGGCTGCATGATATCTATGCTCTTGGCGTGGTGCTCCTGGAGATTGGATTATGGATTACGGTGTCGCGGCTGATGGGGCCTAAAATTAAAGAGGCAGAGGCCAGTGGGAAATTGCCTAGACCAAAGAAGATTTCTGAGGAGTTGATGATGTTCGCGTTACAGGGATTGCCGAAGGAGATGGGGGCTGGATATACGCGGGCTGTCATTGCTTGTTTGAAGGGTGATTTTAGGGGGACTGAAGGGCCGGCTTTGGCGGTTGACTTCCAGGAGAAGGTGGTTGATGTTTTGGCAAAGGGTGTTGAGTTGTGAATGGGCTTTAGGTCGAGGCTGGTATATATCTCTAATTGTATACAGCCGTAGGTCATCTTATTTCTCCAGTGCAATATAGTGGTCGTGGTAAATGTTGGCTTTATAGTCTAATATTTCCCGATAACGTATAATAGTTGTCAGGGGAGAACAAGACAAGAACTGCCCCAATGATAGGTCGCGGGTGCATAAGCGCCGTGTTGCATTCCTGCCCCTGTTCAACAGCTGCACCGCACTTCCTTCTTTGAACCTTTGACATTCAGAAGCTCCCCTTGAACTCAGCCATCCAATTCACAACAGCCGATACTTCTCACAAGATTAACAGAGATTCTCTCATTTCCAAAGGATGTCAACCCCCACCCTGGAACGAGCAGCAGCAATCAAAAAACAACAGACCGACCTCCTGTCCAGCATCCCACTAAGAACACTACACATAGGCCTCTGGATCCGATCCGACCCCCCACGTCTGAATGATTTTCACTGGGGCTTTTACCTACACACAAGCGCAACAAGCGGGATGAAATACCACGTATCAAGTCTGACTGGAGGCTGGATACCCGAACATGGGCCCAACTCAGTTCTCAAGTCTAATTTCTTCTGTGTGCTTATTCAAATCGCCTCCGTTGTCGAGACGAACCTTGCTCTGCTCGATAACGTGATGAGGACGCATGACAAGGATATGAATGGTATACTGGGTGTTACATGCCGTGTGTGGTTGGTGATGATCTTGGAGAAACTTGTTCAGGGTGGGATGGTTCGATGTGAGAATTTGCAGGCGTTGGAGGAGGAGTGCATGGCGTTTGGCAATGAGTATAGTGCGAGTGCTGCTGTTAATGAGCAGCCGCGGCCTGTTGTTAAATCTAGACTTTGTCTTTAAATTGATTACGAGGTATTAATCTGGGGTCAAGTCTACTGTTTCGGGGATTCCAACCGCAGCAACCTGAAACGCATACTGATACTTACTGATACTTACCTGCGTCCGTCATGCTTGTAACGCCAGTTCGAAGAGATTGAGTGGCAGTTGAATCGAGTGGCAGCCCAACTAAGCGTCTTCGCATCTAATGTCTCGAAATCTACCTTGATTGGGATTCACTCAATTCACTTATACAACCATACAAAGTAAGCTTTATCTGACACTAATGCAAGGTCATCCACTCACACTTCTAGGATTAATGTAACTTCGGATCTTATAGAAAAAGAAAGAATGGGAAATGAGAATATGTTGGTATCTAAGTTAACAAAAGAAAAAACAATTGAAATATGATAAGGTCCCCCCATACCTAGGGACCAATACTGAGATGCTATCGCTAATACACATACAAAAAAAAAGATGATATAGCCAGCTCTACAAATCTAAGCCTGGGCGGGTGCTTGCTCAGGCTGCGAGGCAGAAGCCTCTTCTTCAGCAGCGGGGACCGAAGAGGCCTCAGCCTCAGTAGTTTGAGCTTCTTGCTCCTGCTGAGCCTGCATCTGCTGCTGGCGCATACGCTCGGCCTCAGCCTCGGCCGCATTGCGTGCCTCGACCTGCCGCTCGCCGAGGCCAGGCACAATACTGGCCACCAGAAGTAGAATAGACCGCTCCAGGCGGCGCAATTGCTCACGTAGGCTGAATTCCTCAGCACGGGCGTTATTGGCAGCTGAGGCAGGGTCTGCAGGCCCACCAGCACGGGCCAAGTCCTCTAGGTGACGCATGGCAGGGGTCAGAACTGCTCGTAGGATTTGCCCAGGGACCTCCGTTCCTGACAGGAAGGTGGCCAACACAGAAATGGCGACCATGATGTAGCGCCTCCAGCTACCAGGATCACTGGTCAAGTAGCAGACGATCCACAGACGTGCGAATAGCCAGATGCGGCTCATGTGGTGGGCCAAGCCCGCTTGTTCGATATTGACACCGTGTCTCTGTTGATTCGGAATTGCCTGGCGAACCACATTCTCAGCCATTGCTTGGTTTTGGGGAGGTTGTGGAGGCAAAGGTTCATCGGATGCTGCAGCAGTCGCCGCATAAGTATTTTGGTACACCTGAGCATTCGGGGCCAAGAAATATTGGGAATTTCTACGTTCCCTGGTAAGAAGGTAAATAGTGTTCTCCCCAAAGTTGTAATTGCTGTGTGCTGGTCTCTCATGAGATTGTAGGCTTTCAAGTTGACATGCACGAGTGTAAGTATTCATGATGCGCGCGATCAATTCGCCAACTTCTGGTAGCGGACGTCGTCTGCCGAACTGGATATCTTGGATTCCGAGAAGTTCCGTCCGAATGTTGATGATATGCTGGATCATAGAGGGTGTAAAATTGACCTCGAGCTGCCGTTCCACATCTTCAATCTGCACCCGAAAATTGGCTAGGCGCAGACGGGTATCATCGTCGGCACCCGTATTGGAGTTTTCGGCTTGGCCAAATGGGTTTCTTCCATTTAAGAAACTGTTGTTAAACGGATTCCCCAGACCAGGGTTGGCTTGCCCGAAAGGGTTTGGATTGGCCGGGGGATTTGAAGTAAAGCCAGCGGCGTTGGTGCCAAACATGCCGGACCCAGCTGGAGGGGTTTGGCCAAATGCGCGGGTATTGGCCGCAGAATCGCCAAATAGCCCATGATGACCGGGGCCGAATGGTCGTGCTAGAGGTGGTCGTGTGGTGCTGGAGACACCCGCAGCTGCCACTGGAGTTGGCTCAGGCGGAGGGAGCACCAGGTGAATTGCATAGGACGTGTTCTGCAAGTTGGGCGTGTCAACGAGGGGACAAGGCAAGCATTGTATGATCAGCAGACTTACATTGGCAAATGGCAGAAGTGCTCGGAGAGTAACACTATCGTCAAGGAGTCCTCTACCTTGGTAGATGAGACGTTGAGCCGAGGGAGGAGGGTTGCCGGGGAAGGTCTCTGCAATGCGAGCCCGAAGCTGACCGATGGTCGTGGACAGAGGCAGATCCCTGATGGGGAATCGCCCAGGAGGAGGCAGAGTCTGACAGAGGATGTTGAGGTTTGCGGTGTCCTCGACAGATGGAGAAGGTACGGCCGCCATTGTGGGCGGTGGGCAGTGAGCTCAAAATTGAACTTTGTAGAGCTGTAACTGAAACGATGTGAGCGGAAGGCAAGTGCAGCAAAAGAAGCTTGGAAGCTGTCTGTTGGAGCTGGTGTGGGGAATGATATGCGTTATCGGAGCAGTTGCATGAAGTTGCGATTGCGCCGGTGAGTGGAAGGAGGGGTGGAGGGAATCCTACAAGAGGACAGTCTTCGATTGTTGACTTCGAATCAAGCTCTTGATGCACAGAGAATTTGAGAATACCAAATCTCCAGGTGCAAGAAGTAGAGCGAGGAGCTGATCGTGATATCTGGCATCAAAGTATCGATAAGCGATAAGCTCCGGGGAAGAATGTTGGGGATATGGGAGAAGAAATTGAGAGAAGCGAAGGAGAGAAAGAGGAAAGAGAGCACAAGACGCAAGAAATACCACAACGCCAATTGAGCAGAACGAGCAAAAGAAGATGAAATCGCCAAACATCACATCCCACGTGCCATATGCTATTCTGCCCGGGCGGTGTATCGGCGACGCTTCTTCCCCCGGGAAAAAACGCTCAGAGCTCAGTTGATCTTCGCCGTTATTAAACATGGCCAAGCGCCTCTTTTCTACTTTACCGTCTTCTGGCATAGGGGCCATGGAGATATTCTCGTTCCGGGCTACAGCCCGCCACAAAGCCAGTCTTCGGCACTTTTCATCCAAATCATGGAGATATCAAAAGGATAATAACCCCGACAACAACAGAGGCGGATTCGGCTCCCGACTACGATTCGCTCTACGAAACACCAAGGTCGAATGGTATCCAATCCCGGTTGGACTGGGTATTGGACTGCTCGGATTGCTGCACTTCTACAAGTCCCAGCGCGCGGAACGCGATCGCCTGGCCCGTGATGCCGCTGGAGATGAATGGGATGAAAGCAAAAAACCACCCCGTCGGCCAAGGATCGTGCCGTCTGGCCCATGGCATGTCCAGATAATGTCTACACTGCCCCTGAAGGCCATGTCTCGGCTCTGGGGTCAGTTCAACGAAATCGAACTCCCCTATTACTTCCGCGTTCCTGGATTCAAACTATACTCCTGGGCCTTTGGTGTCAACCTTGAAGAGGTTGCTGAACCCGATCTGCACACTTACCCTAACTTGGCTGCTTTCTTCTACCGCAAATTGAAGCCTGGCGTTCGGCCTCTAGACCCTGACCCACACGCACTTCTCGCGCCGTCCGATGGTCGCATCTTGCAATTTGGAATGATTGAGCGGGGTGAAGTCGAACAAGTGAAAGGAATGACCTATAGCTTGGATGCTCTCCTGGGTTCAGCAACACCTGCGCACGACGACCACACCAAGCGACTCGTTGACAAGGACACCGAGGAAATACAAAAGGGTTCAGAGAATATGGCTGCACATGAGGAGTTTGCTCGCATGAACGGCATTTCCTACACTCTTCCAAGCCTGTTGTCCGGTGAAACAGAAGCCCCCAAGCGACGTGCCTCCCTGGATGCCTCTACTGCATCCAAGGCCACATCGGAAATTCAAGTGCAAGAGGAACTGGCTCGCGGTGACGGAACTCCTTGGTATGCGCCGCGCACCGCAGCCAACCACGCCTTGTTCTATGTTGTGATCTACCTGGCCCCGGGTGACTACCACCGCTTCCACTCCCCAGCTCCCTGGGTTGTCGAAAGCCGTCGCCACTTCGCTGGCGAGTTGTACTCCGTTTCGCCCTACCTGCAGAAGCACCTTCCCGGTCTTTTCACCCTCAATGAGCGTGTTGCTCTCCTTGGCCGGTGGCGATGGGGATTCTTCAGTTACACACCGGTCGGAGCCACCAATGTGGGCTCGATCAAAATCAACTTTGATTCAGAGCTGCGCACTAACAGCCTGTTGACCGACACTGCAGCGGACTTGGCAGCAGCCTTGGCATCCAAGCGTGGCGAGCAATATCCCGGTTTTGTTGAAGCAACCTACCGTCATGCCAGCAGGACTCTTGGCGGACATCCGCTGCAGCGCGGCGAGGAAATGGGCGGATTCCAGCTGGGCAGCTCGATTGTTCTTGTGTTTGAGGCCCCCCTTGGTACTCGCAAGTCAGTGGATGCCGGCTGGCCGGATGATGCTCAGGCTGATGGGTGGAAGTGGAATATCGAAAAGGGGCAGCGCATCAAGATGGGCGAGAAGTTGGGACATGTTGAGTGAATGTTGCATACTATCTAGACCATTGTATTATACCCTTGCTGGACAGCAGGTTAAAACTAGTAATTCTATCCAAGTACTCTATACCTCTATACAACTTGACTTGAAAACTTGTATACTTCGATTGGTTGACCCGTTATCAAAGCACAGACCATACACGCCTTGGCGTTTTGCCGCCCGCGTCACTCTTTGATTGAGGAAATCCTTGTTTTTTGTGTATAGTAATAGAGTAACTTATATTTAGATGTTATTTCAGATGCTGTAGCACAAATGCTAGGATTTAGATCCTGGCTTGTACTGCATTGCGTGTGTGCCATTAGGTTTGAACAACAATGCCAGATCTAAGCCACTGTGAGCTCTTCTATCCAAGGAACTATCAACGTGGGCGAGATTGCCAAGATCACTGCCAGGAATGTCGTCAAGCTTCCTTCTTTTTTCTTTCTACAACCCCCCGTCCTCTCCCTCAAGGACTATTGTGACACCTTTAACTCATGGCCATCTTTAACTCACCGCGGTCATTCCAGAATGTCAATGCCATCCAGGCCCCGATAGGCATCAACGGCTTCTTCTCGGAAGGAGCCCATTCCAGCCACCCCTCGTTCTTTCACCTAGTGCTCCTCGTCTTTGAAGCTGTACTGGAGGTGGTCTGTGTCAGTCTGCCTGGTTACATCGCCGCTCGTCATGGCATGTTTGATGCCGATGCCCAGAAGCTTGTGGCAAATCTCAACGTGACTCTGTTCACTCCTTGTCTCAGTATGGAACCCGTTCCTGATGCTCTTCCCGAATAGGAGATGAGTCTTGTGATCGGTAAAGCTGACAGTTATAGTTTTCACAAAACTGGGATCACAATTGACCGCTGAGAAGCTGACCGACCTGGCTATCATCCCTGTCATCTTCGTTGTCCAGACCTTCGTGTCATACTTCTGCTCCTGGGTCGTCACAAAATGCTGTGGCTTCAAAAAGCGCCAGTCCAATTTTGTGGCTGCTATGGCGGTACGTTCCTTTCAACGTCATAAGAGACGCGTTACTGATAAGCTCTCCCCACAGGTCTTTGGCAACTCGAACTCCCTCCCTATCTCCCTCGTGGTATCGCTCTCGGCAACACTGAAAGGGCTTCACTGGGACCAGATCCCCAATGATAACGATGACGAAGTCGCCGCGCGTGGAATTCTCTATCTCCTTATCTTTCAACAACTGGGCCAACTCGTGCGCTGGAGCTGGGGATACCATATTCTCCTCGCCCCCAAGGACCGATACTTCGAGGAAGCAGAGCGAGAGGAGACAGACAACTCAGTCATCGAACAGGGTCAGGCTCGCTACACCGACAACCCTGCCCAAACAGACCCAGACGAGCCGCTCGTACGGACGCGCAGCTCAGACGATCTACACGATGAGCAACACGCGCACACCTCGCGCGACTTCCAATCCGGAGACCAGACACCCGTGTCAACACGTGCATACTCCTTCACCAAGCTCTCTCCGGCCCACTCCGACGGCCCAGACTCAGATGATACCCCATCCGTAATCGGACCACCACCAACCGGCCCCTTCCTCCCGCGCCAAAGCTCCCGGGGCGACATCCTCCAGTTCCCGGACGTAGAAATTACAGCCCGGGAAGCCCAAGAAGCAGAGCAAACCCGTGTCCAGCGCTGGAAGTCATCTCTGCGCAAATTCCGAGAGCGCCATGGGCGTTGGTGGGAAAAGAAGACGAACGCGCTCCAAGCACGTCTCCCACCCAAGCTCCAGAAGGGTATCTCCTCAACTAGCCGTGGCACACGCCGTTTCGTCAATGGCTTATGGGACTTCATGAACCCGCCCCTATGGGCAATGCTAGTCTCGATAATTGTCGCCTCGGTACCAGCCCTGCAGCACCTCTTCTTCAACGATGGCACCTTCGTCCGTAACTCGGTCACCCGCGCAATCGATCAGAACGGACAGGTTGCCGTACCGCTGATCTTGGTCGTGCTTGGCGCGAACTTGGCGCGGAACACCCTCCCCGATGAAGCACTCGAGGATATGGAACATCCCCGTGAAGAGCGCAAGCTTATCATCGCTTCTTTGGTAGCACGCATGCTGATGCCGACTATTATAATGGCACCGCTTTTAGCCCTCACGGCTAAATTTGTGCCGATTAGTATTCTCGACGATCCCATTTTCGTTATTGTCTGCTTCTTGCTTACTGGCGCCCCGTCGGCATTGCAGTTGGCGCAGATTTGCCAGATTAATAATGTTTATGTTGGGGCTATGTCGAAGCTTCTCTTCCAGAGTTATGTTGTCTGGTATGTTCACTTCACTTTCTTGCTCCTCATTCACAACATGGATTGCTAACCTGTTTTCCTCTTTAGGATCCTGCCGTCAACCCTCGTTCTCGTCATGTGCGCCTTGGAAGTCGTCGAGTGGGCCGGTGCATCCGCGTAAATTCTACTCCTCACTCTTTCTTTCTTTTTGTATCTTATCCCGCACGGCGAAGCTGGTCTTCCTTTCTGGTTTTTACAGGGCTGTACATATGACAGCTCCTCCCCCTTGCACATCTGTAATACCTCTCGCGTTCTCTCATTCGGCTCTTTGTTGGCGGTATGATTCTTTCGCGTTCGCTGCACACAATATGCGAACGTGTGTACTTGATCCGAGGTTGTTCCTGAAGTCACATTATAAGTTCAGTATACATGTATCTCACTCCTCAATATGATATCACTATTCACGCTTGGATTCTTTTTGATATTTGCTTACAGAGAATGGTTGGGTCTGCTATTTCCCCAATGTTGAAGTATCAGAACAATGTCCATCACCATCACCAACTCCCACCGCATCCCCATCCCAATTACGATCCCCAATGTCAATCAACATAGCCATCCCACTAACAGAATGCCAAAGAACATGACAATGCAAAAGCCACACACCAACATTTTCAGCTCGGAATCGGAGCACCGCATACCCTCGACTCGGGATGTTGACCGTATCCCGTAGCGCAGCACGAGAGAGGTTGTACATGCTTGGCGGATTTGTGCTTGTGCTAGAGTCCCGTTCCAGCTCTGCATCTATGTGTGGTGGTGATTCATCTGTGAATGGGTTGTAGGAACCCCAGCCGGATGTTGCTTGGTGCAGTTCTAGAACGAAGAAATCGTGACCATGCTTTAGTATGGGTTGTTAGTAATTCCCCCAAGCATATCCTCTGAATAAACAGACAGAGTATAATGGTAGAATGGCCTTCTTACCAAGTGGAAAGGATGCGATCCTTCATCTAGATTGTTAATTACTAGGTCAACCCATGAAGGTTCTGATCCAGTCGTAATTGCGAATTGGTTCTTGTCCCATTCTATGCGTGGTAGGGATATCAATGGAGCTGGTGGATTATCTTGTGGTTTCCAGGTTGTTTGGTTGATGTAGCCGAATGGTTTGTTGGAGTAACGGGCCATTTTTTGGATCTTTGTATAGATTACGTAGGATTGTTCTGCTTTTGGTGGGAGTGTATTGAGGACGGAGGGTGCAGATGGTACGTTGTGGATGTTTAGATGGTTGATGTTCACTTGTGGCTGTTGATTAGTATCGGAATTGGAAGCGAAAGGTGGATGGTGGTTGATGGGGAATGTTTGATCGGGTGTCAATGCTGGATTGGCGTATCTGAAGCAGCTATTTAGTTATTAGCAGGATATCCATGGTGCAGTGTGTGAGCTGTACATACTCTTGATCCAATTGAACCGTCATGTATGACTGCTTCTCGGCTTTTTGCAAAGAAGGACGAAGGATAAAGTCCATTCGCTGCCCGGGATACAATATCCCAACAGAGTTAATATCCCGCCGCTGGGAGCGCTGTGCGTCAATACTATCAACCTGTATCAGGTCCAGTAGACGATGGCTGAAGGAGAGTGTGAACCCAGCAAGCGCGCTAGGACTTGTTAAATATTCTTCTTCGATCCAATCAAGATAGAATTACATACCCGGTATTGGCAACCCGTATCCTATATGTGATATTAGGATCGAGATCCAGGCTTGATGAGTTCATACCCTCAACGCAATCCACCGGTCGAGCAGGAACAGCCATGCTGCAGTCAAAACGTCCCACTCCATTAATGAGCAGGGAATCGGGAACGGGCTATAGAACTGCACATCAAAAACCTGATCACTCGGTACGACTGATATAATCTATTCCATACCTCATTACCAAAGTTTCCAGGGTCCATGTACCACTCAAGGACCTCAGTTGCAGGCCGATGATACCAGTCTCCGATAAGCAACAGAAGTTCCTTGTCATAAGTGTATGGCTGATGGTCGTTCCTTTCTTCAGCCATCAAGCCTCGAACAGTCGACTTTGAAGCCGGCGCATGAACAATTAGTCCACCATAAAGACCATCGGCTCGCTCGACCCCCGAATGAGCATGATACCAAAAAGTACCACTTTGGTCGGATGGAATAGTCAAATTGTATACATATCGACTCCCAGGAGAAATAGGACATTGAGAAACCCCGACAGCCCCATCCATAGAATCTGTGGGTGTCAGCCCTAAACTTCACCCGATCCCGCGAATACATACTGGCTACATGAAGGCCATGCCAATGAATGGCAAGCGACTCATCTACCAACCCATTCACAACAGTAATGACCAAGGTATCACCCGAGCGGGCCTCAACCGTCGGGCCAGGAAACAGGTCTAATTCAATATCCTTCTGTCAGCCCAGAACCCAACTTCACCCCACCTCACTCACCATTGATGGCATAGACCCGCTTCAGTACACCATCCGGTCTGCGGTGATCCGCTGTAATATGCCAGTCCAGGTACAGTGTCACTGGTTCTCGGTGCACATGATCCTGCGGATGTAGTTCGATATTTGGGTTAGCTGGGGTTCCCCCGTTTATCTGTGGGTGTTGATGATGCTTTCCAGGCAGGATCAACGGCGCGGATGAGAGCTCAGTTGATTGGAGTAGATATGCAAGCCCGATCAGGAAACATGCGACCAATGACCAGGTCACGATCGGCCATGGCCGGGTCTGCTTCGGCATCTGTTAGGGTTGAGGTTGCTCTGGGTGAGGGTGCGGACAGCCCTCCGACTGTTCTAGTGCTCTTCCTCTGGGTTTTCAAAGACGGAGCACAGGCAAGTCATTTGCTCTAGAGTATGGATGTTGTAGAATGATCGGAGTACCGATAAGTCCGGGCAGTGACCTCATGCCACCCTTGCTGGGAAGGGGAAAGCACATCTGAATCAAGACTGCGACCTTGCAGAAAGAGATGCAACCACGTGCATGAAGCAGTCAATCAGATATCGCCAGTTATAAATGTTCTTCATACTAGAGTGGCTAGTAAACATCGCTGTTCGTGCCGAAAGTATAGTTCAACTTGGCGTTGCCGCTCCCGTGGACCACCAATTCTTCACGTGGAGCCTCGACCAGATCACATTGGCCCATCACCAGGTACTTCCAACTTTCGGATTTTGGTGTTTCTTCTATAGTTCTACGCACGAGCCCATATACATCGCTTATGTGTTTTACGGTGATCGACACTGTAGTGCCTATCCCTGCGCTCTGACTCTGATCGCAGACTTCCGACTCGTGCTTCCTTTTCGAGCTATAGTACTATGGATCTCATGCAACCTTTCACCTGGAGACTGGAGAGCTCCGAGGTCTGGTGTAACCGGGTTTCACTTGTGGGGGCATGGATGTAGGTACATATAGTAATTGGTCTCTCCTTCCTTCTTCGCTCATCACTTTTTCGATCTCATTATGACTCCCAAGTTACTGGGGTGTATCACTTTAGCGGTGCTGCTAGGTAGCAGCACTGTGAGTTCTGGATCGTTGAAGGACATTGAGCATGTAGTCATCTTTATGCAGGAGAACCGTTCCTGGGACAGTGTATGATCCCTTGTCATACTAAGCACTTGAACCTTGTTAATGAGGTTTCTAGTACTTCGGTACCATGGCTGGAGTTCGTGGATTCAATGATCCCAATGTCCAGGTTAATCCAGATGGAAACTCGGTGTGGCACCAGTAAGTGAGGACGCGATATAGAGAGAATATTGCTAACAGTCCCCAGACTTGTCGACCCCAGTCAATCCAATGATGCCAAGACTCTGCTTCCTTGGTATCTAGGCTACAAGGGTGGTGATTGGAGTGACGCCATTCAGTGCATGACAGCTGGTAGTAATGGTTACCAGGAGAATCAGGGGTCTCTGAACCATGGCTCCAACAACCACTGGGTGACCAAGAACACACCCTGGAGCTGGGGGCATCTCAAGCGCCAGGATATTCCTATTCAGTTTGCCATTGCTGAAGGCTGGACCTCGGGTGATATGTACCAGGTACGGATCAGAGGTGACTTAGGTTGATGGTGATGAGGCTGATAAACACAGGAAAGCCAAATCACTGCCACAAACCCTAACCGGGTTAGCCTCGTTAGTGGTTCAATCAATGTTCCCGGTAGTCCTCAGTCCAAGGACCAGGGTGGTGTGTATATTGACAACAACGAAGTGCCTGGTATGTACCCCCCCCCCCTGTTAGATGACACAGGAGCATCGTTAATCAACTTGTTCCCCAGGCTGTGACGATAATGGGATCAACTGCTACCCGCTCAAGTGGAAGACCGTATATGAATTCTACGAAGATGCAGGAGTGTCTTGGCAGCTATTCCAAGATACGAACAACTTCGACGACAACCCTCTGGCTTGGTTCCAGCAGTTCCAAACTGCTTCGAAGAATAGCCCTCTCAACCAAAAGGGCATGTCATTCGTGAGCCTCGACGCCTTCTACCAGAGAGCTGCCAATGGTACATTGCCTGAGGTCAGTTTCATTGTTGGTCCTGCCGAGCTATCAGAGCACCCGCCCTACATGCCGAAAGATGGAGCTTGGTTGCAGAAGAAGGTCGTCGATGCGGTTACCAATAGCCCCAAGTACAACTCGACCCTCTTGATGATCAGCTATGACGAGACTGGTGGATTTGGTGACCATGTCACTCCATTCCATTCCCCTCCGAATACCCCTGGTGAATGGATGAAGGATCCTTTGGGTCTGTTCTCAGATATCTTCTCAGGACCTGGTTTCCGAGTTCCCTTCTATATGATCTCTCCGTGGACACGAGGAAACCGTGTGTTCACTGAGCGAGCAGACCATAACTCCCAGATTCTGTTTGTTGAGGAGTGGCTGGCAGCCCGGGGCCATAAAAACATTCAAACTGACCAGATGGTATCCTGGCGACGTGAACACATGTCCAATTTGGTCAACGCTTTCGACTTCGAGAACCCGGACTACTCTCTTCCCAACCTGCCCGATGCCCAAACACCAGACACCAATTCCAAGGGCGGTTACACAGGTACCTCGAACTGCCAATCCCGTCACTCCCAAACCCGCCCTCCAGTTCCATATGGCGAGCAGGACAACGAAACTGACACCAACACCCTCTGGTTCGAAGAAGGCTACAAAGAAGTAGTTGGTTACCTAACAGAAGGGCGCTTCCTAGTCTTCGAGAAAAACGGTGTAGCCCTCACAAACAATGGCAAATCCCTCACCACAAGCCCAGCAACCCCCAAGCACAACGCCAAATCACAGCGGTGGATCGTTCATTACACCCAAGACGAGGAAAGCCATGTCTTCACCATGTCCAGTGCTCTGGATGGTAAATGGCTCGGAGCAAACAATGTCATGTTACCCAAAGACCAGGGCGCAAATGCTGTCCAGTTGCGATTCTCATTCAATCGCAGTGGCCGCGCCCATTCTATTCAGCAGCTTCATCGGGGGCAGTATGTCGATATCAACACCCAGGGGCCTATGAGTGGGGCTGGGGGATACAAGGTCTTTAGTGTTTCATATCGTGATTAAAGCGGGCTTTATTTGATGGGTTGATACCATTACGACGTGTTGCATGGCTGTCCTGTCTGAGACTGGATGGTCAGGACTCGATTTCCTGAGGGTTCTTGTCTATTACCTTAGTGCTTGATCCTCGGAGAGGCTGGAAGCTAAATAAAAATACGCCTTGGATATTTGATAGATGATCATAGTACCAGACTTGCTGTAAATTGGATTGAGTTGGATACAACTGTTCAGTTGGCGCTGTAAAGCCAAGCATGCTATTTCTACACGATATGCTAAAAATAGAGAACAGTGCACATGTTTAAAATCAAAGCCAAGCCTTAAACGATGCATACAACTAAGCTTTGGTAATAGTAAACGGTCCAGCAGCATTGAACAAAGTAGGCATCTGTGGGAAACAATCAGCACGGCCCACCAAAAAATCTCATAAAAAGTAAAAGAAAAAGAAAGACAAACCTGAGGAGCAGTAGACAACCCCGTCTGAACCCTCAAATACCAAAGCGAGCCATCTTTAACATGCGGCAAATCCTTTGGAATAGTAACATCAACAACACCCGCCTTCTCTTTAATACCAGTAGCGATCTTAATCGACTGATCAAAGTTGATAGAGTTTGGCACGCGGACCGGGTTGTTATATAGCCAGACACTGTAGTCATCGCCGGGGTACTGGTTCAATGGATCCGGACAGCGTCCTGTGGGCTTGCGGTTGAAGCGGACGTGCACGGTTTGGCCTGGCGAGACGGTTGAGTTATCTGGGATTCCTTGGTAGACATTGATGCAGGAGTAGTCGCGTTTGCCCCATGCTAGATTCGGTTTAGTGGTTAGTTTACTATAGCTGTATATTATTGGGGTAGTCATTGGGATGGGGGAATTGTTCATACGCTGGTTCTTATCAAAGAGGGCGGTGCTGGTTGCCACGAGGGAGGCGAGGATGGGGATTGTGAACTTCATTTTGGTTTTTGATAGATAGTGAAGTGTTTATTGTGGAAAAGAATGATGTTTATTTGTATGGGGAACTGGAAGCAGATCAGGGTCTTTTATAATGAGCCGGAATCATACGGCTGACGAAACAGACCCTAAATTTAGCTGCGGCTACTAAACCCCGGTTTGCAAGATTTAAGTGACGATGTTTCACTCAGCCTCTCCACATCTCTCGGATTAAATATTTATCTGCTTGGCGTGAGGAGAGTCGGTGAGGTGTGATTGATCCGGCTTGGCTATGCAGATCGATCTCGATCTGGGGCAATAGCAGTTCTCGTATACTTGCTCACGAGATATACTCAGCTGCTCTCTGATCCAGATTGACAACGGTGACGAGTAGGTCATCTTTATGTGCTGTTGTTTCGTTGACAATAGAATAGTACTTATGGTTCATTATTTGAATATCGCATTTGATCGACAGTGTTACTTATACAGTGTAGTTCTTCACCGGTAGGCGTCGCTACAACTCGCAAATGACACAGTCACTTGTTCACGTGGATACCCAGGTATCATTGCATTTAGAAGTCAATGCGACCTCTGCGTACCTGTTTTCAGAAAGGTATCCAGAACGGCTGAACGAAGCGAGAAGCCACCTCGGAGTCGCCGCAACTTTTTGTACGTAGGTTTCCAGCTCGAATATCCTTCCGGTCGTAATATTTCAGCCTTGGAAATGTTGGAAATTGAAACACCAACACACATATTGCGAAAAAGTGGATTCCATTCAAGATATCTCCTAGAAGGTCGACTATATACAACTGGAGTAGAGGCCAGGAATTGATACAACGTGCCCGGTTCAATTCTCCAAAGAGAAGAAGAAGCACTTGGAAGAAAATCAAGAGCGAAATAAAGGACAGAAATATTTCGACACTGTCTAAGTTGTTGTTCACATTGTATTCCTGACTGAAATAACAACATCTCCCCTCAAATAGACTCGTCTTAAAGCAAAAACGCATCACATAATCAAGCGAGCCACCCCATATATACTAGTTTCTATTCATGCTGCCGTGGCAAACTTCACGCGCATCTTCGAACCATCAACGGGCTTTGCGGTGATCTCCAATGTCTAAAAAGTATCAGCAAACGAACACCACACCCAGAGAGTTCCAAAAGCTTACACTATACAGCTCTGAATGGACATCATACTGTCCATTGGCTTTCATGATCGGTGCACCCGAATCATCACATTTGAAGGCCCCAAGTCCTACCTTCTCCCAGTCATACCGGCGAACCGCACATGCAAGAATGACCAGCGCCTCAATATTCGCAAGTTCCTGTCCAATGCAATTACGCGGTCCTCGCTCGAAAGGCCGCCAGGCACTCGGCGGGATGGGGGCGTTATTTGCTCCTAGCCAGCGCTCGGGGACGAATTCGTTGCTGTCGTCACCATACACGGTCTTGTCACGTTGTATGATATTATGGCAGACATACAGAATGGTCCCATCCAGATTAAGCTCTTCACCATTTGGTAACTGAACGACCATTCCGGTGTTTGCAGGCGAAGAACGCGCTGTGGCGGCTGGTGGGAACAAACGAAGGATCTCCTTTATCACGGCAGAGGTATAGGTCAGTTTCTGGAGAAGCTCCTCTCCACGTTCCAGAATCTTGGCTCGGACAACGGACGGCGAGCTATCAGTTCCGAATACTTCATCCAATTCGAGGCAAACTAGGCGTAAGACTCTGGGAGTGCGACTCAGTTGATAAAATGACCATTGGAGCACAATACTGGTTGTATCATGACCCGCAAACAAGAAAGTCTTCAGCTGATCACAAGTCTGGCTCAGAATCTCTGATGTCAATTTGGGGTGCTCTGCCAGACCGAGAGCGAGCACGCTGCGAGATGACTTTTCGGGATTAAACCCTTCCTCGAACTTCTCTGTAATGATTGCTTTGATGAGGCGATCAAGTCGACGCCCCAAAGCGCGTCTTTGGAAGGAAAGCAATATTTTCCATCTGCCGTTATTGGGACGATAGCTATAGCCTAGCTCACGGTAGACTCGGACTAGCTCGCCCTGCTTCTCTTCTCCGAGTTGGGCACCCATGTTAGTATCCATGGTGACCGCGCCTGTAGATAAGGTTAGAGCGCGTATCTATGAGGGAACAGTAAGAATTAGTCACCAATGATGTCGAACGTTAGATTTGTACATAGATCGTCAAATGAAAATTCTTCTCCGGTAGTACAGAAGCGGTCCAGACGTTCTAGGAAAAGCTGCGTCTTGTCAAGAATGCAAGGCATCAAACTCATGAGATGCTTGTGCGAGAACCCTGGATTGAATTGTTTGCGTAGACCTTTCCATTCTTCGTTCTATATATTGGTCAGATCGTATATTCTTTTGCGAATTGTTTCAACGTACTTCTGCAACGAGGATCGAGTTCGCGCCGAACAGATCTTGGAACCACCGGATTGTTGGTGACTTTGGAGTACTGTACTGGAAAAGCTTTGAACTTTTTGAAATCTGCTCTGCAACTTCATGATTGCAAATAATACACATAACATGAGTGATGGGTCGGAAATCAGCAATAAATAGAGGAGGGTTTCCAAGTTGGTCGTGCATGTCCTTGAAGAGTTCATCTAGCTGCCAATTAGACCCGCGCTATAGGATAAAGGAACGAAAAGCCTTACCAACATGGTCATTCAGTCTGTGGTTGCTTTTGATTTTACCGATAGTAGCCAAATGACCCCATACTAATGACGGTGGAAGTTGGGGTAAGTGCGCATATTGCTTCCTTCGGTAGTACGTGACCCTTTTCCACAGATATACCACAATCAGTGGGACTGTACCCAACAGTACGGTCCATGCCATGTAATATGACATTGCTCAATATTTTGTAGCAGTGAAAGGCGCTGCGGGTTAGAATACGCGAGAGGTCGAAGGGTCATAATGTGGTGCCTGAGGTGTCGATATATTGTCGGAACTTGCTGTCTTCCGTAACTTGCTCAGCCAATGAGGGCATTGAAATCTCTGTCATTTATTACTTGCTATTTCTTGCTATTTATGCTATGCTCATCCTTAGTAATCCGCTCATTCGGAGTTACTATAATTCCGGTTCTCAATCCGTATTCATGAATGCAGCACTGACATATATCATGACGACCCTTGGCATTCTGATTCGCCGTTCGGGGGCCCCCCTTTCGGTCCGCATAACTCCAGTGCATCGCGAGGAGCTGAGACTCAACATTTATACTGAATGCCTTGATTGGGCGACAGGAGAGAATTATTAGCCATGTCCCCATCCCGAGGGTCCGGTCGAGTTGGAACCAGGAAGTCAAAAACGGGATGCAGTACTTGCAAGTCAGTCTGATCTTACGCGTAAGCCCCAATTTCTGCTTGAGGCTCATCACCAAGCGGATACTGACATTCATCCAGAATTCGTCGGATCCGGTGTGGAGAGGAAAAGCCTCACTGTGTAAGATGCACTAGCACAGGCCGACAGTGTGCTTATAGCACTGTATCACTTCGCCCGGCGTTGGCCATATCACATCCGCAATCTCACTCGGGACAGCGAGAGCGCCGTGCATTTGAGTATTACTTCCATCGGGTAGGGCCAGCCCTTGCCGGTGCATTGGATCTCAACTTCTGGAGCGGATCGGTGTTACAGATCTGCCAACTGGAGCCTGCTGTATGGGATGCAGTCATCTCACTGAGTGTGCTGTACGAGAGGCCACCTATCTGCGACGCAAAACCATTATCTCTTCTCAACAATCCAGCTGATGTGCGCCATGGCTATCACGAAGAAGCTTTGGTGTGGTACTCGCGCTCCCTGGCTGCTTTACAGCGGCGAATCAACCAAGGCGTTGCCGATCTCACCATATCCATGATCAGCTGTGTACTCTTCATTGCTATTGAATTATTGCAAGGCAATAAATCAGCCGCAGTCATCCTGTATACGAATGGTGCACGATTATTGGCTAGCACCATGGCTTCGGCTAGAGGTTCTGAACTTTTGATGACTACTATCGTCCCCATTTTTCGAAGATTGGGGACGCAATTCCTTATTTCGACAGATGGCACTTTGTCAGATGCTTTGCCCCAGGATCGGACAATCCAAGAAGTAGCCTTTGTCACTATCAGTGAAGCGAGAAATGAACTTCTGGGCCTCATTGCGGAATGGAAAGTCTTTAACAAGGATATCAAAGCTCAAATTGCAGCAGCCAACGAGGAGATCCCTGATTTGTCTGCTCTTGAGATGCGACAAGAATCTCTAGAAGAACGCCTCCATATCTGGTACGCATGTCTCACGCCATTAATGCCAAAACAAAATACAAATCTCTACCCAGCCGCAGATGATGTTGATGGCTTGATGTCTCTCCTTCTCATGACTCATATCAGCATTCTAATTGAAACGAAAACCTCTCTAATTTCCAATGAAATGGCCTACGATGCATACGAATCGGATTTTGCTCAGATCCTGGAATATGCCCCCAAGGCTACCAATGCGACCCATAACTTAGATGGCAGCCAGCCATACTTCATGTTCGAAATGGGCGTGTTTCTCCCGCTTTTCATCACTGCTCTGAAATGCCGATTCCCTAATTTACGACGTCGGGCACTGATGTTTCTCCAGGTGGCCCCGCCGGTACAGGGTCTATGCATGTGTTCGCCTGTTGTTCAAATAATTTCGATATTGGTATTCTTGGAAGAATATCCAGGTGCAATTCTCCCTGGCGCTGGAACTATCGAGGAGTTGTTAGCTGGATCAGGGCGCATTCCGGCCTCACAGCATCGCATCCGAACTTTCGATGTCTCTTCCGATGCCAACGGCGAAGGCAAAATGAAGAATAAATTGAAATACTCGGTTTACGCTTCTGGCTCCAGTGGAAAGAATTTGCTTGTGGAAAACGAAGTTTTACTACCGGTTTTGATGGGCACATGATTATCACACACCATGCCATCCCCTCAATTTGAGGGGTGATGTTGCATTCAATCAGTCAGGTCGTGAAGGTGTCGATTGGTTCCAACTCACATCCAAGCCAGGGTTGACAATTTCTGTTCATTTTCACCAAACCAGTCCAGTTTATCACAATTTGCAATACATCCCATTGGGAACTGACTAGCCCACCAACGACGATAGAAGCGCGAATGTGGCTGGCGCTGGGTAGCACAAGCTCTACCTCCCAAATATCTTCCCCGGCTACACGTATCTCAACAGGCAAGCAAGGGGGAAGAAGTCTGGTCCACCCGCATGGTGACCAGCTCTAGACTCAACAGTCAAAAGTGCACATCTGCCCAATCCCACCAATCAATCCATGATGCGTCAGTTACCGTCTATACGCCCTAATTATCGGAGCTGCCCCGGTGCGGAAGGCCTACTGAAGATACGCGGAGTTGCCAATACGTTGGAATAAAATCGCGGACTACTAGAGATATTGTTTGTAAAGCATTTCTGGACAACTTCCTATACTATCATATATCTTTGAGTGATTGTACCACGTATTTGCATCAGTATAACGATAATATATCGTCTAATTTCTAATACATCTGTGCGATACCTCCCTGGACGTCTTGAGGAGTAATCCACTGAAGGAAATCGCGTTGAGAGTTATCCTTGCAGTAAGCAGGGTTATTACATTGACAAATATGTAAGGTGCAAGAAGAGAATAAAAAAATAATCTGCCTTTGACTTGCAGTACTCATGAATGTATGACCTGACATGTGTATGTGGCCTGATACCCAAGGCCACCGGTTACCAGACCCAATACGGCAACTTACCTCGTGCTCCCCTCACATCTCCCCTCTTCCATCTTTTCTCTTCTTCTCGTCTTAACAATCCAAAGCTGATTCTTGGGATACATCCGGGGCACACACCAACCATCAAAATGAGACTCGATAAACGCCAAAAAACTTCCCGGCGAGATCCCGAATAATAAAAGCTTCCTTTGGCACCGATACAGCCCGCTCCCCACATGCGACAGTATGAAAGCCACCTGCCATCTGCCATCTGCGGTGCCTTGTACAAAACGCCCCCGAAGACGAATATTGCGGTGTGAAAGATCTCCTGCGACTGGTCGGCAAAGATAACTTATCATGAAACAATGAGTGGTGTGACCTCCTACCGAATCGGAGATCCCTGGCTGTTTTTGCCCAAATATGGAGCCAGATGCCAGATTCGCAAGGCACACAGGAGAGTCACCTGAGTGATAATTGCCAATTTCGCCACTTTTTATTTTGTCCGAATACCACTTCGACCTTTGATATTACGCTCCAGTCCATATTCTCTGCTAATTGAACATCACCATACACCATATCCGGCTCATCTCCCCAGCTCCACTACAGTTGGTTGCAACCCAAGGGACCAGTCCTCCGTACCCACATCCACAACTGGGACGTTTCCGTTCGCTTATCAACTGTTCCTAGGGGTCCAATTTATCCCCCACCTTGCCTCCTTTCTGCTCCTCCCAAGTTTCTCGTTTCGACTCGAGTTTGGGCATTCTTTTTCCTCGGAAGCGCATTTGCAACTGGTCGCGTGCCTACCGATAAGCTATTCAGCCCCTTTCTTGGCTCGCGTGGACACATGCCGTCCTTCACTGAAGATAATGTGCCTGGTCCCGAATTAACAGGTAGGCTCCATTTCTTTGCCCTCCTTCGTAGTTAGGAATCCACTATCTCGCCCCATATAAGCACACGTCCCCTGGCTTGTAATCTCTCTCTCCATCGCAACTCGACATCTTTTGCCCCCAGCAGCACCTCGAATCGTCTACCAACCAAATACTAATTCCCACAGAATCGTCGATTTCGGGAACAGGCTTGGATCTCCGCTCTTTGACCAAGGCCTTACATGCAAGTGGGACGGTCGATTCCTCAGACGGCACTTCTCTGAAACAATATCGGGCTTCCAAGTCCCAGCCCATTGCGCAACCCCCCACCACCTCCATGCCTTCTCTCGACGGCCCTTCGAGCGTCAACGAGGCAATGACACAAGTGGACAGGGAGCAATACAGGCCCGAAGAAGATCCCCAGGGTCTCTTCCACCAAGTATACGAATGGTTACACCATGAGAAAACCAGACGACAGAATCGTAAGGCACGGAAATCCGAAGCCGTCTCCAATGCGACAAACGATGCGCCCACCGAGGACGGCCCCATAGAAAGACCCAACTCCAACCCCTCCGAAAGCACCTTTTCCTTGGATAAGCTGGAGAAGATCCTCCTCCAGTATGCGACCAACCGACCGAGCAGCGCCATTGGCTCGAATGCGTCGGCGAAACGCCTAAGTCGGCGTCGTTATAAGGGCCTGCAAAGAGGCTCCGCCTCCGAGTCAGAAGCCACAGATGTCGAGGCGCCTGTGCCGGGCGTGGAAGCCTACCTGGACAACTCCAAGACACTTGCCTACACCGGTGGTGCTGCAGTAGAAGAGGATACCGATGCCAATGCCAATGCCAAGGCTGACAAGGACCGAGAGGGCTGGATGATTTTCAAGACCGAGATCGTGCGCATTGTACATACGCTGCAACTTAAAGGCTGGCGCAAGGTCCCGGCTGAGCTGGCTGGCGAGATTGAGGTGGTTCGCCTGAGCGGTGCTCTCACGAACGCCGTCTATGTAGTTGCGCCACCCAAGAACCTGCCTCCCCCAAAAACGGACAGCAAGTCTACTTTGGTGTCCAGGAAACCACCTCCGTAAGCATCAATGTCTCCCTCTATGTTGAATGACTAGCTAACCGGCATTGTAGGAAGCTTCTGCTCCGCATCTACGGACCGCAGGTTGACCATTTGATTGACCGAGAAAAGGAGCTACAGATTCTCCGCCGTCTAGGCCGAAAGAACATCGGTCCTCGCGTTCTGGGTACATTCCTGAACGGTCGATTTGAAGAGTACTTCGAGGCCCGTCCTCTTACGCCCAAAGAACTGCGCATGCCCGAAACAGCAAAGCAGATCGCCAAGCGTATGAGAGAGCTGCATGATGGCATTGAACTCCTCGATGAAGAACGCGAAGGTGGACCCATGATCTTCAAGAACTGGGACAAGTGGGTGGATCGTTGCGAGCAGGTGACCACCTGGCTTGACAGGGAAATCCAGTCTCCGCACAACGAAGCCAAGGCCGCATCTGAACCATGGCGTCGTCGCGGCTATGTTTGCGGTGTGACATGGGACATGTTCCGCAAAGCCGTGGAAAACTACCGACTTTGGTTGGTTGCCGGGTCTGGAGGCATTGCTGAGATCAAGCGCCAGTTGGTGTTTGCGCACAATGATGTAAGTGTTTCATGAAGATTGTGGGATGTTGTATTGACTTGTCTTTAGACTCAATATGGCAATCTTCTTCGCATGGAACCGGCCACACAGTCGCCGTTGCTCTTGCCTGCCAATGAGCACAAGCAGCTCGTTGTCATTGACTTTGAATACTCCTCTGCCAATACCCCTGGCCTGGAGTTCGCTAACCACTTTGTAAGTCCCCAATCCCCAACACAGAGAAACAGAGTTCAATATCTAACGTCAACAGACTGAGTGGTGCTACAACTACCACGACGAAGAACGCTCCTGGGCTTGCAACACTCGCGCTTACCCAACCCCAGATCAGCAATACCAATTCGTATCTACATACCTCACCCACCGACCCGCCGTCGGTGGCGGAACCATCTCTCCCCTAGCCACGCCCAACATGCGCGGTCGTACCGCGACAGGCATCACACCTTTAGACCTGGACGAGGCAGATGGTCCCAGCTCGCAAGTCGCACAGGCTGAGAAGTCCAACGACGAAGAGCTGGATAGAGAGGTGCGCTTCCTCATGCAGCAGACCCGATTGTGGCGGGTGATGAACTCTGCGCAGTGGGTCGCTTGGGGTATTGTGCAGGCCAAGGTACCCGGCATGGAAGAAGGTATCGCGGAGATGGCTGCTGCCAATGAGCACGGCAAGAATGGACAGCACGAGGGTAACGGCGCCACCAACTCTAACGGGCACAGCGAAAAGACGCCGCCTGTTGATGCTGACATCGATGAAGAAGGCGATTTCGATTATCTGGCTTACGCTCAGGACCGGATTATGTTCTTCTGGTCTGACCTTCTGGCATTGGGCTTGGTCAGGGCGGAGGACCTGCCTGCGCCTATGGTTGAGCATATCAAGTTGCGTCTTGTGGAGCATTGAGTGACTCTTAACTCCGGGGAGAATAATGATTTTATATTCAGGACGGAACGAAGGATGTCCCTTGCACTTCTCTTTACGAGTTACGATGTGGACGCCAGTATATAGCTGCGTCAAACTTCGGTGATTTATCACACCTATGTATGTACTACACTCTAGCGTTGGGGTTTCAACATCATCATCGAATACCATATATCTTTGTTTCGTATCGACCATCATAATCGTCCTGCTTCGCAAAGGGTATCTGAAATGCCGACGTAGAAAAGCTCAAAGACAAAGAACAACAAGACAAAGAACCAAAGAAGAGCAAGCATCTACCGCTGCATCTCAAGCTTCTTCCTCGTCTCCTTCTTCGCGTTCTCAACCCACTCCCCATAAACCTTCCCCTCAGAATCCTGCTTATCCTTCATCCCAACAACCCCCTTCATCATCTCCCCAATGAACCCAACAAAGTTATGTCTCCGCAGCGTATTCTCCCACTGCCACGCAGCCCTCTTCTTCTCCTCCCTCTCAAGAGTCTCCACATCCCCAATCTCCCTAGCCGAAACCCTCGGATCCCGTACAACAGCCATAAGATTGAAATGCGTCTCGCCAGCATCATACCGCGCAATCCTTCGCTGAAGAACCTCAATCACCTTCTCAGGGAAAGACCCAGCATCACAAGCCCCGTGACTAATAGGATGAGGCTGCAACCCATCAAGCTCATACAACTTCCCATTAACAGGCGTATAAGCAATGAAATGGTAAACGTCCGCACCCTTCTCGTCATCCTGCGGGCGAGCAGTCTCGTCCGCGAATGGGCTAGCACGCGCGAAACTGTTGTGTGCGCTGCGAATAGCTTCGGAGTTGGAGAGCGCCTCGCCGCGGAGTTCGGGCGGGAAGCCCGTGGTGAAGTCTTTAAAGCTGGATAATTCCGGGCCGAGGTTTATCGCTGGTTGCGGGGCGGGTGGGTTGTCGTGGTTTAGGATTACGGAGAGGATGGCTTGTGTTCCACAGGCGTTTTGGATTGTTTGCGCGGCGAAGAAGAGGTTGTTGTCTGTTGCTGTTGGGTCGTATTCGCCGTCTAAGGGGGCTTCGGCGCGGGCGCCTGCTGCTTCGCGTGTCCATTTGAAGAGGAAGATTACGCCGTAGACGGGGCTGCGTGGGTTAGCTTTATGGGGTTCTTGCGTAGATGATATGCGGGTTTTGAGGCTTTAGAGCTTGAGGGTGTGAGGATGCTTACCCGAGGGATCTGATTGTATCGGGATCAAGAGAAATGAGTTCTTCGAATTGGGTGTCCTTGACTCCCAAAGTCTCGATCAGCGAGGTGAAAAGGCCCTGGCGTGTGTGTCAGAAAGCTGGTTGGGAAGGTTGTTGGAGAGATTTTACCTCGTCTGATTCGATTGTACTCCAGCCAGCAGCATCACCCATTTTGAATGTCAGATGTGGTGTTTAGACAGGTCGATTAAGAGTGAAGATTAGTTGTGCTGGAGCTTGAGAATCAAGCGTTGCATTCTTCCCCAAAATGGAAAGCGGTTATGTCATTGTCACATGATCCTGTTTGTTCTGTTTGTCATGTTCTTGTTGCATAGAGCTTCAAGTACAGCACCTTTGCCTTTCACAATCAGAACGTGAGATCATATAGTAGAGATAGGATACCTAGATGACTTATAGCTTTGAATGCTCAAGTCTGTGGCAATGAGTCCATCACAAACTTTGACATGAGACAGTCATATTCCTCGACATGGATAACCGATCGAGATCATGTAGTGGATTGAAATGAACGACGTTTCATTACCGTTCTTCACTTGCTACAAATAAAGGTTTTCAGTAGATGTTTTGCCCAAGCCACTCGGCCATCTCGTCGACCAAGGTAAGTAAACCGTTAAAAGTTGCAGGCTGCGAGTATAAACATAGAAACGACCTCAAAAAAGAGACCAATGGCCGACGTTTCTTCTCAAATAATGATAACACCAATGAGATCCTCAATCGAGACAGCACATTTCTATAATCTAAGGAAGCATACTTCACCGACATTTACTCTGGGCACAGTAAGCCCTACGTAATAAGGCCATCCAAGACGCAAAACACCACATCCAAACTTAATCCCAGACCCTCAAGACACATGAACAGCTCAGTGAGGCTCAGTAAACACATACAGGCAAAAACAGCGCAAGCGATAAATATAGAAATACGAAGCAGACATGAGCCATGCATTAACCCTATTTCCACATGGCAACACACACACACCAATCGAGATATAACGAACCGCCGATCCCAATAAACACACCGAAAACGCGCAAGTAGATTCAGACTCTATACTTTCCGTCCTTGATCCACCTATTAGACTATAGACTAAACCTCTATCCGCCCTAGCCCGGGAACATAATACCCATCTCATCATAGTTCAACCGCAGCCGAATACGAGGTCTGGTGAACGCGGGCCGGGAATATCCAATTAGAGGCGCAGATCTGTAGTTTATCGGTCTTAATGTGTGTCCCGTGCTTGGCCCGTGATGTTAGTTCCTTTGGGTCCTTGGTCTATTCTTAGGTTTTGGGCGTTTATTGGTTTTGTGGGTTGGTTCTTGTCCCTGTCGATCTGTAAGTGGTTAGGTTTGTAATTTGGAAACTGGGTGGATTGGATGGGGGGGGGGTTTCTCTGGTAATCTTTCGTGAGGAAAGATAGTGGATACCGAGAGGGTCGGCGGTGCTATGCTTAGAGTGAATGGGTCTCATGTTCAGATATCGGAGGATAATACAGTCCGTGGTGGATAGTGAGATGGTTTTGCCGAGGTCCATTGGGACTGTATGTCTAGGCAACCATTTCTGACAGGATAACATTGTGTATCATTTGGAGTGGATCATTACACAGTTGGCACAGAAGTAAAGTAGCACACTTTAAGTAATTCTAACAAACGATTCAGTAAGATCGGGGTATATACATCAATATAAAAAAAAGCAAACAGAACCATTTCCACCAGCTGGTAACTGAAGATAAGATCCAAAGTTGAAAAGTGCCAAAATCAGAATTAGAACACACCAACGCTAATGCTCGACAGATGGAAACGACAAGAGCCGAGTGATAGAACCCGAAAAAAAAAAGTCAACTCGGAGCCCACCCAACCCAGCTCCGTTCCATAGCCCTTGTTTTAGAGATGAACTATTCAAGTCAATAGTTCCAGGTAATCAGTAGCCTCGACCGATTTGTTAATCTCTATTCCTACAAAGAAGGTCGTCTTCTTTTCATGTTTCCCGGGGTTTCTTGTTCTTTCGGGGTATAATGGCATCACCTCATAACTAGACTCCATATAATCTTCATGAAGTCCAAAGCGGCGCAACCAAGCCGGGCATCTCAAACGGATGCGTCTGCGGATACACCTCCATGTTCAAGCCGAGTGTGCCATCAGCACGGGGCAAGTCAGAGCAATGCAACTCCCCACCGTATGGTGGCGTATATGTCGAAGAGTTTGGAATAGCAGAGTGAGAATGGCCCAAATCAAGGGCGAGCTGTGCATCATTCGTATCGAGGAGTTGCGGAGATGGCGGGTAAAGAGAATGAGAATGCGATGGTGGAGCAGTGATGTAGCCATCTGGGAGGTTGAAAGGGGAGCTTGCGACTGTGACAGCGGGTGGGGATTGGAGAGGTGGGGTATATGCGGCATAAGAGGGAGAGGCTGATGCAGGAGAGGAAGATGTGACGAGGGGGTATTCGGTCATGTTGTGGTGGTATGGACTTGGTGGACCAGGGGAGTACTGGTCAATAGAGGAGCGAGGCGACCAAGGGAGACGTCTGCGATAGCGGGCGACGATACGGCGGGGGATATCCATCAGATCAAGAGCAAGTCTTAGATCTGCGTTAAATGGGTCCGTTGCGCTATGCGCGACGATAATGCGATAGTTTTCTTCGATTGGACCGATGGATAGAGCGCCTAGGTATGCGCCTCCCATTTCTGGGAGGAATCGGTCAAGGGAGATGCCAACGGCAAAGAACTGGGAGAGAATAGCTAGGGCATTAAGATCTGAGTCGCTGCCTCGGAGCATGGATGGTGGTAGCCAGAAGAGCCAGCGGCGGAGGATCTGGATGCGGTCGAAGGTTTGTTCGGAGGTCTGACTTGGGAAGTCGTCACGGAATTTTTGGACGTATTCAATCAGTTCACCGAGTCGTTGAGTGTGCTCCAAATTGTGGGTGACTCGCTTCTGAATCATTCGGAGGGCATGTATGGTTTGGTCGAGATGAGCCAAATCTTCATCGAGAGGCAGATAGGCACCTGCCATTGAGAGATCCGTTGTGCTAAGTGCACGCTGACTCTCTACGAACTGTGCCAAATCTGACTCCTGCTTCCAATATGGATGCATAGACTCGAGGACACTCGACAGGCCATGTTGCAAGGACATCCAACTCGAGCTGGTGACATTAGTTGGTGATATTCTCGGGACTGTACAGGAAAACTTACGATTCTGTAGCCTGCCATGAAAGAAGAACAGAGGCTGCGAGAATAGCATCACAATTATCCTTGGAGAATGACCCGAGAGCATTCTGCAAGCCCTGAAGAGCAGTGACCTTATGGCGATACGCCAACTGCTTCGTCTCTTGATCTCCCGTCATGAAGGAAAGGTGGAAAGCCGACAAGCCAAGGATAGCACTCATAACAAAGTCGCTAGAGAGTGCAATGGCAAGGAAACTAGAAACGGTAAGCAAGTGCACTCCCAAGCATCCAAAAGCTCACTTACTTCGGCATCTTCTGCGCCCAAACAGTACAGCCGCTCAAACCCCTCCGATGCAGATCAATCGAAAGCCCGATAATGTGGTGAATCAAGCGCAAATCGGCACGCGAAAGTCCAGACCATCCTGAGCGAGGACACTGTAAGAGCTCTGGATACGGAGGCACGCCGGTACGATGCCAGTTCTCGATTTCGGCCTCAATGTCGGGCGACATGAGCAGGTCGGGACCCCGCCGGGGAGTTGGGGGACTGCCTGAACCAGCGGCAACGTCCTGGTAGTCGCAGCGGCAGTTGTGTTTGGTGCAATTACGACTAGAGAGGCTATGTTAGGTGGCACATTTGGAGTTCTGTGGATTCGAACGTACCATTGCGGGAAGGTCTCGTCGCAGCGAATATGTCTCCTCTTACAAGTCTTGCAGCCGTTACGAGACTTGGTGTGACTCTTGCGCGGGGGACCACCGCCTGGACCGACCATTTTGGCTTGTTGAGAAGGGCTGGAAAGGTGTAGAAGTAGATTGGAGTCAGGGTTGACTCCGCAAGTGATTAGAAGGAATTTTTGGGGTCTGGAAGTGGGCACCTATGCCCTGTAGACCTGTATTGTCGGACCGAAAGGCTGATGAGTGAGAGCAGGAAAAAGCGAGTGATATGAGCCACAACGGATGTTTATAGTCGATCTCCAAGTCCAAAAATAACTGGGGTGAGGAATGTCGGATTAAGCACGTGGAGAATACGAGGTGCAGGGCTCCCGATCTCCGAAAGGGTCAAATCGAATAGTTCAGTTCGTTGAAATTGTCGGAACAGTTGAGGTATGGCGAGGAGATATAGAAGAAAAAGGGCCGGGGAAGAAGCCTAAAAAGGAAGAGAGGTCAGGCGCAGATATGATCAATCTCACTTATAAGAGAATCCCAAATCCATCGAGATTTTGAGCCTCTGGGTACAGGGGGTAAGCTAAGAAATTAATAAAATAAATTACCAAAAGAGTAAAAGAGTAAAAAAAAGAAAAGAGAATAAGAAAATAAAATTACAAAATTACAAAATTATAGAGATTATAGGAGTCCAGGATAGCACCGGTTCAGCTGGGTCTCAGACCGGGGGCCTGTGTGGAGAACTCTTATACAGCTGCCTCGATAGGTTTAGGCTCTTGGGGCACTCCCAAACTTTCCGGGGAGGCTGAGCTATACAGCCTTAGGCTGTGAACTCTTTTCCATACAGACTAGCAGAATAGACATGGATTCATAAAGCATCCAAACTATAGCCCACTTACTATGGTTTGCAGAGGCAAAACAGGGCGGAATCTCCTGTAGATCAAGTCTATTTTTGCTTTTTTTTTATTTTTGCTTCTCATTCTCATCCCGTATTTTCAAAGTAGATTTAGCCAAGACTGGAGGCCCTCAAGGAGAACATAGCTGTTCGATCGACCTCGCAAGGATCGATCTCAGGACCCTGGATTGTGGGTCGGAGCTGTCAAGCCAGCACCTTATACCTGATTGAGTAAGTCACCTTGTCCATCGCAGTGCCATTGTAGACCTCCCCTAGCGACCCACCGGCTCGCTAAGATTGGAGCTTAGACTGACAGGCGGAAGTCCACCGTTTCTACCCGTGAGTCAGAAGGAGATTAAACGCTCTGAACTCGGTAATCACAACCGAATGTAGAACTGCACGCCCAGAACTGTATGATGCTAGAGACAGGGGTCGCTCACCACTTGGGCTTTTTGGATTGGCGGCTACTATTGCAAGGTTTACGCGCAACCAGGGGGTCAGTCCAATCTCGCGGGATCGCCGCCACATCTCCATTCCTTGATGTCCTGGTGGCGAGCCTATATGCCCCCGGAATCCCCATCTTCTGGTACGCTTAAGCTACCACTGGACTGGAACGGGGTCCCATGTCATGATTGCATGTCATGATTGACGGTGTGCGACGTCCAGCCCGAACGAAATGATAGACCCCGATCGAATTCCAGAGGTATGCAGGGATGAGAGTCGTGAGATCACCTCTTTTCGTCTGCAAAAGATCCAGGACCACATTCCTGCAGGGTCCAGGCTGGGAAGTCGAACAAAGGTGAGAGGCGTTTACCTAGCCGGAAGTAGAGTAGGAGTTCAGGTGTGACTCCCCTGAAGGCTGCAGACTGCAGGCTGCAGACTTGTGCACCGATCGACCACGTTTTCTGGGGAGACATGTGTCTAAAGTCGGTGTGTGCCACCTTCTGATCTGGACTCTGACATTCTAACCTTACTACACACGTGGCACCACACTCGCACAGCATCTCAGGCCTCCTGTGAGACTGCTGTTTTTCTTTTTCTTTTTAATTCCAGGGCAATCAAGTCGGGCAAACTTGTTCCGAAAGGGCCCGGAATTGTTCGGGAGAGCATAGCAATGAATGAGAAGAACAACAGAGTTATAACTAAGAGCTAGAATCAAGACTAGAACTAAGACTAAGAACTAGTCCGTGAGATGGAGATGGCAGACTGGAGTCAGGAGAGACAGAGGCCAATCAGAGGCGGTGAGTCTCGCTTCTCGCGACATGCAACCCAAAGAGGTTTAGTGGCCAAAAGTACTGACTTCACTACTTTGGCCTCCATACCTTTCTCAGCCATTCTTTGCCTTTTTTTTTTTTTTGATTTTTTGATGGGTCTTGGGGACGGGGTGCATGCAGGTATACTGTAGTCCGCTGTCTGGCCTTGATTGTTCCGAAGCCAGGGGTACCTAGCCCTCTTGCACACCGAAGTAATCTCATTTAATCTCATTCCCTACCAATGAGAAAGCCCCATACATCATGACTATCCTTGACTTCCTACCTAGGTATATCCGGGTATCTACATGTTCCCCGCATGATCATGAATGTCTCTCCCCAGATACCAGCCATGGAATGAAGATCAAAAGACAAGCCTTCTCAGAATAAGAGCCATCGAGACCTTCAGCACTGCCCATGGACTGCAGCAGACTAACCAACTCTATTACGCCAAGAAGAGGCCAGTCTAGACGATCCGAACGCACGAGATCGTCCAGTGCCGCTCCACTGGGTTCGAGGAGCCTAACCTGGACCGGTCATCTGCAACGGCCTATTGCATCTGCTTCAGACGGACGTTTCTGCCGAGCACTCTAAGAGACTTTGGACAGATATCGTCTAGAGAGGGAACTGGAACTAGACCCAAAGTCTGTTTTTGCCTTAAACTTATTAAGAACTAAAGACAACAGGGATCGACGGGAGGGAGTCTATACCCCGAGTCCCGCGGATACACTTGTGTTTCGTCAAATAAAGATCATTAGCGTTAACTTTCTTCCTAAGCCACACTTCGGCCCCGTTTCAACTTCCTATGTGTCTTTTTCTTTTTAGCTCCTCTTTTTATGATCATACTTATTACCCGATGGCTGCTGACCCTTGCCAAGTGTTAACGCACGATACTTGCATTTGCAAATGGATGAGGCTGACAGCAGAAGTCCTGCATGATGTCACCATGACCTCCCATGAGCATATCTTATCATTTACAATGGGTTTTATTTCCGCGGCTTAGATACATGATGTAGACAGTCCAGCCAATGCTACATCTATTCCTCGCGTGTAATGGTGAGGAAGGCATGATGCCAGAGCCACCGCCTCCGTAGATTTTAATGGTCGGAGATTTATACCATACCGATGTCATCTGGAGAAAGTTGCCGTCCGCTCAGTATCCAGCATTCTACATGCGGCCCTGTTTTGTATTCTCATTATTTCTTCTCTAATGATACAAGACTGCACCAGACCGTTCTGGGCATCTGGATAATATACCTTTTTATGCTGCATGCGGAAGCAAGAGACCCAGTAAGCTCGCAGATCTATCTTGTTGTCCTTGGGAACAGCTCAGCCTTGGAACCTTAAAGACAACTCAGCCAAAAAGCTATCCACAGCCTGACACGCCAAGATGCCCTTCCACAAATCATCAATGGACATTAGACTGAAGGACAAGCACATCCTCAGTGCTTATTGCCGCCGACCGACCGGGGACGCAATTTACTCGGAACTAGATCTGAACGGGGTCTTAGGGGCCAAGAAAGGCGAGTTGCGTCCTTAGAACCATACAAAATTATTTTTCACGCTGTATGACTAACGTGGCTCTCATTAGGAAAACTCACATGGAGCTGTGAGAACTTTTCCGATTCTGCAACTGATGTCGCCCTTCGAATGGATGGCCCAAACGATGAGCCTGTTTTGCATGCGCAGCTCGACGACGGGGAGGGAAACATCTCCAATGACGAGCTGAATCTGGGTACATGTATCAAAAACGAAGATGGACATTTGCGGTATATGCAATGTTTCTAGAGAGATTCACGTTTCAATTTCATTTTCCGAGAAAAAGACAAGAAAAAGACAAGAAAATAGACAAGTGTTTGATTTGAGCCAATACCATCAGTGAGCCGGGGGAGTATAGGAGCCAGATTTCACAATCGAGAGCCCAGATCTAAGATTAAACGGCTTGAAACTCCAAACCTGACTCGGCCTGACCTAGAACCGTGTGACACAGCCAAAGAAAAACATAATGCTGTAGTCACACTACAACTGAGGCTGAAAATGAAACCTAGGAACACCTACAGAAATACAAACCCCAAAGCTTGCAACCTCTGAGCCCCGAAGAACAACCAAGAACACCCCAGACCACACTAACTTTGCACCCATCAAGGAAAAGCCATTGACCCACCGGCATCTCAGAAATTCCCCGGCCGTCGATCCTCAACACCCAAAATCAGTTCATGTCCCCAGCAAAGAATGCCCAGAATAGCCCTGTCATCTCATTGCCCCAAGCCACAATGACCATAGCCGAACAACCATACCGGAAACAGTAAAGGCGGGAATATCGACAATGCCCAAAGCCTCGAAAAAGGCGCCACTAGCACCCAAGCCCTCGGTAGACTAGGCCCTGCAGAATACAGTTAGACAGCGGCCAGGGTGAGATTTGCGAGATTTGCCTTGTCCTTGGCATTGGGCTTGTGCTTATGGGACTGGTATGGGTGGGGTCCAAAATGGTATGCAGATGCCCCGGTCTTTTTCGTGAAAAGAAGCGGTTAGGGGAAAGGCTCGCGTCTTGGTATTTTCTTTCTGCTCGGCCAATCGTGCGCTTGGGTGACGGTCCTTGTGGACTTTCGGGCCCGACTGTTTCTTTCCGCTATGCCTGAGTTGGTGTACCACGCGCCAGTTAGGCGAGCTGCGGAAGTTTCAGGTTTGGCTTTGGTTTTGGTTTCTCTGGTTACCCTTGCTTCCTATGGGGTGACGGTTTGACTTGTTCGTAGGAGTCTTCGTTAGTTTGAAGGCAGTAATTTAGTCCCGAGTCCCGCGTGTCTATTCTGTGGGGTCTATATCTTTTTTTTTTTCTTCTTCTTGCAGGCACGGTACATGCACATCCCTCCGAGCCGTTAGGGGGAAATATGTATGAGACTAAGTGCGCATCATCGATCCAAAAATACCCTCGCGGGTCGCAAATGGTCGTTGTAAATTCCGCTGATCTTTATTTCCTTTGTTGCCCCGAGATCTGGCGGATCGACTTTTGTTCATTTTGGTTTAGCGTCGCAGCATGGAGACTCCTTCGTCGTTAGGTATCGACCGGGGTGTGGATGTCGCCGAAATCACCGAAAGTACCGAAATGAGAACAACTCAACGTCGCGCATTTTCAACTTCTAAGCGAGCGGCTCCTTTGATAATTACTTGGTGATTCTGATGCACAGGCCTTGGGGCCAGGATGGTGGTCGCTGTGGTGTTGATTGGTCTGTTTATACTTGATCCTATTGGGCCTGAAACCAAGTAGGCAGCTTATGAGACAGGCCACGGTCACGAAATCAAAAACATTGCTTAATCTGCTAGACCAAGGTCAAAAAAAAAGCCAATGGAATAGATGGTACCAAAAAGGTCTAGAGGCCTTAGGGATCTCAGGAACAAAAAAGCTATACTAAGTCACTGAGCCCTGACTTGGACAAAGCCTATATGCAACACGATGGGCGCCTCACTAGATCACAGTCATAGGAAATGTACCACGAGTAGAAGATTCTACATCCCTTACTGCCTTCTCTTATTGGTAGCAGATAAAGTGCGTCCGAAGTCTGCGGCCTTCTTTTTTCTTTGCTGGCTCTGATTTATGAAACCTTTACCGGAGATGTCTCATTGTCCTTCACCATCATCTTACTCGAGCTTACCATGACACGAGATGTTATTGAATAGCTTCGTGACATGACATGATTGCCTCAGTGATCAAGCCTCGTTCGTTGGCTTGCACTACTATTTATTCTTCTACTTCTCCGAGAACCATCTTTCTTTTCCTTCACTTCTTCTCTTCTTTCACTCTCTGCTTCGTCCTCTCTTCTCTATGATCATCCTTCGCCCATCATCGCCGAATGGCGGTGGATCTCATTCCATCACAACCCAGGAGAATTGGAGGCGTCATATCGATGCATTCATCAGACTACTCCGATAATTTTGACTATCCGGTCCGTCCAAAACATACTCATAATCTTGCATTATCTGGAAGTGAGAATCTGCTAACACTTACTTATTCCAGGTTCCCTGAATGCCCCACTTTACACAACCCTCCTTCCTGTGTCTTCCATTTGGAAAAGGTCACACCAGATAGACCAAAAGCAGGCGAGACTGGCCGGGGAATGACCATGTTTATACGTCCACCGGAAACTGAATCTAATGTCAATAAGCAATAATATATGGTACCTTGACATACAATCCCACATTACCCGACTTCAGGCGTGAGAATTTATACTAACACTGATTTACTCCAGGTAGTACGCCGAGTCACTTAACATACTCGCCTTTTACACGTCTACACTTCTGACGAGGTAGCAAGACTGATCAGTATAAGCGAGGTTTATCAAGGTAATACAACGTTGGTGCATCTATCAGATGAATCTCACCAACGATCGAGACTAAAGGGAAACGACTCTTGAAAATCCTTCGCAGAGTCTACCTAGGATACACCCGCATCTAATCGGAATCTACACTTATTGGCCAATGTTGACTGAAGCCTTTTCCACTTTCAAAAGCCGGTATCCCAACATGGCTTTGATTTACAGCTATTGGGCCCGATAATGTCATTCTTCAAGCCTCCGCGTTGCGCATGTCCATATTCCAAGCAGACATGGGCTCTGCTACTATTGGCCACGTCATACGCAACCGAGGTTCATGAATATTCTCTATTTTAAACACTCCGTTCCTTGATTTCAAAGTATCAGCTAGTTCTGTTACTTGATTTTGAATCCCGACATACAAACATCCACCGGAAGGAGCTCAAAGTTTATACACACACTACCACCATTGCGCAAATCTTCATTAGTAAACACTGTGTGTTGTTGTTTGATGTACACTAGTTCAGATGTTCCACCGGAAGTTGATTGGCATTTGTATAGTACCTACGTGGGCACCAGTTAGGATGAACGCATCCACCGGAAGTGGTAGCTCGATGCTTGCATGGCTAGCGTGCTGATACGCCACAAATGGCTCACGGTTGGAAAGGACGAGAAAATCTGGCAGGAAATCCACATCCAGGATCTGACCAACCTCCACCTGGCTCTGGGTGATGCCGCTGCTGCCCGTAAAGGTAAGACTACCTGGGGCGATGAGGGGTACTATTTGCCTAAGAGTGGTTCAGTTGTCTGGGATGATATTCAACGCGCCGTCGCACAGGCTGCTTTTGATCAGAAACTTACTCCTTCACCGGAGGCAGGGACCCTGAGTGAAGCTCAGCTTTTTGAGATTTGGTTCGGGGCTATGTACGCTTGGGGCAAATCGATCCATGCTAACAGAGTGCTTGATTGATCGCCGCAGCAGCCAGGTAGATTGATTGACCTCATTCCTGATATTGTTGAGGGCAAGGCGAAGGCTCTTGGGTTGTTGTAAGATCGAATGGATGTTTGTTATGCTCACTAGGAACAACCAATATTTATCGGCTATATAAAGAAGATAGACATATATGAGCTGCAGCTATGAGATACTTGATGAAGCCGTTATTTTCATTTTGATTAATTCTAACCCTGCCAGCTGTTCAGGAGTACTCAATTCAACAAGTGACGAAAACAGGAGATGTAGGGCCACTCTTGTTACTAAGATTGACACATGAGGCGACTCATCTTCCTAAACAGCACGACAACCCAATACTTCATGGAAATGAAGTATCTAACTACAGACGATGCCACTAGTGTGGTGGCCACAGGTTTTCCACGCACTGGTTTTCTCTCTCCGTCGTCGTTTTCCATGACAGAACACGCCCAATTTCGGTGATTACTATCTGGATATTCTGTTAGAAATACCAAGTCTGGCAGAATTGGTCCTAGTTGCATGACCACCGCGGTCAATGATGGGGCTGCAGACCCTCAATGTGCCCTTGATATCTCCATTTGGCGGTGTTGAGGTGGGCCCCATCCAATTGTAAATCGAGAGCGCACACAAAACAACTATTATTAATGGGAAGTGAAATACTCTGGAAACCAACGTGAAAGAGGGCTTCGCTGGTGTCAGTAAGTTGAGGTCATCATCGAAGTCGTAATCTGAGCGTTATTTGAGCCGTCATTTGAGAGATGGCAAGGGCATCCCAACTTCTAAAGCAATATATACCACCATTCTTTGATCACTACTCTACCGAACGATCCTAACAATCTACACCTTTACTAACACTCAGAAATCCTAAGATCTCCATTGACGTGCATCTATCTAATCTACCTAGGTATCTATCTAATGGGATATGAATAAGGGAAAAAGCCGAACCAGCGCTGAAAGAAAGAAAGAAAGAAAGAAAGAAAGAAAGAAAAAAAAAAAAAAAAAGAACAGGCACCTACCTAGGACCCGGCCCAGACCAGTACGGTCAAAATGGGTGCAAGAAATAAACGAAATATGAAAAAGCAAAGGAGATCATTTCAAGTCATGCATGCCCATTGCAATCATGAGATGTAAACGTAAAGAATCGGCTAAATCGCAGAATGCTCCTATCCCATGATTTTTACCCTCCCTTTTCCTCCCCTCCCCTCCCTTCTCTCGCCCTATGTTCCTCCTCTTACTATTAACTTTGAAAGAAAAATAAAAATATCGACCAACGACCCTATGTACTTTGTCCATTTCCTCCCAGCTCACCCCTGCCCGTGGGTGAGACGAATCTCGAGTTTAACTAACGCTATGGTGTGTCTGCAGACCGCTTAGATCTGGTACACCGTGCGCAGTTTCTGGGCCACGGGCTGGGGGAGCTGGCCGAGGAAGTCGTCGAAGTTGGGTATCATGTTTTTGTACCCTTGCAGGACCTGATTTACGAGATTAGCACGGCATTATCATGTTTCCGAGTAGATGTTCTTACCTGCTGGAACGAGACCTGGATCTCGCGGTACTCGTCCTGCGCCAGCGACTTCGCAGGGAAGGTCGAAATGGCTTGGAAATAGTCGACCAGGCTCGACTCCATGGCCTGGGGGTTTTTTGTCACGACCTGGTTGAAACCGAGGAAGGCAGAGGCCTTCTCACGGGTGAAGTCAATCTTGTCCATGGATTTCAGGAAAGGTCCGGAGCACTCGCTCAGGCGTGGTGCCATCTGGTCGGCGCAGCAGAATCCCAACCGCCCCAATGCCATGGCTGCATTCTCGTTAACGGAATCGATGATCTCCTCGTTGTTAATAATGGCAAGGAGGCTGTGGTAAAGCTTGTCTGCGTATGGCGTGAGACCGGCGTTTTCGTTCACGGCGATCTCACCGCAGGACCAGCAGGCGTTGTTCAAAACACTGAAACCGGTGTGGCGATCGTCATCGCGGATAAGGTCCAGATCGAGCTGCTTAATGAGGATGGGCGCGATGGTGGGGATGAAAGGTTCCAGGTGAGGGAAAATGCTTATGGCGCAGTCACCCAGAAGAGCGTATGAAGACTGGCGGACTTCGTAGTTGGAATCCTCCATGCAGTAGCAGAGGATATCGAAGAATCGTGGTTGCGAGGAAGAAACAAGCTCACCACTCTTGCGCGGGTCGATAGCCTGAATGATGGCACTCAGAAGATCCAGGCTGGTGACCAGGAAGTCCTTGTCGGGCTCATCGAAAGCAGCATTGTTTGCTGACTGGAGAGATGCCTGCAGGTTTTCATAAATGATCCTGATGCAGCGCTGGAAAAGAGGGGGTGCGAATTCTGCAAAAACATCGCCATAGGCGGCAGCAATGTAGCCAAGGCACTCGAGGAGAGGGAAGAGCTCTCGAGACTCGTCGCTGACAGAGTTGTAGCGTCCAATAAGGGCAGGCATCAGGATACCGACCAGGTGAGGCTTGGAAAGTTCGCTCATGACACATTCGGCCAATGTCTGCACACAGTCGTAGAGAATGTACATGTTTCTGTCCTTGTATTTTCCGAAGCATGCGACGAACTGGCGCAGGATAGGGTCGCAGTATGGCAGAAGGTTTTCATCAGCCTTCTCTTCCAAGCTGGCGAATGCCGACGCAGCAGCTTCTTGCACCTTCTTGTTGCTGTCCAGCATGCGGTGAAGGATGCCTTCCATCATAGGCTCGAAATATTGCGCTTTCTGGGATGGGTCACGAAGACCTGCGGCCCAGCCGGAGTAGCGAGCCAAGCACCAGCAAGTGATCTGTCGCACGACAGGCTGGGCATCGTTGAGTAGTGAGATCAAGTAAGGGACGAGCTCTGGGAGGTGGGGAGTCACGGCATCCATGCATCCGTCGGCAACTGCGCCCAAGGTGAGGACGGCAGCTTCACGGTTGGGCCACTGCTCATGGCGGAGAGTCTCCTTCAGGTAAGGCAGAAGAATTTCAAAGACGGGACGATGGTAGACGTTGGAGAAGACGTCAAGGGCTGCAGCAGAACACTTGCGCAAGGTCCAGTTGCCCGAAGGATCGTCACCAAATTCGGAGTCCTCGATTTCGCCTTCGCTGAGTTCATCATCCTCTTCCTCCTCGACCTGTTGCTCCTCTTGGGCATTCGCTTGGTCGCCCTGCTTATTTGAGTTCAGACGGTCGGCCTTGGACTTCGCGAACTGTGGCTTAAGATCCTCAGCGCGGTCCTCGGTATCAGCATCATCCTGCTCAGCCATCAGTCGAATAACCTCATCCTCCTCGTAGATCATGTTCTGAAGCAGGACCGGGATGATTTTAGGCATGAAGGGAGCGAGCGCCTGCTTCAACTGTGCCTGCTCTCCAGCACCGATCCAGAACTCGGCTGCATCGAGGGCTAGCTCCGGATCGTCCTGAGACTGCTGCTGCATAATAATGTAGTTGACCAGACCCTCCATGTGCGGGGCAAGCTTCTCAGGCGCGAACTCGACCAGCTGGGAGAATGACTGGCAAACCATCTGTCGGACCTTGGTGTCCTGGTCACCGGACAGGTTGAAAAGCTGTGAAAGGAAAAGATCAAGCGAGGCCATCAATGCCTGAGGCTTGTAGGGAAGGAAGATGTGCACGGCACTAAGAGCGGTAGCACGGATATTGGAGCTCTCGCTGGAGCTGAATTCCAAGAGCTTGGGAATAATTACGTCAAGTGGGCGCTGTCCGGAGTAATCGCGGTCGAGAATCTTGCGGTTGTCCTCGCAGACCTTGAGCAGAGCTTCCATGGCAGCCTCACGAGTGCCAATGGTAACGTCACCAGAGGCATTGCCGACCAGAGACAAAAGCTCCTGGAGGACCTCGGGCCAGGACAACAGGCCGCCTTGGCTGAGGAGCTCTGTGATGATGCTACCAGCACCCCGCTGAACGTTGCGCTCGGGGTCGCGGAGCGCGAGCAAAGCTGCAGATCGCACAAAGACCAGGCTCTGGGGGGTAATGGTGTTGTAGGCGACAAAGATCTTGGTCTTGACGTTCATGGCGGCGGCAAATCGAATGGTGCTGTACTCCGCATTGCTGATCCCCGAGGAGGGAGGAGGGTGCGGGGTGGAGAAGAGGTAGGTGATGTAGTTAATGTAGTCGGGAGAAGATGTCGCTTGAGTAAGCATCTTTCAATAGAAAATATGAGGTTAGCTTTCATCCAGGTGTAGAGCCGCAGAGGCGGGCAAAAAAAGGAAAGCCAGTACCTGTTCAGCTTGCTTTCGAGCTGGACCGATTCCTCCAATAAGAGAGTCACGGAGGCAGCAAGCCAGCTGCCTCAATGGCTCCTCCTCAGGTTGCCAGTCCATCTTGTCTGGTGTATGGACTTGGGTCGACTGTTGTTAAGAAGTGTAGTCGAAAGTGCGAGTGGCACAGGAGCCCCGCCGAGAATGTGGGAACGGGCCCCTTCGATTCCCCAGATAGGACAAAGCGATCACCCACGGCGCTGGTCTGCTTACACAGATCCAGAAATAAAAAAAAAAAACTGAGAAAGAGCCGTAAGATCATGCAGAGCAAAGAAATGATGAAAAGCGTCGAGGGTACAAGAGGGGGTGCACAGGCAGAAAAAAACAATGTCGCTGAAAAGAGTAGGCGGTACGCAACTGTAAAGGTTAAAAGAATATCACTTCGTGTTTATATCACAACAAGAGTTAAATGCTTCAAGCGTCCAGACATGTTACGTGATAGAGGTATGCCCACATACCAGAGAGGCGAGAAAGGAAGGAGATTAGACATGGATATTTGGGATCTTATAGCGGCAAATGCCCGCGTAGAATCGCGCCGTATACTTGGGGACAGTGGAAGATGGAACAGGATAATTGAAAGGAGGAAGAAAGGTGATGGAGTTAGATTTGGAAATTATAGCGGACAATCACCGCTCTAAAATCCGCGAGATACTTTGACTCATATTCCCAGAACATCAAGCTAAGGGTCATCTTGTTTTTTGATATTTGGATCAACGCCTACACCACAAACACCACCCTTCTGACCGACATTCACGGCGGACAGCACGACCCGAATCCAGCTAAGTACCACATAACAGCGTATCATGCAATGAAGAACTGACCTTCACAGGCCAACGCCTTCACACACTGATGACCTCCAGGGCAGACAAGCATCAACGCATCAACGAAAATGCTTGCATCAGCCTCACCTTCTCGCAGACCAGAGCACCAAGCAACTAACCAGATCACCCATCCCAAATCGACAAGACCAAACCCCCAAAATCAAGCCCAAACCATCTTCTTCAAATCATAAACCAAATACTCCAACCAACCAGTTCTCTTCTTAGCATCCGCCAACGAAATAATATCAGACTCCTCAACAGCCGAATGCCCTTCAACAGTCCTCCCCTCACCAGCAACCATAGCACGCTCAATATCCTGCGCAATAGAGCGCACACGATCAATCTCTTTCACCGCAGCGGCCGTCGGACCAAGGCGCGGACTAGCAACAGACGTAGATAAAGGCAATCCCTTGAACGCAACGAAGCGCGTCGTGGCCCTCCTCACACCGCGCAGCCAGGAAACAAGATCCCATTCGCTATTTGCGCTGGCTGTTGTCTCCAGTGTGGACATGTTCACGTCGCTTTGAAGTGAACGCGTGTTGACACGGAGGGCATTTGTATCGCCGTCTCTGTAGACGATGACGAGGCCGACATTGCTTGATTCGTTTGCTTGGCTATCCGTCAGGATCGAGGTGATGTAGGTGCCGTAATGGATTCGCGAAATGGAGCGGAGATCAATGCGTTCGAATGAGAGGACTTTGTCAGTCTCCCAATCAAAGCGACAGCTGTAGACTGCCGCATCTGTGAGCAGGAGGACGGATTCCTCGAAGGGGAATGTGCGGAGGGTATTTGGCTGGCGGGGGGTGAGCATAGTCCAACCGCCGAGGAAGTCCTCTGAGGGACTTGAGATGACGATGTTGCAGCTTGTGTCGATGGCGTTCTGGCGGAGCTTTTGGACTGAGATTCCTGGGTCTGTTGTTTGGAGTTGGATGGCAAATTCGTCGAACACTTGTGTTGAGACGTTGCCTAGGAGGTAGTCTATGCAGGCCTGTGAGAAGAAGTCGTTTACTATGTTGTTGTAGTAGCGCGACAGGGTGAGGCCTAGGTCGTTGAGGGCGCCGCGATAGTCTCGTTTGCGGGTGCGGGTGTAGTCGCCTTTAAGGGCAGCTGTTGAGGAGTATTGCTTTGAGATTGCGTCGCCGTTGTCGGCCCATAGTGTGTTGAACCATTGGGTTGAGGAATCGCCGCCGAAGTCGATGTCTATGCCTTCGTTTTCAAGTTGGTGTTCGAGCGCCCATTGTCCAAAGGCGCATTGGGCGACGCCCGTGCGGTCGAGGCAGTCCATGCAGTTGGTTCGCATGATACCCTTTTGGGTCTGCAGAATATCGTTGTCGACGATTATTGTGTAGCAGAACTCGTTCAGTGTGTCTTTCAGACGGTCAACCAAACGAGACACGTTCTCAAACTTCATTCCGCGGCATTCACGGTGGAAGTCGAACCATTCCAGGTTCACTGGAGTGCCATCAATGCCGCCGGCTTCATTGAAGGATTTTGTGTATCTCTCGTATTGCTCTCCCAGCTTCAGCTCACCGGCGAGCTTGTCAATGAGGGAAACAGCCTGGATCTTACCATACCTCCGACTAAACTCCCGGAAGTGTCTGCCCAAAGCAAGGAGATTGGTATCCGCAGAATGATGCAACACAGGAATCGGCTTCAAAGCATATGGCGACTGAGAGAAATACAACGGGATTGAGCCTCGCACTTGCATATAAGAATAGGCAGGCCGAGACGGATTCCAATCAGGAACCGAAAGAATCTGCTCAGTCTCAACAGTATTGGCAGTATTACCCTCGTCGTCAATACCACGGCGTAGGTAACGAAGACCCGGCCGATTAACAGAGCGGCGAGAAATGAGTGTCAGAAGATAATCACGCTTGTTGGCATCGATTTTAACAGCCTCTGCCTCGTGCTTCTCGCCGAGAATTTTACCTCCCGCAAGTTCCTCCGATGACTTCTCAGTGCCAGCAATGGTAAATTCACGCTGACCAACAAAGCCCTGGATAAGCGGTAAAACAAACCCATGAGCTCCATTCTCAATGAAAGCACTCATTAAATGTCTATTCCAGAAATACTGCAAAAGTCAGCAAGCAAGATCCCAAGTACTAAATAGCCAAGCATATGGTTCGCGCATACCAACGGATCAACAACTTTATGCAGCGGAAGTAAATCCTTCCGCGCTTCCTGTGTATAAACAGACCGTGTAAGATCATAATCATAAGAAAAGAAGAAGTTGCGCGAAGCAAACAGAAGCCGTGTATATCTCAGCAGCTTCGGCAAGAGATCAGTAGCCTGATCGGATTTCAGTCGATCAGAGTCCAAATCACCAGCTGCATCAGGCTTATCTGCCTGCAAAGAAAGAAGCTCGCCCTTTGCACCGCGGGCCTCACCGGAGGGGCTAGACACATCATCATCAAAAGGTGATTTGGCCACTTGAGCCGAAGCCTGAGTCTGAGCTTGAGCAGCAGCCGAATCAGGACTAGAAGCAGGAATATCCTGTTCCATAGCCCCAGGTCTCGGCAAACCAAGATTCTTGCGTGACAACCAATTAGCCGCAAAGCGACCAAACCTCACTCTCTTGCCGATGACGTCTTCCGCAATACTCCCAACACTAGCACCGCGGGCATGATGTGTCTCACGAGTCGGGGACGCAGGCAAGCTACCGATCTCGGCTTCCGCACGGTCAGTTTCATTATCGGGTAGATCGTCTTCGTCATCATCCGAAGAATCAAGCGAAAGGATCTCCTGTACTGTATCTTTTCCAGCTTGGGCGATTGCGCGAGTGGCGTCTGCTTGGGAGGAGATGGGGATAATGGCTACATTTGTCACGGCGTAGACGGGTCGGTTTTGGATTTGGGCGACTTGTTCTCGCTGGGTTATTGATACTAGGAAGGAGTATGAGGCGACGGATAATAGGCCTGTTGTGTGTGGGTGAAACCCCACGGGTTAGTTTGGATCATTGTGGGGTTTGAGGTAGCTGTGGCTGTTTCATGTACCTATTAAGCCGTGGGCTTCCAAGGCGTCTTGTCCTTCGAGGGATTCTGAGGTTGGGGTTGGTAGGGCGGTTATCTTATTTGTTTTGTAGTCGATGCGGATTGACGAGGCTTCATTGTTGCTTCCGCTGGTGGATCGACCGTTTGCTGCGTGGAGGACTAGGCCGTCGACTGCGGCGACGATGATCAGCTTGCGCAGGAGAGGCATCTTGGTTCTCTCCCCCTTAGTTGGGGACTATTCGACCTGAAGAGGCAGAGAGAAGAGAAGAATCTCGGATGGGCATGTTCCATAAACAGCTGACTACATCATCGGCCCCACCATCTATTCCAAAATCCAAAGAAACTGAACTATATACAAAACAAAACGCATACTCAGAGTCATATCCAGTCGTTCAGACATCTCTATCTGAGCCCGAGTTCTGCAACTCTGGCATTTTCGTAGAGTAAAAATACAATTGAAGCATACACCGTTAGAGCTGACTGTTCTGCTTGGTGTGCTTCGCAGTCTGCCTGTCGGTACGTGGGAACGTCGGCCCTGGCTCTCCATCACTTGCCTCGGCGAAATTATTCATGTTGATTCCATTGTGCTCCACATCGTATGCGTGGATGAGCCCTTCACGGTCGCCGTTTCCATTCAGGTATGCGCTCGAGGAGCTGCGGCGAGACTGCATCGAGCGGCGAGTCTGGAAGCTCGCAATGGCATCCGTTGGAACTCCATCCTCGTCTAGCTTAGAGTTCACCATGTGGTGTCCGTCGGGGTCGTGGCGCGACAGGTTCAGGAGATACACGCCGGTGAAAATGATGAGGAATCCACAGAGCAGAGATATCGTGTTGACTGCATCGGTGGTGTTGAATCCCTTGAAGAGAATGAAGGAGGCGCAAAGGGTCGCGGTTGTGAAGGTAACGTAGTAAAGCGGGTTCACACTGCAGAGACCACTCATTAGTATCGTGGCTTCATCCGGAGTCATTTCACTTACATCGAGGTGGAGAACGAGTTCAAGGCCTTGTTGAAGTAGTTCATCTGAGTAAGAATGCAGAATCCAGTCACGATGGCGAAGACATAAGTCGAGGCATGGACGAATTGGTTGTTGCCCGCAAATGTCAACTTGACCGCAATACCGAATGCCTTCACAGACATGACCGAAACCGATCCAACAGTGGAGCAAATCGAGATGTAGATCAGAGGATTCTTCTTGCCGTAGACCGGGGCAACCCGATAGATCATCAGCGTGGAGAAGATCGCGACCGCCAGACAGTAGACGAGGAACCCTGCGAGGAAAGAATCAGCGGTCTGCCGGCATCACATACCAATCTCGAGTCCGGGTCATACCTGGCTGAACAGCATATCCGAGAATCTCATTGACGGTTTCGACCTGCTTGTCGGGAGGCGCATGAAGAACGATGATGACCGACCCCAACAAACACATCGCACATCCCAGCTTGCCCAAAACACCGAGTTTCTCCTTGAGAAAGTACGAGCCGAGGACCGACCTGTGATCGTCAGCCAAGTGTCCATATATCCAGACCACGTCGGGAGCTCCCTACCCGATCAACACACTCAGCGCACCCAACGGCGTAACAAGAATCGCGGGCGCAAACGCATAGGCCGCAAAGTTGGCCACTTCACCGAGTCCCACTGTAAACCTCATTAGCTTCTGACCAGCCCATCGATGCTGATTCTGACGCGTACGTAGAGAGACACCAGCCCACCACACAGGGCTCTTCAGATATGAGAATCCTTCACCCTCAAAGCCATGTCGCTCGGATGCATGATTCAACCCCTGCAGACCATTAGCCATCTATTCACTTCTACCGACCGAGTTCCAGGTCGCAAGATCGTGGGCAGACGAACCAATTTCGTAATAACAAAGCTTGTACCGATTCCCATCGTCGAAACAATGGCTAGGATGAGTCCGACATATCTAAGGGGTGCGCGCAACGATGTTAGAGCTTCTGGCCAGTTTGTTCACAGCAATTCGAATGGGAAGACATACTTGTCTGGAAGCATCTTGACGTAATTTCTGAGGAGCCGAGTGCTCCTACTGTCGAAAGACCTCCAGTGCCGGCAATGGAGAGACAAGAGCGAACGACCCGGGTGAAGCCAAGAGACAAAAAAGAAGCGAAGGTCTAGAAGGTAGATGCAAGTTAGATGAAGAGGATGTGGTGCCTGCGTGCGGTGGGGTTCCGTTTCAAGTCAGGCCGATCGGGACGCGTAAGAGAACGGCTGAGTCTGGAGGCGAGCTGGAACTAATTAAAAGTACTGAAATAGAGATCTGAATAATGGAGAATCACACTGAGGTACACTGAAGCACACGGGATATAATTAGGTGGCCAGTTCCAAAGTCCCTTGTTAAGTTACTAGTCACATTAGGGATTATCCCTCGGTACCTGAACCTGCATTTCTCATTCTTGGACCCTGAAATGAGTGCGGCGATCGTTTCATCTCCGAATGCGGCGTTTCTATACATAGTCTTTCTCGAGAGATAAACTCGTACTATTGACTTCATGGCGTTTATGTAGTGGAAACTGCCTACTTAGTCTAGTGTCGGTACTTCCACCCTGGTCAGCCCCATAGAGGTGAGACATTCAAGTTCCAATGTACATTCCAATTGTCAAGTGTTCGACTTGTATGCAGCATAAATTGGGTAATGAAGAGGACTAACTAGAACTTTTTGGTATCCTACACGTGGAATATCCCACGCCGAGACGCCTAAGTCCTATAGGGGAAATTTAAAAATCATAACACACCCAACACCGAAAACAAATTTTGGCCAAAGTATGAAAGTGGTATCTCGAAATCGCAAGGAAAGACCAGAGGCAGAAATGCAAATGAAAATCGGGAGAATTGGGGAATGTGCCGCGGACTGAGGTTTAATCCAGATGCGAGAACAACGAAATCGCGTGTCCCAGCGGGGACGCGCAGGGGAAAGGGTCGAACATACCTGTGAGTAGTCAATGATCAAAGACACTGCGTCCGCCGGTCGAGGTCGTCGCTGGCAAATAGCATTAGTAGAGAGTGGCCATCATCCAAGATGAGGCCATATGATAGGAGAGAGGGGCCCCTGAGTCGGGCCTCGTGACGATTAGTCTACGACGAGCGGCGGCGCTTGGTGTCAACAGTGGTTTCCACCAGATCCCATTCATCGTCGTCGTCGTCTTCGCGAGACCGTTTGGAAGACAGGATCGCGCTGGGTTCAGCATCTGCGACTGAAGTGTCTGCCTCAGCCAGCACGACTGCCTCGGATTCGTCCACCTTGGGGGCGTATTCGCCAAAGTTATCCTCGAAATGTTGCTCATCGGCACCTTCATCGTGAGCGAATTTGTGCTCGGGCTCGCCGGAGACTACGCCCTCAATGTGATCAAGTTCGTGCTCGGTGTCTTTCGCGGGGGATTGCAACACATCTGGAGCTATCTCAAGCAAATCATTTGAATGATCAGGGGTTTGCTCCTTGCCAGATGCTTCTTGTGGTGCACCATTCGAGGTAGGCTCAACTTGTTCATTGAAAGTCTGATCGCCTTCAGTGTTGAAGGCATCTGCCGATACGACTTCATCCGTGGGGGCGGCATCTAATTCATCTTCGTCTCCATCAGGCCCGGGTGCATGATCGGCAGGAGCTTGAGCACCACTGTCATTATCCTCGCCGGTAAATTCATCCTGGAAGTTCCCTTGATCACCGAAACCATTGTCTTCGTCGTTGTAGTATTCGGCATCGAAGCCACCATTTTCATCTTCATTTTGGTCATATTTAGCTTCCGCAGCATCTGTCGAGACATCTTCGATCTGCTCTGTGATCTCAGCCTCACCAGATAGCGGGGCCACAGTGGCCGTAGATTCGCTCTGTTGGCCTTCGGAATCGTAGTGACCTTCGTTCTCGTTATCGTAATTTTCACCTTGATCATCATCGTGGAGACTATCTTCTTGGACATGTTCGCCTTCAAAGTGTTCGAATCCAGACTGATCATTTTCTCTGCCTTTAGGCTGACCTTGAAGAGCGTCATACTCTGGTGCAGCCCGGGTCTGTTCTTGGACAGCGGCGGATGCAATATCCTCCTGCGGCAAGTCCTTTATTTGGGCATCACCCGGACGAGCTTCCTTAGGCGGGCTCTCGTCAACTGGAGCGGCCTGCTCTTCACCAGATGAAGCAAGCTGAGTGACATGGTCTGATTGTTCTGGCTGAGCTTCTTGGCTGGAAGACCCACCCTCATGTTGCTCGGTCTCATGGATTCCAACATCATCTTCAGAGCCGGGCTCAAGTTCATCAAATTCAGCCCATGGGTGGATTCCTGAGAGTCCCTTGCCATCATTGGCAGCGTCAAGGAGATCAGCAATTTCAGCTGGGAACGCGCGCTTGCTGCTTAGTGTTAGATAGAGAGCTTCAGCATCTGTGGTGCCATCGTTGTGGCAAAGTCGAAGGTAGAGATCAACGACCTGGTGCAAAGTAACTTGGGATGCGTGGAAAGAGTCCTAAAAAAGGGGTTAGTTTGTTGATCAAGGGAAAAAGTAGGAATGAACATACCTCTGTCATTTGAATACCAAGCACATCGATATCAATAACAAGGACCTCATTATCCGCCACATTACCCTGGAGCACCTGGCGCAGAGCCTTGAACAATTCACCAACGTTTTCATACGCCACATCTTCATCATGAAGGAAGAATGTCTCTGCTGAGTCACCCTCAAGAGGTGGGAAGAGAGCGATCTCATTGTCTTGATAATAGATTTTCACAGGATGGAGGGATTCATTTCCATTCTCAGCGTGAGCCTCTTCCTCATGTGAAGGTTGTGGCTCTGCATGCTCGAACGCAGAGGTATTAGCCTGAGGGTCTTCAGGGGGAGCAGCCTGGGTCTCTTCGAAGGAAGTCTGGACTTGACTAGTCTCCAGGCTTTCCGTTGCCTCAGGGTTCTCATCTGTGGCCAAGAGAGAATGGTTTTCTGTCTCTTTCACCTTCAGACCAAGATCAACTTGTTCGTGGTTTTCAGTGTTTTCAGTATCGGTGCCGTTTTCGGTCGGGTTCTGGACAAGGGTATCCTCCTCCGTGGCGGGAGCGATCTCGGTGTTAGGGGGCTGGGTCTCGGATACTTGAGACTCAATTTGATCTTGTTGAAGTTCGGTGGGAACGCTAGGAGTTCCCTGTACTTGCAGGGTGGGTTGTTCGACCATGACTGAGACTGTCTCATTTACCTCGATGGGCTTGCTCGTATCTTCGGTGGTCGTGCTTTCTAGTTGGATAGTGGGAACTGGAATACCAACATCTTGGAGTTGATCGTCTTCAATCATCTCAGCTTCGTATGTCTCTTCTGTAAAATTCACATCGATGTCGTTATCTTGGTCGACGAGGTGAGCATCGATCATCGACCCCTCAGAGAGCTCATCAGCCATGTCGGCATCGTGTATGGCCTCGTTGAACTCGGTAGGCTGAGATGCGTTGGCAAACTCTTCCGCGCCCATCATATCGCTGTCCATATTGGAGGTATGATCATGATCCTCCATGAAGTCGATGTCGATATCAAAATCGTCAACCTGCCCCTGGTAGGGCGAGGCCATCTCCATAGAGTCTTCCACAGGGGGGACTTCCATGGTGGGGAATGGTACAGAAGGAACTGCTGTCATGGCAAAAAAAAACGCGCGAACTTGTTCAAGTGCCACAGGTACGTGTTGGAAGTCTCAGAGGTGAGCTTCCATGTAAACGTACGATGTGGATGCAAAAGTGAAAGGGAAAGGGTTGTCGGGTCTCTAGAAATGTAAAAGCCCTAGTTTAAGGAAGAGAGCGATAATCTGAATGAGGGCAAAGAGTATCAGACGCGTGGGAAAAAGGTGAAGTGAGGAAGAAAGTGGTCGCCGACTAAGCGAAATGGATGCACGGACCACCGGCCGAAGTGAACAGAGTAGCTCCCTACCGTTGCCATCACTGCATATGCTTGTTTAGTCCACTCGTCCGTGATTCTGTGGTCTCTGTGCCATTTCTTTCCTCTTATTCTTTTTACTGTTATTGACTGACACCTCATCCATCATGGTATGCCCCTGTGTAAGCCATTTCGCTGAGGAAATCAACTAATCAACACACAACAGGTCGTTCTGGCAGCGTCGATTTGTACTCGCGGAGGCAAAGCAGTCCTCTCGCGTCAATTCCGCGAGATCTCTAGGTCGCGAATCGAAGCCCTCCTCGCCTCTTTCCCTAAGCTTGCGGACTCCGGAACCCAACACACCACTGTCGAGCAAGACAACGTGCGCTTCGTTTACCAGCCATTGGACGAGTTGTACATTGTCCTGATAACCAACCGCCAATCCAACATTCTACAAGACATTGACAGTCTCCACCTCTTCGCGCAAGTCACAAGCAGCATCTGCAAGAGCCTGGACGAGCGCGAGATCCTCCGCAATGCCTTCGAACTCCTGAGTGCATTCGATGAGTTGGTGACATTGGGATACCGGGAGAACCTTTCTCTGTCTCAGATTAAGACCTTCTTGGAAATGGAGAGTCACGAGGAGAGAATCCAGGAGATCATTGAGCGGGTACGTTGCGAGATAGCACGCGGGGTTGACCTATGGCTAACGGGCACCAACAGAACAAAGAGTTGGAGGCCAGCGAGGAGCGCAAGAGGAAGGCGAAGCAGTTGGAGATGCAGCGCAAGGAGGCTGCTCGTACAGGTCGTGCTGCGGCCCCAAGAACCCCATCCTACCCCGTCTACACACCTCCGTCCCGCCCTACGGTGCCCGACACCTACGATTCATATGAGGCCGAGAAGAAGAAGACATTCTCCAAGTACGTTCCCTGGATATGCGACCTGTTCACTGCTGGGGTATCGCTGACTGTGATCCTAGGCCTATTCCCTCCCGCGGCAAGGGTATGCAACTTGGCAAGAAGTCCAAGGCTACCGATATTTACGAGAAGGTGCGGGGTGATCTAGGCCCCGAGCCTGAGGAAGAGAGCCCCTTCGTGACTCCTCAAATCTCGACCCCCGTGCAAGACATTCCACCTGCCCGCGAGTCCCTCAATGCGGACCGTGAACCCATCCATCTCACAATCGCCGAGACCATCTCAGCCACTCTGACTCGGGAGGGTGCCTTGAAGTCATTCGAGGTCAAGGGTGACCTGCAGCTCCGCATCACCGACCCTTCATTTACCAAGCTTCGACTTGACTGTCAGGCTGTTCCCACACATGGCGCACAATTCCGCACTCACCCCAACGTCGACAAGGCCCTCTTCACCAACTCATCTGTCATCCAACTTAAGGATACTACCAAGCGATTCCCGGCCAACAACTCTATCGGTGTTCTTAGGTGGCGGGTGGCCAGTTCGGCTGACAATGCCGATATTCTTCCCATCACATTCACCGTCTGGGTAAACAAGGGCGCTGACTCAACCACCGTGACCGTGGAGTATGAGCTCACTGGAGAGGACAGTCTTCGCGATGTTGTCGTTACCATTCCCTACGGCTCAACGGAGCCTGCAGTATCCAGCTTCGACGCAGTGTACGAGGTCTCTGGAGACAGTCTGGACTGGAACCTGGGTGCCGTCGACGAATCGAACGCTTCTGGCAGCTTCGAGTTCGAGGCGACCGACGCTGATGAGAACGAATTCTTCCCCATGAGTGTTCGCTTCACAAAGACCAAGCCGTTCGTGGATGTCGACGTCCACAGCGTTTCCCTCCTGGAGATGGAGGGTGAGAACGCCGGCTTCTCTAAGGATGTCCGTAGTGTCGCTGAGAACTTCCTCATTGAGTAAAAATGGGCTTGGATTACTATTGTATAGGTTCCTAATGATGTTCGGATTGTGGTTGGTGTTCTTTTTGCTTCCAAGATCGTGTTAAGCCAATGCCTGATTTGATTATCTTCCCAGCCTCTTTATAGTGTCACGCAACAGAATCTGCCATGTAAGACTAGATTGAGTTAATGGGAACATTTAATTTGTGTTAAAGCTACATCTGTCCTGGTATCATAGAATTTTGCTATTCCAGAGCTTGCACCAAAACTATATATATATTATGATTCGTTCAACCACCCACGTTGGTCAAGTGTGACTCTTATCATATATAATGAATACTGTGTTGAATTTGCATGTCTATTGAATTATGAAGCATTTATGTCAAGGCCGACGAGGTTGTTCAAGCCTGGTCTTTCTCCCAATGAGTGACAGACCCTTTGTAAGCGAGAAATCTTCTCCTGATCTATACTTTACATGGTAGCTCTGATGCTGATCAACCATAGAATAACAGATTAGGTTTGATTTGACTTTGGGTTGAAGCGTAACATTCCAGCCCTGGAAGCTCATTGTAGAGTCATCGCCACGTAAAACCGCGTCAGCGATATCAACGTCACATACCCAAGCAATGCGGGAGGTACTTGTACTAACTGCTGCAAAGAAATGTGTACCTCTCCCTTGTTGACGTACCTTCCAATTCAGGTTCTGGCCTGAGATTTAACCAGGGACGAATCTCAATAACGACGCCTCCGTATAATAGACACGTCAGATTGACTTCAAAGGTCTGGCCATTTTATCCGTCTTCTCGGAGAACTTGTCAAATCCCAAATATCTAGACGAGGTTAAGCATATCTCGCTCTAGTATTTGCAGCTTCTCAATTTGACCTGCAATGAAAGTTTGCAAAAGCTGCTTGCAGTACTGTTGGCACTTCATGATTGGAAGCTTCGACACTCGCATTGGTTCTTATATCTGGACCATTGGTTCTTATATCTGGACCATTGGTCACCTCATCGGAGTCTAGAGCCAGTCGGTTCCAACAACCGAAATCCAACCTGGCTAAGTATGATTTCCCGGGGAAATTACTAGATGTTCAAGCCAATACCACAGTCCCCCTGGTGTTTAAAGAGATGCTAGCCCATCATTCTGGTTGGTCGAAGGCAAATAGCGTGATTAAATAACCGCAAGGAGGGTGTGTTGCTCATGGACACGTTGAGCTTTTCGCCTCATCTCCTAGCAGGTTACCTAGCTACGAGGTCAAATGCCGAACACCTTTCCTAGTTTGGAGCTCGGTGGCCGTGTTTCACGTTGACTCCTTGTAAAAACGAGTACTAGATGTCATCACAAAGCATTACGAGCCGACTTGAGAGTTCAAACGGTGCTTGAAACCCGAACCCCTCTTGACCACATACTTCTCCGGTATATGCTACTGGGTCGAACCTTGGGGTGGTTTTATAAGATCCCTTACCTCCTGATCTATTCCCATCTTTTGTTTTCGATGTCTCGGCATATATTTGCAAATTAACTTGCTTCAATTTATATTCATAGTCCCGTGGGACTTGGATATATCTCAAGATTATTCCACACTTACAAGCAAGTCTTCTGAGACTATATGAAATTTGAGCAGTTTCACTCCTCACAATCCGATGATTGACTATGAGCAGCTTACATTTCCCATTATGGAGAGAGCAACAGAGCCTCTTTAATTTATCATGCGCCGATGCTGAGACATGTAGTCAGCTATCCAACGTGGTAAATCCCCACGCCAGCAAGCATACCAGTGACTCTGACAAAATATCTATAGGAAAACCCAGTATCGCAACTCCATCGTCGCAACGTTGATCTTGGTGGCAAGAAAATGGCTATTCCGCGACTTGCGGAAGGTGCTGAGTCGGCTTTCACCTCACCTGGTAGATTTCATCGTCGACATGTTCGTCGAGCTTGCGAGTCTTGCAGACAGCGAAAGACGAAGTGTACTGGCGACAAGTCTGGATGTCGCAACTGCAGAGAAGCTGGAATCATCTGTTGCTATACTGATGGCAAAAGAGAAAAGTCCAAACGGTAAGACCAGACTATATCTATCTCGATATTGATGCACAAATTAACCTTTTTATAACTGAAAAGACAACTTGCGAGCTTGTCGGCAAAGGTACACGCCTATGAAGATGTTATCAGCAAGCTAAGCAACCGCTTTGGAGTCTCCGATGAGCAGCTTGTGAACATAGCCCTAGCAGCGGTATGACACCTAATCTATGCTTAACGAGAAGAAATGCTAATATCAACCAGGACTCGGCCCCGGACGTGGCCCTCAACCCAGATGCATCTCTTACAGCAGGGGGAGACCAAAGAGTCATCCTTTGGCGCTCTGGCTCTGAGCCACAAACCTCCCGAGCTTCATCAGTTAGTCCTCTGGAATCTGGAGGCCAGACAGAGGAAGACTTCAACAGAAATGAAACTGCACGGGCAACAGGATTCATCGGAAAAAGCTCCGAAATCACTTGGCTTCAGCGGCTCAGCAAAGAAGTTAACAACGAATGTGAAGCATGGCCTTCCACACTTCCCAACACAGATGATATTAACGGGCTGCCTTCACCAACTTTGACTCCTCGACCAGACAATCCCAGCGACCCTTGGGTGGTGTGTTCCAATTACTACGTTGACGATACGGATATTCCAACTGCGGATCATGGTGGTACCTATGCAGTTCCATCTCGTGAGCCAGCGACCAAATTGCTTAATGTCTATCTGACCTCTGTGCATCCTTCATTTCCAATCATTGGAATTTCGACGTTTGTCTCCCAGTTTCAGGTATTTTTCAGTCAGCCAGCTCTCAAACCGGGAAATAAGTGGCTCGCCATATTGAATATGATATTTGCTATTGCGGCAAAGTACGGCCATTTGACCAATTCAGAATGGTTGGATGAAGATGATGATCATCAGTTGTACTTTTCAAGGGCGCGGGCTTTGAGTCTCGAAGATCAGATCCTGCATCATCCTGATCTGCAGCAGCTGCAAGTTGAAGGACTTACTTCGTTCTACTTGACTGGCGCGGGACAAATCAATCGGTAGGTTGGAAGCCCTGGCAGCCTGGAGGTATACTCACTGTACTGGTTTCTAGGGCCTGGAAATTATCTGGGAGTGCAATTCGTGGAGCGTTGGCTCTTGGATTGCATCTTCGTAATGTAGGCGCGAGCACTTCTGATACTTCCAAGGAGATCCGATATCGAGTATGGTGGTCACTGTATGACCTGGAGCATCTCCTGACTGTCATGACTGGTCGTCCCTCGTGTGTTATTGATAGTTCTTGCACTACACCCATGCCGGTACCTTTTGACGAAAGTGATTTCCAGAAAGAAGAAGTCGCCCGACTAATCAGTACAGATAGACGAAGCTCCTCAGTTTACTACGACCAAATGCCAGCCCGCAACAGCGCCGAGGACCGGGAGTCAACAGTGGACTCCGAATCAAATGATGCGCCTGCAGAAAGCGAGATAAAAATGAACAGAGCAGAGTATCTCAAGAGCCTGCCGCCATGTATTTCATTCTACTTCCTGCAGCTGTCCTCATTGACCAGCATCTCCAAGCGGATGACAGTCAAGCTCTATAGCCCAGAAGCACTACAATCACCATTGGCAAGCACCGAGTTTACCATCCAAAGCCTAATGCTCGAGATCGATTCATGGTTTATGAACCTTCCCCCAGCTTACGATTTCACCTCGACACAGACATCCCAATGCCCCATCAACCAGCGCATGGGTCTAGCATTCCTATTTTACAGCACCAAAATCGGTATCACTCGACCATGTCTGTGTCGCCTAAGACAAGCCGAGTCAGAAGACGACAAGACACACGAGTTCTGCAACAAGACTGCCGCAGAGTGTGTCGAAGCCGCGTGCCACATGATAATGTTGTTTCCTGATACACCAGACGCAGCCCTGCTTTACCGCATGGCACCATGGTGGTGTACCCTCCATTACCTGATGCAGGCAGTCACAGTTCTCCTCCTGGAGCTGGCATTCCGCGCCCAACACGTCCCCGAAAAGGCTACTGCGGTATCTAAAGCAGCGAAAAAGGCATTGGATTGGTTGTCCGCTCTATCAATGACTAGCCTTGCTGCTGAGCGAGCCTGGAGGCTTTGCGATGGATTCCTTCAACGTCTAGCGCCACACATTGGAATCAATGTCAACGAAGAGAGCTCTGCAAATACTCTCTTCTCTGACACCATAGACCCTATGGGGATGGAAGATCCAACCGGTGATTTGTCATTGGATGTATCGGCTCATTTACCTTCAACTGCAGCTGTCGATGCTATTGTCGCAGAGTTGAATCCTATCACCTGCTCGCCAATGGAACAATCTGATACGCCGACTGGAATGCAGGAGCCGTACGACCTCGAAGTACCAGATCTTTTGGATCAATTCGTCAAGCAAGAAAAGGATCTTTCGGATCGCAGTCCTTACGATGAGTATTTCCCTTATGACCCTGCTACAGGTCAGATTACGGGTTCTTTCTTCCCATCTGATGGAAATGTGGATCTTGATATGGGGTATTTCTGGGGTGATCCTGTCTGCTGAGGTTGGAAAAAAAAAACAAGATCAAAAAAGACAAAGGCAAAAACAAAAAATGAACAGCACGTTGGTAAAGTCAAATTGGAACATCTCTATAGTTATTTGGATTTCGGTTTTGCGTCATTTGCATGCTCGTCGAGAGAAAGACAGAACTATTTGCAACTGGTTTTTATATAGGCGTTAAAACTAACTTATAGAGAAAAGGCATTATTTCTTTTCTGGACTGAGCTTGCTTGTATGTCTACCCTGAAATACGGTAGTCTGTAGCTATCACCGACTCGATACTGACTTTTTTCAAGCTGACATCTCATCCGCTTAGTTTGATATACCATTCGCTTAGATAGACAACAGGGCGGCGACTCCGACAAGCTTGGAAGAGGTTTTAGTTTAACTTGACAAAATTAACTTCTATTTCCCACACCGAAACAGAACCAATCTTCAAGAACATCGCACCATGTTTCTCCTACCACCAGGATAACCGGGAATATCGTGATCAACAGCTACCGACGGGACTAACCCCCTGGACAGAATGGGCCGAGACCGGTCTCAAGACATCTGATATCTTTTCAGTGTCGTCATTCTGTCGCGTGTCCTACGCACTGGAAAGGGATGTATAAGCATCGTGTTCGATTGCGCATTGTGACGTATACTGGATGAAGATGTAGGTACATGTTAAGGTTAGAGGGACATCTCCGTTTGTAGTAATTGGGCATGTGCTTCTACTTATTTTGTTTTATTTATTGGCAGTATATACATATCCAAGGTTTAATTGAACCATTGCTGATGCACATTTACCCCGAAGTCGCTGTCCAATCTCGCTTAGCTGCAGTGAATAACAACCGACCAACTTCTTCTTGAGGCGTAGAGCGGCTCAGCTGGTTCTTCTGTGGTGCTAATGGGTAATACACGGCAGTAACCCTCGCGAAGGAAACTTCGACCGTTTGCTTCTTGTTGACCAGATCTGCCCATGGTGTCCACTTTGCTAGCTGTGAGATATCTGACACGAGGGGGTCCAAGATTGGAAGGATGATACCGAGCAGACCGCGATCGTCCCGGATGAATTTCTCAATACATTCCAACGGAGCCATGATTCGGCGCCGGACACCACAGCCGGAATGTGCTTCGTCGATTGGGTAATCTGGGTATTGTTTGAGGGAGGCGATGATGGCGGTTATATCAGACGGTGGACCTGCCGGGGTCTTAACTGAGTGGCCAATTTTCTCTTCGCCGACACTGTGACTATCTTCATTGGTGTTTGCGCTGAAGTCGGGGTCTATCAACGTCGAGCCTAAGAAGATGGTTTTGGCGCGCAGTGAGAAGAAACGTGTCATTTGACCTAGTTGAAAGAGATCACATTGGCTGGCGTTGTTTAACCCACCTCGGCATTGGAATTGACGCAGGTGGACGGTCAGTGGCGCTGATGTTGTGAATGCTGCACCTGGCTTTCTCGTGTTGGGTGCTGCTTTTGCGCCGTCGGGGTCTTCAAGGCATCCATAGACCCGTAGGAAATATGCTTGGAGGTCAGTTATGGTGTTCATGACGCTTTGACGTCTGTAATAGATTTCCTCTGTTGGTCACCGGGCTTAGTATTCGAATAGACTTTTTGGAAGTTTCAGACGAAAGCTTACCTTCGAGACCGTTTGGTAGATAACGCCAGCGCAAAGTTTCTTCTTCCGGATATTCTAGTCCATTGATCCAGAATCTGGATCCAATGACCAATAAAGCGTGGGTCATGATTTTGGTGACTCTTGAGTCATTGAGATAGGCAGATATCAAGATGATCTGCCGAATCCGATCTTCCTTCATTTGCAAGGTTGAAGCGCTAAGCTTGGCAATGAGTGACGGTTTCGTCTTTCCGTAAGAATATCCAACTTTTCGGAGTATGTCTTGAATAATACGCGGAGAGTTGAACGAATCGGCAAGATCAATCAACCTCGCAACAAGTGACGTAGACAAGAATTTCAACTCATGCTCGAACGACGCACTTTCTTCTTCGTTCAAAGATTTCAGACATAGTATTTGTAAGAAAAGCTCGATAGAGTCTTCCTCACATGTGCTGGTCAGTATGCCACTTGGGAGTTTCACCGTGGGCAACAAATGCTGTGAGGCAAGGTGTGACCCTTGACTTTCGTTCCAGGCTTGCTTTTGAGCACTGAATTGCCTTCCCTCGGAGAACTTGGTAGGGTCTAGCAGTGCATGAAAGTACGGACTGTTGGAACTGAGAAGCTCGCTTGCCACTTGCCATCTCCGGGTTGTTGACGTGGAATCACCGGCAGAACTGTACTCGATGATCAAGTCTCCCTCACCGGTGATCACTTTGATAGAAGGGTCCGTTTCTTCCATGCTTGAGCCCGTTTCATTGCCCTGTTCGTTTTTGTCGTGACCCATGATTATTGGATCCCAATGTTAACTTTCGGGTTCGTTGATATTATATGTGAGGCAATATATAATTTGACGCAGTAAAGAAAAAGCATTGAAAGATATAAAGTGTCGAAGAATGCTTTGTCCAGAAAGCTGAGTTGGTTCCTCTCATGATAGCACGTTGAAATCTCAGATATTCATGTCGAAGATATGGCTATGTGTGTGGTTTGCAATGAGCTGAAGTCTTGGACAGCCAAACGCAAATCGAATTATGCAGTCAGGTAGATGCAGATGTGCCATATAATGGACATGTATAAAGTCTTTAGGAAAGGACGATAATATTGGTAGAAAAGAAAGCGCCTACAATGTTGATATGCCTGCCCAGGTGATTTCCATATTGGTGACTAATCCTGGGCACGTGAATTACGTTCCACCTTAGGAAATAAGTATGCCTGATTTCAAGGGCTGCAAAACAGATCGCCATGTAGTTATAGCGGGGCTAACAAAGAGACATTGAGAGTATTTAATGTAGACAATCCAAGTAAAATATGTGCTTCCAATTCATTTGCATATACAAAACTTTTTTTTCTCTTTCTTTCAGGTAGAGGGACAAGTATCCTAATAGCATCGATGCCAACGTGAGATTGGCATCTAGAATACAAACAAAGTCCAAGATCGTCAAAATGGTCGTTAACGTTCGTTGAAAAAAAAAAACCAAAGGGCATGCAGAACAGCTGGCGCTAGTAGCTGAAGCTATGCAATAATAACCGCTGGGAAATGCAAGAGATTAGGACCGACTTGTTCACTGCTCGATCCATTGGGTTGATGCTCTTGTCGACGCTGCTCCCGGAAGGCGACTGCCTGACCGACGATGTGGTGGAGATATTGCGCCGAAGCTGGGACCTCACTATCACTCATAGCCATTCCATTGGGCTTGAAGTTGGGGTCATATTCAAAATCGTTGCCGAGCGGGGGTGGGATGAGTGAGAATATAGCCACTGAGCCCTGCATATCGGCATAAGGCGAATTGGCGAGTAAAGAGCAGTCCATGCCTTCTTGGGCGACCCCACAGCCATCCATTAAGGCCAATTCAAATATATCATTGCCTCGGTAGTTGACGAAGAAGGGCTCGCTGGTGGCGAAACCCAGGACGAAGTCGGAGTTGGCCAATGCGGCGATTATCGTACTCTGGCGGAACTCTGGCTTGAAACCGGTGTTAATGGAACTGGGCAAACAGAGCGATATACTGCGGGCGAATGTGGGCGGGGCTGGAACACCGTTCTCTGGTTGGATATCGGGATGAGGTGTCTTGTATTCCGTGACTGAGATGGTTGACGATTTGCGTAGCGCGCCACCCATATTGTCGGGGCTAAACTCTTTCCAGCCATTGCTTGTTGACTCAGATGAAACAGATACTTCTATTTCATCCTCGGAGGAGTCATCATTCCTGTCAACGGAAATCTCCGTCCGAATGGTCTTTGCGGTTGTCGCAACCGCCTCGCGGGCCGCAGTCCGCAAGGTCGGGATTAAGGCATCCTTTTCTTGTTGATTGACAGCCACGGCGGGGGCCCACGAAGTGGCCACGTTGGCCCAAGTTGCCGTTCTTATCGGACCACTGGCGTATGATTTTTTGATCAATTCGGAAAGCGCTTGGCGCGTCTCCAGCGGCGCATCGCCCCGGCCCATAAACCCAACCAGTGAGTTCAGAATCTTGCTACCTTCCCAGAGTAGAAATCCATGTTTTCGGGCGAGATACTGCAATTCATCAACTGTGTCACTGCCCCAATCGTCAATGACTTCGGCTGGCACCTGTAAGATGGCAATGTGGGGGCCCAATTCTGCGGCCAGCCGCAGAAGTGAAGCCGAGTCAGTGTGGCTATGGGAGACATATGCGGCCACTGGTTGCCCATGGGGAAGATTCTTCTTGGTTGCGATTAATGTTTGCAGATAGGACAGAATTGGATTCTCAAGGATCCAATCCCCCGCGGTCGACATGGTGTAGAGAGGTGGAGGAGGGGAGGGGGGGAAAGAGAGAAGGGAAAACGGAAAAAGCCAACAAGAGGGGGAACTCCACTGATGTCTAACCCCTGCCTCAATTTGGAATCGAGAGATAAATCACAGATGGAAACTTCCCGGCCCCAATTCCCGCGCAGGATGCGCTAAAGCTGTGGAGTGTGCCGAGAGCAGCGCTGGATCAGAATCGGAAACTCCCCCTTGTGCCCACTCATGGGGCTTGATGGGTCTGTCAGCCTGATCGACCGGTAGGAAGAGAAGCCAAAGCCAGTTGAAGCCAGTTCTAACTCGATATGGCGCGTGGTGTAGATGGTTAGTCAGCTGGCTTATGTCATCACATAGGCTATTAGCAGAATCTATATGCATGGAATCATTATGGCCTGATTTCTGGTCAGGACTGTGTATTCAGAATCTCATTATAATCAGGTTGTGGCCTGATTTGCGTTGGTTAAAATATCAGAGATTTCGGAGTGGGCGGATCCCCGATCGTTTTTTCTTGTCACGCCACTCCCCTGAATAATTTATCTCCGTTTACATCCCTTCACTTCCTACGCATACGCCTTCTTTTCTTTTCCTCATCATGCCTGGAAGGGTTCTACCGACATTCACCTCCGTCGAGGTTGAATCCCACAACACCGCCAAGTCGTGTTTTATTACCTTGGGGCGCAATGTTTACGATGTTACCGATTTCCTCGATGCCCACCCCGGTGGCGGTGATCTGATTCTGGAGTATGGAGGCAAGGATGCGACAGATATCCTCAAGGACGAGATATCTCATGCACATACTGACGCCGCCTATGAGATCTTGGACGAGTACCACATTGGCTTCGTGTCCAATGCCTGTACACCTGGAAAGACCTCTACTACCGCGATCGAGACTGAAACAGGTCCTACCTACGTCAGCACCGGAATGTCGCGCGAGGAGGATCTCTCGATCGATACGGACTACACCCAAGATTTCAAGACACACAAGTTCCTAGACATGAACAAGCCGCTTCTTATGCAGCTATGGAATAGCAACTTTTCTAAGGAGTTCTACTTGGAGCAGATTCACCGCCCCCGTCACTACCGTGGTGGAGAGTCTGCTCCTCTGTTTGGCAACTTCCTCGAGCCTCTTAGCAAGACCTCTTGGTATGTCGTTCCGTCACTCTGGCTGCCTCCGGTTATCTACGGAACCATGGTCGGATTATCAGGACTTGGAAACGTTTCTGTCACCGCTTCCTACTGGATTGGCGGTGTCTGCCTCTGGACTCTGATCGAGTATCTGATGCACCGATTCCTCTTTCACGTTGACCACTGGCTTCCCGACAACCGGGTTGGTCTGACTCTTCACTTCCTCCTTCACGGTATCCACCACTACCTTCCCATGGACAAGTACCGCCTTGTCATGCCTCCGACACTATTCGTGGTCTTGGCTGTGCCTTTCTGGAAGCTGGCCCATACCGTCTTCTTCTACAACTGGTTTGCAGCCGTAACAGTCTTCTGCGGCGGAGTCTTCGGATATATATGCTACGATATGACCCACTATTTCCTGCACCACCGCAAGTAGGTTTAACCCCTGAGTTTCGGCACAGGTACATTGCTAACATGGCTTTAGCCTTCCTCTGTACTATAAGGATCTCAAGAAGTACCACCTTCAGCACCACTTTGCCGACTTCGAGAATGGATTTGGTGTGACAAGTCGATTCTGGGATCGTGTCTTTGGCACTGAGCTCGAGACTCCCCCTCCCAAGGGAATCAAGGCTCAGTGAGTTTGTCCATACCATTCCTAAGGGGCCTCGGCCTTGAGTCATGACTTCATGTCGACTACGACAGAGTCTGTGATTCGACTCTACTATTCATTGGCACCTGCGGAGTTTGTGGTTTTTCTTCGGCCCTGGGAGGGCCTACTCTTGTACGGTGGAATTCGTCAGCCGTTTCCGGTCATCCTACGAAACTCGTTGATGACCCTATATCTTCAAGTATTACTTATTAGTCCACATGCACATTAATCATAATACCATCGATAATTTACTGATAAGCCCCTTGTGAAGAACATATCAAACTTGTAAATTTCTTACAGTATTCACCAAGCTGGGCCGTTCAAATGTTCCACCAATAATGGCGCAGATGAACCGGCAGAATCGTGGCTAACCGCCTAGCGTCTTGTGAAATTCTCTCCATCACGTGATCCAATGCACTCACCGCTCTCTTTCCCCATCACTTTTCCTCGATATAATTATGTGATACCCACAGTCTAATCCACAGCTGTCTCGACCTGATTCTTGTTGAGAGACTGATTCTCCATTCCGACCAGTTCAACTCTTACTCTTGTCCCGTCATCTGCTGTCTGACTACAGCGAACTAAACCCCCTCTCCCCCAAGTCGCGACGCACTCTCCATGTCCGGACTGAACGTCGAGGCCCTCCTGGAGGCCACTGATGCAGCCCCCGCGCAGACCCCCGCCAGATCTGATGACCGTGATACCCGCTCCCCCCGTGCGGACCCTGATGACAAGCGTACCCGTTCCCGCGAGAGACGCCGCCGCCCTGACCGTGATATCGACGGCGATGAGGACATGAAGAGCCCGCGCAGCGAGCTTGGCAGTGCTAACGGAAGCCAGAGAAGCCGTCGCAGAAGCCGCAGCCGCGAAAGTGATCGCCGCCGCCCTCGCCGCCGTGGCGATGATTACCGTTCCAGTGGAGATTTCTACCGAGGTGGAGGTCGGGCTCGCACTCGTTCTCCTGATGATCGCCACTACAGACCCAACCGCCGTGACCGCGACGATGAGCGTCGCCCCCGCCAGGACCGCCGTGGTGGAACTCCCAGCCGCCGAGGAAATAGCAAGTCCCCTGTGCTCAATGAGGATGAACGTGACAAGCGCACTATTTTTGTGCAGCAACTTGCTGCTCGACTCCGATCCAAGGAGCTGGCTGAATTCTTCGAAAAGGTCGGCCCCGTTAAGGATGCTCAAATTGTAAAGGACCGTGTTAGCCTTCGATCCAAAGGGTATGTCTCTCTTCCAGTCCTTCTCACAACCGTATACTAATCTTCGCACAGTGTTGGCTACGTCGAATTCAGAGATGAGGAGTCCGTGCCCGCTGCCATTCAACTCACCGGCCAAAAGCTTCTAGGCATTCCCATTATCGCGCAATTGACCGAGGCCGAAAAGAACCGTCAGGCCCGTAACCCCGAGGCTAGCTCCGGATCCCAGCACACCGCACCCTTTCACAGACTTTACGTTGGTAACGTCCATTTCAGCATTACTGAGAGTGATCTCCAGAACGTTTTCGAACCCTTTGGCGAGCTCGAATTTGTTCAATTGCAGAAAGATGAGACTGGCCGCAGTAAAGGATATGCATTTGTACAGTACGTTTTCCCTTACATTTTTTCCACCCTTCATTACTAACGATATTTAGGTTCCGCGACCCAACCCAGGCCCGTGAAGCATTGGAGAAAATGAACGGTTTCGACCTTGCTGGACGCGCCATTCGTGTCGGCCTTGGCAATGATAAGTTCACCCCCGAGTCGACCGCCACTCGTCAGCAGGGCTCCCAGTCCAGCAGCCAACAGTTCCAGGGCTCTTCGTTCTCCGGTCAAGGTGGACGTGGCATTCAAGCCGGTGGCTCGAACAGCTTCGATCGTGCCGGTGGCCGTGAATCCGAGAAGGGCGGTGGTGCCAGTGCCCTTGACGACACCGATGTTGCCGGTGTGAATTTCAACAATTACAGTAGGGACGCGTTGATGAGGAAACTCGCACGAACAGATGACCCCCAACCTGCCGAAGACCAGCATAAGGTTCTCCGACCCAAGACCGAGACCAAGCCCCTTCCCGTTAATGTCAACATGGCCAGTCGTTGCGTGATGCTGCGCAATATGTTTGATCCCGCCGAGTAAGTATTTCCACTTTCTATTCGAGAACAACTGCTAAAATCTCACAGGGAGACTGGTGAAACCTGGATGAAGGAATTGGAGGACGACGTTCGCTCTGAATGCGAGTCGAAATATGGTCGTGTTGTTCACATTTCGCTAGATCCCAACTCCCAGGGCGATATCTATCTCAAGTTCGACCGTGTCCAGGGCGGCGAGAACGCGATCAAGGGTCTCAACGGCCGTTTCTTTGGCGGCAAGCAGATTACCGCCCAGCCTGTCGTGGATGCCGTCTACAGCAGTCTTTTCTCCCGCACCAAGGCCATATAATATGGCTATTCAACAGCCAATGCCGTGGGTCCCCAACTGGTTCTGTGATATCTAACCTGGCACATTCTCTGAAAGCAGATCCCTTGACTTCTTGCCTAGGCCTCTCTGGATGATTCTGCTCCTGGTAGGTGCCGATTTCTTTAGCGTGATTCTTTGTGGCCACTTCATGAGCCGTTCTTTTCGATATGATTGTTTAAGTAGCGTGGCCTGCATATCGAATGCTCTTCTTCATTCTCAAATCAAATTATCTAAACACCTTCCATTCGTGTAGTGATGTAACGTTGCATAAGCCTTGAGTTGGGAGGTTGGGAGGTTGAACTGCGTAGCTGTGTAGACGTATTGCCCTGCTGAGACTATCACTCATTATTATTGTATGTGCTGTCTGCTATTTATTCAATATACACCAGATGAAGTATAGAAATTTAGAAATATAGCGGAACGGATGTGCCGACCCAACTGTTCTTATCTGCCGACGCTCGGGCCACGGCTCCCCCACGCCCGGTTCTTCAACCCTCCTTTGACCTTGACCTTCACCTTCACTCTCCTCAATGGGCCAATGATTCTCCTTGCAGTGAGGCGAATAGGCCGAGTCTGGACCTCGGCCGACCGTTACAGTATGGAAAGACCCCAGATCCCTCCGGAATATAGCTAATCGCAACAGGCTCCGCCCTTCTGCGAGCTCGATACTACAGTTCCGACCTTGCGTCACCCATTGGCCAGTCGACGGTCAAGAAGCAGCCACAGTTCCACGATTACTTCGTGACACATCTGCCCTCGTCCTCGCTTCACCCCGATCCCCGTGGTCCATCCGCTCCGTTCCATAAGCTCCCTCGCTCCGCCTCCGTACCGCATACCGGAGATACGCCGCAGTCGCCGGCTTCCGCTTCGGCCTCATACCAAGCCGCTTCGGCCTCATACCAGGCCCTAATAGATCGCGAGACAACTGTCGTTCGGATTCCACTTCGCAGTGCGAAGCACCATTTCGGCGCCGTTACCGCCCGTGGCACTCGCCCTGCCAATGAAGACACATACCAAGCTGGTGTCATTGACATCCCGGCTTTTGCGAAGCGACCCCCGGCGTCGCTGACTATCAAACGTCGGAACAACGGAGAAGCTTTGCCCAAACCGCGCGAGTCGCGCGCTGCGGAGACAGCTAGTGGTGATCCGCAGGTCTTCTACTTCGGTGTCTTTGACGGCCATGGCGGAGTTGACTGCAGTGCGTTCTTGAGAGACTACTTGCACGAATATATCCAAGATGCGGCTGTTGATATCGATCTCAAGTCGAGTCTCCAGCCCGGCGCGGAAATTCCACCTTCCAACAGCGAGCTACCTGTCATGCAAGAAGGTAACCGGAACAAGATCGGTGATCTGGAGAAGAACCTTGTTCAAGACTGGAGACGTATAGTTGGCGGTTACTTCAAGCGATTTAAGCCGCCAAATTTCGCCTACCACGGCCTCGAGTCTAAGGACCCCAGTATCCTTAATCACATTTCTATCGAAGAAGTAATGGAATACGCCTTTCTCCGTGCAGACCTCGACTTCCTCAAGGCGCAAGCCGCCAAACGAGACAATGATCTCGTTCAGGCCGAGAGACCCCTGAACGACGACGAAATATTCCATCGACCCAGCATGACTCGTTCCCCCAAAATCGGTGGACCCAGCCGTTTCAAGGGCGGCAGCACAGGGAGCATCGCCATGATCTCAACGCCCACCCCAACCCCATTTTGGCACCCTATTGGACCGTCGAGCCTCCTAGTAGCCCACGTTGGCGACACCCGTATGCTCCTCTGTTCAACGCTAACAGGTGAAGCAATCCCACTAACATCAAACCACCACCCTTCCTCGCCAATTGAAGCAAGCCGACTCCGCCGCTATGCAGCAACCTTTGTGACAGACTCCTTCGGCGAAGAGCGCATGAGCGGGCTGGCCAATACGCGCGCCTTCGGCGACATGCAATCCAAGCGCATCGGCGTCTCCGCCGAGCCAGAACTCAAGCGCATTGAGATGGGACCCGCTGAGTTCTCGTTCTTGGTCATGGTGTCCGATGGCATCAGCGGAACCCTGCTTGATCAGGAGATTGTGGATATCGTCAAGGAATCCAGGACACCTGAGCAGGGTGCGCGCGACGTGGTCAATTTCTCTACTGAGGTTACTAAGGAGGGTGACAACGCTACTTGTCTTGTTATCCGGCTTGGTGGCTGGGAGAGAAGACTTGAAGGTGGTGTTGGGAGCTTGGGGACTAAGGAGTCTCGTGAGTGGCGTCGTCAGGATGCTACTGATCCGCGCAGGTCACGGACGTGATGGCTCTTTTGAGCGTTCTGTATATATTTTTTGCTGGCCTGTTGGCTATCGCATATAATTGTTGGTGTCTATAGGTTGAGAATATTTTGCATCAAGTGGGTGAATACAAAATTTTGCGGCCTGAGGCTGTGATCTTTTTACTACACCGTTTCTGTGTGTTTGAGGACAGTTTTATATGTCTGATCTAAAAACCACAGCTTTGATATAGCTGCATATGGCGCAGAGTAGATATTTCGTCTGACTAAGAAAGTATCAACACCTTACAAGCTCAGGCTATCTAAATAGGCAAAGATAAGAAAATGTCAGCATAGGAACCAGACAACACGTCTATTCTGTACTTGCACAATATTGCGCTGTTTCATATTGAAGATCCTACAGTGGGTTCCCGGGAAGCTTCCAAGGATCCGAGTAATCCGTCAGTGTGGACATTCCACTCTCCTGATCTTCCAACTTCATCCCTTGTCCTTCTTTTTCTTTGATTGCGTGTCAACTATCCAATCTTTGAGTACCCTCCTTTCACCTCCACCTTCCTATCCTTATCCCATCTGGGAACTTCATATCATTATCAGTTTTGAACCGTGACGGTATGTCTATTTCCGAATCCCGCCTCGTTGCCTGGCCTTGGCTGCATCAAGCTGACAGTCGTGATATCCAGCTATAAAGAATTGCGATCGGCCCGTTTCGAGTCGAATCTGAACCCATTTCAACTTCCAAGCCCGTCCCCACACACACATTCACAATGAGCGCACGAACACGACGACAAAAGGCCGCTCTCAAAGAGGAGAGCGAAGACTCACCTAGCGGAAATAGCTCGGTGTCAACACCATCCAAGCGCACACCATCTAAGAAGAGATCCAAGTCCGCCGCGCGGGAGGAGCCCAGGGAGAACATCTTCCTCTTTGCCCCCAACATCATCGGTAGGATGCCTTTCGGCAACGCCATCAGTTTTAGCGTCTGACTAGCTCCCAGGATACTCCCGAGTCGTCCTGACCTTCGCCTCTCTATACTACATGCCGCTCCATCCCCGGACATGTTCCTTCCTCTACACCGTGTCATGCCTGCTCGACGCTTTAGATGGCTACGCAGCGCGTTATTTCAACCAATCCACCACCTTCGGTGCTGTCTTGGACATGGTGACTGACCGCTGCACAACCGCTTGTCTGCTGGTCTTCCTGAGCTCCGCCTGGCCCCGTTGGGCAATCATCTTCCAGGCCCTGATCTGCCTCGACATGGCCAGTCACTACATGCACATGTACGCGACTCTCAGCATGGGCGGATCCGACCAGAGCCACAAGAAGGTCGACTCCAGCCGCAGCTGGATTCTCTACCAGTACTACAACAGCAAGGTATGTCGCAATGATAAAGTTTGCTGAGCATCCAAGCTAAACTGTTCCTTTACTTAGACCGTCCTGTTCATCTGCTGCGCTCTCAACGAGGCCTTCTTCATCGGCCTCTACCTTCTCTCCTTCTCCTCGCCTATTCTGTCTCCCTCGCTCCTGCAGCCTGTCCCCGAGGCTCAGGCCTCCTCCGCTCAGCCTGGAAACCCTGCTCACCCGGAGCCTGCCAGTCTCTTCGCCAGCCCATGGAGCGCTGGTGCCCTTGAGATGGCCCGTGCCAACAAGCTTGAGAGCACCTGGCCCTGGATCATCACTGGCATCTCGCTCCCCGTTATGGCTTTCAAGCAGTTTGTCAACGTGGTGCAGATGGTCAATGCTGCCCGCTGGATGGCTGAGGGTGACCTCCAAGCCCGCCGGGCCAACCGCAAGAAATGAAGGACGCGAATTTGAGACGTGAATGCTATCAAGATGGTAGCTAGCTAGTCTCCTGATTCGAGCTTCTAGCACATCCCCTATCGCACACTCTATTCCCCCTTCCCCTTCTTGTCATGCATGTCTTGGAGCGACGGTCTGTGTTTTCAGGGACGAGCAAGCGGACAGTAGTTAGAGCTGTCCCATTCCCTTCCTCTCTCGGGCAATGGTTGATCTGGTAGCTGGATCCTATTCATGAATTGTTTTGGCCACTGCTTGTTTGGTGGCCCAGACATAATACGCTTTCTGGGACTTTGTACAGTACACACGCGGGTTGTGTTTTTACTGCCCTGTTGCTTCTCTTCTTCTTTCCTCCCTCTTTTTCACTCTTCACGTCTACCCATTTTCTTGGCCTGGGCTTTCTTGTCTGGCTTGTGTCTTTTTTCGATCTTGTTTCCTTTAGTCATTCTTAATGCCATTATACATCATTTAATGCTTTTTCAGCGTCGGTGACGCTAGTCATGATGAATTATGTAGTTCTTGGGATGAGTGACTAGACTACTGTCATTGCGTATTGAACAAGGTGTGTATCTTCTGAAGCTCGGCCTAGCTTGTCCCAATGAATATATCTGTCAATGCAATTGCCCCCAGTTGACACACCAATTGACCAACAGGTATATGCACACTGATCATATCCACTGCAACACCAAGTAAGCCAGCATTGTCACAATGGCAATCTTCACATAGAGAGCTATGTGAAGATATAGATGAAGCTACCGGGAATAAGCGACGCGTTTATGTCATCGGCCGCCGATTTCGGAGATGGCGGGGTCGAATTCACCCGCGTCGGCCGATTTTATAACTGAAGCTCCCCTGAACACCAATTGAGTCACTTTCATTTGTATTCTCTGCTCAAACATGTCTTCCTTCAACGTCGTTGTCTTTGGTGGTGACCACTGTGGTCCCGAGGTACGTGGTTGAGAACAAGAACCCCACCATCCGAGCATCTACTGACATTCGATATAGGTTACTGCCGAGGCTATCAAGGTAAATTCGAGAAAACTGCGATCATGCAGAATCATACAAATTGCAGATGCAGGTGCAGATGCTAATTGCATTGCTTTAGATCCTCCGTGTCATTGAGAAGAACCGTGATGTCGCCTTCAAACTGCAGGATCACCTGCTCGGTGGTGTACGTATACATATACCACGACCCGAAGCAAGGCTCCATAGCTGACAATTGCAGGCTTCCATCGATGCCACTGGCTCCCCCTTGACTGACGAGGCTCTCACCGCTGCTAAGAACGCCGATGCCGTTCTCCTCGGTGCCATTGGCGGTCCCGTACGTCAACCCACCAATCCAACCCCAAACTCAAGATTTAAAACAACTAACATACACGAAGAAATGGGGCACTGGCGCCGTCCGTCCAGAGCAAGGAATCCTCAAGCTCCGCAAGGAAATGGGCACATTCGGCAACCTGCGCCCCTGCAACTTCGCCGCACCATCTCTGGTCGACAGCTCCCCACTCAAGGCTGAAGTCTGCCGCGGCGTCGACTTCAACATCATTCGCGAATTGACCGGTGGTATCTACTTCGGCGAGCGCAAGGAGGACGACGGCAGCGGCTACGCAATGGACACAGAGCCCTACTCGCGCCACGAGATCGAGCGCATCACCCGTCTGGCCGCCAACCTCGCTCTGCAGCACAACCCCCCTCTGCCCGTCTGGTCTCTGGATAAGGCTAACGTCCTTGCTACTTCCCGTCTGTGGCGTAAGGTCGTTACTGAGATTATGGCCAAGGAGTTCCCTCAGGTCTCTATTGGTCATCATCTTATTGACTCTGCTGCTATGCTTATGGTTAAGGATCCCCGTAAGCTTAATGGTATTGTTGTTACTAGTAACTTGTTCGGTGATATCATTTCCGATGAGGCTAGTGTTATTCCTGGTTCGCTTGGTTTGTTGCCTTCTGCTAGTTTGAGTGGTGTTCCTGATGGCAAGGCTCGTGTTAACGGCATCTATGAGCCTATTCACGGTATGTTCTTGTTCTTCTCCTTCTTATTCTTCATTTTCTTTTTTACCAGATTGTTAATTGATGTCCAGGCTCCGCTCCCGATATCGCCGGCAAGGGTATTGTCAACCCCGTCGCTGCTATCCTCTCCGTCGCCATGATGATGCAATATTCCTTCAACATGATCGATGAGGCTCGCATCATCGAAAAGGCCGTCAGCAACGTTATCGAGGCTGGTGTTCGCACTGGCGACATCGGCGGCAAGGCCAAGACCACTGAGGTTGGTGACGCCGTCGCTGCCGAGCTGGAGAAGCTGCTCAAGTAAATATGGAGCAGCGGCTCCTATGTTTTCTATATGAGATATGACTAGCATAAAAAGAACCAAAATTGAATACCCGGTTAAGATGTAACCTGTTAATTTTTCGCCTGGAATTGCTTAATGATAATGTATGATATCTCCACTGACACTGGGTATCTTGAACCTGGACACGAATAAACTCCAATATGAACCCTATTTCGGCATTTGAATACCCATCAACGCCATCAATTTTCATTCTCATTCTCTTCGTTTGCCCCTGATGCATTCATCGTATCACCGGCTCACCCATCCAATCCGGCTCATCAAGCCCAGAAGGCGCAGTCAACTTCTCAGTATCAACACCATCACTCACACGCCCACGTAAATCATGTGAATTACGCGAAACCCTCCTGGGTCTAACATCAGCAGAAGCAGAAGGCCCAGCACCAACCCTCCGCCGACTCTCATCAGCAGCGAAAACCTGGAAACCACGAACATGCGTGTCCTTTCCATTCTGATGATTCTCCATGATCCGCATCTGGATCACCATAGCCTTAAGCACATTTCCAGAATAAGGATCATCCTCGTCGTCCTGACTATCAATTTCCTCATCATGTTCGTAGACCGGATGACACTCCTCATCATGTTCATGGTCAGGATCTGTATAATCACAGTTCCGATAAACAGTCCGCCGCCTCTGCCGCATACTAGTTGACCGGCGTTTCTTCTTCCCGGAGTCATTCTGTACCCAGCCGCCGTTTCGTCCGCCGACGCCTTCTAGTGGGACATTTACCCACCCGCATGGACCGTCGCCTTCCCAGGTTGCGAACTCGACTAGGTCGTTGCCGCCCATGCCGGCTGCAAAGATCATTTTTGTTGGTGTGTAGCTTTCGTCTAGTTCGAAGTCGAGGTAGACGCGGATGCGCACGACGGCGACTAATTTGAAGAAGTGTAGCGTCAAGGTGTGTGGCTGTGGACCGTCGGATTGCCAGTATTGGGATGGGGAGGTGTTGCGGAGGGCTGCGACGCCGCAGCCTGGTTTGGAGGTTGAGACGGTCCAGGAAGCTAGAGATGAGATCTCGCGTAGGTTTGGTGGGAGAGGGGAGGGTGATTTTTCTGTAGAACGTGAGTTAGGATCGGGGATGTTTGGGACTAGATGCCAGCAGCTGGGTAAAGAAGGATGGTCACCGTACCTCGATCATGCATTTCCTCGTCGGGGTCTTCTTCTTCGAATTGATCCTGGACAACGTCTTCCGTCTCTTCCAGTTCCTCGTCATCGATTTCAGAATCCTCATATTGCTCTTCGTTGCCATCTTCAATCTCGAAGGAATCATCATGGTCGACCAGTTCGTCATCGCCTAGCTCCTCCATCCCCCGCGGATCATAATCGTCATCGAACTGGTCGTCGTCCATTGTCTCCATTTCCGGCAGAGGTTGTGCCATGCCCGGTCGACCAAATATCGTAAAGGGATTTATCTGCACGGAGTGGCCCGCCTGCGCGAGTGCGTCTGGTGTGATCACATTTGGACCTGTTGATGGTGGGAGTCGGTGGGTTGGGTTTGAGGGTGTGTGTCGGGCTGGCGGGGTGTGGAATTGGGCGCGCAGATTCCCTTGCGTTGGGTCTTGGTTGGGGAGGTCGCGTGGGTTCGGTTGGCGGCGTAGGTGAGGCATTGTTGTTTGTTCGGGGAGTTTCGTGTTTACGCACAGAAGCTGCATTTCCTGTTGCGGTTAGCGTCTTAGCTATGGTATGTTAAGGTTGTCTCTTCTTTGAATCGGACGTACGTAGTATCATCCTTAATTTTATTTTAATAGATCAATTGACTAGGGCTTAGGGGTTTATAGTCTAGCATGATTAGACTGACCAGACTGGAGGCAATTTTCAAGAATAGAGACTCGAGCTTCCTATATATTCGTAGAAGATCCCTCCGAAAAAGAGCTCTAAGATCAAGATATACTGGCGCCAATCTCAACTGGCCATGGTACATATGACCATGGTAGTTTAAGTTATGCGTTTCCTTTCAACCGCCAATTTCAACTCTACCGTGACTGTAAAGTCGTTTCTCTCCCAACTCGTGCGATTCGCATGCAAAGAGGATGGCAGTGTATACTTCGCCAGTGTCGGCCCTAAAGCGGACGGGCCACCATACCCAGGGACTAAAATTGCTTTCTCGGTCTGCGTCTTTCGTGTCGAAACTATCCAGTCCTTAATAACAATGTGTACAACCTTTTGACCCCTGCTGTAGTAGATGTTGTGTTACTCAGAAGTATGGACACATGAACAGACATCGCTTAAATTATGGATTTGGAGATTGCCAGAACACTATTGACAGTCTTCCAGAACTGTATTGGCCGTTGAGAGAAATTGCAACCATCTGGGATGTAAAGGCGCTTCAAAACGCGACAGTATTAGAGCAATATGGCGATGGGAAAGCGGACCAGATACTGATTGGCTGAAGCTTTCGAAGGACACTGTGAATTCATTAGCTTAAAGTTACCACGAATCTGTGGGCCACGATGTCTTACGTTTGAGCAGCCTTGGTTGTGTCCAGATGTTACCAAAATGCTGGAGTTGAAGATGTAGTACAGTGATGTGGTGATCAATGTCGGAGCTGAGATTGTGATCCGCCGTAGAGGCCGTCTTTTTGTGGAGATCGAGGAAGATCAGAGCCGTGAAGATAGTAAAGGCAATTGCTGGATCGACAGTGACACAAAAGGAGCTATCCCATTGACCTGCAGTAGATGCGATATCCTGACATGCCTCCAGAACTCGCTGCCAGCTGACCAGCCATTCTTCTTCTTGTCGTAGAGCACAATCTGCAATTGAAAGGAGTAATTCTGCCATTTTGAGATGGAGAATAGTAATCGTTCGTGCATGATGATCAAGGTGAGACTCATTCGAGAATGCGTTGCGTCTTGGATTCAGCCAGCCAGGCGGGAGAGCCAAGCGAATTGTAGCCAGCTGTCGTTCAACTTTGGTGACCTGTGCAAGTATCTTTTCCTGCGAGTGTAGTAGATGCAAGCGGATGACAAGACCAGCCTGTCGCAGGGTAGCGATCGTGATGTTGTGAACGTTCTCTAACAATGTCTCCGGAGCTAAAGGCGCAGCGAGGAGGACCTTAGATATATCTTCTGAAGTGCTCGGCAAGTATAGCTTCTGAAAAACGTCAGAGCCATCTGATGACCGCGTAGTATGGCTATGAACGAGAGAAGTTCTTATGACCGTGTCATCGACTAGATACGGTGTCCCATAGGACATATTAGAATAGGCATCGAGGCGATAGATGCACCACCAGAGTGACCGCCATTCTTGGATATCGTCGTCAGTCACGCTTTCCCAGTCAGCATAGAGCGTACGGGCATCATCCAAGCGGTCGAGTCCGATGATATAGGCCATGCGCGCCACTCTACCCACACGTAGCCATGCCTGCGGTCCTGGGAATTGATGGAATTCATAGAAGGCCAGAAGGTAGGCCTTCCGGAATTGATTGAGGAGTAGAACATCACCCATTAAGTCATCCCCCAGTATACTCGCGCTAAGTAATTGATCCATAGTGGTGTCCAGACGGGATAGATCATCCTCATTTGTGAAAAGCCCCGTGAGTTTCGCGGTAAAGGCGACTATTGTTGTAATCAGGTCTTCACTGTGGGTTGAATTTTGATAGCGAAGGAGAAATGTTTCTTTGGAGAAGATCGGATTTGCATCTCGTACAACATCGAAGAAATTTTCAAGACTAAACCAGTCAATTAGCTCTGTTATGAATGCTAGAAGAGAAAGCATAGTTCATACAGGCGATCCACCTGCTGAGAGGAAAAATCGAAGTGGCTGGCAAGTCGTCGGACATTGCGTGGCGCTTGGAGAGTAGCTACAGTGGGGGAAATAGCTGAATCCCCCGAGAGTGGGTGCATTTTCCGGGCCCTCATGACTCCCTGGTGAGTCGTGAGGACGCCTGTGCGCTATATAACGGGACCTGCTAGACCTTGATGGATTGGATGTGTAGGAGTAGCCAGTCGGGGGACCGGGTTTGCGCCTAACTGCCGTGTAACTACACGCTTCTCCGCGATCAAAGCAGCGAGAGCAAGTTGGTCGTGCCTGGTTACCTATTCGAATTTAGCGGGTAGTCTTGAGTTATGATGGGAAACCGTACATTTCACCTTTTTGCTGTAGATGTTAGCTGAGGTAGTCAGCCAGAGAGGGACCAATCACTTACCGAATGCACCCATCGCAAACCCTTGACGCCATAGGGCTATCGGGACTAGCCATATTCGCGGAGAATCTTCGAAGAATAGGAAACCCCGTGGGAAGAAGTTGCACCGAAGCTGATTAGTCATTCGGAGGAACCAACTTAAGCATCACTCTTTGCCTTTCACTTCTAGCTTCACTTCTAGTAATAATACAGGAATCTATAATAGTTCCACATATATTTCCTGTTCAATCTATCTAGCGCTCCACCCCGATCAACTAACTACAGTAACCATATAGACAAGAGAGCCAGTTAGCTAGCTTTATTGTCTCCAAAATCCCTAGGCAAGTCAGGACCCCACACAGACAAAGGCCCAACCGGTTCTCTGCGTGTCAAATTATTCTGATTCACCACATCCCCATCGGCGTAATGTTCGATTTTAAACTTGGAACTATCATACCAGTAATCGAAGATCTGGCTTCCTAGGATATGCCTCCCCACACCCCAAACACATTTCCACCCCTTCTTAGCAAGATAATGATGCCCCATCAATTGTGTATCAAAATCAGCCACCTCAAACGAAGTGTGGTGGACATATGTCTCGCGAACCATCGGCGAAGCACGCTGCAGGAAAAACGAATGATGATCCGAATACTTCTCGCCTAAGTCAAGGTGCATAAATGTCATGACATCCACCTGAGGGAACTGAGGAAGATTGAGGATGTCGGAATGAACGAAATTGAAGTTGCTAGTGTAGAATTCCAACTCCGTTTCGAACTCTTTGCAAACGTATCCGTAATGCCCAAGCTTGTGCACCAGGGCGGGTCCATCGTGGTATCTCTGGAATTGTCCTTTTCGAGGCTTTTCAAAAGGTGTGTTGAATGGACCCTGAGAGTCGTGTGTTGCCGTAGGCATATCATTCTCTTTCAGTTCACGCTCAGTCTGGCCGTGTACAATATGGAAATGTGTTCCGTTGGAGCGCGCAAATGTGATCATCGCCCCGCCACCGGGGGCATCATCTAATGTTTTGCAAGTAGCGCCCGGTATTTTGGCGGCTTTGTTGAAGTTTTCTTCATCTTTTGCGACGAAGGCCGCGCCCATGAAGCGTGATCCCCGAGTAGAACTTTGGGAAGCCACGTAGATGTACGGATCCCTACCATATCCGCGGAAATAGACCGTCTTCTCTTTGCGCTCTGCCTCCACAAAACCGAAATCTTTGGCAAACCGTTCGAACGCTTCCAAGTCATAGTGCTCGAAGTAGACATGCGAGATGCGGCTCAGTTGAACCTTGCATGGATTGTTTTGGACGGTTGGAATGCTCGATGGTGGTAGTATCCAGTCCTGCCACTTCTTCGGAAGAAGCGCAATGACATCAAGCATCAAAAGAGACATCTTTCGGTTTTCGTTTCCTTGTTGCTTGATTTTTACCGGTGGGTTGGGATAGTTTCGAGGCGTAGATTATTAGGACGGATAATACCAAGTGGATTGATATTAGAATGTAGATCAAGAGTCCAGAAAATGTACTGTGTCCCGAGCTTTATAGACTTCAGGATTTACATGTATCTGGTTATAGACGTGAGGCTTATGAAGCTAACAAGAAAGTATGAGCCAACCCTTCACACGCTACTCCCGGAAAATCTATGAAATCTCCCAGCGGAGGATCTTCAACCAACCGGAAGCGTGGAGACAATTAAGAATGAACTCATTCTTATGTCCCGGAGTCCCACGGCTGAGGAGCGTCTCGCTCGGAGGTTGTGATCAGGGTTCCGGCAAAATTAAAGCAGACTCTGAGTTACGCTATACACCCCTATGATAATTTAATATCTCCCCAATTATGCTTTGTGTTGAAACACGAGGTTGTATACTGGAATTCTCAAGTGATATCCTGGCGGAGTATCCTTACTCATTCCACCGAAGACCGAGGACGCCACAGTTCCGCAGACGAATAGAGGCTTCATTCGCCTATACGGGTCCGAGCCGGAAACATACCGAATCTCTGCCCTTCTGTTCTTCTAAGCTAATACAACTTGCACAGAGGATTTGTAAATATTGGAAATATTGTGAAGGCAACACCAAATCCTGAAGCGACTTTATCTTGCCTTGACACCCACTCTCTTCCCAATCCATTCACTGCCTTCCCCCTTTTGTAAATCGGTTGCAATCAAATCTGCATTGTCCTCAAGGGCCGTTCCATAATCCGGCACTTGGCTTAAGACATTCAGGTATTCTCTGAATATGGGACTGTATAGAAATTTCGGCGACCAATCTGGGGGAACATCGGCAGTTGCTATGAGATTCTGACCAGAGGCCTCAACAGCAGAAGGATACGAGAGCGAGCGCAATGGTGACATAACCCCCGGACAGAGGATAGACCACGAAATGCTCGAGCTAGGCACCTTTTGAAGCTTGGCCCATGTCTGGCGATGCTCAGGGAAAATCCGTAGACTGTTGTTTAGCCTTGTGTCAGCGGGTCGATTGTGGCTTTCAAAAAGATTGAACATAGAATAATGTCTGAATACCACATACTAGTCCACGATCTTATACTTCGTATTGGGAACATCCAAAAGACCCAGCCCTGCAAGAAACCACACTCTTAGCGGAGTCCCGCGCTCCTGGCCTATATCTCGGGCAGCACAAATGACTGCATCGATAATGGCTGGCAAATCACTTTCCCCCCAAGGTGCCATTGCAGCTAGCCCGGCAGTGTTCACAATACAATCGCAACGGTTCTTCGTAGCAGCAGCTTTGATAGTAGCAGCATCTTTTGCATCGCCTTGTTCCACACCGGAGAGCTGGGCTTAAATACCAGAGTGAAGTTTCGATGGGTCACGAACAAATGCAAACACGGTATGGTCTCTCTGTATCAAAGTGGGTAAAAGGCGAGATCCCAGATTGCCAGTGGCACCGAGTACTAGGACTCGCATGTTATCAAGAATTTTGACAAAGTGTTTCAACAAAACATCTGCAACGTCAAAAAAATGAATGAATACACGAAGCCGTTATAGAGCCAACAGGTTTTTGTTTTAACTCAGGATGTGGGTCCAAGCCACTCCGGTGCATCTAAGATGAATTTCTCCGGTTCTTTTACAGACCGATTCGTATCCACCGAAAGAGGAATATCTGCTTCAAAATACTACATGGAATATTATCATATGGTATATTAGAGATGCAAGCTAAATTTACAGAGAGAAATCCGACGTCACGCTGCATGGAGCCCATAATTGAACAACAAATTTGCTGTTTTTAAATCGAAGAAACACCGACTACGCCGTACGGGTCCGGAGAGACTTGTTAATCTTTTATAATAGGCATTCATGGGATAAATCCAAGGAGCCTTGCCCTTCAAGGGCTCAGTCTTTGGAACATAAACCATGATCTGTCCTTTGCTTAGTTCCGGTGAGACTGCGTACCGGAAGAACATACTCTCGGCAAATCGAAATGCTAAACACCGAGAAAGGGCCCATTAGCACGTATTAGGCAAATGTGCATGCGTGCTTCGATTCTCGAGCTCACTATATCAACAACGAGGGAGGGCTTTGTTGGACCACCGCGTAGCTTCGAACAAGTGCGCGAGAGCAGAGGTGACAGGAGTTCCGAAATCGGAGTTCTGGGTGAACTTTTGGATGCCGTTTCAAAGAACCATCACATCCTGGATTTTATTGTTGAATCCAAGGCCCTGGTGTGTAGTCAGCTTGTGGCACGAATCGCCCACCAATACTAGTCTGCCCAAGCTCCAACACTGCATCATTACTTCTTGAATGTCCATTATAATCTCCTGCAGTGGATGCTTTGAAGCTATTCAGGGATCTTATCTGATTTTCGGTATGAAGGCCTGCTGGGTAAAAGGCAGTTCTGTTCCTGCTTGCCATCTTGCTGATTTAAGTACGTTTGACACCTTTTGTCAGCGGCCTATCGATGTTGCGCTTAGCATCTCCGACTGCTTTCTCATGCCTCCAAGTCAAGATCAAACAACTCCTCCCAACCCGGCACATTGGCCTCGGAAGTAAAGAGTATTTGATGAACACTATTTAGTAGGACACATTTATGTCTTCCAAGTGGGCTTGTTAGGGAGTAACAGCCCTGTGCCCCGGGGCTACTTCTCGAGAATATAATTGGGCATGTGCAGATTACCTATCGCTACCATATCACGGTTGCCTTGTTCAATCCCTCAGGATGTCCAAGGAGAGAAGATATTCCTCCATCCTAAAAAAACAAACACCTTCTAGGTGCCATCCAGACACTCTACCGCGAAATCAAGTACGATTCGCACGCAACGGGGGATTATGAGAGCCTCAATGAAGTTCAAAGTCATTGGAAAACATAAAATGGTATTCAATCAAGTTCGCGTATTTAAAGGTGTACCGACCCATTCCAACGCCGCTCACTCATTCCAACTAGATAGGGGTTCCGTACGAAATCGACGCGCTTAGCAGCAGCACTCGCAGCATTCGAAGCAGGCGAGACCGGCGCAGCTAAACAGAATCGTCAGTATTTGTTTTTGTGCACTGGGAAAATATGTGCGACTCACACTCCACAACAAATATCACCGCCCTCACCACCGCCACGCAGCTCCATCTTCATGGCTTCGGGGTTCTACAATGAGGTTGTCCGATTAGTTCCGGTTTTTTTTTCTCGCGAAGTTCTCAATGAGAAGGGAAGAAATACAGGCTGCTGAGAGACAACCTGGTTGGCGGACATCTCCTCGGTGTTGGATGGCTGGCGCATGGTCATAGTGGCCGCATCCCAGGTAGCCTCCTGGGTGGGCTTAGACTCATTGGAAGACTTGAACCAGCCGAACATTGTGAATGAGTAGTAAAAAGGGTTTAAAAGTGGTAAAATAGGGGAAGCCCAAAGTTGTAGAAGACTGCAGAGCTGAGAAAGAGGGGGACGGCACAGATAAAGGTCAGCAAAACGGGTCAGCCTCAGCTAATTTCCTTCTTATTTTCTAATTTCAGATTCCCTACCAGTTGACCACTACCCGCGGATACCGGATGGGTCTCAGGAACCGATAGACCATTCGATTTACCCCAGGCAGCCGTATTCTGTTGTGGGGCGCCACAAAAGTGAGGCCTAACTCGCTCATGTGGCTTCAGCTCTTTTTAATTTAGCTCGAGACCCTTGAATCAGAGGACCAGGAACTTTCTCCCATGAAACATGACATCGGTGGCTCAGTTGAATTGCCCGTCAGTATGTTCAGGCGCCAACTGTTAGCGGATTTATCGGCAGTTCCACTCGGGAGGGTTAGGAAATGTTACGAAGTGGACCGCCAAGCTTTGATCAAGCTTTGAACAAACTTGGCACGTCGTTCCTCTCAGCCCTATTGCTTTTTCGACGTCATTCTCGATCTAGATACTATTCTGGGGAATTACCGTGGGTACTTAGAGGGCGCAATCATAAATCATGAGATTTTTCACATCCCCACTTATTATTAGCACATTGTTTCATACTACGGTATTTCCAACATGATACTTGAAAACGAAGAAAAAAGAGGTGAAAAAGGAGAGTCTACAGTAGGGCTAAACAATATATCGTAGTAGGGGAAATGCTGACTGCACAAAATCCCGGTGTATTGGATACTATGATAAATAAGTCTTCCCATTGGCGACATCGCAATACAGACATTCCTTTCTCTTCTCTATACCACCTCTGTGTAACTAGAATTCCAAAAAGACTGTCTACAGAGACAAATCAGATACTCATACAGATTTGAATAAAACCAGCTATTCTCACCATAACAAGTATCATTAGCAGATCTGATCGTTATTCTTCAAACCAAGTGAAAGCTTCAATTAGGTCATTTCATTACAATTTTGATGAAAATCAAGATGAGCCACCCTCCAAACCGCACGGACATGCCTAAGATATGTTAGCTTGACTGGTTGATGAAATGTCCCATCTGCGTATGCCAGAGGAAAATTATCTGGAAGTAGACCGTCTGGCAGTATATGGACAGTGTTTTCGGTAATTTGCTAAGTCTCTGGAACAGTATTAGTAGTGGGTGGTGGCTATATGTTGACAGTAATGTTGGTGCCAAGGAGTCGGGGCAAACATACTGGGGTACTAATGGTAAGTCAAATATCAGCAGAAAAGAAACCAAGCGTTGTGGCTAAACGAAATGTAGACTCTTCATATGGATGACGGGGGAAGTGGAGCGAAGCAAAGGGGAGGAGGTTTGATATGGCATCATATCTTTGCTTGTTCAAAACACAATTTAAGACGCAGCTAGTCGGATTCATCTCAAACATGTGATACTAGTTGCATAGAGCTGAGAAGTCATTCGAGTTCTTCCCCCTCTCCGTGGGATCACGTTTATCTCCCTATTCAGAAAGATCCATTCACTTCTATGATTTATTCGACTGCTTCGTGCCTTGTGCCTTGTGAAGCTTGCGTCCCTATTGGTTGTAATACCAAGAGCGATGCCAGCGAACTGCTACTATATAGCAGATCTTTCTTCGATCATAATTGGTCAAAAGTTTCGAGATGGCCCCACTTATTCGTCGGCACGGGAACGGATCTGCCGATGAACCAACCACCTTGTTAATGCTCGCAGTTCTATCCCCTATCAGTCACAGAAGGCGGAAGAAGATTGACATCTGAACTGAGCTGTACCGCAGTCCTCGCTTTGCACTTCATGATTCGTGGTGGTATTTTTATGGCTGCTTGCAGGGCAGTCACCATCTATCTTAGTTCGTGATCCAGGGTGAGCGCAATTCAGTCAAAGATTACAATGCCGAGCACAATGTCCAAAGCTGTGCGCATACAGGCACTGTGGCGACAATGTTCTATTCGAAATGCACCGCAACAGAAGCAGCTTAAAACACTGTCCAGACCCTACTCGAGCCAGTCAGCTAAGCCGACAGGCTCGGTTATGCCCCTCCTGGGTCTCACGGCAGTTCTTTCATTGTTGGCTGGATATGGCTTAGCGACACAATTGTCTTCCTCGCCATTTTCAGAGAGTTTAACACCAGTCCAGTATCCCCAGAAGGCGGTTATGATATCAGCAAGTCCAACGCGCCGTCGAATGTCATCTTGGACCCTTTGCTGACTGTGAATATTTCCAGGCAGCGAATGAAATCACGCGCATTTTAGGAGAAGACTCAGTGAGTTATGACAACGAAGACATCGAGACACACGGCTTCTCAGACTGGGCTTCCACAAACTCGGCGGGGCGAGCGGTGGCTATCGTCTATCCTAGGTCCACTGAAGACGTATCCAAGATTGCAACTATATGTAGCAAGTATGGTGTGCCAATTGGTAAGTATGCATATGAAGCGTCCTGTACCCGAGGGCATAGTCTGACATATTGAAGTGGCTTTCGGGGCTGGATCATCCATCGAGGGCAGTTTCGCATCACCACACAGTGGAATCGTTGTCGACTTCACATATATGAACAACGTCATCGCCACTCACCCCGACGACATGGATGTTGTTGTTCAGCCAGGAGTCAACTGGGTTGACTTGAACAGAAGACTAGAAGCTGAGGGCTTGTTTCTCCCGCTGGATCCCTCCCCGACTGCGACAATTGGCGGCATGGTTTCCACTAACTGTAGTGGCACAAATGCCTTCCGTTACGGTACCATGAAAGACTGGGTTTTAAACGTGACCGTCGTTCTTGCCGATGGCAAAGTCATTAAGACAAGGAGACGGCCTCGAAAGACGTCTGCCGGGTACAACTTAACCTCACTTTTTGTCGGCGCAGAGGGTACCCTCGGAATAATCACTGAGATCACACTGAAGTTAGCCGTGGTGCCGAAGGAGACTGGTGTCGCCGTCATTTCTTTCCCCACTATCAAGGATGCCGCGTTCGCTGCGACCAAACTCATCCGCTCTGGTTTGCAGTTGGCCGCACTGGAGCTGATGGATGACATTCAGATGCAAGTTGTCAACCGGCATGGCAGCGAGTCAGTGCGAATGAAAAATCTAGACGAGTCTCCGACACTCTTCCTTAAGTTCTCCGGCCCTACCCAAGAGGGTGTTCAAGCAGATATAATTCAGCTTGAGAGCCTTATTAAACCTTGCAACCCAGGGAAATCATACTTCGCCAGAAGCAAGAAGGAAGAAACGGAGCTATGGGCAGCAAGAAAAGAAGCGCTCTGGACCATGACATCGATCAAGCCGGACGGGCATGCGCTCTGGTCAACCGATGTGGCTGTTCCCATATCTCGCCTAGCGGAAATTATCGAGCTCTCCAAGAAAGATGCAGAGAGCTTAGGGGTCTTCGCAAGCATTGTCGGGCATGTTGGTGATGGAAACTTCCACGAGGCGATGATGTATGATCCCAAGAATGCAGCACAGAAAGCTGCGATACAGGATGCGTCGTGCAAGATGGTAGAGCGGGCACTGGAGATGGATGGAACGGTTTCCGGCGAACATGCCATTGGAATGGGGAAAATGGTGAGCTCACCCTCATCTAGTACAAAGTGAAGACTAACGCATCCAGGCTTACCTTGTTGATGAGCTGGGAGGCGACACAATCGAGGTAATGAAGCGATTGAAACAAGCATTGGATCCTAAGTAAGTCGGTTATTTTTTATTCATATGAGCGCATAATAACTTCTCGCAGGTGGATCTTGAACCCCGGGAAAGTGTTTGCTCTCCCGGATGGCTCCAAGGCCATTGCAGCCAATCGATTGGAATAGCCAACATTGTTATATCAGGAAAGGATTAAGATCAGATTTAGACCCCAAGTATATAAATGGGATTCCGTATTGCATAGAAACAGAAGCATTCAAAAGCTGTCGAAAAACGATGTCAAAAAAGAGCCTATAGCAGAACAGAGAGCATTGCGAACGTTGGTGAATAGGATATCTTTTTATATAATGATGAGCGCACTGATTCTATAACCAGTCTAATACTCGAAGCCGACGATAAACATAAGGCAGACGCTCATTACCTGCTATCAATAACTAGAACAAAAAAATGCCTAATCACTTCTGCCTCTTGAGTGCACTAATAGTTTCACGTAGAGACTCTGGCGCATCATCTTTTGGCATATGCAACTCAACAAGTCGCAACGGGGCCGGATTCTTCTCATTAAAGTGCCCAGCGGGTCCGAACTGACGATCGGCAAGAAGCATATCCAAGTCGGCTTGTGTCCAAACATCATAGGTACGCACACTTTCAGGTGCAGCTTGGCAGACAGCAGGAAGTAGCTTGTAGTTCCAAGGTTGGATATCGTTATACTCCCGATCCGAACCGTGAATCTCACGTTCGACTGTGTAGCCTTCATTATTGACGACAAATATGATAATCGGCAGGTTCCGGCGGACCATAGTGCTGACCTCTTGCGCGGTCATTTGGAGGCTACCATCTCCCGTGAAGAGAATGGTGCGACGGCGAAGTGCGTCGGACTTCTGTTCATCTTCACGTGCGGCCACGGCAGCTCCTACTGCAGCACCAACCGCATATCCAATGGAGCACCAGAGAAATTGTGACAGCAAGACTGCTCCCCGTGGATACCGAGTCCAAACAGTGCCAAAGAGCGAAGTTCCAATATCTGCGGCTATAATGTCATCCTCCTGTAGCCAGGTGCTGATCCGTTGCCAGACCCATTCCTGGGTCAGTGGAGGCGACTTGTCAAAGATAGTCTCCTGGGCGTTGAGGACTGAATCTCCATCAATGGTCCCCTTAGGCGGCGTGGGAGCAGGAAAGACTGGATTGCCACCCTCGAATGAGTCGCTGAGCTTGCGTGGAGCTGATACCGACGAGTTAGACCGTGACATGCGGCCATCAAAGGCATCGCTGAGCTTGCTGAGAACACCGCTCGTTTTAAGACTGGCAACCTGTCGGCCTCGCATCTCAACCCTATCATGGCCAAACTTGATCGTTTCGATATGAGGCATGTCTGTCTTGAAGCCTGCTGTGTTGATATCCGTTGGACGTGGTCCAATCACTAGAATCAGATCACTGAGCTGGACTTGCTCAAAGACGCCAGGCTCCGAGACTTTCTCTGCGTATACACCGCGGAAGTTGACCAAAGTCTCATCCACGATACCCTTGGCCATGGGCATAATAAAACAAGGCAGGCCCGAGTTCTCAACGAACGACCTGGTTGACTTCAGGACTTGTGGTTTCCCAGCCAAACCATCAACAATGATAATTGGATTCTGGGATTTCGAGATCCGGTCGAGGATAATATTCACGACATTTTCCTCCATTGCGATGGGGTTGGATACAGGTTCTTCGAGAACCAGGAGATGCCCAAGCGGAGATGGATCTACTTCTGCCTGAACGAGATCCATGGGGAACCCAATATAGACAGGCTTGCTGGAGCGGTAGCACTCGATGATTGTGTCGTCGATCAGCTTCCACGCAGTTAAATTGTCTTTCAGTATTACCACTGCACTTGAGATCTGCTCGCTCATCCTTGCGAACCGCTCGAAATCTCCATCTGCCATGGTATGATGTACCAAGGCCCCCTTATCCATGGCTTTTGTCGAAGGATACCCCACAATATGAATGACAGGGACAAGATCAGCGCTTGAGCCCGCTATGGCATTAATGGCGGAAAGCTCCCCTACGCCCAGGGTGGTTGCGATCGCCGATATTCCTCTTATTCGTGCGTAGCCATCGGCTGCATATCCTAGTTGAACGGGCTCATTGGAATCAAAGCCCATGGAATTGAAATAATATCTATCTACTTACCAGCATTGAGTTCATTGACGTTGCCAACCCAATTAAGCCCACAGCTATCAACGTAATCGAGGCAGGTCAGATTGAAATCACCGGGGACTCCAAAAATCGATTTGATGCCAAGTTGGTGAATCCGTTTGAAGAGATACTATGGCATGAGAGTATATCTGTTAGCAGAACGCATTAGTAAATAGGGTTGGTACGTATATACCTCGGCAAGATGCATGATGAATCAAGTGGAATTTTGTCAGAAGACCGATGGACATTGAACCTGCAGTATATCCCAGTTATGAGATTATTGATGTCTTCCTTGCTTTTGGAACTCACCACCGGGTTTTTTATATTGTTCCTGTCAACTATACTTCATTCTTTTGATTCTTCATTGCACCGTTAGGTGGAGATGTACTTCCGCCTCACAGCCAATCGCACACACTCATTCAAATAATTCATGGCGATCATTATCGCTTAGGGTATAGTTAATGCAAGCATGTACAACGTATCGATCAAAAATTACGCGAAAGGGAGTTATGCGCAAGATCTGCGACGCTGTATCACCCACCACACCCCCTCAAAAATCTGTTTAGAGGCTCAAGGCGCCACCATCTCGATGCAGACATCCTTTTATTGGTTTCCTGTCATTGACCAAGAAGAAATACCGAATCGGGGATCGCGCTTACATGAATTGCTAGGCTGTCGATGAGAATTTACGCCACACGGGAACTCGGTGACTATCACGTTTAATACCAAAGCAAAGTGCGGTATGACAGAGCCATGGTTTTTGGATCCTGATATGCTGGATACTTTAGCCACATATTGTTAGATTGTGGTATCTCAGAAATACTACGTGGCAAGAAGGGTCACGCCACGGACCGCAGCAAACACGACGACAACTAACAATATTCTAATGGTCTGCGTGGCTATTTATGAGCCCTGTTGTATAATTGCGGCTTTCCCCCACAAGTTGCATTTACTGCAATTGGGATTACCGGTAGTTGCTACTATGCTAAAGAAGACATTGCGCACGGGGTTCCATTGGGCGTATCTGTTGGAGATTCTAAGATAGAACGTACGTTAGTGGTTGAACGCCACATATCTGTTAAAATTGAGAATATGCACCTCAATGCAAACCAGCAAAACATGAATTAGTGAGTATTGTTTCAAGGCAAAGGTCGGCCAGGACAGATAGCGTCGAGGTTCCAAGTACATCTGAGGCATCCACCCCTTCACCGGGCAGTGTCGGCTAAAGGCATACATGCAGTCCGATAGAAGCAGACAGTATCACAATCAAAGTGACGATCTTGTCGCCATCGGGAAAGAGATGACACACACCAAACTCTCACAGGCGACTGCGAATTTTCAGTTCCTCTGGACTTGATATACCAGGATCTGCAGTGTCATCCCCAATCCAGAATTTCTGTACAGCCGACCAGTACCGTGCGGAATCTTCCATCATCAAACTGCAATGCATGCCATGCTCAAAAAGAACTTGATCAACATGGTAGCCGCGACATCGGGCCTCCTCGACATGTTTTTGTACCTCAGTCCATCCAACCATGGTATCTTCTTTCGTGTAAATGTACAGCCTCCTTATTTGGGCCCCAAAAATAGATGGATCATTCAGTACGCCGCGTAAGTCTCGCACAGAGCGTAGCACACCCGAGCTCTGGAGTTTGTTTACCACAGCGATCGATGGATAGAGCAGTGTTTTTGTAAAAATCTGAGATAGGACATCCGCTCCCATTGATAGTTTTGCAGCTCCATATGTCTGCTCGAAGCTGTCGGCTCCGGGACAACAGTCGAAGATTACACCGCGTAGACTGGAGAGGAATAGTGCACCTTGGTCAGCACCCTCTTGCATGGCCAATGACAGTTGAGCAGCCATGCTGCCCCCACCATGGGAGAAGAAATGAAGCAATGTGCTGGGATTGGTCGACTTTGCTAGTATTCGTTGGATGACCTGACAGGTTGGCTGCAGGCGGGAACGGACCACGCGCAGAGGCCAAAACGCTGTATTGGGAACAGTTGTTGTTATAACAAGGATATTTGTTCCAGGATATATTTGGTGATATTGTGTGATGTATTTGTTGATTCGTCGTGGGGTTGCGCCGCCATTCCAAGTGCAGAGGATAACTATTGATGGCGCTGACGCCCTGTCACCTTCGTGCTGGCCATCTGCACTTCCCTGTGGCTCACATAGATAGATATTCTCACTCACAAGCTGCAAAGACTCGCATTCTGACTTGCTTGAGGCCATGGTGGACTATCGACCTGGCATGCGGTGGAGTTGTCTTGATCTGACGCTAAAGAGCGTGGGGGCGGTGTCAGCGCGTGAGGGAGTCTAAAGAGATATTTTGCTGACAAGTTTCGCTACCTTTTTTTAGTCAAATACTTGAGTACCTAGTGTCTATTTATGTATCTTTGTCACTCAGCGACTTGCGCCTCGGCTATTCACTCCTGTTCTTCCACGGTGGCATAGTCCGCTTGGCCTTGGCCAAGTCCCTTTCTTCTGCAGATGGAATATCAAGTCTGCTTCGAATTTCCATAATCCGCTTCAAATACGCCTGGCCCTGGTTTCGGCCAAACCTCTTGTCCATTTCCTCGATCGGCACGCCCTTAGTTTCGGGGACGAAGAACGTCACCCGCACGATGAGGATCACGCAGAATGCCAAGAAGAGATGTGCCAAATGTGATGGACTCCAGTATCCTTGGTGTGATCAGAGCGACGAGAACTGAGAAAGGTCCTCAATATGCCACGGCGTAGATGCTTTCGAAACTTACGTTGGTCAACTAATTGGTCGCAATAGCGATACTAACGTCCTTGGAACGAACACCAGGCAGGAAGATATCCGAGGGCATAATTCAGTTGATACAGCCTATTATATGCATGAGCCCGGTACTTCAAAACTGGTCCCGGAAGTGACCTACCGATGCTGTATGAGAAGTTGGCGATATAAACCCAAATGAAATCAGCTGCTGCCCGTCTAGCACTGAAGTTTGTTTCCCAACGGCACCGATAAACGGCGTATATCGTGCCAACAATGAGCTGAGATATAGCCATCCAGGTTGCGCCCAGAAGAAGGATGTTGCGCCGTCCCCATCTTAAAGCAAAGACCATCAGTATTGGAAACATACTTTCAATTGCTTGATAAGGAGGCCGACCTATCGATCCATTAAACCGTAGGAATGAAGGAATGATACAAAAAAAGAAGATGATACCAACAACACCGGTCGCGAGGGGGTTGACCGAGTCTCCACCAAGGCCAATCTGAAAATGTAACTTCAGGAGGCGATATCTCACTTAGATATAGCGGGATCACCCTAGACAACATTCCGATTGCCGCACCCGTGATGAAGCGCCCAATAAATATCATCGGCATATTCAAAGCTCCGGCGTGCTTGCTGAGCCAAACAAAAAGATTATGTTAGCATATAGGGTTGACCAGCGCCGAGAAAATAGGTCGGCGATAGGGCCGTTTACAAAAGCGCCAAACATTGCACCCAGTATTAGGACGGAGATCATTTATTATTGAAGTCCTGCGTTATTTGCAAAAGGAGATTTTTTTGCCCGAGTGGTGTGAGAGGAAGCAAAGTTAGATGATCTTGATCCTGGCACACTCTTGGCCGATGAAACTCATGATGTCGTGTGTATCGGCGCCCTGTGACCACATAGATTCCGGCAAGCGGAGATCCACACTCCCAATACAGTAATTAAGGCGGGAGGTGAGTCCTATTAGTTCTACAGAGCCTTTCGGTTGAGATGCGTACCATTGGCTAGATTTGGGAGCAATGAGCTAGGTCTATTAAGCAATACAGTATCGGTAATGGAATATATGATCTATTTCATACATGCAATACAGTACACATTTTTCATCTCTTCCGAGGTTTACACTTGCTAACTGCGCGTAATTCAACCCTTGGCCACCTGGGTCTGAGGATATGAGCCACTCCTATTCGGTACTAGATGGAATATAGTTGAATGCTTCCCCCTCGCCAGTGCTGGGAAAACCAGCAAGGCCTTGAAAAAGGTCTTTATCCCACGATGTATCCTCGAAAAGCATTTGAAGAGTAGGGTCAACTGCTAGCGCTGTGGAAGGGGTCTCGATATCCCCGGACATGACTTCTTGCTGTACAATTTTGGTTCGTTGATTGGCCTGTGATTCTGAGGCAAAAGATGAGGAATGATGAAGTTGATCGCTTATTTTTTTCAAGAACCTCCAGACATCTTGTTGCGGCTGTATTGGTGCGGCTCAAGGAGGCCAAACATTCACGAGATCTCGTGATGGAGGAAAAGTAAAGATCTTGACTGACCTCATCTAGGCCTCGATTCATAGATTCCGTAGGACGAAGGTGGTATATGCTTAGAACGACTGCCGCTTGAAAGACGTAGTAGGTAGCATACCAACTGACACCGGTGTGTAGTATCTCGGAGTTGTCACGACAAAAGTTTGAGATATCTTGAATGGTCTCCACGGCTATGAAATTGCACATGCTCTGTGCTTCTTCATAATCAGACGCAGATGTGCACATTCGCTTGCTACCCCACCACAGCAGCAATCGAATGTTCTCTTCTTTCCATAAGACGATTGAACGTGGACCACGGAACCATTCCGGGCCACTTTGGGCTTTAAAATAAGAAGGAAGTGAGAGTTTCCAGGCTTTAAGTTGATTGTCGATGGAGCGCGAAACCCTCAGATCCAAAAGAGTTTGGGTTTGGGTCGAAGAGGAGATTATCTCGCTGAAAAGAACATTTCCAATTGATGACATCCGAGCTTGTGCAATAAGCGCAGAGCATGAAGTAGGGTACGCAATTGAATCAGGTATGCCCCCATCCAACGTGCATGCCTATATGTGGATCTTAGAATTATCGAATTATTGGATCCACTGCCGGATACACCCACCGAGTCATCTATGTTCCGTGGAAGCTTAGTCTCAATAAACGAGCCAGATACCATGATAGGCCTTCCGGTTGTGAAACTGAAGCCGCTATCAAAGCAATAGGCGATCCACCATATAGCTCGTCGGCGTTCGTTGGAAAAGGGCTCGGAAGGCGTCATTCCTCTAGGTGGTTCTCGATTAAGACCAAGACCAAGTGCCATTCGATATGCGATACCGATAAAGTTGTACCCGGTGTTTGGTCTATCCCTCTTTGAAGATAGTTACCCTATGCATACATCAGCAAGGATAATCAATATCATAGTCCTAAGTATTCTCAAGAAATACCATTAATAAAAAGCTTTGGACGGTAAGGAGATTTCCAGACTCCAGCATACGCATTGACATGCGTGAGCGTGCAGCAGTATAATATCTTGACTGTTCCGCCTCAGAGTCCTCCGTCGAAATTCAGTGGCCAATTGCCAATACAAGAAAGAATATCGAATGCCAGCTTGACCGAAGTTGGATTTGGTGACGATTTTTATATTCTTCTCTAAACGTTTTCTCGTGTATGATAGGATATGATGGATTGTACCACATAAAATATGCATCAAGTAGCCCATTAATTGTGGTCGTGTCAGCGAGGTTAATAGGCATTGACGGGCTACCAGTATGATATGTGTCTGCAGATGACGATTGCCCCTGTTGAATTGCTCGTGAACTGAGACTCTTCACCGGCAGAAGATCCGAGATGGTTCTCAAGATGTTAGACCCTGAACTATTTCCTGGTTCCCAGTCAGTGTTATTTCTCACGATCCACCATGACGACTTACCGAGGTATCCAGACTCGGTTCTTCTGCTTGGCAGCGTTGCCATTCCATCTAGTGGAACATCTTATACTTGGGATGGAGACACCAGAGAGCTCTCATTCCATTCAGTTTGATCAGATGAAGTAGTATTTTCAGGTCAGCATTCAAACCCCGAGATCTTTCAACAGATACTTGGAAATCCTGATCGGGATTCCTAAGTATCGTCTCCAGCAGAGATTCAATATCGACGTCGGGGTCTAGCCGCTGTATCAAAGATACCAGCCCCGCACATCGAAGTTCAAAAACATCCAGGTTCCTAAATCCTGTCAGAGATGCCTTGCTTATAGTAGCAGGGAACGTGTTTTCTTGTTAACGGAGTCCGTGACGGTGGCGGTCCAAAAATACAGCATTTGTTTGCTCGGGTACAGTATGAACAGGGTGATATTCCGGAGCACTTGCTTTGGTCAACATAGAGGTACAGTGTAAGGGTGTCAAGGGTCGAAACACCTTGCTTTTGCGTTTGTGTTCATCCCGGTCAGTAGCTGAGCATGTGAGAAGTTTTGCTGTGACGCTCACCCGAAACTCGGTGCACTATTATTCATTAGGAAAAGGGAATAAATCAAATTAGCCAGAGTAATTACCGCTCGAAGATGGTGAGACCCGGACACTGCAGGCTTAGACTTAGGCATGGCGGAGGATTTCGGCGATCACACTGCGATCATGCATACCAAGCAGTATTCAGAATGATGACGGTCGACAGCTGAACACGTAATTCTTCGCGATAATACTATTTGTGAGTGACTGAATGCTACAAGTTCGATCAATAAATTCATCGGTCTACAGTCGTCCGATAACGGTTACCTCGGGTATTTGATATTCCGAAGTATGGCGGGAAGCCCAACAATGAGCAATTCTTGAGAGTGTTTGGATTTGTGTGCTATGATCAAATCCTATTCTGTATTATACAGACATCAGCTTTAGTAAAGTTTATTTTAAGAGTGCCGTTGGTGGGGACTACTCAGATATATATGGAAACCCTGCAATTTATGGATGACACTCAGACTTCGGTGCAATGTGATCTGAAACGAATCTCAATAATTGCAGCTAAATCTACTATTCTCCGATTCTAAGTTGCTGCTATGGCCCTCGCCAGGCTTTTTCGCCAATTTCGCTCTTTTAGCCGCTGATCTGTCAGGCTTTAACCATTTATCTCGGGGCACGGGGCGCCGACGAAGTTCCCCGCACTAAAAGATCAAAAAATTACCGACAAGAGTCAGTTTACCATAATAGCTGCGTAATTTTTCTTGAATCCCATTTGGACACAGACACATGATACAAAGGAAGAATGAACGAAAAGGTTAGATTATGCGACACATTTCTTCCTGAGATACCCCCGAAATATGAACCCACGTTTCCCGTACAACGTCTGAGCTGGTTATATGCCGGAGTTTCTTACTATTGCATTTGTTGAACTTTTGAGTCAAGTGACCTGCGACCAAACCCTAGAATTCATATAAGAAAGAGAAGTATAAAGGTTAAAAAATAAGAAGACCCTGACGCTGCTCCATACAACTCGTCTCGGCCAACACTGCACCGATAGTGGGTCAAACAGATTACGTCTGTTCCAAGTTAGCGCCATTATAAAGATGATCAGGCCCCAATTGTTGCAATTTCCCCCGGAATATTTTCATAACACCAATACCAATATATCAAGATGTCTATGACCATGGAAGATTGCGCGGTAGCCCGGCCAGGCTTCCCTCGGCCGTTCCCGGACACGCCATCAAATGTTATGGAACAGTTTCAAATGAAGGGCAAAGTGGTTGCCGTCACTGGCGCTGCTGATGGACTTGGTCATGCAATTTCGGAGGCTATGGCCGAAGCAGGTGCCCATGTTGCCTTGTGGTATAATTCGTAGGTTATGCCTGGTCCGATGGTCTCAGTTTTGAAGTTGTTGACAATACCGCAGGAATGACGTTGCCATTGAGAAGGCTAAGGAATTAGAGAAACAGCATCGTATCAAGGCTTCTGCATATAAGGTTGATGGTGAGTCATTCCAGTGACTTCAATCACGAGAGATCGTTGTTGGTTTAACGCAATATGCAGTTTCGGACTCTACTCAAGTCTCGGAAACTATTGCCAAAGTTGTGAAGGACTTTGGCAAGTTCGATGTTTTCGTCGCCAATGCTGGTGAGTTCAATCCGAAGTCCTTGAATGAATAGGTTAGCTGATACTCGAAAAGGTATGGCAATTTCAAAGCCTATTTTGGAGCAAAGCCTGGATGAATACCGTAAACAGATGTCTGTGAATGGTTAGACTATCTTCACAACCCATTGCCAAACAGAGCTTTACTGAATTTCTCATAGTTGATGGAATTGTTTATTGTGCAAAGTATGCCGGCGAGGTGTTTAAACGCCAGGGATTTGGCAATCTGATTATCACTTCAAGCATGAGTGGGCACATCGTCAACGCACCAACCGATCAACCCGTCTACAACGCAACCAAGGCATATGTAACCCACTTTGGGAAATCCCTCGCCCGTGAGTGGCGCGAGTTTGCGCGCGTCAATATTGTCTCACCAGGCTTCTTCGATACCAAGATGGGTGCAAGCCCCGAGACTGTTCACGAGGCGTACCGTATGTCATCGCTTGGAAGACAGGGTCACGTCAAAGAAATTAAGGGATTGTACTTGTATCTGGCTAGTGATGCTTCCACTTACATGACTGGAAGTGATGTGATCATTGACGGAGGGTATGTCTTGCCCTAGGTATGAACTTATCCCTATGAAGCGCCTATCTAGGAACTGCTCCTAGCTACAACAGAAGAACAAATTACTAGTTAGTAGAAAGAATCCAAACTATAACTTGATTTCCCCGTCTCACCTATTCAATGCTCCATGTTTGCCGAGCGAAAAAGGAGCCTATCATTAATCCACGCACTTGTGCATTCCAAACTCCAACTCCTTGCTGTAAAGCGTACGTCAAACTTGCACGAATATTACTTCTTCTTGTAATTCAATAAGTTCTAGCCCGTCGATCAAGCTTTTCAGTCAATTTTCACCGGACAGCAATTCTGCAAGTCACATACGTGAGCCATACAGATGACAAAAAGAAAGCCTATATTTGCTATTTATAAACATCCCCCTTTGCAGACCGACTTTCACAAACGATTGTCATTGGTGGGTGTTCTCCACTGAGCATATGCAATTATTTGCACCTTAATCCACATGATCGCGCCAACGGGTGTAGATCAAGGACCCTGAGTTTGATCTTCGCACGCCACACCCGTCACGGAACGTGATGATGAATCTAAGACCTTGGCAATTTCCACCGGACGAACTATCGATTCCCACCCGGCTTAACGGTCCGCCGTCCGGGAGATCCTTGATCGACATCATCCCACAGAAGCAGGCGCTAAAAACGCTCAAGGGACTTTCCAGCTTAACTTTCCTGGAACCTGAATATGACCCTTCACATAAACGGAAGTCAGGTCTTGCGTACTTCATTATAATAAGCAAGCAAAGTAGTTGCATGTCATACATGCTGTACACTCCTGAAAATTACCTTAGTCAAGGCCAAAGTGGTGAACAATCTACCAATACATGTAGCGTATAAGTATATCTACGCTTTTTTGTGTAGGCAGTGTCCCACTCAGTCTTTTAGGGGCGAAAAACAGACCTAAACCGGTTGACACCGACAGTTGATGATCTACGAAACAGACCCACATCTGCCATCCCTTGCTGAACTTCATCCAATTGCTATATGAAACAACTAAATTCACATAAGCAATAATAGCATCTGTGCATAGACTTCGTAGTCCTTGAAACGGGTCCCATGAAGAATCAATTTTATAGTCTCCATTTTTCGCGAATTAAAAGATAAGAGCGGCTACAATATTTGGAATTGGAAGAAAGAAAAGTTAGAAAGAAAATTGCATCAATTTAGCGTATAAGGCATGTAAGCCTGATCATTGATTCTGAACAAATATCCAACTCCAAGTATATACTAACCAACCCTGAGAAAGATAACGAACGCCAGGGTTTTTGTTCTAGACCAAAATATGAAACGCCTGAAAATGAAGATCGAGGTACCAAGTCCCTTCCCGGCGAATGGACCCCTGAATTATGTATACAAAATAAAAAACAGAACAAGTGGTGTGCGACCAAGGACCTCTTAATTGGTTTTCTTGGTCAGGATGGGCTTGGTGAATGCGAGACCGAACCCTTCCTTCTCGGCGTTGCGGCCTGTCCCAATACCGGGGCGGGCATGAATAGTGGCGAAGTCGTAGCCCAGGCGCTTTGCATCGATGAGACGAGCCCGGATTAGTGCTTGCTGGACACCACGGCCACGGAAGTTTGGCGTTGTGCTGTCGATGTAGAGATGCGCGACACGGCCGTACTTTGTCTCCATCAGTGCCATGGCACCACACCCGGCGATTTGGCCGTCTATCTTGCCGAAATAGAGGTTTGTGTCGGATCTCAATGCTGCTGTTTCAGCTAAGCTGCGGAGAACTTCATCAGAACGGCCGTCGTCTTTGAAGCCAGCGACTGAGGCGTGAACAAAAGCACCCATTCCGGCCTCGTTGGCAGGAGCACGGCAAACGAGCATGTTGGATCCAAAGGGAAGTTCAGCAGGTGCCTCCATATTTGGATCAAAGTCCACGTGGATTTCACTCAAAGAACGAGCGTAAATGTTGAGGAAGCCTTCGACAACGTAGCTACGCATGGCAAGCGCTTGGAGAACACTTTGGTCGGCATAAGGGCAGAGCAGGATGGTCGGTGTGAGGTTTGCCTTGTCGTGCAAAGCTTCGATGTTGGAGAGATCTTTGTCGGTGACCATGCCCTTCATGCCTAGGCCAAGGGTGCGGTTCAATTGCTTGCCGAGCTGAGGAGTTGTGAGAGCAGATACACCGCCGCCAGCTACGGGGTGTAATCTAATGTTCTCTTCAGGGAACAGCTGCATGCCAATCTCAACTTGTCGAGATAGATGCATAATGTGGGCTTCTTCAATTTGGTGGACGGTGTCGAGCTTGTTGAACAGGCGAGCTGCCATAGTTGATGGGACAGGAGCAGGAGCAGGAGCAGTGTGCTTCCTGTTGTTCTCTGAGTAGAGGTTGGGAGTGGTGGTAGAGTGTGCTACCAACATGATGATGGTATGGTCTTCTTAAGACTCTGGATTGAAAAAGTGTAGACAAGAATGTTTCAAAGATAGTGTGATAGATAGTTTGGATAGAATAGTTCTTGATCTAATCTCCTGAACACTCGGAGACAAGCTGCTTTATGGACTTCAACTGTGCTCCACGTCGTATCCCATGCATGAGCCGCCTCCCCTACCTCCTGCATTCTTGGCGAGAGACACATGGATGATTGCGTACGTGGTCAGCTACAATGGCATCCAGATCCTCTGGGGAAGAGCAGATCCCAAACATCTACTGGGCCGCGCGGGTGGGGCCAAGCCCCCAGGAGCATATGGTTTCCTACTGTGATATGTTTCATATCAAATGCCAATCAAGGACGGTGACGAGTACGCGTGCGAAGCCATTGACGCCGATCAGCCGCTGAAATGATCGACCCGCTAGACCCTTGTGACTAATCCTGGCCTCCTGAACTTCGATCGTCATGCATCAAATCGTTGGTCAGACTCGGAACTCAATCATCCGCCGCATCGTAATCATTGGAGCTTTTCCGGTTTCTGCTATTTCAATTTTTGGCCAACGATGCTTGATATATTCAAATGGCATCAGCAAAAGCCTTAGCATGTAAGGAACGCGATCTATCATAAATGCGAGATATTGCAGAGCTTGATTGGACCCAGCCTACAGAATTGTACATGTACCTTGATGATCAGCTATGGGTATCCCCCACTAGGTCAATAATTTGAATCATTAAGCTACTTCTCCACTCCTACAAGGGTATAAATCCAGGGGATAAAAAATGCATTAATAAAAAAAAGTAGAAGACAAAGTATGAAGCGAGGAAGGTTGGGGCGAAGCAAGCTTGGCAGGACGTCACTTTAGGATCCCACGGAAGATCGTCCCCTTCCCATTCCGCCCTATGCCAAGACAGGCACGCGTCATGAAAATTCCTTTGTTTTCCATTCTCACGACATCATCAGGTATGTTCAGGTTAAGCAAAACCATTCAATTGTCTACAAAGCGAGATAAGAGGCAGCCAAAAAATGCGGGCGGAACGGATCTAAAGCCTTACAATTGTCCGAGTCTTCGTCATGAGAATAAACACTTCGACCATTGAAAATAAAACGCCCCTTTTTAGTGTAATATCGGGATGTTGAGGTTCATGTTCAGTATTCTACTACATAGCGAGGGAGATATTAGGATTTGACCCATACCGTTGAGTGAGCACGCAAAAGCAGACTCAAAATGCTCACACGCTCCTTCAATCAGTGTAAAATTAAAGTCAGCGGCAAGAAACTCTCACTGCAAACTTTACCAAATGGCCTAAGTCAAATTTTAGGAGATGAGTCTATGCCTCGGTAGTATCACCCATATTCATCTACTTTGATTGTTGACATGTTGAAATACATATCTCCAATCATGGCCGAGCACTTGTTGTCCTACCTGCACTAGTGAAAGTAGCATATACTAGCTTTGTTTTTCCATTATATATATTCAACCCTAAAAGAGACACCAAGAAGCCTACTTCGTTCTAAATTAACTCCACTCACCCCACGCTACTGCTACCAAGTTTACTATTTTGCAGTACGTTCTATTGCGAGAATGGAACATTGCTAGACAAGGAATAGATACCCATTGAAAGTTGTTGCTATCTATACAGAACATGGCGCTCCCTCAAATCTTCCGGCCTCTTATGAACGTGGCTCACTATGTGCATGTGTCCAAGCGACTGGAGTTCCAAAGTTCGGGCTACCGTCACTATGTGTCCCCAATAATTGGAACATAGTGTACCGACTATCGTCACAGGCACCAGTGCTAGTAGTGGTAGCATGATACGCGATCCAAGTCTGTGAGCCGTCAGGACTCGAAAAGAACGAATTGTGTCCAGTTCCATAGTTGCCATTGGCCGAGGAGAGCACACATTTACTGCTCTTTGTCCAAGCACTTGCTGATGTGGGGGCGGTGCTGCCGTCCCATTTCAATGTACCCAGACAGTAATTGGCAGTCCAGCAATAGGATGCGGAGTAGGTTATATATGTCTTGCCGCCAAAGTAAAGTGCGACAGGTCCTTCGTTGACCGGGGTGCCGTTCTTCTCCCATGATTGATCAGGTTGCGAAATTACATAAATGCTGCCGGTCAATGAGACATAGTCTGACCCTAGCTTCTGAAGGCAGATTGATTGGTAGGTCACGCCGTGGAAGCACGAGAACATCAAGTAGTTTCCGTAATCATTGAATCGAAGGACTGAGGCATCAATGGACCATTCCGTTGTCAATTGACCGCTGTAAGTGAATGTATCCCATGGGGTAGCACCTCCTGCTCATTGTTAGCAACTTTGCCATTTGATTGATAGTGGGAGTTAGGTGTGAAATCTACCCGTCAGAACATGGAGCCGCTGTCCATCAAGATCTGTACTCTTTCCTGCAGTGTAGTAGATGTACCATTTGCCGCCAAGGTAGTGTACCTCGGGAGCCCACACGTTGCAGCAGTGTGAGGTATCAGTCGTGGTATACACAACTTTCTTAGTCGCACTTTCAAGGCCTGCCACAGTTGTGGAACGTGCAATCTCAACATCGCTCCACGTGGTAGTGAGAATATAGTAATAGCCGCCAGTATAAACAACAAAAGGGTCGGCTCCACCCGGGTTACGGATGGGGTTGGTCCATCCTAAAGCCTGACTGCAGAACGCAAGTATACCGAGGAAGGAAAGAATATTGAAAACCATTCTAGAGTTTCTTCAGGAGATTAAACCCTGTAATTACATTTTACATGACTCCACGGGCGGCGATATATACTCCTACTAAGGCAGAGAAATTAAATTGGTTTCAGGTCCCGAGTACCCCGGCGGGGGGGAGGGCGCTTGACTTCATTCGTTTCTTGGAGCTGCCGCTTTTACAAGAATGCCACAAGCCACAATCATAGAGTAATTTACAGTACATGTACTCAACTTGCTCGGCAATCATTAATGTTATGATGCCTTATCCAGGGTTGAGCCACCGCTTCGGCACGAACCTAAACGATTTACCAAGATCCTTCTAAGCATTATATAATTGAAAAAGAACAGGCAACAATAAGCGATACTTTCTGCACAAATGGCACCAGTTTCCTAAGTCGGCCCGTGAGCCCCACTACTGGTATGTTCATGGGCCGCCTTTTCAGGAGCATGGTTCGGTTTTGGGAGCGGTTCCTGACTACGTCTAGATAGAGTGTCGATCAACAAACAACAGGAGATGAAAACATTCAAACTTCCTGCACAGTAGTTGACTATTACAGAGCCATTGCAGAACAGGTGGCGCCATGGATACCACCGGGCGTTGAGTTACAAAGTAACAGTCCCTCTCCACACGCCCATAAGCTGATAAGTGACCAAATACTAACCAAAATAAGCTACAAAAAGTGTAGATCTATAGTAGCAATCATCCATGTCATTGAAGCGGAAACATCGTAGCCTGGAACGTACTATACTCGTCAGTGTTGCATAATTCGAAACTATTCCTGGTTCAGCCGAGAATCGAACATTTTCCTAAGAAGGTTAAGCCTTGACAGCTAGTTTTGTGCTTTTGAATTCATCATGAGAGGGAGGAAAATCTCAATAGAAATATAAAGAGCCAACAGTCTCCCTCGTAAACGGAATATAGAACAACAAGTTTCAAATTATTCAAAATGATGACCAGGGTGTGCACTAAGAGCCTTTGCATTGAATAACTGCAATCATTCTAATCCGATCTAATAAAACAGACAATCACCCTACTCTCTGCCCTGACAGTGGCAGCAGTCGCAAACCCCACAATCGGTTACGCAGGCTTCTACTACGCCGGCTGCGCCATCCCAAGCATCGACGCCGCGAACGCCTACGCCCGATCCTGCATCAATGTCGAGAACTTCCCAATCAGATCATTCACTGCCTACATCGAGTCTGGTTCGTGCGCTGATGGAACCTCTACCGTGTTGAACACGTACACTGCCGCTGACTGCGACGACTCTACTCTCTTCGAGACTTTTAATGTAGATAGCAAGAAGCAGTGCTTTGAGGCTGACGTTACACTTGTTAGTATCAAAGCAGAGTGTGTTTGAAGCTCTGGATAGGGATATTAGGGCACAGGTGTGAGCAGATTGGAGTCATGTACGTAGAACCTAAACAAGTCAAAGCCGTATTCTGCATATTGGTTTCATTTGCATAACAGTGATCTCTCAGCCTCCAAATCCAATTTCAATTTAAGGAAAAACAGGCATGAGCCACTATAGTTTAGGTCGCTTACAAGTGTGAGCTGACCAACCCCACAACTACGCAAAAAGCGGCGAGACCATGACATCAAAATGGACAAGGACAAGTCGAACGATTAGTGAAAATCCAGCCAAACCATTCGCCAAAGACTCCCAGCTTGAACTACAACTATGACGAGGCCAGGTGAACCCCCGCACATCCAAGAATGTGGCGTCAACATGCAGCAAACCGCCGGAATGTTACGACATCTGGCCATACCCGCAAGCCTGACACGGCGCTGATCGGTTCTTATTGGTGCAAGCTAGTTCTTCATGGTCTCAGCTCTTCTGGGCGTCGGAAATTTATCCTGACTATGTCCTAATTTCCCGAGTTCTTCATGGTTGGAGGGGTGGGGTATTGCGTGCATTTACATTCCAGTCGGTGGATCTTGCCGTTGGCACTACATGTTGAGATAAAGGTTCTACTTTGTCTTCCAATCAATGCTTACAGTGATATCTGCTGATTTGAGTTGGACTTCAGGACAATTCAAGTTATAATTGAGACAAATAGTGATGAATTCGATTGAATTGCATCATGTTGAATGCACGCAGAAGAAATGGAATGCGGCGACGCGTGTTGAACGGCGTACAAAACAGGAATGGCAAATGTCAAGGAGTGGCTGGAGTGTCATACCCCGGTGAGTACCTTAAGGGACTCAATAGTCATCGCCGCGGCTGAGGACTTCTTTGTTTGATTCGCGCAGCAGAATGGTCTAGGAAGGTCAGCATATTGAAGGTTTCTATAAGTAAATCGCGCACTTACGTGTTCAAACTGTGCGGAGTATGATCCTTCGATGTCCATAAGTGGCTTATAGGCTTCAACAACGCCATGGTTTACAAGGGTGTTCATCTGTTGACAGTTAGCGGATTGTTTCTTCTGACAGGTATAGATATGTGGACTCACGCCAGCCAAATAACGCTCAACACCAAGCCGTTCAAGATAACGGCGAGCGAAGACAATCGAGCCAAAGTTCTCGTTGATCTTCTGATACAGAGAGTTGGCACTAGCGAGATGGGTCTTGATCTTCTTCGGCGCGAATGGGTCTTTCCCATACCCATAAATTCCGATCTAGATTGTTGTAAGTACATGGATCCACGGAATTATCAGTGAGGAAAGGAAACGTACACCATCGAACATGTGGCCTCGGCCAGTCGTGCCGAATGTTTCGATAGCAAAGACCTCTCCCTCTTCCATCTTGGTGTTGTCATTGTTCCTGACAAATGGAATTGATTTGCCACCATGGATGCGGTATTGTTCAATGTTGTGTCCACTAAGACCTCGCACTGCCTTGACGGGGATAGATTTACCATTGATTTCCACCTCATAGCTTTCCATGGCTTCCTGGATGGCAGCGCTGACATCACTGATACGAACGTCGATTCCAGCAGTCTAAGATTATCAGCCATCGCCTTAGCCTTGAGGAAAGAAGTTGATTTACCTGAATGCCAGTATTCGTTGCATCCTTGACAGCAGCCAGCAAATTGTCATAGGTTGGCTCAAATGACATAGTGAAAGCACTGTCAACAATCCAGCCATTGATATGAACTCCAAAATCGATTGTCATCACGTCACTCGATTTCAGAATCACTTCTTTCTGGCCGGAGTTGGGCGTGTAATGCGCAACGCAATTATTCAGGGCGATACCAGTCGGGAATCCCATTCCAGACACAAGACAATCACCGGTACCAAGGCCATCGTTGTCGAGTAGCGCTCTCACGCCGTCTTCGATGCCCACGGCGATTTCCGTCAGTGTCTGGCCCGGGGTAACGTTTTGCTGCGTCCACTGTCGGACCTGACGGTGGATCTCCGCTGCCTTGCGGTAGTCTTTCAGGAAATTCTCGTCTTCAACGCGTTTCCGAGACTCATGTCGGAGCTCCTCGCCCGTGGTACGAGCTGTGTTCTCGATAGGCGCATATTTCAGCAATTCACCGGTCGGGTAGTTGCCGGTAGGGAACAGCAGGGTGAGAGGGACTCGTGGTGGTGAGGATTGCTTGGAAGAAGACTTCTTCTTAGACTTCTTTCGTTTCTTCTTTTGAGATTTAGCCTGAGCTGCGGAGTCGAAGTTCAACGGCAAGGTAGCAGCGCCGGCGGCATGGTCGCTGTCGCCATCGTCGCCGCCATCGTCATCACCGATGGTACCATCGCCATCGCGGGCAAGATGGGTTCCACGTGGTTCTCCGCCTGTAGCATTGGGCTTGGTAGAGCTGGGAGGAGCATCTGTTGGATGTCAGTATGTTTCCGTTAACAAATGTGATGCTAATGGACATACATCCACCGCCCTGGCCCTCATTTTCAAGTGTCTTGGAGCCCATCTCGACATCAAGAAATGGAACTTGTGATCTGCAATTGAGACCATGCGGTGGAGATGTCGATGTTTTGCGTGGGGGCCAGAGAAGGCGGTAGATCTGTCGGTCTGGAGATGTCGGGCAATATACATCTTAAGCTGGAAATGAGACAAACTGACATTGCTGGATGAAATCTCCTGCAATTACTATGTTGAGAATCATGGCGCATCCAGGCGAGATGCCTGATACGTCAGGCATGAATCTAATGATCAGCATTAGTTAGACCTACCAAGTAGAGTATAGATTAGGAGAAGAGTTCTCATTGATATAGGGCCCTTCACTCATCGAGAGAGAGGCCAGGCTTAAACAGCCTCGTCGGCCTTGGTATGAATGCTTCCCAAGTCAGTAGACATCCAATTTCAACATACTAACTCCTAGGCAAAATTTGACGCTTATTTATCGAACTTAAAACATACACTTGCAACCGATCTAAGCCACTCCCGGCATCACAATTATCGCAACAGTGACTACATCAGAATATACTGTTCAATTCGATCCTGCAGTCCGCTCTCCCCAGAATCACAACTCGAGCCCATTTATTTCACTCCCAGAAGTTATATTCGGGGAAAAATCGATCATGAATATGACTCGCATATTCGACGACAACGGGCAGACTCTTGACAACCTTCTGCGCCTTAGGACATCTGCAATAATAAGTTTCCATCGAACCAAAGCGAGAAGAAGACAACGTACGCGGTGGAAACCAAAGCCGCAGTGATAAATCCAAAACAGGCCGCATCTGCCTCAGTGGGTGCATCTCCACCAAGCAGCCAAAAAGTCTGGTTGTGCTCTGTAGTTTTCGATGAAGACTTTGAGGAGACAAGAAGCGAGTTTATCTCCTCCCAAAGATCCTGTCGCATGGAGGCAATCTCATCACCTGTGAAGCGGAGTGTTCCCTGGCCATGGAGTGTTTGGGCCATGTTGCGATACACCAACAGTCCCACTCCAACCCGCAAGGGGAACGGTATAGATCCTAGAACATGGTCTCGCATGGTATAGTAATTCTCAAACCATTTCTCATGACACTATGCCGATGGTTAGTAGGATCATGAATCAGACCGCAATTTCACTGCTTACTGTCAGAAAATATAGTTTTTCTTCTAACAAGGCACGCAGACCTAGATCGTGCGTCCTTTCTGATGGACTTAAGGATGAATTCAAATCCTCGATCAAGCCCTTGTCAATGAGGTCTCTAATCATCATACTCGAGTCGGATAGGGTTTGAACTTCCGATCCATCGGGTCTGGCAAGTGTAAGGTATGGAATCTTGCCGCGAGGACCATCACGAGGCGATCCAGCTTCCTTGGAATATTTGAGGGCCGAAAAGCGTAGACGAAGTTCAATTTTCGTGACAAAAGGAGACCAGGTATATTCGTCGGATCCAGGAAACCCCCGGTAGAGGGTCAACTGAAGTTGCTCGGCCATTTAAAGAGTATATATGGCACTTGTCTTGAATTAAGCAATACGATTCTGAGCGTTATTTCAAAATGAATGCATTTCGTGTTTATTATACAGCAAACGGCACTTCACCCAAAGCCCGAGTCCGATGGCCCATATTGCGACCGCAAAAGCCGAAGTAAACAGACATTCGTAACCATGCATGAACACAAACCACGCAAAAGCCGAGTTGCATGAAGAGATAACTAAACCACACTGTACATTTGATGTCTAAGTGAATTTATGTTCCAAGTTATAATTTAGATATAGTCAAAAGTCAACAGTCAGTGACTTACCCCACACTTCAATCTCGTCATTCAACGTGCAGATCTCGCAATAGAGCCGACCCTGCCGACAGCCCGAGAACTCTTATGCTTCAAACATGCTGACTGCGGAGAAATCTCCCCCGTGTTGAATGGAATGGGTTCAACCAAGTCTTCACGATCGCGATTTGGTAAGTGATCATACCGACTACAAAGACTACAGCTAACATGCATAGGCTGTCGCACATGTCGCGCCCGCAAAGTAAGAGATTAGGCCCATGCGCGAGGTAATGCAGTGTTCTGATCGAATTGCCCTTTGCAGGTCAAGTGTGATGAAAAACCAGGTGAATGCGGCAATTGTGCTCGGTTGCGACTGGTCTGCTCTGGCTATTCAACGCCGCCGAGGTCGCATGCATCTAAAATTGTGATTGATCAGTTGGATCGTTCGAAACGGAAACGAACCTATCGTTCTTGTGCCGCTTGCCGTGCATCCAAAACTAAATGCTCGGGCGAGAGACCTACTTGTCACCGGTGCGAGGATAAGAGTTTAGAATGTGTCTTTGCCGAGGCTTCGCAACCTACTTGGGTGCGGAGAATTGACGTGATACCTAGATACGATCAGGGATCACCGTCGCCAGATCTGCCTGTTGATCGGTCTCTCAGTTATACCCCGGCTAGACAGGATGAACAGAAGTTATTGGAAACTCCGACAATTTCGCAGCAGCCTTTTCTGATGCTTGAGCCAGCACCTCCCGAGACTTCATCGAATCCCTTAGACTGGTGAGATATCTCAGTGCTCTGGAGCGACCTTTAAGTGTTATCTAACATTTATCAGGCTGTCTTCTCGTCATCTACCCAACGTGTCACGAACAAGGGTACTGGTTGAAGAATACTTCAACAATGTTCATCCTCTGCGTGCCTTTGCTTTTATGCACAAGCCCTCCTTTTTACAGCGACTGGATGGGGAACTCGCAAAGAGCCGTCACAATCATGCTTTGCTACATGTTGTCTGTGCGTTGGGAGCCCAGTATGATTATTTACCCTATATTTTGCAATTTCTGTCCGTGAACTAATAAAGTACAAGATTCTACTCTCTCACATATAGCGAGACGAAAGCCTCTCTTGCATCAAAGTTTATTCTCCATGCAGGGGCCGAGTGGGCGAAAATCGCGCAACGTATCATCCTGGAGGCCCTAGATTCTGTCACCATCGAGAATCTCATGGTATGTACTAGGATAGACAGAGCCATTAGCCCGACTGACGTGATCTTAGGCAGCCGTTCTTCTCCATGACTATGCCGTCCGCTTAGGAAACTTCTCGAACGCATTCATGTTAAGCGGAATCACCACAAGGATGACACAAGCGTTGCAAATCAACCTGGAATACAACACCGATGTACTTTGTCATGAAGCCGGGTCCAATCTGCTAGTGACTGCAAGAGAATCTCGCCGGCGGCTGATGTGGAGTTGCTATATCATGGATGCCCTTGTAGGTAGTGGAGTCGACCAACTGACGCTGATGGATGAAAGAGATATTAAAATCCAGCTTCCATGCAACGAGCGAAACTTCACTCAACAAGTGCCTTGTCTTACTGAAACATTGAATCCGGGAAATCGACTCAAACTTCTTCCTGGAGATCAAGATACTAACCATGTATCTGCTAACATGGGAATTATGGCTTATTTCATTCGACACATTGCACTTCGCAAGAGGGTCTTACGATACATCAAACACCTAGGAGACGCCATGGTCCCCTGGTCCCCAGAATCCGAATTTGCCCTCTTGGACGCAGACTGCCGAGCCTGGTACGAATCCCTACCTGCCAGTCTTCAATTCACATCCGACGCAATCTACATTCGAAAAGACACATCCCAACTAGGCTCCCTCTGCATATTACACTGTGCACACTATCAAACAATTTGCGATTTGTATCGACTAGGAGCACCAGCTCTGTACAAACTGCGCGCAGCATTCGACTTCCCTCCTGAGCAACACGATTTCCTCCAACATCTACAGCAAGTTCTGTTCGACGCTGCGCGCGCTTTGGCTACTATCATTGGTCAGACGGCTCGCCATGGTCTGAGGATGTTGGCAGATTCTTGGCTTCCGACTATTACTTATGATAGTTGTCGGATTATTGTTTATCATCTTACTCAGATTCTCGATCCGAGGGAGGAGAGTACGAGGGTGCTTATTCTGGCGACTATCCCTTTGCTGAGGAGTAATATTGCTGCTCTCAAGTCTATGGATTCGCTGAATGCCATTGCCAATTCGCTGGTAGGTTTACAGCTTCTCTGTCTTCCCTTGGGGTTCAATCTTTGTTCGGATTACCAACAATTACTCTCTAGGGCTGCGCAGCAGAGACAATGCTAGACCGCTCAGGTATCGAGTCCGAGGTCGTAACACAGAACATAATCCCGGATGATCCATACCAACCAGACGCAGAGGACGACACAAAGTAAACACCCCCCCCCTCTTACCACAATGCAAAAACTAACGTACAACCCAAAGCCAAAGCATAACAGGGACACCCGCTCAAAGCGCACCTGACTACGTCCTCAACCCCCTAACAATCTTCCGCATGGCGCGCAGAACAATACCAGAACGACACGCCCCCGAAAAGGCGAGCACAAGCACATCCTCCGCGCCAAATAGCGTTCGCTCAGACCCGCACGCGGAGCTTGATCGATCTTCTGCGCGGATCAGTGATGGGAGACTATTGGGTGGGAATGATGCGCTTGATACTGGGCAGGCGAGTCTTGAGGAATTACAGACTCTTTTCATGTCTGATTTGGGCTGGGCGTGGCAGCCTGCTGATACGGCTGTTGGGTCTGGTATTGATGGTCCGGGCCTTTTGCCTTGGGCTGGCGGATATCCTGTTGGGCAGACTGAGCCTTGGTTGCCTGTTTTTCCGTTTCCGCAGCAGGAATAATTGAATGGGATCGGTTTGGGGGACAAGGTTGTACATAGTGCGATGTATATAGTTATGCAGCAGGAGTCAGAAGTCTTTTCGGCTTTGCCACTTTCATGCTACCCATATGATCCACACGAGGAATTGGAAATGAACAAAAAAGAGGCAGTCCAAGATAGGTCAAAGTAGGGCGAAGTTGGTGTTACGGCCTCTAGGATGGTATTCTGTCTGGTATCTTTGCATAATACTTTAGGCTCAAGATGATTAGTATCGAGGTAATATGCAATCTCATTCTGTGTTCAAATATTTTAAAAGAAGAGCTATCACATTACAACATATACAATACGAAATACAAACAAATATGTCACTCCGCATCCAAAGGACAAACAGGCGGCGTATCATTAACCTGGATTCCACCGCGCTTCTTCTCCAACGTATCATGATACGGCAACTTCCACCCACCCTCAGACTCAGGCGCCGCCAACCAAAGCCTCATCAAATGACGCCGTCTAGCAGGACGCCCCTGCTCATCAACAGCGCCAGGAGTATGATCCGTATATGCAGTACGGGCATGAAAGACCTGCGCATTACTCAAGAACTGAATGTCACCCGGCGCAAGAATCATATGCAGAGCAAGCTCCTTACAGACTTTCTCGAACACCTCCAGTGCGTACTTCTGTTTATCAGATAGCGGGGGAATACGTGCATCAGGGCCGGTGTTGAATCGCGCCAGTGAGGTCACGTTCATAGGGTCGAATTTGGCGTAGATGCGGGGATTTCCGGCACGGTCGTTTTCTAGGTAGAAGATACTACCGCGGATCCATTGTTCTTCGCCTTCTGAGACTTCGCCTTTGCGGTCGAAGTACCAGTTTGGTTCGCACATTGTTTGTGCCACATCTGGGTAGCGTTCTTGGAGGGTGTTGAAGACGTGGTGGGTTGATGCAATGTCGGATTCGCCGCCGGACATTGATTTTGCTACGCAGAGGAGGCCGACGAAGTCTGCGCCGTCTGTGTGGAAGTATTGCCTGGCGTTTGTCCGGTAGATGCGCACTCTGTCGGTTTTGGTGGGGTCTTCGCCGAGATCTTTGACGTGGCCCAGGACATGACCTCGTCCGTTTTGGCTGACGAAGTACCCAAGGTATGTGCCTAGGCCCATGTATGCTGTTGCGCATTTTTGAAGATCCCATTCTTGGGCTGGAAGGCCCCGGAAAAGGAAGAATCCTTTGCCATCAATTAGATCTCTTCGAAGCTCTTCCATTCGGTTGGCTAGCTTCGGGAGATGGAAGTTTGCCTGTAGAAGGTTAGTCCTCGTTTTGTCTGTGGTATCGATAGTCAATCATACCTTTGAAATACCAGTCAAAGGAGTTCCACTCTTGATGAAGTCTTCGGTGGCATTGCTGATCTCTTCGATCTCTTCACCTGTGAAAGTATGCGTCCACAGCTCGGGGTTGTTGCGATAGTCCTCAGCCTTCCACACTGTGGGTCCTGTGTGGACTTTGGGAAAGTCGGAATAAGGGCGAACTTGTGAGTAGAGAGGAGGGTGCTGACCAGATGTCTTGAATCCATCTGGGAAGACAGAAAGCTTGACTGGCTTTGGTGTAGGCTGTGGGAAAGCACTTGAATCCACGAGACCAGGAGCCATGATGATAGATGGGATATCAGTTCAACCCGAGTGGAGTCTCGTTTGAGTACGTGTCCTCGTGTCTTATTGATACTTTGAGGTTTTCTCAGATAGAGGACTCTGATCCTTATATATACAGCTACTCCGCATTTTTCGCGATATCGCAGGGTTGTAGTTACTCGGCTCGTCGCGTCGATCGGCCGCTTCGGTCGCTGTTGATGGGTGTCGGAATAGCTTCACATGCATATTGATCTGTGTTTGGTGTGACTGGGGTGCAGATATGATCTTCCTCGGCGACCATCGCATGATATTAGCTTGTAACTTAGCAACTGGCCCTTGCCATGGTGTGGTGAGACAGTGCACTGTGCCGGTTCATCGCCACGGCTCGTCGGCTGTTACCCCAACATATGACAGAGGAGCTATTGCGCAAGATGGTGCCATGTACTCGCAAGCACGAGCGACCGTGAATATATTGAATTATCATACTTATTCAGACATATTGCAGTTCAACTTCACCTTCAAAGCTCATTTCAGCAAGCGAACCTCTATGCGTTCGTGCGCGTGTCATGATCCAACAAGCCCAGCTGAAGCCTCAACATTGGTCTCCTTCAACGTCGCCTGCTCCGACTGCAGCGGACTATCAAACCGTTTCGTTCCATATAAAGGCAAAGTGTTCAAGTCAAGCAGATACATATACCAATAGTAAGTACCTACATGTATCAACCGAGTCAGTCCACATCCAAACAGAACATTTCAAGACTCCAAAACCCGCAACCGCCGACCGCCGACAAGGACGTGCGCGATACATGTACCCACGTCAACAAACTCAGTACGGCTTTAGAACCTGCCCCCGAAAGCCGAGCCGTTGGAGCATGACACATTCTAGAAAAACCAAAGAGAAATGGATCACGACTTACCACAGAACACACCGCCACCAACGATATTTCCTAGAAGGGTTGGAATGACACCCTTCCAAATGTATAAACCCACACTGATATCAGGCGCACCAACCCAAATGGCCATCGGGATGAAAGTCATATTGGCAACAACGTGGTCGAACCCCAGAGACACGAATGCGAAGGTGGGCCACCAGATGCCAATCACCTTTGATGCGAGGTCGCGTCCTTGCAGGCTGAAAAAGCAGGCCAAGCAGACTAGCCAGTTGCAACCGATGCCACGCAAGAAGATCATGTGAAATTCTGGTGTTACTTGCTTTTTCGTGGCAAATGAGATTACTGCTGATTTGAAGGGGTCTGCTGAGAATACGTTGCCAACTGGGGTGTGGGATTCTATTGTTAGTCTCTTCGATATGAAACGCAACTGTGTCTGCTGGGATGGTTGAATTCTTACAGCCAAAGATGATTGCTACCACGAATAGGGATCCAGCTAGGTTTCCGAGAAATGTTACTACCCAGTGGATTAACATCTTTGTCCAGGGTAGGCGTCTGTGGAGGGCGGCTGTTGTGGTGAACTGGAGGGATAGAAGTGAGCCTCAATTGTTGAGTATGCGATTGGTATATCATACCATGAAAGATCCAGTGCAGAGATCTGCACCTGTCAACAAGATCATGCACAGGCCATAGGGGAACACCAATGCGCTGATTGTTCGCATCAAGCCTGGGGCATTGGTCTGGAACCAGGGTGTCGCATTCGTGCTGAGTGCAGTTCCACAAGCGAAAGCAAGCAAAGCGCCTGCAGAAACAGCACTCATGAACACCTTGTCTAATCGCATGTTTCCCTTGAGGACACCGGCATTTGAGACCATCTCGGTCACCTCCCGAGGGGAGAAGGCGTCGAATGTCATTGTCGAAATAGCCGGCTGTGAAAGACAAAGAAAGATACCGATTCACACATTACTCTATTAACAAAAGACAAAAGTCCACGGCCTGGATGTTATATCCTCATTGCTCCAGTATAAGGCTTATCTCTCTCCAAGCTTGACCATTGCCGACATGAACACTAGAACACCTCCGCGTTATTGAGTTACAGGCCAATTGTTTAAAGACAAGCGAATAACGTTGTGGATAGCATGTCGCACGATCGATCATTTCCTTCTTTCTTAACTTTTGTCAAGTCACAGTTCACCAAGTTATCAAAGTCAGGGTCTTGGCAAGATAAGGATCTAGTTCGAGTTTGAACATCTCCGCGGGACTATGAAGTTAACCAAAACACATCTTCTATAATATTTACGCTTGGATACTATAGCCACCACAGCCACTTGTTTAAAATTTTCATCACCGCACTGGTCATCATGATAAAATAGTCGAACACAATTGCCAAATCCCGACGTCAAATGTAGAACCCAGCACTATAACGTTATACCCATCACCAGACCATGCTTCCTAGCAATAGCATCCTCCTCTGAGAAATGTATCTAATTGAACTTTAATTTTCCAACGAACCATATACAATTGGAATAATGCCAAAGACAACATCATCGTCATTGAGTAAACACCTAAGACCAATCCAAAAGCCAAAAGAAAACACGAGTATCTAACAAACTAACCAGTGAATTCCAAGACTACGGACCCCCGAAGAAATGAACGACTGGCTAGGAGAAAAAGCATCCCAAACCGCCGGCTGGCACGGCCCACAACGCGAATCAGGCGAGACAGTCGGCCACCAAAGGTCAGTCAATGGGCGCATAGCCGCATCAAGGGATAAGAATGAGAAAAGATGACTGATAAAATGAACAGTGGCCGAATGATCATGCAAATTCTCGAAGGCGCTCGCCATCATGACTACGATCGCTCGATGGACAACGGTGGTGTTTATACTAATGAGGAACTACAGCATATGCGTCGGGTCGTCTCTTATTGTCGCAGGCATCTTGCCCAGGAGCAGAGGAATACGGGGGATGTCAATAGTAGGGAATATCAGTCGCTTAAGAATTGGGGGCATGATTCTTGAAAGAAGTGAATTTGTGTTGTTCGTGCTTAGCATTTGGCTCGTTGTCCTTCGTGTTCTTTCAGGATTTGGGAGTTGGACGTCAGACCGCAATTTAGTCCATAATTTTTTAATTTCATAGGATAATGGGGTATTTTGAAGCTTTCATTGTTTTCTTTCAGGTCAGAGGTGTAAACGTGAGGCTGTTGTCGATTATAGAGGTATAAGCGAGGGTATTCAGAGTGGGAGAACTTGGCGTGGGGTGGATAGTGCCTAAGGCTGTGAGACATCGGGTTCTTCGGTCAACTGTATCGTATCATCTACACTGTTTGACTGGATCGTATGTTCCAGGTCAGTGTTGAAGACTGTTGGCGATGGTGGCTGACAGAAACGAAAGATGGCCGACGGCAAATGAAACTGGACATGTGATGAATATATATGCGGCATGACACCTTTACGGGCCAATGTCGGCACGTTGGGTGCCGCCACGATCAGATATGGCTTTAACAAAGACCGACACTCTACAATCGGTCTCTTGACCCGAGTGAAAGAATGCAGAATAGCGACCCCCACGACCCCGAGAATCGGTTTGCCTCGGCAATGGCCGAAGGGGAAAACACACCCGAATCCCCCGCGTTTTTCGGAAAACTGGGAGATGTAAACGATTGGCTCGGAGCAAACAAGCTAGCGGCCAAACGGCTAAGCTCACTCGCTAAATGGCTTGACGGGTGTGGGCTGATCTCCATTTGACTTTTGTGGCAGACGCGGAGACGTGGGGGAACATGGGGAAACACGAATGCATGACGACGGGCGTGGGGTGTATATCCCTATATATCCCTTGGGGCTGGCCAAGAGGTTGTCTACACATTCACTCACCTTTTCAGAATGGACAACGCCATGTCCAAGCCCAATGTCATGCACAATGAGACTGTCGAGGCGCAGAAGGGCGACAAGGCTGTGGACAGCAGTGGCATTGAACGTGTCCACATGACCGAGGAGGAGAGCAAGCGTATTTGTCGGAAGACCGATCGGACTATTCTTATTATTCTTGCTTGGGTCTACTTCCTACAGATCCTCGACAAGACTGTCCTGGGCTACGGTGCGACATTCGGTTTACAGAAGGACACGGGCTTGACCGGCAATCAATACTCTCTTGTTGGATCCATTGGTCCCATTGCACAGCTGGCCTGGCAACCATTCTCTTCATATCTTATTGTTAAGGTCCCTCATAAGATCTTGATGCCATCCCTGTGTCTTGGATGGGGTATTGCGCAGACATGCATGGCTGCATGCCACAACTTCAACGAACTCATGGCTGCTCGTTTTTTCCTTGGCCTGTTTGAGGCTGGATGCCTGCCTCTGTTTGGCGTTATTACCAGTCAATGGTATCGTCGTGCCGAGCAGCCGATCAGAATTGCTGCTTGGTACAGTACCAATGGTCTGGCTACTATCATCGCGGCTGCTCTGTCATACGGACTGGCACAGATCAAGTCGGATGTGTTGAAATCATGGCAGATGTAAGTACTCCTCCTCATGTGTGAAAAGGAGACATTATTTCTTACTCTTACTAGTATCTTCCTAGTTGTCGGCCTCATTACATGTATTTCCGCCCCAATCGTCTACTGGCGTCTCGACAACGATGTGGCCACTGCTCGCTTCCTCAACGAAAAGGAGAGAGCCCAGGGTGTAGAGCGTCTCAGAGCCAACCAGACTGGAGCAGGCAATACGGAATTCAAGTTGGCTCACGTCTACGAGGTCTGCCTCGAGCCTAAGACTTACCTTTGGATCGCCATGGCCTTGCTTCTCAACATTGGCGCCAGTGTGACCAACATCTTCGGACCTCTCATCTTAAGTGGTCTCGGCTATGACAAGTACAGGACTACCCTTCTTACCATGCCCTTTGGTGCCCTGCAATTCATCATCATCCTGCTGGCAAGTTATCTCGCCCAGACAGCCCGCATCAAGAGTGCCATCCTCGCCGGCTTCATGATCCCAACAATTGCCGGCCTCGCAATCCTTTTCGCAGTACCCAGAACCAAATCTGTGCAGAGCGAATTGTTGGCCGGCTACTACCTGCTTGCATTCCTGTTCGGTGGCAACCCCCTGATCGTCACATGGATTATCGGCAATACGGCAGGAACAACCAAGAAATCTGTGATCATGAGTTTATACAATGCCGCCAGTTCTGCGGGAAACATTATTGGCCCTCTACTATTCAACGAGAAAGACAAGCCGGCCTATACTCCGGGTCTCCGTGCATGTCTGGGTATTTTCGGTGCCCTAGCTGCCATTGTCCTCATCCAGTGGGCTAATCTGTGGGTCCTTAATAAACAACAAGCACGCCGCCGTGTCCGAAATGGCAAGAAGGCGGAGATTGTTGATCACTCCATGCAAAACCACTACCATGGCATGGATGAGGGTAACCAGGAAGAGACTGGTCAGGAGACTGTCCAGGTTGGAGATAATGCCTTCCAGGATCTGACTGACCGTCAAAATGACGAATTTGTTTATATCTATTAAGACTACTAAGGCTACTGTTGGATAGCTTGCGCTCAGCCTAATGTGGCGGCGAATGATGAATGATACCTACTTCTAAAGCGCTATAGCAATCACTCCCCAGTCATGCCTTTTAGCCACTTGTCTTTAAGTAAAATTGCATGCACAAGGCGCATAAAGGCACGAAGATATTGCCTTGTAGAAGTTGATTAATTATATGCCAGGGTTCTTAAGCGATGCAACTGAGACGCTTCGGAAAAAGCAAACATGCCAAACAGGTATGTCCGCGCCTAGACCAGGGGTTCACACAACCTCACCACATAAATCTTACCAAGCCAACGCTGGGTTCATGGATGCGAGACTAGAGTTTCATACCTCTTCAGAGTATAACTAAACGTGGTATGCATATGCAGATGTTTGCCACCGGGGGTATTGTCTGTTACATTTTGAGATCGACCCGCATAGCGGGTTATGTGTCAGCCAAAAGATATCAAAGTGAGATGGACTCGAATCTCGCCTATGTCTTATGCCGATCATGAGACATTGACTGAAGTGCTTGGGATATCAGCCATTATAATATTTGGCGGCAAAACCCCAAAATACCCATGTCACACGTATTGGTCAGTATACGAATTCACGCAGGGAACCACCTAGTATCAAGGGATTATGCAATGCGTTCCAATCTAGCCTGAGATATATCCGAGTCTAAGAGATGAGGCTAGGGGTATTGGACGACAATACTACGATCTAGTGCCACATCAAGGCACGAGCAATCGGACTCGGAGTCGGTCTTAAAATTCAAACCAAGTCAAAAGCTGACAGGCAAGCGCCACGGTTTCCAAAGCCTGTTTCGCAATGCTGGATCTAGAGTCTCCATGATATGGCAATATTTAGTGTACAACACGAGGGCAGGGGCACACCAATCCACATGGCGGAAACATGATGAACCCCTTGTTCGATTCGTGATTTGTTTCGTCTCATACCACAGACCCGGGAATAGACTCGGAGTCGGAACTAGCTGAGTGATACTGGACAGGACGATGCGAGAAACAATGCCCGAATATGTCCCAATCTGACCACCACAGCGAGCCTCGGAACTTTGATATGTACCGCTGCCCGTCCTTGGTGCTGGAGGGTGAATGTTGCGGAGCATTGCTTGTCCCGGTTTTTCATGTTTAATACTCCATAGACTTTGATCTGCATATCGACAGTCGTACAATTGGTTGCACTACCTTGTGAATAAGTCAGTCAAACCCTGTTATCATAATGACGGGTGATCGTGAACAAACCAGGGAGCCAATTGCCATCGTGGGAAGTGCCTGTCGCTTCCCTGGTGATGCAACAAGCCCCTCGAAGCTATGGGATCTGCTCAAGGACCCCCGCGACGTCTTGACGGAGATTCCTGAAAGTCGATTTAGCACCAAGGCCTTCTACCACCCTGATGGTTTGCACCATGGCACGACGAACGTCCGACACTCCTACCTCTTATCCGATGACCACCGACTCTTCGACGCGCAGTTCTTCGGAACAAAGCCAGTCGAAGCAAACTCAATTGATCCGCAGCACAGGTTGCTGCTGGAGACCGTTTATGAGGGCTTGGAAGCTGCTGGTATCCCAATGGAGGATCTCCAAGGATCCAACACGGCGGTTTATGTTGGACTAATGACAAACGACTATGCAGACATGCTAGGTCGAGATGTTCAGAGCTTCCCTACCTACTTTGCCTCCGGAACTGCTCGCAGTATCCTGTCCAACCGAGTCTCCTACTTCTTTGACTGGCGCGGCCCGTCTATGACCATTGACACAGCCTGCTCTTCCAGTTTGATCGCACTACACCAGGCCGTGCAAAGCCTGCGAAGCGGAGAGAGCAATGTCGCCATTGCCGCTGGAACTAATCTCCTTCTCGGACCCGAGCAGTACATCGCAGAGAGCAAGTTGAAGATGCTTTCTCCAACTGGGCGCTCGCGCATGTGGGACAAGGATGCTAATGGATACGCTCGTGGTGATGGCATTGCTGCTGTCATTCTTAAGCCATTGAGTGCTGCCCTGGCTGATGGGGATCATATTGAGTGTATTGTTCGGGAAACCGGCGCCAACCAAGATGGTCGCACTAAAGGAATAACGATGCCGAACCCCGTCGCTCAGGCGGAACTTATCCGTACCACCTATGCCCGAGCCGGACTCGATCTTTCCAAGCCCAGTGATCGACCGCAATACTTCGAGGCTCACGGAACTGGTATGCGTTGACCTACTTGTACTTCATTGCTGAGAGTATATTGCTGACAAGAAACAGGTACTCCTGCCGGTGACCCAGTCGAGGCCGAGGCTATCAGCACAGCCTTCTTTGGAAATACAGCCAGCTATCACCGCAAGAATCGCCAGGAAGACCCTCTGTACGTGGGATCCATCAAGACTGTGATCGGACACACCGAAGGAACAGCAGGCTTGGCAGCCATTCTCAAGGCCTCACTAGCATTGCAACATGCAGTGATCCCACCAAATCTCTTGCTTAACGAGCTTAGTGTAACGGTGCGACCGTTCTACAACGACTTGGAGATTGCCCAGGCTGCCAAGCAATGGCCTCAACTCCCAGAGAATACTCTCCGTCGTGCAAGTGTTAACAGCTTTGGTTTCGGTGGTGCCAATGCTCATGCCATTCTGGAAGAATACAAGCCACGACTGCTGGGTCTCGCATCTGGTAATGTCGACACGGCAATTGTGTCCCCGTTCAACCTGTCTGCATCTTCTGAGAAATCGCTTCTTGCAAATGTTGCTGCATACTCAGCCTATATTAAGAGCAACCCTGGCATAAACCTGCGTGACCTATCATGGACTCTGAACTGTCGCCGGTCTACTTTGCCGGTGAGGTTATCTGTCTCCGCATCAACCACCGAAGAGCTTGTTGCAAGGCTAGATGACGCAGTGCAGACTTTCACTGGCATTACATTAAGCGCACAGACAGCGAATATCCGCGAGCCAAAGATTCTTGGTGTATTCACAGGCCAAGGTGCGCAATGGGCTCGAATGGGGGCGGAACTGCTTGAGAGTTCATCAATGGTGCGGGAATGCCTTGGTCGTCTTGATCGGTCACTACAGGAACTGCCCACGGAGCATCGCCCCGACTGGTCCTTAAGCGAAGAGCTCCTCAAGGATAAGAACTCATCTCAAATCGGATCCGCAACCTTTTCACAGCCACTTTGCACAGCTGTTCAGATTGTCCTAGTCCAGCTTCTCCACGCCGCTAACATCAAGTTTAAGGCTGTTGTTGGTCACTCGTCTGGTGAGATTGCCGCCGCCTATGCAGCAGGGTATCTTAACGAAGAAGATGCTATTCGAATTGCGTACTACCGTGGTTGGTCTCTTCAGTACGCTAATGACAAAGAAGAACAGAGGGGTGCTATGATGGCCGTGGGTACATCGTTCGGTGATGCCAAAGAGCTATGCGAGATGCCCTCATTGGAAGGTCGAATCTGTGTCGCAGCTAGCAACTCCTCCACTAGTGTCACGCTATCTGGTGATGCGGATGCAATTGAAGAGGCTCAGGAAATACTCGAAGATGAGAAGAAGTTTGCGCGACTGTTGAAGGTTGACAAGGCATATCACTCTCACCATATGCTGTCCTGTGCAGCACCCTATATCGCAGCGATGCGCAAATGTGGCATTAGTATCCAGCCTCGGCCTACTGGCAGCGCTACCTGGATCTCCAGTGTGTATGGTGAGAACATCAACGATGTCAATGACAACCTGGCCGACACCTACTGGAGCAACAACATGGTCAATCCTGTGCTCTTCTCTCAAGCAGTAACCTACGCCGTTGGTGCTGCCGGACCATTTGACATGGCATTGGAAGTTGGACCTCACCCAGCATTGAAGGGACCCGCAATGCAAACTATCCAACAAATGTCTGGCCAAACATTACCCTATACGGGAACATTGAACCGTGGCAAGAATGACCGAGAAGCATTTGCATCTGCTCTCGGCGCCTTGTGGGTGTCACTCGGAGAGAGCGTTGTTGACTTTGCCGGCTTCGAGAGCAAGGCGACACAGAACACTCGACAGCCGGCATTGATCACAGGTCTTCCATCGTACTCGTGGGATCACGACCGAGCCTACTGGCATGAGTCTCGCTCTTCCACTGCATTCCGCACTGGAGGTGAATCATTCCATTCTATCCTTGGTGTTAAATGTCCGGACGGTATTGAAAAGGAGCTACGCTGGCGCAACTATCTTCATCCCCGTGAAGTCTCCTGGTTGGCACATCACCAAGTACAGGGCCAGATGGTGTTCCCCGCGGCCGGGTACATTTCAGCTGCGGTTGAAGCAGTCGCCCTAAAGTATGGCCTGCAGTCCGTGAAGCTGATTGATTTCCATGATGTGATCATTGGCCAAGCATTGGTCCTCGAAGAGAATGGTGGAGTCGAGACTATCTTCAGATTATCCATCGAGGAAGTGCGCAGTGATTCCGTGACAGCGTCGTTTGCCTGTTACTCCAGCGCCAACAAGGGATCATCCAACATGTCACTTCACGCATCTGCCTCACTGCAGATTATTCTGGGCGAGCCGAAACATGATACTCTACCCCCTCGGCCAGAAATCCATGGTACCTTCCTTGAATTGGAAATCGACCGGTTCTACAACACCGTTTCAGAACTTGGCTTTGGCTATACAGGCCCTTTCCAGGCCCTTACCGGTCTAAGCAGGAAGATGGACGAGGCCACAGGTCTCATCGCTGTCCCCGAAGTAGATGATCACGAGCGACCATTGATAATCCATCCGGGCTCGCTTGATGGTGCCATCCAGTCAATCATGTTGGCTTATTGCTTCCCCGGAGACGGTCGCCTTCGCACACTCTACCTGCCTACTCGAATTGACAGGCTTCGTCTGAACCCTTGGGCTTGTGCTGCCCTTGCTGCCCCTGGGGCGGATCTGCCCTTCTACTCTGCTGTCACGGATGCTCAGTTTTCTGAGCTTTCTGGTGATGTTGATATCTTCTCTGCGGATGGAAAACATACATTGGTTCAACTTGAAGGGTTGCACACCACTCCGCTCAGTCCACTGACGTCTGCCAATGACGTGCCATTCTTCACGCAGGTGACTTGGGATGTTGATGGGCCAACTGGGCCGAAAGCTATTACGGAATTGACAGGGCAAGACCATGCTCTCGGATTGGATCTGGAGCGCATTGCTCACTTCTACTTCAAGAAGTTGGATAGCTCCATTCAAAAGTCTGAGCGCGCGAAAGCTGCCCGGAGCCACGTTCATCTTTTGTCCTACGCTGAACATTGCGTCGCTTCGGTTGCTTCTGGGACTCACAAGCTTGCGAAGGCTGAATGGGCTAACGATACAGCTGACACCATTACTGCTATTATGGAACGGTGAGTTATTTTGTGACAGTCTTAACCAAATTCTGCTGACCAGCGTTTATAGTCACACTGAGAATATCGATATCAAGGCTCTCTCGGCAATTGGCGAGAATCTTCCTGCTGTCATTCGCGGAGAAAGTAACCTGCTTGAAATCCTTACGCAAGATAACATGCTTAGTAGCTTCTATGCCAACACACTTGGAATTGATTTCTACCTTGAAGAGATTGCTCGCATGGCTCACCAGATCAGCCACCGGTATCCTCATCTGAACGTGTTGGAGATTGGTAAGTTTCACCAATGTTGGCGACCTTGTTGTGTATTGACTTTCTCTAGGTGCTGGCGCTGGCGCCACTACCGAGAGAGTTCTGTCCGCATTGGGCTCGGCTTTCACGTCTTACACATACTCCGATATCATTGATAGCCAGTTCGATGATGTCCGTGAGAAGCTCTCCGAGTACCAATCTAAGATGGCATTCAAGGTTCTGGATATTGAGACAGACATTACGGAACAGAAGTATGAAGAGGAATGCTTCGACTTGGTGATTGCTTCTCTGGCTCTTTACACTACGAAAAATCTCGAGGCTACCCTTACCAATGTCCGTCGTCTGATCAAACCTGGTGGTTATCTGATCATGATGGAGATCACAAACCCCGATGTCATGCGTTTCGGCCTTATCCTTGGGGGCCTACCTGGCTGGTGGTTGGGCCACGAGGAAGGCCGAACGCTTTCTCCTTGTGTCCCTGAGAGTAAATGGGATGACCTGATGCGAAAGACCAAGTTCTCTGGATTGCAAGCTCTCGCGCCATCTTCTTCAATCTCTCTTTTGCCCTTTTCCGTTATGGTCACACAGGCAGTCGACCACCGCATCAACTTCCTCCGTGATCCATTGGCCCACATCCACCAACCGCTTGGTGTTGACTCATTGACTATTATCGGAGGCAAGTCACCGTTGACTGCAGCCATGGCCGCCGAGATTAAGACCGCAGTCAGCCGTCACTACAGCAACATCCAAACGGCTAATTCCCTCGGCGATGTTGTCTCGGCAGACTTGCCAGTCATGGGAACAGTCATCAGCTTGATAGAACTCGATGACCCAATTCTGAAGAACATGGCTTCTGAGGACCTGACTTCCTTCCAGGAACTGTTCAAACGGAGTAAAAATGTCCTCTGGCTGGGTCATGGAGCTCAAGGCGACAACCCCTATGGCAACATGTTTACTGGTGTCCAGCGCACACTACTCATGGAGATGACCCACTTGCACGTCCATTTCCTGAACCTTTATTCCTTGCGTGAAGCAGATGCGAGGACCATCGCAACAAAGCTCCTTCATCTCGAGGTTGCCGAGATTTGGGATCAGAGTGGTCAGCTTGATGGGATCCTGTGGTCCAACGAGCGAGAGATTGCATTGAAGAATGGAAAGCTCCAGGTTCCTCGTTTCCGTCTCAACTCTCGCCGAAATGACCGATACAACTCTTCGAGGCGACTTATCATCAAGGAGGTGGAACGTGCCAAGTCAATCGTCACTATCCAGCAATCGGACTTGGGATATCAAATCGAAGAAAAGGATATTCGCTCATCTCTTTCCTTCCCCGATGGTGTTGAAATTCATGTTACCCACTCCCTGCTTCGCGCTGTCCGCATCACCGAGGCAAAAAGCCTGTTCTTGGTTGCTGGAAAGAACACTCGCAGCAATGAGCGCGTCGTTGCTCTGTCGCATACTCTGGAATCTCAAGTCCATGTGCCGCATAGCCTGGCTATTCGTTGTGGAAATTCTGAAGAGCAAGCCATTCGTTCTATGCTCACTCTCTATCTGCACTTCCTGTCTCTCTCCATGCTGCACAAACTGCAACCTGGGGCGGCCTTGGCAGTTCTGGATCTGGACTTCTCTTTGTCTCCAGTTTTGACAAAGCACGCCAATGAGAAGGGTGTGCAGCTCGTCCTTCTCACCACGAAGCAAGGTCCTTGTTCTTGGCCATGGATTCAAGTCCACCCGAACACCACCCAACGTGAACTGATGACTAAGATACCTAAAAACATCGCGAAACTTGTTACGATGGGAAGGAACGACGATGTTATTTCTGTCCTCAAGTCATGCCTGCCAGCCATCTATCCATTCGAGAATGAGACAACCCTCACTGCGACCTCCTGCCAATCCCAATTCATTTCCGACACGGGTCCGCTATCCATGCAACTCCAGAATGTCTGGATGAGAGCACAGTATGACCTGATACCGATTAATCTGTACAGGTTCGCATCTTTGACTCTAGAGGATCTCATCCGAAGTCATGACCCACTGGCTGAGCAGTCTATCATTGCCTGGGGGGAATCAAAACTTGCCGTTCAGGTACGCCCGGCCACCAAGCAGGTCAAGTTCTCCAAGGATAAAACGTACTGGCTGGTTGGACTCACGGGTGGACTTGGTCTGTCTCTGTGTCAGTGGATGGCCAGGCAGGGTGCACGTTATATCGCACTCTCCAGTCGTAGCCCCAAGATTGATGACCAGTGGTTAAGGAAAATGGCTGCGGCCGGTTGCAATGTTCGCGTCTTTTCCATGTAAGTATTATCCACTACATTGGCTTTGCTGTCGTCCCCTGGAAAGAGACTAATAGCCTGCAGTGATATCACAAACCGTGAATCTGTCCAGTCCGGATACCGTCAGATCTATGATAGCATGCCTCCTGTCGCTGGTGTTGCTCAAGGTGCCATGGTCCTTCAAGACACGATGTTCATTGACCTAGATCTTCCCCGTCTGGACAAAGTCCTCCGCCCCAAGGTCGACGGTAGCATCCTGCTCGATGAGCTCTTCCCAGAAGACACCCTGGAATTCATGGTCTTCTTCTCATCAATGGCTGCTATGACAGGAAACCCGGGACAGGTCGCCTACAACGCCGCCAATATGTTCATGGCAAGTCTAGCTGCACAACGTCGAAAGCGTGGCTTGGCAGGACATGCAATAAACATTGGTGCTATTGTCGGCAATGGCTACGTGACGCGAGAACTGAACATGGGCCAACAATCATACCTCTACCGAGTTGGTCATTCTTGGATGTCTGAGCAAGACTTCCACGAGGTCTTTGCTGAGGGTGTTCTGACCTGTTTGGAACGTGATGATGCTGCTGAGTTGTGCTGCGGTCTCAGAATTGATGATGATGAGTCGAAGAGTTGGGTATCTAACCCCATGTTCCAGCATTTGGTCTTCAAGTCGAGCAGTCTTGTTATTTCTGATAAAAAGGGAAAGTCTGGAATGTTGATCAAGACGCGCCTGTTTGAGGCGACATCTATGCAGGAAGTGATGGAGATCTTGATAGGTAATGTGATCCTGAACCTACGACAATATCTTAAAAACTGACAATGTTTTCTTCAGATGGCTTTGTCTTGAAGCTACAATCTGCTCTTCAAGCTGATCCATCGAAGCCTGTGTTGGACATGAGCCCAGATGAACTTGGTGTTGACTCATTAGTCGCCGTTGACCTTCGTTCATGGTTCCTAAAGGAATTGGGAGTCGACATGCCAGTGCTGAAGATCTTCAATGCGGCATCGATTCGAGAGCTGCTTGCTACGGCCGCGGAAGTTCTTCCGGAAACGCTCATTCCGAATCTCTCCAACAGTGATCAACCTTCAATGGCTCCAGCACACCAGCCTGCTCCTGTCGTCCCCACCACCAACATTACCAGTGACGCTTCCGAGGAGCTTACATCACATACGAACGAGACTCTTGAAGCCTTCAAGTTCGCAATTCCGGACGCGGCGAACACCTATAGTGGCAGCTCAACGGCTTCCTTGAACACCGGCGACTCGAATTCCGAAGAGAATGCAGACACCTCTTCCTCATTTTACACTGATGACGCTGAGATCGTATCTCGCAGTCGCGAAGTTCTAAGGACCGCCTCGATGTCTTACGGGCAGTCACGTTTTTGGTTTCTGAATCATCTAGTTGAAAACAAAACCGCTTTTAATATCACCCCAACATTCGAATTGACCGGTCACTTGAAAGTGGATGATTTTGCTAGGGCTATTGAGACTGCTGGCCAGCACCATGAGGCCTTGCGTACATTCTTTTTCACTAATAATGAGCGAAACCATATGCAAGGTGTTTGGGGCAAGTCCAACTTGCGCCTTGAACGTGTTCCTATCTCCGACGAAAAGGAAGTTGCAGAAGCTTCCAAGCAGATGAAGGCCCACAAATTCGATCTTGCCAACGGGGAGATAATGCGTGTCCAAATTCTTTTGCTAAATCCAGAAAGGCACTGGATAATCTTTGGTTTCCACCATATCAACATGGATGGTATCAGCTTCGAGGTCTTTTGGTCCGACGTGGAGAAAGCTTATCGGGGCATCCCTCTCTCACAAGATGGCATTCAGTACCCAGATTTTACCATGAGACAAATTCGCGAATATGAAGAGGGTGAATGGGCTGATGATCTGGCTTACTGGCGGACACAGTTCGCCGATATACCACCAGCGATGCCCCTGCTTCCATTCGCCTTGCAATCTGTCCGCCCCAAGGTTGCCCAGTTTGGCTCGCATAGGGCTCAAATGCGTCTCGATGCCAATACCTCTGAGGCGATTGAACGATGCTGTCGAATGTTCAAGGCTACACCTTTCCATTTCCACCTGGCAGTCTGGCAGATCCTACTCTTGCGCTTCTTCGATTCCGAGAATATTTGCATTGGTCTCGGTGATGGAAACCGCACTGAGGCTGATATTATCCGAAGTGTTGGATTGTACTTGAACCTTCTCCCAGTCAAATTTTCACGGCACCCAGGTCAATCATTTGGAGAGTCTCTCAAGGACGTTCGGAATATCACACAGGGCGCATATGCTCACTCGCGTGTGCCATTTGATGTGATTCTAACAGAACTTGGAGTTCCACGGTCCGCCTCTCACAATCCTCTTTGCCAGGCTATGTTCAACTACCGCCCCAAAATCGAGCAGAGCAGAAGCTTCTGCGGATGCATTGCCTATGGTGCACTTTTGGGTGGTGGCGAAACCTCATTTGATCTCAGTCTCGATGTTGGCAACGTTGGCGCTGGCGAGACTCTCGTTCACCTGTGTGTTCAGGAGAGTCTCTACGAAATGGATCATGCCGAGATTCTACTTCGGTCCTACTCAAATCTAGTTCGATCATTTTTGCAGAACCCAGCAACCCGAGTGACCTGGCCGGCTTTGTATTCAAAGGACGATGTTCAGAAAGCAGTGACTCTGGGACGAGGCAAGTCACATCACCCCTTCTCTGCACTCAACTAATTGTCCGGCAGGGCCTGAGCTTCGAGAAGAATGGTCAGCTACCATCGTTCACCGGTTAGATGAAATCGCTAGCCTCTATCCCAACCACGTCGCTCTGAAGGATCATGACGGAACTTCACTCACGTACACCCACGTCCAGTGTCGGATCAATGTCATTGCCAATGAGCTCCTCAGCAACGGAGTCGGACACGACATCCGTGTTGCGGTTTTTCAATCGCCAAGTGCAGACTGGATTTGCTCTCTCATGGCCATTCTCCGTGTGGGCGCTTCCTACGTTCCACTTGATAAGAAGGTCGGCATGGGAAGACTTGCAATGATCATGAAAGAAACCAGTGCCTCTGTCGTTCTCCTTGATACCACCACTATCTCGGACTTTGGCCTCTTGCACACAAATGCCGAGCCGATTGATGTGCGTAGTTTGCGCGGCTCTACTGCAAGCCCTGTCTCCAACATGGCCATGCCGGATCAGACAGCAGTCATCATGTATACCAGTGGATCGACTGGGGTACCCAAAGGCCTCATGGTCTCCCACTCAGCATATATCCACCACGTCCAAGCATCTAGCGCAAAGTGGAATGTCAAGCAAGGAGACGAGACGATCTTGCATCAGTCATCCTACGCATGGGATGCATCTCTCTGGCAAATCATGGTCTCGCTCTGCAATTGTGCAACTCTTGTGATCGCATCCAGTCAGGCAAGAGGTGATCCAGTTGCTCTCACCAAGCTTATCTCATCTGAGAAGGTGACTCTCACACTTGCAACTCCGACGGAGTATCTCGCTTGGATGCAGCACGGTCGCTCCAACCTGAATAACTCCTCCTTGAGAACCGCTATCTCTGGCGGTGAATTTGTGTCCAGTGGCCTGATTGAGGAGTTCAAAGCGCTCCAACGACCTGGTTTGAAATTGATCAATGGCTATGGGCCCGCGGAGATTGCCATCGCCTGCTCTGGTACTGATATCCCGCTCGATTCAACTGCCGTCTTTTTTGAGCAAGCGCTCTTTACCTTGCCAAACTATTCTGTTTACATTGTTGACCAAAGCTCCGACCCTCTCCCAATCGGGGTACCTGGTGAAGTGGTCATCGGGGGCGCGGGAGTTGCTCAGGGATATTTCAACAGTGCGAATACCACTGACCGCTTCGCAACTGATCAATATGCCAGCAGATTCTTCAAGGAGAAGAAGTGGACTACTATTCACCGAACTGGAGATCGCGGCAAGCTCACCGCGAATGGTGGACTAGTCCTCCTGGGGCGTATGGATGGTGATAATCAAGTCAAGCTGAGGGGCATGCGAATCAATGTCGAGGAGATCGAGAGGGCAATCGTCAACTCATCCGCTGGAGTCATTGCTCAAGCTGTGGTATCTGTGCGCTCTGATGACAGCCACAGCTCGGACAAATTTCTTGTTGCCTTTGCTGTGATGACGACCACTGACAACACCGAGACTACCCTTCCATTCCTCCAACGCCTTGCTCGGGAGCTCCCATTGCCACAGCATATGCGACCTGCTGCTATCATTCCCATTGAGACCATTCCTCAGAACACCTCTGGCAAGACCGATCGCGCCGCAGTCACCTTACTTCCCATTCCATCGATTGCATCTCAGCTGGCGAAGGATGACACTCTCACGGCCTCTGAGCAATCACTGCGCCAGCTTTGGCAACAGGCGCTTCCACGAGAGGTTGCCAATTATCACTCAATTGATGCCAATTCCGACTTCTTTCACGTTGGTGGAAGCTCTCTCGCCCTTGTTGATTTGCAAGCTCTGATCAAAGATCAATTGGGAGTACCCATGGCTCTTTATCAGCTTTTCGAATCCAGCACACTGCGCGCCATGGCTGCAGCTATTGAAGATCTAAACCCCCCTGCCAACAGTTGGAAATTGATTGGAAAACAGAAGTTGATATCGATTCTAATCTCGCACTGTCTCTAAACGGCAATGGCACCCACATTATTCCTTCTGGTGTTAGAGTTGTTGTGCTCACCGGTGCTACTGGATTCCTTGGAAATGAGATTCTCCGGTTGCTCTTGAATGACAGCGATGTTGTCTCTATCCATTGTCTTGCTGTGAGAAAGGAATCCTCCGAACTCTCAGAAGTCTTCTCCCACCCGAAGGTTCACTTGCACAAGGGCAACCTGGGGGCTCCTCGGCTGGGACTCTCAAGCTCGGAAGCCAGCTCGATCTTTTCTTGTGCAGACATCGTGATCCACAATGGTGCGGATGTCTCCTTCATGAAGAGCTATCAGACCCTGAAACTTATTAACGTGGCATCCACAAAGGAGCTCGTCAAGCTTGCCCTACCTCGACGCATCCCATTTCACCTTGTCTCCACAGCAGGTGTCGCTCGTCTTGCCGGTGAAGACAGCTTTGGTGAATCTTCCGTGGCTTCGTTCCCTCCCCCATCACCTCCAAACGATGGATACATTGCCGCGAAATGGGTTAGTGAGGTATATCTGGAGAACGTCCACAGACAATTTGGTCTTCCTGTCTGGATTCATCGTCCATCCAGTATCACCGGCACTGATGCACCAGAGCTTGACCTGATGGGGAATGTCATGCAATACATCAAGGAAACCCGTAAAGTGCCGGACTCAAGCTCCTGGTCTGGAGTCTTTGACCTCATTTCTGTTGAGTCTGTTGCAAGTCAACTTCTCGAGGCCGTTCACCAATCTGGTATCGGTCACTCACATGCACCCAAATATTTGTATGAGTCGGGTGAGATGCAACTTAGACAGGAAGACATTATGCCTCTGATGGAGTTGGGAACTGGTGAGGAATTCCAGACCATTCCTATAGACGAGTGGGTGTCTGCAGCCGAGCAAGCAGGAATGAGTCGATTGCTGGTGGCGTATTTGCGCGGGGCCGCTGATGGACAGGTGCTTCTTCCCAAGTTGGTGAAGAGCACAGATTTTACTAAGAGTGGTTGAACGGAAGAGCGGAAATTCTGGCAAACTGAGCTAGAGTCAAAGATTAGACTATTACAGGGAGACTAGAATGTACCATTTTGAAGACTAGATAGGACTAAATTGAAGACCAGTGCGATTTTCCATTCCAGACGACTGTTCAACTTCATTCTAGCAATCTTAGCAACATAACCACATCTTAAACTTGATGACATCTTTCCACAAGTGAATCCGATTCTAAACCTTCCCCCCAACACCAGAAATGATGGCATATGGAACCCATAGTATAAATTTCTGACAATAGGTTGCAGAATCAAGCCTCGGTGCTTCATGGGTTCTCCAGGTTACTCTTATGAGAACATTCTCGGGTGTCTGCAACATTATGACAACTTCTCCCCGTGGAAGCCAATGGCAAAACCCCGATCAAGCCATCACGGTCCTGGCATATACCAATTATCAATCCTTTTTCTTTGGCAATTTGAGCACCATCGCCTGCGTTGCAAGTGAATGATTGAGATAGGTTTTACTGGTTCGGAGCAATGAGTTCGACCGTGCTGACGGTTGTAGAAGACAGACATGGAGTTTCATTCCTCCGCGCTGAACCCAAGATTATGATACTCTGACATGGCTTGTTTTAGTCTCATCCAACCATCTATATCCCATCTAGAGCCACTAATCACCGAATTTGCTTTTAGGCTGCAGTCTGGGCTGGCCGTGCTTGCTATCCTCAAATAAACATAACGTAAAGGTGAAAACAACAATAAATACCTTCTCGGGCCGCCGTTAACGTTGGCTAACCAATACCTGGTGCACAGAAGCGCCGACATTGGGAAGTACAACCAGGAAGCCTGTTTTGATATAGCAGCCCCTTGCAACGCTTACTGCGTCAGCTACTGTTTTTTGAATTAGACGAGCTGATTGTTTGATCTTGCAGTGCCAAGCTTTGTTGTGTACACATATCACAGGTTCGGTTAGATTCGAAGATCCTGCTCTATGAAGATGCATGCGCAGAAAAGTCTCCGAATGATCAGTTTCATTTCGTTCTGGGCTGTCTCTATAGGTCAGACTCTGATCTATATAGTTCACTCCCCCAGATCGCCAGCCATATTGTATCACACATACTCCTCTCAAACACATGTATCCTCTCTGTCGCCCGCCTTCACCCGATATGGCAATTCAACCGACTTTACCCTCTACCCAGACGGGAATTATTCAACACGAAGGGGGCGTTCTTCAAATCACGCCCGGGTTGCCTCTTGCAGAGCTTGCGCCTCACCAAATGCTGGTTAGAACGGCGTCTGTTGCTTTGAATCCTTGTGATTTCAAGATGCCGTTGAGATTTCCCAGTCCGGGCCTCTGGGATGGTTGTGATTATGCTGGCACTGTAGTTGCTCTTGGTGCTGAGGCAGCCGCACAAGGTCGTTTCAAGATTGGCGATCGAGCTTTCGGGGCTGTTCAGGGATCGAACTTGTCAGATCCACTGTCTGGAGCCTATTGCGAGTATATTCGGACTGAACCAGACCTCGCTTTTCATGTCCCAAAGGAACTGACCCTTGAGAATGCGCCGTCCATTTCGGGTACAGCGATTGCAACTCTTGGTATTGCCCTCTTTTGGTCTCTTCAAATCCCTGGAACTTTGGACACTCCAGCAGCTAAGTCGGAGGATATTCTGGTATATGGTGGAAGCAGTACCCTTGGTCTTCTTGCCATCCAAATGGTGAAGTTGTGAGTTCAAGTCCTTCGGTATATATAGAGGAAGATCAATAACATCCGTGTAGATCTGGACATCGAGTCATTACTACTTGCTCCGCACGCAACTTTGGTCTTGTCAAGTCCTATGGAGCTGATCTAGTCTTTGATTATAGCTCTCCAACGTGCGCGGAGGACATCCGGGCTGCTACCAAGAGTGCACTCCGCTATGCCCTCGACCCTTTCGCTGAAGCAAAGACTCTGCGGCTGTGTCATGCAGCCATCGGTCGCACAGGCGGCCGCTACTGTGCTCTGGAACAGTATCAGGAGAGTCTCTGCTCACGCAAGACAATCAAACACGAGCTTGTCATGGGAGGTGCTATCTCTGGACGGGGCGTGGAGCTCCCAGACCCGTATGGCATTCCACCCCGACCCGAGATTGGAGTTTGGGCTCGTTCCTGGTACCGAACTGTGCAGAGTCTTATTGATCAAGGCAAAATCAAACCTTGTCCAATTGAGACCATTCCTGGTGGATTCGATGGGATTTTGAAGGGCTTGGACATGCTTCGAAATGGAAAGGTTTCGGGGAAGAAACTTGTCGTCCCGATGGTAGAGTTGAAGTAGAAACGTGTTGAATTGAGTGGAGTTTACTTAGAAATCTACCTATTTGAACGCATTTTAAATTACATCTTATACGGGAAACCCCAATATCAAAGGCCATAACTACCTTTTAGCTGCTATGTCCCAATACCGAGAAATACTTCCACAAATGTATTCTCAAACCCTCAGTCATGAACAGTAACGTACTTGATGAAATGTTTCCATGAAATCGAAAAGAAGAATTTTCGCCTTTTCTCATTTATGATCTACTCTAGGTGGTTATCCACTTTGCAATAGCAACCAGGCACCACAAGTCAACCCTAGATCTCCGAGTGATAGACCATCCGAGCAATTACCTTATCATTGCCCTTGGTGGTGCTGATGTTCCTGGTCAGGTACTGGTTTCCATCAATCTCCTCAAACCCCCAAATCACCTCGGCGTCCCAACCCTTCAGGGAATTCTTGGCCAGTTCCTGAATCACTTCTTTGTTGACACTGGATTTCACCAACTTCTCACGAATGGTGTCTTCCAAGATCTCCGAGGTGTTGATGTATTGCAGCCGCATAGTCAAGTCTCCAAAAATCGGCAACGAAAGTTCCTGCAGACTTCCATCCAAAGGATAAGCTCCTTCGCTGTCGAAGTTACCGGGGCTCACGACCTGCTTCAGACGAAGCCTTGTAACTGACTCGCTCGAGGTAGTGCTATCCGTTTCTCCACCTGAGCTTTCATTGGAGGTGGTTTGCCAGAGTTGCAGCGACAATCGGGCATGCTTCAAGGCTTTGCGGACGATCCAAGGGACGCCTTGCTGTTTTCTTGTAAGCGGTTTAATGCCAGCTCATCTTTATCGTGAAACTTACCAAAGCAAAGACCTCCTCGGGGTCGGTCGAGTACTTCCGGTTCTAAAGTCGATGTTGAATTCATCTTCATTCGATTCCTTAGTAATGCAAGAAACTTACCAGTATCCAGGTTCCGGTAATGTCGGGTAGAGTCTTTGGATCGAGGGCAGACATGACTTCGGTATCAATTCCGGAATAGAGATTTTGTTGTCTTTTGCTGAATGAGAAGTTCCAGCCGTCAGACGAAGGCATCCTTTTAACTGAATTTGGCCTGGTAAATTCAAAATCGACATAAGATATTCGAATCCAAATCGGACTAACTCGGACTCGGCGTCGGAACTATGCAGGGCAACCAAGTGTTTCAATGTCTATTAATAATTTGGATCCAAGGTATTTCTCCGATTTTACTCAGTCTATGCGTTTCTTAGGGCTGACTATTGCCAAAAAGACGGCCGGCTATATGATCTTGACTCTGACTAAGAACTAATACTGTCAAGAGAACCGAGGTAAAATAGGCGCAGGGGCTGGTTACTGTAACTGCGTAATATTGGGTTATCTAAGCCTTTGAAATGATTGGAGTGAAGATAGAAGTATATAATACCAATTTGCACGGACTTAGTGGCCCAGAATGTTGTTGATCTCCTTCACAAAGTTGTTGTTCTTCGCACTGGGTTCGATAGGGTCTAGACCCATAGCAACTCTGCCAGCCTCAGACTGAATGTCTCCAACTTGTGCCCTGTCGGAGAATTGAGATTCACCAAGGCCACCGGGGAAGTCTGGTGGGGGAACACCCTTCAAGAAAGCATTACGCTGCTGAGCGATGTATTGCTATTGATTGTTAGTGCAAGAACGTATATACATGGTGTAAATAATCATCTTACCGCGTTGTTGGGGGTCAGCGGGACCGATGGGATATAGAACACACAAGCGTCGTTCTTTCCTGTGTTTACGGTCTCGGTTCCGTGAATAGTATCGGCGCTCCAGAAGACTGTTAATTTATCATTAGCGCGGTTCACGTTTTTGACAGCGGAGTAGTCTTACCGGTGTCACCAGTCTCAACAGTAGGGTAGGGGATCATAGTCTCGCCGAGGTTGAGATGAGGGTGGAGGTCAGGGGTATGTTCTTGGGCCGTTCCTGGGTTGGCACCATGCAGATAAAACTCGCCTTCTTCATTATCAAGGGAGAATTTCCATCCATCCAAGGAACCCTTACGAGTAGGTTTGAAGAAGGGTCGCAGCACCCAGTAGGCAGTGGTGGGCTGCAAAATAGGATGGACGACAAGTGTGCCTGAGTAATGAGCGATTAGCGTTTGATCAGTCTTATTCTCATAACTTAACATACCTTCTTGGGGCCCGTGGCGAGAGAGTCCGAGCCAGCTTTGGAAAGCTCGGAAGACAGAGCAACCTCCCGGTGCTTCATACATGTTCATATTGGCATCAAGACGGCCAGTCAGATCCCATGGGTTATACTCGCGCCACTGGTGTGGCGTTAGTTGTCTGTGTTGCTGAAGGGATATAGGATCTACATACCTTTCCCTGGAAGATCTTGCGGTAGACATGGTTGTAAGAGCTGTCTTCCCATCTCTCAACACCTCCACCATCAACATGAGGCGGAAGTCCAAAGTGTCTGTCACCAGGAGGACGGATTTGAACTCGGTCAGAGTAAGTGAGAGGAACCGAAAGATCAACTATTTCGTGTCAATCAAGCTCTGTGCGTAGTGTATTTGCAAGGTCTCGTACTCTTCTGATCTGGATCGGCACGATACAGTTGATTCATCCACGACTGCGTGGCGAGCATATTGGGGTGTGACCTCGTCTTCATTTGAGAAGGACTCCAATAGGATTCGTAAATAACCTTCTTTTCTGCATCTGACGGGAATCCCTTGAAAGAGTGTCCGTCAAAGTATTGACGAACATCAGACAGCAGGTCCTCAGTTACACCCTTCGGCACGACGCCTCTGACGACAGCAACACCAGTGCGTCGAATGGCTTCTATATTCGCCGGGGATACATGGCCAGCCTGGATATCGGAAAAGTTCAATTGAGGGATAATCTGATTCCGTTGGTATCTAGTTCTCATCAATGGATGTGTTGAACATACAGCCTCGCGCTTGGTAGCGACCTCTTCAGTCCGAACTTTCAAAGTCTCAACTAAATCATCTCAAGACTTTTGAATCTCTTCTTCGAACCCAACGGTCAAATTCTTCTTCAATTCCCGGAACCGATCGGGAAGTGGTGCGCTCTTCCTGCCAGAGAAAGTTGAAAAGACAGAGGAAATATCGCCCTCCTGCTTATCCTTGCGAGTAAGAGTCGCATCAGTTGCAACAAGCCGCTTGGTTGCTTTGCCTACGCATTTGCCTGCACAAAAGGTAGTGCACTTGAGACAGTTCGGTGAAATAAGTCTGTTCATCGTGAGGGGTGAGTGTGTCCTGTCGTGTTTGAGAAATTCACACAACTTGGGAAAAATCATATCTCGACTTTCGCTAGGGGTTATATACCTTCTTCTGCAACGCCTTCGGTGTAAGATCTGGTTGCCTCCAGCGACCGATACCCGAAACCGGTAAGACTCCGCATCATCGGCTGGTCCCAGTCAAGTAGGTTGCCGGTAGAAATGACTTCGATGCGGAGTAGCTGAAAGCACGCCCCCGCGGGGAAATCTCAATCCTGGGGCGTATGTCATTGAACGATGAGATCCACCATATAGATGGAACATGTTAGCAAGCAGGACAAACTGGGGTGGATGAGATCGAAAGCAATACCATTTACAGCTCTGGGACTGAAGTTGGCATAGATAAGCTTCGTATAGACTTAGGGCGGCAAGCCTAATTAGGTAATCTAACCGCCATCCGCAATACGTTGAAAAACTTCGTATGGCAAACTATGGGGACTTCGTCTTTGAAAGCCAGTTTACTACCTTTTTTTCACTGTCTTCGCTTTGTCCGCGGCTCAAAATTCACCTTTCTTTCTGTTTTTCAGTCAACGAAGTCGGTTTCAAAAGGCCATGCAATAGCAATAAACCGGTAATTGGTTATTTTAAACTATTATACTCCAAGCTTCGCAGGAAACGATCGTTATAATCAAAGGAATATAGGATCTCGAACAAGCTGTCGTAAACATTTCATCAAATCCATCAAGGACATTTCACACGAATCTTGCTCCTGCGCTAAAACGAGATCGCGGATAGTACGTGGCCAGCTGCCTTCCGCACTAGCTCCAGTGGAACTAGATTCTTTCAGCCCTGGATTCTGGTTATATCCTGATAGCAACCCAAGCAGCTCGTCGATCTGACCCATCGCGCTAGAGCTGAGGTCGACCAGAACTTGAACTTGAACAGCGAGATTGCCATCCATGTGAAATTGTCCAAGCTGGAGCTTGGGTAATAGCAAATACATTGCTGCGTCCACAGGAGGTATTTCGAGAAAGAATTGATATAAACGCGTAAAAATAGCACGGTAGATGCGAGTCAGATAGCCATGTGCCTCTAAGACACCTAACCACAATGTGATATCACATTTTGGGCTTATGGTGGTCATAGGCCGACCAGGAGAAGTCGTCATTGCTGGTTGATAACCGGAATCATGCGATACTATAGTGGTCGCATGTTCGTCCAATCTGTTGTCGCTGACGTCTTGAAATACTAAATTTGAATATTCAAGTCCACCCGAAGGGCTTTGAGTCGGTGACTTGGCAGGAGTGAATGTAGAGATTTCGGGTACCATGTGCAGAGATTTGATTACTTCCAACAACCGGGATGAATGGTTGTGTATGCGACAGATTGGAAGATTCAAATGGGCAATGGATGGATTGAAGAGATCGTTCAGGAGAGGTTCAGATGCAAGCACCGCCGAGTCCATTTCAAGCATCTCTAGGTCCTCATGAAGCTCTATCTTAAGCTTCAAAAGATTTGTCCGCACATTCTTGATCGTGTTGGGTTTTTCTTGACGGTGTACCCTTGGAAGAAACTCGGCCGGGTTTGGAAGAGTCTCAATGTTGCCCCAAAAAGATTCAGGAAAGTTCTCTGCTTCAAACATTGGTGCTGTTCCGGGATAGATGGGCTGTCGGTCTGGTAAAGATATTTGACCGGTAGTTACACCTTCGTTGCCGACATCCGTTGAGATATCAGTACCAAGAACCGGCGAATAAAGAGATTCATCACTGTGCTGGTGCGTAAGCTCTGGTAGAGCGCTTTCAGAAGGAGACTAATTTGAACTTGAGGTCAGTGGTTGAACATTCAGTTTCTTATTTGCTCTAGGCACCGACTAACCAGATTATAATTCTCATTAGACCAGTGCGGCTGTCGACTCCGCGATTCAAAAGGATTGGGAAACACCCGAGGATCTAGCATGCCTAAAGATAGGTCCTCAGGCAACGAAAAAAGGTTGTCTCCAGAGAGATACGGCAATAACATCTGATCATCCCAGCAATTTGACTGAAGGGTAGTTGGTATCCCTGGGTTTGTGGATGATGACATAACACAGCGTCCTCCTTTGGCGCTGGATGACTTTGGAAGCATCGACATCAGATCATGGCCATGGCCAAACATATGAGCATCCCGATCTCTCTGAAAAATGCTCTGATCATGATTTGAAGGAAGGAAAACAGGTGTCGTGTGGTTCATACTGGTGATGCAGGGCTGTTGAGCCTTGAGGCAACGTTCACAAGACATGCCATTCATATGGCCACGCTCACAACGTAGCTTCTGCCCGCGGCATTTATCACAAGCAGACCGCCGTGAGTGTCGATAATTAAGAGTTGGGTGCATCTCTAGAAAAGAGGGATAAACTTATTGTTGTAAGCTGATGATATGAAAAGGTTCATCTCAGTGGTCAAGACCCCAGTCTCATATGTACTTTTGCTTATATCTAATCCAAAACAGATAGGCCCCAGGAACCGACTAATCGGTTCAAGTCCTATCTATGAACATATCCAAACAGTCTTCAGGCTCGAGGGAAGACAGTTCTATTGGAAATCACGGCCCAGGGAATTGGTTAGAAAAGCGCGTGGACAGGTATCACTGCGTGAATGCCTTTCCTTTGGGAAGCTCTGGAACATAAGCCTTAATTTGGTTAGACAGGGTCATTCAAAGTGATTGGCTGTCTTTGCTTGATTTGGCATATTGACCCTAAGATGTCCTCACTTTCCAAGCAAAAGCGTCTGAGCACTCGCACAACATGTGTATAGACGTGCGGATATGCGGACAAGAGTTCAAGGGGTATTTTCGTTGCATCCAAGATCCCAAAGCTGAGCCCCCTTAGCCCTGGCACGAGGTGCATCGCGATTCATGGAATCCGTTACACAGGAGCAAGGCCAGCGAAGTATGGAGCAGCATGTCTGCGCTGGTACCACATAGGATGATTTTGTCTCACAGGCCCTAGTGTCCCGGGTTGGTATCTGACTCGCGGGTTCTACGGTAAAGACCTAGAGGGTTGAGGAAAACGCCTTTCACGAACCGTTTATTCCGTGCAATGTCAAAGTACTGAGCAGGTATTGTGATATAGTGAAGGTTGACAAAACCAACAGATTCAAAGTACACTGGGAACTTGACTGACACGTTTCAAGTGGATCACGCTAACCTATTCGTTAGATATGAAACAAGTCACAGCGTGGTGGACAGCGCCACGCCACTATGGCAAATGTCTGCCTAAATGTAATGACCTTGCAGAGACCACATGTCCCAGGAAGACGTACCGGCGGGTATTTGGAATAGTGGAGCTTGAGCCTCGGGCCACATTGAACGTTCAGAATTAGGGGCATCCTGCGCAGCTGAATATGTTCCGGCTTAAAGGGTATGGCTAGGCTCGCCTTTGCTTTCTTTTCCTTTTCCTTTCTGTGTTCTTCTTTGCCCCTTTACTCTCTTCCGCCCGCTCTTTCATTGCTGACCGTCGCAGAGTGGAGAATGCAAGCAAGGGATTGGAAACCCGACTACGCCCCTGGCTAGTTCTCGGCTTAATTAAGAAGATTTGGAATGATCATCGAGCATGTCGGGGATAGGTATGACATTTCAAGGGTAAGCCCCTTGTCCAAAATTCCCGCCTAGTCTATATCCAGCCCAGCTTTAGTCTCGACAGTAATGACAAGCAGAAAGACATACTGAATTACTTGGAGCTGGGGATATCCCGGGCCTGGAGACGGTGGAATACTAATAGCAATTATGTCTGGACAGCTGTGTTGGGTAGTCATTGTATGTACATTAATATAAACAGCAGAGATGATGACCGAAAGCAAGGATCATGAAGAGATTGTGTTCGTCACAGAGCTTTCCTTCCAGCCTTTGATCATGACACGGACACCTTGACTTCCATCTCTTGGGTGGCCATTGAACATGTCTTTTGCAATACGAACATCATCGATGGTAGTTTCGTACAGCTCCATGTCAAATTCTCGGAAGATTGTAGCCACAGCCAAGAGAATCTCCGCCCGTGCAAGACTGGCCAATGTTAGTTCGTATTCGAGATTGCATGGTCAGGGAAGCTTCACGTACGGAATACCAATACATTGTCTGGAGCCTTTGCTGAAGGCGACCATGTATCTCTCGAGATACTTTCGCTGTTCTGGATCCATCCAGCGCTCTGGGATGAAGCTCTGCGAGTCGGGGAAGATGTCTTCATTATGGTGCATGAAGATGCCTGTCATGCCAACAGGTGTCTATTGATTATGATGTTAGTGCTAGCGGGTTGAAATTGGACGGATGATCTATTACCCCAGGCGGAATGACCCAGTCTTTGTATTTCATAGGATCGACTGGAGAACTACGTTGAAGTCTTGTCGAGATAGCATTTGTGAGTCTATAGATCGGGTCAGTAACAATGCACTTGGGGTATGTCCTACTTGCGATAGCAACACGACAAGAGCTAATCTCGCTTCGTACCTTAGTCCCTCGAGCATGATAGATGTCTGTTACTGTTAGATGTTGTGTTTCCTAGCCAATGAGATGAACCGGCACTTACCAAGTAGGGCATGGTCTCATATTCCACCAAAGACGCTGTCCCATCAGGATCAAGACGGTTCAACTCATCGCGTAGCTTCTGCAACTTGTCGGGATTATTCAAAAGGTGAAAAGTAAGTGTCGTCAAATTCTTTGCAGTGGTTTCTCCGCCCGCGGAGATGACCGTGAAAATTTCCTGACTTAAGCGACTAGCCGATTTTTCCTCCGCCGGAAGCTTGCTGTCCAGCAGCGCATGGAACAAGGTATTCTTCGGCATACTGGCCTTCTCATCCGTCGAAGTCGCACTGGACTTCTCACTGTCGATAATCGAGTTCGCCAGCCGGAGACTTTCTACCTTCTGGTCGATGACCGGGCCAATATCCGGGTTGAGGCTCACAACCAACCAACGTGGAAGCAATTCGAAAAAGCCAATGACCCAGCGGAACTGCTTGAGCTGTACTCCCATGGTGACGATTGACTGAATTGTCCTGGACCATTGTGGAGTAAAGTCAGGGTCATCTAGATAGTGGAATGACTCGCCCATGGAATACTCCACTACCACATCAGTAGTGAATGCATTGAACGCATGGTACATATGCAGTGGGGTGTTTCTTTCTTTCCAGGCCTTCATTCCTTGGCGTAATTTATTCATCATGCCACGAAGCATGGGCTCAAGGTGTCGAATTCGTTGCTGGGAGAAGAACGGGTTCATAGGCTGCCGGCGGATCCGGTGACGACGGTGATCGACAGAACCGAAGGCAGAGTCTGGGGCTCCGAACATGCCGGTCAAATGAACCGACTTATTGCGAGGCTTGTCTCGGGAGTACAAGACGTCGTAGTACTCTGGATCGTCGATGTGGAGTTCATAAGGACTGATCCTCACAATCGGACCGTACTTTTGGTGCATTTTGGCGATTTCGAAGGTGTATTGACCACCGACATATGAATCATAGTAGAACTCATACCACATGGTCATCGCGGCCAGCTTAGGTCCGGGGAAATGAGCAATTGGCGAAAGGTATAGCCGATATATAGCTAGTGACAGCAGGTAGCCCATGCCAACCACGCCGAGGGCGAGGCATGGGTGCGCGACAACAAGATGCCACCACGCCATGTTCCACAGGATTTCAGAGGAATCTATTGCGAGCAGGGGTGAAGAAATCCAAAACCACCCCAGCTTCACCCTAGAGGGCTCCTTTTGTGTGCCGTGGCTGTGGGGCCACTCCTGTCAGAAAACCGTGAACAAAGACATAATGCGACATAATGCAACTAGACCGAATGGACACAATACCGTGATTGGCATCCATACTGTCGGGACTCTCCTGAGGTGGACTTGTGGGCTCTCGGAAAGACCAAGAGAACCTCTGGGGCTCCGTGCAGGAAGAAAGAATATCTCCAGCCTATCGCGGGACACCCGTTGGAGCAGAAGTGGCTTATAAAAGCGACGCTAAATTGCCCGTGGGTCTAGAAAGTCCCGTCCAGAGCACCGGGATCGTCTCGAGTCCTCCATAGAAGATATCCGGATTTGACATCCCGTCCCAGAAAGTTATTTCATGTGCACGGGGACTCAGTGGAACCTTCACAGGCCCATCGGTTAATACGAAGATCAAGTGTGGTGATTTTTTCAAGGGAACAAGAACACAACCGAGTCATGCTGTACTATTGTCAAACAGGATTCTAGCGTTCGACTGTTATAGTTACCGTTAGCATAACCAAAGGACGCGGAGGAGCAAGGATTGTGATGAAAGCCAAGGCCTTTGTTCCCCATTAGGAATAGTGACAGACGTCAAAGTACCCACACAAGGCCGTTGTTTATTCAAAATTTTCATGATTCAGGGGAGTAGATCCCCTGATGTGGTAGCATTTGACGAGGCATGCATCCCATAGCGTCAAAGTTTATCAGACTAACAAATTGTAGGATCGTCTTCAGGTTGTCCGAGTTCCAGCGGAAGTTTTATCCTCTCGAATAAAATTACCGGCAAATTGGGTCAGGTTGGGTGATTTCTCTGCAAAACTCCACCTAGACTCCGATACTGTCTTCTTCTTGGGCCTCGTCTATCGAGATTTAGAGTCTCAAAATTGAATAGATCTATACCCCAGCATGTTCGCGACAGGTCAAACCACGTGTTCCGACTGTCTGGGTCCTGGATGAAGGACTGCAGGGTCATCACACTGCAGAGTGGGGGGATGTCAGACCTAGACTGAACAAGCCACCTGGACATCATTTGAGATGTCGTCCAAACTCGATTCTTCGGCATTAAAATATGCCTTGTTTCTGTGCTGCGGCCGGTCGGTTGCCTCGCACGAGCGAGGCGTATCTTGCCCAATTGCAGTCCTCGATCAAGCCGGTACGGTGATTAGCCTCGATTCAGCTTGCGCCCGCTCTGACGTTCTGCAGAATCGCCTGACTTTGAGGGGCAATTGCGGTCAGAGGCACCGATTGAGAGCACAGATCATAGTACTTTGCATGTTATGTACGTTTGGACCTGAGTTTGGTGGCCTCTGTTGACTCGTGTCAGACTGCTGAGCCCTGAAGCGGGGTCGTTCCCGGATGACTTGGAGGTCAATTCTCGATTTGAGGAATATTGGGACATCAATTTGGAATCAGTGGCGCTTCTAGCTTCGCCGCTCGTTTCCGGTTATCATAGTCGATGTGTTGACATCAAAGGCCGACCGTGCCTGGGTCAGTGCTCCCTTCCTGGATTGACTGAGAGTGCAGTGGGCTCACGAAGACAGAAATATGCTATAATGTCTCAGAGTCCCTATCATATGTAGCGAACAACACCAGTCCATTGGATAGTACCCCTACCATCAGTTCGCGAGGTCCGACCGACATGGTACTGCATCATCAACATGAGCCTATTTACTTCCGCCACGACATAACAACAGGTCAAAGTGTGTATGTGTTCCCCCAGGCAAAAAGCGACGTTCGCAATTTGGTACATGGTCTTTATGAAGGCCTCCAACAAACGGAGCCGTGCTCCTGTACAAATAAAAGCACCTGCAGATGCAAAGGCGAAACACGGCTGCATCCGCTGGCCTTGCACTCAGCTATCTTATTCTACACCCTCTCGACACGATCAACCGAGCTTGACAACCTAGTGAAGTGGCTCCTATGGATCGAAACCCAACTCCACCAAGGCTCCCTCTTCGAAATAACAGACTCCGACCGCTTCTCCAAATATGTACAACTACTGCACAAAATGTCTCGCAACCTAATCACACTGGAACACAATAACCAGCGCGACACATCAAACATCGACCACCTCTTGCAAGATCACACCCGACTAGGCCGACTAGCGAAACGTTACAGCGGCGGTGCACACATAAACAGCAGAGTGCACGAACGAGTCCGAGACGACCTCCTCGCTCTACGCGACTTCTGCGAAGACAGACATCGTCGTATCTTCAACCTCCGGCAACGTACTAACAATTTTATCACGCTACTTTATAACCTGATTACAGGGCATGATAGTACAGTCAATCTGCGCATAGCTACGCAAAGCGCGAGCATTGCACGCGAAGCACGTAAAGACAGTATGTCCATGAAGATCATTGCGGCTGTGACGTTGATTTATCTCCCTGCCACATTTGTGTGTAGTCTGTTCGGGACGAATCTGGTTGCTTTTGATACGTCTCCTGGCTCGAATGGGGCGGAATTTCTTGTTTCGCGGTGGTGGTGGCTTTATTTTGCTTTTGCTATACCGTTGACTGTGTTGACTATGTTTGGGTTTTGGCTTTGGCGACGATTTCGGGGAACGCCGAGTAATATTCAGAAGAAGTTTACTGACTAGTGTAAGGATCTTACTCCGTAAGATCTGATGTTCTGCAACGAATGGTTTTAACGTGGCGTTGTGAGTAGAGACGGTTCAGTATGGGCTCGGTCCATTATCACATCAGATGGTTGTTTTACTCTCAAAGCATTGGCGATTCCTATCATGCCTTGTAGTTATTAATACGCATGGATTCTCATTGTTTTTTTGGTTAACCTTCACCTGATTATGAGCCGAGATGAGATGCGCGCCGAGGTCCGAATGCGGGGAAAGTCGACACATTATATACTTAGCCTGACTGGGTACAACCACCAATGCAGTATCGCCATTATGAATTTCGAGCTTCCATCAGAGTTGAAAGCTCATATAGAGTCTATCAATTCATTTATCCGTTCAAATATCCTGCCACTGCAGCACACAGGTGACAATGATCGGTTCTTCGATCACCGTCGTGAATATGCCCGAACCGATTGGGACAACAATGGGAACCCACAAAAGGAGTGGGAAGAGCTTTTATGTACTTAGGTCAATGGTACTAGATATTCCAAGCTAATTATGCCAGGTGAGGCACGCAACCGAGCTGATGCCGCTGGTTTCTATCGATTCGCCCTACCCCAAGTATACGGCGGCCAGTCCCATCCAGATACCAACCTATGGATGTCAGCTATTCGCTACCACCTAACCTCGCACCCAGTATACGGTGGCGGCCTAGGCCTCGCCAACGACCTCCAAAACGAGCACAGCATCGTAGGAAACTTCCCAGACGTATTAATGCTCCACCACTTCGGCAACGAAGACCAAAGAAAAACCCTCATACCAGCACGTCTACAAGGAACCTTCCGAACAACATTCGGCCTAACAGAGCCCGACCATGGAAGTGACGCCACATACATGTCCACAACAGCACGTCAAACCCGAGGCGGGTTTGAAATCACAGGGGCAAAGAAGTGGCAGACAGGCGCGCATCACTGCACGCATTTCCTCATTTTCGCCCGGACTTCAGGCCAGCCGGGATCTGCACAGGGGATCACTGCTTTTCTTGTTCCCCGTGACACGGCAGGACTACGCATTGCTAGCTACGAATGGACGCTTAATATGCCCACCGACCACGCAACTGTCGTCCTGAACCAGGTGTGGGTGCCCGAGTCGGCGGTTTTGGGATCTGTTGACCAGGGACTAGCCATTGCGCAGACCTTTGTACATGAGAATAGGATCCGTCAAGCAGCCAGCTCATGCGGGGCAGCAAGGTACTGTCTTGATCGGAGTATTGAGCGTGCCCGGTCCCGGAAAATATGGGGTGAGGGCAAGACTTTGGCTGATAACCAGGCTATTCAGTTCCCGGTTGTTGAGCTTATGACTCAGGTTGAGATGTTGCGTCTGTTTATCTTCAAGACAGGCTGGGAGATGGATCGTGTTGTGGCTGAGTGTCAGGCGTCGGGAAAACGGCCATGGGTTGAGATTGAGCGCCGACTGAGTGATCAAGTAGCCATGTGTAACTTTTGGGCGAACCGACTTTGTTGTCAAGCTGCCGACCGGGCCATTCAGGTATGTTGGCTTTCTCGGATACTGCATGAGACATGGCTGACGGGTTAGATTCACGGGGGCGATGGGTACTCTCGCCACTACCCTTTTGAACATATCTATCGTCATTTCCGTCGGTATCGCATTACCGAAGGGGCAGAGGAGATCCAGATGCGGAAGATTGGCGCGTATATATTTGGATTCGCAGGTCCGAAGAAAGACACGGCTGCTCAGCAGTCCAAGGCTAAGATCTGACCCCTCAACACAATAGCCGGTTATCGAGGTCAAGCTCGGCTGATTTGATATCACTCTTCTGTGGTTAGCATCCAAATGGTACTTGACCAAAGTATGAAACTTCTCGTTTCAGAACCCCCTGCATATGCGTCCAGGCGTCAGGAATGTAAGAATGTTGAAGCCTGTAGCCTATCATTGCAGACAGCACTACAACATAACTATGGAATTACTGTCGTTAACTAATTGCTCTCGTTTATACAAGTGCAGTGTGAGCCCCTGTAGATTGATAACATGCTTGCTCCAATGGCAGCCTTATAGACCCACTCGTGGAAAATTCTGGCGTTCGATATTTAAGCTTAAGTCTGAGACCTTCGCAAAGTTGCCAATGTCGAGATATACATGTGCCATCAGCCATGGAATAGAATTTCATGTAGATGATGTAGAATTATAGACCAAATGAATCTGATACTCTCGTCAAGTCTTGTCTTTCCGGATGGTTCGACTTTTTACCTAAGAAAAATTCAGTCTTCTCCACGCCTCCGAGCCCCACCAGTCAAGCGAAAACGGGTATTCGAGCTCGAGTGGAAAATTTCAACATTGACTTCTTTCGTAACCTGTTTACTGCTGTCATTCCATCGCCTTTGCGGTGCTTTGAGAGATATAGTTGTGGTGGTCCAACATGGCTTCCCAGGATGCATCCACCGACATCAAGAGCTCTGCGAACGAGATTCCAACTGAGCCCAAAAATGGCTTCCAAGACACTAAGCAAGCGGACGCCGAGCAGAGCTACCCGGAAGCTAATCCCGGCGAGCTGAAGCGCAAACTGAAGAGCAGGCATCTTCAGATGATCGCTATCGGTATGTATTCGTCTCGCCTCTCACAAGCAACGTGCTAACCAGATGCAGGTGGCACAATCGGAACAGGTACACAGCCAATTCAAGCTCAATAAATAGCCTAATCTAACGATTTCTAGGTCTCTTCATCTCCAGCGGCACTGCAATCGCATACTCCGGACCCGCAGGCGCATTAATCGCCTATATCTTTGTCGGCTCCATCGTATACTCGGTCATGAGCTCCCTTGGCGAGGTCGCAACATATATCCCAATTCCCGGTGCCTTCACGTCGTATGCGGCACGTCTGATCGATCCTAGTCTCGGTTTCTCTATGGGCTGGATCTACTGGTTCAACTGGGCATCTACCTTTGCGGTCGAATTAACCGCCACCGGAACTATCATCCAGTACTGGAACAAAGATCTGAATATTGCGATTTTCATCGGAGTATTCTGGGTTCTGATTACGGCTTTAAACTTCCTTCCTGTCAATTTCTACGGCGAGTTGGAATTCTGGTTCTCGACTATCAAGGTGGCAACTGTCATCGGATTTATGATCTTCGCCATTTGCATTGACGTCGGTGTCGGAGACCAGGGCTATATCGGCTTTAAATACTGGCACAACCCAGGAGCCTTTGCTACATACTTGGTCAACGCTCCGGAGTCAGTTGGCAAATTCGTTGGCTTCTGGGCTGTCCTTATCCAGGCAGGCTTTTCCTACCAAGGCACCGAGCTTGTCGGTGTGGCAGCAGGAGAGACCGAGAACCCCCAGAAGACCGTGCCCTCGGCCATCCGCAAGACCTTCGTCCGTATCCTTCTCTTCTTCGTCCTGACCATCTTCTTCATTGGTCTTCTCGTCCCATACGACAACAAACGCCTTGCCACTGCCGAAACCAATGCCTCTTCTTCGCCAATGGTCATCGCAGCCGATCTAGCCGGAGTCAAGATCCTCCCCAGCCTGATCAACGCCGTTCTCCTCAGTGTCGTCCTATCCGCCGCAAACTCCAACGTCTACAGTGGCAGTCGAGTGCTTACCGGACTTGCTTACGAAGGCTTCGCCCCGGCCTGCTTCGGATGGGTCACAAAGCACGGAGTCCCATACATCAGCGTGTCATTTACCGCCCTGTTTGGCCTACTAGGCTTTATGAACGTCTCCAACGATGCCGGCCAAGTCTTCAACTGGCTCGTCAATCTCTCCAGTGTCGCCGGATTCGTGACATGGGCCTGTATCAACGCTTCGCACATCGCTTTCATGCGCGCCCTGTCTGCCCGTAACATTTCTCGCGATACCCTTCCCTACAAGGCCGTCCTCCAGCCCTATCTTGCCTGGTACGGGCTCTTCTTCAACGTCCTCATTGCCCTAACCCAGGGATTCACGTCTTTCATCCCTGTGTTCAATGTCTCCGACTTCTTCGTCGCTTACATCTGTATTATCGTCTTTGTGGTGCTCTACGCTGGCCACAAGGTCATCGTCCGTCCAGCGTTTATTCGCTCTGCCGAAGCTGATCTTGACACCGGTCGTCTTCACTACGAGAAGGTAACTGGACCACCCAAGCCTTGGTATTGGAGAGTATGGGGCTGGGTCACCAAGTAAGCAGGATGATATGCATATTGATTCTGGTCTGAATCTGAACCTGAACATTTATTTAATTTGCGGGGGACATGTGCGATTATTTCTCATTAGCGCAAAGCACAGTTGCCGAAGTGAAGTGTGTGGTATATATAACATTTCTCTTTTTTTTTCACATATATTGACGAAATGAAATGGTCTTCGCAAACCCAGACCTATTTATCACCCAATCCAATACCATTCTCAAACTAAAATATAAACCCCAATTTATATAGAACAACTCCCGTTCCGACATGTCCTGTGTGCAAAATACGCACGCTGTTCGCACAATTATATCCACTTGAATTGACGCGCCACAACACAGATTCCACCCAATAGCGCCGTGGCACCGGTGCAGACTACCAGTGTACCATAGCCACTCCCGTAAGCGCCATATGCACGCCCACGCCAGTTGTCTGCTTTCAGCAGAGCCTCGCTCAATGGGCCACTGGCTACATTGCCGATTCCTCGGCCCGTCTCCATGAATGGGAAGATGACCGTCGCGTCTGCAGCTGGGTTGGCGCGTTGGACTTCGTTGGAAACGCCCGCCCATGTCGATGAGAACCCGCCTGCGAGGAGGCCGTAGGCAATGCAGAAGATGTATAATGGTGCGATGGAGGTTGCGAACCCCCAGAGGAAGAAGACAGATAGGACAGTGCCGATGGTTGAGATCAGGATACAGGTTGTGATATGGTATCTGTCTGATAGGAATCCCATGCACACGGAGCCGAAAACTGTGGTTAGGTTGACTAGGGTGACGGTGAGTGAAGCCATGAAGTCATTGGCGCCGAGGCTGCGCGCGAATATCGGGAGGTAAATTGTTGGTAGGAAGAATCCGACTGCTTCCAGGGTATTTCCAAGCTGGTAAACAATGAAGGTCTTGTCGTATAAGAAATGGAAGTTCAATCTGTGGTACTGAACCTCTCTCATGGGAATTCTGGGTCGGTGGAAATAGAGGAAAGGTGCGGCAAGTATAAATAATGTCACTGCTGAGATTCGAAGTGTTGCGTTGATTCCATATTGGCCAAGTAGCCACTGGATGGCTAGTGGGAAGATGATTCCCGATATACCGGACCCAGCCTACGGATACGGTTAGCTTGATTCGGTATAAAAGGAACACTCTAACTCACCCAGACAATTCCAAAAGCAAGGCCTTTTCGCTTTGCAAACCACTCCGACATGAACAAGATGGTTGGAGTGTATGCTAAGCAACCACCAGTTCCAAAGCCAATTCCCTGTGATAAGATGAGGTGTGTCACATTGGTGGAAAAAGAGCTCATTGCCAAAGAGAAGCACATAATGCAAACTCCAGCAGTAGATACCCACCGAGCACATGAAGGCACCAAAATCATGAAAATGATCGCCAGTGGGGCAATGAGATACGCGATGCCCTACGCCATGCATTAGCTACTTTCAACGCCATTCTCAATACTGTATGTCTCACCATAGCACAAGTACCAATGATAGCAATGTGTCCAGATCCTGCAAATGGTGGATGTGAACTGTAGTAGTCTTGGAAAATTCCAAAGGCAAAAGCGTATCCTGCTAATGTATTAACATCCATCGAACTCACGCAGTAGCAACGTCTCACATACCCCATACTAAAGACTCAAGCATAGCAGAGGCTATAAGAAAGAGCCATGCCTGCGTACCTCCATCAACAGGAGGTAGCTTTTCATCATCGATGATACACCTGCTGTCGGACTGTTGATCAGACGAGACAAAGTCTGTACTCCGACTGGTGAAACTTGGAGGATAATCCTTGGCTTCCATGATGCTCAATTTCCAAGGCTGAGGAGGGAAGATGTCTCAGTTGAAAATGCAGTGTCAAAAAACACGGTCGAACCTCCCTTGATGAAGGGGTCTGGCGCAGGCGGTCATTCAAGAATAAAGCTGGGCTCGGAGCTTGCAGGGAAAATAAGCTAATCAGAGCTATCTGCATGACGAAATAAATTTCCCTGAAAGGATTCCTTCCAATGAGCTAGTGCAAGGCACATACCTGGAATCCAGGCGGACTTTGGTCCCAACAATGTGATCCTAGCTCCTTAGATGTGCCACTCAGTAAGGTTTTGCATGTCACGCGTGTAACATTATCTCATTTTTGAAATTTCAATATTGTTTTGATGGTGTGCGGACGGTTAGGAAGAGCTCGAGGTGCACCTCATATGTGAGATATGGGGTATATGCTACCCGCAGTCCGTAACGAGATCACTGCTGCATGTTCGTAGCGCACACTGCCAATGCACAGCAGGATCTGCTCCAGCAATGATCCAGGAAAATGTTAACAGCCTTGTCAAAGCTTGGTCGGTTTTGTGGGTGCACGAACCGCCCCGCTCGGGGATTAATTAGGCAATGGAATGTTGATCGGACATTGCATTGCGGTATTGGTGCTCTCGGAGCCTTATCTGCTGATAGTCTGGTATCCTGTGGATGTAATTGGTAGTTGCAAGTACCGAAGGAGAATATTCCATGACCAAAGGGTGAGAGCACCGAGCCCTTGGGTGATTGAAACTTCATGCAAGTCCATCGAGACAGTGTAGGGCGTCATGTTGAAACTTGGAATGGGCTTCGAGCTCCCTTATCAGGAAATTCAGACATTGGATGCAACTTTTTCGTTGGGAAGCTTTTTTAAATAATGTCACAGGGCCCGTGAAAGTTGCTTGCTGTGTGAGGGGAGGCCTTCACAGGCAACATTCTTGTTGGTGGAGCTGATGCGAGCTTAACCAGTCAACCTACCGGAATCATGATCCGCACCCTCTCAGCGTTTCATACTGTCATAGTATTCAAGGACATATGTCCATCAATTCTTGACACCCCTGCTCGCCACGGTCATGCATCGGCTGGGTTAGTGGATTCTTCTTTTAACTAATATCACGCATGGACACGCGTCAAATAATGATTGTACAACCGGAGAAAAGCGACCCGACTTGAAACAATATTCAGTTTGAGTAGGATGACTTCAGGAGATGCTCATGTCGTCCGGACGATGGCGTGTGATGTTCTTTCCTGATTTGGTGCTGACTCATGATCATGGCCTTGGAGCCTTCAGGCCTTGCATATCAGGAAGGAGTATAAGTTTGCTGTGTTTGCATTCTCTATATACCAATTGGTTCACACGAGCATGCCATAATAAGATCAGCTATCTATCAAAAGCACGCAATGCAGGCTTTCAGCAACTTGCACCGCTTGGGATGTTCGAGCAAGCGCTACTTGTCTTTCCACCAGTAATGCTAACACTCTTCCACGTCCAGTCAGAGCAGGCACCCTTGGCGCAGAGAATATAAACGTTCGTGCCACTACTCTTAACGGAACCCGTCACCCCATCGAGAGTGAGATCGGTAATCGGGATGCCATCTGTGGGGGTTCCAGTGGGACTGCCATTCTCGTAGTCCTGCTCGATCACAACGCCGTACTTTGCGATATTGGAAAGGGTAATTCCCTTGTAGGTAACGTTGCTGACGGAACCAGTTGCTCCATATACTGTCTTGATTCGTACACCTGTTTGAGTGTGTCAATGGCTACAAATTTCGCCAATTAAGGTTTCTTTATATTCGCATACCATTGTCAGAGTTCTGAATGACGGAGTTTTCAATGTGCACATTGTCAACCACGTTGTCACTTCGCCCTCCAACAGATCCGATGGAGAGTCCATGGCCTCCTGAGCAGAGACCTCCGGTGAAGGTGATGTCCTAGATCACATTAGCGATTGATCTATCTTTTTCGAACCTCGAGTCAATACCGTTCCAGAATTAACCGCCAGACAATCATCCTGATTGTAAACAGTTGCACCAGTGATCGTGATGCCCGAGCTAGATCCCACATCAAAGGCATCGGTATTGTGGCCACCCTCATCGACATCGCCATCACTGTTATCAATGGTGATTCCACTCAAGGTGAGATCCTCCGCTCCATTGATACTGAAGACCTGAACAGGGGAGTTGACAATCTTGATATCACTGATGGTAGATTGAAACATTTTATGCGCATAAAAGAACTTGGGCTTCGTCTTGCCACCATTCGTGCCCTTTCCATCCCACCAGCGGGCACCATCTCCATTCAGAGTTGCACCCGATGCGCCTTTGACGGTAATGTCTGTGCCGGACACCGAGACAAGAGGACCCGACCACTCTTTGTAGCCGAAGGTTGTTTCACCCTGGAAGATGACCTACCATGAGGGGGTGTAATTAGCAGCGTTCTTCTTGTCAGGTATGTGGGTAACCCTACTGTTGTTCCGTCATTCAAACCGGTCAAGTCCAAAGTAGTTCCCGATGGGACAGCCACTGCCGACAACACAATGGTGGAACAGGCGGTCTTCGACTTGCTAGCCGAGGAAGCACCCTTAGAACCAGAGAACGTGCAAGTGGTTGCTCTCTCCTCCAACTTGGCTGGTGCCGTGACCTGAGGAGCGGCTGGCTCTGGGAGTGCATTTGCAACGGCTCCCAGAAGGCCAAAAATGTAGAGGCTTTTACTTAGAATCATGATGAATCACAATGATGTTGATGAATCGATATTCAGAGTAAAAAATGCGATGCAAAGCGTGATAGTCTACTAGAAACATCCAATCGTTCCATAATCCAATTTATACTTGTTGCCTTCAGCCCTACACCTCATCTCGCTTCGCTTCTTCAGGAGACATTGCCAAGCCGCTCCTAATCAAGTGAGGACACGATTCCGTCCCAGACCCTGCATTAACTGGTTCATATTTCAAAGTTCAGGTTTCAGCCCTGTGTGGAGGAGCATTTCCATCCAGAACCAGGAGTAATTGCCACGAATCGCGGACGGCTGGAATCCCGTTGCGCGATGCCATTCGTGGACAAACAAGTGAAATTAAGCTCCCTTTCGGGCGCCACAGTGCATCACCCGGGCGGGGAGGTAATATTCCCCCGGAGAGTAGCTTGTTTGATGCATGCTGTCAGACAGTGCAATTTATCCGTGGGCGTGGAATGGACCCTGGGGTGCATGTCAACATGTACGTGTTCGTGGGGTTATATTACCCCTTTCGAGATATTTTTTCCAACGGCACAAGCGAAAATCGTATTATTGAACGTTGACGCTGTTAACATCATATTTAGAACGTTTTATTCAGTCTGACTCTCTCTCACACGGTCAAAGAGTGGTAGATTGGAAAATTCGCGGTCCTTTCTAACGTGTGGCCATATATATAACCAGGGTTACCTGACCAAGTACCACCGCAAACTCCGAATTTCAGACCGCATACTATTATATATTAGCCCATTGGACATACAGCAAGTTTTGGTCTTTCCATATTTCAAAAAAAGAGATCAGCGATAAATTGAATTGAGATCGAGTGCCCGATCATTATTTGCCATTTGAAACGGCTGACTACTGGAGCGGGCTCCCTAGTTTACACTTTAGACAGCAAAGGAATTTGTGAACTGTAGACATCCATCGCAGGCAGCCTAAAGTGTGTATGGGCCTGATGCATTAATCACCTGGCTTATAATTGTGACAGCCAATGCCAATGCATAAGTGGAAGATCAGCGAAAATGATCCCAGACGACCAACAGCACCGAGACGAGGCTTGACCACAGTAAGGCACGACTACATTCTAGACCGAGGCTGACCTTGAATACTAAATGTGTGGCCCCATAAACCACAAGAAAAAACACCGGATATAGCACTAGCGTCGAAATTTGCCAACAGTAAACTCATGTCAGCTAAACTGGTGCAAGGTCGATTTCCTAGCTTTCAGCATGGCGTAAAATGTCGGACTCTGCTGTGATTGAACACAAACATGCAGTTGTGAATGTAAATCACCTTGATCGATCTGATTTAACTTTATGAATCTGCAAATATCCAGCCAGAATTGGTTGGATACAGCTCAGGACCCGGCAGTGACATCGCCACAATTGCCGATCGGAAAAATTTTGAGGTCCAAAAACCCAGTTTTCCTGTTTAGTGCGAGTTCACCTTTTGGTGATCACAATGATCCGCTGATTATGAGTTATCAGTATCTTTTTCAGCCTAGGGAATCATACAAGACACAATATAAGATCCAGGGACGTCCAAATTGAAAACTATACAAAATACAGACTACGAATACAAGACTCCACCAGCCGCGGGCCGCGGTCGCCGAAAGCTAGGTGAAGAGGCTCTCGGCTTGCCGAAGGGGCATCCGATCGACTCCACTTGAGTCCACTTCGTCACGCAGGCATCAGATGTTTGAGACTCAGCAGAGCTTTAATAGTTTGGTAATTTATTTCTTTTAAAAGCCACTCCCCCACGACCATGAGCTTATCTCGCTCGAGTCGCTATGGCAAAGGACACTGAAAATGATGCTGTTAAAGCAGCACTCCCACGCCGAATTCCACACTGGCGAATCTTAACAGACCAGGGTGTGGTCACCCCTGAGATAATTGAGTATCCATATGTTGGATCTGGTACAGAAGAAGACCCCTATGTCGTCGAATGGATCCCCAATGACCCGCGCAATCCGATGGAATTTAACACAACCTTGAAATGGATGTATACCGTTACCGTCGCCTTTGCCACGTTCGCCGTGTCTCTCTCTTCCTCTGCCTACGCCGGCAGTATCAATGAAGTGGTCAGTGATCTGAATGCCAGCGAGGAAGTCGCTACTCTCGGTGTCTCAATGTTCGTCATTGGATTCGCGGTCGGTCCCTTGCTTTGGGCACCACTGTGTGAGCTCATCGGCCGTCAGATCGTGTTCCTCGGAACGTTCCTTGCGTTATCGGTGTTCTGCGCGGGCGCAGCAGGCTCGCAGAACATCTGGACACTGATCATCCTCCGCTTTTTCGCCGGCTCCTTCGGCTCATCACCACTCACCAATGCCGGCGGCGTCATCGCTGACATTTTCACCGCCGAACATCGAGGTCTAGCAACAAGCCTATTCGCCGGTGCGCCATTCCTAGGCCCAACAATGGGCCCAGTGATAGGAGGCTTCCTAGGCGAAAACGCCGGCTGGCAATGGGTCCAAGGTTTCCTAGCCGTCTTTACAGGCCTGATCTGGATGGTCGAAAGCCTTCTAATCCCAGAAACCTACGCACCAGTCCTCCTAGCCAAACGAGCCCAGCGACTTTCATCCCTAAGCGGCAAAGTCTACCGCAGCAAAGTGGAAATCGAGCGCGGGCGCGTCTCACCAAGAGATGCATTCACTACTGCCCTAGGAAGACCCTGGATCCTCCTCTTCTCCGAACCAATTGTCCTCCTCCTATCCCTCTACATGGCCATCGTTTACGGAACTCTCTACATGCTCTTCGATGCCTTCCCAATCATCTTCCAGGAAATCCGTGGTTGGAGCGAGGGTGTCGGTTCTCTACCCTTCCTAGCTGTGATGATCGGTATGATGGCCGCCGTCGGCGTAAACATGTACGACAACAAACGCTACGTGAAAATCCACAAAGCGCACAATGGCTTCGCGCCGCCGGAGGCTCGTCTCCCGCCGACGATGTGGGGTGGTCTCGCTATCCCGATCGGGCTATTCTGGTTCGCGTGGACGAATTCCGCGTCGATCCCATGGATTGTGTGCGTGCTTGCCACTACGCCGTTTGGGTTCGGGATGGTATTTGTTTTCTTGGGGATTATGAACTACCTCATTGATGCGTATACCATTTACGCTGCGTCGGTGCTTGCTGCGAATTCCATTATTCGGAGTTGTTTCGGTGCTGGGTTCCCGCTTTTCACGACGTATATGTATCACAATCTTGGGATTCATTGGGCGTCGTGTGTACCTGCTTTCTTGGCACTTACTTGTTGTCCTTTCCCTTTTATCTTTTATCGGTATGGGCCTGCTATTCGGCGGAAGTGCAAGTATGCCGCTGAAGCTGATGATTTCATGCGCACTTTGGCCAAGAAGGCTGGTGTTCAGGGGGATGGGGGTGATAATGAGAAGAGGGATGAGATTGTGGCCGAGGCTGTTGTTGATGGGTCTCAGGCCCCAGAAGCGATGTTTGATGCTGATGCTGATGATGCGTCGGTCTCTTCTCGGTCATCTCTTGAGCGGACGGGCACTTACGAGGCTAACCCTTATGACATTGACCGTGTGAACACTCGCAATTCTGCCATTACTCAGCGATCACAGTCGAGTACTGGTTGGAAGCTGTTTGGACGCAAGTGACGACCCCAGTTTTGTCGTTGCAATAGTGATCTGAATGGAGAAAGAAGGGGTTGACCGCGCTCCTTTGCTGGAGACTTCAACAGCCCCCTAGCTGTTTGTACATAATGATAATCCCAATTAAAATTACAGATAATTAATTGAAATCAAGCATATTCATGTGTCATTATCATTTCAGTTGTAAAAAAATCATCGTCCACTCTCCAACCATCACCAAGCCAGCCTAGAAATCCGCCTAAAAGTCGGCAGCATCAGGCAACCTCTCAGGAGTATCATCACGGAAACTATTAGTGAGCAACCCCCCAAAAGAAGGCGACCAATCAACCCTCGGCGAAAGGGAATCCAACCCCCAAAGCTCCGACACAAACTTAATAATCGAGGTATGCGTAAATTCATTACCGCCATCAGGGGCATGTTGCACAACCCCCTTCTCCACCCAAGGCGAGATAAGCACAGTAGGAACACGCACACCAAGACGATCAAAGTGGAAAGTATACTGCTCGCCATCACCGGCAGCCTCAGTATAAGTAAGACTATCACCAGCCGGGACATCCGTGGGGGGCGAAACATGGTCCGCGAACCCGCCGTGTTCATCCCAGGTCAGAATGAAGAGGGTCTCGTTCCACTGCGGTGAGTTACGAACTGCTTCGTAGATGCCCTTGACGAAGTTCTCGCCCATGTTTATGGGTGAGGGAGGGTGCATGGACATGTAATTGCAGCATTCGGGGTTGATCCATGTGAATTGGGGGAGGTTGCCTGCCTTGGCGTCTGTGTAGAATTGGTCGATGGGGAGGACGTTGTCCTTTGCGTTTTTGGCTGTCCAGTCGTAGAATAGGGCGTCGGGCAGGAAGGCTGGACTGGATTGGGTTGAGTTTTCGTAGTTCTTCCATGTGATGCCTTTCTCCGAGAGTTGTTCAAAGATTGACTTTTGGGGTAGGGCTGACTTTAGGAAATCGTCGTCGTTTTTGCCGTGGCCATGCGATGTGCCCGAGGTGAGGTAGGCTCGGTTTGGGTTTGTGGGGCCGGGAACGGCGGCGAACCATCTGTCGAAGAGGACGTAGTTTTGTGCTAGGCTGTTGAAGACTGGGATGTGGTCTGGTGTGAAGTAGTTGATCGCTTCGGCTGCTCGCGCCAGGTCATCTTTTGGGTAGGAGGCGCGCTGCTCGCTGATGAACCCGTTCATGTCTGGTTGGGCTCCTGAGACGGGGTGGTAGGTGCCGAAGACTTGCATGTTACCACCCGAAATACTGTGGTTTGGGTCATCGGAGGCGATGTTCTTTGCGATAGGGTTGGCGCAGACTTGGGGAGAGTCTGGCAGAGAGACATCGGCCGGGTTGCAGTATTGAGGGTTCTGCGGGCCATCAATGCTAGGATCGTAGTCTAGACCGCCAGCGAAGTGGTCAAAAGACAGATTTTCCTGCACCAAGACGACGATATTTTTGATGTTGCTGGAACCCGACGAGGCGGGGAGCGCCGCGGCGCCAAGACTTAGGGCTGTAAGTAACAAAGAACGCGCCATGTTTGAGTTGGAAAACTTACATTCGAGGAACCGGCCACTATAAGTAATTTGCTATTCCCTGCAGCTCCCCCAACATCCTCTTAGATGCCTCTTTAGCTGCATGTGCCGCATGGTCCAACTACAATATGCAGCAGCAGCACGCTGTCGATCATCAACAGCACTGGATCCCCCGCGTCGGTGCATGGGCCGCAGGCTCAATTTTATTGGCCAAGCGACCCCCTTGTCTCCGAGCCACGATTTTGAGGACGATCAGATGTTCTTATCTTCATCTTGTTTCTAACGGAGAATGAACATCTGATGTTTTGGAAATGTTCAAGGGGGTAGTTGAAAAAACCCCGTGTTCTGTGCTTGATTTGCAACACTTTGCAACACTAACCGTGTTAAACTCGTGACAATCACTGCATCTTTGCTGTATGCAAGAATTACGGTGAGTCGGTAAGACCAGCATTGACTCAGGCCAGGGTCCATCTAGTCTCCTTGGCTGGACCAGGTTTTCTTGGTTTTGCCCTTAATTTTCAAGTGCTTCATTTCAGATCACAACATACAGTTCAATAGTTTCGGACGATACGTCATAATCTTTATTCCCTAACTTATCTGTTGCATTCAAAGGTGTTTCCCCGCCTGACTTGTGAAATTCCCTGGTTAGTATGTCCTGGTGTGCAGCGCTCTTTATTGTGATCATGTCTCGAGATGATCTGGTCCTATGACTGTCGAATTTCATTTGAACATCGTCTGAATACCACCCTCTATGCTAAGCGATTCATTCTATATGTCATAAGATCACATTTCTGGATGAAGCCGGGTTGAATTTAGCGGGGAAGTCTGTATGAAGTTTAGACGGTCGGAGATTTTATGGGGAAGGTCATCTGATAAAATCATGTTTGGGGGAATTTGGAGACCAATTCAGGATCAGAGAAAATAGATGAAAACAAATGGAATGGCTTTGGTTAAGCCACGAAATATCGATGCCTAAGATGTCAGACTGCAAACATAGCCTCATAGCCTCATAGCCTCATAGCTTCCCGAAGCCTACGGCTTCACTAAACGAACGGACCAATCAGAACCTCGGAAAAATTAGGCTGCTTTTTAACTATTGTCTAAGATGTCCGTCGAGGCAGAATTCAATCAATCAGCTTGTTCACTGCTAGCCCCCAAGCTTGGCTGAGGATTGGACCCATCTCACTCTATGCATGGACTTGAGGCTGTCGTCGGCTTGATTGGTTCGCTCGTTTAAGGTCAGAAATGATGAAGGATACGATTTGCAAAAATAGAATCTTATCTTCGAGGTTGAGATATATAACTCCAGTCAAGGATGGTGATTAGAATAGATATCATCAACTCACCTTCAGGTTTTCTATCATGGCCCCGACCGCGACTACTTTGCCTGCATCGTCTACCACTTCCACAGCTTCTGCAACCTGTATCAGTGTTGCTCCTGGGAAGAATGGATACCTTCCACCTGAGTCGTGCGATGTTATTCTATACTATGTTCCATCGTTCGCAGCAGCTATATTATTCTGTGTCCTATTTGGTTTGACTGCCATCATGCATCTCGTCCAAGCATTTATCTACAAAAAGGTTCGTTCCATTCCTATCAGTTACCATCACATCAGCTAATATTCCCATCAAGCCATACGCGTGGGTAATAACTATGGGCTCAGCCTGGGAACTAATAGCCTTTATCTTCCGAGCCCTCCAAACAAGACATCAAAACAACGACAATTACGCCACATTGTTCACAGTCTTCTTCCTTCTAGCCCCAATCTGTAAGAGCCACCCCTACCCAGTATCCCACACTATGCGACAGAAAGTAACAATCAAATCACAGGGATAAACGCCTTCCTATACATGACCCTAGGCCGAATGATCTACTACTACCACCCACAAAAAAATCTAGCAAGAATATCCGCCCAACGCTACGGCCTAATCTTCGTCACATTGGACATAGTCGCCTTCATAGTCCAGCTAGCCGGCGCATCAATGACAACAGGCACAGACACAGAAACCAAAACCGTCCTACTGGGACTGCACATTTACATGGGCGGCATTGGCATGCAGGAATTCTTCATCCTGTGTTTTTTGGGACTGTTTATCCAGTTACATCGGATCATACATCGTATGGAGCGTGACGGAGAGCTGGCGATGGAGAAGGCGCAGGGCGTGTTTTCGTGGCGGTGGTTGTTTTATTCGGTTTATTTTGTGTTGGGAATGATTACTGTAAGTGCTCACCGGATTCTGTCGGTACTGATCAGTCTTGGTTCTAAAGCGATACTGCAGATTCGAATCATCTTCCGCATTGCACAATATGCCCAAGGGACGTCGACCAAAAACCCTGTTCTCACGCATGAGGAGTATGAATACGTTTTCGATGCTGTGCCTATGTTATTCGGGTTGATAGCCCTGAATATCTTCCACCCCGGGAGGATTCTGCAAGGGCCGGACTCGACCTTCCCGAAGAAAAGTCGAGCGGAGAAGAAAGAATTGAAGGCTCAGAAGAAGGCGATTAAGATTGAGAAGAACATGGAAAAGAAGCGGTTGAAGCAGAATGGTTGGGAGCCGTCCGAGTCGGAGAATGGGCACTTTTGTGAGCCGCTCGATGAACGGGTTCAGGTACCGGATGAAAATGTTGGGTCAGGGCGGTTCCACAATGTTTGACGGTTATGGTTGTTGATTTGATTGGCTTGAATGGTTATAATGTAGACTGGTGCGCTTAGATGGTTATATGGCAAATTAGAGTCACTTTCTGCCTTATATTTCGGGCAACAAGATGTGTTTTGTTTCTCTTCCCAATCGAGTAATCGGAAGCGCAAGGCGCGAGGCGATGCCAAACGAGGCAGTTCTCCGTTCTCCCCACCTTCGCGCATTTTCCTGTCCATTCGCTGTATGTTCTTAGTCACCTGGTCTTCTGCCAAGGAAATGCAGCGTAACTTGTGCCTTCATGCAAGTGCACAAGTCCTTCCACAGGGTGAAAGAGGAACCACCTGTATACTCTAATGTGCAGAGCAGCTTTCATGCACACTAGCAAAGGTGCGAAAAAAATATGAAATCCTCAAAATTTTACTTTTCAAACGGATATACAACAATATGCAAAATATATACTGAGCCCAATCTATAGCCGTAACAAAAGAGAGTCATAACCCTGTGACGAGATCAACTCAAAGCTCAAAGCTCAACAAACTCGCCCCGAAGTAACTCATCAGCCTTAATTTCTTTCAGATAACCGGCGATCTTAGTAGTCATAGTATCAATCTCATAACCAAAGAACTGATAAGCCGCCTTACCAGGCAAACTGTGGCCGAAGCGAGTGATATGGATGCCGGCATCCGCATACCGCTCCCAACCGTTAGGAGCATAGGGCTCGATAACGACAGCGGGGATACCAAGGTGGCGACGGAGGGTATCGCGTTTGTATTGTAGTGACTGCTTTTCGAACAAGCGCTGGCAAGGGAAACTGATGACACGGGCGTTGATACCCTCTGTCTTGAGTTGCTCGGCGACTTCCAATGCGAAGGAGAGCTCGGCGCCGACACCGATAAGAGTGACGGTTGCTGACTCGTCCTCTGAGAGGACGTATGCGCCTAGGGCGACGCTGTTGCGGCGGGTTTGCGAGAGCTGAGGGAGAGTCTGGCGGGAGGTGGAAATGATACTGGGGGTGTTTTTGGCACCGATGGCGGCGAGCCAGGCGCCGGCTGTTTCTTCGCTATCACCGGGGCGGATATAGAGGAGGTTTGGCATGGCGCGGTAGAGATTGGCTAGCTCGATTGGCTGATGGGTTGGGCCGTCTTCGCCCATGCCGATTGAGTCGTGGGTGGCGACATGGATGATTTGGAGGTGTTGGAGGGCGCCCATGCGCACTGCTGGTGCAGCGTACAGGTAGAACATGAAGAAGGTGGATGTTACGGGGATGATGGTGTTGGGGGAGTAGGCGGCGAGGCCGTTGGAGATGGCAGCCATAGCATGTTCACGGACACCGTAGTGGATGTAGCGGCCAGAGTAGTTGCCGTTGATACCGCAGGTTGTTTTGAGGTCGGGCTAGGTATATAGTTAATGAGGGTCTCGCTAGTACTAGAAGAGTCCACACTTACATGCTGGAAGTCAACCTTGCCAGGCCAAATCATGTTCACAGATGGGGAGAGATCCGCAGTACCAACCATGAAAGAGTTCACATCCTTAGCAATGGGGTTGAACACCAGACCAGACGCAGCACGAGTAGCAGTAGGCTTGCCAGGAAAGCTGGCGGGGATCTTCTCTTGCCAGTTGGTAGGAAGCTCTCCACGAACGCGAGCCTGGAACTCAGCTCCAATTCCAGGGTGCTGAGCAGAGTATTCTTTGACTTGCTGCTCCCATTCCTGAACCCATTGCTCTCCACGCTCAGGCAAACCCTGGAAGAATCGGCGCACAGTCTCACCAATGACAAAGTGCTCCTCGGGGTTGAAGCCATAGGCACTCTTCATATCGGCAATGCTCTCAGCGCCAAAGGCAGCACCATGAGCGTTCGCAGTACCGGCGACGCTGCTGTGAAGACCAATAACAGTCTTCACATTGATGAAAGTGGGCTTGTCGGTAGATGCGCGAGCCTGCTCGAGCGCGGTAACAATACCCTCGATATCGAAACAGCCATCGGCAATATCAATGACGTTCCAGCCACAGGCAATCATTTTGGCGTTCACATCCTCGGTGTTGGTAAGGTCGACGGAGCCATCGCAGGTGATCTGGTTGTTATCATAGATGACCGTGAGGTTGTTCAAGCGGAAGTGTCCAGCGATAGAAATGGCTTCAAGACCGACACCCTCCTGCAAGCAAGCGTCACCGATCATACACCAGGTGTGGTTGTTCACCACGTCGAAGCCGGGGCGGTTGTAGGTTGCGGCGAGGTTCTTGGTTGCCATCGCAAGACCGACGGCGTTGGCAATACCTTGGCCCAGGGGTCCGGTTGTAACTTCAATTCCTTCGTGTTCAATTTCTGGGTGTCCGGGACATAGCGCATCTACGCGATCTGAGTGGTAGGACTTGAGCTGGTCGAAGGTCATGTCCTTGTAGCCAGTAAGGTGGAGGAAAGAGTACTGGAAGAGACAAGTGTGGCCTATACTTGTATCAGCTCATGCCTATCAACCAAACATTTTTCAAGCTTACCGTTGGATAAAACGAAGCGATCACGGTTGAAGAAGCCCGGAGTGTGGGGTGCATAGCGCATCACATACTTCCACAGCGAAACACCGATCGCAGCCATACCAATGGCACCACTATTATCGCATTAATTTCGCGAAACAACAAGTTGTTATCTGAGAGTCATACCCAGGGTGTCCGCCATTGAACTGCTGGCAAAGGTCGGCAATGAGCAACCGGAAGGTCTTGAGCACCAAGTCATGGTCCTTGGAGAGCTTCTGCACCAAGGGCAAGGCTGATTTGTGGCCGACGCCGTTCTGAATTTCGACAGTCATGATGTATAGATAGAATGTGCAAAGCGAAACTTCAAAATCCAGATTCAAAGCTGCAGGGGAGTTCCTTCAAATAATGCGCGCGGTGATGCTTAATATTTCCTAATTGGGATATAGTTAGCCCCGCCCATCAGGGTATCTTTCGGCCCTCAGAACTTCGGATTTGAAGTTGATTTGGGGATGACCAGACCAGTTGTGAATGCGTCATATTGATCACCGAGTCTTTGGCAGTAGCGATCTGGTGTCTTGAGGCTATCGCCAACATTATGAGTGTCCGGTGAGTTAGGGCTTGATGACCTATACAGAGACAAGTGCGTCTAGAGCTATACCTATAACTATATCTGCCGTCAATGGTAGTTTTCTAAAACACGAGCAATACACACTCTCTCCTACGTATCTGTACGATGTCGCACTATGCACTGTGTAATGATTTCACCCGAACCCCCGCGACTGACTCCCCCGGCTATCGCCAAACTGCACCAAACCGGGGGCCCCACAGAACAGAACAGGCATCTTGAGCCACAACCTACTGAATAAAGAGTCCATTGACACTTAAGAGCAGCCCTTTCTCTTTCTGCAACTTTGTCACTCTCAATCACAAACAAAATGGCTCCCTCAGTACTCGTGGATCAGAACAACCTGGTGGCAGCACCAACAAAGTCGCAAGTAAGCCACCGCATCGCCATCAAGGCCTCACACCCAAATCCTTCACTACAAGTAACAGCCGACCACAACCTGAAATCAGTCGAAGCGCCAATCTACGCCCCCAGAGCAGGCGAGGCCCTAGTCCACATCAAAGCGACCGGAATTTGCGGCTCAGATATTCATTTCTGGAAGACCGGGCGTATTGGCTCGTTAGTGTTTGAAGGTGACTGCATTATTGGCCATGAAGCCTCGGGTATTGTACTGCAATGCGGAGAAGGTGTTGACCATTTGAAGCCTGGTATGTTTACATGCTTGCGATATTTCGTTGCTAGGTGTTGCGATCTGAGGCACTAATATACCCTCAATAGGCGACAGGGTAGCAGTTGAGCCTGGCATCCCTTGTGAACACTGCTTCCTCTGCGACGACGGACGCTACAACCTATGCGAAGATGTCCAGTTCGCCGGTGTCTACCCATACGAAGGAACCATGCAGCGGTACAAGAACCACCCCGCAAAATGGCTGCATAAGCTACCGGAAAACGTGACATTCGCCGAAGGCGCCCTCCTTGAGCCACTGTCTGTCGTCATGAACGGAATTACATCAGCCGGCCTCTCACTTGGTCGGGGTGTGGTTGTCTGCGGTGCTGGGCCTATCGGGCTGATTGCGTTGGCTGCTGCTCGTGCCTCGGGCGCTCATCCCGTTGTCGTCACAGACCTCGAACCTTCTCGTTTGGACTTTGCGAAGAAGTTTGTTCCTTCTTGTATCACCTACCAGGTTGATCGCACAAAGGATGCGCAGGGCAATGCGCAGGCTATTCGCGCGCTGTTCGGGTCCCAGGAGTATGTAGCTCCTGAGACTGTGCTTGAGTGTACTGGTGTCGAGAGCAGTGTTTGTACTGCGGCGTATACTGCGCGCCGAGGCGGCACAGTTATGGTTATTGGAGTGGGCAAGGCCATTATGAATAACTTGCCCTTTATGCATTTGTCGCTTGCCGAGGTGAGTTCTTTGATTCCGCGGTGAATTGTGCTTCTTGCTGACTCATGTAGATTGATCTTCGATTCATTAATCGTTACCGTGATACATGGCCTCCGGCTATTGCTTGTTTGGATGGTGGAATTTTGGACTTGAAGATGCTTGTTTCGCACGTATTCCCGCTTGAAAAGGCGCAGGACGCGTTGCATCTTTGTGCTGATACTAGCAATGGTAGTATCAAAGTTTTGATTGTGGATGAGGAGGATGCTTCGCTATAGATGTGCGCATTATGGCAAATTTGAATGATAGAAATGCAACATTGACGATGATGTTTGTAGAGTAATGAGATGTTTCATTATTGCGGTAGTAGACGCAGCCCCGAACCGATGTGACGAGTCACATATGAAAATTTAGCAATGAGAAGTTGATAATACAAGCCAGTTCAAACCATGCAAGAAGTATAGAAAGCGCCAATCTTCCCATCTAGTTCCTTTTGTGCTCTTAGAAGGAGAATGAGTTTTGGCAGAAGATTGAATTGATAACGGGGATCGGGTCCTTCGATGTGTGAGTGCCGGCGGCGAGGAACGTGTTATGACCGGTGCATAAGGGGCCACTGCAAGGTCGTTAGCAGTCTCCGGTTTATCGAGGTGCTCAGACTTACGTGAAGAGACGACAGGGCTTTTTCAGCGAAATCGTGAGAACGTCTCTGTACATTGCGTTAGCCTCAGTCAGTGCATGATTGATCCTTCAGCTTACTCTTCGTCGAGATCGTCGCATTCATTCACAAGTACACTAACACCGTGGCTCTTTTCTGCTGTTTCAATGCCAACCTAAATGGCGATTTTAGCAATCATGTCCAGATTTCTGAAGCAGAGATCCATACCAGTGTTTTCTGGGGATCACTCTTGGCAGCTGATGCTGAGAAAAGCATCAAGCTCAGAAGCGATAGTTGTTTGAGGCCATACATGATGATGCAGATGATAGTCAACGATATCGTGGTACTAGACAGGAGAAGGCAGATTGTAGATAATCGCAACCACTTTGAAGGTGCGGATGAAATTACTGTTTATACAAGGAGATGCCATCTGTCTTTTCCATCCCTTGCGTCTGTCCCTGTGAGTGCCAGGGGTCATCACAAACAAACAGTTCAGGGACACCCTTTCCAGGAGCGATCGCCCTTGGGTTGTGATCGGTATGTGAATGACTATTGATTGGGCTGCAGCTACAGTAGTGGGCCCCGGGTGACCCCCCCCGGAATATGAAGTCTTACTGTACAGTAGGGCTAAGCTGAAATTACCGTTCTACTGTCACTTTCACTGCCTAGATTTCGTGATTTAGGTACTATGACAGAGTCACCTAACGCTCCAGGATGGGTCTTGCCTCTGTGTATTCTCTTCGAAGGTAAATTCTATATTGAAGCAGCCCACGCATTATGACCGTCATACTACCAAAGCTCTTTTGATCACTGAGAGGTTTTGACATCCATTCATATTGCCCAAATATTCCTGGGATTTTTGCGTGTTGTGTTAATACTTCTTGGATGAGAAGCATCAAATAAGCTCATATTGGACTGTTTCACCGTAGCGAAATTTCAACTCGGTAAGATAATTATGAGAGTCTAGGTTGTACCGAAGAGTGTGTGATTACCTTTGGCGATTTTATGCTTGGAGTGCATAGTCTAACACCGGCGAGAGCGAAACGTGTAGAGTAAGCTACCGTCGCCATCTTTGCGACTAGCACAAATGATGGCGAAAAAGTCAAGAGATTTACGTTCAAGAAGCTGGGCTCTATACGTACCTGCGCAGTCTTCGCAGTCCAGCCCATACGCTGTTGGTACTCCTTTCACTTCACCTCAGGTTAACAGCACTGGAGCTGTTTCCGAAAATCTTGTTTGAATTTCTCTAATAATAGAAAATATCGAAATAGCAGAATAGTTCTATCATTGGACAAGCCAGAGGCTCAGATCTTAGACCATTCACTTTCCCGGATCGAAATATAAAAAGCCTGTGAATTGCCTGTTCGAATTAGTTTTGCTTTTCTAGAATCGGTATCCAAATACTACGGTTATGTACAGTAAACTCCTTTAAGACCAAGGGTCTAGTGCAGAGACAGCACTAGTGCAATCATTAGTACATGTCAAGTCTTGAATAAATGTATTGTGATTACTCGGCAGTGCCGGTTCGCTAGTGCTAAATATGGCGACTTCACCCAGTTGTTGCTATATCACGAAGTCAACAAAAGCGAAGATGAAAGGTAAATAAACGCGAACATGACAATTTATTATACACGCGTTTATTTTATTGTGTTTCCTATCTAGGACAGGCTGTCTCAATGTCGGAAGGGTCCTTCGACTTTTTCCTGGAAATAGCTAGGCCCAATTGAGGTTTGATTGCTTTATGCAGCTAAAATCCTTCCGGCAGTGATAATTCGCCCGTTCATCATCTTCTCTCCACATCTACCACTAAAGCCCCTTTCTGGTTGGTCGGTCGTGTTATGATCAGCACACTAGCACGAGGTTGTAGCACTTTCAGCCCTCAGCTTCAGGGATCAGACAATGCTGTGGGTTTCAAAGTCCGACTAGTGTACGGGGGCCAGCCAGCCGCCCCATTTTCTTCATGTTTGCTTGCTTTTATTCTTCTTCGTCCTTGAAACATGGCATCCAAAGGTGTTCGCCGTATCAGGCCAGTGGGAAATGGATTTACTCTTTCAAATGGTACCACGGGGGAGAGTTCGCGATTTCAAATCAAAGGTAGATGCACTTTTAAATCATTTCCCCGGGTCGAGCTGACTGATCGAATTTGAGGCGTCGCCTATATCTGGGACACGAATACCGCAGGTTATACTGATCTCTTGGCCGATGAGGAACAATGTGCAATCGATGCCCCCTTAATGAAAGAACTGGGGGTCAATGTGATTAGTGTGTATGCTGTTGATGCAACTAAGAACCACGACAAGTGCATGCAGACCTTTTACGATAATGGCATCTATGTTATCGCCAATTTGGAGGGCACCTGGGCCATGGTAACTGGTCGCAAGACATTCCAAGGGTGTTAAGAAAGGGATTCTAATTTCTGTGATAGGGCAATAATACCTGGGATATGTACTACTTCGAGCAATACTCTGCTGTCCTCGATGCACTCGCAGGGTACGATAATACCCTGGGGCTGATTGTGAGCAACCAAAATATTGCTACTGGTACGATGACCTTCTTAAAAACGTTGCTGCTGTGCTGATATCTTTGAATAGATAGTCAGATCGACAACGCATCATCTTTAAAGGCTGCGGTGAGAGATATGAAGGCATACGCCAATGCCAGAGGATATCGAAATTTACCTATCGGGTACTACACGACGATGCTCACCTCGACTAATTGGCTCAAACTGGGAGAGTATCTTGCATGTGGAAATAGCAGCAATGCCATCGATTTCCTTGGACTGGATCTGTATACCTGGTGCGGAAGCTCGTCCATTGAAAGCTCCGGTTACGACGACTACCTAAAGCAATCAGCAGATCTGGGGATTCCAATATTCCTTTCCGAAGATGGTTGCAGTTCAACAACGCCGCGAACCTTTGGTGACCAGGCCGCCGTGTTTGGGTCGGTAGAGTCCACTTACTGGAGTGGTGCTATCATATATGGATGGCGAGAAGAGTACGAGGCTTTCTTTGGCTTTCTTGTGCTACGGCAGTACACAAGCTGACATATCTTCACAGAGTATTGAGCCCCGGACGAGGACTGGTGTCATATCCAAATGTGACTGGGGCTTCATCAGCGGCGGCCACTCCGACGCTGCTGGCCGACTATACTAACCTCCAGAATCAGTGGGCTTCCGTTACCACAAGCTCACATACGATTCGTGTCACAACTGCACCTGCGTGCCCTACATCCAGTACCAGTCTCTGGACTTTAAATCCCTTAGCTTCCCTGCCGACGATATCGGGCCTTGACTTTGCGACCGTAAAGGAGGCCAGCCTCACGCGTCTTTCAACAAGTCCCAGCGCTGGGGCCAGCGATAGAACCAGCACCGGCAGTGCGAGCTTTCCAAGCTCATCTGGAACTCTGAGTGATTCTGACCCAATGTCTGGTACTTCGGGTGATTCTGACGCAAAATTGCGGATTGGTGTGGGCGTTGGGGTCGGCGTCGGCGTAGGGCTGCTGTTGATGGCCGCAGCATTGTTCTTCTGGTGCCGCCGGAGAAAACCCAAGAACACTAAATCTAATCCAGAGGGATTTCAGAATGAGCAGAAGCACCCCCGGGAATTGGAAGGCGAATGGACTGCTCCGGAGATGAGTGGGAGCCCCAGCGCCGCAGTAAATCCGAAAGAGATCTTTTCCACGGAAATTCTCGAGGCCAGCGCGGCAAAGAACCACACTCAAGGGGACTTGAATGCAGTGGAATTAGATACGGCTAGTGCCACTCTAGGCCGAGGGAGTAGCTCTTCGCCTGTGCCTGTTCCTGTTCCCCCAATCGTCTCAAATCCAGTCTTCGAAACAGAAGCTGTAAGGTCGACCTTAGGAAACTCGGGCTTAGATGAGCTAGCTGAGGAGGCAGACATTGCAGTTCAGGAACTTGGGTTTATCAACTTGCGCAAACGGGCTTTGGCCGTTCAAGCAGAAGCCCTCAAGAGGAGCCCCGAGTCCATGGCAGGAAGGAAGGGGGAAGAATACCGAGAGCTGCTTCAAAGAGAAGAGAAGATTACGGCTAGACTGGAAGATATTGAAAGCCAGCAAAGAAGATCTGATTTAGTGGCTTAAATTAGTTGAAAGGATGCAGAGATGGAATGTGTCGCAACTCGCGTGATCCATTAGCACAAGTCTTCTGCCCAGAGCTAAATTATCCGTAATAGTGAAAAAGGAATAAGAAATAAACAAAATGGTACAATCCTGCTAGAGCTCATTTTCCAAATCTGTTTATGAACCCCTTAGCATAAATCGTCACCACAAAATCCTGGCACTGGTACCACTCATGGCCAGACCATCTCGGGCAAGGGAAACACTATGAACAGATAGTCTAAGGCACCCTTTCTAAGATACTTACCCTAGAGTTGTGGTTGGTATATGGTTGATTAATGACTGTGCTATACTTTTTTGGTCAGGGGTTAGCCCCCTAAGTAGGAAGTCCTAGGGCTAGGTGTTATAATTAGGTCGATATGGCATGAAGCTAGAAGGACAAGAGTAAACCTCATAGGTATCTGGCAGGGTATAATGCATCAAGCAACTTCAAAAGGCGCTCGTTACTCGATTCGTCCAGGTGTATGGGCCGGGAGTTCATTTCGAACACGAGAAAGATCGTATAGCTCACCCATCCTTTGCTTATTTTCACTCAGTTTACTAAATTCATTATTGAAGCCAGATACAGTACCAGACTTGCCACGATCTACAAAAGCTCCTTGTGATTCGCTAGATCTTCTCGACTGATACCAACGGCGAGATATAAACCATGTGAGGGCCACGATAATAAGTAGACCACTGACACCACCGCCCACAGCTCCTGCAATCAGACCACCACTTGTAGATGAGCTCGAAGACTCCGGGGCGGCAGTCGTAGTATTCGCCGGTAGGGCTGAAGCGGTTGAAGTACTCAAGGCAGCTGTTCACGTTCGTCAGTCAGTTCGTTTCCTATTACCGGACTTGAGCATAGGGAAATGGTGACATACTTGGAGAAAGTCCCAAGTTCTTCGCATTCGTGAAACTTGCATTCTGAGTTCCAGCATAGACATCATCAGGATCCCCACAGCCATACGAGCCATGCGAATTTGTATAGCCGGTCAGCCCAGGGTCACAGCAAAACTATCCATCTTTCCACCACAGATGCAACGTTGAATTTGAACATTGCTTTGGAACTTCGCCCGTTGTGTCACTGAGAACACATTGTGTCACTGAGAACACATTGTGTCACTGAGAACACATTGTGTCACTGAGAACACATTGTGTCACTGAGAACACATTGTGTCACTGAGAACACATTGTGTAACTGATAACACATTGTGTATTGCTGGTTGTAATCTGAACGAATGAGAAATGATAAAGGCAGTCGATACATCATATTTGCACGCTACTAGATTCAAACAAAGCAAAGACCACTGTAAAAAAACCTGATAGGATCAGATATATCTATGGAGATGTGATAAGAATCCCGGGTATTCACAACAACACCGAAGCTGATCATGCATCGCAACGAAATAAAAAATTCGACGAAATGGGGAAATGAGAAGAGTAAAAAGAGATAACAGCAGAAAGGGAGACAAACAGTCAATTCCAACCATGCGAACGCCAGCCAACCACAGATCAGACAAATGCAGGCAATAACTATCCTAAACAACCTTCCCCCCATTCCGAATCCACTCCCTCAACCGCCCAAGATCCAGTATACACTCACGATGCAGCTCACAAGCAACATCCCAATGCTTCCGCACCTGGATATCCTCCTCGACACCCCTCAGATAAGCACTAAAGCCACCCTTCGAGGATCCAGGAACAAGGAACTCATCAAGATCATCTGCATCTTCACGAATCTTCGTCTTGGCATTTGCACCATTGCTATCGTCATCGTCTGCGCCATTGATTTTCAGGCGTGATGAGTCACCGACGGCACTAATCCAGCCTGGAGCCAGGCCTGTTTCGTTCGCTTCCTGGCGAGCGTTGAAGTGCTTCAGCATGCGGCGGTTGAATGCGTTCCATTCGTGCATGTATGTTCCCATCGCGGAGACGTACCACTGCCATTTATCGCGGGAGAGGACGATTTGTGTAGAAGTTGGGTCGAGGGGTGCGGGTTTGGGAGCCCAGGGTCGTCTGGGTGGGTTTGGGAGCTGGAGTTCTCGGGGTTTGATATCGCGTTTGGTGGTGGTTTGCTGCTTGGCTTGGGACTCGAACGGGAGGGTGGCGTGGACGTCTTCTAGGTTCTCGATGCCTCCGCCGGTTGTGCTAGAGAAGGGGACGGTGTTGCGGAGATTTTCGAGGTTGAAGAGAGGGGCGCGGGCGTCTGCATTTGCTGCGGATGCTTCTGCTTTTGGCGGAGTTTTGGTCTTCTTGACTGGAGGTGCATCCGGCGCGTGAGAGCCCAGGTCGGGATAGCTTGCACTGGTAGAGCTTGGGCCATCTGATCCGTCAACGGAAACTTTTCCTGGTACACACGGAATATCTGGAGGCGTGGGGAGGTCATCGTCTAGATCCATTGCTTCAACATCTGGTGTTGCTGTGCCGTTTGGCTGGGTAGAACCCTCGCCATTGATCGTTTCCTCTGCCTCATCCGCCTCAGTTGTCACATTCGCTGGCTGTGGATGACTGCGCAACTTGGTAGCCCTGGGTTGCTTCTTAGGGCTCCGAGACTGAGGAGGTTTTGCTTGCCGAACGTTCTCAGGCGCTGGGGCCCATGTCATATTTCGTAATGACTCAGCCCACGAGTCCGCGGAGAACTTTGCCTGGGCAAAGGGAGTAGGTTGCTGCTGCTGTTGGGGTGATGTGGGTTGATGGAAAGGAGTAGGACCGAAGGGATTGGGCAAAGGTGACCCAGTTGACGTCTGTGTACCTCGTCGATTATTTGTGCGTCCTCGAGTCTGCGAGTTTGGTGATCTTGGCAGTGATTCCTTGCTTGTGCTTGTCGAAGCCGAGCCGAATAGGTCAAACTGGCCCAAATGTTCCCGCCAGTCTTCGGCGGAGAACTTCTTGTGCAAGTCATTTGTGCTGCTACGCCCGAATGTTGTAGATTGAGGACGCTCCTTTGGTGTTGGCGGGTCATTCCTGTACGTTCAATGTGTCAGAAAAGACAACATGCTACAGAGGACTTGACATACTTAGCCGTAGAGGGGGAACCCGCAGGTTGGTATTGCTGATCTGCCCTGTTCGACCCTTTGGGGAATGCTGCGCTATCCGAGGTGTGTCCTTCGGGGGTATTCCAGTTAGCATATGGATGTCCATAGAGGAAGGTCTGCTATCGCAGCCTTTGAGCTGCCCTAATTTCAGCCTCGTCGAAAGCGAGGCTACATTGCATTATGAAGTGAAAGGGATCCTCACCGGTTCCGGGGCCTGGTCGTTCCTGGCGGTACATATCGGAAACTTTTTGGTTTGGTCGAAGGCGGCTCTTGGGCACCGCTTTGGGTTTGGGCCCATTTGACCGGGGCACATATTCATTGTCCTGGTTGTCTTCCGACTCACTGGCGCTGGTGGAATCATAGTTGTTGGCGGTCTTACTGGGCCTGGGACTGACACTCCTGTGTCTTCCAGATCGACCAGACGTAGGGGTCGTTGGCTTACGTGCATTTGTTTGGTAGGATCCCGAAGGTGTACGCACGCTCTCTGATCGTCCTAGCGGAGTACTAGAAACGAAGGTCCTTTCACCCTTTCCAGTCTGAGAATAGCCACGACTAGTCCGTTCAAACTCGGGACTGAACGGAGGCTGCGGCGGTTCGGGAGCAGCTGGTTTCTTTGCAGTTGGCGGCACAGCGGACTCAAAGTACTGGGTACGAGGTCGTTCAGCTCGGCTACTGCTGCTATAAGCAGAAGTGTTACGAGCCATAGGCTCATCTCCTCCAGCAGCACCAGGCGCAAAGCCCTGCTTCTTTTTGGGAACGTCTGTCTTGGAATATGCCTTCTGGAAGGTCTCGAATGCGGATTTCGGCCTAGGATTGCCAAATGGATGACGCTGCGCACCGGGGCCTGGAGCTGCACCGGGAGCACGACCCGTAGCAGGGTCAAATCCTTGCCATCCATGAGAGCCCCTCATATTCGAAAATCCGCGGAAAGCATCAGCCCTTGTCTGCCCATCGTCCTGCGGTTTCTGCCATTGTTGCGGACCAGCACGCGCATGCGACGCATATCGCCGAGCCCCGGCCGACGGTCCAGTCTGCTGTTTTGGATGCGCCCACTCCGGGGGCGGAGGGCCTGAAGGGGTTGCCGTCGGGCGAGGCCACGCAGATGGTTGTGTTTTGCGTTGGGTATTCGCCTTCGTAGGTGGAGGTCCGTAGAACTTGCCGTAGCCGGCGCGCAAACGATCGGTGTCGTATTTCAACCGTTGCTGGGGGTCACTGAGGATTTCGTTGGCAGCTTGGATAGCTTGGAATTTGGCGTTAAACTCGGCTTCTCGCCCTGGGTTCCTGTCTGGGTGGTACTTGAGCGCTTTTGTTTTTGGTTAGCTGAGCCCCTCAATGAAAATGTGCGCAGCTTGTTCACGGCTCACCTAGCTTTCTGAATTGCTTCTTCACGTCTTCAGCCTCTGCGCTGGGCTGGAGCCCGAGGTCCGCATAGTAATCCCTTCGTACGTCCGACTTCACCATCTTGAGCTTGATCCTGCGGATCCGGCGAGTTTATGGGGTTGTATCGGGCTCAAGGAGCATAATCGATGTTCGAGCAAACGATCCGCGGTCCCACGCATGTCCAGTTCACAAAGCTCAGTTTAGTTCAGCCCAACCCACGAGAATGGTCGAGAATGGTGCACGGAGGTTGGTTCGAAATAGGTCCAGACTGGCAGGAGGAAAACAAAGGGTATGTCGTATGTTCCGCAGCCTGCGCAAGGCAGATTCTGTCGCAAAAGGTCGCAGACGAGTCCGTTGCAGATCGGAAGAACGACAGAGCAGAGCCTCTTGTGTACGCTCGGGATCTCCGTTGGCCGCAGCGTCTACGGCGCTAATCAGATCTCGGCTTGGTGGGAGAAGGTCGGGGATCGGTTGTGTTCGCGACGAATGAACATCTCTCTAAATGGAACCGGGAGAGGTGGGGAGAGAAGTGGAATAGAAATCGGAGTGGGCACCTGATGAGATTAGGCACTTAGGCCCAAGCGTAGATCACAGCCAACGGGAAGCGAGATCTACTGAGGCATTCAAGGTTGGTGTGTTGGCGGGTTTGAAAAAAAGGCGGAGTGTTTGTTTTCGTTGCTGCCCAAGGCATCCCAGGTTTACGCTGTACGTCCACTCCAATTGATTCATTCCTTGCAGATCTTGTATTTATGTTTAAATGTATCTGTGTATGTGTATGTGTATATCGTATAAAGGGAGAGTCCAGAATTATACACAACCCTTGCGAAACCAATCCTTTTCACCGGTCCTCTTGAAATAGCAGGCAAAGCAGTAAATGAAATGGGTAAAATAAACAAACCAAACCGACAGAATAAACAAATAATCGCAAAGTGAAATATCAGGAAAAGACATACAAAAGAATACTAAGCATCCCCTCCAGAAGGGGGAGCCCCCGATCCACCAAAGAAATAACCCTCCAACAGATCATAGTTGGGATTTTCACTCCAATCATGTTGGAAGTCCATGGCCATGCCAAAGCCCAGATCAATTCCAACATTCTGGCCGAGATTATGACCCAGGGGTGGTACAGGCATGGCATTGTACTCAGTATTAGCCTCGCCCTCCATATGCCCCTGGCCTTCGGCATCACCTGATCCAAAGTCCAGGAAATCAAGACTGAGTCCTTGCTGCGGTTGTGCTTCTGGCTCTGCATGGGACGCGCTATTTGGAACACTGCCGGGTGAGCCATCTTGCGGCGAGTTCGAGTAGAAGAATTGTTGGTGATGTTGAGGGGATGGTGGGTTTTCGTATTTGGGATAATAATCCATAGACGACTGACGAGGTCCATACGACCTCTCCGCCGCGAAGTTGCGACCAAGGGATTCTTGCTGGGGATAAGAAGCACCCCCGGGTCTGTTGTCTGGCCGAGAGCGGTCTGCTAAGGGGTTGTTATCGTTGAAGAGGTCGGCCAAGTTCATGTCGAATTTTGGAACTGGGCGGGAGGAGCGTGCTTGTGTTCCGCGCCGGGATTGACCTTGGCCTGTTCTGTGTCGCGAGTCCATCTGCTGGCGATTTCGACCGGGGTGTAGGTTGTTATGGGCATTTGATTTGTTGATACGGCTCATGTCGACTTGAGATCCGAAGCCGGTTGTCGATAGACACATTTGGACGGTGGCTTTGCTCATCCGCTCAAACGCGTCCCGGCAGGCCTCGGCAGGTGGACATTTATGCATCAAATCACCCAGAACAGAGGTCGCAGCGAGAACGGTGAAGTCCACCTCATCGAGAGTCTGGAAAGCGAAGAGTTAGTATTCAGCCCACATACGGACACCGGTAACATAACACATACCAGGCGGCTTCGAACTAAAGGTGAATGCCAGATGGCATATAAGAACGAAATTCCTAAACAAGGTCAGTACGAAGTCGATGAATGAGGGTATATGTAAATCCATACCAGCCATGAAAATATGATGAGTAGCAAGATACGTGTAGTTGACCAGTCGTACTCTATGCAGCTGGCGATAGATGCGAATGACCTTCTGGCCAGCTTCAGCCACATTAAGATAGACATGATCTTCCTCATCACCTTCATCCGGGTTGGAGAAGGACGGACTGGAGACGTCATCGGCAGGAGTAAGCTCTCCAGCCAGCTCAGCAGGTACCGTCAAGCTCTGCTGGTACAGCAAGATGATAGCTTGCCAATAGTTGAGCTCAAGCAATTCAATGGAGAATCTGACGCCAGTATCTGGGCGTGTGGGGGCAGTTTCTTGCCACTCCACCAATCGATGGTGTACATCATGACGCCACGAGCGGAAGGAATCAAAGCCTTGCAAGAATGGAGAGGTAAGTTCAGCATGAGGGAGGATGGCTGCGCTGGAGGCCCTTCTCCGCACAGCACGCGCTTGTTGGTATTGAAGAACATCGTGAATTTCGGATTGAAGAAGACGGAGTTTGAAGTAGTGGCATGCGACATGCTTGTAGGTTGGCGCTCCGTCCGGTGGAGTCAGAAGACCGGATTTGGTGATATATTTGTCGTCCATCATGGACGGCAAGTCAGTGCTGATAGCCTGATCACTGATACCGAATGGTCGCCCAACACAAGTTGCAACGAGACGATCAAAACTGTAGACACACCACCATAGGCGGCGGCGCAGGTCACGCACCCATTCTCGACGTCCTCTTTCACGAGGATCAATGCGCGACTGGGCTTGGGCACCGTCTTTGGTTGCGGAATCAATCCCCGTCCCATCCTCGTAGTGTAGTCCAAGGTCTACAGCTAAGCGCATAGCAACACCGACGATATACCAAAGACCCGGCGCAACGGGTCGCAAGAGTGCGAAACTAGCCAGAAGAAGCACTGCCTGCAGCTCTTCCAATCCACCAAAGCCCTCACTAGAAGACGAGCCGAGGAACGATTCCAGGTGTACAATTGCCGAGGCATGGTACTCCTCTGGCTGATACTGATGACTCGAGAGTCTCTGTCTCTTGGACGTAGATGAAGCTCTGTTCAGATTTGCGCGGTTCTCATCGTCCGAACTCTGGGGTTTATCGTCAAAAATGATTCCAGCACCAATGGCGAATACAATATTAAGCACGTATTGTGCACGAGGGGAGCGGTTCTTCTCTTCCAGCTGATATGTCCTGTCCAGCAGCTCCATGAAATCTCCACGGTGGAGAATCGGCATTTGGGGATTCGCATGTTCAAAGTAAAGATCGACTAGCCGCTCGGCCAGCTCGCGGTCAGGGAAATCTGCGCGTTTCATCATGGGTCTCGTCTGCAGCCCGAAGAATGAATCACGCATGCTGCCTCCCGTACCAGCAGCAGCGCTTTGAGGCAACCTGTCACTTGTGCGTAACGGCGCGCGCTCTGGCATGTTACCCGGGAGGGAGCTCCTGACCGCGGCGAAGACAACACGAGCGAACGATATGCCGGATGTCGATCCCAGATATCGGGGATCGGAGGTCCCCTGCACAGAGACCATGCCGATATTCGAGACCAAATTATGCAGGCGCCAATTATGCTCGTTCTGAGGGTCGCCGTCCGTATCGCGATTTACATCTCCATCTCTCTGGTCCGAGCGATCACCGTCGTCTTTTGGTGCATTTTTCCGTGCTTTTTCCACGGCAGACGTTTTCCCAGCCTGGCCATCGGAGCCAAATTGAGACAGCCCAGAGTCCCCATCAGCTTCCGCCTTGATAGCTTCCTCTTCGTCGAAAGCAACGACTTTCTTAAAATCAATATTATTATCCGCCAGCTGTTTTTCAAGATGTGCTACCCGAGTCTCCAAAAAGTAGACGTAGCTGCGTGGGATCTCCCGCTTCGTAATCGGGTCATATCCAACACAGCGCACACCGGCCTTCTCGCAGGACTGGCAGCGCGGGAGGCGCTGGTCACAGCGGTTCTTGCGCAGGCGACATCGATTACAGGCGGAGACATTGCGGAATGAGGACGAGGCCGAGGAGGTGACGGCGGGGGAGGTAGAAGGCACCGTCGAGGTGGAGGGGTTTGCGGGATTTGTCGCGTCGAGATTCGGCGAGGTATCTGAAGGATGCGATCTCTTCTTGCCCGAAGAAACCGGTGAGGGCGGCGAGGACGCGTTAGGCATTGTGGCACAGTAAGAGCCGCCGACTCGCGATCATCTCTCGATGGCGGAGTTCTGCGGAGACTGCGGTCGGGAACGATTTAGCTGCGCGGACTGAATCAACAGTCATGATAAGATCAAATGAGTGTGCGAGGTGTCTGGTGTGCAATGTAGACTTGGAGTTGTTCGGTAGTTGCAATTTCTCTCGAATCGAATCGTGGGAAATTGACCCGCACTCGCAAGTGCCGCGACACGGACTTAGATTATCCCCCGCGAGTGGCGATAACTTCGTTCTTTAGCAACAGTGCAATACTGCTGATCGACCGTGAGAATGAGATACTGTCAAAAATGGAGACAGGTCCAAGTCGGAGATAGGGTGGAGATGTTAAGTTGCCCTCGGGAAGCCAGTCGGTTCGGTTCCCCAGACTCTGAGATCCGATCGGGAAGGCGACAGCGACCCGCATGGCTTTAGACTTGATCTGTTATAAGTAGTGTGGCTATTATGTAGCTTCATTCAGGTATAGCGACATCCGTTAGCGTGGAGTCTCCCCACTCCCCGCTGTCAGAGTGTCTGGGGAAGACACACAGGTGCCGGGGTATAAGGTAGTCTATATAAACAGCAGCTAGAGTCATATGACGGAGCCATGAATAGGGCAATACTTGCATAATTGTCCGGACGCCGTTGGGTCAGCATGGGCTTGGCCTGGAAAGTGAAACAGTGCTAGGACTAGGTTCGAAGATAACCTCCGAGATGAACAGACTTAGACATCTACAAAGAAGCATTGATAGAGAAAGACGGCCGTTAATATTGAGCAAGTCCGTGGCAATAAGCTCTAGACACATGGATGAGAAACTCGAACAAAAATCACAAATAGCCTCCCAGATGCACATGAGTATCATGATAAATATAACCGGGCGATGCTCCAAAATGACAAGAAAAGAAAATAGACCCAAATTTTATGCTTGTGCATATGCATATGCAACCATCTATAATTGCGCCGTTTCCTGGTCTCAGAGAAAAGTCATGAGAATGAGAAGAAAAGAAAAGAAAAGAAAACGTGGCGAAATGAGGTATCATGAGAAGTAAAATGAAAATAGAAATCCGTGTGCTCCTGAGCGCTGAAATGTAGGGGCCTTGCCAGAAGGAAGAGAAAAGGAAAACAAACTGAGCAATGGAGGTTCAGCTTTTGACATGGTTATCATGGGTCACAGTGGATTCAGGCTTGGGAAAATTGTCGGTGTTGAGGTTGAGTTGTGAAATGTCGAACTCGTGGTCGACGCTAGAGCGCAATGAGAGCAAGCGTTGCTCCTCCTCTGTGTCAGAGTCGAACTCCTGGGCATCAAAGTCGGGGATGGCTTCGCGCTTCATCTCCGCCTCACTGGTCTCAGGCTGGCGGGATTTGAAGCGCTCAGGCTCAGAAGACTCCTCCATCCAGAAGCTCTGAATGGCGCCGATGACACAGACCAAACCGCAGGCCCACCAGGCCAACACGGAGTAACCGCTCTCCAGACCTCTGGAATGGAGAAGACCGGTGATAGTGGGCCCAAAGGCACGGCTGAGACTGGCAGTCGAGGCGGCAGCTCCGTTGATGGAGCCCAACACTTTCGAGGACGGGGCGGCATTGGCGAGGAGAATGGCAGTAGCGGGGAAGGCGATGACATGGAAAGTAATCTTGCTGATCAGAGACACATAGACAGCAAGGATTTGGAGCTTGGCCGGAAGTAGAACGAGATATGGCACGGCCAGGTAGAGAGGGGGCCAGGCAAGCAGCACGAAGCGGAATGTGCGCAGAGTACCAAAGTGCTTGACCACGAAGGGGAACAGCCACAATTGGGCAATCATCGAGTAAACGCCTTGCACGGCGAGCATGAAGCCAATGGTCTTCGTGGCCATCCCAAGGCCACCGGTAAACTTGAGGGGTAGGACCACGTCGTCATCGGACTTGGGGGTGCTCAGGAAAACCGGCATCAGCTGATCGAAGGAAACGCTGTGGCTACACGAGAGGTCAATAAGGGGCAGGGAATGAAATAGGTCGGATGCCAACTCACTATGCAAGGATGCCGTAAGCAACTATCGCCAGAATGACCTGTCGGGTAAAGGCCTTGGGGGCAGGGTTCTTCTGGCCCTCCAAGTCACTCTCCTCCGAGGCATCACTGCAAGATTCACTCTCATATTCGTCATATCCGAAATACTTCTCGGAATCCTCAGGAAGCTGCACGCGGGATCCCCAGCAACAGCTAACTAACCAGTGACCGAGCTCGAGACCAGGATCACGGCGGTGCTTCTTCTCCGGGTGAGTCTCCTCCAAAAACAGGAAACCGACCACAATACCACAGACAAGCACTGTGATGCACACCAGGTTGGGCAGCAGGAACGGGAATTTGTCCCACAGCGTGCTGCGGGCAAACAGGGCCGGATAGTTGTCGCAAGGTTGGGCCAAAGCGCCGCCCATAGCCGGTCCAATGATCGATCCCAAACACCACACAAAGGGCATGATCGAATAAGCTCGCGGTTGGTGCTCCTTCTTCTTGACAATCTCCGCAACCGTCGTCTGAAGCACTCCGATATTGCCGTTCAACAAGCCGCCCAAGGCGCGCGCAATCATCGCCGTGGCCAGGTTGGGCGCAAATCCGAAGACCACCATGCTGATGGCCGTGCCCACCAAGCCCATAATGAGTACTGGCTTGCGGCCAATGCGGTCACTCATGCGGCCCCAGAACATACCCGCTGAGAACTCTGCAAAAGTGAACGAGGACGTGATCATGCCGGCGTAGAGTGCGATTTGGCGGTCGTTATCCGTCACATGGAATGATTCGACCATGTGATAAACGTACGGGAAAATGGACATGAAGGCAATTGGCTCGCAGATCCGGACGAGAGCTGTATCAGGGTGTTAGCAAGCAAGCTCGCCTTTCGATAGAGGCTGCCGCGCATGGAGAATATGGTTGCTTTTCATACTTCGCGATGCGCGCAAAAGTACCACACTTACCTAATACGAACAATTGCTGAATGGGAAATCCAGACATCTCATCAGAGCCATTGCGGGATCGCCGGCCCTGTAGACAAGCTGGTAGTTGAAGCATTGTGCAGATGTAAATGTTGGAAATAGACTGAAGATGAGGAACTTTCGAAAAGAGGCGTAGATACACCCCACTTCCCTTCAAGATTGGTAGACTGAATGTGCCGGAAAGGGAGCGGAAAAAGTACCAGAAAGGTGCTTTTGTGTTTCGACTTAATTTCCCCGGAGTTAATCTTCAGGGTAAAAAGGGAGAGAATGTAATGGCTTCGGAGCAAGGAGATCGAGTTTGCTTTTAGGGCTTCAGCATTGCTGCCCCTGTGGTTGGAAATTCAATCGATCCGATAAACGTAGGTTCCCAACAGACTATGAGACACCTGCAAGGGATGTTTGACACAATCTTTTGGCGGAGAGTTTATATCGATTTGACAAATATCACACGATCGACACGACAATTTCGAAAGGTCGGGCTTTGCCAGGGCAGGGTTGATCAAGAATGGGAAAGGGATCTATAAAGAATCCCAATGAGTGCGGCAAAAGGGGGGTGGGGAGGATAGGTAGAGTTTAAAGCAAGTCAATGAATTGCAAGAAGGGAGAGAGAGTCATTCCTAAGAAGGGAAAGAAAAAAATCTGGAGGGAAAGGGGAAGCTGTTATAAGATGTTGACAGTGGATAGGTCTATAGAATGATCAGGCGCCAAAGAACTAAAACATCAACCGTTCAGCATCACAACTAGACATTTCGGTTACAGCTGTACAGGATGCAGATGGCAGCAAACATTGGATCAGGATAAAGACGAACGAAGTGGGTCTTGATTTTTCTTTTAGATTTATTTTATTTTAATATATAAATTCCCTTTTTTTTATTATGGGTGGATCGGGGGGATGTAGAGACCTGACATGTTCCGTACAGAGGGGGAACGGAAGAAGCACCCCGGAGGCAAGGAAAGGGGGTGGAACCAATGGGTAAATGAGGAGTCGAAGTGAGGTACAAAGATTATTTATTTAATTCCTTCCTACGGGGGGAACCAGTGAGTGTTCCGAGAAAGAAAAATAAAGAGAGAAAAAAAGGAAAAAAGGACGGATGATTGATAGGGATCAGATCAGATCATTTTGGATTGTAACACTAGCACAGTAAAAAATAATTAAATTAAAAGCCAAAATTTCAGTACACCCATCTCCTTTGATTCGACAGATCCATCCCCCAGATCAAGCAGAAAAGGGTAAAGGCTGATACATACCGAATCCTGTTTAGTTGTGTCTAGAGACCCACGGCCCTGAGCCCCGGGCCCCGGGGAACAGCATTAGGCCTCACTTAGTGTCTTCCGCTAATTACCTGTGGCGGATTTACACTGAGTTTTTTCTTTCTCCCAGAGGGGTGGTTTTAGTGCGAGTTAGTGAGATGATAGATCTAGCATCCTTCTGACTCTGCGCCTCCCCGAGACTTAGTGGCTATGAACTTAGACAAAGATCGGGACTCGTGTAATAAATTACCTTTTTTGTTTGATTGTTATGAAAACCGAAAAAAAGTGATTTTTCTTTGTCAACTCAGACCTATATTAATTTCACATCGTCATACTCTCCACATCGCGGAATCAAGGAAAGGCTAGCCGGTCTCCGCTCTCCCAGATAGGATGATCAGGAGAAACTGAACTCACCATAGGATCGGCACCCCATAAAGTCGTTACAAGCTGAACGTCGCTAACTGAACTCATTGATTGGATCCAGAAATATGGACCTCCGCTCAACTAGAGACAATACTAAGCCGCGTTTCGCGTTAAGTGTGTTCCGAAGGTTCCTTAACGTTCTGGAAACAAGATGCGGTGTAAAATCTAAGAAGGGGACACCCTGGAGAACATTGGGCGCCATCCCGCTCGTTGTCCCGAGGTCTCATAGTTGATATCTCAGATGTACATGAACAAAGGTCGAAACCGTTGAATCCGTTCGCTCGGGTTTCGTGTTCCCAGATGGGTGATTCTCATTGAACGCAAAAAAATGTCACTCATAATCCAGCGCAGTGGGTCGGATGATGCCTAATTTCTCCTTTGCTCTCCCAGTGGCGCAGGAGAAAAAAGGGATAACTTTGTTTAAATTTCCAACCCAAAATTCAAGCGCGGGACGTATAGCTCGGTTCCCGTCCCAGGACCACTTGAACCCGTGTTGAACAAGAAGCTATTGAAACCTCGGTCTGACGGACACTAAAGGAGGATCCGGTGATCGCCCTGTCAAGTTTGGTACCGGTAATTGGATTATCGGTTTTTGGGGCTTCGAGAAGACTCCAAAGAATCAGCTGAGTTTGTCGTAAATTCACCGACATTCCCGAGCGTTGTCTATTGGCCGTTGGACGGTCGATCATGATAGGGTAAACAATGGCCCCTTTTCACCCTTCACACGTACAGTAGAATCCCAATACTCCGTACACCAGTACACAATAAAGTAGCTTAGTGGCGACAATCTCACCGGCTTCTCTTCCGATATCCCGCCACCTTCAACTTTTCCAAATCGGGTTGCAAGGCAAGTAAATCACATCTATCCAAAAGTCGGTAGAGTGCCGACCCAGCAGAAGGGGACCCAAGGGGTTGGAAGCCATACAAGTGGGACCCTGTTATTGGTAACTTCTCTGTAACATTACTAGTTTACTCCATTTTTGATGTGCAATGTACGACAGATGTGTATCTGGAGCCACGCGACTGAGGTGCACCTGAAAAGCCGGTGAGATGGTAGTAGGGATCGGGAAATCATGAAACGTCATACTTCTGCTCGGCTTGAGCCTCTCAGGGGCCTATGGTATGCCCAACAAGGAAACTCAAGGAACGGTGTGAGCAAGCCATTGTAAACTAAACCAAAGTCTTCTGCAACCTGTAATCCCTCGAACCTTTCAAACGGTCAGTCCGATATGCAACTGGATCGCAATGTCACTTTGACCAAGCAAACAACACGGCAATTTATTCTCGTGGACTATCTCACCTCCAGTCGAGGGTGACCGTGACAATGGGCCAACACAAGCTCCGAGTCTGACAAGCAGGATGCGTTGACAAATTCTTCCATGCATTTCATGCATCGATCGCAGTGCACCCTGCATCCTGACCAGGGGATTCATTGGCTACAATACCCATGACACCCGTCAAAATTGTCCAAGATTTCGCATGGACACTGTCGTCGCCCAAAGGGCCTGACGTGGGTGCACTCGGATGTAGCGGTGACAGCCTGCTGTCGACAACCTTGAAAAGCCGGTCATCTTTGCATGGCATGCATCACGCGACTGTGCACTGCCGTGGTCCCGTCATCGACATTCGTGTCGACCTTGATATCCATTCGGATTGTTCGGAGGCGCGGAAGATTGCGACCCAACGAACAAAGCCGGGGTTAATTCGTAGTCTCATCTATGCCAATATACAGATCATGTGAGCGGGCTCGATTTAACTGCAGCCAACCGCATCATCCATGTATGGTGGGGAATGAGATCCCTGCTGTCCGATTTTCGCCAATTTGGGCTATAGCGGGGGAGGTAATCAAAGATGAAGTGTCCCGCCTGCATCAACAGCCAGGTAGAATGGTTAATATGAAGCGGTGTGTCTCTTGGCTGCATTATCCATTGTCTGCTGCTGCAGAGGCTTTGATACCGCGTCTCGAGCACTCGTATCACTGGTTTCTGGCATCTCATATACTACAAGTCCTGCAAGCCCTCGACATGGGCATTGTTCTCACAGCCCCGCCAGTTGCGTCTGCACCGCCGGTAGGCTGTCCGACCTCGATCGTCGAAGATTTTCGATACCCATTGCGATTTGGACCGGTGTTGCGTATGTAGCCCATATCGATATTCACACCTCCGCGGTTGTTGTTGCCCAAGAACGTCGCAAAAGACGGTGAAGCTTTTCACAGGTCAACTCATAACGTAGAACTTACACCGTCGAGTGGATGACATCGTACACGGGATCACTCAGCTCAGCTGCAGGAATGCTGTTGACTATTGGGCATCTGATTTTCCGAAGTCCGCCCGAGCCCTACAGTACAGCATCGTGGCATCATCCTAGATTGGAATCAGGGTTACTAAGTCATGATCGATCCTAGAGCGAGAGCGAGAAATACATCCCCTTCAGCACATTCCTTGCGCTACCCTTGATCTTTCCTTCATTCCGCAGTGAGCACAAGATTGCATCACCTCGGGATCATACACCTCAACCCTTCCTAATTGAGAGCAGTATCGCAAGGGACGGCTCGGCTTCCTCTGACGCCGCCTCACTCGCATCCATCGCGCACGCAGATCCAGCTCCAGCGTCCCGATCGCACATTTTCCCCGCGAAGACCGCCGCAACAAAGATCGGGTTCAGCCACTCTACAGATCAACCATAGCGATACTTGCTAAGTTGATACACGATGATACACGGCTGGGCCGTATCTGACGTTTGGCCAGAGCACTCGGTCACCACTCTCCCTTTTGGGATTACGCTAACAGATCTCGTACCATCCCCAAGGCTCCATGATCGACGCAAGGCAGCTGCCACACCACAGTGTCGGGTTCGAACATCGCATGAATCCCAAATCGTTGGAAGTGTGGCGTCGCGGCTGCTTCCCAAAGCCGACAGCCAAAGAACATAGGTACGGAAGATGAATCCAGGCTTATAGGATGCGTCCCCTCTGGGCCTGGCCCAAATTCCAAACTAGGGAATTTTGGGCCAATTTGCCAAAGGGGCTGAGCGCTCAGGCTAGACTTTTTAGGCCTGTGCCGCTGTGGTTGACAGGAAGAAATTTCTGTTGTGATGTATCACCTTTCGGAGTGCTTACAATCTAGAGCGCGGCAGGAATGAGAGAGCGCCAGGAGACAAAAAAGAACTGGCATTAAGTGGGGGACAAGAAAAAGAGTCTGAGCATGGCCCCTCGCAAACTGTATCCATGTACAAGGAGCTGTAGTACTGTACAGTAGGAGTATGCACATCGCAGATCATTCTGATTCCTTTGTTCTCAGGCGCTCTCGATCATGATCTCGATTCGGACTGACATACAGGTTCCCATTTTCCTTCTCCGTCTTTTTCAACTCAAAGGCCCGGGCCCATTCACGCTCTGCCAATAGAACGCCACCATCGTGCCGTCCCTTTTGCGATGTGTACTTTAAGAGTTGCGTAACTTCCCCTTAGCCTCCCCGATCGATCGAGAGGAAAGAAGGTTGGAAGTTTATCGCGCTGTCGAGCGTCAGTCCACTTTCCCCTCCCTTTCCGATCTGGAACCTTGCGCTAAATTGTTGCGACAGGTTACACCATACCTCGGTGTTTGGATCTAATGAAGATGGCATATCCACCTTGGACTTTTGCCACCTTTCATCCGGAGTGCCGGGCACTTGAAGGTGGAACCCGTCAGCTAGAGCTGAAGTACACAAAGCGACCATCTCCGTCCTAGATGGGTCCAAGACTGAGACGCAGTACGTATATCTACGGAGTACGGAGTACTGTATACATCTACAGTATCATCGGCTTCCCTGTCGGCTAGATTGCCGATCTAGACTTGTCTATGGCATTGTATTGAATCTCGGGAGATTGTTCAACTCCATGCATATTCAATCCTAGAATTGACAGGTACTTTTGCCTGCAGGTATGACAAGATCCTCACTCCACCTTGCATCTCTCTTTTCTCTTTAGTGTGTACCAGATAAAGACGTAACCTGGAAGCTGGTCCGGCAGCTGAACGGAATATCCGCGGACCAATCAGAAGCACGAAGAGTCTCCTTCTCGGGCTCCCCGCCAGGGCACCCGCGGAAACACCAGTCCAGTTCCATGGTACCAAGTTAAGGATATGATGAAGTACATTAGTGTTAAATAAAAAAAGAATGTATGGGAATTACATCCGTTCAACCAACAGGAATGATCGCCCTAATCCCCAGTGGCAAACGGAAAGTAATCCGGTGCCGCGGTGACGGGTGCGAAACAAAAGTTCCGCGAAGTGGACCCGAATCACATCTTGTCTTTGCAAGGATTTTCACACTATCGATTCCCCTTTTGATCATGTGAGCACCCCTGTCTCTCTTTGCCCTAGCCGAGTTCCGACTTTGGGTCTCTCAGCTGGAGCTGTACAGTTACACATGTACTTTTTTTTGCCTTGCTGATTCATTGATTCCGGGTCCTTCGGGATCGATGTGATTAAAAGAGGATTGAGGATTGCCCCTGCAGCGGTCTAGACACTGATCTCGATCTGGCGGTCACGTGTGCCGTCTGGTTGCTTCTGTCAAATAATATACGTTGGATGTTGTCTTTCCAGATGGGGAATTGACTTCAGCTTAAATCGAACCTTACCAGCCATTGACTGGTCGATTTACACTTTGCTTAGTCTTTGCTTGGTCTATACCAACCCCATTCTGTTCTCTTGATGACGACCTTCCTTCGAGTCATATGCATCTGGACTACAGTCAACTAAATGAAGTTGCCCACGTATGTGATCATCGTTTTGGGAAGTATTTACAAAAGCAAATCCTACGCTAGACTGCTTCAATTATGCACATCAGCTCAGCTCTACGTCTCAGCCACCCCATCTAGAGTAGGCGATCGTATAGTTCAGCCAAGTATGTCAGACAGCCACTGAATATGCACTTAAGCACCAGGCCCAGAAGAACAGGCAATATGCATGATCTCTTACACACATCGCTAAGATTCAGCTATCGATCAAAGACGAACGTCCAAAAAGTACCGCCACTGATTTCACCAGATAGAACCTAGCTGTTGAACATGCATGAACACCTCAAGACGAACCAAACAACAAAAGTACAACAACGAGACCTCTCCCCTGGCATAGCACAGTACTTTTGCAAGCAGAGAAGCTAAGAAATGATCGACCTCGTAACATATATGCACTAATTGTGACAGCGGATCACAGATTCCTGCCTGTGATGAGCCTGGCATAAAAGGCAGGGGCAACAAGCCAATCAACACAGCCAACAAAGTCTTCTATGATACATCGTCAATACGAGTTTCTATACGTAATGCATTGGCGAAAATAGGTTCATTTAACAATCTCGTTCTTATCGTGTTGTACAGTTTTAGCTCACCTTCCTTATTCATATCTATTCCAAATCTTATCCCTGTACCACCCCAGTCTAGATTCATTATGCATCACGAAGCCTGGTCGTAGTAACGTATCCTGATCGTGTCGTACTTGATACCACTTGAAGTACTCGTCGACTACGACTCTGATCACTGGCACTATGCCTGTGGCCATACCATTCTATGTATCAGCTTGTCATACGCGGCCAGTCATTGCATATCTGCGGGATGTCTCTTGCTCGAATAGATATATAGTAGGCTTAGCTCGGGGCACCGTAACATCCCGGGCAATGGGTCATGTCTTTCATCTTGGATGGAGGTACCGGATAGGAGTGGGTAGATACGTATGGTGTTGAGCCACAATTTGAAAAGTAACACCCAACCACTTGAGTATGTTGCTGGTATGTAGCCATATCGACATAAAATAATATCAGAGCATACAATTCTAATGATACAAGCCGATAAGTTGGCTACTGCACCGTTTTAAGATCCTTTGATCCAGTGGTAAATTCTCTAACTCCAGTCGCGTTGTAAATATCGGTGTTATGTTCAGGAAGATTTGAAGAATTGTATCATTCTCGACTGTTCATGCATTAGTGTCGTGGATAAAATGGGGAAATCAAGCTAAATTTGAACAAGCTGAAGGTTTCTAGATAGCAAACATGCTTGTCAAATCTCGGAAGCAATATCTCCGCTCTAAGTGATCTGAGATGTTGAGCTACTGCAAGTGCTCTCTTATTGTAGACACATAATCGTATATAGCATTTGCAAAGACAAAAAGCCAGTGTTGTACCTAAAAGGCTCTTAGGTGTTAAGAAGAGTATTGTCGACATATATATCTCGGAACCTGCTCAAAATTCTTCCTTCTTCTTTAACCCTCATATGGTGGAGGAGGAGGCTCAATGGAAGCGTGCTGAATGGCTCTGAGTCTGCTAAAAGCAATGTTTGATTCTGCAATCGGTAGTCTGTGAGAGTAGTGACAGTGCTCTCCGTGGGTCTTTGAACTCCAGGCCCTTCACCATATCCACCAATGGCGATTCGTATCTGCTGCAACTTTGGTAATGTATGAAAACTGTGTCATGACTCTATGGATATCGTTCTGTGCCTAAGAACAAGTGTTCTGGCCAAGGATACCGACTTTTTCTTCGAGATCGTGAATACTATCTCTCGTTGAAATTATGAGCGTTTTCATATCATCAAGTTGTGCTTTGACTACATGCGTTTGCGCATGGAATGCTTTCAGTGGCTTAATAATTATATTCATTTGTAATGTGGGGTTATCAGACCCAGCCAGTCGAGGAAGACTGATTGTTTGACGAAGACGGCATAGTAGACTTAGAAAACTCGACAGGTGTCAAAGGATAGCAAAACTGGAAGAGATAGATTCTCGGAAATCACCTAACCTTTTTGTGTGTCAAAAATAACCCTACGATGTCATCTTTAAGATCTACGGTTGGTCCTGAGGATTCCAAGGTTGCAGCCGACCTCTACCAAGTATACTAGAGCTCACCAACAGACGACATACAGTACACACAGAGCATACAAAATTATATCCAGTAAGTATTTAATGATAGTTTTTGTTCGATACGGTATCTATATAATACCGTCTCTGGAGCGATCGACCACGGCAGGATCCAATTAAACAGACAGAGGCACACCGTTTTTTTAATGCTGTATGTTGGTGACCCACTACAGTAGTTGTCAAGACTTAGCGCGCTCATGAGTATATCCAGTCCAGAATAAAACCAGTCAATCTCTCATAGAAGAGTCCATGTCAGTTTATTGATCCTTGCTCGACAGGGTAGCCCGGGAGTCACAACGGCAACGTGCAGACGGGCCAAGGGTAGCTGTCGTATCCTTACATTTATCATATGCTGATGCCCAACGGCATTTGTACAGTGCATAATGTAAAATCCGAGGTAGTGAGTCAGTGAGGCGGTGGCGAGTGATGGGAAGATGTTTGAGCATTCGCTATTTTCCTTTTAGCAAAGGTCTGCGGTATGAAACCGGTTCTTACTACGAAGATTATATGGTTCTTGTTCGCACCTGCAGAAAGGGGGCAGCGGTCAGATATAGGAAAACAAAAGTCTAAAATATATCCCTACCGCGACTTTGCAAGTATAGACTGGACAGGTCTTTATAGTGCACCATTATTGGCGGTATAGATGGCTTATCGCCATGTGACCTTATCGTGTTGGAGAAATCCGCTGAAGTCATAACTTCAGACAAACTTGGAACTCACTCCAATATCAATTGCCTGCAAATAGCTTTGTTCTTTTCGACCTTACCCGGAGTGCGACAAAGTCATTCTAACCCGCCCAGTTTCTCCGCAGAATGAGCGCGAGATAGCCGGTCTCACAACATGGCGCACCCACGAGCCTATTTTTCCCTGCCCGTACGACCATTCCTTTCACGCCAAGCACGTTGCAGTCGTATATTCCTGCAATCCCCCAAAAAAGCATGCATTGCACGATATCGCTTGCAAAGCACCAAGACGGTTATCGCAGATACTCCGCCCAATGAAGATGCTGTGCCCGACGAGCCATCACCAGACCTGTCGCATCTGAACCCCTCTCCGGAGGATTACTCGCGTTTTATTTTTCAGGACAAATGTCGGGTGACGATGCATGCTGGAGCTGGTGGTCATGGGTGTGTCGCGTATCTTCGTGAGAAATATGTCGAAGAGGGACCGCCCAATGGCGGTGATGGTGGTAGCGGAGGGGGTATCTACATTCAGACAGTCGAGGGTCTGACCAGTCTTCACAAGTTGGCTCGCCGAGGTGTTCTTAGAGCCAGCCGAGGCAGAAATGGACAAGGAAAAAGCAAGGGTGGAAAGCGAGGTGACGACATCCTCATTCAAGTTCCCGTTGGTACTGTGGTTCGAGAAATCAGTCGCCATGACCCAGTCGAGGACGCATGGGCGCGCATCAGAGAGGAAGAAGAGTCGGAACAGATCTCCAAAGAGGAGCAGAAAATGTTCGGAAATCCAGATGAGCTTGAGGATTCAGAAGATTTAGAAACTGGTCTGCGAGAAACAGAAGAACCGGAGTTCAACTCCATTCGGCACGATCGCTGGGTGCTTCACCCGTCCGCGAAACCATCGGACTTCCTCATGGTGGAGTTCCCGAAGTCATATCCTCGGAGACAGAATATAGCGGCGATGGAACCCAAGGCACCGATCTGGCTGGACCTCTCGAAGCCTATGGATAAGCCTTTGCTTCTGGCTGCTGGTGGTGCCGGTGGACAGGGTAACCCACACTTTTCTACGCGCACGATGGGAAGACCAAAGTTCGCATCTCGTGGTGAAGGTGGAATGACGTTGGAGCTCGACTTCGAGCTCAAGCTGCTTGCAGATGTTGGACTGGTTGGAAAGCCCAACGCTGGTAAGAGCACACTGCTCCGCTCTTTGACCAACAGTCGGACGCGTATTGGAAACTGGGAGTTCACTACACTGTCTCCCCATATCGGAACAGTCATTACCGACGATATGAAGGGTCGTCCACTTGTCGCGTCAAAGGAGCGTCGAACCCACTTTACAATTGCCGATATTCCCGGCTTAGTCGAAGACGCTCACCTTGACCGAGGACTCGGTCTCGGGTTCCTCCGTCATATTGACCGCGCTGGCATTCTAGCATTTGTGGTTGATCTCAGCCATGGCGACCCCGTGGAGGAACTGAAGAAGCTGTGGCACGAGCTTGGAGAGTACGAGCGAGTGCGTGATATGGATCCTGACTCTGCTGGAGATGACAGCGTCATTGACTGGAATCCGTTCGGCAACAACGGTCCGGAACCTGAAAAGAATCCCTTCAGAGAGCCTGGCAGTTTGACATTAAACACCAATCCTGATGGCACTCTGCCTCGCTTGATGATGACACCTCTACATCTCAAGCCTTGGTTTGTCGTGGCTACTAAGGCAGACTTGGAAAATACCCAGGATCAATACCGGGCTTTGCAGGAATACCTGTCGGCTGTGCAAAATGGGTCAATAGAGCACCCGTCTGGTCATGCTAAGGCATGGAAGGAAAAGGTCTGTGCTGTTCCTGTCAGTGCCCGAAGAGGCGAGGGTGTCTCTCGCATTCCCAAGTTGGTCATGGAGCTTCTGGAGTGAAGCATCTGTATATTATTGATATCATTTAGACATTCCCCTGCATGAAACATATGTACTATAATAAACATGGGCAAATTTTATTGATGTATACCTCCATGATCTCTTATGTTTCCAGTCACCTTACTAGCGTAGCTGTACACAATAGCAATGATCATCCATGATAGTCGGATTTCATTCAATGACAATTGACCTAGTCGCTATTGTGGGTCTTGCAATACGTTGAGGCTTATCACTTATAGTTCGGGCTATTAAGGCAACCGATGATATAAAATCTACGCTGGGAAAATCCCTGCGCCGGGGATGAGCCTGTACCGGGACAACGTCTGCACCTAGTAATCTATACAATAATGGCTATATATTATTATTGGGGCATTTTAGTGAAAGAGAACACCGAGCACAGCAAGAAGCTAAGTCGACTTTGTCATCGTCGAGAAATCTCCGAAATGCATGCCCTTCATAGTGTGAGTGGTAGGTAGATAGTGAGTATTAACTGTCTCCGCGTTTATACTTAGATCATTGCATCGCGACCAGGTAAAATATTACGGTTTAAGGAAGATGTTTTATCAAGTCCGCATGGCAGTAACCTACAAGGAAGCTTTATGGGCAACGTGCACATTGCCAGTGACAACCGTCTTTGTCTGCAAGTAGTCTTCGATGCCATATTTGCTTCCCTCGCGGCCCATACCGGAGTGCTTAATACCGCCGAAGCTAAACATAGAAGAGCACAATTAGTAACTGATTTCAAAATAGGCTTGTAAGTGGAAACTCACGGACTGGCAGCATCTGACACAGCGCCTGTGTTAATGGCTACCATTCCAAACTGCAACAGCTCTGATACGCGGTTGGCCCGGCTAACATCGCGAGTGAAGATATAGGATGCCAATCCAAAATCGCTCTTGTTGGATTCGGAAATAACCTGATCTTCAGTATCAAAGGAGAAGATTGGCGCCACAGGCCCGAAGATCTCTTCATTCACCACTCGCATATCAGTGCTCACATTTGTAATGATGGTGGGCTCAAAGAAGTTTGACCCTTTGAAAAAGATTCCCATTAGCCGATTGACTCCTGCACAAATAGATATGGCGGAGTAAGAGAAATTACCTAAATCGGGTCGTCGTTGACCTCCGATTGCAATCTGACCCCCTCGCTGAACAGCATCCTCAACAAGACCGGCAATTCTATTCGCAGCAGCAGGGGTAACCAAAGGACCATGGGTCGTCTTCTCATCGAAGCCATTACCCAAGTGGAAGCGACCGACAGCGTCCTTCAACCGGCAGATGAACTCCGGATAAATGCTCTTCTGGATAAAGATTCGGTTGGAGCACACACAGGTCTGACCAGAAGACTTGAACTTGCTGGCAATCGCTGCGTTGACAGCCACGTCAAGGTCGGCATCTTCAAAGACAATGAACGGGGCATTTCCACCCAATTCTAAGCCTAACTTCTTCAAAGTACCACTAGACTGTTGCATAAGAAATTTCCCGACTCTTGTTGAGCCAGTGAAGGAGATCTTGCGAATAACGTCGGACGAGCATAAGACTTGTCCAATCTCGGCTGTGTTTGCTAACGCAATCACACTATTGATGACACCAGCAGGCACGCCTGCTCTCTCACCGAGGTGCATCAAGGCATGTGCAGTTAACGGTGTCTCACCCGCAGTCTTGACAACAACTGTGCATCCAGCCGCCAGTGCAGGACCGAGCTTTCTAGTAATCATAGCAGCAGGGAAGTTCCATCTAAACAGCGCGATACCAGTGTCAGTAAAACGTTCATACATACTAGCCATATCATCGTTGTTGATCAACACGTACGGAGTAACAAGGCCACAGACACCAATAGGCTCTTTCAGCACCGAAACACGGAACCCAGGTTGACTGTGCGGAATCACATCACCGTATATTCGGGCAGCTTCTTCGGCAAACCACTCGAGGAAGCTCGCTGCAAAAAGCACTTCGCCTTCAGCATCGGCCTTGGCCTTGCCATTCTCCAACGTAATCAAGGTCGCTAGATCGTCTTTGTTCTCCATAACCAACTCATACCACCGGCGAAGGATACGGCCACGGTTGCGACCTGGGCGAGACCGCCATGCAGGAAGTGCGGCAGCTGCGGACTGGATGGCTTTCTCTGCATCTATCCTGGCGGACTCTGGACCGGAAGCGATGACATTTCCGTTTGCCGGATCTAAATGGAAAGCCACGTTTAGTTAGGCCGGTTCTGCTTCATATTTCATAATAAAGGGGCAAATACCACGTACCTGTCACCTTAAATTGTCTCCCAGAGACAGCATCAACCCATTTGCCATTAATGTAGTTCTTATCAATGAATAGGGAAGGTTGCTTCAGGCGGGATGCGGTGGTGGCCATTATTGGTGATGAATTTGAAATTGTTCAATCGTATTGTAAATAACGGAGAGCGTATCTCATGAATTTAAGATAGTTACAACATATGCAAGGCATTTCCGATGTGTGAAATTGCGCTGTTGACCTCGGTGATCAGCTCGAGATTCATCGATGGGCAAGTCACAGCGGAGAAAGTAAGCCACAGCGCACATCCCCTCCTTTCTCCACTCCATTGAAGCTCAAGCTCTCGCTTTGGGACAAGATAACATGACTGCACCCAATGACTTTCGTTTCGCTGAACTTGGCGACTTGAACAGTCGGTATGTCGTGTGTAGAGAGAGGAAGGAGGGGCCGCTGCGAAGCCGTATCTTTTTCTTTACTATTTCTTAATTGCTTAGTCCCATATAATCGTTGTCAACTGTGGCTTGAGTCTTTCTCTGACGACATTACATATTTTAAGATGACGAAGGCTGTCACCACCGTCGACTTGTCAAACACCGCGAGCGCCTACTATGCCCCCGCGACTGTCGCCCCAGCAGGCAAAGTCATTCATGTCGCTGGTCAACCAGGAAACTTGAAGGATGGATCAATTCCAAGCGACTATGAGTCACAGATTCACCTGGCTCTGCTCAACCTGCGGAGAATCATTGTCGCCGCAGGATCCTCTATCGAGAACATCGTCAAGCTGAATCTTTACATTGTGAACTATGATGCCGCCAACCGAAAGCATACACGCCATATCCAGCGCTTCTTGAGAGGTCACCGGCCGGCCATTACTCTTCTTCCAGTACCGCAGCTCGCAGTACCATCATGGCTCTTTGAAGTTGATGCGATTATTGCGCGCCCGGAAACATCACTCCCTCCTATACTGTCCAATGTGAACCAGACCGGAGACGTTGTCATCATCGGTGCCGGCCTGGCTGGTCTGACCGCTGCTCATGATCTTCTGCGCAGCGGCCTATCCTGCGTTATTCTCGAGGCGCGCGACCGTGTTGGTGGAAAGACGTGGAGTGCACCGCTTAATGGCGGTGGGACTATTGATCTTGGAGCAGCCTGGATCAATGACACAAACCAAAGTAAGGTATACGCCCTTGCGAAGCGCTTCGGCGCAGAAGTTATCGAACAGAACACGCAAGGAAATGCTGTTTTAGAAGTCATTAATGGCAAATGTACACCATTTGCCTATGGTGAACTTCCAAACGTAAGTACGTTCCAAAGCCCGGTCTGCGGGTCTATTTTCTGACTATGAGAAACAGTTTGATGAAACTACTCGGCAAAATCTGGCACAGATTCGCGACATGTGCGAGGCAGACTGTCAGGCCCTTGACACATGCAGACCCGATGACAAGCTTCTGGATTCCCTCACATTCGAGGCCTACTTGCGGTTCCGTGGTGCCAGTGAAGTAGCACTTGCTACTGCCACGGTATGGACGCGGGCTATGCTAGGGCAGGATCCTCGCGATATCTCTGCTCTCTACTTTTTGAACTACTGCAAGTCTGGTGGAGGTCTCTTGCAGATGCGATCTGATCGCAAGCACGGAGGTCAGTACCTGCGAATCCGCCAAGGTACCCAGGCCTTTTCCCTCGGATTGGCATCTTCGCTTCCAGAGGGCATTGTAAAGCTGTGCGCCCCTGTGCACTCAGTTGTACAGAGCGGTGATCAGTCTATCAAGGTACAAGCAGGTGGTGCAGTGTATGCCGCTCGCAAGGTTATCACCACTGTGCCCAGCCCTGCGTTGAAGAGTATTGCTTTCCACCCCAAGTTGCCACCAGCGAAGCAGGTTTGGGCGGAGTCAACCACATATGGATACTACACCAAGGCCATGATGGAGTTCCGCTCTCCATTCTGGGAGAAGAAGGGCTTCTGCGGTCTTGCGCAATCGTTCATCGGACCCGCTAGCGTGGTCCGCGAGACCTGTAGTCTCGAGGATCGGAAGTATGTCCTGACATGTTTCATGTCTGGCGATCCTGGACGGGACTGGGCAGCACTTTCTACCCCGGAGCGTGAGAGCAGCCTCCTGAAGCAACTTGAGAAGCTCTTCGCAGCGAGCAACTTGCAGAAGGAGTTCATACAGATGACAACCTATGAGTGGGTGCATGATGAGTGGGCTGGCTGGGGCTGTCACTGCACAGCGCTCACTCCTGGTGTCATTGCTAATCTTGGTGGTGATACTTTGCGTGAAAGCTGTGGAAACTTGCACTTTGCCGGTACGGAGACTGCTGGTGAGTGGAAGGGTTACATGGAGGGTGCTGTTCGCAGTGGTGAGAGAGCTGCTGCTGAGGTGATCAAGGGCTTACAGGCTGGTATTTCTGCTCGTTTATAAATGAATTTTGCTCTTTGTATTCTATTACCAAGTTGTGAGACAACGCCATAGTCCCCATCAAGGTTAAATTACGTATATTCCTTCTTCCTATCTCTTATTCCTAGATTGTATAGCATCCAAGTGAGCATCAGCAGTAGAGAGCACAAAGTAAATGAAGTCACCTTGCCCCCTCCATGTTTGATCCTCATACGGCGCATCTCATTGGCTGCGCTGTGGCTTTCCTTTCTCGAAATGCTCCATATTCTCGGCGTTTTGCCTACTCCTCCGCTATCTACACTTTGCATGCTAGGAATTCGATGCCGTAAAGATGAGGGGAACCTTGGAGATAGCTGTAATGATCATGCCGGTCTTTCCTTAAAGGGGCCCATTCATCGCGACTCTGACTCCCTTCTAAGGATTTCATTAATTCCACAGACTATTCGCCAAACCGCAACAATGGTGCAGGAAAAGGCTCGAGTTCTCATTGTCGGCACTGGAGGTGTCGGCACTATGTCGGCCTATGCGCTGATGCAGGGTGGCAAGGCTGATGTCACAGCAGTGATGCGATCGAACTATGATACCGCCGTGAAAAACGGAATCAGTATCGATTCTATCCAGTATGGACATGACATCAAAGGATTCCGACCAACAACTAGTAAGCCCGCATCGGCATTCGTATATAGCGCAACCCTTCATAGCAAAGGCTAATCAACCTCCAGTCGTCAAAACCGTCCCCAACGTCGCTAAAGAAGGCCTCAAACCATTCGACTTCATCCTGGTAACAACCAAGAGCATTCCGGACGTATCGCCAACAGTAGCAGATATAATCGAGCCGGCCGTGACACCGGACAAAACAGCAATCGTTCTCTCTCAGAACGGCCTCAACATCGAAAAGCCAATAATCCCGCGCTTTCCCAGCAACCCTATAATCAGCAGTGTTTCCACTGTCGGCGCGAAAGAGCGCGCGCCGGCGGACATCTTCCACGACGACGCAGATGCGCAAAAGATCGGCGCATTCCAGAACCAATCGGTTCCTCAGCACATCGCCGAAGAAGCAGCAAAGAAGTACATCGGCATCTACAACCCAGACGGAAAACTAGACTTAGTCTATGATCCCGATGTCAAGCGCTCTCGCTGGCGTAAACTCCTCTACAATGGCTCTTTCAACCCTATCGCTACAATCCTGCGCATGGATACCAGACGCATGCGTATGTGTCAACATATTGTCGATGACCTGATTCTCCCGATTATGTTCGAGGTGCTTGCTGCTGCGCGTGCTTGTGGTGTGACGGAGCTTACGGATGATCTTCCTGGCAAGATTCTCCTCAATGATGACATGCGGTTTGAGTTTAAACCGTCTATGTGCCAGGATATTGAAAAGGGGAATCTGTTCGAGATGGAGAATATTGTTGGTGAGCCTTTGCGGGAGGGTGAGGCTTGTGGTGTTGCTATGCCTACACTTCGGACTGTTTATGGTTTGCTCAAGGGGTTGCAGCTTCAGGTTAAGGAGAGCAAGGGACTTTGGGAGCCTAAGTTTACTGCTGACAACCCTTACAAATAGAGCATTGGGGTGTGAAAATGAATTTGCCATTCAGGAATTTGATAGTATTCATACATCTTGATCATATTTCGCGATAAATACTGCTACTTGGCCGTTATATCAACCAACTTCTAGGCAACGGGGCTTAACACCAGGAGAGTAAATCACCATGTAGCTTGCATGAGGACGATTGAATTCTTTCTGTCCCCTGCGGTCATATGGATTACAAAGTGCTTGTGGTGAAATATGTCGAGTTAAATCATTGTACATCAGCTTTGCGATTTAAAACATATTATACAATACACGACGCAACTCAAATTATAGTTCATGGTAGCTCAAATGACAAAACTTTTCTATATTCCAATGTATTCAAACTATGTGCATCATTTCTAATACAAAGCGTAAAGAGCTAGTCAACACAGAAGAAAAAGGCGCTAATTTACAACTTCAACAGTCGACCATCCGCCTGCAAAAGTGAGATGGACTCTCTCTTAATCTCAGAGACATTGCGACAGCTGTGGACATGATGTTAGTAATGAAGAAGTAAAATTCAAGAAATCGCAAGACTTACCCAGCCAACGCCATACACGTTTTGAATTCATCGTACAGCAAGTTGAGAGCCAGCTCAACTCCCTTTTGGCCGTCATACTTTAAGGTTAGATGTCAGTCAGATCTCACATTAGACACTACTGGGAATCGTAACTCACAGCCAGGCCCCAAATGGCCGGTCGTCCGGCAAGACAGAAGTCAGCGCCAAGGGCCAAGGCCTTGAAAATATCAGTACCACGACGGATACCTCCGTCAACGGCAATAGGGATCTTGCCCTTCGCGACAGGAACAACTTCGTGGAGGACGTCGAGGGAAGCAGGAACACTATCAAGTTGGCGGCCACCGTGGTTTGAGATGATGATTCCATCAAAGCCATGCTTGATCGCGAGTTCGGCATCGGCGGCAGTATAAACTGCACAGAGAAAAAAGAAAACTATGTTAGCTTTCTGTAATCCCAAGCATTATCTAAGTGTACATGAGCAATCCTCACTTCCCTTGCCCCAGATCTGCATTTTGGTGTGCTTGCGGAAGAATGGTATCATGTCGGGCCATTCAAAAGTGTCATCTATTAGATGCCATAGTCAACCTGGGCTATTCGTACTTAGGCTATCGAGGGAAGGCTTACCATAAGCCATCACATCATTACCATCCTCAAGGTTAGTGACATCGACTCCAGGGAAAAGATTAGGGTACTCCATGCCCTTGGGCACAGCAAATTTGTTACGGAATTCATTCAACCTGCGGCCGAGATAGGGAACGTCAAGAGTGACAAAGAGTGCTTTGAACCCCACGGCTATAAACCATGTCAGTCATCTCTTATGCCCTTTGCATCTTGCAACATAAAAGAAGCTCACCCTCTGCGCGCTTGATCATCTGAATCATCGCGGCCTTATTCTTGAGAAGACTCATCTGCATCACATAGGGGTTTCCAATGCCATGCGAAATGACCTCCTCCAAGTCGATACAGGAATAGTTCGATAGCCCCATCAATGTATTGTTAGCAGCGCAAGCTTTAGAAGTACCGATCTCGCCATCGGGATGCGCCAGCGTTTGCATGGCCGTTGGGGAGAACCCGAAGGGGAATTTGATGTTGGTGTCGAAAATGCGGGTGCTTGTGTCAAGACCCGAGATGTTTCGCAAAACTCGGGGCCGGATCATGTATCTGTGATATGCCGATTCATTCAATCGCAATCTGTGACAACTCATATTAGAGGACTTGCCCGTGGGGCGAGGAAAATGAGGTCTAAGCATACGTGATGAGATCCATGGCGCCCTCATTATAATACTCTAGGAAGGAAATCAGTATAGCTTTCTTTTATGGGGTTTCAATTGTTCAAAACTCACCGCGATAGGTCTTTTCCAATTTCTCAGAGCCGAGGCGCTCAAGGTCTTTGATGCAGTAGACCTGCTGGTCGAGGGTTCTCTGGCGATTGGCCATTGTGTACAGGTCAAGACTGATATGGGAGAATCTGTTTGAGATACACTGAAGGAGAATTAATGGCGGTTGCGATACGGGTTTTGTCGACAAAGTCCGAGATAGAGCTCGACTACCTGAGTGGATACTCCGCTATAACCTTCCTATTCCTCGACAACGCACACCTGGCATTTCACCAGGCATCTTTAGCTTCAGATTACACTCTTGTTACTAAATACGTTATTTGGTAGTAACTTGAATGCTTGATTTCGCTTTTATTTAGAAATTGTAATCCATTTTCCAATTTGTTGCTTTATAGGAATCTCAGATATGCACCTTGATGGGGAACATATCCTGCTCTAGTTGGAGGTGGGCCCCTGCATCCACCATTCCTTAAAGTTTGAAAATGTAAGAAAATAATTCTTCTTTCTTGAGCTCAGTTGGCTGGACTTGCTAGGAACACGGGGTGCTGAAAAAGACAAGACTTCCACACTATCCAAAAGATTCTTTCTAGGTATATCAGCTTGAATATTGCTTCGTTGAGCCGGCAGGAGAGCGATTGTGGGGCTTAACACAAAAAGGAATTTGAAAAAGATACTGCGGCTTCTTCTTTGGCCAGTAAATACATGATGGCATAAAAGACCGGCTTTGAATAACTCAGGAATTGATTCTTAGCAAAGTAAAACAGTACTCCCTCACTCGCCCTTGCGCAACTATCCATTTGACTTCTAGATCTCATACTCGAAATCGGGCTGGAATTCAGTATAGAGGGTTTCCTGCGCGAGGATTGTTAGCAACCCCTTCTTCTCGACAACTTCAAAGCCTCACACGGATGGATGCTTACAAGGTCAGCGTTAACCCTCGCAGTGAACTCAGCTTCTTCTCGCCCACAAAGTTCTTGGGAAGACTTGTGCTCTCCACCTTAATTTGGATCTCACAAGAACGTTCGGCAAGGGTGAACAGTACGCAGCCTCGTCGACGGTTCCACCAGCAGTCAAAAGGCCGTGGTTCTGTAACACAATAACTCGTGCCTTGTCACCCATAGCTTGTGCAATTCGCTCCCCTTCTTCTGCTCCCAGGACAACGCCACCGAATGCCTTGTAGATGGCCTGTGTACCCCAGAGGTTGCAAGTATCCTGGCTGATGATATCAAGGGGTCTGCCAAAGGTTGACCACGCCTTGCCTGCTGGCGAATGGGTATGACATGCAGCACGAATATCTGGTCGGGCACGATGGATTGCATTGTGAATCATAAAGCCAGCTGCGTTCCCAGTAGTCTTGTTACCGCCGATGACCTGACCGTCCTCATCGATGTGGACCATGTCGCTGGACTTCAACATGCCAAAGTGCTTTCCCATTCTAGAATAAGATATATCGTGACAGATAGACTTAAGCCTGGGTGTGAAGATTTCTAACTCACGGATTAATCCAGAATGTGGCTGGGTCTACTGGATCATGCACGCTGATATGCCCACTCGTTCCCTCTGTGAAGCCCTTATGAGCAAACACGCGGAATGCGCCAGCCATGTGCTCCAGCTGCCACTGACGCTTCTTGTAAGGGTCATCGATCTTTGGGATCCCTGGGAACTCATATCCGCCTGTTGCGAGGGTGGCTTGAGCGCCTGCATCTCGCTGGGACTCGGCCACAGTTGGCACAACAGATTGGGCGGCTTCAATAGTCTGAGTAGTTGACATATTTGTTACTTGACGATTTTGATTATCGAGTAGCGTATTTCAAATTGACGCCGGACTCCCTTCGGGTGGATTATAACTATTTCAGGTTACTGCGACCGGGGAATTTTAGGATATCTTATGATATTAGTTTGAATCTTCTAGCAAGATGATATTGTTTGGTTCGTTCATTGCGCTTGAACGATCGTCAAGGAGACAGTTGCCAAAAATTGAAAATGAGGCAAGTCTCCGCGCACTTTTATACTTCTCCACTTGAAGATAACCGCAGATCCACCTCCGCTGAGAACTTCCCTCTTGATTCCTTCCTCCTCTTTCCCTCCTTCACATTACATGCGTTCGAACTGATATTTGTTATTTGTCTTTGTGCATCAAATTTGGCCAACTTGCACAGTGGAAAGTGGGGAATGTCCGGAATCTCATGCCTTCGCAGACCCAAGGCCAACGAGGAAGCGCACGAAGACATTTACGGGGTATTGGACATGTCGCACGCGTAAGATCAAATGCGATGAGTCTAAACCATGCTGTCACCGATGTTTTGAGAAGGGTTTGAGCTGTGAAGGCTATAGTGCTCGTCTGCAATGGCTCACACCATTCATCGGCAAGAATGTTTATCGCGCGGATGACATGCAGGGAGTTTCGCACGGCCAAAATACAAGGTGTCTTATCCCAGTAGGTGAGTAATCTAACGCCTGTAACAGGGGTAGTAGTTTTGTCACGATGGAGTTCTTTGCTGATGCTGACGACCTAGAACCTATTCAATCAGTCTTGGCTTGGAATCAAGTCGACGGGATCCTTCGCTACATTTATTCCCTAGAATCTGTGGTTAACACTCGTAGTGAAGATGTTAGCGCCAATATCCAAAATTTTGGTGTCTTCAGCATCCAACCGAATTGCCTGGTGGACTCGGTTCAAGAATCTAGCTTTACAAATTCTTCCACCGTCAAGCCAGTCAGGCGAACGGGTGAATATGAATTCATGGCCGACCCGGACATCATCTCACTTGTTTCTACTGGTATTGACAACTATCCCAAAGCAGAGGTAGCATGGGATCTATGCAACCCTTCCGGCCATGACTTCGTGTTGGAATTTCCACAGGATCACACTGCTGTTGATCCGTTGATGCAGGCCCTTCCAAAAGTGACCCAGAGTCTTTCAAATGATACACTTCAATTGCTGCCTGTCGGATTTGAAGAATCATATACGTTGGCAGGCCTAAAGTATGCCAACAATCCCCCTCGACAAATGACATCGCCAGTTCAGTCCATACCCAGCGGCTTGGATGATCTGGTAGTTCCCTCGCAAGAGCGATTCTTGATGGGACACTACAGGAATAGGGGTTTGCATATATTTTGCGTAATTGACAATGCGAAGAGCCCATGGAAGACTATTCACCTACCTAGGGTTCTCCAGTGTGGCGGGGAGCTCAGCTTTGGTGGCACCACAACCCGAATTCGCAACACATTGCGGAATTCCTTGTTGTCAATCAGCGCGTTTTAATTCTCGAATAATCTTCGATCTAACTGTCGCAATGAAGAAGCAGAAAGCTGTGTTCCCATCGCTTCAAGATATCGTTGTGATGCCATTGGTCTTCTCAAATATGCCGTTGAGACTGATCTCTATGCCGATATAAAGCCGAGATATAAGGAGATTCTGGCCACAATGCTGTCCATGATCACAATCAATGTATTCCATCCCTTTTCCACTAGAGAAATATGAGGGTCGCTTGCTAATTCTCTTCCTGAAGGTCATATCAGGAGATACGAGAACTTGCAGTGTGCATTTAGATGGAGCAGAAAAGCTCATTACTCATATGGCCGCCCAAAAGTCCTCATTCTCCAGGAAAGCGCAGTCTCTTCATCGGATTAATATTTATTTACGAGTGATATATGAAAGCACGGCTGTCAAGCGACAGAGAAATTCAAGCTCTCGGTTCACCCCCTGGTTAGGCTCAGCAAAAGCAGTGGGACTACAGCCAATGCTACGGAGCACCAATCCTTTAATTGAAGAAGAAGATGCTCTTTCCATGATGCCTATGGAATGCACCGCACAATCTCAAACACCTCCATCTAATATATCCGCATACGAGTGTATCTATGGTATTCCCGAGAAGCTCCTGCTCTTACTCAAACAATCCATCGAAGTCATCGACGAAGTGAATTATCACCGGTTTCATCAGATTAATATCGAGATTCAAGGAGTTCCATGACACTGCCGGATCTGAGCACGTTCACTACATCTTGAAAAATCTTGCAGTGAGCCACATGAAATCACATTCACCAGTACGGAGTACTGAAACTACGATCGGCAATATAATCCAATGGTTCACGTCAGCTGAACGGATGGCTTGGCTGCAGTGGGGCGCTTTTCCACCGAATCGACATCTCCAATGAACAGTTGGGAAGTCGATTAACCTCGCTTAAAAGTGACACTATGCACCTGTTTTGTGACCGTGCGAGCTAGCAGACAGAGGACTACTTCTGAGACCCCTTGTCTCAATATATATTTCGAGCTCTCTTATTCGCAGATCCCCAAGAGAAAGACTGAATTGATATGTACCATTCCTTTTTGGAATCCATATAGATCCATACCAAACATTAGGTATATAATACATGCAAAATCTCACACCATCCAGCATCACGCATCTTTATAGATTCTTCTGGGCCATCCAGTAATTACGCTGGGCCTCAGCAGGCCTATTCGGATCATGACAATTTTCCTTTGCCTCTTCCAGCCACTTATCCCAGTTCTGTGTCCCCGGCGCGATTTTTGCCCTTCTGAGCCATTCAATCTCTTTTGTCGCCTGAATTGCTTCCCACATAGCGAGAGTGAAGTTTTCGGTCATTTTTGGTTTGTTGGCCTTCTCAATATCATATCGGTCCTCCATATTCCAAGTATCACCGGGCTCTGTCAACAACGCCATGGCCCAGTAGGCGATGTTAAGGATAACATACGCAAGGCCGACAGCGATTTGCATCTTCCAGCCACTGTTACTGAAGAAGATGATTGAGGCCATCAGAAGAATCGTACTACAGCCCAGAAGAATCTGATGCAGCACACCCTTGAAGACATAGTCACAGACCTCGGTACCACCGTAAATCTCTCGCGAGACAAATTCATCACACTCAACAAACACGAATGCGCCTGCTCGCGACCGAATGATGATGTCTCCTCGAGGTATGACCTTGGCATTGGACGTGCGGACAGCGAGTTTGGGCCTCCACTGCGAGGAAAGGCAGGCAGTGCTGGTGGAGAGTGACATAGTTCCCAGGCCGATCAAAGCAACGGCATCATGATTGACACCAGCCCAAACAAACAACGCGATTGTGATCAAGATCGAAGCCAGCGTCACAATGTTCAGTGGGCAGAATGTGTGCAGTGGAATGCTGGCCATAATTGGGGCATTCGTTTTTTTCTTATTCTTCTCGCCATGCTCTTCCTCATCTTTCTTCCCGGCATCCAGCTCAGCTTGCTTCTGATCGGCATCGCGCTGAATAACGCCGCTTTTGTGTTTGATCCTGAAGTGCTGGAATTCGTAAGGTTGAAGTGAGTCAATGCCGTGGATCACTTCTGCAAAGAAGTTGAGCTCGTTGAAGTGAGTTCCGGAATGAACGCCCAAAACAGTCACATCTTTGATGGCAGGCAGTCGAACTGGTCGGTCGGTGTTGAGCATGGTCTCAGGGGCAGGGAGCAGACGAGGAAAGCCTCCAAGTGGCGACGCTGTGATAGCCTGCGCGTGCTTTTCGATCGATGAACCTCCTACCACCGCCAGCAAGCCGACAATATCGAAGCTCCAAGTGGGCTTGTCGGTGTCTACTACGAGCGGAAACCAACCCATGGTTTTTGTTTTTGTTCTTTGTGAAGGAGTTCTGAGGCATGAAAGGGAAAATCCACAATCCCAAGAAGAAAATTAACAAATATCGAAGGAGACACCGGTACCACTGCATGGCACTACACTACTAGTATTGTAGACCCGACGGCCTGAGGGGTTTCTACATGCAGTGGCCCATTTAGTTAAAGGGGGTGATCAGCGAGACGGAATTGAGTGCAGACTGTAGCGCACTAAACTGAAAGATTGGCTTGAAAAAAAAAGCAACAAGCGACTTTCAGCCAGCCACGTTGACCGAGGGTATGAAAAGCAACTTCGAATTCTGGCTACATGGATAGCGGTAGCGTGCATACATGCATGCTAGGAGGAATACTATTGATTGGCCGCGACTCCGCGATAATGAAACCGCATGAGTCTTCACATTATTTTCTGGGGTGAACATGTACTTCGTGGGGAGTGCCATTCTGCTTCAAATCAGTCGTGTGGCAGGTGAGAAATGCAGCGGAAACCATCGGAAATGTAGGGAATAAATCTATAGGACATCATCGGTACACGGAACGATCGGACAGTGGAGTAAGAACTGGCTTTAATTAAAGGTGGCTGGGAAGTGATAAGCATCAAAATCTTTCACAGATCACTCAGATGACAGTAAATAGGCCGCCGAAGATCGCATGTTTTCCCCACATCTCTCGCAAACGTGTTGATCACAACTATCTTGAGACGTAGGTACAGGTATAGCGTACCTCCATAGACCCATTGCCCTCAAACATGACCAAGAATCCCCTACACTCCGATCTACGTAGACAACTAGATCTTTTCATTCGACAATGCTTGCCGCCCAGCATCATTGCCGGAAGTCAAGCCTTCGACATACCTTTTTGCCATGTCGTCCATACGGGAACCAGCGAGGAGAACTCCCAAGACATGACCCACCAGCTGCCCCTGCGTGATAATGCCACAGCGTATCACATCATTCATCAAGTCATAAATACTGTGTGGCTTCAATCCTCGCATAATGCGTTCTGCTATGGTCAGACTTTTCCATGGGTCTCATGGGTATCATCCTGGGGGCACTAACTGCTCTGCGCCCAACTGCAGGGCTTGGTGATTTCCACCTGGTAGTAGCGAATTGAGGATCTGGGATACGACACCCGCAGTCCAACTGGGTGGCCCAGACTTCGCGTTGAGAAGACACTCGTTTTGCGAAATTCAGCCACTGCGGGGTGATCTGTCTTGTTGGTGTCTTCGGACTGCCCCTCCGGTTGGCTGCTTTGTCCGTTGGCGGTATCTGCGTCTTCGTTTGGCGGACCCGAGTCGTCCTCCTGGTCATCTAGATCTATTTTCCATGAGCATTTGTATTGAGCATATTGCGTTCGGACACTCACTTGCTTCGGTGTCGCCCAGTTTTCCGGATGGTTCTGCTGTGTTAGGGTTCGGCTCGTGAAGGTCCGCCTTCTTGTTCATTTCCTTCTGCAGTGCCTCGATATCCAGCTTGTCCTCTATATTGAGATTAACTTCGGGCCATAACTTGTGCATAGAAACACGGACTGTAAACAATGATTCCATGCTCGAATCGCGCGTTTGCCGAGTAGGAGATCAGAAAGAATACGTCCACAAACCCGATCAGTCGGATTTTGCCGGCCCATTGCTCTCCATCAATGGAGATCTCCCATGGGTGTATGTCGCTGAGCTGTTAGCATGATGAAGAACGGGCAAGTCCTGAATATAGAATGTAAGGCTTACGTGTCACACTCCAGGGTGTTATCATGGATAGACCTGCCAAAGGTCGCTAGTACACGGTGGTAGGAGGCCATTATAATGAGCGAGGTGTTGTATAGCTGAAAATAGGGGTCTTGAATGATTATAAGTCAGAGATTTTGGATGTCAGCTGGTAACTGGAAGTAGTCGTAGCTCCGATGCGGATCGTCATGCAGCTGAAATTACAGAGTCTTTGACCCAGTGTGTCGGGCCCTAAATGGGTCTTTCAGTGGAAGAAAAGGCTGCATGTTGATGGGTCATGCATTTATCGCTTGGCCTCCCGTCAGCTGATAGTATCAAGCCTTCTACGTGTACGTGCCCTGCACCCACTTTCCTCGGCTCAGCTACGTATACAACGTTGTGGTATTCCCCCGTGTCTTTCACCTTACAGGACCCCGAGATCGGCTTGTTCTAGGACGTTCAATATGAATGCCATCAAGTCCACTGTTCTAGACAAGTTCGCCACCAACCCGGTGGTGAAGGAGGTCATAGACATCACCACATACTCTGGCGATCGCATGGAGCGACTGAAAAATGTCGCATTGAATGAGAATCAAAACCACAAGCTCCGCCACATTCTAAAGCATTTCCTTGCCCCCAGCATCAAACCAATCTTTGTGGATGATGAAGCGACAACATTCCAGGAGAATGATCTAGTCCCTGATGACTGGCTGGCTATGGTCGACCAAGACCTGAAGATGCCTTTCCGCATGTTCGATGTCGAGACCAAAAACATGGTACCCACATACAACCTGGGTCTGCATGATCAGTACTGCATTGTTTCCCACAGCTGGAAAGGGTCTGAGATTGGTTATGGATACTTCGCCAATGCCAGGACTTTCAGTCCCAAGAAAGACTCCGAGGCTGATGACGAAGGCCAGGAGGAAAGGCCAAACCCGAACGATTTGAGCAACGTTATCGAAAAGTGCAGGTCTGATATCAAACAGTTGGAAGAAAGCCTTCAGGCCGCACTTCCCAACGTCACGCCCAGGGAGGGTAAGGAAGGTGGCCAACGCCCATCGGATATTGCAATGCTTCTCCAATGGTTTATAGATGCCAATGGTGCCGAATATGCTCTTGGGAGATCGCAAAAATCCCTCCATGATGCTACAGGAAATTTTTCAAGTGCCCAGCGAGAGGCGATCTATTACAATGATCTATGGGACAAACTCGATCAAGCAGATGGTTTCGGGGCTCATGCTCCGAAGTATAACGCGAGAAACGGAAACGAAGCACCAAAGACAGAATCACAACCTCAAAAGAAGAACGAGAACAAGGGAGAGAAGACAGATGTTCACCGCGCCATTGATCGTTTGACGGAAGAAGCATCTCGCCAAAAGAAAGATGCTGAAGAGAAGTTCCAGGCCGCCTCAACAGCCAGAGAAAACGCCAGTAAGACAATCAAGTTCTTCGACGACAATCGCGAATTGTGCTACGGAATCGAGAAATTATTGGTTTGCTTGCAACACATCCGATCCTCACGCAAGATTGACTACTCAATCACCCAGGCCAAAGAGCTGTTCAACAAGCACTTCCCCAAAGGTGGCAAGCGATATGTCTGGCTCGATACATGTTGCATCAACAAAGCCGACAGTTACGAATTGACTGAGTCTTTAGCTTTGATGGGTGACTGGTATGCCAATGCCGACTTTTGTCTCGTTCACCTGGACACCCCTCGCTCGGAGTCTTCATGGATTGAGGAATGGAAACATTGGAAGACCGAGTCTCATGAGCCCATTGAAGTCAACATGGAGACTTTTGATACAATTGGCCATGGGGCCAATGCGACCGAGAAAAGCAAGAATCAGGTGGAATGGGCAACTCGTGGATGGACGTTGCAAGAGTTGGTGTTGAGCAAGGTCACCTACTATGTCAATTCGCACTGGAAGAATCTGGTCAGACCCATCGAGCATATTGGCCCCTTTTATCATCTCCGTCCATTTATCCAACGTTATCGACGTCAACCCTTCGTACAGAAGTTCAAAAATATCACGACTAAGCAAATGGCAACACTTGAGGAGCTGCTAGAGGGCGAGGTTGTTAGGAAGGAGATGCCTCGGGAACAAAAACTCTCTCTCATGCTTCAACTCCTAGACTTCTCGCCGCCCAAACACTTGAAAGAGAAGATGGCTGAAGCCCAGATAGGCAAGGCAGTTTTGACAGCCAGTACCAAGCTACCCACTTTGCTGAAGGATTTGGCCGATAACAAGGGAAATGTCGATACGTCCTGTCTATCCAATCTCATGGACCAGGAAGGTCATGTAAATGAAAGAATCGCCGTGTTCAACCACATGTTGACGGACTTGGTTGATTTGACTGACGAAGCTATCATCAGGGATCGGACAGCCATTTCGAAATTCAGCCAAGTCGAGAACATGACAAACTGGATCACTGGAGATGGCCTCCTGGATTCTTCTGCTAGTACATCTCTGGTCACGGCTTCGTCACGACAGACTACAGTACCAACTGACCAAGCGTACTCTTTGATGGGTATTCTCGGTGTGCGATTTCCTGCATTCCCAGCAGAAGGACTGCCCAAAGCTCTGGCCCGGCTCTTGGATGAAGTGGTGATATCATACAACGATGTTTCGGTCTTCAACTGGACCGGCAAACACCATGGCAGTACCCTTCACGGAAGATCGTTATATCCTGCAGCTATTGATGCGTTTGTAGATCCTGTGAAAAATGAAAAGTTGAGATCCAAGGCGGAGACCAACCAGCAAATTCTCAAGTTGTTCAAGGACCAGCGGGTACGACGAAGTGAAATTGCCACGAATGTTAACTCGATTCTCGCCGAGATTCTGAGAACCGTCAAGGAAATGCCAGATGGCCACCCTCTATTTACCGATCTGGATTTCCTGGGTGGTAAGATCAAGCTTGCCGATTTTGATATGCTTGAACCCTGTGTCGAAAACTTGAAAAAGGTTGTTGCATCCCTTCAGAAAGAATTAGCAAACATCAGAGCGAGCGAAGGAGAGAAGAAGAACACGGAAAAGAGCGCAGATCAAGCACCAGACAACAAGGGGAAAACAGCAAGTGAGAAACCAGGGAGATTTGGCTTCGGGCGAATCAATTCATTGCCCAAGTCAGTCAAGTCGTTTGAAGTATCCAAGTTGCCATTTGGTAGAAAAGCGTCAAGCGTGCAGACAAATGAAGCGGAGTCACCATCCGAGGTGTCCAAACCGGGAGAGGATGCTACCCAAGATCTGGATAGTCCATGCCTCAAATATAACCATGATGAGGAGCCTTTGGACAAGTACATCCAGCATGTACTCGATGTCCTCGATCATCATACACTACCCCAGGGAAACCCCAGTCAAGCATCTGAGCTTTCAACAGACACCCTAAATAGCGATTCGAAAGACACTACCAGTCGTATGGAAGAGTCACAATCCCCAGACAAGCGAATGGTTTGTCCCAATCCAGTCACAGTGAGCACGGCCGGTATCCGAGGCATCTTTGATATTCAACGAATAATTGTCGATATGGTTGAGCCCGAGACGCTACGTTCTCGAATCCGACACGCTGTCAGTGGCCAGTTTGTTGATGGTTGGTGCACCGTCAGCACTGGATTTTCCATGACTCTCGTTGCCTTCTCCTGTGAACGTGACATGCTCGAGCAGCAACTTGATCTCGTGGAGGTCATCAAGCGAAACTTCGAAGAGAAGAAGAAGAGCAATGATCCTGATGACGAGAATTCCGAAAATAAGAATACTGCCGCATCCAACGAAGGTGCGCAGAAGGATGCTGGGCAAAACTTGCCGCAAGGCGCTCCGAACGCGGCCAACTCTGAAGCCAATTCTCAAACTCCGCCAAAGACGAATAGTTTCTTGAGCCAAGTTTACCCGGAAAAGAGTCACGAGCAGAAGAAGGTCTCCCGCATGATTTCTTTCGTGCAGAAACCTGATTTACACAGCATTGCAGGTGAATGGGTTCTTGCTAGGTTCACGGGTGTTCCTCGGGCCAGGTGGTACCTCTGTCGTCTGGAACTGGGTGCTGGAAATGATTTCTATGGACGGCGAATTCCCACAGATGCTTTCAGCTTCGAAGATGCCGCTCCCGAGCAAGGTCTGACCGAATACTGGCACCAGTTTACCCGTGAGAAGAAAGAACGCACTTGCGATACGCTTGAAATTGCTCTCTACGGAAAGAAGCAGATGACCTCCGCCAGTGACGAGATTCAGAAGCTGGTGCATTCATGGAAAAGCGACGTGCATAAGGCTGATCATACTCCCTTCGAGCTTGCTATGGAAGTTACACAAAATGCTTCTTGGGACAAGGTTGTCAACTTGGGCAAAGCGGCGGGATCCGTGGTGACCGGTTTCAGTTCTGAAGCCTGGGCCGAATATCTTGACTCGCGCATTGAGAAGGGCGCTCTGAAACGCGTTCCAGTGTCTCTACGGACTCCTGTGAAGGATCTATCCCATAACAGAAAGCTGTTACCGTCCATGTTCCATGCGGGGCGCGAGGTGCACATGTTCTGATTGCGGACTAGGAAGATTGTGGAAGAATTCAACTAGTATAAGAGTAGCTGAAGAGCGGATCAAGAGGTGTTCATTGCAATAAGTCTGACTGGTGCATTAGTTTCTCATCCCAGCACCACTTCGGAGCTTACGTGGACCTCGTAAGACAAGATAAACTGTTGGATATACCACACAAGTCGCCTCTGTTCATGTACAACAATTAAGGTTAGGATTCTTCCACCAATAACGCTCATACTCTCACATGAAAATCTCATTTGACGGATCGTAATCCTCAGCCAGCCCACATAGTCAAAGATCAGCTGAAAAACATCGGAACATTTCATTACATCTGACGAAGATCGTGACCCACAAACACGGGTACTTTGCGTCGCTGTGAGGCTGTTCCTTACAGTTCCCCTCGCTTTCCAACTATTTTCATTCATCTTCTTGTCGTTCATACCCTCTGGTTTCAAAATAATAAACCAACTCATTCTGCCGTTGCCAAATATTACACCATGACATCGCTCATAGACACTAGGCTGGATGACTTTGGTCGAATGTCAGACATTGATGCGACCGGTTTGTTTGGGGCGGCATTTCCATCGGAGCTGGTGCATCTGCAGAATGCAAGTCCTACTGTAGAGACTACCACAGCGACTCCGATCGGTCGTTTGGGAAAGAATGAAAATGAAACACCCTCGACGGTCCTCTATGGGGAGAACTTTGCAGAAGTTAACCGGACGGTTGTCAGCATGTTAGCGGTCAAGTGGCTCCTCGCAGATGACTATTCAACCTTCACTGCTGGTCAAAAAGAGGATGGCAAGCTCACAGAGAATTCATTCTGTCGGCTGCGAGACTTTTATATCAACCGTCTTCCCACGGAAGAGGACCTCCATACGCTGTTGATTGCTATGGTCGTTGATGACATAGGAAAGGACCCCAATCTTGCCAAGCAACTGGAACAGCACACTGGCGAATCGGCTGGTGCAGACCACTCACAACTAGTGTTCAAAGCAGCCCAAATGGGTCTCATTCCTGCGCTCGAGATAGTCCCAGCCACTTTAAAAGATGATATTCTCGGCTGCCTTCAAATTGGATCCTCGCTGAATATCTCCCAAGTTGTACAAGGAGAGTGTCCTCCCGCCAGCCTGACTATTTTACAGCATCTACCAGGTCAAGGACGAGGATTTACTCTGCGGGCTATGGTCACGTTCCTTGATGTAGCTGGTGCAGGAGGTCACGCAGATACTCGCAGTTGCATTGTTATGACCGAACCCGTGTTTCAAGGATACATTGTTGCAATGGAAGCTCTAGATGATTTTGCCAATGGCCGGATATCCTCCCCACGCGCATGCTACGATCGCATCCTTGAATCTAGAGGACGCGACCTTCAGCAACAAAACTTTATTCTCCCATCTTTGACGGATGAGGTGCGGGCACTCCTTCGGCTGCTTTGCATGGGGCGTGTCACCACCAGAGAACAGGCTGAGCCATTCAAGCAAGCGTTCAGCCTACTGTCACCTTCAATCAAGGCAAACTTGGTGAATGGACTCAATGTGGATGGCACAGACGATGGACCTGCGATCATTCCGTACTATGCCCCAGGCCTCCTGATCAGTGCTCTCAAAACTACTGCGGACAAACCCGATGAAGCCGTCATTCCAGTGCTAGGTGCATTCATGCGATTTCTAGCAAGAGTCTTTGACGGTTCTAAGCCGCAACCAGGAGCCAGTGGTGGTATTGTTGAGCATGACTTGTCATTCGTGCAGGACATAATCAAGAGTAGGGGCTTTCGGGATAATCCTCAGCTCTTGGATGAGGTCGTTCTCCCATGGAAAGACCCAAAGCAACACAAAAGATCCGATCAATGATTGTATGGCTATTATTCGCACACTAGTACACAAATATTCTAGCAACTAATCTTACTGTCAACGTTACATGCGAATTGTACGTGGGAAGTAATCAAAATATGGTGAGTCAGCAGTCTCGTATAGTTGGCACGAGACAGTCTAAGCCCTAAGCATAGCCTCTTAATAGCAAGCATAGCCTCCCAAGATCCCCTTTTCTTGGATTATTTTTGCTTCTTCAATTGCACAACCCTGATCATATCGGTTTCCTTTGATGTGCCATTCCAAAGCAAAGCAACGTAGCAGCGTCCAAAATGGTAACCCCAAGCTTGAAAATTGCATTGGGCCCGAGGGGCCCATTGAATAAGAGTTCTCCATATACTTCCATCATTTTGGGGCTTTCGATCATGCTCGGTCTATCCCTGTCATTGTGATTTAGCGGGAGGTAGCTTGCTAGTGGCTCGACACTGGTCCTGCACGCGTAGTCAACAGTTGAGCCACATGTGAAAGACCATGGAGTAGTCTTAAGATCTATAAATATATTGTTCTGAAAGTTAGGCACGGTGCGGGGCTTGCCTTTTTCATAAGTTTACCTCCAAGGATGGGCCAAGCTGAAACCAATTCCGCGGCCTTCAGACCGAGGATCGTCGAGCTCAGCACAGCGTTAGTAGTGAGTCCCACAAAGATCGTACTCTGCTTGACGATTGGGCTGGCGCTTTTGCACGTGTATCTCATGTTGGAGTGGTCCATTGTTGCGTATGGTGATTGTTGTTGTCGTTGCGGTAATGAGTGACGACCAAGTGAAGTTGGGGTGTGGTGAAGGAAGGAAGGTGCGGAATGAAGCAGATCCTTCATTGATTTAGATAAACACCAGTTGTGAGATATAGTGCAATTTACACTATGTAAATGACAGTTTGAGAATCTTTGGACGTCAATATCCGACTCAGGACAGCTGGTGCCTTCTATGCACTAATGGGTGTATGCTGATGCCTAATTCTACACAGTGTCGCCAAATGCTAAGTCAGATAGGATTTATGTTAATGCAGTCTTTGAAGCTTTTGACATAAAAAAGATTTGGATAATCTCACATCCTCTAGATCTAAGCAAGCTCAGTACTGTCAACGCTTTTGCTCTCGTATGCTTGGATTTGTGATTGAGTGCTAATTTTACTCCTGAGTAAGGTTCATATGCATTTGGCTTGGCTTTGGTGGTTCAAATAGGTTCAAATTAGCTAGTGATTAGATCTTAGAATCGAACTTGATATGCGCTCTTTACTAGACGACAGTGTGGTGAATCAAGATTGTCCGCTGTTATATCTATAGCTGGATTGTCTTGAAGACCCCATTCTTGATGCAAATTTATGCCGTGATTGCCAAACATCTAGGATTGAAATGACTGGATCGATGTTGAACATGTGGACAACGAACTGACTTCGGTAGTTTATATATATCTACGTCATGGCCTTTTGTGCGTACTTGCAATGTACTTTACCGACATACTCAACGAAACTAATCATAAATTCATGATTTGACAATTAGCAACACTCTGAAACCGACATTGGCGCAAAGATCTATACGTAGTGTACTGTGCAGTGGAAGGCTGAGTATGTTTGTAGCCCGAGAGAGGAGAAGTTGGGCAACTTCCACGCAAACTCCTGCAAGAAAGGGTCAACGCAAGAACAAATGGACTCGACTTTTTTCCCCCAATGGCCATAGACTCCAAGGTTGTAATCAAATTTCTTCACGATGGGTCTTCTATCAAGCCTCAGCGACGCCGTGTCCGCCATTGCCAAGCCAACCTCTGACGACCCCATTCTTCAATGCGGCGATGAGCTGCGCGACCTGCTGTTCACGAACTACGAAAAAGCGAAGCAGGTCGCCAACACGAAGCTACGCGTTTTCCCATTCAAAGATGTCCAAGAGTGCTGGCGCCGGCTCTACACCGACGCGTCCATCCTCCACGCCTGCGTCATCACCGCCGGCCTGAGCTCCGCCAGCTCAGAGCCAAACTTCAACGTGTTACAACGGATACAGGAGCTCAAAGATGCCGGCACAGAACCTGAAGTCAGTTTACACGCGCCATGGCTATCACAGGTCGTGGAAATCCTCGATAACGCGTTGATCATGACGGGTGCACCCCGCCGCGAACACCTCATCGAATCCCTATTATCCATGCTGGAAGTCGCAACAGAGTCCCAAGATGCCGAAAACAACAGCGATGACGATATGAGACCTTCAAACTCGAAGCGCCGGAAGCTCTCGCCGCCTCTTTTCCCTCCAAATGCTCTCCCTGAACCTCGCCTGGAGTTCCCCATCGCGCGATTGTCGGCGCCCTCGTTTGACTCGATCGAACACCACATCGAGGATGTGCGCACCCCGCTCATAATTACAAACGCACTCGATCACTGGCCAGCCCTGTCGTCACGTCCTTGGGCTTCGCGTGACTACTGGTGGAAACGTACGCTTGAGGGTCGCAGACTGGTTCCTGTCGAGGTGGGAAGATCATACACGGACGAGGACTGGGGTCAGAAGATCATGCCTTTGAGAGAGTTCGTGGACAAATACATCTGGCATGGGAAGATGGCTCCAACTGGCGCGCGGGAAGGACAGTCCCAGGCTGCAGATCAGAGCGGCGAGACGGGATATATGGCACAGCATGACCTGCTTTCTCAAATTCCTGCTTTGCGCAAGGATATTAGTGTCCCTGATTACTGCTACATCACCCCACCTGCCCCAGAGCCCGGCACACCAGTATACGAGAAGAAGGAGCGAAAGCGCATGGAGGCCGGAGAGCAAGCGTCGGAGAAACACACTTATCACCAAGGGTCTCGACGAGGTTCATTGCCAGATCAGCAAGAAGAGGACAAGTCAGATGGGGATTCATGCTTGGGTCTGCCCAGTGACCCGATCATCAACACATGGATTGGTCCCTCGTGGACGATCTCCCCTCTCCACCATGATCCCTACCACAATATCCTCACGCAGGTTGTGGGTACCAAGTACATCCGCCTGTACTCGCCTCATACGCCTGCCTCCCAGATTCACCCACGCGGGCAAGAAAGTGTTACCTCTGTTGATGAAACGGCGGACCCAGATCCAGAAACGGGGGTCCGACCACTGACTACCAAGCTTATTGACATGTCAAATACCTCAAAAGTAGATCTGGCCTCTATTGAGCTTTCTCCTGCGGAGTTTGAACAGTGGGAGGAGATGTGGCCCGGGTTTATGGATGCGCCATATGTCGAAACCGTCCTTCGTGCAGGCGAGTGCCTGTACATTCCTGTTGGATGGTGGCACTACGTGCGTGGACTGAGGGCTGGCATTAGTGTAAGCTTCTGGTGGGGATGATATGAGCAAGAGATTATCTCTGATATGTTATGCCTGAACGAAACGTATTGATTGAATGTCTTAGTCCTATGAACGGCATTACCTTTGCTAATGATATCCGATCAAATGAAATCAAAGATTCTTGTAGTATCTTCTTTGTATTTTTCAGTTGAGTTGATTTGATATTGTATCTATGAAATTGCATCTACACTCTACTATATCTAGCATCTGACACTTAGCTCCATCCTGCCACCAACTCACACAGTGTCTCCTCCCCGCCAACATTGCCGGGGAAGACAACATACGGCACACTCCGATGACGACTGGTTTCCTCATCGCACCGCCACAGCGGTACACCAGGTGCCGCCTGACCAACGATAGTAGCACGCTTGATATTCAACCCCTTAGTCGCCGCATCGGAAGAAGTGATACCACCCTAGACCATGGTCAGCACTTCACACACCCCAAAGCACCAGTCCTCAGCCGCAATAAAAACAATTGAAAGCATACCTTAGCAATAATAAACCTCGGCTGCACCTCAATCCCCTGCAAAACGCTAACAAGCGCCTCAGCAACCACAGACCCAATCTTCAATGACGACAATTCATCACCACCAGTGATAAGCTTCCGACTCGTCATAACGAGTGTATCTTTCCCAGCACATAGATAGGACTCCGTTTCCTGAATAACGCGCTGGACAGTCTGTGACGCAGTCTCAGGCGATGCAATCAACTCCTCCACTTTCATCTCGATGATTGCTAGCTCGCCGGTTGGGCCACGGCGGTCTGTCAATATCTTTAATTGGGCTGTCGTTTTTGGGACGTATGATCCAGCAATGATCAAGCCTCCAGTTTGTCGAGGGGATGGTAGGTTTAGCTGTGCTGCAGTGATAGGTGCTTGCGAGCGGATTCCTAGTCTTGTCGAGACGAATGCTGCACCTGTGCGGTAAAGGAAGTGTTTGCCCTTTGACTCGGCTGTAGGAAATTCATGTCAGTCACCTGTCTCATTCATGGCTTTCCGGTATAATTTCCAACATACCAAGCAACAATCCTGCCACAAAGACGTGCATATCAGACTCAGCAGCAGCATTGACAATAACCACACCACCACTAGGTGCAACAAGCAATTTTTCACAAACAGCGTTCGGTCCGCCGATTCGAATATCCTGAATAGTAACCGAACACAACTGCCCAGGCGCAAATCTCCCAGCAGCCTTCTCCAGCACATAATCCCGTAGATTGGAACTCTTATATCCAAATGTCGCATCCTTCGCAAACTGCGTCACACCAGCTGGAACAAGATTACCACCCTCAGCAACATAATGCACATCATCAACGGTGTGCCTCCCACCCTGATAGAAGAAGGGCGCAAGAACCAACGCATCAGCAGGCCCAAAGACCGACTGCGCGACGTCCGTTTCAAGCGGGAAATGGCCGCGGAGGGTACTATCGCCGCGCAGGACGATATCGACTTTTTGGCTTGTTTCTTTGGCGACTTGGGATACGTTTGTGCAAATTGTGCGGATGAGGGTTTCTGCTTCTTTTGGTGGGAGGGCGCGCGAGTTTGTCAAGATGAAGAAACCTGGTTTCGGGCTTTGGAATTCTATTGTTAGGGTTTCGATGTCCCAGACTGTTAGGACTGAGATGTCGTGGCAGGTTTGGGTTCCTGTTGGGTCGTCGTCCAGGACTACTAGGCGGTTTATTGGGGTTGTTGAAAGGATTTGGGTGATTTGGTCTTGGGTGTCGGTTGGATATTCGGCGGGGAGTTTGGCGAGGGTTGCTTCGCCGGGGAGGATTGGGTATTGGCGAGGTTGGGACATTGTGGTTGTTGCTGCGTAGTTGAGATCCATCATTTTCTATATGAATTATGAAGCAATTGAGTCTGGGATCAGCGGTTTAAATAGTTGAAGAGCTAAAGAGGAACGTGGGGATGCGGGGAATAGGAGTTCGGAGAGAATCCCGAATGCATAGATGCGACTATGGAGTGTAGACTCTAGATAACAGACATTTCTTACACCAAAAAACGCCGGAGACAGCAATGGCATGCTCTATCTCATATATGCCCCTCCCATGCAAAGACAGGTCGTAGACTGCGTGAATGATTGTTGGTGGTTTAGCCCACCACACTGCGGAAGCTCAGTGCCTCTAGGAAGCCGCTGAGATCATCTTTTTGGACCTCGACAACGCAGTGTTCGAAGCTATCAATGCGGACACGGGCATTAGTCTGCTGGACAACCTCTTGGAAGGCGATGCCAAATCTGTTGCGAAGGAGATGCTTCTTGTCGTGGGGATCATCCTCGTCCTCAGACTCGGATTCCGATGATTCGGACTCTTCTGATTCCTCTTCTTCGGCGTCGCTACCGTCTTCTCTCTCGGCACGCTCAGCTGCGCGCTTGGCGCGGCGGTCCGCCTTTTCCTTCTGTTTCTTGTCCTTTGCTTCCTTCTTCTTCTTGCGTTCATCTTGGCGTTTGGACATGGCACCGAAGTCAACCACGCCGCCACCTCCTCCGGTGCCGACAACCACATATAGATCGCGGTCTTCATCGAGGCCAGCGAGGACAAGAGGAGTCCCGGCTGCTCTCTTGCGACCGATCTTTACGGAATCGCCACGTTCTTTCTCTTGGACCCGAATCGCCTCGGCTATCCACAGAGCTAGTTTCGTTAGGGCTCCGGCATTGGTGAAAAGCTTAACATCAGGTCCATCTTTGACAACGGCAATACGGAATGCGTGAAGGTGGCGGATTTGATGCTTGGATAGCAAAGAGGTACCAGTCCGAAGGATGGCACGGTGTAGATGTTGGGCTAGTGGCAAAGATTCGAGGAGGAGTGTAGGCGACTCTGATGTTAATGAGAGGGCATCGTAGGCACTCCAGAACCGCGGAAGAAGGCTTTCTAGGTCCGATTCAGCTGTGGTCATGCCGTTCTCGGAATCATTGTTTCCACTCGCTCGAGGGAGACGTCTGGAGTCCCAGGATGGCGAAGCCTCGTGTGGTCCGACCTCCAGCATTGCACCCAAGATAACACCAACGTCCGTGGCTGAAAGGCACGCTTTCCAGCCCCAGCAACGCACAAAGCCCCAGCCCTCCCGAGCACTAGCACTACCGGCACCTTCTGCGGGCACGAGGCCATCAAGGCCGTACATGGGGGCATATTTGAGCAAACGTGACCGTAACACACGCTTCAACTCCATATCCATGTGGGTATAATATTGGTGGCATTGAGTCAAACTGATGCCCATTTTGGCAAGGAGTTTGTGTAGTCGTTTGCGGCCGTTCTCTGTCCAGACATGGAGCCGTGGAGCGAGGTAAGGGCTATGTAGCATACTCTCGTACAGTGACCAATGTCGGACAAGAAGGAACCGCGGCTCCGGCGAAAGACGAATTGACGTATCAGTTGGTGACCGAGCAGTTGTTGGAATGACACCATTAATCTCTCCTCGAATATCGCGGTCTCTTTCGAAAGGATCGGGTGGATTTAAACGGTGGACTTCATCGCGAAGTATTTGGCGGATGTGTTCACCACGTTGTCCACCCCAGCCCGCAGAACCTCCAGATTCTGATGTGTTGGAAATTCCCACTCCGGTCATTGTTCGACCACTGAGCTCCAAGCTGGAAACGCCGACGATGGCGAGCCATAGTAGGTCGTTATCATCTCGTCCGAGCTCGGATGCCAGCGAGTAAAGTAGAGACGAAATGGGTTCGGAATATGACGTTCCGGATGAGTAGTATTTTTGCAGAACTGAGTCGTGTCTTCTCTTGAGATTAAGTAAACGTTTCTTCAAAGATCGTGCCGATGGTTCCTTTGTTTCTTCTGGTGACGGCGAGTCGGTTGTTGGGGTCGCAGATCGCGACGAATTCGAAGAATTGAGACCCGTCTTCCTTCGACGGGTCGGAGACGAAGTAATAGAAGATCCCTGTCGCAAGTTAGAAGAGAATTAGAAGAGAATTGAGCCATAGGGCTCATAGTTGCATACCGAATTGCTTCTCCTCCGTTGGTGGGGTGGCTCATCGCCATCGGAGTCTTCATCATCCTCGCGACCAGACCACGACTTGCGCTTCTTGGACCCTTCGTGCGTATCGTCTTCGGCGTCATCGTCACTGGCATCGTCATCTTCGTCCACATCGGGCATCTCTAATAACGCGTAGTATGCCTCACGCTCATTGCGGAGCTCCTCCTCGATATCTCCGTCGTCATACACGACAATGCCGCCAGTTTTCGACGTGTAAGCAGGAGTGATGCAACCTTTGTCCACACCACGCCCCCGCCGTCGCGCATTTGCGTCAATTTCCGTCATCGCCTGGCCCATGCCAACCTGGCCGCCGAACACGTTCCCCAGGTTCCACGGCCGTCGCGCGTCAAACACCCAGATCTCCACGCCGCCCATGTCCTCCACTTCGTCTTCGGGGTTGCTCAGCGCAAGGATCTCTCCCAGGTCGACTAAACCCCCTACACCGAGGCACACGACCACACCTCCGCTGCCACCATTGGTGGTCTGCATCGGCCGGACCAGCTCCTCCCCCGCGCGCGCCAAGTCGCCATAACCAGCAACGGGTTGGATTTTGTGAGGAATATAGTCGCGTTTCAACAAAGCTGTAAGAATCCGGCAGGCACAGAGCGCGTCTGGTTCTAGTGCCACGAGAATCAGGACCGGTGGAGAGAGTGGGTGGTGAGATCGGAGGAGTTGTAGGTAGAGGTGTGAGATGAGCTGCCGAGGGAGATACATGGCCGGCTTCAGGATATTCAGACACTCATGCGACAGCTCATGAAGGAGAGCTCGTAAGAATAATCTCAGCTGAAGGGCGAATTTGTGGTGAGTATTGGGGGGAAAGCCCTTGCAGCAGGACTCTCATAGCGCCGGGGAAGCTGACAAGCGCGACGCGTCGGAGGCACGTGCCAGATTCCATACCTTCATCGCCTCGACAAAGACGGAGTATTTGCTCCCTTTCATTATGTTTTACTCCTTAACTCCCGAATTCTTGATTCCTGATTCTTGATTTCTCTGGGTATAGATCTACTAGTTATCTTTATGTAGTGTCGTGTATCAAAGTCGACTTGACGCGCTTTACATCTATGCACGACATAGATCATATAGATCACTTCGACAACCATATATGCACCTTCTATTTTTTATGCTTTGTTTTCAAATAGTACTCAATGGTTTATGTATCGAAGAGATTGTAACCTCTCGATCATGTAGACCCTAATTTGCAAAGATTAAAATTATTTGCAAGCCATTATCTCTCATTGGCTCTCGATATCCAGGCTCATATATCCGCTTTGGGCATCTCTACTACGTGCAATTCGACCTTTTTTTGACATCCTTTCTTCCATGTACATGTTCCAGATAATTTTTTCGTTAACTTCAGAAATGTCACCAATCATTACAATTTCTCCCAAAGTAGATCAATCTTCTGAACAACCTCCACCGTGAAAGGCCCTTACGAAACATCCTCCACATTCTGAACAATCCGTGAAATCTTACTCGCTCCCACAATTACTCCATCCCCCTCTCCCAGCATGGAATGATAGTATATCCACCGAAGACAAGCTTCGGATCCTGAAATTTGAAGTGGTTCGATGGTATCCTGGAGGTCAGTAATAGCAGTATGCATCTCCGGCTTGTCGTACAAGTTACCATAACTTTTGAAGGCTGTGTTTCCTGGTGCAAAACGTGTGCCTTGAGCATCTCCGCGGGTTAATCGGCCTGTAAGAAAGCCACCTGTGAGTGGACTGCCGGTAGCAAAAGATTTGGTTAGATTCAGATTGTGCAAAACAATATGTAAGACGAATCTATATGCCTGAAAGGCAATTTTATGTTGACGAAGAAGCGGTAAGAGCTGATCACTACCCCGACTGAGAAGATCGTATAGACCTTGATACACGCTTGGCTTGACGTAGTTGTGTTCTTCGCAGACTGCGATGTATTTCGCGACTAGCTCGGGTGGGAAATTGGACAGGCCGTTAGGGCAAGCTTGTCGCAATACATATAGTGTAGCATAGCATATCTTCTGGAACCGACCTTCCAAGTACTGCCTATTGATCTCAGCACCCTGTTCAAGGATCGGTGTTGCAGGATCCGGACGATGGAAATAGAGAATATGGACTTTATCCATCTTCAGACGGCCGAGGCTCCCCTCGAGCGATTCGCTTAAGGCCGTATCCGTATGAGCACCTCTGCCATCACTTCACGGGTTGATTTTAGTATCAATGGTGAACCCTTGCTCCACTGCCCGTACATCTCCAAGAAGAGATTCCGAGCGACCAGGGCTATCGGGCGGGTATCGGGCAGCCTTATCCACACGATCAATATCCAGTTCTTTGAGATGATTAAGAAGTTGTTGGACTTGTTCTGTGGTGGTGAATGTGCTGCCTATTATGGTTCCTCCGAAGAGGGTGTTTGGTTTAGACATCGCTGTACGGAATAGGTCTAAATGGGAAGTTATGTTGAAGCTATGTTGATATCCAAGTTGACTTTGAACAGATGGAAATCCACCTCATATGTGACGTATTTTATATGCTCGGGGGATGCTACTAGATAGTTTGATATCCGGACGGAACGGACTGGTACGTACCGAGCCGAAGCGGGATATGTGAGTATCCGTGAGACTCTGACAGCTGGCTCCGTGCGATTATAGACAGATTCAGATGTTGATGACCTGTCTATATAGAATGGGCTTTCTACTTGTCCATTTTCATATTAGAATGATTGAATCAGAGGATATCATTCGAATTCGATAATCAAACAAAGTAACTCCTTGCGCCATTGACATGCTCCAGGGCTATCTTAACCAAAAGATGATACATTAAACAGCTGAACGACCCAGAATGGAACCCGCTACCCAGATTGCGGTGCATGCACCAACGACAGAGAGACCAACTAGCTGCTTAGCCCAGTTGCTGTCTTCAGCCATTTTGGTCGACCCAACAGTCTTCTTCGGGGCCAAGTTCACATTGGAGGATGAAGGCACCTTCTCGGTGGCGTTCTGGGCGGAATCACCAATGATGGCGGAATATTCCTCGTCGCGCTTCTGCCACTTCTCAACCAGTCGCATAATCTCCGCCAGGTCCTCCTTAAGAGAGCCGGGCTCGGTTGCGTTCGCGTTCTCAACTTCGACATTCTGAACATTGCCGAAGAAGTCAACCACGGTTCGAAGACGACCTTCTTGTTCGCCGCCAGGGAACAGGTCCCACCGGACACCTGGCTGAGAGTGAATCTTCGACTCGTCATATGAATCGAATAGATCTCCCAAGTTGAGTTTGGAGTTGGCGCTTGTAACTTGCGTCTCAAGGAATTCGAGGACGTAGTATGTCCAGCGATCAATGACAGCAACACCGACATCGTTGTCCGCATGATGGGAGTAGGAAGATTGGTCAAGCTCGCTGGAGCCTGTGGCGACGATGTTGGGTGAATAGAAATGCGTGTACATCGTGTTAGCCTGGCAAGTATCGATCATGAAAAGTAATTCGTGGTAGCGCTTCTTTTCCCACATTTGTCCAAACGCGTCTGCCAGGTCCCACGCGCCGATCTCTTCGGCGTCTTGGAATTTAAGAAATTGGTCGCCGCCGTGTCCGGTCATGTAAACCAGGACATTGCTACCGGCATCAGATCCCAAGCGCTTGCTACGTGGGACATCTTCATCCAGGCGATCGGTCAAGAGTCGAATGAAGTTCTCTACGGTCACTTCGTAACCCCTATAGTCCACCTCGATGTTATCTCCGTAGAGATCGACTGCGCGGTCCGCATTACTGTAGACGGTTCCCGGGAAGGCATTTCGAGGGTTGCAAGCCATGTCATCAGGAAGCATGAGGATAATTTGTGAATCCGGAATGCCGAGGCGCTTGACGGTTCGGTATAACGAAAGGACATTGGCGAGGTGACGGTAATTGAACCAGAAGCGCGAGGTGGAAACTAGCACCGCCCAATTGGATGTGTGCTCGGCAGCAACCGAGCTGGCGAGTATTAGAAGGGCGAAGGCCTGCAGAAAGCGAAAGAGCAAAGCCATTGCGATAGATGGGAGGCTCAGATCATAATAGGGAAAGGAGGAACAGAGCTCGAATCAGTGGCCGAGCAACGTGAAATCGGCACTGGAAAACGGGAGAATAATGAAAATCACCCTATATATCAGTCATAGGGTCTATGCGCAAGCCATCAGAATCCTGATGGTCAGATGAAAGTTGACAACTTCAGGCTGCGCGAGTGAGATTAGGAGATTACAAGACGAACCCGGGGATTCCGCCTGACTCTTCAGGCACCAGGAACATGTGCTCTGCACGGACCAAACATGTCGTCACCGCCTTCACGGACTCGGCATGGTGGGCTGGCGGATCGGATCATGAAGATGAGATCCATTCCATCTTTTTCTTCCTACATCCATACTCCCTGTACGTGTACTCCGAGAACTGCAACAATGGGAGGCAAGAAAGCAGCTGGTGAAAATTCCAAGAAGGCCGCCGGAAACGCTCGTGTATGTTTTTGTTAACCCCGCCCCCGCTATTATTGCCACAGTCTTCATAGCAGTTGAATCATTACTGACGAGACACAGAAAGCCGACGCGGCCGCATCTAAGAAGGCAGTTGAGGACCAGAAGCGTTCCGCCGAGGAGGAGAAGCAATGGTCCAAGGGGTCTAAGAGCAACGCTAAGAAGTATGCGAGAACGAACTCCAAGGAAAGGAATATTTTTTTGAGCAATGGGCTGATCTTTCTCTTCTCCACAGGGAGGACGCCGATGCCAAGAAGGCCGACGCTGCCCGCAAGAAGGCAGAGCGCGATGCTCTCTTGAAGGAGGAGGAAGCCTCCCAGCCAGCCAAGGCTAAGGGAGCCAACGCTAAGACCGCAGTGAAGAAGACCCGCGGCCTTGATCTCTCGCAGCTGGACGATACTTCTGCTGGCAGCAAGAGGGCATCTGACCTCAACGCAACCGGTATCGATAACGCCCTCGACGCTCTGTCTCTTTCCAACAAGGACACCTCTAAGATCGACCGACACCCCGAGCGACGATTCAAGGCTGCCTATGCCGCATTTGAGGCCAGGCGTCTGCCAGAAATCGAGGAAGAGAACCCGGGTCTGCGCCGCAACCAGCGTATGGATCTTTGCCGGAAGGAATTTGAGAAGAGCGAAGAGAATCCTTTCAACCAGGTTCACGCTGCTGTCAATGCTTCCAAGGAGGAGATTGCTCAGCTCAAGGAGAACGAGCGCAAGAAGGTAGAGGGCAGACTTGGCTCGAAATAAATTGGTCTTTCGTTGGACCACACGCAATCAGGCGGCAAGACTGTTCCGCATTACTAGCAATAAGGCATAATGCTATGCTGACTTGCGGTTGAAGTCTTTTGCACCCAAATACCCACCATGGATGATGTTTTACAGAGCATCAGCCTGAAAACTTTGACTGTATGATTTGAAATCGCAGCGATTCTCGTCATGGTGTGTTGTTGATACACAAGGTTGCATCATTTAGCCTGGCCATAGATGAGCGCGATGCATCATTTATGTATCTCCATGTACTCTTTGTTGACTTTCAGTCAGCTCTAGCATTTAAACTTACGAAATCAAATGATTGATATGCATAAACTCGGCACCACCATTAAGCCTCAGTAAGTAAAAATCTGGGCCATGCCAGATTTGTATTGGATATTCGTCTATGACATCGCAGCTCGCACATCCCACACATAGAGACTTTCATCCCAGCCAACACTAGCACACCAGCCCTCATTTCCAAACAGACACCAATCAACACCCGTCACAAACTCAGTATGCCTACCCATGCGCCCTAATTCCGCACCGACCGTAGGACCGCCCGGACCAGCGCGCATGAGATCCACATCCCCGACAGCACCAGTATCGGACCTATCATTCCATACGCGACAAGTCATGTCATAACTAGCACTTAATAGAACATTGGAAAGATGCGGCGACCAAGCCAGCTTCCTGACAGCATATTCATGTCCAAGCATAGTAGCCAGCGGGCCCTGCTGTGGGGCGCGGATATCAAACGTCCGAATGGCACGATCCACACCAGCCGTAGCGAGAACTGTAGGCCGATACTTATTCCAGTCATGGGTGAGCGCCTCAGCAGGCGGGGTGGGGCCACCTGGCTGACCGGGGATAGCAGGAGCAGCAGGGGTAGCGTGAATAGGAATTTGAGTGACGAGGTGGTTAGAAGCCGAGGCAGGAGTGCGGAGATCGAACACGCGCACGTAGGAGTCGGAAGTCACGCATGAAATAAGGTCTGGGTTGTGTGGACAAAAGGATGCGGAGTAGGTGCAGCTGTGGGTTGGGAGGGTGAGGAGGGACTGTTGGCGATGCGGTGACCAAATTCGTACTGTGCCATCCCAGCTACTTGAACAGAAACGGTCTTTTGCGATTAGATTCCAGTTTACGCTGAAGACTTCGCGCGCGTGTTCTTTCCAGTTTGAGATTGGGAAGTCATTTGCTGTGCAGTCAAATAGTTTGATGCTGCCGTCGCCCGATGCGGCTAGTACTTGATTTTCGTGTAGTTCGGACCAGGCGAGGTCGTAGAGGGAATCTTGTGTGGTGAACCTTTGTATCGCAATGCATCAGTTCGTTGCCCGTGGAAAGATACCCGAGGTGAGCGCGGGGTATATATGATTCGTCCTTACCATTTTAAAGGTTGGATTCCGTTAGCTGTGAGCTCCAAGATGTGTAGGCGGCCATTGCCAACAAGGCCGAAATTTGAGGAGCTTGCAACTGCTAGTCGATTGTCGAAGAACGGAGAGTACTTGACTGCGCAGCCGTTGTACCCTTGTGTGCGGTAGTGGAGCATGATGGCGCTAATCGGACGATGCCGATCGCTCAGGAGAGGAGGTGAGAGCGGAGTGAATCAGTACCGAGCAGTGTACAGTGTCAAGACATCAAATGTGAAGTTGAGTTGAGCTCGCGGGATTGCGGGGATCAAATGGACCGAGGTCCGTATTCAGGCATCTTCAGGCAGACTTCACGTTCACTTTCACCGATGGCACTTTTGTACTTTTATATTCCAAGGTAAACCGGGGCTAACGACAATTTGGTTCTATTTTTGAATGCGCCGTAGACTTGCATACTGGGACAAGTATATGTGTGGTACTAAATTATCCAATCCTAGGATTATGCGTTCTCAGCGCCTTTTTTGGGATATCAAATTGTTCACACGGACAGACACAGATTGATACAAGATAGGGCTCAAATATGGCATATCATAACTTCCATGTCCACTTCTTTCCAGCAGAGCCTTCAATTCTCACCCACAGTTTGGCACACTTGCTGCAAACGAGTATGCCAGCAGTATAAGACACTCGTAGATAATTTGATGGATCTGACAGAGCCGACTGACCAGGAAGCAAAAGACTGGTCAGTGGCGTGCCCAGCAAAGCACCTATACCTCGGATTAGGTATATTGCTCCATTCACTGAGGTAAAATTCTGCACTCCGAAGAGCTCAATCAGACTGGCAGGGAAAAGTGAAATATAAGCAGATCCAAAGCAGACATATAGCACAGCAAACAGGATGAACAACACTTCCGCTGCAGTGGTTGAGACTGCACCTCCAGCAAAAGTTGAAGGCAACCAAAATGCAAACACAGAAACACTGCTCGTGATGGTAGTCAGAAATAGAACATTCAATCTTCCAAACTTGTCAGCTGTGTAACCGATTACAATGCGAGAAACAAAGTTCGCTGCATTGCTAATCGTAATGAAGTTATCTGCCATGCTAGCAGTGTATCCCAACGACCGCGCATACGCAGCATAGAAAAACAGTGGCGTAGCATACCCAGTCGACTGCAGGAAACATCCCAGTGCCTGCGAGACGAATTTCTTCGACCGGGCCACTTTCCAGTCGACAAACGGCGCATGGATCCAGCCAGCGGGACAAACAACGCAACTAGACACCCAGAGATACGCAGAGCATTACAGAACCCAATAGCAGAAGTAATAGCCCTAAGAACAGGCGGCCATATCATACCACCACAAGCAGACCCAGAAATGATGACGCCCATCGCCAACCCACGCCGTTTATCAAACCAAGTTGGCGCAACAGACATCGTGGGTACGTACGCCATGCACGTCCCCAGTCCAACAAGAAGACCCTGCGACAACACAAATTCCCACACGTACTGACTTAGACTGGCTAGAATACAGCCAATGCCGAAGACTAGACCACCGGCCATCATTACTGGCTGGGGGCCGTAGAGCTTTGCCCATGTCATTATTAAGGGTCCGCCCATGGACATTAGTGCTATTGACAATGTGCCAATTCGACTGATTATTGAGCTTGAGTTTCCACTGAATGGCGTGTTAGGCTCTTTGGCCATTTCTTCGTAGATGGCTTGGTAGACGCCATAGGAGAATATTCTTGCACAGGTCATAAGCATTGCATTGTTATGAAGCCTGCTGCAACAACGAAAACTTAGCGACTGAAAATCTTGTCAGGGTGGTTCATTGGTTTGAGGAATGTATATACATCGGAGACTCACAGCATCGTTGGTTTCGGGTAAGTGCGAGTACTATTTTGTACTGAAGTAGACTGAGCAGTACCCTCAGGCCCAGTACTGACTTGGCTGCTGCCATGACTCTTTTCTCCATCGGCCATTGCTGCGATGTATGGCAATTCTGAAACTAGAAAGGAGCTGTAGATTTTGCTTGGCGTAAGGTGGCGACCCAAATATCCAGCAGTAGGACGAATCAAACGAATCAACGGCTTTTACGCCGAAGCCGATATAGCTTATTGGACTCCACAGTTGGTTTGAAGAATCTCCAGGACAACTCATTGCCAAGCTTGAACTAGGAGATACTGGTAGTTCTTTGAATGTGTCACATCCATGATGCTTTTCTGTCGGCATTTGGTATGCTCTCCGGGACAAGAAACATCCACCGGCAGTGGAGATGCAGGTTGGATCCGACTGTATAGACCTCACATCACGACAGTAGGTGAGAGATGAAGGCGCAAGCGACGAGCCTGTTCTTGACAAAGGTCAAATTGTGATAAAAATTAGCCTCAATGAAGCATTGAAAGGTGGAGGAAATCCACCTGCATCTATTTGCATCACATGACGCGTACCCCACGTGTCTTTCTAGTAGCAACGCAAACTCAAGCTTCAAGCTTCAAGCTTCAAGCAATTCACCATGGGCCTCCAGCGCGCCAATGTAACAATCATCCACCCGGACCTGGGCATCGGCGGCGCAGAGCGGCTAATCATCGACGTCGCGCTAGCCCTCCAGAACCGAGGCCACCGAGTAACGATCTACACCTCCCACCGCGATAAAGCACACTGCTTCGACGAGGCACGCGATGGAACGCTGGACGTCCGCGTGCGCGGAAATACCCTCTTTCCAGCCCATGTCTGCGGTCGACTTCACATCCTCATGGCTGCGCTGCGCCAGCTGCATCTTACCGTGTCGTTGTTGGGCGAGCTTGGAGTGAAGGGTGATTCGAAAGATGCGGAGGACGACCGTGATGATATCTTCATTGTGGATCAATTACCTGCCTGTGTACCCTTTTTGAAGTCATTCAGCCGTCCGCGAGGATCGAAACGCCAACGTATCCTGTTCTACTGCCACTTCCCCGATCAATTGCTCGCGCGGCGAGACGAGGGCGGTTCGCTTCTTCGACTAGCCAAAGTACTCTACCGATTTCCCTTCGATTGGTTTGAGGGTTGGGCTATGAGCGCGTCTGATCGGATCGTTGCCAACTCCAAGTTCTCTCGTGGGGTAGTGCGGGATGTCTTTGGGTCGGAGCGCCTTGGTGATGTGGAGGTGGTTTACCCATGTGTTGACATGGATATGGGGCATGAATTACCGGAGAAGACAAAGGAAGATCCCCTGTGGAATGGGAAGAAGATTTTGCTCAGTATCAATCGCTTTGAGCGGAAGAAGGACATGGCATTAGCGATTCGCGCTTACAATGGACTCGGAGCAGAGAAGAGGAAGGGAACACGGTTGGTGATTGCTGGTGAGCTTTTCCATATGGGTGATAGGTATTCATTAATTAATAACTATTCTACGCAGGCGGTTACGACAATCGTGTCAATGAGAATGTTCAATATCACCAGGAGCTGGAGAAGCTCGCAACGAGTCTTGGGTTGAAGACGGCCACATCCAAGACAGCCGTATCAGCCCTTTCTATTCCTGATGACATCGATGTCCTGTTTCTGCTTTCTGTTCCTGGCGCGTTCAAAGATACCCTGCTGGAGCAATCCAAGCTACTTCTATACACTCCGATCAACGAGCACTTTGGCATTGTGCCTGTCGAAGCAATGAAGGTTGGTCTCCCAGTGCTGGCATCTAACACTGGTGGACCACTGGAGACGATTGTCGAGGGCGAAACGGGCTGGCTCCGGGATGCTCATGCAGATGATGAATGGACTGCCGTGATGGACAAGGCTCTTTATGGCTTGAGCCCCAAAGATGTTGAGCGCATGGCTGCCGCAGGCAAAATTAGGGCTGAGCAGGAATTCTCTCTTGCTGCCATGGGTGATAGATTAGAGGAGGAGATTTCCACGATGCTTACCCGGGACAGGCGGCCCTTTAATGGGTGGCAGCAGGTGTTTGCTATCCTGGCTCTAGTCGTGGCTATTCTTGCAGTAATTGCCGCAATTCTGTTTCGAGCGATGTAATTCTTAGTTTCAAATCAATCATACCCCTTTGCTTGTAACATCTGCTTTTCTTAGACTTCAACATGTATAATTGGTCACCTGACCTCGTGTTTCTTTCGCGGTGACGTCGCGTCCCCCTCATTTTCCTCAATCACCCGCCCTGGTGGCATTGGGAGTCGAAATGCCTGAATACATAGACCTCCTATCCTCTGATTCCCCCGAGTCCCCAAAGCGCCCGCTACCGCAACAGTCAGTCGGGCTTCCATCGCGCCGGCCATCCCACCAGCTCAACCCGATTTCGTCAGACCCGTTCGATTCGTCGCTGTTCAACTACGATATTACTCTTGACAAGCCCACCAAGAAGCGAAGAATAAGCGAAGAGCCTATTTTATCACAAGCTCAAACTACCAAAGGAAAAGAACCGCGCGCTGCAACCTTTGCAGCAGACCCGTGGTTTGCCATCTCCGACGATGATTTCGACCTACCGCCATTGAACGCCGCGGCGCAAAAGAAGTCGACTAAGTCTTGCATTGAAGAGTCTGATCCAATTGTTCTTACATCTCCGGCTCCAGGCCCTTTACCCAAACCTCCGGCGTCGCGCAAGCCAAATAAGCCAATTTGCGATGTTTTTGATTTCGATGACGATGATATTTTGGACTTGGACAAACACCCTCCGTCGAGCTTAAAACTACGCAGTGATATTGAAGAGTTCAGCGATCCTTTTGCTTTGCCGGAATTTGTGGACTTATTGGATAAACCCGAACCAAGGGATGCTTCTAATCCCCTGTTCTCCTCAACAACTGCTCGTCTACTTGCTCAAATTGGCAACGAGTCAAATCCAGCTTCTGGCCCTCAGAAGTCGAAGGCTGGCGCCCAGCCTGCGGCTATAGATGTCATCCTCGATAACATCGACGAGCCAGTGGCTCCTCGGAAACCGGCGAAGAAGACAAGTAAAGCTGATCCAGAAAAGGAAGCCAAGGCGCGAGCACGGGAGGCGGCTAAATTGCAAAAAGATCGAGACCGGGAACTAGAAAAGGAGCGCAAACAGAAGCTCAAGGAAGACAAGGCAAAAGAGAAGCAACGGGCTGCCGATATCGCAAGTGTTAACAAACTCAAAGTGAACAAGAAGGACTCCACGCCAGAAATGATCATTGACATGGCGACTTCTCTGGAAGAAACCAGCGTGGGTACTCAGACCTTAGAGTTCATGAAACGACTCGGTGTCCAGCAGACATTTTTCGGGAGCGCAATTCCTAATGTGGTCAAATGGCGCCGCAAAATGAATGCCACATACAACAGGGTTGCACGACACTGGGAACCTTGTCCGGCTTTCATCCAAGAAGAAAATCATATCCTGTGCCTCGTGCCTGCGCAAGACTTCATCAACATGATCACCCCAGCATCAGACGACGAAGTAAAAGAATCACTAGAACAACACGTCCTCCGGATCAAAGCCGCCTACTCGGACTGCAAACCAATCTACTTAATTGAAGGATTGACGGCACTCATGCGCAAGAACCGCAACGCCCGAAACAGAGCATTCCAAGCCGAAGTCCTACGTCAGTACGCAGAGACCGCAGAACCAGAGCCTACATCAACCACAGCTCGAGGGCGCCGACGAAAATCAAAGAAAAACACAGACCCGGCAACCCTCATCGACGAAGAGAGTGTCGAAGATGCTCTCCTCGAACTACAAGTGACGCACTCCTGCCTCATCCACCACACAACCGCACCACCCGACTCAGCAGAATGGATCAAGAATTTTACAGAACACATTTCGACAGTTCCATACCGCCGAGAACGCCAGGAAGCAAACAACGCCGCATTCTGCATGGACGTCGGACAGGTCAAGTCTGGCGTAGACAAGCATGACACCTTCGTCAAGATGATGCAGGAGGTTAATCGCATTACTGCACCAATGGCATATGGAATTGCGGGCCAGTATCCCTGCGTCACGGATTTAGTTCGGGCTATGCGTATGCATGGTAATATGATGTTGGAGGATATTAAGGTGGGGTTCTATTTCTTCCCCCTTCATCTTCAATGGAACTTGAACTAGTATCCTGACTGTTATTTTCTAGAAATCCGCGAACAAGAATGGTTCGTTGACAAATGCGCGCATTGGGCCCGCTGCTAGTAGACGTTTGTATAAAGTGTTTACGGGTTTGGACCCTAGCTCGACGGATGTCTAGTGGCTTGGAGACCTTTTGGTTGTTTTGTTTTAATTTTATTGGCTTTTTTTTTTGGCTTGGAATTGGCTTTTTGAAGGAGTATTATGGACCTTGCATTCATTTGGCGCTATATCCTATTTTGGCGATTGGTTTATGTGTGGCCATTGGAGGGTACTTGGAGCATTGGATTCCAAGTAGAATACAAGGAAGGGACTGTCAAATTGACGCCGAAAATGACCGCCTTTAACACCAAATAAATCATTGAAGACATTCTTACAGTATCCCAACTGGGAAATTATTATTTCTAAATCGTCCGAGACTAAAATCTAGACATGTGCAAGATAAGACTCAAGCTACATACCAAGCTATGATTCTAGAGAAGGTACCTGAAAGAGTTGTTGGTTAGGAGGAAAATAGAAAGAAGAGGCACTGTTTCCCGCCTTTGCTAATGAAGGAGCAGTTGAGTCGGAATTTGGTCCTTGCCATCAAGCGATATGAAGGAAATCATGGATTTGACGAAACTAATGCCGTAAGTATTGTCATCCGTGCCTGCTTCCAAGGTTGTGCTGATTCGGTCCCTTGAACGATAGCTAGTCCTATCATTTTGGTACCCGTGTCTTCACCTCAAAGTCGATACCACCAGTCTCATATTCACGTCTCAAAAAATTCAAGACTACGTGCAGCAAAAAGATATTCATCTTCGCGCATCAATAGTCTGCGAAGCGCTCCACTTCGGCACCCTTCTTTGACAGCTTACACAGTACAGTCGCGAGACCAGCTCTTCTATGTCATGATGACCACAAGAGAGGTTACATATTGGGGCACTGAACCGTAAGCCCCAAACCAACATGCCTAGTAGTTCACAGGTCCCGATCTAATGCACTATCGTTGTATATTTATGCGTCCGAGTTCCCACCGCAATAGAAGTTTGTTAATGTATCACAATATTGCAATGCAAGAATAATGCAATAATCGATCTATCCAGAAATCCATGGTCGGGTATAATTCAGAAAGATATATCGCGCCGAAAGTGCCAATGCGTAGATAAACATCCATCAGGCTAAATGCTACAAGAAGACAAGCTGTATGTATCCATGACAAAAACGCCGAGCAAAATAGAACATGATGCCAAATAATCTAAACAACAACACCTCTTCTCTTCCATCCCCTCCAAGCAAACAACCAAGCCCCAACAGCAATCCACACACTAACTGTGCACCCAACAGCCCAGAAGCCATAACAGCGCCAACCATGACACTGCCCGTCTGGCAAACCACCGCCAGCACCGTGATCAACGGCACCCTGATAAGCAGTCGAATAGACAACGCCCCAAAGCGCCGCACCAGCAGCAGGCATCATGGCAACAATACCCCAGTTCGTGGCAAAGTTCTCCACGCCCCACACGACGGAGATGATGATTGGTGCGAGGGAAAAGGCGCTGCCGTATCCGAAGCCAACCAGGGCTGTTGTTAGGTTAAACAGACCTGGGCGAGAGAGGGGGAGTGGCGAGGCAAGGAGGAGATAGCCTAGGGAGAGGAGGAAGGCTGAGGGGAGGAGGAAGGTCATTCGAGAGAGGGTTAAAGCGTTTGTGGAAGAGGGGGATGCTGAGTGTCTGTGCCGGGCTTCTTCCGGGATTGGAGGGAAGAGGTGGGTTGCCGGTGGTGCGAAGAAGTCTGATAGGGAGCCTGTGAGGAGGCGGGCGATTGTTGATGTTAGGGCTATTGTTGTGACGTGGGTCGAGGGCGAGCCGGCTGGTGGGGAGGCACCGGCTGGGTAAGTTTGTGGTGTGAGAGTTGGGATAATTGTGCCCAGCTATTTTGTATTGCGTTAGTTGAGAGTTGGGTTTGGTGATAACCTGAGGAGACTCACATTGTTAATGTATGACTCTCCTGGTCCGGTAACCAAGAAGAAGCCAGCAGCCAACCACCACATCGTCTGGTCTTTGAGGAAGACTCTAGTCTCATAGTTGAGCAACCAGTTCTTCTTCCGACGCTCTTCTTCTTCATGCTCCTTCTCCAGTCGTCTCTGCTCGCGCTCCTCATCGGACAAAGCTTGTGATTCCTCGTCGTCAAAGGCATCGGAGAACGTGCCATATTCGACTGCAGCTCTGATCTCACCCCGAGGCCGGAAGAAATCACTTTCCTCCAGCAATCCACTGCGTTCCAGTTCCTCGACAGTCTCATCAATATACCGATCATCCTCTTCGACAATCTGCAAAGCAAAGGTACCGACAATACCAATGCCAAGCAACAACAGCGCCAGGAAGACAAAGTACCTGAAGACATCCAGATCACCATGCGTCCCATCATCAAGCTTCTCATAGAAGAAGTACGTTCCAACCTGACTCTGCCACATGCCACTGAGACCAAACGCGGCAATAGGAACAGCAAGCATGATCCCCTTGTGCTTCCCCCGACCGAAGTTCTTAGCACATGTCGCAACAGCAGCAAGATACATGCAGCTAGTCCCCATACCAATGGCAATAAACGCTACAATCATAACCCAGAACGGCCACCCAGACCCACCAGCCTCAACAGGCGGCCCGCTCTTGTATGTGTACCCAGCGAGGAGATATCCAAACCCGAACACAACCCCAGAAAACAGAGATAGAGGCGACGGACTGTATCGGTCACACAAGTACCCGAACAGCGGAACAGGCAAATACATGGCAATCTCAGCAGCGATGGAAACAGCATTAACCTGAAGCTGCGAGTAATGTAACCGCGTAAGCAGTAAATGGCCGTACAACGAGAATGCAGTAATACTGCCAGCTCCAAGACTATACAATCAAGCAAAATCAAACGTCAGCTCCAAGACCCAATACGACGTACGATATCAGAGAGAAAGATGAAGAATCGAGAGAATCCCATACCAAGTAACAACCCCCCAAGCAAAACTCACAACCCTCACAACTTCAACATGCATCATTCTCCTATCCCTTTCGACAATCTCGCCGACAACATCACTCAAAAGCCCATCATCACTCCGCAGACCGATCCCATCATCGCCCGAACTCCGCGATCCGGCGCGAAACCGCGCAGGACCAAGATCGGGGCTCCGATTACCAGGTTCTGGGTCCGCGTCTGTATCTTGCAGGAGGGGGCGATTTGCGTCGAAGTCGCGCTTGTCGATGGCATTGTTGGAACTCGGCATTGTCGTGTATCTTTCCTGTGTTCTTTCTCCGCACCGGGGAGCGGGGGCTGGGATGTGGTGCGGATTCGGGTGGTTCGTGGCCTGAAGAGGTTGTAATAAAGGTATGTGAGGTGTAAAATGTAAGATATGGGATTTGTGTTATAGGCTGGGGGTACTGCAGGTGTACGACAGGGGTGCCTCCGGGGTGCCGGATGAGTACGTTTAAAGCCGACTTGAGTGATTCTTGAGCGGGGAGAGTCAGCTGGGCGGATCAGTGTGTTGTTCGTGCTACGTCATTGGGTGTCGAGTCTGATCATAGGGGTTTTTTCAACTGTGGACTGTGAGGTATGTTGATCTGCTCGAACTGAAAGCTGTTGTAGCTTCGAGATCTGAGTCAAGCGGAAGGGCAGCTCTCCGAGGTTCAGAGCGGAGAAAGTTGGAGTCGTTCCACGTGACTACTCTATAGATCTATGCGGAGATGAAGGCATTCGTTTTCTAAAGGATGTACACCATGGCCCTGGATGCAAAGAAAGACAAAAAAAAAATGACTTGAGACATTGGGGGTATTATCAATATCAATAAAACACGACCGAGAAATGAAGTTGACAAAACTCAAGGGGAATAGCTCATACACATCCGAGAAAGAGAAACCGAAGCTCCAGGAAGAAAGGGCAGAAGAAAAAGTATCCTCAAGCTCACAGGCATCCAAGCATTGACAGATATCGTAGAAGCATCCGAGGGTCATTAGTCGTAGGTTTTCGCCGATCGGCGAGGTCAGGCACTGGTGCATAACTGTCGACGCTCCAAATTTGGGAGATGTAAACTATCCCCCGAACGCCACGTGTCGGCAGTGGGCCAAGATCACGTATGAGAGAGAAAGAGGAAGATTTAGAGGTTAGAAACTGACTGCGCCCGCGTCACTTTCCATCATGGTCTCGTCCCAATATTGGTCGGAGGGGAGTTCGCGCACAGCAGGCTGAGATCCCAGAGCAATCGCTTCGCCTTCTCCTCGTTCAACGAATTCGTCTTGTGCGACCTCCTTCATGATCCGCTGGAAATACATTCGAAGGGTGCGGAGGCCGCGCAGGTACCCACGATCAATGTCGTGCGGGCTGTGAGGAGGACAGGGTGTATCCGGTGGCAGTTTGTCCTCGCCGGTGACGCAATTGGCAAAATCGACAATCTTCAATTGAACGTCTGCCTTTTTGTGGCCATCGTCGGACATACCGCGCTTGAGAGGTGATGGTTCTCCGGTACTACGCGGTGGACCTTGCTGAGGAACTGGTGGTTCTCCGTCATACAGGATCAAGAGGCTGCTTGCGTAAAGACGGTAGGAGTCCAGCTGTCGGATCATATTCTCCAGCAGAGCCAGCTTCTCCAGGATGACCGGGATCTTTTTGGCCACACTGGCATAACTGACACCGTCATACAGAAAGCGGGTGAGTGCATCTTGGAACTCGCGGCCAGACTTCAAATCACGTCCGAAGTACTTGTCTTCAAAGATGTATTCCTGCTTTTTGACGTTCCACGCTTGCATACCACAGAGTCGCACACCTAATTGTTGGGATGTGGTAGACTGGCACTTGCGTCGCTGTGACTTCTTTTTTTTCTCGTTTGCCTCGATACCATACTGTCGGGTACCCATCTTCAAGTCCAGGACACAAGGTTTGTTCATACCTGCAGTCAGATCCTCAAGGAGAAGGAAGAATTGTACGCGTTCATCTTTTCTCAACTGTGCTTCCTTGGGGTTACTGGGCAACATTGTGGTGATGCTGTTGTTCATGGGCTGGGAATAAGGTGGGTCAAACACTCTTGCTGCTGCAGCAGACTCGAGGGCACGGCGTCCACTACCCGAATCCCGTTTACGTTCTGGTGAAATGAGACGTTTTGCGACAGGTGAGGAGTTCGAAGGCATGGAAGCATCGGCCTCCATGGAGAAAATATCATCTTCTTTGTCGCCACCATAGCCATCATCATCGAAAAATACAAGCTCGCCGTCCTTACGAGAGTTGATGCTTCCTCGCCTCTGGAGACCACTTCCGGAATGCCGGCGCCTCACTTGAGGGTGTGCCCGAGACAAGGAGCTTGCTCGGTTAGGCTCTTCTTCGGTGCGGACCTTCTCCAGATGGTTTTGATTGGCGTCTAGAGCAGTGGACGCAGACGAGGAAAGAGCAGGTCCTTCCGAAGCAGGAGGGACAATATCAATTGCTTCAGTCTTGAGCGCTTGGATGGCTCCCAGCATTGGTCGCCGAGCGCTAGGCGCAGTGTCCTCGGACATGTTTTGTCGTCGATGAGGAAAGTCGCTGCTTGCTCGAGGAAGGTGAAGATGACCGCGAGCTTGCCGGCGATGGTGGTGGATAGCAGGAGGGCTGAAAACCTCACGGAGAACCTGCTCTTGAAGTTTTCGGTTGACAGTGGTGGCGCCCCAGATCTTGGCTTTCTTGCTTAGAGCCGATGGATCTGACTCGGCTGACATAGCCTCGAGACCATCCATAGATCGGGCACGGCTCACTACTGAATCATCCGCTGTCCGTGGTCGCTGGGTTCGGGAAAACAAGTCGGCAGGGATAATGTGGCGATTGTTCTCCAGAATGACCTTGGGAATGACGCCTGTTACTTGCGACTGGCTGACGATTCGCTGTGGCTCTGCCGCCTCACGGAGTTGAGAGCTGAGCACGGAAGACCCATTCGCCGGCGTGACATCCTGTACCTTGCCCCCAGAAGAGTCGACCTGGTCCTTTGGCTTTTTGGATGTCTTTGAAAACGTAACATTCAGCACACCGATGTATCTGTAAGGAGTCAGTACAAGGCATCCACACAATGTGTTGCAACGGGAAATTTACGTACTTGGGGAGAAACATCAACATTTCAGGATGTCTCTGCTCAATGCGTTCATAAAACTCATTCTCTCGGTTGTTAAGTTGCTTGCATACAGCGCGTCTGGAGAAACGAAATACGGTTGTGTGCCCGCCAACCTGATGTCGGTAAGGTTTCAATTCCACGGCGCCAAGAGGCCCCTGAGTCTTGGTGGTTTTCCGACGCAGAAGCCCGGAACGCTGAGTTGGTGTCGCTGTGGGTGTCTCCGCGTCGTCGGTCAGACTGGATTCCTCTACAATAGAGGGTGTTTCATCGGCTGAGGGAGCATCCGATTCACTGATTGAATCATAGCTGCGCTCAGAGATGGTACTCAAGGACTTTTCTGGCACGTCGTGAAGATCACCATGGAGGATCCTATTATCATGCTTAGATCGAAAGGCAATATCCACATGGCTGATTTCTTTTTCAGGAGAATCGCTACGGTCTGAGACTAACATCAGCTCATGGCCTTTCTCGGCCGATAGCTGAACCGGCTGTACATCATGAGCACATTCTGGGTATGACTCCAGGTCATTGATTTCCTCAGTCACGGTGCGCTCGTGAGGGAAGTAAACAGCAGAAGAAATCTGTTCATTCTCCTCTTCATCGGCCTCGAATCGCCCTGACTCGTGACGTTCCTCTTCGAAAGAGGTCGACGGAGACAATTCAACATGAGGTTCTTTTTGGAAATAATCACGACTGCGTTCTGAATATTGGGTCGGAATGCTTCTGGAGAAAGAGGACCCTCGGCCTCCACCGGGAGTGAGATGGAAGTTTCGGATCTCTTCTAGAAGGCTGCGAGGCAGCGCTGTCGGGCGACGCTTGTGCGGTTCATCGTCTTGGGCGCTCTGAGGTGGTTCGGGTGCAGAAGGAGGCTCGAAAGCCGGGCCATCGCCAAGCGCCGGGAGAGAAATGCTTTTACGCAGCAGGGCTTCCTCTTCGGATCGCGGGTGTTCGCATTCAAAGGCCATAGCGTGATCTGCCAATTCCTCTGGCTCATCCTGCCGACCGCGGTCCTCCCATCGTTTCCGATCTGGCGATGTAGTGTTCTCTTTGAACAGACCCAAGTAATGGCTGGACTTACGGCTGCGGACGTTAGAAGCCGGCTCCGCGTTTGTGAGATTGGCTTCAATTGAGTTATCAACTCGACCACGGCGACCTCTGCTTGGACTCCGTTCAACGCCCGCGGGGGAAGAGATTTCTTTTTCAGGGCTGTAGGATAAAAAATCCTGGCTGACCTGGGAGCCCTCGTGGCGAGGGGACAAGAGAGTCAAAGAGTGAGAGGCACGAGATGCATCGTTTAGGGCAGATGGGAGCAAGATGCGTCCAGGCAAAGTCCCGTGAGAACGGCTGGTCTTCGTACCTGAATCATCCAAAGGCCCTTTGTCTCGCTGAGATCCACCCAAGTGATCATGTGCGCCTGCCTCAGTCCCCAGCTTCTTCACCTGGTCGGCCGACGAGATGGACGAGCGAAGAAGAGATAACCGCGGGACATCGGAGGAGGAGAAGAGAGAGGAGGAACGCAATGGGTATTGTCTGCGGACGTCAACTTCCATGTGGGAAGGGCCGGCGCTGGAACGGTGGGGAGAGACCTTGGGGAATGCACTTGGCGACACGGAGGCATCATCGAGACTAGGAATCAAATTGACCTGGCCATTGTCTGCTTTTTCGGGGGGCAGCTGTGGGGTATTTGCGCCGCTATCTGAGGGGAGGTAATGGGTAGCGAAGATACTGTCACGTTCAGACAGTTGGGGACGGTACACGATATCGCGATGCGCAGTAGTCTCCAAAGGTGTGGTTAGGGTCCTTTTTAGAGTGAAATTAGAGGGCTGCGACCACGAATGGGCCGAGGGGGATTCTGCCCGCGATGGCGACGACGCCTCTCGAGACCCCTGGGACAAGTGCTGACCCTGCCGCGAGTGGTGACGTGGGCTGCGCTCTGAGCAATCATGTTGGGCAGGTGTAGCAGGTGTCACCAGGGGATCAGGCAAGGTATCATCGGGAACGGACGGCGAATTTGACATGGAGAGGACATTGGTCAAGGAATCGGGGATATGGAGAGCGGAGACCGGGGGGAGTTGGGCTGGGGGAAGAAGAGGATTGGGCTAGAAGGACAATGCGCTGGGAAGGCCGGAAGAGTTAGAACAGGATATCTTAGATAGAGGGAGAGCACGTTCGGGGGGAGAGAGATCTTACAGGTTGACCTTGACCGCAAATCGGAGGTTGGTTGGAGAGAGAAAGATAAAGAGAGGAAGCGGAATGATCGTCACCGCCCTGGATCGAAGACTCAAAGATGAAGAAGTGGAGATAGGGATGAAGTCAGAGAAGTTTGCCTCTTGCCAATTTGGCAGTTTGACTTGACTACGAAGTACACCTTTTTGTGTCGCATGGTTTTGCGCTATAATCTGTACATTTGACGGGGGTGAGGCTCATAGCTCCTGGACTTCTCTATCTAACTCTAGCAATTGACTTCAGAACCGAAGATCTCAGAATGATCTGGAAAGGCATCGAGTCATACTGCTTGATCAAGTCGGATGCCGTCTCCTCTGCATAGGATTTGTCAATCCATCCAGCTTATGTTACGGGGAAGAGCTTCCAAGGGAGGACAGGGTTTGATTGTTATGAGACCTATTCAAGATGGTCTACCAATCACCGAGCTTTGATACACAGCGTGCAGTGCTGGTGGGTGTCCATAGGGTTCCCCATATCTTCAAGGTTATGTAGATCATTTCAAGCTGGTTTTATAAGAATGAGAAAGCCCCAAAGCATCAGTGGAGTCCGGGGCATTTAAGCTAAACGCACTAAGTGTGAAACAGTTTCCTTTAGATCCTCTAGCCTTACGCCTCAGCCTGTCTTGGCTTGCCTATTTGAGCCCCTACGAAGCAAATAGCCTGTGGCTCATGGTTCATAAGCGAAATGAAGCCCTCCAGCTGTACAGTCTCAAAGTTGCTGCCTGCTTGGCTTTGTATTTATCGATGGTGTCTACCTCACACGCTGTGTAACCAGAACATGAGATTCCAGGGGTGGAACAGAAGTTGAGGCATACTTCTAAGTGAATGCGGTATAGATCTGAGATTGCGGGAATAGCATCAGCCACACTCAACCCTTGCCCGTAGGGTTAATCCTAAGCCCTAAGACCAGTCAACTCCTGCCCCCAACCAACAGCGGCAGTGTGTGATTGTGATGGGAAAAAAGTGATCCGACGCCCAACGGGAGGCGCCGGGCGGGACCCAGTCCAACCAGAGCGCCCAGCGATGTGAAGCTGATGCATTAGGGCCAAAAGTCCCTTGTCTGAGAAACAGAAGAGAGAGCTTTGAAGCCACTCAGGTCACAGTATCCCCGCGCAGCTCTGACTTTTGTACGCCCCGCTCACCAGGCTCCTATCACTCATACCAGTTCGAGTTCTAGTTCAATGCCGGCTTCCTTCCACCATGCGCGTCTGTTCACATTGGACACTGCACTGGCGACTTATATGTCGCATTTCCTGTTGATCGGTCGCATGTCGTCTAGTAGCGCGCCAACGTCCTTCCCAACACCGTTTCCCAAGGGAAAGCTTTTGAGTCGCATGTCCTCCAATTTTTCTCTTCAACTGGATATACCTCGCATGCTCAAGCGTATTTATTCTACTACGTTTCAATACACAAACCTGGACATACCGACTTAATTTCCACTTCTTGCTACCGTTGCACGATCATACGAGCGTTGAAACCTTCAAAATGAGTCGTTTAAACTTGGACACCTCGGTCGGTGGCAACCATAATCAGCGATATTCGTTCATGGAAACACCACTGGAGATGCATCTATCACCCGACCAAAGAGATTTAAGATCTCCTCCCCAGTTGCCGGACTCGAGCGATTCCCAACCTTCGCACCATACGGAAGAGCCGAGACAGCGACAGGAATCGTATGCGCCGAGCGAGAAGCAACAACAGCTTCAGCACCAGGGAATAATGCCAGACTATGCCAACTGCCCACCGCTAGAGGAGCACCCAGCGCATTATGCACCGTTTGCGAATACATCGCAACAGCAGCTGCAAAGGCCTCAAGTCGCTTTGCCTTACACCAACCAGGCATATATATCTCAACAGAATACTCAGATATCATCGCAGCCATACACAAACCAGTCGCATACAAGCATACAGGAGCATTCAGCCATGCCCATGTCTCCCCAGTCATACTTCACCCTCCACGAACACCAGCAAAATGCCATCCATATGGCTCCGCATTCATACACAACCCTTCATGAGCAGCAGCAGCAAATCATCCATACCCACCCCCAAACATACACAACCGACCCATATAGCATGACCGAGCAACAAAGCCGCGACATCCAAATGTCACCCCAATATGCCACATACACCAACCCACCAAGCTCACCACCCCCAAACTCCCCAGGACCACTCCCATTGAAAGTAAACCCAGACGCCCCAACCCGAAGCGACACAATGATCGTCGCACCAGACGCAAACCCACTCCAATCGCCCAAACTCCCATCTTTCCCACCACCAACCAGGCAGGCGACGACACACGCGCCCGTCGAGGACTTAAGCGAATACCACCAACCAGGCCAGATAATGCATCCAAACCAAGTAGTACAGGGTGGAGGCTGGAGCAATGGACTTTGCGATTTTTCAAACTTCGGGATATGCTGTTTGGGACTTATCTGTCCTTGTATCCTCTATGGGCGGACACAACATCGCCTGACGATGAAATCGCGGAAGGAGGATCCAACTAATATGCTCGCTTATGAGACTTGCAATGGGTCGTGTACTGGTATGGGATTGCTCTGTGGGTGTCAATGTAACTTATATCTCAACTGTAAAAAAGAGAATGTTCGTTCTGCTAACACATCACCATAGGGCTACTGGCAACCATCCAGCACACCAGAATCAGGAAATCATATGGAATTCAGGGTGATATTGCGTCGGATTGCGTGCGGGCCACTTGCTGCACATGTTGTACATTGATTCAAGATGAGAAGGAGATTCTCAAGCGTGAAGGGCACCGGGCTCGCGCTGCTAGGGAACGCGGGGCCACTTTGATGTCGCCGTATACTGCGCCAGGACCGATGACGTATGGTCCGAAATAGGTGGTGTCAAGCTTGTGTATATAGTTCATGCATTGTGATATAATAGCGTCTCGTTGTTGACTTGATATGTCTATAGTATTTGCATTTGAAAGTTGAAGGTTTTGTTGTTGCATTTGAGATAGAGACTAGATATGAATCGGGAAGCTGGTCTGTAGTGACGATCTGATAGATCATTGATTTTTGTTGGTGCGGAATTATTGTGTGAGGCTGGTAAAATATGATATATCATATTGCCACCTTCCGGTAACTTAAACAGGGTTAAGGGTGATGTCAAGCGATCTTGTTTACCCGAGAAGCAAAACTTGATCAGGAACAGAAGGAAATTGTCCAGTACTGAAAAACAAAAGTAATTCTTTAGACAAAGCTATTGTTCAACTTGGGTTCCATGCGTCAAAATCAAGACCCACTCAATGTGCTCTCTTTCAATGTTGTGACTGATGATCAAAGGTCAAGCTATGGAGTATAAGGTCAACAAAAGAAACGATCAATATCCATCTACTAGTACTGTAGCTACACATTCGCACTTGGGTGGAGCGAGAGCGAGAACGACAGACTTCAGGATATAACAACAGCAGGCCATTGAACATTAGAACTTGGCATGGCATCAACCTAATAGTACCAAGCTCCTCCTAGAACACATCATATCAATTCCATAGTCAGCAGCATTGAAATCTCCACCCAATCCCCCGATCGCCCGATCGGACGAACCAGATAACCGGGCCAACTCTGATCAACTTCGATCCCACAACTGACCCGAGACCAGGGTGATGGGTCCATGCGCCACGTCGATCCAGAGGTGGCTTTTGCCCTCTTCAGCGCTGATCGTTAATACTCCCCCGCATGATTGCTGTCAAGAACGCCATGGTGTTATGCAAGGTTTGTACCGGACGTGGGCCGTAGATGTATAGTACATGTAGGCAATTCATGTTCCGTGTCTGCTATAGCTTACTTGATGCATCAAATCGCGAGGGTGGCAAAAGGGCTGTGTGCGAGTGGTTGTATAGATCTGGAAATGTTATCCCCGGTAAGTCTGATTGTTTATCCTTCTCTATGGTTTCTCCCGGTTGAAGAGTTTGACTAGTTGGAGGACAAAGATGATGATCGTCCGCTTAGATGTAAGGATGGGATAGATCTATTACTTGCCTCGTTTGGGACCTTGGCAACCAATGCCATGGCAGCATTCGGTTTCAATATAGTTGCAAGAAGATCGTATGCATTTAAGACGTGTCTATTATCTCTTCTTTGCTCTCTGGCTCACCTCTCGGGATCGCCTTGTTATATATATTGGATTTTGATTCCCATCACTGCGCGCTGATTTCAGCGTTTCCACTCTTCTTACTCATTTTCGGGGGCTGGTCTTGATTTTATCGGCAACATGGCGGATTCCACGAGCCAGACGGAGCATGGCTATGATCATGATAACTTGCGCCATGTGGTGATTACTGCAACTTGTTTCGCATTCATTTTATCTACCACTGCGGTTGGGTTCCGGGTTATTTCTCGGGGTATCAATGGAAGTGGTCTTTTCGCAGATGATTGGCTTATCATCTTTGCATTGGTGAGATGTTCTTCTTTTGCTTGTGTGGCAATATCTAACCATTGCTTTAGCTGTTCGAATATGGGTTGGCCGTAGCTGGCGTGGTGAGTAAGTTGGACATGACTATAACGAAGCAAATAACTTTTATTTATGAACTACAGTGCTCTACAATGGACTCGGAACACACATCATCTATCTCAGCCCGGAACAGATTGTCACTTACCTCAAGGTAAGACGACTCCCTGTCGGCATCGAAAACAAACGTAAACTAACTAGCCTACAGACACTTTTCACAGGGTCCATCCTTTACACCGGATGCATTGCATGCATCAAACTCTCCATTCTTATGTTATATCGACGCTTGTTCCCAGTCAAATCCATGAAATACGCTGTCAACATCGTGGGTATGATTGTGATCCTATGGGCTGCCTGTGGTATTATTGCTGGATGCTTCATCTGTATCCCAACTGAGAAGCTTTGGCATCCCATGATGCAAGGTGGTTGCATGAACCTGTCCAAGTTTTACTATGGGCTTCAGATTCCAAATATCGCCACTGACGCTATTATCTTGGTAATGCCTATGCACATTGTATGGAACCTTCCTATCTCCAAGGCACAGAAGGTTGGACTGTCTGGTATTTTCGTTCTGGGATTCTTGTGTGTTTCTCCGTCCCTTTCCTGACTCAACATAGCCTTTGACTTACTCTAACATTTAGGACCCTGATATTCGACATCATCCGCCTAGTCGTCTTAGTTCAACTATCCGAAAAGGGCTCAGATGTTACATGTACGCAACACCCCTTTCAAGATGAATACATACGAACTCCAACTGACCAGAAGCAGACGATCAAGTCCCAGCAAGTGTCTGGACATGCATCGAACCAGCCGTTGGAATCGTCGCTGCCTGTCTATCCAACATGCGCCCCTTGTTCAGGTTCATCCATACTAAGGTCTGGACCAAGCTGTCCAGCCGGTATGCCACCACAAACAGCACCAGCCAGTCTACGATGATCAACACTGTCACTGGCCATGAGAAGAGTGGATGGGCGCGTCAGACTCCTAGTCCTGATGCTAACCAGCGGTTTTCTCCTAGCCCCAGTGGTGAGTCTGTTGATTCATCTGATCAGTCGCCATCTCAGTCGCCGAGGCACTTGCCAGAGCATACTACTGCTCATACTCAATCGGCGGTGTAAGTCGATTCTAGCTACATCCATCCAAGTGAACTAGCTTGTCTTCTTCTTTTTCTTCTTCATTATTTCAAATGGGGTGGATTGTTGTTGTTTCTCTCCTTCCTTTATATACTTCTGTTTTGTGATGCATAAGCATGGGGTCAATTTGCTTTGATCATCATGGATGGTAGCAATCCTACCAAATACACGATTCATACACCTCTAGTCTTACCTGGCCTTCTAAAGGTAGTGTGAAACGAAAACATAGCGTTGTATTAGACTTTCATTAATCAATGTCGCTATCTTAAGCTTCTCACAATTCCTTCGTCTCTCAGTCCCCGGCACGGGTGAGTAGACATTGCTTTGTTAGTGAACACACCTTTGTCATGTCGTTGATCTTTACCCCGACGACAGAAAGTTTGAGAATCTTTCAAGAAAGGACATTGGGTATTTATTTCGAGTTAAAAAGGATTGGTTGAGATGTTCTTTCTCGTGTTCTTTGTAATAGTCCTAGCAGGTTTGGTGGGACGACATATACATGCTACCAATAATTCGACACGCTGAGCTCTTGCTGCCAGAAAATATTCAATATACCATTGGACTTGCCTCATACCCCATGATTAATGTTGCTAAAATGATCCAGTCTTTCAATCTGTCTCCTATGATCACATTCCTTTGCCACCTCACCAAAAGTCAAGACGATACACCCTCTCAATCACAGCATCCGCCTATTGTATACAGATTAGCAATACCACACATCGAGTCAATCAACAGGATGACCTGGCAAGAGACTTACGAATCTGAGTGTCGAGTTTTCAAGCACGAACTCACATACTTGACGCACATTCTGAGATACGACCCAAAACAGATAGGAATAGAACACATCCAAGATATCTGCAGACGACTGGCGGCACATTCCTTTCAGGCAGGACAAGTTCTGAAAGCTGCAAATGCCATGTTTGAAGAAGACCAGAACTGTAAATATGTCCGGCGGGGACCGCCTGGATGGTTTGTTGGCGATATTGAGGATTCTGAGATGGAGATTCACTGCTCTATGCTGGAGTATCAACTGTGTAAGAAGGCACAGCAATTTCGCGAGGACCATTCTCTTGATTTGATGATAACTGCGGACCTTGCGATTTTGATTAAAAATTTCGAGAAGGATGTCGGTGTTTGAGTCTAACTGAATGAATAAGCTTACTTTTCATTACCACGAATATCCAGAACATAATTGGATACAGCTGCTGTAAGAATAAACATAGTGGTAGTCCAAACGGGCGCACTCTTAAAAGGAGCGATACACAGATCTGAGATCTATGTGACCAGATCCATGTGACTACACCGCAGATTCACGCAGGGTCTCCGTATATGACTGTAGATCATAGTAGGCGACCCTCCACAAGTCCAACAATGAGACACAATTGGCCCCCGAATGAGCGATTTCCCCCTCCTTTCGGAGCGCCAAGATAGTCAATCCGCGCCCTAAACTCACCACCACATGACTGATTGGGTATGTGCAATGACGACTGACTTCAATGCTCGATTTAAGACTTCTGTCCCCTCAAATGCTTTTTTCTTTTTGTCGCCGCTCGACTCTTGTAAGATGCGTGGACTAGACGAAAGCACTGAAGTACTGATCCGCACTGGCCAGAAAGCCCAGGAGCAAGTGAGACTTGCCTGGGATGGCTTTGTTAACTTTGCCGCGCGGGATAACGTCTTGGAGGTCGCGTTGGGGTTGATGTTAGTTGCTCGACATATCAACTGATTCACACTTATTCTTTAACGGTCTTGCTAACATCTTAGTAGCATCGCAAATGCATTTACAAAAGTTGTGACATCTTTCGTCTCCGATTTGGTCTTGCCGATCGTCTCTCTTCTCCCCTTTCTCAACAGAAACATGGACCAGAAATTTGCCGTTCTCTCCAAAGGTCCTAATTTCAGCCATGAGATAGGGTACAACACCCTTCGGCAGGCGAGAGATGATGGCGCGCTGGTTCTTGCCTATGGGTATGGTACCTCTAAACCCGGGTAATCTATAACAGTCCTTTCTAACATATACTTCAACAGCGTGTTCATCGAGACATTTCTGAACTTCCTAGGTGTCAGTTTGACTCTGTATGCGGTGGGTCATTTGTATATGTTCATCTTTCACAACAAGATCATTAAGCCGACCGTTCGGTGTCCATATTGCAAGCAATACATCAGTGATCAGGTGAGTTTGTTATTTCCATAATCTGCTCTTTGATGACTGATCGGCCATACAAGGCAATTCGCTGTCGTCATTGTGGGACTTGGCAGGATGGAAGGGAAGATGAGCCTAGGAGCGATAGCAGTTCTGTCGACCAACTATTGACAGTGCCATCAATGCCATAGTCGTCTTGGGAACTATATCTCCAAGTAATGATGGTTTCGTAGATTACTTAGATGAACGGCAACTTGATGATCTTATCCGTTAGAAATGCAAAGCAAGAATGCCAAACCCCCAGCTCTCAGAAGTCAAATCATGATATACAATAAGAACGCCATTGCCCGCATTCGGCCAAAAGAACGAGCAACTTATCATGAATCAGACTAATCAAACCAAGGTCTAAAGAACCAGATTACCAAATCAAGCTTTCAGAGGCACCGAATCAGAACGAACCTCAACATCCGCCCTGACCAAAAATGGCTGCAACTCGCTAGGATACCAAACAGCAAAACAAATACCCATCATTCCCAAGCCCATACTCAATAACCCTGAAAACCGACCGAACGAGACTCATAGCACTGACAGTATAAAGACTGAACAAATGCTTCTTCCAAGGAACATCACCCTGCACAGCAGCAGGCGTAGCATTGAAACCCATCCGCTTCGCAAAGAGAATGGCAGTGGTAAGGAACAAGACAAAGGTAGCAATCTACAAGATCAATCCAGCCAAAATGATCCACTGGCCCATTTTTGTCAGGCTACTCTCGGCCATCATGCCGCCACCACCACCCTGGATGAAGAATGTGATAATGTCGCAGCTGAGAAATATTTTTGTGACGAGGTTTGTCCGGATTGAGGAGTACTTTTCGCCGTTAACGCTGCGGATTATTCGGGTTAGGGCCATGTAGACGGCGGTAGCGAAGAGGGTTGGTGCTAGGAGGGAGAAGATGCTTTGGGTGATGTAGGGCATCAGTTTGCCAGTTTGGTTCGTGCAGGCTGCTCGAGCGGCGTAGCCTATTAATTCAACTATTGAATTGGGGCGTTGGCATGATATGGTGTGGCAGGGGAAGATTGATGATAGGATGAGATCTTGGGAGATCGGATGGAACTCACATAGTCCGCCAGTTGCAAAAGGAATGGGAAATCGGACTTTTGTTTTGAACAGTTTCCAGAAATGGACGGCTGTGATTGCGAAAAACAGGACGGCGAAGATCACGGATGCTGCTATGGAGGGGACATAATGCCAGACGTAATAGCCGCCCTTTAATGGCTCTAACTTGGTCCATTTTGGGTGAAAGGTGTGACGACTGAGAGGATCAAGTAGGAGGTGTTCGAATAACGTAGTAGACCCGATATGATGTGGGGAGTTTGCCAATGGATGGGTTGAAGTGAATGTTAATCTAAGAAGTAGAGGGCCCAAAATGATAGGTAACAACAGACTTCTAGGCTTCTAATACCTAGCACCATTATAGTAGCATTGGCGAGCCCCCGAGGGTGCAGTAGCTTCAGACTCATAATATAGATCGTTGATGTCGGATACGCGGGGCATCAACCTATAACTGCCCATGCGAGACTTGGATCCGTAGCATCGCAGTCTAGTCTATAATTCCCAGCGACAATTGCTGGGTACAGAATGGAATAGAATGAAAATTTTATTTGATACAGATTTTGATATGTTAATTAGATGTACAAGAGGTCTATGGCATAGTCATTTAGGGTACCAGACCGTATCCAAATGTGTCTACTTCTAAATTGAATAGTATTCATATTCTATGAGATCTTGTGCCGCCGGATCATCAGTGCTGCGGCGGGAAACGCGACGACTCGCAGCCTTAAAGTCCAATCCGCCGGACCAAACAGTATCCCATACCGTTGGTTTCCTTAGCATACTGTTGATACCGAGCATGCCGAAGCGGAAGTCAAGAAAGGGTTGACCCGGACCGGGGTCAGACGGCAGCCGCAAGAAATGACGAACACTATCGGGGATCTCATCAGGCACATGACTGATCACGAGCAACGACTGCGCTTTCGTGAGACCGTTGAAACGGTAGGTTGGCTTTTCGTTACGTTGAACTGCTAGACGTGCCAGGCGGGGCCTCTCGCCGCAGTCGATGAAGTCTATGCACTTGTCACGCTGCGTAGAAGACATACCGGAAAAAGCCTCATCGAGAATGACAATGTCGGGTCTATGGACAAGGGCCCGTATGAGGAGCACGATGCGCTGTTGCGCAGTGGTGAGTTCGCCAAACCGGATATCGTCTGCATAGTCGCAATGGTGTTCAGGTGGGATATATCCTCTCTTGGAACCAAGCTGAGGAGGTTTTGGAATACTGGGGAATATCTGGGTGCTGACTTCTGGAACCTCACTCTGGGTAGCAGCCGGGTCAAGCTCAGGTTGGAAGTGTTTGAGGACTGCATTGACGTCTAGGTCAAGTTCGATGTTCAACTTCGGTTTTGAAAGAAAGGTCTCGGAGAATGCTGATTCCACCGCCTGGCGAACTGTTAGTTGCCGAGGGAAAAGGGCATGGATTTCTGGTGATGAGTGACCAATGCGGGACTGCAGTTCGAAAATTGAAATTCCGGGCTTGCCAGGTTCCGGAAGCCTAGATCGCCCGAAGAGTTTGACAGGCTGTGCATAAGTTTGTGGATGGTCAGAGGTAATCATGGAGACTAATGTTGTCTTTCCGGATCCGTTGGCACCGATAATGGCCCAACGTTGTCCCCGGCGCACCCGCCAGTGCAAACCGTTGACATTTTTATTGTTCACTTGTTGCGACCAATTGCCAAGTACTGGTTTGTCACCATACTGGACATGAACACCATCCATCTCTATAATGGGTTCTCCACCAAGATACGTCGCAGGTTCCCGTCCGTAGGGGTGTTTTGATCCGCCCGTCAAGCTTTGGAGGAGATCTGGATCTAAGACACCGGTTTCCATATCCGTTTTCATCTTCTGAAAGGCAATATTTTGTTCATGGGTGAAATTCATTGGTGCATGTGACTCTGAAAAGTGACTCCAGACTTGAAGGATTTCGTCGACCTCTGACTTTGGACCCTGCACAAGAGCTTGATGGTGATTTCCTAGGATCATTTTATGTGTGATCCAGTCGGGGATTTTGTCTTGTGGGCGCAGAGCCAAGATCAGTCGTGGTGATGATTTTTCTGCAAAATTATGGAGCAGACCCGAAATGCTCCTGACTGTCGCAGGATCCAGACCCACTGCTTGATGTTAGAATACACGAGAATTTTCCATGGACAATGTTTACTCACTGAATGGCTCGTCAAGGAGAAGCACTTCCGGCCTTCTCAGCAATGCTTTGGCAATTCGTGCTCGACGGGTTTGGCCGTTGCTTAAATTCGCGACTGGCATCTCCATCAATGGTGTGAGGTGTAGACGGGAACAGATCTTCTTAAAAGAATCTTCCTTGGGAATCAGGCCGGCATTCTCACCCTCCATGGGGTTCAAGGAGGTCTGTCCCCGCAGGTACTGCTCAACAGTCCAATCGGTCTCCTCTCGGTGACTCTCATAGCGAGCACTGAGGTATGCGCCACGGCTGCCGCCAATTGCTTCTGCGCCTTCCGCATTGAATCCAATATATCGGATCGCATTCGACACGGATCGTAGACGTGGGTCTTTGGCGGCGACCTTGTTCAGCAGAAGGTACGGATTTGAGCGCGCGTTGGCCGGAAGGCAGACGTGCTGGCCACGGAGGATGTGAAGAAAGTCGGTCTTTTCGGAGGGACCAATTATAGCCCAATGCTGTAGGCTTTCGCCGTCTTTTTTGGATGTGCGTTCGGAGGGCAGTGTAAAGTTCAAGTTGGGGAACAGAGGAGGATTGGACGACGGGTCTTCGACGTCGGTCGGGTATCGCTTGTAGAAGGTACCATTTTCGATGCGAATGACGGGATTTGTAGATGTGAACCGAGTCGGGCGAAAGGCTGCCAGGCGCAGGACCCTTGGCCGCAATGTTGTTCTCAGCACCATCGTCAGGCGAACAGTCATAGAGAAGACTCGGAGTTACGGCGATAACATTGGCATGGCACGTGACCATACAGCTACTCTCCGTATACGGCTCTCGAAGTATACGAGGTATACAGAGGATATTTCTAGAATCATAGACAAATCAATACATCGGTTTTTAGAAAGTAATCAGCCTCATAGAACAGAAAATACAATATCCTTAGATATATATACTGGCCACGTGAGCAGTCCTACTTCCACTTCTAGAGCAACTATCTATTGGAACATATCAGAATATTCACAGTCATAAAAAATGATTCAACGATAGCCGAGTTCTGTACCTCTGTACTAAACAAAACCCATCCCCAACTCGAATATAGCCAGGTCAAATCCACTCACATGACCCATCGGATCTCCGCATCCGAAAGTATTCTCCGGGCCGAGCTTCGTCGGATCTGCATGGGGAAGTGTGTGTTAGATAGTTGAACATTATTTGTATTCAAGTCGTAACTGGATTTGTACCTTCAATGAATGGAAACAAATGTTCCAAGCATTGTACCGTGGTCTAAAATTATGCTATTCAAAAAATTAATGTAAACATCGTATTTCATAGTTGAGCCGACGCGGGTGTGGCGACCCGACGGCCAATTCCCCGGGACCCGAACATCGTCATATATAATACACTAGAAATGAACTTCTTCCTTTCTCTGTTTGCTTCTACCAAATTCTGATCTTCTGAGTTGATCATCAAGCTTGGCCGCGACAACATTTGTCATACATCTCAACATCACAAACATGACCGGCACCAGGTATTCCCCGGTCCTTGAGACCAGTCGCATCTTCTCCGATCTTTGTGAACAGGCAGAGCGCTTTGACTTGCCTCCGGAGGTGCTCGCAAACAAGGATCGCGTGTCTTTCTCCACCAGTCATAATGAGATCTACTTCCCCATTCCATTCAAAGAAACCGAGACCCTTGCCGCACTGAAGGGTATCGAAGGCTCCGTCGCAGCCGCTATTGCGGATCTCCGCTTTGGCGCTGGATCATCGCCTCGCGGCGTTCAGGTCAGCCTTGAAGGTGCAACTGCCTTCGGATGCCAAGCATACATGGCCAAAGTGGCTGGTCTGTCTAAGTTGGACCCCAATGTGAAGTCGAAGCTCAAGAGTACGTATTACATATCATTTGCTCGAGAAAGATGATATTAACTTAATATAGACACCGATCTTCTGTCTGCACAGTCTAATGGTTACCGCCGCATGTCGGCTAACCTCTACAAGACCAAGAACCCGGACGAATTCTTTCATATTCACGGTTCTCTGGAGGCTACGACTACTTTGAACATGATTGGGCTAGAAGGGGAGCGTCCAGATTTAACTGACTACGAAGAGATCATCAAGGTCATTGAAGAGAAGGTGCAGAAATACACTACCTCTGAGCTTGAGGTGATGAACAAGGAGAGACGCCAGGCTGGTGTGACTGCCTACAAACACGAAGACTTCATCAAGACTCCCCACGTAAGTTTGGTTTCTAGGAAGAGCACTAGAGATGAACTAATGATCATGCAGGGAAAACTCAATGTGCAAGAGCCCGCATGGAAGGTCAGCCGTCTGCCAGGCAACCTCCCCCCAACTCCATTCCAAGCTGCTCCCAGCGACAACAAGAAGATTCTCAAGGGCGTCAAAGTGCTGGAGATGTGCCGTATCATCGCAGGCCCCACTGTTACCCGTATTCTCGCTGAATACGGCGCCGATGTGTTGAAGATTACCAGCCCCAGCCTTTCAGATGTACCCTTCTTCCAGGTTGACGGTAACATGGGCAAGCATGCCGCAGACCTTGATCTGAAGGCCGAGGCCGGACGCAAAGAGTTCGAGAAGCTTCTTGATGATGTCGACGTTATTGTGGATGGTTACCGCCCCGGGGCCCTGGACAAGCTCGGATACGGGGCAGAGGCAATGGCAGCTTTGGCCGAGAAGCGCGGCAAGGGTATCATCTATGTGAACGAGAACTGCTTCGGATACGAAGGCGAGTGGGCCGGCCGGGCTGGATGGCAGCAGATTGCCGACTGTGTAAGTTGCCATCATTTCTTTACCCTCGAAGCCCCAAGTATAGCAAACTAACTCAAATCACAGGTCACCGGTATCGCCTGGGCACAAGGCAAATTCATGGGACTCTCCACCCCCGTTGTTCCCCCCTTCCCAATCTCCGACTACGGAACCGGCTGCATGGGCGCCATCGCCGCCCTGACCGGTCTCTACCACCGCGCCAAGACCGGCGGTTCATTCCACGGAAAGGCCTCCCTGATGCACTACGACCTTCTCCTCTTCGCCATGGGCCAGTATCCCGAAGATGTGCAAGAGGAGCTGCGCTCAGTGCAGTCGGCTGATTTCTTCAAGCTGCGCCACTGTGATAGCGTTGACCGTATTTCTTCGACTGTGTTGAAGAGCATGCATGAGCGTTTCCCTCACTTGTACCTGCCTGCTGGACCTGAGTCGGAGGGTCGCAAGCCTCTTACTGAGTTGTGGTCTTCTGGTGCTTATGGTGCTGATGTTGAGGTTGTCAAGCCTGTTGCTGTTATTGGAGGCGTGGATAATCAGTTTGTCCGCTCTAGTCGTCCTAATGGCAGTGACCGTGCTGTCTGGGAGGACTTTAATGTTGCTGAGGGAGATGTTAGGAAAGCATAGGTTATGTGTCTTTCTTTCTTTTTCTTTACTGCTTGATTGCAGGAATGCATTGTACATAGTCACGGCTGGACTGGATATAAAATCTTACGACATATTCTTATTAGCATATCACTTTCCGCGAACGGTATGAGGACGCCTTTACGCCATCAATAGTTTTTTTTGGTGAATTATCGTAGAAAGAAGGACTGTTCATGATGTACACCACTTGGTTAGCGTCTTGCTATATACAAAAACCAAAGCCCAGCCCACAATTCTAGAAAAATGTGTCTATAGATCTATACCAGCCAGAACTCGTAAACGAAATCACCAACCCTTCCACGGAACCCAAGTCTCCCTAACAATATCATCCCCATCAACAACATAGTACGCAAAATGCATAGCGGCAGTGATACAAGCATGCTGGATATAAAGTAGAACCTTATCGCCAACTGTAAACGCAGTCTCAATATTCTCCCCAGCAGTCGACTTTGATCCAACCTTCTCAACAAGTTGACTAGTCTGCTCGGAGTCCGCCCAACCGAGAATCCCATGCTCTTGTGCCATACGTACAACACTCCACTGGGGCCGATCAGTCACAACCGCATACCCAGGGAATTCACTCGTCTCTTTCGAAAGAGCGACTGTTCCCGCATTGATAAGTGCTTCATCGCGTTCTGGGTAGATACTGCAGACATCCGCTAGAATTCGCACTGCTTGTTGCGATGGCTCAACAAGGGACGTTGCTACTTGCTGGAGGTCATTCGTTGGGTAATTTCCTGAAAAAGAGTTGTTAGCCTACCCCCTTTCTGATTCTCGGGATTGCATACCAGCATGCAACTCCAAGTCCATCCCCTCAGGCAAAGCCCCTTGCAGCCTCTTAACAACATGCGCCGTAGGCGTTGATCCAACAGAAACAACAATCTTCCGTTCAAGCTTCCCATCAACTAAGAATCGTGCCGCGTTAACAACACCCTCCACTTCAGTCTGCAAGACCGCAGCAGCAGCATCTTCTGTGCGGCACGCATAAGAGTGACCAGCGTGACAATAGAATCCATAAATAGAAGCCGAGGATGACGACTCGGCACGTTGAATCAATTCTGGTAGCGAGGGTGAATCATTAGCCATTCCTGCGCGCTTGGATCCGACATCGATCTTGATAAAGACCGGCCATGCCACTGTCGACGATGATTTAGATGCAAATGAGTCGAGAAGATCTATTTGTTGTTCACTATCGATCATCAGGATAATTTTGAGGCTTCTCGTTAATTCTTGCAGATGAGGGAGGGCGCTGTTAGAGATTGGGAGGCCGTAGAGGCACTTGGTATTGTTAGCCTTTTTTTTTTTTTTTGTTTTTTATTCAGTCGGGGAACTGAATGAGTAGAATTGGTCGCTTCACTTACTTCGTCTAGTTTGCCTTCCTTTACCAGATCCAATGCTCCCCGGATCTCGCTTAATGTCGAAGCGACTATCTGGCGGTGCTCGCCATCACCGAGCATCATGCGCGTCACTTCTGCGCACTAAAAGTTCGATGCGATTAGTATATACTTTCATGCTCTCAATTGACAGAGGGACACACCTTCAGAGTCTTAACATGAGGCCTAAAGGAGATGCCGAGCCGTTTGACATCATCTAGCAGGATCTTGGTATTCCGCTCTAGAACGGGCTTGCTGAGGATCAGAGAGGGAGTAGGAAGCTCGCAGACCGGACGGCCAATATAGGAAGCGTGGTTCTGCAGGGAATAGTCCATTTTTACAGGGGTTGGTAGTCGAAAGTATAGGGGTCGGAATTGTGCCTCCCGGGTTTATATCTGGAGCCGTGGTGGGGTTGATAACGGGCGTGGGGGTATGGGGGGTTTCTGCGGGGGCATGGGGGGATGGTTGCAATGGCATTTCGATGGGATTGGAGTTTAAGGTTGCAATTAGCAAATGTTGCATTTTTGGAGCTGGGTTTTTTGGTTGTTTGATATGCATAGCGTGGGAGGGGGGTTGGATCTGCATGCGATGGATTGATATAGAAGCGCATGGCCAAGCATGATATGAGCAACGGATAGTTTGAGAGTGAAATTTGAGAGTGAGTTTTGAGAAACTGTTGATCAAAGCAAGTATGAAGGTGAAGTTTCGATTACTATATCACTCGATATACGTACTCTAACTGTGTCTGAGCTATCAGTGCCGTATTCGAAGAATGATCAGCGCCTCCAAGCACCATGTTAACTATTTGTCTCGATACCTTTGCGAACTACACATTCTCACCTCCTCCATACCAAAGACGACCTCTCCGAATAACCAGGCCCTTGTCCTGACCAACAACCCATTCACCTTTTGCAGGTTGATTCCCATCAGTCTGGGGCCAGTATATGGTTTCCAACTTCTTATTGACTTCGCCAATTTTATCAACTAGCATTTTCACACGTAAATGATCAACATGTCCAGAGACTTGGAATCCATCCTGAGTAATAAAGCGCGCGATTGTAACATGCGCCGAAGGAACAATATAGCGCGAAGCAACCGGGATACCAGCTTTCCGGACCATGTCAAAGATATCCCGACGAAGATGATGATAAGTATATTGATCATCATGACCACTGGATTGGTCTGTCGAGGATTCTCCTGCGGCAGGAGCAAAGCTCAGTGCCATTGCTGAAGAGTCGAAGCTCACCATAGGCTTCAAAAGACGTGATTGGTGAGAAATCGGGTGGTCCGAAAGCTGTGACAGGGTGATTGCAGTGGAAGTCTTGAGAGTTTGAGCGAGATCTTCAATTTGAGTTTCCGTCAAAGAATGAGCCACTTCCAAAATTGTTGTGTGCAGGTTTTCAGCGGGCATAAGCCAAAGGGCTATTGAATCGCGTGAGTGAAGTGATTAGCAACCTATAAGGCTTGGGTGAACTTACAGGGGGCAACGTCCTTCAATTCACTTTGGACAAAGGAGATGATATCACAGATATGAGGAGGAGGCCTGGCCCAGATGACAAGGCAATTGCGAGGATCGAGGAATTCTTCCTCTTTCGCAGGGCCATCGAGTCTCATGAGAATCTCGTCCAAAGACCAGCCCGGGAAGTCTTCCGCTATGATTTTGGTCCTTTGCTGCTCGTTTCGATTCATTCGGTGCGTCTCATAGCGTAATTGCAATTGAGCCTTTGAAGGAAGGAATTAGATCAAAGTATCTCTTCAACCCCTGAGATCGGTTCACTCACCGGGTCATCATTTGACTCCGCAATCAGAACCTGGAAAGGGTTGTCTTCCGAAATAGGTAGAGACATGGCCACTGACTATCGGCTTTGAGTATACCCTGGATCAAAAGGGTCCAATATGTTACTGATATACTTCCTTCGCCAAGACTAATTTCCCGGTGCCGAGTGAATAACGTGACTCATGTTTCAGAACTTCCCCCTTTCCCCAGATAGGATCGTTTCAGCATCTTTCACCCCCGGGGATACTATAAATGTCCCTTTTGGCCCCACTTTACCGACCCTGAAGGGCGCAGTCGCCGCGTCACCTCGAATGATTTATAAGCCGAAAGACGGCAGCAATGACAAGACGGTGGTGATGAGTGAGAATAATGAGAAAGTACAAGCGAGATTTGGATAGAGCAAGCTTCTGTGATTATTAACAACGACAGCATCATACTTGCCCTGGCCGAGGAATGACCGTGGCGCTTACAATTCGCTTTTGTGTACATTAATGCATCACCCAAGTAAAGAGATAGGAGACCTAGTGACAATTTGCATAAAACACCCAGTCCGGTGAAACCCTAGCCTTCTGTTTTGTTATAAGAGAAAAAAGATCGGTCAGCAAGAAGGATTTGAAGCAGCTCGAAAGGCCGCCATGCCTAGCCCATCTTATCAACAATTCATCCTTACAAGAAGTTTCTGCCAATGACTTTGATGCTTGGTGAGTTGTAACCTGGCAGCTATAACTTATCTAAAGACAAGCCCTGAGAAATGTCTCGAATTCATCACACATCCCCTTGGGACACTCTCGTTCAAAACAAATCGCTTGGCAATCAAAGGCCACTATCTGTGACGCAGAGCAATATAAAAATCTCAAACTTGAACCGTGGGGCAAAACCCCGATCAAAGGGTGAATCTGAACGATTAACTTTGGGTCTGGACCGCATGGAGGAATAGCTGCGACAAAGCTGCAGCATCCCTGCAACTGAAATTCGAGAACCAATAACATGCCACGATCAATCCCATGTCTATCTCTGCAGATGTTAGCTTGCAGCCTCTTGCAGCCCCGGAGATCTGCAAGCCATAGATCGTTATAGACTATCACCCGTGTTTATTTAGTGGGCTCTGATTTGACCATGCTCTGTCATATTCGCGACACCTCCACGGTTCGTGGATATATCTATATTTTTGCCTTCAGCCCTAGATCCAGTTTTCACCCGAATCCACTTTCTCGTGGCAGAATCCAGTTCCAATATTCAAAATGAACACGTTTGGACCATACCCTCAACCGAAACAATTTGTGCTATGTTTTGATGGCACAGGAAACAAGTTTGCTGGTGATGCATCCGACACAAATCTCGTCAAGATCTATCGCGTGAGTTATCCATAGCACAATTTCCTCAACCATCCTCCCCAAACCCTAACCCTTCGCAAATATAGATGCTAGATCGGAGCCAAAGCCACCAATACCACTACTACCAACCCGGGATTGGAACATACGTAACAAGCAACCACTTCGGCGGAAAAGGCAGACTCGAACGCATCAAGTCCTCCTACAAGAAAGCAAAAGATGCAGCCTTGGGCTCCTCCTTTGACGAACACGTGCTGGGCGGATACAAGTTCCTAATGCGGTACTATGCCCCAGGCGACAAAATCTATTTCTTCGGCTTCAGCCGCGGCTCCTACACTGCACGCTTCCTAGCAGAGATGTTAGATTTCATCGGCCTCCTGCAACCGGGCAATGAAGAGATGATTCGGTTTGCGTGGAAGACTTTTGCGAAGTGGCAGCAGCGACGAGATAGCACGGCGCAGGACCATGAAGAGCGACATCGGCTTTTCATGTTTATGAAGGCTTTTCGGGAGACGTTCAGTCGGCCTGTTGGACGGATTCGATTTTTGGGGTTGTTTGATACGGTTAACAGTGTGCCTATCTTTGAAAATGCTTGGATGGAGAGGAGTAAGTTTCCTTATACGGCGCAGAGCTCAGCGAGGGTTATTCGGCATGCTGTTTCTATTGATGAACGGCGGGCGAAGTTTCGGCAGGATTTGCTTTATGAGATTCGACCGAAGGTGCGAAAGGAGAAACATTCGCATTCGCTTGGGTTGAGACATCTCTTGTCCCGTGAGGATGACCAGGGGAGTGAGAAGGTTGATGTTCCTGAGAATGAGAGGGAGTTGGCACAGATTCCAAGATGCGGGTCTACGAGGGTTCTTAATGAGGGACAGAGATATCGTGGACATACGCCTTCGTCTAATAGGCATGTCAGTGTCGAAGCGCCGAGAATGGGAAACTTGCTCGGTGACGGTGTTTCAATGAGAAGTGGTGTCTCCGGTGCCTCTCTTCAGCTTTCCCATCTTCATGTACCAAGCGAGACTGGGGACGATGATAACGAGCAGGATGTGGCAGAGGTATGGTTCCCAGGACAACATGGTGACGTTGGAGGTGGTTGGGTCCTCAATCCAAAAGATCCCTGGCCGCTCAGTCATATTCCACTTGTGTGGATGGTCAAGGAGGCTCAACTGGCAGGACTCGAGTTTGATCCAGAGAAGCTCGAACGATTCAATTGCCGCGATGAGACTTTCGAGCCACTCCGAGCTTCAGAAGAAACCAAGCCGGATATATATCGTGATGTACTTCAACAAACAATGGACCGGGGCATCGTGCATGACACTCTCACCTATGGCGGTGGTGTTTCAGTATTGTCAACTCTGTCATGGCGGTTGATGGAATACCTCCCTTTCCGAAGAATGGACCTGCAGCCGGACGGATCCTGGAAGCCAATTCGTTGGCCTCTTCCCTGTGGAGAGGTGCGTGATATTCCGGAAGATGCTCAAATTCACATCTCTGCTATATATCGTATGGAGATTGATCCTACGTATCGACCTGGGAATCTGATCATAGGTGGAGGTGGAAGGAGTCTCAAACGAGCTCCTTCGAGATATGGAACCGGGAATTGGCAAGTCTGTAAGCATGAGGGTGATTTGGTTAGCCAGACTTATGTGCGAAAAATCGGTGATCTTTGTCAAGATGGTCATTCATAACTTTTTTGGGCGTGCGTGGGTGGAAATATATTGTTCATGTCATTTGTGATTTTTTTTTAGATTTCTAACCTGGACACAAGATTTCAAGGCTTCACGTTCAACGGACTGACAAAGGAAATACGCTTGACAACGGAAATCCGTAATCAAAAGACGCTAATAATGAGATAGAAATACCGACTCCGCAGATGCAAACTCCAAAAATGTAGAAATGATGATAAAAATGCTAGCGAAGACTCCAAAGATGCGGTACTGGGTAATAAGAAATGAAACGTGCTCGCTGGAAAAAGGCAGGAATAATCAGATTCCCTCGCCACGAAGAAGACGCCGAAGAATTCCCTCGCCAGGTCCGACAATCTGACTCTCAATTTCCTTCTGGGAGACGAAGCAAACAAGACCTTGTTCGTCTAGCGCCTTGTGTGGTGTTGAAGGAGCATGGCCAGACTTGGAAGGTGTACGACGAATATCTGTGCCGCCAGCCACAGTTCCACCGCGGCCACGGCCCTGGTACTCACCAACCAAGCCCATGGTTTCCAAATTGCTGAGAACATCCTTGAACTCGGTGGCAGTCAGAGGGTGGAGGATGTTGTCATTGCGGCACAACGTACAGTACGTGTCGAAAGCTTGTTTCACAGTGGGTGCTGAAGACCGCGACTTTGACGGTGTGCTTGGGACCTCAAACTGGCGACGTTTCCGTTCAAGTGCGATCAAGGAACAGACTGCAGCTTTTTGCTGCAGGTTCAAACTTTGAAGTCTTTGGACAGTGCCCTGACCGAAGGCCGCGGAAGTAATGCGGGCAATATGCGCGATGCTGGCTCTGGGCGCCGTGATGACTGTGTAGCTTGATATTGACGTTGGCTTCGGGGCAGCACCTCCTTTGACGGGCGATGAAAGATTGGTGTTTTCCGCCAGGATCGATACATTATCAGACTCCTTGGCTTGCTTCTCCAGCTTTTGCAAAGTCTCCTGTTCAATGACATCGATTGCCCGCTTGATGAGCTCGAAAGCCTTTCGCAAGTCACCTGTCTGAGAAGCTACCTTCTTCGAGCAAAGCTGGATGGCAGCCGGCTGAACGAATGGAACAAGCTTTGGGTCGGACTCTGTCCCCGGAGGGAGCAATGATCGAAGACGATTGGTCATAACATTCGCGATAGATGTTGCGCTGTACGGCAAGAATGGTAGCAAGCGAGGCTTCAGATTCTTGGCCTTGAGTTGTGGGAGGGAACGGTCGGTCAAATCCAGGGCATTAGCGATACCGATGAGCATCAGTTTAGAGTTATTAAGCAAGGACCACTCAAACAGAGACTGCAACACTCCAGAATCTCCATTAAGTAAGTGGTCAATCTCATCCAGGGTGACCAAGAACATATCCTTTGCTTTCTTGGACGGAATGAACATGGACTTCAAACGATCCGCCTCGCTCTTCTTGAACACATCCGTGTCCTCGCAGAAATCTTGGACGAGCTTGCTGTAGACGTCTCTCGACATTCGCATGCTTGCGCAGTTGACATGCGACACTCGTACTTCCGAAAGGTCGAGGTCCGCGCATACTTCCTGGACCATGGCACTCTTTCCGGTGCCAGGAGGACCACTGACGTAAAGACAGCCTCCATTGCGCGTTTCCACACCCTCTTTGATGAAAGAGACCAACTTCTCTCTCTCTGCGTCTCGTCCCACTAAGCGACCGGAGGTAGCACCCCGAGCGAACAGTTGTCTTGCTTGAGAGTACACGGTTTGCTGCGTGATCGTCGGAGTGGCACTCTGTCGAGGGGTCGGCGGAAGATCTGCATGGCGGGGAGTCCGCGGCGTTAAAGCCTTTGCGCCCACTTGAACCCGATGTCTGGGTGTGACCGGAGAGTGTGGTAAGGCATCTCGGAATCGTGATTTCGAAGGTGTCTTGAATTCGGCGGGCTTTGTAGGTTCTTCTGCGCATATTAATAAGTCACTGTTCGATAATTTCCACTCCTCAAAGACTTCGACTCACCGTCCACTGATTCTGGGACTTGCAGATGTGTCTTACGTTTGACTGGAGACCGCGGCTCGTCATCTGGGAGGGTGTGCTTGGAAACATCTGAGACAGTGTTCTCTTTGCTGTTCTCTTGATCGGATTGTTCAACAGCCTTTTTTACAGTCGACCTCGTCCGTCGTAGTGGCTGAGCGGGAGGAGATTCTTTGCGGGATCGGGGGGCAATTGTTCGGCGCTTGCTTGCGGTGCGCACCGGCAATCCTGAAAAGTTTAGAGTGAGAAAGAAAAACGGAAGGTAGAATGGTCTTACCTTCTTCAGCGCGAGAGCGCTTTCCCAAGACAGTCCCAGCCATATCAAATGAAGGAGCGATGAGTGAAGAATGGCAGGAACCGAGATAGGAAGTGTAATTAATGTCTCGCGTCACGCGTCGCGCGTACTACGGCGGGGATTTCCAGCCACACGTGCACCTTAGTCAGCCGCGTCACTGATTTCCCCGGTTGTTCAGGTCAGCCTTACAATTTTCTTGAACTTGACTCGATCTTTTCAATTTTGCTTTGTCTACTCAGTATTAGCCTGCAGGTTTTGCAAGTGGCGAATATAGAGTTTGCATCATTTGCACTGCATCCACGCTCCCCTCACACAATCTCCCGGAGTCTCCACACATACCCGTTAAGCTCTCTGATATCAGAGCGGCCTCATTTGACTTCTCACTCTATCACCAACCCTCTCTTAAGCAAAGTTTCCTACGTCGCCCACAATGGATAACGACGTAGTAGCTCAGTTCACTGAGATCACCAGCTCCACGCCGGAGCTGGCCATCCAGTATCTGCAGATCACTGAATTTCAAATCGAACAAGCGATGCAGCTCTATTTCGAGAACGGAGGTGCTCCCCTGACCGCTGAACCCCCTCAAACTACCGCACCAGCCGGCTTCTCGGGCTCAGGCCAGGAGGTGGTGAACATCGACTCCGACTCCGATGACGAAACCACATCCGCAAACCGAGTCCACCACCCCACCATGGCAGCTGGTGGAGGGACATTTGACGACGACGAAGCGATGGCTCGACGACTCCAACAAGAGATGTACGGGGGTGGCCAAGATAATGAAGACGAAGTGAGGGCGCCCATGGCACGGACGACAGAGACTTTGGTGGGGCCCGGTGCGGACGACTTTGGCAGTGGTGAAGACATGCACACGGATATACTAAGCCAACTCCGAGCTCGTCAACGTGGCGGTGGGTATTTCAGAAGCAAATGAACTGCTGAGCTTCAACTGACAACTTTGTAGGTCGCGCCGGTATCTTCAACCAGAGAGAATCCTCCTCAATATGGACCGGCGGGGAAGACAGTCGTCGCGAAGAACTTTCTGCCGCCACCGGAGGCGCTTCGGAAGCCTCATCCAAGTCCAATATGCTCGCTGAAATGTACCGTCCTCCCTTCGAGATCATGTCCCGCCTTTCTTGGGACGTGGCGCGAGACGAAGGAAAGGAAAGTCAGAAATGGTTGATCGTCAATGTTCAAGATGCCTCAGTCTTTGACTGCCAGGTCCTGAACCGTGATTTGTGGAAAGACAAAGGCGTTCAAGAGACTATTAAAGAGCATTTCATTTTCCTTCAGTACTCGAAGGATGACCCTCGAGCATCTTCTTACCTCCAGTACTACTTCCAAGGAAGCGATGTCTCCGACAACTACCCCCACATTGCCATCGTCGACCCGCGAACTGGTGAACAGATGAAGGTTTGGTCCGGGCCACCTTTGGTGAAGCCCGCTGATTTCCTAATGCAACTTCACGAGTTCCTCGATCGGTACAGTCTGAACCACAATGTACGCAACCCTGTGGCGAAGCGGAAGTCCGACAAGAAGGATAAGAATGTGGATGCAATGACCGAGGAGGAGATGATGGAGATGGCCATGAGAAACAGTCTTGGAGCAGCTGCCTCTGGTCAAACGGTTGAAGACCCTGACGACCTCACCCGCAGCACAGAAGATGTCAAGGGCAAGGCTCGGGCAACTGAAGATATGAATATGGATGAACCGGAGGAAGCTGGTGAAGTCTCTGCATTCACAACAATCCCTAGTGACCAACCGCATGTTGAACCAGCCAATGACCCAGCCACTACTACACGCATTCAGTTCCGTCACCCATCTGGCAGAGTCATCCGCCGCTTCGCAGTTTCAGACCCCGTTCAGCGTATTTATGAGTGGCTCAAGGCGGAACCTCCTTTGGAGGATAAGGCTGGCGTGGAGTTTGAGCTGAACAACATGGGTCGCAACATGATCGACCAACTCAGTACAAGCATTGCAGATGCAGGACTGAAGAACGGTACTGTCAACATCGGATATCTGGAAGAATAAATATGATCTCTTCGTCTTTCAGTCCCATCGCGCGTTGCAGCCTTTTCTTTGTTTCGGCAAGGCGTTGATGGAAGTGATTTGGATCCTATGGGGTCTCAGCTTCGTTTCCAAGGATTTTTTTCCCCATCGCAATGAACCAGCAATCTGTATCTCCTGCTATTCTCAGCATGGGGATACCTTCTGAGAATATAGAGCTGCGAAGCTTAATTGCAATCAATGCCATGAATCATGATACTGAATGTCTACACTCGTAAGCCTTGCATACTTTCAACGAATGGCACAGACTGGGAATCGATAAAAATGACATTTCCTATTAATATTTCCCTATGGCGCGTGCCGCTGTCCAAGACATACATTCAAGGTGATTGCGTCAGCTAGAATACTTGTTTGAGACGACATATGCTCGTTTGAGGCCCCTACCCGGGGAATACTCTAACTTAATACATGCGAGCCTATGTCAACCGCATCACGACAGATATTCTTCTTCAAATCCAGTCCAGTCCTGCAGTAAATTAGACAGGCGTAGGAAGTTATATGTCAACTTTGCTTGCGTAACAATTTACATGGCTGTCTTGCCATTAGGATGTTTGATTGAGGGAGACAAATATACCGACAGGCTTCGCCGCCTCAATGTAATATGTGCACACCAAATAGACACAAGCTCAAGTTTGAGGCCTCGTTTGGAAAAGAGACAACGAAACATCAACAAACACGAGTGGAGACAATAGTTCTCACCGCCTCGATAAGCGGCGGCAAAATGAACCCCCGCGTCGATAAACAAGGGCATCTTCAACGTCTGAGAAGGGTTGGGCAATCTCGCTTGGCCTGTATAGTTCGATTATCCTCTAATAAGCGATATACCCCACAATTGGCTAAAGTGCACGTATCCCAGGCACTTTCCCGTCTCGTATCTGCCGCCGTCAGCCTTATCAACGTTCTTGCGCTACTCTACGTCCGCAAACCGCCATACTTCAGTTCCTAACCCTGTTCTCGAACGCCGTGAAGCTCTCTGCTTTTTGACCTTGTATTCTCGCATCTGTAACGGTATGTCACTGAGAAATCAACGCTCGTCGCAGATTGTTCTTGATCAGTCAATCAACCGCCTTGCTCCCTCGCATGATCGCCCGGCGCCTGCTAACGAGCTTGTCAGTGAACAGACTACTCCCCGGAGCCTATTTCCGCATCTCGGTGCTAGCCGGTGACTCGGGTAACCGTCAAAATGCCGGGTCCCATCGATCCTGAGACGATCTACACCAAACAAACATGCATTGGTACGCATCAAGCTGTCGCCGTTTCATATCCAAGAAAGGGCACGTTTTCTAACACCAGCCGGTCTTAACAGGTGGGGGCAGTTTTGGAAAAGTCTTCAAAGGGTAATTCAAACTCAAGTATCCATGTCAGGATCTTGTTCATAACTGACTCGGGGTTGCCCTCTTCTAGTGTCGACCGACGAACCGGAGAATCAGTTGCTATCAAAATCATCGATGTCGAAAATGCGGAGGATGAAGTCGACGATATCATCAAAGAAATTGCTATCCTATCTGAATTGAAATCGCCTTATGTCACCAAGTACCACGGTTCATACTTGAAGGGGTCCAACCTGTGGATCATCATGGAGTTTTGCTCTGGTGGAAGTTGTCATGGTCTTCTGCGCCCTGGAGTTATCCATGAGGAGTATATCGCTATTATTCTGCGGGAACTTCTCCGTGGACTGGACTATCTCCACGCCGATCAAAAACTGCACCGAGATATCAAAGGTATGAACACTCAATTGGGCATGATCACGATGTACACTGGCTAACAGCCCTCATTGCAGCTGCGAACGTCCTTCTGAGTGCGAGTGGACAAGTCAAGCTGGCAGACTTCGGAGTTTCTGGCCAGCTCTCAGCCACCATGACCAAGAAGAACACCTTTGTAGGTACTCCTTTCTGGATGGCCCCCGAAGTCATCAAACAGTCAGGGTATGACTACAAAGCGGATATCTGGTCATTGGGAATTACCGCAATTGAACTTGCTTGTGGCGACCCTCCATATGCCGATATTCACCCTATGAAAGTACTGTTCTTGATTCCCAAGAACCCACCTCCCACTTTGAACGGTAACTTCAGCAAGCCGTTCAAGCAATTTGTCGAGCTGTGCCTGCGTCGAGACCCCAAGGAGAGACCCTCGGCAAAGGAACTCCTCGAGCATCCATTCGTGAAGCGTGCCAAGAGAACTACATACTTGACAGAGTTGATTGAGCGTGCTGAGCGTTGGCAAGTCACCCACCGTGGCCAGGGAGATGACGATGATGAAGACGATTATGACGAAAGAGAGCCGGACCACACGATGCAGGCTAGATCCCAAGATGATGAAGATCTTTGGGACTTTGGTACTGTTCGTCCAGTAGGAAAGGCTCACGCCGTTCCTCTGCGCCCAATGAAGGACTCAGATACGAACTCCCGAACTAAAGAGACAGAGGACTGGGACCTGTGCGATGAGTCGCCCGGTCATACGCCAGCACCTCTCCAATCACGTCAACAAAGCTCACTTAACCCTCTTCACGTCTCCCCCACGAAAACTCCACTTCCTCCCTCTGCCCCATCTTCTCCTCTTAAGCAATCTCCCACGCAATCTTCATTCTCTCCTCTCAAGTCCAAGTCTCCGTTGCCTCCAAAGCACAAAGACAACTCGCCATTGAATGAGCAATATGCTCAGGCAGTGTTGAACTACGCAGGCGGTCGTAACACACCTCCCTCTTCCATGTCCACAACCCAAAACCAAAGCACCCCCACAAAACAACCCTCAAAAGTCTCTCTTCAAGAATCTCGCACTCCATCCAACCAACTCTCGCGCAAGCCAGCGCCTCTTGCCCGTCCTTCCAACGATTCTTTCGCTCCTCAACCTCAATCTCCACGTACTCATCAGTCTTCCGGTCTCCCAGGACAAACGGAGCAACTACAAAACGTGAAGCAACCAGCCCTCAAATCCAAACGGGCACAAGCCAACACGGACGAACGGACCATCACCACTACTCCTCCCACCCCAAATGACAGACAATGGACTCGCCCTCTTCCTGAGGCCGAGCGCGTAACCGCCTGTGGAGCAGTCGTCCTCCCAGCCCTCCGCGCCGCCATGGACCGTCGTCGCCGCCACCTCGTCAACCTCGAACCAGGTCGCGACGCGCCCGCCACCCCAGAAGAAGAGAAGCAATTTGACCGCAGCGTCCGTATCCACCGTGGCATGGAGCAAGTCGCCGAAGACATCGCGCGCTCTTTCAGCAACCTCCACCGCTGGGATATGGAAGGTCCCGTTGATATGGGTGGCGGTGTTGATGCCGTTCTTGATGCGTTCCTTGAAGAGGTCCTGGTTCGCTTGCAGCCTGCCCCATCCCCTTCCCCACCACCGTCGTCTTAGTCCTGTTCAGCTTGATTTGTTTATGGAGAGGGTGGAGTTCCTGGTTCTGTTTCTGATTCTGATCATGAATGGAGCATCGACGATTGACACTTGACCATTCGCCTTCCATCATACTCTGTGTATCCTCTCTTGTCTTGATTTTCTTGCATGTCTTGATTACTTTTATGCTTTCTCCTCTCATATGTTGTTCACTTGAGGTACTTTCTTCAATGTCGTAAGTTAACTACATCTTCATGTTATTCTTATTTCCTTCTTCATTTGCATCATTCGTAAGGTAACAATAAGCCTAGATTGAGGTTTTCTGCAAGGCTTATATTTGAGCATATGTAAGTTGAAGCGACGCATCTTAACGTCTAGTGTGGTGGGCATACTGCATCTTAAAGATCTGCTTCCTGACCAGTGACAAGTACCCATAAGCTGACAAGTGGGTATCCTTCACTTCTTCAGGTATACTATCCCGGATGCCATCTCGTTGGCAAATAGGGCTTTCAGAGCGGAGGCGAATGCACCTATTTGGGATTGAAGACACCCAGTTCCTGGCCTCTGGGTCTTTCGCAGTTGTAACTAGTATACTGAAGATCAGTTGCTTCATTGGTCGGAAAGAACCTGTTTTGTGGCTTTGGGTGGTGAGGAGGTTGCATGCTCACATGCTCTCAAATTCTTGATTGTGCATGCATTCGGTACCGCTTTGGATACCTTGCTTTGGTTGATAGAACAAAGCCAGCGAGATGATAGAGGTCACTCATAGGTAAGGCTACAATGATTTGCTTTTCATTGATGAACATTGCGGAGACTTGGAAGCCAGGATGCTGGATGGATGGTCCATAGATCAATTGTCACTGAAGATGGAATGACAAAGATTGATATCCAAGAGACGAATTGGAAGTCTTTTCACATTGTTGTAGAACGCTGATTGCAACGTAGATCGAGATCAACACATATTCTCAAGAAGGACGGAACAACCAATCCGTCTCGGGTGTCGGAATAAGATAATTGGTAATATTAAACTCGTTCGCATTCGAATGCCCATCAACGACAGACCCAGACGGCTGCGCGGAGCCAATATCAGTCAATCCATGAATCGACATCGGATTCGAAACATGATCCGACATTCCCAAGCCAGAAGGTTGGGCCCCAGAATCAGGTGCACGAGCAGGCGGAACACGAGGCACGTTGAAGAAGCCAAAGACATCAAGGTATTCGAGCTCATTAGGTGCCAGATTGCGCGGCTGCATAGCGGGTTGATGTGACCGAGGCGGGCTTCCACTTTCAGCAGGTGATTCACGTGGTTGGCGTGAAATCAGGAAATCCAGATCGAAGGCACAGCGACGCATGTCCGCTAGGATTTTGACAGTTGATGGGGTGGAGCGTTCGCCGTCTAGGGCGATTGATTGTTGATATTCGTTGTATTCGTCCAGGACTCTTTGGAGGATGTTGCTGTAGCGTTCTGCCACTTTCCAGTATTTTCCCAGCTGGAAGAGGGTGTCGACGAAGAAGAGAATGTCTGCGCTGACGGTGTGAGCGATTGTTGAGCCGTGCACTAGGAGCAGACGGGCTGAGACCCAGAGGGTGAAGGCGAAGGGCGGGCCCATCTTGTCAAGCATGTTGTGCTCTACAACGAAGCGGGTTACTGAGAGGATGTTCTCGACCGCTAGGAGACAGCGCTGGCTGGCACTATAGGAGGGCATGAAAATTGGGGACCGGGTTGTGGGGTAGGCTGCTGATGAGTGCAGACGGATTACGGCTCTATGATCCTGTTAGCGGCTTGGTATTGACATCATGTGGTGATTTTGGCTTACGTTTGATAGGTGGCGTGTAGTTGTACCCAGTCACTGTGTGGGGAACGCCCATTCTTAGGTCCGCTGAAAAGTCGAGATGAATTCTCGTAGGCATATTCTGCTGGAAGATTGAATTCCCATGAAGTGAGCTCACTGTCAAGCTTGCGATAGGTAGCCTGCCATTCCTCAACGTCGGACAGAGCTCCAATATCCACGGGCCTTTTCAAAAACAGATGAATTCGCGAGAGAATCCCCAGGACCTCCATATAGAGACCGAAAGAACCAACATTCTCTGCATGGCTGAGATAATCTGTGCGGTCACTGTTATAATGGAACCAACGTGTCTCGACAGGTTGGTTCTTCATAAAATAATCATCTTTGCAAGGGAGCTTTCGGTCAATGTCTTTGTCATCGAGAGCAAAGTTGAATGCTGTTGCTAGAGTTGAGTATCGGTCCAGCAGATAGACCATCCAGAACAATCGACGTCTGCTTTCGTCTTCAATCCACGAATCTGGCTCTGACAAAGTGACAGCTCTGAGGGTGTATATGGAGGGGTAGACTGGGTTGATAAGGGAAGATTTGGATTCCACTGCCAGTCCCAACTGGACTACTGACCGGGTGATCAAGGCGAGCAGCTTCCAACCAGGTGGACCATTGGAAGATCCAACCAAATCGAGGGCCAGAATAACAAGAGCTTGGAGGGCCTTGACAGATGAATTCTCCAGACCATACAGAAGCACCTTTTGTTTAGATGAGTCATGATAGCGTTTGCGGTTTTGATCATTCAGTCTGGCATCGGAAGAGAACCGCAATGTCGTGGCTACTATGGCATAAAGAACCATCCGGTCTGCTTCATCCAGTGGTGATGGCCCAAAGAAGGTATCCAGGGTCGTTCGTCGGTGAAGAATGGGACACCAGGAATTAATATGCTCAAAATAAAGATCCACCAAAGCATACAGCAGGTCATACGGTGGCAAATCAAGATCTGGATCAGCAAAAGACTGTTCCTGATTTGAGAATATGTTGACCGGGACCTTCAGGGACGATTCATTCCCTGTGTAATCTTGCTGTGGATTGGAACCTTGTAACAGTGTGCCTACCGGTGCCGCTTGCATGCCATTTTGCATGTGGTTCTGCGCTGTATTCCTGACTGATGAATCAGATGGACTGGTGATAGACACATCTGCGCGTCGGGAAGGTAGTGTTACTGCAGATGGAGGATCATTGAAGTAGAGAGCAGTACGCGGACTGGGGCCATGGGCTGCTGATGGCTCTGATGGAGAGCTATATGAAAGTGGGCCTGTGTGGGGTAACTCATGACCCATTGGGTTCTGTTTCTGCAGGATATGCATCTCAATGAGGCGGGCTTGCGATTGGATGATATCTTCCAACCGATCTGATGCACGAATGAGACATGATTTTGGCGTTATTTCAAGTAGACTTACCGAGCCGTTGCTCTAACTCTTTTCCATACCCAGCGCGCAGGCCGGGCTTCTTTCGTTCTCTATACTCGCATACCTGACCGTTGCGGGTGCACCAGCCACAGCTTGGCTGTACTCGATCTGCTCATTCTATGTTAGAAACTTGTCTGTCTAACAAGGATAATGACATGCATACCGCATTTGACCTTTCGCTGCTTGCAAAGCTCACATCTTCATCGGGTTAGTCATATTACACTGGCAACACAGAGAGCCGTTCGGCCGAGGGGTTTCAGGTACGCACGAGACAGTTAGAGGACGTTTTCGTTTCAGAGCTCTAGCGCCCGATCCATTTCCGAGATGGTCATTATCGGAATCGGCAGCAGATGAATATTCAGCGCTATCTCTGTCGGGATCACCGAAGTGCTGATTGGAGGACGGGGTCTCCTGGGCGGGAAGCGCAGGGTTCGGCATTTTGATTCAGCGAGAAGCGCCCTATCATGGACCGCGCATGATGCAACTGAGCGGTGGAATGTCCGAACTGGCCTATATGGACAAAGGAGAAGAATTGATACACGCGGCGATCGTCCGACAGAATCGAAGCCGAGGGAAAAGTGGGAGTTGGGCCTGAGGCAGAAACCGGGGCACCCCGCGTTTCTCCACTTTGGAATTGTCTCGTGATTCAGGCATTTTGTGCACATTTATGTCTCTGGTAGACGAATATTTAGAAGGATATAGTAGATAGTAAGGTATGGTATTGAGAGCTATTGTCTAGGGATTGCCAATAAAATGACATGCAGAAGTATATATAACGTCTAGGTAGGTCTACACTGCATGCGGAGACCATAAGTATATCGACAAGAACCTCAGAATAAGAACAAGATCTAAAATATAGAAAACTAGTCATTCACAATACCTACAGACTAGAAGCCTGTCAACATATGCAAGCCCTCGGATGTCCACACAAAAATTCTCCGTGTCGCCGCTCGGTACATTACTCCCCGAAGTCTCGGGTTCCCCTCGGCGCGAGTTCGTTGAAATAGTCTGAGCTCCCCGCACATTATTTCTTCTTTTCTTTTATCTTCAAGTTAATCTCTTTTCTCGAGACTTGCTTGTTCACACATTGCATCATGGCTTCAACAACGGAATTCCCTCGCATTAAGGAGGTTCGCACCTTCATCATCGACGGTGTTGGCTCCGGTGGCGACTACCACAATGTATGAGTTTGCTTTATTCCTCAATTTGATGAAGCGTCAAGGTGCTAACTACCTCTATAGGTCAAGGGAGGTCACTGGCTGGTCGACAGCAACATCTCCACCCCCATGACCAAGTGGGCACAGTTCCGCGGCTCGCGTACCTCATGGGGTATCAACGTGCTGGGTTCATTTTGCGTGGAGATTGAGGCCACTGATGGCACTAAGGGATTTGCAACTGGTTTCGGTGGCCCTCCTGCCTGTTGGCTGACCCAGCAGCACTTCAACCGTTTCTTGATTGGCGCCGGTGCGTATCATACGACCAATTTATAGCTCGCAAACCCTAATGTATTGAATTCAACAGACCCCCGTGACACCAACGATCTCTTTGAGAAGATGTACCGTGCCTCCATGTTTTACGGCCGCAAGGGTCTGCCCGTTGCCGTGATCTCAGTCATCGACTTGGCCTTATGGGATCTTCAGGGTAAGATCCGCAAGGAGCCTGTTTACAAGATGATCGGTGGTGCCACTCGCTCAAGACTGGACTTCTACTGCACCGGACCCCAGCCGGGCTCAGCCAAGGCTGCCGGCTTTATCGGCGCAAAAGTTGCTCTCCCTCACGGCCCTGACGAAGGCACTGCTGGTCTGCTCAAAAACGTCGAATACCTGAAGAAGCAGCGCGAAGCTGTCGGCCCTGACTTCCCTCTGCGCGTCGATTGCTATATGTCTCTGAATGTCCCCTACACAATTCAATTGGTCAAGCGCTGTGAGGCTATTGGCCTTGACATCGACTGGTGGGAAGAGTGCCTTTCCCCCGATGACTTCGACGGCCACGCTCTTCTCAAGCAGGCTCACCCCACTGTCAAGTTCACCACCGGTGAGCACGAGTACTCCCGTTACGGCTTCCGCAAGCTGGTTGAAGGTCGCAACCTCGACATCCTCCAGCCCGATGTCATGTGGGTTGGTGGTATGACCGAGCTGCTCAAGGTCTCCGCCATGGCTGCCGCTTACGACCTTCCCGTTGTGCCTCACGCCTCCGGTCCTTACTCTTACCATTTCGTTGTCTCTCAATCCAACAGTCCTTTCCAGGAGTACCTCGCCAACTCTGCCGATGGCCACACCGTCGAGCCTGTCTTCGGTAACCTCTTCTTGAACGAGCCCATTCCCACCAAGGGTTATCTCGATGTCTCCATTCTGAACAAGCCTGGCTTCGGTCTGGAGCTTAACCCTGCTGCTCCCTTGATTCCTGCGGCTGCTATCCTTACTCCTGCTCCTCAGCATTCCTTACGCGCTCCTGACAACGAGCAGGCCGCCAACGGCTCTGTTTAAATGTTTGTGGTCGAATTTTGAACGAATCTTTTTTCTGTCCCTGTTTGCTTCATGTTTAAAGGCTATTTACCCGCTACACGAAATCCATGTAGATAAGAACAATTTATCCAATAGATTGAGATTTAAGAATGCACCTTGTCCGTATGCAAGTCTGTAGACTGGTAATTAACCGGCATCGCGATTCAAGGCAATGAGCAAATGTGTTTCCGTGTCTGGACTTTTAGCCTGGTATGCTCCACATGGCACTTTCGCTCTGCTAAATTTGCCTAACAAGGGTTTGCCACATATAGGAGTTGATCCCGAGAGACCACAGAATTGTATTTTTGTGGTAAAAGTGTTTTATGCCGGCAATACAGTCCAATAAATACCATATCTATAGCACAAGCTGCCATATCGGGCTTAGCTCGTTATTTTGGTATCTAACATATTGCCTCCAGTTACCTCCAGGGCTGACATCGCAGAATAAGCGTCAGGTCCAGCATCTTGAAATCCCACCAAAGAAGACGAGACGATTGACAAAGTACAGGAATATGGGTTTCTCGCTTCCATTGAAGTTCATAGACGGCATTATAACATCCACCAGTGTGGTCCACGGGAGCAAAATCGTGGATCTAGATTCATACGATGTTGAGTCGTGATTCTAGTTTGAGACGGATGAAGACCAGAGACGCAACAATATGAGTTTCACGAAAACCATGCAGCGTTTGTTCAAAGCTCTCTCTTCGCGGCCAACCCACGAGGTATCCAATGACAGATCAGGCTTCTTTCTCTCTATTGAGGTGCATTCTCACAGTGGCCTCCAGCGTATTAGCCCAGACAATACTGAAAGAGTATCAGCAGCAGGTCATAGAAGGCGACCAGGCCTTCTATGCCGCAAGTTCCAGAGATCATATTTGAAGCTCGACAAGATAAGCCCAACCGTTCCCATCGTAACTAGACTTGCTTTATACGGTCACTGCACTCCTATACCATCATACCACCTAATAGATCCTGTTTCAACCGCTTTGATCGCGTGAATGATGCCACAGTTACAAGATGTGGTTCTAATATTGAATAACAATGACGCACAAGATCACGTTCTCAGGGAGTGCAGTTGACTCAGTATGCCCCAGTACAGATTTTCACCAAAGTACGAACTTGCTTACGTACTAATAGCAATTCAATTTCTCAGACTTCGCTCACGGCTTGCACCACCGCCACGAGAATATAATTTGAAATTCGACTACGGTATGCCCAATAGTCACGATATCGGTCTCCCAGAAGGAGGCTTAGAAACAAATGAGGGTTCCCTTGCAGTTCATCTACGACATTTCTCTCGGCAGCTCACGAAGATACCCCATGACAGAGTTACCATAGGAAGAGAACTGTTCTAGCTTCTCTATGTAAATGTCAAAACAAACTCGTTGGACTTGAGATCTCTTGAACTAAGCTATGCAATTGCCCTGTCATCTGGCGAATAGTAATTTAAACATCATCATGCAGATAAAAGATTCCTTGCTGGTGACGATGAAGGTAATGATGATGACGAGGATGATAACGATGACGATGAAGATGAAGACAAAGCAAGAAGCCCGATCAATTTGGTGATTATCGAAGCTTGCGACTATGACACTCGGTTCCAATACAAGCCAATCCCGGCATTGTTCAATGAATCCTATGTTGCTGCTGCTCGGGCAACGATGCAAATGCCGAAATTGGAGTAGATGCATCTGGAAGCTAGGGAGTGGCCTGGTAGGCATTACTTTATATACGAAGCTCGGGAAGGTAAGGTAACCAAGGCCACTTTGGCTTATGTTTCTCTCTTTCAACCGGATGACCATGGAAACGAGTTGCTTTGGTGCATACGGGTATGGCTTCTAAGGTTGAATTAAGGCAGTGTTTACTTGAGTAGTACTTTGGCTTGACCACGGAGATGCGCATGTTCCTAAACGCTTCGAATGAAATTCATAATTTGCACTGCATTCATACTCGCTCGTGTCTCGGGAATTGACATTTCTAGGACCTATGCACGAGATGAACCAGGCGGACCAGCAAATCCAGGAAGAACGAATCCATCAAACTCTGCACATGGCGCCTTGACAGAGCCAGCAACCAAGTCAGAAGGCTTATAGCAGGCTTCAGGTGGGGCAGTCTTGCTCTCGATACCAACAGCACTAACGCCCATGGTGAAGTAGTCGGCAAATTGAGCCCCATACTTGATATGCAAGCCTTTGTTGGTGTCATAGATGTTACTGACAAGAAGCTGTTTCTTGTTATTGTCTAGCAGTCCCTCCGGCACCTCAATTTTAATCCTCAGGCCAGCTTTGTTTTTAATGTCACCACGCTGCCACTGGAAGACCTTCTCCGGGTTTTCGATATCCCTGAGATCGGTTGCAGCGCCGTCAGTTGTGCCATTCATGTCAAATTTGAAGCTTCCTATCTCGAAGGCTCGGATGTATAGTGCAACTGGCTCGGCTACACTCAGGCTTGCACCGCCTCGAGCGAGGAAATTGATACTCGCTCCAATCTGATGATTTCAGCATACAAGGACTATAAGGGAGATGAAGATCTCTTACCGAGGGATCGGAGTTTCTACCAGGGTTACCATACTTGGAGCATTTGATCAACTCATCTGCATCGGTGATTATCTTGCCATTGTCATTCTTGCGAATGACGGTAGCTTGTGCAGCAATGTCCACCTCGGCAGAAAGCGTGTTGTTCGGCTGGATCAGATGAGTGATTGCGCCTGTGGTACTGAGTAAGTTCCAGTAATTAGCTGGATTGTATACTTCGTTTCCTGTGACGTAATCTCTCAGGAAGAATTCGCTATCCGACATTTCACTGGCGAAACCAGAGTTGAGCTCTTTCACTAATTTGAGAAAGTCGTCTTTCTGGCAACTTGCCAGGAATTGCCAATACTACTGAAAGTCAATTGGTTTGCCACTATAATCGACAAGTAATTTGTCACGCACCTCAGGTCCCTCGGCAGTAAAAGTGACGCTGTAGATATCGCCCGTGTACTTTCTTGGACCACGACTGACAGACCACTCCAAGTACTCATCCTGGACTACACGAGAGGAGTCTGCAATAGCCCAACGCACAGCATCACTCTGATACGAATTCCTGATCTTCAGCTAGTTAGCATGCAAGTCTTTAAAGATCGGGGACTCGAACTGACCACTTTGGGAAATGCATTCCACTCAACGGCCTTTGGTGTGTCACCTTGGTTGAAAGGTGTCTTGACGCCGTCGAAGAACTGTTTCAATGGAGTACGACCTCGGCCGACCACGTTGGGATCAGCATCAATCTCGCCCTGCATCCAAGTCGAGATGAAATCCTTAGACCATTTCTCCTTATTGGCCTCGGTGAGGTCGGAAAGGTTGCCGGGAGGGGCGTGTCTTTTGAGCACCGAGTTTGTCGTTGAGGCCATGATATTTTTCTGCTGAGGCGTCGAATATTGAGGAGATAATGAGGGTGTCCGACTTTATATATACTCCAGTAATTTTGCCACTAAACCAGTTATCATCTTCATACAGGCAGTACGGAGCTCTCCTGTTCAAGATGCGCCATTTTTCCGTTCGCTCTGCACGCCTGGTTTCACCCGATTGCTCAATTTCTAGAGGACATTTGTCAATTAGGAGGGGAGGTTTTGCTTGTCGTTACATTGCAGCTGCGATTTTGTCCAGGCCTCTCATATGCAGCTAGCATTCTACTCATCACATTTGGCGCTGGTCAGAAAGTAGGCAACGCTTTGTTGCCTGACTGATGATCGTAGTTCGCATCACATCCCCAAATGGGGGCGCAGCTGAATGTCAACTTCTGCCTTGGTGACTGACCACAACGCATGCGTGCATAATTTCAAACGCGGGAGGCCTGAAGATCATGCGTAGACAATTTGCAGGAAACGTGCATGATGAGGATTTCTTGGTCACCTCCGCGTTCCTATCTTGGCGCCCTGCAGGATTGATTTGAAGAAAGTAGTAAAAATGTCCTGAATAGCCTCGGCTAACAACTCCATACTATTTGTGGTTCGTCTTGCAGCTGTGATTCAGGAAATATCATCACAAATATACGCCAATCATCTTATTGACGAACGTCAGCTCGCTGTCACATATCACAGCTGAGATATATAAATATACTCCATCACCATTACGTTAGATTTTGCCGAGCATATTTCAGTTTGTTCCCTCAGCATTAAGTCTCACAATGACCAAACCGGAAATTTGGAATCGCGTGTTCACTAGAGACTCTAATGCAGATACGGACACTTTGGTGGGGGTTGAGCAGCAGCAGAAATTCCAAGACAGATTTGGCCAGTTTCTCCAGCATGATTCGCACTGGACCCTCAACACGCTGGATGGAGTACTTTCGTACTATTATAGTGAGTGTGGTTTCCCATAACAAAGATGAAGTATACCATACTAAAGGTTATAGACCTGTCCATCGCGACCCCCAAATTATGCAATTTGAGGATGTTTATGATTGCAGACGGCGCCCATGTTAACCGCTCCACATTGCCTGATAATGGAGGCAAGTGGTTTAATCCTCACTGTCGTGTGCTTGGAGTTGTTGACTTCAAGCCCCAGGGTGACATTATCTTCATCGTTGGGTCCGATGATGTGCACAATTCAGAGCGTTTCATGCAGGTGGCCAGTTGGGATCAGAAGACGTTCCACTATTATGCAGTATGCAGCCTTTGTCTCCATTCAAGTCCTGAACTTACCAAGCCTAGATTGAAGATATCAATGGGGACAAAAACATCAGAAGATGGACATATCAGGGCAACGCGTTGAACGCGTTCACGGATGGGTCATCTTACGACATGTCGTATCTTGGCCCCTTTAATGGTCATGTCAATGGAGCGTGTATCATGAAAGAGATTCATGAGTTTGTCTTCCAATCATTCCCGGGTTTCCTCTCGTAACTAATGATGCCGCAGTCCTTGGTACCACTGGAAGACCGACACGACCGATTTGAAGCAATGCCTTAGCGAAGAGCAGATCAACCGTCTCAAGAGCATACCATATATCTCGCCCGCCTCCTGGAACTTGCTTGGTAACGTAAGCAGCGCCGAAGGGCTGGAGGGTGACATCATCAAGGTTCTGGTCCCTAAATGGTTCCAGTTGCACCGAGACGAAGACTTCAAAGAGAATGGCCAGTATAAGTCCGAGCCAGCCAATCTCCACCGCTGGATGGCTCATTTGCTTCTCACCACGACCATCAACATTGCAACTGGTGCGAAAGTACTTACATTCTGGGAGCAGAACCCATCAGGAATGGCTCTGCCTTTCAGAGCTCCGACAAATTTATTCATGAATTTTGAGCTTTTGCTGCAAAGCAAATTCAATGACATCAATGTACGTCCTTTTACACCCTCACGGTTACCTATTAGACTGCTGACGCAGGACGTTAGGGACCCCTAGCAAGTTTCTCTGGTGAATTTAGCTATGAAGACTACCAAAAGGCCGTGGAAGATCTGCAACTCGGTCTTTTACAGGAATGGGATAAAGATCCAGATGAAAAGCACCCAAAACGCCCAAAAGCACCCCCGAAAGGTGTAAGAATGGCGCAAATTACCAAGGGCACTCTTGGTGGTGGTAAACAGACAGACATGTATGATTACACCTATTTCTTGGTCGTCCAGGAAAAATCAGAAGGCGAGGAAATGTACTTCATCACCCTGCAGACCTCACTGGAGGATTCAATGGGTGTGCTGAACCTGCCCGACAATCTCGTTAGTCAAAAGCTGCTCCACTCTATCCTCCTTGTCGACTTCTGCAACCCAGTCTACAGCTGGCGTCGTGGTGTTCTAATGCAATACCTCCCCAAGACGACAAAACTTGTCGATGGAAATTACGACATGGAGGCTGCATTTGTTGCTACAATTCGTGCTTCTTCACACGCCTCTGAGGCTGATTCCCCTGAGTTGCAATTCCTCAAGCTCTATGACAACCCTCCTTCGAATGATGAGATTAGATTCACCTTTCAATCCTACCTGGACACAGTGACGCACAGAATCAAAACTTCCCAGGGTCTAACCGATTACATGAAACTCGCCGAGGCTCGCCGTCGCATATATCGCCCTCTGCCTCTCGATGAGTTTGGTCTCACGCTTCCGTATGCGCTTGCGCTTCCGACTGATTGGAAGCTTATTGAGATGACACAAGAAGCGACTGTGACTGAGATCCCAGAGCGTGGGCTGAAATTCTTGAAGTGTTGGACGGGCACTCTGCATGGATTCGATCCGAAATTGTTGCCCACGGATGGTTGTTATGCCCAGGCGAGAGGGGGCAAGTGTCCTAGACGCTAGTGCAGAGCAGGTGATCTTAGGGCTGATAATATGTTTTTATACTGTCGCACCTGCTAAATGCGCAAATTGATACCGCAAAAAATACATGGAAATACAAGAGTACAGTAGTGACATACGTAGACCGCCCCAAGGCGGTGGCAGCTCGGGGTAAGAAGCCCCTGGAAGCCGTTGGCACTTGCCCCTCGTGGGGTTCCCCACACTCGGGGCAACATCACCACGAATCCCCGAGATCTTATCGGAGAAATTCACATGGACGCATCCCACTTTGGCTTTTGGAATTGAAGTTCCTCATTCTCACAATACCAATACCCAATACCCTCTTCAAAATGCCTATTGCACAGTTACTAGTTGGCAAGGTTGCTGCGATCACCGGTGGACTTACAGGAATCGGACGAGTAAGTCTTCCCCGCATATTCAAACTTCCAAGGAACACTTCTGTTCAGCGCAAAGAGGTCACATCTAACAAAAGAATCACCCAGGCAATTGCCTTAGATTATCTTCGCCACGGAGCCAATGTTGCAATCAGTCATCTCGGTGGTGCAAAGGAAGACGCACTCCTGGAAGCCCTCCGCAAAGATGTAAACGAGATCGAAGCCGGAGCCGCCGACAGCCGCTTCCTCACAATATCAGGCGACATCTCCCAGCCCGAAACTGGTCAGAACTTTGTCGCAAAGACAGTCGAGAAATTCGGTCGTCTAGATGTCTTCGTAAGCAACGCTGGCGTGTGCCAATTTGCGGAATTCCTAGAGTGAGATTTACCCCATTTGCCAGAAACCCGTTCCAATTCCCATTCATACCATCTTGTTATACTTAAGATCCCCTGAATAACATAAACCCAGACTTGAACCCTCTCTCCTAAATCAAACAATCTCAACAAACCTCTCAGGCGCCTTCTACGCCACCCAAGCCGCAGCCCGCCAAATGGCACAAGTGCAATCCCCTTCTGGCGGGTCAATCATCGGTGTAAGCTCCATTTCCGCGCTTGTTGGCGGTGGCCAGCAGACTCATTACACGCCTACCAAAGCTGGTGTTCTGAGTCTGATGCAGTCATGCGCGGTGGCGCTGGGTAAATATGGCATTCGCTGTAATGCATTGTTGCCTGGTACTATTCGTACACAGCTTAATGAAGAGGATATGAAAGATCCTGTTAAGCGAGCTTATATGGAGGGTCGAATTCCTCTTGGGCGTCTTGGACAGCCGCCTGATTTGGCTGGACCGGCTGTTTTCTTGGCTTGTGAGGAATTGAGCAGCTATGTGGTAAGTTCTTCTTTCTCGGCTTTATTGATATGGTGAGTGCTGACTCTGCTTAATAGACTGGTGCGCAGTTATTAGTTGATGGAGGATTGTTCGTCAATTTGCAGTAAGACGTATGAAAGTTAGGATTATAGTGGCAGCGTTGAGAATCATATATTCATATCAGCTCTAAATACATCTTGCCTTAAATTGAAACACGTGGGAATCCTCCAACCCCATAGGCATTGATAGCAACTGCAGCCCAAAAGCCTCCCTTCTGATTCGGAGACAAACCCCTTCGCTCTATAATCTCCTCAACAACCCGCTTCCATCGGCCCCACGAAACATCATTTCCGCCACCACCAACATTGCAAACCGGCCAATCCGATCCAAACATAACACGCTCCGTACCAAAAGCATCAAAAACAGCATCTGACCAGGGCTGGACACGCTCAACAATAGCCTCGAGATCGGGTTCAGACTCCCTATCTAGTGGTTCAATCTCAGAAAAAGCCCCAGAAAGCTTCATATAAGTCTTTTCATGAGTCCGAGCCATGGTAGTAATAAGCTCTTTCCACTCCAAAAACTCAGGATGAGAGAGAACCTCCGCAGGCGGTAGACGGAGATTCGGCTTGCACATATGATCTGAACAACAGTTAGCAAAAACCACCAAAGATCAAAAAAACAAGGCATAAAACATACTGATGATGATAGTAACTGCCTCATCACTTTCAGCACCTCCATAAACTCTTCCCATCATCTTGACTGCCTCCCTCAACTGCCCGAGTCCGCCAGATCTAGCATCAACCCCAAGATCAAACGTAAGCCCAACCCTACCTAGCCACCTCAAACTCGAGACAAACCCATCCTGAAGCATCGTACCCGCAGCCTTATCCTGCACCAGATACCTAACACCCCTTAGCTTTGCCCAAACCTCATCCATTCTCGTCCGTTCCCTCACTTGACACATATATTTCCACAAAACATCTTCCCCAGCAGGAATCGGTGCCCACGGAATAATTCCAAGAACGAGATCTTTATCAGCTGGAATATGACCCTCTCCGGCAATTGGCTCGCCAAGCGCCATACGCGTGAGGAGGGAGACTTCGTCTAGGGCGTGTTTCCAGCCGTGCGTTGGGGCGGAAGGTAGGGATGAGGCCGGGGTTTCTGTGACAGAGGAGAGGCGGTCTGTTTCTAGGAAGATGAAACCGCGGACGACAGATTCGTTGCTCTTAATGGCGGCTTTGTATTCATCCATGCTGTGTTGCGCGCCGAGGGGGTTGTTGTCGCTGTACCAGGATAGAGTTTCTAGGTGTGTTGCTGGGAAGAGGTGGATGTGGGAGTCCACGATTGGGAATTGGCCTGCTGAGCTCATTTTGAGCTCCTGTTATCTCGTTCCTGGTGTGTTATGTGCTGTTGGTTCTTTCTCTAGGGTGGGATATTAGTTCATCGCTGGGGTTGGAGTGCGGGGTTCCGTGTTCAGGCTTACCTCGCGCTTCAGATTTCATGGATGTTGGATAGTAGCAAATTCAGAGTTAGCAGGAATTGTTGAAAGTTGAAAGGATTAAGTGAGAGAGAGTGGATGTTTGACATAATTGTTCGGTAGTTGTTGTCCCGAGTCCGGGGAAATGATAAACCCGTCCATTCGCCTACGATGTTCCTGTCCAGCTCTAACTTATATCGTAAAGTAGTATCATTTTCACCTAAGACTACTCTTTCAGTTGAGGAACCCTTGTTACAAGCAGGCTTCCCCGACACTATCCTTGGCTATCTGAGGTCAACTGACATGATTATGAAGTTTGGTCTGGATGGAGTTCCTCGCTATCAAGGCTTTATTTCATGTCGTGAAAGGTCTACTCTGGAATAGTCCATACAAGTTGGCATTATCAAACTATCATAAGTCTCTCATTTGCGCAATGTCGTTGATTCATCCAGAGAGCCAGCCTAGCACCTGCACACCGTCTTACGCATCCACACTAGTCATGTTGACACCAATACAACTATCTCCACCTCATAACCCCCTTATTCCTCAAGCCATCAACGTATTCAATCAGACCCAGGCCCAGGACTGTTCATATACGAATCAGCCTCGGCCTGAACCAGATCCATAAACTCCTCACTCCAAGTAGGACTAGGCGGAACTACATCATCACTATAAGAAGCCGAGTACCCCATCCCACGCCTTCTAGCGCTCCGCTCAGCCTGTTCAGCTCGAAGTCGAGCCTTTTCCTGCCTAACTTGTTCAGCCCTCAACCTTGCTCTAATTGGCCTCCAGCAAATCTCACACAGGGGTGTCTCGACCGGTTTCCCATCTTCCACAGCAGCAACCCCAAAATCCCCACATCGCAAGCAAATAATGTACACCCCGCCCATGATCGGGATCAGATTACCAACAGTGTACCGATTAGTACCAGGCTGCGGATGGAGACCACAGTCGACACACCAGCGGTCCGTAGCTCCAGGTCCCCATTTGGCCTTTTTCCGTTTAATCATGGTATCGGCGAACTTTGCTCGGGGTCGTAATCTGAGACAATCACGACAGGCGTAGAACTCCTTTTGAAATCCGAGTCCGCTTTTCTCGGCTTCTATTAACTGCTTGTGTGTAGGAGATGGTATTGATTCACAGAAGCGCTGGCATGAATGTTGGAGATTGATGAGACTGAAGACATCGAGGTTTTTGGCTATTAGGTGTAGGATCTCGGTTGGGAGGATCTGGATTGTAGCGGGTTGGGACATGGGGGTTGTACTTGTTGCATATGCAGTAGGCACCTTTAGAGTTGGATGCTGCTGGCTTGAGTGTGTTTGGGAGATGGTGGTGATGTTTTAATAGGTAAGAACATATATCAAGCGGGGTGCTCTATTTTGGGCTACTGACAACGCATTCATGTACAATCCCTGAACCGCTGTCGGAATATGGAGTGACTACATGGGACTTTGCGAGGCCCGTGAGCAGAGGTTGAAAGAGCTTCTGTGTCTCTAGCGTGGAAGGTGGTGGCGGTCACCACCCGCTGAAGATGGCAGACATATACATCAAAACGAAGTTATAAACTACAGCCAAGCCAAAACCAATTTCACGAGGAAAGGAATTCATATGCAGAATCGGAGCAGAGTATACATACACCAAGTGCAGTCAAAGGCACAAGGGCAAAGAAGAAAGAAGGAAATGCATAAGAAACATAACAAAAAGCAAAGTTAGGCAAACAAAAATCCAAATTCAAAAAGCGAAACAAAAAAAAGGGACGTGAACAATCCCCCCAAACTGCGGGTAGTACAAGACAGATAGGGAGAAGGGTATGTAATGCATGCATGTCTTAAAGGGACATGAAGTAAAGGGAAAGGTTAAAAGAAAAAGAAAGAGACAAAGATGAAAAGAAAAGCAAGCAAAACAAGCTGAAATGAAATAAAGTTCCAAACGCAACTCCATGGGTCGGTTTGCCATGTCTCGGTTTCTGAAAAGATAGATATGTGTGTATCTTGTTCATTCCAATCCATGACAAATGGTTCCCATTTTGATCTATACAAAAGAGTTTCCCGGCGTATTCCATGATCCATCAGTCCTCGCCAGCAAGTAGCTAGAGACAAGGCGTTACAATTTAATCATCCATAGGCTTATCCTCCAGAGTGACCCTGTTCGGCTCACTCTCGGCAATACTGCTGCGGTTGCTATCCGTTCCGCTAGCGCCGACGGCCGAGCCGGTGGGGAAGTTGGATAAGCTACCGAGACCAGGCTTGCGGGTGTAGCGACCACCAGCGGAGCGGGGGATAGAGTTGCGCTTATCGAATTCAGCAGATTGAGCGGCTGGGGTTGGAGTTGGAGTTGGGGAGCCGTCGGAGGCGGTATCTGGGACTGGAGGCGGGCTTGGAGAGTCCGAGTAGCCACTTGTGCTTGCCGCAATTGAGTCAGGGGATTCGGCGGAGGCGCCGTTCGTGACTGGCTCTTCGATCTGGGTGTTCACTGTTGGAACGGAGTGCTCGGAGGTGGTCGGAGATCCGCTCTTTGGTGGCACATCCAGACTAGGGCCTCGGGTGGCTCGAGGGCCTGAAGGGCTGTTGACGTTGATTGGGAATCGGCCTGTCTCTGATGCGCCGCTAGAACGGTCACGTCGGTGTCTTTGGCGGGTGGCTGGACTGGTGGCCCTGCTGCGGTTGACAATGGCACGTTGACGGGCCTCCATTGCTGCACGGCGGTTGCTCTCATCGGTGCTGATAGCGCGTGGGCGGTTCGAGCCGGAGCTGCTCAGTCCGAGGGCACTCGATTGGCGTTTCAGCTCGCCAAAAATGGCATCCTTGTGGGCGAACAGGTCGCGGATGAGGCGGTAGCTGTGGCGCTCATTCATGGTCAAGGCGTTCTCTACGCGAGGGCGAAGAATGCAAGAAGCAAATGTCTGAGCCAGCGAAGTGATGTATTCTTCGTCGGCAGAGGTCAAATCAATCAGGCGTGTGAAGTGAGTCATAATGGCATCAAGCGTAGCGATGTTGACGAGACGGAGTTGTCCAAGGGTGCTCTGCAGAACCTTGATTCGTCCGTCTTCCGTGGTCTCGTTAGCGGTGGTGGAATAGATCGTTTTCACGATTTCGTAAACTTGGGAGGAAACCAGGGAGTCTGCGGAGGTCAGTTGATGTTGAGTTAAAATATGAAGGAAAACAAACCTGGCAATTCAAGCAGGTACAGTCTCAGAACGCTGGCAATGACGGGAATCTGGAATTGTGGCAGGACCTCCTTGTAGTCGGCCTTGCTGTTGTTCAATATAGCACGAAGCTTGTGGGTCTTGTCCAAACCGACATCAGTCAGCCAGATCATTCGTCTGGCCTCGTCACCTTCTAGTTCGGGGTAGCGGTTATCGAGGTAGGTCAAAATGGTAGTGACGAGAATAGGGACACGCTTGCGGTCAACGCGGGCTCTGGCCTCAAGATCGACACCGAAGTTTTGCTCTTCAACGGAACCGTAATAGTTCTCGTATGCCTGAATCTTAGGCACAAATCCACCAGTGCGGTAGTTCTCCAGCAGATATCTCAAGTCGCCAAGAGGTTGGATAGTCTCCTGGTACAGCATCATATGATCAACTGTGCTCTGCAGGTTGGGAATGACGTTGCTGATAGCACCAGAGAAGTCAAGCACAACGGCCTTGATAGCCTTGAGGCGGTCCAGCTCGCACTGCTCCATATACTTGAGCTGTTCAATGACTTCTTCCTCAAGTCGGCAGCGGATCTGGTCAAGCTTGCGCACAGCAACCTTGTACCGCTCATCAGCTTCAAGGGCTTCTCTGCGGAGCTTCTCCGAAGGGGTCTCGTTGGGGTAAGGGTTGTTGAGAGGGTTCCAGCCAGACAGCATCTCAGAAACAGATTGAATAGGCGATTCGGTAACACTGCCATCTTCGCTGGATGCCATGGAGGTAACACGCATGAGAGGCTTCTTCTTCTCGGGGATACCGGTAAGCTGGAAGACCTTAGGACGCCACTGGTAGTTCATCTTGGAGCTGTTGGCAAAGACGTTGCCCATGTTTCCAACCAGACGAAGAAGACCACTGTCCACCATATCCTGACCAATGCGCTCTACCTGAGCAAGGTTATCGGCCTCCATATAGGTCTGGATGTAGAGCGCAATATCGGCACCGGTAGAAACATTCAAATACGTTCCGATGATGGGAACCTTGGCCTCGCCAAGCTTGATGTTGTGAAGCATATGAGAGAGCAACTGCTTGACCTGGTCCGGCGAAAAAACGCGCTCACCCAACTCAATAGGATCCTCATCAGGCTCCTCCTCAGCAGGCAAAACAATCTTGGGCGGGGGCTGGACCTTGGGACTTGTTTCGGGGTCCTGAAAGGCAAGCTTATTCTCTTCTTCCAGATCCTCAACAACACGACACTTGTTGAAATAAGTACTGCGCAATTTCCGCACCAAGTCCGCCTGTTTCGTGTGTTCCTTGATGCGCGACTGGAGGAGATCATGGGAGTATTGAACACGCAGGTCATGCTGCTCGCCCCAGCGTCGGAAAGGTGCAACGACCAATTCGCGGATATTGTTGGCGATCTTCTGGTGATTTCTCGAGGCCTCGACCATCTCAGTTCGAATTCCTTCGTATGCCTGTGTTGAACATTGTCAGTTTCATTGATCTCCATGACAGGCCGCATATTTTGAACAAACCTTTCTGACACTTGCACCGTCATCCTTGCCGAATCCCGCGGCTGACATTCTGTCCACGCTCGGGGCAATGTCTCCCATGCGGAGTCCGTACTGCTCCTCGGCATCAGCACGCATCGATGCAATGGTCAGGATTTGCCTGTTTTCCACCACGCCCTGCTGCAACTTCCCATAGAGAACGCCCAGTCCCGACGCATAGTCGGGCGTCCAGAACGAGTCTCGGAAACCAGGCATTGTGGCGGCTAGAACGTCGCTTCAGGGTATCTCTCCGAGACGCTCAGTCTGAGTAAATGGAGAAGCAGGTAAGGAATAAGCGATGGCGGGTTCGTCGGTGGGCGGAGAAGTGAGGATTATCGAAGGGCGGAGGTAGCGCGTAAGTGAAGGCTGGTCGGAGATGACTATTGGGCGGCCGCTGGGGCAGTCCCGGGATGCGATAGAATCGAGGCAGAAGAAAGCAGGCAGGCAGCAGAGAAAAAAAATCAATCTCGAGGACCTACGCGGGAGCGCATAGACTGAGAGGAGAGACCGATGACGAAGCGAAGACAGATCGCTCCGAAATGCACGGGGGGCAGTTAAGCGCCTAGTCGCGAAAGAGATTCTTCGGCACAAATGAAGGACAAGCCGGGGGAATGGTGACGGCAAAAAACAGCCGCGCAAAAGAGAGACAAAACGAGATGAAGGTGGTGAAGTTGGAGATGGAGATGTTGAAGTCACAGTCACCTGGTAATATTACCTCCAGGCTGAGACCAACAAATTTCGACGCCTTGTCTCCACGTTTTATCCACTTTTTACTATTTTTGGGTCTGGGAATTACTTGGCCAGCACTGCAAGAAAGGGGCACTTTAACGTATTCATGATCTATTCTTAATTCTGCATCCTTGAGCCCCGTATATATGCATGTAGCCATTTCATACGCAGGGGACAGCCTTCTGTCCAACGTGCCAAGCCTTGATCAGCGCCTGAGGTTGACATTCACAACGTGCACGGTTCTATTCTATACCAAGTCTACACGAAGCTATTTGAAATGAATCATGTAATATTCATAGATGGTATCATTATCCTCAAGCAATAAATCATGGTGAGGTTGCCACATAACATAAGATATACAAATCGGCCAAAGCTGTCTAGCAGAAGAACTTGTAAACCTTCTTCCACTTGGGCCAAGCCTTCTGCTCAGCCCGCTCCTGCTCAACAAGATGCTGAATATCAAGCTCACGACGACCGGTGACCAGGTCAACCTCATGCGAGCGAACGAACTTGGTCTTGTACCAGAACTTGTAAGGGATGTAGAAAGCTATGACGACGGGGGCGGCCAGGTAGACCGAGAAGAAGTTGTAGACAAGCTCGCTGGTAGTCATGTCGGCATAGCCGACAGGGGCGAAACCAACCCAGAACTGGGCAATCAACACCAGGATGTTGAAGATGAGACCGATCCAGGAACCGATGACACCGGGCTGGGAGCGGAAGGCCAGCTCGTCCAGGGAGTGGCCCTGCTTCTTCCAGGCGCGACGGAACAAGATGTGGGCACCGCAGACGGAACCCCAGGTGAAGATGGAGGACAGACCTGAGATGGCCATCATCCAGGCGAAGGCGGTAGTCTGCTTATCGGAAGCGGCAAGGAAGCAGAGCAGACCAAGGGCGGAGGCGATGATGATGGCGGGCAGAGGACGACCCTTGCGGTCAATGTAGGCCAAGAACTTGGGAGCCTGGCCCTGCTCGGCGAGGGCAGCAAGAGTACGAGAAGATCCGTAGACGGAGGAGTTACCGACGGAGAGAACTGCAATCATGATGACGACGTTCATGATGGAAGGCAGAGCCTTGATACCGGCATTCTCAATGGCGATGACGAAGGGAGAAGCGTGGGCGTCGGCGGAGGAGGAACCGTTGACAAGTCTGGGCTCATCGAAGGGAACGAGAAGACCGACGAGGGTGAGGGAGACAATGTAGAAGAGAGCAATACGCCAGAACACCTGCTTAACGGCGGTGGGGAGAGACTTGCGAGGGTTGGTAGTCTCAGCAGCGGCCAGACCGACCAGCTCAGTACCGGCAAAGGCAAAGGCAGCGTTGACGAAGACACTGCAGAGACCCTTGAAACCGTTGTTGAAGGCACCCGGGTCGTACCAGAATCTGGCACCAATATATCCACCCTCCGGACCACCACCGCAGTTGATAATGATTCCGAGAATACTGGGAAAAAAGTCAGCGTAAGATCCAGAGAAAAAGTAGGCCAAATACTCACATGAAGCCAAGCACAGCAACAACTTTGATGATAGAGAAGACGAATTCGGCTTCACCATATCCACGAACACCAAACATGTTGATCGAAACGATGAGAACCCAGAAAATGGCGACCCAAGCGGCATTGGAAACACCAGGGCTCCAATAATCAACGGTGATAGATGCAGCGACGATTTCCAGCGGTAAGACGATAAGCCATTGTAGAGCGTAGTTCCAACCCATAGCGAAACCCCAAGCAGGGTCGACGAAACGAGTTGAGTAGTGGGCGAAAGAACCAGCAACGGGGAACAGGACGGCCATCTCACCAAGAGCATGCACCGTACAGTAAAGCATGCATCCGATGAGAATATAAGCAATCAAAACTGAAGCAGGGCCACCGGCCGCCAAGACGGATCCGGAACCGACGAAAAGACCAGTACCTAGAAAGGGTCAGTAAGTACACAAGCAAGGCTCATGTTCACGCCAGATCCTTACCAATAGAACCACCAATGGCAATCATCTGCAGGTGACGACCCTTCAACCGACGCTGGAGAGGGGAGTGTGCTGTATTCTGTGCGGCAGTTTCGATATCGAAGCCAGAGCCATCGGCGCCAGCATGGCCAGAGACGGTGTGGTTAGGGTCGCGCTTGAAACTATCCCAAATGCGCTGTCCCATGCCAGCCCGAGTGGGCTCTGAACTGCCATAGGATGGGGGAGCATCAGATCCAGTCTGGATTGTCTGAGGCTCCGCAAATTTCTTCTCGTCCATGGTGAAGTGGGGGACCGTTGCTTATCCGAGTAAGGGTAAGTGTGTAGTGTGGAGGAAAGGAAAAGGGATCGACAAATCCTCGAGGGATTAGGTCAGAAGAAGGTGAGAAGGGAGAGGCGCACGGCTGGGAGGGGAGATCTGTCTGGGGGAGGCAAGTATTTAAATGCAAGCCAGGCCTGATTCAGATAAAGTGGTTACGTTCCTCGAAAAGTCATAGACAAATGTCTAATCTGCGCTTAGACTAAAGTAGACTTTTACGCTAAACTTCTCTTCCTCTGTTCTGATAGCCTTGGCGTACTTGAACGCCCGGTGCCACCGTAAATTGACTTTTTATTTTATTGTATCTTATCATTTTGGGCCTTTCTATAACAAATACCCGGTAGAGTAGATAAGAAGCACGTTCTGTTTCGGATTCCAGGCAAGTACAGAACAAGGGTAAGTGGGACCGCGCTACTTATCTCTCGCGTGATTTAGCCTGTCAGAAGGGATGATTCGACTGTACGGTCTGGATTGCGGACTCGACTTACAGGATGGAGGGAATAGACTCAGACCAATGATAATATGGGAATATACCATGATTTAGCAATAACACATACTCATACATATAGTACATAATATGATTTAATATAATAAATGCAAAGAAAAGAAAAGAAAAGAAAAGACAAGAAAAGACAAGCTCAGATTTGGACTAGCCCCATCAGTCCACCTCCGCACTCTGATAGGCGATCGTTACCCAATCCGATTGCGGAGATAAGCCGTTGCCTCATTCTCCCGTACTTTCACACACACTTTCTCTCTCTCTCTTTCTCTCACACACACTCCAACGCTTCGGAGTATTACATGGACATTCTTCCATTCCCACATTCTAGAATCTTGGCTAAGCAAACTTCACCCAATGCTAACTCATTCTTCATGAACACATGTAATACCCTTCCCTAGTCGGCCCTAAAGGCTGCCCTCCCCCTTACCTATGGGAAGGCTTCCCGTCGGAATCCGTACCTGTGGCTCTATATCCTGCGCTACGGGCAAGAAATATGCGTGCCATGCCATATGGCTTGGGAGAAGGTTGCCCCACTGAGGCTGGTGTCGACCGGATTGAGTTTCCCCAGAGACCCTCGGTTCAGCCTCTTGGCCAGAGAGAGAGACCACCTCGGCCTCGCCGTGTGGCATTTGACAATGTATGACTCGTTCTTTTTTTTTCTACAGTGTATACCTTTTTCAATTTGTGATTTCTCGCTTCGGATGGCACCATCAATCCCTGCGCTTAGACACTGTCCCGCATGACCAAATTTCATTCTCTGAGTTTCGGTAGACTCGTGGCGGTCTGCCACTGATATGCATGGAAGCACGGGAGAAGCGCACCCGGCCGGCTAGGACTAGGAGTGTGTTGGCTGGTTGGCTTGTTGGCTTGCGGGGGAGAAGTGACCATCATGTGTTCAGGGCAGATGCGAGTGATGATTGGATCAGTATAGGTGGTTTGAGCCACATCCTCGTATCCTGGGCACAAGGATTGCCTTTTCGACCGCTGTGGTAGGTCCAAGATTATGCCCTCGCAGTGCTCGGGGTCCGCGAGTAGCCTTTAGACTCAGGGATCCCGAGGGATCCCTGAAATGAATCACATTCCGTGGCAAATCTCCAGATCGCAGGGCAGTGTCCATGAGAATGGAATGGGGCCAAATCGTGTAAATGTACAATATCCAGTTCGGTAAAATGACCCACTCCCTTATCAGTAGCCACTAGTTATACAGTATATTGCTCTCACTCGCAGACCACTCTCAGCACAAGCTCCCAATAGGCAGTGGACAATGTGAGACCCATATGGTCAATGCATCGGAGAATACTATGTAGAAATAGGGGGCGGGAAAAAAAAAGACGCAATGTTCTCGGCCCTGAGCTTCCCACATGGGGTTGCGTGAGGGTGAACAGCCACCAAAGCGCCATTCCTCCGGCGATGGCGCGGAGCTGGACCTGCTACTGGCTGAGCCTTGCGCAACTGATAGCCACGGTAACATCGGGTGTGGTAGGTTTGGCTGACCTTTGCCTCTGGAAGGGAACCAAGGCCGTCTCTGAAGCTTGGCCCGGTATGCCTAGTTCTCCCAGTGTGCAGTGTGTCTTTCCTATCGCTTAGAGGGTCTCGTACAGAATGATGGAAGTGGGACTACAGTGGATTGGATCCCGATTTCCTTGCGCCTTTGCGGGTGTTAGGAGATTATCAGGAGATCATGATCATGATCGCGATCCTTTTCTCAGGGAAATAGTTTATTTGGGGCTTTTCATGCCGACACACGGCCCTGGCCCCCTGGCACATGCTCATTTGTGCGGTGAGTCGCCACTTCCCGCGCCACGGACTCCTCCGCTCGTTTCCCTTGAGTTTCTGGGCACTCTATTTTATCTTAGGCTTTTGTCTTTCGGCTTGATCGTATTTCCCGTTAGATGGCCAAGTCGGAATCCCGTCTCACCCGGCTTTCTGAATATCTTCACTACCCTGACTTAACATATCACCACATGGACTATGCAAATTAATATTTATTTTCTCCTGTAGACGTGTAGAGTCGACCTTAAATGTATCAAAGTTATATAAAATGCGGGGTGAGGCATTCTGTTAGGTAATGGTTTCCACTTCTACCGTCCGGGGTAAATACAGTATTCTCTTTTTTTCGGCTGACATCCCCGGAAATCAGGGATATTCACCGTTAGACTTCGACTTGTCGCCCCCTTGATTTGCTTGGCAGGTCCACATATCACGTATTGTCTTGTCTCAACTGTCATTCTATTCTCAGTACTTGGCATTGGCTGAGAGGTCTCGCCGTCGGAGTTCCCATATCCACAAAGTACGGTAACCGCGGTTTTCTTTGACCGAATAATTAGTCCCACTGGATATGTACGTATATGCGGACTAGATGTTTACTTTCACTAGCCTCCCCCGCATTCGACTAACCATGCGAGATTTTGTGGCAACATCGGAGGGTTTACCCCAGGTTTACGGTGTCCCGCTGGCTCGGTTAGGAGCTCCGTTGTGGTGATCCACTTAGGTTGCGTTAGTTGGGTTAGAGCTATCAACCTCCCTGTCTAGATAATGATGGGACTACAGTACTTGTTAGATACGAGATAATGTAGACATCATAGCTCCGCACTATGAGATGCTACGATAACAGAATACCAAGAGCGAGCAGTGACACAATATCAAGCCCTTTCTCGTATATTTACTTGGAAGTGAGGGAATATTTGGAGAATACCCGGCTCTAAACTGTCGATAGCGGGCATAGCCGTTGATAAGCTGGTCGAAGAGCGTGCTTACAGCTTCAGAGCTTATCTTGGCGTGGGAAGCTAGGCTGTGACTTGCATGCATTGTTTCATTTGTCTCATTGGGGGGTCCCTGCAGTTTGATTAGCGACTTACGCCCGTGGCTTGTCACTTGTCAGATGTAATGGTTCGATTTGAGACCTGGCTTTGTCACCGAGGCTAGCCAATCGCTCCGTGGCCGTTCACATATGTTGGCAGCTTGTCCCGTTTCTTGGGGCTAATGGCAATCTACACACGATGGAAATAGGGATGGCACACGGTTGCAGCAATTCATTCATTCAACGAGGTCTTTTTATCGTTGCTTTCGGTATCATTAATACACGATTGGGTTTCTGTTCGTCATGGTGGACTGGGTATCTTGGGCTTATGAGCTTGCCACAGGTCCTTCGCCGCCAGGAATCAACTGATACAGCTGTTAGAAGTCGTGCCTCTGATGGAAAATGATGTCTGACATACCATGCAGATGTTGTTACCGTTCAACAAGAGCTTGGGGAGCTTGATCTGAGCACCGGTGTAATCGCTGAGACAAGAGTTAGTACATGAACCAGACTGATACTCCCAATTGAACGTTGCAATATTGTCGCCTATTCCCATTGGGAGACAAAAATCACCAAATTGGAGAGCTGGCACGGTTTGCAGGCCAGAAAAAGCCCACATCCGTGGGAGCTTCAAATTGGACTGTAGTTCAGGGCAAGAAAAGGAAGTCAAAAGAAAGCAAAAAAGCACATACAATTCCGTCACATCTTCCATGACCATGTCTAAATTCATATTAGCGTCTGACCATATACAAACAGTTCATGCAGGGATACTCACTGACGTAGTCATCGAATCCGAGGAGGGTTCCGGAGAATTCTTCATGGCGTCAGTACCATCTTTAGCTTATGTTAAGTTGACTAGATTGGGGCTCACCCTTGTCACCCTTCATGACAACCCATATCCGGGAGCCAACACACTTGTCAATGAGCTCTATCAAACAAGTTAGTGGGGTCGTGGCATTTTTGGATCATTGGGCACAAACCGAGGGGAAGGAGCTGAGAAGCCATAATTTTGAGTGCTACTTGAGCTGGTACCTTGAGGATTAGTTGCAGGTATTTTTTTGACTTTAAATCACAAAGCGTTGAAGTATTTCGAGTGGACAAGTTTGATATAGAAAAGGACGTGATGGTTTGTCGCTCGGCGGGGAGGTTGATCCGGTCCAGTTCCACTAGGCCAATTCGGGCTTAGTGTCCACCCCGAGGTTGATGTGCGCTGCGTTACGACGGCGAGCTGCTGCGTTGCTTCATAACACTTGCTTATAGACGACTACCTGCTCGCATACCCCCACGGCTACTACTTCGCTCTCACGGCCACCTCGTTGTCAATTCATCCGTGGGCTCAGGCCTGGTCCACTATGCTTGTCACGCAGCATGCCAACTCAGGCGAATATTTTGGCGAGTCAGAAACACCGGTCTGTAATCGCAAGTCTTAGCAGTAAGCTCGTCAGGTCTATTTCTCAGAGTTCTCACGCATTGAATCCGTGTATGCTGCGGTCAGTACGCTCAACTATCTCTTTTGGAGCTCCAATGGCAGTGCCTCTAACAGGACTACAGTAATGCCAGCACGTGTACACGCTTTCCTTCATGCCCTCGACATGAAACTCTTCAAACTTCACGCCTCCACGGCCCCGGGCCGCTGATTTCATACGAAGTACGGCCATTTTCTACAACTGTTCACCGACAAGGTGCGTGGGACGATGAAGAGGAAGTTGAAGTCTCGGCTCCCAAAAGAAAGCCTCTGCGCTTCGTTGAGCCGAAAAAGACCGCGTCTCGTGGACCCCCAATTCATCGCGACGTGGGTAGCCTGATTCGAGCGCAATATTATGCCAAGCAAAGGGAGAGTGCCGCTAAACATTTATCGGAACAACATGCACGGCTCGAAAAGCGCTTCAAAGAACTCACTTCGACCGATGTCTATCGTGACGCGATTCTGAGGGCGCATTATGTCGATTGGGATTTCCAGCTTGCGTACAATGATCGCGAAACTGAACAGATGCAATCTATGTTACAGACGATAATATCCAGGGAAAATAAGCGGATTTTCGCCATAGCCTCACCTGTCAAAGCCGCGGTCCTCCAGGCTGAGAGAACCACTCTGGGACTGGTCACTGAATGGGAAGCTTTGTCATTTTCCGTTCTCAACCGACTGGCCACTAAGGTCTCGCAGATCACCGATGGAGTTTTGCAAGCAGAAAGCCTCACTCAAGAATATGTGGCTGCAGTGACAGATTTGTCATATAAATTGAGACTCAGTGCGGTGCATCTTGCTGTGGAGGAGGTAGAAAGAACGATTCCATTGGTTGATCATGAATTTTGTCTCGTGGTCTTCTCTGCGACTCCAGAATTGACCCGAAAAGTGGAAGAGCTTGGACACATTCTTGGACATTGGCAGCATGAGCTTCCTACTATTGCTACTGCCCTTTTGATGCACCAAGTAAACATCTCGGGGCTTTCTATTCTTGACATGGAAGACACAATCCAAAATGAGTTTTTACTTCCTCGAAAATCTGCAAGAAGACAAATCGATGACCTCATCTCTGATCACGAGAAAGTACTGCATGATTACAGGGCATTAAAGGCAAAGGCCAATGCGGTGTTGGAAGATCAAATCCACCCCCTTTGTCTTGATCTCGCTCGTGACCTTGATCTTTCCCAGAGAACGAGATCCAAGCTCGGGGAGCTTGGTCTTGCCATTTACCGCACTCGGCCCACTCTTGTTTACGCCCTGCATGTGCATCGTTCTGCGTGGCGAGCAAGAGTCATGCAAAGTCACTCACTCGGAAAAGCTCCACTATGGACACCAGGAGACGTCTCACTGACCTACGGCAATATCCCTCGCGAACGCCTGTTCGAAGCATTTGCCCTGGGTCCTCGACATGGCGGAATGCTTGCCCGAAAGTTGGCAGAAAACTCTAACAGAATAGCTAACTCTTTTTGTTCGAAATACGGGTCATGGCAAAACAACAAACCAGTACGAAGCCCTCAGCAAGATCTCGCCTGGCAGCAGCTAGATGTAACTTGGCCCATGCAACATCTCGATGCCTTATGCTGGCGGCTGCACACTGAAGTTTGGTACCTTCAACACACCCTGAAGGGAGCTTGCGGCCCATTATGGGAGGGTATTTCATTCAAAGACAGGCGGTCTTCAACCAACAAGGTGGCCGAATGGTGTTTCAAGTTCCAAGTGCACCGGAATGACTTGAAAGAAGAGCTTAGCGAATTTTATGAGATCAACTGGTTGCGCCTTCAATCAGAGAGAAAATTGTACGCCATGGGTGAACACGCTTACCTGAGTGACAAATCTGAAGTTTTGATCCCACTTAGTCAAAAACGAAAACGTTTCAGAGCATGGACTTTGCGCTTTGCTCAGATTTGCTCGGAAGCGTGGATTTACAGCATGGGCCTGAATCAATCAGCCAAGTTCTGGAAAGATCTCTACAAGAAGCTTGAGGCAGGCAGGATAGCGGACAACGAACTTGGCCAAAAGCACCTCCTCAAAGAACTTGGTTCTGAAGTCACCCACAGGAGAGCCATTCTTCCTCCCCCTCAGCTCGGACTGGTTCATTCAAAACCACAAAACGATCAAAGTTTGCTCCTTCAAAGAATTTGAGCAAGCCACGCAAGACACGGGGCAAAGGCGCTTCAGCTCCGGAGCTTCATTCACCCATGCCGAATGCGCAACCCGAAGTTAGGCCCAAACAAGACGAAGCTCTTCCACACGGGGGTCAAGATTTGCAGATGAAGACTCCAGGCACTGGCAAGCCTTGGTGGATGCGTTCGAGGCAAACCGAAGAATGTTCAGACGAAACGAAGGATACCCGCACAGCCAACCCCGAAGCCTTCACGCCAGAGTTCAAGAATGTCCCAATTGCCTCAAGCAAAACCGAAGTATCACGACCTTGGACCATGGCTCAAAAGGTTCAAGAGATCTTCGGGTTGTCGACCAACGCAGACATCCGTCAGCTTAAGATCAAAGAAACTCCTACCCAGCCAACTAAAGATGTCACCCTGGATAAGGCAAAATATGAACCGCCCGCTAGAAGGAACTTGTTCCAAAATATGTTCACTGTAAGATCATATATCCCGCCTTCGGTGGAAAAAGAGAATGCCCCAGCTCCCAAAGAGCTTCCATTAAGCCATGAACATATCACGCCAAGTGAAAAATCGTCAGCTGAACCATCCTTTCCCCATGGAATGGGAACCTCCAGGGTGGCGGTGAGAAGACGACGCCGAAGGGAAAGGGAACAGGAAAACAATCCTGACACAGTCTCCTGCCACAGTTTTCCACAAAGTAGCAGTCTCGGCGAGGATGCCTTAACCAAGCAGATGTCTGAAGGTGAAATCTCCCCAATCACGCCTACCAATGTCGATAGCCTGCCTTCAGCGGAACACAAGAACAGTCCAGACCCAATTTCCTACCACAATCTTCCACAAAGCAGCGGTATTCGCGAAGGGAGGAGAATTGTGGTAAGCAAAAGGGAACGACGACGACAACAACGAGAACGAGCACTACTCAGGGCCACATTTGGTAGAAACTATACTACCGACGCCCGTTCCTACCAAGCAAATCTTCGGCAAAGTAGCGATGACAGCAATGGCTCCCTAGCCAGACCAATCGAGCATGCCATTTCTCCCCTTCCGCTTGCCCAGATCCATGAATCAGACTCAGTTGATCAGGCGTCCATGGATGAAACAGTACGAGAATCGGCAATTGATTTTGATGTCAGTGACTCCGCGGCACCCAAGTTCTGGAGCCATAGCTCAGAGAAAAGCCCAGGTGGCGAAAAACTTGTTGTGCATTACTGTCGTACTCTACAGAATACCGAGGAAATCGCCAAGCACTTCCTCGATAGCAAGGTCCTCGGGTTTGACATGGAATGGAAATCTTCGGCATCTGCCTGGGATAGTATTCAGAACAATGTTTCCGTCATCCAAATTGCAAACGAGGAACGCATCGCTATTTTCCAAATTGCGTCGTTTAAGCCTTCGCGGTCTTTGAAGGATCTTGTTTCCCCGACATTGAAACAGATCATTGAATCTCCTTATATCACGAAAGTGGGTGTATCAATCAAGGCAGACTGCACACGACTACGCAAGTATCTCGGCGTTGATGCAAAGGCATCATTTGAGCTAAGCCATCTGTTCAAGTTGGTGAAGTACGGCCAGGAAAGCCCCAAACTGGTCAACAAGCGAGGTGTCAATCTCAGTGATCAGATGGAAGAGCATTTCGGTCTTCCGCTTGAAAAAAATGAAGATGTGCGTTGTGGCGATTGGGCTCGGGCATTAAGCTATCGCCAGGTTCAATGTGAGTACTCGAATTCCTCAAAACTCGCACAGTCATTATGCAAAATGCTAATCTAGACTTTCGTTGGTCTAGACGCCGCTACTGATCCCTATGCTTGCATTCGTCTCTATAATGTCATGGAAAAGAAAAGACTGGCTATGAATCCCATGCCGCCTCGTCCTGCATTCGCTGAACTCAATAAGCCTATCATTCTTCCGCTTGGACAGGCTGTCAATGGTGAGCAGAAAGAGCCAATTCTCTGAGTTATTTCTGGATATATTTGCATATTTTATCATTATTCCCCCTCGTTTGAGAAAAGACCGACGCACATACTCTTGTTTCTAGTTGATTGATTGCGTTTTGTGATTTGCATCTCTTGGTAGCGGGCATCTGTTCCATTCGATATCCAACTTTGGCCTTCGTTCAATCTTCGTTCAATCTTCGTTCAATCTTCGTTCATGCATACATACAACATCACCCAAGAATTTAGTACTCAGTGTCCAAACATGGCAAGAGTGGACATATCCATGCGCTTCAATGGTCACAGTATCAAGATGGTCTGCTTCGATCATGGAAAATATATCTCCCCAAAATACTAGTCTGGTATGACGCATCTCGATATCTGAATTCATTCGATGAACCAAAAAAATGATTAGGAAGTGGGTATATATTTATCAACAATAAGTGTATAAACATCTATCGACCAAGCCGATATCTCCAAGATATGCATGAAGATTAAGAATCACGCTTCTAACTCATTTACTCAAAGACAACATTACCCTCTCAGAGGGAGAACCTTCGACAGCAAAACCTCCTGTCGACATAGCGGACACTCAGGCTTCTCACGAACCCAGTCACGGACACAGATCCAACAAAAGACGTGCCCACAGGTCGTCACACTAGGATCCTTGAACTGTTCCAGACACAATGTACACTTGCGCTGCTGACCCTCTGGGATCCAGGAGACGGCACTGGGGTCCTCATCCAGATCATATAAAGGCACAGAGGCAGGAAGAAGGGGAATAGCCGAGGGGTTCTGAATGGAAGAGATAAGAGCCCCACCCTCTGAACGAGACTGTCCACCCTCCGTAGAAGCACCCTCCTCCTCATTCATGCTAGCACCCAGCTTGCGGGCATGCAGGAATCCCTGCACAGCGATTTGGAGTACCATCAGGACACCGAGGACTTCATACCCGATGCGCTGTTCATTCTCCTCGATCTTTTTCGTAAACACATAACGCAGCCGCCAGAGCCGTTTTGACAAGTGATAGTATGACCCCGTAAAATAGAAGGTCGCAATGCTCAATGCGTAAATGGGCGACACGGATGTAATAGAGTCAAGATGATCAAGGAGATACTGCTGCATACGCAACTTGGTGAAGAAAGGCTTTTGGGTTGGGGAATTTGAGAAAGTAGGTTTATTCAGCAGGCCAGCCTGCTGCGCAGCCCGGAGCTGTGCCCGGGCAATATTGCGCTCGAGCTTGTTGCGGATCTTCTGTCGCAAGGCAGGTAAGATCCGCTGTAGTGTCCATGGTACTAGGATGCTGCTGAGGATGTATCCCACGCGTCTACCGATAGACGGTAATTGAAGGGTGTCGTCTTCTAGTTGGACTAGGTCACAGTATTCCTCACCGAGAGTTCGGTTGCCGATGGCGGTTGTGAGGGAGAAGTAGAGGAGCTCGGTGAGGTGCTTGATTGTGTCGGAATAGGTGTGTGCAAAGCGGGCACCGCGTAGAGCTCGGACGATGCCTTGGGATTGATGGACTAGGCTGCTTGTGAGGAATGCATCCTTTTCGTGGGAGCGGATGACATCCGGAGATGTTGCGAACGGGTAGAAGTGGGAGGCTGATGAGCCGAGGGCTGCACTCGGGTTCAGAGCGATGTGAGAATCGTCTTCGGCCATGATAGACGGTCAAGGGATTGCTGGAATGTGACTGTGTATACTATCTGATTTGGGACATCCTCACGACGAGGTACAATTCCCCGGCATGTCTGGGTGGAGATGACTTCCCCGGAGTCGGACGTGCCTCGGTAGCCCATCACATGACTTGGCCGAACAGGAAGGGCATCACATGACATGACATCACGTGGCTTTACGGGATCATTACGTGAGCCCCACAAGTGCCTGATTCCGCCGAATGCAGCCACTTGGTGGCTGATTTTATATTGGATCCCCCCTTTACTGTCTCCGTTTCAGGGTCTTCAGCTTGATGATTGTCGTGTGTCTTGTCTTGAATTGGTGACTGGTGACTGGTTGGCCATCTCCAACTTGCAAAGTGCTCTACAACTGGCACCGCTCTGTGGACTATTCTGATTGGCGCTGAATGTCGATCCAGCGCTAACGATCTTCAGTCTCCCCTGAGATGTGCTTCTAATTATACCGAATCCGACGCATTGTGGAGTTCCAGACCACCGGTGGACTCTTGTCTAGTCCACTCAGCGTGAATTGTCCTCGTTACCCTCTCCGCTTATTAAACTGCCCTGAAAGCGGCCTCACTGGCAAAAGTCTTAACTTCCGAACTCACCCCTAGTCATTCGTTTATCCCCACGGGGTCTCTTTGTTTCTTCAGTTCTCGTCCTCTCTCTGATCAATGGAAAAATGGGTCCTGATCAACATGCTCAACTGGATGCCTTTGGGTTGATCTTCCCATTGCCATTACGGATAGCTGCGCTTCTGGTTGCTGGTAGGTTATTCTTTTTGATTTGGGTGTTAGAAGTGCAATGCTAACGGAGGGGCAGGTTTCTGGGGATGGGGTCTTAACCTTCAATATTTGGCAAAAGCCAACATTGTGAGTGACGTCGCCAGTTCATCGGAATCTACCGGTTCTTCCAGTTTTGTTCCAACTAACCACTCTCAATCTCCAGGACGTTCCTGCTCTCGTGAAGTATCCCGGCCGCACATCCTCCGCCCAACGCCCGCACCACACCGCCGTCTACCGCCTGGCAACATGCTTCACTATCCCCCTCGTCCTGTGGTGGGTTGTCTTTTCGCTCGCCACCCGCCGGTCCCCTGACCTGGTAGAGCGACTGGACTGGATTCCGCAGTCCGTTTTTATTGTCCTCCTCCTTATCCTGATCTGGCCCTTAAACCGCGCATCTCGTGCTGGCCGCATTCGGTTCCTCCTTACCCTCAAGCGGGTCGCGATTGGTGGTCTAGCTGAGTCTCAAGATGGCAAGTTTGGTGATGTTCTGCTGGCAGATGCCCTGACTAGCTATGCTCGCGTGCTGGGAGATCTATACATCAGCTTCTGCATGTTCTTCACCGACGGCCTCGCCGCAACCTCCAAGCCCAACCGAGCGTGCGGCAGCGAAATCGTCGTGCCTATCATTATCGCGTTTCCCAGCTTGATCCGTTTCCGTCAGTGTCTGACCGAATATGTGCGCGCGCGCCGCACCACCACCCGGAGAGATACACAAAAGGGTAACCAGCACTTGGCCAACGCCCTCAAGTACGCTACTGCGTTCCCTGTCATCTGGATGGCTTCCAAGATGCGCAACTATAACCCGTTGGACTTCCACGGGTACAGCGAAATGAGCATGATGCGTCTCTTGTAAGAATTTGTCCCTCCTTCATTTTTTTGTACTCTTTGCTGATCCCCCGCAGGTTCATCGTCTCCTTTATCAACTCAGCATACTCATTCTGGTGGGATGTTGTCAAGGATTGGGACATGACCCTCTTCTCTCCTGAACGCCTCGACAGCGATCACCCCTACGGACTCCGCCGATACCGCTACTTCTCATCTGATAAGTTATACCACTACGTCATAATTGCGGATCTTGCACTTCGTTTCTCATGGCTCTGGCGCATTGTGCCAGGCTTCGGCTGGATCCCAGAAACCGAGGGCGGTCTTTGGATTCTGATGCTCCTCGAAATTGCACGCCGCTGGATGTGGGTATTCTTCCGAACGGAAGCCGAATGGAGTATGTTTTCATCCATGCCCTCCCTATCCCTGCACCGAACTGGGGTAGCCTGGAAACCCTTGCCTTCGTCTTCAAATCATGACCGCTAACACATACGATAGTTCGGAATACTCATGGCCCTGGCCCCGACGATGTTCTCCTCGGCGAGTACAACCACAAGTTTGATGCGGACTAAATTTGTTATATTCGCATTTGAATGCACCTTCAGGCGACCCGGAATGAGAATGAGACACAGATTTCCCACTTTCAACCTACGATATCGGTTGATTTAAAGAGCATAGACGCTCTCCTTACTACCCGCATACCCCCCGCCCACCCAATGCTAGAGCAGCGATAGATGGGGCCTGGGTTTGGCTTTTTGTTTTCCGCGCGTGGAATTATTCCATCCAACGCCCTGTACGCCTATAGTTTTTTGATTTCATTTCAGACGCGTGTCTTTTGCACAACACTTTCAGTTTCCTCGGACTCAGTCGAGCCTGTGTTTTCATAGTCAGCTCATGGATTTGGTGTTCGATTTTGGAATCCGCCTTCGCGGCAAGCATTATGTGTTTCCTTTTTCTGGTCGATTTGTTCTGGTATTTCTCCTTGTATTCAATATTCCTGGGATCATTTTGATCCGACGCCTGCATCTACCCTTGCCTTTTTTGACAGTTTTTATTACATATACCACATCTATCGGATCGAATCTCTTTATTCTTCCCTTTTCTTCTTCCCTTTCTGGAATTCCTCTCGGGGCTTGGCTGCCTGAGAGTTTGGTCGCGGCATGTACCCTGAGAATATCACACAGATCGACACGAGACCCGGGAACACCGAGTTCAATGTCCAGAAACGAAGAGCCATCCTTGATTATCCATCTTAACGCTTTCTGGCGGTGACCTATGTCCTCAACCCTTAGCTTCAGTAGCTGCCAAGACGTTACTAAACCCGCCATTGGATTTCAACATTGCGAATACACCAGCATGGAGACATACAGAGTTGGCTCTGCGGACGGATATGGCAATCCTCGAGGCGTAGTACGCGCATGCTCTGCCATATCCCTCGGCGGCACAGTTGACGGTATTCGCCTGCTATCTCCTGAAACCGTCAATCTCATCTCCGAAGAATAGACCAATGGCGCTGACTTGGTTATGATGGGGAAGCTCCGGTTAGGGATTGGCTATGCTTTTCCGGATAAAGACACTGCTGTGGATTGGTTGCCCGATGGTTGAATTTGTACTTGGGGAGGGATGGGTGGTTTTCTGGTGACTATGGAGGTGGATAGACGGTTGACAATTTCTTATGTTATGAACAAGATGCAGCCTACGGGGTTGGGTGGTTTTCTGGTGACTATGGAGGTGGATAGACGGTTGACAATTTCTTATGTTATGAACAAGATGCAGCCTACGGGGTTGGGTGGGGAGTTTACTAGGGCTTATGTTCGTGCGGTGTACAAGGCTCTGGGAATCTCATAAATTATGGATTTAGTATCTGGAGCGAGGCTTTCACGGTATAGATACTATGATCAAAACCTACGGCAGGAAAGCCTTGAGGCATGAATAAAGCATGACAAAACAATTACATTGAACCCGTCTAAGTATTCCGAAGGCTAGTACGATCTAACAACAAATCAGTTGCCTGTGACTGCATGGCATCTCAAAAGGACATCCATAAACTTTCCACCGCGCAAGGCAGTATACACTTGAGCAATGTTCGACCCAATAGTCTTCTTCTCGGAAGCCGGCTCGCCAGAGTCGTAAGTTGGGTGATCAATGACTCCACGATGCATGGGAACAGCCAGAGTCTCTCGAACGAACTCATAAAGAATCTTTGATGAAGTACCGAGATATTGTTTCGTGGTGGTTGCAGTCAGGAATTGCTTCACTGTGGCTGCGTATGACCCAACCAGAACATCATCCACTTGTTTCATCCACTGCTGAGGGTTTATCTTGAGGCTGTTTGCACCAACAAGCTGCAGGACCTGTCCGAGGGATGATGCCACGGTCGTGGAGCTACGCTCAGGCAGGTTCTTGGAGCTGTTCTGTGCCCACTGGCCCATCAATACGTCCCATACGTCTTTTTGAACCGATTCAATTGAGACGCTTTGGTCCTCTGGGGTGACAATCTCCTTGGTAATTTGGTCAACCTGGGGCCGGGCGGTATTGATAAATTCCAGATGCAAGGCACGCAGATCGAGAGCCTGACAAATAACGTAGAGGTATGTGGCAGTCATAAGGGAAAGTAATTCAACAGTATCGCCCGCGTAGCGAGAAGCGATGAACGCCAGAGAGTTGAGACCCTGGTTGTGCATCTCGGCACTTTGAACATAATTGCTGACAGGGTGGGCGAGATACGCCAGCTCTGACATATACGCAGCCATGTTGATGTCAATACCCTTGAAAGCGAACGAGATATTCGGATCATCGAAACACAGATTTGGAGGCAATCCATTGCTCAACATAGGATTGATCAATTCAGAGCATTGAGCAAAGAACATCTTCCCCAGCATCTGCATAGCAGACATGGTCTTTTCCATAGCAGAGGTAACCGAGACAGCCTGGAAGTTTCCACCGTGGTAGACTTTCTCATTGGAGGGGTCTACGAGAGGATTATCAGTCGTAGAATTGAGCTCGGTTTGCAACTGCTCAGCGGCCAATTTCATATTCTCCAATTGGGGGCCAATCCACTGTGGAGCGGTGCGCCAGGCGTATCGATCCTGAGCAAGTTTGGCTTCTCCACCGGGTCCTTCGTCGATTGCTAGCTTTGATCCTTCGAGGTGATCAAAGATGTTGGCAGCAGCTTCGCTCTGGCCGTTGTGGGGGCGGACTTCGGAGATGAAAGGATGGTAGTTAAGGCGGTTCCCCATCATTGCCTCGGTTCCCATGGCTGTCAAAGCTTGGGATAAAAGGATCAGCTGGTTTGCCTCGAACATCACCAGACTAGCGGAACCAGAGCTGAAGGCTGTTCCATTGAGCAATCCCAGGCCTTCTTTAGGCCCAAAAGTGAGAGACTTGAGGCCTGCTTCACTCAAGGCTTTGTTGGATGGAACCTTTTCATACCCATTGGCTGTGGGACGCTGAATCAGGATATCTGGGTTTCCCTCCAGCGCACCGGCAATGTATGCCAAGGGCGTGAGGTCGCCAGAAGCGGAAATGCTACCACGCAGAGGAACAACGGGGGTCATATCCTTTGCCAAGAGGGCAATAATTGTTTTGATGACTTCAACCCGAACTGACGAGTGACCGCGCAAGAGAGAGTTGCATCGAGTCAGCATTGCTGCTCGGACAGTAGATGTAGGCATGATGTGGCTTTTCAAGTCATTCAAAGTGGTGTTTTCACCGTTGGGAGATTGGCTGGAAGGATAAGGGAATGCCACTGCACTGTTGTGGTGCTGAATCAATGCTTTTTGCAATGTTTCATAATCAGCAGTGCGAGTGTTGGCACTGCCACCAAATCCGGTTGTAACACCATATACAGTATGGCCGGCCTTCAGCTCTTGAGTTAAAAAGTCAATGCTCTGGTTGACACGAGCTAGGACTTTCTGGTCATCCGTGAGAGATGGCTCAACATGGCATCTGTTGATGATCAGTCGAGGTGCTGAAAGGGCGAGATGTGCGATAGTTTACCTTGCGACTGCAAAGACAGAGACAATATCCAATGATTGTCCATCAACCGTAATCTTCTCCTTCCCCTGAATCATCTTATTGAATTGTACCGAGCTTGATAAGGTCATATGGGTTAGACCCAATGCCCGATCAGTCAAGTATTTCTGCAGACCTTGTTCTGTCTTGTCGTACATGTCGTGAAATTACGGGTAAAGAAGAAAAGAAGGTACAGATGTAATGATGAGCAGATTCCGATCTTAAAGATCGTACCAAATGCGATGTAACTGTGGGTCCCACGTGGCCCTGGAGCCATTTCTCATCCCAACAAATCTTTTAACTCAGATCCGCGATCTGGATTTTATCGTGATCTGCACTATTCTCGACATAATCGGAGAATTCTAAAACACTATTACTGCCTCAGTGGATCACCGTGTGAGACACGCCTATCAGCTCGAATCAGGCAGTGTTACATACTGAGTTCTTGGTCACTCGGCTTCCACTTCCTCCACATTGTAGGCTTGATCAAGGTGGCCTATTGCAGTAATGCACATGTACCCCAAGCCAACGCATGTGAGATTTATGTGATACTGTTGGTATCACCAGCTAGGTACCGTGTACACAGTTAAGTGAACAGTATTCATGCTCCTAAAGCAAGAGTTGATTGATTCATGCATCCGATAGATGTCCAGGTCAGGTTCAGAATTACCCCTGAATCCCATACGCAGATAACTAAGCACAGAAATGTGATCTATCAGTCGCTGGCGGTAAGCTACCGCCAGCTTGTTCTGACAGAGCGATATGTCCCGACAGATACAATAGTACAACTTCAGAAAATCGGAAGGCCCCAGATGGAGTACCACACCTGAAAGAGACAGGTTGAAGATGCCACGAATACGCATGAAAATGAGCCCTCGCCCCTTCCATCGCTAATGAGCACGTGTTATAATATGACTATATATTATCGGTCATGCCACGATAATCGAGAGCCTCGCTTGCCAGTCTTAAGTATTAATGCGGAGAAATCTCACAATATGAATGTCCTACATTCGCATTCCTTTATTCCTTTCGGAGCCCTATCCCCAGGACCGTTGATCAATGCAGTACAGAGAAATCTCAAGAAATGTACCTACTGCAAGAAGCGCGGCCATGTGGTCGCGCAGTGCTGGAAGAAACAGCGTAAGTACACCCGCCCAGGGACCATGCCCTGAAGGCTGAACGGGGTGCTTCCGGCTCACCTACAAACAACATGCAAAATATACCGACAATCCAGAGAGAAGATCGGCAGGGCCCGCCGACTTCCAAGAGACCGAAGATCAGTATCGTAAGGGCGAGGGTGACGACCCTTTATACCCACGTGCCGCAACCCTGGTGGATCCTGGACTCGGCCGCCACCAGCCATATCTGCTGGGACCGGAGCTGCTTTAGCAGTCCGCGGCCCCACCGCGAGATGTTGGACACGGCGGGCGATCCGGTGGAAGCCGAAGGGATTGGGACGGTGAAGCTCACACTCCGGAGGAAGTTCAACCAACCCCTGGTGTTAAAGAACGTGTACTTTGCGCCATGCGTCGGGATGAACCTGATCAGCGTGCCGAAGTTATTGCGAGACCGCTACTCGGTGGTGGCGTACCCGCAGAACGTCTTTGTGCAACGCCGAGTACGGACTGTGAGGACCGCCTACCACGCGGAGGAGGATCTGTTGATCCTGCGGTGCCATTTGAGCAAAATATCCCAAGAGCGAGTCCAACTGGCGAGGGCGCCGGCGACCCATGGCCATGCAGATTCCCTGGAGCCGCAGGCGGTGGCCATGGACGTCGACGACCCTCGAAAGTCAAGTCGCGCAGAATGCGCAGCGTCAACCTCTGAACTCGGTGGTGAAGCTGTGATACATCCCCTCAGCTATTCTTTTCAAACTGCTATTAAACATCGTTATCAGATCAAAAAGGGCTTTGAATTACCCTTGAACTACTCATCCAAGTAGGCTTGCTGCATTGGCCTACAATTACCAGCCCTCGACATTTTCATTCCACGAATCATGCCTATCGGCTTCCCAGCCACTTTTTGACCTAGCTGACCCTGGTTCTGTGTTCCTACCTTGCATTCCACGAGACTCAGCTGGGCGTTGTCCGCGGGGTATTGTGCCGGAAGATCTGGGATGATTCGTTCCGCTATTGAGAGGGTAAAGAGGATCTCTGAGATTGAGGTCCACGAGATCCCCCAAAGAGAACGGCGGTATTATGCGTAGCTGGATCCCCCTTGGAAGAAACTCGAAATAAGAAATCCGAAATCGGAAGAATAAAGAAGAAATGACCGAATAAGAGGAAGTAAATTGACGTAGTAGTGACTAGTAAAAGAAATATCTTGGCAAACTCGGTTATAGGCCTTGGCATCTCGGTCTTTTCCGTTCCTCTCTCCTTCCACTTAACCGCGGAACCACACATCTCGCCTGCCAAAATGGATGAGCTCCGTAATAGACTTTACAGTCACCGGACTGGTGCCCATGTGGCTAATTCGGAATTCAGGACCATGTTGCCTGGTAGCGGAAAAAGGGGTAGTTGACAGTTTGCGAGCTGTTGAGCGGAGCGTGGGCTTTTGACCTTGTGGCGTTTTAATGGCTGAGGATAATATCAATCGGTGATTGTCTGGTATCTGGTACCGGACTGAATTCCTCGCCCGTTAGGTACAGCAGAACCGAGCTGTGTTGTGGCCAAAAAAATACTAGCCGGGCACGGATCCAAGATCCAAATAGTCTCGAACACTACCAATCAGGACTATCCGAAGCAAAGATTTATTTAAATTATGAGAATAGGCGTACGGCAAGAACCACTTGAGTCCATTCTAAGACCATTTAATTTCCGATCATTGGTTCATTCCCAATGGGTTATAGAGCAATTCCCCGCAATCGAGTATTTACATCCTCGTGGGCCCCCCTTTCTACCTGTCAACTGGCAAAGCTTTCAACTTCTAGTCATTCTTTTTCTCTGATATTTTTGTTTTCGGTCGCTTTCTTTGCCTCATCAGTCACTCCTTGAACCCTTTCGATTGCGACAAAGAAAACGACAATCAAAGATGATGCGCTCCGTGATCCCTCTGGTCGTCTCGCTCGCTTCGCTTGTCGCTGCCATTGAAATAACCAGCCCCGCTGCGAACACGACCTACACAGCCGGGTCCACCGTCAACGTCGAGTGGACTAGCGTGGATACCGATCCTACCAACTTCAGCCTTTATCTCTGGAACTTTGTCTCCTGGCCTCCATCTTATGTTCCGCTGGCCATCGACGTCCCCACGTCGGATCTGTCTTACTCTGTCCAAATCCCCTGCGATACCACCCCCGACTGGGGTTACCAAATCAGCGGTATCAACGGCACCAACGTCTACATCATCTACGCGCAGGGTGATAAGTTCACCGTCTCCAATGCGGACAACAGCACCGCCTGTGTGGACACTCCTTTGCCGACTACCTTCACCTGCCCCAACGCTGCGGCGTCTACCGTTTATGTCACGGTGAGCTCCACCCCCAGCTCCCGTCCTTTCCATCATCCATCCCACGCCCATCATCCATCCCACGTCCATCCTTCTCCATCACCCAGCACTGCCAGCATCTTGAACTCTGAATATACAAAGCCTGGAATTGTGCCTAAGACTATAGGATGGTGCTCAGACTATTCCCACCCTGTAACCTTGGACAAGGTTCCCACCTCGACTCTGACTCTCTCGGCGCCCAACGATACAAATGGATCTGATGCGTCGCCGGTCGTCACTGCGGCACTGGGCCAGGTCACTGATTCTCCTGGCATCCACACATTGACTATCACTAACACTGCGACCGTGCTGGCTTGCCCGAACGTGCACACAATTTGAGGGAAGTTTCTTTATCCGAGCAATCGGTAATCAGTTCTTTATGCCGATGTATTTTATGTAACATCGAATGAGAAGGAAATTATTCAGGGTAGATCGAAATCAATTTCCCCTTAGATAAAGCTATCTCGTAGGTTTAGAGCAGGGCAATAGTTCCAATTTATAGCCCAGTAAGTCGGGATGACCCAAGACTTTGCTCCTGCGTCGCCCCGTTATAGATGAGCTCGGTGCCTTCCAAATTTGCGTCATCGTGTTTTAGTGCGTTATTTTTTGAGAGGGGAACGAGAATAGAAGATCGCGTACCTCAAGAAATTGGGGCGTGGTGAGAAGTGAGGGCCATCAAAAAGTGATCGCAAAATAAACAATATTGTGGGGCAAGGTGCTCCTTTGGGTATGGACTGCGCGTGGACTGAGTGCTCAATAGATGGCTCTGATCAGTCTGAGTAATCAGTGAGTAATCAGTGCGCAATCAGTGCGCTCAGGGAGCGCTTATTGGACTTGGCGGCTTTGTCACGTGATGTAACTGAGCAGCTCACTGGGTCTGAGCCCAGACTGAGATTTACTCGTAAAAGCGGCGGCAGCTAGGTACAAATAAGCAGGACTGTTCGTACTAGTGACCACTCCTGTTGACAGATTAATGCTTTCACGTTTGTTTCCTTACTTACGCTCGCTACCATGAAGATCGCTCCTTTCTGGGTGTCTATCGCCCTATTAGTTCCACGGGCTCTAGCAGACCTTACTGAATCCATAGCGATATCTGCTACGTCCACCTCTACTGCCGCGGCACCAAGCTGTACATCTTCCCTCATCGCCAGTCTCTGCAGCTACCCGGAACCTGGCCCAAACTTCGCCGTCGCCATCGACAGCAGGGCCTCCTGCTGGGACTACTGCAACGCCCACCCTCCCTGCAACTTTGTTATCTTTTCTACTGGCAACCCTCACACGGGCACCGGCACGTGCTGGCTGTACCCGGGTGAAAACTTCGATGCGAGCAAAGGTAGTTCGGATTGCTCCAATCCCAGCCTGTCCGTCTACAGCCAGCCCGTGTGTGCGGGCGGGAGCGCAACCACCACTGCTGGCGCCTGCGCCGCCACTGCGACTCCCTCTGCTGTTGCCTCGGTCTGCGGGTACCCGGCGCCTGGTGACTGCTTTAACGATTGTTCTGCTAGTACGGGTGCGTCGAATTGCTTGAGTCAATGTGCAAAGGCCGATTCTTGCAGCTATGTCGTCTTTAATCCGGATAATTCAAGCAACTCGCCGTATGCCCCGGGCAGTTGCTGGATCTATCCAAACGGCACATTTAACGCTGGGTCTGTGACCGCTTGTAGTGGCGCTCCCGAGCATTTTGTGTATAACAACTTGTGTCCCAAGCCATCGCCTTCATCGTCCTCCCTTGCATCATCTGCCAAGGAACGCTCTAGTGGCACTGGAACGGCAGGCACTACTTCGGGTTCATTTACTAGCGCTGCTATGTTCTCTAATGGCACTGAAACCTCGGGCAATACTACGAGCTCGACTATTACCAGCAAAAATTCTGCGCCTGCCAGCCTCTCGCTCACTAATCCATTGGCTATAGCCGTGGCTATATTAATATGGCAAGCCCTTTAATGATTGTATCTATTGGTTGTTTGTTCAGCTAAACCAGCTATTGGAAATGATATATTGTATATTAATGGACTTCGTATGTGGTCACTTTTCCTCGTGTATCTCTCGCTATTGTAGAAGGTATGTTACGTTATTCATTCTATACTGCAAATGATGGACTAGGGCTCCGAGTAGTACGAATCACGTTGCTATCTTGGTCGATCTTAGAAAGAAGCGGTAGAATTATAGCTTTGGAATTATGAACACTCCAATTTTAAACCACGGGATTTAAACGGTGGAATCTTATGTGACATTGGAATTGGAGATGTTCAGCCTGCCGAGTTCTACCCTTTACTTTCATTAAGTTCTTCGCTTGCATAGCATTTTTTTTCGTGTCCCGCTGAAACTTAAACTCATTCGATGGATCCCGAAAGACAGAATTGATACTAGCAATGAGCAACTGCATGACCAATCATTGGATGCAGTCCCATCACCCCATTATCATGTTCTTATAACGAGGCTATCAAATGCGACTTTGTCGGCACGGAGTTGATGAGTGATAATGAAAGACTTTCTGGAGACCGAGAGCCTTGGACCCTTTCGACAAGAATATTCTAAGGCGTTGAGTGGATAATAAACTGTGGGTTGGTAAACCCCATGCGATCAGTTGCTGCAGAGGATTAATATATCAGTGCTTGTTAGGGTGCAAGTGGTTCTCACTTGAATTGGCGAGAAAAGCTTCGGTATAGCTATGGTGTTGCCTATCAACTCTTTGTAGAAGCCAGGCAGAGATGCATAGCTAGTTTTGAAGTAATCCAGTTCCCAATGTATAAATATAGTCATTGGTACAGTACGTCCAGCAATTGGTGTCACCACTTACACTCTTCTGTTCTTTCTCGAATCCAAATTGCCAAGATGCGCTAGTCTGTCTTAGGACTCTCCTGGGCGAACGTTGTATGGCAACACGCCAAGAGATGCTAACCCTAACTTTGTTCAACGGTGGCGCTAATCCGGTTTCGTCTTGGCGCCTCATATAAGAACCATAACGAGGATAGCAACTAGCGCACGTATTGATCTTCGTAATGAAGCTTAAGAGCAAATTGTAGGATCCGATTTTTCTAGATCAGTAGCCACAATAGTCGTCTACAGAGCTCATGTAACTGAAATGAAAGCTTCATTCATTGACATCTAAAAAAACATCACAAAGACAGACTCGTTGACTTCGTGTAAATCCCCTCGACTGGGCAAGCTAGAAGAGAAAGAGACACACAGCCACAGATAAATACTAAGGCGGACCAGCCAAATGGACCTATAACATATCCGTGTCTTTCTCTCTCTTCCACTGCCTTCACTGCTTTTGATTCTCACAATCAATCGCTCGCTTCTGCTTTCAACTTCAAATCCATATCGTCTCGCTCATATCATGCATGTCTTAACTTTTTTAATTGTTCACACATCCATTCATGAACTACATCCATACATTACCATTGCTGTTCGAGTAAGCATACCAAATTGAATCGATCCAGTAGCCTTCACAGAAGCATCAAGGCATGAAACGGTGTATTAGACCTTTACAGGTCCTTCTTGATGATGTGGGCCTTGGGGAGAGTACCGGCGCGGTCAATGGCATTCTGGCGAGCGCCGGTGAGACCGTGCTGGGTGGCAATGCCATCAATGCGGTGAGTGGAGTTGATGTTCTTGACGAGGGTAAGCTGCCAGCAGGTGGCACCACCCTGGCGGGAGGTGATGGTGGAGGCAGCAAGGAAGTACTCCCAGATGCGGAACCAGCGCTTGCCGTACTTGGCCTCGACCTTGTCACGGTTGCCCATCCAGTTCCGGTACCAGCGCCAGAGGGTGGCGGAGTAGTGCACACCGATTGTGTCGACGGCCTTAATCTCAAAGCCGGCACCCTCGAGGCGGTCCACAACGAAACCGAGAGGAGTAGAAGCATCGGCACCGGGGAAGATGTACTTGTTCATGAACAGACCCCAGATGAGATCCTCGTACTGCCAAGACTTGCGGAGACCAGCGATCTGCAGGAAGAAAGTACCGTTGTCGTCGAGCATGTCGTAAACCTGGGACAAGAAAGAAGAGAAGTGGCGGACACCGACGTGCTCAGCCATCTCGAGACAAGTGATCTGTTGGTATCCACCCTCAACACGGGGAGCATCGCGGTAGTCAGAGCACAGAATGCGACTCTGGTCCTCTTCGATACCAGCCTTGCGGAGACCGTTGTTACCCCAGGCAGTCTGGTTACGACCAAGAGTGATACCAGTAACGTGAGCACCGTAGTGGGCGGAAGCGTACTTGGCGAGGGTTCCCCAGCCACAGCCGAGATCGAGGACCTTGTCACCGGGCTTGACGCCAATCTTCTCACAGACAATGGCCAACTTGTTATCCTGGAGCTCTTCAAGAGTCTCCTCCTTGTTGATATCACTGATAACGCCGGAGGTGTAGATCATACGGGGACCGAGGAACCAAGCGTAGAAGTCATCACCTCGGTCGTAGTGGTCACGGACCTGCTCCTCGTCTAAAATAATAAAAATAAAATCAGATTTGCTGTTACTTGCATGCATGGAATATGCTTACCCTGGGAACGAGTGTGCATCAGCATCTCGGGGATGAAGCCAAACAGGAAGTGCTTGAAGAGACCCATGGTGAACTTGAAGTTGGCCCAGTCGTGACGGTACTCGAGACACTCAAGAGCATCACCCTTGAAGTCAACCTCGCCATTGAAGTACTTTTCGTAAAAGACCTCCATGGGGATCTTGCTCTTGCCACGGTAAGTGGCACGGTCATGCTCGCTGTGGAAGTGCAGGTAGTGCTCGACGGGGCGGCCACAGTACTTGGCCTTCTCGGTCTTGCGGGGAGAAATGGAGGAAGAGACGGTCCAGAAGGCCATCAAAACGGGGATAGTGGTGAAGATAGCGAAGAAGATGGTGGTGTAGAAACCTCCACCAACCTGACGGGCCAGCCACCAGGGCACCACGACGACCAGGAAGATCATCAAGCCATTGGAGAAGCTGTCACTGCCGGGCGAGTCGGCAGGAACGGGAGCATTCTTAATAGCTGGGTACTAGAGAGCAAACAAAGCAAATTAGGTCCTGGACCGGTGCAGCATGGGTAGCTCGGAGGGACTTACCAGGGTGGTTGGCACACCGCAATCGAAGGCAGGCTTGATCTGCTCGGGGGCAGCCGGAGTCTGAATAAACTCGAACTCCTCGGTGGAGTCCGGATGAATGGTCGTCATGGCTGGGGATTGAGAGGAGTGGGAAAGGAAAAGGAGAGGCCAGAGAGTAAATAAGAAGACGGGCAGTTCGGGGGGCGGTGTGGGCTAGACCAAGGTACCTGGAAGTACCTGATTGGTACCTGGCGTTCCGTGCGTGGATAAGCTGAGGAAGTGGTACCGCCCAGGTACACAAAGTTAATTGCGCTACTGTAAACACTGACGTACTTCTAAGCCTCTAGCTCTGAAAATGAAATTCTTATGGTGAGAATGCCGTACATTGCTTTTTAATAAAGCGTACCTTAATTTCATATTCAATGTAAATGTTGTTCCAACATATCTAGGTCGAGTTCTGGAAGCTGCGGGAGAGTGTTGTTCCCCTACCTCCCGGAGCTCTGCTTCCCCAATGATATCACACTTAATTATGGTACCTCGTGTGATTTCAGGTCAGTGACAGCTTCATGTCCATGGTATATCTATGCTCTCTAGGCTTGAAGCTGACATCAAGTCTCTTGGCAGGTTTGCTGATCGAGTGCGATCCTTCAATCAAAACCATGATCCTGAAGTACGTTGAAGAGAGGCACCACTACATATTCGAGGACCTGAACCATGAAAAGCGTCTCAATATCAAGGACAGCCAGCTGGAGAACCTCAAGGCTTACCTGAATCGGGTCTCTTTACAATCCCTGTCTCTTTCTCGTGGCCATCCCTCACATATGGAACAGGACCTTGAAGAAAAAAATCTTGTCTGACGAATCCGAATCAGATGATCAGCCATTTCATTTAACGTGATAACGGCCTCCACTACTCGAGACGGTACTGCCTACGTGGTCCCTGTGTCTTGGGGGATGATCAAGTGGGCCTCGGGAGACTTCTGAAACATGATGATCCGCGGTTCAAAACACATACAATGACATTCATTTCCAGGCCTTTCGACTTGCCGCGCCCTGAGTCCCATGCCGAAAGACACTAACATACAGTGGTAAAATCGCAGGATTTCCCTTGTCACAAGAATTTCTACAGAGTGAGCTGGAAGCTCTGGGCCTCCTCATCTTCGTCATAAGTGGGTAGCGATTCAAGTTCCTGAGAAACCTCCTCTGGGGTGTCAAAGCATCCAGCAGCTTTGCAGCGAGTCCACATATCCGAGTCCAGCGGAGGGGCACCGTACAGCTGCATATAGGTTTCAGGGGACAAAGCCTCAGAGCTTGAGGTCTTCTGTGCCTCCGCATTCTTCTCTCGCAGGGTGGACGAAACACTCCTACCTTTGGAATATCCAACAGTAGTGTTAGAGTTAGCAGCAGCAGCAGTGTTGCGCATGGAAGAAGGATTGGTCGGGGCTCTGGTCTGTCTCTTGGGCATGAGTAGCGACGATCCCAGTCCCAAACGTGACTTGGGTGCCAGGGCTACCTGGGGAGCCGCAGTTGGCTGAGGTGCAGCAAGGGCAGCAGCAGCCTCCCGAGATCGAAGCGAAGAGATATTGCGCGTGTGCCGAGTAGTCATAGGTGCCTTGGAGCGTGTGGATGGTGTCTGGGTTATCTTTGCGGGCTCGCTGTTGCCCGAGCTTTCAAAGCCAACACCCTCGAGTTGCTTTAGAATCATCTCATCGACCATCTTGTCACACTTGGCTGAATCCTCCTTGAACTTGCGTTGCTTTGCTGTCAGTCCATCACTGCCGATTTGCTGCTTCCCATACACACTCTCCAAGCCCAACGCCCTGTTCTTTGGTCGAAATTGGGGGAAGCTTGTGTCGTATGTCACGTCATCTGGAAGATCTGGGAGATCTATAGCTTGTCAGAAACACCCTCTTACGATTGCAGCTCCAATCATGACATACCTCTGGGTTTGGGGGGCATATATTCAATATCGGGAACATCATCAATAGTAGAGCCCTTGTGGACCTTGGGTTGAGCTTGGTGTACCACTGGAGCGGCCTTCTTTTTTTGGGCGGTTGACTGTCGTCTGTTTGTCTTGATGGTACCGAACTGAGCAGGCGTGTGGTTGTTCTTGGTTTTGAGGTTGGTTGTTTTAGCACCCAAAGGAGCGCGATTCTTCACTGTATGCGCGATCAAGTCAGTCATAATCCAACATATTGCTTGAGGTAAAGTTCCCGTACCCATCGGCGTAACGAACGCGTCCTTGCCTGGCTTTCCATTCTCCTTGGCCTTTCCAGTGCCTTTTCCAAAAACTATTGCGTTGTTTTCATCGTTCAACGGTACCTTGAGTGGTCCTTTGCCTGGGGTCTTGGGTGCCAGTTGCTTGCTTTGATTCAAGGGCTTGGCGGCCGCGGCGGTCTGGTGGGTGTTTACCAAGTTCTCTTGGTCTCGAAGGGCCAACATGGCGGCGAGCTGAAGCTGAAGTTGATCATGCACTAGGCAAAGGTAAGTCGCGTCAGGTAGCGTGTAACGTGTAGAGTGATCAAAGGCAGTTCTAGATGCAGATGTTGTCGAGCGGTTGCCCGTGGAGACGGGGCGATCCCGAGGCGGTGAGTGGCTGAAAGTCGGAGTGGAGTGACTAGACACAGCACTGTTGGTACACAGTAAGTACACGGTACTTCGGCTGTGGTGGAGCTTGGGCCTAAGGAGGCGGTACTGTCTACTTGGTCACAAGTCAGCCATTCCGCCATTATTCCTCCCCTTCTCTCCCAAAACTCTCCCCCAGACAATCATCACCACTTCCATCCACACTCGCCCGGTTTTTCGCTGAGCGAAAGCCTGACTCACTCTTACTTTCACAAATACATATTATCTCCCTCCTTTTTTCAATAACTTCAAAATGGACAAGATCAAGGAGGTACGTTGACCAAGACCCCTGCTGGCGGGGTAGCTTGCAAACTGTCCGCCAAAACTACCCAACCCCTCACCGTGTGCATATCAGACGATATGCATGATCCGAAATTTCTCACGCATTCCACACTGAGAATCCTGCTAATATGATTTTATTCAGCGCATGGTCGCCCTCCGCGCCGAGGCCGATGAGGCTCACGAGCAAGTCGACGAGCTCAAGACCAGAGTGAAGACATTGGAACAGGAGAACCTGTCCAAGGAACAAGAGATCACATCCCTCAACCACCGCAACCAGCTGCTCGAGGAAGAGGTTGAGAAGACTGAGAGCGCCCTGAAGGAGGCCAAGGATGCTGCCAGCCAGAGCCTCCAGCACGACACTCAGAACGAGGCCCTTCAGCGACGGGTGCAGCTTCTCGAGGAGGAGGCCGAGGAGAATGACAAGACTCTGCGTGAGACAAACGAGAAGTACGACCACCCATCGCCTCTATTACATTTAGGTACTAACATTTGGGGTCAGGCTTCGCCAAACCGACATCAAGGCTGGTCACTACGAGCGGAAGGTGCAGGCACTCGAGGACCAACATGCCAAGCTCGAGGAAAGATACGAGGAGGCAATCAAGGAACACAGCTCTGTCAAGAAGGAGCTCGACGACCTCGCAGCCCAGATGGCCGACATCTAGGCTGGACCAACTTGATTATGGGTGCAGGATGTTGGAAGACACTGGCTTGGATAAGATCTTCATTCGCCTTCGAATTGTCTTCTTCATGCTGTGATTGTTTGTGTTATTCATTCCCTCACATTCGAGGGAAGTCTGTGCTTCGATAGCAATACTTTTACCATGAATGGTGCATCGGTGTCTTTAACATTTCCTATAATTTCACTGCTGTTTGGACATAGCGATACCAGTGCTCCGTAAAACTGAGTAACAAAATTAGCTCCAAACCCATGAGTATATACACATATGATATCATTTCTCCGACTCGGCTCCCCGTCGCGCCTTGGCCTTGTTCGATTTGACAGCACGTTGCTTTCTCGCCGTTTGTCTGCGCACATCCTTGCTCTCGTAACGGAAATTGCGCTTCTTCTTCCTGGCAATCCGCTCGCCTGTCTTTCGCTTTGGCTTCTTGTCGTCCTCTGCGTCGGCAGCGGGATATTCTTTCTTCTCCTCGGTCTCTGAATCCTCTCCCATTACAGCCTTTAACAAGCCTTCGCGGGATGGATCCATCTCCTCAACTGTAACTGTAGTGTATTTATCCTCGTCGATATACTCGGCTTCGTAGTCGACCGCTGGCGGCTCTTCAATGCCGTCCCATTCCTCCTCATTCTCATCATCCGATTCGCTCTTTTCTCCAGCGTTCTCCTTCATTTGCTTGAGTACTCTTGCGTGTTCCTCCATTGCCCGCTTGAAGTCGGCTTGACGCTCCTCACGAAGCTAGACTCAGGTTAGTCAAAATTCATGAGCGAATACTGTGACTGGACGAACCTTTTTTCTGTCGGCCCTTTTCTCCTCTTTGTATCGCTTCTCTGCGGCATCTTGCGCATGCTTTGCGCGCTGCAACTTGCGCTTGTGAAATCCGGTCAACCATTCCTGACGGTCCTCGGTGTTGAAATTGATCTCTTCCACTTTGGGTTGAGCGACCTTGCGGCGTTTTTGAGGAGGACCCATTGTGAATAGAAATTTTATGCGGAAAAATTGAACGAAAAGGTCAACGCTTTTGTAGGTTGTTCTGTCAAAAATGTCAGGCTAAGAAAAAAAAGTTGCTGCGAAAGCTCAGGCGGGCCGGGGCTGTCGACCGCCTCCGAGGCCAAGTCGGACACCTCCCGTTGACGTTGGCAACATCATCGTCAACTCGACCCCATCCACAGCACAATGCATCTGAGCAGGTTTGGGCTGGCTGCCCTTGGGGCTGCTGCTGTCAACGCTTTCCGCGATACCTCGCCTTTCTTCCTCGCCTCTACCTCTGAGTATGTTCCATTGAACCTCTCCGGCTGCAGCCAACTAACTGCTCGTCCTTAGTGTCCTTGCGAACTCCGCATATATCCAGACCGGAGCTTCTCTCTTCGAATCCCTCTCATCCTCTCTTGGCACCTGTCCGTCGGATTACTATGTCATCGTCTACCAGCCTGGTGTGCACAGCACTGACTTCGCGTCGCGCAAGTCCGCGCCCCGCTTGGGTGCGAAGATGCTTGGCAAGGACAGCTCGATCCGGTCCAAGATGAGTGTCAACGAAGTTGCTGGCCTGGTCGAACCTAAGCAGGTCAAGAGCCTTTTGGAGGAGAAGTGCAAAGCCCAGACTACCACCATCGACACCGCCTGTGAGTTACTTTGGTGGCCAACAACGGACATGGCCAGTCCACCACGAGTGTCAAAGCTGACAACATCTGTAGCCGGATCATACCCCTCGTCTTTCGAGAAGGGTCCCCGTATCATAGATGTCGAATTCCCCATGCTCTCGCTCGGATCGGACCGTGCGCAGCAGCTCTCTAGCTTCGGTATGTATTAGTTGCACCGAAGCAATTCATTTTCTGACTTGTCCAGATGGTCTCCTCTCCGATATTGTTGCTCAAATTCCCTCCACCTCTAAGTATACTATTATCTACCTGACCTCCCCGAGGGAGTTCCCCGAGACCGACTCCGTCATCTACAAGACCGATGGAGATTCCTACCACGATGCCCTCCACATGGAGCTTAAGCGTGACTACTCATCCCACGTAGGCTCGTCAGACAAGTCCACATCTCTTTTCGAGGAGTATCAGTACTTCACTCCAGGTTTGTACTCGTCTTCTCATCAACCCTCGATTCACTACTAACCCTCGGTAGGCATCTTCATGGGTCTGATGGCTGCCTTCCTCTTCTTCGCGATCTTGTACATTGGTATCAATGCCCTTGGCAGTCTTCAGGTACCCTATGCTGCATTCGAGAAGGACACCTCGGCCGCTGTGCAAAAGAAGGCGCAGTAATTGGTAGGAGTAGGTTGGAATACATTTCCCTTTGCTATGTGTATTTTGTGGTCAGGGGCAATTCTCTCGTATTTTCATGTATGATACATCATATCTCATTCGCAATCTGAACGATAGCTCGAAGTAAAAGCAGTCCTTGCTTGTTGGCGTCCTTTAGTTCTTTTTTTGGCAACTGTCAGGTGACAGTCTCATTGCCGGCCTGAGGCAGATTACTCCCTTAGCGTGGGCGTCGATCGCTTTCTCCCCAATTCTCTACAAGTCTTTTCTCCTCTCCATTCCCAGACGCTCGTTGTTCTCACTCGAGAAGCAGTCATTCGTTTGTGCTGGAAGGTTGTGAAGGCTCTGCCTCGTCTGGAAATCCTGTGACCGTGGATCCGCAACCTGCAGGTTGAGTACAAAACAGCCTCAGCCTGTCCCAAGAGAGACGAATCCCAGTCATTTTTGCAATCAACTTCAGCAAGCCAGGCCCCCTTCAGTTTCATCGATAACCTCACGCAACATCTACCTTCTCGCTGTCGAAGATCGGCGGGCTACCCCGAGTGACCCGCACCCTGTGGAGAAACAGTTAATCAATTGTTTACAACCGTCACTATGCGAGTTCTACCGCGAGGGCTTGGAAAAGCCCAGCCGTCAATGATCCTAGTGTTGCTCCTGGTCATTGCGATTGCTGCTCAAGTGGCTGCGGTGCCTGCAGACGATACATCAACGGATACTACCGACACCGCTAGGACCACCGACGATCCCTCCACTACTGATAGCCAGACCACCGCTGCTACGACAACCGAGTCCTCATCTTCATCAACCTCAACGTCAGCCTCAGAAGATACTACTAGCACGACCTCTTCGTCATCGACCAGCTCAACCATGGATACAACCACGACCTCATCGTCCGAAACCTCCACAACCTCCGATACAAGCACATCAACATCATCCGTCTCCACGAGAACAACTTCATCAACATCATCTTCCTCCACCACAACAGGCGCCGCGATCGTGACAGTTCCCCCAATCGCAAATGCGCCATACATGCAAGAGAGCGCCGCGCCAGAGGGCACAGTATTCATCGCCGTCGGCGCCGCCTTAGGCCTAATCGGCCTCACCCTTCTCGCATGGCGCGCAATGATCGCATGGTCCGTAAACCGCTCAGTGCGTCGCGCAGCCATAATCCACGCCTCAGAATCCAAGCGCCTCCTTCGCGGCAGCAGAAAGAAGCGCTCAACCCCCTACACCACAGCGCCAGCGGCCGACGTCTCCCTCGATAAACTCGGCGCCGCCACTCGCGCAAGCTACAAGCCCAACCGCAATCCAAGTTCCAACAGCGGACTTTTCTTCTCGCCTACTGCTGGCGGTGGTGCCCACGGATCGCATGCTAGTCTTAATGCGACGGGGAGCACGGGCAATCGCGGTTCGACGTACCTTCCTGCTGGCTACTATGCTGCTGCTGGCGGTTCCAACCCAGCAGTTGGTGGTGGTGAAGTACCATACTCGCCTACGGCGGGTCTTTCGTCGCCATCCTTGCCTCCTACGGGTGTCTATCATGATTCGCATAACCAGCGTCAGTCGTATATGGGCGCTTCGACCAGCTCCCTGAATCTGAACCAGGCGCCTCAGGGCCGTGCTCCTAGCGCGTACCTGGAGGACTTGTTTGAGAGCCATGTTCCTTCTCACAACTCGGGGTCTGATCGTCGGTGATGGCCTCATCTAATATGCCGATCTGATATGAAGGGATGAATTGGGCGAGTTTCTTTTTTCTTGAATCTATTTTGGGTTTCTGTTTCTTTGCCAGTGGCTATACTCATATGTCTGTTTATTATTTCTTTCTGCTGAGTTTCCACTAGGCGTCTTACATACGGTTATTACTACTGCTTCCCATTGGAGCGGCAAAATTCATACAATTTCATATAATTTCATGCTTTTCGGCGGGTTTCAAGTCTCGTATATGCGCCTATATAGACAGGACAATGTCTGCCGGGTGGGGCCTTTCCTATCTGGGCTGCCGCCGCTTTTATGAGGGCGCTCAGGCTCAGGATCACTGAGTAGACGTCAGCACGGGCTCAGGCTCAGTGATCGTGCTCAGCCCCATCACGTGATCATTAACTAATGCTCAGTCGCCGGACCCCATAGTGCCATTTATTCCGTGATGGCTAGTCTGTCGGTCATGTTTGGGCTGCCCTCAGTTTCTGACTATCCTATCCCATCAGTAATTTGCGTTATATCTATCGTGCAGGGAATAAAACGGAAATAGTCCTGTATTACGGGGCGATAATATCAAAGTCTACGATTTCTTGAGACGGCTCGAGCTCAAAATATCAGGTATAAAAGGGGATTATACCCCTAGCACAAGATATCTTATGATTTCTTTCGAATTTAGATCGCTTTTCCCTAGTAGTGCCTCCGAGCCTGGATTAGGCAGCGTCTTCGGAAATAAGCTCATAGCTCTTTTGCTCCGAGCGCGATCAAAAGGCGAAAGAGAGGCGTCGACTCTAGAGAGAGAAGAATAGCTTCGTCCCCGGAGCCTATAGGGAAGAATATTCTATTCGGAACAGATTCTATTCGAAACAAAAAACAAAAAACTTCCTAAGACAAAAAGGTTGTTGTCACGGACTCCATGGACACATGTATCACACCAGTATCAATTCCTGTGGACTACTTCGCTTCTTGCCAGTGCATCCCTGTAAAGTCGTCAGCGCCAACTCACCGCCTCTTTGGATCATGTTAAAACAAGTCGTTCTTGGTGAACCTGGAAGTTCCCCAAGAATCAATCTCTGTACATCTTGCCACTTATTTAGAGACATCTTTGATCTTACCTAGTTGACAGGCTCTATCCTGTAAACACTAGATCCTTTCTTCCAGGCGGGCCACCAATTATCACCAGGAAATACATGAATCTTGTTCAGTGGCTGTACCCAAGGCAAGGACAATGGATTAAAGTTGAGATGGCGTTGTCCAACAAGGTTCCATACCCCCACATCAATGGCTTGAATGCTACGAATTTTCCCCGGGAGCTAAAGAATAGCCCTCTCGCCTGATAGCTCTCGAAGGCTCTCTGGTCGCCGATGATTGAGCCATCTGGTCTGTCTCATAGCTGGCATAACACTCCGTCTTCTTGAGTGGCCGCTGCCCTCCTAAGCATATTTGGCCTATCTTGCCTTCGGTTTCGTTCCCTATCCAACCGGGCGTTTCGTCAAGAGTCTTGATGCGCTCAGCATGATTTGTGGCGAGCAAAGGGACCTTTCCTGATATAGAAGCCCCTATCCGCAGCATCGCAAACGAGTCAAGAGTCGTGGTCCAGCGAGGAATCCATGCACTGTAGAGCGCCATCGCCAGGAGACATAACAAGTAGAGACCTAGTAATACCGAGATGAAAATCATTCCTTCCCGGGAGATTGACGGAATTTGCATATCGACACCCAAAGAATATGATATAGTGTGACTCGGAGAGGGATAAGCATCCGCCATCATTGCATCGTTGGCCAGAAATGCCGATGCCGCAAACGCATTCTCCACCACGTTCGCTGGTGGCGTCCTAGGGTCCCCAGAGAAAAGGAAAAAGTATGCTGCAACTAATGAGTGCATCGACTTGTTTTTTTCTTCGAAATCATATGCACTATCGACGTCCCTCCCCGTCAAACAGGGGTCAAAAAGCTCCGAAACTTTGTCAAAGTAGGAATCGTGAAGGAGTGAAATGAAGGGGACTAGCCCAATACAACCATAATAAGAGACGTCGGAACGGGAGTATGCTGCCAAAGTTGTATGTTGTACATCGACAAACGAGCCTTCTCCAAACAAAGACAAGGCAATGCTAAGTAGCGGGCCTTTAGGGGTGTAAATGCTGACCTGTTCGGTAGAATTGAGTATATTCCATGCTGTATCGTTGACCAGATTTCTCTTATACGAATTCCATCGCGTCGTATTGGTGAATGGGTCTCCTTCGATCAATGGCCCGGGGAATCCGCCATTCGCGTAGTTAGGAAGCTCAAAGTAGCCCATCGTGGTTTGGAGTGTCAGCTTTTTGGAATATATTCCGGATTTGAGCACTACCGGGGCGAGAATTGAAGATTGGCTGTTTGAAAAGTTCATCCTGAGGTACAACTCTTCGCTAATGTCTTGCCGATTATTCTGATTCCTCCACGGCGATTTCGATACATTTCCCGGCATACAGATTTGAATGTCGTATCGGAATGCATCATTAGATTGGTACATATAGTGGAGGTAGAGGGCGTCAGACGATGGGTGACAGTCCGCGGGGAGCATAGCATCAGTGTTGTTCTCCCATTTGGCCGTCGAATTGATCCGAGGAGCGAACTGTTGCAAGAAGCCAGTCCCGGTCGTACTGGAGGGGAGCCCAGCCCAAAAAGGGTCTGTTATAATGCTTAAATTGGCGAGCGTGTTCTGACGTTTTGTCTCTAACAGCGAATAAGCCCAGGAATTATCGGAACGATCATCCAGAGAAATGGTGTTATTATTTCGCGACCAGAGTCTCGTCTGAACCTTATCATTGACCGTCGATGCCAAATTGGACCTCAGCTTCACTGTATTCAATCCGTAATCCATGACGCCATTGTTGTAGGAAGGGAAAAGATCAGAGATTCCCTTGATTGTGCCGAGTCCGATGGGGAATGACTGGACACGCTTGATCGTTTTATATGAGAGAAAGAGCTGCTGCACTGGAGATATAGCAGAGCCTGGAAGAAGCGAAATGGTCAGCAGGTAAACTAAGCGCAGCAAAGTTAGCTGATAAGCCCACCTAGAAGATGTAGAAACAAGCCTAAAAGTAGTAGCGCGGAGCTGTACTTCTTCCAACCCCCGAGGATGAGTCTTCTTATCAGGTCAATGTCGGTCCATCCCTTGTCTGCCAGGGCCATGCTTTGCCGGAGGGTTGGGCCGTTTCTCCATCGCTTCCGCTGTATATAAACTACAGCTGCCTGCGAGCACACAGCAGAGGTTAAAGGGATAGTCACCACGGATACCAGGGACTGTACAACCCTCGCAGCCCTAAGATACCTCTCGCTCTTGTCGAAGAATTGGTTGAGGCCCTCGGTCAAAGAGAGTCCCAAATGGTGGCGTGGGCGATGGCTGTAGAGTTGGTCGACTCCATAGCCTATTCCATCAATGGGACGATGAGTGAGGATGCAGATGATAACCCAAGCGTAGAGAGCTGCCCCACTGTACAGTAAAACAAGGAACACAGGATATACGGTTCGTCGTAGGGGCACAGATGGTTTCGGCGGTTTGGGCTCGTGGTTGCTCTCGGTGCATTGCTGGGTGGACAAGCTACTGCCTTCTGAATGAGGCTCGAGACCAGACGTGGAGGGAGCCGAGGTCATAGCCGGAGTCTCAGTCAACCTTTCCCTGGATCGAACATCTTGGAGTTGACTGGTCGAAGAAGTGTGGTCATCATGCATCTTGCCTGTCGATTCGAATGTGTCGTTTCTGTCAAGTCACAGAGACTTTTCGGCACATACGTGAGCAGACTCGTCAACGTGTATCCCGTTTAAAAAGGATCTTATCGCAAAGCATGCAGCTAGGTAGGGTTTATTCAATCCTACCTTACTGTCTTGCTCTGCTTGACGCGGCGCAGTCGTGATGATTGCTGTCAGCCTCATCGTCTATGAGGGAAACTCAGACCTCCTTCGGGGGTAGCTAGGTGTGAGGCTATGCTAGCTAGTCCCTGTGTGCTCAGATGCCAAGGAATGGGGGCTATCGCCTATCCACTTGAATTCGCGCATTTTCCCTCGTGGTTTGATTGATGTTCCCACTACTATTCTGATCACTTCCGTAAAAGGACGTCTACCACACATAAATTACTGCGGTCTTTCTGCACCGCCTTTCGTACTGCCGCCAGCGATCGGCACAAGACTATGTATGTTGGCTCAACAATGGTAGCCTGAGTGTACACGCTACCAGTCGTTGGTTATCGGATGCTACTGGACGGCCGTGGTTGTGCGGTCCGGCCCGCGGGAAGCCACCGCACAACCGCCCCAAAGTCAGGGGACAACAGGATACGAAAACCATCCGACTTCTTTTTACCCGACTCGCACTCGGGCCCAAAAGCTGGTCTGGCATTACTAGTGAAAGTGGTGTCGCCCTAGAAAGAAGATAGGACACCCCTAAGCTTGTATACGGGCGAGATACGGCGAGTAGGCAGTCAAACTAATATCGGACAGACCTCGTTCAAGGCCTAGGAGACCTCGTTAAGACTCGAACTTGTTAAGGCTTAGCCACGGGCAACCTTTGATACGGTTCCTCTTCTTGACACGGACACCACCGAGACACGGGTATCCTCCTAGGAGATACACGGGCATTCTAGAAGGAATTGATATTTAGCTGGTGGCAAACGATGGACCTCGTTAAGGTGTTGCCACGGGCAAATCATCGATCCTACTTAGGCATCGGGGAATAAGCTTGGTTTGTGGAAAGTAGCCGACGTACACTACCGGACGGAGCGTATACGGGGGCTTTCTGCAAGACACGGTCGGCTTGGCGGGGGAGACCTCCCTGGGTAACGCGAAACGAGAGTTCAAGCTCTCGCGGGGCGTGGTATACAATAGCAGCCACTACGATAGGGGCGGGGCCTATCAAGTGACGTCGGACATTATCCTGTCTATATGGTCTCGGGGAAAGTGAAAGACCACAAATACATTTCACTTGTTGAAATCTGGGTTCGTGGATGTAAAACTGCTTTTTATAGCGAGATATATACCAGACAACAGGTCCTCATACAAACCACAACTCTGCTTCTCTTACATTGGATATACTTGACTGTACAAATTTTCATTTAACTAAGCACATGGTATAGGGTATCTACAAGAATAAGAAAGCAAAAAAGCCCCCTACTCAATCCTCTTGTACAACTTAGCCTTGCTAGACGTAGAAGAACCAGCACAGCAAGCAGTACGCTCCTCAGGGTGAAGAGAAGACTTATTGAAGAGCTGAGAAGATTGCGGGACATCAAGGGCCGGGTTCTTAGTGAAGAATCCATCCGGTTTGAGCATGACGCTAATACGCTCCATTGGCATGACGGGGAAATCCTCAATGCGGGGGTTATGGGTTAGACCGAAGGCTGGTGGGTTTATTAGTTATGGTTGATCATGCCGGGTATAAGGTTGAGCGGTTGTTTGCTTACTGTGCCATAAGACGACGTCCTCGTTTTCGACATTGTCCTTGCGCTGAACCCAGGTCTCGACACCATCGGCGCGACGGCTCTGGTTTGTGAACTCGCCTGCGGCGTATAGTTCGTCGTCCTGGTACTTTGTGACCCAGATCGGCTTGGTGGCGAACTCTGCGCGGCGGAAACCGTGGGCGTTCTTGCTGACTAGCAGCATTTGACTAGGGGCTGCCATGAGCTTATATGCTACTGGCTTGTAGGTGATTGGGTTTGTTATGCTATCGTTGCGGATCTTGAAGACGCGGTGACGATCCACGCTTGTGTTTGCTGTGCCTGCTGTGTGCATCACTGTCTGCTCAGAAGTATAGCCCACGAGGTAGGGGTTCTTTTCATCCTCTGGCATGGGGACGCTGTCTTCGTAGTAGATGGTGTTCTTGAATCCGTCAATGGCAGGGTCGACTCGCAGGGAGAACATGTGCTGATGGAAGGGAGCCATAACGCCGGGGCCGACGTTCGTTCCCCAGGGGACGGTCTGGCCGTTCTCGTTATCGAAGGGAACAGTGGATAAAATGCCGGTGGCGCGGACTTCCAATTCCACATTAGCAGCCTGGTCGAAGATATAGTTGAAGATGTACTCGTAGTTGGCCACGGTGCAGATCATCTGCAGGACCAATTGGCGGTTGCGAACAACAGTGGCAGCACCGGACCGATAATTGGTGTGCTTGTGCTGCAGACCGTTGTCCTGCTCGTGCATACACACGACATTCTTCAACTGCAACGGGTTGCCCTTCGCATCGTTACGGTAACCATCGAAGTACTTAATATGGCCTAGACAATCACAGCCAAGAGCCAGCTGGTTGGCGTTCATACCGAAGCCAGTGTCACCGACATCGAATGCCTGCTTGCGGTGATATGGGGCACGGGGATCTATGTTCATGTCAGTCACATTTTGTTGCAAAATAGGAGTGAGGACGCTTGATGTTACTTACCACCGTATGGAACTGTCATCTCAGAAACAGCCAAGCGGTAGAACAGGTTCCGGTTATCATATGTGACGTTGTAGATAACCAAACCTTCACGAGCATTGAAACCAACTCTGAATCGCCACTTCTGCCAGTAGACGGAGTTCCCATCCACAGAGTATGATGGCCCTTCAGGTTGTTGGACAATATAAGGCTTGAGATCAGTGCGGACAGGCTCATCTAAAAGATCGTGGGCGTATTGCACCGTCTTAACAGGCTTCCAAGGCTGGGTGGTGGTGGTCTCGAAATCAGCTCCACCGGGGAGATAATCCATACGAATCAATTCACGAGTAAGACCGTCGAACACAGGAGAGAACTTGCAAGGCAGAGAGTAGTGGTTGTTCTCGGGATGGTCTGTTTCTACCATGTACATGAAGCACTGGAATAGGCGTCGGTTCTCGGTATCGCTGTCTGTGCCATACATCCAAGGGTCGTTGCAGATGGTGACACCTGCTGGTAGCTCCAACTTTTCGATCTCGGCCAGAACAGCAGGGTGTCTCATGCACATCTCCTCAATCGCTGCAATTTCGTCGACATCAATTGGTCCCTGTAAAAGAATACTGTCAGCGGGCCCCGCACGATTTGGAGTAGGCTCCACTTACCTGGACTTCCTTTGGGAGTTCCTTGGCATAGACAATCGTGCGCTTACCGGCGTTCAGAATAGCTTTGTAGAATGCACCGGTGTCGAGACGGTGGAAGAGCACATAAAGTAGACGTGCTGGCGGTGTGGGCAGGGGCCGCCGTAGACGCTCCGCTTCAATGTATGCGATCACATCCTTCTTAATAGGTTCATTCACGTCGATGCGCTTATAACGGAGTTCAACGCCGGGAAAGGTAGTCTCAAGAATGCGTACAGCAAGCTTGATCTCCTCGGGCGAGATAGGGTCGAATGGGTGAGGGCCGTGGGTCACCATTGTGTGGGGTTCGAGATAGAAATGTGAGGAACCTCGGGGGACTGACACGTCACAAGCAAGATAGAATGTAGAATGCAAATGCAAGGGAAGTACAATGGGATTTTAAATATCTCGTCGCAAAGGGCCCCGGAGCACCTTATCGCGTTACATAAGTCTGGCTCTGGCTGGACTTGCCTATTTGGGAAAGGATAAGAGTTGGAGATGACTGGGATGTCTTGGCCTGCGAGTATGGGGTTGTATGTGATAGTCTCGCACAAGCCCTTTGCCAATTGCAACCAATATGGATAACATAGATTACAATCGCCCCAATCTCGCTACAACAATTGTCAACAACGTGGGGAAATATGGTCACATGACTTGGAATACGATAAGCAGGTCACGTTGATGTGGGGGACGGCGCGAAATTGACCCGAAGCAGTTTAGTGTCAGGTGGCTATCGATAACGATCAATGCAATCCGCGCATGCACTGACCGAATCTGTACAATTCTAGAAGCATGTCGCTAACAGTCAGGGCTCCGTACTACTTGTGGAATCCCTGAGATGATGAATGCCTTCACCACTGGCCTGGTGCAACCGTCGTCCTCATTTGCCCCCGGTCAGCCGATATCTGCTCCGAAGAAAGGCAGAGCACGGCAATCTGGCACGGCATGGACTCGTTCGGGATGTTTGACCTGCAAGAAACGACGCAAAGCTTGCGATAAGACCAAGCCGAGGTGCGTGTTCACACTTCATTTCCAATTTTTATTACTAATTTAGTCAGTTGCAACAATTGTATCAAGCAAGGTCGGACGTGTGAGGGCTATGGCTCTATGTGGGTAGAGCCACTGGGTCCCTCGGCAAATGTATTTTCACAGAGTGAAGTACCAAAGCGTAGGAGGCTCAGTATGTCCTCATTCCAACTGCCTTCGCCTATGCTGTCACCGTCGTCAGATGCTTGGCCTGAAACCCGTTCATCGCCTGGGACAGTGGATTCCTTGGCTTGGTCTATCCCATCATCATCTTTGGAATATCAACTAGTTGGAACGAATGAAAACCATATCCACGATACAGATGAACAAAGTCTAGATCAGGACTTCCATCTGCATAACTCCGTGGCAGTGATCCCCCGGCCTCAAGGATTCATCAACCATGTCTCCACCCACGAAACTCACTATCTCCAATATCATATGGAGCAAGGATCCCGACTCCTAGCAAATCTCGAGAGCGATGACAATCCTTTGCGGTCGTTGTTGATTCCAATGGCAATGTCATCACCGCTGCTGATGAAAGCCGTATGTGCCGTCTCCGCTCTGCACTTAGCAAACCGATCTCGCGGCTTCGGTGCACACACAGCTGCAGTTAACTACTACAGCGGGACTCTCAACGGGCTTCGGTCAGCACTGGTCAAGTGTTCAACAGAGGTTTTCCCCGACGATGCTTTACTAGCAGTAGGTCTACTCTGCAAATATGAGATCGTCCGCGGCAGCATCAAGCAATGGGTGATTCACCTTAATGCACTCCAGCGCTTGATCGTCTCCCGTGGAGGCTTTGAATCGATGGATCGAGGCGCTGCCGAGTTCCTACGTGGACTGTACGCATGAGATCCGGCACCCCAAATTAGAAAATGCTAACAAACCCTAGATTTGTCTATGCCTATAATATGGCCCAGATCAGTAATCTAAACTGCAACACTACTATCGATGTCACTGTGAATAGTGATATTGGCGTCCCGAAATTGGATATCTACATCGGCTACACCGAAGAGATTCTCAGACTATGTGCACGCATTGCAGAGCTCCCCTCTTTAAAAGATGACAACTTGGCTCTCCGCCTCAGCGTCGCGACTATGTACGTTCTCTTAACTAACACCAAAGAATACCATACTAACTATCCACCAGGAACGAATCCCTCCTCACCTGGTCCCATACCTCAACCCCCTACATAATCCCCCAAGGCACATCCCCAGCAACCCTCACACGCCTCCAACTGGTAGCCGAATGTTTCCGCGACGCAGGCTTCGTCTACCTCCATTCAATAATGGAACGATTAGACAGAGACCATCTAAATACCACCCTCGCCACAACAACCCCCAATACCACGATTAACCCCGGATCCCTCGAAACAAATTCCCTCTCAGCACAAGATTGGCTCCCTCTAATCTCAACACCCAAATCCCTCGCCGTCCACCGCTGCCTCTCGCGCGTGGAGGCCTTCCCATTGGATGACCATTGCGAATACTCAGCGCTCACATTCCCGCTTTTTATTTCAGGCTGTGAAAGCGAGAACGTGGAAGATCGAGAAGTCGTTCTTCGCTCGTTGGGCAAACTACAAGATAATTTTGGGATTGGGAATGTCCGGCGCGCGAAGGATTTATTGGGTATTCTATGGGCGAGACGGGATGCTGATCGTGAGGCTGAAGTTGCGGGCATTGGAAACAGCCGGAAGGTGCATTGGCTGGATATTGTTGAGGAATTGGGGTGGGAGCTTATTCTTGCATAGATGGCCTTTTTGGCTGTTTTGTTATGCGTGATTTGTTATGTTTGTACAGTACTTTTATATGTTGATATTGCATTAGAGTCGGGAGGATATAGGATTTTATGTCTGATGTCTGATGTCTGCATGAGTGACATGAAGTTCCAAATGTTATGGATGATTTCCACGAACAATAAGGATAAACAAATTCAGAAAGAAAGTAGAGGGGAGCAAAGTAAATAGAGTTGAGAATGTTGGCAGAAGGTTAGGTTGTAAGTGCCCCAAGACAGTGGGCAACGACGACAAATGGATATTTCACGATGAAAGAAAAAAAGGATGGTAACGACGAGATCAACTCAGTCCCATATTCAGGTCATCACTGAGTCCCCATTCTCTCTCTGCTCGCTCTGTTCCGCCTGCTGCTCGAGTTGACCATTTATCGAGATGGTCTTGCGAATTGGCCGTTTCCTTTTCGCGGAGACTAGCGCTGTCACTTGTTGCCACGCTTCCTTCGCGAGCATGATATTGAGACGATTTGCGGGAGTTTTGGATGCTGATAGGGCGCGAGGGACCTGGGCCATCATCGCCGCCAGAGGGATTTGAGCCCGAGGCACGGCTGCTCTCAACGGGAAAAGTGGGTTGGTCTTTCTCCTTCTCCTTGCTGCTGCCGAACCAGCGTCGACGGCGGGTCTTGGAGGTGGTGGATGGGGTGAGGCTCTTGGTGTCGGCATCTTCATCACACTCTTGTTGCTTCTCCGTTTCCAAAGCCTGAGTGAGTCCAGAGATTGTCTCCTCGGAGCTATTTTCAGTGCTTGATGGTGATAACTCGGCTAGCTCGGCGTCACGGTACCACTTGCGTCGGCGAGTATAGCGGTCCCATCCATCTTGACCACGGCGACCATCATTCCACTGGAAGACTGTTAGTGTTTAATCGTAAGATTGTGGTAGAATCGACGAACCTTGTTATCATAGTAGATCCATCCCTCGCCAGTGGTGCCCTTCGATTCAGACTTTGAATTAAAGAAGTCTGCTCCTTCGACGCGCCAATCACTCCCCTCGACCCAACGCCATTTGGCATCTCCAGTTTTAACATCGGGCAATTCAAACGTATCTTTGGGGGGAACAGCGTTCATGTGTTCGTCCGTCCAAGGGGCGCGTTCAGATGGGAACAACGAGTAGGTCCATCCGATACCTAGCCAGCGGCGCTGGTTCTCATAGACAACAAACGTAAATCGTACAGTCGAGTTATTCCCGCGCCTCTTAGTAGATATGTTCAGGCCCTGGCTTTGGCCATGGGCCTGTGTCTGTGCCTTTGGTGCACTGCTTGGGGTGTCGGCCACTGAAAGTCCCGTGGCTGCGGCACAGATTCGACGAACGGCCCGTGACCGCCACAGAATGACACGCGAGACCCTCGCGGGTCGAGAATGATAGGTCAAAACGATAGTGCCGACAGCCATGACGACACGGCGGGTAGTGATTAAATAGAATGGCGGGAGAGTCATGAGAATCCATACAGGAGTCACTAAGAGGATGCGAATGAATAGAGCCGTCAGTGCAGGCTTCGTCGTAGCCGATGTAGGCGTACGCTGGGTTGATAGGAAATCAGTAAGGTCGAGCAGAGGCTCGAGGAGTATATTGCATCTGGTTGTGAAGATGCGGAGAGTTTCAACGATCTCGTCCAAACTCTTTTGGTGTCGAGTTGAGTCTTGGGAGACCTTCCTCTGGTACTTTTCACCAGTGGTTATCGTTGACGACAAAGGCGAGTAGCGGCGGCCATACATGCCGAGGATCAGGGCGACCACAACCAAGATCGGACCTGCCCAAAGAATGATGGCATCACTATAGAGCACCACCGTCCAGAAGGTGGCTACGAGCAGGAAGCTCTGCCATGGGTCTCCAGAGGTCCATGTTAAAAGACCGGCAAGTTTATTCAGAGGAAGAAGGAAAGGGTGGGAGTAGGCCAAGGCCCGAGTGATGGCCGGTGGTGTGGCCACCAACAGGGGAGATTTGCGATGCACGATGACGCTGGAACGCTGTCGCGAGGTCAGGGCCGAGCCGGTGATAGTAGAAGGAGAGAAAGCAGCGACCGTCGGCGGTTGGGAATCCAACTGGCCTTGCTCCTGCGCATGCGATGGGGGTGCCATGGAATCTATCCACGGAAGATCGTCTATCGAGCATCAGTGACTGTTGAGGTCGTTGGCAGATGGAAGCATACCTAGAGCTGCCATCCAATTATGGACACGTCATGGAGCGATAATCAGCTCATCCTCTGGGCGGACGAGAGGTTTTATGTGTATGAGTTCATGGCTGTTCGGTCCAAGAAGATCTGCGGGGAGTAGTTGGACATGTGACTCTCGGTACTTGAAGTGTGAAAGTGTGAAAGTGATGGGAAATAAATAAAATGAGTATATGAGTAAATCAGAAAATCGGCTTCTTATCTTATAATAAACAACCTTGGAAATGTTTCTAACACATCTCACTCTGTCCATTTTGTCCCTGCATACTCCAGACTCTCTGTATACGCCTGAAGCTCTCTTCCGACGCTAAAATCCGCAGCCGAAATTTTCCCCTTCTCTTCTCTCCTTCACCTCCGCACCCTGTCTACCACGGCACTTGATATCCTATCGACATGGTACATCTGTCAATTCATCAACTTTGGATTCAAAAAACTAACTACTTTTCTGCTAGGCTCACCGCATCGTCTCCCAAGTCGTGGTAACTGGAGCCCGGGTTTTCGGCCGCGCCTTCGCCGAAGCCTACAAGCAGGCCCAAGCATCTGGCAAATACGCTGCCCAAAAGAAGGCATCTGGAGGCTCTCTCACCACCTCTAGTCTCACCCTCGATGAAGCGTGCAAGATCCTGAACGTCAAGCCCCCAGCCGGTGGCGAACACAACCTCGAACATGTTATGGCCCGATTCAAGAAGCTCTTCGATCTGAACAACCCCGAAAAGGGCGGCAGCTTTTACTTGCAGAGCAAGATTCTGCGAGCACGGGAGCGTTTAGAGATGGAGTTCCGCGAGGCCGAGCGCAAAGTCGCGCATGACAAGGAATTGAAGGAAGGCTGGAACCCCAAGGTCTACAAGGACAAATGAAGAGAACATCGACTGCGTTTCATGCGCTCCCTATTCAGCTGGGAATTCCCTCCCTACTTGCAACAGAAGTCTCCGAATGGCTTCGCTCTTTGATCTGCTCGTCTTTCTCGATTTGGCATAGCATGGCGTTTGGGTTACTGTTGGAGAAAGACGCTTGACTTTCTAGACCGGGGTCTTTCTCTTCTATCTTGATGTCCAATCTGCTGGGCATCACCTTTGGTCGGAAATGGAGGTATGCCTTCAGGTCCGATCTCGACCTTGGGGTCTGTGTATATCATCTGTGTCTTCTACCCCCTTCTCCACTCTCACCCGGAAAGGATGTACAATAGCTATATACTTGCATTACATTGTTTAATGTCCGATCTAAACTGTTGTGTTTTCGTACTTTGTCCTCAGCACAGACTCGGATTTTTTTTGCCACCGCCGTACAACGCTTCGTCCCTATCGCCAACACGGAGTGCATTCGTAGACGACAGACCTTCAGGACCTCAACGAAATTGGATTGTTCCACTAATTTGGAGCCATTTGATGCCAGATCGGGACGTGGCCACTCATCCCGATCTGGGATCGCAATCCCCGCCATGGCGCCATCCGGAGCGGAGACCGGGGCCCTTTTTTTCACCTAACGGCTTAGCCCAGATACCACTATACAGTACCACTTAACCCCCGAATACCCCGAGATACTTAAACCTCCAGCGCCAGATTCCAATCGCCATTGATCTGACAATCCCCGCGAAAGACCAAAAATGCGTCCATCCACCCCGCTGTCGGCGGATCTCCCGCCGCTGATAATGGGAACAGCAACTTTCAACTCCCAATACAACGCCGACCCCTACGCCCTCCCCACAACAGAACTAGTCCAGCGTGCACTAAGCAGCGGCGTCCGCGCCTTTGATACATCACCCTACTACGGCCCCGCGGAGGAACTTGTCGGCCGCGCCCTCGCAACAGAAACAGTCCAAACCAACTTCCCACGCCAGACATACAAACTCCTCACAAAGGTCGGCCGCGTTGCCGGCGCATCTTTCGACTATTCCCCGCCCTGGATTAGACACAGTGTGCGACGGAGTTTGCGTCGGTTGCACACAGACTACCTCGACGTCGTATACTGCCACGACGTGGAATTCGTCCCACCCGTCGAAGTCTTAACCGCCGTACAAGAGTTGCGCCGTCTCCGCGATGAAGAGGGTGTACTTCATTACGTTGGTATCTCTGGCTACCCAGTTGACACACTGAGTGAACTGGCAGAGATGATTCTCCGGGAGACGGGCGAACCATTGGATATCGTGATGTCGTATGCCAATTTCACGCTACAGAATACGAGGTTGCACTCTCGCGCTTTGCCTCGGCTTCTAGCTGCAGGCGTTGATGTTGTCCCCAATGCCTCGCCGCTGGGAATGGGTCTGCTCCGTCGTGATGGTGTGCCGATTGGTTCAATGGGTGATTTCCATCCCGCTCCAAATGGCTTGCGCAGTGCTATTCACCATGCTGCGGAATGCGCATCAAGTCACAACGAGAAACTAGAAGTCGTTGCTATTCGTTTCGCGCTTGAATCATGGCTTCGTGTTGGTGCGCGGGCTGGCGGTCTGGGTGCACCACTTGCGCGGGCAGCAGATGCTGATCCTGGTTTCTTGTCGGTGGCTAATATCGGCACTGGAAAGAGGCTAGGTGTGAGTGTTATGGGCGTCAGCAATATCGCCGAATTGGATGAGACTTTGCGCGTGTGGCATAGTATTGTTGATGGATTGGAGAATTGGACTGAGGATGATGATAACTCGTATTTCAATACGGAGTTGAAATCTACTGGTCCTTCTACTCCTAGTCTGAATGTCCCCACTGCTATACCCACCGCCGCCAATTCTAGCATTCTTACGCCGCAGGAGGGTCTCATCACTGACCGGGCCTGGTCTCATGCTCGTGGCGCTCATATCTTGCAACTTGCTCGGGAGATTCGGGATGTGCTGGGCACCGAGTGGGTCGATTATGTCTGGGATAGTCCTTCGCCAGACTTTGTGAATTCAGTGTCTGATGAGCACATTGCTCTTGTACAGCAGATTGTGGAGGAAGAAAGGACAGGGAAGACGGATATACCCACCTCTGATGGAGCTGATAGGGATCCTATGCTGACCCCACCGCTAGAGGCGGATAAGCAGCTTGCATAGACTTGCGGTATTTCAAGAGCTTCTTTTGTCCTTGTCCATGAGTGCACATAGACATGATAACATACCTTGACGGTGAATGACATCCCCTTTGCATTAGTCCAACCTTTTTATGAAAACCATAGTAATCGTGGTTCACTTTGTTGTAACTAGTGAGAATGTACCAATGTTAATGCCCCGAGATCGAGCCCTCAGGGTTCTCCTAGATGAGTACTTCAAGATGTCACCTTAAGAAGCAGAAAAACCCAACATCACCTTCTTCCAATTCCCAAACCACCCATTCCCACCCCAAAATCTCCAATCCTGATTCCTCTCTTAGAAATCGCATATAGCGCTCTCTAAATGAGAAGGAAGGCACGAAGCAGGGAAGGGGGAGGGGGTAAGCAAGAAAAGAGTAAACACCAACTCAGATGAAATCTGCATGGCAGATCCACGATAGTATGGCGTGTTCCATTGAAGTTCACTAACAGCATCCCAAGCGGGGAATGTAAAGTTCTAGGTGTTCGTGTAGGTCTTTGGTCCAAATTGCAACAGCGGCGACGGATCGGCTCGAACAGGTGGCACTCTTGTCTTGTCTTGTTGGGAAGCGATCATTATCCAATAATGATTTCCAAGTAATGACAGGCTCTTGCTCTGTTCCAAAATGTGACAGTGAAGTCGATCGAAGGGAACCGAGACCCAGGATTAGCAGGGGAAGGAGGGAGAAAGAGGGATCGGAACCGAGGATAACCTAGAATGTGAGTGAATTTGTTCTCTTGCACCATATGGGGCTCGAAGTAGAATCCCTATTTCCATATCCCATTTGATGTTATCTCTTCGTCGAAGAGAAACAACATGCTGATCGAAATCACAAAAAATACCTCCGATCCTCCCACTAGGCCACTGCACCACTGCGCCATTGGACCAATGCGCCACTGCCATATGCTCACTATTCATTCCCAGGGCAAATCACCAAACCAATCGAAGCAAGGGGGTATCATGATACAGAAAACGATAATCAAAGAAAGCAGGAAAGCAAATGAAAGTCGTTGCGGGCGTCAGTCATAAGCTCAAGCATCATCCATCACCATCTTCCATGCCGCGTTAGTCTCCTTCTTGCTGTGGAGATCCCTCTCGCGATTATCGAGGTCTCTCTCCATTTCCTCGTTGGTCTCGTAGCCACCAACGCGGCGAGCCTGGCTGAAGCTCAGGGAGTTGGAAATCTTGCTCAAATCTGGTCGCAGTCTCTTCAATCGCGCAGCACGCTCCTTGCAGGCCACACGCCGGGTTTCGTCTCTACGGGGCTTGCCCGACTTTGTTTCTCCGGAAGGCTCGTCATCTGAAGAAATATCTTCGGGCTCAGATTTCGTACCCGCCGACTTGTTCTTTTCCTTCCGGTTTGACTGACGAGGACCTGGTGGCGGACCGGGAGGCAGTGGAGGAGAACAAACTCCATCTTCCGGATACGGGCCTGGTGGTGGCGGGGGAGGTGTCCTGTAGCGTGCGAATCTCGGCTCCATCAGGAACACGTGGCGTAGCTGCTCGCGCTGTTCGATGTATTCGTCAAAGTTGGCTGCAATGATAGGTCCCAGAATGCTCGATTTGTGATCTTCGTTAGAGGCGAGTTGTTCAACGCGACGCTGCAGGGTAGTGTGGGCCTTTGAAAAAGTTCTGAGAATCAAGCTAATCTCCTTCGTGCCGCCTGAGATATCGTTGTCCTGGTTGTTGGGATCCTCAATAGTAAGGCGATCGGGATTTCCGAAGAAGGTCTTGTTGAAATATCCCGGTGGTTCCATCCGGATGCCTTGGGTTTCATAGCGATAATGCTTTCCGTAAAAGTAAAAGAAGTCCATGAGGATACTTCCAAGATTGGGCTGAGAGTGACCCTGAGGGTAATGCTGGAGAAGACTTGTAACCAAGCAAGTAATAGAGAAACCTCCCAGTCCACCGGTTGGAACTTCATTGAGACCCCGAATCAGCAAGAACTGTTTGATGACAGACAAAATGACCGGCATTGAAGGAAACTGGGCCTTCCACTTCTTGAATGTCTCATTGGCAACCAAACCGCTGTCATTGTCGAAAGACAAGTCTACGCGGAGTCCAGTAAGCTTGTCGACCCATTTGAGGATTGGCACGCGAGCGCCAGCGATACATTCGATCGAGTTAGGAACTGCAAGGTTGCTGCCCTTCACGAAGGCTGAAAATCCATAGATCTGGCCCTTTCTCTCTCCGAAGGTTCGAACTCCTGTGCGCGTGAAGGTGTTTGAGAGAAGAACAAGATCGATATCCGCAGTTGGAAGGTAGAGTCCAGACGCATAGGAACCAAAGGCTCGCACTTGAATGTTGCTGTATCGTTGTCGGAAGGCAGTCTCCACTCGGGTGATTAGATCTGCCCGGACGATGTTCTCAAAGTCCTGAGGCTTGGCCCAATGATAGAAACTCATGATCTCGTTATGTAGCCTGGGCGAAATATAAATAATGTGAAAGCGAACGAACCACAAGGATAATACTAACTGAGTGCCAATGTGCATTGACTGGGGATGATCTGGCATGTCGAGCCATGGCGTGCCAGCCTCGTTTGGCAACGGTCGCCATTGATCAACAACCGAGCCATCGAAATTAAACCGGCTAGCAGGCTTACCCGACTTTCTCGAGAAGCCTTTAAGCTCATCGTCACGGGTTCGCTTGCGGCTGGTAATGGAAGGGTCAAGGCCTTCCATTGCCTTGGGTCCTCGTGGGGCACCCTCTGGCGCGTTATCCTGAGGCTCCGCCTCGTCCGCCATTCCAAGAGAAATAAAGTCCTGGTTGTCGGTGACGGCGTCGGACTTCTCGGACTTAGCCGCGTTGTCAAGACGCGCTTTGCGAATGAGCTTGACGAAGTCGATTTTGGGTGTTTTGCTTTCGTCTGGTGGGGGTAGCGCCGTGTAAGGATCGGGGTTTGACCACTTAGGAACATTTGGTGGGGGGTCAGGTCGCGTTACGTCGGCGTCGTTGAGCCCATCAAGACCTAAAGCACGTCTCTTGCGTGGGCGTTCGTCGTCTTCGGAATCTGATGTGTCCATATCCACCTCCTCACTATCGCTCAATGTTGCCAGCGATGCAAATTTCGGCTCAGATTTGGTTTCGCCCTGTAACTGCTCTGGTGTGCTTTCCCTCTTGTTCGACAAGAGCGGACGCTCCGCGGTGGGTGGCTTCGGTGCCCTGAACGTGAACTCATGTCGCGGGTACGGACGTGACCCACGATAGTTAGAGTTTCCCCTAAATTGGAATGGAGGCATCTTGTACTCCTGCAATACGCAAGATCAAAATGGTGCGGAGTGAACGAAGCGAGCTTGAGCGGACGCGAAAAAAAAAATGGATGAACTGGCGATTCTGCCATCAATCGGTGAGGGCGGTAAACGGCTGTAATCATGCCTCGCCTCTCAACCCCAAATATGTACTAGTGGCTACGCTGTGGACAATTCGACTTATTGTGTGTGACTTGCACTTGTGTGCTGATACATGTCCCTACAATGGCTTTGCTCCTGCTCCTGCCGTGTCCCTGCCAGCCACATTTCAACTTCTTATAATAGCCCGGGTTACTCTGTAACAGAGCACATGTACATGCGATTGGTAGCTAACTATAACGTGTCTTCGTCCAAAGTTCAGAACGCCTCTCAACTAAGTCACTGCCTGGAGAACAGAAGACGCCGCAAATAGGCAGCGGTTATCATATTGCCAGTCTTCTCCCCGTATCTGAGACAACATTCTGAATGATCAATCGCTTCTCGGCACTCTGTCTCTCACGCCTGAGTACGCTTTAAGTCCCTCCTCCAATATGTGCAATAAATCATTCTGCACTGCCAACTCCGCAAAACTGACTCGCTCTGTCGCCCATTCCAGCCAACCCTCAGCTCGAGCACCAGGCGCCTGGAGCAAGCCAACGCTCACATCAATCAATAACGGACGCTCGTCGCAATGCCAGAAGATTGTTGCACCACAGGAACGACAGAACTCCCTATATACACCAGGTGAGCTATTATGTTGTTGCATGGTACCTCGGCCGAATGCCAGCGGTGATCCATCTGCATTGAAGATATTGGATTTTGGTATAAAAGCCCAGGTCTGTATGGGAAAAACCACTGCTCAGTCGGCAGGTAGTGCAAGTGCAAGTTCCAGCAAGATACTTTGTTTTGCCGTTTGTCTCTCGTAGCCACCACTTGACATCATCCGGGTTTGATGAAGATCCTGAATGGTATGGGACTAAGAGGTCGGACCATGGTGAAGATGCTTGTGAGGATGATGCATCTGGTGGAGTGATATAAAATTGGAATCCTCCGCATAGACAGCGAGCTTGCAGTTTGGACTGCTCTGCTGGTTCTGGTTTAACGGGATTCACTGGTCGTTGTCTCTGTATCTGCTGGTTGTTTGAGCTGTATGCATGAAGCCGACTGCTTGAGACAGCAGACTTGTTCCAGCTAGCAATGTGCTCAGTCCACCATCTCCACTGTCACTTTGTTTCCAGTGCTCAATCCTCTGCACTGCAGGGTAGTCCTTTGCTGCTAATAACCCCGAAGCAAGTAGAAAATGGCCGTTGGGCTCGGAATGCGCGAAGACGTGAGCACCACAGGTCTTGCAGAAGAAGTAGCTCACATCTTTGGTGTGTTGGTATTTCTGGAGGCCATCAAGGGTTGGCTCATGCTGAAGGACATAGTATGACGAACAAAGTTGCCCGGTCACCGCGCGGCAGCTGTTGCAATGACATAGTTGGAGCTGAGTATGATCTATTGTAGAATCCAGGTCAACTGATACTGATATGCCTCCACATAAACAAGCGACGGAGGTAGCCATGGCGAGTTAGAACGAGTTAGTGAATCACAGCAAACCTCCGAGTACCTGATGTTGTTACATGTAACAGTCAGAATTATGTGCTCAAGCGGGTCTCAATAAGTTGCATAGAATGAGACTGAACTCCGGAAAGTCACGAGTATATAAGATCCCGTCCGACCCAACTCCTCTTCCCCTCCCCCACTCTCCACCACAACTTCAAGTCTACACTTTCATCTACCTTTTAACCACATTCACAATGAGTAAGTCGATCTTTGACGTTCGCCGTTCGCTGTGACTTTGCGATCTTGAATCGAAAAGAATCCCCCCAATTTTGAGATGGCGGGGTCATGGCGGGGTATCTTGAAGTGAAGTCACTAACAACACCAGGCGACCACGGATGCAGCTGCGGCTCCTCTTGCCAGTGCCCTGCCGGCGCTTGCAACTGCCCTGTATGTGATGTCCTCCTCTTCTCTCCCTTTCGATGGGTGACTGACCGAGTCCCCCTTTATAGAAGAAATAAGTCATCCTCCCAGGATGCAGCTTTCAGACCTGTGAAATGCTCGAGACCGTGACATGACCATGCGAGAAGGATATGATACCATAGGATAGCCCGGATGGATTCGTAGGCAAGAAGTTTGGCATGTCACCAAAAAGGATAGTTTCCGCCAGATCAATGATATGCGGTTGCTTGACCACTTTTATTCTTCGTATCCAAGTACCTTGTGAGCATCAGGCCCAATATTCAGCCATTTAGGCTCAGGCCAACCTTAGGGGCTCAACGGTATCCAAACGGCTTGAATATATGTAAAACTTAGATCTATCCTCGTCTTCCCTCACACATATCTGAAAACGAAAAGCCCCGGGGGTAGCCATATCCCGGAACGATGTCCGCATCTGCTGTAGCGTCACCGAGAATCTCGATTCATACATTCAGGCATTATTTTCAACCCGACCTCCCCGTTATTTCCATCTCCACTCAAGGGGATTCTTTCGGCTTTCGCGGCTGTGTTTTGCCGATGCGCCTTTTTCGCCAACACGATGACTCTGGATCAGCGAGTTGTCTCGAAGTCAAAATGAAATAAAAAGCGGACCCCAATGCTGCACGAGTCCGAGAAGAGTAGCATCGGATCGGAGCCAACATGGGAATGATGCATTGGCATGATATGCTCAGCTCCCAAGCTGCAGCCTCTCCACTTCTGGCTCTCTTGGGAATCTCTTTCCGAGGCCCGAACGTGCCAGGGTTGAGTGTTATCTGATCTTGGACTGCCCGAGGGAGTATACGGGCTTTTTTTTTCCGCTCAAAAGCAAAGTACAGTATACAGATACACTATGCTATGCAGTCTGGGTGAATATGCAACATATGATCTATCCCAGTCAACTCAACCGTCGATCCTCCTCACCTCAGCCTCTGATACAACCCAATGCAGGTGCAAAGCACGTACACCTCCGTAACCCGGAATCATCTTTCTCGTTTGGTAAATACACTTTGAAAAGAATCAAGGAAAAAAGAAAGAAAAACTCCACCCAGGAGAGCGAACAAGGCTACCAATAAGACCGGACAGCGCCCCTCCTCCAAGGTCCCCAGACCGCGCAAACAATTGCCTCCTCATAGGCTGCCACGCCGAGAACACAACGCAGCGCCGCTCCAGGCGCCGGAAAATACGTCTTGGCTTTCCCCCCACCTGGTCTCCGATCTTTTCTTGTTTGGATGCTAGTCGTTATGCCCGTTACAGAACATCCGGTTATATGACCGTATACATATCAGAGGCCCGTCCCGAAACCGGTGGAGCCAGACATGGGAGTGCAGATCTAAACGTGGCCGTAGTTATGGTCGTAGCATGATGGTGGTTTATTTGTCCACGTACGAGAGCCTTGTTCATATTACGCATAATAGTGTTACATATAGTCCAGTAGCCTATGGTCTGCTCTACTGTATACGAGCTCCATTATCATATGTTGCAACGTAGGATTCCCACGCTCGAACTTCGGAGTAATGGGGTGATGGAGTGATGGAGCTCAAGCACAAACAATCTCCACTGGCCATGGCCGCTTCCAGCAAAGCGTACTTGTACCTGTACGTACAAACGCATGCCATGAATCCCGTCTCCATAGGTGAACCCTGCGGTGCGTCTCCTAGTCCCAGTCCATCTAGAAACAGACCAACCACGTAGAAACATACCACAGCTATAGTGTACTAGTGTACAGTAGTTACATGTCCAAGCACAAAGCAACTCCGATCTACAACCGAGATTACAATCTGACATAGTAAACTTATGAGAATATCCTCAGTATCAGGTATCAGGATCAACAACCGACAGAAAAAGGCAATACTACGTAGCTCCGCAGACAAGAAAACAGATCGGAGAGCAGCCCTCCGATCATCCCCATTCCGAGCCGAGCGAAGAGGGGGTAGGAAGTATCTATTGGAAGCCCGCATCATAAGCAGAGCCCGAAAGGCTCATTATTGGCGAGCGTTAGAGTTGTCTGTACAATAACATAACAGGAAACAAGTAGCAAGTCAGGTAGCGGGTAGCGCGTGAGGATGTAGTGGATAGTGTCTACTGGAGACTGGAGAGGGGGCTCCAGAGTGGGATGCAGGACTTCATTTGACTCGACCACGCGATGGGGGGGGGGGGGGTGGATGGGGCGCGCCGACTGCGTTGCTGGTGTATTTTGGTTGTTTTGGATTGGATGGATGTGCATAATATACCTTAATGTGGAAATACTGGTTGATTATCCACTAGGACCTTCCCTGGCATGTCATAGTCATGCTGTAGCTTGTCTTGGATGAGGTATAAAGTCAGCTTCAGTTCCGTTGCTTCTTAGGTTTTTTTCTTTTCTTTATCCAAGCGATTTATATCTCCAAGCCAAACTACTACTCTTTTTATCTCTCTATATTTAAGGTCTATCCTTATCATCTATTCATCATGGGTCCCTGCTCCTGCAACTGCTGCTCCGGTGACTGCAACTCTTGCTCTTGCGCTAGCTGCAAGGTATGTTCCTCCTTTCTTCTTTGATATACGCCCAAAGCTGCATCTTGTGGCGCGTAGATAACCGAGGCGAGAGATATGCTAACTGCCCTTTCAGCACTAAGCCAGTTAACACGCCTTCATCGCCGCCATCCTCCTCCAATTCAACGACCCATACCAGACCGGGACTCCCACTATTGTCGAACTAGTGGACCGGTGTCTTTATTGTCAAGCTTATGAGATGTCTTTGTTATGATCATGGTTGAGTTGGTTGCCTGTCCAGGCCTGGAACCTTTTGGGTGGGGCGTCTTGTTAATAGGTTGATGTTTGACCTCGTGTACGTTGAGTTTTTGTCGATCCTGGTGCTCCATCGCTATATCGCTATACATATGCTGGTTATATTGTACTATTGCTCTCTCGTATGCTATGCGAATATGGTCTTGTAGACTCGCCCATCTCTAGGTTATATGGATTATTCTTTCTCTTCCTGGTGTCAAGGGATGCAACTGTATGTTCAAATCCCTGATGCGACTTCTGCGCCTGGTTCTTTTGTATTTGAATTGGCGGTGGCTTCGATACCTGACAAAAGAAGGCCTCACTAGAAGCAATAAACATGTTTTAGAGCATCACGACCTTCTACTAGGAGTTTCTTTTGGACTTGATCCACAGTCATAGCCGGATATATGTTTTTTTTTTTGGCAGCACTTTATGTTCAGATACAAATGAATGATATGAACCGTCGGCTACCTTGCTCCTCCTCATATGCCTGCGTTATTGTCTCTAGGTCATACTGGGCCTGCAATCGATCAGGGTCCTCTTCAGCTAGAATTGTTTCTTCTACCACAGCCACATGTTCAATCAGCTTGAATACCTCGTCGATCTGGCCATCGACTTCATATACTATAGGAGCACATGTTGGGACCAGAGTCGGCAAGTGTATTCTTGGGATAAGGTTCTCTCGCGCACTAAAACCACATGTTTTAGTATCTCGAGCGCCTTGCAGATCTGGCGGTCTGCTTTATATGCCTTAGCGAGTTTGTAATGAGATGCCAGTCTTTGAGAGTGCTCTTCGGCCAGTGATCTTCCTAGTACCGCAACTACATACTCAAGTAGCTAAACCCCTTTTCCGATCTGCCCGTCAGCTATGTATACCCTCGCGAGCTCATGCTGGGATGCTAGTCGAAAGATATGTTATTCTGCCGTACTGGCGTTTGTTCCATCGACAATGATCTTCAAACAAAATTATAAGTTGGCACATCAGAAGACAATAAAACGGCCTGGCGCTACTCTACCTCCTGAATTCCGCCTCTGGCCAGCGATCATTGCGAGCCGTTTTCTCCCAATCTCTTTATTTTGGTTGAGATGGACAAATTATCCGACCATCTTTGTGTGGTCCGGCCTTTCTGCTTGCGGTCTTTTCGGTCTCATGCTGATATTCATTTAGATCAGCAATTATGAAACATCATTGATAGCTACGGGAAACACGCGCCCAGCGCTTCAGCAAGTATTACAATGGTGCGATATCTGGTAGCTGGTGGCATGGTCATGGCATCCCATCCTATGTACGACGGTGTCGGTGTCCATTGGACGATGACCACCCTAGGATGTGCGTCGGTATTATTGGTCCCTATGCCATACGCACCTAGTTTTGGACCGCATGGGATGCTTTTCCATTTCTGCTTTCTCGTTCACCTCTTGCTGCTTTTGATCACTAAATGGAAATGAGCTCGCCCCTCCCGGAGTACAGATTAGTCGCTGACATCGTTTTTCGTGAGCCTCAATTACAGAGGAGTCGTAGATTCTCCAAGGCAGATCCATCGAGAGACAGGGAGAATTGGCCGGCCTACAGTATCGAAGGATCTTAACGCTGTCATGAATCTATCCAAGCGCTATTCTACGTTGCGTAATATTCATCAAAAACATTGAGCCACTTCAGGGACCCGGTTTTGTCCGTGGGAGCAATTTTGCTACGATTATTGATATTAATACAATGTCAATCAGAAATGCCCTGAATTAGATAAGCCAATATCTCAGTTCCCAGAAACAGGCATCATCCATCCTTGTCCTAGCGACAATATTCCATGTAGGCATTATTGAACGCGAAGATGTCACTCATGGCGGACGTCCCCATTTCGACGGCCAGGGTTGCGTAGTCCCCTTTGAAGCGCTTCACCTGTCCGATGCGTCTGTAATGCTTGTCACACAAGTGAAGTTCGACATGATCTTTATCACCAATTCTCCCCGTAGCATGGTGATCTCTAACTTTCAAAAACTTAAAGTACGCCCTATGTTCAGGCATTGAAGTATAGTATAAGATCCCGAGGTCCGTGCCGGCAATATGGGTGCTCGTGTCTGCTGCAACATAAGCTCCGTAAGCCTTGTTCCATAATGGATATGGCATGTCGTATTGTAGCTGTCACACGTCAGTCCTAGCCTGCTCTTCTCGATACAAAAAGGGCATACCGATGCCGGCTGATGCAGTTGTGTCCAAACCTTGACCTCAAAGACACAGCCGCCCTCTTTCGTCCGATCAGTTTCCGTGTCAATGCCGATGTACTCATGCCAGTTAACCGTATATCCTGCCGAGCCGAGCTTTCTCTCGGCCTTGTCAATCTCGTTCTCAATGTGTTCCGCTTTATGGTTGTAAAGCGCTGTTTCGCTGTTAAGCAAGTGGTGTTTCAACGCCTCGAATAGGCCAACTGCTCCGTCGTTAGCGCCATCGGTTTTGTCATCCAATGATTAGGGTTGCACGTACTATTCTTCTCGTGGGAGGGGTTGCAGCGAAGACCATAATACTGCGTCCCCGTTATCTTTCCATCCGAACCCTCATCGGCACGGAGGCGGAAGCGAGAAATCACTATCTTGTTGGAATCTTGCGTGATTTGTCGAAAAAGGCTTGGGATATGTTCATATCCATCGAATGTCCCAATGAAGTCTCCAATTGGCATGACATCCTTTTGCTACAGAGATAGTCAGCTCAGAGGATCCGAAAAAGCTAGTGAGTCAGTCCATAGAGGAGGCAACTCACGTTAATGACTCTCCAGTTCCTGAAGGGCTTGACTGTGGAACACCAGGCTGGAGGACTAAGCTATAGATTAGTAAATGGGTTATCAATCCTGGTGAACGGCTACTCACTTATTGCAAAGCGTCGTATCACCACCCACAGCTTCCCAGGAGAGCGCTTTGCTCATGCTGCTGGTCTGTTTGCTTTCACTTTCCGCGTGCTGCTTATCGTTGCTGTAACTAGCGGAGCCCTGGACCCAGGGAGAGGAAAAGGATAGGGCAGCGCTAATTTTCATCGCATTTGCCTTCTCCGATGTGCTTGCCTTATCTTCCGATGTGAATTGCTCTGTAGCAAACAACTTTCCACCCAGTTCTACGTTGGTGGCAAAGAAATGTCCTATCACGCGTGTCAGCAGCTTGTCTAGAAACGTAGAAGAGAAGTAAAAATTTGAGACAAACCAAAATTCTGGTAGAATTCGATCAAAGCTTCTTCGGTCTCTTTGTCCTTGACCTGTTTCAAGGCTGTCTCGCAGTTAGGAGTCAGCTCTAAGCTCCTGTGGTCAAGATGCAGTATCGCTCTTGGAAACTATGTCGACTTGTCAGCCTTGAGACACACAGGAGGATAGATCTACCTACATTGTATGTGATGTTCATGGTTCGGTGTTTCTTTTCGTTGGCACTAGCCACGGCATCGCTGTCGCTCTCACTATACCCAGCCTGAGCACCAGCACTTATTCCAAAAAGGGTTCCTCCGCTGCAGAAGTTTAGCTTATTGTTATAGAAAAGGCTTGCAGTTGACCCACATTGAAGCCTCAATATCAGTTTGTGAAAAATTGCTCGATGCAAGGCTGCTGGAGAGCGCATTGGCGGTTTCGAACACATTGACATAGGAATCATCCGTGACAATATACAAAGGATACCTATGCAAGGCCTGCTTGCCGTTAGACCTGGGAGAGGAAAAGGGATTAGGTTAATGCCTCACTGTATCTTTAGGAAGCTTGATATTAGCACCAGCCGTTCCCAGCTCGCTGAGGTCCCTCGGTTTGATAGAAAATGCTTCACCAGAGAGATTAGTCCGGTTCGAGTCTTGCACGTGAGATATGTCCTTACTAGCATATGGAGCTTTGTCAATTCTTTGGAACGTTCTTGTAACGTCATGGAGGTTTTTCGAAAAAACCATTCGCTGACCATGCAAGAAATGGGTGGTTCGACAAACCCTGTCCCAATCTTCGTCCGACAGAGAACCCGCCGAGCTGGTGCACGATCAGTGACTGCGATAGCAAGAACTTTGTCAAAGCTACTATACTTACATTGAATCGGCAGTGGCAATCGACTTGAACTCTGAATGATCGTAGCCACCTAAATTAAAGTCCTTGATGGTCGCGGTGAGCAAATCCACTTTGTCTTTCTGGTTCTAGTTGTCAGCTTGAATTAATTGAAGCATAAGTATTCAACATACAGCAAAGTTCATGTCCAATGGAGTTTGAAGGAAATTTTTGACAGGCTCGCTGAGTTCAACATATTTGGACCGCTTGGTTTCCTCTTCAGGCAACTCGAAATACACGTCATGGCCGGTGTTCTCATGGACGGAAGCTCCGACATTGTCTTCGGCATTGTCTTTGGCCTTGTCTTTTGTGCCCTGAACTGGGAGTTAGCGATGCTTGGTTACATTCATCGGATGAGCCCTTACGGCTTTAGGCTTGCCAGCGATGAGGCCCTCATAAAGGGACCATTTAGCGTCATCTCCTATGCGGGCACCATCCTTGGTACAGAAGGGCAATCGGGCCCTGTGATATTTGAACTGTTAGAACATGCCAACTTAGCTGGTAGATGGGTAAGCAACTCACTTTTTGGAATCAAGCTTGTTGTCTGTGATAAGGAGGGCCCGAATTGTCTCCAATGTCGCAGTATTGTCCGGGTCAATGGGTGTTGCGACAAAGATACGGTTGGTGATCTTTGTTGTTCCAGCCTTGTCACAGGTCCATATGTTGAAGAGGCCGTCTTTGCTTTCAGACATGGTGGAAATGTTGAAGATTCGAGTGTCCAAGATTGAACTTTTATCTGCTAAAGATGGGCTCAAAGTAGTAGAGTGTCTGAGGGGGCTAGACTGCACCTTTATAGAGAGAAGACAGAAGATTTTTCCCCAAATTCCAGCTGAGGGATTTAATCAGGACTTTTCGATATATGCGACGCAGAACAGTGGTCCTGAAGAGACCAATTAATCCATAAAGCAGCGTGAAGCTAAAGCGGTTTGACTTTCCACTGCATAAACTAGACTTACTATGTTTGATGAGGTAAAGTTCTTTACGTGGCTGGCTGGAGGTAGATGCAACTTGATGCATAGTTGCTGTATGAATGGTACTCACACGGCATATCCCCATCAGATCTACTGTAGCCGAGGCCAGCAACAGCGAGAAGTGAACACCTCGTCACTCAACTAATTTGGGCTTCAACCTGTGACTGATTGAAATCTTTGAGCCGTAGAATGGATACTGTCAGTCATACCTCGTTTCCTGTGGTTACCATGGTCTTGCGGCAGCCTGGACGCAAGACTCATTTGGCGATGATCAAATATCCTTTTTAGCTTTGCCATTAGGTGAGGTTCGGGGCCCAAATGCAATAGAAAAAAGTATATCGCTTAGACCAGTCATGATCATCTTGGTAGGAGCGGCCCGCGCGGAGCTGTGCATCCAGCGGGTCATCTACGTCGGCTATTCTCCACTCAATTACTCTGCAGAGTAGAAGTATCCAGCGTTGCGGAAAGATCATCCGTGGACCCTTCACCGCTAGAAGAATTGACACTTCTGTTGAGAAAACCAGCTGCATCTCATTGCGCCAAGACTCCTGGACGGCATCATAGCCTCCTATCAGATCTATATCACCCATGAGACTAGAAGCAGTCACGCTAGTGAGTAACATGCGGGGGAAGCTCTTCAAGTTTGAAGAGTTCGAAATTCATACTTCCCTGTTGTTCTCAAATCTCGCTCCCTTCGAGACCTCTGGTCTGGCTCCTTGAATCTGCACCTACCATGCACAGCCAATTTGCTTGTCCAAGAACTATAGCCGAAGTGATCTTTGACTTCCGTGAATCCCAGGTCGGCTATGTGTCCGTAGTTGTAAAGGAGATACATATATGTAAAATACGTACGACAGCTACAGTACGTCCCAAAACTGATGCGACCACCCTAGAGCGAAACCACAACTCAAACAAGTGGATGACATTGTTCCTAGGAACTGCTCAGGTGTAGTTTACTGAGTGTCAGCGCTGCCCCGCGCCGTCGCATGATCCCTGTCGAGGCTAACTATCCTTGGTATCGCTTATGATAGCCATGATGCATTACAACCACGATCGGTATCCAATCAGGGATAGAAGAACAGAGCAAGGGTGTTGACAGTGAGAAGTTCGGTGCCATGTGATTGAAACTGGAGGGAATGTTGCTGATGGATATTGCTTTTAAATGGCTAAAGGTATCGGGGTGGTTCATTGACAAAGGCTTATTGGGGTCGTTATCATCTTGGGCAGGGCTTAGGAAACAGAAGAGTATAAGGGCGCAAGCCTGTAATACATGTACAACCTTGATCAAAACTTAATTGAACGTGAATGTGGATATCAGTGAAGACTAAAGGATGGGCGCTCAAAGTGCAATGGATTTCAGCTCGTGGTATGCATGTAGTAACAAACTTTCAAAGGTAACGCCAGATCTAGATCTGACTTCACAGTTCATCTTTCGAACGAGGGGCGCCGTTGGCTGCCTCCTCGCCACCCGCACAGACAGCCGGCGAGGTAACGCGCATAGAGTACACGCACTTCTCGTCTTCTGCCGTCTTCAAGATCTCGTTTTCCTCGCCGCACTCCAGGATGACCTTGGTGGAGCGGTTAGGTCCATTCCAGCAGGACTGGCCACGGGTATACTCGATCACGGTCTTGTCGACAGAGATGACCTCGCCAGCCTCGTTGACTTCCTCGACGCTGGTGGTTCCAACGTGGGAAAACTTGCCCATGGACACGGAGTTGCTTCCCTTTCGCTGGTTTTGCTTGGTCGACTGCAGGAAGCAGTGCTCGTAGGTGTACTCGCCAGCATCTTGAGTGATGCAAAGCCCCTTGAGTGCGCGGAAGATAGAGGCAGGGCCGTAGTCAGTCTCGAGGTCGGCACGCTGGTCACGCAACTTGTTCTTCAAGTCAGTCACAGAATCCTGTGCAGACTTCAGAGCATCGCGTGCTTGAGTCACGGCCTTGGATTCCGAAGAGGAATCCTCATCGGACTTGGTCACGATGCCGCTTTCTTCAAGGAAGCTCTTGACTGTAACCACCTTGTCTTCAATGAAGCTGACAAGCGATGGAGGGAGATAAGCAGCCAACTTGTAAACTGTAGTTCCTTGTTAGCCAGATGGGCTGTGCTGAAAAGACAAAATAACTTACTAAGATCAGAGTTCTGGCAGCCATCTTCCTCATTCTCCCAGTGCTCCCAGTTGACACCACTTTCCTCGCCATCCACCTTGGCTATCTCATCCAAGTCACGGTCTTGAGCACTGTTTGCGCCGTTGGTGGTATCCTCCCGAGCAGCATAGTCCTCATAGCTGCGCACCGCGCGCTTGACTCCCTCGTCGTTGAAGTTGGGGTTATACTCAACCTTGACCTTGGCCAAGATATCTTCGAGTTCCTTCACCCGCTCACGGGTCTCATCCCGCTGGCGACGCACATCCACAAGCGCATTACGCAGCTCGTCAACACGGCCCTTGGCAAGGTTAGCAAGGGCGTTAACCTTGCCCTTACCCTTGCCACCACCAGAACGGACGACCTTGCGCTCCTGCTCCTGGACAGTCTTCAAAGCAGCCTCAAGGCTCTCTTCCTTGACCTCAGCACCCTTGACCTCGGCTTCGAGGCCAACAATGTGATCCTCAATCTCCTGCTGCTGACGACCAGCATCGACAAGAAGATCCTTCTTCTTCCTCAGAGCAGCAGTCATGGACTTTTGGCGCTGCTCTTCATGCTTCCGCCATTGCTTGCCAATCTCCTTGCATCGGTCCTCGCACTTGGTTCCACCAACGCGGGCCCATTCGTCGCTGCCATCGCAACATTGCTCGTAGTCGCAGATTCCATCGTTGATTCGTTGGAAGGGAATGTAAGATGGCTTGTGGCCCTTGTTCTTGCAGTAGAATCCGGGAAGGGCGAGAGCGATATCCAGATCGCTGTTGCCAGGTCGGTCTGCAACTACCTGTGGAGAGTTACGTGAGATGTGTGCGCAAGCAGCTGTGCCAGGCTCATCGCTTCCATCGGGACAGTCACAGAAGTCATCGTTGACAGCTGAGAAGGGTATTTGGATCGAAGGGTTCGAGATACAAGTGAATGTCGGCGAACCCTGGTAGAATTTGGCAACTGAGAACCCTTGGTCAGCACCATGCTTTAAATAAAACAAGCAAAGCAATTCGGCATTGTAGATCTCCCCGTCATCACCAGCTACTCCAAAGGTGGAGATACAGTCAAGGTCCAATACTTACACTCCGGGCCTACACCGCGAGGGCGAGCAGTTTTGTCACTAGCCTGGGCCGTCGACACAGTCGTAGCCAGCAGCAAAAGTAAGTCAGAGGACTTCATGCTTGAAGCATTGAGCTTTGTTTATGGTGCGGAGAGAGTTTCTGGCCAGATGTTGATACCCGCCGGTAATCGCTGAGTCAGCCCCGCTATCTTTGCGCTTTATCGTGGCGAGAGTCAACCTCAACTTCGCCAACATGGGTAACGACGGTGGAAGGTAAGCTCTTTGTCCTTGTTAAACTTGAAGTCTGGCATATCTAACGAATATCTGTTCAGTATCCCTACCCGCCGCGAGCTCGTCCGCGAAGCAGCCCGTGCCCCGAGCACGGCGCAAGTAAAAGAGGCCCAGCGCGAACAGCAAGAACACTCCTGGACAACCTGCCCTCTGTCGCACAAGGCCCTATCCCGACCAATCGTCTCAGACTCGGTCGGGAACCTATACAACAAAGACGCCGTCCTCCAGTTCCTGCTTCCCGGCGACGATGGTGAGGGAATTAGCTCCAAGGCCGACTGCGAAGAGATCCTATGCGGGCGAGTAAAGTCGCTCCGGGATGTTGTCGAGCTGAAGTTTGAGGTTGATACCGAGCGCACCGAGCACCCATCAGACCGCGCCCATGCTCCTCGCGAGCGTGGCGAGGGCTGGATTTGCCCGATTACCGCGAAGCCATTGGGACCCGGTGTGAAATCCGTGTACCTGGTGCCGTGCGGGCATGTCTTCGCGGAGGAAGCCATTCGACAGCTTAAGGGCGACAAGTGTTTGCAGGTAAGAAGTGCTTGAGTTGCGTGGTACGGATATAATGGCTGACAGATATTTGTCTCTCCAGTGCAACGAATCTTATGCTGAAGAGAATATCATCCCCATTCTTACCACTAAAGAAGACGATAAGAAGCGTCTCATTGAGCGAGGTCATAAACTTGCCGAGCAGGGTCTTACACATTCTCTTAAGAAAGCTCCCAGTTCCAAGAAGCGCAAGAAGCATGCCACTGCTGAGGATACCACAGATGCTTCGAAACAGACATCCGATCTCAAAAGCCGGAGTAATACATCAACCCCGGTTCCCAACGGTGCTTCTGGTAACGGCATCAAGAATGCCGGTACTTCCTCTCTCACTGCCCGTGTATTGGCAGAGGAGAATGAGAAGAAGAAGCGCCGGAAGGGTAATGAGAATATTGACAGTCTCTTTTCCAAGAAGGATGGGGCGTCGAAGAACGGTGATTTCATGACTAGAGGATTTTCTATTCCTTCTTCTGCGCGGAGGTAGACCGTTGGACTGGAAGAAAGATACTATTGTTTTATCGTTGGGCTACGGAGTTGTGTCGGAGTATACGGGTCTTCGGGTTTATTTTTTTACGGTGCCTATGCCAAAATTTGATATTCACCATAACAGGATGAAAATGTACATCTCTTTACCTTCATTGGCTTGATAAGATGAGAAAGAACAAAAATGCAAATTTAATCAACAATTCTAATATACAGAAGGTTGTTTCAATAGAGACAAATGCCTCCAAATTTCTTCAGGGCAAATGAACAAACACCCTTAGTTCATCTGCAGCTTCGCCTGCTTGGCCGCCTCCTTCTCCTGCTTCTTCTGCATCTTGATCCACTCCTTCCTCTTTCCAAGGGGGTGGCTGATCAGACCATTCTCGTACAGCGAAGTAACAATGACCTTCTTGCGGCCAACATCTTCATCGCTGTCCTGGCGAGTCCGGCGCGAGTCGTAAATCTTGACGTTACCCAGGCTTTCAGTGCCGATCTTGGCAAGCTGCTCATGGAGACGCGTAGGGGTCATCTTGATTGACTGCTTAATCAACTCCTTGTAGGCAGCAATGGCCTCGCCGACAGTTGTAGCAGTGGCAGAAGAGTAGATTGCATCGGGGATACGCTGGCCGGTGAGTTGAGAAAGGCGAGTAAAGAACTGCGAGATTTAGTTAGCGAACTTTACCAGCAAATGTGAGCGAATGATGAAACGAACGGCAAATTTCAGCTCTGGGTCATTCAATGGCAGAGATGACACAGTGCTCTCCTTCCTCGCTTCGATCTTTCCACCTTCCCAGAATTGATCCTCTCTCAGCTTTCCCTGGTCGCTTAATTGAGAGAAAAGGCTCTCCTTTGTGGTACCTGGTTTGGCGATTTGACCGAAAAAGGTAACGACTGAGTCTCGCGTGTCCTTGCTGCTGAATCGAAGGCGATCACCCCATTCTGCGGACTCGCCCTCGATACTGCAATTTTGGAGAATACCCTGCGAACGGTCTTCATAGCCCTCCAGGACGCCGTAAGTCTTACCGAGCATGCTCATCACACTGAACTCAATGACAGCCTGGTGAAGAGCTTTGTCAAGCGATAGCGGGGACTTTTTTTTATACCATCTATGAAAACAAGAGCCATTGTCAGCTATCTTCGTCGTAAAATCACGCCATGATGCGCGAGGCACGGCTTGCAAAAACTGGTCAAACATACGGCTTGACTCTGTCGGCGTAGGTCGCGCCATTGACGATCCATTCTTTATCCTTGGTGTAACCGACTCTGGGCATGTTTTTCCAGTCCAGGCTATGGATATCCATTTCATCGGGGAGTGATGTCTCCTCTTCTGCTTTGCCGGGGGAAAGATCGGTGCTTTCAGCCGCAGTCTCTTCCTGAGGCATTATCTGGCTTCCTGAGTAGGGGTCTTTCGGGCCTGGTGGCTTGTCTGTGCCCCAGAGCCCGCGCCGGGTGCGTTCGAGGAATCCGGGGGAGTCGGAGGCATTGCGGAGGAATTGCTGGTTGAGCGGCGAGATGCGTGGGTTAGCTCCAACTCTGCAGCTGGAGCAAACGTATTTTGCCTCCCGCAATGGGAGGCGCATTGATGGCCTCATTGTGTATGCGGGCGCAAAGGATGTTTGATCAAGCGGACTTGGACTTGCACGGAGAAACAAATCTGAGAAAGTCGAGTCACGTGAAATTGGATTCCGATGCTTGGCATTTTTGGCTGCTTGAACATCAACTGAATAAAACTGCGCGTCTTTTAGCCTTTCTTTACCTATCTTTATTATATGATCGAGCTCGATATTGAATAAACAAAAGGTCCTTGTTGTCTAGCACTATATAACGCTGCCTATTCCTCCACAGATAGGCAAAACAGAGTAAGTAAGCCTTGCTGTGCTTTCTTCTGTTTTAACCTACATTTTAGATAGCAGAAACCACTATATTTTGGGAGTTTTCCGATAATAAGCAATTTCGTCACTTCCAAGTATTATCGGGCATACCGGTCATAGGCGGACTTAGGAATCATTAATCAGTGCCTATGCAGCTATATAACTCCCGTCGCCCCTTCGAACAAATATCTCACATCCCAAAGTAAGCTTCAAACACACTTACCCAGTGCAAATAGCTATCCAACTCAGCATGCCAGCCCCGTACAACACAAATACCACAACAATTGAACTAGTCACCGACTACAAAGCCCTAATGAAAGACAAAGTCATCCTAACAACAGGTGTATCACCTGGCTCACTAGGCGGAACCTTCGTCCAATCTCTCGCAGAGGCAGATCCCGCCTACTTAATCCTAGCAGGCCGCAACACCGCCAAACTAGAACAATGCGTAAGCGAGCTACATACCGCGAACCCAAATCTCAAGACTCGCACTTTGCAAATCGACCTGGGGTCATTGAAAAGCGTCCGCAGTGCAGCAGAGCAAGTCAACAGCTGGACTGATATCCCTACCATCGATGTCCTTGTCAACAACGCCGGTATCATGGCCACTGAATACGGTCTTTCAGAGGATGGAGTCGAATCCCAGTTTGCGACAAACCACCTTGGGCCATTCCTTTTCACGAATTTGGTTATGGGCAAGATCCTCAACTCTGAGGCCCCGAGGGTTGTTATGGTTACTAGTGATGGGCATAGGTTGAGTCCTATTCGGTTTGATGATTATAATTTCGATGTAAGTTGTTCTTTTCACACTTTTGATCGCTGGGAAGTTTTACATTATTTGGTATTGGACTAATATACGCTCGTTCTCTTCTCGTCTAGGGTGGCGAGACATACAACAAATGGGCAGCCTATGGCCAGGCTAAAACAGCCAATATGCTAATGGCACTTTCGCTTTCCTCCAAGTTGGGTGTCAAAAATGGTCTGCTTGCGTTCAGTCTGCATCCTGGTGTGATCTTTACCAATCTTGGTAGTCATCTTGATTGGAGTGGCGATGTCGGACTGCGTTAGTATCTCACACCTCTACAACATTCATATTAAACTAATCGCCCTTTTTTCACATGGAGCAGAATTCATCGATAGACAACTGGGAAACCGTGAGGGATGGGCTGAGTTCAATCCCAAGACGCTGGAGCGTGGTGCTGCTACTCATATCTATGCGGCATTTGATCCTGCTCTTAAAGGTGCGTTCTACTAACACAGCATTGATCTATAGAATGTTGCTGACCTTTTTTGTTTTTCCCTCGAAGCAAACAATGGCGCCTATCTTATTGACTGCCATGTCGCTGACCCGCTGATTGATACTGTCAAGCCATGGGGGACAAGCCATTTCGAGGCGGAGAGGTTGTGGAAGTTAAGTGAGGAATTGGTTGGTCAGGACTTTGCTTACTAGCCTCGGGGGCAAGGATGCCTACAAGCCTAGATATTACTTATGAAATAAAGATTGAACTGAGACAAAAAGAAAAGCATTCATTGTATGCTAACAGTAATTTATATACATATGCACCGCTGATATCATACGAAACAGAAACAAAAACAACCCATTTTATACGAAGCAAGCTTATGCTTACTCGCGGACGAACATACCAGCCATACCCATACCGGTACCAATGCACATGCTGATAACACCAACCTCCTGGCCACTGCGCTCCATCTCAGGCAGCAGAGTAGCCAGCTGGCGGGCACCAGTAGCACCGAGAGGGTGACCGATAGCAATGGCACCACCGTTGGGGTTAACCTTGGCCTGGTCAATGCCGAGCTTGCGAACACTGTACAGAGCCTGGGAAGCGAAAGCCTCGTTGATCTCCCAGACACCAACCTCGCCAACCTTGACATCAATGGACTGCAAAAGCTTGGGGATGGCGATGGCAGGGCCGACACCCATCTCATCGGGGGCACAGCCGGCAACGGCGGAGGCGACCCAGCGGGCCTTGATGGAGCCGGAGAGACCGAGCTCCTCAGCGGTAGAACGGCGCATCAGCAGGGCGGCGGCAGCTCCGTCGCTAACCTGGGAGCTGTTACCAGCGGTGGAGGCACCGTCGGCGGAGAAAGCGGGCTTGAGGGCGCTGACCTTCTCGAGGGTCAAGCCGTGGCGTATACCGTCATCCTTGGAGACGGTGACGTCCTTAGCGGGAGCATCGGGGTTCTCGGGGTCGAGGGTCTTGGTAGCGACGGAGATGATCTCAGAGTCGAAGCGGCCGGCCTTCTGGGCGGCAGAGGCCTTGGCGTGAGACTCGACGGCAAAGGCGTCCTGGTCAGCGCGAGAGATGCCATAGCGCGAGGCGACGTTCTCGGAGGTGATACCCATGGGCATGATGCAGTCGCGGGCGTCCTGGGAGTAGGACTCCTTCAGCTCGGGCCAGAGGACGGTGGGGATGGCGCGCGACCCGTAGTTGCGGGTCATGGACTCCATACCACCGCCGACACCGACGTTTATGGAACCTGCACGAATGCCGTTGGCGATGGTTGTGATCGCGGCCAGACCGGAGGAGCACTGGCGATTGATCGTGTTGAAGGGTACGGAGTGGGGGAAACCGGCGTGGATCTGGCCCATGCGGCCAGCTTTGGCGCCTCCCAGCTCTTGCAGGACGGATCCGATCAGGACATCGTCGATCTGGACTGGGTCGAGGTTGGGGTTTGCCTCCAGGGTTGCGCGGAGCACGCTGGTCAGGAGCTCTTCTGGGTAGGCGTCCTTGAAGCCGCCCTTCTTGGCGCGAGTGACGGGTGTACGCAGGGAAGATAGAATGACAATGTCGTTAGGCGACTTCTGGAGCACCTGGCGGAGACCTCTGGGGATTGGAGAGGCCATTGTGTATGTGCTCGGAGTTAAGGTATTCCGGAATCTGGAGTATTTCGGGTGTTTCTCGGCGGTGTTAGTCTCAATGTCAATACTGAGCCTCACGAATTCTTACATATGTACAAAAGAGAGTGGAGAGAGACAAGCAATTGACTCCAGAGAGAATTCCGGAGCTCAAGAAATACTTATAGGAAAATGCCGGGCAGAATTCCGGGGTCGGAAGTCGCCTGGTGGTGAGTACCGTTGCCCGGCATTGAAGATCGGCTAAGTGGTCTTCCGCTGTGGGGGACTATACCCCATTTGCCACTCCAGTTGTAAGGTTATTTGCTTTTTACCTGGGGATACCAAGGCTCTCGGAAGTGGCAATACTCTCGATAAATCTATATCCATTTACAAAATGTACAAGAAATTGAACAATGGAAGATTCAAGGCCAATGTCAGATCGGGTGCTTATGTCACCTCGTTCCCGATGTTCGGATCGGCAGCCGAAAAAAGAACAGCCGAAGATTAGATAAAATGATGCCATTGCGATATTCTCAAGATATACTCGGGATTCTCTCGATATTCGAGCTACTCGAGATTGCTGGATCCTAAACTATTCCATATTAATCTCCTCAGCGCATGATAGCCCAATTGGCCAGACACTCAGCCTCTTTGTTATTCTCCTTAGGCACAAGCCAGAACTTGACCTCAACAACTCTCTCCAATACAGTGATACCGGCCTCCACCAGCTTGAACAAATCAGCATTGGCAACAGTAACACCCTTACAAGTCTTCCATCCAGCGTCTTTCCACTTGGGCAGCCACTCGGTGATGCCACGAACCAGATACTCAGAATCGGTCTTGATGATAAAGGTACGCAGAGGCACCAGGTCATTTCCCTTGCGAGCCATCTTCATTCGCTCGTCCATAATGCAAGTGGCGTTCCGCAGGGCCCGCAGACAAGCGGTCAACACAGCGATCTGCTTTGTATGAGCCTGGCCGGTGATGACATGCGAGACATTCTCGATGTTACTGATGCCGTAGTACAATCCAAAGGAGGATTGTGTGATATTGTTCTCGGAAATGCAGGCTCCATGGATTGCAAGGAGGATGAAGTCCTCGTGGCCAGCATACTGCTTGCAGGTTGGACATGTGGTGGTCGATGCTGGGCAGGCAACGCACATCCAGGCGCCGATCTCTACTTCGATGTCTTTCAGGCTGAATCGGGGTGGGTACTCCTTCTCTGCAAAGAAGCGGCGGGCTGTCGGCTTCACCTTGTCTTTGTTTTCATCACCAGTGGGCTGCATGTTGGGCTGGGTGGTAGCATAGTGGGTGTGCACGGAGGAGCTGTGCCAGCAATCATCGCCCTGGGCAGTCTAGCTCGGTTAGCTTGAACGACAAACATCGTAGCTTGGTTTGGGGTAAGTAATGCGGGGTATTTTAGATCAGAGGTCAGGATATTTACCATCGAAGTATTTGTAGCCTGGTTGGCCTGAGGATCCGGGGTAGATTGAGTGGCCCGGGTGGCCTCGAGAGCCTGATTGATCTGAGGGGCCTGGGCTGGCTGAGCTGCTTGGCTTTTCTTCGTAACCTTCTTTCTCTGTCCCCGATGACGAGGAGGATTGTTCGGAGCCATGATGAGCTTGGACGTAGATGACGAGGAGGGAAGCGGGTGTCAGAACATGAAAAAGCGAAGTGCAGGGCTCAAGAAAGTCTTCAGATAATGAAAACTGAGAAGAGAGGGAAACGTCAGGATCGAGAACGTCAAAGACGATGGGAAATGAAAACAAACAATGAAAGTGAGGCAGAAAAAGAACCAGTCACTTTTCATTATAGATAGGGATTATCACAACAAAAGACAATACCAAGTAGGTATTTCCATCTACGCAATCGAATAACTACACGCTATTGGGACTATGTTCGCCTTCTAGCATCGTTTTGTATGTTTGATATGTTGGTGTATGTTTGAAAGGCAAACAAAGAGCTGCAAGTTGCCTTTTTATCTATGAACATAGGAGACTTACAGCCTATATATATTATTTGCGTATATATTTGCAATGATATTGTTTAGACGTAAGAATGTAGCAAATACCTAAAGATAGACATCCTATGTGGGCATAGTTGACAGGGAGACCGTCCCTACTATAGATTGTTTTACCGCGTTTCATCCAACTCATCTGATTGGGCCATAAATTATATCCAGATTTGTTTGGAGTAAGTGACAGATAGAGAATGGGTGCTAAATTTGTTCCATTGCACTACCAAGTAAAACAAGCAAAACAAAAGAAAGCTGACATGAAGGAAAGACGAGCAAGCCAAAAGAAAAATTATCGCAGTCTCGTAAATTATATCAACGCATAATGTGGATTTAGTGACGAGAAGTCCAGGTACGGCAGAGGTCGTAGTCACTGCGGCATCCCATGAAGATTCGAGGCATGTTTTGGGGGGACCGGGCTGAAGTTTGAGAAGCCTTTTCTTTTTTGAAAAAGCTCACATCTGTATTTTGGAACAGAGCAGGGGAGTCATTGGGCTCGACAGATGTAGAATAGGGTGTATACCAGAAGCTAGAGACGTCAGGCTGGATTGGGCGGTGTTCATATCAACATCCTTGTCCACGTCGTCATCATCGTCACATTTACGGTTGGCATTGCTGTACGCTTCGCCAGTAGAAGTCAACAGTGGCCCAGTGAACTTGGGTGACTGGTTCACGGGGGTGGAAGGCTGTAGAAGTTGGCGAGGGGTGGGTGATAGCCGTGGTTAGCCATGGCGATGGAGTATCTTTGCTTGCCAATGAAGATAGAACCACATCCTGGAAATGAGATATTTTAGGTGTATATGGCTGGTGACTAGACCGTAGGACTGGAGTTGAACGAGCCCTGAGTTTTCCCTCGTCCTCTTCGTCGGAGGAGTCCACAGGACCTTCAATGGCATGGAACCGATGTTTCTTCTGTGCAATTTCGTACTTTTTTCAAGAATTTTGGAGATGACAGAGCCTGATCAAATAAATTCCTGTCTGTGAGGTTATAAATGATAACTAGTGAGGGAGTCCTTATATACTCTTGAGACCTGCTATATACTAATATACAATAACTCATCTACATATAGACACTGAATTCAAATTGGAATAAGAATTAAGAAGCGAATCTTTGTAAGTATAAACCGATTTAATAAGAGCTATTCTTATATGAGATGTAGACGTTTTATATTAAAGAGTCATCTTTCTTCAAGAGCCATTCGCCAATCGTTTACCTCAGAGATCGATTACAAAACCACGCCATGCCTAATACGGAGAGGTAGTTTAATTCATAATCTTCGATCTACGCTTTACACAAGCTCTCTATCTCTATACAACGCTTTGTAGGTATTTTACATCCTTGGGGTCTAAGTACCTACCAGCCTTAGAACGTAGTCACCGCCTGCATAGGGGATGTGATATATGGATCCAGGGGCATAATTCCGTACTCCCGCCACATTTGAGTCATAGAACATACTAGTCGAACAAAAGGACACTGTCAATATTGGTGAGACTTCTGTAGAGTGAAGTCAACTCCATGGATATACGACGCATGTGTGGTCATTTCGGGTCCCCCGATTGGCTGTACGACTAGATCTGACTACAGGGACAGCGGACGGAGTATTTGCCATCGGAAAGCGAGCGAGTGGGATACGGTATAAAGCACATGTTATTGGATAATAACCCTGCAGAGAATCACTAGAACAGCAAATATATTTAGTTGCTGCAGGGGGCTACAAATAGGTCGATCGTCAAACCGCGAATCTTGGCCCACTTTTGTTTCTTATTTTTTGTTCCCTTCTCTTTTCTTCTCTCATCCTCGGCCCCAGTCATTTGTGAGTCACAATTCTTGCATTCAAATACCTTTGCTTCCCGCTCAGTTGTACTGACGAAATACCCCAGATTTGCCAGTTTTGAAGCACGCACAATGCCTCTCATCAACACCACAGAAGTCAACGAGGACACCCGTGGTATGTGGACACTATCTCATCTAAGTTGTCTCCAAGTTCACTATACTCATCAATTCTGTTAGTCCTCGGATACGACCCTTTGCTGTCGCCTCAATTCCTGCAGACTGAGATCCCCGCCGTGAGTTTTTTTTTTTTTTTCCTGCGCCCCGCTCTCCGCGATTGACCGCACTCTTGAAGCGCATCAAAACTGACAATTGCTTCGAATAGCCTGCCCGTGCCACCGAGGCCGTGCGCTCTGGCCGTAACCAGGCAGTTGAGATTATCGAGCAGCGTGATGACCGTCTGTTGGTCGTCGTTGGACCCTGCTCCATCCACGACCCAGATACTGCCCTCGAGTACGCCCGCCGCCTGAAGGAACTCTCAACAAAATTGGAGAAGGACCTCTGCGTGATCATGCGCGCCTACCTCGAGAAGCCCCGCACAACAGTCGGCTGGAAGGGTCTGATCAATGACCCTGACATCGACGAGACCTACAACATCAACAAGGGTCTCCGCGTGTCCCGTAAGCTGTACACCGACCTGACCAGCACTGGTCTCCCCATTGCCAGCGAGATGCTGGACACCATCTCCCCCAGTACCTGGCGGACCTGATCTCGCTGGGCGCGATCGGCGCCCGCACAACCGAGTCCCAGCTGCACCGCGAGCTGGCCTCCGGTCTGTCCTTCCCCATCGGCTACAAGAACGGCACAGACGGCAACCTGACCGTAGCCGTCGACGCCATCGGCGCCGCCTCGCACCCCCACCGCTTCCTCGGTGTGACCAAGCAAGGTCTGGCCGCCATCACCAAGACCTCGGGCAACGAGCACGGCTTCGTGATCCTGCGCGGCGGCAACAGGGGTACCAACTATGACCGGGCCAGCATCAAGCTCGCCCGCGAAGCCCTCCGCTCCAAGAAGCAGCGTGAGGTCCTCATGGTCGACTGCTCCCACGGCAACTCCAGCAAGAATCACCTCAACCAGCCCCTCGTCGCCAAGGATGTTTCCGACCAGCTCCGCGAGGGCGAGTCCGGTATCATCGGTGTCATGATTGAGTCCAACATCTACGAGGGTAACCAGAAGGTTCCCCCCGAGGGACCTGCCGCTCTCCACCGCGGTGTCAGCATCACTGATGCCTGCATCAACTGGGAGATGACAGTCGATGTTCTGGAGGATCTGGCCGATGGCGTTCGTGCCCGTCGTGCCGCCCGTAAAGCTGGTGCCAACGGCTCGCAATAAGCAGCTCATTTCATGTCGTTCCCTCCCCCTTTGGACTAATTGCTTGTCTGGGGTTCCACGGTCCGTCGTTGCATTGGTGAGACGGGCCTGGTAAATAAAATGTATGCCTCGGTTCGGTGCCTATTGTTTTTCTCAGGGTTTCAGCGGTTTCCTTTGTAATTTTTTTCTCCTGCCATGTGCTGTGATCATGTGTGAACGAGTCTTTGGTGCCCCAGTCAGAATATGAGGGTTTTTGTTTCTGTTAAATTTTCGTCAGTACAAGTAAAGGGAGAATGGCTTTAGCCATAGTAAGATGTAAGAAAGTAAGGAAAGGTAAAAAACAGCGGAAAAGTAAACTGTTAAATGTCCAGGGCCAACACTCTATAAGAACGGTTTTTTCCTACTCCACTATGTGCATGGGCCAGGGGAAAGCGCTCTTCCGGCGCGTTGGTCCCATCTATGAATTAGTGCGAGTCTGAGTCAAAAGAGATTATTTCGGTGACGGTTTGTAGTAATTTATTATGTTACATAGTTCTAACTTACCTGTATGATGTATAGACGATGTTGACGTTATAGAAAGTTACGTACTGCGTGTATTGAATCTGGAGATTGGAGTAGAAATGAGAACAGATAGGAGCAGATCTATGTACTGTACACGATATACATTGAGGCCCACCCTTACACTCCTTTCAGAGTATTAGGGGAAGTCATACTGACTAGGAACACATTCCAGAAGAGAAGCTGGGAAAGGAAACAGAACGCCGTAAACCCCCTGGGAAGATGGAAGCAGGCCGCGAGATAAGTCTGCGACTTGCCATGCAATAGAAAAGATTGTTGCAAATGGCGAGGAGTGAGGATGAGAGAGAATGAGAACCGATGGATCTGGTGTGGAAGCATGTTCGTCAAGTGGTGGTGAGGTCAGACCAGATCAGATCTGCATCCGAGGACGGGCCATGTCTATCCACCCATCCAGTCTGTTCTCCGTCCTTTCGTTTTGGTTACTGCAAGGCTGATGGTTTTTCCCATCTATCGCCCTGTCAACCAGCTAGTCCAGCCCTTTGTCTTGGCCTTTGCGGCTTCCTCCGCGTTCTCGGCCATTACGTCCAACTGGCCGGGCAAGGGAGCACCGGTCTTTGCGGCGGTAGCAGCGATGGCCTGTTTGGCCTGGACCGCCTCTGTGGCACTGCTCTGCGGCTGCTCGGTCGATGCGGCAGCTGGGACAGCGCCGGAATCCTCCATGTTCAGCTTCTCGAAGAGGAAGCGCTTGGCCTTGGCCCAGGGCTTCTGTGCCTTCTCCTCCGCGCGCTTCTGCTTCACAATCTCGCCAATGCTCTCCTTCTTCACGAGTTCCTGCTGCTCCTCGGTTGCGCTGCCGTTGGCGACGGCGAGCTGGGCTTGGTTGAGAGTCTCCATTTCTCGTTCGATCCAGAGGGTGCGTTGGCGGCGGTTATACATTGTAAGTGAGACCATAGAATAGACTGTAAGGACACCGCAGACACCTAATCGGATCAATAATTATTAGTATAAGGCCGGATATTAATAGATGTTGTTGGTTGTCATCTCGGGTATGGGCTGATGCTATAAAGGCTTCAACGGAACACCTTCACGAGAACAGGAAACCTACCCGACGCGGCAATCAATGTGTAGACCATGCCCTTGTGAGCCTTGTTGGCAAACCTTCGACCAGATTCAATCCACCGATCCGCACCAGTTCCGAGAGCCTGAGCCCTCTTCGCAGCCCGGGCCTGCGCGCGGAGTCGGTCCACCTTCTCCTTGGGTGTCTCCGGTTTCCCATCGGGGCCGGTATGTTGTGGTGATTGCGACTTGGCGTTGAACTTGTTGTTCTTGCCGATATCTGCGGTCTGGAAACCGCCGGTCTTGGAGTTGGCGTAGGGCCCTGTGGCCGTGAACCGCGTTGCGTCGGCGGCGGATCGGGACATCGTTGCGCGTTTCCCGGGGTTCGGTGGGAGGCCTGTAGATCGTCGAATGGATTGCAAAATAGAGCCTCTGACGACTTGGCCAGATGCAATTGATGTGTTTGTGGGGGTGGGCTTCTGGGCGTTGGCAAAAACCGGGGATTTGCAGGTTGGAGGTAAATTTTCAGCACGGGAGATGCGCCAAGACATTCAACAGCCTTATCGACTGACCTCCTTCGAGCATTCTGCGTCGACAAATGTTTGATATATCAATGAGCATATAGCTTGCTTGATTGCTGCTTGCTTTCTGCAAGCTCACTCTCATTTATAAATACCTTTACTCCGGTTCCCATCTCTTCCTATCCTCAACTCTCAACAAGTGGCACCATACAACATGGCGGATAATCTATACAATCCTGCCGACCTCAACTCGGTCCTACGTACTTTGTCAAGTCTAGCTCCCCAAGGTACACCACAGCCTCATCAACCATCTACCCCTGCTCCATTGCACCGCCCAGAAAAGCCACGCCAGCCGCAACCGCGGCCTCCGCGGCCTTCAAATGGCCTTGCTGATCCATCCAATATCATAACTTGGTCTGCTGCACTTCGACATGTCATGCGCACCGTGGGCCAGAATGAAGAGCTTCAACACCGTATCCGCGGAATGATCCGAAGTCAACATCACCATGAACGCCAATGGTTCAATGCTCGCGATGCATTGATCAGGCAGCAGCGAGGACGGCCTGAGAAACAGAAAGAGTTAGACGCAGTTCTGTGAGTATTTTCCTTTCCTAATTTTCTGTCAGCTTCTTTCGATCTTAGTTACTCGACCTTTCCATTTTGTTTTAGTCTTGTATTAGTTCACTTCTGTCTATTGTTTCCAGCCATTCACGTTCAATCAATTACTAATATTGAACAGTCGGTCGATCGGTGCCCCGGTGGCTACAAAAGAAGCAGAAACAGTACGTCCTTAGTTCCATTTGCCAAGCTCTTTCTCAAGTTACCTTTGAACCACCCTTTCATTCATGTGCTAACTAATAGATCAGGCCGAGCAAGAATTTGCCGCCGAAATAGCAGCCTACGATGCAAAGGTTCATAGAGCTGCTTCCCAGATGAGCGACGCCCTGATGTCCGAACTACGTGGTCTTGGGATACCTTTTTTTAAGATCCATCCAAATCTGATTCAGGATTCTTCGACTGGGACAGGAACTCCTGATTCGGGTGCCGCCAAAACCCAGGAATCTGATTCTACCGGAGGCCCGTCGCAGATCACAAAGTCCGACCTTGAGGGGTTGCAACAGCGCATGTTAGAGCTGCTAGAAGATCTATGCAAGGAGTGATAACATCGGCTGTGCGTCAAAAGTGCCCGGCCACTGCGATGACTGTACTTGAACCAGTGAGCCTCAAATGCAACAAAGACCCCCAAGACTTCTCGTGCTCTACATTTGAGCCATCTGAGTCCAAGTACGAGGATTCGGGAGTTATGTTCGACGCTCTGATGTGCTTGCCTACATTGAACACCAATGGAAAAATCTGCTTGATGATGTGATATCTTATCTTCTTTCGAGACTACGACCAATGCCACGATACGAATTACGACCCTGGAATACCAATTTATTGATTCCAACCCTGCGATTCTAGGAGATACCCATACCCTCCTGCATGGCATACTGTCAAACCACCTACCAGTGTATCTATGCCCTGTGTTAATGTATTAATGCTTCTTCTATCTCAAAAGTGCCTTAGGTCGTTTCTGGGTTGCTTGGCTGGTCAGCGACATCCACGTATCACACTGATCGGAATACTCATTTCACGTTCTTAGAAATCGAACGTAATTGTAATATGAAATTTGAATCAACTTTAGGTTACTATTTCATAGAAAGGTGATGTAATATGACTCGGGTGACCGCCCGGCGGCAAACGCCGATCCACCCGGGCTTTGACGGCTTCACCCTGCATCATCTTCACCATGACAACGAGAGCGAAGATAAGTGGTCTTGCCTCTCTTGCTTGTACCGAGTGCAGAAAGCAGCATCTAAAATGTGACGCTGGCAAACCATCGTGCTCGCGATGCGTACAGAATGGGTTGCTCTGCCAATATCTACCGTCTCGCAGAGGCGGACGCAAGAAACTCCGAAATGAAACGCCATATCAACGTCCTTCAATTTCGCAAAATCAAGCCAATGTCAGTGTCGTCGGTGATCCTTGGCATATTTGTTTTAACGTTCAATTAGGCCAGATATCAGCCTTCTGTCTCTGTTGTGCCAATCACCCCTTTGCAGGTCACACCAGAGAACACACCACAGGCAGGCAGGCAGACGGGGCTAAATATCTCTACCGAACCAGCTCCATGGCCTGTTATGATTACGGGGGATTCTCCAGTGCAAGATCAGGTTGAAGTTATAAGCAAGCCTCCGCTTTACGATGAACGACTACCGCGATTGTACTATGAGAATTTCCATGTCGCCCATCCAGTCTTGGTGCCCAGCTCCTTGTACAATGATCGGAACTACCCTCATTTCCTGCAAATGGCAGTGAACTTTGTGGGCTCTCACTATGTTGCCTCTATTCCCAGCCAACAACACAAGGATCAGGTCATTGCCGAGTTGAAAGCCAACCCTGATCGATCGCCTTGTATGGTCCAGGCTTGGCTGATCTATTCTATCGCTCTCTATGCTCGGGATGAATGGCAAGAAGCACAAGAAGCTTTTTCTAGTGCCATTGACATTGCTTTGAATCTTGGCATGAACAGATGGTCATTTGCTTCATCGGCAAATTCGGAAAGATCCATCGAAGCAGAGAGCATGAGAAGGACATGGTGGGAACTTTATGTTACCGATATCTTCATGGCAGTCTCTTTGAAGACTACTACACTTCGATGTAGCACTGTCTCGCTGGAGGTGGGCCTACCTTGCGAAGAGTCTGCATATAATAGTGGAAGTGAGGTTACGAAGCCAAGAATGATGATCGAGTTCAAGCGGAGGATTCTTGCTGCAGAAGACCCGGTCTTTTCGTCGTTTAGCTATCGCATTGAGGCCACGACTATCCTATGCCGGGTTCTTGTTCTCAATCGACTACGAGATTGTCACCGCGATCATCTTCAAGCTATCGAAAATGCGCTGGTGAGCTGGATCAACCACCTTCCGCCAAAGAAGCTTGACATTCTTGATTCTTATGGTAACGTCGATGAAATGATGTTTCAAGCACACTTGACAATAGCATACGCAGCCATGCTCCTACACCTCCCACGCAGTGACCTTCCATCTGTACTATCACAAACCCAGCCCGATGAGCGATTCTGGCCCGGTCCTTCGGGTCAACTTTCATCAACATTTACCCGCTTAGTTCACAGCATCAAAGCCACTGAGGCCTCAAGACGAATCTCCGACTCCATTTCTGTGTGTCCAAATGTTCCAAAACACACACCTTTTATCATTCCCGCCTTGGCCCTCTGTGGACTTATCCAACTAGCCACCTCGACCAGCCATTCCGAGGAGTGTTTCGATCATCACTGCAATCGAGTCACCCTCATCTTAGGGTGTCTCAAAAGTACCCAACGAACCTGGAAACTAGCCGAGTCCGTATACCACGGCCTCCGATCATCTGCATCAGACATACTCTCCGATTCCATGGCAAAATGGAATGCCGAGCCTCTGCACCGATTCACACCGGCAGTCTCAACACCGAATGTACCTGAAAGACCAAGCTCGAGCACAAATCCAGCCGCTGCCATGACATTCGGACAAGAATTCACACCACCAGAGTTCACTTCAACATTCATCGATCCGACCTGTTACAATGCTTCATTCTTCAGTGCTATCCCGGACTTTGATATCAACTAGCAGTTATACCCGGGAGCGGAACTAGATAGTGTTTCTGTACTTAATATGATCTATCTATATCAGTTACCTCACAAATAAAGTATACCTTAACTGACTGCGGAGCCATGCAGACGCGGTCCATAGTGGAACTCGGAATAAATGCTAGCAATACGTAATAGCAGGGGCCTCCATTTCTAACACAAACTCCGATTTGCAGACCTGTTCAGTCCCCGAAGAAATAATCTGAGTCGCCGACCGTGTCGATTATAATTGGTGCTTATCCGTCAGTGTTTAGATAAAGTTCTCCACTCGGCGACTTGGTCGGAACCTCACGCGCACACGCATGTTCTGTCCTACGACATTAGGGCGCTACTCTGCATTGTCTAGACACGTAGATCATTTTGTCTAGCTAGGTGCTCTTATTGCGGTGAAGCAGTTTTGTATCGTCGGGGCTCTGATTGGATGTATCCAATTCCAGTAATCTACAACACTCATGTATGTTCTACTTTGTGAGATAGTTTAGGCCACTTAAAGACGTGGAGGCGTTGTCACCGAGTATTTCTCCATTTGGTCTTTAGTTTGAATTTACTAAATACCCGGGTGTAACCGGGGTTGATCAGCGTAGGTTTGATCTGATTAGCACATGTTGTCTACCGCATAGTTTGCCGTTCAAGCTTGACCGGAGAGATGTAGACATTATGCTTAGGCCTCAGCTGAGCCCTTGTTGAATGGTTTTTATAGCATTGCCAGCTTATCTGATGCAAATCATTCGTACAATGCTAGTACGAGATTCGACTGCAGCCTGTACAATTATGGCGTTGTCATTTTCTTTATGGCGTTATTGGTCCGTACGTTAAGACCGCTTTGATTCTGATATGGCTTGGTCCAATCTTGCTACTCTCTTCTGACTGTGAATCCTTAATACCAATCTACAGCTATACTTGCTCCCTGTGAAGTTCAAACTACAGAGAACGGCCAAAGTATGGCCAAAAGAAACATGCCAAGCGCCACGGTAAACATAAACATGGGGATGCATAGCTTCAACCCCACCGCTAGACGCCAACCCCTGCCCTTGGAGAAATAAACAAATCAAGTGTCGTCTGCCGAAACAACGGTAAGGCCTTCGAGAACCGTTGGCCAAGACTTAAATGGGTCCGCGGCCCTGAAATGCAAGGTAGTGGATGAATCGGCGATTGAAACGGGCATTCAGGGGAATGCGAGAATGTGCAACATGATCTCAGAGATAACATATCTCGGCCACAGCTTCTCTTTATAACTTCTCTTGTACCTGTTCACACTTCCTAATTAAAGTACTTAGCTTCACTCTTCATCTGTGATCTATCATCCGTCAACCACCAACCATCACAATGTCATCCGCTGTCATTCCCACACTACCCTTAAGCACTGGTCTATCACCGGGTTACAAGCACTACACGCCACAATATAACCTCGAAGATCTCGTACATGATATTAAAGCCCATCTCGGAGAAAGTGGCGGCATATCCTCGGCAGACGTGGATAACGAATACCTAATCTCCCTGGCAAAGAAGTATATCTCAGACCCGAACGACTGGGCTCGATACTTCTACAACGACCGCAGCAAAGCCTACACCCGCAATGCAATTGAAAATATTAACCAAAAGGCAAATATCGTGAGTGATGTCCCCGATCGTATCCAGTCGCCATGAGAAACTAATCAACCATTCAGCTCCTTCTCGTCTGGAACCCCGGGAAAGGCTCCCCAATTCACGACCATGCCAATGCTCATTGCATCATGAAGATCTTAGCTGGGACACTGCAAGAAACTGTCTATGATATTCCTGACCAGGGTGCAGATTACCCCGGTCCTCTGGAAATCAAGTCTGATTCGAGGCATACGATGAACGATGTCGCTTATATCTCTGATGATATTGGCTTGCATCGGGTTTATAACCCGAGTAGTGACCAAGTCGCTGTTTCTCTTCATTGTGAGTTTTGCACTCCGGATTTTCAAGACTTTTCTTGGGTTCATTGCTAATCAATGATTCTTCAGTGTACACACCTCCCAATGCTGCTGACTACGGGTACAACATCTACAATGAGAAGACGGGCAAGGCGAGCTTCGTGCCCCAGGCTCATGCTGTTCCACAGAAAGAATGACTTTAATCATGTCCTTATGGGTGTTTAACGGCGCACGGCAGGGGCCTATTGGGGGAGTCATCTCTTTTTCCTTCTTCTCATCCCTTTCCTTTTTTTTTTCTTTGTCATGAGCAGGAAGCATGTCTGTTGGATTATTTTCAACTTCAACCGGTTTCGGCGAAAGCGATTTTGCTGGTATACCCTTAACGAGATAATGACCCTTTTTACGATTATTCCAAACCCTATCCAAGAGTAACATAATATGGGACTGATAGCTAGAAATAGTAGACTCTGTTTCCTGTTAGAAGCAAACTTTTGATACTATGAAGGGTAGGACGTGTAAATGTTTTATTGTATGATTAAGAAAACAGCATTCGAAGCTTGTTGACCTGGACGGATATGATACCCATGTTTTCACGGACGGTTCGATGTGTCTCAAGTTTCGTCGATGATTTCTCTAAAGAAGTTCACCTATAAAACGAGGATTAAGTTGGAGCAGTCTGAATCTTGTCCGATGGGCTCTTCTGGATGCCTTTCGCAGATAGCAATGACATCTTTTGTAAACTGATGAAGATACCCGTGATAGAAAGATTGATCTATCGTGAGGTAAATGTACTCCCAACGATGATTAACAGTCAACGTATGATCTTGAGTGACAATCGTCAAAAGCCTACCTAGATTGCTAAACCCGGCCCGATCTATCGGAACCTGTCAAAATCCGAGAATCATACAATTCTCTAAGAGGCTCTGCAGTCCCCGGAATGTCGGCGGTCGGATTGCCATACTCCGAGCTGGTCTTAGCCTGTGGTTGGTGGGTTCCCTCGGATTTTGGACCCTCGGCGCTCGGCGGGTTTTGCGCCTATATAGTTCTGAGCTTGAGAATTTGATTGATTTGCACTTATAAACGGATCAAAATAGTCATTCACCTGCTTTATTCTATGTAGTAGGTCTCATGTTTTTCAAAATCATGTCTAACACTCGCATTCTTCCGTGGTTCCTAACAAAGTCCGCCTCGGCTTGTATTGTACTCGGCTTAGGGGCCTACTGCACTCGGTCTTTTATATTATCAACCGGCCATGCAGAGTCAAATGAGCCACCGAAAGTGTTCCCTGGCTTTGGAGTTACTACACTACGCCTGCAAAGTGCAAAGGATGTGAACCACAACACGAAACGGCTGGTGTTCGAGTTTGCAGACCAGATTGCCAAAAGCGGATTGACGCTGACATGTATGAACGCCCAAATAAGAAATCTGCTGTCAACTTGTACCTTCTAACACACTTTAGCGGCCCTTTTCACAATCACACGCCCCGAAGGACGATAGCTCCCCGTACTACGTCTGTACACACCTATCAGCGATCTAGGTACATCTCAGCCAACTCCATTTTGAGATACAAGTGTAAAAACTCACAAAAGCACCAGACCAACCAGGCAGCCTCGTACTCATGGTCAAGAGATACCCAAACGGCAAAGCAAGTAACCACCTCCACTCCCTCGTCCCAGGCGATACCCTCACATTCGCCGCAGCCATCAAAGGCGAATCCTGGACATCGAACAAATATCCCCAGATTTATGCTATAGCTGGCGGAGCGGGTATAACACCTATCTACCAACTAGTGCAGGGTATTCTGAATAATCCAGAGGACAAAACGAAGATCAAGCTCGTGTTTGGTGTTAATACCGAACAGGATTTACTTCTTAAGGAGGAACTGCAGGGGTTCAAGACTCGGTTCCCGGATCGGTTTGATTATTTTTATACTGTTAGTCGTCCTACTGGACATGGTGGGAGTGAGGATGGAAATGGGGAGGTTAGAAGAGGTTATATTACCGAGGAGCTTCTGAGGGGCGTTGTTACTGCTGATGGGGACGCTAGGGTCTTTGTTTGTGGGCCTCATGCTATGGAAGAGGCTTTGGTTGGGTCTTGGGAGAAGGGAGGGATTTTGGCGAGGATTGGGTTTAGGAAGGATCAAGTTTGTAAATTTTGATTCTTTGCTCTTTGTTTAGACAATTTATATCAGGGGTGTTTGGTTTTATATGGGCTATTTGTTTTGATTTGCGGTACATTGGTTCTTATCTAGAATTCATAGGTCATGATATGGCAGGTCAGAGCAATAACCATGTGCTACGATGATGCATCACGAAAGCTTGAGTATTATAAATAGACAGTAAATTCCTAGAATGAACTAGATGATTACCTCGGGCATTTGGCATAACAGTTTAGCCGGAATCGGTCAGTGCTCTAACCCTTCTCCAACAGAACCCACGTGGTTTAGCATAAACTGGAAGAAACAAATAACCGATCTAGCTTACTTATTCCCTAAGCTTCCAACAAACCACCAAGCCAAAAGCAAGCAAGGATCACTCGGAATCCGCTCCAGAAATAATGACGCGGCCTTCCGTTAGAACTAGTCCGTCGTCAGTTGGAGCCACGTACGTACTCTTGCATATATGCAATTCTATTTATGCAATTTTCTATTTGATATTACACCAAATACACCTGCACATAAACAACCCAATCAACCTTTCCTCGAAGGACAGCAATCCCTGTCGATCAACACAATTTGCCTGATGCTTAGCTCCTATCATGTCTCCACAAATCTGCTACGCAGTCTCCAGTGGCCCCGCCCCGAAACGAGAAGTGTGATGATCATATGCTGTAGTGAGCGGTATGGGTACACGAAAGATCAGATAGGAGAAATGGAAATGGTCCGATGGGGAGTGGAAGAGGACACTGTAACCCGTACAATAAGAAGGGAATAGACACAAAAATAAAGGTTGGCCTGTATAAGTGCCACGTTCCAGGGTTCTAGCCTAGAGCCAGTCCCAAAACCCATGCAAGATACAGTATACGTCCAGTCACTCTGCAGGTACCAGATCACAAGCCAAGCTACACTAAGCACCAGACCGAACCGCCGTGTCAACTAAAGCACAGAGCTTGAAAAGGTAGTGGATCCAGAACAGCGAGCGAGAATCAATACCTTGTGCGTCACGTCTATCCACAGATCTACAAGCATGGAACCGTGAAGGAAGACGAAACAAAGTCTCAAAAATCAGTCCCGGTCGCGCCCAATTTCAATGTACTGTAACCTTGAGCCGGAGTTTAATTTGTATCAGGTTCAGACGAAAAGGGTAAAGAAGGTAGGGTAGGATAGTAAATATATTCACACCATATACAGACATAGATTCCGTAAAGTAAACGGAATAAGCCCAAAAGATCCGGATGCCTGGATAAAATAATATTACACAAGAAATGGGAACAGAACAGGGTGTAGGTTGGTTCGAGTTCCCAGTGAAAAACCAACAAGCAATAATCAAAAAAGATAGAAGCGGAAAAGAAAAGGGGAAAGTAACAAGCATCGCACACAAGCACAGCCTGGCAATGTAATATGATAATAACAAGAATTGAAAAAAAAAAAAAAAAAACGCCAAAATGGGAGGGGGGGGGGGTATGATATGCATAGAACGATCATGACCTGGTTGGTATATACCAGTGGACTCAGCAATCCTCTCTTTTCTTCACTCTTCAAAATTTCAGTTTTCTTTCTTCCTTCTTTCTTCTCTCAGTCTCAGGCCAAAGACGTGGTATATGGTAAATCCATGTCCAAATTGCAATTGCAACCCTATCGCAAAATGAAAGGTGGTCAAAACGATACATGCAGATATAGATGCAGATGTATACGCAGAAATCAGGTACAATATGCAATGCGAATCATGCAGGATGGAAACGAAATAGCGGAACGTTTTAATCGCGGCGGTTAGAGGTAAGGTGGATCTCTTCTGTGGGAAGACCCTCCTCCGAGGGGACGTGCTGGTAAGAGCGTGAGCGGCGGGCGCGGATGGCGCACCAGATGGCGTAGCCTACGCCTCCTAGTATTAGAGATACCAGAATGAAGACTAGGACGCTGCCAACGCCGCGGATGACGTCATAGGCTGTGTAGACTGCTTTGGCAACTTCCTTTGCGTCGGCGTATTGGGAGGTGCTCTTGCTAGCGGTGCCGGATGAGCCGGTTGAGGTGCCGTCGTTGATTAGGTCGGCTGATTCGTCGCCGCTGACAATTTTGCTGTCACTGTTATTGTTGGAGGTGCTGTCAGAGGAGCCTAGGTCCTTGTTGGCTGCGGCGATAATGGATGGGTCGTCGGGACTAGGACCGGTGTTTCCTTCCCAGCCAGCGCTCTTCCAGTTGGTGGGGATATCGGTGCGCATCGTTTTGGATGTGTGCATGACATTTCCATCGGCGTCAATAGCCTGAGCAGAAACCCAGTCCATGTAGCCGTCGGCGATGAACATCGATTCGAAATCGGTCTTGTTGACGGAGCCGATGAACACGGGCTCGCCGCGGTCATAAGCCTGCGCATAGAAGTTCCATTTGACGACGTCGGTTGCACCGTTCCAGCTGACATAGAGTAGAGTAGTAGTGTCCTCGTCGTCGGTTCCGTAGACGGATGCGACCAGGTCGGGCGGGGCAGATGGGCGGCCGGTGAACTCTCCCTTGAAGGCGCGGTAGGTCGAGTATCGGTCGGAAGCGAATCGGGCTGTCATTAGGAGATCACCGTTTGAGGCGTGCTCGCTAGAGTAGCCACGCTCACTCCATCCGACGAAGATGTTCTCGTTGGGAAGAACACGCACGCTGCCACGGAGTCGGGTGAGACCGCTGTCTGGGCGGTTGATACGGCGGATCACTCTAGCAGTCATAGGAACGACGGTGGTGTCTAGCTCGATAATCAAAGCGGCCGAGACATTCTCGTCTTGACCCCGTTCGTCGGAGGCGTTGTTCAGGACTGAGATAACGTGGTGGGTGCCGTTTGATGAGACAAACTTGACATCGTGCTGCTTAGAGAAGGTAAAGTCCTGATCGAAATTGCTCTCCAATCCACCCAGACGCCAGACGATGTTTCCATCCTGGCCAGAAATCAAGTAGATAGTGTTGGTGAAACGCAAAGAGATCAGATAGTCACCAGCTGCGTTCTTGTCGACTGCGTTGATATGAACATAATCCCAACCGGGCTTTCCGGCGGGGTTATCCCACGCATTGAACATGTTCGACTCGTGCAGGGCAATTTTGTCGTACGAGTCCCACTCGACGAGGACTTCGCTAGTCGCAACATCCAACTCAACAAATCCACCAGTTACCACCCAACTTTCTTCCGTAGGGCGACCGAAATCAGCCATGTTGACCACCTGGTTGCGGTATGTACAGGCCAGGGCAGTCTTTCCACCATCCAGAATGTTGAACTCGTGCATATTGAAGTCATGAAGCTCATTGATGACCTGGACCTCCTTCTCCACCTCATACTTGTTGTTCACGATAGCACCATGGCCCTTCTTCGAATTGTCGAACTCCCACCCCACAATGAATGACAGGTGCGGGTCATCATCGATGTTGTGGACTGGCTTGAAATCGAAGGTATTCTGATTGTCGTACAAGGGCGATCCAGCCCAGATCAAGACCTGTGCGAGACATCAGTTGCATGTTGACTGAGATTGGGGGCCAAGACATACGCCAGTGTCATCATAAATATAGGGACCGACTTGGTATTGCTGGTACTTTTGCGTGGGATGTTCCGGGGAGATCTGACCGTAGGGCGCGACGAAAATGTAGCCCGGGGCCATGCGCTCGCGGTCATAGTAAGTGATCTCCCATTTCAAGGCCCGGACCTCGGGGAGCTATACAGACGTCAGGATGAAACACGGTCAGAAAGGGCAATATTCAGCCCTACCGTCACAAAGGACATCAAGTCCGCATCGTGGCGCGCGGCAACGACATTACTCGAGAACAGGAGTAATAGCGCACCCCAAAGCATATTGAACTGAAGGAATGGATAGGAAGGAAGATCTCCCATAAAGCGATGAGACGGAGAAAAGCAAGAATGAAGGGGGATCCCATCAGAGGGGCTAAGAGAAAAAGGGTATAGAGGAAAAACAGAAGGCCGCGAAGCCCAGCGTCAACGTAACAACAGTTCTTGGCGTTTTGGGTGGAGAAGACTGAGTCCACAGCGGAGAGTTCCTCTCCTCTCGTATCTCGTCTCTCCGTATAGCTTTGGTTCCACTGCCCGAGTCCTGGTTGGATCTGACATCCCCTAGTACGTCTGGTGAGATCCATCCACTGCTTGGGCTCAGGGCTGAACGTCGCCGATGGCGTGGCTTTTTGCGCCCGCGTCTCGGAGTCGGCCTTGTTTTCCCCAATCAGCCAGGACTTGGGCTTTGCCATTCAGCCGATGCAGATGTGATTAGCAGAGAAACGAACTGGAGCATCCAGGGGGGCAGTCTTGGCACTCTATCCGAGTCTGGTAAGGATATCATTTTCAGGAGATGAAGTTCCAGTGATTGACTGATTGACACGGCTGGGGACGACTTTTCCGCTCTCCTTTTCTTAGTGTTGTTTTTTGGTTTTTTTTATTTTTATTTTTTTCTCTCTATCTTTTTCTTTATTTATTCTTTGTTTGCTCCTGTGTCTGTGGCTTCGGTGATTCCACTCCGAGCCCGGCAGTTGAAGTCTTAACGGATCCACCCTTGACGTGCCGACATATTTACAGGTCTTGCAAAAGAACAGTGGATAGGCCCTATTTGCTTGGAATGTGAATTAGTCTACGTTAGCTGAGGCTTCGCCTTAGATCCGATTTAAGCTCGATGGGTAGTCTAACCCCACGAACCACTTCCTTTTCATTACCATAAAGTGGATGTCACTAAGACGCGTAATCCACGATAGGAGGTTCCCCCAGCGCATGAGGCTTGTAAAGCACCAACTCCGCCACAGCAACCAGCAACAACCCCTCAGTCCCAAACAGATCCTTCATATCCAGCGCCGGCGCCAGCACCTGCTGACAGACCTGGGCCAGGTTAACCCGGGACAAGTCTGCAGGCCCGTCATGCAGGCTTGCATCAATGGCCAGGGCCCACGCAAGGGGATTATACGCGCCCTCGTGAGTATAGACACCGCCAGCGGGCATTGTGGTGCAGGCCGACTGGAGATGAACATTCGTCACGCCGACGCGGCGCTCATCACCCAGAATAGCAGACGCATTCGGTCCAGACATTGGCTGGACGATCTCGTCAAAGGTCGAGTACACTGTCGTCGTGGGCACGTAGGCTGAGTCGCCGCCGTCGCTGCGCAGGGTGTGGATGTACTCTGTTTCCCAGCCTTGCTGCCACAGGGATGGTGTGCACAGCACTAAATCCAGCGATGGGCAAACGAGCGATCGGACCAGTGTCCCGTGGAAGCCTGGGCTTATGGCGATGAAGTCTTTCACCACTGCTCGTGTTGGGGGCCAGTATTTCAGTGCCCATTGTGTGTTCAAGCCGCCTTGCGACCATGATAGCACGGCTACGCGGTCACCGCAGAGCGTCGCGATATAGTTGATGGTATAGGCGATGTACTCGGTATTGACCTGGGCGTCAGACAGTGAGGCCCGAGGGAGGTTCACCCATACTGCATCGATGGGTATGCTGTCGCCTAACTTGGCGAAGTTAAAGTGAAATGTCATTCCGGCTGGGATGCCCGTGCCCGGTACGAGGATCACAGGAGCTCTACCGCGACCAAAGGAGAATGAGTCTGGGATGTGGATTGCTGCTCGGAGTGTATCCTCCGGCACCGAGTAGGGAGCATCCCCGGCAGCCTTTGGATAGATGTTCTGAACTGAGGCTGTGTTTTGGTTGGTAAGTGAGTGTATCGCGCTGTCGAGGTATCCATCCAAGACTGAAATAACATCCGAGGGCAGGAGACCAGCTTCTGCGATGCCCCTGCCTACGTCGTAGATGCTTGGGCTTCCTTTTGATATGATGTTTTGGATTGCTGACAATGCAGATTCGGGGGATTGTGGTGTGGTGAGCGCATCGGCCTGATCCAGGTGCGAGACGATGCTTGTGAGGGTGACTGATGTACTCTCCGCTATATCTGAGTTGTTGGCACTGGACAGCGGGTTGAGAAGGGTTGTCTTTGCCAAGGCGGAGGATTGACCAGCGGTCAGCGGAGAGCCGAGCACGCCGTATATCCAACTGAAAACAAGTACGCTCTTCATAGATGATGCCGGGTCAATTTGATGGTATCAACCTTTCAGGGAGATCCCAATTGAAACATGGGCTTTCGGGGCTTACAAACGACCTCATTTCGGGTTAAGCTCTCCTGGTGTTTCTTTTCCGAACAAGCAATCATGCAATATCTGATTTGCTTTTTTTGTTAAGCTACTACTGGGACTACTGGTTTACATGGCCTTGGCCCGAAATTTGGGTTCGGGTCAATAGAAACGAACGTGCAAATCGGAATCCAATCTATCAGATTCAGGACACTTCTCGTAAAGGTCCATGCCCGGTCTCAATTCTAGTCTAAGGGCCCTTTCTCCTCGCAACATCCCCGCAGATCGTCGCGTGGGGGGATCAGGGCGGGATGATAAGATGGATAGGAATGCTACAACGTTACTGTGCATGTATACTATTGAAAATGATAGAAGAGTTGCAGAAAGACCTGTCAGATAGGGATCGCCGTGTCTAACGTAAGTTGCTTACGCTGTAGAAGCAAGGGCAAGGCCACTGAGTGAATATCTTCTGCATCACACAGTGCACAATTCTATGGTTGACAATATTACATTGGAAGACCGGACTTTACCACAGTAATTCAACTTGATAATCACACCAGGTCTACTAGTCGATCTGCAGCCCAGGTGCCTCCTTCAGACCTTGGGTATCTAAACAGTGAATACAATGCCTAGTATAATCAGTTCCTGCCACGAAGCTTCCAAATAAATGGGTCATGCATAAAATGAGCATCGGATGGTAGAGATCATTCTTGCCCTGACCGAATATCTAACGTAATTAGGGGCTTAGTGGGGCAAAAGAGCCTCAACTGGCGCAACCAAACCTTGATTTTGGCGTAAATCAAGGAAATCGGGCAGACTTGGAAAAGCGATATGGACATGTACCGGATCATGTTTTGAGTTCAATACTACTAGGTCTCTGAGTATATCCCTCTCATCTCAAATAAGTTTTTTATGGGTCCTTGCATGATGCCCCAGGCTTTTGGTAGGATCAAGGGTTACGTTCCCTGACAGAAATGTATTCACTGTCTCATCGATCCACATCCTTATTCAGCCGTGATTTAACCGGGGAGATCGTGGGGGACGGAGGATGACTATATAGGCGGTCATTCAAGGCAGCAATTAGCATTTCGACCGATAAGGTGGCAGTGTAGATCCATAGGCACGTGGTGCCATGACGCTAGTCTTGGAAAGGCACAATACGAATGGAATGTGAAGTGACATAAGGGCTAGGAATGGAGAATGATGTTGCCGCAGTACTCGGAACAAGAGGGGGGGGTAACAGTGCAGTGAATAGTACATATGACATCTACAAAGTTGAATAGGTAGGTCATTATATCCGAGAAACCGAAAAGTGTTGCAGTGAGCGTTTCAGGAGGACTGTGATTGATATAGGAGAGGGAGAAGTTCCGAGTGTAACGGTAACTTGGACTACCACCGTTGCACTCAAGGGGGTGATTGGGTATGTACCGTACGGAATGTATTGACAACAACAGATATCGATGTGAGTGTGGGAAGTTAGTCGCGCGAAATGAAAGGTAGTCAATGGGTACTTCTATTCAGTATGTTTAATTAAAATTGTCTCGCGATAAATATATCAAAATATAAGGCATCCGGGTTGTTGATATGTAATAGATGACAATACCATACACATTGCGACACCGCAAGGGCACTGGAATGGGCCAATGTTGATCCATGCTTGGGTTGACTTCCTTAACGAAGGCTCTCTTCTTTCCTTTCCTTCTGGTGGGGATTATTGTCTCTGCTACACTCCCACCGAACCCACTCAAACACTACTCCAGTGGGAGTGTCACATCAGCTGCACACCCCGACCCTTATAACTTTGGATATTTCCTCTTTGGTCTTATCCCCATGTTCCCCAGATAGGAACCTGGACTCCCTCGATCTTTCCTCCCTCTCGCCTCTCCGACCATGTCGGCCCCGTTGGTCAAGGTGCTGCACCGATTGCAAGAGCTATTCCATAACGTGGTCTCAGTGCTCGAAAGCATGCTGCTCTTCCCCTCCCTCTTCCGCGGCCTGTCCCACCGACGCCGGAGACCCTTCCTCGGTGCCCATTGGCGACGCCGCAGCCTCGATGATTTCGCCGAAGAGGTCGAATCCCTCTGCTCCACACCGCTATCAACGCGCAGTATGCTCGACATGTCGGAGAAGATCCGCGCACAGTTCCGCGAGTGCCTACAAACGAGTCCGTGTTGCATGCTGCCATCGTATAACCACGCGCTTCCCGCTGGGTCAGAGAAGGGTCTCTTTGTGGCGTTGGATGTGGGCGGATCGACATTCCGCGTAGCTTTGATCGAATTGAACGGCCGGGATGAGGAAGTGCGGATTCTGAAAGAGTCATCCGCGTACATTGATAATGGGGTTAAGATGCTGGAAGGTACTCTATTTTTCGATTGGATGGCAGAAAGAATTGATTCTACGCTGAAGGATCTGGGTTCGGAGTACGGTCATGGCGCCGTGCCGCTGGCGATGGGTCTGTCCTGGTCATTCCCTATTGAGCAGATGTCCCACAGCAGCGGATTGGTGATTCACATGGGCAAGGGCTTCAAGTGCTCCGAAGGCACACTAGGGCAGGAACTAGGTGGTCTCATCAACGAGTCTTGCCGCAAGCGCAACCTGAACGTAGAGATCGCTGCTATTGTGAATGATGGCTCTGCGGCTCTTCTTTCTCGTGCCTATGTCGATTCGAAGACTCGCATGTCTCTGATTTTGGGTACCGGTACCAACGTTGCGATTCACTTCCCCGTACACGAGGTCGGTATGTCGAAATTCGGAACTCGTCCGGAGGGCTGGTTCGACTACGCCAAGCACGTCATTATCAACACCGAGATGAGCATGTTTGGCGGAGGCGTGTTGCCTTTGACCCGATGGGACGACGTGCTGAACCGCACCCACTTGCGTCCCGACTACCAGCCGCTTGAATACATGATCACAGGCCGGTACCTGGGCGAGATTGTTCGCCTGATCATCGTCGAGGCTGTCGAGACTGCTCGTCTGTTCAACGGCGAGCTACCACACTCCATGCGCGAACCCTACTCCTTCGATACCAGCATTGTCGCCTTCCTCGAAGACGACTCCTCCGCTACCCTCTCCGCCTCCGCCGCTCTCCTGCAAAAGCAGCACACCTTCCCCACCCTCCCCTCCGTCGAGGACCTCCGCTTCCTCCGCCGCGTCTGCAAGGCCGTCTCCCGCCGCGCAGCCGGCTATCTTGCAACTGCCATCCACAGCATGTGGTGTCTACGCAACGAGGCCGAATTCCCAGTCTCCACCTCTATCCACGACTCCCTCGACAAGGAAACACCCGAAATCACTGTAATCGAAAGCGAAGACAACCCCAAGAGCCTATCAATCGCCTGCGATGGCACCGTCATCAACAAATACCCCGGCTTCCGCGATACCTGCCAGGACTACCTGAACCAGCTAAGCGAAGAATCTCACCCGGGTACCGGCGCCTCAATCCGCCTCAACCCTGCGCCAGAGAGTGCCATTCTCGGCGCTGCAGTTGCAGTAGCCGTGGCCGTGGCTGAGAAGTCCGCTCAGCGCTAAAGATCGCTGATCGGTCCGATATGATTGATGTACGACTTCCACACCGAGCATAGATCTCGAGCTTTCCCTTTCGTTGTGATTTTCTCTTTTTTTCTCCTTTTCTTACAACCATGTCCTTCGATCATCGGCGCATGATATGTGATGGGTTTTGTTCCTCTTTCTCTGCATGGGCATATCATATCCAATGGGAATCGTTGGAGAGCATTTGACTTCATCCACTTCTTTTCCCCTACATTTTCCTATCTCCTTCTCGACACTTGACTTGCTAGCATTTGCGCGGTGTTTTTTGATAATTGGAATCCATCGGTTCATGGATGTGGTTTCCTGTTTTTGTTCCGCCTGGGCGGTGTCCGGTTTGGTTTAGTTTATTTGGTCTGTCTGTCATGACGGCCTGTTCTATTTTCCTTTGAATTCATGGTGGCACATCTGATCTGTCTGTCTGCTCTTTATACTAGGCTAAAACGTTTCCCTTGAGCTTGCATGGCTATAGAAAATATCCGGAAAGCTAGCTACTTCTGATTTGTAAAACGTCGCTTGACCCTTCAGGTTCCTCCTGTTTTTTAAATGGGACATGTGACATTGTCGCGAGACCATCCTGCCTTTGGATAGGACGCGCAAAGAAAAAATATATACCGCAGCTACTAATTTTGCGCGTAGATGGAAAAACAAATAAAAAATGATTGACCGACGCAGGGGTCGAACCTGCAATCTCTTGATTCGTAGTCAAGCGCCTTGCCATTGGGCCAGCCGGCCTACTTCCTGAAAAAGTTGGATAGAGATGTCAATATGATTCAAAACAATCCGATCACAATTTACTAGCTCCCTTGCCATAACGTTATCCAGAGATTTTTCATACTAAAAAACTGTATTTCGGTGCTGGAAACACTATCTGCGAATAGATTAACTTATAGCTCTATTGCTTATATAAAACATAATAGAATTCCAATTCCAACCACATAAATTACTTCATACTTGATGTTCATCTCAATCAGAATAATATATATCTCCGCCTTAACCTCAAGACAGTATAACTCCAAACTACTCATCTTCAACAGCAGTCTTATCAACACCGATAGTGATGTATCCAATCATACCTTTGGTAACATCATTACCGTCAACAGGAACAACAGAAACAATAGGGTTATATCCATTGGCAGTGCCACCACTGAAAATACCATCAACAGCATTCGTCGTGCGGTTGACCTCCGTGTGGGAAACATACGGCCCAAGAGCCATGATCTTTTGCGATAAGGGCTCGTCGAAGTAAAGCTGACCAGTGCTGACAGTCTTGCCGTAGGCCATTGTGCCGTTTCCACGGACGGTCCAGTCCGTATGCACCTGGACGTGGATGTGAATTGAGCGTTCGACGTAGAAACCTGATTTCATTAGGATGAAAAATCCCCAAAACGAAGCAAAGAGAGCAAGAACAACTAACCAGGGAAAATAGTCTTCATCTCCATCATACCATGCTTATCCGTAGGCCACATTCCTCGCAAGAAAGTCGTATCATCAGTATGCAGATCCGCAGTGGCAAAATCAGTAACATTCAGCTGCTCAAGCAACTCCGAGAAAGGCGTGTTAGGCGACAATCCCGTGAAACTGGAGTACGAGCCTGTCGCATTGCAATGCCAGAAATCAACTAGGACACCTTCTAGCGGTTCACAGGTCTCCATATCCAACACGCCGACGTCAAGCCAGAGTGGGACGCCGGGCTGGTCCTCTGTCATATCTTGGCGGAGGGTCTGCGACTGCGACCAGATGTACGGTCCTTCTATCACCTCCGGTGTCAAGACGCAGGTGTCGTTCTGGATGGTGTTGTAGTAGTTTCCTTCTGTTTGGATTTGGTACGTTGTGTTGCTTGTTGCGCCTGGGAAACGCTTGTGGAGATTGCGCTTTATGCGCTTTGCATTGTAGTTGCCGACGTGGTCGGAGCAGCGGGCTGAAAGGTTGCTGCGCCGGGATAGTTCACGTTTGCTTGGTTCGTGGTGAGGGCCTGGGTGGGCTGTTGCCATTGTGGCGACGCCTGCTAGGACGAGGAGCTTTGGGAAGTGCATGTTTGCGGATTGGGAGTTGGGCTCTGGCTTCTCGGACTACATAGACTGGGGGTTACGGGCCTTTATGTGTCGCTGGGAGGGGTTAGGAGTGGATGTTCCTGGATTGAGATATCTATTTCGTCGTACCCTTTTTGCGTAAGCTGCGGGAGAGTTGAGACTTGGCAGGCATTAGACTGTATGTCTATATCAATAGTTTCATGACCGAGGAGGACTTGTCTTGGAAGAATTATGCGGTTGTGGGGCCATGCAAGACTATTTGGTGAACACTGCGGCGATCAATTATCAGATAATCTAATAATATAGCCAGGAAGAGTAACAGGGGCGAGCTCATTGGATGCTGTAACGTTGGGATGAAATGTAGCGGCGCATATAGACCGGCTTGGCAGGAGAATACTGCAGCCTATACCATACAGAAAGTACTTTAGGCGGACTTCGGGGCAATCCGAAGAATAAACGGTTGCAGGTAGGTTGGGCTGGTCGTTTTAGGGCTAATCGGAAGGTATTTCGGAACTTCGCAGCCGCTGACTGATGACGCCGATCACTTCAGCCATGGAGTTGGTGTGTTTCACTTTAAACGTGATTGGCAGAACACACCCCTGAGATTAGTTATTGCGTGGCTTGCCTCTTGGCAGACGTGCAGAATGCCACAAGGTTCAGTCTAAATGTACTTTGGATATTGTGGCTTACCGAAGTGACCCCGGACCCCCAACCGATTCGGCTTGTGGGGAGATTTCGGGAGTACTGCATCATTGCACGATATTTTCAATCACGGCGCAATGGCGGGCGAAAATAGCAAATTTCGTTTATCGAGAAACAATTTGTATACTAACGATTATAGAACAGAGAAGTATATAGAAATCTACACCGCAGCGGCACGTACGTCGCTAAAAATAGCCCTCAAGAAGAGGTATAAGCCTGAGACTTATTCAAAATAATCTCCGCCAAGGCCATCAAGGTCCCACTAGACAAGAGCTCCAGGACTTGCACGTTAGCATTGGCCTCACGAGCAATCCAGTTCCGAATCTCAATCGCCACCAGCGAATCAAGACCCAACGAAGCCACGGTAATCGAAGGATCCATATCCTCCGAGGAGATGACAAGTACCTGCGCCAATTTAGCGGCCAGCGCTTCATAGCACATAAGCAAAGCCTCCTCGTGAGAAGACGCAGCCTGCAGAGTTACCTGCAGTGGGACAGACGGCCCATCCCGCTGGGAGCTGCTCCCAGACTGGCCCTTAGCGGCTTCGTAAAGCACGCTAAACTTGGCATCCTGGATCCAGAAGTTATTATCCAGGGAGTCCAATGCCAGTCCTGTGATGCACTGCCCGACGCAGGACTGGTTTAGATCGCCTGTTAAGGCTGCCGCAATGAGTGCCAGGACCTCGGATTCATCAATGGTCTGGCTGCCGATGTTTTTCAGGACCTCCTGACGCCGTTGAGAATTACTGTCTGCTAGGTAGCCAACATCGCTGACTGCGGCGAGATCAATTGATGTTCCTGGTAGACCGAGGGATTGGCGGTATTCCATGAACCCATCTAGGAAGACGTTTGCTGCGGAGTATGCGGCCTGTCCGCGGTTACCGACTATGCCGGCCACAGATGAAAGTGCGATGAAGAAATCGAGCGGAGAGTCGATTAGAGTGTTGTGGAGATTCCACGTTCCTTCTACCTTGCTGGAAACTACCGCTGTAAAGTCGTCCAGGGACATGTTCTCGAATAGCATGTCCTACGGTAGTGTCAGTAATTGGGAATTCAACTGAAGTGGGATAGAAGATATTACTAACACGTAGGACCATCGCACCCTGAATTACACCTCGCACGGGGGGAAGATCTTTCATCTCTTCCTTGACGAGAGCCTCGACAGACTCTGGATTGCTGACATCGCAAGCCTTGACGATGATCCGTACACCCAGAGGAGCCAGGCTATCAATTAGAGACTGCACCTTTTCGTTAATAGCTGCACGGCGGGATACAAGGACAATGCTTTTTGCGCCCTTGGTGGCCATCCACTTGGCCATGCTTCTACCTAGGCCGCCCGTACCACCAATCAAGATGTACGATGCATTAGAGCATAGAAGATTGGAACTAGTCTTTGGTGTGACAGCCTAGGTTCGTCAGTTATACCAAATATGATTGCGAAATGCAAACTTGCTTACCTTGACAAGATCAACATCCCGAGGGACAACAACAATCTTGCCCATACTCTTACCAGTCTGCAGAGCACGGAAAGCCTTCTCAATATCGGAAATCGGATAAGTCGAAAGCGGGAGGATTGGGTGAACCGATTTCTCGCGCACCAGCCGACAAATATCACCCATAAGGCGCTTCATCAACTGTGGCCTGAATTTGGCAACCTTGGTAAGATCGACTGAGGCAAAAGTGACGTTATTTTCAAATGGCAGCATATCAAGTCGAGTGTTCTTCGTAATATCCGCTTTACCAATCTCGATAAACCGACCAAATGGTGCGAGGCATTCCCAAGTCTCGCGAAGGAGATCGCCGGCAAGGGAATTGATGACAACGTCCACACCCGTACCGCCAGTTGCTCTCTGGATTCCACGAGCAAAGGATGTATCTCGGCTGTAGAAGATGCGATTTTCGGGGATTCCATATTGAGTCATCAAGAATTGCTTCTTATCAAGACTACCGACGGTAACGAAGATGTCGGCACCAATCATTTGAGCAATCATAATTGCCGCTTGACCAACACCACCGGCACCGGCGTGGATCAGGATACATTCACTTGATTGCAGCTGACCCAGGTCAAACAACGAGTAGTATGCAGTACAGAACACGACTGGGATTGTAGCCGCGACTTCGAAGGACATGGTGTCCGGGATTTCCGCAACGCTAGTAGCAGGGCACCGTGCATAGGTCGAGAAAGCACCTTCAGGCAATGCCATAACTCTCTGGCCAACTTTGACGTTCTTCACATTTGAACCAACGCTAGATATGACGCCGCTGCATTCGATTCCGATGTAAGGCTGTGAGAGCTGGCCCATGGTGACAACAATGTCCTTGAAGTTCAGACCGGTTGCTTTGACTTCAAGCTCAATCTGATTTTCACCTAATGGGGGTGGGCTGTCATCCACCCAGTAGAGAGAGTCTAGTGCACCCAGGCTGCCGACTTGGATCTTGAATCGTCTTCCAGGTTGGATGAAGGGTTGAGCTGAAATTGTCATATCGTGGGTCTCATTGTGAACAAATGCATTGGCAGCATCGTCTTCAACTATACGCTGAACGAACAGTTCTGATCCCTTGGCCTTAAACTCAAAGTCTGCAACAGGCTCGATACCATCTGTGGGCCATAGAGAATCAATGGCTGCTAGAATGGGGCCCTCAGGGGGTTTGAGGTCTTCAGGCTCGATACCAAGAGTGGCAATCTTGGATAGAGTCTCCGAGCGCAGGGTACGAGTCAGACCAACTGTCATTTGTGCATCAGGAGAGCCTGTTTGATAGACCCAAAGCACGGAGCGAGCATTCAGGAGGGCGTTCTTGAGATTCTCGAACACATCTTCGGTGAGGTGTCTGAGAGAGCTGGTTCCAGTCTGCAGCAGGACAAGATGCTTCTCGGCGAAATCCGTTTCACCAAGAACTTTCACAGAAACTTCCCAGCCCGCAGTCTTGGACAGCATATTGCTCAGTTTATCGGCGGTGTCATCAGACTTGCCGAAGTGGCTAACGAAGACCTCACGTCGCTTAGCAATATCGCCGTTTGAATGCACAGGCTCTGTCAATTTTGTTTGTCCGTTTGTGATATTTGCCCCATTGACATGACCATTGCCATTTGGAACTACTTCACTATCGGATTCTTCGGTCTCATCCTTGGCATTTTTGATCTCAGCCAACGAGTGCCAGTCAATCTTGTAGCACACCTTGCGCACAACCTCACGATGAGTATTGGTGTCTCTGAGTGGAGTCATAACAAGCCCCTCCATGGTGATCAATGGCTCTGTCGAGCCCTCGTGCGTAGCAAACAAGTCAAACCGAGTCGGCTCAGGCTTTGGCAGACTGGGACTTCCATTGCAGTAGGCTTTGACATATTCACCAGCCGTGGTCGGGAGATTGCGACTAACACTAAGCTGTTTAATCATAGTTGGCATGTACAAAGTGTCAAGTTCCATGCGACCCTGACCCTGTCCAAGGATCGGCCAAACAAGATGGAGCAGCGCATCTAGGAACGACGGATGAACAGTCAGAGGAGACTCGTAATTCTTTGGCATGACGCTGCGCGTGTCAGGCACAACCAAATCGGCCAATGAGGAACAGGCACTGGCATAGCAGTTTTCAAGATCCTGGAAGGTAGGACCGTATCCAGCACCGAGATCACTGAGGGCTTGGTACATGTGAGGCATATCGGTGTGGTTCACAGCTGATTCCTTGACCTTGACAATTTGATTCTCCACGAAGCGAGTTTGGGCATGAGAACAGTTGCCAATGGCTGCGGCTTGTGGCTTCTGGGCCGTACAGGTTCGAATGAGACCTGTGCAATGCTCAGTCCACGCTCTCTTTGAGTTCCAAGAACACACGCGGAATTCACTCCAGGTATCAGAGGCTCCACGGGTACCTTCGGTGTATGGTCGAAGGGTGATGGTGAGTTCGGCGTCTGTATCATCGCCAAGACAAAGTGCAGAGCCAACGATCACCTCTCGAAGCTCAAAGTGAGTGAATAGGATATCATGTTGCTCTGCACCGCGCCGGGCAGCTTCGATGGCCATGACCAGCTATTTCTTATTAGTATGCGTGGATACGATATCCGTATATTGACACTTACATAGCCAGCCAGGGGGAAGACAGGAATCCCCTGCATTCGGTGATCCCGGAGCCAGGGAATATCATCCAAGCGCAGAATGTTGCGCCACGTCGGCTCCAAGTCATTCGAATAGTTTGCCAACAAGCCCAGAATATCATTTCTGGCACGATCTCTTGTGATGTGCTTTTGGGAAATGCGTGCATCATGCCAGTACCGGGTACCATGTTGCCAGGGGTAGCGAGGCAAATTGGTCAGGAACCAACGATTTACAGCACCAGTCTTGGGGAAGTTGAGCTCAGTCATATTGAGATTGACACCTCGCATGTAGGCAGCACCAGCGGTATCGAGGATTGACTCAGCTGCGTCCGCGTTACGGAGAATGGTGGGAGTGTATCCGATCTTTGACGCAATTGGACCCAGGCTCTTCAAGGTATCCATGATAGGACCCTTGAGAGCTGAGTGTGGGCCAATCTCAACCAGGAGATTTGGTCGTGTCTCATCAATCGAGACTATCTTGGCAAGAGCATCGGGGAACAAAACTGGCGAGGTCAGGTTTGCAACCCAATATGCCGGGCCGAGCTCAGAGGGCTCTGCGAGACGACCAAAGACCGAAGAGTAGAATGCAGATGTAGAAGATGCAGAAGGCTGGATATTCTGAATAGCAGTAAAGTATGAGTCGGCAACATTCTTCATATGATCAGAATGATAAGCGACGTCAATCTTCAGTCGCCGGTTAAAGATCTGCTTGTCTTGCAAAATCTGTTCAAGGTCATCAATGGCTTGCACATCTCCCGAGACGGTAACACTTGAAGGACTGTTCACGCAAGCGACAGTGGCATATCCAGAAAGTGTTTTCAACACGGGCTGGACATCATCGCGACTAGCACCGATGGCAATCATAGTACCCTTCAAGGTCGGGAACCTGTCCTTGAGCAGGGACGTCATTTGTCCTCGGCGATATGCCAGAGCAACGGCTGCTTCCAAATCATAGATTCCTGCGGCATAGGCTGCACTGATCTCTCCAGAGCTGTGACCAACCACCGAAGAAGGCCGGATATCCCAAGACCGCAAGAGATCGACAAGTGCGATTTGAAGCACAGTGCAAGCGGGCTGGCTCAGATGCGGAGAGTTAATTTGGGAAGTAGCATTGTCTTTCTCTAACTCTCCGAGTAGAGAGAACTCCGCTCCAAGGTCGCGAAGGCATTCATCGGCTCGTATGATGGCAGATGCAAAGACAGGGTATTCATGCATGAGTGGAATACCCATCTGTGCCCATTGTGCTCCTTGACCGGTGAAGACAAAAGACAAGATTGGGGTACCGAGGACCAAAAATGGATTAATCTTCAGCTGAGCAAGCCGCATTCCAAGCTCATCCAGTGACGTTGCTGAGACTCCCACGCGGTAGGAAAGCTGGGACATCTTGTTGCCAAGAGTGTAAGCGAAATTGCCGAAGAGAGCTTTCTCAAAGACTTCAGGGTGCTGCTCAAAGTAAATCCCGAAGTCTTTGATCCTATGGCGTAGGGACTCTTTGTCGTTCGCAGAGACCAGGAACAGCTTGCGCTTAGGGTCCACCTCAAAATCTTCGACTGCTTCCGTTGGCGCTTTGGATTCCAAAGGTGCTTTCTCAAGAACGACGTGAGCATTCGTTCCTCCGAAGCCGTAATTGGAAACACTCAAGTACTTCTTGCGAGAAGGCCAGGGCCGGGTGGTGGTTAAAACTTTCATATTCCACTCATCCATGGGAATATTAGGATTTGGCTTGCGGAACTCGGCATTTGGAAGCATGAGATCTCTATCAAGCATCATCGCGCCCTTTATAATGGCAGCGATACCACTTGCACCCTCCAAGTGTCCGATATTGGATTTGACGGATCCAATATAGAGTGGGTTTCTTGGAGTTCGTCCCTTTCCAAGAGCTGCATAAATTGCTGCAGCTTCAATTGGATCGCCAGCCTTTGTTCCGGTTCCGTGCATCTCAGCAAAGCCGCATTCCTCCGGGTTCAAGTTGGCGTCTTGATAGACACGTCGAATCAGATCCTCCTGAGCTTCACCATTGGGTAACGTAATCCCCTTTGTTCGCCCGTCTTGATTGACTCCAGAGTTTGCAATAACTGCTCGAATGGGGTCGCGGTCACGCATTGCTGCATCAAGGGGTTTGAGGATAACGACACCGGCACCTTCACCACGTGCAAATCCGGAGGTGGCTCTCTCATCGAAGGAGTAAGTTTTACCTTCGTCATTAAATAGTCTAAATAGTGACACAGAGTTAGATATGTTGTCGCGAGAATGAGAGGCTATGAGTGTACTCACTGTGACATAGACATAGAAACGAAAAGATCTGGAACCACATTGAGGCGACATCCGGCAACCAGAGCTTCCTTTGACTCTCCACTTCGCAGGCTCTGTACTGCATAATGAAGCGCCACAAGAGATGAAGAGCAAGCTGTGTCCACTGTGATACTGGGCCCTTGTAGATCGAAGAAGTATGAGATGCGGTTGGATTGTAGGGAGGGCGCACAGCCAGTAGCTTGATGCATAGGGATGGTCTCAATATCGCGCATGTTGTTAAGCTCGTAATCAGCGAAATTTCCACCGGCGAAGACGCCCACGTTCCGACGCGCAAGATTTTCTTTGGGAATGCCAGCACTCTCCAAAGCTTCATACGAGCACTCCAACAGCAGACGCTGCTGAGGATCCATGGACGTCGCCTCTTGGACGGTCACATTGAAGAAAGGCGCATCAAACCGGGCAATGTCTTCATCCAAGAAGTAGCCTCCCACCGGATTGAATGCGCCAATTTTTGAGGGATTGGGATGATGGAACGCATCAAGGGAAAATCGATCTTTGGGAATGGGGGACCAGCCACTGCGAGCTCGAGTACATAACTCCCACAGTTCACTGGGAGACGTAGCCTGCCCCGGCAGCCGGCAGGCATACCCAATGATGGCAATGGGCCGGGGAACGCTCTTCTCGCTATCAGGGGTAGACTCGAAGCCAGTATCACCGCCCATGTTGGTCATGTTAAGAGAATGTTAGAATTGAAACGAGTCTAGAGGATTACGGGAAGTCGCATAGACACCGGGGAAACTGGCTGGCCATGCCGGCTTATATAGCCCATAAATGCCTCGGTCTCCTTGTTCTGCGGTTGTCTAGGGGTGTACAGCTGCCCTAAAGCTCTATGTTTCAGGACTTTGAGCTGGTGAGAACAAGAAGGGATCGACATTCCCACACGTCTAGACTGATAAGGACGCTCTGCAAACATTGGGTCGGTGGTTATTCGTAACTTCGACGGTGGTCTGTAGTGTCTCACTACAAACTCCAAAATCGAGGCCATTTTCACATGCGCACGTGGAGAAAAAAGGGACTTGAACTGGTTGCAGGAGAAGATGGTGACGCAAAATGAGGTTCGGTGGAAATCCCGTGGTTTCATGGCTTTACGGCATCTGTACAGCCCGACGGTAATATATTTTCGACTGCAGTCTTGGTGATTCCTATATTGCTCGACATCTCCTTTATTTTCTACTTATCGCATCAATTTTGTCGGAATATTTCTACGCAATGAAGTTTCTCTGTTTCCACGGTGCCATTGGCAATGTTGATGTAGGTTGGCCATTGAACCGTGAATTATCTTCTACTGATTCTCGCAGAACATCAGCATCCAGCTAGGTAACTTCCCGTGAGACTGATGATGATCTGAGTGCTAATGTCAATTAGCTCCCCTTGAGAAGGAGATGTCCATGGACAATTCTGCAGAATTCCACTACATCACCGGACCGGTTCCTGTGATTCCCCCACCAGGTATGTTTTAACATTACTATGATAGAGACCACAGTCTCATTGTCTAGTAGGGTTTGCGGGGTATTTTGGTATTGGCCCCCACTTCAGATGGCTCGAAGACAATGGAGTCGCGGAGGAATCTATGATTTCCCGTGTTCGAAAAGCTCCGCATGGCCAGAACCCAGAAGATGCTATGAGAGCTCTGGGCAAAGGCTGGGATGGTCATTGGCATAACCACCAGCAGGTCATGGAGTATCTCTACGACACCTTGGAAAAGAACCCTGACATTGCAGGTGTCATTGGCTATAGTGAGGGTGCTACCATGGCTGCCAGCCTTATCATGGATGAGGAAAGAAAGGCGCAAGAGACTGGACGTTTCCGTCAGATCAAGTGCGGAGTCTTCATCACTGGATGGCCTCCTCTCTCTCCCGAGGAAGATGTAGTCCTGGCAGACGAGAGCGACCTTATCTTGGACGTGCCAACACTTCATGTTGTTGGTGCAGATGGTAACTTTTTTATCCCTACTCTTTTCATGTGAACCACTTGCTCAAATCTAAACAGATCCCTACCGATACGGCGCGCTAGCACTCTTCAATGTGTGTAACCCAGATAGCGCGGCCATGTTTGATACTGGACGCGGCCACACCATCCCTCGGTCCGGTAGAGTGATCACAGAATTGGGAAATGCAGTCCGGGACTTGATTGACAGGGCCTATGAAGCGTAATAGAGAAAGAGAAACCCCTGGGAAGAGCCAAGCTCACTGTATGCGACAGAACTGACTGTTGTAAAATAAACCAAAGTCGGAGCTGATGGTTCCAGTTTCAACGGCGATATGGAAGATAGATTTTGACTCATAAACAATCCAAATGTTATCCTACCAATTGTCAAGTCTCGCCAAATTTTGCTATGGTGTGCTACCCACAAGTCGCTATCGCAGGCCCCAGCGGCAAAATCTAGATAGGTTCATATCGCAATGGGAAGCCTGCTATCGTGAATCCTACCAACACACTAGTATGTCCCACGGGTGTATTACCGTTCCAGAAACTTTCGGCGCATAGAGCTCAACCGTTCTACGTCAGGCCCGAGCTTCAATTTTCAGTCAAGCTGATAAAAGTGAGTGGCGGTCGAGTCGATCTTCAAGACCGCCGATCATCATTTAGGTCTAGCCAACCCCATGTGACTTCCCCCGAGATACCAAAACTAGGACTCTCAGTATCTGCCAGAACGACCCCTTTGATAATATTTACTAGGATTCCAGGCACCAATGGTATTCAAGAATAAAGAGACCGTGGCCTGGCCAGCTCCTAAGATGATGGTGTTACATCGGGGCATTAGTAGCGAACAGCGACTAAGAGATCAGGAGAAATAGCAGGCAAAGACTCAACCCAGACTTCAACAGACTTCACCTGAACTCAGCATTTTTTAACCGACTACAATTCCGCGGAAGCAATAGGACCCGGCGAACGAAGGTCCTCAAATGGTGCGGCATTTGTTCGCGCAAACTACCTCAAATCTCAATTGCGCCGCTCGACCTAAAATGCATGGCGTGATTGCCCAACTAATCTGGGCATTTTTATGTCTGATTCTGAGACACACTTATGCTCAGGAGCCGGATGAGTGTGCGAGGGTTCACGCCATAATAGCGCGGGGCCAAGGTGGCGGCGACGATCTCAACGTGATGAGCACACTTTCAGACCTGATCCTTCAGCAGATCCCGGACTCAACCACAGTTGGCTTACCCTATGATCATGAAAATGTTCTAAGCAATGAGGCCAAGAGGCTCACGGTTCATGATGGTGCAGTTCTCATGCAGGAGTTTATTGAAGAGTACCTCGAAAGCTGCCCCGACACGAAACTTGTAGTAATTGGGTATTCGATGGTGCGTTCAATGTTTTAACCGAGATATGTTGAGGTTCTATATGGACCAGTGAATGCTAAAGTTATCCAGGGCGCAATTGTCATGATGGATGCCATTTGCGGAACCAGTCAGGTTGGGTTTCTCTTCGTTGCTCCTCTTGAACGAAGCTATAATGAGTCAAGTAAGAAACACCGAGGATTTCGAAACCACAGCGGCTCATGTTTCTATAGTCATAGCTGCCATCGCGTATGGCGATGAAACATACGTCCCCGGAATGCCGTGGAATGTGGGGAACTGCACGCTCGGCATAGGGGTGAGTATTTCCCTAACTCCAATCTCCCCCTCAACGATGAAGCACAGTCTAAAATGTGGCTACGAGCTCATCCCTCGCATGAATGCCGCATTATGTGACCCATTTGGTAGCTCACTACATAGCTATTGTGATTACGGCGACGAACAATGCTGCTCGCCTTATCCAGCAGACGGAAACGCTGCCCACCATACCTATGTCAACAAATATAACCAAAATGTGGTGGAATTTATCAAACATCGACTGGCGACATTCAAAGTATGATAGTACTGTGGATAATGGAAATGGCGACCAAGGGACCGAAAAAGTAAGAGGCAAACCTAATGGTTCCTTACAAGTGTTGACAGTAATGTATAATAGGTCGGATGTCCTCTAGAAGGATAATAGATATGCTGATTGGTATCTTGTGGCATCTGAATGGTTATGATTAGCTTCATTTGAAGCTCGAAACTTGATATGATTTACTGTATTTTGCTCTTACACCTACACGCCCAACAAGCGTGGTTTCGTATTTCGGTACCCAATTTAAGTGGAGAACTGATATCGGCAGATGTATGTACCTAAGAATGGGTTCTTTCTTGAGCCGTTGACCATCCCGAAAATAGGGCCCGTTTTGCTCCGCAATATCAAGGCATCTTTTCTCCGAAGTTCCAGACTGCACATTGGATGACTTGTTACAATACTTTCGCCCTGGTTACAATGCAAATTAGTACTACGGGCAAATTTTGTTCGAAGCAGGCGCGCCCACAATATCAAATGCACAAAGTAGCGAAGAAACCACTAAAGATGCCTCGGTGTGTAGCAAGGATGTTTCACAGCCGCTCGCCCGAAACCAGCATCATTGCAACACTAAGTGTATACGGAAATAACATACCATTCAAGAAATACCCCGGGGCTTAAATCTCCGACCATCAAAGAATCAAAGTTTACAAGGGGCGAGTTAAAGACAACATGGAATGGGCGCTCGATATCGCTCATAATCAACTCCAATCATAAGAAACAACTATAGCGTAAATGACGACTCCTGCAAATTCCGGGTAACACGTGGTAGTAGCCGCCAAGGTCGAATACTTGAGTCTGAACCTTATAATCTCGACCCCTGCATTTTGATCGAACTGTCCAGTTTTATATACCCTGTCCCTGCATTCGAAAAATTAGGATTGGAGAAAAAAAAGCGGATTGGTTAGTTCCCGCAGATGAGACGCGGAATTTGTGAATATACATATTTGAGCTTAAACGGAATAGACTATAAACCCGTTGGATGAAACGGTAGGGGTTGACTCAGTTTTGAGGAAACCGCTCAGCCTTGATAATCAGAGTACACACTTATAGTCGATACATGTATTTTCATATCCCGGGGACCCATGTTCTTGTGTCCCAAACTACGTGAAATTACTATTCGTCTGCGATGTCTCAATCTGAGGGGAGTTTCAATGTCGTCTACGCGCCTTGTTCTTCTTCTCAAACAATCTGCGAAGACGATAAAGCATATTGGTTCCTGGCAGGTAAAATTGAAGTCTGGGACATGTCAATTCGTGATAGAGCAAATCTACATGTCCGCGCGGTTTCTCGATATCAATATCAGTTTCTGCGGATATTTGTTGACTGACGCATCCAAAAGACATCGAGACCAATAGTCTCCTTGATTAGCCTGCTCTACAGTTATCTGCAACGGAAAATCAATGTGAACAGAGTTGCTGCAGGATATAAGCCAGTCCCAGAATCCGCTTGTCGGTATTGCGACTGCCTGGATTGTATGAAAGAAACGTCAAGACGATAATTGGTTCCTTTCGACTCAAATGGTACATGGATCAATTGGAGGGACTATTGAGCCTGACATTGCTTGTCGTCAAATGGCTTCACGTGGCTTTCATTTTGCTAATGAAGTGATGTCTGACTACATCTTCTATCACATCAAATACCCACCGAGTAGAGCTGCTCATCGCATTCAGTATCATTTCACAATCTGCCCGACACAAAACAGTTATTTGTACACATAAACAATATGGATCCCGGATAGAAGCTTTATAGCCCGAGTCGAGAACAGATTCCCTGTGGAGGCTTGGCGTAGATGCATCTTGTACACACTTATGCTCACGCAGCATTTGCCAAAACCAGGATGAGAGGAAGAATGCGGCAAAAATCCATATTCCCACAAATAAAAATACATAAATAGCTTGTAAAGGTAGATTCACATACTCGACCGAAGCCGTACAGCCGCATCGAGAGATATCAGCTAATCCCGTTTCGGCAAACTCCTTTTTCACCTCGACAAAACCATCACCCTCAAGTGCAGCCTCAATGTTCTCTCGTCAACTCACCGGAGTTATCTCCAAGCCCATCGTCTCAGGCGTGCGAACAAGTATACCCCGCCGCCTCTACTCAAGCCCTCCAAGATCATCGCCACGACCACCACCCGCGCCACAATCCCGGTCCAATTTCCCAGTCATCCCCATCATCGCCCTTCTCGCAATTAGCTCCGGCGCCTACGTCCTCCTAGTCAAATCCCGCACCGGCCAAGCCCCAGTCCGCAAGTCATCCTAAGTGGCAAGCCAAACCCAACGCCAAACCGGAGGTCCTCAAAAAAAAAAAGCTCATCAAACTCCGACCCGTGTCAAGATCCTGCCCCTCCACACCGACCCCCACAAACAACACCTCGACCTCATCAACTCCACCCCCTAAAGTATACAACCACCTCTACCAATACCCCTAAAACTACCAACAAAACCGCCCAAAATGAGCACCGTTACCCCCCGCTTCTCCACAAACGACGTCACAGTCGTCTTCTTCCTCGGCGGACCAGGAAGCGGCAAAGGAACCCAATCAGCCAACCTTGTTAAATCCTACGGCTTCGTCCACCTCTCCGCCGGTGACCTCCTCCGCGAAGAACAAAACCGTGCTGGAAGTCAATACGGCGAGATGATCAAAGAATACATCCGCGAAGGCAAGATCGTGCCAATGGAAGTCACAGTGGCATTGCTATCAAACGCAATGGCCGACTCGCTCGCCAGCAATCCCCCAGCGCCCGGCACGAAAGCGCGCTTCCTGATCGATGGATTCCCGCGTAAGCTCGACCAGGCCGTCTTTTTCGAGGAGACTGTTTGTCCTTCTGAGCTTGTTCTTTTCCTTGATTGTCCCGAGGCTGTTATGGAGACACGCTTGCTGAAGCGTGGTGAGACTAGCGGGCGTGCTGATGATAACGCTGAGTCTATCCGCAAGCGTTTCCGTACCTTTGTTGAGACTTCTATGCCTGTTGTTGAGGATTTCCGGGGCAAGGATAAGGTTGTTACTGTTACTGCTGATAAGTCTGTTGAGGAGGTTTATCAGGAGGTTAAGGCTGGTATTGAGGCTCGTGGTATCTCTCCTCGTTAACGGTGGGTGTTTTGTACATATTGTGTGATTTGTTTGGATAAGGGGTTTGACTCGGATGTTTCGTGTTGATTTGCTGGGTGGTGTGATTTTGGATTTGCGTTGGAAATAGATTATAGATGAATTGAAGCATTTCTTGGACTTGACTGTGGACAGTCCTTGATATTTGATAGCATTGATATATATCAATGGGTTGGTAGTCATCTACATAGACCAGGACAGTCTAAAGAAGTATGATATTCTTTATACCAAAGTAAAAAATAGAACAAAAGAAAAGTCATCCCTCCGGAAAACATAAACAAGACTTAAGACTGACATGACATGGCTCGTGGGGTCCCAAACATTGGGAGGCCAGTAAATCCAACCCTAAACTGGCCAAAAAGGAAATGCATGAGGAAAAAAGGCCGCGAAATTTCCTCTCTATTAACTGAGAATTTTTGTGTTCGGTGAGCTTTTTTCATTCGTAAAAAAACATCCGTTGCATCCAGAATCCAGGGAATCAAATTTACTCGGCGGAAACCTCAACCTCGCGTGTAGGCTGGTTCCGTCGGCGGTCAGCGGTGCGGTTCTTGTCACCCTTGGCGGCTTCTTGGTCGGCGGCGGACTGAATGCCCTCACGAACGAAACGCTCACGCTCGGAGCGAATGACAGTGAGGACGTTCTCGAGGGAACGGCGCCACACCATCAGGCGGCCCTGGACCTCGGACCATTGCTTCTCACCAAAGACACGGTAGGTAGCGCGGTGAACGAGGAACTCGGACTTCAGCTGGGAGAGCTTGCCCTCAACGAGACCAGCACGGATAGTGTCAATAACCCACATCTCGACATCGGAGGAGGGAACACGCAGAGCGGAGGCGATGGAGGCGTAGGGGAGCGAGCGCGAGGGGGTGGAGGCGGCCAGCGAGGTGAGAGTGAGGAGACGCATCTTGGTCTGCAGAGCATCGGCGGATTCAGCGAGGACGCCGCCGGAGATGGAAGAGAGCGGGGTGGCGGAGACAAAGGTCTCGTAGGCGTCGAGGGTGTCCGAGGTGAAGATCTCGAGCAGCTCGAAGAGGGTGCTATCACTGGAACGCAGGGCCTGGACAGCATCGGTGGCAGTGAGAGGAGCAAAGTCGAAGACGGTGGGGCGACGCAGAGCGGTAGCGAGAGCGCGCACAGCGAGGTCGCGGGACTCGGGCTTGCTGACGTTGGCAGGGTCGATGGTCTGCAGAGCCTGGATGACGTGGGACTGAGCGAGCTCCTCATCACCGGCGGCGGTCGAGGCCTCGGCGATAGCGACGTGCAACTTGCGGGTGTCATCGGAGTCCAACTCCCACGAGGCGAGCCATGTGGGGAGCTGGGAAGAGAGCTGGGGCTTGAGGGCCTCAAAGGCGAGTCCGGAACCGGACTGGCGAATCACGGCAACAATGGCCAAGAGAACATGGTAACGGCTGGAGTCGGTGGCGGACAGAGTGTTGAAGATGGTGGAGAGGATGGAGATGGCGAGCGAAGCACCGAACTGAGGCGAGGTGGTGATGGGCTTGGCGAGGTAAGTGCAAATGCGAGGGAGGAACACATCGGCATCGGAGGACTGGTGGACAAGGTGAACCAGGAGATTGTAAGACGAGGTGATCTCTGCTTGTTGTCAGTTTTTTCCTCCATGAATACTGCAAAGTGCAAAGTCCGATTGCAGATCATTTTCTTTGTCCGGACATCACCACGACTCACCCTTCTCGGGAGCAGCGCTCAAAGCAGTCGCGGAGGCGACAAGCTTCTTGAGGACCTCATCGCGCTGCTTGAGGTCGGCTTCAGCCTCAGACTGTTCCTGCTGGCGGAGAGGTTCGAGGAGCGGGGCGATCTCGGACTGGAGGCTACCCTCTTTGCGGAGGGCGTCGATGTACTGGGCGAACTCGTCGGCGAGCTCGGTGAAAGAACCCTCGATGAGGAGGGTGGTAGTAGGGGCGGGCATGATGGGATGTGGTGTGTAAGGAGAGAAAGAGAGAACGTGAAGTTCTTGGTGGTGGAGTCTATCGATAAGTTGAGAAATTTCAGTGTGTGCCAAAAAGTCTTGGCGAAATACGAACACCAATTCCTCTCAACTACAATACGATTCTTTGTTCACTTTTCTCAATGGGTCTCCATAATTGGGTTCATTACTTTTTCAATAAAATACTTGCGAGAAATAATCGGACACAAAACTCCGTCTCGACATATCAAAAGGAAGGACAGGCGCCACGTTCATAGACGGAGAACATCATGAGTCAAGAGCAGTTGGAACAGGGGAATCGAGCGTCTTAAAGACAATTGGCATCGCGATGAGATAAAAGCACAGAAGACAAACAGGGCGGCATGCGACCGCAGAATCAGAAGCTATACCGATCCTCTACAGGATCATGCGAGCGGCCACGAACATCAGGCCAGCCATGACACCGGTGGACATCTTGGTCATGTCACCAGCAGCAGCGTTGCTAGTGGTGGCACTAGCCGCAGCGACGGAAGTGGTCTCGGAGGCAGACGAGTCAGTGGCGGTAGCCGTAGCCAGAGTGGTGGACGCAACGGTAGTCGAGGAAGAGGGAGTGGTGGACTCCTCGCTGGCGTTCTTGCTGCCACAGTTGGAGGCGGCCTTTTTGCAGGCGCGCTGGCCCACCGCGTCGTCGGCGTGAGCGGTGATGCACTGGCCGTAGTTGTTCTCACAGACGTAGAAGGGGATGGTCTGCATGTAGGGAGAAACATCGGGCGACGAATCATCGCTGCAGACACAGCTGAACTTCAGGGTGGTCTGTTGGGGAGTTAGTCTACTGCGCATGTTACACTCGGGCAGTTTCACATACGGGGTCGCACGAGTTGAGCTTGGTGCCCTTTTGGCAGATGGCAGGGCAGGCATTGCGCTGTCCGGTACACCAGCTGCCTGTCTCAAGTTAGCAACGGTTGACAGAGTCTGATTGTCGCGTCACTTACTCCGAGTGTCGGCGTCCACCAGGCCAATGTTCCAGCCCTCGGGGAAAGTGTACGAATCAGTGGAGTTGGCAGCCAAGACCGAGGTGGCCAGAGCGGAGAGGAAGGCAATGGAGTAACGCATGGTGAATATGGATTATGGATTAAGTAGAGTAGAGTATGAAGAGTGGAAGAGGAAAGGAGAGAAGAAAGAGGACTAAAATAGCAGGAAGGTACCCAAGGTTTATTATTTGCATGCCTTGCCAGGGTAACAATGCTTTCACTAAAGTAAACTAGCACGGGGCCATAACTTGGTATAACCTGGTTATGATTGAAACAAAGGGAGGAGATACCAGTCCAAGATGAATCAGGGTCCTTGGCGGCGTCCAACTAAACCAGAACTGGTTAATCAGACCCCTACCGACCCCATCCGAGCGAATCATACTGTTGCAATGGAGACCTGCAGACTCTGTGATACAAGGTACAGGTCGCTTACCATAGTTTCCTTTCTGTTTATCTCCTACTCCCCTCGCATTCCAGGGCCGAATTCCGGATCCGGACTTGGTCCCTTGCGCTGGACATACCCGAGCAAAACAAGACTAGAACAGAGACAATCCGTGGGGAAAGTCAGGGTCAAATGTCTAATTGGACCGGCACTTGCAGGATGTGTTGGGATCCGCAGGATGAAGCTTCCTCCACCGAACAGGTACAGGTGCCGTGCACGTGACTGACTATCTTGGCCTTCTCGGTGATACCCCGGGCCGAGGTATACTTGGATGATACAGTAGGATGATAACTGAGTCTTTCCCTTCCTCTTCCCAATCGCTACACAACTTGAACAATTGAGAACTGAAAAGCGAGAAAGAACCATGGCCGACCCAGGCCCAGCTATCGCCCATCTCCGCTCCCACCCATGGGCCAACTCCCTGATCTCCTCCACCGACTACACCCCAATAGAAACCGACTCCCGCCGCCTAAAACCGACAACCGGTGAAGATGGCTACTTCGCCCAAACCCTCAGCACACAATCCACAATCCCACACTGCTTAACCCTCCAACGGCGCAACATCGAACCCGCCCCAACAGAAACCCCCGCCTGGCTCCCCGCAACAAAAGCAGAAGCCGCAGCCGCCGCGAAGCCCACCCCTGCTGCGAACCCTGCCGATGTCATCATGATCTTTGACCTGAGTAGCCCTGGGCTATCAGGTCATCCGTCGACTGTACATGGCGGGATTGTCGCGACGTTGATTGACGAGGCTATGTCCCTTGCTGTTGCGGCTCATGCCAATGCGCCCAGTGAGGGGGGCGCCGATGGTAATCCGCGGGGGCGGATCTTTACTGCGCAGTTGGATGTGCGGTATAAAAGAAGGGTGGTTACTCCTGCTTTGCTGGTTGTGAAGGCGAGGGTTGTTGGGCGCGTTGGGAAAAAGTTCTGGGTGCGAGCGCAGGCGTTGCAGGAGGATGAAGAAGGCGCCGGTGGTCATTTGGAGTGGGCGAAGCGGAAGCTCGTCAAGGCTGATGCCATGGCCTTTTGGGTTAGGACTGATTCGAAGCTTTGAGAGATGAGTATCAAGAATCGGATCTCGCCGGTGTACATATATATATATGTATATATATAAGCGACGATTCGCCTGCACATAGTTATGCCAATTTGGATATACAATATATGTTAGAACCTACAACATTGGAAGCCTTCTTTCAACATGAACTATATACCATTCACAAAATCTATGTACATCGATCTCCGAAAACAACATGTCTACAACTTTTGGAACTTCCGCGTCCCAACATTCCGACTAGCACTAACAACCAACCCAACCTGCGTACTCAACGCAACAACCTCACCATTCTGATCAAGAACAGTAACCTCCAAATCCGTCCGTCCATCTCTAACAACCTTTGTGACAACCCGACTATAAAGCCACTCCACACCACCAGCAGGAAGATGCTTCTTCATATCCACATTTAACGTAACAGTCGGATACCAAAACTTAGCCTTCAGCTCCTCAGCCGAACCCCCCTCCTCACGGGCAACAGCCTCAGCAGACATATGATCAAACCCATCAAGCGCCATAGGGAACATATCAACAAGATATGCAACCGCAGCATCAGTCCAACGTCCATTAACATCACCGCCAGGCCTAAACCGCGCCCACTGATCAACCTCCATCCCAACCCGTTTCTCAACAGGTCCAAACAATTCAATTTGCGCAGCAGCCTTCCGGAACTCCGCGAACGGCGGATTCATCTTCATCCAGCCACCATCACGCCCGGTAGATCCCAACACAGAAAGATCAACAGACCCATCAGCACGCGATCCAGCCGGCGGAACGGGGTACGGCTTCCAGCCTGTCCCAGCGCTGATTCCGACCTCCGTGTCTGGCGGGCTGAGTGTTATATAGCCCGCAACCATGATTTCCATTTGTCCGGGCTTCTTGTCGGATTCTTGGAGGAGTTTGATATGGATTGTGCTGGTGCGTAGGCCTAGCTTTACATCTTCCACTTCAAAGGTTGCTGGGCCTGCCGCTGTGCGGCGGAGGAAGGAGAGTTGCAGGGAGATTGGGGAGGGTGTTGTTTTGTATCTTGTTGCGTGGGCGTGCGCAAAGTGCGTTTTTGCTAGGGTATAGATTACCGCTGTCGTATAGCCGCCATGGGGAACTGGGAGCCCTTATAAGTAGGTGTAATTTCTGAGGAATGGGGGAGGGATAGGGCTGGTTTACCGGTTCCTATGCACCATTCTGGGCGGAGGTTGGCGCTGTATTTGTTGGAGCCTTGGGGTGTAACCTTGATGGCTTCTTCGAATGATCGGTTGAGGGTAGACATGGTAAAATTCTAGTCTAAAGTGTGTATGTAGGAATGAAGAATGAAGCTGCGAGGAAAGCTATAAAAGTTCCCCATGCATATCGTTATCGAACCTCGGCTCGGTTTTCCCCAGACCGAGGATCAGTCATCATCAAATCGGCCCCGCGTTAAATTGAAAATGCGCCACTTAGGGCTTCAAAATTGTATATTAATATCTGTAATATGTCTGAATTTGAACTAACTAATATCGATCAACATTAGACCTAATTGCTAGCAATCAACTGAACCGTATTGCACTCTTTTCGGTAAACACCGAAATGGGCAAAAAGCTCACGGTCCATCTCCTTGGTAAAATCTTTATTTGGGTTCCATGCTGACTGGACCTTCCCTTCCTTGGTGATGATTTCGCGAGTAGCAATCAGCATTGCCCCAAATGGAGTTATGCAAACGGTGGGGTAGTACATGGGCTTGATAAAGGTATATTTGGCATAAGCACCTTCGAACACCATTGGTATACCGTATGTCTTTTGAGATTGAGAGGATTCCAGCTGTTTCATCGCCCTGATGTGTGATGTGTTAGTTCGCCATGTGCTCTGAGATGAATGGACCAGAGAACTTACGTAGATCGGTACCCAACAGGTACACTCTGTGGCTCTGAGACCATCAAATCAGCCACGATGGGAGCATTCGTACCGAAGATGTCCTTCTTATCCGAAGACTTGAGAAGTTTGTATGCCAGGACACGTCCAAAGACATCGAGTGTCAATGGATTCTCTTTGGTATCGAGAGTGCCCCACGGTGCGCTGACATCATATCCGTCGTTCTTGTCAACCATGAAGAGACCCCCATTAGTTCCAGAAACCATGATGGTGCCCGAGTCAGCGGCCATGATGATCTTGAAGCCTTGGGTGCCCTCAATCTTCTTATATTCTCGAGTGGCATCGGAAATATATGGCTTTCCTGCCCCTGAGTCTCCTGTCTCATCTGTGACCTTTTTGATGAGTCCGTCCGCTGGCTTCTCAGTTGCGACATTGAATCCATTATCACTATTCAGAGGGTTAATTGCCTGATCACATGAGATGAGGAGATCTGAGGGAAGTGACTCACTTGACACAGCCGAGGTCCTTCTCAAAAAGCGGGATATTAACGAGTTCGTATTCGAAAATATTGAACCCAGCAACGTGGATGCGGTTCTTTGCACCAACCTTCAATTGAACACCATTCTTACAGGTGCTCTCACCCCGTGCTTGGAGTTCCAAGTTTGCAGTTGCCTTGACATAAACGGAAGGAGTATTGACTAGCCCAACTGTTTCTTTGAATTTCCCCTCAAGAACAGTGAGCCCAACTTCAAGCGCCACAGGTAAGCCGACATCACCAGTAAGAGAGAATTCGCCCTTTGCGCGGAAGACAGGATCAAAGCTTGGCTGAAATCCCTTGATTTCGTTCTTGCCTTTCAAGCTGGCAATAGCGTGTCCTGCGCCAATAGACACACTACCTCCAACGAGCAGTTCAACCTTACCTTCAGTCTCGAGGCTTACCGCCACACCGAAGGTCACCTGAGGGCCAAGTGTGAGGATGCCCGGAATGATCAACCCCCCAAAGGGAATGGTCTTCAGATCTTTGCTTTTCTGTGGCTTGATAGTTTTCTTCTTGTCCTTGGACTTGCTCACTGTGCCATCAGCGCTGATTCCAAATTGCGCGTCCAGAGTTAGAGGGTCGTTATTGACAAAAGAGATACTGCCTTCGGTAATACCATCTTTAATACTGAATGCCAAGCGGCCGTCAATGTCAATGTTGACGTGAACACCACATTTGGCACATTGTACTGTCCAGTGGAATGCTTCAGGATTGTTGTAGTTATCGGAGCTGGCGAGAGTATAACCATCTTTCATACCGAAAATTGCGGGTGGCCGATTTCCAATCTCGCTCTTGAGATATTGGTTGATTTTGATGTCGTTATGGTATGTGTGGTCGAATGGAACACCGAATACCACGCCAGCCAGCTTAACAGTGATGACTGCGAGCTCAACGATGTGGTCACCAACCTTTTTGATGAAGGCAGCTGCACTAACAAAGAATGCACCAATTCGCTTTGGAGAGAAAAATATCAAATTGTCAGCCTGCGTTCCAAAAGCTTCTTTGAATGGGGTGGGAATTGCTCACCCGACCCAGATCCCTGAGTCCATTCCATAGGTCCGTCAAAATGTCTCGCCTTGAGAGCTCAGATGAAGCGCGCTTGGAGATTTCCGTCATGGTTCTCTTAGTTCGGTCAGCTCGGCGGCGTGTCGAAGATCGCCGGGTCATGTTTGCGTGTGCTGGAGGGACCTCAGGATCATCCATATCCATGAAGTCCATGGTGTCTATCTTCTCACCCATGTGTGTAGTATCCAGGTGAGAGTTGTTGAAGAAAGTTTCCATTGCCCAAGGGTTCAACGTGATATCCATAGTAGCATTGCTAGCATATTGATCGGTCACATTGCGCGCGGCTGGGGAGTCTGGACGGCCTCTATTCTGAGGTTGGGTTGGCTTGGTGACGCGGACATGGCCCTTGGTCGGTGATCTCTTTCTCTTCTTTGGATCATTGTAGGTGCCCCAGGTCATGACGCCAGATTCCAGTGCATCTGACTCCTGAATAGGAGCGACAGAAACCACAATGCACATATCCACCAAATTTATTAATGGCTGAGAAGCATGGAAGATACTACGCTTCCCTGAACTCTCATCTCCACAGCCTGCGTGGTAAGTTACCAGATTGATACCACCTTGGATCAACCATGAGGCCTCAACAGTCGCCATCGCAATGGGATTGTCGAAGCAGATTTGCATATCACTGTCATCACAGGCGACACTCTTGACGTGATCGGACTGATCTAAGATGACCGTGTTGCGGACAAACTTCGCCTCAAGGGAGGCATGTTTCGCGCCATGAAGAGCGGCTAAAGAGTGTTAAAATTGGGGAGGAAACTCAGAATCCACCAAAACGTACGGCGATGTCCCTCTTGGCTATAGTGCAGAACCTTGTCAAGGCCCGCAACGAGATTCTCCAAGTCATGGGAGTCGTGATTGGGGCTTAACGCAGGATGCAAGGCGATATCATCGCCAGCAAAGGAAGGCGTCACTTGCAGCAGACCATTCACCGCCTTGTGAAGGCCGATGGCAGATGTGGTTGCCGCTATGCCCAACATCGCCAAGATGCCGTTGAGCCGCATGGCGAAGATTAAACGAATGAATAAATGAATGAAAGGAAAGAAAATTAGGATTAGTGAGCGTGAATGAGTGAAGCTGCAGCATATTCCTTGAAAAATGTAGGCCTTTTATAGTCTCTCTGTTGTCTCCTGTCGGCTTGAGTCTCTTGATGTTCAGTGTCAATCTCAGGGTGGAGTATAGATCGGGATGAGACTATCGCCAATAGTATCCGCTGATCCCCTGCAGCCACACAATAGATCTACCAATCGCAAGGTTCTGAACACCTCCACCCTCTTTTATTACTGGATGAAATTGACTGTTCTTACGGACCGGACCTTGACACGAACAAGAATGAGGTTTCCGAAGTTGATTTGTGAGGATAAACTCCCGCTAGTTCTTTATTATATGCGAGGATCGCTGCACGAGGACTAGAAAGGGGCGCTCGGAAAGATCTCAGACCCTTACTATGACCTCTTCCAACCCTTCTGCTGACTAGCGTGGTAGACTATCTGACATTAGCGAGCACGTATACCTGTCACATTGCTTAGATCCTAACGGAGATCGCTTTAAGTCACCCTATCGGGCACACATAGTGTATATGTACGTGCCATTGACAGACTGTTTCTCTTTGCGCTTACTCTGTGCGTGAGATCCTAAATCCTGGATGTTGTTTGTTGCACCTTTTACAATTTGCCACTCCCTTACAGGTTTTGAGACTGTGCTCCGGTGATTGGTATGCATAACACTGAGAGCTCGGAAGCTGCAGTGCGTGATCCTGGCTCTGATCGCTCCGATGGAAATGCTTTTCCTAGGTCAATGTCCGGAGCGGAATACAACTCTGTCGATAGTGTTAGTGGTCCACCTGCGCAGCTTACATCGCGATATCAGGATACCTTTTGTGTTACCTTCCTGCAGAATTATCAGAGTCCTGGGCTAACTGTCGGGGTGGACGTCTGGGCATTTCAGGGTGTCGATATGGCTTTCTTTGACAGCGCCCTCGGATAACGGAAATAGTTCAGCAACCTGGGATAATGGCCCTTAATCTTGAAGATATCATAATTTTCTATTGATTCTAAGTGGTTTGCGTCCCAGCCTGACAATTTATTTGATTGACTTTTTGTTCAACAGTTCATCTGCGAATCCAATGATGGTGCATGGAATCCTTAACATGTATCTTAAAGTCAAAGTCCGGCGCCTGGCACTCCCTAGCCCAGTCTTCCCAGTCTTGGATCAAGCACGAAGCGCTTGGTTGATAGAGGGGGATAAGCTACTGTTCTTTATTCCATAGCCTAGTCTCACCCCTTTTCATGCAACAAAAGTCTCGGGATTTCGTGATAAAGATTAATATTTAGTGCATAAATGCCTGTGTTCGTCAGCAGACTAAGCACTTGTTTGCCTAAGGGGCTTCCATTAAAGACAATTCCTTTGCTGATTAGAATACAGCAGATTCTCCTTCCTAAGAAAACATATTCCACGCCTCGAATCCAGAAGTTCGGACTATTTTGACCTGCAGCTATCTTATTATTGATGGCACCGTGAAATAGATTTAGTGCCCCTGTTGGAGTAGCTCAAAACTTCGTGGTAGAGTAACACACAATAGCCACTGCGTTTTGAGACGAAGTCAAATTGTTCAAATATATTTCATTCTAGTCATATCAATATTATCATATCATTGAAAATGATGCCAAGCTACGAAATACAAGAAATAAATTTATGTAAAGCCTTGATTATGTACCATGCTATTGATGGACAAACGAAGTGTACTGAACGGAGAGGGATGTCAGCATATCATGTTCCAAAAGACAAAAACAAACTCCAGTTCTTTTGGATATCTTCATGTATTCATCTTCGTATCTTAACATCCTCGAAACCAGTGCGAGTCATCAAGTAACCTGACGCAGTGGCAGTGATGTTCCATCCCCCGGGCCCGGGGTAGCCAATTGCTGCAGACAAGAAAGAACACCTAGAAATGATTAGACCCATATGATACTGGGAGTTATATATGAAAACTTACCGGTTACACCCTGAGTCAGGGTCGCCTTCGCCTCGGTGCTGCGCGAGCCCAAGGTAATCGTCATAGCATACTCGACAGCCTTGGACCGCTGCAATTTGTTGGCCCATCGGAAAACAGGCTCGTCATCACGGTTGTCACCGACAACAAGTAAGAAATCGGGCTTGGCGGCTTCTTTGGTTCTCTCATCATGTTCAAGGAACCACTTCCAGACCAACGCGGCCGCAGATGCCTTGTTAGTATGTGTAGTTTCCACAATCAAAGCACCCTCAACGGGAATTGCGTGCACGCCCTGGTTAGCGCAGGCATCGTTGATATTTCCTGCACATTCGGCAGCAAGGCGGGCAGCAATGTGACGGTCTTCTGCGGACCCGTGATGGAAAACGAGAGAGCAATGACGCTCTTCGATCCAGCTGCCTTCCACGCGAGCCTGGAAGTAAGCCAGAATGTTGGATACTGATTCTTTCCATGCCTTGACGTGCACCTTATCTGCGAGATGGGTCCACACATCAGCTTGCGGCTCACGCACAAAGCACCCGTTCTCCGCGATGAGGCCTAGATTGTTGACCTGTCGGAACAAACGTTCCATTTCTTCGGGCATGCGGGAACTCATGACGTAGACCTCGTTCGCAGGGTCATCGGTCAACTCGGTCAGAGTGGTAATTGCGCGCTGCGGTGTGGTCAGAATGATGCTCCGTGGGGACCCCCATGAGGCTAGTGTTCCTTCGTAATCAAGGATCATGAGTCGTCGTTTCGACTGTCGATACTGCTCAGTGAGTCGAGATACAGACAACCGTGGGACGGCCATAATCTCTCGAGAGGACTGCTCGTTCCAGACTTTCGCAAGAGTTTCATTGAATGACTTAACCCAGTTGGCAGTGGAATTTTGCAAGACTGCACGGAACATTTCCTCCCACACCTGCTTCCGTTCTTTCTGATCACGAGTCAATGCCGTGTGAATTGCTTCGGAGCACTGACGGTAGTCCCACGGGTTGACCCAAAAGAGCATGGTTTCCAAAGACAGACGCACTTCCAGTGAACTCGCTAAGAATCAGTGATCCATATGCCTTGTCGCCGTACCGCCCGTCCTGGCAATAGACGAATTCGTGACTGGTCAAGTTCATACCCTCGCGCAGACTGGTAATCATCAAAGCATCCGCCACAGTGATTAAGGCGAGATACTGTGGGAAAGCCAGGTCTTGTTTAAGGAAAACAAGGGGTTGATGGGCGAGAGTCGAGTGCATGGAGTTGATTCGCATGGCAATATCAGAGAGAGTTGCCTCCAAATCAGGTTGGTCTGTAGTACTAGTCGCGACTTGGATCAATACCACTTTATCAGCCCATTCTGGGTATGTGTTCAGGAAAAGCTCATAGCTGAGAAGCTTTTGGCGAATGCCTCGGACAGAATCTATCTTGTCGCGCGAAACGATGAGATGCTTTCCTTGATAACGTTCCGATATTGTATCAACCCAACGCTCCACGTCCGTCGCTTGACGCCGCTTGTCCCAAGAGGTTGGATCGATGCCAATAGGGAATGTGCCCACGTTGACAAACCGGTCTTCTAGCTGGATACCTTCAGGTGTCGCTTCCACGCAAAGGATCCGACTGCAGGTTTGCAAGAAGTGTCGGCAGTACTCATCTGTCTGGAAACCAATGAGGTTGGCACCCAAGATACCCTCGAGGAGTTCCTTGCGAGGGGCCAAACACTTGAAAACTTCTGATGATGGGAAAGCAATGTGCAAGAAGAAACCAATTTGCGCATCTGGCAACAGCTTGCGAAGCATAGCTGGAACCAGTAGCAAGTGATAATCCTGGACCCAAATTGAATCGCCTCGCTTCCAGTCTTTCGCAATGCGCTCCGCAAACGCCTGGTTAAGCTTGACGTAATAGATCCAAGAGTGATCTTCATAGGCCTTGCTCTTTGGGTTATCCGGAATCTGGTAGTGAAATACTGGCCAGAGGATAGTTTTGCAGAAATGTGTGTAGTGGCCGTCAAAGTCGCCGTCGCTCACACAAACAGTCAGAGAGCCATACTCATCCTCCAGCTTTTCCGCAATATCTTTCCAAGTGTACTTTGCCAAGGCATCAGTCGGCATTCCTAGGGTGCCTACCCACATCATCTGATCCAGGAATCCAGCATCCGTTGCAGATCGCACGGCATTTCTCAAACCACCATTTCCCTGTTCAGCAGTTTCGATCGTCCACTCAGCCTTGGAAAATGACACTTTCCGGTTCGCAAATTGGGTCCATCTTTGTCCGGATGGAGGGGCAGGTTGGGCATCCGGAGCGCGCGACAAGACTGGTTCCTTGGCAACAGGGGGATCTTGGTGTTTGAGGATAGAAGGTGATGGAGAAACTAGCGGCTTTGCCTTGGGCTGTATGAGTGAAGTGGTAGACCCCCATGCGGGCGAATGCCCTTCACTCTCCGTAAGAAGCTGATTCTCTTGCTCAGCAGGCGCAGGAAACGGATACCCGGTCCTCTCTACCTCCGCCTGAGCAACGCTTGAAGCAAAGATGCGCTCATGATCTGTAGTGGCACCAGGGGTCATCCCAGGTGTTTTTGTTGGATTGTTCTTTTCGAACAAGCTTGCGGCGGCATGAGGAGGGTTGGGAGTGATTCCATCGACAGCGGGGTTCGCGGATGGAGGGCCGATTGGGGGAGATCGGTGACGCCCATTGTTGACATGGAAGTTGACCGTATAGGGCAGGAAGCTAGAGTATACATAGGTCAGTTAATGCGATGCGGACTAGCGGTGGGCCACATACAGGGACGCAATGAAGACGGTCATGGTGATCGACTCGGGCCCAGCGAGCAGGGTTGAGGATTTAAACACCCGAGAGCGAGCTTCTGGATAAGAATAGAGAAATGAAATGCAATTCGAAGAATGAGTGGCAGCTTAGGAGTGTAGCAATTGAGGAAGAAAGCAAAAAGAGTTACACGATGTGTTTTCTCATGGCTACGTCATGTGAATAGCGTGGGCTGAAGAAGCAAGTTTCCCCGGACCTTGCAGCGCACACACAAGACGGCAGACCGTTTGATATCAAGAAAACAGCGAAAACAACGAAAACAGTGGGCTCTTGCGAATAGTTGCAGAACCAAGGAAGATCCTAGCATCGAAGTGATGAGAGTATGACTGCAGATTACAGCCTCATACCAAGTTCCCCCCACTTGATGCGCTGTCGGGTATTCCCGTACGGTATTACGTTACTGAAGTATGGCCGTTGGCCCATGATTGGCGGAATCTCATATACAGTCACCTGACATGAGGTAATATCTTTCCATCAGTTCCGAACTGCCTCGTTCATCCCTGCCATGACCTTACGCCTCACATCTGCTCCGGTATCTGGCGTTAAGAAACGAAAGTCCCCTGCACATAGGCCTCGTGCCTCACCTTTTTCCGCCCATGCACGTCGCAAACCTTCATCTGGGGGAGCTAGCAGCTTGAAGTCAACTGCCGATCTGGGTTTGGATGATCTGCTTCCAGACTTAGGTGGGTCGCATTACATTTCACAAACTGCACCGGTGCAGAATGTGCTACAGGCTATTCAATATATCCGCGATGGTATATTTGAGGAGCTCCCCCAGCGAGCGGGCATGAACAGTACTCGGATCGCAGAAGTACTCAACTTGCGCCGATCATTACCGCCGCTTGCCTCGGTGGCCCACGTCCATACTCTTCTGGATGCGCCAACCCAAGTGGAGAGGGAGATTGTTGAACTGGCCCAGACAGGCCAGGTTCGGCGACTCATCATTCCAGGCCGAGGCAATGATGCGGCTGGGTTGGGTGATTGTCTGGTGCTAGCAGAGGACTGGGAGAAGTTGGTACAGGCAAGTTCTTTATTGGACGCCCCAATCAAGGGTCAGTAGTACTCCAATGATCTGAAGACATGAATATTGATTGCTTTTTAGAGAAATTCCTTGACATTCTCAAACGCATGGGTACCTCCTCGGCGATTTCGCAGGGGGTCTTTACAACTGATGAATATAGGGCTTTGCTCCGTGCTGGCTTCATTGTTTCATCGTCCTCATTCACACAAGGGTCGTTGAGCATTGCCTCTCTTCCCAATTTGCCTATATCGGCAGCTTCATCAGCAAGTCGGAAGGAATCCACTCAGTCCAAGGCTGAGCGCCCTGTCCAGTCAGATGCTCAGGCGCGTGCTGCAACTCTTTTCCTATCTCTTCCTAACACCGGGACCTACCTTCGATTGCTAGGATCGGGTCGCGCACACCTACTTGCTTTGCTTCGACGGTCTACTTCTGGTGAGGCTCCTCTGGGTCTGTTGAAAGACCGGTGGGATGGAGCTGTGGAGACTGAAAAGAGTTTCCATCTTGCCAAGCGGGCTCGTGGCGAGTTTGCCGGCATTCTTCCTGGTAAGACGAAGAAGTGGAAGGAGTTGTATGGCATGCACTTTCGATGGGCTCTAGAGGAAGCTCTCGGTGCAGGACTAGTAGAGCTCTTTGAGACGGGTAGCGTAGGTCCTGGAATCCGATGTTTATAATTTCATGGATTAGCATACCCTTTGGATCACAAATATACAATAATTCCTAAATGGGGCCCTCCAGGCACTTTGTGACCGATAGACAAAAACAAAACGTAGTAAATTATAATAAGGTGGGGCGGATGTCTAAGCTTGTGGCCTCCTGTGGACCTCATCCCAATATCGTTCTTGTCTTCAGTCACGCCTGTAGATCCACCACGCGTTAGCGCGCTTTGCTTGCTGTAATTAAATACAAGGATTGTTGAACACTCCAACCTCACCTTTCCTTTCATCAAGTCATCGTCATGCCTTTCATTCAACTTCCATGCCACTCCATCACCAGCCTCCCTCAGCATCCAGATCTAAAAGCGTGCAGCCCTGGACTGTCAATTCAGGAACAAATCCGTGCAACTCTCGAAGAGGCACATGAAATCCTGGCCAGTCTGCCTTCTGAGCTCAAAACTGACTCTAAACTTCGCAAATCTCCTCCTTCCGATGCGAAAGTCAAGCTAAGTCAGGGATGGAGAACCCCGCTGCACGGCGAGCCACATTCTCGGAAGGAGTACTGGGTCTCACGCGAAAGTGAGCATGTCGATTCAAATTGCGGAAATGGATCTGCTACCTGGCAGGAATTCCAGCATGGACTGCACCATGATCATGCGATCCACGAGATGGAATATACTCCTAGTGTTACGCGCGTGGTTACCCTTCTCGAATGGGTCGGTGGCGAGGATGGTAATCTTGGCCAAGCATTTGGCATCAAGAACACTCGATACAGTCATTTTGAGGCACAATGTAAGTGTTCAACTTTCTATATTATCTCACATCCTCTTCATTCCATTCAACATCTCCACCCTACGTCTCCAAACACTCAAAGAAAACTAACAATTTCACGAGTCAACTTGATTGTCCACACCTTCAAGCCAGATGGCCTCATTCAGCCCCGGGCTTTCCTGTCCTTCACCGTCTCAGCAACCACCGACAACCTTGTTGCGCGCAATCCTAACGACCTAAACACGCGTCAGGCAACCAAAGGCTTCGTCACCGTTCAAGTCCCGTACAAGATGGACCAGCCCGAACCAACCAGTGATTCCACCGATGACCAATACAACAGCCTCTACGCCAAAATCATGAATCACGTCCCGCGCGGCGTGATCTTCGGCCATTACGCTAGTGTTGAGCGCGTCGAATTGCTTGTTCTTCCTCAAAATAGCGCTGGTTCTCTTGTATCTATTTCTGCTTCTGCTGGTGGCAACGTTATTGGCAATGACCAGATGGTGCCTAATACGTCGTCGACTTCAACTTCGAATGCAATTTCAACTGACAGACGGATCAAGTGGACCATGGCTACAACTTCGGATGCGGGGGGAAAAATTCCTGGCTGGGTACAGCGCAGCTGGATACTCGGTGGTGCTCCAAAGGCCGTTGTCGCCGATGTTGGTCTGTTTGTCGGATGGGTTGCTGATAGACGCCGTCCTAAAGTTACCAGACGTGAGGAAGGTGAGCGTGAGCGTGTACACGAGGAGAATATGCTCTGAAAGGTTGATATTATGAAATGAAGTCGACTTTCCTGTCAATTGGCTACGCCGTGTCAAGTTCAAATTCCTGAGAAGTCGTCAATCATCCAGTCAGTTAGTTGACTTACTCAGTCCAGGCTGTCGCTTGACTCGGAAGATAGTGAATGATCCTATTAGGATCTTTATTTGAGTCGACCGTAACGTGACGAAAAAAATAACGTAAACGAACTTTACATTAAATACAAAGACAATTCCATCTCAGCATCCAGATACCATGACATCAAGACTATATACAACCCAAAGATCACAGAATAGCCTGAACAACCCCCCAAGCCTGCAAAACAGCCGACAAACCCACAGCCCAAGCATTATCCGTAATCCCATGCTTAAAATACCAAGCCGAGCTAGACCAAAGCAGGACATTAATGATACCAGCAATAGCCTTGTTAATCGGGTCTTGGAGGGCAGATGGGTTACGGGACCATTGGTAGTGCAGTAGACCTATACATTTATATCATTAGCTATTTGATTGAACTGATGTGGTTTGATTTGATGAGAACCAAAGCACGGAGACGAGATATATCGAGCTTGGTTGATAGAAGAAGGAATCAAACATACCGGTAACCAAGAAGAATGCACTTCCCTACAAGACATAAAGTACTCCGTATCAGAATTGAATATAGCGTTATGACGTCGATATTGAAGCTTGAAACAAACATACCTGATACCACCCCACAGTCCCACTAGCCCAGGGCTTTGTTCCGGCGATGGATTTGAATCGAGGGTCGGATGTCCATTGTTTGCCATTGACCTGGTGGTAGAATTAATACCACAGAAGTGAAGGTGGAAGGGGGTTTGATAGATAGTACCGTATGACCCAGCGCAAGGAAAACAAAGGATGCGGCGGATGCTTGGAGAAGGGAGGGAGCCATTGTTTAGATATTGGATATAGTACGTGGTACGTGGTACGTGATATGTGATATGGGATATATGGGATTATGAGGGTTAATGTGGTGATGCTGGACAGGGTACTTCTGCAGAGCGGAACAGAGCTTAATCATGGAAGAGTTGCCTCGGCATGATTTTGGGCCGTGTGGAGGTGGAAGTGGAGAAGTCCGAGGTCCACAGTAACGTGCGAATGACAAGGGACAATAGTATTGATGCATGAACTGCTTATAAGCAAGACTTATAATATTACTTGTAACCGATCTTGGATATAGGGTATATTATCACTACTTAAGATGGAAATAGCGCAACAAATATAAGACTCCAAACACAGCGTAATCCATGCACAGAATTCCAATGCAATCACCAACTCCATTTTGGAGAGAGTCGCGCAAGACACGAGATATCTTGGTGCCCTGGTGGTCCAATGAGAAATAATCTTCATCTCCAGTCCAACGAGATGTCAGCCCATTTTGGCGCGCCAAACTCCTTCGGTCATTCAAAGAGGAAAGAAAAGAAATGGAGACTGTGTAGCTTTCTCCAATGAATATAAAGAAAAGTAGGCTAGAACGGAAGGACGTCAAGTATAAGACTCCAATAGATAAGAGGGTTAGATGATAAGGAAAAGGAAAGGGAAAAGGGAATGTATAACACCAAAGCCGGAACTGTCGTTTTGGTGATCATAAAGGCATCATCAGGTTCCAACCCGGGTGAGTGGAACGTATGGACAAAGTGGAGAAAGGGAAGGTGAGTAGCAGCCAGTCCACGACTGGTGACCAGCCATATCGTACACATCAAAGTCACACGTAGACAGATCACCGGGGCCCGGTGTTGTTCATGTTCACTTCCACCGGGGCCGGGGGGGCCGATAGGTTGGACGAGGCGATGTGTGCCCGTAGAGTTGAAACCTCAGTACGCAAGGCGTTCAGCTCCTCGTGCATTCCTCGGACGTACGACCAAAGTTTATCAACTTGGGTAGCGTCATTTGAGTTCACTTCAAGCCCCTCAGGTCCCTTGGGGGCAGTTATGCTGTGGGTACTAGAGTGGCTGTGCGAAGGCGTGTGCTTAGCTGCCGCTTGCAAGCCAAAACGAGCATCGGGAGAGGTCATTCCCTGCGGCGGGGGAAGCTGAGGTACTCCCGGTTGGGGTAGGGGAAGGCCCAGGGCGGGCGCGTGGTTCGATGACTGACTTCCTCTTCCAAAAGAGGGCTGCGGGTGTGGCAGGGACTGACCCATACTGGGGGAGTGCGCACGGTGTGGCGGTGCAGTATCATGTTGCGATGACAGCGCACCTGGGGACAGCGGCTTTGGGCTGTCACTAACGTTGTTTACAGGGAATATGGTAGAGCCAGAAGTATGGCCTGCCGGTGGGAAAGTCATGTTTGCAGCCTGCAAGGTCGATGTTGACGCGCCTGGGCCACCGTGATTAGGTGGGGGTGGGAAGAGATGGCTGGGACGGCTAGCTGCAATGGGCGGGTAGGTGTTTGACTGACGAGACTGGAGTGAATCAGATCGAGCAACGTTATCTGCCTCGTGTCTTCGAATGCTCGGCATCAAGCGTCGCTCATCTTCTTCATCCATGCGCTCTGGCTCAGCCGTATACATCAGCCCATCCATGTCATCCGGACCAGCACCGCCATCCCCGTAGTCATCATCTGCAAAGCTGCCCATACTCGCGCGTCGACCTGCGCATCCTCCCTGTCCTTTGTTGTGTCGAGCAAGCGCGTCACCTCGAGCAAAACGACGCCCGCATTTGGGACAGATATGAGGTCGCTCGCCAGTGTGCAGTTTTGTATGGCGCTTCAAATCGTGTAATCTGCGGAAACGTGACTGGCAGGTTTGACACACGAATGGTTTCTCCTGACTATGCGTGAGCAAGTGGCTCTTGAGATTATGTTGCCGGGTAAATTCCGTGGCGCAATAAGGACAGCGGTGTTTCTTCGCAGACGGCGAGCGAGGACTGCCGCGGTTATAACCAGCATTAGGTAGACTCAATCCACGCCGCGGATCATTAATGTTGCCCGTGGGCATCGGATAAGAGAATGCTTTGCCATCGTGGTCGATCTCGGTGTCATCGCGCGGGCGTCGATCTCCGTCCTGCGAGGTCGATTCTTCGATAGGACCAGGGCTAGCGACGGTTGAAGAGTGCATAAGGGAATTGTGGTGGTGATCGTTTGATCCGTATGGGTCCGATGGTGATTCGGTCGCGTGTGAGTCGACTTGCATCTGTTCTGGGGATGCGTGAACAGCAGGCTCGTGGATTGGGGCGCCTGGCGACTTTTCACTTGCGCCCAAGGCCTCCCGCGCGACCTGTGAGCTGTTTCGTTCAGCTTCCTTCTCGTGCTCCGGCCGATCCGCCGGTGCTGCTGATGGGCTTGTCATCGGCGGTAGTTGGTCTCGCGATCGCGACACGTGAAGACTAGCGCTGGCAATGGAGCTCAGACTGTCGGGTTTTTGAGTTTTGAATATAGAAAGAGGTTCGGTTCTAGCGATAGTGTTTCCAGATAGGTTGGAGACGACGACAGGCTCGGTATTCGACATCAATGTCGCCATGGAGAAATGATGGTTTGCGCCCTCGAAGGGTGGACGAGCCAGAGCGACTACTTCAGAGGCCATGTTAGAGAGGACAAGCAGAGGGGATCCAAAAGACTCACTTTCATCCAGATCGGGGATTGGAGGATGTAAAAGCAGAGGTTGGGGGGGAAGGCAACGAAGGACCAGGGCGTGTGGGGCGTCTCAGTGTGGCGCAAGCTGACGAGTGGTTTCAGCTTCACTCTGAAGATCCACCTCCCAGCTGTCCAAGGAAGATCAGAGCGACAGTGTAGGGAAACCGGGAGAAAAAGAAAGGATGGGAAGTGACTCCTCAGGCTATGGCAGAGAAACTGGGCAGGGCAGGGGATGCGTGGGGAGAGTCGAGGCTCTGGAAAAATGAACCCTGAGGAATCCAAGTACCGGGTACTTGTATATGTGTGTGCTTACCATGCAGTGATAAGTACCTAGTACATCCGATTGAGGCTGTGTAGACGGCTAACGCTGTGTGGCTGTGGGTCTGGCACGAGGTGCGGCTGACACTTTTCCAGTCCTCCTCTTTTCTTTCTCTTCTCTACACTTGGAGTATACGAAGTATGGACAGAGAATTGGATACAATTACTCTTTACAATGGAAGAGAAACATGAGGTCATTGCCCAAACCGGTATTCGGTATTCTTCTCTATTGCCACATGTCCAGAGCTTGTGATGTCACCTATAGGCTCCAGTAAAGTGTACAGTACGGAGGCACGAGTGCATAGGAGTAATTATCCAGATGACATGAGCTCTTTGCCTTTCAATTGGAGATCAGTAGACCAAGTGGGGACGATTGGCCACATTCTTATAATGCATCCATACTGGGCACACCAAGTACAGCACCCGGCCTCAATTGGTATAGCAAGGCGCACTACGTCGACTGCGCCATGTTTCAGGTACTCGACGGGCGATCTACCCATGGTGGGCCACGCCGTGTCCAGTGGTTCATTTCCTGTCATCTCCACTCCAAAAATAGTGTAGATCTGACTGGTTCAACCGGAATGGTTCAGCTTCTAGTGGCTGTGGTTGCCATCCCCTTGGCCAATACTGTCCAGCCACGATTATGCATGCCATGTATCTCCCACTTGAAATACGGAGTTTTGCGTCCCATTGCTTAATTTATACTCCGATTAGCCCCTGGAAGTGGGCTTGTAGAGATAGTCCATTCTCTCTTTTCGGCATTCAGGGGTTATAGTACTCCGTATCGCTCGGGCCCATTCTCGTCGCTACCTACAGTAGATAATCTGTCTAGATCCATTCATTCCTTCAATTGAAACTTTATGTTGACTCTCTTGAGATGCCCAGTATGACTAAGTTCGACGAGAACTCACCTGCGCGGCTAATGTATTACACAACTCGACTCTATGCAAACACTATATAACACATGGTTAGAGTACTGCAGACTTGGTATGTATAATGATGTCTATAAGAAGACAAATGCTTCAAATTGGAATTAGAACTCATCTCTACCTCATACGAAATGTCAAAGAGGTACTGGTACTGGGTGGATATATTGATAATATACTCTCCAAATGTCCAGAATTGTTCCTACCCACCAATGACCTGAGGTTGCTGCTTTCCATATAAAAATAGAATGGTACAGTATTGGTTGGCCCATGGTCTATATTAACGATGGAAAATCCTTCTTTGTCAATGGACCTTCATCCCATCTAGGTATCTGGCGATGAACCAGCTTTAGCTTATCCGACCTTGAAGACTATCTTCAGGCTCCAATTTGCCAACTAGGTAGGAAAGGGTTTGCTGTATGTAATGACATCTCACGAGGCATATGTTGACTTGCCCCGGTTACATTCATAGATGCAGCCACTTCATTTCGCCTGGGAGCAGAGCGGATAGATATAACCCAATAGATGCCATATACACCTATCTGGATAGAATTAGGACACAGCTCCACCAAAGATGACTGACATTCACTGCAGAAGTCACTATCAGATTCTATACTTCCATAACAGGGATAGCGCTGCAGTATGTGGCCAGCCAGTACAGAGTACAAGTGAGCTTGGCAAAGTTAAATAAATCCAAGGACAGCTTGATTACTTCCAGGGTTTTCAGGTGGTTTGAAGTGGTTGCTTTAAATTATCTTTGCGGGGATTTTTGGCGCTGGGACTCTAATGATCAATTGTGTTCCGTTTAGGCGGGGCACTATTTCACATCACAGAGTCGAACATGGATTTCTTTCATCAAAAATCCGAATGTTGGGATGAAGGTGAACATATGCGCGAGGTACTGCTTGTCACCGTGACCAACACGCAGTTACAGTAGCTTCCTCCGCACAGACCTCTCCAACCTCTCTCAACCCTCTCGACATCCAAGTTGATCCGGTGCTTATTTAGGATGTGTGACCGGGTGCGCTAGGGTTGGCGGGTATTATTATCACCCTGTCGCCTCCCGCTCTCAAACTCCAGCGGTTCTGCAGTTGGTTTGGTTGGCCAGACGATCGGCGGATTAGCGCCGGCCGGGGTGACGAAGGTGCATCGTGAGGAGCAAGAATGGCCACTGCAGCATCTCACTGGTCGGTCACTCCACTGTGACAAGCTTGGCTGATCACCTTCACTAGCCAGTCACACTCTCCACTCAGCGCCTCGAGGTACAGTGCACTGGCAGAGGCCTCGACTGGCCATGCATCTCCCAATCAGGACCCTGGCCGCTGCTGCTAATTCCCTCGCGGCGCTTACTCTGACCCGGAGTGATGAGAATCAATAGCCTGCATTTTCACCCCTCTCGTGCCATGCACTCAGCATTGATATTCAAGCCGCCCATGGCTCTCGATTTCTGACCGTCTTCACTTTTTCGTTTCCTGACTCTCTGCTTTGTATCGTGTACGCAGGCCTCGCACACGATCTTGGTGATCTATTACAACTCTGATATACTTCAGCTGTTGTCTTACCCACCTGTGGCTTTTGAAATATTGACTCGCTCACGAGTCTGTATTCAAAGCAGTCAGCCTGTGAATTCCAAAAATTCTAACCCGAGAGCTGGTTCTCTTGGCCTATTTGTTTGATTCTTCGTCTTGCCTGTTGATTATCGCTTCGATGTCGAGCTTTGACAATAGCCACAACAACTCCCCTCAGACGTACGAGCCTGTCGTTCCTGTGGATCTTACCCGGGCCTCTTATCACAGCGCAATGGGTCCCCCACCACAGCACACCGTCCAAGAGACTCGCAGCTCGTCTGAGACGAGCAATGCGTCACTCAAGAGCCCACGCACTGCTCGATTTGCCGAAGCCACATCCATCCACTCTCCCATCGAACGAACGGAAGCTAGTCGGTCACCCTTCGCCGATCCTCCCAAATCACAGGCGCAGGGTGGTGGTGTTGGTGATCTCGGCTTCGGCTATGTCGCACACAACAACCCAGCTCAGCATGCAGACGACCAGGTTCCGATGTCGCCTTTCAGACCTGACCTGAAGGTACCCCAAACGGCCAAGTCATTGAACCCTCTCAGCCCAACTTTCCGTGAGGAGTATATGCTTGAGAAGCAAGAGAAGAAGGCCGAAGTGGAAAATGCCCGAGACCTGGTAAGATTGCCCCAAAGCTCAACCATTGCACTATACTCATCGTTCACAGAGAATCAAACTCCGCGTTCGTATTGCAAAGGTCTTCCTGCGATTCATCAACTTCGGCTGCAGTCTCATTGTGCTATCTCTATTAGCCGTGACATTGACCGTCTTCAACGCAACCAGGAACCTGCCAACTCGCAACAACCTGCCAGCCTGGGCAGAAGGCACGAACCCATGGGCCCAGTACCTTCTCCTGGCAATGGCGTGCGTCTCCCTCTTCGCCTGTCTAATTGTATTCTGGGCCTACCGCAAAGGCGGACACAAGCGCGCAGAGAAAGCAGCAGTTTACTACACAAGCTTCTCAATCGCCTTCTTCGCCTTCAACCTGATAATGTGGATCGTCGGGGCCGCAATCTACCAACACTCCAAAGCAACCGGAAACAACAAAGACATGTGGGGATGGTCCTGCGCCCAAAACACGCGCGAAGAGCTCTACCACAACAGCATTGACTACGCCCTTCTCTGCCGCCTGCAAGACTGGGGCCTAGTCTGCGCAATAATCGAAGTCGTCATCGAAGTCCTAGTGATAATAATCTACGTGGTAGTCTTCTACCGCGTCTGGAGCAAGCGCAAGCTCATGAAATCAATGGACACCCGCGACAACGCCCGCTCAGATCTCTACCTCGCCCAGCTACGCCTGCAATCAGCCCCGAACACCCCCGGTTTCGCAGGCTTCAGCTCCTACCCACCCAAATCGCCCTTCTACGCCGCCGCCCCAGGAGACGCCTACTCAGCCGCCGAGAAGGGCCAGGCAACCCAGACACAGTACGCTTCGCCTGCCTCGCCTACGCGCCCTAGCCCGTCGTTCCAGCTGCAGGCCCCGCCCATTCGTGTTCAGCAGGCTACGCCGCAGACTGCCCAGGGCGAGTTTTCGCCTCATTTGTCGCACTCGCCGTCTCCGCCTCCTCCCCACCGCGCTCCTTCTCCGCCGCAGTCTCGGCATGTTAACGCTCCTGGGGAGCAGACTTATGCTGCTGTACCAATTCCTGGTGCTTATGGGAGTCCCATGGGCCCGACGTTCCCGGCTGCTGTACACAAATGAGTTTGAATGATTTTATGCTTTCTTTTCTTCTATGCAATTGAAAGTGGGAAAATGAGAAAATGAGAAAATCATGAAAAAATTCGGAAAATCTGCAAATACTTGTCATTTGTGACCTGCTTCAAAATTGGATATATAGCTTCCCTGCGCTTTTCTTTCTTTGCTTTTCTTTCTTTCTCCTGTTTCTCCTCATTGTGGAGTCTATAATGTACACCCTTGTGGCGCGTGGGAGTTTACTGAAAGATACTGATACCTATTTGGACTTTCGTACAATTATACATATACATTTACATCCTTTGCTTGATCTTCCATAAAAAGTGTGAGACAGTAATTACACAAGTTTCAAAGCGAGTGCACCATGTCACGTATTTTCGCCCTATATTGGCATCTCTTCATTCAATTCTTTATTCATTTTCGAGTGCTTGTTTCGGGTTAATATATCCATCAAATAAACGTGGGTATGAAAAAACTTATGACCACTATTGTAAACTTAGAGAACATTACATCTTAGATATATTTGAAGTAATAATATCAAATTGAAGAAATAGTAGACCGAAAGAAAGGACCAAGAGCGCCGCTCACTGCGAACAGGGAAAATCAACCAAAACGCCGCAAGGATCTACCAAGTCACACCGTCCTGTCCATCACTCGTGACCAACATGCATATCGTAGTGCTTCTACCCGAGCCAGCTGTACATGCAACTAAAAAAAAGATGCTTCACATTCCGCCTTCTTCTAGGATAGCATGTGTATCTCTGGAAACGAAAATCTCCTCTAGGGTAGCTGCATCGGCACCCATTTTGCTGAGATCACTCTCGAGAACCAGACCTTGTTCGTTGGCAAGATGAAGAAGACAAATGAATCCGAATGAGGTACTGATGTCCCGTAATGTCTCTGCGGGGTAAACAGCCTTCAGGGAGTTCATGATCTGTGTGAACCGTAACCGCCCGGCATCTTTACTATCCACAGGCTTCTCGGGGCTTTCAGCCTTTGGTGTTGCCGGCATAGGGATTTCTGGTTCGGTCTCGGCCTCGGTCTCAGGTTCAGGTGGGGCATCGCTGGATACAGCTCCGGGTTGTGAAGCTGATGCGAAGTCGACGGCATCAACTAACCGCTCACCCATGCCCTTCCACATCTCCACCTTGAGACGCCGGACATCAACCTTCTTTGCAACACGTGCATACGCAACGTAGTCTGGTCGTGCACGGCGGCCTCCTTGTGTGACGAGTTGTGAACCGTAGCCACCACCGGGTCGGCCAGGTGTAGCGCCCACCATATTAAGGAGCGCACTCAGGCCGGTTGCACCACCTGCTTCAACTGTAGCGCCTGAGGTACCATCTGGTGGCGGTGAAAGCATCTCTCGAGCATCTGCGAATGGCAGGTTGTCATCATCATCGTCGAGATCCATGCCGTTAGGGAAGGCCAGCCCATCATCATCAGCAAAGAAGTTTGCATCATAGGCACCGGGGGCACCCTCTTCGCCGGCATTCTCTTCTGGCTTGTGATTCGCCCAGAAGGCTTCGTCCATATCACCATTTCCTGAAGTCAGGTCCTGGCGACGACGTTTTCCTAGAATCTTCTTCGAGCCCATCTTGGCCTTCGGTTTAAGGAACAATTGAAGTAGATTGCGCGAATTGAAGTGCTTGTCGTCCGGCAGCAGGTTGCGACCCTTCGTCTTCCATTGCGTCTTTGGTAATGAGACTGCTGAGTTGGAGCTAGCCGGGGTGTAGATCAACTCAGCAATAGCAGGGTCGAGCGGTGCCGCGAAATCAATTTCGAAAGGTTCCTTTTCCTTGCGCTGTTTGGGTGCCGCATTACTCGGTGCCGCGTGCTCTTTGATTCTGCGAATTTTCCAGTGCTCTGGACCAGCCCAGTTCTTCTGTAGCGCATTGTCAAAGTAGCTCAGAATATTTTCGTGGTCGCGGTTATTAGGTTGGTGAGACATCGAGACGGCGTACGCATCCTCGTCACCCTCCTCGCCCTCGCCGTCGGCAGTATCTTGATCCATCCGGTGAAGTTTGAGCATCGGTTCTAAAGCAGCTTCCCGAGCCCATACCTCGCCTCCATCACCGAATCCGGCGTCCTCGCTGAGATCAAAGCCAGCCAGAGTGCCATCATCATCATCAAATCCGACGGCGTTGTCATCGTCAAGCATAATACCAGATGGATCGTCAACAGGGTGTCCATCCTCATTGAGCTTGTCCTGCCGCCATTCTTCGGGGGCCTTGAGAAGAGGAAGATCCAGCGATCCACTGGGATCACCCAAGTCTAGGTTCTTGAGAGATGGGCAAATATCTTGTTCACCGAGGCGGTTCAAGTCTGGGAAAAATTGGCTTGCTAGCGAGGCAAGGTCGATCTCTGTGTTGTTCTCAAAGGTCTCGCTCGCTGTTGGCTGGGGAGGTTTCGGCTGTTCTTCGGTCTCCGGCTCCTGCTCTGGGTCGGCAGACTCCTGGCGATCCTCTTCGGCTGTCTTGGCATTGTCGTCCACAGCATCATCACTGCTGTCAAATACGATTCTTCCATGGCCGTCAATAGCAAGGTGGTTCAAGAGCAAGCCCTTGGCACCCCCTTCATCGAAATCTGCCGACGCTTTCTTAAATAGCGGGTCCACGGCAAACTCGAGTTCGAACTTCTTCAGTTGCAGGGAGGCAAATGAGGGTGCAAGAGTGGCTTCATGAGAGCGTGTCTAAACACAAGTCAGCCAAGCCCGAGACTTCCCATGTCTTGTACACCATACCTTCTTGCGCGATTTGCGAGGTTGGCCATCCTCGCCTTCCTCGTCTTCTTCACCCTCCTCCCCTTCCTCTCCACGGCTTCTCTTATCGCGGCTATCAGCCAATCCACTCAAAAGTTTTCCGGTCTCTGTCGCGACACTGTCCACACGGCTGGTATAGATCTTGACACATCCATCAAGAGTGCAACTGGCTTTTTGAAAGTTCACACCGTCTCCTTCCTTTAATAGGGACATGTCGTGGAAGTAGTCGATAAGCGCAAAGTTCCAGGAGTTGTTCGCATTAATCTTGTTGTCCGTAGCCATCTTCATCCATTCCTCAAAGTTGGCCAAGATAGGCACGCGCTTCATTGGTGTCACCGCGCGACCATTTACATCACTCTCACGACCGCGGTGACTAGATCCCCGGGGTGTCGTGGGACTCTCGCTTCCTTCGCGGTTGTAGCTGGTGTATCGGCGGGGTGGCATTGGCGTCTTGACTGCGGCTTTGATTTGGCTCATCTGCCGATCATGCAGCGCTTGACGGGCCTCCTTGCGCGCGGCTTTCTCGCCCATATCATCGTTGAGGGGTATTCTGATATGGTCAGTTAAGTGTCGAGATAAGCATCCGGAGCAACGTACTTGACCGGCGAGTTCTTGTGGGGGGTCGAAGTGCCGCCTGAGCGGCGATGTATCTTGTTTGCGACACGCGGCATGGTTGCGGTTGCCCCCTATGGGGGATATCGATAACGTCGGGATGGAAAGATTGATGGAGAGGGGTTGATATCGACTCAAAAACAAATGGGGAAGTCGGCAAAACAAACATACGGCGGGAACGAGAGACCAGTGGCGCAGATAGTCACGTGTATATACTCTTGCCTGATATTCAAGGCCAATCGAATAATGGATGGCAGGCAACCGGTTATTCTTCGTGTCCTCCTCCCTCTTTCCAATCCTTGTTTTGTACATCGAGGCTCATCATCATCCGCTGCTGTCCACAGTCATTGTGCATGTATCTGCGGCCTGTTACTTCGGTGCTGCGATAACGATAGGACTAAGCCGACTAAGCGCATTGGCCCACCAGCCTGACATCACCGCCCTCACCGCAGTGCATCAATTGTCCGAGTCCACATGAGATCTCCAATGTCTATGATTTCAATATAATCAAGGTCTCAACGTCCTCCCACGATGCTGCTGCTCGTCTCGCCACAATGAATCAGCTGCCATCCTTCCTGCAGCTTGCCGTCCGCAAGAAACCTCGATATTCAACCAGACCATTCTACACCACGTTGCTTGTGTTCACGGTCCTGGCAACAGCAAGTCTGGTCTTTTCAGGGGCAAGTAAGCCGGTAACTTTTGCTCAGTCGAGTGCCACGGCAGGGGTAAACCTCTTCAAGCGAGAGGGTGAACCAGAGGTACACTTCCCTCCAAACTACTTCCCTGTGTGATGGCGCCAAATGCTAATATTTTGTACCACATTTGATAGTGCCGCTCGGTTCGCAATGTGAAAAATCAATGTGCATTCGTCCGCGCCAACTGCCCAGATCACGAGGATGGCTTAATCTCCTACCTACAACTCTATTACTGCACACTGGCCGATGCGAAGCCTTTGGCGTTCACGATTTTGATCCTATGGCTATCGCTACTCTTCAGTACCATCGGAATTGCAGCTAGTGATTTCTTGTGTATTGATCTCAGCACACTGGCAAGTATTTTGGGCTTGAGCGAGAGTCTCACGGGCGTGACCTTCCTAGCATTCGGCAATGGGAGTCCCGATGTGTTCTCTACGTTCGCCGCTATGCGGTCAAACAGTGGAAGCTTGGCAATCGGTGAGCTGATTGGGGCTGCAACTTTCATCACTTCTGTGGTTGCGGGCTCTATGGCTCTAGTTCGGCCATTCAAAGTCGCGCGTAGAAGTTTTGTTCGAGATGTGGGCTACTTTATAGTCGCCGTTACTTTCAGCATGTTTCTGCTTGCTGATGGGAAACTTCATGTGTGGGAGTCCGCTGCGATGGTATGCCTGTACGTCTTCTACGTCGTGATGGTCGTGACCTGGCACTGGTATCTGGTTCGACGCCGCCGAAAGAACGAGAGAGACATCGCAGCGCGAGCCCATTTTCATATACCGGAGAACCAGGAATTGGAAATTGAAGAGGCTGAGGATGATGATCCCGGTGTGGCTTCTGAGTCCAGGAGTCTACTTCGCGGGGCCTCGACAGAGGATTTCGATCTTCTGGAACGCGCCGAGGCTATCCCCCTCTGGAAAGAAGAAGATGACGAAGATGACGAGACCCGAAACCGGTATTTGGCCGAGATTCGCGACAACATGCACGTATATCGTCCCATGCGATCAAGACGCAACACAATGAATCCCATTCGTCCAAGTCTTGTCGGTGCATTGGAGTTTCAATCGGTACTGAATTCGCTCCAGAAATCTAGGAATACTCATCTCAACCCAACAATAAGTCTAAACAGCTATTCAGATGATGGCGAGTCGGATTTCGATACGCGCTCAGTAGCGTCACATCCTCGTGCCAGTCGGCCATCCGCTTCCAACGACCGCCTGTCACCTAACAGCGCTGCGGGTTCTTCTCGTGTTCGAGCTGTGTCTGCAAATGATGCCCACGGCTTGAAGTTTGACGCCAGTATCCTGGAGCACCGCCCAACACAAGGTCCTCTTCTTACCGTGAGCGGACCCTCTTACGAGGATACTCCCGGGCAAGACGCCATGCAGGCTCGCCAGCTTCCTCGTATCGATACTGGGCTGGCGCTGACAGGTTCTCCGCCGAATTCTACACATAACTCGCTGAGTCCAAGCCCGGATGTTTCAGGCCCTGCATCTCCAGACCACCTCGCCCCCTCAGCTGCTTTCCATGCTCCCAATTACCAATCTACAGGAACACATGAACGTTCCCCAATGTCAGTATCCCCCGGTGGTGGCACCACAAACAGTTATCATTCCGGCTTTGGTTTAGAGAGCCCTTCAATGCCTTTCCCATCCTATGGCGATTTGCCCGCTGCTGCATCACGACCACCCAGCATTCGACTCCCAAATCCTGCAAGTCCCTTGGAACGGCTTCATGTCCAAGATGGGTATGATGAAATTGCTCATGTAGGCCTTCCTTTCCGAAAATTTCTAAGGAAATGGTGGCCTGACTCGATTCCTTCTCCCCAGCAGATTGGTTGTACCCTCTTCCCGACCCTGGCAGGCTGGAAATCCAAGAACATATGGGAGCGACTCCTGGGTCTAATTGCAGCTCCCAGTGTTCTGCTGCTTACTATCACGGTACCAGTGATTGAGCCTCAAGGTCCCGAGTCTGTGGACCCAGACCCACTGCCCTCGGTGATTATCCAAGATGTTGGCCATGGGGAGAACCATTCGCCAAGAGTGAGACTGCCTGCAGACAGTCCAATCCTTATTCCTACAGAACATAACCACGCAGGGTCTGCTTCGAATGCAACAGCACACCATCACCGCAAATCTACACACGAACACGTTGGTCGTCCACGCTGGGACTCCGAACTCCCAGCCGCACCACCAGTGGCCGCAGCCATGCCCGTTCAAGCAAAGGACTGGAATCGCTGGTTGGTCGCAATCCAGCTCTATACCGGCCCCTTCTTCGCCGTTCTAATAGCCTGGACAACCGTGGACGAAGACCGCCAACTTCGCAACCTCATCCTCCCATCTCTAGTCTCCCTCCTCTTCTCGTCAATCTGCCTAACAGCCCTGACAATAAGCACCCGCCGTCAAAACAACTTCCGACGCCCAAGCGGAGACGCTTCATTCCCCTTCCTCCCCCAAGAAACCCAAACCCAACCCCGCACCCTCCCAAACCAATGGCGGCCCTTCCTCTCCCTCCTAGGCTTCCTAGTGGCAATCTCCTGGATAGCAACAATAGCCACAGAAGTCGTCTCCCTCCTCAAAACAATCGGCGTCATTCTAAACATCTCAGACTCCCTCCTGGGCCTAACAATCTTCGCCGTCGGCAACTCCCTCGGCGACCTAGTCGCCGACATCACAGTCGCTAAACTCGGATACCCTGTCATGGCCCTGAGCGCCTGCTTCGGCGGGCCAATGCTCAACATCCTCCTGGGTATCGGTCTGGGCGGTCTGTACATGACCATCAACGGCGGGAAAGGCAGACACAACGAAGCTGTCTATTCGCCTATTAGGCCTGTACAGGTTTCTTATGAGATTGCCATCTCTAAGGTTCTTGTCATTAGTGGTGCATCGCTGCTGGTTATACTTGTTGGTCTTCTGATTGTGGTTCCATTGAATAAATGGAAGATGGATCGGAAGGTTGGTTGGGGCCTCGTTGTTGTTTGGTGTGTTAGTACTTTAGGTAATGTTATTGCGGAGCTTCTTTCTTGAGCTCGTAGTTTGGAGACTGGGGCTTGCTGTCTTTTTTCGTGTTTATATTGTTGTCGATGTTGATGTTGATTTTGATGTTGATGTCTTAGGGTTGGTGTTTTGTGGTCACGCATTGACTGAATTCTGGCGTTCGATTTGGCATTTTGAAACGCAATGTATAGTTCGGTTGCATGATGATTGTTATAGTGGTGATGCATTCAAGATACTACATTGTGGTCTTCGAATGAGATTCACCGTGGAGGAAATGATATACGAAATACATTCATTGTTGATTTATCTATAGGACTGTTTATACGACTGTTTATAGGAATTGCTTCATACAGTCAAAGCAAAAATGATATACAAACTACAGTAATTAGCTGAAAGCAGCTCAGGGAGCAAAGGATGGACAAAACTGATGATTATTCCAAGAAAGGTACAGAAAGACTAACTACTGGCCATTATCAACGAACCTCGTGTCAACCGCCGGTTCCAATCATTCAACGCATTGGAATCCTTCTTGTCGTCGCTCATCTATACAGTATGTACTCTCAACGACCAACTCCCGCGTTCACTTCTCACAGCACACGACCAGCCGACGAGCTGGTGCTGCGGTCGTTCACCTGGGTCTTCTTCAGGGACATACCCTGCTGAATAGAAGCGAGGAGAGCACCACGGCCAGCGCCGCCACCGCCAGCTGCTGGAGGAGGAGGAGGGGGGATACCGGCTGCTGGAGGGGCTGGAGGAGGAGCGGCGGGGGCTCCGCCAGGAGGCGGGGGCGGGGGAATGCCAAGGGCGCCTGCGCCTGGGGGAGGGGGAGGGGGCGGAGGTGGGGGAGGAGCACCAGCTGGCGGGGCAGGCGATGAAATATCATCACTTGGGCTTGGGATAGCCGGGACAGGGGGCAAGGTAGTTGGGGGAGGGGGAGGGGGAGCGACAGGGCTGTCTTGCACCGGGGTGGCGGACTTAGAGGCAGACTTGTCTTCGTCCATGGCACTCAGGGGACGCGGGGGTGCCATTGTACCAAACAGGATACTGGCGAGCTGCTTGGCACTGCCGCCGCCGGGACGGTCCTCGTCCTCGTCATCTGAGGAGTCGAACTCGGAACCGGCGTTGGACCAGTCGTCGTCATCCTCGGGGCGTGCGCGGGTCTTGCGTTCCAGGGGAGCTGCACCGTGGAAAGAAGGCTTGGTGGGTTCTTGCTGTTGTTGCATGGACATGCGGTGGAAGGGGTTCGTAGACTGAGCGCTGGCTGGCGGTGAGGTCACGGCGGAGTCGGCGGAGGGCTGGCCCATGTTCTTGAAGTAGGGGTTCTTTGACTCGGCATCGGGGGTAGCTGCAGGCACACCACGACTGCTTTCGGGCGAGCTGGCCTCGGGGTTGGGTACATTCTCGGGTTCAGGTGCCGCTGGGAGTTCGGGGATAGCGATCGTGGGCACTGGGGGAGGAGCGGAGAGAACCTGGCTCTGCGTCGGTGTGCTGTGTTGAGGAGTGATATCGGCAGGGCCTTCATCATCGGATGAGCTGTCCTCATCATCAAGGCCCTCGAGCTCACGCTGGAGCTGTCGCTCACGCTCCTTGGCTGCTTCGAGTTCGGCGCGCTGAGCTGCAAGGCTAGACTCTTGTTCCTTGGCCTGTCGACTAGCTTCTTCCCTGCGGCGCTTCTCTTCCTGCTTCTTGATCTTGCCCTGGCGGACTTGCTCCTCAAGAGCCTGAAGACGAGCAGCCTGGGCATCTTTCTCCTTCTGGAATTCCAATTCACGCTCGTTGGCTTCGCCCCTGTAATTGTAATTGTAATTGTATTAGCAAAATCTACTGTTACAGTTTCATGGGGTTGTACTCACTCAAGACGCTTGGTCTCGGCCTCCTGTGCCTCCTGCTCTTCCTTGATAGCCTGCTCACGAGCAGCCTGTTCCAGTTTGGCGTCGTCCGCCTTCTTGGCATCAGCCTGACCGGCACTATCTGTGCGGGCCCGGCGAGTAGGGGGGCTGGAGGTGGCTTTTTGGCTGCGGTCTTGGGAGCCGCAGCAGGGCCACCGCGTTCATCAGCAAGGCGACGCTGTCTCTCCTGCTCGCGCTTGGCATCTTCTTCCTCGGCCCGCTTGACACGGTCCTCGCGCTCCTTCTTCTCACGCTCCTGGCGTTGCACAAGAGTCTCACTGGCGTCACTTGGTTTTAAACCAGCAGCGGCCATGCGCTCAGCAATTCGCTTCTGCGCACGCTCCCTAGCAGCAGCCACACGGTCCTCGTGTGTGTTACCTGGGAGGGAGCCTGACGACTCAACGGACGCAGGCATGGAAGGTCGGGCAGCAGGAGATTCAGCCGCTGGGGATGCGCGGCTCTGCACTTCAGGTGAAGGTCTCGACCGCTCCTCTTTGCGAACATGAGCAGTACGAGAGTTACGGCTCAAGTCATAGATGAAGTCGCGGGTGATGTCTTCAACGCCCAGGGCATCCTCCCAGCGACGCTTCTCATGCTCACGGGTAGAGTTGCTACCCTGGTCACGAAGGCTGTCTTCCAAACTGCGGGCGAAGTCGCGCACACTCTCCTCGACATCACGAGTCATAGTGTCATTGCGCTCCCGCTCAGCCTTCACGTTGGAGCTCTCAGACTCCAGTCGACGGGCAGCCTGGCCATCGTCATCCTCCGAGGCAGGCGCAGGGCGTCCAGCAAGCTCAGCAGCCCGGGCTTGCATGCGAGCACGAGCACGGGCCTTAATCCGGTCTGCCTCGGTCACAGTACCACCAGGGCCGGTTCCAATGATGTTCGAGGCACCACCGGGGTGAGCTTTGGCGTCCTTGAGACGGAAGAGCTCGAGCTTTGCGTCGGCAATCTCACGCTCAAGACGGCGCACATCAGATGCAACCTGAGGAACTTGATCCTCGTAGGACTGCAGCTGGCGACGAAGGGACCTACGCTCGGCTCCACTGTCCAATTGGCGGAGCGCGGCATTGGGGTGGGTATCAAGATCATCTTGCACACGGCGGATACGGTCCATGAGGCTTTCTGCCTCGCGACGATCCTGGCGGTCAAGAGCATCATCATCCTCAGCCCGATTCTCGTCCTGGAAGTCGACGGCGTCAAGCATAATCTTGGTCTCGCGGATCTTTTTATTCAACTGCTCAACGGAGTAATCCTCGTCGGAAGCTCCTGAAGCGGCAGGGGAAGGAGTACGAGCATCATTGCCAACGCGACGACGAGCACTGGAACGGTAACCACCAGCGGCGTCATTGTTCTTGAACATAGTAGCATCCTTGCGGGCTCCGGGGGAGTTACTACCACCACCGCGGAAAGAATGATCCTTGAGATAACTGACACCAGTCTTCTGCGGCTGGAGGAACGCTCCAGTTGCCTTGCGGTTCTCAGCATCCTGTGAGAGGAGCGACTTAACAGTACCAATGGAATCGTTCAAGTGTCTTGTGGATGGGGGAACAAGTTCAGGAGGCAGGCGGCTGGGAACAGGATATCCGTTAAGAGCACGGTAGATCATGTGCATGGCCACAGCGAACTCATCCATGTTGAGGCGGCCGCGGTTATGCGGGTCCGCTAGAGTCCAGATGCGCTCCAGATCCTTGCGGTTCAAACCACTCTGGCCCATAATCTCAATAGCCGTCTCACCACTGACAAAACCCTTGCGCAATCCATCCCATGCGCGGAAGAGATCATCGTAAATCTTCTTCTCTTCCTTGGTGATAGCCCAGGCAACGGTAGCATTACCTGAAAGAGCAGCTGCGCTAAATCCGCCTTCGCGGCCAGGCTGTGGCATAAGCTGCTGCTTCATGGCATCGATGTTAGGCAGACCCTGGGAAGGAGTGTTGATGAAACCCCATTGACCCGGCATACCGGTAGGTTGAGCGGTCAGCCCAGTAGGCTGAGCTGTCAGACCTATTCCACCGGTCTGAGCCGGGCTCAGGTTCGAGCCGAAACCAGTAGGCATGGGCGGCATTGGAGGCCGCGGGCCAGTATAACCAGTTGCCTGCGGGTTGGTCATGAATCCCGTCTGCTGAGGCTGAAGGAATTGAGACTGGTTCTGGCCGGGGAATCCTGTAGGTTGTGGTTGCTGGATACCAGTTTGCTGGGGGAAGAATCCAGTGGGCTGCGCGGTCAGCTGCGACAGGAGCTGGGCATTATTAGGCTGTTGCGGCACGGGCTGTTGAACAATCGGGGGGGTCGAGTTGTTCTCCATAAGAGGAGTGTCGAAGTTAGGGACGTTCGTTCGCTGCTGGGGCGGCTCCGGCTGGGTGTCCGGGACATCGAAGGAGATGATATCCACCATACTAGAAACCTCATTCTTGACTGTTTCGGGTAAGGAAGGAGGGAGTTCGCGGCCGGTGAGACGAATGTTGCACAGATACATAGCCAATGCGAACTCGGGGAAGAACAACTGTCCGGACTTGGTGGAATCAGACAAAACCCAGATCTTAGAAAGATCGGCGCCTGTCAGCTTCGAGCGCATTAGGAGGTCTCTCGCCTTGTCGCCTGTTATTTCCAATCAGTAAATAAACCATGGCCATGGTAATTGGGGACCCGGGGAGCCTACCATCCATTGTCTTGCTGTCGCCAACGGCAGACTTGAAGAGCTGCTCAAACTTGGCCTGATCTTGGGCAGTAATAAAGGAGAGCCGAATACTAGGAATCTTAGATCCAGTCTTGGGCGGCACCTGTGGAGGCGCACCGGCGCCGGCATCTTGAAAAGAGTTCGCGATCTCAGTTGAGGTCTTGAAACGCTGCGGGATCTGGGGTACCGGAGGCGGCGCCTGCGCCTGAGTCTGAGGGGTGTATCCAGTGAACTGAGGTTGGAAACTCTGCGCTTGCTGCTGTTGCGGTTGTTGCGGCTGCTGGGGCGCAGCGCCGGGGAAGCCAGTGTATTGGGGCTGAAGTTGACCTCCAGAGAAGCCGGTCGCTTGAGGCTGGAGTTGTCCCGCGGGGAACCCGGTGGCTTGGGGTTGTAGCTGCTGGTTTCCGAATGGCGAGGCCTGTCCGGCGAATCCGGTGGGTTGCGAAGCGAAGCCAGTAGGTTGGGGCTGTTGAATTGAGGGCTGTTGTTGGCCCTGGGGGAATTGCGAGTAAGGTTGTTGTTGCTGCTGCTGCTGCTGCATGAATGGTGCCTGGCCAGGACGGCCACTGGCACCACCCCCGAGGAAAGTATTCGACGAGGAAAACATTACTGAAACCACGCTTGCATGGACAAAGCAGATGCAGAAGAACTAAGAAATTGATCAGAAGAAAGAACGAATGCAAAAGATGGTACGTGGAGTTAGATCTCAGGAGGATGCAAATGACGCTGTTCTGGACGCGGAGGTACGCTAACCCAATTAGGTGCTTAGTCATGGGCCCCTACAGGATATTTTTCGATCTACAACATTTAATGGAAGAAGCAATGAGCAGATGTATTTCATTGGTATCATGGTAGACACATTGTGTCATTGCAACGCACATGGCCAGTCATAGGAAGTATGGACAAATTGAGACAGAAAAAAAAGCAGAAAAGAAGCACAGAAAAAGGGCCATCCAAAGATCCCCAGATCGAAAACAAGAAAAGGCAAAGCACTAATGATCGCTGCTCCATGCGCCAGATTTTCAGAACCCAGAAAAGAAAATGGATGAAGTGAGCCTCGGGCCTACTTACTCGGCACCCTGCTGCTGCTGGTTGGCGGCATTGGCCATCTTGCGAAGCTCAAATTCTTTGGTAAACTCGCGAGAGAGAATACCACAGTCCTTGATCAACGCGTGACAGGCGTTGATGACAGCCTGACGAGGAGCGATTTCACCATCGGTCTGGACACGCAACAAGAAGTTGGGAGTCAGAGGGTGGGGGACCTGATGGAGTTCTGGTCAGTTTTTCTCTGTTCAATACTACGTCAATCAAATTACGTACCTTGTAGGCGGCAAAGATGACATGGGGAGTCTTGAGCAGGCGAGTGCGCAGCATGTTGCCAAGGGTGTGATCCTCCTTGTGAAAGGTAAAGATCGCAGCCGAAGGAAGGCCTGTGAAAGAGTCAGTCCAGCTGTCAAATTTCATCAGATCAACATGACTTACGGGTGTCAATCTCGACATCGATCTTGTTCTCGCCAGGAGCGAGCAAGATAGCCTCGTAACTGAGTTTGTTAGACATGGTCAGGTCATATGAGTGAAGACTGAAGCGTGAGGTGAAGGTGGGATGTGAAAGTTGGATGGAATGGAAGGTGATGCAAAGAGAGGCCATGGGCATCAAAAGCAGCCCAAGGTCTCGATGAGACTGACACATCGGGAGCCTCATTGCCAGCAGACATGACAGTACGCGGGTGATGCCCGGAAGGCGAGTTGCCGCGACGACCATAATGCTCTCTGGCGATAGCCAGCGTATGATCGTAGGAGGCGAGCTCCTCCAGGTTGGGGTTGATAATTTTCATGGTGATAACAAGAAAACGAGTGTGGGTGAGGGTATGGGGAAGAGAAAACAAGAACAAACGGGAATCGGAGATCAAAAAACATCAACACCGGGGGGAAACAGGCCCAAAAGGAAAGAACGATCCTAGTTCATCTTGCCTAATCAGGCAGATCTGAAGCTAGCATCTTCCCCAGATCTGACCCCAAGCAATGCATCTCCAGCGAAGAAGGAAAGAAAGCAACACACTCACCGGTCAGGCGCGTTCATCTTGAATCAAAAAGGAAGTCGTGTATGTGCAAGCTTATGCAAGGTCGTCCCCAGTATACAAGAAGCAGAAAATTTGGCGATTGGAAGTTCAATCGCAAGAACGTCTTTGAGGTCGCCGGCGTCAAAAGGTAGCCTGGACTCTTCACTTAGAATCCACGCGGTTTGGCCGCTCCTGCGCGCAATTATTCGTTCCACGTAGTACACCAAAAAAATCACTTTGGCGCTTATATCGTTATATTGATGAACGGGATAAATCGTTGATATCCTCGGTTGCTTGCTCGATGAAAAGTAGCGGGAGCAGACCCATCGTGATATTGATCATGTGATTCAATCTCTATCACGTGATATGTCCGTGTGTTTATATCCTGCGATGCTCTTCCAAGTTTCACTCTCATTATCATATGTTGTGTGGGGCAATTGATGCAGTTCGGGTTTAAAGGCAAGTGTACCTTGTCGGCAATGAGTTGTCCCTATGTCAAGCTGTCGTCCCCACTATTGTGATATGAATATACTTCAACAGAATTTTGACTATAACAATTCTCGTACACGATTCATATAAATTATAAATGAACGAATGGTCCAGTTTAACATAACTATCATATATTGACAGACTAAGTCTGGTTAAGTCGAGAGAATATCATGCTACACTACAACCAGTCTACACACCATCTAGCTGCCGACGTATACAGTACACAATAATTCACACAGATCAACCTCTAAACAACCTCAAACTCAAAATAAACGTAAGACTAATTAAACCGACACAAGCACATGCAATACAATATATCCACAGAACGATGTACACAGTCTGTATGCATTAAATGAACACACACCCACCGAAAACCAAAACCAATTAATCTACACAACACAAGACACACGTGGACGGTAGACCATGACCATGGATCAAACCCCAAAAAAGACAAAAAGCCGATAAAACCGGCCCAAGGCCCGAAATGTATTAGAAAGAGCCGAGCCAAGAAGATTATACCCAATGACGCTTGGTAGAACAAAAAGGTAGAGTAGAGTATGAAAAAGAAGAAAAAAAAAAAAAAAAAAAAACAACAAAACAACAAAACAAGAAAAAAGCAAATTACGTACCCAAAAAGGAAAAACAGAAATATGGGGGGAAAAAAAGTAAGACAAGATCACATAAATAGTCAGTCAAAAGTCAAAGGAACGCCTGATCTCTTCCCACGCCGGTGCCAGAAATTGAAGATTGAAAGTGGGAGATGGAAGGTGGAAAATAATCGAAGGCCAAGTAAACTAGAAACACAAAGAAACATATGTATCATACTTGAGGATGCCGTATGCCGGATGCTGAATTTTTATTATTCGCAATGCAATGCACAGATCAATGATCCGGAATGTGACGCATGGAGGCAATATTAAGCCGAGACATTTCCAAAGGGCAAAACAAGCCCTTTGTATTCGATGGTGTATGTGCGTGATGATTTCATGTCATAGAGAGATTGAGGTCGAGAGAGAAGTAGGAGAGATTAGTGAAATAGGAAATGCAAAGGAGACATGAAATGGAAAGAGAGAGGAAAAGGCGCAAGAAAGGAAAGGCTATACAGCGTGACGTGGACAGGTATCTGTTCAGATGCAAATGTGGACAGGGTCTCGTGGTTGATGGGATTGAGGGGAGTGATAGCACGGTGGACTAGACTTAGTGTACGGCACTCAGTAGGTCACCGAATCCAGAAGTTCCCCGCTTCAGCTTCCAGCTGCTCTTCTTTTTGTCGCGTTTCTTCATCATGTCGGCCCATGCCTCGTCGTCATCCTCGTCTTCGTCGGATCCGGCCTTGCCGTTGCCGGGTGGGCTGTTCCGTGAGACTGGTCGCACTGTAACAGTTGCGAGGGAGGATTTCGGCAGGTTAGGGTGTGATTGCGACATGGGCAGGGAGGGGTTGTGGTTTTCATCGCTCCAGGGCTTGCTCATGGGAGAGACACCTGGGTTGGATGGTTCAGGTTGCATGACTGACACCGGGCGGTAGCGAGATGCCATGCCGGCATTGCTACGTTCCGATGGAGCAATGGAAGCAGCGTATCCAGTGCTGGGACGGAAGGGAGTGCCAGATAGATTCGGCATAGGGGAACCAGTGCGGCGAGCGGAGATGTTCGGGTCCAGCATGCTCAATGTGCGTTGGTCGATGTTAGGAGGCGGCCCGCCAAGAGCAGAACTTGCAGGCATAGACATCGGTCTCAAATTTGGGTTGACACCGGTCATAGAAGGAGGGCCAGTCATAGAAGGTGAGCCCATGGGCATCCCAGGCATTCCAGGCATCATCATTGGCGGCATAGGCATACCGCCCTGCATCATGGGTTGACCTTGTCCGCCTTGCATGTGCATCATTTGCTGCATCCATTGCATCTGCATCTGCATCATGTGGCCCATTTGCTGTGACAGCTGAATTGAGGCCTGTTCACCGGCAGTGACGTTGTTTTGTTGCTGAGGCATCATCGAATATGGCCGTGGCACAGCACCCATCTCGTGCATTGCCTGTGTGTTCGGGCTACCCCTACGAATCGCCCGCGCCCGTTCCTCGTTCGCAATCACCCCAACAAGGCCTCCAGGAGGAGGCATCTGGTTCTGACTGGGATGCATCTGCATCTGGTGAGAAGTAGACCCTCCGTATACAGAACCTCCACTGCCACCACCTCCCATAGCCAGCGATTCACGGTTGGGACCATTGTGAATACCTGCGCCAAAGTAGGGGTCCTGCGGCAAATTCCTGGCGAAAACAGGCAGACTTCCCCGGTTGCCATCACCTTGGGCTCCTGTCGTCGAGCTGGAACTCGCGATGTACGGTGGGGCCATGGACGCACGAAGGTTGGGGTTAGAGCTGGCATTGTTCAGATGAGTAGGCGGGCGATTGCGATGGGGAAATCCATGCGCTGCCAAAATGCCTAATGGCACATCATCGTCCTCCTCTTCGCTGCTTTTTCCGCTAGTAGATTTGTCGCCCTGGGCGGAGAGACGACTTGGAAGCAGATTGGGTGTACTGCTACTACCTCCGCTCATCATTGGGTGCAGAGATTGCGCGGGTGCTTGTTGACCAGTGATCTTCATCATCTGCTGGCGATAAACAGAGAGATGAGCCTCCTGCTTCCTTCGTTGCCGTTCCGTCTCACGCTGCTTCTCCACCTCATCCTCCTCATCGTCAAAGTCGTCATGATCTGATTCCTCGTCGCTCTTAGTAGCATTGCTATTGGACCGTCGGAGCTCTTGCTGTTGGCGATAGTGTTCAAATTGAGACGGAGTCATCACCTTGTTACCAGGAGAAGCGGACTTGGGCATGCTTTCGGCGAATTGCACGGCCAATCGTGCATTGTCAGCAATCGAGCTATCCACAGGGTCGGCAGGTGCAGGCGAACGACGGTACTGGAACATATTATCGGGTTCGGGGCTCAAGTGCTGAGAATAAGCGACTCCCTTGCCCTTGTCCACAGCTGCGGTTCCACCGGAGCTGGGAGCATCGGCCCACTCTGCAGAGCCTTCCTTGCTCCACATGAGAGATTGCCGGACCATCTTCGCATCTTCGTCGTCAAAGGCTCCGGATTCCCGCTGCGGTGAGTATACACCACTCCGCCGCAACAACCCCCTGTCGGACTTTCCCCTGCTAGGCCGATCCAGGGAACGATGGGAAGTGGTAGCCTCGGATACGAGATTCGGCGATGGGCTTGGTCGTCGCAAAGCGGTCACTGTGTCGAGGGTAGACTGGCTGTGGTTTTCGGAGTACGCATCCGTGTCGTGTAGCAGGCCCTGTTCGGATGGGCGGCTACGGTGGCCACGATCCCAGGAGTAGGGAGGCGACTCGATGACAGAAGATCGATCTGTGTTAATCGCCGAGGGCGCACCAGCTCTGCTAGACTGGAAACCGGGAAGGGCATGGGTCGGGGGAGGCGAGGAGTACTGCGGTACAGTTAGAGATGCGCCATGTGACAGCGATGAATCAAAGGCCTTACTTTTCCCGGCTGAGGCGAAGAATCCCGCATTACACTCTGTCGCGAACTCATGTTGTCGAACATCTTATTGAAATCATCGCTGGAGCCAAGGGTGAAGTTTGTATCGGGCAGCTTGGGTGGTGTCGCTGTGCTGTCGGTGCTGCCAGTCACCGGGCGGGTCTTGGCGGCATCTGGGGTTCCCTGTCGAGGAACAACGGGCGCAGACGACTTCGAGAAGCGACCGCCGAAGGAGAAGGTCCTCCCAGCGGCACGCAGGGCACCAGAGAGCGGGGATGGATCGGGGATATCATGGATTCTCGAATGCGGGGATTGGGTCTCGTCGGGCGGAGGGACCTCTGTAGATGACGGCAAGGTGGACGACGAGCTTAATCTGGTTGACGTAGAACTTTCGTAGTTACCACTGTCACGCCTCCCAGTCAGTCGTTTCCTGAGGGAATCCATGGTCGAGGGGCGGTCATACCGATGTTTGTCCAGGGGTCGCTCCTCGGCAAACATGTTGTCGTCTTCCAGCATCGACGGCACCGCATTGCCTTCGCTGAAACGCTTGGTCAAGGGCGCTCCGTCTGTCATGGACCTTTGAGGACCGGGTCGCTCGAAAACTCGAAAGGAGGATTGAGGGGCTTCCACGTCTTCCAACACATTACCAGACGACTTGCGCCGGTTGAAGCTCTTTGGTAGTTTGATAGGCATATCGCGGTGGTGACCTGGAACTCCAAGTTGTGTTATGATCCACCTCCTATGGACTCAAGGGTTTGCCGATCCTAGAGAGTTGGTCCCTCGGGAAGCCTGACGTGTCGAAAACAAATAAACCCGAATAAGCGGCAAGTCCGGTACCTGTAGACAACAGGCTGTGGACAACAGGGGGAGACAACACCCGAGAATTGACGATCAGGGGTGCTGGAGGAGAAGTCAGTCAAAGAGAGAAACTTCTGGAGAGTCAAGTCACTTTTGCTTAGCGGCTGATCAGACTCCGGCCGGAATCCACACGGTGGGTTTCGATCTGATCCCAACGATGATATGTAATTGCCGAATTCCTTGCAGGGCTGTGTATGTGTAGCTGAGATATAAAAAAAAATCAAGCCAGGTGAAACCAGCGCGGAAAATGCTCGTCCGTTTCACTTCGGACTCCGCTTCGATTTACAGGAGACGGCAGGTTCGAAGGGAAAAACTGGAGACCTGCGGGGAGTGGAGTTGGAGTTCTACAGACCCTTTGCCAAGAGGAATGTGAGAGAATGATACATGGAGGAATGAGAAGGGAGAGTTGCTAGGTTAGACGGCATTATGGCCTGAGGTACATACGAATGTACATATTCATGTGGAGAGCTTTTCCAGCGATTTTTTCTCCCTTTTGATTTCAGACTATTCAGTTAGTCTAGACTGGGATTGAATGTGAAACCTCTTTACTATACATAGGGGGGCCTTTGTATACCTGTGCTCTCATTCTATAAATAACCATCTCCACAGAGGCGAATCGCTAAGAATGTCAACAGGAATTTCATAACAGAATCGAGTCTAGACTTACACAACTAATCAATATATGTACGTGCGAGAAATAACTCGCCAGCCATACAGCAATACACATGCAAACACATGTCACTGATCTGGTATCACGTGAAAGTATCACCTGACCGCTGTCATTGCACATATCGCCGGGAATACAGTACTTGACTGGGAATGGGATGGAATCGGGTTCACGGATGGTTGGGGACTGATTTGGTCTGTACAACCGTGACACAACACTCGAAAGCTGACAAATACGGAGAATGTAGTACGTTGGGAGGAACGGAGAATTCAAACAGATACATACATGGGACTCCAATAGATTAGATACCCGAGATATCAATCCCATGTCACATTTTCAACACCTGCCACCTTCTAACTCGCATTATAGGTTATCTTACAAATTGCCTGCAACTGCTTGGCCGGACAGCGGGGGAAGCTTATTTGGCAAAGTGCAGGTCGTAGTTCAGCCACTTGCGGGCGGTCACGCCGGCAACGTCAAGGCCAGGGGTACCATAAGTCAGAGGGGCATAGAAGATGAAGCCCCAGATGGTGGCGGCCAGGATGACAAGGGTAGCAATCCAGCCCGCAACGAGCGACTTGCAGCCCATGCGCTCTTTGGCGGTGATGAAGCGGCGCAAGCTGCTGACCGACCGAGCCTTGGACTTGCCAGTGGGGTCATCGACCGGTGGCAGGGCAGTGCGGGGATCAAGCGGCTGCAGGTTGAAAATAAATTCAATCAGTGCACCACACACCATAGTGGAGGCCAAGTGGGAGGGCAAGTAGTGGTGCAGGAAGCGCTGACGACCCATCAACCAGAAGGGGAAGTAGTGCGCAGCCCAGCACAGGAACAAAAATCCGGTGCTGTTGTACAGACGCGAGCGAGTACCAGGACCCCAGACTGAAACACATAGATTAGTCAACGTTCAAAAAAAGATAAGGTTGGCTTTTTTTGGCTAAAACTTACTTTCTTCCAATGCATCCACACCACGGCGGAGGGAGAGCTGGTCAGCACCGACAATACCAGCGAACACAGCCAGAAGACTGCTAGCAATCCACCATCCAATGGGGTTACCCAGGAAGTAGATTTGGCCGCGGGTCTCGTTCTTGGTCCAGAAGCTGACACCGCGCAGCAGGAACGGCCACTGGAATGGCTCAGTGGCATAGGGATGGCTGCTGGTCAAGGCGTTGTTGTGGTGGAACATGGCACCCTGGAGCTCGAAGTACTTGCGCAGGAAGGGCAAAGTCTTGACCTTGCGCTCCTCCCGTACCAGACGAGGGCTATCCTCCTCCAGGTTCTCGATGGTCTCGGCGTACCATGCGTTGCTGGACTGCAGGATGTTCTTGTTACCGTTGATCTCGGCTTGCTTGTAACCCCATTCGGGCAATGGGGTGGTGTGTGTCCACAAGGCAACCCGAGTCGGGACGTGAATCAGCTTGAACAAGCTGGCAAGGGTACGGAACTCCTGAGCGGTCTTGCCCGACTCAATCTTGAGCTCGAACAAGGTGTCGTTGTGACGGTCGCCGTCGGCCTGTTCTTGCGGGACGGTGGTGAACTCCTGGTTGGTGGGGTAAAAAGGGGAGGCAACATCGTGGGTGAGGAGGTAGGACTCGGTGCCAACGTGACGGAGCTGAATGATATCGCCGTTCCTGACGCTGCGGGGCTCAGTCGCCTCAAAAGGCACGGCGGGGAGGATCTGCCACTGGTTGTTGGTATCATTGTGGGGGTATCCAGTAACCTGCTGGCCCTGGCTGGAAATACGGCCATCGTCATAGCGGAGAGGGTACTTGTCCCAGTGGCTGTGGAGGAAGACCTTGGTATCCTTGTGGCGCATAGTGATGGTGTCAAAGTACTGGATACCAACGGACTGGGCAGTCATCTGGTTGTCGCTGAGGGTCTCCTGGAACTCGGGGGTCATGAACTCGTCGCCGGGGCCGGAGCGAGTGAGGATGGCGAAGTGGACCTGAAACCAGAACAGGTAGAACAAGAAGGGAATGACAACGAGACCAACAGCGCGAGCAACAAAGTGCTTGCCCCAGCTGATCATGTCGAGTGCGCCCTGCTGGCGGTTGATATCCAAGAGATTCCACAAATCGATGAGGACAGCCGCACCGATAGTAACGAAAGTGAAGAAACCAACATATTTAGTGGAGATGACACAGCTCATGCAGAAGCCGGTCAACAAAAGCCACTTCCACCACTTACGACCAAACGGCTGGTGACGCAGCTTGTAGAATCGAACATAGCAGAGAATGCTGAGAGCCATAGACAACACGAGAGTGGCATCCAAGAGGATCAGACGGTCCTCACCAACGTGAGCGTTGTCGAAAACCATAAGACCGCCTGCCAACACACAGGCAGGCAAAGAGTATCCGGACTCCCACATAATGAGGAACACGACGGGAATGGTCAGGGCACCGAGGGTAGCGGGCATAGCACGCAGCCAGATGTAGGGCACGTTGTTCTCGATGTAGGAATCGCCAATATTCTCGAAGAGGAAGTGTCCATCGAAGCCGATCAGCCAGCCCATAGCGGCGAAGAGCAGCTTTCCAAATGGCGGGTGGACATCGAAGAAGTAGGTGCGTTGCAGATAGTATGAAGCGAACTAGACCAAGGCTCAAAGTTAGATGAAATGCCCCCTAATTCGCGAAAATTGTGTTCACGAAAATCGCGTCAAAGCAATCGACTCCATACCTTTCCAAAGTGAACCTCATCGAAAACGACCTCGTTGGGGAAATCGATACGGTAGAAGCGCGTAGCGAAAGCCAAAACAGTCAGAACGAGTATGGCCAGCCAATAGTCCCATTCCGAACTTTTTTTGACCGGCGCCGCAGGAGTCAGAGAGCCATCATCAGAAGGCAATGCGGTGTAAGCCTCGTTCTTTCCGCCTCTCTTCCGCAGAGAGGGCGAAGGGGACGACATGGTTGGAAGGAGGAAAGAGAGCGACCGAGAAACTACCTATAGTCAAATAGACTTAGGGGTGTCAGCATGAAAAGCCGAGAAAGCTGAATGAGAGAGAGAGGGTAAACATACTAGAATCACCAATAAAGCATGACCAACAATGACCTGTAAAAGAGGAAAAGGAGTAGAGGGGGCGGAATTGTAGAACGTTGCGTGTCTTCTTTGCACAGGAGGGCGGTGGCCCATGCTCCACTTGTATACTTCATTGAAACACGCCCTACGTAAGCCTTGTTTGACCATTTTATTGTCTGAGGATTTGCAAAATGCATGGACTAGTAAACTTCATAGAATTGGAACTGGTCGGTGAGTTTCAACCCAAAAAAATTAGACACTGTTGATCTGCCACAGGTCTATGGTCTCTGCTTTGGCCACTCTTGCGGACTATTTGCATTCAATTGGACGATCTAACAGGGGTCTATACATAAATCTCTGGTCCAGGGTGTTCATGTCTGTGACTTTAAACGCATAAGCCAAGTTTTTTCAATTAAAGTCTTTCTAATGGCATGCCCTTGTGCTCAAGAAGTTACAGCAACACGCTATTGACTTCTCAAAGATATACATTGGGATCATAAAGTAACCATTCTAGCTATATTCCCAGGGAGTATTCCCAAAGAAAAGATCAAGAGCTCTCCTTCTCAACTTCTCGAATAACAAGCCAAAGTCCCTTACGAAAAGGCACCTCGTCCTCAGTCTTTTCCTCATTTGAAAAAGCATCCCTCCTATCCCTCTGCCTCCTCCCGAGATCTTCTTCCGGAACCCTAGAGGCATTACTCTTCTTCAAAGCAGCATTAAACCTTGTCAACCTAGACTTAGAAGACCAAGGCAAGATATCAAACTCAAGCTCAGCAATCCAAGGACCCAAAGCCTGAATACGTCGCTGGCAAACATCGACATCCTGCTGTTGCTGTTGAGACCCATCATCACTTTGACCCTGACCAACAACACCAGCAGCATTCTGAAGCTGCAACAAAAGCGGTGCTTGGCGATTAATCTTGCCCTGCGAATCCAAAATAGGAATACCAGCAAGATGCGCCAAAGCATCCAGCTTGGCAATTCCAACCTTTAACCCACGCGGACCAAAGATATCCTTGTTGGCAGTCTTGATAGATGAGTCTGTGCGGCTCTTGGAAACACCCTGGCTTCCCAGATTGGCCAGACCGCTGACGGCAGACCCGATCCAGTGTAGGGGGAATAGGATCGGGACGGAGCTTAGAATCCCGCCTGTTGCATCTAGGACTTGCAGGGGTGGACTGCTTGAGATGTCTTTGTTCAGTTGATCGAGGAATGTTAGGAAGGATTCCTTGGGAAAGTTGTGGGATTTGAGGATTGGTGCATAGGCGCGAATGAAGGGAGAATCGAAGGCGGATGTTATAGCTGGGATTGCGATTGGTTTTTTGGTTGATGAAGATGACCCTGTGGCTTTTTTTGGGGCTGATGTTGAGGGTACATGTTCTTGTTCTTGTTCTTGTTGGGATGAGGGTCCTGGAGGTGTATAGGCTGGAGGAATATCTGCTTCCTCTGGGGCAAGGCCCATGGCCTCAAATGGGTTTTGTTTCTTTTCGTCAGACATGGTGTGTCAAGGAGAAGTAAGATTGTATTGGCGTTGCGGACGATGCCCATCTTATATGGGGGCCAAACCAGCCTTTCTCTCTGCGAGTGGGGCCGTAAGCTCAGCCTCGAATTAATCTGTGCCCTAAGGTGGCTTAGATATGGTCTGATTACTCTGGATCGGAAAACAAGCATTGACTTAGCCACAAAGTGCAAAGGTTGTTGGTCTGCAGCTCTGATGCCAAGATTCGACGCTACGCCTGATCGGGTATCCAGTGCGAGATGTCGTCACCTTTATACGGACTTGGTATACAACAAACATCCAAAAACGTCTTGTCTTAATGTGAACTAAGTTATGATAGAGAACAAAACATCAAAATTCCCTAAATCAACTCCGAATGCATTCCAAACAATGCCCGTCAGATGCAGAATAGCTTCACGAAATATGAATCTGAATCTCAAAAAGATCATGGCTCATGGGTATCAATCAAAATGGACCTCAATCATCATCCGAAATGTTCAACAACTCCAACTCAGTCGACACAAGTGCCTGGAACTCGGCGCGAGGCATTCCCGTGGCTTTAGCCAGGCGGAACAAGCTCTTGATGCTGGTGCCAATATGCTGCTTCACTCCAACCTCACAAGTAGACCGGTTCTCAGCTTCCTGTTCCAACCTAGCAACAGAGCTACCAGAGGAAATAGATGACGGCCGAGGGTGGTTCAAGGCCTGGGCAGCCTTATCAGTGGGAATATCAGTAGCAACGTACCCGTTTGTACGAGGCGCATTCGAATCATCAGCCCCGTCAATCTGGCGACGAAGCAGACTGGCCAGCATATCCCCATTCAGAGAAGATGGTCCGACCTCGGCCTGTTCCTCTGTTGGGTCATGGCTATCCATGGCGGGCTGCACGTCCCTGTACTGGGAGAAGTACGTTTGTTCAGACAGACCCGATGGACCCAGTGTTGACGAACCGGCTAGTGGCGCTGGGGTCTTGACTCCAGGCGTCCGGCCTGGCGTAGCATCGTACTGAGCCCAGTAATCGTCGTCATCGTCTTCCTCTTCTTGGCCATTTTCCTTGGGCTTCTCCTGCTCAGCAGCGCTAGGCACATCGTTGCATTTGGCCAGAGAATCAGCTTCTCCAATAGATGAGGCCCAAGTATTCTCCTCATCGGCGGGTCCTTCACGCGGCAGAAGCTCCGCAACCCGCCAGCCGGGGCCGCCTCCCTCTTCGTCTGTTGGGCACCAAAGGTAGAGCACAGTGATACTATACTCGGGAAGAGAGACCTGCGCCTGGAGGGTCTCATCATCGATGCGCTTATATGTTACCGGGAGCTCATCGGGCAGCTCGATCTCGCCCGATACCGGGTGAGGTTCAAAAGTGGCACCGTCAATAATGGTACGAAGGCGCTCAGCCTTGCCCGAGTCCCAGCAGAGTAGTTGCAGCCATGAGTCTGTAGAAGAAGTAGACAGCGAGCTAAGGACGTTGACTCGTTGGCGCAGGATGGGAGAGAGGAGTGGGAGGAGAGCTGGAGGCGCACGCGGGGACACGAAGGCCAGCGGGAGGCACGCGAGCAGGGGAGGAAGTAATGAGCGTGTTTCTGGGGGGTTGATGAGTTCGACCATGATGAAAGTATGGAAAGGAGAGGAATGCGGAGGTGGAGGAAACTGAGGGAGCTCCAAAAATGACTAGGGCTCCATTCGCCCGAACGTGGGGCAAAACAGAGCAATCACCGGGCCGAAAGCTTGCATTTCCACGGCTCCTCAGGTCCATCTAGGGCTCAATCTCTTTGTTTGAATCCTTGTCTTTTGGGATCTAGATATTTTCGCTCCTATTGGTCCTCTTTGTTCTGATTCGCGCTAGATTATCCAATCCCGAACATCTCAAACTTATTTTGGACGCTATGAAACACCTTATTTTGCGGGAATGGGCCTCTTTTCGGTTGAAATAGCCCCTAGTTGGGTTCAGAATATTTCCAAATCGACTGAAGAGTGGATAGAGTATTTCAAAGCGAAAGAGGAACCGAAAAGAACGAAATGCTGCATGGTTGTTCTAAGTAGCGTATTTCACTACAAAGCGGGCCACCCCCAAACACCATAGTCATTACGACATATTTTACACCTATATATTTCAACAACGTTGGTCTATACGGAATTCCCATTACAGCATAGTGCTCCTACATGGTATCTTGCCTATTTAGGGAATTGGGGATTTTTTCCATTAGTAATTAAGATATATATATGTAAAATATATCGTATTTACTCTGGTGCTTGGGAGTGGCCCGCTCGGTAGTGAAATACGTAGACTTAGATAACGATAACTAAAACTTTGGCGTTAACTATATTTTTAGCCACTCGATTCTTATGAGTCTGGGGCTAACAGCATTGGGTCATATTCCAACCGTAAATTCAAAACTGTAAATAGGCAGTACACAGGGCTTATCATCGATCCTTTGAAAGCTCGGAAAGGGGCCAAAGGGTTGGTCATATACATACTGCAGTGCTGAGCACAAGTCAAGAAGTAGACATCAATCACAGTTTATATTCTGCACCTAGTATGACCTATTCTAGAAAACCTTTAATTGTTATGAGAGCCGCACGCCAATTGTAGAAATATCAGTCTCCCTGTCATCCGCAAGAATCGACAGCCGTTGATCCTCCAAGTCAGCCAACGAACTAGGCGAAGGCGGCGAGTTACCAGAACTCTCCCCGCCCTGAATCTCCCTCCAACGAGAAATCTCCTGTGGAGTTTTATTGTTTGGAAGATCTTTGTGATACCAGTACTGGTGATAGTCACGCGGAACGTGACGCGGACTATGACGAGAAAGAGTAGCCTGAACACGCCGCGGCATGAGTCTAGTCAATAGAGGCCAGATACTCATGAGACAGGCAGCAATGAGAACGACTCCTCCCTCAATGACAGCCAAAACACCCCATTTGATGGGAATCCCTGCATATGCGAATGTTAGATTATTGCCTGTCCTGATCCACACCGCAAATGAGGCTTACATGTCGGGTCGAGGTTATGGGCCACTGCTGGGTAGTCGGTGAAGTACACAGCCATTCTTAGAATGCTAGCAACAACCCCTCTGAGAAGAAATGTCAGTATTGAATCGATTATCGGATCGTATGAGCTAGGCCCAACTCACATTCCACTTAGCAGGAAAATACCCGTCAGTGCTATCTTCTGTCCTCGGGGCGCATGCAATTTCCAAACAAACGGCATAGGGAGCACAAGGATCAGCAGACCAGTCAAGGAATTTAGCGGCGAAAGGATCCGAAAGGCCACTACTCCATGAAAACATGTCTCATTCGTGACACTCGTGGTCCCAAAGATTGAGGTGTACCGACATTCGAAGAATGCCCTGATAAATGTTGCAAGCCCGACTCCGAGGACTAAGAACCCGACTATATATGCGCTCACTTGGAACTTGCGGACGCTGAAGATGCGCACGTAGAATATAAGTAGGGCTATTTTCGCTGGGGTTATGTTGAATGGGTAGTCGAGGATTTCAATGGCGAAGAAGCCCTAGACTTTCGTTAGTCTCGTTATTCTCGAAAATTGATGCGTTGAATTGCGTACTTTCTCTAGAAGAAGGTCCTTCTCGGTTATTTTGGATATGAAATCATAGTGATATCCCATTCCCCCGATTGTAAGCACTATGTCGAAGATGAGTTGTCTGTTCCATGATGCCCCATATTTTCTGATCGGCTGTACTCACTTATGATATATATGGTTGATTTTGCCAAGCCTGCAACCTATATATAATCTGATCAGCATTTCTGAACTAGAATGAACGATAGAAATACCCACCAAAGAGAGCAAGACCAGATAGTCATCAACGCCAAGTTTCATCCGCTGCATACACCGAGTACCAAGCCTGGCCACAACAAAGAATATTTGCAGGATAGCAATGGCAACAGCAGTACCCACAAGAGCATTGCCGTTATACTGTTGCTTGCTCCGATCAGCCCAGTCATTAGCCATACTGCAACGAAGAAGGGGACCTCGTGAATTTCCCCATTGAAAAAAAAAAAAAAAAAAGGGACTTGCAATATCTTAAATAAAGACCGACTCAAACATGTGAGAATCGAGAAGCAAAGCATACGAAGAGTCCGACAACGGGAACCAGAAGTGAGGTATATACGCCCTCTGGAGAACATGACACACACGGCGCGATCCGAACAATGCTCCGTGCGCGTCTGCGCGTGGATGTGAAGTCTATCAGCAATTAAGTTGACATGCCCCGTGGTTCTAAATCACTCTGCGCTGTTATGTTTGGTCTGCCATTCGTCATACCCACCCGCCCCCAACGCGCCCAAAGGTTGCCCTAACTTTCTTGACATCATGATCTGAAACCTTTGACTAGATCGGGAAGAAACTTAATATTCGCATGCTTCCTTTCCATTCTCGAAACGGAGGTTTTGTGGGCAATCTCGTGAAACAATGATCGATTGGAGGATCTTCCGTCAATTTGCGCCCGTTACTGCTACTCTGGGTCTTTGCCATGAGTCTCGATCAGCTTTAATTGGCTCTGTCTACATGGTGGGTGTTTCCACAGTATCTGGAATGCTGGATGGCCGTTTCGATACCCCGGATGCCACGTTGTTCTAGATTAGGGGACTAAAACGGTCAAGGTTTAGGTGGGTATGATGTTTTCTTGGTTTATTGGCGATCTCCCGTCGTCGAGACCTTTTGACATCTTATGCCCTTGCATGATATATGCTCTCGGTACTTGTCAATGCGGCGTTTTCGACAGTGAAGTGTTTGAAGACATTGCGTGGAGGATTTCCGGAAGGCTGTGCTGGGCCCGAGAGCTACGTCTTGGGAACCGCGGTATATCGCCCGCCACTAGTAGAGGACTAATCCTGAGTAGGTCACAGAAAAGGTAAAGGTATCTTTCTTCATTGCTATTGGTGGGGGAATAAGTTACATGCACCTGCACAAAGTATGTGGAAGGGAAGGGGGTATATGGCAAGACGGGGCACCTAAGAAAAAAGGTAGACGGGGAAGGAGGTCAGCCCGCAGAAGAAAACTACATCAACAATGATTGGAAGAGACAAGTCATTGGAGTGGTAGGTCTAAGCCACCCGATCCTTGTTCTCCAACTTTCCCACCAACCGCTTCATATCTGTCCACTCCTCTGCAGGCACTTCCTCAGGGAGTCCACCCAAGCCCTTGCCAACTTCGAAGACAGTGATGACACCGTCAAGACCACCAGTTGCAAGACGTCGTCCTTCACGCTCTTCCCATGCGACCTTGTTAAGGCTTTGGGATAGGATGCCGCCACGGCCGCGGGATGGGGAGGTGCGGACGGCGGGTACCTCAGTGTCTGAGGCAAGGTCCCACACTTCCACGTTGCCGGCACCGTCGACAAGAGAGAAGACGCCAGGTCGGTGTGGGGACCAACGTGCATCGTAGACCACATCTTCGCGGTTGATCTCGAGGATGGGCGAGACCACTTGCGTTTGGGCGATGCCGGATGTAACAGAAGCGGTTGTCGCTGGTGGCCGCACACGCCAGAGTCTGACGCTCCAGTCTAGACTGGAACTCAACATGAGATCTCCAAGGTCGACCGGTCCACGGCCGGGGTGGAAGGCAGTGGACATGATCGGTGCTGCATGTCCACGATAGGCCAAGCGGTGATCTGTGCCAGCCTTGGCTCCAGCTCGATCGTACCGGTGGCACGGGTAGATGCCGCCTTCTTCAGTACCCACAATGAAGAAGGTAGGATCGGAGTGAGGGAATGACATGGTGGTTGGAGCGAGATCCTCCGTCTTCGATGGGGGGGGTGTAGTCAATTCCAGATATTCTTGCGGTTGGGAAAGCATATCGACAGTCCAACCACAGACCACACCGTCTGTAGAGGCGGTCATGATGTTGTGTGCATTCTGTGTACCAACAATCGAGATGCTGTAAACGGGATGGGTGTGTCCAGAGCCAGTTAGGGGAGTCTTTTGTACAGGTGCACCTCCACCAGCGCGTGAGGAACGAGTGTCCCACAAGAGGACTTGTCCAGAGTAGGAACCACCAACAATAAGGTTTGGATGGTAGGGAGAGAACTTTGCGGTGAGAATATCAGAGGTAGAGTGGAACACGTATTCTGGGCGAGACTGTAGGTGTTGATTCCAGACCTGGACAAGCCCATCTGGTTCGTGAGGAGCGGAAGGATTCTTAGTGTACGATGCAAGCAGCAATTCAGGAAACTTGAAACGGTCAGTACATAAGTCATGTATCCATATGAAGAGCAGTGCTCACCTTAGGAGAGAAGCTCAGATCACTGATCATACGCTTCTTACTCCATCGTTCATCCCAGAACTGGCACACTTCCCGAATTCCTCGCCGTTTCTTGCCCGTCTCTTCATCTTCTTGCAAGTCACCATCGGTTCCACCAAGCTCATAGTCCGCCAGTACATCGTAGTCCTCGTCTAAAGCTCGCTCAATGACCTTCGAAGAGCGCTCAACGAAATCCAAGAAGTCGTCCGAAGATGTGACAGCTTTCAATTCGTCGTCGTCGAGTGTGCGCAGAGGGTATCTTAATTGTGAAGTTTGCGCAGCTGTCTTCTCATTATTCTCCGTCTGGTTGGTAGCTTGCAATTCGTCTTCAATTTCTTGGCGAAGCTTCTGTCGAATTTCCTCGTCACGTTCCCGGTCCCGTCGACTGAGACGCTTGCTGGACCGGCTGGTACCAGGGACATCCTCATTATCCGAAGCAACAGACTCTTCAGGAGTTTCAGCTTGAAGATCTAAACCATCTGTTTGTACCGCTTTGCTGTAGGTGACAACCTCTGGTTTAGGTTTGTGTTCGGGTTCGAGTTCAGGGGCCTGCGGGGCTTCCGTTACGGAGGAAGTGTAGGGCTCCTCGCCAACAGTCTGGACGGCAATGGATTGAGATTGTGGGCGCGATGAAGGAGCATATGCGTCGGTGTTCTCCCCACTCAGTTGGCTGGCGCTGAGTACGGAGGTTGGTCGGCTTCCTCTGCGCGACTGACCATCAGCGCCATGGCTCAGCGAGGCGGATGCTGGGCGATCCACCAGACGAGAAATCAAGTCATCAAGCTCGTGTCTGTTATCGGGGCGACCAGGTGCTGGCGAGATAATCTGCCATTGTGGTTAGCTTCAGTTAAGCTCCATAATTAGTTCATATGCTGCATTTACCTCTGAAGCATCACCAACACTAGTCCGGGATGTAAACTCCTTCTGGCGGAGCTCACGCTGCTTCTTCAGCTCAGCAAGCTTCGCCCTCTTGGCAAGGATCTCATCCTTACGCTGCTGCATCGACATCTTTACCAACCATAAAGAAATTAGACCAGACTTGTCGTTCGTGAAAGTGTAGTAATTGTGGTTTATTTACCCGGGATGACTAAGGGTTGGACGGGCGGCTTCGGAAAAACCTCGCGCAGGGACTGAAGATTGAACCTCGCCCCCAGACCATTACGGAGATTCATTGCCATTGTCGGTTGACACCTGTGAAACGGTCCCTCGGTATCTCGCGATTTAATTCATTCTTTACTCCCGTCCTCCGAATTCATCGCAGAAATGGCTAGCACTCAGGGTGTCAATGTGAGTATCGGCTAAGGGTCACCCTCTCCGCGAACCGGCTGTTGACCACATCTACGCAACCACAGGTCCTCCGTTACTCGGCTCTCGTTGCCGGTCTCGTCTACGGTGTCTACCACCAGTCCTCCCTCAACTCGATCACCAAGCGCACAGAGATTGAGCACGAGTACGCTCGCAAGGAGCGCCTGATCGAGCAGGCCAAGGCCGAGTACAAGAAGAAGACCCAACCCCAGGAGATCAAGACACAGCAGCCCACCGGACGTACGTTAAAATCCCTTGTCGATACGGTTTGACTCAATGCGAAACGATCCGGAGCAGCCGTCCACCCCGAACCTCCCCAGCGCTAACAAACTCCTTCTCTAGTCATCACGAATTTCGAGGACCCCAAGTTCGACCTGGAGGCATTCTTGCAGGCCAAGGCTGCGGAGTCGCAGTAAACGTGTTGGATGGAAGAGTGGAGGAATGATACGCAATGATCTATTTGCGGGAATCGCACCTCCCCCAGGGTATTAGACGCGATTTGCTCCAGTCCGCTCCATATTACTGTACGATTGTTTGGGTTTAATCTGCCCCCGAGCTGTGGCATTGCGAGCGAAAGATGGAATGATTTTGTTTCTTATTTTTAGACGTTTTATCTGGGTCCTGTACATACCCTGGGCTGTTGTGCGCCTGTACACTACAGTTGGACCATAAGCAAGAGCAAAAGATCGTGTTATGCATTCTGGCGTTTCTTCTAATATGTTCCAGACTGATATCGGTCCTGGTGATCCTTTGTCCTCGGCTTTATAGAAAGTGGACAGGGTATGTAACGATCGGGCCATGTAACCTCCGAATGGGGGATTGGATGTATCAAGCTATGTTTCTTAGGGATATTCGACAATTCAACTTCCACTCTTCCCAAGCATTTTCATCGCCTCGCGAATGCCGTCCGAAGACTGGTGGTCCGTGGGCGATACAACAATAGCCTTGGGGTGCAGCAACTTTGTCGCTGGGTCCCATGTCCACCCACACTTTGTGAAATTCGCTATTACATTCGGGTCTTCTTGCTCAGCAGCTTGCTCGACGAGACCGAGATATTTCGCTGCCGTCGATAGCCTTATCGCTTCGTAGGATGTGCTCACAGAAATCAAGGTTTTATTTTGGTAGAAGCCTAACAACAATGTAAGTGACTGCCAACAGGACTTGGTGATGGGCATAAATGCATACTCTCATATCTCCGTACTAGTGGCTGTAACGCCTCTGGCCATGGGCATTGCCGGAGGATTTGATAGACCTGACCAACTTGTGTCTGCCATACCGCTCGTAGTAAGGTCAAGCAGTTTTGCAGAGAAGAGTCTTGGTGTAGAAGAGCTGCAGGGATTCTTTTTGTCAAGGCACGAGCTTCGGGTCTGTAGAATAAGCCTCGTTAGTGGGTTGGCATTCGATAGATAGCACTTGACTACTAACACTTGATCGGTGAGGAGATGGACGAGAAAGAAGCTGGAATAGAACGCGCTTAATAGCGTAGGATCATTTCCGCTAGTTTCAGGGCTGCCGCTACCTGCGGAAATTAGGCATGCTTCCTGTTCGTATTGCGACAAGGCTTCGAAGAGCTGTGACGGTAGAGCGTTGGAGCTCACGAGCCCTGCAAGCTGCTCCATGGTCAATGGAGGCAGCTCCATCTGTGGCATGTAAATCGGTGAAATAAGACGGTGAGCTGTAAATGGTGTTGATTTCTGAGATATTCAGATACCACGTTAAAAGTTGAAAGTCGAGAGAGAGAAGAGATCCGACAGTCATAGTATTGCGGGGAGCAATCGGAGGTGGCGCCTCTCGCCGGTGCCAAGACCCTCAGAAGTGACCACCTTGTCGTAGCTCTCGCTCTTCCCATCTACACCCACGGCCCTCACCATTGGCACTTCAGCCCAATTCATTCCTTGGTTTCATGTTTCAAGTTTGATTTCTGACTCTGGACTCTGCTCCTTTTGGCCATTATGGCCCAGTCTTCGCTTGATGTTCTGCTGAAAGGCAGCTCCGGCCGGAACACGCGCGGTCTATTGCGGGTTATCATTCTCTGTACTATTGCGGCCGCCGCGGTGGCTAGTCGATTGTTCAGTGTTATTCGTATGTGTCAATTGAGACTCTTGATGGCCATGTGCTAACTTGTTTGCAGGATTTGAGAGTATTATTCACGAATGTACGGTTTCATGCTGCACTAGATGCACACCTTGACCTCCCCCAGAATACTCGGACGATATATTAATACAATTATTCTAGTCGATCCGTGGTTCAACTTCCGAGCAACAAAATATTTGATTGAAAATGGCTTCTACAGCTTCTGGGATTGGTTTGATGACCGTAAGCATCCCTTACCCGTGATTGCGCGTCCTCAACGATGGTATAACCGAGGTGCTGATGGAACATGTGTATAGGAACATGGCACCCTCTAGGTCGTGTCACTGGTGGCACATTGTACCCTGGCTTGATGGTGACTAGCGGCGTGATCTACCACATCCTTCGTTTCCTCACCATCCCCGTCGACATTCGCAATGTCTGTGTTTTGCTTGCCCCAGGTTTCTCTGGGTTGACGGCTCTCGCCATGTACTTCCTGACCTGTGAGATGTCGACTTCGCCCTCTGCTGGTCTCCTCGCTGCGGCTTTCATGGGTATCACCCCCGGATACATTTCGCGGTCCGTCGCAGGAAGTTACGACAACGAGGCCATTGCCATCTTCCTGCTCGTATTCACATTCTTCCTCTGGATCAAGGCCGTCAAGAACGGTTCTATTATGTGGGGAGCTTTGACTGCTCTGTTCTACGGATACATGGTCTCCGCTTGGGGTGGATACGTTTTCATCACAAACTTGATTCCCCTCCATGTCTTCGTCCTTATCTGCATGGGACGATACAGCACCCGTGTATACATCAGCTATACCACTTGGTATGCTCTGGGAACACTTGGAAGCATGCAGATTCCATTCGTTGGATTCTTGCCCATCCGTAACAGTGACCACATGTCTGCCCTTGGTAAGATCTTGGAGCTGCTTCATTACTATTACATTGTACTGACCATTCAATAGGCATCTTTGGCCTGCTTCAATTGGTGGCATTTGCCGAATTCGTTCGGGCCTACTTGCCTGGCAAGCAGTTCCAGAAGCTTTTGACTGCTATGGTTCTCCTCACCGTTGGCATCGCCTTTAGCGGTCTCATTCTGCTCTCGGTGACTGGAGTTATCGCCCCCTGGAGTGGCCGCTTCTACTCCCTTTGGGATACCGGCTACGCCAAGGTTCATATTCCCATCATTGCCTCTGTTTCTGAGCACCAGCCGACTGCCTGGCCTGCTTTCTTCTTCGACCTGAACTTCCTTATCTGGCTTTTCCCCGCCGGTGTGTTCATGTGCTTCCAGAAGCTCAAGGACGAGCATGTCTTCGTTGTCATCTACTCCGTCCTCGCCAGTTACTTCGCTGGTGTCATGGTTCGTCTCATGCTGACTTTGACTCCCATTGTCTGTGTTGCGGCTGCCCTCGCCTTGTCGGCCATTCTTGACAATTTCCTGGTTGCTTCATCTCCTACCCCGGAGTCCAAGGCCAAGGCCGCTACCGAAGACCCCAAGTCTCTTCGGTCGACCCGCAACCCCGTCGTTGGTATCTACTCGTACTTCTCCAAGTCTGTCGTAGCATGCTCGGTTACCCTCTATCTACTCTTGTTCGTCGCACACTGCACCTGGGTCACCTCCAACGCCTACTCCTCTCCCTCTGTGGTCCTGGCTAGCAAGCTCCCTGATGGAAGTCAGTTCATCATTGACGACTACCGTGAGGCTTACTATTGGCTGCGCCAGAACACTCCTGACAACGCCAAGATCATGTCCTGGTGGGATTACGGATACCAGATTGGTGGTATGGCTGACCGCCCTACTCTCGTCGACAACAACACCTGGAACAATACCCACATTGCCACTGTTGGCAAGGCCATGAGCTCCCGTGAGGAAGTCAGCTACCCCATCTTGCGTCAACATGATGTCGACTACGTCTTGGTTGTCTTCGGTGGACTTCTTGGCTACTCAGGCGATGATCTGAACAAGTTCCTCTGGATGGTTCGGATTGCCGAGGGTATCTGGCCCGATGAGGTAAAGGAGCGTGACTTCTTCACTGCTCGCGGCGAGTACCGCGTGGATGAGGAGGCCACTCCTGCCATGAAGAACAGCTTGATGTAAGCGATTTACCCTCGTATGATTTGTATCATTGCTGACCCAACAACAGGTACAAGATGTCCTACCACAACTACCAGAACCTCTTCCCTCCTGGCCAGGCTATGGACCGGGTTCGCGGTACCAAGCTTCCCAAGGAGAGCCCCCAGCTCAACACACTGGAGGAGGCTTTCACCAGTGAGAACTGGATTGTTCGTCTCTACAAGGTCAAGGACCTAGATAACCTCGGCCGTGACCACAGCAACGCTGTTGCCTTTGACAAGGGCCTCAAGCGTAAGCGTGCCAGTAAGAAGAAGGGTCCTCGTGTTTTGCGAACCGAGTAGATCGTCAATTCTAGACACTATTTGCATTTCTGTTGGCTGTTATGACAATATAGCATGCCGTTGTACTGTGTTTCCAAAACCTACCAAAATATATTCTTGGTCTAAAAACCTACCAGTAGATCAGTAACTTTAAAAATGCTCCCCACTTCCAATCTAATACTAGGTCTTCAAACACAGTGGAGGTCATTTTTATAGATCAACCCCAAGGTGGCAGTTCAGTAGAGCCAGTGCTACAAAAGAGGGGGGCCATCCAAGGCCCATCACAAATTATACAGCATATTCCAATACAATTCAATTTATTCTGTACATTGCAGCACAAATGCTGAGATAACCGCTAAACTTGCAGATCTGAAAAACAAGGTCTTCCGAAGACTCCAAAACCCCAATTTGCACCGTTGTTCCTTGGCCGCAGCAGGACGTTCAACTAAGCCGTGCGGGTATATGGTACACACCAAGCATATCAAATAGCCCAACCGTGTCAACCCAGTATGGAATACCGGGGGGCTGCGATATGCTTTACTTCCTCTCCGCGGGAGCATCCGGGACTTTGACGTCGGAGAATTCTTCTTGACCGACAGCCTTAATGGTGTAGGAGTCTGTTATATTGCATTGTGGTTAGCACATTGGTCTTGCTGGCTTTGTTTGGGCTTGTTGGATGTCTGCCAAGCTGGCAAGTGGCATGATCCTCTGCGCTGAAGACATGGGATCTCTGTACTCCAGGAATTGGGGTCGCGCAGGGCGGAACTTGGGATTGGTTCTTTACTCACAGACTGCAATTGTGAATGCGAACAGTCCAAAGCCGGTGAGGGCATTCTTGAAGAGATATGGCCGGCGGGCACGCAGGAGGGCGGCACCCGCGCGGTAGTCCTTGCCGTAGTAGGTGGAGTTGAAGCTGAATATTTGTTAGCAAGTATGCTTTCTTAGTCTCGGAAGTCACCCATACATTCCGGTAGCCATGTTGAGGAGGAGATGTAGACGGAGAAGTGGGAGACAAGAAAGTTGAGGCCTTGGCTCGTCTTCCGTAGGAAAAGTCTTGGCATCCGAGGCTCAGACAAACGCGAGACGTTACTTTTGATATTTTTTTATAGCTCTTATGGACTTGCTTCTAGATAGAAATAATCTTGTCAATTGAATCTAAACTGCGAGTCAAACGATTAATTTTCATGCAAATCCTATAGAAATGCGCGTGTGGTCAATAGATACATCGGAGTCTTTGGCGATCCTCGCCCTTTCACATCTCTCTCACTTTGGTCGCAACCTCACCATCACATCTCTTTTCGCACTCTCTTTACCGCCACGCCCTCTCTCAATACCATCCTTTTCGAAATTCCCACTGCACGCATTCTTTCGCGCTCTAGCAGGTGCGCATTCGAACTGCGACACCGACGTTCCCCGAATTTGCCGTCCTCCGTCTCGGCCTGGACCGCGTCGCATATCTGACACCCACCCGCCAGAGCCATAATGGCTCAACCTGCCGACACCGATCAGATCACCCAGCTCAATGCTGCCCGTAACCTCGTCCTCAGCGACGCTGCCTTTTACCCGCAGATCGTGAACGGCATCCTCCCCATCGTTGGAGCTAATACCCGACTCGAGCTACGAAGATGGGGTGCAGACTTCCTAGCTGAGACCTTTGCTAGTCCGGTACTTGCTGTAGCCCAGAAGGAGCAGCTTGCTCCCAATGTCTTGCAGACAATTCGAGATATCCTTGAGCTGCCGGAGAAGGACACTGCGGTACTGCAGAGCTTAGTGCAAACCTCCGCTAGCTTATACCCGCTTGTATTCAGACATATGTATGTCGAAATAAGTTTTTCTCTTCAAGGTGGCGCGGAAGCGCACTCGAATTTCGAAATGATCATCATGCTAATACCATCTCAATGGCAGTGTGAACCACCCCGATGACAGCAAAACATGGGAGACTATGAATGCTATCAAGCAGGTCATCTTCCGCCAAATGGACTCCTTCCCATGTCCCGTTAGAATTTGCTGCGCCAAATTTCTACAGCGTGTCGTTCAAGTGCAGACTCCGGGTTTGATCTCGGACCCCAGAGTATGTTCTGCCATCTATAGGCTTCCTATAACTGATGCTGACTATATACCAGCGACCGGAACAGAACGAGACCTCCTTAGCTGTTGTGCCTCGTAGCCATGCTCTTCTATCAATTCCGAATCTAGAAGCTGAATCATCGGGTCTGCTTGACCGATTGCTTGGTGTTTTCCAAGAAGAGATCAGGTATGACAACTGAATAGTGATTCTGGATGTCAATGGTAGTGCTAACTACAAGCAGTGATGCTCTTCTTGTAAATGCTACATTAAACTGCCTCGCACCTCTCATCCGAACTCGTCAGTCTATCGCCAATAAGATTGTAAATGCAGTTCTGGAATTCTATCCTTCAAAACACGTTCGACCTCCTTTCACTCCGACTGTTCGTGTCAGTGTGAAGTCCATGGAGAGGACAGCACGAGCTCTGCTTATCAATATCTTAAAAAGGTATTGTATTCATCCAAGTGAGAAGCGTGGATAAAATTAACATAGTTAGGAACCCGAACCACCCCATGTCTGGTAAAATGCAGATGTACATCGAGCGCTTGATGCAGTCACGTCTTGAGGCTCCTGATGATGCGTCTCGCAAACGTGGGTTGCCCAATGAGCCCACTGATGGTCTTGATAACGCAAAGCGCGCGCGACTTAATGCTTTGACTCCCCCCATGCTCAAGATCCCCCCCATGGCACCAGGACCCGCAAGCTTTGATAAGCTTTTCACCATCACAGAAGACATCGGACTGTCATCCTTTGACGTGAAGCAGCTTCCGTTCGATTTGGTACTCAAGATCGTCGTGCCCCTCTTGACGCAGGTCCACGACTCGACCCTCACACAGGCTACTGAGGTAAGCGGCGCTATAAGGATGATATATTGCCCACCGACTCACATTGCTACAGGCTATCCGCACCCGGTTGCAGACAATCACCAAGGAACAAAACATGCAGCGCCAACATCAACAGCAAGCAGCTGCAGCTGCCGACGATGACGATGACTACGAACCCGAATATCAACCCATGGATGCGGCATCCACCATCTCCGAGGAAGCTAGTGCCGTTGCGGCAGAAGTAGCCGATCTCCAGCCAGACCTCGTATCTTTGGGGCCATTCGTTCTGCCTCAACCACCCCCCTTGACCGAAGAAGAAGCCGCAGAGATTGGCCGCGCTGCCGTTGCACGCGTATTTGGCATGTTGAATGCCGCCGAGTCAGATCCACCTCCGGCCAAGAACCAACAGAAGCTCGGTTTCGCCCGGCTCGCAGGAAGCACCTTTGACCGGGACGCATGGACCGTTCTTCTTGCCCGCCTGGCTACACGCGCCCCCGCCGGCCTCGAAGACGACAACGCCAGCAAGACAGACTCGGCTGGACGCCGGCAAAGCACCATTGCTGAGTCGATTCGCGAGACGCTCTATCGGTACATCCTTGAGGATTTCCGGGGACGGCTCAACATTGCAATTATTTGGCTTAATGAAGAGTGGTACAATGACCGGATCAAAATGAGGAGTGCTGCTAATCAGCGTGCCGGATCTGAGGAAGAGACTCAGCCGACTGTTTCCTTGCATTATGATACTTGGGTTATTCGACTTCTTGATGGTTTCTTGGCTTATCTTGATTCTCGCGATATCAAGGTCTTGGTTCGCTTCCTCAGTGAAGTCCCTGAGATCACCATTCCTATCACTCAGCGGGTGGCCAGCTTGGCCAAGGATCCCGAGCGTGTTAACCTTTGCGTTCAAGCTTTGATGTGAGTTTTTGCGTCGCCGTCATCAAGTCCCCTTTACTGATTTTTTAAGGTACTTGGTCATGTTCCGAATTCCAGCGCGTGAGATGTGTTTGAATACGATAGAGGATGTCTACAAGACTTGTAAGTCCCAGCTCCACTCAATACCCATTGGCATGGTCCATCTAACGTGATATCAACAGACGAGGAATCTCAACCTGCCGCCAGGAAGGTTCTTATGAAGTGGCGGCCAGACAGTGCAGTACTAGCAACTGCAAATGGCGAAGAGTCATCGGTCGCACCTTCGCAGCCTGATACCCTGCCCACTTCAGCTGCGGAATAATTCACTAAATCGTTAATGATCCGGGATATTACAATCCTGTTTCGATATCGAGGGCTAGGTGGAAGGCGACTTCGATTCATTCACATATGACAGCTTTGTATCTTCGGCCATGTATCTTGGCCAGTGTTTTATTATGCCATTATTGCGATGCATGTTTCTTATGAGCTCAGTGGATATGCTAGCATAACGGTTTGTCTTTCCTAACTTCATTTTGGCTCTCTCGTTTCGATATCGTGCTCTTCGGAGCTTTTGTCACTTCTTGCATGCTGAGTAATCTCAATAACTTGATGGCTCTATTTGGCCTCCACGGTATTCAGAAGCTGCTGTGCTTATTGTCCGGATAGCATGACATCCGATAGAACTGCAGATATAATTACAAATACTTGGAAATTGGAAGGATGAAGGATCTGGGATGTGACCAATTATCCTTCAATCAATCAAATTGTGCATAAGTACGAAGCATTGAAGTATAAGAAGAGGCAATTACCAGGGTAAAGTCAACATACAAGCTACATCCTAAACAAAACCAACCCAAACCATGTCTACCATCCTCATCTCCGGCGCCAACAAAGGTATCACGCAAACCCAGCCCTCTCACAAACCATACTAAACAACCAAAGGAATTGGCCGTGCCCTCATCGTAAAATACCTCGCCCGCGAAAATGTAAATATACTCGCAGCAGTCCGCAACCCAACCTCATCAGAGACAACCTCCCTCTCTACCCTTCCAACAGGGAACAGCAGCCGATTGATAACCGTCAAAATCGATGCGAGCTCCAACACCGATGCCATCGACGCAGTGAAAACCCTCTCCGGCAAAGGCATAACCTGCCTCGACGTCGTCATCGCCAACGCAGGAATCTTCGACTTGGAAGCCTTTACCACCGTAGCCGAGTCATCCATTGAACAGATCCAGGCTCACCTAGATGTGAACACTCTCGGGCCTGTCCGCCTATTCCAGGCTACGCTGCCTTTATTGCAGAAGTCATCGTCTGCGCGCTTTGTCTTGATGAGTAGCTTGATGGGGACGATTGGTGGTATCAGGAATATCCCGCTTGCTCTTGCGCCTTATGGTGCCAGTAAAGCTGCTGCGAACTTGTTTGTTCGGAAGATTAATTATGAGCATGAGGGAATTGCTACTTTGTCTGTTCACCCTGGGTATGTGTTTGGGATACATTTTGATTGTTTTCTTTGGGGGTTGGCTGATATTCTTAGTAGGGGTGTCAAGACGGACGCTGGAAATGAGGCTGCGAAGGCCGCCGGATATCCTGGTGCTTCTGTTGAGGTTGAGGATAGTGTTAATGTTATTATTGCTAAGGTTGATGGGTTGACGAAGGAGAATGGGGCTGGGGAGTTTTGGGGTTATGATGATTCTATTATCGGGTGGTAGATGGGGGTCAAAGATGGTGTTGTGCAGAAAGAACGGCATAGTACAGAATATAGATTTGAGGAATGAGAAGTGGAAGAACCTTTCTTCTTTGGTTGTTGCAGTCAATGTATCGATCCCGATGTATCGATTTTGACCCCCTGTAGTTTGCTTTTCTGATGACAGCACAAATTATCCTCCTTCAATATAGCCCTAAGCAACGCATTTTGTGTATAAAGTTGGGAGTGGACGTGAATTCATAGAGGGAAGGGGTTACAAGAACAAGCTGTGATGTGCTTCTACTTTCCCAAGACGAAACAGCTACAGAAAGGACCTAATTCAAGAAGAGACATGAAGATTTGTGGTAATCAAATACAACCGTGGTATGTACACTAACAAGCACAACACCAAGAAGAAGTGTAAGACACGGAAGAGAAAAGAAGAGACTCCAATGCAAGAGATATTCCTCTATCCAAGAGACCAGAAAACAGAAACAACAGATAAGAAAAATCCATACCCCATACACCACATTTGATAGAACAATAAAGCACCTCGAACCAGATTCTGTTCTATACAGACAGATATAGGCCATGAATCCAAGGTAAGTAAGTGATAAGTGGAGGTTCCCACATATGAACGCTGCTGAAAGTAGAAAACAAGAGATCCGGTATTCCATTCATGCAAACACAAAGGCAACTCATCTTTCTTTCGGTTCGGAAAGAGTAATGGCCGAAATACATTTGTGGGTGTAGCAATAACAGGGAGTAAAAATAGACACAGGGCTTATCACAGAAAGGAGAAATCAGGTACGTAGGATGCAGAGAAAAGGTGGGGAGGTTGGTTGGGTATTAAGAGAGCTGGTAATTCAATCATAACAAGTCGGGGACAACATTTAGCGGGTCGGCATGTGATTTGAGCTAGAGCCTGTTGCAATTCCTGACTGATGGGGGCGGTAGTGTACCGCATCAACGGGTTTGGAAGAGAGGGATGGGGAGATATCCCGTTTGAGACCCGCTGGCTGGAATAAGCCTTGTCGCGCAGGAGGCGGAGAGAAGATATGGTTGTTCGTGGGGACGTCGGTAGCAGAAGAACGCTGCTCAAGAGAGTGGGGGAGGTGTGGTTGTGATTTGCGCACATCCAATGGAGAGGAACTTAAAGAGCGGAATCCAGATTTACCGTGGTCAGCATCATAGTCAGGGTTACGGAAAGGCCCTTGTGTTTGATGCCTCGGGTCTTGTTCCATGCCGTAGGGGGTATTGTTGGCAGATGAGTTGGCCGCAGAGGCATTTTCGGGGATGGTGGATGCGGATCCATTTGGTGCATTTATGTCTACCATTCGCTTTTGGGCGGCGGGGGTGGTATATGACGATGGCTGCGGATACTCAAAAGTACGACCTTGAGGTCGATGTTGCTGGGGGTGATGTTGATGCTGTTGCTGCTGCTGATGGATCGGATGCTGGGGATTTGCCCAGGGAGTCTGTTCTAGGAACGCTTCTTCGGCAGCGCGGAAGGCATTCGTAGACATGGCAGATATAGCAGTGCGGGCAGGCATCGCTGATGAATGCCTTGGAGCCGAGGCACGAGACTCGATAGTAATCTAGACAATGTTAACATTCGCAATTGATCAATTGAAAGCTACAAGTTACTTACCCCCATCTTTTCCAGGTCGTCATCAAGTTCTGTAGGGCGTGCTCCCAACAAGCTTGGAGCAGCGGGGAAGCCAACATACTTCGCAACACCAGCCATGATTGAAACCTCCTGGTTATATGCCGTCTGGTGCGCGATCTGCTGTGAACGACGAGTAGGGAACGCGATGATATGATGCGGACTGAGTTCATCGGTCTTGAAGCGATCATGCTGAATGGCATAGAACTGCTTGCTGATGTCACTCGAATGCTTCTCGCGCACATCTCGGACTCGTTGGAAGTATGTGCTGTGTGCCTGAGCCCGTTCCGCCAGGCCCTTGTTGAGCAACGACTTCATCCGGTATTTATACAAGTTACCCTCGTACTTGATCTTGGCATCCCGGTAACGTTGCACACATTCGATCTGACGCAGATACTCGGGATGTGTCGGATTCGGACCAGTCAGCATCTCGAGTTCTCGGTTGAGTTTAGATATCCGTTCATCATAAATCCTGCGCTTGTTAACATCCACATATCAGGAATAGGGCGGCTTCTTACTTGTCACGTAATGTCGCAAATTCCTTCTCTAGTGTCGCCAGAGAATCCAGAGCAGACATCTTTTTGACAGCTGTTCATGCGTTAGTAATCGTGCTGCGTAGGACTTGTGAGAAAACATACACTCTTCTTCAGCTCGAACCGTTGCTTCCGCGTCGTCGGGTTCATCGCCTCGTTCCGTAGGCTCTTCGTCTTCTCCAAGAATCTCATCAGCGACGTCCTCTGCAGTGGCATCGGCACCACCAGTTTCCGTCTCCTCATCTGCGTCTTGGGCCCGTCTTCCCTTCCGCTTACCCTTTTTGCCCTTTTTGCTTTTCATAGGCGGGGCTGGGAGGTCCAGTTCGGGAGCATCATCAGCCGGTGCGTCATCATCGTTGATCGCCATATGATCTTCGAGCGGCTCGGGGGAGAGGGGGGTATCGTCATCGATCGGGTCGCTCAAGTCGCTCTTGATTGAGCTTCGGCGCTTCTTCATAGGTTCATCATCGCCCACCTCAGTGCCGGTTTCATCACCGGCCTCGACGCGTTTTCGCTTCTTGCTAATGCTGTCTGGGAGCTCGACATCACCGAGGTCGGGGATGTCACTGCCCAAGCCATTGTTCTTAGAAGGACGTCGCTTACTAGGTGAGTCCTCCGGCGCTTCGTCGTCGACATCGTCAAGTGTCGTAGATTGGTGGAGCTTGCTCGGACTAGGTCCGGCACTGCCAGCACTTAGCACAATGTCGCGCTTTCGGATATTGTGAGGAGAATCCTCGATGCGCTCGGTCTCCGCCTCCGAATCGTTCTCCATTGGCTTGTCCGATTTGCTCGGGTCTTCGAAGTCTGAGGGCTCATTCTCCGAGACATCGTCGATCTCACTCAAACTACTTGAGCGTCCATCGTCGTCCATGAGGGGGTCGTCTAGAAAGGGATTCCGATCTCCATTGGGCATGGAGTCTGGCCCCGTTGACGGACCAACGGAGGCCTGTTCTCTGCTCTCAGCCACCTCCATTGAGAAGGTTGTATGGGGTAGAGCTGGCGCAAGCACAGTACGAGTGGAAGGAAGGAAGATTGGAGGGTATTGGTACTAATGTTGCTTTCGGCGAGGTTGAGAATCGCCGCTGGCGTGAGGGGAGGAAGGTCGGTCACCGATCCACCAGATAGTGTTGGGATGGAAATTCTGGAGAGATCAACGATTGGATTAGCTCAATTGCCATGTCAACTCCACAGAAACAGTGGACAACAGTGTTGGTGGGCAAAAAGTGGTGGGTGGGTGCGAAAGATAGGTCAGCGCCTCCAGAAGGCGGTGGTGCGGAGATTGATCATCGGACGCCCCCAGAGTCGGAAACAATCGCCCAGCGTAGGAACTGGAGGCCGCGCAAAGCGACTGTACCGACAAAACTGACTCCAAGGACAGTAGAGACCTTAGTTTCTCACAGAAATGACCAGATGAAAGTCTGGCATTAATGTAAACCTCAAGCGACGTACCGTTTCAACAATGCGCCGGAACCGACGCCGGTGATGAGCACAGCTGCTCGCGATCGAGCACTATTCTCAAAATCACCGCGTTCCTGGGATGCGAGAGGTAACTTGAGTAGAAGTCCACGCGTACCGCCACTATTGTATGTTGTGAAAGCTTTCGATTCGACGAATCCTGAGCAGACCGACTCTGGAGGGCGAGGGGAGGTCGGCTAGGAGGACAAGACGAGGGTACCGAATCGCAGGAGGACGGACGGCATGAAGGTGTTGTGGAGGATCTTGACCAGGACCAAAGCAATGATCAGGGATGGTAAAGCAGAGCAAAAGAGGGGGTTTCAGCAGCGAAAAGCAGCAGAGCGCTATGATGGGGTGCAGCAACAGAAGCGAGTGACGGGGTTCTGCCGCGTTCCGGCGAGTGCGAGACTCACCGCCCGAAGAAAAAAGCAAGTCACGTGAAGTAGTATCTGACGTAGACAGAGCTGAGAACATAAGTATATAGCTGGTGTGTAAGGTAGATAGATCAGATTGAAGAAGAGTATGTGGGTGAAATATAGTGGTCTGATGTGTATGTGCATGTCAAAGTTCAATCATAGCATTTACCCTCCGATCATTTACTACGTACATACATCGCAGTCAATATAATGGATGCTAACAAACAACGCATGCAGAGAAGATCCTTATGCATCTCTAGCCAATTTAGCCAAATTCCAATTTATCCCGTTTCTCCCATTTGCATTTGATATTCACACCGACTCTATACATGTCATGTGATAAGCAGCTTCCCGCGCCAAGACCCGATAAGCAGAAAAAAAAAAGTCGATAGAGATCAACTCCACGTCTCCTTTGGTATCACCAATTCCACCAGATTTCAAGATGGGAAAAAAGTCAAAGTCCCAGCCCAAGATGGACGACAAGCCCAAGGCTGCCGGTCTTCCTTTCGGAGGTGCTGCTGCTCTGGACCCAACATTGTCCTCACTTTTCGCATCAAGTGTATGTTGATATCTGAGTGTTTAATTGCAGAATATGTGACTGACAATTATTAGGCTGGACCTGTGCAAGCTCCTACAGTGAAGTACGCTGAGCCTTACCAAAAGAAGAAGACTGAAGAGGATGCCGACGAAGACGATCTATCCGCCGCATCGGACGACGAAGAGATGGATGATGCCCCGGAGGAGAGCGAATCTGAGTCCACAGAGGAACAGCCTACAGATACCCAGAACCGCAAGCGCAAGCGAGGTGCCGCCGCAGAAGATCTTGAGGAGACATACATGCGCCGCATCGCAAAGGAGGAGAAGAAGGATGAAGAGAAGAGAAAATCCGAACACGCCAAGCGCCAAAAGCAGACTGAAGCCGAGTCCGAATCAGAGGAAGCTGAAGCAGCTGAAAGCGCCGGCTCCGACAAGGAACCAGGATCCGAGGACAGCGACGAAGAGGAAGACAGTGGTCCCGCTCCCGTGCACGAGAGCTTGGCTGGTCCCACTCCCTCCAGCGAGGTCGAGAAGTCTAACCGCACAGTCTTCTTGGGCAACGTTTCCACCCAGGCTATCAAGTCCAAGACCGCCAAGAAGACCCTTCTCCGTCATCTGGCTTCCTTCTGCTCAACGCTCCCCGAATCCAGCGGCCCCCACAAGGTCGAGTCGATTCGTTTCCGCTCCGTTGCCTTTGCCAGTGGTGGTGGTATCCCCAAGCGTGCTTCTTTCGCCAAGCGCGAGATCCTCGACGAAACCACCCCTAGTACCAACGCCTATGCCGTCTTCTCCACACTTCAAGCCGCACGCAAAGCCCCTGCTGCCCTGAACGGCTCGATTGTTCTGGACCGCCACCTGCGGGTGGACAGTCTTGCGCATCCTGCTGAGATTGACAACAAGCGCTGTGTCTTCGTGGGCAACCTTTCTTTCATTGACAGCGAGACACCCGAGGAAGATGAGAAGACCGGCAAGAAGAAGAAGGTTCGCGCGCCCGCCGATGTTGAAGAAGGTCTCTGGCGCATTTTCAACACCCACATCGGAGGCAAGGACAAGAAGACCCTCAAGAAGAACGTTGAGTTTGTCCGGGTTATTCGCGACAGCACCACCCGTGTCGGCAAGGGCTTCGCATACGTTCAGTTCTACGATGGAAACAGTGTCGAGGAGGCACTTCTGTTGAACGAGAAGAACTTCCCACCCATGCTTCCCCGTAAGCTCCGCGTGACCCGTGCCCGTAAGGTGGCCAAGAAGCGCGAGTCCTCTGCTCCTGGTGCGAAGAACTCTCGTGCCGATGAAGCGAAGAAGACCCTGCAGGGACGTGCTGGCAGGCTACTGGGCCGTGCCGGTGCCGCTAAGGTCAATGCCGAGGCAAACAGCACCATTTCTGGTAACTCCTTTGTGTTCGAGGGTCACCGTGCTACCGAGGGATCATCAACCCTAAAGATGAAGGGCAAGAGCCGTGGTTCCAAGGCCAAGAAAAATAACCGAAGCATGAAGCGGGCTGCGGCATACAAGGCTGCTGGTGGCAGAAGGAACTAAAATCGGGCGAGAACTGTATCTTTATGGCGTTTTGAAGGGCATTTGAATATATCTTACAAAATTCGAGAGCACTGTATATTCTACGAGTTCACGTTTGATACCTGCTGGGGCCAATTTAGAACTGACGTCATGTCAACAATGTAATCGATCACTGACTCCTTCTTAACTTTCACCTCGACATACTCGAACGCGAAGTACAGTACTTCTAATCCTTCAACGAGCTATCCTCACCTGCTCCACAATTCCAACGGAGCCGTCGTGTTTTCAACTGCACTTCACTTGTATGCGGGGAGAAGCGAACCCTATCTACTCACACCGACACCATATTCCACACGAAGACATAACCAGACCGGAGTCGGGTGGTACAGAACAAAAGAATACTTCCGGGCAACCAGGCCAAGTCTAAGTGGTGTCTACAGTACTCCAGGACTCAGGCTTGCAGTGGCGTTGTAGCCTGAACACCTACCTTAAGACCACTTTTTCGAGGTGTCACCAAAGCTTATATCATTTACAAGTCTATCCAAAAACCTAGAAAGCCACAATGTTACCTTTTGGCCTTCGCCGCGGGCAGCTGGGCCGCAACCACATGCCTCCAGATCTTCCAAACAACGTGACCAACAACTCCGGCTCCGATCCTGAAGAAGCCCCAGCCGAAGATCTACCAGAGCCAGAATCAGTGATCTTCTACCCAAATCTATGGGACGTCCTCAAAGTCCGATATACACTACAATGGAAGCTCACAAAAGGCCTACCGGAAGAACTAATCGACATGATCGTGGACGCAGCCGAGTACTGGCCTTCCGTGGAGCACAAGATGCAAGACCAGAAGGTTGTCCAAAAAGACTGTGATCAAACCCTCCTCAAGACAGTACCACTTTGCTACGATCGAAACGTACGTCTCCACCTGTCCCAGTAAACAACCTCATATACTAACAACTCCACCCAGAGCCTAGGAAAAGTCATACCCCCAAAGCCCCTCCCCCACCGCGGTGCCCACCCCTGTCGCAAGATAATCTTCAAACTCTCATCCCGCGACCAAGGTGGCGGCCGACGCCGCGAGAACATGTACCAATTCTCATGGACATGGTTCGATACGGAAGTTATCAAGGCTGCGCACGAGCGAAAGATGTATATCAACGGCGAAGAGCAAGCAATACTTGACAACGAGGGTGGTCAGAAGCGGAAACATTACACCGAGGCTGATGCGCTCCTTCTCCCGCGCGGTAATAAGTTGCAGGTTAATGGTGCTCATGTTGGGGAGATGCAGCATGTTGAGATTGTTTGGGATTATCGGGATGGGATTCCACCTGAGTCGACCGAGGCTGATGAAGCTGAGAGGGATCTTGGACGGGGGAGGCTTACGCTTGATGGACGGGGGGTGCGTGAGTTGGAGATTGGGGATTCTATTGCTCTTTGGGCTAGGGCTCGGTTTCCGGGGTGGTCTAATCATGTTGAGAGGGCTTCTGTGAGGGTTTTCTGGGCTGTTTGAGATTTGATTTGGATAAAGATGTACATGGTATTTTTGTATAGGGCATTGAACAAATTAACAATCAGAATATCAACTGACAATCATGGTAAAGTGAGGTTCTAGTTAACTAGGTGACATATGTGTTGGAACTTGCTGTCTTCCGTAACTTGCTCAGCCAATGAGGGCATTGAAATCTCTCTCATTTATTACTTGCTATTTCTTGCTATTTATGCTATGCTCATCCTTAGTAATCCGCTCATTCGGAGTTACTATAATTCCGGTTCTCAATCCGTATTCATGAATGCAGCACTGACAATATGTTGTTGCCTTGTTCCTCAGGCCAGCATGAGCACGCAATTTCGCCAAGGCCAGCGGATCACCAAACAGTCGCAGTATAAAATCAAATGGCGCCCTCGGGCGGCTTTCTTTCTTGTCCCCCTGATTTCCTCTTGTTTTCCTCTAGCTGTCATGTCAGTGACCATGTCACTCATACTAACCTCACAGACATCCCAATGATGTATCCATCACCGCTTCTTCAGCCCTGGATGCCATGACACGGCACATGGAACGACGCAGCCGACAGCCCGAGCCCAGTGGGGCCCAGCGTTCCCTCGACTATGGCTCTCGGCCGGTTAAGAGCAGTCTCCGATGGTCACCTTGGGACTACAGTGACGAAGTAACTAACTCGCAGTATATTTGACCGCCTCGAGCTGCGCAACGCTATGGGTTCACTGTTTATTGGGGACCTTGGACTGGACAACGAGAATGATGATTCCCGTCTTAGCGATGACCCGACTGGACACCGGTTGCGTTATCTGCACCCATGATGATCGTGAACACTGACGCATTCTTTGCGGAAAGGCCGTTCTTGGCTCTGTACCCCTTCCCCCTCATCGCCGATTGAGTCGGCGATACATTTCAATCGCCGACCCATATTCTATTTAGATCGAATTAAATCTGTTTACTTATTTTACTATCTTGACTTTCTTTCTCTCCCAATCTCTGATCTCTCATTACTCGACATGGCTACTCGAAAATGCGCCGCGGTTGTTGTCGGAGCTGGCCCGGCCGGCGTCGCTGTCATCGGAAACTTGCTGGAACGTCAACTAGGCACGATAGCATGGATCGACCCATATTTCGAAGCCGGCAGAGTCAACAAGAACTATCGCGAAGTCCCTAGGTTGGTATCAGACCACCACGGACCACAAAAGGGTATACTAACAAACAAACCACCAGCAACACCAAGGTATCTCTATTCCAAGCCTACGCAAAAGCAACCACGCCCTTCCAAAAGGCAATCGAAAACACAAGCCTCCCAAACGCCTTTACAGCCCTAGAAAAGCTAGACCAAGACAAAACATGCCACCTCCACTACGCAGCCGACATGGTCCGCGGCCTAACAGACGGCCTGCAAAAGATGGACGAAGTATACGCCTGCCGGGGCTTCGTCTCAGCAGCAAATCTAAGCGAAAGATCAGGCACTCCAACTTGGACAATCCGCATCACACAAAAAGACAATCCAGCAGATCTCCAAATCGAAACAGCCCGCCTGATCCTCTGCACAGGTTCCCACCCAACGACAGTGCCCCTCCCAATCCAAGACCCAACCCTCCAACGCCTGGATCTGGACCTAGTGCTGAAACCAAGCGCGTTGGCTAAACACCTCCGCGCTGACATCCCCGTCACAACAGCCGTCGTCGGTGCTTCCCACAGCGCCATCCTAGCCCTCCTCAACTTAATCAACCTAAACAATACAACACACCCGAACCTCCGAGTGAAATGGTTTACGCGCCACCCGCTCCGCTACGCAGAATATAAAGACGGCTGGATCCTCCGCGATAACACAGGACTTAAAGGAATGGCCGCTGAATTCGCGCGCACTCAACTCGAAGACGATAAGCTAGCAACATCGCCAGCCGGCAAAGTTGTCACCAAGATCGATTGCGGCGGTGGACGTGAAGCCGAAGCGGAGATGTATCAGCGTCATATGCCGGGCTGTGATTACGTTGTTCAGGCTGTGGGATATACGCGTGATCCATTGCCGCAGTTGAAGAAGGAGGGTGCGCCACTTGCTATTGAGTTTGATCATGGCAATGGTCGTTTCCATCAGACTGGTGGTGCGGATGTTCCTGGTTTGTTTGGGGCTGGTATTGCTTTCCCTGAAAGGGTTGTTGATCCGCTTGGGAATGTTGAGTATGCGGTTGGGTTCTTTAAGTTTATGAAGTTTTTGAAGAGGGTTGTGCCGACGTGGTGATGTAGATTTGTGGATTATCGTTTCTTACTCTCTTGCAAGCCTATGTGTCTTTGATAGACTATGATTCAGCGTCTGGTATTAACATCAGTTGGTGTTTGGGGGCGTTCGGGCTGCTTTGCAGTTTTCAATTGATATCATTCTTACTTCTATTCATCGATCTGCTCTCGTAATCTATATTTTCGGACTCTATTTTCAGAGTTGCAAAGTAGCAAACACACTGCAAGCAATCAATCACTGGCACAGCAAGATACTCAGGTACATATATTGCACTGCCACTCTGTTCACTGATGGATATCATGGGAAGAAACGGCTTGTTATTGCTTCGCTGCAACAACGATTCTCTTGATCTGAGCATCATAGCTGCCTAGACACTCGTTTTCCAGCTCGTTGTAAGGAGGACATATCCAATGAAAAGAAGATTTAGCATTTCCCTCTAATTTAACATAATTGTATAGCCAGATTTATATCCAGTTCATTCATCATAAGATGCAAAATACCCACATCATACCACCTCAACATAATCATGAACATAAACACAAGTATATCAATAAAACATCAATGGACCACCTAGCACCACCACCGCCAACCCATCCATAACCCAGCCCAATCCCAATGTAATCAATCCAACCACATCCCCCATCAACCCAAACCCCCAATTACAGCCCCAAAACTAACATCAAAACAAAAACAACCGCGAAGACACCCACAGGCCTCACCCCAATAGCCCCATTACTATCCGTCTGCGTAGCAAAATGATCCCCGGTCTCAGTCGCCGTAGCCCGATACTCACTCTGACTCGCAACAGCCTTCTCATCATACCCCGTAGCAGTAACAGTGTAAGTAGCACTAGACTGGCTCCAAGTAAGAACAGTCCCACTAGGCGGGGCGGTAACCGTGCCGCCAACATTATGCAGCGTGGACGTCCCGTTATCAGGGAAATCACCGGGCTTGTAGAACTTGTCTGCGTCGCTAAATCCGAGGTCCCGGCACGTGTTGGTGTCCAGTCGGGAGTCGCAGCTTGAGGATGACCAGGCCCAGTTCCAATTTGGGATGGAGTTGTACAAGTTGTTCTCTGTGGAGTCTGGGAAGAAGATTGGCCAGAGGTCTGCGCCTGCTAGGGTTGGTTTTGTGTGTGGGCAGATTTCGTAGGCTCTGTTTTTTTTTTTTACTTTTTGTTAGTTTGGAGGAAATGGATGAGGTAGGGTTTGGTTGGGTGGGAGTGGATGTGACATACGCAGAGATACTAGCACTAGCACCACAGCAAGCACAATCCGATGCCCGGCCCGCGATGTCGAGTCCATTGCTTAGATTCGATAGATCGGTGGGATTGGAAGTAATCTGATCAGTGACTTTGCGCATACACTGTACCTGATCATTGCGCGAAGACAGCGTCGTTTTCAGGACTTTGCCCAGATCGCAGGAACAGCGGTTCGGTGCGTTGTCTGGGGCTGGCCAGAAGGGAATTGGCTCTGAGGCGCTGGGGCAGATGGCGAAGTATTGCTGGACGAAGAGTTGGTATTCGCAGGAGTAGACCTGAGGTATATTAGCATCGGATCTTTCAGGTGTAGATGGGAGGAAGAATGGGTGTGGGTATATACCTGGTTCCAGCACGTCTCGGCCATACAATTGATATACTTCTGATGAGAAGTACAACCACAATCAACGATGCAATTGCCATCACCGCGGCAATCACGAATACACGAGCTCCATTTGCCCGAGACGTCCGAGTTGCACCTCCTATACTCGGACGAGGAGGCACAGGCGTTGTCTGTGATATTGGTTTGGGCATTGGCCAGACCGGACAGGGCGGCGAGGGCCGCAGCTGATGCGACGAGGAATCTGGTGGATGGCATGGTGAACAATATAGAGACGATCTATACAGTGTCTGAATCTGAATTTGAATCCTCAACCAGATCTCGGATCGATGCAAAGAGTCCACCGCTAGAGTCAAGATCTCAGATTTGGGTGGGATCCGCTGGCCTCTTTATACATCCCAGAGAGCATCATCTGGGTATGTACGTATCAAAGCCTAATGCAATAGAATTTTCATCCTACGGTCCTTCCTACAGTAGTGCAAACTCGGAAGCGCGGCGCAATTCTGCAGCCAAGAAAGCCAGTCGATCATAACGAATAGAACTGTCATCGCTGACAAGTAAAGCCTGAGCCATTGAGATCGCAGAAAGGGACCTAGTTTCTGCATATCTCACATGTACATGCGAGTAGTCATATTTTGTTTAGCGGGCTTTGTGTTCGTCGGGTTCTAGTCGAGGGTCGAGCTACATGTTGTAGACCCTTGGGCGATGCATCAGAGAGAGCTGGTGGAATCCATGCATTTGATTCGATGATTCCATGATGGTTATGGGGGTGGTTCTTGGTGTATGTATAGCGTGCTGCAAGATGCCAGGGCGCCCTTGCTCTGACACGAGCGAACTCCGATCGCCCTTGCGTGGGATGGGGATGGGGTGGTTTTATATGGGGTTCGGGGATATTTGTGAGGTCATATATTGTCTTGGGGGTTCTGGGTTTCGTTTCTATGTCTGCTTGTAGTGTGGTCTGTTTGTGCGGTGTGGATATGTCATGTATGAACTGTACATGTGCAGTGACTGGGGTTGGAGGTTAGGGGGTTCAGTAGTGTGCATGCCTAGACTTGGTTCTCGTATTCTCATGGATTGAACCGAAAAATCGAAGACACATGGATTGGGTAGTCTGTTTTGTAATATTGCAATATTGAATTGATATGCCTGAAACGATCGGAGTGAATTGGGATTGGGATTTCATCGAGGGAAGTAAGTCATGTGCTGAGTCACAGGGTCTTGGAGAGCCCTAGACATGAATGAGACAGTGTTCATAACTCCGTGTCGGTGAATCTGCAGGCTACAGTAGATTCCAACTTGAGCCGGGAATTGACTCGGCAGAAGATCAAAAGATAAAATTCAGACTAAACACACTACAGTCAACACGTATCCACCTGCCTATCTGAAGAGATATAAGGGAGATGACACTAAGCCGTTGAACTCCACAGCCGGCTGATCTTCATTTACAAGAACTTGGCCTTGAACACTGACAAGTAGTCCAAGGTTAGCCCCTTGCCGAGAAAAGGCTACTGGCCCCCTTGTTACATTGAACAGTACGGCAAGGACAGTACAAACTACTCTGTATAATGCATTGAGCGGAAGTCCCGGATAACCGAGCACCCTACCCTAATGTGCTGTCCGGAGCGAAAAAAGTGGACAACGACGATCCCAATGATTATCTCCGAGTCCCACCGTCGCTCGCTTGTCGATCAGAGGGGAAAAACGCTCAGTTCACGGCAGTTAAATTCAAGGACGTCAAAGGGCTCCAAAGCGCGGGAAATAAAATACATTTTCGTTGGTACATCCACAAAGAAAAAAGGGGGTAAATCGGACGGGAAGTAATTATTCGTAGATTCAAGGGATATTCCAAACAGTTATCGTAAAACACGCTTAGCCTAAGCATAACATAAATGTGAAAAAGAAATAATAACCACAATAAGCCCAAACCTGACCAGTCATCGGGAGTGGTATTTTTGTACAATATGCCAATGACCGCCAAGGGTATGGGCAACAAAGGGGGAGCTGATCTGTTTCAGATACAGCGACCAAGAAAGAGAAAAAATATCACCAATGGATGGCAGCTAAATGCGCCGAGACATGGTCATGGTCAATTTACAGCATGGCGATGGCACCGGCGACGACGGCCAGGAGGCCACCAGAGACGCGGTTGGCGACACCGGCGTTGGTGGTAGGCACAGCGGACTCGGAGGCCGAGGAGCTAGCGGCGGAGCTGGTGGAGGCAGTGCTGGAGCTGGAGCTGGAGGAGTCGGTGGTGGAAGCGGAGGTGCTGGCAGCCGAGCTGGAGGTGGCCATAGTGGTCTGGGAGCTGGAGCTGGTCGAGGCGGAGCTGGAAGACTCGGTGGTCATGGTGGTGGTAGGGGTGGCGGAACTGGTGGACTCAGACGAGGTGCTGGAGGTCTTGCTGGCGGTGGAGGTAGAGACAGAGACGGTCGAACCCTCGACGGTGAAGCGAGGCAGGAAGTTGTAGTCGGAGGTGTCGACGTCGGAGATGATCTCAATGGTGTAGTCGGGCTGGGCGGCCAGACTGGAGGGAACATCCCAGGTGTAGCTGCCGTCGTTGGCGATGTTGGAGGCGAGGACACTGCCAGAGTTGGCGGTGGTCACGGCTCCCCATTGCAGGCGCAGAGTGACGGTGCCGCTGGTGGTTGGGGTCCAGGTCAGAGTGGTGGACTCGCCGACCTTGAAGGTGTAGCCATTGGTGGGAATGTTGAAGGAGTTGGCAGTGCTGGAAGCAGAGGCAATGGCGGCCAGGGCGACGACAGCGAAGGAAGTGAAGAAACGCATCTTGGTGGGAAATGTAAAGACGGGAAGGTAAGATGTGCAGATATGCAGATATATAGATGCAGAACGACTGAAGAGATAGAAAAGTCAAGCCTTAAAAGAAGGGAAGGCGAAGTTTATAAGAGGCAAATGGAAGAACGAGCCGAAAATGAGGCGCAAGCGGAGGTGAGTGCTATAAGAGAGTCCATGGTTTGTTAGCTGGAGACTAAGGGACTTCCAATGCCCGAAAGAGTCAAGAAAACAAATAGCGCCAAATGCAAGGTACAGCGATTGGCTGCGATTGCAACTCTCGTGGCGGAGACCCACGAGCTTTTGCCTGTCTGTGGCCATTAACGGCTTTGATTTCCTCGCTTGGCAGGGAATCTCGTCCGTTGACTGGTGCAAGTCCCCACCGTCGGCTTACTTCGGCTACAATTCCTCTTTCTTTCGCGCTAAAAACGCCCCAAGATTTGGAAGGACTTGTCCGAGATAGCACTAATTTTAGCCGGAGGCTGTCATCTTTATGATTGGGCGAATACGAAGAACAGAAAACGAGGATTTGGGGGCGACCATCCTGGGAGGGATTATGAACTGAATGTGACCTGCAGGGCCACGCGACTCATGTTCGGCTAATTGTACAAGTTCCAAATCAGACCAAACCCCCGACTTCTCGGGTTTAGTCCTTGCGTATATTCAGTGCGGTTGGGTATCGGGAGGCGCAAGCATATTGTTCTGTCCAAGCCAGGAGATCACTTCCATAGCTCGGTGGTCTTCGTCTTGTTTTTGTCGGTCCAGGAGCTATGCTTATGTTAGAATTTCTATCAAAACCACACCAGAAACAAAACAGAAAAAGTAAAATACTCACGGCTTGGTATAGTCCCTTGCGTCCTTTGTCCTTCTTTTCAGCCTTGGGTTTCGGCCCTCGTTCAGTTGTCTCGTGAAGGAATTTGCATTGGTCGCCGCGGTTACACTGCCCGGTTCGCGCAAAGTACCGGCAGGTGGTCTTCTTCCCTTCACGGGGCGGCGGCGCCACTTTCTCGGGGCCAGTGCGACGTGAGCTAACCTGCTCTGGCGCCGAGTCGCTGTCGGATTCGGAATTTGAATCAGCTTCTGAACCACTCGATGAGGTCCAGTCGCTGCCGGAAATGTCCATGTCATCGGCGCCATCGCCATCGCCATCTAAAGGATTTTCGATTTCAATGATTGGATCTGAAACATCCGCATCCACTGTTGGGTGGGCCTCCAATGGAGACTCTGAGATACGAGGCTCATTTGGAGGCTCATTCGAGATTGGAGGCAAATCATGCGGCTCCGTTTTGATGTCCGAACCCTCCTGAGCCGCTGAACTCAAACTCAGTGCCTCCTTCTGCAGCGCTTCGAACCGAAGACGAGCTGCCTCGGCCTCGGCAATTGCTTTGGCGATCCGCTTCTGCTCCCGATCCAGGTTGCGCTGGATCTTGTCAGCCCTACGCTGATTGTCCGCCCTATTAGGCGATTCTGTATTACTGTCACTGGGCTTGCGATCGGCGTTTCGCTTCGCCTGCTGCTCATTGCACTTTAGCTGACGGGCAGCTTCACGAGTAGCCTTTGCCTCGTCCGCAACCTTCTGCTTTTCTTCAACCCGAGCCTTGGTCGGGAACTTCTTCTTTCTTTCTGCGATCCAAGCGGCAATCTCCGATGGCGTTTGTAGCGTAGCTGTCTGACCTCTATAGGAAAATTGAAGGGGTGCGGCGTCTGATTCCCCTGTTGCTAGCTTGGATTCCTCGTCCGCTTCCTCGTCGTCCTCGCTGGATTCATGGTCCTCAGTCTTGGGGGTCAAGCCTAGCTGATTGTGCTTCCGCTTTCTCTTCTTCTGTTTGCGATTATTGCCATTCGCATCTGCTGCTGGTGGTGGCTTGGATGGAAGAGGGTTTCCGAAACTTGGGACGGCGGGCGCTGCGGGGGTTCGAGGTGCGGTGTGTTTGCTGAATGCGGAGGAGTGATCACGCTTATGGTTTTGTTTCAGCTTGGGTCCGCTGTGTCCGTTGTGTCCATTATGCCCGTTGTGTGCATGGGGAGGGCGCGGGCCTCGTGCGTGGGGCTGAGCTGGCATATATGCTGCGTGGCCCGGTACTTCAGCACCCCAGCCCATTATTGCTGGGTTAGCTGAAGTGCCGTGGGGAGGCGTTGGAAGACCAGTCATATACGTTGGAGTCGGAGGATAGGGCTGAGGCATGTTCGGCGTGTTGTAAGGTAGTTGCTGGTAGGAACCTGGTGTCTGCGGAAATTGTGGGGGGTATGCGGGCTGGTTTTGATGATTTTGAAAACCTTGCGATTGCCCAGGATATGGCGGGGGAGGCATGTATGCTGATGTAGGAACGGATGGTGCTGGATAGGCGTAGTTGGATGGATAGCTGTAGCCCGTATTAGGATATGACGGTCGTCCTCCTTCCTGGTAATGCCCTCCACGGCCTCGGTTCCCATGTCCTTGTCCTCTTCCGCGGCCTCGATGACCTCCTCGTCCCCAGTTCTGCACATGCTGTTGTTGTCCATGCCCATGCTGTCCCTGCGGATAAGCAGGCTGGGCTGCCGGTGGTGGTGGCGGAGGGGGTGGAAATGAAAACCCCTGAGAAGTCATGTTGAAAGTCTGAAGACCTTCCAGAGGTCCCAGCGCAATCTGAGAATGCGCGTGGAAATAAAAAGTCGAGAGAAGTTGCGATGGAAGCTTTTGAAGGCGGTCACGTGGTTCCCCACTGAATCTCAAAAGCTTTTTGCTCGGAGTACAACGTCGATTCAAGGAGGGTCTTCACCTGAATATCCATCTGGGCGGCTGTGATCCATTGATCCTGGTGTCTTCAGCATGTTCATTCTAGTGAGTCTCGTGCACATGTATCAAAACGGTGACTAACGGCGGCAGACTACCATCTCGGACTTGATTCAGATATCACCCGAGGACTTCTCTAAATTCAGTGCTGTGGCCATTGAAGACAATATCAATGAGAAATATGCCAACAAGGTGTGTGATTCTGCTGTTCTCAGATGCTAGCAGCTACTCACATTGACTAGGTAATCCAAAAAATCGGTCTCTGCATCAGCTTTTATGACCTATTGGAGTCTTCAGATGGTCTGATTGGCCATGGGACTGGTCTGGTTAACGTGAATGGTGAGTGATGTTGTTCAATCTCAAGATTGTCACTAACCAGCACAGTTAAATTCCGGATGATCGTTTTCCGGCCCTTCAAGGGCGAGATCATGCTAGGAAAGATTGCCAGCGGCACAGAGCACGGTATCAAGAGTATGTTTGAACATTTACACCACAAGCTCACAACTAATATATGGATAGTCGGTCTGGAATTCTTCAACGATATCCTCATCCCACCACAGATGCTTATGGAAAAGTCACGATTGTGAGCAGCTCTCCATTGCGAAGTGGTAAAATACTAACACTCTGATAGTGATTTTGCAGAGCAAGTCTGGATCTGGGAGAACGAAGACGGCTCAGAATTCTTCTTCGATGTGGGAGAAGTTGTCCGGTTCCGTATTGAATCAGAAGAGTGGCACGACCAGATCCCCAATGCGCCAGACCTTGGCGATGAAACTCCTACAGAGAGGCGGCCTCCATATTCCATTATTGTTGGTTCTCCTTCCTGCATGTCTATTGCGTTGCTGACCGCTTCTAGGGTTCGATGCAAATGGGTGGAACTGGACCTATTACCTGGTGGTAAACGTGCAGATTGTTACCTAGACTGTGTGTCTATGGCATTGAGCCATTCAATTTCTTTAGTCAGATCAGATACCCATAATGCCATGAAGTTCAGTGTAATCAGTGTCCTTGTGCTTGCAATATAGACAAATGCGGAGGTAGAGTAGTAATAGGACTAGCGAAGTCGTAAAACGTAAAGTATAAGATATTAGTTGAACTAGCAAGTGTACTGAAAACTAAAAACTCTACCCTTAAGAGAGAGGATATCATAATATAAACTCCGTATTCCGGGACAAAAATAGACGTTGACAGTGTTACTCCGACACTCCGAGCCATCGGCGTATTCTCTCATTCTCCGACAAAATAGCGGCGACCGGTGGAGCTCCGAGTCAGCGTCGTCCAGTCGCAGTAGCGCGATCGATCTCGTCTTCAAGTAACAGAATCCATGTTTTCATTGTAGGAGTTTTCCTATTAAATTTTCAGGGACAAAACTGTTCTTTTCTTTCCGAATCTCCCGAAGCTCGTCATCCTCGCCCTTGATTAGCAATCAACGCATCCGGAGTCTAAATTAAGAGGGTTACTACTACATAAGAGTCTATTACCGCCACCTTCGCTTTATTCTCAATTGCACTCACATTCACAATGGGCTCTACGGATAACGGACACTCTGTCGACCGCCAGTTCGGCACTCTGGCTGTGCACGCTGGTGCGCCTCACGACCCTGTCACCGGCGCTGTCATCGCTCCTGTAAGTCCGTCGATAGAGGCTCACAAAGAAACTGTACTGATAAGCACCAGATCTCTCTGTCGACCACCTATGCTCAGACCAGTGTTGGAAACCCCGTTGGTGCCTACGAGTACACTCGCAGCTCCAACCCCAACCGGCAAGTTCCCAAGTCCCGAGGTTAAGCACACCGACTAATGCCGCAACAGTGACAATTTCGAGGAAGCCATTGCTGCCCTCGAGCACGCCAAGTATGCTCTTGCTTTCTCCTCTGGCTCCGCCACTACTGCGGTAGTTCTTCAGTCTCTGGCCGCTGGCTCGCACATCGTCTCTGTTTCTGATGTGTATGGTGGCACCCACCGGTACTTCACCAAGGTTGCCTCTGCGCACGGTGTCGAAGTCTCTTTCTCGCCTTGCGTTGAGAAGGAGGTCGAGCAATTGATCCGCCCCGAGACTAAGCTCATCTGGATTGAGACCCCCTCCAACCCCACCCTTGGCCTGGTCGATATCAGATACATCGCCGATATTGCCCACCAGCGTGGCATCCTCGTTGTCGTGGACAACACCTTTATGAGCCCTTATGTCCAGAACCCCCTGGACCACGGTGCTGACATTGTCGTTCACTCCGTGACCAAGTACATTAATGGCCACTCGGTATGTCTGCCCACACAATCTTGTTCACTGTCTCATAACTAACCGCAACACAGGATGTCTGCATGGGTGTTGCCGCATTCAGCTCAGAGAGCCTCAAGGAGCGCCTCAGCTTCCTCCAAAACGCTATCGGCGCCATCCCCTCACCCTTCGACTGCTGGCTCGCCCACCGCGGTCTGAAGACCCTGCACCTGCGCGCCCGCGAGGCCAGCAAGAACGCCACCGTGGTCGCAAAGGCGCTCGAAGCCTCTCCCCACGTCATCTCCGTCAACTACCCCGGCATCGACTCTCACCCGCAGCGCAAGATCGCCGTCAAGCAGCACCGCGATGGTATGGGCGGTGGCATGCTCAGCTTCCGCATCAAGGGCGGCCAGAAGGCTGCTCACCTTTTCTGCCAGTACACTCAGATCTTCACTCTCGCTGAGAGTCTTGGAGGTGTTGAGTCTCTGTGTGAGGTTCCTGCTGCTATGACTCACGCTGGTATCCCCAAGGAACAGCGTGAGACTGCTGGTGTTTTCGATGACCTTGTTCGCATGAGCTGTGGTATTGAGGACTCTGTTGATCTGCACGCTGATGTCCTCCGGGCCTTGGACTTGGCTGTTGCTGCTTCTGAGAAGAATGGCAGCTCTTAATATGTGGAGCTTTTAGGTTCCTTTCAAAATCATCTAGACTTGCATGTAGACTGCATTGCTGCTGGTTACTTGGATATGAATAATGAGAATACATCCCTTTTGCATTATAAATATCTACTTCATTCGGATGAAATAGCCTAAGCCTACATTTTAGACAAGCTATACATGAAACCAATCGATACACTGCTCCAGAGCTCTGTTATTAAGGCCAAAATCCATGATAAAAATGGTGCGGGCACTTCGGCTTAGTCATCTTATCGCCCACTGCAATTTTTTGTATGGAAATCGAATCACGACGCCGTTGATCCAAATTGTCGCTCATTGTTTGGCTTTCTTTCGCCTAAAATCTCACCCTGCATAATTTTAGTGCACTACCTCGGTGTTCTGCTATCTTGGACCTCTCAAACCACCCACAACACCCAGGGCAACCCTCTACACAGTACTGTCTCTTACAAAGAGGCAACATTGAATTGGCTCAACATGGCCTTCAGCTTCGGATTCTCAGGAGATGACATCGATATGGATGACTCAGAAATCAACAATGATATCTGCCCTGTCACTTCTCAACAGAATGTCGGCAACTCTCTTCCCGAGCTAGTGAAAGCTAGTAAACATGATATGAACGAATGGGTGAGTAGATCTTTCATAGTTATCCCCTGGCTATGCATCTCATTTGTCTCTTTATCCTTTTGAGGAGTTGGGTCAATATGTATATGTATATCTCAACCCTCATCTGGATCCACAAGATTTCAAGATATACCCCTCCAAAAAAATATACCAACCCACATTGAGAAGCATTAAACATCCTAAAACACCCAAACTCTAACTGAGACTCTAGCTTTCAATTCTCCCATCTCAAATATTCTACAACAAACTCAAAATCGGCGATGCACCTGTGGTCATCGCCCGCCGAGAGATCTTCGACATCCGCACCCAGCTCATGGCCGAAGATAGTGCCGGGCATGACAACGAAGAGCTAATTGCTGGCATAGAAAAAGGCGATATCAAGCCAAATTTCTACGAAGGCGGATTCAAGACGTGGGAATGCGCGTTGGATTTGGCTAAGCTTTCGCTCGATGAGGATATTCTGAATGGTTCCTCTGATGGCTTGCAAGATACTCATATCATTGAGGTTTGTGTCACCGTATTCAAAATTTTTTTAAATAACCCCAAAGTGCAGATTACTGACTTGTCATATCCACGAACAATAGTTGGGCGCAGGCACAGCAGTCCCATCATTGACACTATTCGCCCGCGCCCTCGGTGCAGAATACACATGCAAGAAGCACTTCACTTTTGCAGATTACAACTCCGACGTTCTGCGCCTCGTCACATTGCCTAACCTTCTCCTGACATGGCAAGAAAGCCGTTCTCAAACGGCCGTTTCGAGTGCTTCTACGTCTACTGCCCAAGACCAAGAAGAAGAACTAGATATTACGCCGGAATTGATCGAAGAATTCAAAATTGATCTTGCGAACCGTGGCATCTCCGTTGATTTCGTTTCTGGAGCTTGGTCTGCTGAGTTTGTTGACTTGGTCTTTGGGTCTGGTGATGGCCCTTGCAGGACGTTGGTTCTTGCTAGTGAGACTATCTACTCTCCTTCTTCTCTGATGGCGTTCTCTGAGACGCTTTTGGCTTTGCTACGTCGGTCGAATACTGCTTCGACGAAGAGTCGGGCTCTTGTTGCGGCGAAGAAGGTTTATTTCGGTGTTGGTGGTGGTGTCGATGAGTTCCTTGCTGTTTTGGGTAATGTTTGTGGAAGTGAATTAGATGTTCAGCAGAAGTTGGATGTTCATTCTGAGGGGGTTGGAAGGGTTGTTCTTGAGGTTGTGCCGTCTACTACGGCATGACGGGAGAAATTGTAGTCGTTCATAAAATCAAATACCCAAGTTACATCACTCTCTTTCTCACCATCAAGTATCCATTTCATATTTCAAACAAAAGAAAATCCAATTATCAAATGCTGGATTGAACGTCAAGTCCCAACGTATATGTACATGTTTTTCCCTCCACACATGTCTATCACAGACAACCAAACAAAAAACAGAGAAATATCACTCATCTAATCATAGAGAGACTTGCCATCCTTCATCCGCACAACCCGAGCCTCATCAATCTCCTGGTTCTTGCGCTCGTAGTGAGCAACAACGTGGCTGAGGTCGACCCGCGAACCGGCGGCAAGGTTGTACGGTGAGCCGACGTTCAAAATCCTATAAGCAAAAGTCAGTAAAAGCCCAAGAGCATCCCTTCAGATATCACATACTCAGGATGCTTCAACTCATGAGCCTCACGGGGACCCTGACTCTGAAGCAGGTGGCGGTCCTCAGCAGCCTTCTCCATAAGGGCAGTGTGAATAGCATTGCGCTGCTCAAAAGTCTCCTGCGAAGGAGTCCACTTGGCAATGAGGCCGGAGATAAAGGACGGGGCGCCGGAGTCCTGGTTGGACTTGGTAACGCGGTAGAGGAGGTAAGCGGAGGCGATGGAACCAACAGTAACGTAGAAGCTGCGCTGTAGAGTTTGAATACAATTGTTAGCTCAAGCTGTTTCTGTGTCTGGTAATTGAGCCTTTGCTCTCTTGCTTTCCAGGTTGGAGGCTGGTCGCGGTGGGGGAGCTTACGCCGAAGCCTTCGTTCACGGGCTCGTGGGCGGCGTGCGAGCCCCAGCGGCGCTGGGTGCGCAGCAGTTGCCGCGTCGTGGTGGCAGATCGTCTGGCAGCGAACATGTTGTGGAGGAGGACAATTGGTGGTGGTCGATGACCCTTCGGGTAACGATGATAGGGCGAGGTGGAAGGCGAAAGTCGACGACACGTGACTTACTGTTTTGGGTTAGGGCGAACCAGGTGAACTTTCATACTTCACTTCATCTTTTGTTGGAGATCTTTGTGAGTTATCATATGTTTGTTGTCTTAATTTTCAGACTTTTCCGATAGTATACTCATCGAGTTTTGCATGGTGTGGGATCTTTGATCACATTCCATACCCCAAATCCCATCTCAAATCTCAAATCTTATATTCGCATGCTGTGTATCCCCCTGTTCCAGGGATGACTGTGAGAAAAATAATTCAAAATCCAACTGCAGTCGGGCTTTCAAGCCCTTGTCAAGCCGGCGTGAGAGAATAATATTGTCTAGATATGCGTAGAAACTGGATGGACTCCCTGCTCAAAACCTCATCTGGTAATGTGCTGTGTTGTCTGATCTACAGAATGCCTCATCTGCCTCCCAATACATACTAATCAGGCGACATACAGGGATGTATCGCTAACTCATGCAAATCATACCTCGAATGAACATGTCCAACGATATTCGCTCACCCCACATTGCCTTACTGAATCTTAGCCCGAACCCACTTGATGCCCAATGTCATGGCGCACCCCAACTGGTTCTCGCTTCGGTTCAGAATGCAATTTTAGTGCGCTTAGGATATTCTGCATATTCGGATACTTGAATATTCTGATATTCTTTGTGCCCTTCCGTTTCTTTGCCCTTTATTCCTGGGTACAAGGTTCGGTCCGCGCCTTTGTGCCAACCTTCGGGTGCTAATTCTCGAGTTTAGATTTTTTTTGTTTCTTTTCTATTTCTGTGCGTTGCAGCGTTCAAGAATAGAATTCTGATTTCGCCTCATATCTGTTATTGTGGTTCATCCGTGTCCACGCTTTAGTTCCAAATCACTGCCCGATCAGCATCCTCTACATCCCCCGGCCACTTGGCTTGCGCTATTAATTATTCTGGGAAATCTCACTTCCTCTCCCAACTATAGACCTTTGGGCTATATCTTGAGGCATCGCCAGGGCTGGTTGCAAATGTACAGTCACCCCATGAAACATCTGACTATTGCTCATGCTCGATTTAGCCCTTTGATCCCATTGGTAACACGTCTCTTACGTCTCCCATTTTCAAGGAAACTTGGGCACGCATCACTCATCCGCGATGGTCGCGGGTAAGAAGAATAAGGCCAAAGACAAGGCCAAAGCCAATACGAAGAAGGTTAAGAAGGGACAGAGCCCTGATGTCGCAGAAACAACTACAACCACTCCCACTCCTGGCAGCCCTGAACTTCCGGCGCAGGAAACTGAACAAGTCCCTGAGCCCGTTGTTGCCCAGTCTCCTGAGATCAAGACGCCCTTGCCGGTGTCAGCTTATGAGGTATTCGACGACGACGACGAGCCGGTTGCCTCTGACCCTGTCACGAGCCAACAATCCCCTGTGCTTGAGACTATTGTCCCAGTCGAGTCAGACCCTGTTCCAACCCAAGAGGCTCTTGTGAGCGACCAACAGGCACCAGCTATCCCAGACCCTGTCTCCAACCAACAATCTACTGTGGCCGAGGCTGTGCCATTGGCGACCGACCCTATCACAGAGCAATCTTCTCCCAAAGTCGAGGCAGACAAGCCTGACGAGAGTTTTCCCTACTTGGATGAGACAGTCTCGTTCCAGCCTGCCGTGGTCGACGATACAGAGTCCAAAGACCAAGAGCTCTTGGATGATCCAAGCAAGCAAGAAGTCGAGGCCTCTGAACCAATAGTTTCAGCAGCACCAGCTGATCCATTCTCCCCCGTTGCGGCCAGTGTGCCCTTGCCATCGCCGTCTTTAACTGAAGCACGGTTTATGTCAAGTCCCTCTCAGGACAACTATTTATATCAACCTGCACCATCCGCATATTCCCCCTACACTGCACCCATTCCATACTCTTCACCCGTCCCATACGCCTCTTCAATCCCCTACTCTTCCCCAGTACCATACAACCCTCAAGCGGCTTATGGTTCGCCTGCGCAATACGCTTCCCAAGTACCCTACACTGCCTCCCCAGTGCCTTACGCAACTCCGGTGCCCTACTCCGGGTACCCCTACGCCGGCTCTGCATACGCTGGTTCTGCATACGCCGGCTCTGCATACGCTGGTTCTGCATACGCCGGCTCTGCATACGCTGCTTCTCCATACGCCGGATCTCCGTACGCTGGATCCCCAGCAGCTTACGCCTCCCCAGTGCCCTACACTGCTTCGCCTGTGCCCAAAGTCAGCAGTCCCCTTGCACGTTCCCACTATCCCTATAAATCACCCAGCATGTCCCCAACCGCAACACCACCTCCCCCATCCGCACCGATGGCCCATCCAGCTCCCCCTTCTGCAGCTGGCTCTGCGGCTCCAAGCCGCTCAGCTTCTGTCAACTCACCAGTGATGAGCTCCGCTGGAGCTATCCCTCCATATGGACAGTACTCTCCTCACTATTCTCACGACCCGCATTACATGCAGCGAAGCTACAGCATCCCAGACCCATCTTACGCAGCCTCATACCAGGCCCTCCAGAATTTGTCAATGGCCGGCCAGCCTGGTGAAAATGGAGCCTTGTCCCCCCCAGACAGCGACAGTGAGCATATCGAGCTTCTTCAACGGATTCAGTCTGCCATCCCTGATATCAACCGCCTCTTACATGGATTCCGCAACACCCATAGCAAGTTGTCAAACCGCGAGGCGGAGATCAAGCAGATTGGAAATCAGCACGAACAGGCATTGATGTCCAAGGAGTACTACATCGAGGCATTGCAATCTCAAATGAAGAAGACTGCAAACGAAAGCGCCGAAGATGGTTCCAGACTCAAGAATACGATCAATGAGTTGCGACTGGAACTGGGTAACCTGCAAGAGAAGCAGAGAGATCTCGAGGATGGTTTGGCTGTTCACCAGAAGTCCAATGAGGAACTTACCCAGACCAAGGTTCAACTCGAGGGACAAATCGAGCAGCTGAACACCAACATTCAGGAAGCCAAGGATACTCACGAGAAGGAGCTGGAGAGCCACAAAGAAGAACAGGAAAAAGCTCTTGCAGCACAGAAGCAGGAGCTCACCGAGCTGTTTGAAGAGATCAAGGGTGAAGATGAGAAGATCGCAGCGGAGAATCTTGAGACCCGTGAGCGAGAGCTTCGCAGCGAGCAAGAAGCCGCCAAGGGCGAATGGGAGAAGGAGAAGTCAACCATGCAAGAGTCTTTCGAAGCCCAGCGCACCGAGCTGGAAGCAACCAAGACCGAATTGTCATCCAAGATCGCAGACTTGGAATCCAAGGAGACCGAAATGGAAAGCCAACTGAGTGCGCTCACATCGACGCGCGAGGAATTGGCAGCTAAGCTAGCCGAACTCGAAGCTTCGCGAAAGGAGATTGAAGAACTGCACCAGAAACACACCACAGATTCGGATGGCCTTCGTGAAGGCCATGCCGGTGAATTGGAAACTCTGCGGAAGTCCCACGATGAGCAGGTCGCTGCCGCCGCCAAGGAACTCGATGAGAAGATTGCTGCACTCGAAGCTCATTTCAAGGAGAAAGAGCAGCTTTGGACCGAGCAGCGGACTGCTCTTGAGAAGCAACTTGCTGAGAAGGACGGTGAAATTTCCAGTGCTGAGCGAGAGAAGGAGAGGATGGAGGGAGATGGCATCATCAAGGAGCAGCATCTTCAGCGTGCTGTGAGCGAGATGAAATCGACCATTGACCACTTGGACCGAGACTGCGATAGACTGAGAAAGACACTTCTCAGTCTTGGAGAGGCTACCGACCTTAAGAGCACCAAAGGCGATCAATTCTTGTGAGTGAGCCTTTAAACCCATACATTTCTTTCGGCATCTTTTGCTTCTTTTTTTCAGCCACTCTTTCTACGTTTCATTTGTTTGAATTGCATTTTGCATCAGCGCAAAGGCGAACATACATTCTCTTATAGATTCTCATATTGATAACGATAAATGGACACGATCTAATAAACATCTTCATCTCTAGTTTGGACTGCTTCAACGAACTCTCGCAATTGATCTACGACTTATCCAAAGAACATTTCGCCTACCTCCCAATCGATCCACCAAAAGACATCCTCTCAAAGATCCCATCCGAAATTCCACCCTTCCTTGACAACACCCCAGCCTCACGCGAACTACGCTGCGCCTACATCCAGCACGTAGTGTCGAAAACAATAACCTACCGAGTCTTCCAACCCTTCCTCTTCACCCTAGGCCGCCGCTACGACAAAGCAGACACATTCTTCCAAATGCTATCAATGGACATCCGCCGTAAATCCGTCCGCCGCGAAGCCTTCTGGCGCCAACAAACCCTCAAAGCAGCCTACACAACCTCCGACGCCAAACAATCCATCAACGTCGCCGCAGCAGTCATAGTCGACGAAATCATCGACCACATCAAGCACTTCGCCGACCCCAAACACCTGGACTCCCTCGTCACCGGCGTCCGCAAAATCGTCAAGCTAGCCGCCGAAACCTGGCGCCACGCCCGCGTCGAACGTGAACTCGTCCTGGCAACCTTCCCCGCCCCAAACGCAGACACCATCCCCAACGAAGGGTGGCTCGAGTACGGGGCGAACTGCGAGCATGGCTATCCACAGGGCAATGAGCCTACACGCCATGTTGTGCTGCGTACGTTCCCGCGCATTGTGCGCGAGGCTGCGCATGAGGACTTTACTAGTGATCAGGAGCGGGCTAGCTCGTGTATCTACTCGGAGGGTGTAGTGCTGTATTCCGATTCGCCGGTTATCATGGCACGGTTGCAGGAGTTTGCGAAGAAGAAGTCGACTGAGACTGTTGTCTCGGATGATAGTATGACTGTTCATCCGAAGACGCCTCGGCCTTCTAGGGAGGATTTGGTTGCTGCTGCCATGGAGAAGTTGGCGCCGGCGGTTAGCACGCCGCCACGTGTTGCGACGATTCGGTCTGCTCCTACGAGTCCTGGTGCGAAGGGGCAGTTTGTAAGGGGTTGATCATGGAGATTTGATACGCTGTTTCTTTGGCGTTTGGATCCTATCTTTTGTTCTGTCTTCCTTCTGTTTTCTTTTCTTGGGATCCTTGTCTTATTTGACTTGATTTATTGAATCTGTTGTTTTGCGATTGATGCGCGTTTCAGCGGATTTGAACTCGACGTTTTGTGTGTTTGTTCTGTGTGATGTTCTATACTCCTGTTTCAAGAATGTATGTATGTAGCCAATCTAGAGAGTTTTGCACTGGGTATTTGATGAATTGATAAGTCTTGAATATTACACCATAATGATAATTGACGACAGTAAAAGCGGGACTGCGGTCTTGGAACTTCCAAAATTCAAGTTTTATATTTCCTTTCTTTGACGTGCTCTTCATATCCCGGGAGCTGTAAACAGCCTTATGAACTTCCATGTCTGACTGAACCGATACACGTCTTGCCTTTTCACAAATGACTGAAAATAATCAAATTCCAATTCAAATAACGTTTGTCTTCTCAACTAACAAATTCTTGAAACAGCCCCTTTTCGGTCATATGACATTAGTGCAGGAAATCCTTTTCGGTAAACCCCCTAAGCCTCCTTTCTACAAGCCTCGAGCATCCCCCGTTGAACAACATCTGTCCACCGCATCGGATCCTAACCAGGCTTGATGTCACTTTTATCTCCTGTCTTCAGTCGTATCATCTCGACCCCGCGATGTCTACCACGGAGCTCTCTAGCGAGCCTCTGTAGGATCGCCAGAAATCCACAACATCAGCGGATGCACAGTATGCTCAGCAACTATAAGAGCATTGATACTTTTCTCTCCAATCACTATACGTTCAAGCGAGGCTTGCCCTGGGGATTCGCTATCTACCGCTGTTCCTACAAAGACGACAGCGCCTGGAATCGCCTACTCCAACACCTAGAAGAACGGATCAAAACAGATCTTGAATATAACAAGAGAATGGACCTTCTGCCACATCATCAATTCGTTATCAATGACGATGTCAATAAGTTCAATGGAGCTACGTCCCATGATATTCGTGACCACTTCAACACCTGGGTCAAAGATCAACTACCTCAGGTCGTCGCTAGCCCGGACGTCCTTGAACATCTTCAATCTAGTAATCGCGGGCTAGCTCCAGAGTATTACCTCGGCGCACGGTGGAACTTTTGCCTCTTTGTGGACGATTTCTGTCTAGACGCGCTTGAGCATATTGATTCGGTCAACGGCCCTGTTGTTAAAATTCTGTCAAAGCAGTGGGGTAATTTATCTCCCGAGGAGAGGAAATACCAGATACATCCTGACTGGCACGATGGAGAGACAGACGATGAACTGGAAATGGTTGGATGGATGTACATTCCCACATGCGAGTGCGTGTGGTGGTATGATCTTCTGGAAGACCAAACGGCGCATTGGGATGGGTTCTACTTACGGCCACCGCAGTTATTTGACGGTTGCAATATAGTGGATGTAGGAAAAGATCTCGCTCGAATCCGCTATCAGTCTTAGAGTGATATCACTGCTGTCTGATACCTTTCTCATCATTTCCCCCAATATATGGTCACTGGTCGTGGTACAAGTACGGCGAAGCAGGGGCTGTAGGTAAAATATGGTGATGTCGAATAGCGAGCGTAACCGACTTATAAAGTCAATGCTTATACCCACTCAAGCTCATATGGATATAAAGTGAGATTTTCCATAGTGATAGCCACACATAAGACCAAAAAGGACCCATAGCATCCTATCTCATCATGTGTACCACACATATTGCGAAAGTCTGTGCCGTGTGTAGCCTCTGACTCGTCGCCGCTGATATCGACGTCAGGATGCTTCAAGATGAACTCGTTCATATGATGTTGCCAAGTTTCTTCAAACGTGATTGCCTCATTTTCCGGGGCCAGTGATTTGGACTTCGCGAATGTGGATTCAGAAAGCAGGAAGATATTGGACGTGGAGGGGTTGAACCAGGCCACCCTAACAGGACTATGCAATTTCACCTGTGCTGACGATATTTCTCCGAATGGTTTCAGCCCGAGGTATGCCGGTGTTGTCAGACGACCTAGTATATCACAGATCATGGTCGGAGCAGCTTTGTCTTCGTCGTCATAAGAAAAGTCAAAATGGATGATTCCACCATCAAGACTCGCCCATGACCAAGAAGGAGCCCGGTACTGGAGAGACCTATGGAGAGCGTGATTCTCATTTTCAGGTATTGTCCTGTGCCGAGATGATGTGCGCCATGTGAGTTGTCTTGCGAGATTGTACTGCCACTGCCCAGCGAAGTAGCCAGGCCCAAGTGCATTACAGAACGAAGGATGAGAAGCAATGCCAGCTAAAGCATTCAATTTGTCACACTCTAGACTTGTAACCCTGACTGAATAAGCTGTGACGGGGCGCAGCCAGCAACTCAAAGCCTTTTCTTTATGAGTACAAGCCTCTTCTTCATTTAAGAGCAGAGAGTGTAAATCGAGGCTGTACTTTTCGTAATTTCCATTGTATCCCGAATCGAGGTGATATGGAAAATATAGCGAACTACCAAAGTTCTTCGTCCTGTCCTGGCATCTCCACATCATAGTTTGTGCAGTGAACGTGAGTGTGCGTTGCTTAAGAGCTGCTCTTGCATAGCCCACGCCCTCTTTGCTATAGGCTCAAGGCGCTCATCATAGCACACAGCATCTAACTCACTAATATATATAATACCAAAAAAGCCGGGCCGGATTCGAACGGGTATAGTGTGAAGAGCTTCCTGTTGTACGCGAGGATAGAGGAAACCTCCAAAGATGCCTTCCGCAGCCGCAACGACAATTGTCAGAGCTGACGAGGCGTAGATTTCTTTCATTTTGGCCATTTCTCTGGCTTTGTCTTCTTCGGAGTCCTGAATTATGCAGAGAGCGTCGATCTACAAGAATGGGATGGGCAACGTGCGACAAGTAGCAATAGCATCGCGGAAGGTGGGAGGCAGAGCGTTCATATTCAACCCAAGAGTGAATCGAGCCGTGTTGGAATTCCTGAGGGTGGGGAACTTGTTGTTCCTCCAACAGTAGGATAGTGTAGCATAAACACCACGCATGTTCCTAGTCTCCAGGACTCGCGCATGCTGGCTCCCGCGTGGACTGACTTCAATGACCCTTGTGGGCAGCATGTAGTCTTGCGACAAAGCGCAGCAGCACTGATGCTCTTTGCAATCTATGAACCATGTTCTAATCTGCATTTGTGCAGCCTGGCTATCAATATCGGTCCTTAAGCGTCGCGCAGTCACATAGTTTGAGGCTGGATCTTCCACTGTGGTAAAGGCGTGAAGAAAAAGGCCGGGGCCGGCTTTCCATTTCCCCATTGTAGAATGACATGAGATGCTTAGGTAGAAAGTATTGTTACCTATGAGAGTGCAGGATGGGAACATACTTGGCGAAAGAGATGTGGTGACCAGATCTTCTGTCCAAGTGTCGGTGAAAAACTCCCTAATGTAAGCACACCAATTACAGGCAGCTTTTTGGATGTCGTTAGTATTAGCAACGGCTTCAATACATGCATACACATAGTTCGCATCAGAGTATTTCCCAGTGAAGCATTTTTGAAAAGCCTCGGTGTTGAAGAAACCATGCCAACATCTATCGCAGACGCAGTCCTTGGGGCCAGGCATTGCAGCTTGGGAATTTTCAAAAGTTAGAAAGGAACCAGATGCTTTCTCCCCCTTTGCAAATGTGCATCAGCAGAGGCGTAAATGTGAGAAGATGCCAATTGCGATCAGGTGTGTCTGTCCAACGAGTAGTCAGTTGCTGCCCGAAGTAGTGAATTTGGTGGCCTGATGGCTACTTCCTCACTATTAGCTTATAAGTAGTCGAAGAAAAGACGGGATCAAGTTACCACTAAAGTCGGAATCAGGAGGACTGAAAGCTATTCAAATTATATGATTATATGACTTAATTGCTCGCTTTTTAGATGGATAAGCTGTATCGGACAGAATCCTCGAGACTTCCACCTGTTCGGCATTTCGATATTTCAACTCTACCACGATGATATATTTCTCCTACTCGACATAATCTTCCCCTAGTACTATATACGAGCAGGATCATGGAACCATCAATATATTGAACCAAGATCAAGACCGGGGTAGGAGGCAAAATATGTTCATTAAGGCGAATGGCAGAATGTATATACAAAATCGACGCCAAAGTATGAAAGCAGGGTATTGACAGTACCAGCCGAGGCATCGCCTGAAGGAATGCAGATAAACAGATCAAAAATAAGTACTAGTTAGCAGCCTGTACATGGTGCATGAGCGGGTATCAAATGATTAGAGCTTGGCGTCTGTGGCAATTGCCTTGCGGCGCATTTGGCGCGAGGAGACATCTGCCGGGGCCGGTGCTGCAGCGTTCAGGAATAGCTGACGTCCGACGAGATCTGACATGGTCAGAACGCGAGAGGAAACTGTTGCACCGTCACGGCGATTTTTGCTAGGTAAAGTTAGTGACTGATTTGAAATTAGGCAGGCATTGAGCAAACTTACCCTTCACGCCGGGACTGGGCGATTAGTTCGGTAAAGTCCCACAGCCGTCCACCGTCCATGACTTTGCCGGTGTTAGGATCGCGGTGTGGAGCCCATTCAGGTGCAAGTCTTAAAGACGGGCCGGCCCGTGTCTCTTTGTTCTTCGAAACTAGAATGATGCCTTCTTCTTCGAATCGCTGATAGGAGTTTTTGAGAGTCTCCTTGTTGACAGCTTCGAAGTAAGAAAGATCTCCTTGGTGATATAGTGTTTTACCAAGCTGTGATTGTTAGTCAGTACTATGTCCTTTGATAAGGGACTGAAAAACTTACGATCTGCGCACTATCCTGTGCTTTCTTAGAATCAATCCAGATTTCCTTTGGACTATCCAGAGGTGGTGTCAGTCCAAGCAGAGAGACCGCACCCAGCCAAGAGGCTTCAATGAAAGGCCAGATCAAGAAGCAGTAGAAGTCATAGTTCTCACGACCGCAAAGCCGTTCAGCCTCACTCAACTCCACGTAGAGTGGTGTGCTGGACTCATCGCGGGTGATCTTGATCACATCATCCTTCTCCAACCCACGCAAGGTCTTATCGAAGTTAGCAGCCAGACCTTCAGGCGGGAAAATGAATTCGCCACGGAAAAGCTGGGAAAGGAAGGAGACTTGGTTTTTCAGAGCTTCGTAGGTGATTCTTTGGTTGGCAGGCCCTCCGCCTTGCTTGATCTTCGTGTACATTGCCACAGAGACAAGTGCCTCAGTGATAAAAAGATGAATGAGCATGTTGCGGTAAAAGGAAAGCTGGAACCGATCTACCGCGTAATAGGTAGGTTCAACCAGTCCCGAGATCACACCAACAAGCTTGGGCCCCAGAACATCCAGGGCGCGATCGACGACCATAGCTGTCGGTGAGCGGTAGAAGTGTGCAACCCTGCCTCCTTTTGCCCGGACCCGCTCACAGAGCCAGTCCAACCTCCGTACCAGTTCGCCCTTTCCGACTCCACGACCGCGCAGAGTCAACAGGACAGTTCCCACCAGAGCGGTTGGCATCATGACGGAAACATCGTTAATCTCAGATAGGACCCGGTAGCCAAAGGTTCTCAGAATACGTCCACGGTCCGCGTAACTGAGTGTGTTATTGATGTTAGTGCTAGGCAATTCCAGGCGCGTAAGCTGTTGACCAATGAATTCTCGAAGACTCCATGGCTCATGGAACCGGACATCGACCCGGCCAAGCTTGAGGGACAAGACCGAGGATGAAGATAGAAGATCGGCCAAATTTTCCTTCGCCTTTGGTTGACCAAGCAGTTCACTGATGTATGACCTGGAGAGATTGTCAGTGATCTTAATTTCAAGTTCTCAGTAGGGCACCGTACTCAGTCTCAATGACCTTGTCGTACTGTGTGCTAACAGGACAAATGATCGTATCTTCAACACGACCTGACAACAAGCTGTCCATGATGAAACTCAAGATTCCAAATTTGGGCGAAAGCAGCTTTCCAGTTCTAGAACGGCCACCTTCAATAAAGCACTCAAAGTTGAATCCTTGTTGAAGAAGAGTATCGATGTAGGCCTGTACAACAGTGTTATACAAAGGATCATTTCCAAAGCTCCGACGAATCCACATAGCGCCTTTAAGAGTCAGTGAAGACCTATGGGTAAGATGACTGCGCTGAACTGACCTGCATGTTGCAAGAATGGACCCAGCAAAGGAATGTTCAGATTGTCACCTGCGACCACAACTGGCAATGCAATTCCAAGACGATAACAAATAAGTTGCAATGAAACGTAGTCCACATGCGACTTGTGGCACGGAAGAAACACGATCGACTGTTTCTTCTTTGCGGCAGCATCGGCAACCGATCTCAGGCGCAAAACTTCCTCACTGGAGACATGAATACCTATAGACCTGGCTTAGTATTCCATCCAGAGGAGAGTAGATATAGTGCAAGTAACTCACCTTGATGGTAAGCCCGAGTCAACAGTTGGGTACACATGTAATAAGCACCCCGAATGAACGTCTTGCTTTCCATCTTGCAGATCATCTGGTCCATCATCGTGTCCACGACTTCTCGCAGATTGCCCTCAAGTTCAGTTCTCCGACGGGCGCGCTTGTCGTCAAGTGTTGCGCCATCCTTAATTGCCAGCAATCCTTCCTTCTCTTCTACCGTAAGCCGACGATTCGCGAGCTCGGTAACCTTGTTCTGTAGGAGCGGACTGCCAAGAATCGAGGTCTTCATCCTCTCGGAGAAGCCAGAATAGAAGATAGGCTGGCCGATGGCATCTTCATAGGCACGCCAGCCTGTCCCAGACATGTACAAGCTCACTTCGCGGAGGAAATCGAAGGGGTTCTCGCGGAATCGCGCCATGTGGCGCACAAGATTACGCTCGGTGATTTGATCATCTTGAGTCTCAGGGCCTCCGGTGAATCCTGAGGGATGGATCGTTAACTGGTTCTTAGTGATTTCCAGGTCGGGCGCCGAATGGTCATCGGCGACAGCAGCTTTAGGGGGCATCTTGTATGGGGTATAACGCGGGGGAAGGTCCTGGGGTCAAATCATAGAAATGTCAACTCCATTGAGAAGAAGACAAAGAGGAAAGAGGTGAGTCTCTTAAAAGCGGAGATATGGAGGAGGCCATAGCTAAGCTCCCAACAAACGGCCGATCCCCGGATGTCTCATTCCCCATGCCGAGGCAGGTCACGTGCATCCGAATTGCCTCATGGGCTCGTACTTTTGAATTTTGTGCATCTGCGTCAAGTTTCAGGCGAGGGAACACACTCAATTCCCTCTAAGATGCCTCGTCTGGTCAATGGCGTGAGATATTTCTCAGGTATGTGTCTCATAGCTTAAATTGCTAGCTCCATCTAAGCTTACCTCTCCCCCCACTAGCGACCGCTTCGTCCCTCCTTGCCGATGCAACTGCAGCTGCTCAGACTGCCCGCCAACCATCTTCGTTCCAAGTCTTCCGCGATGTTCCCTCAATCCGTGGCCTGCGACGCCAGTTGCTCAAGAAGGACCGCACTGTGGGCTTTGTCCCTACCATGGGCGCTCTTCACGAGGGCCATCTCTCATTGATTCGGCAAGCTGCGCGCGAGAACACAGACATTTTCGTGAGCATCTATGTCAATCCCACACAATTCGGAGTGACAGAAGACTTGTCAAGTTACCCCCGCACCTGGGACACCGACGTGGAGAAGTTGGAGAAGCTGAACGAAGAGCTGGATCGCCTGGGAGAAAACAGTGCTAGCGCGGGACGTATCACAGCAATCTTCGCCCCGACATCCAAGGTAATCTATCCCGGTCTACCTCCTTCATCCGAAGTCGATGGACATGGCTCGTTCGTTACGATTACCCCACTCTCTTCAAAACTGGAGGGCGGGTCTCGGCCAGTATTCTTCCGCGGTGTCGCAACTGTCTGCATGAAGCTTTTCAACATCACAACCCCTGACCGTGTTTATTTCGGCCAGAAGGATGTGCAGCAGACTGTTGTCATCAAGCGCATGGTGGAGGATTTCCACGTGGGCACTGAAGTGCGCATTGTTGAAACCACCCGTGAATCTGATGGCCTGGCATTGAGCTCACGGAATGTGTATCTGGGAGATCGAAGACGCTCTGTTGGACTCACTGTCTACAAGTCTCTCAAGGCCGCCGAAGATGCCTATCTGGCTGGTAAGACCAGCCGGGCAGATATCCTCGGGGCTGCGAACAGTGTGGCAGATTCTGTCCTCTCTCAGCAGCAAGGTCTGTCATCATCTGAGAGGGCACTCTATGAGGTCGATTACATATCTCTCGCGGATCCCGATACCCTCGACGAGCTGGAAATCGTCGATCCAGCCAAGGGAGCCGTCCTGAGCACTGCATTCAAGATGGCACCATTGGAAGAATCCAAGCCTGATGAGGATTGCGGATTGGGCGATGGTAAGGTCCCAGTGCGCTTGATCGATAATCTTATCCTGCATCCTCGCGCTTGATCAATACCGAGCCTTTAGTAAATATGTAGCATAGCGCAGGTCTCCTTTACATAGATTCAAAAATAGCAGGCTTTACTTCACATAGAACCAATGTGGCCTGCACGGCGCTTCGGGCAGGCTACTTGCCTCAGAAAACTATTAAATCCTGGAAGAACAGATACAAATTTGTGAAATTTTTTATCGCTAGATAAGGTTGTTATGTCGGTATGTCTATAGGGTAATTTTTTTTAAAAAAAGAACAAAGAACAATAAACAATACAAAAATTTCGAGGTCAAGGCCCGAACCGCGATTCGAACGCGGGGCCTCTCGCATAAGAGTATTAGGTTTCGAAACTTATTCGGAAATAAGATCAGTCTTAAGCCCAAAGCGAGAATCATACCACTAGACCATCCGGGCGACGATATTTCAATTGTTGATTTTCGGTATGATCAAGGGCACACAAACTAATACTGCAACTAGTCGCAGTATAAACAGAATATTTTTGGTTACCGCACGATCGCGTTAGAATTGAAGTTCACAGAATTTCCGCCTACATTTCAGTATCAAATTTTACTTTGTATCTATTCATACTAGAATAAAGAGTTAATCATTGTTTTATTACTATGTTTCCAGTTTAGGATAAACCATGCTTAGGTATATGAGCTCCAAGAAGAAGCGCATATATCCTCACGATTATACCCCGTAAATAGCATAGATCATATATACCTTTGCTGCGTCTTTTGCTCTCCGTTTTCCTAATCTGAAAGCATCGAAATGTCCCAGCCAGGAAGTCTACAGTGTTAACTTGGCTAACTCCGAGTCATAATGAGTTTGGTAGATGTCTTACAAAACCTAGTGCTTGTCAGATCGAGAAATCCACTAGTTGTAGATAGATAGAGCAGATATATTCTGCATCAATAGTAAGATTGAGTTGGAGTAAGGCAGCAGATCGCAGTAGAAGAAACAAATGCTTATCGAAGTATAGAAAGTAGGCAGATCCTTAAAGGCGGAGAAAATTTGCTGGAGCCGTGAAAGTCTTGGCGCGGGAAAAAAGTCTCAGCGCCAACCGCCTTAACCAAACCCTCCAACTCCCACATTTTCAAGGGAAATATCTTTCAAAATGGCTGACGATGGAATGCTTATGAACTTCAGCATTGCTGACACCGTCATCAAGCCCGAGGCAAAGTTCAAAGGTGGAACATGGCGAGACAGATTGGTAGCCAAGAAGCGTTCAGCGCATCGAGGCTCGGAGAAAGACCCCAAAGACGCAGCTGCACGCAACGCAGCGTCCAAAAACCCGAACCAAATCCAAATTGGCCCACGGCCTGCTAAACGCCAAAGAACTGAAGAGTCTTCTCATTCCTCTCATCGCCCCGGCGGCGATCGTCGCCAACACCAGACCCCGCGGGACCCCCGTCACTTCGTTTCCTCGCTTTTCACTAGCAACCCCGAACCGCGCAATGCCGAAGAACCCAAGCCCGAGGGAGAGCAAGAAGAAGCGAAGCCAACCAACGCCCCGCTGATCGACGGATTGGATACTTTCACAAACTTGGGACTGTCGCCCAATCTCGCGGCGCATCTACTCACAAAGCTGGAGCTCAAGGCACCCACGGCGATTCAAAAGAGCTCCATTGGGCAATTGTTGAAGGAGGAAAGTGATGCGTTCATTCAGGCCGAGACAGGTTCCGGTAAGACGCTGGCTTACCTGCTTCCGCTGGTGCAACGAATTATGGATCTCTCGAAAGCCACAAAAGAACATAACGAAAATCAAGTCCACCGTGATAGTGGTTTGTTTGCCATTGTATTGGCCCCTACTCGCGAATTGTGCAAGCAGATCTCCGTCGTTTTGGAGAACATTCTCCGATGCGCGAACTGGTTGGTTTGTGGTACGGTCATTGGTGGAGAGAAGAAGAAGTCGGAAAAGGCTCGTTTAAGGAAAGGATTGAACATTCTCGTTGCGACACCCGGCCGTTTGGCCGATCATCTCGACAACACGGAAGCGTTGGACGTCAGCAATGTGCGCTGGTTGGTGCTGGACGAGGGTGATCGTTTGATGGACATGGGTTTCGAGGAGGAATTACAGGGAATTGTTAAGAAGCTCGATGCTAGACAAAGACCGAGTCGTGTTCCCGGTGTGCCTACGCGCAGAACCACGATCTTGTGTTCGGCTACATTGAAGATGAATGTGCAGAAGTTGGGAGAAATCAGTTTGAAGGATGCGGTACACATCAAGGCCGATCCGGCGGATGAGGACGAGAATGCATCCAAGAAAGATGAAGAGGACTCATTCCGTGTCCCGGCACAGTTGAAGCAGTCGTACGCGATTGTTGCGCCTAAGCTACGTCTGGTCTCATTAACAGCTTACTTGAAAAGGACGTTCATTCGAAAGGGATCTGTCATGAAGGCGATTGTCTTTATGTCTTGTGCCGACTCCGTCGACTTCCACTTCGAGTTATTCTCCAGGAACCAAGACCGCGAGCAACAAAAGAAGGATGAAGAGGAAGGAGAAAAGGAAAAGCCAGAAGAGAAAGAGGAATTGTCACCCCACGGTACCATTGCTCCCGGTAGAGCCTTCTCCAACCCAGGAAACCCGGTCCTTTTGCATCGTTTGCACGGCTCCCTCCCCCAGAACGTTCGAACCGCCACACTTGGATCCTTCTCTCGCAGTACCGAGGCCTGCGTCATGATTTGTACCGATGTGGCCGCCCGTGGTCTTGATCTTCCCAACGTGGATTTGGTCGTTGAGTACGACCCGGCTTTCAGTTCAGATGACCACACTCATCGCATTGGTCGTACAGCCCGTGTCGGACGGGATGGTCGCGCCCTTATCTTCCTTCAACCCGGCTGCGAAGAGAATTATGTCGAAATTTTGAAGCGCGGCTACCGCGATGGAGGCAAAGCTCTCACCCGCACTGATGCGAACGAAATTCTCAAGCGCGGCTTCGGAAGCAACGATTCCAGAAAGAAGAACTGGGAAGAGAAGACTACCGATTGGCAAATGGATGTGGAGCGCTGGGCTCTGGAGAACCCGGAATACTTGGAGATGGCCCGTCGCGCTTACCAATCTCATGTTCGCGCATATGCTACTCACATCGCTGCTGAGCGGCCCATGTTCAACATCAAGGAGCTTCACTTGGGCCATCTTGCAAAGAGTTTCGCCCTTCGTGACCGACCTGGCAAGATCAACGTCCCTGGTCTTCGACCTGGACAGGAGGACACCAAAAAGGACTTCAAGGCGGCGCGCAACGGTGCCGCGGGTACCAAGAGAAAGGTTGGTGCTGAAGACAAGGCTCCAGGCACAACGGATTTGGATGACGCGGCTCGCAAGATGAGAGCCAAGATGAGAGAGAACATGGCCGGAGCCAGCGAGTTCAACTTGGCTTGATTTGTTTCCGGCGTCTCATTTGTCTCCAAGAAAAGAAAAGCATGGTCACATGGTTGTTTATAGCATTAGCATTTATCTCAGTAGATATCCCATAATGAAATCTTCCCATCTTTGGAACCTGCTGCTAGCCAATGAGTCTGCTGGACTTTGTGATTCCGTTGTTGCTGTACACTCGCGAGAGAGTATTCGCGTGCAACCGCTGCCGTTTCACTTGTAGTTGAGTCCTCCATATCTGCAGATTTGGCAGATGAAGGCGTTGCGACATCTCCAAATGCCACGGCATAGCATCCATCTTTATGCCACTTGAGCACAGCAAGCTCTTTCATCGTCTTTCCCGAGTACACCCGTACCCTGCTGTCCCAACCGGCAGTAGCAAAGACCTTCCCATCCGATCGGATGCGTAGACCCTGCTGACCAGAGTGTCTAGTATTAACAACCTTCAAGGGAGATTCCTCTTTATAGCCAGCAGTAGGAATATAACCAACAGAAGCAAGACTCGGAATGGGATGTTTGACAACCAAAGCATCAGCAGAAGAAGAGACGAAATGCGTATAAGAGGCCGAAACATCAAGAGAAAGAACCGGCTGGGTATGAGGACGAGCAGCATAAAGCCTCTCCCACTTCATGGGATACTTCTTAATATGCTCAATCTCAAAACTGGCTGTTTTCAACGCACCACGATGAGCGTAAACCATCACCTGGCCATCCTCATACGCAGAAACGATAAAGAGATCTCCGACAGACGTCACGAAAACATCGACAGCCATCAGCATTCCAGTTTTTGTCAATGATTCAGATGGAATAGTGCTAATCCGACGCTCGGATGGCAGGTGGAAGATATCGATGCCGCCAGAGTCCAAAGCATTGGGAACTGCAAACAAGGCATTTTCTGGTTTTGCAGAAGTTGGCGAAGGAGAAACAGGAAGACCATCCGCATTGACAAATGTCATAGAGAACGCGCAGAAATTAAGGGCGTTCACGGGCATGGAGTGGAGCAGCCATGGCTGAGTCTTGCTTCCCTCCAGGGCGGGATCAGTCATGTCGACTGGAAGCGTCTTGTCTAGAAATGATTCATCTTCTAATCGAATCTTCCAGACACAGAGCTTGTGGTCGCGTCCATGTCTGCCGTAGATTGTTAATATGGGTAAAGTGGGTGCTGGATGGCAGAGAGGTCATCTCACGTGTAAATCTCGGTTACGCCTGAGTCGAAATTAAATCCTTTGACTTCTAACACGGCGCCTGCATGCGCTTTCCAGACCGTTACTGGGCGTTTGGTGACTAGGTCCCAGATCACGATCCAGCCGTTGGCATCACCGGATGCTAGGCGCAGGTTCTGGTTAAAGATGTGTAACGCGTGTATCGGTGCCCCATGCCCCCGTAGAATATAGATTGGAGTGGCAGGAGACTGAGTCTGGATTGATCTGTTCTCCATTTTGAGTTTTGCATTTGATGTTGATATCTATGAGCTGGTGGTTTGTGGTTGAACCGGGAATTGCCTGTTCACACCGCCATCCATATATGCTAAATTTTGTATCATCGTCAGTAGTCCGATGCGATGATTTACTTGGATACAGTATCTGTTATAGTTTGGTACGACTGGTACATGAAAGTATGCTTTTCTTGCATGGGGCTACAATGCAACCAAAAATGGGTATTTCTGGGCATTATAAATTTGGAGACTACATACAATGTCACTGCCATTGATGAGAACTACTTTTTGAATATCAAATTCTACCGACTAGGTGAGGCTCAACCAGGAGTTTGATTATTTTTAATGTGTGAGATCATCAGATTAGATATGCCCCATAGTGATACTGATCAAGAGCATGGTGATGGTGAGGCGGTACATAGTATCCTTGATACGGATGATTCTCCATAGAAAAGTCCCCGGCTGTTATAAGCGGGTTACTTAGGCGTGAAGGTGAACCAGAATCTTCAGAGATTGCTAGTGATGGGTCAAGTTCGTAGTAGTGGTTGTGCATTTGGGCTGGAGTCACCGTATGCGGGTGAGCATCGACCCAGCTCCAGATCTGCCTCAGATCGTTTTTGACAGATTCGACGTTGGAAGTAGTCGTCTTGGCAATGATATCAAAAATGCCGAGCACTTCTTCTTGGGCTGACCGGGTCTCTAGACATTCTGCAGCGATTGCAAGACAGCGTAGTAAGATATCGGAAAGACTTCTGGGCAAGGATTAGTACAATGATGCATGAAGAGCGGATTAAGGCCTTGAACGAACCGGTCTTTGATACATGCGATGAGGCCGCACATTTCGTGCGCATGGTTTCTTTGCATATCGCGCATGTCTCCGTCGAATTCTGACTGTATGGGGTTTGACTTAGACAGCAAGATTCGCGTTGTATGAAAGAACAATCGCGCAACAATCGCAGATCTTTTATGGATCCTGGAATAAACAGTTAGTGTGCAATCCATCGAATCCACGGAATGGGAACCTACATGATTTCCGGAAACGCAGATTTGGAGTTTGTCTGCCAGGACTGCAGGTACCCAAGGGGAGCCATCGACCTAGGTGCTGATTTCTCCCAATTTTCGCACCAGTTGTTATAAAGACTCCATTCCTGGAATTGATCATTGAGCTGAGTAGCCCCAGTTGCATTGTTACTCAAATCTTGAGATCGGAACGATGCTTGGAAGATCACGACCTTTGCACAGATATAGAAAATGCGATAAGACCATGCATCTTCGCTACTCTCACTGGGAGCATGGCAATGGTCCATATTCATGTCAATCCCCCAAGTGTTTGGATCCCAGGACAGGCTCCAGTTGTATCGTATGCAATTAAGCAGCTCTGCACTGATACTAATTTTGAAGCATGCTCCACCGAGCCCTGGGGTCTTCGAAGTCCAGCCACATTCTCGAATCAAAGCTCGCGAGCCTGCAATATGGGCTCTGCGATGCGAGGATAGAGGTGACATTGTTTCAAAAAAGCCGAGGGCCAAGGCCGTTGCCGCGCATAGAACAGAGTCACGGTTAGAATCATGAATACAGTTTAACAGATCCTGGGTAGCCTCATCATAGAGCTGCATAGCCGTTTCCTCCCCGTAAGAAGAATCGACAAGGGACAGGTTTCTAGCACCACATGCTAAGAATGCCTTGAGCAGCATAGGCTCGTCGAGAGCGTAGCACGGAAGAATGTGGGTGAACTGTATATACTTTGTTAGAAATTCACCCAAACTTTGGCAAGGGAGACAAACATGTTCCATTTCATCCACCGCATCCATTCTGGGTGCAACATGTTCGACAAAAGCACGGAAAAGAAGCATTCGCTCAGGGTCCGTAATGAAGGAATGGCTTCCCTCGTTTTTTGCCAGCTTCCGGGCGAAGTTGGACGTTCCATGTGGAAGGAGCTCATCTCCCGGTACCAATTGAGATTGCTGCCAGACATCGGTTCCAAAATCAGCATTACCAGGATGAGGAACATCGAAGTCTAATGGATCAAATGAATGAGCAACAGATTGGAAAAGACTCGTTAGGTCATCGGAGCCCATAGCCTCGAAGCTATGGTGTAAAAGTCTTTGCTCTTCAGCAGGACTTTCCGGCTGGATAGGCGGGTATCTTTCAAAACCTCCCACATACTCGGACGCGATCAAGCGCGAATCATCGCGAAATGTTACTTTAGCGCCATGAGGTCGAGCAACAACATGCGGAGGCGCCACATTTTGGATATCAATGAAGTTGAGGCGAACACCACGTCGACAGACGCGGTTCGACTTGCGACAATTATGACACCGTCCTAAGGCCTCGTCGCACTTCAGATGTCGTTCGCGACAAGTAAGGCAGCCAGTGCGCACCCGCTTCGCTTTGGTGTCTGCGATACCCGTGGACTTCTTTCGGCGTGGACGTGGTGTACTTTGCGAATCGCTTGTCTGGCTTTTCGGAGTGGATGTCCTTGAGCCTACTGTAGGCAACCCCGCCTGCGGTTTCGCAGATGTCCGAAGATTCATCCCGTTTTAATTGAGATTCACACGACTTCAACTCCCGATTTAAGCTCTGGTCCAGACCTGTTTCTAGTCTCCGGTGCCGACTGGGGTCCGAACCGAAAGAGGATTCCCGAATACACAAAATGACCTTGCAGATTTCACTCGACTGGCCATGTTCGGTACTGGTGCTTGTTGTAGTCGCGAGTGGGGAATAATTTGTCGAGAGGAATGCGATCGTCGGAGCTTGCGATTCAAGAGCTTGAATCTCACAGCCAGTGCAAACAGGAAGGTGCTTGGCAGATGAAACGGGGTTCTAGAAATACTGTCAGCCTCAGAATATCCCCCGAGAATAAAAGTACTCACCAGCCGATGCCCGCACGAAGATGTGTGTCGCGGGGAAGTGGATTTCAAGTCCGAAGAGAAAAAAAGGCCGGCCCGCTTTGCCAAGATCTCCAATGTATACGGCCATGTTGGCATTCATATAATTTAACAACTTATGGTCATGATACTATCTGAATCCAGAAGTACCTAGAATCAAATTCCACGAAAAAAGCAGTCGAGATCGTCTATGCCTTTCTCGCTAGTCGAGGTAATTGGACTCGGCACTGTAGAATGAATAGAATAACACCCCAGAGAACAGCAGACATGAATGTGATACGAAGAGCAGCTGAATACGAATTGATGACTGAGAGATTGTCAGAAAATTAATCAATATAGGATCAAAACATCAAAACCAGTGAAGTATGCCTTCCAGCTGATGGACTGGATTCAGATCAGTAATAGTCTGAACAGACTTGCGAACTAGGGCAATAACATGTCTATAAAAAGTCCTGCACATGCTTCTTTATCACTTGGGTAATGCTTCCCTGGTTCAGGAGGGGAAGCTATCCCCAAGCACTTGTCCTAGATATTGCTCGACTTCAAGTCCCGCAGGCAACGAGCTAGAGCTGGAGCGAGGGCGGGTATGTTTACCTCTTTGGAGTCTTGAATGGCGACTGATTCGAAACATGATGACTGTTGTATTGATAGGTGGACTCATGGCGCAAGAGAGGAGTTTCTTTAGAGGGACAGGATTGGGCTCCCTTGCTCCTGAGCCGTGATCATTATCCCAAATGAAAGCGAGCAAAGAATATATAAAGTCCGATTAAGTTATGCAAAGGAAATTTAAAGAAACAACACGCTATCTAAGCAAAGAATATTCCTTCAAAGCTGTGTTGCAAGAGTCTTCAGTAGGCAAGGGTGTTTGATCTCGGCTGTTCATTTGCAAGCATTCTATTTCATGCAACGCAAACTACTCAGCTGAAAGTATGCAGGCAAAGAGAAGCAATATGGATCTATTGATCATCACCTGCATAGATCTACTTCAGGCCTGGTTTGTCATCGACCTCGGCCGATAAGAGATAGCGACCTATCAAACTATTGAGACATCTTTCTTTCTTTTCATTCCCTTGCGAAGCTTGAAGCTTGCATCTTGCATAAACCAATATACAACCTGAACAATGCATCCACCCCTGCGCATCGCTGTATTAGAATGCGACACCCCCCTTGACTCCATCAACCGCCAGTACAACGGATATGGCGGGGTATTCCGCACCCTCCTCACAGCGAGCGCGAAAGCATTAAACCAACCAGAGAAGCTCAACCCAGAGACCGGATTAGAGATCACAGCATGGGACATTGTGAACGATGACAAATATCCAAAACTAGAAGAAATCGATGCGGTCCTTCTAACAGGTTCAAGTGCGGAATGACTCAGACAGCCAGATGCGATGCCTCTATACTAACAGCAGTTGAACCCGAACAGAACATAACTCCTTCGAAGATATCCCCTGGATAAACCGTCTTGTCGAATTTACCCAACAAGTCCTCGCGCAAAATCGCGTACGTATACTCGGCATCTGCTTCGGACACCAGATCGTTGGACGCGCGCTAGGCACAAAAGTTGGACGAAGCAATGCAGGCTGGGAAATTGCCGTGTGCGATATGGACCTGACAGAACAAGGAAAGAAGTTATTTGGGCGGGATAAGATCGTAAGTTGAATCTCTCTGTGAGACCGGAAGCTATAACACGCTTCCGTGGAATATGCAGTACAATACTGCATGTACTGCATATACATGAACCACTGCGGAAAGGAAGCTGACACAATGTGAACGAATGAACAGCGTATCCAGCAAATGCACCAGGATATTGTTTTTGAGTACCCACCGAACGTCATTCCATTGGGTTCGTCCCCGCGCTGTGCCGTGCAGGGCATGTATACCCCGCGCCGCTTTATTACTGTCCAGGGCCATCCTGAGTTTACGGGGGATATGGTTACTACGATTGTCGGGAGCCGGGCCGAGAGTGGGATTTTCAAGCCGGATCAGGCTCGAGATGCTTTGAGTAGGGCTCATAATCAACACGATGGTGTTGATATTGGTGCTGTGTTCTTGAAGTTCCTGCTCGAGGACTAAAGAAGGAAAAATAACATATTTTGATAGACGTTGTACTACCTTTGGATCTTGATATTAATCTAGATGAGAAAGTTCTTATAGATCTAGTCTTTTGTACATATTCAGACTAGCGTTACCTTAGCGTTGGCTTGATGGACCAATGTGATGCTGTGAGCTTACTTTTGTTAAAAGGCAGAGAGATAAAGAAGCAAAATAGCAATCGGTATCATTGTCATAAATGCATGTCATGTTCTATTGAGGGAAAAATGCACCAGGCACCCTCATGCAAATTTATGCCAGAAAGAAAAATATAAGGAACGCCCCGTTCCTAGGCCAAGCAGGCCACTTCACCCCGTAGGGAAGAGATGCAAAAAGATGCAAAGAGATGCCGGCAAAAGTCAAGCAAAAAGGGCTACAAACGCTCCACCCACCCACTAACGCCATTTCCATGCAAGTTTGAATCGCTAAAATGCAAGGTCTGACCGGAGACAAGCAACAGGCAAGCCAGACAAGCAAGGTAAGGAAGACAAGCAATAAACAAATATAATCAGACTCGGAATTAGAGTCAGAGAGGTCGCGGGGCGGAAAGTCGGCCGCTGCGACGCGGGTTTGCCTTTCCGTCCGAGTCCGATTGCTCCGGGGTTGTGATACCCGAGAGAGAGGGGTGGGGGTCTGTGTTCTGACCGTTTTCGGTTTCAGATTTCATCTATGAGGTGTTAGTCGAGAGTGCGGCGGTAAAGGAAGATGCGCGGATTGAATACTCACGCGAAGATTGAGAGAGACGAGCTCGTTTTGATCGTCTCTGAATGATATTCCAACTCCAAGCGTTAAGTTGGAAACGATCCGCCTCTTGGGTCGTGTTCGACGAGCTGGACGCGGGTCTTCCGAGTCGTCGCTGTCTTCTGCGGATCGTTTGCTTCCCGTGCTGAACGGGGAAGAAGATCGTGATGCCTGTAAGCCTGGCTTGATAAGCACTGGAGCGGCCTTCTTATCAAATGGCACATCGGTCTTTTCGTCCAGCAAGGCGGCAAATGCGCGGTCGATGTCTCCGCGACATTTTTGAAGCATGTCCACGATCGTCTCGCGGTCATAGCGGCCGCCAAAGCACTCTTGGATGGATTTAATATCCCACGGGGGATAGATGTCCACAGCCACATCGGTGTCAGTGGTATCAGATCCACTAGGGACATTGTCCACAGTGACGGGTATGTCTTTGCGGTCTTCTGCCAGTTTCCTGTCTACGTCTAGCTTGATGTCTTCGCTAGGTAGCGGGGCGTCAATGGCCTCAGTGAGAAGCCCTTTATGTTGTCCATTGATTCCCCGCACGGAGGAGTAATGTTTGAAGTCCTGTGATTGTGAGCCTACAGCCAAAAGGCATTAAGAGGAGCATGGCACGTACGTGGAAGGCGACGTGGAGCACATCCCGGGGCTGATCGGGAAGGGCATTGACATCTCGAAACACCTGAACTCCATCCATGGTGTAAACATTTAGATCTACTTGGAAGACCTGGCAAAATGCCTGGAGATGTTCAGAGCTAGCCCACTCGCCATTCTTCCGCGTGGTCGCGATCATATCCTCGAACCGACGCTCCTTGTCCTCGAAAGAGGGCGTTGAAACATCGGCAGAACGCGTAGCATACGCGGATACAGCTGCACGTTTAGGCCGGCGTCGTTCCCCACCCTCTGCCACGACAAACTGCATGAAGTATGTTTTGTTGTTGGCCATGTGGGTGGCCAAGCGCTGGCGTATTTCGTCGGCATGGAGGGTGTTGCCGTACAATTGGTCGGAGAGGGAATAATAGAGGCAATTGCCTATGGTTTGACGCGTCAGAAAGGACAAATATTCATATGACAGCTTGTTCAGCGCGTTCTGAAGCTCCGACAAGTAACAACAAGCGTGACTAGCTTACCATCTCCTTCGGTAGGTAGAGCAAACAAGCCTCGTTCTTTCAAACAGGGCATTTCCAAGCTTGCATGGTCCATGTTATTCTGAGTTCTGGCCGACAGCTCAGCCTGCTGGACCTGCAGCGGGTCGGCCGTCTGGGGAAGCTCCTCTTTCAGGTGTTCATGACCCGTGAGTATGGGCACAATTCTGCCACCGTGATCAAGGTGAGACATATTGAAGGCACTCGACTGAAAGTCGGCATTGGTCAATTCAAGAAGAAGAAAATAAGACTAAATCTAAGAAAAATAAATCAAACCCGCAGAGGTGAATCGGGCGCCCTGCGGGTGGTTTGAAAAAGGAAATTCACCACTTCTCGCAGATTTGAGTGCCGATCGAGGCGGTGAATGCTGGTGGGTTGTGATTGGTTCCACGTGAGACGTTGCCCACTATGACATAGGCGACTTTTGCTTGTCACAATGGCCTCTTAGGGCTTTAATTGCTATTTATACCTCACGAGGGTTTTTTGCTGCTTTCAGGTTCCCCTGATATTTGATGCTTTTATAAGGGTCAAATAAGTGGACGAGGAGTCAGATGTGATGGATACACTGACCACAGTGGAGTCTGGAGGCATGGAGAACGCGGGACTTTACGGAGTCTCCTTGCTGGGTCCAGATTTGATACATGTCTTGGTTGAACTGAGTCAAGACTAGGGGCTGCTTTATAAGGCGTCAATAGATTCAGCGTAATTCTAGAAAGAACAGATTACTGGTTTGCATGTACTATTTGTCCATGTTCCTATTGGATAGAAGGGCTGTTTTGCAAAGCTTGTAAGGAACCCTGTAGTTACAAGGCTCGTAAGAGCCAAGAGAGATAATTCCAGCTGCCAGGCAGACAGAGCAGAGGGTATAGTCCGAGTCATACTCAACCTCTATGTACATTTGGATTCTGTACGCCGTACAATAGCAAAGAACAACAACCATTGGAATGGAAACAGTGTGGAGGCGCATTTTCTTTGCATCCACAGATCTCCACCAAGAAACCCTAGCTTGTTTGCTTTTTCATGGCATTTGGTTGGCTATGTCGCCACACCGCCTGAAGCCTGACCACCAAATTACCAACAAGAAAAGAAATTGAAGCCGAAGCCTTGGTTCAAGGCGGGTCTCAGGGAGTCATATCTTCAAGTCATTGATGCCAAGATTGGTTATATGACTAATAATTGCCCGGATGGTCTAGTGGTATGATTCTCGCTTTGGGCTTATTCGTGAGATTACTCATATGCGAGAGGCCCCGCGTTCGAATCGCGGTTCGGGCCCGTTCTCTTTTTGTCTTTTGATTCTATTCTTTTTGTTTAATTTCAGTCATCGATACAATTGGCACAAAATGACATGACTATCATCATAGTAGGTAATTAATTGTTAAGGGAGCGGACAAAACTCCACCCCCGTCTTATCAAATGTACGGACCTGATAACGCCCCCTCACGCCCCGCCTCAGCTTCAGAACTTAAAAGGCTGATTCTTTCCTATTCCTCGGTGTCTTTTTTACATATTCACAACAGTTCAATTGCTTTCAATCCCTAATGGCGACAAACAACATTGTGGTTCTGGGGTAAGACCCTTTCATTCCACAGTAAAGATGCTTACTGACGTGTAGATCAGGGCCGGTGTGTCTGGCTTGACAACCGCATATTTACTCTCGCAAGACCCTGCCAATAAGGTCACGGTGCTGGCAAAGCACATGCCTGGAGATTATGACATTGAATACGCATCTCCATGGGCGGGTGCCAATTACATGCCGTATGGGAACCACAGCATGCTTCGTCACTAATACTCCTGACTAATCTCGCCCTCATACAGTATGGGAAAAGCCGGAAGTAACCACGAAGCGTGGGAGCGCGCTACCTGGCCCGCATTGAAAGCAATCACGGAGAAGTACCCAGAGGCTGGTATCCATTTTCGAAGTATGTTTCCTGGAATCTGAAATACAATCAAGCTATCTGACAATCCCAAGAGGCCTTTATCTACAACCGCAAGAAAGACCCCCAGGAAGATATTGCTGCCTTCTTTACGGACTTGGTTGAGCCAAATCCGTGGTACAAGGATGTCGTGCCGGATGTAAGATATCTGTTCTCACCGATAAGATGATGGAACGCAGAGACTAACTTAACATAGTTCAAACCAATTCCCTCTGATCAGCTAGGACCTGACATGGACAATGCTCAAGAATTCACCTCTGTCTGCATCAACCCACCCGTCTACTTGGCTTGGCTAGTAGGCCAATCTGTGAAGAACGGCGCGGTGTTCAAGCGGGCTAATCTCAAGCACATTACGGATGCAGCCAATGCCCACCACACAGGCAAGAAAGCTGATGTCGTTATTAATTGCACTGGTCTATCATCCAAGTTCCTTGGCGGAGTCCTCGACGAGAAGATGTATCCAGCTCGTGGCCAGGTCGTCGTCGTTCGCAACGATCCAGGACCAATGATGGCGGTATCTAAGACTGATGATGCACCTGATGAAGCTCTGTATATCATGACGCGAGCCGTCGGTAAGTATATGAATGTCTACACTATCAATTATATCGTTGAACGCCCACTTATCATGTCTAGGTGGCGGTACTATCCTCGGTGGATCTTATCAAAAAAACAACTGGGACGCAACACCAGATTTGAGCCTTGCTAATCGCATCATGGCCCGTGCTATTGAGATTGCCCCAAACCTCGTTGAGAAGGGCCAAGGAGTCAAGGGATTGGATATTATTCGACATGGTGTTGGCCTGCGTCCTCTAAGAGAAGGTGGTCCTCGTATTGAAAAAGAGAAGATTAACGGCGTCTCCGTTGTTCACAACTACGGTCATGGTGGCTTTGGCTATCAGGCTTCATTTGGCTGTGCAGATACCGCTGTGTCTTTGGTCAAGGAGGTCTTGCAGGAGAAGTCTCGGGCTAAGCTGTAGATTTGCATCTTGGCATTTCTTCTCGTTTGGACAGGCATTATATTGCCTTGCGTGGAGATTGTTGGAAATCATCAAAAGATAGAACATAGCAAAACACTCATACACCCCATCTACACACGACAGTATGACGTCAACCAATTCCCTTATTAAACTCTCCCACAGCAGCCAAACCCATTCATCAGCAAGCAACGATGTCCAAAGAAACAACTCAAAAGATCAATCAAGTCATTAACGACTTTGGTAGATCTCCTCTCCACGACACACCACTTTCCAACACCCTGACTGCCAGCCCAGACATAGTCCTAGCAATGACAATAGATGCCCTAATCAAAGCACGGCCAATCTCACACGGATTGGCACAACGAACCATCAACAAGTTGATTGAAGCCGGCTACCATGATATCAATATCTTATCAAACAGCTCATGGGAAGATCGAGTCTCTGTTCTTGCAGAAGGGGGATACAACCGCTATCGCGAACAATGTGCGACGAACCTCGGGGAATTGGCAAAACTTGTTCTGGAAAAATATGGTCAGCATGCTCCCCGGATGCAGTTCCCTGTATTGCAGTTTCTCACGAGAATGTTTCTGACATACCCCCAGATGGAGATCTTAATAACCTTCTCCATCAAGCCTCTTTTAACAGAGATGAAGCTGGAATCCTGATGAAGGAGATCAAAGGAGTGGGTGATCTCGCCGTGGAAGTTTTCTTCAATAATGTGCAATCTGTTTGGCCATGTATTGCTCCTTTTGTTGATTCGCGGAGTTTGAAAACGGCTGTTTATGTTGGGATTAGGGAGGACTTGGATTATATTTATAAGGTTTTGGAAGAGGATCCGGTGCGGATGAGTTGGTTTGCTAATGGGCTTTCTGAGGTTAGATTGGAGAAGAAGCAGGATGTTATCTAGGGTGTTGCGGAATTTGCTTTGGAGGGTTTGGGGCAATTTCGGGTTTGAGCGGAGTCGTGGCTTGAGGGAACAATTGTAAATTTGAATTTATAAAACGTATCTAAATACTTTGTTCCCAATCTCTGTTTTATCCTAACAAAGGTTAGCCAAGGGTTTCACCCTCTGCGCAACAGAACTTACCAGCATTCAATTCTCGACGCCTTCAGATTCGACCTCTTGTCCATCAATCGCCTCCCTATCTCGGCGCTTATTCTCAAGGTACATGTAAACGTATAAAGCAATAACTGCAGCCAGCTTGACAGCATATCCAACAAGCATTCTATAAAAAAAAATCACGACACCACCGCAGCAATTGCGCGTTTGTCGAGCGTTCTAAGCAAATCGAAGCCACAGAACTGACCAACTTTGCCGGAAATTATCCGATGCTCCTGAAAAATGAAAGAAGCCTGTTTCTCCTGCTCAGCCTATAAGGGTGCTTTTCTCGTCTAAGCTTGGAGTCCACCAAAATGTCAGTTGGATTGGCTGATGCTCTGAAGCCTTTTTGGGACCTTTCACGGCGATAATCTGTGTTTAACTCCGGATTAAAGACTTGGGTTTGATATCTTCAGATAGAATGAGATATTAAATCGAATCAACTTTGTGGCTTCATTGTGACAAAACCGCAATCAACAGAACCCCCGATCCTGAGTAGGTAATAATTCTTAATCAACCTCCACGGATTTGATTGGCTGAAACAATAGTACGGAGAACCCATAAACGTTCTGTCATCTTTTGATGTTATTTTGAATGAACTATTCATCATCCGGTCCCAGAGGAGGGCGACTAGCAGCCATATTACACTGCCTAAACACCCGTACTTCATCCTCCTCAAAAGACCCAACAATTGAATGCATAACACCATGGTTATTGAAAAGCACCAGATCACCCTCTTCCCAATCATGAGTATACAAATAGCATGGATCAATAGCCCGTCTCTGCAACTTATACAACCGCTCCCGAATATCAACAAGATCATCAAGTATTTCTCCATTTTCAAGATGGATCTTTCGCACGCATGTCGGATAAACCATCATTGCCAACTTGCCTGTCACAGGGTTTTTCCATGCCAGGGGGTAAGTTTTGATTTTGGAGGTTTCAAAGGAAGGTAACTCATTCTCTGCCAGTTCCAGCCCTTCTGAAATCACACCTAGTCCGTTGGAGCGGGACTTCGCTTTGCTCATCCAAATGTAGGGGTGAGGTGCGTATTCGACTTTGCTTGTGCATACGAAGTGTTGTTCTTCTTCCGATAACAGGTCGTACAGCCTGTATCCACTGAAGAAGGCTGTTGTGCCAAGAGGAACATCCAATGTGGTATCTGTGCCATCATCGTAACGACAGATTTGTCGACGGCCCTTGGGAACTTGGACGGCCAACAGTGTGGTGACGAGCGGAGGGTCCAAGTTGTACATGGCCGAATCAATGTGCCAGCGATAAAAATGTGTAAGGTCATGATCTTCCTCTGGTGAAATAGGATTCTTGTGGAATGTCTTGTGGTGAGGGTGTTTCAAACGAATGTCCTTCAATCCTTCGTATTCTTTGACCAGACCACTGCCAATGACTTGGACTTGGGGCTGGTGAGGGATAGTTGTCAAATCAGCATGTAGAACACTGCGCTTGTCGATTGATTTGCCATGACTGTAAACTCCCGCGGAAGGGTCGAACCGTCGAGTGAGTTCGTATTGTGCTTGTGGGGTCAGCCCGGCCTGGCCTTTGAGTACCACGACTTGGTTTTCATACAAGGTGCGGCGGAGGAAAGAAAAGTCATCATCTTGAACCATGTAAGTATTTGCAAGGGAAAACCAGCTGTTTTGAAGTAAGCTTACTGTTCATTGTTTCAACATTGAAGCCATGGAGTTCTGTGCCGAAATCTACCCTAGATTCTTCGGGTTTGCTGACGGGCTTACAGCAAAGCGTCATAGTGGATATTATGAAAAGAATAGTAATTGATCGAGTAGAAATTGAGTGAATGTCGAAAAGAACTGGTAGAGACCATGTATGCACTATATAGTCCTGTTATACATATCACTACTAACCAATGATATTTGCGCGGGTGGGACTTAGTGACTCATCCGCGCGAGAAGATACAGCCCGCAGAGTCCCCGTAATACGTCAATGATAATTCGATGAACGCGATCCATAACAGAAGCGAGGACTACGCAGTGCATCGGGTGTACAGGAACATCCTTATCAAAAATGGTGGTGGAACGGGGTGGACTGGCCCGCTCTGCGCGTTCTCACAATTTATACTTAAAGGAAGCACTTATACAGATTAAAAAGAACGAGCAAATATTCTCTTCTGAAAAGTATCGTGGAGTAGCAATACTCATTGCAAACATGCCCGAGTCAACAGCCCTCACGTTTACCATCCTGCCTGATGAGGTCAGACAATCTTCCGCCATCGGTGCAGAAGTCCAACTGCCCCCCGGCATGCCCATGCTGGACCTTGATCGCCTGACCGAAAAGGACAGAGAAGTTCTCCAGGAAGCGCTCTTCAGAAACCAAGTCATCGTCATCAGAGGCCAGAAAGGCATTGACCCTACAGCCCTACCGAAACTCGCCAAAGTCTTCGATCCAAACGCCTCTGATATTCACTCCGCCGGAGAGAAAGCTGTCAGGGACCCAAAGAATATCCTGTCAGCATACAAGGCTGGCAGAATTCCAAGGGCTCCCCAAGTTGGAATTATTGGATCGGGCAGGTTCCAAAATTATGAAGGTCTTGATGAGTTAGAAGTGGTGCATCTCGTACAATCCCTCTCCCATAGAATACATCCAAACCACTAATCAGCGAACAAGGATCACACCCTATTCCACGAAAAGCCACTCACACAAGAAGAACTAGATGATGGATATACTCGTCCATACAGGTGGCACATGGATACCCCGTTCTACGAGCGACTTCCAGGTGAAGTTACCATCTTGCATTCAATTCGGATTCCCAATGTCCCAGATCAGAAGATCAAGTTCCCGGACGGAAAAGAGAAGAATATTGGTGCTGGAGCAACAGCATGTGAGTGCTTTCAGTAAACAGGTGCTCGAGATACATGTTCTGACCGGACGTATAGTTTTCTCAGGAGCTCGTGCATTTGCCCTTTTGACACCGGAAGAGCAGGAATTCGCGCTCAATACCACAATCACTTATGCTCCCCAGGCCTATGAGTACATTCGCCAATGCAAAGCCTCTGATGATGGCCTTACTATTCCTACCATGGGGAAAGAAGTACCCGTAGAGAAATTATCGGAGTGGGCTTGGGATAAAGTTGCAGAGCACCCAGTGAGTATTACTCCAATCATAGGGGTGGATACATAACATTTGACTAATCATATTCCAATAGATGGTCTGGCGGAGCCCAATGAATCCCGATCGACCTTTCCTCCAGGTTCACGGTTGCTGCGTGTACAAGCTCACCACGAGAAACCCCACAACGGGGGACGTCACGGTTATGGATGATGTGGAGAAAGTCAGAAAGGTGGTATACAACATGCAGAAGAAGATTTATGCCGCTGAGAATATCTATGCTCACAGATGGCAAGAAGGGGATGTGGTCATCTTCCACAACCGCGGTGTCATGCATAGTATCACTGGTCAATTGGCGAAGTACAAGGAAGAGGAGGATAGGAAACGGATGCTGTGGCAGTGTACGATGACGAGTACTACTCCTCCTATGTCGTTCCGTGGATATGAGGGCGTGGATGATACTGGATATGTGAGGGTATGAATTGAAGATAGAATACAAGAATGGCTCAATAGAAAGAATTCAATCAAAATTTGGTTATAGTGTATATTCGTTTCACAGTTGGAGAGGTTCTTGCAGAGAGTAAAACGTCTCATTGAACCAGGCATCGAAATCAATGTCCTCTGCAGTCCCCCAAGTAGGTCTCATCTCATCGAAGTGAGCACCAATCACATCCTGAGACTCAACAGTCGCAATTGTGCCTGGAGATGCCTCGGTGCTGGGAGATCCAAGGTGTAATCGACTGAATGTAGAGAACTTGGCCAAGATTTGACCGAAATCCATCATTTTAGTACTGGTTCCTCCATTATGTAGGTCAGAGCCCGCAGTGAAAATTGCATCAATCAAAGCTACACCTCGTTGAGCGAGCACGTCAAGATCACGCGAAGCAAGACGGGCTCTAGCGGACAGAATGGCCTCTTTGTAGCTCTGGGCACTTGCGCTGAATGCACTCTCGGCGATTGCATTGACCTCAAAGCACATTATGACCGCGGCTGTAATTGCAAATGCGGTATGGGTCCAGATTGAGATATCCTCTTCCCGCACAATTGTCTCGTGTTCACGTAATATAGTCATCGCCGCTGCGACAGACGTGCGCCTTGTGTAACTATACGTTGGATCGTGGAATGAGCGGAAAAGGAACGGTCGATGTATCATGATGATCTTTTCTGCTGCTGTGATTGCTAAGCTTCGTCGCGCGATGCTAAGCCATGGGATTTGCTCTTCTTTCTCCTTGTCCGGGCGCAGAAGGAACGGTGGTATATTTTTAACCACAGCTCTCATTTTCTGATCCACTTGCAGGATATGCTGGTATTGCTCGCGATGAGGCTTTCGACTTTTCATTGGACCGAGTCCATCCACTAGACCAGGCATCAGTTCTGCCAGATTTACCAGTACGCGGACGTAAGTGCTTGTAGTGGGAGTGCTGATTGGCATGTCCACTAGGTCATAGTCTTCTGCATTCATAGGGCGACCTGTAGAGAAGTGCATTGGGGATATGCTGTATGTGTCGGTGAAGGGGATCGCGAAGTGGTCTTGGATGATCATTTGACACCAGACCCTTTTTCCGACTTCACGCTCGACTCTTTCTTCCCAGTCATCTTTATTTTGGACGGGTTTTGTAGAGTGGTCCTGGATTTTGTGAACTCCAAGGCACTCGGCAATGCGCACTGCAGCATTGAAAAGGGTCGCATTCAGCTGACTCAACCCGAGGTTATGAGCCACTTCTGTCGATATGACAATGGCCTGCACTGAGTATATCGAGAGGTTGCTGAGGAAATGACTGTCATACAGAGTTTGCACCATGGCAGAAAAGAGTTGCTGCGCGGATTGCATAGTGTGCAGATCCACATCAACCAAATCTCTCGCTTTCGGGCTATCCTGAACTGAACTGACGGTAGAGCTCAAGACGGAATAGTATAGGGCTAGCCAGAGGGGATCATCGTATTTTCCAGTTTCCCAAAACATTTCACACTGTTCGAGGAACGTCGGGCCGTGGAAGCAATCGTGATGCCATGCCACATGGCAGATATGGAACTTGATCAGTTTTTGAGCATCTATTGTTCTGGGAAGATTCGGATTTAGTCCCAAAAGTCCGTCACCTTGAAGTGGTGCATTACTGGATACCAGCTGTAGGCCATTTTTGCGATATTGGCATGCGCAGTTCCTGTGAGGAAAGCATCCGGCGGAATTTCTGCCCCAAGCAAGATGCTCGATGGCTGTGAGAAGTGATGAATCAACTTGGTTCGAGGAAGACTCGATCGAAGCGGCCGGTAATTTCCCAGGCACACGATCTTCAGTCAATGTGATTTCCTGCTGCGTCGAGTCTATGTTGGACGCCTCGGATGAAGGGAGATCCTGACCAGTCTGCAGCCGGGATATCCTGTTTCTTAGTTTTTGAGTCACATGTGCGATTCCCGACGAAGACGAGGAGTCCAAATCCGCTAAAACTGAACTCAGAAACTCGATCTCCGAAGCATGCTGCACGGCGTTGCGCCTGAGCTGGACAACTTCTATTGAACAATTCAGATTCAGTCGTTTACACCTTGTGCAGGGAATCTGCTTGTCACACTTGCGCTTGCGCTTCGTGCACTCTGTAGCGCGTCAGCCTTACGCCCAACCCGAAGGAAGAGATTTGGTCTTTACCTCTGCAGGCTTGTGGTTGACGCTGCGAGATACGGACAGAAGACACCTTGTCTGGTATGGCACTCATCGCTTCAAGAGCTGGAGTACAGCCAGCCAACTATCCCATGCCCGTGTTTCCCGCTGATGCCGGAAGAAGTGAAATGCGCCAGGGTGGAAAAAGACGGAGGTTGCCGAGGCTTGGCGCCCCAACGTCGATCTTGACCGTCCAATATTTTTTGCTCGCTGATAGATGCTTCATGTTGAGAAGTTAGGGTCTTTTTTTAGTCTTCTATGGTATTCATTACTCCTAGGTGCCTATGGATGATTTGAAAACTTCCATGCAAGCAATGCAACCACCGCCGTGCCTTTTCACCATATGCCGATTATCTCAACTCTCGTGCTGCAACGAGTGGGCTCCCTTGCACGATCTTAGAAAAATCGTGTGCATCCAGACATGCTTGTCTGGAGTTGCGTACGCTGAGTTCTGAACGTATGAAGACATCATTCTCGTAGGCGGCAAGCGAGGATGTCAAGGCGTCTTGATCGAAAGAGCTAACCATTTGAAAAGTCAAAGTCAGTATACACCGATAAGGACATGCTCAAGGCAGGCGAGATAGCCTTACCTTGTCTGTCTCATGTCAACACGCTTAACAAGGTCCAAAACATCGACGATCGCATTATTGGCACCTTCTCCACGGTCTAGTCAAAGTTAGTAAACGAGATCCACAGATCGTCTCGAAAGGACGACGACCAGGCACGTACACATTGTCATCGTATGTGCTGAATCTCCCATTAGCACTACTTGAGGATGAGCATGCATTCTTCCTGGTTGAAACACCCAGTCCTCAATTCGGAGGGGGCGCACTTCCACGTCGTCTGGAAGTTTGTGAACCAGCGACCGGAACGGCTCAGACCAGCTCTCAGTCAAATTTTTCATCAGAGCAATGCGCTCTGTATTGCCATCTGGAACTGATATGTTCTTTGAATCTGCCCATGAAACGATCACCTGGCAGTGATAGCGATCCTTGCTACTGGTCTCGAAGTTGCCAGGGGTATCCAAAACTACAGAATCAGTGATCTTAAGTCTCTTACAGAGGATCTCCTAGACATACAGCTGAAAAAGAGAAAAACGTTTGAGTCGGGGTGCGAGCCCTGGAAGATAAAAGGGTCGATGGACTCAGCGCCGCCCATCTCTTCTGCAGTGTAAAGTGTCGATGCACCAAGGATCTGTACGGGCAATGGGTTCATCTTCGCCTCGGGGTACAGAATCTCACGTGTCCGTGACTTTGAGCCATCGCAGGCAATGAGAAGTCGTCCAGCGCACGAGGTGCCATCCTCGAAATGAGCGGTGATAGTATCCCCAGAGGATTCGATATTTTTTAAATTCTTGCTCCACTAAGCGTGTCGCATCAGTGCCAGTTGGAAGTCAAGAATACCGGGCCTTCACTAAAATCCTCAACGAGACAGTCGAGACTCACCTGAACATCAACGCCAGTAGTCAGAAGTTGGCGCAAGCGAACACGGCTCACCCGAATACGCTCAGCGGCAGGAACATCATACAAAGCAGCTCCAGACTTGAGATTGAAGAATTGAAAACGCCCAGTATCCCCACGCGCAGAGGCCTTCTTGTTGACAAAAGTCTCAGGGAATCGTTCAACCAAATGCTCGGGTAACAATTCGCGCAAGGCAGGGAGTGACCAGTGCAGCGTCAGTCCCCATCCGCCACTGCGGGCGTCGATCGCGGAGTCACGATCGAAGATCTTAAACGGAATACCATGGCGCTGGAGATACTGGGCTAGGACGAGACCACTGATGCCCGCGCCGATGATCAAAATAGGGTGATCGGACATGGTCGAGGTGCGGTTGATCGTTGATCCAGATACACGATACCCCCGGCTCGATTTCCCTAATCTTCACGGTAAATACTGTAATATCGCTTGCGGCCTCACCACTGTGGGCAAACGGGATGCAGGGCGCAGGTTCAAGCAATCATGCCACCCATGCAAACTATCCCACTATAGACCTGCGAATTGGAGAATTTTCGGAGAGAGTTTGTGTGGGGGCTATTGTATACTGAATCCTTCGAGATGGAGCCTATGCTGGTCAGAAGAGGGACCTACATAAGATTTGACAGTGGGGTCCACTGACTATTGCTAAGAGTGAATTTTTGTTGGTGAGTACGGATTTGGCTTCGTATTTACCTAATGCTGCTGTCTTACTTCGGGAGGATCAGGGTTCACCAAGACGGTGCTAGGCGGACTCCGGTGAAACAGAGCTGCCTGGCGCTTTTTGATTGGCAGATTGTGGGCACGGGAAGATTAACCTTGCCGCCCCTGGCGAATCCTGCGCAATATATCAAACTGCTGGTCCACTCCCCGACCGGGATCTTCTGGTGGATCTCGGTCCGTTAGGGCATTGATCGGAGGTCTAGCCTAAACTGTATGAGCAGACCCCGGCCTCAAGAAGTTTTTCGAAAAGGAAGATGCGGAAACTTACGAACATGACAGATCTAGCATGTCCACCCACAAGCGTATTCGCGAGTGCGTAGACTGCTGAATTCTCAAGGGGCCGGGGCTGCCTAAACAAACGCCACAACGCGCAAGGGATAAAAACTAGCAAAGCAAATCCTTATTGGGGGCGAGAAGTCAAACTACCAGCATCCCAGCTAGTCTCACACGTTTGGAATAATATACATGAATTAGATTGCGCCATATGTTCCGACTAGTGGATCTTCAGGCTTCCTTCGTCGACCTGTTTTCCAATGACACTCTGTATTCCACCGTCAATTCAATACCTCCGTGGTCTCGATCCTGGCTCGACAAGATAAGCTCCTCGCTGGGAGTCCGTTTCGGAGGGGCTGGCCCAGACACATGAGACTGCAGTTGAGAACGCCCGTCCTTTGACCAGTTCTCCATCGCATAGCTTCTGCCCCTGCTGTCGTGGTAATTTCCCTTCGATTTACCGCTGTTAGAACGGAAGTCCCGCACTACTCCCTTGAGTAGAGGCGCTAAGTAAGGAGCGCAGGTGACAATATTCTAGCACAAATTAGCCATCAGGTTTCCCACTTGTTTCACGCAAGACGTACTCCCACGTTAAATTCAATTGTGCCCCACAAGACGAGCATTGTCGAGTTCCCGTCCCCGAAAGCCACGCGCTGGATTTGTGTAAGTCGCAGGATGGAGCAAATGGTAGTAAATAGACCGAGGAGGAACAGGCACACCACGCCTGCTTTTTGCGCGGTCTTGATGTTCAGGCTGAGAAGGAGCGGAATAGGTAACAAAATAATGAGAACATCGAAAATGATGGTGAAAATTGCGAGACCGTAGAATGTCGCACCGACTGGAAGGCAGGTGCCTACAACATGAATATTCCATGCTCGTCGAACCTATGGTACCAGCAATATTGTCAGGCTCGTATCATAGTGTGGGAGGTATAAGGGCGGTGTTACCGGTGTGCAATTGAAGATCAGGACAAGGGCGCCAGCGATATGCCCCAGCGTACAGACGGCGATCACGATCCAAATAATAATTCGATAGGTGTGCTTGGAAGTCCCCGAAATCAGGCGTAGATAGCTAAGGCAAAGCGAAGCCTTGAATCCTGCAATACCGATTTGGTAGAAAGGTCGCCCTGCATAGTTGATCTGTTTGTTTGTCGGACTTTAGCTTGTCTGTTATCCAAATTCAAAGGTCACACTGCATGAAATAGCTCGCACCTTGCTGTATGTCGCCAAATCTAGCCGAGGGCGATCCCTCAGTGGCAACCCGAGGCCATATCGACTTTCTGTGATTGTGAGTAGGGGTCCAGTAGTGACGGGACGGGTCATTATGGCTCACGAGAAATGCAAAGAGCACTATAGATAATACTGAATATCTGCTCGAAAGTGAGACATAAGATCCCTTGAGTCAGACAGGCCGACTTACCATGCTCCCAGCCATCACCCAGTCTGCCGCTGCCAGTCGACCTGACTGAGCCCGAATAAACAGCCGCAAAGAGACGGTAATAACCATCAGCACAGTCAAACTTAGACATACTCCGAGGATAAGACGGTACTGAGATGAGGCCTCGACCTCGGGGGTGGCATTATAGACCCAGCCCATAGTTGCGTACAAATTGCATCAAAAGTGAGGGTCAAGAGGTGAAGACATAATATCCCAGGTAGGACACCACGCACACATATGACCTGTTACTACATATTCCTTCAGCATAAAACGCCGGATAAGTAAAGGACCTTCCACTTTCCTCATTGGTCCTAGTACCCGACAAGACCATCCCTTCATAACTCAATACTGCCCTGACCATCTACAATTTTCTTTCTCCACCCTCTCTTCATGTCACTAGACTCGGTTGGGTCAATCTGATTTGACAATTAATAAAATCTCGCACCGCGCTTATGCGTTGTATTCTCGGCCCCCGCCGCAGTTCCAATGCAATTAATGCCTTGGTCGCTTTAGCTCATTCGTTAAACTCCGACTATTTCCACCTTGCCCCTGTTATACCCTCGCTGCCTTCCGGGGTTTCTTTTCTTTTTCCCTACTAATTTGGTTTTTGTGTTTCCATTCCCCCTTTTCTCCGATCGCCATGGGCGAAAAGCAACCTGAGGCAGCACCACAGATCGTGGGTGCGAATAGACTCGATGATGCTGTGGTGTATCTCGAGGGTCATGCAGGTGCCGTAGACAGCCAAGTTGATCTGCAGGCTCTCCGCCGGAAGATCGATCGTCGGTTGATGCCATACATGTTTTGCTGCTACGTTTTACAGTTCCTGGACAAGGTGATGCTGAACGTACGTCACCCTCTCTTTGGAATCATATTCAACCAGTTTCTTGTTCTAACATGGACTACATATGCATAGTATGCCGCTGTGATGGGAATTAAGAAAGATTTGAACCTTGTTGGCAATGACTTTTCCAACACTGCGACTTGGTTTTTTATTGCCTACTTGATCGCCGAAGTTCCCAATGGTAATGATCTTCCCTGTCACTTTACCCCATATTTTAAAACATGACTGATATTTAAATCAAGTCTACTGTCTGCAAAAAGCGCCCCCTGCGAAATGGTTAGGAGGAAATGTGTTCTTCTGGGGAGTCGCAGCCGCCGCCTCATCCGGAGCACAAAACTACCAAGGTCTCCTGGTAGCACGAATCTTCCTAGGAATCTTTGAAGCTACAGTTGGTCCCTCGTTGATGCTCATCAGCAGTCAATACTACACTCGAAGCGAGCAAGCTCCTCGATTTACCGTGTGGTATATGGGCCTTGGTGTTGCTCAGATCCTCGGTGGTCTCATTTCCTTTGGCTTCCAGCATGTACACCATGCCTCAATGGAAGGATGGCGAATCATGTTCCTCGTTTTGGGACTTGTTACGTCTGTGATCGGTGCTCTCACCTTTTTCTTCATCCCGGATACACCGATCAAAGCTAGTTGGTTGTCGGAGAGCGAGAAGGTCGCTCTCTTGGAACATGTCAGCGAGAACCAGACTGGTGTATGGAGCACCAAACTGAACTTGAGTCAGATTCTGGAGGCTGTGTGTGATGTCCAGCTGTGGCTTTTGACCATTACAACAATTTTGGTACGGTTCACATTCCACCCCTTGCCGCCATTCCAAAACCTAATTCGACTAACACGGCCTGGTATCACAGATCTCCGTCTCTAGTGGTGTCGTAACCACTTATTCGTCGACATTGATCGCAGGATTTGGTTTCACTGGACCCATCTCAGCCCTCCTTAACACACCCGGCGGCATCGTCAGTATATTTTTCACCCTCCTCGTCGGATTCGGAATCCGTCGGACCTCACACCGCTGGGCATGGAATGTGCTATGTACAATTCCCGGAATAATCGGCGGAGGCCTACTGTCCTTCCTCCCCAAGACCAACAAAGCCGGTGTGCTGATTGGTATATACCTGGTCAACGCAATTGTCGCCACTCTTCCAATTCTTTACCAGTGGACCATGGCCAACTGTGCTGGCCACACCAAACGCGCATTTGCTAGTGCACTTGTCGCTGGGTCTTTTTCCGTTGGAAACATCATTGGTCCACAGACATTCCAGGCTCATGACGCGCCAGAATACCACCCCGCTAAAATTGCGGTTCTTGCTACGCAGGCGGCCGCCGCTGTGTTGTCGGTTGTTCTCTTCATTTACTACATGTGGGAGAACCGCCGTAGGGATCAGACCAAGGGAGAAGTTGATGAGACAATGATTGATGAGACGAAGTGGGCTGGGCTCACTGATAAGCAGAACCCTTCATTCCGCTATGTTTACTAGATATGAGAGACGGTTGTTCGATGTTGTGGTTAATGATTCCAAAGAGTATAGGAAATTTGGTGCTATGTCACTGGATGATATCTGCAATATGTTGTTGTACGAGGAAGAAAATGTAATTTATGAGAATAGGACATGAGTTAATATCGATTCAAAAGAGCAAAAATCATCAGATGAATACATACGGTCAATCGGTCGCATTATACACTGCCATCAGTGTATGTATTTCTAAAGAAAGGCGCAGGCAACTTGCAAATTTCACTACTTGGTATATGTTCACATGGCCGATCGATATTACATCCCGACCGCGGAAGAAACTCGGCAGAACCACTTAGTTGTTTTGACAATCCTAGCATCCTAGCATGAATTGTGTACTGGTCGCAGCTAAAGCTTTCCGTCTTTCATTCATCCACGCTCTCAAGATGCACGTTAAGACAGGATTGTTATTGATAGCCTGGGCAATTGTTGCAGCCTTGGGATGGAGCGGTGATTCTGGGGAATTGGCAGCCCAGCGATCCTACTTTTATGTTGGAGGACAATATATTCCAAACGGTGCTGGCGAGCATATATTCACGGATCAGATGTACGTGGAAAAGTTGACTCCGGCTGCGGGGGTTACGAAGCCGTATCCAGTTGTCTTCATCCATGGACAAGCTCAAACAGGTACCGTACGTATTGTTGAAGATCACTCGTCCCCTTCGCAGTAACTAAATGCGATTCTCGCAGAATTGGCTCAACAAGCCTGACGGAGGGGAAGGCTGGGCCTCTTACTTCCTCTCGAAAGGATACGCATGCTATATCATCGACCAAACCTTCCGCGGTCGCAGTGCCTGGCTCCCTGGAAATGGAACAATGGGTACCTACAGCGCAGAGCTCTTGCAGCAGAGATTTACTGCACCTAAGAAATACAACCTCTGGCCACAGGCATCACTACATGCCCAATGGAACGGAACGGGCGTCATGGGCGACTCGAATTTCGACGCCTATTATTCCTCAACGGTCGAGTTCCTCAGTTCAACAACCTACCAGCAGTCAACCGTCCAAGCCGCTGGAGCTGCCCTGCTTGACACTATAGGATCACCAGTTATTCTCCTCTCCCACTCCCAGGGCGGTTTCATGCCCTGGCTCATTGCAGATGTTCGTCCAACGCTCGTCCACTCCATCGTCTCGATTGAACCCAGCGGCCCTCCCTTCCAAGACGCCGTCTTTGGCAACACTCCCGCGCGTGTCTACGGACTCACTGATGTCCCTATAACCTACTCGCCTATCCTGGCCGATCCGATCGACCTCGTGAAACAGGTTATCCTTTCTAACTCATCACTGTATTCAGACTGTGTAATCCAGGCTGATTCCCCTGCACCGAGACAGCTCGTCAATCTCTCTCAGATACCTGTCCTGGTTGTGACGACCGAATCGTCTTACCATGCACCGTATGACTGGTGCACAGTCAAATTTCTGCAACAGGCAGGTGTCCCGGCGCGGCATCTTCAGCTTGAGGATATTGGAATCCATGGCAATGGACATATGGTATTCTTGGAGAAGAATAGTTTGCAAGTTGCTGCGGCTCTACTGCAGTGGATCGAGAGGACGTAATTTGTGGGATGTAAACGGATATTATTTATCTGGTCTGTTAAGCCTGACCTGAAAATCTGCCCTTAGTCACTTCACATCAATATCAATGCAGAAATACTATAGGTGCAACATTTCAAGAACGTAGAATCTTCTAGCATTACGAAAAATGGAAGAAATGGTGCCGTTTCATAATAAAGTTGTTTGGTAGGCTTTAGGACCACAAGGTATCCGTGACAATTGTTTTTCAGTGTTGACAATCGGGATTGTTTACATGGTGTTTTCCATTCTTCCATTCGTATTGTTTCGTTACTTGGATACATAAATCTGCGTACTTAGTTTTCATTGGTAGTCATTCTTCTTTCTTCAACCACTGTACCAAATCGCCTCAGCTCCCACCACTCACTATGCTCTGGGTATATCTTATTGCGGCTTTGATCCAGCTGTGCTGGGTCTCTCCCGGCATCTCTGAGTTTTACTGTTGTATGGATGCTACCACGGACAACAGGTTGCAATGCTGACTATAGACAGACGATTCCCTGGGTTGGAGACGGACCCGATTACGTCCAGGGTTATGGCGCCGAAGTCCTCGACTCGGTAAGTATCTTGGCCTTTTTTTTTTTTTTTTTTTTTTTTTTTTTCAAACTACCTCATTCTCACGCTCAACACAGCATGGTGATGTGACTTCCTATGCAATCAGTTGCCTTGCCACCAAAACTGCCTGTCAGCCGTTCTCGCCCGATCTGACAGTCATTGCTGGACCTGGTAGTGAGTGAATACGCTGCCGCCGGAGATGAATGAATTACTAAGTCTTTGCCTAGCATATGATATGATTGGCACTGGGGTTGCTTTTGACATCAAGTCGGACTGCACGTTTATAGGTGAGCCTACACGCACCTTGGCGACTTGTGTCCAAACAATCTCATACCATAGCACTCCACGCGTCATTACATCCTCAATTACTGTCACTGGAACCCAGAACTTGATGACTGGAATCTACGCTGCTATGCTGCGCATGACCGAAACTGGAAAGCCTACTACGACGGAGCAGTCTACCACAACCGAGGAACTTGCCACGACCGAGTTACCCGCTTCGACCGCTACTTCGAGCCTTGCTACCACCACTACTGAAAGCAGTACAATGACGGAACCCTCGACTGCTGCTAGAAATGAAACTCAAGCCTCAGAAGTGACTGGCATCCAGATCCCCCCTCGGCCTGGTAATTCAACCAGTTATTCGAACAGCACCGAGACCGTGACTGTGACGATGATTGTCACCGAGACCCCGGCAGCTTTTACTTCCAAGTGTGACTGTGAATACCCTACTCATGCACAGACGGACGAAACAGTGCTTTCAAGGATCAAACCCAACGTGGGAAACACCATCACGGCAAAGAGGGCAGCTATGATGCTGATGGGTGCCATTCTCGTTGTCATTGTCTTTTGCATCTGACTCACCGTGTGGGAATGGATACGCCGCACTCAGACGTTCATTTCTGCTCATGATAAGGTCCGTCGGATCTTTATGAGAGGGACAGGAAGGGGTTAATAACGAGGGGATACCAGATATTCATGAATTGACAGCTAGTCAGAGAGTGTCATTCTCTAGTTACCAAGTAATGCAATGAGATGTTGACCCCATGAAATGCATGCAAATACTGATTCTGTAGCTGCTTATGATTTTGTGGCGACTTTGCTCTCCCAGATTATGGTCTGAGTTATAAGCTTAGCTGCAATCGACACACCTACTAATATCTCCCGAACAATCACTACGAATGTATCAATATCACCAGCAGATGACATAATCCCAAGGTCATTGTGCATTCTGCAGCTATCGTGTTCAACTATTATGTCGCATTGTCTGAACTTCTGGTCATTGCAGGAACTCTTTCTTGTCAACGAGGTATCATTTAGGCCGTCAATGGGATCGGCACAGGCCCTTTTGGGCCAACGCTGCCACTAATATTTGCCTGATGCATTGACCTTGGACCCATGCTTATAGGGTAATCAATAGCTGAGTGAAAGAGTCCATAATTATCCCAAACAACCATGTCTCCTTCTTCGACCGGAGCCAAGAGAACGTACTCCGGCTTCAAAACACGATTTTGAATATCCAAGAGAAAGTTTCTAATATCGGCAACATCCTCCATAACTCGAGGCTCTTCGTCTTGCCACCTGCGCAGATAGAGCTTTTGAGCGCACATACCATGCACCTGGAAGGCCTTCTCGCCCGTCAGGGGATTGACCCAGACCAAAGGATACTGTATCTTGAGTTTAGCAAATTACGTATCTAAACAAAGGCGGAAGGTGAAGTCTGTACCCTCTTTACTGCACACGATCATATTCTCCCAGCTCTTCCATCGTTAGACGCTCACCTCCTTCTGCCAGACCTAGACCATTGGAGTTCCCTTTGCAGCTTCCGACCCACTTGTAGGGGTATGGTGCATATTCAACCCAGCTATGGTCAGCCAACGCCTGTTCTTCGGTAGAGAGCATTTGGTACAGCTGAGAAGTACTGAAGTATGCAGTCTGGCCAGGTGGCGACTTCATAGTTCGTTCCGACCCGTCGGCCCACTCGACGGTAACGTCTGGTCCTTTGGGAAGTGTGATGCACCGCAAAGTCGTGAACCATGCGGGGTCTTTACCATATAGCGGAGCATCAATATGCCAGCGCTGGAAACGCGTGAGCCCATTTTCAAAGTCTTCCATTCGCCTGTTCGGTGATCACGTTTTCCCTCTGGCTTCCATCCAAATCGAATCCCGCGGCCATATTGGCGTACACCGTGCTTTTTGGATTTTGGAGTGGCTCTGCAATCAGTCTCTCTCCTGTTTGTGTTGCGCAAATCTCGAAAACAGAAGAATTCGGGAAGCGTTATGGTACAACTTATTCTCTGGTAAGTTTAGGCAGCCTTGTTGCCATCCCAATTGCCGGCGAACTTCTAAAGGTCCAGGCACCTACTGGGGGCTTGGACAATTATTTTGGTTTGATAATTCTTGCGGGTTAGTTTATTCTTGTGCATGTCTCTTTTTTACTTTATCTAGAGGCGTGAGTTGGCTGGGGCTTAAAAGTTTTCTAGTAATTGATACGGCTTGGTGGTTCTCCACGGAAGAAAAGGAAGAACGATAGCGAGGATGAGCTTCCAGCGTTGTGCCATCAAAGGAGCCTCGTTGAGACTATTGCTGAAGCCCCGCTATATCACCTCTCAGGTGAGGCCTAGGTGCCGGGAAATGACCCGGCACTTTTCTCTTTTGAATACCATTCTGGAAGTTATCACATCCTTCATCCGTATTTTCTTTTGTGCCATTGACTGCCAATTCTACATTGGCCACCGGACTCACCACTACAAGATTGAAAAGAGCTCGCGTTAGAAATATCATGAACTCTTTCGTATTTGTAAGCACACTTCGTGACTTAACATGAGTCTGGTTAAATGATGTTTTGATTTGACTACTTTGAAAAAAAGAATTTGCCTCGATTGCATTTCTCCAGGAGCTCTTGAATCGCCTCGACAGATCCCGTCAAGTCCTGCAGAAGCATCTGATGCCCAACGCCTTCAAGAACCCCCACCAAGGCATTGTCGCCAATAAGCTCTTTCAGTCCCAAGGATCTATCCACGGGTGAAATGATATCTCCACTTCCAGCTAGCAATAAAGTAGGTGCATTGATGGAGCTGTAATCCGGATCAAGATGATCCAGGTCCGCAACTGCCTCACAGGCTCTTGCATATGCCTCAGCATCACAATCATTTACAGCTTTTCGAACACACTCTCGAGTCTCAGAAGCCACCAAGCCCTGGGGTGGGAAGTTAGAGCTTGCAGCCATATCTGCTGCGGCCTGTATACCCTCTTCGCGTGTCTTTGCTGCCATGCCTAGCATTCTTTCTCTCGCCGCGGGAATATGTGCAATTGATCGTCCAGCCCCGAGTAGAACAAGGCCTCGAATTTGTGATGGATGTCTGGAGGCGTAATGCATTGAGACGATAGCGCCGAGGCTGTGGCCGATGAGGATGATCTTGAACAGTGTTTTGCAAAGATGCCATGAGATATTCCAGGTCATTGACATAGCGCGTGATGGAGAGAACGGTTTGTGGGGAGGATAAAGCGGTTCGACCGAATCCTTCAAAGTCCACGGAGACTAAACGATTCATATGAGGCGAGAGAAATGGTAGCTTGGATTCGAACGTCTTAGTCGATCCGCCCAGTCCATGAAGAAGAATGATTAAAGGACCTGATTGTTTCCCGGTCTGAGTATAGTGCACATTGGTGCCGTTGGGGGTTTGGTGGTAGAATGATGAAGAACTATGCATTTTGTCTTCCGATGTTTGAGTTGACTTTTGCTTTCTTCAAATTTTCCAAAGAATGTCAGTCGAACAGCACAAGCCCAAGAAACTTAATAAATTTGAAGTTCAGGGTGCTAATATGGCAATCCGACCAACGGATCCGAACACGGCCGAGCAATCCGGCCGATGATATGCGCCTTCCGTCCAATTGAATGGTCCACAGAAAGTCTTAGTATAATAGCAAAGGACATTTATACCGAGTTGAGTCAATATCGAGAAGTTGATTCAATCATAGTTACCATGGTATTTGCTGTTTCCACCACCGCCACTGAAGGCAAGGCCCCAAAGATCTTGACTGTTCGTGAGGTCTATCAGCCTCCATCAGCAAGTCGGAGCAATGGTCGTGTGGTACCAATCAAACATGAAAATCAGGTAGACTTTGGAGCCGAGATCTATGGTATCGATCTCAACAACTTCAACTCAGCAGACTTCGATCTCATCTCTGATGCGCTCCACCGTCACAAGCTGCTTGTGTTCAAAGAGCAGCCACAGATGCTGACGCCCCAACAGCAATATCGCTTGACTTCATGGTATGCCATTCCTGTATCTTCCATTTTTCTCCCTGTTGATAGTTTGTTGTTCAATAGCTTTGACCCCGACGAAAAGACTGGAGGCTTCGCCCACGGCGCCGACCCAGTGCTTCTTTCCGATAAGGGAGTCACGATATATGGCCTGCCCAATCGACCAGCCATTAACGCTCAGCCCCAGGTGCACATTCTGGGCCGCGGCGAAGTTCCCCAGGACCATTTCGATTTCCCGCCAGGATTCCAAGTGAAGGGAATTGACCACGTCAATTTTCATCTTCCACCTCACACCCCACAGGAGGAGCGAGATGCAGGATCCAGCCGCTTGTACCAGTGGCACTGGGATGGGTCCCTGTACAAGATTCCTCCACCACGTGTAGGTTGTCTTCTGGCGGTTCGCACGCCCAAAGGCCCCGATGTCACCGTGCACTGGGGTGATGGGACGGGAAGAACCATGAATATCGCGCCGGGGGCAACCGCGATGGTTGCAGGATCGAGGGCACTGCAAGTCTTGGATCCGGAGTTGCGTGAGCTTGTTCTAAACAGTCGTATTGAGTACGCACCGCACGCTTTCCAGTGGATGTCAACGGTGCGTAGCACTCGACTTGGTCACCTTATTGAAACCGAGGGCCGTGAGATGCCGTTAGATAAGCTTTCGCCATGGATAGAAGATGAGATCTGTATCTACCCCATGGTCTGGACTAATCCGGTAACGGGGGAGAAGTCTTTGCAGGTTCACGGCCAGGGCGCATCCAAGCTGTATCTGAAAAGCAACCCCAAAGACGAGGAAACTGTTGTCAGTGACTTGAAAGAAGTCCGCGCTTTTTTGGACAAGTAAGTTTTCATCGTCCTTTCAGCTCAAGGATGCGGTAGGCTGACTACAAAATTGCAGGAATTATGAGTCCTGTTCTGTCACCAGAAAATATCTACGCGCATCCTCACGAGAAGCAAGATGTCATTCTCTGGTACAACCGGGCATTATGGCATAGCATTGTAAGATTGGGTAGTCTCAAATTAACTGGTGCAAATTCTAACAATCTCCAGACCGAGTTCCCAGAATCATATGGGCCGCGGATCATGCATCAGTGCAATATTGCAGCATCGGATCACCCGTCAGTATAGCATGTGGGGTTGGTCATCTTGGATTAAGGATAGTTGCAAATACATACAGAATGATACAGTTTTATATGTCTTCATTCTCGACGAGCGCCGACCAGCAGGAATTTCTAGTATAATAAAAAGTAATTTCACAATCCGTGTCCCAAATATATATTCAGTGTCCAGGCTGTGGATGATTCCCTTCTTCAAAGAAAATAGTTTCCTTGGTTCTGGTGGTATTACGCTCCTGGGGTGAACTTTTCTACCCTTTGTAGCGACATATTTGAGATATATGTCAAGCTGGAAATGCTGGGCTGCACGATTCTTGGGTTAACAAGCGCAATCTTGAGTCCAGGTTACTGGGAGCGCAATAAATAGTGTATTATTCTGTTATTGAGCTAAGACCAGCGACATAATCTTCCCAAATCATATCTTTGGCATGATAGATGATTGCTTCAAATCTCCCGAGCTCACATCCGCCTCCGCCTCCAAATCCGAATCCATTGCATTCAAAGGAGAAACAACACCTGGTACCACGGCAGACACAAGTGATGCTCTATTAGGCCAGACATGATTCAACACAAAATAGAGACCAAAGGAAAGACTGAACCCATAAAGATAGTTGATAGCATATAAATGCTGTAGACCGGTGTCAATGCTGACATTATCTGGTGTCACAGCATGTGCCAGACCTGGGAGAAGAGGCACGATGACCACCAAATTACAGAGGAGAGCACGCCAATTTGTGCCAAGCTAGAGATTAAAATAATAAATCAGCCATACTGAAATTGTTTGGAATTGAAAAACACGAGCATACCCTGTAGTAATATATTCCTTTGGGATCAAACAAGGCCGGCACGTCGTATTTGCGTCTCTTGATGACCCAGTAATCACAGCAAAGAATACCCGCAATTGGCGCCATGAAAATGGAATATGCGCCCATAAAGCTAAGGAATGTCTTCCCACTCCTGATGATGATCCATGGGCATAGTGCCCATCCGCCTAGGAGGATGCACATGATCATTCCGCGTTTGATGTTGATCCATTTTGGGCACATAGTAACCACATCTAGCAATGTGTTAGCCTGGCTTGGTGTTGCTTGTCCAACAGCACTTACCGACAGAGTTAGCCGAGACGTTGTTGCAGATCTGTGCCAAAAGCCATAACGTCCCACAGAAAAAGGCCGCGGCTCGTCCGCCAGAGGACCCTTGCCATTGAGCAATGATTTCTAGCGGGCTCCATAGGATGGTGCCATAAAGTTGTTTGGATGCACCGGCAGCTATAATACCGAATAGGCCAGTGATGACCTTGAACAGAGGGATCATTGGCAGTTGCCATACCGGGCTACCGGGCTTCTTGCTGAAGCGCGAAAAGTCTGAGATGTTGACCGCAAGTGTTGAAAATCCACCTGAGAAGAGTAAGATCGTGTTCGAGAAACAACTGGAATATTTGCTTACCTGTAATTGAGGTCATGTTCATGAGCCACAGCCAGGCACGCTCGGAGCCATGAACCGTGGGTGGCTGCTTGAATATAACATCGCCACCACCCGCCTTCACTGAAATCCAGATCACCATAGCCAATGCCATGGGCGGTACAAGCATAGATTTGAAGATGAACATATACTGGAGCTTATGGGTCGGAATGAACAGGAATGGCGCTTGGATGACATGATATACAACATAGGAAACCATGCCTTGTGTCGTGATAGCCGCTGACTTGGGTAGATGATTAGGTAGATTTGTGTAACTGGGCCATATGGCTGTAATCATCTGTTCCCGCTGTCAGCTCGAGTATCTCAACGGCAATGGAAGTATACTGACGGCAGTCACGCATTGCCCTCCATACGAGCTCTGGATGCCGAACCAAAACAGGGCCAACATAGCACGCGATGCAACACAGAAATATCCAAAGTATGTACCATAGCTGGCACGAATAGCAACAGGAAATGCAATGTGTAGATCAGCCCCCACGGATCCGTTGAGGACTGTTGGGATGGCATTACACAGTGCCGCGACTAAAGTCAAGGTCACTGTGTCTGTCGCTGATAGACCAGATGCATATGCCGAACTGGCTGCGGACCATGTGGATACAGTGACGAGATCTGACAGCCAGTATTGCGTGAAGGTCCAGCCTGTCCATGTCCACTTCTCTGGGGGTACTGGGTCTTGATCGGCATTACTCCACACATGCGGTGGAGCTATACTGCTTTCTTGCTTGGGCAATGCCCAGTCCGTGCGATGGGTACGCAGACGCATCATGTGTGACAATTCTTTGATACAAGGGGCGGCATTGGTCTTTTGAGGGTTTGTTGAAGAAGTGATAAGGAGAAGCCGTACAGTACTCCTTGATAGCGGAACGTGAAGGTGACACAAAGCAGCAAGTGGTCTTGCCAGGTGATATCATACCCTGAGGCATGCCCAACCTGCTTATCCACCGCATTCTAGTATATTCTGGCCTATGAGGTGTGAATGGCAGCGTATATCGCTTATCTACTATCACGGGTCAGCTAAAGTCTAGCGTCGGCCGAGACGATAACGTATATAAAGCCAAGATTCACCCAACCCGTCCCTCACCCGTGTGGTCAACTTCTATTATCATGAACTTGGCAAGAAGAAAGCGTTTGGCATGTGCAGAGTGTACACGTCGAAAAATCAAATGCGATAAGGTATTGCCGTGTCGCAATTGCCGCCATCGGTGGGTGTGTCCCTTGCTTGGCTATGTCAGCTTCTTACGCCAAAATTCAGAGGCAGTTCTTGTTATCGCACCCCGCAATCCTTGTTCCATCCTCAAGTCACTGCAGAATCCCCACACATCTCTCATGTGTCTCGCCCGACAGAGCGTACTGGAACCCTCGCTGCATGCTTGAATGAGTTGCAAGCGACAGTTCAATCAGTGAGAGCACGCGAAGGGTTAAGTCCAAATTTGAATGATAGCGCAGTGTCTTTATCGGCAGGGCAAGCCCCCTCAACGCGGATTGCCTCCGAGGTAGACGACACCAGTCCCGGTCGTGAGACAGCCGAGGTCGAGGATGCTGCCACAATATTGGAGTTCCTAGCATGGGGTCGAAGGAAAGTCCCTGATTTTGACAGTCTAGCATGACTATCAGCGCCCATTTGCTTGGCCACTCAAACAGTCATTCTGTCAAGCTAGCATCCGCTGTGCGGATCGCCCAAAGCCTAGGAATGCACCGACTAGGCTCCGAACCCGATGATAATGCATCAAATAGAGCCCGAAGGGACATTGGCCGGCGGCTCTGGGCAGAGCTCTGTATCCAAGATTGGTTCTCAATCCCCTTCTCGGAAAGCTATCTCATTCATCGAAGAGACTTTAACACCAGCAAGCCCGTGAACTGCATGGATGACAGCAATGCGAGCCCAGTTCCTGACAATGAGCCTGCCCCAGTTACTTACCATCGTTTCCTTTATGACATCGCAACTCTCATGCCCCAGCTTCAAGACGATATATCTGCATGTCACACACTCTATGCTAAATATGAACATGTCATTCGATACGACAAGCGAATGCGCTCCCTTGTCAGCAAAGATGTCCCCTCATGTCTTCGTAACACGACCCTTGACCCTTCCTGGCCTAAATACATACCCTGGGCACGTCATTGTTTGACAATCAGCTCTGCCCACAAAATCATCATGATTCATCGCAAGTTCCTTTGGTCTAGTTTTACTAATTCGGCCTTTTAACTTCACACGAAAAACGTGCATCGCGGCGGCTAAAACCATAATCCGGGAACAGAAACAACTGTTCAAGGAGAACGGACCAACACTGTGGATTTATCACGCTTTTAGCGTTGCAGCTTGTGTGGGTTCCTCCCGATCTCAGTCTCGAACCACACTGGCTAATCTTCGTTCTAGATCATACTGTGCTTGGATATTTTCTTCGACCCACTTCCTGACTCCGACCAACGAGATAATCGCGCGCTGACCACCGACACGATTGAGATTTTGTCGCAGAGTGATACGAGTATGATTGCTGCTAGGGGAGTGAAGATACTGCGCTTGTTGCTCCAGCTTGAGCAGGATCGAGGGAAGTTATCGTCTTCGTGGGATATTCGTGGTTTAGTCCAGTCTTTCTGTGATCAAGAGGCGTCAGTGGGTCGTTCAAATAATTGGCAACCAAATGAAAACATGCCTCCCATGGAGGCCCACTCGCCACTGTCATCAATACAACTGCCCAGCTTCCCCCCAAGGGAGCCTCATTCAGAGGAAATGTATAATAATTTCCTTCTTCCAAACTCCCGCTTTGGAATGCATGATTCTCTAGAGGATATCTTGTTACTTGCCCAGATTGGAGGATCCTTAATTCAATATATATCCCTAATTTAAAAATTGGAAGAACATCTACATGTGTGCCCCTTTGACTCAGATACAAGATTCAGGTACGGAGTATATTTTGACAACGTGTTCCTGTAAACTGAAGCAATTGAACCGTGGCCCAATCAAGTGTCACGGCCGTAATTCCGCAATGCTTGGTCACCAACTCATAATGTTGCTGAGTAACGATTCTGTCCCGCTTACAAACTCGGCGCTACGTAGCGCCGTACATCCGACTTGCTTACTGATTGGTCAGGTCTTGCATTATATCCGCTATAGCGGGACAACCATAAAAATTGACGCATGAAAATAGAAAATTAAGGGACAATCTGGCAATTAGCAAATTCGCAATCCACTATGTGAGCCAATCTATATAAGCCCCGCCATCCTAAGGGCCTTTGTCTTTTTTCAATTCATTCCAATTCACCACAAACTCCCACCTTCACAATGAGCTTTAAGAACGCCGCCACCACCACTCTCCTTGAGTTGGTCAAGTCCCGCCGTACCTTCTACGGTCTTAAGGCCGAGAGCCCTATCTCCGACGATGCCATTGAGAGCATTGTCAAGGACTCCGTCCTCCACGTCCCCAGCTCTTTCAACACCCAAACCTCCCGTGTTGTTCTCCTACTGAAGGAGGAGCACCAGAAGGTCTGGGACATCGCCATCCAGGCCATGGAGGGCCTTGTCGCTGCCGGCCATGTTCCCAAAGAGCAGTTCGAGACCGCTACCCTGCCCAAGCTGAACGCTTTCAAGGCCGCCTACGGAACTGTAAGTGGCACGATCTAGAGGTATTTTTTTTTGTCAAGATAACATTAACTAATTGCAATTAATAGGTCCTTTTCTTCGTTGACTACGAGTCTCTCGCTCCTATCAAGGAGAAATTCGCCATCTATGCCGACAAGTTCGACCCCTTCGCCCTGGAGTCCAACGCCATGTCTCAGTACCTTGGTATGTACTTCCCATCTGACCCAACGGGACAAAACATGAATCTAACAAGAAATAGTCTGGCTCGCTCTTGAGTCCGAGGGCTTCGGCGCCAACCTCCAGCACTACAGCCCCCTGATTGACGAGCAGATCACCAAGACCTGGTCCCTGCCCGCCTCCTGGAAGCTCGATGCCCAGCTCGTCTTCGGTGTTCCCACCTCCGAGGCTGGCGAGAAGACCTTCGCTCCCGTTGAAGACCGCTTCAAGGTTTTCGGCAAATCCGCATAAATCATCACATATAAATTATAGATGCGTCTCAAATAGCATAGCGTTACGAATGAAAGACCCTTGATTTCCAATTATTTCTTCTTAAAAATCGCCAGCGCGCGAGCCAGCTGGTAGAACTTAAATATGGCAGAAACATGGCCCAGCAAGGAGAGGATCTGTCGGACATGACGCTGCATGCATGCAAGGCGATCTTGATCTACGAAGCTTGGCCCCGCAGTTCAGGGCAGACGACAGCTGGGGTGATCGTTCGAAGATCCAGAAAGGAGTTAATATCGAAATTGATACACTGTAGTAGCTGTTTCAGACGTGTGGTGTGACTGTTTCTACAGTCCCACCAGTTCATCACCCAGTGGAGGCAGGGATATTGAAGCCATAATCAATGTATCCCCCGATAATCTGACGATCATTACAAACGCGACTCATCTACAGGACGTCACTACTGCCCATATATGCATCCCGAATGCACCCTGCTCTGACCGAAGATCAATATAAGGTCCTGACCGGCCCTTCAGGCACTCCTTTTATCCCCGGAAATCGGATTCCGACACGAGCATATGAAGCCGTGCATCCGATTGGATGTACATTTAGTGGCTAAAGTCGATAGCAAAGCAAAAACTCTTTAACCGAGTCAATCCCTGCCGATCTGAGGGCAGTTTATGTTGATATGCGGTGCTTCGTACTTCATTCTCCAGTGGCATTCCATCACGCATCTCACTTGTGAATAGATCGACTGTCTCACTTGCCTCGCAATGATTGTTCTCCATTCTGTTTTACTTCTCCTCTTTAGGAACAAGAACTGGAATCTGCCGGGGCTTAGCATGGTCGTATCTTATGCATCCCTGGACAAGAGTGCTGCATATTGTACTTGGTCGGGCAGGAATCTTCTGCTGGACATAATTGTCGCGCTGTAAGATTAGATCGTCGGTCCCACAGCTTGACACAGTACACGCAAGCTTCCGCAAGGGATTTGAATATGGTGATATGGAAGTACATGTGCATGTAATGTATAAAGATGAAGTGAAGCGGATAAATGTCGACCTTATTTTCGTGGAGCTCCACCCACTCCACCACCACACACAATATTTAGGCCGTTTTCGCCACAGGTCTTCTCATTTCATGTGAGATTTCCTATTTTTTCTTTCTTCAACTCCCAACCCAAGTATTGTTTCTCACCTGAATAGCTCCAGTATGTCGAACGAGCAACCTGCGAGCGCAGAGCGTCCACTGGACTCAGTCCCCCACATCGGACCCAGCCAACATCTAGATCCAAGTCAAGAGCCTCAAGATGCAGACTCAGCACCTGAATCCGGTCGCTCTTCCATGTCCTATACAAGGACATACTCGACACCAGCGACCGGTGCACAAACCCCAGATCCATTGATGGGAACGACCATCTTCGACAATGTCGCACTGCATAATCTATCATTCAAAAAGATGGGCCAAGGCCCAGATGCGCCCTACACAATCGACACAAAAGGCCCCCAAGTCACAAACCGAAAAGCCTCAATCTCGGGATCCCGCAGTCGGGACGACGTCGCCGACGAAGCGGCATCGCCGATCCGAAGCAAGCAAGGCATCCCGCCTGAGATCCCGAACTTCACTGCAGAGCTCATCCTAATCTTCGTCTGCTCCGCGGGCCTAATGCTATTCTCATTCCTGCTCGGCGACATGCTCGCTCCACAAGAGCAAATCAAAACAGCCCTCGGTATCACCAATACTGAACTTCCATGGGTCGTCGGCGCCTTTAATGTCGCGAACGGCCTATCGGTTATCATCTCCGGCTCGCTAACTGACCTGGCACCACCGAAACTCCTAATGGTCGGAGCGTTCGCTTGGCTCGCTGTCTGGAACGTTATTGGCGCATTCACTCTACACCCGTCCCGCTATATCCTATTCTTCGTTATGCGCGCCATGCAAGGCTTGGCAATCGGCGTCCTAGTCTCGGGAAGTATGAGCATCCTCGGGCGCGTATATTCACCAGGAATCCGCAAGAATCGCGTGTTCTCCGCGATGGCAGCATGCGCTCCATTCGGTTTCTCACTCGGCGCCATCCAAGGCGGTGCTCTATACCAGCACCTGCCCTGGATCTTCGGCTCAAACGCTATCATCTGCGCCCTGCTCTGCGTCGCAGCATGGTTCAGCATCCCACCCCTCCGACCAGTCGCCGACGTCGCGGGAACCGAAGCCCCAACCCTCCGCCAATTTGACTACCTAGGCGGTTTCTGCGCTGCCGGCGGCTGCGTTTGTCTCCTCTTCGGTCTAACCCAAGGGCCCGTCGCCTCCTGGCAACCATACACCTACGTCCTAATAATAATCAGTCTCATCCTCTTCATCGGTCTATTTTTCGCCGAACGCCGCGCAGTCCGACCACTAATCCCAAACCGCCTCTGGAAAACACCGGGCTTCACTCCATTGATGATCGCCTATTTCCTAGGCTTCGGCTCTTTCTTCGGCTGCTGGCAATTCTACGCCATCCAATTCTGGCTCCGAATCCAACATGCCACCCCCATCGCTGTGGCCCTCTACCACATCCCCAACGCTCTAGTCGGTGTCCTGGCAACCTGGATCGTCAGCCGGATCCTCCACCTTGTCCCGGGCCACTATATCTACGCCGTATCGATGTTCGCATTCACGCTCGGACCGGCGTTCTTCATTCCGCAGACTGCTAACACGGTCTACTGGGCTCTTTCTTTCCCTGGTGTTGCGCTTGTCACGTTCGGTCCTGATCTTGCCTTTGCAGCGGCGTCTATTTTCATTACCAGTAGTGTGGCTCGCTCATACCAGGGCTCTGCTGGTGCATTGCTGGTTACAAATCAGAATCTTTCGTCGGCTATCATGACTAGTGTTGCGGATGCTATTGGTACGCGTGTTGATCGTGGTCCGTCTGGTGAGATTGGTCTTGAAGGGTTGCATGCTATTTGGTGGTTTGCGCTTGCGGCGCAGTTGCTTGCTGCTTTGGTTACTATATTTTGGGTGAGGATTCCTAAGGAGGAGGAGAAGGAGCATGTTACTTGATTTGATCACCCATACAGTATTTAGATTTGGTTTGAAGCATCTAGATTAGACCTGGCTGTTGCCGCTGGATATTACGATTTATGATTTACTATTCAGTTCTGGTGGTCTATACCTTCCTATACTAGAGCCCCAGGATTTATCTTGGGATTCATATGGCTAGCAATGTTGTCTACAGATTTCTTTGTTATTAGGAGATGGAGCGATCCCTTCTATATCAGCACTCGTATGTTTGGGACGTTTGGTATACTATGACCTATATAAGACTGCTGGTATCATGGTGGTGATCAATTCCTGAAATTTCATAGAATGGCAATTTCGCGAAGGCAACATTGTGATTCTTGTGAATGAATTTACAACGATACAAATCAAGTCATGCCAATAAAACCGATACAAAGCGGTCATTTTCTAGAAGTATTGCAGACCAAGGTCCGCCAGGATTAAGTAGAATAGAGTAAGAAAAGTAAAAAGAAAGTATAATGAGACAGAAATGTCAGTAAGCCACCCAAACCAAAAGGTATCCCCCAGTCCCAAACCAAACTAGTCATATAAAAAGAGCAAACAAGAAAACAAAAAGTGAACCGTCGCCATGCAGTCATAAGAAAGAGTCACTCGTATGCTGGACCGAGAAAAAGATAATAAGATGTACGTAAAGAAGCCAATGAAAAGAATCAAAAAATTCATCAGACATCCGTAACTAACCGGCGCTCACTAACATTCTCATGTTTAGTCAACTCATTTTCATGCTTTGTCGACTCCTGCATGATATGCATCTCGGTGGTAACCTCGATACCATCAAGAGAATTGTGGCCGATACGGTCACCAGGCTTGACATTAATGGAATACATATCATAGTCCTTGTCGTGGTTCTGGCTGAAGAGCCCTGTGTGGCGTGCCTGGCTGCGGGTTGTGGTCATGTTTGTGACGGTTGGTCTATTGTTGGTTGTGTAGCCGTTGTATCTGTTTGTGGAGAGGAGCTTGGGGAAGATACGACTGATTATTGGTCGTAGGAAGGGGAGGCAGGAGCAAATGATTGCGACGTTGCATTCTGCTGCTGTCCAGTAGGCGGCCCCGACGTTGCTATCTGTTTGTTTGTTAGTTATTGGGGGTGGGATTAGGGTGGACGGTGCGTACAGGAGGTGTCGGTGCTCTTTGCAACTTGACGGAGACTTGAGAGACGAAGAATACTTGTGATCACAACCCTGAATCATGGGTTAGTCTGTATTGCGATAGTTAGGGGATCTGGAGCACATACAGAATACCCATGGCAAAGACACCCATGAGAGCGAGCTTTTGCATGCGGGGCAGTTGGAGTTTGGAAAGGAGCGGCATCGGCAACAGGAGCAGTGAGATGTCCGTTGCGATATTCATCGAAGCATTGAAGAACCAGACGGCCTCGAAACTTAAGCAGTTGCCTGGAAGATCATGGTTCCAGAATTTGGCGACAGGGACACAGTTCACAAAGCCACTGATGATAGCCCATGATGAGTAGGTGGCCACTATGGCTATCATAATGTAACAAGCAAAGCGGAAAGACCTGCCAGGGAAGATGCGTAGATATTGGAAAAGAATGGAGAACTTGGTGAATGCCAGGCTGGCGTTGTAAAAAGGGATAGCAGCCCACAAGCACTAGAGTGAGCCAGTCAGTAGGTATTCGAAAGAAAGTGGACCTCATTCAAGCGGTGGGTGATGTGTTGACACATACCTTGAGTTGTTGCTGTAGAACATGACTCGAAAGCAAAGCTGAGTGGATTCCCATGCCATAGTGCAGTTCTGAATCCATGTTAGCGCAATTGCCCCTCAAGTTTGAAACCAGACTTGGACTCACGAGCAGCAACGAGGGCGAGATAAACCAGAGCAAACACCAAGGAGATCAGAATCGCCCAGTCTTCACGACCGGTGATTTTCATCAAGCCAAGTCGTGCATAAAACCGCATGGCAACAATGACAGTTGAAAAAGCGGTCAGTACCGCTGTCACTACCAGCGCACGTTGACCCTGAGAGTGGCCATTGTCTCCCTCGCGAGCTAACAAGTTGTGTAGAGAACCGTCCATGGTGAAGATGTGTGTCGAGTTAAGGAGCGTAGTGGTGGGAAAGGTCGTAAAAGAGCGTGGGATGAAGAGGGTCAACAAATCATGCCCGGAAAATAGGCTGCACGGATATCCCCGATCTAGGTCACTGCATGGATCACAACGTTAAAAGTCGAGTTTCACCCTGGCGAATCTGATACTAGAGAAGAAAGAGTCCTCCCCAGGACGAGCGGCGGACAAGCTCTTTTGAATTCAGACCAAATGTCGATCAACGGCTTATCAAACTGCGGAGAACAATTCCATGCATGAGTCGACAGAACTCTGTTTTTCGCTTGCTTGAAGCCCCCACAATGCTTGAATAGTCTGCTCAATAGTGCAGCTAAGGACAGCGATCCCTGGTGCTGAACCAGGTTGCTGGGAGGCTTAGAATACCCTGAAGAGGGGTCAGACGCACGCCATGGAGTCCTCCAATAGCAATTGATAATAAGTCTGCAGAGAAACATCAATGGAACCCTTTAGCGTGGGTTTGGTCGCCTTGGTCTCCACTGCATAGTCGAGGTATGGAGTCCCGAGAGGCGCTTTTCCGGCATTGTCATTCGAGGGGCGTCAAAACAAGGATAAGATTGACATGTGGCTGCCGAATGTGCCATCGAAATCCCGAGCTGTCTTTTACAATTCCCCTGTTGGGTATGGAGCACGAACGAACGGGCCTCTATTTAGAGATTTGACCCACTGGAGTGGGACATTATGCCGCGTTTTCAATGGCGGATGAGATACTCCGTGTCCAGGGGAATAGTGCAGGCAGACATGCAGGATGCACATGGTTGAGAATCGTGTTATTGATATTGCATAATGTTCTCCGCTTATTCCGCGACGGAGTTCGTGCCGAGGTATTGGATGGATGGATGCAGCTTCACAAAGCATACCTTCAATGCCACACAACGGCCAATTACCGAGATGGATCCAAGCCTGACCCTGGATATTTCACCCCAGGGGTGAGACACGATCTACAAAGGACCTTGAGACTGTCAAGTTGACAGAAAACAGTGAGCATCACTTCCTATTCTGGTTAGGTAATCAACATGGATACCCCTGACGCCAAGCATTTCAATTCCTCTATAACTTCACTTTTATTTGGTAAACAGAACCCCGATTATTCACTCAAAACTACTCAACTAGCTAACTACAGTCAAGCCACGGTGATCATTTTCCGTCCCCCGGAACATGGTATGAACACTAAAGGCGCTCCTGTCAAGGAGCCCCGCAATAATCGCCACTATTCAATAATATGCTCTAGGAACTCCACTTCGGAGATCAAAGCCACCTGCCTCCACGCACATGCGGTGCTTCACAGTGAGCTCATCCAGCGCACGGGGTTACACGACTGTGGGTGTTCTTAACTGCTATTGAGACGCTAGGCACTGTGACCTCCACGGTTCGCGTCACTCCAAGATCTACCGATGATGTGCTTGGAATTGGATTGGAGTTTCCTTCCCCCGGATCTCTTGGGGGCGTTCTTTGCCGTCTTGATGATCTACAAACTACTTGAGTTTGAACTTTCTCGCGTGTTCATTTGGGGATCATAGCGGGGTGGTACTTTTGACAGTTTGTGACGCCACTTGGTGCTAGATTGTCAATAATGGGATTCTACCCCGGATCAGGATCGGATTTGATACGTTGGATGATGGCTAGATCGAGATTGAATTTGGGATTTCCCAATTGGGTGTGCATTTGTCAAGGTTCAGACCCGGCGAGCTCTTGCATGGTTATATTTTTAATGGAGCACCGAGGCTTTGCTTGGTCTACTGTAATCATTCATATGCAATAGGATTTCTCAGTGGGAATTCACATGCGCGTGGCTCGCCTTGTTCAATTTTAATCCCCAAATCGAGAACGAATTCAGAGTCAATACATCGGCTAGTGGCTGCATTAGTTGCATTTAATTTAGATTATATCGAATATTGGTCAATGAGGCGTACATTCCCCAAGATTCAGCCCTGGAAGAATCTTTGACCGCAATTTTACCAATGTAACTTGTTTCTTTCACGCCTTTCAGTCTTGATCAAAATCCTCATAAAGTCATGCATGGATCCTGGAGCCATTGCTTTGCGGTACTTCGCGCTCTTTAGATTACTTTATCATTCTTTTCGCGAAGGCGATGAAAATGCATCATTTTGTACGTTGCAGTAAATTTTCAAAGTTGAACGTTGACGGGGCAATAGTTGCGCCTTTGAATTCTCCTGTTGAATGAAGTCAGTGAATACATGCTAAATCAGATGAGCCAACAATATATTCACCGCCAGATTCTTAAAGTAGAGTCGACCTTGTTCTTTTATCCGAAAGTTCCTTGGGAGGAGGGCCTAATAATGCAAAAATGTGGCCAAGGTGGTTAAGCTCGTCACATTCTTGGACTTCGAAGGATCAACCTCTTTGAATAGCTTTTTGCCTTCGAGCAGATCCCACAGCCTATAAGTCACGTCAGCTTTTATACAGTGACTTTTATGATGTGTTTATAAACATTCCATCACCGTCAAGCTTCAGATATCGGCGCTGTACGCATAGCCAGCGTCGAAAATAACTTCTGGGGCTCGGTACATCTCACAACTCGTGAAGGTCCAATCCCCACGGACAGACAAATCAAAGTCAGTGGTTTGGACTTTGCCAGTGATCTTGTCGAAGATCCCGAAGTTATTCCGAGAGAAAGATAATATTCGGCCATATAGGTAACTCTTCTACGTCAGTAGATGCCCGTGGTTGTCTCTGTCAGATTTCTCTAGAATAGATGGATTCTCAACTTTGATCATAATATCAAGTCTGGAATCAATTTGTTGGAATTCCTGTTATCAAAACAGAAGCAAAAGACAAGCCGGTATGGATAACATGATATTCAGAGTAGAGGTAATCAAGTCCATGAAGTATCTCTCCCTTAACCAACGCCATCTGGGTCAAAAAGTAGTAGATGCTACTGTGGATACGTACTGAACTGGTCAAGATCCAGAGCAAGCCAGATAGTTGAGTTACTGCCGTAATCAAGTTCGGTTGAGTTAATGCCGGCCATTTAGAACATCTCCCAAGCCTATGGGATAGAATTGCGTAGGATCATAGTACGGTGCGAGTTCCTCCTCGATGGCTTCGTTTACTGGAAGATTAGGAGCGACCGCCGTGGAAATTCGTCATGGGCGGTGTTTCAATGCCCGGAATGGGATAATCGAGATATTACAGTTGCCATAAGAATTCATCTGATATGGAGTGGGTAAGAAGGGGAGAGGTGATCCCTCTGGGAGACAGGAGGCCGGAAGGCTTGGCGCGTAAACAATACGTACCAGAGGACATCCCGAAGCAGTATACGCGTACATAATAGTTAACAGCACAGGTAGACCAAAACATCAAACAGAATGACTATGAGAAAAACAGCTCGAGAAAACAATCTACAACACCAACCCAAGTACAGGGTCAGTAAATCCACTACCTACAACTCCAAAAGACCCACATCAGGCATGGCTTTTGCAGCTTGGCGCTCCAGCCCTAACCCCAAAGATTGGAGAAGTTGAACCCTGATTTGCGGATACCTGCATGCCAAGACGAGTGGGTGCGTTGGCCCCAGTTTTGATTAGAATCTTCGTATTATGAGGGATAAGATCGTTTGAGGTATGACTGGCTACTGTTGATACTGTACAGCATTGATGTGGAGGTTGAGCAAGACGCAACGGAGGTTACATTAAATCCGTGACCTTAGAAAGAGAGACATGGGGTAGATCTGAAAATTGGGGCTGCTTTCTCGAGCTTTGAGATAGGTCATATTCTGGTATATCACATTCTGTGTTCTGTATGCGAGGACTAGGAAACGTAATGCTCGAAACCACCGTAATTGTAGTTGGGCATATTTCGCAGTGGATACCGTGCTGCTGCCGTAACAGGATAAAGCAAAAGAAAAGATGAATACTAAAATCATATCTTCAAGCCTAAAGGTAAAAGAATAGCGATTCCTCAGAATAGAATACATTTCAAGAACCACACTTTTGCCAATATTAACACAGCCTGGAAAGAATCCTAGCAAAGTAAGTGGTATCTTAGTGCGCCATTTATCTCTCGAGAACACCAGTGCAAATAAAGAAAAGAAAAAAACATTATCCGGATCACATTATTTTCGTCACTGCTTTTGGACAGACGTTGAATGGTTACCGCCTCATCGCGGCCAACTCACGTTCCTTGGCTCGGAGTGCCTCACGCATATTCTCAGCTTCGCGTTCTAGTCTGGCACGGCGATCTACCGAGTCACCGAGGGATGCAATGCCAGGCAACGGCTGCGGCGTATGGGGCGAGGGAGACACAGAGTGATGGAGAGGTTGGGGCCTGTTCAGGTTGGGATCTGGACGGGCTTCGCCGCGGGGGTCGGGTTGATTCAGGATGGATGAGATGGAGCTGAGACGGCCGGGTGGGGTGGGATAAGCCGAGGACATGATTGGGGGCAACTGGTTTGATCCTGCCTCCAGGGTGTTGGGGACTGGCAGGGCTTCTGCGGCTGTCTCTGCCAGGGTGCGCTTTTTGGGAAGGGTGAGGGAATTCGGTGATGCCGACCGTCGGCCGTATGACACGGGGGATTGACCTAGACGTTCTACTCCCAGCGGCATCGGTAGGCCATGAGTGATAGGACCATGAGGAAGCCCGGAGGTGACATTGTAGCCGGTGAAATCGACCGGTGGTGGTGCGAAAGGCATAGGTCGAGGTGCATCTTCGATTTTGCCGGGCATCGTGTGATAGGGATCCATGGGTTCGCTACTCATGTATCGGTAATGGTCGTCGTGGCCGTGAGCCAAGGCAGCAGGCGAGGCTTCCGGGGATGCAGATGAGCCGTTGGATGACTGGGTGGCAGCGGTAGGAGATTGGTCTCGTAGGGCGGGAACAACACGTTTGCGACGTTTGATGATAGATTTCTTCATATTCGTGGGCCGGTAGCATCCGTGGAGCTTGTAGTACAATCCTGTATTCGGTCAGTCAAATGGACACATAAAAAGTTGAGCAGTAGATGCTAACCACAAGCATTGCAAATGGGGTGACCTTGTTCATCGCGTCGCCAAAGAGGAGTCACAGTTGTCCCACAATTTTGACAAGCAACTAAAGTATTATTTCCATCAGTGACAGTGGGAGCCTTCACTGGTGGCTCCTCTTTTGGCGCGTTTTCGGGCTCATTTGCTGGAGTACGTCCCCATGAAGATTGAATTGCGGTGGTTCCTCGGGGTGCGGACTTGTAAATTCGATTGTTGTAGGCGGGACACCCGTCACATCCCTCTGCACCACCGGTGCCATTACAACTTCCACCCCCAGGACATGAGCCTTTGCATCCACCCTGAGAATGTGCGGAACCATCGGCATGGGTATGAGAGGGAGGGGTGGGCCTTTCACCCTCGGGTTGCATGCGATTTCGTTTTGTAGGGCGGGCGACGTTGCGAGCCTTGAGATAAAGTCCGCAGGCATTACAGATCATCGCTCCTGTCGGAGAGCGACGCCAAAGTGGGGTGCTTTTTGTACCGCAATTGCTAGAAGATTGGGTCAGCCCACCAATCAAGTAGTAATCAAATCATTCACGACTCACCTGCACGAATGTCCAACGAAAATAACGCCTTTTTGCCCGCTTGGTGATGATTTCTCAGCTGGAAGATCATTGTGCCCCCATCGGTCTGGTCCAGGCTGGCCAGGCTCCTGAGCCATCGAATCCTCCCTGTATTGGTCTGCCATGTGTTCACGACCCGCCTGCGCCGAGGAGATCAACTGTTGAGCAGCATCCAAGTCCTCCGCCGACGGCTGCCGCATTGGAACATCCTGGTTCCGAGGCAAAGAGTGAAGCGTTTCCATTTTTGGGATGGACGCTAACATTACCACCAGCTATCGCGGCCGTAAATCCTTCCGCCGTTTCAGAATTGGAGGACAGCGGGGTCGAGAAGCGAGACGGGGGAAGCGAGGGGAGTAGAGAGTATCGTAGGGAGAATGTGAAAGTGATGTCGCACCACAGTCGAAAGCACAATACACCGTATCAATCTAAATCCAAATGTCGGTCAAGCTGACGTTTGAAGATAGGCAAGTCAGTCCAGCAGGAAGGGCTGCAGCCACGATGCTGCAGCGGAGGGCGCGCGGACAATGACTCAAATCAAGTCGAGAGGGTGTCAATATTGGCCTTTTAGAGTACTGGGACGTCAAAGATGAGTCCACAGACAATGACCGATGCGTAGAGTGGCGACCCAACGGCTTGGGACGATCAGGTGATACTGATTGCAACAGCTGACAGCGCAGAACGACAGGCTGGCTAGCGAGCGATCGTGGGGAGACGGGCTCGTTCGAGGACAGTGGCCGACGCAAAAGCACGAACAGCGAGGCCAGGATTGGCCGAGAGGCTAGGGAGCTGCAAGATGGTGATCACTCTGCGTTAGGAAGGGGCCAAGTGGGCACGGAGGAGGAAGAGAGGAAGGCGAGGCGAGTAGCAGAGAGTAGACTGTAGGAGGGTAGAGTGAGTAAAGGGACAAAATAGACAATAGAAGTGAAGTGCAAATGTAGGTAAAGGGAAAGGAACAAAGAGGAATGCGATGCTTATCGCATAAAGGGATTCGGGGTTATCGATCTAGGGGCGATCGACGGCATATCAATCTATCACTCTAAACTGCCGAGTTCTTTCTCACCTGTTATTTTTGCTTTTGCGGTTTGAGCTCTGCTAGGAAATCTCTTCAATATGCACGTCTTAATCCCCAGATAGCATCAGACTCCACTTTCGATGAAGATTACAGAAATCAGCAAGAAAGTGGAAATTTCACCTTCCAAACTGAGGCTTCTGTGGAGTTTTGCTAGGCAATCGAATATATACGTGCTGTGATTGGTTGTGATATGATGACTAACCCGGTCAGCAGCAATCTCGGCCTTTTAATTCGCCACTCGGCTCTCCAAGACACCGAAACGATATGACCACGTTGTACTATTTACTTCTTTAGTCCCTTTTAGTCCGTTAAGCCCGAGCACAAGTACAAAATGGCGGAACTAAGCGACGGATTTCGGTATTTGTCGAACTATAAGTTAGCTCGGGCTCACCGGGTCTCGGATGAATTCATTAATGCCATATCCAATTTCAAATATAGTACAGGTCTCCTAAAACTTCGAGCTGGTACAGAAAATCTCGGAGACCCTGCCAAATCTTCCATGCTTCCATGCTTCTCCCTCTTCCCCTAAGATCCTCGGTCACATAATGGCTGAGGGTCCGTGATCAAGGCTAGGCCCTGAGATCTCCAGCTCGTTCCACTGGAGAAGCGCACACCGCACGCCGTATTGCGAAAGGAGATCGGAGATCTGTCATGTTGCCAAGTCCATGCGCCCCACTCAGAGGCGTGACAGGAACCGGTCATCGCCACCTACGCAGGCGGCAATTTAGACCTGCTCAGCACCCCAACCCTGATCAGACTCGCGCATGTTGGAAGGGGGCTCGATGGAGGGAATGAACTCGAGAGCGACATATCCCAGACCAATGAGGCCGATCAGGGAGCCGGCAATGATGCGCAGGACGCCGTTGTTCAGCAGGATGGAGCCGATGAAGATGTAGACTGTGGGTGAAACAAATTAGCTATCTGTCGCAATACATCCTTCATGGATATTTGATAGCTTACAAATGCCACGGCCCAGGAAGGAGAAGAGGAAGGACGCATAGCGGTAAGCGTGGTCCGGAACGTTAGGGAGGAACTCGAGTCCACCAACAACTGCAAACACATTAGCAACTGACTGGTATGTGGGGTATGGTAAAGCATACCAAGACCGAAGAGGATCACATAGACGCCCAGGATGATGCCACTCCATGATGGGGGGAAGAAGTTGCTGATACCTCCCAGCACCATGAACACACCCACGGCGATGTTGACAAGACGGCTGCAGCTGGTCAGTACTATGGTTTTCGCAGCACGCGCAAGCGTATAGTATCAACATACAAGATGTTCGTGAAATCCATTGTGATGGCTAGTTGGTATGTTATTTAGATGAAAGGGATCTTCGGGGTCTCGTGGTCGTGAATCAATAGTGCGGATTGCGAGTCGCTAGGCAGCTGCACAGATCAGAGTAGCGACAATGGGTCCCGAATAGCTAATTTGGGTCTTCAATAGTCCTCAGTTAGCTCCTAATATATCTGAAGATGGTGTTCGATCTGGATAGTGGAGAGTGCGAAGAAGACCGGCATGTAGGCCGTCGGGTGTGAGCCAAGCCCCATCGAGGTGGCTGGGTCAACAAAGGGGAACACACACCTGTGGGGTTGGGTGAAACAACAAATAGCTGTCCAAAATGGCAAAGCCGTGTTCGATGAAGCTCAAGTTGTAAATGAGAGTGAACAGGGGCGAAGTGGAAAGGCGTTCACTGCTTCGCTGTCGCAAGCAGCGGGTCGCCAAGCCCGTTGTTGCTGAGTCAGCTGTGATTTCAACGAGACAGCGCGACCGCTGCTGGTCACGTGAGAAGCCACAGGACAGTGCGGGCGCTAGACCACATTCATGATAGCGTTTGCGATACATAGGGCTATAGATACGAACCACGAGTACGAAACTGATATCTGTGAGTTGAAACGTCCGCTCCACAATTTTAATAGGCTGTAAATGGGGGTTCAGAGTCATGTGAAACAAACTGTTGGACTGAGCCCTATTTCCAGGGGCAATGGGACGATTAGTGTTGAGCCGAGCACAACATGTATCCTACCAGTTCATCACTGCGGGACGGGTTTCTAATCCGAGAAAAAGTCGTCAAGAAGTTTGCAGTCAATCTTGAATGCAGTCAATCTTGAATCAATTGTGCAGGAATATATAAAGTTGTGACTAGTATGAGCTTGGCAAAGGAAGACACATTTCTGCATTTATCGTTGAGTAGTCGACCACAACTGCACAATATATTGATTTGTACCCTTAATACATCAACCTTCGGGAATTGAGAAAGCAAATCACATGAGACAAAAAAACTTCAGATATCCTTCGATGATCCAGTAGATCTATTAGTCCATTGATTTATCTTGTTATGATTTAGGTTCGTAAGTGTAGACAGCATGGCGGCTGGGCTGAGTATACTCCGCAATATTCCTCATTAGCGACCATGCAGGTAACTTGAAAGATTTCCTATTTACATTTCCACGCTACGACTTGCGACACAATTGCAAGCAACCTGCAACTAACTTTGGCCGGAAACTCCTACCTGTTGTACCGTCATTGGTCGATCACTCGCGGCTAATTATCATGCAGATGCCTGCATAAATCATCACTCCATGCATAGTGATCTACAAATGATGACAACTCATTGGATTAAAAATGTACGCGTGATGTCGCAGTATTTCCCGAGATTGTCGAACAAAAAAGAAATGTCAATTAACAAGAGCTTTTCACAGGCTAAGCTGACTGTAACCTTAATCTGCTTTTGACCTGCTCCATTTCAAGGCCCAAGTGGGAGACCATCTTTGTCTTTTGACTGCACTTTCCCCCTTACATCTTCAGCTCCAGGCTGTTGTTTTTCTTTCGTTTTTACCCCCACTTAGACCGATCCCCCGCTTCGGGGGAGTGCGGTGGACGCCAAGTCTACGTTCTTTTCGCATCTCTTCTAATCTTCATAACATAATGGAAGATACACTAAGCTCACTCCCAGAGCCATGGCTCTTCAATCTACGGTCTTCTAAGCAGTTCATCGGATTTGCTGTGTTCGTAACCACGTTCGCTGATGGGTTCCTCTACGGAATCGTAAGTACCATGGCGTCCCATCCTCAACAATACTAACTCATGCGATCGGATCATGTTTAGGTCGTAGCCGTCCTTCCATTTTCCTTGACAATTCGCTTCGGAGTCCCAGAGGTCGACGTCCCATTCTGGACCTCAACCTCGCTGATCGTTTTCGGTCTGGCAATGACGCTTGGGGCACCTATAGCAGGTTGGATTGTCGGAAAGTGCGAAAGAAGCCAGATCCCATTCCTCGCAGGTCTTCTCTGTGCATTTGGATCAACCCTCTTCTTCATGTTTGGATGGGCGCCGTGGATGATTATCGTGGCAAGAGTCTTCCAGGGTCTTTCGGCTGGCGTCGTATATACAGCTGGCTTGACGCTGTTAGTTAACACGATCGAGTCGCACGAACTGGGTCCCTGGATTGGCTTCGGGCTATCCGGTATGAACTTCGGTGTGCTTGTATCACCTACGCTCGGTGGAATTATTTATGAAAAGACAGGGTTCTATCCTGTTTTTATCATGAGTCTTGCTGTGATTGCCATTAATTTGGTTCTCATTTTGCTCATTATTGACAAGAAGGCTGCTGCAAAGTATCACGATCATGTTAGCAGGACTAGGCCAATTTCGTCGAATGGAAGTTCACCCAGGAGCGCGGTTGCAAACGGGAAGCGACGACTATCGCGGGTTGAAGATGGCGATGCGACTGTGACAACTTCGCTCCTCGTTTATTGCAGAGAGTCACCCGAACCGGCTGCGACAGAGGCCACCTGGTGGACTGTTGTTGGAGGTTTTCTCAGTAGTCCGCGCATCCTCACAGCACTATATGCTTCTCTGATCAATGTTGTTTTAGTAAGCGCCATGGACGCGGTGCTACCAATCTTCGTAAAACAAACCTTCCACTGGCTATCTGGCGCCACAGGAGCGATCTTTCTGAACCTGACTATACCATCTCTCATGGGCCCATTCATTGGAATGCTATCTGATCGGTATGGTGTCAGGTTTGTCGCTGCGATCGGCTTTATATTTGCAGGAGTAGCAACCATTCTACTAGCTTTGGTGCGCCATAACACTGCTACAAACCATATAATGGCCTGCGTGCTACTTCTTTTTGTTGGTGAGTTTTTACCTTGTAGCTATCTAATATATTGGCATCCATTGACTTCCTGAGCAGGTATAGGACTCAATGCCTCACTCACCCCCTTGGCTACGGAGATTCCCCGAATCGTGAAAGATCTTCAAGACGAGCGCCCTGACATATATGGACACAAAAGTGCAGTTGCCGAGGGATATATGCTTCTCGATGCTATGTTCGGTGCTGGCACTGTGCTTGGGCCATTTCTCTCTGGGGTTGCGTGTGATTATATCGGATGGACTGGATGTACAATCATGCTGGGGGTGCTGAGCTTCTCTGCCATAGTGCCTATAGTACGTGAAACTTTTTTCGGACCGATTCTGCTCGCATTCACTGACGATTTATAGGTATTATATCTGAAGCCGCATATTGAGGCTTCATGACCACGATATTGAGTACCCACCTCCACATGAGATTCTATATCATATCTCCGCTACTCGAAAAGAGCGAATGTCACCATGAGCAATACAAGAGTTCGCAATGAAAGCGCTCCAGATGACAGTACAAAATTTGGGTAATGAACTAGCAGTAATTTTGTCAAGCTCTTTCTCTTCTAGAGCATGAAAATACCGAGCAATTCAACGAATGATGCTTTGTAGATGGATGAAACTTAGCATCCGAAGCACACAGGATAAGAGAAGACAAGTCTATTATCCAATCTTCTGAGCCGTGGGAAGCTTACAAGAGGTCAAATCCAGGCATACGATGATTGCCATATTCTAATATCTCGCGATGCCTCCAATGGGACCGAGGTAGGAAGAGAACTTGGTTCATGACAGATGTAACTCGAGGGATTCCATTTCTTGGAGAGCTTTCGAACAGCGTGGATCATAATCGATGTCACCTGAGAGAGAGATCGCATTTTGGAGCCACCCTTGGGGCAGCTTCAGTACTCCCTAAAAAGACCCCGGGTCGACTTGCGACTGGCTCGATTATAGTAATGAAGGGATCGAGTCAATTCCCCTAGTTTGAGTCGTAAGCCTGTATCATCTCACGGCAATTAGGGAGTATTCACGGTCAGCCGCCTGACTGGGACGAGAAGGTGGCTGAGGGAAGAAGGGAAACGCGATAGAGAGATATGAAAAATCAAGAGAGAAGACATGAAGTAAAAAAAAGAAAGGAAGAAGAAGGATTGGGGAAATAAAAAAGTGAGAGTAAGAATTCCACATGACAATTATAAAAAAAACAGACGGCTCGGCTCCTTTTGCTAGTGGTTTGGTAGATGTGTTTCCAGGTTTAATTGGAGCCTGCTCCCTGGAATATTTACTGCTTTCAAAAAATTTCTGTCTATTTCCATACTATCAATTTCTATGACGCCAGACTACGCGAAAATATCAATCGGAGGTTGCAATGGTCGATGCAGACCTGGAAAAGAAAAGACGACGACAGGGGGTACATGAAAACGGCACCAACGGTCGATATTATCACTTCAATTGAATCCAAGTAAGCCAAGTTCATCGGCACTGTGATGGATTAAATATATTCTATCCTCATCTTCTGGATGGGAAGGCAGCCAGAAGCCAATGGGTGGCCCTCAAAGCTAGGATAAAATGTCCGCAATATGCATGATATATGTTACAAGCTGACTCACTATGTATGTATCTGTGTGAAGACCTCAATAAGTCATACTTGTTGATTTGCTGTTAGGGAGTTCACAGGAAAGGAACTGGCAATGAATCACGACGGGATGGATTTACCCAAGGGACGCTAACCGAAGAGTTACGTTAGAAATGTATGAAGAAAAGAAGAGACAGGATCCAGAACTATTCGTTGAAGCTCACGAGAAAGAAAGAAAGAAAGGGTGGTCATAAGACCGCTAAAAGATAATTACGGAAAAGCATTGACCGGCTACACAGGTCAGTCTTCTGTAACAGAACATGGATGCATACAATAAATCTAGTTGGGAAAGCAAGCTCCTGATGAAGAAATATTGATAATAAAGGAAGTTATATTAATGCTCTTCTGTTGATGCAGCGTAAGTGTTCAGTCTAACGCGCGTGATGTTAGCAGAAAGTATTCCCAAAAAAAGAATATGGCCCACGCGCTGATAATCAACCATGAAAATGCGTTGGTTTGAGAGCCAGACGATGAGCAAAAGAAAATATAATACTCAGACCATGTCGAATGTCATTGCTTCCATGGCCATCTGAAGAGTGTGCCCATTACTTTCCGAAGGCTTCTGTTGGCGTCTCTCAACTTCCAGCGCTTTGGTGGCCTATCGAAGGTCGGGATGGGAAAGGTGAAGTACTCGTAAGAGGTACCACTAGGGCTTTCACTTGTGAGCTGCCTATGCCTATGGTGTTGAGGCCGATTCTTGGCCTTAAACTGAGCTAGAGACACCCCTCGGGATAAGGCGGGAGTGACAGACTGGATAGTTTGAGTTCGGGAGTGCGTTAGCTCACACTCAGCCTCCAAATGAGGCGGTGATAGCCCCAGGAATGAGATTGGTGCGGCAGTTTGGAGATCTCGAAGCGAAGGGGGCTTGAAAATGCACTCAGATGCCAATTGAGGTGATGGCAGTTCGGGGAGTGAGGTTAAGGCAGTAGTTTCATTAGCTCGAAGCGAAGGAGACGTGAGTATACACTGAGGTTCCGGTTGACGCAGCTCCCGGAATAATGCGGGAGTAGCAGCTTGGAAGGTTTGAAGCCTGGAGGAGGTCGGCCTCCAGGTCAGCTTTTGAGGAATCTTGAATGCTCGTGCGGCAGCGGTAGCAACTCGAGCAGTGGTAGACCAAGCAGACGCAGATTTGATCTGACTGTTTATAAAGAACCCGTTTCCGATGACAAGGGCGGGAAATAGATACTGCTTATTATTTCCAGTATCCACCATGATCTGATCCTTGGTCAATTCCCCGTCTTTCGTCCAAGCCCCATGAAGTGAGTACAACTTCTGAAAATGGCCATGGGAGGCTTGTAGGAGATCTGGCCCGCGCAGAGTCAAGATGCCCTTGTCCAACCCTTGCAGATATACCGTAACAAGGTCAATGAATGGCATCGCTCTGTTCCTAATCGACTTGGCTCGAATCATATTCCTACCTGCGGGGACAATTGGCCCACCTTTGATGCAAGCAAGCAAGACTTCTGGGGTTGTTGTAATGCGTGTTTCAGTTGGTTGGCACATCCAATTGTAATGGTGGACGTATTCCTCACTCTGTTGGCGCATCGCACGATGACAGAACATGGCCTCGGCTTGCTCGTCAATCTTTACCCAGTCCCAGTCTTGAATGGCTAATCTATCAGAAGAGTCAACGGAGGAAGCAGATGAGACAAAATAAAAGCCTGGCTCTTCGGGCTCAGGGACCTCAATCATAGTGAGTGGCGTGCCAGTGGAGGGCATCTGCTGTGAACTGAAAACAAGAAAAGCTTCATTATGAGCGCCAAGCAAGATAGCTTTTCTAGGAAAAAGAATTAGTTCACGTCTTACGAGTGAAGCTTGAACTGGGGATGCCGTAAGAGGAAGTGGATGGAAGCGAGGTGGTGCTTGGAACCGCTCTCTGGGGGAATCACCGGGAAAATATTCTCCCCAGTGGTGAGAAACACAGCAGGTGTATGTATTACCTACATTTTGTGAGTTGGGCAAATGAGGGTCCTCAACATCGGCAGCCCAGTCGAACGAGTCTGGTAGATGGAGATTAGGTAGGGTTGTAGACTTGCTAGCGACGGGATCTTCGACACCCTTAGCCCATTTCAAAGGCTCGGGCCTTGAGCGGCTGTTGGTGATGGATAGACCTAATGTAGATGGTATGCTTTCTTCGAAATTGGCTGGCAAGTTGAAGGGATCTGACCGCAGAATGTTGGAAGAGGATGGGGTTGTGTTGTTTGACGCGATCTCCTCGACATCATCAGTCCGATCAAACGCTTCGCGTTGCAGGTGATCAGATGAGGAGGTGTCCTGCGTCACACATTCAGCTTGTAAGAATTCGAGTGATAGGGCCTCTACTGAGGCTTGAGGACGTACTGGGTTATGAGGAGCTATGTTCATCTCTTACGGGATGCAGGCCACGCGAAACGGAAGAAATGACGATGACATTCAATGGGTTTGTATACACACAAAATTGAAATGATACAGAAATGATAGAGATGGCAGAAATTAAAATATGGAAGTACGGGAGTCAACAGCAGGATGGTGGATGGAGTTGCCAAGATAGAAGAATTGACGTGAAGCAAAGAGTGCAAGAGGTGGTCAAACGCGTTTGGCCTGGTTGCTGTCGACAACAGCTGGAACAGCTTTGGAAACAAGGCTTCCTGGAGTCCTGTCTATCGACAGTCTATGATATGTATGATGACAAGATAGAAGCTCGAATGCGTTTTGGAGTGATTTCCTATATAGCAGCAGAGACGGTGCCTATTTATCGCCAGTCCACCAGCTCTTCTTTGAAGCTATAGCTCTTCCGCATCGAAGAAAGGGGTCAATGGTATTATGACATCGTTGTCACATTGCTTCAGGAGATTGAATCCAATAGAAGCTGATCAAGAATAATGTCCTTTGTATAGTCCAACAAGAGCTCGCAGTCTGAATCCTGTCTTATCAAAGAGCAGGACAACTTCTTTGCATCCATCCACATCACCTGCATTCACTTCGACAACAAAAAAAGAAAACACACACAACGCATCTAAAACAATGACATGCATAGTGTCGGAGATGCTATACTCCGAACACTACGAGAAGTGGGTCCGGCCTTCTGTCCGGCGCTTATGTCATCCCCATATGACGCCGATTCCCCGCAGCAGCTCGTGATAGTCTTCGTTTTTCCTTTCCACTGTAAATTACTGTGGTGTATATAGAGCATCAATCTATGAACCATATACGAGCTTGTTTTAGATCAGTTGGACTACTCCGCCGACACTCATCTCCCTTCACAGCTTCATCTCTCCCCGCATCTCCCTTCGCTTTCACGGTCCAACCAAACTCCGTCCGAACAATGGCCTCCGCAATGGCAAAGCGCCTCGAAGGCAAGACTATTGTTGTTACTGGTGCCTCTTCTGGTATTGGAAAGAGCACGGCCATGGAATTCGCCCGCTCCTCGCCCAAGAGCCTCAAGCTAATCCTGACAGCTCGTCGCATCGACTCGCTGAAGGAGGTTGCTGCGGAGATCCAGAAGGAGGTCGGCGATGGCGTGAAGGTTCTTCCCGTGAAGCTCGATGTCAGCAAGCCGGAGGAGATCGACAACTTTGTTCCTTCTTTGCCTGCGGAGTTCAAGGAGATTGACGTTCTGGTCAACAATGCGTGAGTCACAGACGACAAAGACGCGAGCATCCCGATAGGATCAATACTAACGGATCTCATGTAGTGGTCTAGTCAAGGGCGTTGCCCAGGCAGGTGATATCGCTGCCGAGGACCTGAAGGTCATGTTCGACACCAACGTTACTGGCCTGATCAACATGACTCAGGCAATCCTGCCTATCTTTAAGAAGCGCGATGAGGGTGGCCGCGGTGATATTATTAACATCGGTAGCATTGCTGGTCGTGAACCCTACTCCGGTGGTAGCATTTACTGTGCCACCAAGGCTGCCGTACGCTCTTTCACTGATGCGATGAGAAAAGAGCTCATTGCTACGAGAATCCGTGTTATTGAGATTGATCCGGGTCAGGTCGAGACTGTAAGGATCTTCACGCTCGTTCCAATCGGTTTACAAAAACTGATGTCAACTGCAGGAGTTCTCTGTTGTCCGATTCTATGGAGACAAGTCCAAGGCCGATGCTGTTTACAAGTAAGTCAAGCAGGGTCATTCTTAGTTGCACTAGTGTTGACATATTGCAGGGGTGTTGAGCCATTGACTGGTGACGACATCGCCGAGGTCGTTGTCTTCGCTGCCAGTCGCCGCGAGAACGTCGTCATTGCCGATACCCTAGTGTTCCCTAGCCACCAGGTAAGCTTTGGGTACCAGATTGAGGTCTCCGATGAGCCCTAACTAATATGTTTCTCTCTCTAGGCTGCGGCTGGTGTCATGCATCGCAAGGCATGAAATGTGCCCATAAACAGACAATTTAGAGGATAGATGGAGGTCTAATTAGCGTTCATCGAATCAAGTTACACATCCTGTAGTGTAATCCAGTTATTTTATCCACAGGTCATGGTTTTGAAACACAGCTTCACAAAGAGTACTGGTGGAGCATATGAATCATAGTATACGAGGCCAGAGTAACCCGTCTTTCAACAGTACAATTAGGTATACATCTATCCAAGAACTGCAGCAAATATTCAAACATTGAATTATACATACAGTCCCCTAGATGGCAGCAACAGCGAAAGCGGCAGCAACACCGCCAACAGCAGCCCAGCGAGCATTGCCAGTCATCAGAGGCAAAGCAGCATTAGGCGACGAAGTCTGGGTACCAGTAGCAGAAGCACTGCTGCTCTCATTGGCGGAGGTAGAGGTACCAGTAGCAGTACCAGTGGAAGCAGAAGTAGTCATTCCAGATGCGCCAGTCGAAGAAGCAGTGGAAGCAGTAACCGAAGCACCTGTAGTAGCAGAAGCACCAGAGGTACCACTAGCAGTGATGCTAACAGGCAAAAGAGCGCCACCGGGGATCTCAGAGAGAGGAACAGCAGTGTTGTAAGCCGAGGAAATACCGCTCTCAACCATGCTTCCAGAGCAAGTCACGCTTGTGGCGTCGTAATTGCAGCGCTCGTCGAGAGTACTGTGATAGGAAGGGATCGTCAGCCTTACAGTCCTGTATACAAGATTGTGGAGAAATCGTGCTGATCTGCTGGTGGGCCACTTACATTCCTTCCATGCCGTAGTTGATTTGGGCGGTCGAAGAACCCTGGATAACGGTAACGCCACCGGGAGGGACGCCGCAGTCGACGGAGTCTTCGTCGGCGGCGCACTGGACGAGATAGGTAGTCATCTTGGCGCTCTATTTGGAGGGTTAGTTTCGGTCGCGCATTTCAATTGGAAAGGGGGCGAATCAGAACGTACAGATCCCATAACGCTGCCAACGAGGTCTTGCTGGTCGAATCCAGGCATGAAAAGAGTGACAGTATCAGCCGCGACGGCGGTGGCACCGGCCAGGAGAGCGAGAGAAGCAATATGCATGGTTGATTGATTTAATTATGATAACGTCAAGCGAGCGACAAAAGTTGGGAGGGTATAATGCAAGTAAAGGAAGAAACGAAGAAGCAGTCACAGCAATAGGGCCATGGCCCCCATTAAAAACAAAGATGGCATCCATGTCAGATTCGAAACTTGGCCAGCCCAGTCCAGTCGCAGTCTAAAGCTATTTCAGACATCTGCCGTAAACGGTGCTTTCCTATTGGCTAATCCATCATATTAGGAAGGCTAAAGCTGCAATCTAACCTGTCTGGGACTAGACTAGGCACTAGCGCCAGCCATAAACCTTGGACTAACCCCGATTAGGTATGTCGTACCCCTTGAAGGGTCAAATCTTTCGCCTCAGCCTCTTCGCCCCTAAAATTGGACTCTTTCCGGGGATTGATTCGGTTATATCCGGTGGGCTGACCATTAAGTTAACATGTTTGTCCATGTTTGCCGTGAGTTCCGACCATTGGTCCTTCCAATTGGAGGTAGAACGGCCAGGCCCTGTTTGTTTGCTGAATCCCCACCCATTCAATATTTCTTCACCCTAAAAATGGCGTCTTCATAAATCTGCCGGAGTGGCAAGTCCCGTGTTTGGTACGATCTGATCGGTTCCAATCCTCCTGCCGGAGATCCCGATTTCCATTTCAACGCCGCTTTGTCAAGCCCCTCGGTGCCTTAGGTACATGATTTGGGCCTTCTTGGCTTTTTAGCCGCAAGGGTTGGAGCCTCAAGAACTCCCCCAGGAAGTGATGTGCAATGAATGTCCCACGTTTGAACCATATCTGATTAGATGCCCTATCTATTGATGTCCCTATACCCTAATTTCCCATTTAGACCCTGAACCCCTTTACGCCACGTGAAGCTCACACTAAATCCACATGCCCGGAAGATAAAGCCCCCCAGGGTCCGGTCTCTGCATGCATACCCGGTAAGCCTGCGGGGTGGTTGGCTGAACCTCATATGCCAAGCTTCAAAGAGAGTAATGGTAAGCGATCAGATAGTGCCGTTCACCCACCCGCTGTTTAGTTCCCATACAAGGCTGTGGAGGCAGGGTACCATTGTGGCTGGCGGTGCAGGTGATTATGATTGATTGGAAAGCTCTATCCTGCGACATCCACGAGATGATATGATTTGATAGAGACCGTTGCTGCAATTCTCTTTTCAATGCTGGCCTCGCGTTTTGGGCTCACATTTGGTATCGCATTTGGTATCGCGTCTTTCGAGAGGCTTGGCAAGGCTCACTTTAAGCTTACGTTGTTTTTGAAAGAAGGACTGCAGTATTTCCTTGTATAAAGTCTACATACCCGCTGCTAGTCTCAAAAGTTTGCCCTACGATATAGGCAATTTGCTCACAAGAACCGCCGGCTCTTGATCCACTACAAGCATCTTATCAAAGCTTTCCCTAAAAAGGAGTCTGTCATCCTTTTTCTTCTTCAATATGTCAGAGAAGATCGACACAAACAATGATATTTACAGGCTGGCCGCCTGTCCCTTCATCATGGAAAGGAAGGGAGACTACGATGACGCCATTCAAATGTACAAAAGTGCAATCGAAATTCTTGGAGAGGCGACAAAAAGATTCAAGAAGGGAAACGTCCGCAAAGTCAACCGCAAGATGTTTGAACGTCAAGTCCAGGTTCATCGTGAACGCCTAGCCTACTTGGAAGGTCTCAAAAAGAAAGGCAGCTATGAAGGCATTATTCTGCCGCCAACGATCTTGGATGCAATGGCAGAAGTGGAGAAAGATAACGAAACGAGTTGGACACTGACTCAGGTATGCATAGAACAGCCCAATATCAACAGAAACACCCAGCCCACTAAGAATAACCGCATTCTAGATCCGCAAAGATCTCCACGCCTTCCGAGGAGAGGGACCAAGCCCAACTAATGCAGATCCCAGCACGGCGGAATTACACATTCAACCATTCCTCAATACAGACCCATCGACACGTCCAGTCTTCTCAACGACACTTCAACCTTCAACACCAACAATAACCTATCGCATCACCCATTCATCAGAGCTAGTCGACCTAGGCCTCCGGTCGCACTGGTTCTTCGTGAAAGACTCAACAAACACACACGTTCTCTACGCCCTCCAATGCCTCTGGAGCAACGAAGTACCAATCGTGGAAACAGTTTTGCGCCGTGCAGGCGAGTTCCTCCCCCAAATTGGCGCAACGATCGTCAAACTTCGAAAGCAAAAGGGCGGCTCATTCCGCCTGGAGACATGCACAATTCCAGATATGGGAGTCATCACTGAGATCCCCGATGGCGAGATGCAGCGGAAGGACTGGTCACCTCGGCGGTTTGAGTATGGCGGACGGAACTTTGTTTGGAAGAGTGGAGGTGCGGATGGGAAGAAGGGAGATGGAGGGATGTTTGGGGCGTTTGGGTTTGCTTGGGAGTCTTTGTATGAGACGAAGAGGGTTTGGGCTAAAGAAGGGAGTCGCACTGGCAAAATGGAGGATGAGACTGTTGGTCCAAGGCTTTGTTGGGGCGAGAAGAAGGGAGGAAATGGAGCTGATCACAGTATCCATATGGTCGGTGGATTGGATTTGTATTTCCGGGAGCATTTGCTTGCTGTGCAGTTGTCCAGATTGGCGCGGGTTAGTTATCCGCCTGCTAAGGATACTACTGGGATTGAGATTGCTGCTGCTGGAGTGGGATGGCTGTCTATCGCTACTTCCTTGGCTTAAGATCGACGAGGAGATGGTGACATCTCAAATTGTCTCTGTTGACTTGTATTGAAACTCTTACATTATTCGAAACAATGAGCAGTGCTGCAAGTATGATTCCAATTTATCTCTATTTCAATATTCAAATATTCATTTACTTCTTCGAATGGAAGTAATAAATGCTGCGAGACTTAAAGCACTATTCTCTGAGAACCATGAATAGACTTCTCACAATATCTTTTGCTGAGTTTGCGATGTGACATAAAGATAGAAAGACTAAGAGAACCCTTGGCTGGATTTTTGACTGCGCTAAAGGCAAGTTATGCGTCGCCCTTTGGTGGTATGCCCGGCAAAAAGTTCCCCCACTTGAATTGCCTCGATGCAATGCTTTCGCTGATCTCTCGCAATTGTCGCATATAATCAGACTCCAGCTCTGTGACGACAGGATCATTGCATTCATTTCCAAGGAAACATATCTCAAACACCTTGGAACTCTTTTCTTCGAGGTTTGCATACCGTGGTGGCCATTGAGGGAACCAGCGCTTATTCTCACCAGACTTGAGCGTTATTTTGTGTAGCTGTGAGAAGATGTTTCTGTGGCGAAGAAATTCTTCAACAAATGTCGCTATGGTGGCTTCGCTCAGTGGCGGTTTCCATTGATCTGAATCTGATCCAAGTATTGACTGACTTTCTATGTTCAAAAGATCAGACGCGACATGAAGGCGTAGATGGCGGACGCCGGTGAATCCTTTTGCTAAAGCTGCAAGGATACCTTCAGGCTAAAGGGGAAAGCCAATTAGCTAGCATTCTGACATATTATTTTTGGTGAAATACTTGCCCATCCATCGTCCCAAGTGATATCAATCTCCAAGCTTTGTAGGCATCGGCATTCCTGATCCAACAATTGAACATCTTCTAGCGCAAGGTTACTCCTTGTTGTATCATGCTCTTCAATCTCATGCAGGCGGAGATGATTTAAAGCAGGGTGGTGAGCAACAGCATCCATCCGTGGCAACTTGCCCGTCACATCCAGTCTCTCAAGTGTATCAAATGATAACAAGAACTGCTCTAACTCCCCACATTCGCCATCAGTCGTGCCTTCAGCTTCAAAGATGACGAGTTCTTTTAGCAAAAGGGGGGAGCCAGTAATGCTCTTCAGAAACCCCTTATTCTCCGTCAGATGGAGTGACCTTAAAGTTTGCCAAGGAAGCTTTGTCCTCCAACTGAGCATCTCCTCCGCGTAAACATAATATCCGCTTAATGAGAGACTCTCTAGGGGAGGGAAACTCTCCTTTTCGAGCAAATTCAAAGGTGAAAAATATAGCGGATGTCGTGGGCCCATGACACATCCCCCAAATCGGCGTTGTACCGAGATAACCAGGGTCTGAAGATTCAGAAAAGCGAGAAAGAGCTCACGAGGAGCGAGGGTCAACGGTGAGTCCTCCGGGTCCCCATCGCGAATGAAATCAGGGGAAATACTAATACTCAAAGTACGCAATGAAGGCACTTGGCGGTCGACCTTAGTCCGGCCGATTTCGTGGAACAAATGAAGCCTCGGCGAATTTTCATGGTCACGAATCGTATCCAGAAACATATCCGTCAATGGCAACTCCTCTTTTAAGCTGTGCATTTGAAGGTTAGTAGATATAGAATAGATCGGAATCCGACTCACTAGATATTTTCAAGATTTGGCAGTATTTTCACCAAGCCAGTAAAGTCGTCCAGTCTTTTCAGGCTCTTTGCTGGGTCTTCCCTCGTCTGCTTGGCCGCAAGTGTCACGTCACGCACCCAAGCTCTCAGGTTGGTATTTTCCTCATTCATGAGATGACAATAGAGACCAAATGTGGCACTTTCATCATGGATGTCGCCAGAATCTGGATCCAAGGTAATCTTTTTATTATCTCTGAAACTGCGGAGGACAACTGAACGGTATAACACAGGGGTAGCCAAGGCACGGAAAAATTCCGACACCGCGCATACAGCTAGAAGATCTTCTTGAGAGAGAAACTATACAAATTGTTATTAGAGAGGCATTCAAACTCGATTTATGCGGGACTTAAATACGTACTTGTCGAACAATGAGGTACCAAACCTCGTTGCTGAGGCCTCGTGGGCTGATTTGTTCCATTTTCTTTCAGCTTCAACCCCGAGGGCGAATATGAGCAGCCAAATTCTGTACTACCAAAAATACGAAGTTCAATAAATGAGGGGAAGAGAAAGGTGTGCAATGTCTGCAGAATGTGGCTCCCCTGCAGCCCCCGACCGTCTTTTTATATGCAATAGGTCGCGTGCAGAAATGGTGCAAAAGCGAGGAGCTTAGATCTCTCAAGGCTCCAGAAATGTTAGCCTGAACGGAACTTTGAGGACCGCTTATCACCCAAGAAGTCAAGTGTTGCCTAAGTGTTGCCTGAGTGTTGCGCACGGCCGACTGGCCTCCGCGAATGCAGAAGTGGGGTCAGCTAAGAGGCTCAAGGATGGAATGACTCAAAAAGGACAATTCAGACGCGCACTGGCGAGTCACTCTAAGTAACGACACGGCTTTATTCGAAATTGGCTTTCATGCTTTACGCAAAGGAGTGAAGGTCAACTTATCGTGCCTCGTTGGCCATACAACATGTTTCCTATTTTGGCAGGTTTCCAGAATACAATACGCCGTGGGCATAAGCTCGTTAGTATAAAGAAGCTGTCCTCACCAAATCCTGTCCTGCTCGTTTCTATAGCCCATGCCTTAAGCTACAGCAAAGTACACAACTAGCATCACTGTTTTACACTCCTCTTTTGATTCTCAGCCCCATCGCCAAGGTGGTAGCCCAAAAAGTGGGTATTTTCCAAATTCTTAATTATTGACGTTACTGTTACTCATATTAATCCTGCCGTGCGCCGCCTCAGCGGAGCTAGGTGTGATTTTCACATCCTATTCAGCTTGCCTCTTCAGAATTACTACCTAGCCCACTTAATATTATGGCTCTTTCCCCTGGATTTCCGGGCCGCGTCTGGAAATGAGATCTCATCGCTCCACGCGCCTGACTCGCGTGGCTTAGGATCTCGACCCGTGTATAAACATGAGGTGCCGTCACCCCTACAATCACCTCCACCACCGTCCCTATCCCGACCTTCTGCACTAATCCCTCGATCTCCAAGGGATTCATCATGCCGCCACCTGCTGCCGCCTGCTATGACAGACCTTAAACTAGTCATGGATTACGACTCGTTGCCACTCACTCCTTTCTGTTATTTCGTCGCCCCTGAACCTTTGGAATTTCAGGGGCCCAAGCTATTCCACCACTTCATGGACTTGCCTCTGGAAATCCATCGGGTCATCTTTCGATACTGCGATACGCCAACGCTTTTTCATCTTATGCATACGTCCTCTTACATACGATATGAATGCTTTGACCTTTTCTGGGAGCCTGATCACAACACCTGGTATCGACCTGAATATGCGGACAGGTTGTTTGATTATAAGTTCTTTCCAATTTATCACTGCCCTACGTTTGCCTCTCGCATCACGAAGGTAGAAATAGGCTTTTCTTTTCGGCAACTAGATCGAATGGCGCACAGAGGACAGGCGTTCTGGGATAAGCTGCAGCAACTCTTTCCCTCCATACAACATGTGGTCTTGAGTGACAATGGCCCAGAACTGTTACCGCCTACCTTTCCCTCCCCAATTTCTGACCTTTTGACGTTAGCATCGCCAAACATCACGGCTTTCGTTGCGTTTCAGTATGGCGGATACGAGGGTGCTCTACGCTACAGGCTATGGAAGGTCGAATCTGGAACGTGTTGGAGCATTATCCAAGATCCCTGGACACCAATGCGAGTCATGCTTCCCGCAAAGAAAGTTCCACTTAGCCTGCTAAATGACTTTTTGTTAATCGAACGAGTGGCAGTGGCTCTAGTCCGTGAAATGAGGGGTAGGGATTGGCTAGTATTGGAGACCTATGGGCGTTATTCTGATAGTAGTGGGATCGATTGTCCAGATCCTGGGTGCAACGCTAAGTTTACCACCTTGGAAAAGTTAAAGATGCACATCTGGCATGATTCGCATGAAGGTCTCCGGGATTCCTACGGGTTTAGCATGATGACGTACCACCGAAATACCCCTATTGAGGTGAAGGCTACTCTTGATGCAAAACAACGTCGCTTGGATGAGATGAGTTTCATTCGGACTGTGCTGCGAGATGAACTGCGTGAGCAGTACCACAAGCACGGGGAGTCTGGGGGACGGCAATTCGAAGAAGCCTTGACTGGCCAAATGAAAAAGCATGGATATCTTGCACCCGACAAATCACTGGACGACCTGGAATTATGGAATGATCTTGCCGGACTGTTTGAATATGATACGGACGACTATCCAGAGTATCCTGATGAGAAGGATTTTGACCGGGATTACCCGGGGGAGGAGGATGTTGATCATGAGTATGCTGGGGAAGAATACTTTGATTAAGATCAATTTCATGAATGAGAGTGGAGAAGAAGTAATCAAACCCACACTTGAAATTCCAATTCTGTCGGGTGGGGGTGATCTATGGCCTAACTGGCTTTGGCCTAATATGTTTCATTACCGGCTTAGCATTAGGGTTTGACATTGTTTTTTCGTGCAAATCATGGGAGCGTTCTTCGAATTGAGCTGTAAATCAGTCACATTTTCTGTTGCGGGATGAAAACGTCTGTGACCGCAGGCGTATACACTGGCAGGGATATAGCAACTTTTTGCCAGGCTGATATTGTTCCAACAATACTAGCCCTGCTTTTTATCTTTCCATTCATGTAAAAGTGACGTTACTTGGTTTTGGCCCAGTGGTATTCAATACCAAACTAAGACTACCAGTGAGACTGAATTCATGTTTCGGTAGTAAAAGTCCATATGGACCTTCGCAGAAATTTGGCTTGTTTTTCAGAGACGTATTATGAGTTTTTCCACGAGCTTTGACTTCTGTGGTCCTGTTCAAACGTGTTATGGATTAAATTTGAAACTAATCTTATATTTGGCTATGTAAAACTGAAAATAGAGTCCTGAGCCCACTGAATGTTGTCGAACCATGCCAGGAAATCCGGATTCCCCTGTGAATCACACTCATGGAGCCAGCTTTCAGGTAGATCAAGGTCGGAACTTAATGAAGCAGCTTCAGAAGAAACAGTGGAATGGATTTTGTCAAGCACCCAGCGAATATATGTTGCACCTTGTTGAACGGTATCATAATTTCCTTGGTACGGCTGGACCTGGAAGGTCAAATGCGAAAGATAAGCATTGAGCTTTTGGATAATGAGTGTTCGAACGTTTGAGGATAGTGGTGCTAGAGATGGAAACGATATCCCAGAGCTGTGGTCGGAGAGTAGTTTCGAGGTCAGAATGCCGGCGGCAGGAAGACCCATGTAGCATAACTGAAGGAAAAATGATTAGCGATTGGACTGTGGCTGTGAGAAAAATCGGCATGTCTTACATCCCAAGAAATTCCCACAGGCGATTTATCTGATCTAGTTTGTATGGCGATAGTGGTGTCCACCAATGTGGTGATAATCTCAAGGGAGCTGTCAATGAGACCTTGTGAGGCTGTCCCAACACGCTTCAATAGGATTCGGTGCAGTAAAAATTCCTGATACGTAAATTCTACATGAGCGAATGCGCGGCCTTCGTCTCGTGGGGATGTGTAAACTCCCGCCGCAGCTTGCTCCGGAGACCATTGCATAAACGAGGGAAGTTTTTGTTGTGTCTGGCGACATTCTTGTATCAACTTTCTGCTCAGCTCTTGCAGTCAGCCCTTGTTTTCAAAATCAAACGAGACTTATAATGAATACGAACTCGACTTTGGCCGGAATATCCGTTATATCTGGGCTCAGAGATAACTCAAGAATACTTTCCCGCAACAGACACGCGAGCAGCGCGACACGAAGCTTAGCGGCAACAGTCAGATTGCCATCGGTATTCCATCCGTCGGCGTCGACGTTTTGAAAGCCATTCTCTCCGTCGCTTCGGGGGCGAACCATTTCATCATACGTAATATCAAGGGGAAGTGGAAGACTGCAGTATCGAGAGCATATGCGTGGGGGACGCCCTAGAAAAGTCACCAGGTCCTTATCCATTCCATAAGCACAAGCCATGATCCGCTTTCGTAATTCCACGAGGAAGAACGGGATGCTTTGATCGACATGTTCTCCAGATTGGTGTAGACCAAATCCGTAAATAACTGTGGATATGTCTCCGAGCTTTTGCCAGACCCGGTAGTCTAGGTAATATTTAGCCAGGTCCTCTCTGCCTTGGTGATAACTACTAAAGAACATAACGTACCAGTGTAGCCAAACATCATGGCTAAAAGAGATATTTGCTGGGTTGTCAACCAGCAAAGTGTGTCACTAGCTGCTCCGATGGCATTGCAAAATTGCCAGCAAGTATCACTCACGGTGCAGGCAATGCTTGTAAGCTTGCTTTTTTCAAGCTTCCATGGGTTGCGATGTGTGAAGATCGGGTCGTCATCACGAATATGAAATAATGCTGATCCTAACATGACGAAGACAAGCCCAACTGTTTCCCATCTAGCCGCTGTCGAGTCGAAATACTGTACCAAATCCATTTCTGAAGTTGTCCGAATATCCTCTGATGTGTTGGCGAAAATCTGACGAGACAGTTTGAGTAACGACGCATGTGTATCCTGGGAGCCACGCACTGCCGAATCGTACATTTGTTCAACAGAATTGAGTAACGCTCGATTCAGAGGAGGACCCAAAACCCATCCTGGGGCTATCTTGTCCTTCGATTCAATAATCTCAGAGAACCAGCGGATCTTCTGCAAATGTGACAAGATCTGAGCTCCTAGCAATACTTGATTTGAATCGCTAGATGGGCATGCACTATGTGCTACTGTTGAGCCCAATAGGCGGCCTGGTCCCTCAACAGGCAGGCTATCTTCATACTCACTGAAGATATCTTGAGGTGAAACCAAGCCCAGAAAGCCCGGTTTGAGAGTTCGCTTTTCCTTCGGAGCCCATTGCTCGATTTGCTGATCGCATACCGAATTCTCATCCGTGGCTGGTGAATTGGACGGGCTTAGAGCAGCCGTTCTGGAGATTCTCTGGTCGACACGGAATACCAGTTGACTGTCCAAACGTCTCTTTGGCTTTCGAGGGATCGCCTTGGGGGCCCGGGGTTGAGTCAGCGGAGCAGGATGATAGAAGCATCGCTCGCCCCGTCCGAGGCATCGACTGCAGATGGGGCTTTGGTGGTCGCATCGTAGTTTGGACTTCCGACAAGGCTCGCATGATGACAGCTGTCCATTTCGGCGAGTTGTTGCCATTTTTACTTCTTAGATTCTTTGAGGACGAAAATATAGACCAAGAGTTGTTCGCCCTAGGCATCTAGGGGTTTGGGCAGGTCAAATGATGGTAGATCGGAGTTCGCTGGCGTCGGACTTGAGCGGAGCTCAAGTTGACCTTTCCTAATCAGGAGATTTCGGGCTTGAACTCCGAGTGGATAAGAGCCTCGTGTCTTGTGAGCGATTGTTCGTAATGAACAAAAACGGTATTTGAGGCTGCATAAGTATTGAAGGGGGAACTTCGTATCGGGAGTTTTTGTGCATTGACTACGAGACAAACCCCCTTTTCTGAGTATGGAGTTATAGCGCAGGCAAGCCCTCAGAGATGTCCACAGATGTCACTCAATCTGTTCGACAGCCTCAATTATAACGAGAGTTTTCGCCACTGCTGTCAATACCAAATTTCGTATGAATCATGATTGACTTGCTAAGTATAATGACACAAGCCTCCCTGGAAATTGTCGACTGGGTAGTTCTCACAAATGGATACGACCTGTTCTCTTTCGCTCCTCCAAAGTTAGGGCAGCTATATGCTTTGGATACTTACAATGAGAATGGGTTCAATGAGAATAAATATTTGTCGGAACTATCCTCTTTGAATGCAAATTATACCACGTTCCTTTATTGTGTGCTATCTGTTTCCAGAGTATCATGTTACAGTCGACTTCAAAGATGAGTCATACCCCACGTACTAATGACGGCTCTGCAGTAGCAGTGCTGCTTTGAAAAAAGACATCCCTAGTCTACCAAACTTTTGGTTTACGACAAAGCTCGACATTTTAGCTTGTTAGAGACTATCGTCAGAGATACTAGAACTTGAAAGATCAAGATAGCAAGCACATAGGCAATCAATAATTGAAAAGTAGAGATGATTTGAGACGTGCTATGTGCTCCCATGGTCAACTGCCAGGCAAAAGATTGAGAAACAAGATTTAGTTACCCTGAGCAAAGCATTCTGCAGCCCTCATCGCCGTAGCTCTCATGGAGTCCCCGAATTCCCCAGCATATCCTAGCTCAAGTTTCTTATACGTGTCCCCGCCTTGTCCAAAAGACCAGGCTAACACTGCGGCCGGACGTTCATCATAACTCGGACAAACATCCAAGAATTGTCTCAGCGGTCCTTCTTTGATTGGAACCTGATCTGGGAGCAGATTTAGAGCATAAAATGCAACCCGCGGGATTGTGGCCTCGGGATACCGCATCGTTACCGCAACGAAATATCCCCGTGGATCGATCAGTTTCTGTATATCCTCAAATTCAGTCTTAGTAGGTGGTTCAGATCCTGCGAGGCCTGTGATTTGGTCAGCCTGATCCTTGGATAAGTCTCCCTGGACCAGAAAATAGATGTTCAATGTGTTTTTATGGTAGTCAACAGAGACAAACCATACCATATTGAATCCAAGACCCTGGAGAGTAGGCAGATGTGATTGTAGGGTCGATGGTATTCCCGGCGCCGTGAGAAGCTCCTTGACGGGTCGAAGCGCTACCAAGTGTAGCCAGGTTTTGACCAGTCCCGCATTGGCATCAAAATCACACCACTGCTGGGGCTCGTTCTGGTATAGAGAGCACCATATTTCCAGAGGGGTTAGCATTTGATGCTCAGGGTCCAAAAGCTTCCCTTCTTTGGCCATCGAAAGGGTATCCACATTCTTATGAATGAACAATCGATAATTGAGGGCATCTCCAGGCCGGTCGGTTGCGCGGAAAATGATGACTTCGTTACGGAAATAATCCTCGAAAACGTTCAAGACAGCAACAGTGGATGACTCGGAGTAAGCAGCATTGGTGGCATTTGCTATCTTCTTGATATCGTTCAGGAACTCAGATCGGGAGTAGACAGGAGTAATTATAGCAGAAGTTATTGTGGAGGTCATGTCGTCAGTAGAAGAGAATTGGCGGCGTACACTGGATCTTCGAACCGCATTACGGGGCATCTTCCCTTTTTGTGCGTTCGTGGAGCATAAATAGTAGTGACCTGTCACATAGGATGAATACCCCTTCGTGATAAGCGGATCTCCATGTCCATTTACCTAACCATTTTAAGGAAGGCGTGGTATTTGTATTTGGCTTACCGCTATTCCGGAACCTATGCTCGATGTCTCGTAAATTCAAGTAGCCAGAATGGGGGAATAAAAAGTCGTCGAATGTAGTGCTCCTCTTGGCAACACTAAGTTCCTATTAATGCTATCAAAGCAATGAGCGGCGATTAAAATGTCGGAAATTTAGTTCTTAGTGGGTATATGTTCGAAACACATATGTTCTAGGTATGAAGCATCTCTCCGCATGTTAGGTTAGTCCGCTTTGATCATTATGGATTCTATTTAGCCAAAATTGTGTAATATTATTGAGCATAGTAGCTTTATTCCTGCTTGAATTCATTCTTTAGTGGCTAGAAACTCGTGGAGCAGATCGGTTGTTTAATCACATAGTCATGAGTAATAAATGGCTACATTCTCTTAGTCCATGAAACAGGTTTGACAAGAGGACTTCGTCGGATACACGTACAGAGAAATAGGGAAGTTTCGACCGCTTATGCAGACTCATATTGAACGTACCAAAAATAGCATTGGGACACACGTAACTGATGAACTAAGGAAGATTGATTAATTGGGAAAGAGTGATGAATAGAGGGAGTGGTGAATTGGGGAGCAGTCGACTGCATGTGAAATTCGTCTACCTCAAGATGAAATCTAGTAGCCTTGAGAATCTCTGTGCATACTGAAAAGTTTCCAAAAAAGGCCATAATTTTGGCACTTTGTTTTGTAGATATTAAAACCCCTTTATCCGAATACGTATATACCCATACTTTCCCAATCTCCTTCCATTGCGCGATCATTTTGTCTCTTCTTCGGGTGGAAGAGGCGAAGACGGATCTACGACAATGGTCGGGATAGAATTGGACACATTGGCCACCTTTGAGTCTTGGTCCCCACCGATTTTGGTAGCGGTATATCCAGAATCTCCAGGCAACTCAGCTTGGGGTCCATCTGAGATTTGTCCAGCAGGAAGCTCAGCCGGTGCAGATGGAATCTGTTCATTGGGCATTTCAACTGGCGCCTGCGACGGGCCAGACGCAATCACGGCGCCGGTATCAAGCTCCGCTTTCTGGTACATGGGGTCGCCATTATCAAGTTCGGGTTTTACCATACCAACTGGAACCCCGGAGCTCTTCTTAGGCGTGTCTTCGGACATTCTCGGGGGTTCAGGTGTAGCTGCAGCCGCAGTTTTCCTTAACTGGTTGCGTCGGTACCACCAAATAAACATCACCACAGCAATAAGGATGACACCAAGTGGAACACCTATTCCAATTCCAATTTTGGCTCCAGTTGATAATCCCGTGCTTTCGCCATCATTAACTATTTCCCCTCCATTCACCAAGCATATAGGATATGCTGTAAAAGTCGCCGTTGTTTTGGACTCTTGCGAGGTCACCGCCTTGTCTCCGTCTCCGTTTCGTAAATCTCGCTTTGTGTTGCTAGCCTCAATATAACCGGTGAAGTCAGACACGGTAGTTCTTGAGCATGTTCCGTCTGAGGTGGTGTACAGTCGTCGTGTGCTGACAGTTGTAGCAGTGCTAACACACCCTTTGCCCCCATATCGATATCCACTAGACTAGATATTAGCCGAACCGTTGTCATTTCAATCAACCTTTTCTTCTAGAAAGTTTGACACCACGACCTTTCCGCTTCGTTGAGGTTGATGAAGTAAAAAACTTACGATGGACAACATACTGTGGCAATTTGACCATCGCGCACGGTAGCTCCCATTCGACCAATATTGTGTGATGGGGATAGGCCCCTCTGGCCAGCGCTGGTGGTATAATTTGCGGTCCATCCAGATGGACAGGCATTACCGGGAGTGAAGACATTATTCACTCCCGCGCCAGTAAACACACCTTTGATACCATCTGGGTAGCAAGATGAGGCCCAATTCCATACCTTTGCGGAAGTTGCGCCAGTCGGAACGCCCTTGGTGACACAGACAGCCCCCCATGCCAAAAGGGCGTTGTCTGTGTTGTAACTGACCCAGTTCGCGGTGGCACACTTCGACGGTGGCGAGAACGTGGTCGTAAGTGGACCAAAATGGGCAATCGTAAGATCCGAAGCAGGTGTTGTTGTCATTGTTCCGAGTTATAATGCATGCTGAAAGAAAGTACGAGAAGCAAAAATCATGGGCCCGGAGAAAACAGCACCAGCCTACGAAAAGGGTGGGAACAGGACCCTGTGGAGTATGGGATCAACGGGCTGAATCTCCAATTTGGACCCTCCCCGCTTGGATTGGCAAGGATCTGACACGGCACAAACGGAGTTAAGGTGGGAACGTTCAGCCGCCCCTCGCATAGCAACCATACGCTAAAATTCATGCGGCTCATATTCGAGTTTGGGAAAAAGAATCCCAAGGAGTCTATAGATTGGCTTGTAAAATGTTTCGGCGTCAATGATTTCGATTTGCTGGTTCTATTAGGACAGCATACGGGATTTCTCATTTTGGTTCTAACTGGAAATGCTGAATTGAAGCGAGGTCCGAGGGTTTGTCGGACGCGAAACCCTGACTTACCTACCAATCATAGCCTCTTAGTTGTTAAAACATTGCTATGGCCTCGCAACACTGCCCCTACATCTCTCCTCTTTCGAACCAATTAGCAGGCGGTACCTCGGCGCCTTAGCCGAGGGAAAGCTTAAGTGAGCCAAGGCCCCCACTGCTTCCGAGTAAGAAGGCATTTTCCTCATGTCTACATTAATATCATAATAACAACTACAACCATAGCAAGAACAGCCCTCAAGATTCTAACATGTATGTCTCCAGCTGCATCTCAAGCTGGAGTTACTTCACTCAGCTACATTGGTCTTGTAGCCCTGGCTTGTCTAGCTCTTCACTTCACCCGCCAAGCAACAACATTCTTCCTTCCCAGCAAACTAAAAGCCCGCTACAACCATTCCGGTACCAATTGGGCCCTTGTAACAGGCGCCAGATTCCAGAACAGTGGAAAGACCCCCAGGAAAGTTTCGCATCGGGTAAATTGACAATATCGTTCTGGCTGTCAACATACATAAAGGCATCTCCCCTCACGCGGTAACAGCACAGCAAGATTTAAATCATGGGATATGCTACGTATAGCCCAGATACTGCCATGGAAGCAACATTGTGGAGTGCAACGAAGAGCCAATATAATGAGAGCCAGGAGTGCGCTCACAACCACGGAATGGGCGATAGAGTAGATTGGTAAATTGCGAGAAGGAGAGACCTGAAAAACCATCTGTTAATAAAATACCTCAATTGAAATCGATTTGTTCATTTGGCCCCACCAATGCCACTCCAACATGCCCGTGTCTCGAGAGAAGGATAAGTTGGCGAGGCATTGCGGCTAGCAGACAAGCAATACAGCAAGAATATACTATTGTAACCATCTGATGGTCGCCTCAAGCTTATTGTAGTCATCAGCCCAGAAACGAGCAGAACCAGCCCAGTCCCCTTGCAACTCCTCTCGACTCAAACTTTGTTTGTCTGGGGTGGGCAGTAGCGTTTGCATTTAATAGTGCCCTAGAAACGGGACTTGGGACCGAGTGGATCTAAAAGACGGAATATGGCGGACTGAAGCTCACTTGCGAGGGTTTTAAGGTGCAAGTGTGGACAACTGACTCACTAACAATGTAGATTTGTTAAGGGCAAAATGGTTGATGTTGGATTAACGCACGTGAGTACTGTGATGCTTAAGGTCAACAACCTTTGTCAAGACAACCTTTTTCGGGGACCGAAAAAACAGAAAATCTATCTATGAGCCAATTCAGATGTTTGAGAAAATTACACAACTTGATAATTTGGTATGCCATAGCTTTCTGGCGATTTACACCGGGGCGGAACACTGGTATGCCACAGCTTGTCAAATGAGATATTCGAAAAGTAATGGAAATTTAATGTAGAACACAATTCTACCAAAAATTGATTCATCCCATCTTTAACTTGATGTACTTTCAATATTGATTTTAGTCAAAAGAAAACCCGGAAACTGTTCATGGCATAACCAAAGGGGCAGCTTCTGTCCGTAATTTTTCTAGTCTCACTCAAAGCGGTTGATCCCAATATGTACTATGCTGGCCAGTCTGTGTCAAGATGAGCAAGATCTGCCGCAAACTAAGTTTCTCATGCAAAGTCTCAAACGGGTGTCTGGGCTGTTCCTGCTCTATACGAGCAGTTGTCGGGGCAGGCAAAGAAGGTGCACAAATTCCAAACAGTCTTGCTGCTTCCGAGACAGTATCTTCATCATTTTTGTTTGCTAGGATCCCTCGCGTGAATTGTGGCTGTTTTGTCCGATGCATCATTGGGATTTGCTTGGTGTCGAATCAAAACGATCTTGGATTCTTCCAAAAGGAAAATTTCATCCCCCTCACTAGCTGGCTTGCCTTCATTTATACAGATTTTATAGTTACCGAGGGACAACAGGGGTCCACAATTATGTGCAGCCAAGCTGAGCTGTCCGTCACCCACCACAAACTCAGTAATGGTCTTGCCTCCAAGTACTCGCTGCTGGTCTTCGTCTGGCTCAAATGGAACATGATTATCCCTCTTGTTCCACCTCATGCATGGCTCACATGTAGCTGATTGAACGAAACCCGTGTGTCGAACGTGCCCAAGGTGAGTGAGTCCAACTTCGAAGGCGAGATCCAAAATTTTATCTGGTTTTTCAAGATCCCATTCAGATTCATTGGCATGGTGCAAATCGAGTATGTTGAGCACTTTCAGTGCATGTTTTAGGCGAAGGGCATATGGCATGTTACTTAGCAGTTGGAAAAACAGCGTTGCAGGTGTGACCGAATAGTCTGCCTTGATTTGAACACCCCGTTTATCCTCCTTTTTTACTCGTGCTAGGCCAAGCAGGCCGTAGACACGATCACGAATGTCCATACACTGGGCAAGGCCACCATGGACAATGAGGTCATCAATCGTATCTTTCAGGGTATTTTCTTCTTTTCCAAAATCCTCTAATTTGTCCAGGATATCACGTGCATAAAGGCCCCTCGGCAAACTGCCAAGCTGTATATCCCATCCCGTGAATCCCCCGGGAGCGAAATCCCCCTTCACGAATGTTGTCAATCTTCTGAATTCGGACCAAGATACAGCTTTCAGACCACAGAAAAGAATTCCTTCTCTGGCCAAAGATAGCTCCTGAATTATCCAAAGCCGTGTCCAGTAAGAGCGCTCATACACTGCATTCAGCGCCTCTCCGGTAGAGCCCTGAAAATCGATATCGTCTTGTTTCCCTTCTACACACATATCTAGAATCAGGTCAGACTCAGCTGAGCCAGGCCCAAGCCAGATCAGGACCTTCGCTGCCTTTCGATACAGCTCACTCATGTGTTGCACTTGGTTGTTTCGCTCGGGAATATCTTCTTGGTTGATGCAGATGGCATCCGCAAAGAATAATGCATTTCTAACTTCGCTAGATGCCAATATCCAAAGGAAATCATGCAAGTTTGCTCGAATGAGGAAGGGCTGATCGTTGACGAAAACTCTTTTGTCGGGCGTATTACTTCCCCACTCATAGGATAGAGCATTGTATACGACGTCATCTGAAAGCTTGCAGGATTCGAGGGATAATCGTAAAGGTTCGTTTGGGGCCGTATGTCTGGATTTGAGAAGGCGAATATGGTGTGTTTCGGACGAAAGCGTTGTGTGAGTGAAGGGTATATGATCATAGGCCATTATGCTAGGCTTCACTATTGCTGGGCCTTCAACTGCCAGTGTGTTATTTGAACTGAGATTTTTTGTGTCAAATGTGCCCAACGTAAGAGCAAAAGATGATTTATCTACAGGACTTGTGGAAAAGGTACAGGAGCATGACTTTGCCCCACCGCTTTGAGGCTCAGCGGTCCTGTCGATCATTCACAATTACAGAAAGGCTCGGCTACAGCGGACACGTAAGATAATGCAAGATTCCTGGCAGCCGGTATACAGAAATGTTACAATATTAAGACATTTCTGATAGTTCGCCATAAGGGCCAATCAACTTGAGTCAGAACTGTCTCTCTCAGGGTGATTCAAAGATGGTGAGTTGATTGTTGCAATCAATGCGGTACTGTTCAAGTTGTGTAGCAGTTTAAGGCAGCATTTGGGTTTCTTATTCATTTCATGAGCCTCAGACAGTATTTCAACGCGATTTTCTTTCCTTGTATTGTAGATCTTACTCCATGTTGACAATACAATTCATCTTCTCCGCCCCCATTTGCGCGGGCGGCCTTTAAGGGCGGATTTTGCCGTAACAGAGGATCACCTGGACAGGCAAAAATATTAGTAGACAATTACATCCAGCAGGCAGCACTTATTATTCAATCCATGAGGATGCGCAATGCTAGTTGAATTGACCCGCATGTCATGTGATTGTTCAGTTTAACATATAAACAACCAGCCCCCGCGCGCGGCTGCATCGAATTTTTAGAACTGAAACCAGCAATGCCTTTCCACAACCTTCCCAACGAAATCATCCTTGAAATCCTCTACCATCTCGATTATCAATCGGAATTGAACGCAGTAGCGCAAACATGCAAATTTCTCAATGCACTCGCCAACAAGGCTCTTTATTCGCAATTGCCCGAGACAACCAGTGGATTCATGCTGGAACGTCTAGTCACCAATGGCAACGCAGATGCCCTACGTCGCCTGATTGATCATGGAGTGAACATCAATTCTGTGCTCAGAGAGGGCGGAGCCGATAATTTGACGGCTGTCGCAGCTACCAACGGACATCTTGAGATCGTCCGTTTGCTGGTAGACCAGGGCTCCCTCTCTACGAATTCGAATGATCCACCCCTTCTATGTGCGTTAATCAGTGAAAACATGGATATTGCTCAATACCTGGTCTCACGAGGAGCCAAGGCAGAGAGCTGCCACGGATTAAACGACCAAGCAGGGGCGCTAATGCGTACGGTTCGTGCTGGCTCATTGAGTGCAGTCAGGTATCTGGTAGAGAAATTAGACTTTGAAGTCGACCAATCTACTGGGTGCATCCTGCTCAGGCAATCGATCCAAAATGAGAAATGGGATATTGCGTATTATCTTCTCCAAGCTGGGGCGAATACGATGTTCAATGAGGCTCACCAAACCATGCCTCTGCTCTTTGAAGCTGCACTAAAAGGTTTTCCTGATATGGGTGTTGTTTCATTTTTATTGGAAAAGAACGGAATCCCAAAGCTTGAGGACTCCCCACATTGGCGGGTTTTGGCAAGACGCGGGAAAAGAGAAATCTTGTCACACATCCTGGACAATATCGATATGTCCGCAGCCGCCGAAGAATATGGAGCATATCGCAGTCTACTAGTTCTGTTTTCTGCGGTTGGAAAAGAGGGTTTGCTACGTCAGACTTTGGACAGTAAATCCTACATCCTATATAATTACCCGTTTGCCCGTCGTGTGGCGCTTGACGAGGTAACTTATAAACTCCGCTGCCCCTGGAATCCCCTTCATTGGGCAGTGAAGAGAGATCATATCGGTTGTGTCGACATACTGATTGAAGTCTACTCGAGAACTTTGTCGCCTGAACAGTTGAAAGAGCTGGTCTCGAGAATTACATTACAAGCAGTAAAGGCAGGTAAATTCCTCATGGCCCGTCATTTACTTTGCAAGTACCCCGATGATACTGTCAAACTCAACCACATACCACGGGCCTATAGTGGCAGTGAAGACTGTTCCCGGCTTGTACTGGACTGTGTTATTTATCAGGAGGCCAGCCCTGGCGCACTGAAAGGCCTCTTTGGTGAAGCTTGCCGATACGGAAATTCCTCGGCTGTCAAAAACTGGCTGGAGATATTGGAACTGAGAGGGATCGAGATTCGCCTCCAGAAAACTGCTGACAGCGGTCTTCAAGACGACGAAGTCAATCAGCTTTTTAAATCTGTCGCATGTCCATGTAACTTTGAAATTTTTAACATGTTGCTTGAGCACATGAATGTCGAGCTCTGTCCAAGCAGTCCTACGCACCAGCAAATTCTATTGAATTTTGTTAGATCAACTGAGACTGAGGTTGTCAAATTATTTCTTGACAAAGGATTCGATGTCAATAATTTGTGCTGTGATGAGCAAGGAAGAATGCTATCGCTGTTGGTCACAGCGGCATCTGATTGGGGCGCTGATGAAGAGGTAGAGCGAATGACTCAGTTATTGCTCGATCGTGGGGCGTTGGCCGATTCTATTGGTCACAATGGGATTACAGCTTTGACCCATGCGACGGAGGAAATGAGACAAGGTGTCATAGACATGCTGCTTGATCGAGGTGCAAATCCCATTTTTGGATTGGGGGACAGAATTACACCTCTTGAGACTGCAGCCCGTGACTTCAAGTCAGATGTGCTGAAGAAGTTTTTGAATGTGATGGATACTCGAAATCTCAAGTTCGATAACATCCTGAGCCTACTTCCCTCTCTGACAGATGATAATGTTGATTGGTCTGTTGATACGGCCAAGGCTTTGACGCAATATCACTGGCGTTGTCTGTATCCCGTTTGAGATTTTGGGCGTATAGAATAATTCATCAATGTTTTCAATTACACAATATAATCAGTTAAGGTGTGAGCTTTCCACAATATGCAAAAACACAGATGGTACTGCCCTTGGCACACATCGGATTGGTTCTTATGGCTACATGGCACCGGAATTCGTCGATGAATTATCTGATCATTACACGTCAGCTGTCGATTTGTGGGCGCTCGGGGCCATGGTATTTTGCATGCGAACGGATTTCCCCCATTCCCCACTATCAAGCACCTATTCGACTGTGCGCGCGACCACAGAACGCAAGTTCGCCTCCGATCGCTAGGCACCTCAACTGGGCTCTGCATGAACTTCGTATTAGGCCTTATTACCGAGGCTCCTAAACATCGACTCAACGTTGAGTAAGTCCTGGCGCATGATTGGTTGTGAGGCTACCTTGATCCTCAAGAAAAAGTTTATATCAGCCCAGGCAGTGGCTTTGAAAGACTATCTGACAAGATGTAGTGGCCTTCCAGAAGAAAGCTTAGCAACTAACTTGAGTGCCTTAAACATAAGATCGTTTAAGCGTGGTTCAACACAAACTGCAGCGCTAGTAGTCTGCAGTGGCAGTCTCTTTTGTCTGATACGCCGATGACAGGGCCAAGAACCAACTCCATACATTCTATGCCTTTGTTCTCTGAAGCGGAAGTCTATGAAGAACAGCTATCAATTGAAGGAGGAAAGTTTGCGGTGGGTTTTACAGGTGGCAACCGGCTCGCGTCGGCATCCGACGACAAGACAATCAAGATCTGGGACCCAGTAACGAGCAAGTGCCAGACACTCGCAGGCCAAAATGGTCACCACAAGGGAGTCACCTCAGTGGCCTGGTCATCGACTAAGAAAGCCCCCTCTTGGGATATCCTAAATCTGCAAGCTCTTCTCACCAAGCGACCTGATTGCCTGACCTCACTTCCTTCGCATGTAATGATTTGTATCTCTTTGGTTCCACTTCAAAACTCAATGTTTCCAAGTACTTCTGCATGCTGGGCATGTAGGAGCACGAGCTGTTTCTAGCCATTGTTCGATGCATTTCGCATGGAAGTTTACTCCACAGCGTGCCTTGCACCAAGCCAGTTCTTCGTCTTGGCGTTCATGCTTATCCTCGGTTTCCTGCTCTTCATTCTCTTCATCGTCATCAATCTCATCATCATAATCATCATCATCACTTTGATCATCCCGGCTGTATTCATCGCTGCCAATGTGATCGCTTTCCTCGTCCGTGTCCCCGGCTATATCTTGCTTTGAAGGGAGCAAATCACACAAACAGATCCCACATTCTCCTTCAGCCTCGCGGCGAGTGGTCTGTGAAATTCTATTCTGGCTATCATGGCTTCTGGTCCTGCTGGAGGCGTGAACCCCAGTGGATGGCGTCGCTAGTCTCGGACTCAAAGGAGAAACCGCCCTTATTTGATGACTGATTTGTACTTGCTCGGGTCGAAGTACAGTCATTGATGGCTGATTCGTAGATTGTGTTGTTTGCACAGTGGATGTTCTATCAACACGATTCACTGGCGGAGTATTCCTGCTCAACGTGCTTGTCGGAATACTTGAACTAACAACTGCGTTTGGATTTCTCCTCTCGCGATAGAAAGGAGGGCTTGCAGTAATTGGTAGGTAACTTTCAGCAGCCTCGAGGCGCCTAATCTCTTTCAAATTCCGAAGTCTCTGTTGGAGAACGGCAATTCTCTCCTCCAGTTCAGATTCAGCGGTCTCTGTGTCGACAATTCGCGATGATACCCTCGTCTGCTGTGTCGATGGTGTAAAGGTTCCCTGCGAATTGAGATACTGGTGAACTTGTCCTCTCCAACGACGTGTGAGATCCGAAGCTTGGTTTTGATGGAACCTTGTGCATAGTACATGAGGAGCCAAATCTTCCAGCAGCGCATCGATGCTGCGACCGGCTCGAAGATCTTTGGTACCCTCGTTGAGAAGCACCATGGCTGACCTGCGACCGTATGCATTTGTGCGGGCGTGACAGCGACGACCCTGCGAAGGAGCATAGCCGGCACACCATGGCTCTTCCTCTGGTTCGAGTTTGATGATGTCAGATAGATGGACTGAAGGTGGACTTGGAGCATAGGAATATCGGGAAGGCATTTTGAAAGGTATGAATGAATACAGAGACACGAGTGTAATATTCTGCTGGCTGTGAAGAGCTTTTCTATTGTTGCCTCATCGTCATTTAAGTATGTTATTCTCCTGTTCGAAGGCGCATATAAATAGTGCAGAGCCCTGGAAGTATCCCATAAGACTTGGGCATTACTGTGCCACAAAAAAGTGGCGCAGCTCTCAAAATAGAAACTAAAAAGCGCTAGATATGAGGCATTAGTGATGACTGAGAAGAGATACCAATGAGGCCTGGCAAGCATTAGGTGTGTGAAACGGTAAATGGCGGCTTCGGGGCTATGTTTGCATCGGGGCTTCATGAAAAGAGGGGTAGCCAGTCTCGCTGTTAGTTCTCAGCGGCTTTTGGTGGGTTTTCATTGGACATAGATATGCAGTATAGGACTTTTGCTCTGCGCTACTCGCTACTCTGCTCTCTCGGTGATTGGCTGCTCATATCTGGGTGTGTGGATGCCTACGGGATGAGATGCTGCGGACCGCCCCGGGAGTCAGGGGATAGCCAATGAACTTTTGTCTTTATTAAAATGCGATCGTCTATTTTCATCAATGACTCCCAGGCATCGTCCAATTCAATATTTGAACCATTTCTGATGTCTTTGCACGCCAGGAGCCAAGTTTCATCATGGTGCTGCATAGTTGGTATAACCGTCATACAGGAATTAGAGATTTTGTACCTTATCCTTTGTTTCGCCGAGTCTCTCCAGCACTCAGAGCCTATCATCAAAAGGCATTCCATAGATCTCTGCAGAGCGATTTTCAATTTATAGCCGTGGCCACCTTGAAACGTTCCATCTCCGCGGTGCATAGAGGGGTCGGAAGTTGTGTGCAGAATGATAGAGCAAAATTGAATTGTAAGATGTCTTTTGCATAGTTTATTGGTATCTGCTGATCCCCGGGACAAGATACCGCTGTTTGAGATTCACCAGCCAAAGGATTTACCAGCCTATCAATGCATTGGAGGGGTAAAAAAAGAATCAGGTGCTTATGGCATGAAGGCACTCCTGTTCGCTACCATCGTACAATTATCAGCTCAATCCATGAATATATACCCTCCTATCTAGATACATGTTCCGTAGCTGGCCCAGACGGTGATGGCATCCGCAATGGTTGGGACCACCAACCACGATTCTTCGCTTCACGCTGAATAGCCAAGATAATAATGAGCATGCCGAAGATACCACCCACCACTCCATATGCGATAGCCCCTCCAGTGGAATTTGCAGCGAGCTTTAATCCAAGACCGCCATTGATGATCCCTAACAATATGAGCACCCGCCCATACCAGATGTGAATAAAACTCGGTTTCCGATTCTTGCGAAAGCGAAGGTGGTGTGCCAATCCGATGAATGGTTGGAGAAATAAAGCCACGACGACAATGGTGCCAATTACCGTGTGGGCATTATTTTCGAGCTGCAATATTCACGTTAGTCAATCTTTAGCCTAGCTAGGGCAAAAGATGACGTACTCGGTCTAGTATCTGACCAACACGAATGCCAGAAACCAATCCAGCAATCATCAGAGCCCAGCTAACAAGTTGCCATCCGGCGTGTATCCAAATTGTTCCTTTTACCTTGGAAATACGAATGATAAGCACGCCGAGTGGCATCATGACAGCGAAAGCAAGTCCCATCACTATGCCATGTATCTTGAGATACTTTGGCACCAAGGGGAGATCTTCATAAATGACCTCGGCGGAACAGATATTGGGGGCAAGGCCTTTCCATGATTAGTACATCTGATCACTTGATCATACCAGAAAGCTTTTCTTACCAACAACGTAGAGCCAAATTGTGAAGCGCATGTAATAATTTTGCATTTTGTTTCCCAAACGGTTATATCTTCTTGATTGTAATTTCCAAACGTATGTCAACATGACAACCTGCGAATACTTATATATATTCTTTGAATCCGTACCTCTAGGCAGCCTCATATATTCCCGTCGTCTTTTCATATTTCTTTGTTTGGCAGATACCAAGAAATGCAAGGACGTGTAAAGGCCAAGCCTGCATAGCCACCTCTCCTCGTATCCACGACGACATTCCACGCAAGTATTGAAAAAGCAAAAGCAGGCCACTGAATTGACTCAGATTTCCGAGTATATTTTTGGGGTTTATTGTTTCCGAGTAAAGTCCAGTTGGTACAAGCAGCTACTTCCATCGGTCATCGTCTCACCCACCGCAAAGCGGATTCCGAAACCAAGGGCCTGCATCGGCTGTCGGGCACGCAAATTAATGTGCGATCTAGGACATCCATGCAAAAATCTGCAATGTGTGGTTGGTAGGATGTGTGTCCCTCTCCAGTCAGAAAATGCCGTCGACAGTCCAGACAACGGGAGGCGAAGCATTTATCTCTACTTGTCGCGTCCACAACAAATCAGCGGTGTCACATATTTTATGAATGATAAGGAAGCTGTCCTAGCTCATTTTATGTATTTGTCCAGCATTGCAAGCATGTGAAGCGAAGACGTCGATGGCTGTTTTGGTATCGCGAAAAGAACAACCTTAGTGACCCATCAATTACTTATCAAAACGGCATAGATAAAATGAGTTTTTCTAAGCCTCAGGGAAGACTTGACTGTACTGCAGGCAATGGTGTTTTTTCTATCTGTGTCTCTTTGATTGGCGAGAGAGGATTTGCGTGGAAACTCACAGGGATAGTAAGACATTTGGATGAAAGGTTTTAGAGCACAGGCTGGCTCGCTATCCGTATCAGGTCCAAGTGTCGCCGAATGATAAACGCCTGGCTAAACTAATAGAGAGGACTGAAGCTATCAATGTGTATAGTATACATCGGAGACATTGAGTAACTTGGACCCACTTTCGGTGATCCATACAGCTCAACCGCGCAGATATGAACTGTGGATCCAGTGGATCTATAACGGCAAATTCTGCAGCTCTCTTCATCCAACATCCGATATGGTGTAATCCATGGGGACAGCGGAAAGACCACGGTTGTGCGTGGTGTTGTGGGAGATAATCGTGGTGATTCCGTATAGGCGTTTTCATAGATCTAATTAGGACTAGTGCCATATGTCCAACCGGGTTTAGCGCATGATTGCCCGATCTTGCTGCATACCTATTATAAGCCCGACGGCTTTATCATGGGCGATAATTAATTGATTGCCAAATTTAGACTTTCACTACGGATTGATTATTATTATTTTGGCTCGCAGTGGTTAAGTATCGTACACTCCCCCTCTTCCTAGATCTCAATCAAGCTTTCCCCTCCCGTTCAAGCCCACCGCAATCGAAATGCGCTCCCTAAAGCCACCAAAGCGGGTTCGAGACTGGAATGCATTTGTCCGCCAGCCGGATCCAACAGTCACGACTAACAAAGTCTTATCGACGAAGGAGCGGTTGAAGGGAATCCATTTTAACTTTCAAAAGTATTATACCGTTGCTTATTTAATCTATATGCTTTAACTAATGAACTTTTAGATAGGTGCAAGAACTTGACAACAAAGACTATAACTATTGGCTTAAAATATCACGCTAAGGATTGTTCAAGGCTTTTTTGAGTGGTATTTGGATGAGTATGTAGGCCTCGAGATGGAACCGCAAGACCCGCGTACCGCCCCGCCCCGCCCCTCCGCGGGGCGGTTCTTGGTTACAAAGTTTAGACCCGCGGGGCGGTTAGACCTCGCTTTGGGTCGGGTTTGGGTACGACTTCAGGAACCGTACCCATGGGTCGGGTATGGACCCAAAACCCAAACCCAAACCCACGGGTTTACGGGTTCTTGGCGGGTAACCCGCGGGTTACCCGTTCTGTATATATGCGATAAACCAATTAATATACCTTTTCTTCTTCCTATGTAGGCCTTTATTGATATATCATCTTTTTGTCTTCGAAGAACAGGGGTATCGCGAGGCCCCCAAATATAAGTCTACGCGTTTTAGAATCTTCTGTAAGTCGTCTAATAGTTATTAGCGAGAAACCCTTTAATATGTATAGTCCCTAATGTCTCAATTCACTAATACCTATGTATTATCTACGTATAATATAGACCTCCTACTACTAGATAACCTTCCAATTCTTCCTTCGGACGACCTTACCCCTAATCCATCGATTAGTTAATAGGCATTTCCTCCGGTCGTAAGCTCCGCAATCGACTCCGATTTTACACTACAAACCTTCTTGTCTCCGATTCTACCTAACCTCGAGACTGTTCGACCTAACCGTGTCACTCTATATATAGTATATACTAAAGAAATAACTATTGTAGTGGTGAATCCCGTGACAGTAGTATTTTAATGGCCTGAGGCATCATAGATGCCTCAGGAGACATGCAGTCTTCTCCTACAGAGAGAGAGGAGCATGATCCAACAACCTCAATATGACTACAGTTACTCGCAAAACTTCTTGATTCATGATATAGCATCAGGTTCGGTACGATTTACACCTTCAGGGACCGCTCTCTACGCCTTCAGGCCATGGGAGTGGTTGTGTGATCTCTTCATTAGTATCGACCCGTCTGCTATGTCAGACTGCCATCGTGCCATCCCCATTTCACTATCGAGTTCGTACAATAGTGGCTACAATCAGACTTTGGAAGAAAGAAGCGCCTACGCTAGGACTCACGGCACTTCTCTGATGTTTGGGATTATTTTGACTAGGTAGCTAGGGCTAGACCTTGACATTTCCCATGGGACGCCTCCCATGGGACTGTCCATGGGAATTCCCATGGGACTAATTTTGGTCCCATGGGAGTGGGTCCATGGGACTAAACATCTATAGGAAATTCCCATGGCGGGACTAGACTCCCGTGGGAACTCCTATAGGAGTTATAGGAATTCCCATGGGACTGTAAACAATGCAAACATGAGCTATCTCGTGACTTATATGAATTATGCATTTCTTGGCGGTTCTGAACGGTATTTCATTTACAATAGCTTTTTCTAAACGATAGATGATTTTGGACCAAGTAAAATTTGGATTCTTATATATATACAAAATCTTTATCTTCTCGCCTTGGCCGCTTCTGACCTCGATTTCTTGTTGCTATCCTTGTCTGTGTATCATTTCCTACCGCGGGTTGGTTCTCCTTATTCTCCTTATTCTCCTTAGTATCTAATATAGACGTAGTGCTCTTTCGTCTCTTTCTAAGGACGCGTTTACTTAGTATTTGAATAACTGGTTAGGCTTGTGTCTCGCTACTTGGCTCTTCCTTATCGTCACTAATCGTAGTTAGGATTTCCTATAGAAGCTCTTCCTCCCTATTCTCCTTATTAGCCTACTTCTTTTCACGAGTATAGCCTCTATCACCTAATCCAATTTCGTCTTGTTTTATCTAGAAGTTCGAGATATAGCGAAATATTATTAGATCCTAGATAGTAGAAGCTTGAAGGGAGCCACGCCGATAATAGTATATATCACGGGCGGAGTTGAAAAGGCGCTTAACGCTAGCCCCTATAGTAGGAATTGAGAAAATATCCCGTGCTAGACTAGCAAGTGTAGGATATTAGTGTTGGTGAGAGCGCTAATAGTTATAGGGGTTAAGATCTTTCTATCGTCCTATATAGAAGGTTAGACTATAAGCTTTGAAGCACCGAAGCGGGTATTTATACCAATATTTAGATAATCACTAAGCTCACTTTTAAAGCCGGATCTCTAGGGCTAATTTTGTAGAGATCGATCCTCGTTGAACAAAGTATCAAAATGACTCGCTAGTTAACTTAAAGTATCTAGTGGCGAGGGTAGCGAGGGTAGTAGAGGAGACTCTTGCTAATATTTAATTAGATACCGCCGTAGAGATTCTTTATACCTCCGACGCTATTCATAGTTATTGTTAGCCTAGTCTTTCTCTGAGAAGAATTCGAGCTTATATTCTAGGGCAAGAATTGTCCTAATCGCGAAGAGATAGCTATAAACTTGCTCTGTCTTATTGTAGTAGATAGATAACTTCTCCTTTCCTGCATAAAAGGCGTAGAGCATTGCTTTTTTCTAAGCCACCCTTTTCCGTTAAAGCTAACGAATTGACTTCTCAAAATACTCAAAGAGTACGTTGTATACCTTGAAGATATTGTAGATTGTGATATCTTTGATTTTTGATAGACCGGTTATCTATTTGTAGAATGGCTATGTGATTTAGAGAAGGTAATCGATCTATCGCCATTCTTCTAAATCTAGTTTAAACCGAGGCTAGTTATGCTCGATACAGTATTTATCGAAGATCGATATAAGACGTTTTGCTCGTCTTAATATAAGAAATATTGAGTTCTAGCGAGTTCGAATATCTTGTATTAGAATTAGCTTCGGCTCTTATACTTGAAGGTTAAGAAAAGTATCACGGCGTTAGGGACTAGTATTAATAAAGATAGTAAGGCCACGAATCTATATATAATATATTAGAGAATGATACCACGAATAGGTTTATTGAGATTTACCTTTGAAAGTGTGTACGAAATCCCTTGCTATTGTTAGATAGCGCGGAGTGACTACTCTTGATCTTCTAACTATTGGCGGTCGGTCGTGTCATTTTTTGGGTCAACCTTTATTGAACTAAGGAGATCACGTAGGCTAAATTAAATAATATACGCGAGGCAAGGAATCCGGACGATTAGTGTTTAATTAGGTATTTCAAGAGAGTTAATCGAATATTAGATACTCTCAACCATAGTAGTGTTATTCGACGCATTATCAGTAGTTACTACTAATACCCGATCAACAATACTATACTTTTGGAGTAGTGCAAAAACCGTAGCACTAAGATTAGCACCAGAGTGTATTCTATATAATAGCTCGAATCCGAGAAGGACTTCACGAAACTTCTAGTCACAATCAAGAAAGTACCTAGTAATAGCTATAAACGCCTATTAG